GGGCAGAAGGTGGAAGTTGAAGGTAGTTTCTGGAAACAGCTGTTAAGTAGCTTCTGGTAGATTTTGGCTTTCTCTGGCTTTGTGGGCCAGTTTAAGGTTTAAGGTTTGATGGAATGGAACGTTGGATTGGTTGGGGAAGAGTTGTAAGAGGAGTCAAACAAGTCAGACGACGAAGACGGTACGAGGAAGGCTCCTGATAGTTCTTCAGAGGCATTTGCAAGAAAGAAGAAGGGAATGTAATGAAGACCAACTTGTAGTGGTAGTTTTGAAAGAACGAGAAGAAGATCTAAGTGTAAGAGTATAGGGCTTTTGATTGGAGTAGCTAGATTTATGAACTCTTAACGGAGATACCCTCTTCTTTCATCCTTCAAAGACTCAATGTACATCTTTTTTAGAGTCTCTCTGGAAGCTCTGTGGTTTCAACTCCATCTTAACTTCATGTCTTTAAGGTTCTGTGAAGCCTACTTACTTCAAGTAAAAGACTTGATGTTTCTTTCAATCACTGGAGGTTTCGGTCGAAAAAGTGACTTTTTTCTTTGATTCAAAAGGATCCCTAAGATCGTAGAAGGCCAGGGAAGTTTATATTCTTCACTTTCTGGTCATTCTTCTGCTGTTTTTGGCGTTTTGATTGGACATTTTTTGAGTACATTAAACAACCCACAATATCTCCTTCAAATCCACCAAAAACCATCCAAAAACCACCAAAAAAAGCACAAAACCAATCAAATGACCTTCTACATTTCCCTCAAACCCCTTAAAATGCTCTAAGTACCAACTTCCCATGACCATTGCTCGCATCTTTATTGGTTCAAGCAAAACCACTGAAATACCACCAAAACCCGTCCAAATTCGGCCCTGAAAAAACCACAAAAACAGCAACAGTTGTGAATTTTCATGACCGTTCGTGAATGGAGATTGTAGAGGTGAAAAAATGGAGAAATTTGGATGAGTTTTGGTGGTTTTATGGTTGGAAAATGGCGGTTTTTGGGTTTGACAGAAAAGGCCAGATTTAAGTAGAAAAACAACGTCAAATAACAAATTTAACGGTAGAATATGAAAGAGGAAGAAAAATGACATTGTTTGGATCAAAAAACGACGATTTTATGACCACTTTTGATGCATCTTTGTTTCGGTATAGATTTACCTGAAAATGCCACTTAAAAGGCCAAAAATGGTCAGAAAGGGGTGATCCAAAAGCTTCCAAGGTGAAAGAAGACACCAGGAAACCCATGAAACCATTTATTTCAACGTTTCAGGTTGTTGAGACACCTTTTCTTTATATGGTTTCGTTGGATGCCTTTAAATGCCCAGAAACAGCCTTTTTCGACCAAAAAAAGCTCCAAAGGCAACAAAACTTCGGTAGAATCGTCAGGAACCGCCAAGAAACAACCTGGCAGTACTCAGGGCCCCCAAAATCCACTTTCCAACTTTAACTAGTCATTTTGCAGCCATTGGACTTTTCAGATGCACAAATCCCCGCTTTCTGGACGCAATTCTTATCCGATTTCAACGGCAACTACACGAAAGTGATCGTCAAGGCCGTCTCTAGACGATGGAGAAGTTCGTTTGACGAGATTTTTGGAATTGACGAGTTTAGATGAACAAAGGTCGATCGGGAGGATCATAGGGAACTGAAAGGTGGGGTAGAATAAAGATAAGAAAAACCCATGCACCGCCGGATAAACAAGAAAACAAATTACTTGTGAAAAAAAAAAAAAGAAAATAAAAAAATCATAAGAAGAAATAGAAAAAACCCGTGCACCAGTCATATTCTTCTTCTTTTTCTGCTTCTCTTTATCTCATGCTAAATAATTTCTTTTTTTAGACATTGTTCATGCATTAATCGGAGATGAATTATGCATGTCTAAAGAGGGGATCTATATACAGAATTAACCTCAAATTTTACGAGGTGGGGCAGAAAAATAAATTTATGTCGCGGCCAGCGGCTAAAGCGGTTATATCCTGCAGAATGGCCCAGCCCAATCTCCGTCTCTACCTGGTACTAGTAGTGTTGACTTTAGAAGTTGAGTTTTAATGATTTTGAATTTTTAAAACTTGGGTAATGTAGAGGCGGAGGAGGGCTACATGCTGGTGAAATTTGGGCATCCCAGCGCCAATATTCACCGAAATAACTGCACATTTATATTCCCCATATCTCCATGTCCAAACTGCAAAATTAGATCTTTTAAAGCAAACCACTAAAAACAAGCAAAAACCGTCCCGTTCGAGTCTCTGTCAAACGGCGATGAAGATGGACCGTTTCTTAAAGTTTAAGGTTTGAAAGGGCGGGCTTCGTTTTGCTGTTTTGGGAAAGGTAATGGCGAGAAGAGGAATGTGAGGAAATGAAGGGAAGGTGTGGTTCAAAGGGGATGAAAGTAGCGGGAATGTGTTGGGGAGGGTTGATAGTATGGGGATTTAAATTTTGGCGGAATTTGGAGCTTTTTTGATGGAGATTTAACGGAATTGGGCTTATTTGAGGTGAGGAAAACATAAAAGGGATGGTATTTCTATGAATTGGCATGGGATGGGAATGAAAATGGTACCATTGTGTAGAGGTAAATTGGGGGAGTCGAATGGTACCAAAAAGGTGCTTGTTGGGTTTCTGGATCGGGTTTTGGGTGGACATTTAAGTATTTGGGTCATGGAGGGCATAAATGGACATAGAAACGTCGAAATTTCATGGGAAATTCGGTGAATTACAGTAAATGAAGTGAAGGATTTGAAAGCAACGAGTTTGGAGAGTCGAATGGTGCTGTTTTGGTTTGTTTTGGACCAAAGTAAGGTTATGTAAAATGACCATTTAAGGAAGGTCCAAAGGGCGTATAAACAGGCAGAAAAAAGCCCCAAAAACAACAAAAACACGTCAATTACCTTTTTAAGAGCAAGAAGACGTTCATGAGCTTTGTTTTGGTTTGTTTCTGACGGGTTTTGGTGTCTTTCTGTGGATGTATAAAAACACCTCATGGAAGGTCACCAGATGTCCAAAAACGGCCGGAAAAAGACTTCAAAACTCTCCAAAAAGCACATAATTAAATTAAGGAGGTAAAAAGACGTCTAGTGAGTGCTTTTATATTGCAAGTCCGTCAAAAACTGGTGACTTAACTGGACATTTTCTGTAAATGGCCATTTGAGCAAAACCAGGACCAGAAAAGGCAGAAAAGATAGCTAAAAGAAACAAAAATTAATTTAAACAGTCATAAGATAATTGCTCTACCTCTTCCTGTTCTTTTTTCTCCAAAAATTCGTGTATTTCTCGACCATCGACATCTCAGCCAATCAGAGACCCCACGTAAAAGGATCAATATCACGATTTGAAGAAAACCAATAACACTATTGGAAAGCGACGCGTTTGAAGATTTCAAAACTGTTTTTAAAATTTGTTTTGGGTTACTGGTTGGCCAGAAAAGTGAGGATTTGATGATTTTTAGAGGATATTGCTTTTAGAGACCCAGAAGTCCATCAAAACGCTTTCAAAACGAGCGAAAAGTTATCTAGGGAAAGAAAGCACGCTGAAGATGACTAAAATAATATTAATTTAATGTTGTTGGTCTTTTTGGGCGACTTTGGTAGGGCATTTTCCATAAAAAGTGGGTTTTCTGGATTTCCAGTGAACCGATCATTTTCAAATTTAAACGGCACCAAAACAACACCAAATGGCGTCTAAACAACTCAAAGAAGAGATTTAAAAGCTTCTTTTGACCATGCTACATCTTTTTCTGCCAAAAAAATGGACCCTTTTCTGAGGTAATTCCATGTAATTTGAACATCCAATAAAAGCACATTTTGAAGCCCCAAAAACGCCAAAAAAACGACATAAAAAAACTCAACGCGTCTTGAAGAACCTAATGAACCTTTTAAATCGACTTTTTGGTTGACTTTTCACTTCTTTTAAGTGTCCTCTCAGACACCTCTCTATACCCTTCAGTTTATGTCCGATTTCACCCCAAAAAACGCCAAATTGAACCCAGGAAAGACGTAGATGATTAAATATGCTGTTTTAATTGATATTGGAGCCTTTTTGGCGAAGAAAAATACATCATTTTGGCACGTGTACGTCGATTTATACTTTATTTTCCGCCGAACCAAAAACCCCCATTTAAACCGTCAAAAAGGACAAAACCAAAAAAACCAATAAATTCAGGGGAATCCAGAGATTCAGAAAAATCCACAAAACCCACCAAAAACGTCAAAACCTTCCTTTTCTCGTCGGATTCTCGGATCCATTTTTACCCGAGGAACCTGGAAATACCCGCCATACACCTCCAAAAATTCCTCAAAAACACCAACAGAACCACGAAAACCACCACAATTACCTCCACAAATTTTCTTGAATTGTTTAAGCCACGTTGGCGTTGTCGTTTGGAAGACCCTGGCGATTTGCAGCCACAATTGGGTTTAAAGCCACGTGGAGGGTGATAGAGAAGGGATACGGAGATGAAAGTGGTACCATTGGGACCGTCGGAGTTAGGAGATTCCAATGAAACAAGTTTGAAAGATTTTGGATTATTTTTGGTGGAAATAGCTGGGGGTTTACGTTTAATGGCTTTTCTAAAAGACCCGTGCACCACGATGATTCATAATCATAAGACAATAGAAGAATACGTCATCGGATTTATATGCAGTATTTATCAACAAAAAGAGGGGAACTATATACAGGAAAACACCACAAAAAACTCTCCAAACAAATACCAACAAAAAGAAGAACAAACTACTTTGTTTAAAAGCGACGGCGTTAGACATTTATCCCCGCCGCTCTACAAGTGCCAAATATCTTAATAATTTTCTCTGTTTCGGTAATCTCCGCGTTCCCAGGAACGTAGAGATATTTATTCAGGAGTAGGTAAAAATTTGAGGGTAATAAGGGAAGGGCAGGAGGTTTCCTTCCAGCGCCAAAAAACCGGTCTCTGGCGTGGAAGCGAAGGCGAAAGGAGGTGAAGAAGGGGGAGGTTGAAGGAAAGGGAAGTGTCAAAAGTTGGAAAGGTATCTCAAGGAAATGGAGATCATCTTAAGAAAGTGAAGATCATCTCAAGGAAATGGAGAGGATCTTTAATTTTCAAAGATTCAGATCTCAAGAAAACGAAGATATCTTTGATTTTTAAAGACTCAGACATCTTCAATTCCAAAGATTCAGATATCTTCACTTCCAAAGATTCAGATATCTTCAACTCAGACATCTTCAGATCTTCACTCAGGAATCTTCAGATCTTCACTCAGACACCTTCAGTTCTTCAAATCTTCACTCAGACATCTTCAGCTCCAAACTCAGACATCTTCAGTTCCTGCGGAACTTCAGAAGTCTTCGTTTTGGACCTTCAGATGCTTCGTTTCTGAAACTTCTCCCCCTCGGCACTCCGTCATCTTCAGTTCCTGCGGAACTTCAGATGTTCTTCGGTTCCAAACTCAGACATCTTCGGTTCCTTCGGAACCTCGATGCTTCGTTTGGACCCTCAGAACGACGGAGTCCCGATCGCCCCATCCCTATCAAACACACCCCTCGACCTGATATACGGATCCAACTCCAAATAATTCTTCGCCAACTCAGCGCCCAACTGAATCTTCAAGTCCAAAAGCTCCGTGCTCTCCTTAGCACTCTTCGCCTTAATCCAAGCCAACGTCGTCTCAATAAACGTATACGTCAACTCCTGTCTATCCTTCCACAACTGTTCAAATTTCTCATCCTTTGGAAGAGTACCGGCATTTTCCTTAGTAGGCTTGATGTACTCAGGCTTATAATCATCATTTCCACCCAAATCCTTAGGAATAAACTTCTTATCGGCAAACTTGGCCAAATCGTCTGCATTCTTTGTAAAGTGCACCTTGGAAGCAACCACAGGGTCCAACCAGCCCTTGATAATCTTCCACACAGCGTTAAAGATCCAAGGAGCTTTATGGATCCAAATGGCAGAAAGAGATTCCGGATAATTAGCTTCAAACGCCTTGGCCAAAAACTTAACGGCACTCAAATCGGCATTCTTCAACGAAAACCCGTTCATATCGAAAAGAATATTGGCGCCGTCATTGCCCAACTCGTAATCCTTCAAGGCAATTCTCACCCATTCGATAATCAAACAGATAAACCGCTCAAAGTCCTTTTCTGGACAATCCGAGCCAAAGTGCTTCTTCACACGAATCACCACAATCGGGCCGCCGTCTCTGTCGACGCCTCTAAAGTACGCCTTTTCCATCTCAAACGCTTTAATGATTTCTGGGTGTTTTTTCGAATCGTAAATCTCCAAATCACCGTCCATCGTCCATTTATCCACCGGATACTCCTTCACCTTCCATTCCAAGCATTTAGCAGCCATATCCACAATGGCATTCAACTTAAACTTCCTGGCTCTCACAAAACGAAGCATATTGTTATCTGGCGAGTCATTCCTCAACGAAGCCCAAAACGCCTGGTGCAACTCGGCTGGCTTGAATTTCGCCAAGTGCAGATAAACCTCTTTGGAAGGAGCCTTCGCTTTCACGTCGTAAGTGCCTTCATAAGTCAATGCTTTGCCCTGATTGGCTTCAAACGTCTTTTGGGTTCTTTCGGTGAATTTTGGAGCTGCAGAAACGGCAGAAGCGTCCAGAACTTTGGGGAGAGCGTTTTTGGCCTTTCCAGAAACGAATTTCTTGCCTCCTTCGATATCTGAAAACGAAAAGTCGTCCAAATCGTAACCAAACGATTTAAGGTATGCTGCCCAAGTTTGCTTGAAAACGACCTCGTGTTGGCCTTCGATGGACCAGACTCTGTCTGGCTTGCACTTTCCCTGAGTCATGTGATGAGAAATTGATGAAAAAAAAAGTTCAAAAAAAGTGGGAATTGGCTGTTTATATAGTTTTTGGGAGGAGGGGGTTTTTTGGGTTTTTTTGGATTTCTGTTGATTTGCGGGGACGGAGGGGGTTATATGCAGGGCAGAGGGTTCTTTTTTTTCACACTGATAAGGCAAAGAAAAGGCCAGGGAAGAGGGATTGGAGGAAGGGTGGCCGCCGGGACGACGCCCCGGCGGGTCAATTGGTAGAGGTATCCTTTTAACCGGGTGTGGTTGCCAGAAAACTAGGGGATTTGGAGTGGCTACGTCAGAGGAGGGGTGGCTGGAGGTACGGGTTTTTACCTTTTCCAGGTAACAATCAATCAATCAAAAGAAGTTTGAAAGAAAATGTCGTCTGTCTCCCACTCGCCCGAGGGAAAAGAATCTAGTCACATGATACGCATGTGACGCACTTTTTCCCCAACGCATGTGGCCCTGGGCAAGGGTGCATTCGTGCATGCAAGTTGCGGGGACTGCATATAGACCTAGCGACCCATTGTTACCGGCGGGTTCCTTATTGTTCTGCCCGATTCGCGCATCTTTTTGCGAGAGGGGCACATCCTGTACACTGCCCAAAACGGAAAAACTTGACCAAGAGGAAAACCCGTACACCAGGTGCCCCTCTTGAAAAAACGAACCCCCACAAAAATAACCAGCAATTCATAAAAACCCAAAAATGAAAGAAAGAAATAAAACGAAGAAATCAAAAAGGCTTTTTGGTTTCTGGAAATCCTTAAAAAAGCAAAGCTTCATTAAGAGAATTTACCGTTTTTGGGGAGTGTTCTTTTTATTTCTTTTTCTTCTTTTTTCTACCCAAAACGGACATTTTTCAAGTGGCTGCAAAATCTGAAAATTTCCAAAACCCACATGTAAAAAATGAAAAAGTAAACCTTAATTTGGCGAAAAACGGAACCGTTTTTCTTCAATTTCAACGACGGATTCGTAAATTTCAACCAAATTCACACCTGCCACGTCTTTTTTGGTCCGTTTTGCATCCATTTCTCGTCTGTTTCAGGTGCATCTTTATCTTGTGAGATTTTTTCTAAAGATATGTCTTTGTTTTTTGAGAGAATTGACAGTTGGGGGAAAAATTAGGTGGTTCTGATGGGATTTTGAAGAAACTGATGGCTCCAGCGTTCAAGAAACGGCGGGTTTAGTGTATTTTCGTGGTTTTTCGGTTGATTTAGGTTATGTAGAAGGTGAAGATTGATGGAATGGGCTGGTTTGGCGAAGAAAAGTGGTTTAAAGTGAGAAGGAATTGCTGGAGAGTGTAGGAAAGTTGATTAAGAGTGTTTAAATCGATGTTGGCGTTGTTTCTGGCGGTTTTGGATTGGAAAAAGTGGTATTTTGAAGGTTTTGACGGATTTTGACGTTTTTTTGACATATTTTGGTAACTTAAACGCTCCTAATCCAACGAAACCAACAAAACACTCCTATTTCTGGTACTTCTAGTTGCTTCCCTTCGTTTTCCCCTTCTTTTGGTCCAATTTGGTCCAAAAATGACCAAAATCGACCAAATTTTCACCGTTTTCCACCAATTCCAAACCACATCTCCACGTAAACACATCCAAAACCATCAAAACGGTTTCGTTTCCCCTTCTTTTCTTGCAAATCCACGTTTTCTCGTCATTGTTTGGGCCAGTTTCGCCAGAAAACTCACAATCGTCTTTGTTTTCCGTCCAGTTCCCCCCAATTGCCGTTTTTGGGCCGGAAAAGTTTGGAATTTAAAGGGCAATAATAAAATGGACTGAAATTGACGTTGTGGAATTGTTTTGGATTGGAAATGTTGGCTTTTTTTGGTGAATTTATGGCCATTTCGTGTTTCCAGGGAATGAAGGAAATTCGGGGGTTTAATTTGACGAAAATGCACCCAAAATTGACGAAATAAATTTCAATGGCTTTCTAAACGTCTGGAATTGTTGAAATGCATCTTTTTTGGTTCATTTTGGTGTTTTATTTTGTTGTTTTTGAAGACCTCTTTGTACCCTTAAAAGAGCACCAAAAAACGCCAAAAAAAGACCTAGATGTCCACTAAAACTCACTAAATATTCTACTTAAAGCATTCTGGAGCCTTGAAGACCACCAGAATCAACAGAACAGCATCTTGTTTACCCGTTTTCGTCTTTTTCCCATCGGTTTTCGACGTTTTCTGACGATTTTCACCTTTTCAGGCCTCCTGAAGCCAATTCTTTTTCAATAAACGTCAAAACAACACCATTCTTTGAGAAATTTAAACATCTATAAAGTAAGGTACTGTTGGTTTATGATATCTTCCTTCTTGCATTCAGAAACTGCCTTCTTTAGTTTCCTCGTTTTATGCTTTTCACGCCTTTCAACACTTCCCCTATTTTTCACTTTCACACCACCAAACTTCCTTAAACGCTTTTCATAAGACTACTGAACGTTCTACGACTTGAAATTCCAACTACTTCGTCTTTTCCTGGTCGTTTTTCGTTGATTTTTGGACTTCCTTATATGTATGCGCTTACAGGGCCTTCAAGTATATCTCCCGCTACAGACACGCCACGAACATGAAAACAACATCAATGGACTCCAAGGAATGCCTTTATTAAGATAGAGGCTTGATCTAACCGAAAAGATAAAGTTTTGGGGATTTGGCAGAAGGTTTAAATGGCTTGGGGCAAGCTGGTGTACGGGTTTATTGGGTGCAAAAATGGTTCACCGTCAAAAAGAACCTCCATTAAACCCCATGAAAAGTGAAGATTTGTATAATTTAAAAGTATCATTGGAGAGCCCCAAATCTGCGGATTCCAAATATGTTATTGGTCGTTTCATAGCGTCACTGCCCGTGGAGTATTCATGTCATTTCTCATTTCCCATACTTAAGCGCCCAAATAGACAAACGATCATTTTAAAGAAATCCAAAAAGGAGGCAATAAAAAGAGAAAATTCAAGAAAAGAAGAGAGTCTTTCCAAAAATTAAAATCACTTTGAGAGAGGTCACTTTCCGGTTTTAAGAGAATGAGAGAAATAAGAGACCAGAGAGAGAAGAAATCCATATAATAAAGATACTTTAAAGGAAGTAAGACCGCTCAAAAGCTTCCAGAGAGGAGCCAGAGAGAGTTACATCTCTAAAACTCTCAAATAACTTTGTATCTCTTTACACCTCTTTAGAGACTTAAGAGACTACTTTATTTCACATTATATCTCTTTGAATCTCTTAAATATCCAAAGACTGAAACCTCAAAGCCCATCTTCTTCAAGAAAAGCAGTAATTGTGGAACTGGCGCTTTTCGAAAACAGACGAGGTTCAAGTTCTCCCTGGAAAGAGGCACTGAAAGGAAAGACCTCTTTAAAGACCCCAGTATATCAAAAAACCACTTAAGACGCTTTAGATCTCTTTATCTCTCTCTAACCACTCAAGATAACTTTAGAGACCCCCTTGTATCTCTTAAGATATCTATAGATCTCAATATGCTTCTTAATCTCTATATATCTCAACCACTTGAGTCCTCTTTCGAGCTCCAAATCACTCTAAATCTCTTTATATCTCTTTGGATTTCAATGTACCTCTTTCGACAGCTCCAGGTCTCTCCAAGTCTCTCTATATATCTCAACATACCTCTTTGAACAGCTTTAAATTGTTTTAAACAGCTTTTAGACAACTACAGGTCCCTCTAGGCTTCAATGTATCTCAATGTATCTCTATATATCTCAATAAACCTCTTTAGGACACTTAAGTAAGTTTAGAGACAGCTTTAGATCTCTATAGATCTCAATGTACCTCTTTAGAAGAACCAAGTCAACTCAAGAGACTACTTCATATCTCTATGGATCTCAATGAACCTCTTTATGCCTCTTTATCTCTTTCCATCTCTTTTATCTCTTTAGATATCTTTATATCTCTATATACCTCTTTAGACAACTTAAGACCACTTAAGAAGACTTAAGAGACTACTTTAGATCTCTATATATCTCCATATACCTCTTTAAATATCTTAAGACCACTTAAAATCTCTCTATATATCACTTTCCATCTCTTTAAATACAAAGTGCCTCTCTTAACCGACTTAAGACATCTCTCAACCACCCAAAGATCATTTTCAGGTCTCTTTAAATCCAGAGACGTTTTGGAACCTCCAGGACCAATTTTGGCCAATTTCTTCCCAATTTCTTCCACTTTCTTCGTCCCATTCTCAATTTCCACTTCAAACCTTTCATTTACCTCCCAAAACCGCCAAAACCAACGACATTCTCGTCCAGAAAAACAACCCCAACTTCTCCAAACCTTCAAAATCCCATCGTTCCAAACAAAAAAAACCACCAGAATTCTCCAACTTCCCCAGATTATAAGCCCTGGTTTTTGCAAATTCCTGGCCGTTTCAAAGCCTCCAAATTCCCCACAAAAAACGGTTGCGTGGATGTTTGAAGAAAGAGGGAGGGTTTTTGGGGAAAATGGGGACGTGGAAATGGTTAAGGAAAGTTTTGGGAACGTTTTGGTGAAAGTTTGGTGTTTTTTGGACGTTTTTTGATGGAGTTTTAGCTGGTTTTTTGGTGGTTTTTTTGGTTGCAAGTTTTCACTAAAAAAACATCACCAAATGGAAAAAAAGCAATAACCAGGGAAGTTAATCCCAAGAAGAAACCAAAACCCTTCGTTTACCTTCATTTTCGGTTTGGTTTCCATTGCTGGAAACCGTCTTTACGTCATTCTTTCGTCTTTGCCGAACGAGGCTGAAAAATCCACAAAAACGGCGGAAATTTGATGTAGAAATGACAAAAGTGGGTGGAAGAAGTAAACTAAAAGGCCCCAAAAGCTTCAAATCCCTTTATTAATGCAGTTTTGGGTTTAAAACTGGGGGTTTTCGTCGTTTCTGGTGGTTCTGGAGGGTCTGAGGGAAATTCCAAATATCTCCACACACAGAAACGACAGGCAAAATACAACAACACGTTTAGTTTGAGGAGACTTAGCCCTACCTCCTGCTACTTTTAAAATTTTGAAAAGGGGTATTTTTGGGGGATTTGGCGGAGGGTGTAATTGGTCTGGGGTAAGCTGGTGTACGGGTTTAGTTCCAACGTCAACGTCAACGTCGTCAACAAAAGCAGTTTTATTTCAAAGTAAATGGATGGTTTATGTGAACTGGGGTGGAAAAGGTGAAGTTTTCGGTGCTTTTTGGAGCTTTTTTGGACGTCAATTGGCCCAGAAAATCATCTTACCATATAAAGTAGTCTTTCCAGCCAAAGAGATATCTCTCCCAATTCTCTCAATTCCTCTAGTTTTCTTTTTATTCTCTTTTATTAACGTAACTCTTGTTTATTTTGCTCTTTTTCTTTCCCAAAGCCTCTGGAGATCCTCCGTGTTGGACCACAACGATAAGTACAGAACTCTGAAGAGTAACAAGAAGCCGTGGATTTAATAGAATTGAGTCTTTTCGAGCAAAAGAGAGTTGAAAATGAACAAATAAAAAAAGATGAACAATGAAAAAAAAAACACAGCTTTCATGGTTCTTAGAATACGTCGCCAGTGGTTCTTTTCTTTTACTAAGAACTGGAGTAGCAAAGAAGCAAGTGCTTCTTGTACTTCCACCATTTCCAAAAACAGGAAAAACCATCAAAAACCATTCACCATTCTCCAGCAAAATTGACATTCTCTTCCTTCATTCTTCAGTACCTGGTCCACCTAAAATTGGATTCCTATTCTCTCAATTCTAACCAGAAAGCATAAACACAAACCCACCAATCCTTGTAAGACCATGAAACAGTTGAAGACCAAAAAATGCACTTAACGCTGTGGAAGTGTTCCTTTGGCATTGCTCTTAATCTAAACTACCAGTTGATGGTAAGAGGAAGCAAAAGTTCTATTCCCCAGGTTCTATAAGTATACTCTATGATATACCAAAGACGTAAAAAAGAATGAACATTTCAGCTCGTAGACTTAAGTAGTTTTTCACTTATGCTAAGAACTATAAGATGCCAGTGCCATCTTTTAACTAAAAGAACTAAAAAGGTAAATACCTCCCAGTCAGCTTCAACTCTTCCAGAACACTTATTTTTCATAAAGGCTGTTGCCATCGTTAAATCGAATATATAGTTATTTCTTATACAAGAAAAGTAAAATATTTAGGTTTACCACGTACTTACACATTTATAGAAACAGAATTTACTAGATTTATTGACCTTGTGGGAAGAGAGCTATGGTCGACCGTTGATCAACAAGATATATACATGCTAATGGAGCTGCTTTTTTTGTCCGAAACTCCAAGAAACAAAGAATATTTGAAAGAAATAGACAGCTTTTAATAAAGTAATAAAAATCATCTTCCCTCCTTCTTCCACCCAAAGTTGGAATCTCATCACTCTTCATAAAATGCACTTTACGCTTTCTGGAACTATAGAATACTTGTTTCAGCTCATTTGAATTCAATCTCTGATTAACACTAAACTAGGGTATCTTTAGCTCCAGTTTTAGGCCATTGGGTACTTTCAGTTCCAGGAAAACCAGAAAACGTGGATTCTAGATGAAAAGCACACCTCTCTGTCCTCTCCAATCATTAAAGTACCTTGTAGTAAACATCAGCTCTTAAATTGACTAAAATACTTCAGGAACAACCAAAACGCCTGTTTCGTCAGGTTAACCAATTTTCTCCCTTTTTGTCCACTTTCCAAGCACTTTCCAAGCACTTCCAGTCCACATCCCAAACGAACCAAAACCCACCAAAACCCACCAATTAACCCCCCCAAAAAACATAAAAAACCAACGAATACCAACTTCCAACCCTCCCTCTTTAAGCCTTTTTCCTTGATGTTGGCAATCTCAGTTCTCCCTTCTTCAACTTCCTTAGCAACCTCTTTCCAGTCCGATAAAAGAACGGCATAGTAAGGGATACCGATACGGTTGCAGTTCATTAGGATAGCAGGTGCTTTTCTTTGGAGAGCCACTGAGTACACTGTTCTTGAAGAAACGTATACCTGAGCATTTCCACAAGACAAGGCAAAGAACAAGCCGCATTTTGTTGGTAATGAAAAGGTGGCTAGTTGTTGATGGTAAACCAAGCAACAATAAGGAAACCGGTAAGACTACAAGCTGCTCGTGGAGGAGATCAAATTGCTTCTCCTGAAGAACCTTGTAACGATCGAGGTTTGCTGAAACTTCTTGAAATATCAGAAAATGCCTTCAACTTCTTTTGCCGAAGCTTCTCTTTCTCCTTCTTCTCCTCAGCTTTCCATTTTTCCTCTTCAATTCTTTTCCGCTTCTCTTCTTTCCTCTTGGTTTCTACTTGTCTTTTTCCTTCTTCTTTTCCTCCCTAAGCTTTTGTTCATCCTTCATTCTTCTCCTTCTCAAAACCCCAACTCCATTCCAAAAAGGCAACTCCAAGACGAACCTCACCCTGAATTCCCAAAACCTCCATTTTCTCCATTTTCTGCAAATCCCAACTTCTTCATGTCATCTCCAAAAAGCCCAAAGAGCCCAAAAAGCCCAAAATCCAACTCTGCCAACTCCCCCAAATGGGCCATAATCCCAATTTACGCTGCCTTCATTCTCCAATTGTGGTTTTCATCACCAGGCGGAATCTCCCCCAAAAAATACACTCTATCCACCGAAAACTGGTTCAAATACACTTCAAACGTAATAAACCTGCTCGAGGCGCTTTCTCCAGGCTCGACCCGCCAAATGGCATCTTATATTCCTGAAAACTGGCCATACGGAGAGTCTGAATACCAAATCTCGTACTTTGGCAAGTGCAGAGTGTCCGAAACCGAAACTGCTTGTGTTTGGAACGTCTGGGGCGACTTTCCGTTTGTTTCGTGGGATATGGGCCTTTTGATTGCACGAAACTGGACACAAAACACTAAAGAACAGCAGGAAATCGCCCATGCCTGGGAAAGAGCCACTTTAGAAGCTCTTTCTTCCTCTTTGGAGACGATTCAAAGCGTTTCGAGGTTTTCCAGTCCTCCAGAGTCTCCAAAATCCACCTTCAACGCTGAAGCCATCCAGGTTATTCAAACTTTGAATATCTGGAATCCAAATATAACCAACCGGCTAGTTCTGTTGTTTCTGCTCTTCTTTTTGGGCATTTCGGCGTTGCTTTTGCCGTGCAGCTACAAACCAGCGTTTGCTTTCGCCCAGCTTTCCTTCTTTTTGCTTCCTTTCTTGCTCTGGGAGCCTTGTGGAGAAGGAGGAGACGTTGAGAAGGTTTTTGACTTTGGAGTAACGTTTTGCGTGGTTTTTGGCGTTGCAGCGTTGGAATATTTGGGTTTGAGGTTGGGAAGGACCAGAAATGAAGACTGGATTTGTTTCTGGACAGGTTTGGTTGATGTTTTGGGGAGAAAGGTTTGGGAAGGTGGGAGGAAGGTTTGGGGAAAGTGGAGGGAAAGAGAGGAAGTGGAGGAAGTGGAAATGGTGGAGATGGAGGTTTAGAAGAGAAGAAGAAGAAGAAGAAGAAGAAGAAGAAGAAGAAGAAGAAGAAGAAGAAGAAGAAGAGGAGGAGAATACAGATGTAATACTCATAGCTCAAACAGTGGCTGCTAGAAAGTCTGGTTTGCCGTATTTGGGCCAAACTTCTGAACAGTAAGGGTTGATTAATTAAAAAAAAAAAATTGTGGAAGCACGATTTTACTTGTTGGGTGTTTCCAGGAATCCCAGATTGGGCCTTGTTCATCCTCCAGCACCTTCTTTCTAGTAAGACTACTACACTTATCAAATAAAGTGGAAGTGCAAGACCTAAGGAGTATCAAGAACAGAAGATATCTCTCTGGATGAGGATCTCTTCCAATTCTTTAATTGCCGACCGTCCTGATCTCTCTGAGAAAGTTCTTGGCCTCTCTCAATGGGAAGCATTGATTTTGGTTCTTGTTTATGAATGGCAAGTCAAGGGCGCTGAAAGCAAGTGAAAGTGGAATCAAGTGGTTTCCTCAAAAGCCAGAACTTCAATGGCATAGTTCCTCACGGAAAGGGTTCTTGTTCAGCCTGACTTGTGAAAAATACGACCAATTGTCTATAGCAATGCTTGTTTGTCTAGGTACAACAGATCAGAGTCTTTAAAAATTCAAAAGATTTATTCACTGATTATGACGCATGCCACTTTAAACAGTAAACTACCCAGATGGTATGAAGCTAAAATGTTTATAAAAACCTTCGGGTGACCTTGCAAAGTAGATTCCTTGTTTCTACAGCGATATTATCATGTTCAAGATATCTGATTGGTTCCTTTGAAATTAAGTCAATAGCAGCAAATGGTATCTCTCTGAACAAACCTAGCGGCATTTCGTGAAACTGCATCATCTCTAGATTGCAGTCAATGGTTTGGCTCTATTGGGCGCTTGAACGGCGCTGGGGAAGGCCCGTTTTGGTTTTTTTTGAAACAGGAGTAAGAACAGTCTGTAATATGAGGATCAATGAGGTTCATAAGTAGTGCTTCGTTTCTGAGGACCCTGGTCTTTCATCCATGCAAGGTTGTTAGTTTCCTTTGGAAGCTCTGGGTAGGCCTTTTCATGGAACTCAGGATCGTTAGTATCCATGTGGATGTTCTTGGTGCAATTTGGTAATCGTCAGACACAACTTCGTCAACTTCTTCCAATTCATGCCCATCATTCTCCTTGTCAGACTCAGCACTTCCATTATTTGAAGTTCAAGAGACTATGCCTTGTTCACTTCACCGGTGATATATGGTAATTCAATGCCATTTCTGCAATATTTAAAATTCAACAAAGTGAAAGAAATTGATAGTTTGGTGGAAGAGTACTCTAAGATAAGAGCACCACCAATCCAGCCATCATGTCCTTCAGCATGTACATGTTTACTGCTCTCTTTAAACCTAGCTTAAGACCCTGTAAGAGCTCATCTTCTTGAGGTTTTCCTCATGGATACGTTGAGCTTCACTTATCATCTCATCTAGTAAATCAATCACTTTCTCCTCCACTTCTCACCGTAAACCAATAACCTTCGATTCATTACTTTACCATTTCTCATAAACCTCTACCATGAACCCTCCAGTGGACTACCAATTACCTTTGCTTATCTCTTTCCATTTGGAAACTCATCATAAAAAGCCATCACTTATTATATAATCCCTACCATTTACTTATTTCATCCATATACCAACAACTTTTCTTACCATACCTGAAACCATCTCATTTCCATATCTCATAATCTTTCTTCCCCAATTACCAGAAACCATACCTTCAGTTTCCCATTACCATATTCCATAAACCATAATCCTTGATTTCTCTAAAAATATCTTCCAAATCCTACTTGTCTGATAAACCATACATTTGTCTTCCCTGATTACCGGAAACCATAAACCGGCAACTTATCACATATCGTAAACTGTTTACTCATCACATACGATATTCTGTCTACTCATTATACTTCATAGGCCATCCAATTACCGTAAACCTTTACTTATCTAATATCATCTAACCACGGTCTTCCCATACTATTTACACCATTTATATTCAATTTCATACTTACCATATTTCATCCATACACTTCTCTTCCTACTACCATATATTCAATCACCATAGAATAAATCACCACTAGCCCTAGACATAAACCATTCATTATATCATAATCCTACTCATTTCATAAACCATTTACTTACCATCACCATCCATAAATCTATCATAAATGGTCCACTTATCTTCCTCATTGCCATATATCATATACTTTCAGTTTCCTATTACCATAAACCATCTCTTCAATTTCCTCTATTATACCCATAACTCGTTTCCTATTACCATACACCATAAACCATCTTCAGCGCCTACCATAAATACCTTATCATGAATCCTCTACTTATAGTATAAACCAATAACCTCTGGTTCTATCTCACATCAATTACTCCATAAATCATCCACATATCATACATCATAAACCCTCCACTTATCTCTTACTACTATTGACCGCTGCTTATCTCTTACTTGTACCGTAAACCATTTACTTATTTCATGTCATAAACCTTATATCACTTTCATATTACCATAAACCATAAACCTCCAATGTCCTCTTACCATAAACCATATGCCTAACGAAGCAACTCCTTATAAAATCCCATCAAATACTGTTATAATATGAATCCTCTTCTTATCTCACCAGAAACCTCTGGTTATACCATTTGTCATATACCATCTGCTTAACATATACCGTCTACGCTACCTGCCATTCCCTTTAATACAAACTCTTTTCTTGTTACACTTTCCATAATCCATTACTCATCTCATGTCCATTTACTTACCTTGTATCATCAACCATCCATATCTCTATAATAAATGGTCCACTTATCTTTCTTAATTGCCAGAAACCATATTCTTCAATTTACTATATTACCATAAATAGTATATTCTCAGTTCCTATTACCATAAACCGTATATCTTCAATTTACTACTTTACCATAAATAGTATATTTTCAGTTCCTATTACCATATCCATAGCTTGTTTCCTATTACCATAAACCATCTCATAACTCATTATATCATAATCCTACCCTCCTTCACCAAATACGTCCATTCAGCTCTCAAAGCCGTTGAAACCCCAAAGCACTCCATAAACTGTAATCTCCAAAGTCTAAACAGTCTTAAACTTATCATAACAGAAGCAGCAGCCAACTGAAGAGAAGCCTTGGTTGGTTCCAGAAGACGCTGTTTCTTCATCCAATCTTCATTTCTTCATTTCTTCATTTCTCCCTCTCCTCCTTCATCTCCCCTACATCACCTTCACTTTCACGCCCTCCGTAAACTTCAACACAGCGTTGGCCAACGTTTTCGGCGGGTACTCTCCAATTCCACTCTCCAACGTCTCAAACATCTGGGCCAACCGAACCAAAACGTACAGAACCTCTGTTAGTGCAAACTGCTGGCCTAAGCAAATCCTGGGCCCACTTCCAAAAGGCATAAACGCCCAGCCAATCTTGGAAAGACGCTCCCAGCGTTCTGGAGAAAAAGCATTGGCATCTGGACCATAAAACTCCTCCAGACGGTGAATACAAAAAAGCATAACCACGATAATCGTCCCTTTGGGAATAAAAACTGGCGCTTTTCCGTTTAAACCTCCCCCCGCAGGCAACGTCGTATCCTTTACAGCCTCCCGAAGGTTCAGGGGCACTGGCGGCCACAAACGAAGCGTTTCGTTCACCACCCATTTAAGGTAAGTACACTTTTTGAGCGATTCGAACGTTATAGAGTCGATTTCTTCCAGAGTTTCGCCTTTTCCAAAGTACATAAACACTTCAGAACGTAGTTTTCTCCAGATTTCTGGATTCTGCGCTAGTTCCATCAACGCAGCCAGGAGAAGAGCCGCTGTGGTTGCTCTTCCAGCTATTAAAATGTTCAAAAGCTCATCTCTGATTTCCACCGGGTTTCGAGTCCTTTTGACCAATTCATAGAGGAAGATATAGCCCTTTTTCGATCTCTCTTCGATCTCCTCAGGTTTCAACGCCAACGCCTTGTCCACAAACCGGTTTGTGTAGTCGTGAATGCTCCTTATACTTTGCCTAAACTGCCTCGAGTTGGCCATCCAGTAGAAGTCAAAAAGAGACAGTCTTTTCGCCAAATACGACCCCACAAACCCTAGAGATTGGTCAAAACCAGCTCCCCATTGCTTGACATCTTCCTTTAGTACATCTACGCTTTCTCCAAATAGAAAGTGTGTGGCTGCGTCCAACGTGAACCCATAAAACATCAACTCCATGTCCACCATCTCGCCGCCACTCTTCTGGATCTGCCGTGCTAGCATCTGGACATGCGGTTCGAGCATTTTGACATGGCCCACTTGTTCTCTGGCAAATTGTGGTTTGAGGAGTGTTCGTGAGTGTTTCCATTGACGTCCCTCAGAAGCGAAAATGCCGTTTCCCAAGAGCGGACCAAACGCTGGCCGCCGTACGCCCAAATTAAAGTCGTTTACTTGTGTCGAAAAGACCGCTTTCATCACTTGGGGACTTCTGCTGAGGATGAGTTGTTTCATTAGTGGCACCGTTAGCGAGAAAGCGTTGGTTTGGGTTTTTTCGAATTTCTCGGTCAATTTTTGGAGAAAAAAGCCCAGAGAAGTACTGTTGGAACCGTCGAAGAACGTAGGAAGCGTCTGGAAGACGTTTCGGTGGTTTTTGATGGGTTCGGTGTTCCATTTTTTGGAGTAGTAGTGGTACTTGGCTGCGTGGAGTGAGAAATTTGCAGCCATTAAAAGAGCCGCCACAAGGGCGATTTTGACGGCGAAAACGACGAATTCGGGCATTAGAAGGCCGGGAGAACCTTGGGAATGGTTTTTTTTGGGGTTTTTGGGGGTGTTTGGTTGGTGATCTTGGCTTGTGAATTTGCAACCGGTTTCTCCACACCAGTGCAGGACGAGGAGGGTAGAAGTATGAAAAATGGTCGGTTTTTGGTGGTTTTTGGACCGGGAGAGTTGGATTTTGACGAGGAAGGTGGTGATGGTGGTGGTGGAGGCTTTTTTTGGGTGAAATTTGGTGGAAATTTGGAGGTTTTGGGGGGATGTGGTATATGCTGGTGCACGGGTGTGGGAATCCCCTGAAAAATTAAAATTTGAGGTACCCCAGGTTTTGGGGGTTTATATGCAGGTCGTACTGTTGGGTGCAAAAAAAATGGACATTAACTACATGCTCTAAGTGGAGGTATAGGGGCGGAGGGAGTGTTGTTTTTACAGGAGAGTGAAGAAACCGGGTTGATATTTTGGGGGTCCCGCTTTTTCCGGCGAAAAAGCGGGTTCTGGGGGAGTTTTGGGTGGTTTTGGGTGTTCAGGACAGCCAGTGGGTCTAGGAGAGCAGAAAAAACCACCAAGAAAGTACAAAGAGCGTCTACATAGTCACTACAATCAGTTATAAACCACTATCGGCTTTACTTAGGTCTGTAATGGGAGATTAGTGGTGGTTGGTGGTAGAAAGACCCGTACACCAGCTTACCCCAGACCAACCAGACCGTCAGTCAATTTCCCCAAAAATAAAGTAGTTTAAGTGAAAGTGATACCAGTTGGAAGCTACAGAGCTTTTGAGTTTATTGGTGCTAATTTGGTGGCTGTGGCATGTCTGTGGCAGAAGTTAATGGACTTCTCGTTTTAGTACTCATACTGAGTGCCAGAAAGCTAATGGTCATCTAAAGCTCTGGAACTCGTCGATAGAGGAAAGAAAGTAAGTTATTTACGTAATTCAGAACGCCAAAGTTACTCTAAAGAGCTTTTATTTTTTATTTTTTTTGGTTTTCTTTAGTATTAGTTATAAGTTGAGTTGAAGAGTTTCGCCTGATTATAAGAATGAAGAATACTTACACAACATTTGATGTGAAGAAAGGTCACAGAGAAGACTACGATCACATTGTAGGATAGTTGGCGAATAATGAAGTCACGCAAGTGGAAGGCTTGTAGTAACTTTCTTGAACCCATCAGTTCAATTTGGATCATTACTTGTCAGGCTCTTCGTCAGAGAATACACCCTACCAAGTATTTTCACGAAAGCAGAAAAGTATCACTAAAAATTCTAGGATAACGTTGAACCTCCATTTCTTTATTTCCTAACTCTCAAAAATCATCCTTACTTTAAGGTACCATGGTTAAAGAAGTTTGTAGCAATTAGTTACCAATTCTCTCAGCAACCACCATCACTGGATAATCAATGGGTCAGGTATCTTTTGGTCTTGCTAGAGCCAAACTGTCAAAGCCCTTCAAAGAAGAAACCTTCTTCTCCCCAAAGCGTCGTCCATTCTGCTCATTTGGTGTTCAGAACACTTTCAAACGTTGCAGACGGAGTTTCTGAGCTCGTCCACTGATCTTCAAGCTGACGTTGATTTCATTACCAGCTTCAACGAGACTATCTTTCCTGAAATGTTCAAACTTCTTAAAAGCACCTTCTTTGTAACGATTACGAAGTCACTTTTCCAGGAACTCAGTGCCAGTAGACAAAGACTCCAATGGCAAAAGAAGAAGGAGATTTGACATCAAAGCCAACAACACAATCCAAAATAGTGACCTTTCACGTCGTCTCTTGGACCTACTTCAACGTAGCCTGAGTCCTTGGCCATAACTTCAACCACTCACACCCTTCTCTCGTTCATCCACCTTTTTATACTTTCTGCTCCCACTTTATAGCCAAAGACCATCGTTGCTGCCAACAAAAACATCATAAATCCAACCACCGCCAACTGGCCAGCCGCTAGCGTCTCTTCAAGAACCCCTACGCTTCTCCTGGACCGCCAAAGCGTCTCCACGACAAAGAGAACCATCACAATCCACGGAATCACGCCAGACAAGACCACCATTCCTTCACCAAGAAACACAAGAAGCCCAAAAAGCAAGTAGGCAACGAGGGCTCCTAGAATAACACCCAGGTACACCGGAATGTCTGTTTCTCGGCCATAATCATCAATAATCTCCATAGCTGCTTCGTTTAAGTCGACTTTGGACGTATGGGAAGCCAGGTTGGCTAGAGCATTAAGTGTAGACTGGTGGGCACTGGAAAACGCCTTTTCCCAGGAATGTGCAATGTGTTTCTGTTTGGCAGATGGATTTTTCAGGCCTCCAGCAAACACCAACGCTATATCTTGGATAATCTGGCTTTTTATGAACTTGTTGGATGAAAAACGACACTTTTGGCGCTGGTTTTTCGTCTTTCGACAGAACCCAAACGAATGGACATAGTAGTGGGTTTCTTCAAGCGGCCATTTCTCTGGAATGAGTTCTGGCAAGCCCTGGGTTGACCCTGGAGCTGCTGCTTCAAACAGAGCCAAAAGCGACCTGGTATAGGTTGTCCAGTCGTTGGGCTGGGGAACAGAGTACTTGTATTTGGCTGTGTAATTGGAGGGAATGATGAGACCAAGGGAAAGGAAGAAACAGAGAATGAGGAAGAAGGAGTGGGTGCAAAAGATGATGCGGATTCTGTTTTGGGTCCATTTCTGGGGCCAGGTTTGGTGGAGATTGGAGGTGGTGGTGGTTTTTGGATTTGGACATGGTTGATGGAGGAGGAGGGAGTCTGGAGGAGGAAAGAAAGAGGAAGTCTGGGTTTTATAGTAGTGGTTTGGGAAGAAGAAGGAAGGAATAGAAGTGGCTGGAGTTTCCTGGCGAAGTTCCAGAACCAGTACGACTGGCTGTTTCTCGAAGGTATTCTTTACTTCAAGGAAGAAATGGTATTCTCTGCTTCAAGGAAGAAATGGTATCCTGTTGAACTGGCCTGGTTTTCAATTCTGGGAACATTTTGTTTTCTTTACTTTTGGTGGTTTCTTAAAGTTCACTGGTTTGTTGGTTCTGGCTCGATGTCTGTACTAACTGAGCTCAGAGAGCCTGGAGTGGCTGTTTCTGGATTTCCATTGGATTCCTACATCGCCACTTCCTTCTGGAGTTCTGTTATTTCTAAAACTGGAATTTGGTTTGGAGGAACTTTGGCAAGTCCACTTTGGCTCCTGGAATTGCCTTTTTTTTTTTTGTTTTCAAAGGAAGAAAGAGCTAGGCAGCCTTACTGGCGTTTCAAGAAGACAAGGAATGGTAAGTCGAGTTTGAAAGGGCTCGTTCACTTCTTGGGAACCATTTTTGGTCATGTATAACTTATTGCTCTGTATAGTTTTCTTCTATTGAATAATGACACTCTTTGAAGACTTTATTTGCTTGTACTTTTGGTATTAAAGAGCTTTTTTACATAAATAGAAGAAGTCTTTTGAGATGCTGAGTGATGAAAGTATCAGGAAATTGTCTGAGCTGTGCTTACTGAGTTACCGGGAGTACTATGAAAACTTATCAAACTATTCTTGGAACTGTTCAGATGAATCGGTGCCTTGGATTTGTAGGAGAATGGAAATTGTCTACGTCAACAGAGAAGAGTAAAACACAAATTTAATTATATAGAAAGGCAGCTGAACCAGATGGTTTTAGAGTATCCAGATTCTTCAATATGGAGTTTCACAAACATCTCTTAGATGTGATTCACCAGAACTGAGGAAGCCAGAGGACAAAAGGCCTTCCACGAAACCTAAACCAAACCTATGAAGACCTCTTTGCCATTCATAAACCTTATTTAACTTTCCCACGCCCCAGAGCGAGCCTTACTTATACTACTCATACCAGCTATACTAGTTGAACTACCTATACTAGTTGAACTACCTATACTACCTATACCTATACTTATACTACTTATACTACCTATACTAGTTACACTGCCTATGCTTCTATCCATTTATACTAGCCATACTGACTGGTTATATACTAGCAGTACCAACATGGGTAATAGCCATACTAACACTTTTCTTCCTATTTACTTACCTAAATGCCACTTACCTCCTTGGTATATACTGCTTCTGCCACCACGCCTCCCGAAAAAAGCCTCCAGCTTCCACTCTCGGTAAAGTACTTTTGTTGGCTTTGTTCACTAAGCCAGGCGCTTAAGAAGCTCCACAAAGACGAACCAAAGAGCAAGAAGCAACAAAAGGGAGAAGAAAAGGTTTTGAAAGTAAAGTTGACTTTTTGGATGTTTTTGGGTTTTGAAGAGCCAGGGATTGCTTGCTGCTGGTATTCCCTGGATTACCCAATTGGGAAGTCTACAAATGAAGAAGTAAAGAAAAAGAAGTCCAGGATTCTATAGTATATTTCTAGCAGTAAGGATCTATACTAGAAAGCAAGTATAGATATCTACTAGTAAGCGCTTGATTTCGCTAGTAAGCAAGTACTTTATCTATACTAGGTAGTAGACATCTATACTACCAAGTACTTTATCTCTACTACGAAGTACTTTATCTATACTAGTAAGTACTTTTCTATACTAGTAAGTACTTTTCTATACTAGTAAGTACTTTGTCTGGTACGTCTAGTAAACGACACCACCAAGTGCTAGATCTATACTGGTAAGTAAGGAAGTAATTGTAGTAAGTACATCTGTATCTACAGTATTAACTAGACATCTATACTAGGAAGTAGTTGTTTACACTACGGTACTATATCTATGGAAAGAAGAGACTTGGAGTTTGGTTTTACGGATTTCTTGCAAAGGACCTTTGAACAATGTCTTCTTGTTGAACTAATCTTCCATAGCACTTCTCCTACTGGTAACTCAATGAACGGTGTAAGCTGTTTCTGCTTCTTATCAGATGTCAATGGTTCCTATTTTTTTTTAATTTTAATGAACTGACTTCTTCTATTTTATTATCAACTGGACTTCTTTTAAAGTAGCATTGACTGGAAAAGACAGAATTTCAACAAATGTACTGTTTCTGCCCTAATGACTTGTATCCATCCAAAACAACAAAAACTGAGTTTATACTTCTAATCCTTAATAAAGAATAGATAAGAAGTGTAGATGGAGTCTAGATAAAAGCGAAAATAAAGAGCAAGCTTAGGTTTATCGACAACAATAAATGTACTCATACAACAGCAGCTAGCCAGTATAACCAACACCCAGGACATACAGACATTACAAATTCAATTTTACACAAATAAACATACATTTCGGTTCCTTTCACTGAAACCTGGCGGTTTACCATTAGCAATAAATGTACTAGTACAATACCAGCTAAATTCAGAGTATGACCAACAGCCAAGACACTACAAATGAACATACTCTTTGATAGTCGATAAACTGAAACCTGGCTGTTTATCTTTAACAGCAAATGTACTCATAGAATATCAGCAACAAATGTACTCATGTAATGTCAGCTAGTCAGTACAAATAACAGCCAAGACATCCCAGACACTACAAATAAACTCAATGTTTCACTTTTTACCTGAAAGCTGACAGTTTATCGTTACAATAAATGTACGCATACAATATCAGCTAAATTCAGGGTATCACCCAATACAGACATTACAAATAGACATACAATAAACTAAAGCCTTGTGGTTTATCTTTAAAAAGAATGTACTCATACAACATCAGCTATAGCCAGTATACAAACATTACAAGTGTACATAATCTTTTCTATTCGATAAACTGAAACCTGGCGGTTCCAGTTCATCTTCGTATTACCAATTACTATAACCAAACGTAAACTGAAGCATGTATTACATCGCCGCTACTGCAGAGCGTCGACAGTACATCAAATTAGTTTTATATCTTCAAAATCTGAAACCTGGCGGTTTCAGATTTACAAAAGCATGGCGAGACCAGCGGCAACACCAACAGCAACACCAGCTGGACCAGCACCGGCAGCAGCACCCTCAAAAGAGGAAACAGCAGCAGAAGACTCAGCTGGAGCAGAAGCAGACTCGGCTGGAGCAGAACCGGCTGGGGCCTCAGACTCGGCTGGAGCAGAAGTCTCGGCTGGAGCCTCGGTCTGCTCAGCCTGGGAAGAAGTAGCAGAGGTGGCCTCACCCTGGGTGGTGGTCTCGTCCTGAGTCTCCTGGGCTGGAGCAGAAGAGGTGGTCTCTGGAGCAGCAGAAGAGGTCTTGTCGTCCTCCTTGGCAGCAGCAGAGGAGATGGCAGCAGAGGCAGCGTCGTTGACGATCCAGTATGGTTCCCAGACACCAGCGTTCTTACAGATCTGGACAGAAGCGTCAAAGGCCTTCTGGGCGTCAGAACCAGAACACTTTTCAGCGTAACAGTTGGTGACCTTGGAGGACCACGTGGTCATCACACAGAGACAGCCAGTGTCCCAGTAAGGACAAGGAGTGCTGGAGGTGGACTCGTCAACACAAGGTTTAGCACATTCTGGAAGAGAGTCGAAAACAGGGTCAGCGAAACCGTTGATGGTGGCGGTGTGTGGGACCGATGGGTAGGTGGCCCACTGGTTGTCAGCGGCGAGGACGGAGGCAACGAGGGCAGCGAATGGAAGGGCGGAAATCATTGATGGAATAGATAAAGAAGGGGAGAAAAGAAGGTTGGGGGAGGAGGGTTTATATACTTTTGCAGCCAATGTGGGGAGTGTATATAGACAGGGGTTTGGTTTCCTGTATCGGTGTTTGCTATTTTAGGCACTGGCGGTGATCGTTCTGGCCATCTTTAGGTGGCTCTGTTTATGGGTAACAAAGTACCTAAAGGGGACATTGCAGGTTGCTGGTGGGTGGTGATTGGGGAATTCAAGGAAATTTTTTTTTCTTTAGTTTCGAGGGTGGCGGGGCTCATAACGCGCCGCTCGCCCAAGGTGCATATATCAGGCTGCGCATGGCCTGTTTGTTTCATGTGCGGCGTCAGCTTGTGCGTCATGCAGACCCTCGGGTCCGATTCGGTCGGTCGGTCGACCCTCGGAAGTCGCCTCTTTCTTCAATTATTTCGGCGATATCGTCCTGATTTTTTCGATAAACCGTAAGAATACCGAGATTTCCCCTAAAAATGACCTACTCTGTCTAAAAAAATACATAAATATCTAAACCCTTCAAAGTCTCTCAACGGCTTCTCCGGGTCGGTCTTGCCAATGTTGCTTGGTCGTTTTCGGACATTTCGCCAACGAAAAGCAACTTGCGGCTCGGCAAAATCCATAAAGATAGAAAAAGGAAAAATACACAACTTTCCACAAAATGGGAGGTCTAAAAACATTCAATATCTCTAAAACCAACGTAGATCATCAAAAACAAAGTACACACATCGAAAGAGCAGCTTTTTCCGCCCACAACGGTCTTTTTCCGGCCAATTTGCACCCATTTAATCCCAATCTACACCAATTCCCGGTTAAGTCTGTTTCTTTGTAACCCCAGATTTCCCAGATTCTCTATGTCTCCTTACTTTCGTGTTTGTGATTCTTTACGTGAAACTTCCATCCCAAACGAGCCACTAGAACCTCCAAAACAGCCAAAACTCTCTATTTCTCCATCTAAACCCTCCAAAATACCCTACTTTGTTTACCTTTCGTTTATTTTCTTATCAATTCCATCTTCTTCGACCAGCCTTTTTTTTAATTACCGTTTTCTCTCTGTCTCCACTTTGGGTACTTCCATTTCTGTTTGTTTATGTTTCCAGGAACCCAGAATCCCTGAAACTCGCCAAAGGGTCCAGAAGTATCCAAAACCATCCAAAACCAGCCAGAAAGGACTGAAAGGCCCAGGTCCAGAAAGGCCTTTGAACGCACCGCTTCCTATTCTTCTCTCCTCGTTTACCTCCCCAAACCTTATTCTGAAACCAATACCACTAATTAAAACACTTAGCTATTTTAGTTCTTCCTTATTCTGCCCCTCCAGCAACTCAAGCAACTTCTGCCTCTTCTCGTAATTCGCTAGAGTCTAAATATACCGTCGCTTAGCGCCTTTAGACGATTGGCTGCTTTACATTCCTTTCCAAGACCAGACTGTCCAGGTCTGACCAACTCTGACCAATACTGGCCTAGAGGGCCCGTTATGTCCGGAGAAAAACACCTCCAGCCCGATACCTCCTCTAGGGGCCATGTGAATTGGTTGGTGGTTCGTAAGAGGCACGGTTTGTTTGGGAAAGCGTGAAGTGCCAAGGCGTCAAGGTGATAAACAAAGAACAGGCAAGAGACAAGACAATAGTCTTTGAGGGTAAAGTTGGAATAGGAAGAGTGAAGGAAGAGAAGGAAGGGAAGGGAAGGGGAAGCAATGGAATTGGAGAAGAAGGTAAGTGTAGATGGTGATGGAGAGAGGAAGGTGGTAATATGGGTATTGATTAGTAGAACTGGAAAGCAGGGAAGTGGGTTTTGCTGGTAAGGTAATTTTTAGAGTTATCAGGGATTACTATTTATTAAATTGAAGTTTTGTTTGGTTCTGTGAAGTTTGCTAGATGGTCTTTTGGAAAGACTGGTATGTCTACTGAAGAAGAGCTACTTAAAGGTATATTGAAAGAATTGGTAAAAGAGAGACTAGAAAGAGATGTAGGAATATTCAATTAAATGCTGGGAAAGTAAAGAAACGAGTTAAGTGCCTGAAATTTACTGGTTTTGTGTATTTTGGTGAACCATTAATACCGATAAGCCCATAAAAGACATACTAAAACTGAAGGTCAAAAAATAGAACGTCTCTCGCCAAAAGCCTCTAATAATAAATTTCACACTTCTATTAATACCAGTAAATGTCCAAAACAGCTTCCTAGAACACCCAAATCACCTTTCACCGTCCCTATCTCCCCTTCTAGACCTCTTACCTTCTCCTCCTACTCATTCCTAAACCAATCGTACATTTCATAAACTAACTAACTCCAGGAATTCTTTCCCCAATTACACTCCTAGTGGAGCAACGAAAGCACACCGACAAGAATAAGCCCGAAAAGACCAGTTCCATGGAAACTAGCACCGGAGTCAGAAGACGAGCCAGAAGCAGAGCTCGAAGAACCAGTAGACGAAGAACCAGTAGACGAAGAACCAGTGGTGGTAGCAGACGAACCAGAAGAAGTCTCACTGCTTGCCTTAGAACTCGTCAGGCTCTTATCGTCCTTGGTCTTATCCTCGTCCTTAGCTGTCTTAAGCACAGACAGCAACTTGGCACCATCGCCAAAGTCCGAGTCCTTCGTCGTAGCAGCAGCAACCTGCCAAGTGCCAGCAGCCAGCGAAAGCTCCGTAGAAACCGAAGCAGGCATCATCCAGATATTAGCACCAGCGCTCTCACACAAAGAGTAAGCCAAAGAAGTAGCACTGGCAACGTCCTCGCCCTTACATTTCTGGGCAAAACAAGACCCCACTATCCCAGACCACTGGGGCATCACGCAGAAACACCCAGTGTCCCAATAAGGACAAGGAGTGATCTTGGTGGTTGTTTTGACACACTCCTTGGCACAGTCTGGCAAACGGCTGTAGATGGGGTCAGCGAAACCGTTGATGGAGGCTGATTTGGGCACCTGGGGTAGGTGTCCCACTGGGAGGCCAAACAGAGGGCGACAAAGAAGACGATGGAAAGCATTGGGGATGAAATAAAAGTGGATTTAGGGTACTATTTATGGTTGCAAAATGGATGAAAAAAGTGAAAAATTCGGGCCCGTGCGGCTCAGTACCCGGACACCGGTAAAGCCGATGAAAAAACGCCAAAACGACGTTTTTTGACCGGGAAAAAGACCTACATGGGGTAAGTGGCGCCGCAGAAGATGGATAAGATGGTTTTGGGGTGTTTTTGTGGCGTTTGGGTGGGTAGGTTGGGTTGTGGCAGGCCAGCCCAGGGCGATGCGCTTTGACAGGGCCAAGAAGTGACGAGGAACGGTGAAGATTGACAGGGTGGGATGACCTTTTGGGGTCCAGTTTCACAGGGTTCCACAGGGTTTAGGGGTTTTTCTTTGTTTAGGTTTTTTAGGTGAATGGGTGGTTTTTTTTTTTTTTTTTTTTTTTTTTTTTTTACGAGCCGAGCCGGCGCAATTTCCTAATTTTTCACTTCCGAGGTTCCCCGGAAACAAAGCCAACCAGAAAGGTTTGGTGGGTTTTGACGGTACCATCGTGTTCTACAACCTTCAGGGATCCTGGAGAACCAAAAAATCTCCAGAAAGTTGTCTTTTCGTGGATATCTCTTGGCCTTCTTGGACTCCCATAGTTAAGCGAAAAACCTCCCGTATTTCTTGGAAGCCTTCCTTCTTCTCCCGTTTTTCTTTGCCCCCGAAATCTCCATCCTTTTCTGGCCCAGCCAATCACAGCATTCCTGGCACAGCTGCACGGCGTCTGTACGGCGGCTTCTTGAAAGCGCAGATGGAATAGATTAGGAAGCCGCAGAAGACGAAACAAAAACAGGCAACAAAACGTAAACAGAGAATGGGGAGGGTTAGAAGAAGATAATGGAAAGGCAGGGGAAGCGTTGGTTAGGAGTGGTTACGAGTTTTCTGGCACTTTGTGGAGTTTGTGGAGGTTTGTGGAAGAAATGGCTGCAAACGGAAACAAACAAGGCAAGCTGGCCCTCTGGAAAACCGAAATGGCTTATTTCTGGCTTAAAGAGGCTTATTAAGGGAGTTTAGACCGTCCAGGGCTTCTGTGGGTCGAAATGCACCGAAATGTGTCTTGTTCACGCTGCTTCTACCCACAGAAGCCCTTTCCGGGTATACCGACGCCGCTGGTCACACCATCACGTTATTCTTGTCTCTGGTAGCTTCTTCGTCGTTGCTTCTTTTGTAGAAGACCGTTTTGGAGCCGCTGGAAGCTTATTCTGTGTCAAACCAGCGGCCTTCACCGAAGCGCCTACTGAAACGGAAAAGCGTCGCCAGCCACCCGAAATCCCCAGAAACCGCTCAATTCTTTGTTCTCTTCTTCTTTATGCCCCAAACTTCCTCCTTTCATCTATTATTTGTGTGAATTCCCGGTCCTGGCGACTTCTCTCCGTCGACTGCAAAGCGGTTAAACCAGTCTGAAGTCATCGCCAAACGCCAACTCCCGCCACAAAACCGCCAAGCCAAGTCATAAACTGAAGTTCTGCGGCTGCTTCTTCTCCTTTTTCTTCTCCTTTTTCTAGGGCTCTTCAGCCGAGGATGTGCTATCAGATCCATCAGATGATGCCTGAGGCTGGCTGCAAAACGCCCAAAACGCACAGAAGGTCAACCGAGGGCACAGCAAAACGTGTAGCGGTTAAAACGGCGGGACCAGGATGTGTATTCCGAGGTGCTGGAAATGCCGTGGGAGAGGAGGAAAAGAAATGGGTGGTTTGGCAGTGGAAGGTCATGAGAAGGTGGATTCAGCCAGTGAAGAGGAAGTAGGGGAAGTTTTGATTGGTCAAAGTTTAAAGTGTGCTTGGTTGGGACAAGGTTGGCTGTTTTTGGGTGTTTTTGGTTTTGTGGAAGATCTGGAGTTGGCGGGTGGTGGCTTTGTGTGATTGGAAGCGATGGAGATGGAGATGGCGATGGCTGCAAACGACCGATATCGCCGGGGTGGAGGGAGTGTTAGTAAGCAGGGAGGAAGGAGAGAAGAGGGAAGAAGAAGGAAGTAGGAAGAAATGGGAATAAATGGGAAGAAGTGGAAAATATGAAGTGGAAGTGGAAGTATGAAGTGAAGCAGAGTGGAGAAGTACTGGTGAAGAAATGGAAGGTGCTCTTGAAATGACATTTAAGTTGATTCAGAAGATCTCTGGGTAATGGTTGGTAGGGAAGTATTAGTAGGTAATGTATTGGTAGTATTGGTAGTATTGGTAGTGGAAGTACTGGAAGTGGAAGTAGTGGTACTAGAAGCAGTCGGAGTATTATCAGAAGGAGAAAAGTGTTACTGGAGATGTAAAGGAAAGCTATTTGTAATAGTACAGGTAGTGGAAGTACTCTTAGTGGTGTGAAGTAGTGGAAGTACTGGTAAGTACTGGTTATGGTGTTAAGTAAAGTAGAAGTAATGGAAGTACTGGTAAGTAGTGGAAGTAGAAGTAGTAGAGTAAAAGTAGTACCACCATAAGAGCAAAGCGGTTACAGGGGTATAAAGGAAGCTATTTGAGATGGTACAAGTGGTAGAAGGGCCCTTAAGTGTGATTAGTAGTAGAAGTAGAAGTAGTCAAGGTGGAAGTACTGGAGAGTACTGGAGGTAGTAGGAGTAGTCGAACTGAAAGTAGAAGTAGAAATAGAAGTGCAGAACTGGAAGTAGAAGTAGCAGAGTAGTACTATCAGAGAAGCAAAGCCTTTCTGTCTGTGGTAATACGAGTAGTGGAACTACTGGTAAGATGTAGAAGTACTGGTTATGGTGCTGAGTAAAGTAGAAGAAGTGGATGGAAAGGTGGAGGTGAAAAGAAAGTATGGAGTATTTTATGCTTCTTGAAAGGGAACGTTCAGGGTATGTACAAAGCTTGACTGGCCTCTTGGGAACTGGGAATATTAGAGTACTGTCTTCTTGGATCCAACCAGTAGTAGTGAGACTGAAGGTGACAGTGGAAGTACTAAGACAAGAAGCCCTAGAAGAGGCAGTTTCCTTAATAAAAGCTCATAATTAGAAGAAGTGGTAGTATTGGAGGAAGAAGTACCAGTAGTAGAATTAAAATGGAAGTTGTAATAGAAGTACTGGTAGTAGTAGTAGTAGTAGTAGTAGTAGTAGTAGTAGTAGTAGTAGTAGTAGTAGTAGTAGTAGTAGTAGTAGTAGTAGTAGTAGTAGTAGTAGTAGTAGTAGTAGTGAGACAATATCTATCTACCTATCCTAGTATAAGTATCTTAGCTTCACACCTTCTCTTCCTTCTTCTCCTTCTTTCCCTCCTTGACCACCTGGGAAGCTTTCCTGACCATCCATGTACTTCCTTCACTGCTCTCCAGCTTAAGCACCCACACTGACGTCAATGAACAACCCACCATTTCCACTGAACCACCAAAAATCCCAAAATACACTTGTTTTATTCTTTTTTCACTGCCCTAATTAATCACACATACCAGCCTCTTCCCTTTAAACAACCTCCTACGTACTTCCATGGCACCTTCTCTTCCCAATTTGCAGCCATTCAAACAGCCACCAAAATAGCCACCAAACAGCCATTAAAACAACAACTTCCAGTTTCCACATGCCTTTCTTCCATCCGTTTCCACCGTCCAATCATCCTCTTTCCATTACCAGCCCCAGCTTCTCCAGCTTCTCCAGTTCCTCCAGCTTCTTCTGGCTCAAAACCACCTCCATCCATTCCACCTCCATTCCAATCAAGAGACTCTTCGACCAATTGAATCCACCAAAAAGAACATTACTTCTTTCCAACTTCCCCAACTTCCGTTTGTCCTTCTCCTTCTCCTTCTATTGTTCGTTTAGTCAACCTTAACCCAGCCAAGCCTTTACAGCACCTGGTAACCAAAAACCACCCTTTGAAGCTCTTTGTCCCGATATATCCGGCGTCTCTTTGTCCTCGTATATGGAGGTTTCAGTTTTGGCTGTTTTAGGTGGTAGGGCAGGAAGAAGGAGGAATGTAAGGTCTTTTTGGTCCACAAGTGGTATACTCAATTGGGAAGAAGCAGGTGGAATGGAATGGGAAGGAGTAAGAAGGGGAATTATGGGTTTGAAGAAGTAGGAGTATTTGGTTTCTGGATTGCAGGAAATAGGTTAGGTTAAATCTACTTGTACTGGTATTGAAGAAAAGTCAGTTGGAGGAGGCTGGAGAGTGGTAGAACAGTAAAACGTAAGAATGGCTGGATATACCTTCAATTGACTTCTGGTGGCTTAAAAAGCCAAAATTGAGTACCTTTAACTTCAAGTGGTTTCTAGTAAAATCGTCAATTCATGGTTACTTAGAAGTAGTAGGTCCTTCATACCATTGACCAAAAGACTCAAAGAGACCACCAATTGCATAAACCATTAACCTTCAAACGTAACTAGACCTAATCCTTCTCTTTACCTTCAGTTCCCAATTGTCAATTGCCAATTCTTAGAACCTTCCCTTCAGTCACCTCTCCATCTCTACACTTGGTCTATCAAATCCAATTCCAATAAAACTTAAAAGACGCTATTTACTATATCTTGGAGCACCGAAGTGCACGAATTAAGCCAGGCCGGCGGCCCAGACCGGCAGGTCTGGCACCGGGAGGTCTGGAAGACACATGTATTCATGTGTTGGTGGTGAATGAGTAAGTCAATGGCAGTTTACCTGGTTGAACCAGCTAAACAGGTTAAACCAACTGGCCAGTCTCGGCCTGGAGGCCTCAACTGCCAACATACTGGACCAACTGGCCAGTCTCGGCCTGACGGCCTCGACTGGCTTAGGCAAAAAACCCAACTACCATCACCACAAAAGCAGCAGCTCCAGCCACAGCACTACCAGCGCCGTTTCCAGAACTAGTACTAGTTGGACCACCGCTTCTAGTCTTATCCTCGGTTCTAGCAGTAGCCAAGACAGAACTGACAACCTCAGTCTTGCCCCAAGTAGCGTCCTTAGTAGTAGATGGAGCCTCGTGAGCAGAGCCAGCAGCCAGCGAAAGAAGACTCAGCACAGAAGATGGCATGTTCCACACATCGGCGCCAACCTTGGTACACAAGGAGTAGGCCAAAGAAGTGGCCTTGGCAACCTCGTCGCCACGACAGCTCTCGGCAATACAAGAGCCCACAATGCCAGACCATTGGGGCATGACACAGAAACAGCCAGTGTCCCAGTATGGGCATGGGGTGTTTTTGGTGGAGAGTTCCACACACTGACGAGCACACTCAGGGAGGTCTTCGTAGATAGGGTCGGCGAAACCGTTGATGGAGGCAGTGTGAGGGACCGATGGGTAGGTTGACCATTCGTCCACAGCCATAACCATGGTAAGAAGGGTAAGGAAGATGATGTTCATTTTTGGCGGGGAAAACGGGGGTTTAGGGGTAATTTGGGGTGCTGGGAACGAAAAAGCGGTTAAAAGTTCACTAGGACCGGTGGTTTTGGAGATATACCTTGGGGAAGTGAAGCTTGAATAATGGCTGCAAAAACCAGAGAAGGTGAGAAATGGTGCTCTATTTATGTCACTTTTTTTTTTTTCAATGGCCTTCTTTTACATAAGTGATGCTCATTGTTTGGCCGGTTTTTAGTGTGGATTTTCTTGGGTCATCAATTTCCAAGAATTTCTTGATTTCTTTTGTCATTCGGTTGACGGAATCTTTCTTGGTGCTTTTTGTGGATGATAAGGATTTTTTTTCAATATGGGGGGTGACTGAGGTGATTGGTTTATATGCAGGCTGTACCCTCGGAAGTCGGAATTTCCCGTTCTTTTGTATGGCCCTCGTAATTCAACTTTTTCATCTCATGCATATGCATAACGCAGCCCCCGACTGGCGGGCTCGCAACGGCGTTTTTGCAACCCAGAACTGTCCGGCCGGTTCCGTTTCCGGCTTGTAGTGGTGCATGGTACCCTCGGAAGTCCATTTTTTCATTGGTATGGGGTCTCCGACTATCGGCTTACCCCCGGAACCTAACCCAACCTAAACCTTAATACTTAACCCTTATTCCTACCCTTTCCTCAAAGCCTGGCCTAAAATACCGGCTTGGCACGGGCGCCGACTTTTAGTTTTTACGAAAATCGCCAAGCTTTTTTGGTACATGCATGAAGAAGAATGAAATGCATTGTGAGACTGCACGTAAGAGTAATCTACGACCATCGGTACTGCACCAAGTCCATCAGATAACTTCATGCATCTGCACCAGTCTGCAGCCGAAATCACCGGTCCAGTCTCCCTCTCTCAAATGGACATATCGCTAATCCCAAACCTATTAATGCAAGCTACTCAATAGCCCTCGGAACTCACTTCCTAGGAATGAGCCTATGCCGTCTAATTTCCCACCCTCGGATCATCGCCCCTCCCTGCCTGCCTGCCTCATCCTTCGCCCTCTCGGGGCTCCAAACCAACCACCGATATCACCATCTAACATTAAAAACCGTCGCCAAATCAATTAAAACCCCGTCCGTTTCCAGACGACAAGAAAAAATTCCCCTTCTTTGACCAATTTCAAACATACACTTTTCTTGGACTCTTTGGACCACCAGGTAAGACCAGAAAACCCAAACATCCCTTCCTCCTCCCAAGCCTTTCTTGTCCTGCAGATCCATACCGTATTTGGACTTTATCAAAAAGATCAGAAAAGTCACGATTTGACTTTACCAGTACTCTTGTGCTTCCTTTTAAACCACGGTTTCTGGTTACTTTTCACGGAATCTGAGCATTTCAGACGGTTACAGACCACAGAAACCAGCCAGACCCTTTTTTTCCCGTTCTTTCAGCCGTTTTTTCGAGGTTATACCGATTAAGTTTGAGTTGACTTTGGTATAAGCACCCGATTTTCCATTTAAACTACTGAAAGGTTAATATTTATTGAAGATTTTGGTTTCCCCGTGCCCGACTTCTATATAGACGAAGTTTCACCGAAATCCAGATCTTTTCAGCTACAAAAACCACCAAAAACTGACCTTTTACTGGTTTTTCATCTATTTCATCCCAAACATCAAAAAACCTCCCAAACTCCCCCATGACCATCCCCCTTGGAGACCAGTTCTTTGTGGAAAAAGAACGTAACATTCGGTACGAGTTTCTTGCCATGATGGTGAGTTTCCTCCTTCCCATGATCCACGGTATCCTATTCAGCTGGATTCCATACTACCTTCGAACCAAAAGGTCTGAAAAATCCCTAAATCACCATGGCTACTGGACGCTAATGAGGCACTACGCCAACTTTACGAAAATCTTCAAAATCGTCATCTTCAAACACGCCTTTTTCGTGCAACCAGCGATGCTTGTACTGATAGCCATTCACCTAGGCTTAAATGCTGTTCTTTGTGTTGTTGGAACCAAAGAAATCGACTACGAACCTCAGTACTATGTTGTTTCCAAGAGAATAGGCCGTATAGCCGTGGGAAACCTTCCAGCGATTCTTCTTTTCGTGGCCAAGAACGACTTTGTTTCTACAGTAAGTGGGCTTGATTTGGATAAGTCGGTTTTCTTCCACAAATGGCTTGGACGGTTTATGTTTATTGCTGTGACGATCCATATGGCGCTTTCGCTTGAATACTGGCTTTCGTTGAAGTTCTATATCATGATCCAGATCCCTCCCCAGATCTTCGGCATGATTTCGTATGCTTGTTTGGGCATGTTGACGTTTGCATCTTTCAAATTCATCAGAAACTTTGCTTTCGACTTCTTTTTAGCCCAGCATCGTGTTTTCAACTTTATTATGCTTCTTTTGGCGTTTTTCCATAATGGAGGCAACAAAGCTGCCGTTCTTTTGGCTGTGCACATGTTGGTTTTGGACAGAATCACGTCCAGAGTGTTGGGAATCGTCACCAAGCGCAGAGGACCCACCAAAGGCAAATCTGAGTTTGAAATCTTGGACGAAACGACCATCAGAATCTCCATTCCAGTGGAAATCAAAGACCATGACCAGGACCGCTGGTGGTGGTTCCTTGTGCCTCGTTACGGTGGCTGGAGAGCTGGCCAGCACGTTTACTTGAATGTGACGAAAGTGAGTCTTTTCCAGTACCATCCATTCACCATTGCCAGTTTGCCAGATTCCGGAAAACAGGTTATTGTGCTTAAGGTGATGAAGGGATTCACCAAGGGCCTTTTGAAGAAATTGCATAAATTGAACGAAACTGAAGATCCAGAGAATTCTGCTGAGGTTGATTCAGTGAGCTCCAGAGCTTCAGGCATCAGTTCCCCTAACCTGACGACTTCCCTTGCCAGCGAACAAAAACTCATGGAGGCCGTGGAAAACGACGATGTCCTTAAACCACAAGTCCAGGAACTCAAGAATATTCTTGATCTGTTCACGGCACCACGCATTTTCACCATGAAAGCAGGTGTAAACGGGCCTTACGGTGCCAAGTACCAGCCATTGACGAAATTCGAAACCGTTCTCTTCTTCAGTGCCGGTTCTGGAGCTGCTTTCACGCTTCCAGTCGCCTTGGACCTTCTCAAGAAGCTCAAGCAGCGTGACGAGGCTGGCGACTACATGTACAGACCAGAACACACCAAGGTGAAGATTATTCTTTGCATGAAGAAGAAGGCCAACCTCCAGTGGTTCGACCATCTTTGGGAAGAGTTCCTCCCGTTCTTCAACGAAGGCAGAGCCCATTTGGCTCTTCATGTTACCCTGGAACAGCCAGAGAAGGTGTTTGAAGTGAAAGAAAAGGAAAAAGAGAGCAAAAACGAAACCCACGAGCAAACCTTCATCAGGCAAGAACTGCGTGGCTCTTCTTCAGCTTCTTTACAAGACTGGAGTGGTTATTCGGTCACCCACGGCCGTCCACAGTTTGACGATATCATTACAGACGCAGCCACCGAGCTTCGTGATCCAAACTACAGAAGAGCCATGGCCTGTGTGGGATGTGGACCCGAATTGTTCAATGGCGAGATCACTTTGAGTTGCCAGAAGAACAGAAAGGTTAAGGACGCTCCAGATGTGTACTGCTACACGGAGTCGTTTGGATGAACAGGTAAAACGTTCAGTTCTTATTGCATTGTACGATATTTTTATTTAGAAACGACCCATTTTATATAGACACGGTCATGTTAATACCAAGGTTGGATTAAGAAGGAAGTAGGCTGTCTTAAGATGTGGGATTAATGTCAATAGTATTTATATGTGGGTCCATAGAACTTCCAATAGTGCTATGGGAGCCGTTGAAGAGGAAGAAAAAGACTGGCTTGAGGCTTTGGAAGTTCTTATAAAGGGAGAGTTTGAAGAGTAATAGCTTCAGCTGAGTTAGACTGAACAGCCAAAGCCAAGAGTCGCTGACTTCCAGAAGCTTGAGTTGTGAATGAACTAGAACTCGTATAGTGATAGTTGGAAATGAACCGTAATTCATAAAGAGGCTATTACTCTTCAAGTAGTTATGGGTCTTAAAGGAATTGGGTGTATGGTCTTCCTGTGAATTGGTCCCTGAATGGTGTACTTGTTGATGTTCAAGCTGGACATACATATCAGCTGGCAGTCAATGAAAGGAAGCATATCGGAATTAGAAAGACTCACTTTGGGTCAATTATGATTAAAAGAGACTTTTAGATGCTTCACAGGTTGTTCGATGTAAAGCTGATTTTTGGTGGTTTACACAACTGACTAACCCTTGAAGCCTTTCCCTTATATACTTCCAGGACAACTACAAAGTATACTAGTCCCTGAAAGATACCTTACTTTAGAGATAAAGAACAGTTGAAGAGTACCATCTATATTAGTTGTCCAAGAAGAGTACCCTCCATTTTATTGAATCAAGAAGTGTATCTTTATATCTATACCATTTGACTAAGAAGAGTACTCTCTGTATTATTTGACTAAGACCTTCTTGTATCTATATGATTTACCCAAGAATAGTACCTCTAATGCTACTTATCCAAGGAGAGTACCTATGCTAGCTATTCAAGAAGATTACTTTCTATATTGGTTATCCATGAAGAGTACTTCCGATGATATCTAACCAAGAAGAGTACTTTCTTTCTTAGCCTTTATTTTATTGAATCAGTAAGAGTACTTTCGAATATCAATGAAATTCTGCTTTGGTTTTTGGCTGTATTGGGGGTGTACTATGGTTATCTGGTGATATTAGGTATACTCAAGAGACTTCGAGAAGTAGTGGAAGTGGAACCACCAGCGTACTGTTGGAGTAAAGGTATCATCTTACCTAAATTTGAATCACAATGACGTTGGAAAGGGAAGATATGCTGACCATACTTGGTAGTTCAAGGGTATAGTATAGCCATTAACACAAAACCACCTGGAGCACCAAAAGTCACTCTTAACTCAAACCATGAACCAGAATACACTCTCTTCAAATGTATACTAGAATATCAAACAATATTTATGGAATAATGAAAAGTGTAGATGATGGGGAGGGAGATGAATACTTTGAGTTAAGAAGTTCATTATGACTCCGTATTGAATATAGAGATAAACACTTCGAGTTAAGAAACTTCAAGATGGTGACTTGATAAGGACTCCAGAGTCGTAAATAGAGTAAATCAACAAACTTCAAATGGAGCTTTCTGAGAGAACTAGACATTGACCATAGTAGCTTTTAATCCAGTAAGCCATGAACTGCCAGTAACCATCCTTCCAACACTCCACCTACTCCAACCAAACCTCCACTTCTAACCTCCCAATCCTACAAATCTCCAAAACCCCTCCTTTCTCCCTCGCCTACACCTTCGTTCATCAATCATTCTTAAACTATACATGCTGGTCTATTTCTTAGCAAAGCGGTCGCCCTCCCAGTACTTAAAGCCAAGGCCATGGCCCCAAAGCTCGTTTCTATACCTCTTGGGCTCCTTCTCTCCAAGCTCGTGGAGCTGCTTCAACTCGTCCTTGGTCAACTCAGGCAACCTCACGAGGTTCTTGATTCTGTCCAAGTTGGACGTACGAGGCAACGACACTCTGCCTTCCAAGATATGGTAGGCGTCGGCAACTTCGTTTTCTGTCACCTTGTACTTCTCTGCAAGCTCCTTGACCAAAGGAATCTTGACAATTGGAGCTCCTTCAGCACCAACTGGCGAGTAGGCTTCAGTCAAGATATTGTGCTTCTCAGACCACTCCACAAGGTCTTGCTGGGGCAATTTCGGGTGCAATTCGATCTGGTTAAGCACGGGCACAATCTCTGTTTCCTTCAAAAGCCACTCCAAACGCTCGATGTTGTAGTTGGAAACACCAATGGACTTGACCTTGTTGGTGGTTTTCTTGATTCTCTCGAGCTCTTTGTAGACTCCAAGGAACTTGGTGCCTGTAACTGGATCGTCGTCGTAGATAGGGTATCCAGATTCGTCTAAAGGTTCAGCAGGCAACCCGTTTTCGTCGCCGTGAAGAGCAATTGGCCAGTGCTGCAAAAAGAGATCCACATAGTCGAGGCCCAATGTCTTTAAAGAAGTATCCAACGACTTCTCTGGATTGTGCCAGAACGAAGGCCAGACCTTAGTGGTAACAAAGATATCCTCTCTCTTGACCACTCCCTCGGCAAACAACTCTTGAAGAGCTTCTCCCACGTACTTTTCAGTGCCGTAGTACCAGGCAGTGTCGATGTGTCTAATTCCAGCCTTGACAGCAGTAACCACTTCAGTCTTGGTATGAGAAGGCTCCTTGGATGGAACCGTACCGAGACCCAAAGCAGGAATCAGGTTTCCATCGTTCAATTTAAATCTAACGTCAGTTGCAAGCGACAGAGACATTTTGATGCCTTGGAAAACCAGGAATACTGCCTCCTTTTATACCCACTGTGGTTGCGCTTGCTGGGGGTCCCACAGCGCCAGGGTGCGTTCCAGCTGTGGTTGTGGAGACCCTGGAAGGCAAGAGGCTGTCAGGGACGTCATAGTGTGTTAGTTGCTGCACGGACTTGGACCCTGGGGTTGAATTGCTGAGCAAGCGAATTCTCGAGAATGGGCGGTAGCCCAGGCTCGAGAATGAGCGTTAGGTATTTGGGAATTCTTATCCAGCAACATTTACCGTTCTTGTAATGTTACCTTCTACGGGTTTTCATGCTTTGGGGGTACTTGAGCTGTGGCAGCAAGTATTGCCTCGAGTGGTATACCAAACACAGTAAGAAAGTGGCTTGGCTGGAGGTGAAGCGAAGACAATTTAGGGGAATGCACTGGAAGCTTCGTTGGATTGTAGAGATTACGGTTGTGCTTCGAAACGACGTTTCCACACTTTTGGATGGTGGAAGGTTTGCTGTTACTGGTTTTTTGCAACTATGCAACTGGCTTTAACGCTGTGCATATGTTTTGACTTTGCTGCAACGTCAACCTCCCCGGGATTAGACTTTGGTTTGGTGGTTTAGAGGGCTACGGGAAAAGGGTTTGTGGTTCGGGTTTGTGGTTTGGGGTTTAGTGAGTTTGGTGAATGTAGCTGTTCTGCCTCCTCAACCAGTACTTCCCTTGCTATGTACTCATATACCCTGGACAAAACTCGTTGGGGCTTCTGAGCAACCGGGGACGCTGCCGAGGCTAATTACCGTAAACAGAGGGAGGTCTTTCGGGATTTGGGTTCGGAGTTCGTGGTGTTGGTTAGAGACCGGTGCGCCGGTCTGGAGTGACCTGATCGCTTCTTCTTTCCGTGGATGATTGGGACGGTAGAAATGAATGACGTGTGGAGTTAAAGGTGGTGTTATATGACGTGGTTTGGTTTGGAGGCGTTGGGGGCTGTAGGGTTGTAGGGTTGGGTAAGTGTAGGTTGTCTAGGAAGAGTGAAGAGGAACAGTAAAAGTCGATCAGAGGGTGATTATGATTCTAGGAGTTCTTGAAATGAAAGGATTGGAGTGTTTTGTCGTTTTCTTGTTCCAAAGTTACCGGCTGGTTTCTCTGGTGCTTCTGTGGTGACTGTTCTACGGCTTCTTTGCTAACAGAGTAGTACATCCACAGAGGTTAACGAAGCCAGTGTTCCTTCAACTTCCAGGCAACTAATGATTTCCTTTTCTCCCTTTTGAAGCCTTCTGGTCGTTTTTTCTTGATATTATTCCTGGTTCCCATATAATGTGTACTGGTAGAGTAGTACTGTTAGTCCTCCACCAGTATCATTCCATATGCCATTGAACGTTACCTGAAAGACAAGAAAACTACCAGAGGCATCAATTCACCTTATTAGAGCTTTTTTAGGGCATTCTTTCGCCCAATACTCGAAGTTGCCGGGACTAGTCAAGTTGGTAGTCAGCGTTTGCAGCCATTAAGTGGTACAACTACCCAGCCGCCTTTCCCTGGCAATGCCCTAACCAGAACGACAAATCAACCTTTGAATATCTCTTTTTCCATTGGAACCATTGGTTTTTTCCTGAACAGCCAGGGCTGCTTTTAGGTATACCTCTCTGTGGAACACTCGATACCAATACACCTATACTGAGTGTACACCAAGAAGCAACCAACCACAAGCAACCATGAACCTTATTATTCCCTCCAAAAAGAAACCCATCCAGTACCCTAACACGAAGCCTCTTTATTACCACCTCCCTTCAATTCACCCATACTTTCCATTCCTTCCAGTTCCCTCTTCCAGTCCTCCACTCACCAACTTCCATTCCCACCTTCCACCACACCAAACCACTAAAACCCAATTTTCCTAATATTACTTCCCTCTTCCATTCACCCAAAGCCCCCTTCTTCCACTTCCTCTCCCTCCACACCCTCCAAACTGACCCAAGCCTCTCGCTTAGACCTCTTATCCTCAAAATGCAACGTTACAGTGAAAAACCACCAATTCCCCAAACTTGCCAATTCCCGAAACTCCCCAAACTTCCCAACTCCCCAAATCTCCCAATTCAAATCCTCCTACCAACCCACCCCTACCTTCTTCATCTCCATTAGTCGAAATCTCCGACCCTGTCCTCGGCACTCGGCTCGCTTATCGGTTCTCGGGCCGACGCACCAGAACCATCGAGGTTTCTCCACGCCAGCACCCACAAACTACCATTTAAAAGTGTCATAGCCACCCCCTCCTCCCCAGTAACCCCTGGTACCCTTTTTCCCGAGTCTCCACGACCCAAACTGCCCAAAACACGCCTCTTCCTCTTATCTCTCACGTGACGCGGAATCATACGGCTGGCCCAACCCCACAAAATCACCATTTTCCACTTCCTCCCAACTACCACTTCTTCCTTACTTCATCATGTTCTCTCGTTTCAACTCCAGACGCTCCACCGTCTACTCCACCCAGGGCATGGTCGCCTCCACCCAGCCGTTGGCCAACGCTGCAGGCATCAAAGTGCTTGAACAAGGCGGTAACTGTGTGGACGCTTCAGTAGCTGTTCTGGCGGTTTTGTGTGTGGTTGAGCCCAGCTCGACGGGCGTGGGAGGCGACTGTTTTGTGCTTTATTATGATAAGCAAAAGAAATCCGTCCAGGGTTTGTCGGGGCACGGGAAACTGCCCAAGAAGCTTGACATAGATGTGGTTAGGGCGACTGAACCTGAAGTGAAGGGTCCTCGGTTGCCATTGACCAGTGTCCATGCTGTGACTGTTCCAGGGGCTATTTGTGGGTGGATAGATGCTGTGGAGAAATGGGGGTCGGGGAAAGTGTCGTTGCAGGAGATTTTGCAGCCGGCTATTGACTTGGCTCAGAATGGGTTTGCAGTGTCTTCAATTGCTGCTCATATGTGGCGTAATGCGCTGGAAAAGTTGGTTAAACAGAGTGGGAAAAACGCAGAAACGTTTTTGAACGCCGACGGGTCGTTCTGTAAGGCTGGCGATGTGTTTACCAACAAGCCATTAGCTGAATTGTTGCTGAAGGTTGCTAAGGAAGGCAAGAAAGGTTTCTACGAGGGCGACGTGGCCCACGAAATCGTCAAGAAAATCCACGAAAAGGGTGGCGTCATGGAATTGGACGATTTGGCTGAGCACAAGTCTGAGGACGTGGAGCCTTTGAGTATGGACTTTGAGGGAAAGTACCTCTGGGAAATTCCACCCAGCGGCCAGGGAATCGTTGCTCTTTTGGCTATAGGGTACATCAAAGAGCTTGCCAAAGTGAAGCATATTGATTTGCGTTCGTTGAAACACAATTCGGCTGAGTACTTGCACTTTGTCACTGAAGCAGTCAAGCTTGCTTTCTACGACTCTGAAGAGCTTGTGGCAGATATCGAGTTCCACCCAGAAATCGACTACAAAAAGGCTCTCACCGAAGAAGCGCTTGCCAAAAGAGCCAGCTTGATCAAGAGAGATTCTGTGTTGCACCGTGAACAAATCGAAGGTGAACATGTAACCGGGCCGGTCCCCAACCCCATGTACAAAGCAGATACTGTTTATTTTACAGTCACAGACAAGGACGGCAACGCATGTTCGTTTATCAATTCGGTTTTTTCTTCATTCGGAACAGGCATTATTCCAGATAAGTACGGGTTCTCTCTCCAGAGCCGTGGCGCCAACTTTAACTTAACTCCAGGCGCCATCAACAGCTTGGAAGGCGGTAAGAGACCGTACCACACAATCATTCCATCGCTTATCACGGAACTCACCGATTCTCAGCAGCACGAGCTCTACGCTTCTGTAGCTTGTATGGGAGGATGGGCCCAGCCTCAAGCACATGTCCAGATCATGTTGAACATGGTTCTTTTTGGTTTTGATGCCCAGGAGGCACTTGACGCTCCACGGTTCTGTCTTGAACCAAACGAAGAGCACAGACACTTGGACGTGGGTAAGGGTTCCTGGGGACCTGTTTCCACTCCTCATACGCTTGTGAAGCTTGAAGAAGGTATTGATAAGGAGGTTGTGGAGGAATTGCGCCAGATGGGCCACTGTGTGGAGTATGTGACTGGCTGGGAAAGAGGAGTCTTTGGCAGGTCTCAGTGTATTAAGAACTCGTCTAAGGATGGCAGAGTTGTGTGGTCTGGAGGTTCTGACCAAAGAGGTGACGGAGCCGCCGCCGCCCAAATCTACTGATCACCGAAGGGTTTGTCTGGTGGTAGAAACCCGAAGGCCACCCGAAGGGTTTCTGCTACTGATGGAACTCTTGTTTTTCTGCTTCTGATGGAACCCTTGTTTATCTGCTACTGATGGAACCCTTCTTTATCTGCTACTAGAAACCCTTCGGTTTCAACCCTTCGGGTTTCAACCTTCGGGTGTTGAAATCCTAAAGTTTATTTTCCTAAATCGAAAAGTGGTATATTACAGCCAGTGTAAGAAATGAAAAGCGCTTAGAAAAGAGCCATGATCAAGCCAATCACATTCACCTTACCAGTGAAAATGGCAATGACAAAGTCAATCACAAGCTTGACGTAGCTGGAGTTGCCAATAATGTCAGCAGCAACGCTCCAGATAACTCCAGACTTGAGAAGAGAGTTCAACAAAATGCTGAACGTCACAATGTTGTTGTCCACAAGGTACTTGACCAACTTCTTGTCGAAACCAAACCAGTCAGAGTCGGTCAAGGCGTTGTAGATGACGTTGATGGCAAGACCAGACTTCTGCAAGGACTCAGCAATCTCTTCCACGTTGGAGTCGGTACCAATGAGTCTGATCATCTGCTGGTACACAGAGTCCCAGATATCACGCTTCTCGAGCTCGCTAAGGCCTTCAGAACGCTTGACAATCTCTTGCAACTGTTCAGTCATGGCGTCAGCGTGACGCTTAAGAAGCTCTTCGTCGTGAACAAACTCTTCCACGTCTTCACGCTTGAAAAGGCTTCCAAGGCCTTCTACAAGCGAAGAAACACCGCCAGATGGAGTAGATGGAGAAGCAGTGCCTGTTGGAACAGCAGAACCGGCTGGGTCAGCTGGAGCAGCAGAAGTAGCAGCGTCACCAAGGTCAATTGGGTCAGCAGAGGCAGCAGCTGGAGCACCGGCAGCAGCTGGAGCAGAAGTAGCAGCTGGAGAGCCAGCAGCAGAAGAAGTTTTGGAGCTAGCGCCTCCAAGACCACCCAAAAGACCGCCCAAAAGGCCACCAGAACGAGAGCTGGTTGGAGAAGCACCAGCAGCTGGAGCAGAGGCAGTTGGAGCAGCAGAACCAAGAGCGCCAGCTGGAGCAGAAGAAGCAGAGCTGGAACCAGAGCCAGAACGGCTGCCGCCGCCCAACAAGTTACCCAAAAGACCACTAACAAGGCCACCGCTAGAACCACCAGAAGAAGAACCAGTGCTGGTGCTTGGGCTGGAGCTGGTTGGAGAAGAAGACGAGCCGCCAGTGAGACCGTTAAGAAGACCGCCAAGGAGTCCACCACCGCTGCCGGATGTGGAGTTGGAAGAACCAGAGCCTGAACGAGAACCTGAACTGCCGCCAGTGAGGCCACCAAGAAGGCCAGAGATCAAGCCACCGCCAGAACCACTAGAAGTGGAATTGGACGAGCCAGAACGGCCGCCGCCAATACCGAAAATACTGCCGATTCCACCAAGAAGACCACCAAGAAGACCACCGCCAGAGCTAGAGCCGCTGGAAGTGGAGTTGCTGTCGCCCTTGTAGTACTTGACGAAATCAGTCAAACCATCAATGACCTCGTAGTGGGTCAAAATCAACAAAACCAAGTCGAGCGCCAAGCCAGACTCGTCTGCAACCTGCAACAAGTACGTCAAGTTCTTTTCTTCCACCAAGTTGGCAATAAACTTGACTATCTGGTCGTTGATGCCTGGAGTACGAATGGCAGCCTTAACGAGCGTGATACCGGTACCTGTTTTGTTCAAAGAAGTAAAGAAGGACGTGAGCAAGGCATTGTCTCTCTTGTCCAAGGGCGAGACAAGCGCAGGGGAGTATTCTTCGTCCAGACGAACGTCAAAGTCTTGTCTGGCTCTGAGGCCTTGTAACTCGATGGGCAAAGCCGTCGAGAAGGATAAAAGACTGAAGAGTGCAACGAGCGGGAGGAAGACGAACTTCATGTTTGGATACAGAAGAGGGTAGGAAAAATTGGGGGATTTGGCCGTTTCTTATAAGCTGGTTCCAGAGGTGAATGGTTATATTTTCGCAGCCAAAAAAGGCCCATGCGGGTTCTGCGTGTCCTGCAGGCAATGTTGACACTATTCCCCAATCAGGCAAAGAACCCTCCACACGGCGAACTCTTTTTTCCTAGTTTGGTAAAGTACCTGTCCTCGTGCAGATTGGGGTGCATGACTGAAATCTCGAAACCTTCTACGGGTGTTTTCCCTTGGGGCGGGCTTAACCAGTAAGCCTTGGTATCAGAAAAACATCCCAACATGGTTATTTGGGTGCTGTTGGGTGGAGCCTCGTTTTGGGGAGCCCCAGGCGGATTCCATAGAGATATGGGACATTTCAGTGAGAAATCATCAGAACATCCAAAGAGACACAGAGGTGATTTCTCGTAAATCAGCGCCATCAGCAACCACAAAGACGACTTACGACGGTATCCCCGCAACAGGTCTTGGCCCTATCCAGACAAGTCAGACATTGACAAATCGACAAAAGGAGAGATTGCACACCGTAAGCAGTAAGCGAGGCGAAACGCACAAGCCTCGTAGATTCGTCCGTTTTAGGGTAAAACCCATCGCTAAGGGTTATTCTAGGCAATCCTCCTTTTCCCTGTGATCTACCAGTCTGGAAGGTCTTCTCCATACGGAAACTCTCTCCAGATCTCTCCATCTACAGATCTTGCTCTGATCATAATAGGTATTATACATAGAAGCCACAGCCGTACCAACAGCCAGAAACGCAAATCACACATTCCTCGACTCCTAGGCAAACAAGGCCCGAAGCAAGCCAAGGAGGTTCACGTCGCCAGTGAAAATCCCACGGACAAAGTCAATCACGTTTCTGACATACGTAGTGTTACCAAGAATAGATCCCACAGTGCTCCAGATAACGCCAGAGCTCACAAGGGCACCCATCAACTCAGAAGTGTCAAGAAGCCCTTCGTCGCTAAGGTGGTCGATCAAGCGGCCGTTGAAGGTGTGCCATCTGGAGTCAGTCAAGGCATCGTGGATAACGCTGATTCCAAGGCCAGACTTCTGGAGAGAGATCATGAGGCCAAGCGACGACGACTCTTCCTCTTCCATGATCGACATGCCTTCTTCGTAGGCAGCAGTAAAGTCGCCATGTTCTTCTTCGTGGTCGTCGTCCTGGCGCTTGGCAAGCTGCACTATTCTCTCCACGAGCTCGTCGCTTTCACGCTTGAACGTCTCGTCGTCCATCTCACGCTTAAAGAGGGACGAGACGTCAGAAGCAAGCGAGGCAAAGCCTCCGGAAGTGCCAGAAGAAGTGGATTCGGATTGGGCGCCAGTGGCTGAGGCTGCTGCTGCTTCGGCAATAGAGACAGCGTCTTTGTCGGCAGCGTCGTCGTCTGCAGCGTCTGGGAACTCGACGTTGGAGAAGTCAGCAGTCAGGGTGGATCCAGAGGCGGCTGGAGAAGGTGTAGTTGCAGAGGAAGATGTAGTTGCAGGAGAAGCAGAGGCAGAGTCACCGCCAAGCTGGCTTAAAATGCCAAAGACGTCGGAAGCGTCGCCAGAGCCAGATTCGGAGCTGCCAGCGGAGCCAGTGGAGTTCAAGCCTGTGCTGGAACCCGAGCTAGCGCCAGCGCTGCCAAGGCCACTGAAAAGACTGGAAAGGCCACCGCTAGAACTAGACCCTGACGTTCTTGCACCGCCAGAGCCTCCAAGAAGACCAAACACGCTGGACAAGCCACTGGTGGAAGTAGAGTTGGAAGACCCACCGCCGCCAAAGAGGTTACCTGTGATAAACCTGATAAGACCAAGAATCAAACTGCCAGACTGGTTTGGGTCGGTGTCTCTATAGTAATGAGTGAATTCAGTTACTCCATCAATGACTTCAAAGTGGGTCAAGATCAACATCACCAAGTCAAGAGCAATGCCCGACTTGTCGGCGACCTTCAACAACTCCTCCAAGCCTTCTTCACGGATCAAGTCGGCGATTCTTCTGATGATCAGAGTGTTGATACCAGGCGAGTTTGCAGCGTTTCTCATGAAGAACACTCCAGCACCGGTTCTGTTCAACGAGGCAAGGAAGTTGGTGAGTCTTTCGTTTTCCCTCTTCTCCAACAGCAAGGTGTCTTCAGAGACGTCTCTTTGAATGTAGAGATTAGAGACGGCAGCGCCATCTTGAACAATGGGCAAAGCAGACGAGAAGGACAAAAGACTGAAAAGTGTAACGAGTGGAAGGAACACAAACTTCATTCTGGGTGGTTTTTTGGGGGGAACAAGAAGCGAGAGAGATGGGAAAACCGGCTCTCTTATAGCCCCAGTCCGGAGCAGTTGTGGACAGAGAACCTTATTTGCCAAGCTACTCTGGTTGTTCATGATAGAGGTGGTGAGTGTGTTTGAAGAATGGTGATATTTGCAGCCATATGCGGGTACTGCATACAAGGTTTGACAGAATTACCACAAAGGGCAAAGATCGAGTAACCGCGAGACCCTTTTTCCCCGATTGGGAAAACATCCCATGCACCTAAAGTATAGAGGATCTGGCAAACTTCGATATTTTCCTGGTTTTCCACATACAAAATGACGAAACCACCCGTCCAGCTAGCGAGCGTCGAATGAGAAGCCTCTGTTTGTTTTTTCCCGCCACTTTTCGGTGGCTTTTCAAGGCTTAAACAGTGATATTTAGTTCAAGTGCTCAAGTCCAATACACCAACAAGAAACACCGTACGACGGACGATTGGGGTGTTTTTTCTTAGCCAGGTAGAAGGTGCCATTGAACAAGAAACGAAGAAACCGGCAGTTTCTGGGGTCAATAGGCCAAGGCAGAGAACACTCCTTCAAAGGGTAAGCCATGAATTAACCACAAGTTGTATTGGTTGTTCTCTTCAAGAACACCTGGAAAGGCCCTGGAACCTCGTGACGTCAGGTAAGGTGGCTTTGGTTACTACATTCCACGGAATCCACCGAGAGCCAATGTATAGGCCCATTGATCCACCGTGCACTAACCTTATTAAGAAGAGCTAAACGAGGCGTTGGCAAGCGTTGCTGGAACTTGTGGTAATTGCAAAGTGCATCTATTTCGACTGTTAAGTATGAGCTTTTACCGTTTTGGGCTAGCATTAGGTAGTAGTCATAATGGCCAGAAGAGGAGCCCTTTTCGAGCCAAGACCGGTAAACGACATGAACGACATGAAGAGACCAAGAAAAAAGTACAAGAAACAGCAAAGAAAGGGTCCTGGGCGGCTGAACAGAACCCCTTTTTTTTGCCAGTGTAGACTCCAGATTGGGCAAATTGGTCAACGGCTGGTAGCCCAAGAGTAGTAAGAAAAGTAGTGGTTTTGGATGAATGTGGTTTTTTGGAGGTGAATATGGGTTGTTTTTGGAAGGAGAAGAAGTTTGTGGGGAAGAAGGTGTTTTGTTTTGGTGGTTTTGTGGTGAATTGGAGACTGTTGGTGGTGTTTGACGAGACTTATGCTTGTGAGAAGTGACGGTTTGGAACGACGGCGAGGAAGGGTGCTGATGGGTAATTTGGGGTGGAATTGGAGTACTTGGAGGTTTAAAAGGCAGTTTGAGAGGTATTTTGACTGTTTGGTTCAAAGATTGGGTTTAGAGTTATGGGTTCTCGTCTAGAAGTATTTGGCGTTGGAGGGTGGGTTTGACGGGGCTCTAATGGCAGGGAAATGGCTGATATGGGTCAAGGAAATTAGTGATATCTAAAAGAAAAAAGTATGAATCACATTTACTGCCTTAAGCTGTGAGTCAGTGTTGGTTTCATGGGGTTCCTGGAATGGGTGCAAAATGGATACACATCCACACTGAAGCCTCTGGAAGCTTCTAGCCGAGGAAAAGAACAAAACTCACATTTAACTAAAGCTCCCTGGCAGCTCCCAAAGAAAATAGAAGTACCTGGATACTCTCCAACTTTAAAGGTTCACCTAACCAGTGCATACCATAGAAGCATCCACAGTTCCAGCCAATTCCTTCCCCAGACTTCCAGCACCTCCCAAACACCCCAAGTACCTTAAAGAGCACCATAACTTCCCAGAAACTCCAATTCAAAAGTTCCCTACCAACTAATAATTCCCCCCACGAACTCTCCATTTTCCTACCATTAAACCTGGCATACCCCAATACAACTCCTCATCCACGCCCAAAACACGTACAAAAAACGCCAACCCTCGTTCCTCCAACCACCTTTATCCTCCCCCAAACCTTCTCCAGCCTCCACTGGCCCTTCCCAGGCTTCCAGTAAAGCCTCTTCAGTCCCCATACTTAAGCCCAGCCAGCCTTCACCGAGCACTCCAAATACCCCCACGTAACTCCACCAAACCACCTCCAAAACCACCCAAAAAGCACCAAACCCACCACCCACTCAACCTCCACCTTACAAATTCCCCCAAAAATACTTTCTTCGTCTCTGGCTGCCCAAATCATCCCACTTCCTGATACTTGTGGTGTACGGGTTTCCCACATACCCGTCCCGTCATGTAACTTCCCAGATCAACCAATCCACCTCCAACACCTCCCCCCAAATATCCCTAAACATGTCTGCAGAAGACGATTTGGTGCCCGAGAGCGTCGAAGGCTACACCGTAGGCGAAAAGAAGACCATTGCCGAATACACAAAACTCGATGCCGAGGATGAGTCGCTTGCCAAGTGGAAAGCGTCCTTGGGGCTTTCAGCAGAAGGGCTGGCTTACCCAGTCAAGGCTGGCGATAAGAGAACAGTGGTGATTGTGGAAATGGCATTGACGTTTCCTGAGGACAAGGCGCTTGAGCTGATTGTCATTCCTTTGGAAGATGCCAGTGGGAACACCATCAATAAGGATATCAAGTTTTCCATTAAGGAGAAGGCTGTGTACGAGTTGCACATCAAGTTCCGGGTGCAGCACGAGATCATTACTGGGTTGAAGTACTTGCACTCGGTGAAGAAGGCTGGGATCCGTGTGGAGAAGATTGAAGAGCCATTGGGGTCGTATGCGCCTAACACCAAGGAGAAGCCTTTCTACGAAAAGTCTTTGGGTGCTACGGAGGCTCCTTCGGGGATGTTGGCCAGGGGCGGGTACTCGGCGACGACGAAGTTTGTTGACGACGATAAGACCGTGCACTTGAGCTTTCCCTGGTCGTTCCAGATCACCAAGTAGACGCTCAGGGTCTACGATAAACAGGACATTCGGGGCGCCAAGCTACCAACAGCTTCCAAGCGGTGGCCCCTCTGGTCTCCACATTCGCTAAATATGGAGTTAGAGTTTCAGTATGAAAAATCTATAGGACTTTGAGCGTCATGTAGGTACTCATGCAAGTGAAGGCTGCCTGCCAAGGCTACCTCGTGCCCAAACGCTTCTTGCTTTTGGGTCTGGATGGAATGTAAGTAGGTGCTCTTTTGACGCCCAGCGAAACAGTTATTGACGTTTCTGGTTTGGTTCCTGGTGCTGTCTGTGGAGCAAACGATGGGTTTGGACGTGGAGGACGAAACAGCCCTGGCGTCATTGTTGCGTTAACTGCTGGTTTATCCCATTTCTGGGAAACACCCATTGACCGCTGGTTCAAGAAATTAAGCGACGAAGGGGCTTTCTTCAGTGAAGGTTTCACGTCTCTGGCGGTGCTGAATTCCACAGAATAGTCGTTGTACTTGGTATTTGGTGTTTCTTTGTCTTCACCACGGAACTTTTCTAGAACCTCGGCAACGCTTTCAACCTTCTCTTTGCCTAGCAAAGTGTATAAATGCTCCAAGGCCTGGGCATCTTTAAAGTGAAGCCTTGTTTTGTGCTTTTTGGTTATTCCTTTTAGGAATCTCGAAACGCTTTCTATTCCTCTCCATTTCCCATTACTTGGGCCATCCACATACGAAGAAAGAAGAAGCAACGCTTTGGCACGCGTAACTGCAACGTAGAAGCATCTTCTTTCCTCATTCACCGACTCTTCATCTGTCATGGCAAAAGACGCTGGAAGGAGCCCTTCAGAAACGCCAGGAACAAACACAACTGGCCATTCAAGGCCCTTGGCGCCGTGGATCGTGGAAAGTGCAACTTTGGGTATACTTTCCTGGTCGTTCAGCTCGGGGTCTGTATCGAAGAGTCTTACCGATGCAATAAACGTCTGGAGAAACGTTTGGCCAGATACTTCGATCTCTGTGGGAACAGGTTCTTCTCCATCTTCAAGGTAATCAGGAAGGTAGTCTTCTTCTGGCATCTGGTAGTCAAGAAGCTGGCTTTTCACTTCCATAACGTTCAAGTCACAGTCCACATTTTCCACAAACTCTTTCTGGATCCCTGACTGAACGTACAAGTCCATAAAGACCTTCTCGAGCCGGGAAGACATGTCTGAGGCGCCTTCTATATCGTCTGGCAACAACAAACGGCACTTTTCTATAAGTCCAAGGAACCCTTCAAGACTTTTTCTCATTTTGGGGCCCAAAGAAGACGAAATTTGACCAGTAGACAAGTTTTGGAGTGTCCTGAACACCAGACCGTCTTCACCCTGCTTTTCAATCTGTGCCTCCAACTCAGCTATCGCTTTAGGACCAAACCCTCTTTTTGGGAAATTCACACATCGAAGAAAGGCTATACGATCGTTATCGTTGGCCACGCACCGCAAGTAGTCCATCATGGCAACCACCTCTTTACGTTCCCAGAACGCTCTTCCTTTAACCATAAAGTACGGTATTTTCTTCCTTGCAAGCTCTGTCTCGATAGCTCGTGTTTGGTACGCTGACCTCACAAGAATGGCACAGTCTGAGTGTATGAAATGGGGAAGGGTCATGATCTGTTTGATCCTGGAAGCTACCCAAGCAGCTTCTTCTTCAGACGAGTTGAAGTTACTGTAAACAGGCTCAATGGCACATTCAGATTGTGACCGAAGCGTCTTGACAGCTCTACCAGCCTGCTGGTGCATGAGCGTTTCAGAAAGACTAAGAATGCCAGGCGTTGATCTATAATTCTCCTCGAGGGTGATAACACGCAATTTATGCTTCTTGTAGTGGTCTTTCATTTTATCGAAATTGACGCTCTGGGCGTTTCTGAACGCGTAGATACTCTGGTCTGGGTCTCCAACGATGGTAACGTTATTCTGGAGCTCCCTGTCTGTTAAACTGCCCTTGGCGAAATGGTACATGAGCTGGAGCTGGATCTCGTTTGTATCCTGGAACTCGTCCACGAGCGTATGCTCAATATAACTGAGAACAGGGTACTTTGAAACGATCCTGTGGCAGTAAAGAAGACAATCGTCAAAGTCCAAAAGCTTGTTAGCAGTCAACCTATCCTGGTAAGCCGAGTAGACGATATGTAGAAGCTTATTCTGCTGAATCTCTCGTTCATAGTCTGTCGGTAGTAGACCCCTAGATTTCAACGAAGAAATGCCCTTGACGAGCTTTTTCGGGTCAAGACCTCTATACTTCTGATCATCGTTACCACTCTTATACGGTAGCTTCACCAACTCATCTAGGCCATCTATAACGTCCCATTTATCATCCCCAAGGCCCAAAATCGCCTCGTTCAACACCTGTTTAGCGTCCCGATCGTCCGCAATACTAAACCCAGCCAAATCAAGCCTCGATCCGTGTTTCTGGATGATCCTATAGCATATACTATGGAAAGTACCTATAAGAAGCTTCCCCACGGCTATAGACGTGCCCTTCAAAAGCTCCCTTAGTCTTTCCAACATCTCGTTAGCAGCCTTTTTCGTAAACGTCGTGACAATGATATTTTCAGGCGAGATGTCCTCGCTCAAGAGAAGGTAGGCCACTCTGCCCACAAGCACGGTAGTCTTTCCAGTTCCTGGGCCCGCCACGATCTGGAGAATGCCTGACGCTGGCGCCTGAACGGCCTGCCGTTGTCGTTCGTTGAGCCCTTTGTATACTTTGCCCAAGATCTCTCGAGCCAGCATGGATGGTGGATGGTGGTGGGGAGATGGTAGTGGAAAGTTGTTTGTTGATATTCGCGATGACCAGAGGACGAGTCTAGAAGGGAGAGGGAGGTAAGGTGGGTTGTTGATTTAAGGATATTAGTTTAAATTGGGAGTCTTTTGGAGAAGAGGGGTGGGGATTTGGTGTTGGTTTGGAATTGGGATTGGAGTTGAGTGGTGGTTTGGAGGGAGGTGGTTAAGTACTGCCATTTCGCAGCCATTCATGGAAGGTAGTATGGTGACCAGGGAACGTCAATGGGCAGTACAAAGAGTGAAGAGGTGGTATTTGGTGGTTTTTTAAGTTTATTGGGATTATTTGACTACTCTAGGGTCTTTTTATGGAGATCTGAAGACGGTTTGTTGACATAGTTAGTGTACTCTGCTGGCTGGATTAAGTATGGTAGAGTTTATGGGAGTGCTGAAAGGACATATGTATTTCACTCCAGATGAAGCTTTTCCTGAAATTAAGAGTTTCTGTGGTTTCTAGTGGACTACTAGAATACGAAAAAAATGACATTTTGCCAAATCCATGGAGGTTTGTCTCAATTGGTGGACACTCTTCTGTCTCAGTACTGGAACATCCAGGGTCCACCCAGCAACCCAGTCCACCAATAATATGTACTAGAGAAGTAGCAATGGGTACTTTCTTGAGTCTGCGGGTCATCATATTCCTCTGGGATCAATCACTTTACATTTCTCTTGAATTCCTTGGTTCTTAGGTTACAGCTCTTCCAGTACTGGTGGTACTACAGTAAAGACTCCAATCAGACACTCAGACAACGGTACATTCTTTACATAAAAAGACCCCAAACTGACTCAATTACCTTCCATATCATTCTAGCCAGCCAATTCCACCTTAGAAATACAACCCCTCTTCAAACACACTGATACTATCTATGTCACCAGCTGCCTCATATACACTTACCTACCATACTCAATACATCCAGACCAGCCAGAGCAACACCACACATTTCCCACCAAAACCAACAAAACCACCAAAACCAAACCCACCATCCACCTTAATTGCCATAAAAACAAACACTTTGACCTTTTTCGTATTTTTCAGTCTTTTCAGTCTCCCTCTACTTTCCCTCCATCTTCTCACTCCCATACATAACACCACTTGACCACCAGCCACCACCAGCCACCAACCATCCCATCCCACCGAACCCCAAAAACCTCAACCCACCCTTCTTTGACCCACCATCTTTAGATAATCCCATAAACCACCATTTCCCTCTCGCTCCTTCCTCTACCCATCACTCAATCCATCCACCTCTCTCCCTCCGCATTTTGCAACCGCGGTATATCAACTACAACTGCAACTGCAACTACAACTAACAACCACCACTTCACGCCCCACCCTCCATGTGGGCACTCTTCCTCCTCCCGCTATGCCTCGCTCTCGAGTCGAACTGGCCAGACTTGTCGCCCAGAGCCGACCAGGCCATGAGGGCTGAAAGAGACATCTCCCTGGACATTCCTATAGATCAACATACACCGTTTGGCATCTCGGCCAATAGGGTGATATTTGATGTTCAGGGGTACAATACGGGCGCTTTGTCGACCTTACAAACAGCTCTAAACGTGGGCATCAACTCGATCATGCTAGATATGTACTGGAACGAGTATACGGGGCGCTGGCAGCTCTGTCCTGCTCCTATTCCAGAGGATGCCACGACCAACCGGTCAGAAACGGTGAATGTGTCGTGGAAGGGCAAGCAGTATAAGTGCCAGCCTGGGTTTAGCGATATGGACGTTTATGTGGCGCTACGAGACTACCTAAGACTGTCCAATATTGAAAGCCGTGCTAATGTGGTTCAGATGATCTTGAACTTGAAGCTGATCCATAACGATACGGTCGTGGTGCCTAGGAACACTACAAACTCTACGGTTAGTGATCTGGAAGATTCTGTGTCTACGGGAACGACCCTTCAGCTGCCGCAATATATGGAAATCGGAAACGCTTCCTTGTCGAGCCTGCTCTCCGTGCTAGGGTCGTTTATTTTCACTCCAGCAGAGTTGGGAATGACCAGCCCGCTTAATAATACCATTACTTACGATGACGACTTCCCTACACAGAAAGATTTCTTATACAGCTTGTATAAGCGGACGTTTGCAACTGCCATTACGCCTGAGTTTGTTAATACCACCAAGAGCTATAACATCACGGCCCTTGACGCCAACCTTATTTATTTTTACGACCTTTTCAACTTCACGCTTGAGGAAACCAGTGAAGGCGTGCTAGATGCGTGTCTGAGACGACGGAATGGCGAGTATAACACTAATTTTTACACTGATAGAGTGCTGTTGTCGAAGTTTCGGACCCTTATAGACCACGACGGGTCAGCTTTTACTCCAGAAAAGGCTCACAAGGCACTTCAATGTGGGTATATGCCTATTCTTAATGCTACCAAGTATCCTATCAACAACAGAACTAATCTTACTGGCGAGTATCCAGGACGTGTGATCAACGACTACATTCCATATGCGTGTTGGTCATGGGCGCCTTTTGAGCCAGATAGCACATTCACAAACGATACGAGAGCTGCTCTTGAAGCACTGGATTTACAGCCTCGTGCTGATGGTGATGACAACGAGGACCTGAACCAGCTAGGTGCTGACGATGACCCTGAATGGCAAGAAACAGCACTTTCTCAGGTTGCTGAAAAATGTGTAGTCATGAAACATACGGGCTGGGCAGTGGAGAACTGTTACAACAAGTACCGTTTGGCGTGCAAGCATACCAGAAACCCGTTTGACTGGAAGCTTTCCGATGAGATTGCTCTGTACTTCAGTACCAACACTCCAGAATGCCCTAAGAACTATAAGTTTGGTATTCCACATCTGAGCACTGAGCAGCTTGCCCTTCAAAACTTCCTCAATGCTTCGCAAGTTCCTCGTCCAGTATGGATTGACATGAACGATATCACTATTCTGGGTTGTTTTGTGGATGGAGGACCGTATGCTGAGTGTCCGTATAAAAGGGCTGTTTCGACAGGTAACTTGATTCGACTGGTTGCGCCTTCGGCTGTGGTGGCTGTGGTGATTCTCATATTGATCTTTTTTGAACGTTTCTTCCTTCTGACGCCTGTTCACACGAATAGACGTCGTCACTGGAAGAGAACCATAAACCAGCACTACAAGAAGAATGACTACGAGGGTGTTCCATCGTAGGTGATTCCAGACCTCATTCTACCAAGCAGAAATGAAAGAACGATAGAAATCACTAAGGACATCTTTCCTGCTTTTCATGATATGTCTGGTTTTTGGTGAGGGTGTTTCAGGTCCAGTGCCTCCAGTTACCCACGCCTTCGGCCCCATTTTCCAAACAAAAACTACCTCAAAATAACCAACAACAACCCTTCACCCCACCAACACCCTCCAATTATCCACTGTCATACTTCCCATGTCTTCACTGGCGCCCTTTCTCCTTCTTTGCAACCACCCTAAAATGTCGCGCTACACCCACCACAATGTCGCATGTCGCGCCGTGAGGGCAACCCAAGTCCCATTTTCCCCTTTGCCATCTCTCAACCTCCACCTTATCCATCCAAATCCACCCTCCACCGTTTGCCCAATTCATCATGAGCGACCCTAATTGGCAAAGATTATCCAACGAATTGAGACGTCGTGCTGCCCAAGCCGCCCAATCCAGACCTGGTGGCGGCGGTGGTGTTCCTCCAAGAATGCCTGGTGGACTCTTTTCCCTCGGTGGAGTCCTCGCTGCCTCGGTAGCCATCTGGGCTGCTGGAAACTCTCTTTTCAACGTTGATGGTGGTCAGAGAGCCATTGTGTACTCTCGTTTGAGTGGTGTTCAGTCCCGTATTTACCCTGAAGGTACACACTTTGTGCTACCTTGGTTCCAGAGACCGGTTGTGTATGACGTGAGAGCCAAACCAAGAAATGTGTCTTCGTTGACCGGTACGAAGGATTTGCAGATGGTCAACATTACGTGCCGTGTGTTGTTCAAGCCGGACGTCATGGAATTGCCTTCGATCTACCGTACTTTGGGTAAGGACTATGACGAGAAGGTGTTGCCATCTATTGTCAACGAGGTGTTGAAATCCGTGATTGCCCAGTTTAACGCTTCCCAATTGATCACCCAGAGAGAAAAGGTTTCTAGACTTGTAAAGGAGAACCTCACGCGTCGTGCTTCCAAGTTCAGTATCTTGTTGGACGACGTTTCTTTGACATTCATGACATTTTCTCCAGAGTTCAGTGCTGCCGTTGAAGCCAAGCAGATTGCTCAGCAGGACGCCCAGAGAGCCGCTTTCATTGTCGACAAGGCAATCCAGGAGAAACAGCAATTGGTGGTGAAGGCTGCTGGTGAGGCCAAGTCTGCTGAGTTGATTGGTGAGGCTATCAAGAAGTCCAAGGACTATGTCGAATTGAAGAGATTGGACACCGCCAGAGAGATTGCTCGTATTTTGGCCAACTCGCCAAACAGAATCCTCTTGGACAACGACACCTTGTTGTTGAACACTGTTGCAGACACCAGGAAATGATGTACATAGTAAACGAACGAATGAAGCATTGAGCTGTGTAGGGAAGGGCATATCATGAGTCTACTGCTACACCTTCACTAGGAAACGAACCGATTGTACCTATAAACCAGGCGCTGTGCGCCAATACCAATATAAAAATGCAAATCAATATCTCTCAAGAAGCCGATATCTATAACAGCGTCTTGCTTACTCTTAGAAGATGGAGTTCACAATGTTGGAACCAATGGTGGCACCAGCACCAAAGATAGCGGCATTACCAAGCTTACCGCCGAACTTCTTGGCCTCCTCGTGGCCCCTGCCGTGGCGCAGAGGTTCAACCTGCTGCTCGTACTGCTGCTGCTGAACCTGTTGTTGTTGTTGCTGGGGATAGTAGTTTGTGGATTGTGGAGGATACTGGGCGTAGCCGCCGTACGAAGGCTGCATTTGCTGGCCCTGTGGCGATGGGTTGTATGGCTGTGGAGAAGCGTTGTACTGCTGGTACTGGGGGTAAGTTGGTTGTGGTACCACTTGGTCGTAAGGAGGAGCAGCAGGCGAAGGAACCTCTCTTGGTTCAAATCCAGCCTTTTCTTTACGGCCCAGTTCAAACTCCACGGCCGAAATCACCGAAACGTAGTTTGAAGGGAACACACCAGCCGTGTCTGGACCGTCAGACTGTTTATAGCCCTTCCACCAGTCCAGGGAAAGGTGTTCCACCACTGCCAATTTATCGTCCTTAGTCAAAGCCAAGTCGTCAGCCTCCTGAGGTTCGTAGTTGTACAACGCCTTACAGTAGCCAATAGGCTCTGCTGGTTTACGTGGAGGCACTCTAGCCAGGGAAGGATTAGAAGGAGGTGAGATATCGTCCTGGATCTTCAGTTTAGCAAGGTTCAGGGAGATTTCCTCGACTGAAGCTTCCTTGGCAGCTGGAGCCTCCTTGGCAGCTGGAGCAGCTGGAGCAGCTCCAGTAAGCTTCTCCACGCCCCAAGTGTCCATTCCCTTGGAGTAGCGTGGAGGAAGGGACTCCAGCAAAGCGGTCAAGAGCTTTTCGTCAATCACCTCAGAGTCATGGAGAAACTCCAACTCGGTACGGATGTTCATAAGCGACCTATTGATAAGTGCAGCCGACATTGTGTGGGGTAGTAGTTGGGAAGGTTCAGGAAGAAGAGTGATTCCGGATCGGTAGATAGTGGATTTGGTGATGGTCGGTGCGAAAAGAGGCGCTGCCGAGCCCACGGAAAAATGGTAGGGAGAGGGCCTAGGGAGAGGAAGTGGGTTTGGAGAGGAAGTGGTTAGGAGTCGTTTTGAATTGGATGGGAAAGGCTGGTTGGACTTTGGGTTTTGGGATTTTCCTGGTTAAGTTTGGTGGTTGGTGGTTGGTGGTTGGTGGTGGCTGTAAACCTACAGGGTTCTACAGATACTCGCAGACGAGGAGGAACAAGAGGGAGAAGAGGAAGGGAGATGGTTATGGTGGTGGAAAGATGGAATTGATAGAAATGGGGTGAAGTTTGTGAATTTGAGCTTTTGTGTTTTTTGAAGAGAATGGGTTTCAAGTTCGGTGAATGGTGTGGACTGGCTGGTGGCTGCATCTCCATAGTTAGTGGTCGTAGTTAGTAGTGGAGGAGAGAGAAAGAGGACAGTATGAACTACAGGGCACTTTTAAGGCATTGATGGACTTTTGGGAGTCATTATGTCTTCTTGTTTCTTTACAGTGTTCAATTGCTTCTTGTTTGTAATTCAAAGGCACTGACTGGTTATTGGTGTACTTGGTTCCTGAGATCTACTTATGGTTTATCGAGATCTGTCTTGTAAGACATGTAGATATGACACTGTAAAGAACCATTCTCTATCCATAACACCTTCTATACTGTTCACTTACTTACTGAATTGAAATTGAACATCTTTTGATTTCTCAATATAGTCTAATTGACGGAAATGGAAGGGGATGTCTGGTACGACCGTATAGTGGGCTCTTCGTACCCCAGAAGCCAAATCACGCCACTCAGACACTGGAGACTCCTCATCGTCGAAAGGTAGACGCTTCTCTTGCTTTTGACCTTGTTTAGATCTGAAAATGCTAAATCCCTGATTTTATAATGTAACTGGTGTTCACAGTTTACCTGATTACTCACCTTAGGTTTGCTAAAATGGCTGCGAAATCAAGATATACCAAATACTTACATTCTTAAAAGTCCCACCAAAAATCAAGATCTCAATGAAAAGTCATAAAGACGTCATTCTATATCAATTTCGGGGCATAGAACACCCTAGGCTCCCTATTTAAGCGATTTCCGGTTTCTGTGCCCTCTAAAGCCCATCACCTCAAATTCCATCCAACACTCATACTTAGCCAGCCTATAGCACTACATTCCACCAAAACAAAAGAAAAAAAAGACGAATAAAACTAACCAGGCTCTATATTTTCCTCCCTCCTAACCACTGCCAGCAGCTCCCTACAAAAGCACCCACCCACAACCAACTTTTCACTGCATCTTCACATTCACTACTACCAGCCTACCAGTCTCAGTTTGCACCCACCGTTATCCCCCACACCACCTCCAAAACACCCATAAAAACACCTCCAGCCACCACCCTAAGCCAAACCAACTACCCCAAACCCTCTTCCAACTACCTTCTTTCTCCCTACGGTATCCCTACGGGATCCCGTTTGTCCTGGCGTCTTCATGTCTGGAAAAAACCCGTGCACCCCTAAACCGGCCATCCGGGTCCTCAGCGAAAAATTATGATTCATCTTATCTTCAACCTCTTCAACTCCCCCACACTTCAACGCCAAAACTCCCAATTATGAGAGCAGCGCTTCGCCCAGGCCTTCCTGGCCGTTTGCTCCAGACAAGACTGAAAGTGCTGTCTTCTTCTACTTCTGCTTTGGCCTACAAGACCTTGCACAGAAACCTGAAGAGACCTCCGTTGCCTACTTTTGACACGCCCAACTGGTCTGCGGACGCTGCTGTTTCGTCGATTTTGTACGAGACGCCTTTCCCTAGTAAGGCTCCTAGAAAGCAGCATGTGCTCAACTGTTTGGTTCAGAACGAGCCTGGTGTGTTGTCTTCTGTTTCTGGTCACTTGGCTGCTAGAGGCTTCAACATTGACTCGCTTGTGGTGTGCAACACCGAGGTCAAGGACTTGTCTCGTATGACCATTGTGTTGGGCGGTCAGGATGCCGTGGTCGAGCAGGCCAGAAGACAAATCGAGGACTTGGTGCCTGTTTACGCTGTGTTGGACTATACCAACGCAGAGATTGTCAAGAGAGAGTTACTCTTGGCCAGAATCTCTCTTTTGGGCCCAGAGTACTTCCAGGAATTGATTGCTGCCCACAACTCCCACACATCTGACGGCTCTGCCGTGCCAGACTTGAGCGCTACCGAGTCTGAGTTCCACCCAAGCAACTTGCCTCCTTCTGAAGCCTTGAGACAGAAACACACCCATTTGCAGAACATTTCCGTGATCACCGAGAAGTTTGGCGGCCGTATTGTCGATATCTCAGACAGAAACTGTATCGTGGAAGTCAGCGCCAAGCCCTCGAGAATCAGCTCTTTCATTCAATTGTTGCAGCCCTTTGGTATTTTGGAGATCGCCAGATCTGGTATGATGGCGTTGCCCAGAACACCTTTGGACCTGAGCCACTTGGAAGACGATGCCTTAGACGCCAACGACATTGTGGACGCTTCCCAGTTGCCTCCAGGTTAATTTGTTTCACCTCTAAGTATGGAATCTTGTAAAAAGCGACGAACAAGGCTTTGTAGGTGTAGAGAATGCGGTTAGGTTTAGATGGAATGTAGACAAGAGCCCTGGGGCTTTCCACCACAGAGGCTAAGCTGAGAGAGGATCGACGCTGAAGCTGAACGAAAGCTTATCTGGAATGACAAGAGTCTAAAACGAGTTACCCTGTTAGTTGTATGGTACTAGGCACTTTCCATTGTAGAGTTGTGCTTATACTTCTTCAATAGAATCCGCCCAAATGCACCATACGTTGCGTCAGAACCTCCCACCAACCAACCAACACCTTCCCAAAGCAAACCAACCTCCAATCTCCCCTCTCCATATAAAATCACCAAAAGTACTTCCATAATATTTGCAAAAAACATGTATGCCGTGCATTTGACAGCGCGCCGCTTAAGCAATGCGCTTACAGCACCACATCAAGCCCATGCAACCGAAGAGCCCAGTATCTTGTGTTACAGATTAATCAAGACCATCTAGTCCAGCCAGTACCACAGAAAACCATCTCAGCACTCCGGGACCAGTTCTCTCAGGCTTGTATGCCCTATAGCCCGACGCACGTCAAGCGATGCCGTTTCTGGAAAACAGCGCTGTTTAGCAACCGTTAATGCCGATTCTCTTCTGTAACATAGCATGCCTGGCAACATAAAACCCGTAAGACCAAACCCCAAAAACCCACATTTAAGTCAAAAACCAAGACAAAACATACCTAAAACATGTCTTAGCCGGTAATGGAAAGTGGGCTCCTGGCCCGTGCTTGGCCCTACGCCAAATCAGCGTACCTCATTTCTTACTTGTTTCGATTGTACTTGTCCATCCATTGTCACTTTGCCCTGGCCAATTGTCTCCACGGTCCACCTGCTTTTGTCAGGCCTCGTGGCTTGGCAAATGGCTGAATGAAACTTAATTTGGGAACACCAGAGAAAGAAGGCTCTGTTTGTCGTCTACCTCTAAAAGCTCCACCTGTATTGCCATATTAACCGTATAAGGCAACCACGAGGCTGGCGGAAAAAACAAGCAAATCCCGTTCCCAACCGCCACGCCTCCACCGCCCAAACCATCCTAGTAGTCCCAGGCGTCCCAGGCGTCACAGTTGTCCCTGGTGACTCTATCTGTCGTCAGGGCCTCTACATGCCATCTCTTGGCAGCGCTTACCGATGCTGTTCGGTGCTTCGATCTGCTGCCTGGCGCCTACAGAAAGCGTTTTGCCAGAGAATTACAACCAACCAAACTGCAAAAAATGCCTTTTTAAAATACACCTCTGAAGCGTTTGAGTCTCCAGTGTCCACTGTCCACTGCGTTTGAGGACTCAACGAGCCTCGCACAGACCCTGTCAGGGCCAGAAACAGAGCAAAAGGGTCCACCAAAAGCACGAAAAATACACCTTTTTCGAATTTTAAAAAACACAAAGTCACCTACCACCTCTTCTCTCCCGTATTTCACCAAAAAACCGGATCCTTCTTCCCCCTATGTAGCCTTTTTCACGCCCTTTCTTCCTCCACTACAGAGCCTCTGCGGGCTCCAGCCCCGCCGCACAATGGCCAAAAGCACACCTTCATCAACCGACCTCTTCTTTTCCTCGTAATGACAGAAACAAACAACCACATGGCCTCAGGCTACGTACGAGGCCCTCGAGATCCCCTGCCAATAATTCACACTCGCTGGCTGAAATGGTGCTGAACACTCATAGTCAAGGACAGAACCATAGCCAGAGCCAGAGCCAGAGCCCAGGCTCCAGGCCTATACCGCCACTAGCGGCGCCTCCACCGTACTATGTGCGTCCCATGGTGAACCAGCTGCCGTCGGTGCTCCACGAGTACTACCAGGCGAGTCCTGGGCCGTATGTGAGCAGGGAGACGAGGAGTGACAGTTCGGGCAATTCGTCTGACCAGGTTCAAGCTCAAGCTCAGGCACAGGCCCAGGCACAGGCCCAGGCTCAGTCGTTGCAACAACAGGCGCTTCAGAACCATCAGAACCATCAGAATCATCAAAATCACCAGCCTCAGGGTCCGGGCCCGGCTTACTATATGGGTCTACCGAACCAGCCTGTGCCGACTATCACTCATACGCCTGCTCCACAACAACCGCCACAACAACCACAACACCGTGTGGCGGCTTCGCTCCCGAGAAAACGGTCGCTGACGGCGTGTGATACTTGTAGACAGAAGAAGTCCAAGTGTGATAACGTGAGGCCTCGCTGTGGAGCTTGTGTGCGTGCTGGAAACATGAATTGTCGCTATAGAGCTGACTTTCCGGGCTCTGATTACTCTCTGTATGATCCTGCGTCGCTTACGATTCTTTCGAAGCTTGACGTGATTCTAGGGCACGTCAAGGGGACCCAGGAACCGGTGCAGAAGGCGAAGATCACGTATTTTCAGCATTGTCTTTGGGATATGTCGCTAATGAGTATGTTCCGCTGGAGATCAGTGCAGAAGGTGCTTCGAACGTCGGATTCTGACCATGCTAACTGGACTCGTCGTCTTGTGGCCAAGTACGATATTGACGTTTACTTTGGGCTCCCGAGGAAGTTCCAGGACCGCTTTAACACTTGCAGGGCGTTGGAGGCGCTTTTGCATAGCTCTATTTCGGCATTCACCAATTCCTTCTTTCTAAATGCCCATACGAAGGTGCCCTGCTTGGATATCATTACCTTGCTAGAGAGTATCGAGATTTATACGCTCATGCAGAAGGCTGACCCGGAAACAACGTTCATTAGCATGCTAGAAGATTACTCTTCGCTCGCTCAAGGAGAGACCGTGCCTAGGTCTTATAAAGATGCACTTCTTACGCTTGGTCTTGAAGATTCGGCCATCAGAAGACGCGCTTTCATTAAATGCTGTGAATCTGTGCCTCTAATATTGGTTGTATGTGCTATTGGCGTTCTAGCGTCTCCCATCAAGCTTGATAATCACCAGCGGTTCGATACTTCCACAGACGAAGCCAAATCCTTGGATAGTTGTGGTGCTGATTTCTCACGGTGCAGCCCGCTTATTCCTCGGGATAGGAAGAAGTTGAGTCGCTGTTTTGTGGATTATGCCTTGATCATTTCGTCAGTCTTTCCGTTGAGCTTACAGAGGAACACACTCGTTTCAATTGAGTACCACATCATGCTCAACCAATACTACTTGTACACTATGGATCCATTGAGTGCCCACAGAGCCATTGTCACGGCCAGCACAGATATGATGTATTATTTGGAGAAGGAAAACACGAGACAGCCTTCCAGTGAACAGCTCAAGTACCATTTTGCCGAGAAGCGCTCCATTGTTGACCGTCTTTTCTGGACTTGCTTGAAGCTCGAGTGTGAGCTTCGTGCCGAGTTGAGTCCCCACATTCCTTTGTCAGGAATCACCCAAATGGTTCCACCTTCTCCCTTTCTCAAGATTCCTGACCCGGTTCTGAATGACGAACATCTCGCGGACAGTGTAAGTCTTACGAACAAGTACGACGATAAGAACTCTTGGTACTTTTTCTTGACTGAGGTGGCCGTGAGAAAGGTAGACAATAAGTTGTATGACGAGATCTATTCGGTTGATGCTGTTAGGGATAATCTCTGGGACCTGGATGAGTTTGTAGAGAAGGATATCTGGAAGCTTCAGATCAAGTACCTCAAACAGTACGATGCCATTATTGCCTCGCTTTCGCCTAGGATTAGGAACTTTGTGCTTCTGGAAATCGATGTGGATGAGATTCACGCTAGCATGAAGAGAAGGGCAAACAAGAAACGGAGCGCCCAGGAGGCGTTCGAGTCTGATATTCTCGACAACCTTGACGAGTTCTTCATTGATGAAGACTTGTTGCTCAAAGCACAATCTGAGTCGATCATGTTCATCAAGACAAGATTTCTTGCGTCCAAGATTGCATTGTTCCGGCCAATTAATTACCTTATTCTCGAGGACCGGATTCCATTCACCGAGATATTCGAGGCAGCAGCGTCTGTGCTTTCCCAAGTGAAGGCCGAGCAGGTGGAAAACGAAATGGTGATGAACCATAGCCATCTGCCGCTGCATTCGAACTCCACAGTATCCGTCAACAACGATGCTTTGCAGCTTGACACGTCCAGCAGCTCATCACAGTTTGCCAATAACTTCATGGACGGCGAGGTTGCGTACATTGAGGCAATCAAAGCACCACTTCAAAACCGAAGCGATCTGAAAGAAGACAACTTCAACGATATCGTCGAATACGATAACCTGAAAGACGAAAGCAACGCCGACTTCATCACCGTCAAGGACTACGTAGCAGCTCGCAGAAGAGTCCTCCAGTCGTTTGTCAAGAACCTCATCACCATTCCCAAAAGCAACATTCCCAAAATCGGGCTGCACCGGCACTCGGGACTGTGGTACTACGTCAGGCAGCTTATCGTGGGCAACATTTCCCTTTTCATGCTCTACAAAAAAGTCCAGCAAGTCATCAAAACGCTTGTCCAGAACAACGCCTTCCCTGGCGGTGACGATGTCATGGAAGCACTCAACCTTGTATTCAGCAGAGAACTGATCAAAGGTCTGTTGGAGTACACCATGCTCATGCTCAACTACTGGAAAGAAGAAAGCCAAGATTGTGAAATCTACATCGAGCAAATCCAGCTTTGTCTCGACATGCTCTGATCTTTTAGATAACAAAGCAAAAACAAAACAAAAAAAAGTGTGGATTTGCCCAGGGTCTGTGATTTTGTGTGGTAGACTGGCGGGTGCGGCTGTGAGTCCGAGCATCGCACATTGACGCAAACATATATAGTAGGTGTTTTTCGCACCCAAAACGGTTTGGGAAAGCGATGCAATGAAGCAGAAAAAGAAGGTTAAGGAAGAGGATTTCGACGAGGATTTACGGAATTGTGACTACGAGATCAAGGAGCAGGACCGTTTTCTCCCGATCGCCAATGTGGCCCGCGTGATGAAACTGGCGCTTCCGCCTCATGCGAAGCTTTCCAAAGAGTCCAAGGAATGTGTTCAAGAGTGTGTTTCTGAGTTTATCAGTTTTATCACGTCGCAGGCGGCAGATAAGAGCAAGCTAGAGAAACGCAAGACTCTCAATGGTGAAGATATGCTCTGGGCGATGTTCACCTTGGGGTTTGAACATTACGCTGAGACCCTTAAAATCTACTTGGCGAAGTACCGTCAGTTTGAGCAGATGGAGGCTGAAAGACGCCTGGTGGGACGTTCTAGAAAGAGAACTGCCAGGGATAGCGATAGCGACGATATGCAAGAGATGGCCTACGACATGACTCCGGAAGACTATGTGGATTTTGGCGCCGACTTTGAGTACCTCGAGCTGACATAGTGAAGGTGATACAGAGAGCTGTTTAGTGCAATGGTACGATCGTTGGGGCTAGTGGTGCTCGTTTACCCTTCACAAAGCCATGATCTACTAGAAAGACAAGTCTGGTTTAAAGAACCGTGCAGAATCCGGTAATGGACCTTCCGAATGAACCGCCAGTGATATCTCCATATCCAGTACGAGAAACCATTGATCCAACGCCTCTTCGTCCTCGTCACAGGGTGGAATGCCCACCTGCCCGAGATCTAGAACAATGATCGTGCAATGGCGAAGTTGCCTGAGGCCAGAACAATCCACCCAGGACTGGCCTATATTTATCGTCTCAATAGTCAAGCGAAGCGATGCTTTTGACAAGGTGAGGTATTGACGTTTGATTTAAAGCGTCAAGACAGTTGCCATCACGAGACGCCACAGAACATGGAAAGGTGATACATGTAAATAATGTAAAATGTATGAAAACGACCGAACCTGTCTCGGTCAATGTCTGTTCACCTCGAATCAGGAGGCTTCTTTCACCTGTTGATCTTGCGTGCCTGTCACAGAACACAATGCCCATGGGTTCATTGTCCAGTTTGCTGATTAGTCAGGGACGTGGGCTGGAAACTAGGGAGATGAAGGGATGATCTAAAAGGTTTAAATTTAGGGATTTCGTAATGTTGGGTGCTTTGGGTGGGTTTGTGACACTTATAGCATCAAGAGTGGGTTTAGATTGGATGATAATGAAGGTCAAGGTAAAGGAGGCTTCTAAGTGGATTCTACAATAACTGGGCTTCAAGGAATGCAAATAAGTAGTAGGAGAGTTTCTTTAAGTCTTTTATTGGAGAATTGGATATGATCTAGAGTGCCTTAGGTTCAATACTAGTAATCGAATGGCCTGGCAACATCATAGTCACGTAATTACCACATGAAACAACTGTTTCCTTGAACTGCTTGAAAAGAGTAGTTTAGGTTCCACAAACTGGCTACTCTTGAACGTTGTAACTCTTAATACTGTGCTATTCTTGCTCCAGCCTTAAACAGTATATACATGGACAAAGCAAAGGAAACAGTATTCCAAACCACCAACACCGAAACAAAAAGTCATGATTATATACTTCAGCTCCAATAGCCTATTTTTCCATCAACATTCATATCTTATCTAGTAACATACTGCTGCTGAAGATCACCATAGATGGTGCATTCGGACTTCGACGCCGACGTTGGCAAGGCAACCCAAGATGAAGCAAATACATAGGAGAGGGCAAGAAAGGCAAATTTGGCTCTTTGGAAGAGATTGGAACCCTCTCTGAAAACCCACTTTATTCATATATACCGTTGACTGCCTCGCCAGCCGTGTAGTTTGCAGCCATTTAAGGTACGTGGGACGCATATGGAACATGCATAGATAAGATGGAATAGATCACTAAATTTAGAAACAAAAAGGGTTCAGGGTGGAGTTGGCCACGAAGGAAGTCTATTTTATGTATGGACAGGTTTGTGGAATGGAAGGCCAGGTTTTTGGGTGGAAAGTAGGTTCAGAGGCATCTCGCAAGCTTCTCTTGCATAAGCAGGGTCTGTCAAGCCGCCAGGAGGAGGGACAGGGAAGAGGGAAGTAGAAGAGGGGTGGAATACGTGGGTAGCTTGGATTAGGAGATAAAAGTCGTTTTGTGTCGTTTTAGGGTTTTTAGTGCTATATGGTGGTTTCATCAGCAGTATATGTACTGTTTGAGGGTAACTGTGGAAGCCAGTTCAGGTCAACCCAGACAACCCAAACCACCAAAAAATAGCCCAAACCTCCATCAATAGTACTTCTTAGACCTCTAATATGCTGAAAAAATCCATAGAAAAATAGATAAATGGTGCCTTTGTTCAAACTCTATTGCTCATCCTCAGTCCATGGAACAGCCCTAACTGAGGTACTCATCTCCAACACCTCCAACACCTCCAACACCACCACCACCAACCAACCCAATTCACCCAATCCATAAAAAAATAACTCACTTCCCAACCACCCTTCCTTCTACACTTCCCTTTAATCCTCTTCCATATACTTCCTCCTTCCAATGCCAAGACATGTAAAACCTTCTCCATACTTAACCGTCCCTGCCTCAGGAACCATCCACCAACGCAAACCACCATCAAATCTCCACCAAAACTGCCCCCCCCTCCATCCCCCCCTCCCCCAAAAACTATATAAACACCGGAAATCCCCTGAAAAAAACCCCCAGCCTCGAAATTCACGTCTCCTTCGTTTTCTTCCAGCCCCTCCAGCAGCCCCTCCAAGCCCTTACCTTAACGAGCTACGCGCCTCGAAGCAACCTCCCATGGCAGAGACCCACCAGAACCGACCAAATGCTACAAGAAAGGGCCCATCCCGCTGGGCCCAACTGGCTCCCACCTTTTTCTTCTACTGATTGCTGAATTTATTTTTTAGTTTCCGTACCAGAACTGTTTCATGTTTGGTTGGTTGAAAGTTGGTTCCACAGCCATTCGCGAGCCACCACCAACCAGAGCCAGAACAAGTAGCACCCTCCACCATTTCCACCCAAAACTGGAACCAAAATTGGAAATCCAAAACCACCGTAAAACAAACCATCCCTTCTTCTCCCCTTCCCTTTCTTTCTTTTCTTTTTTCTTCTCTCCATAAATACATTTCTTCATGGTCTTCCTCTGGCCTGGCTGGACGGTGTACAGATGCATCCACCTCACCTACATCGCCAGAGCCTCCTTCACCAACCCATCATGATCAAATCGTTCCGCAGAAGCAAACGCCTGCTGAACTCGCTGTCGACGTCGTCGCCGAAACATCTGATTCTGCGGGTCTCGCTGTCGTCTCATCCAGAGGCTGATTTCGTGCAAAACTCGCCTACCAAGGTGATCAAGGCGCTCTATGACTACAGGCCTCAGGGCCCGAAAGAGCTTCTGTTCGAGAAGGGAGACTTCTTCCATGTGGTTTCTGACGAAGCGCTGGAGTTGGATCAGCACGGCTGGTACGAGGCCACCAACCCAATGACGAATCAAAGAGGTATGGTGCCTAAACTGTACTTTGAGGTGTTCAACAGAAGCATGCATGCTCTGGCTAGGGGGAATAGCATTGACCAGCTGAATCCGATATTTGCTAAGATCCAGCAGCAGCAGCTGGTGCAGAATCTCCAGCAGAACCTGAACCTGCTTCAGAATATCCAGCAGCAAACGATCCAGAACCTCCAACAGCAAACCAGCGGCGGCGGCAGCGCCAGGGAAAACCGTACGTTATACGCTGTGACGCTTTACGACTTCCGTGCTGAAAGAGAGGACGAGTTGGATATTGTGCCTGGCGAACATTTGGTCATTTGCGCTCATCACGACTACGAGTGGTTTATTGCTAAACCTATCAACAGGTTGGGCGGGCCAGGGCTTGTTCCGGCTTCGTACGTGAAAATTGTGGATAAATATAATCCTCTGGCCCAGATGGAATCGGCTGGCGACGATATGGTCTCGGTGATTACCCATTTCAGGATTCCTACGGTTGAAGAGTGGAAAGAACTGACCGCCATCTACCAGGCCAGCACCCACCCATCTGGAAAGATCTCGGGCACGAATCCATCGTCGCTGGTGCCATCCCAGTTTTCTCAGAATGAAGACGACTCTACGCGGTCTTCTTCAGCTTCGGCCTCGACGTTTATCGTTGAAGCTTCTGTCGACTCCTACCACTTGGCAACGCTGGAGGATAATAGCCGTTACCAGTATGTGGTTACCGCTCGTACGCTGACGGGTAAAACACGTCAGTTGTGCCGTTTTTATGAGGATTTCTATAACATGCAAGTGAAGATCCTCGAGCTGTTCCCTTATGAAGCTGGTAAAGTCGAAGGCCACAGGCGTACCATTCCAGGTTTCCCTGGCCCTGTTATCCATGTCAGCGACAACATCTCCCTGTTGAGACGTGAACGGTTCGACTACTATCTCCGTAACTTGATTGCCATGCCTTCTCATGTGTCTCGCTGCGACGAGGTATTGGCGCTTTTTGAGGTGCAGAACAACGGCTTTGACAAAGAATACGTCGAGAGGGGAGACCGCTTCTCAAAGCCTATTAACCAACAGTCGGGCTACCAGCAGGATAGACTATCGCAATATCTGAACGTCCAGCCTCATTCACGAAGCCGGAACTCCCACACCCCTTCGCTGGATCTGAACAGCAACAACAGAGCACTGTCGCCAGGAGCCAACACTGCTCTTGCCCAACCAATGCCCGATACAAGCAAACAACCCAAGGTGAAGGTGAAGTTTTATTATGAGGATGATATTTTCGTGTTGCTTTTGCCTGTGAACCTCCGGCTCCAAGACTTGAAGGCCAAGCTTGCGAAGCGTCTTGGCCTTGAAACTGGCTACGAGACTGATCCTTCTAGTCTTGTATTCCTTTTCTTGAAGACCGAGTATGATGATTTCATGGACACCAACCAGATTGCCTCGGAAGTGTTGAGCGACGAGCAGAGGGCGCTCCTCTTCCATAAGGAAATCAGCGAGGACTCTAAGTTCCACGAGGTGCTCCATGACAAATGCAAGATTGTGATTTTGTCGGGTTAAGCGTTGATGCCGTTGTACACCTCAGCGGACTCTGCCGCTGCCAATTCGCTCCAACGATCGCTTATACTGCTACAAGACGTAAGATCTGCCTCTGGATTATCCAGCTGGTTATAGATGATCTATTGGTAAGTGTTTCTACGCACTTGGTTTTGTTGATGCTGGACGCGCTAGCTCCAAGACTCACTTGGAAGGGCCCCTCCAAAATCATACACTGTACTATAGTTTCTGGCGCCAGAGTCGCCAGCAAAAGTTCATGTTCTTATGATGTTCCCTTTAATAAAGGTGATTGCAATACTCTTTCCACCAGCCTGACCTCTTACTCTGAGTCGCGAAGGATGCAGAAAAATCAACACAACTTACTACTTACCTATAAGTCTGGTTTCTTACCACTCTCCACCAGCGAATGGTCCTTATTTATCTCCTGATCGAATCACGTCCTTTTACTGTTTACACTATCTGAACGCTCGATGCTCCGACGGGTACTCAACCTCTTCTCAGGAGACAAGCATGTCCCTTCAGACAATGAAACAGCCAAAAAACACCAAACCAACAAGAAAAAGCCTCATAACGATAAACCCACGTCTCTAGAGTTTGCTACTGCTCTTCTAGGGAGAGAACCGGACTCAGGCGAAGAAACTGATAAGCCAGTGTATGTCCTTGATGAGCTAGATAAGGAGGACCAGAAACAGCCAGAGACTGGCCGAGCTACAGCGCCTTCTGGAAGGAACCTTCTACCCCCACAGACTCCTGCAAAGGCAGGTTCAATGCCGTTTCTTTCCAGCACGCCTCTAGCGCTGAGACTGGTGATTGGTCAGAAGCCTGCCAGAAGACGGTATAAACGGTACGACGTAAGTGCCAAAAGACGTGTTATCAACCCTCTGCTGGAACTGGAGGACGATAGTCCGGATGAGAGGCCTCTGCAGGTTTTACAGTTGGAAGAGGGCAGCGAATCGATGAAGAAGGTGGAGTCTAGCATCATGGATGACCTAGAACGGCAATTGAAGGAGAACAACGGCAGCGACGATGATGACGAGGAGGTATTTGTTGAAGCTGTTAGTCAGATACACGATGAGGAGAAGGATAGTGGAAGGGAAGTGAAGGTAGAGAAGAAGATGCCGTGGGATGAGGCTGTTGAAGTGACAGAAGTGGCATCCCAGGATTCTGAGGAGAAACAGAGGGAGGACCATGTGGATCCTAGGGATCAGAGCGTACCTGTTGATGGGGATCTGCCAGAAATTCCTTCCAAAGCTGTTGCTTCGCCGAAGAATAGCCCCCAAGGGCTCAGTGGAACCAGGAAAACGCTAAAAATGTCCTTATCAAGGAAAAGAAGAGTAAGGAAAGTACACAGGGACGCTGCTGGGAACTGGACTACGCGAGAATCACAAAGCGATTCAGATGTTTTTGTGGTAGGTGAAGAAAGGGCGTCTGAGGTGGAAAGTGCCAGCCAGAGATCTGGTAAGCTGCTAGATGCATCAGCGGAACGCAGCCACGACGACGGATCAGATCCAATTGATGATAATTACAACACAGCTTCTGAATCTGATGATATCGAAGATTCCTCTTCTGAAGATATCAGTGAGAACAAACCTACTGGTACGAAGCCCAGGGCAGTGAATTTCTCGGATATTTCTACTGAACACTTCTCCATTGATCCACACGCAGCAACAGAACTCCCAAAAACTCCCGTACAAGTTTCCAATCGGTATCCCATTGCACCAGCGCTGGCGCCAGGACGTGTGGTATTTGGATCTCCTGCGCTGGCACCAGCTTCTTCCAGAACACAGCCGCCAACGAGTCAAACTGATAGGTTGGATAGCAAACCAGGAACGCTTCCGACGCTGGTACGCCAAGCAAAGAGTGGGCAGTCAAATTCCCAGAGCAGTCCAAACTTATTTGTCTCTGTTGATTCGTCTTCAGGCCGTTCGTTGACTCTTCCATCTACAGCTTCAAGTCCTACGTCTCTATATCGAAAGCGCCTGAAACAGCAGATGACGCTTCCGTTCAGCCTGCCGCCTCGAAGTCTGCCAGGAAGAAGCAGAACTGATAACTCCTACAGAATCCCTTTCTCGTCGCAGACGAATTCTACATCTTCAGAGCCCAAGGACCAGTTGATGGTTCCTGATTCAAGCACAACAGAAGAATTGAATCGCCAGGCTTCGCCTCCCAAGAAGGTCTTGTCTCAGGAAAGTCAGATCGTTATTAAGAGCTCTCAGGATGACAAGGAGCAGAAGAAGCCAGCACCAGCAAAGCCTCGTGGTACTCTACCTACAGCTGTCAAACCTGCTGTGGCCAGTCCAAAAGAGGAAGAAGGTGATAGGAAGCGTATAAAGTTGATCCCCATGTACTCGAAGCTCATGCGGCCTGAACCTGCAAAGCCCGAGCCCAAGTCGCTAGCACAGCAATTGAGAGAAAGAAGGGAGCAGCTAGAAGGGCTGTCTCGAGCAGAAACGGCATAAGCCGGACGGATGTCTGGCTGGTCGTTCAGTTAGCGTATTGATCATGTCTCAACTGATGGAACTATGGTTAAGATCTGAAGAAAGGGCACCTGTTCGAGTCAATTGCAATCGAACAAGCTTCCTAGCTTCAAATCTGTCTATGAAAAAGCTTTACGATTCCAATACCCAAGTCTACACCTTCATTGGTGTTCTGATTGGAACCCAGGCACCCAGGCAACTGGCCACGCCTAAACCATATCTCCCCATCCCAATGACCCATTCTTCGTCAAACCACGATCACCCAATAAACAAACACCATCCAACCTCTTCCACCTCCATTGAACCTCTTCGTAGTTCACTGAACCCTCGCTACATGTCCTCTCCACTCTTCCAACTACCCAACTCCCCCCGCCCCCGCCTTTGCCTATAAATACGCCACGAATTCCCACTTTTAAATTCCCAGAACCAACTTTTTTCAACCCTCTTCCTTACCATTTCCCCAGTGGTCCCTTCTAGAACATCCACCTGGGTGGACCCTTGGAGCCACACTTCGCGATAACCGCAACTCCACATCCACCGCAACCACTTCCTTAGTTTGCCTTATAAGCACCCAATTCCCAAAAACAAGTATCAAAAAGTACCTCTTTTCAATCATGATCTCCCCAAAATACGCATTGACCCACTACTGGCGCTCGGCAAAGGCCGCTGGCCCAACTACGGCTCCACACGTGGTGAACTTATACTTGGACTATAACTGTCCCTTCTCAGGGAAGTTGTTCTCGAAGCTTCTTTCGGTGATCCCGGCGCTTGACGATAAGCATCCTGGCCAGTTCCAGTTTGTGTTTGTCAATGTGATCCAGCCATGGCACCCAAACTCGGTGGGTTTACATGAATACTCGTTTGCAATTGGCCAGTTGTTGAGGGATAAGATCCCAGACAAGTCGAACGACTTCTTCTGGAAGGTTTCCAAGACGCTTTTCGATAACAAGGAGGAGTTCTTTGACTCTGCTACGGTGAGTCTCGGCAGAAACGATCTTTATAAGAAGATTAACGATGTGGTGTTTTCCAAGCTTGATCTTCCAATTGCTCAGAATGACGTTTTGGATAGGTTGGAGATTAAGCCTTCTTCTTCAGCTAAGGAGGCCAATAACGACGGTAACGCTGCTACTGCTGACGTTAAGTACTTTACCAAGTACTTGAGAGGCGTGGGTGTTCACGTTACGCCTACGGTTAGCGTGGATGGCATTGTGGACGGCAGTGTTTCCAGTGGCTCTTCTCCTGAGGAGTTGACCAAGGTGTTTGAAAGCCACTTGTGAATAGCCAGAGAGAAGTTGTGAGGTGGGTTGGAGGCGGTTGCCCTCATGGTCGACTCAATTGACTCAGTAACTCCCAATGAACGCTTGAAAAATGAAGAATGAATCTGGGAAGCTGGGTAGTTCGAAAGCTATCTTTCCCCCACATTGCCCTCTTGACCGCTCACTGCCAACTGTATATGCTTGACATGTATGCTTGACAATATGATGATGAATGATCTCTACGTCGTGTAGAATAAGTAAAGGAGGCAATTTTGATGACTTAGTAATGTTGGTGAAGTTGGTGAAGTTGGTGAAGTTGATTCTGATGGTGATGCTTCCTATTCAATCAATACCTCAATGGTGTTTCTATGCTCTAAGAGGTGTATTAGACACATAACATCGATACAAGGTACATTTAGCAACCTAAACAGAAGCCTTATACCTTTTACTGGCCTAAATAAAGTCACTTAAAGCCCACTTGGCCTGTTGATGCCCCTGTTTCTGGGTAACTGAGTACCATAAGATGTAGTTATACCTATCCATTGGAACACACCAAGTGAAGCCTAGATACCCATAGAAAGCCCAGAACTTTACCAGAAGCCCTGGAAAAGATTAATAAGCGTTATTCTCTTCAGCAAAAGCCACATCTCCTACTGTCTGGTAACCAGTATGGAACATAGTTATGTCCATTACCCAGTCCACTTCTACATGGCAATACCCATCAACTACAGACACCAACACCTCTATTTCCCAACCAAGTAGCATTCAACTCTCCAAGTAAAGCCCCAAAAACATCAATATCACCCTCCATTCCACCTCTCCACCACCTAAACTCCCATTCCCTACACTCTCTCATAGTCTCCACCAACCACAACCAACCCCCAGTTATCCACCCACTGTGCCCCCATTGAGTCCCCAAAACCACTCCACCCAAACCCTCCAACCCCCTTCTTCCCAAAACAACTCTCCCTTTGCCTCCTCCACTCCTCTACCTCCCCCAATGGCTCCCTTCCTTCCTCAGTTCCAGCTCAGTTTCAACCCCCACCGTCCAACCCAAAACCACCAAACCCCCCAATTTCATCCCATATCCATAAACCATACTCTCTCTTCTTCCCAAAAAAACCCCATTTCCACATTCCAATAAGCTACCAATGACCCTCCTCTCCGTCCCTCTCCTTTCCCTTCCTACTATATAAGCTCACGCGAAAGACTCCAGTCCATACTACTTCACCAAACCACCAAGTACCACCAAAAACCACCAAATACCATGCCTGTTCCGTTCACGTTAACGTATTCTGCCTCAAATGGCATCTTCTACAAATCCATCCAGTTCGACTGGTCTCTGATCGATTCTGAGTGTAAAAGGCACTATTCGTTGGATTTACCTGTTTTTGCAGCCAAACTGGAACCAGAACCTGAAGACGTGGTGGTCCAGAAACGCCAGCAGAAAAGAAAGTTTATTGAAAACGTCTATATTAATCTCGCCTCCAGGATCCCCCACCAGGTTCTTCGCCAGTTGCTTGCAGCTGCTTCGTTGCCTCCAACTCCTTGGAAGGAGGTACCGTTTCTTCGTCAGAATGGCCTGGAGTACCGTTTCTGTGGGTTCCATCCAATGGGAAGCGCTGTGGTTTATAATTATACGGAAGTGGAGAAACAGGTTCACCAGGTGCTTAGGGGGGTGGACGAGCAGTCGGGGGATTTGCAGATGTATACGCTTTTGGAGCTGGTGACGGCCTCTCCAGGCCCGGAAAGCCCGCAGGGCTTGGAGGGCGTGGAGAGCAAAAGTTTAGAGCGTCCGAAAAGCCCAGAGGGCTTGGAGGACGTAAAGAGTGAGGGAACAGGGAACCTAGAGGGTTTGAAGAGCCCAGAAGGCTTGAAGGACGTGGAGAGCCCAGAGGGACTGAAGAGCCTGGAGAACTTAAAGAGTGAGATTCCAGAGAGCCTGGAGAAGCTGAAGAGTCCAGAGATCCTGGAAAGCTTGGAGAGATCGGAAATCCCTGGGGGCTTGGAGGGCTTGGAGGGCTTCCAGTTGCACGAGAAGCTGGATGAGTTATGCCAGGGGCACTGCCAGGAGCAGCTGGTCCCCCAGGAAGAGCTGGACGCCCTGGACGCCCTGGACACCCATGAAATGTTAGAGAAATTCAAGGAGATGGTCCGCCAGAAGGCCTTGAGTGACCTTGATGCCCTGGAAGAGACGGCCGTGGAAGATATGCCTACCAGCGCTCTGAGTCCAGAGACTGGTGATGATATGTTTGACAGCTACGAAGGGCTCAATCTGCCGTTGACTCCACCGCTCGAGGAGCCTGCCCAAAAGTACTTCTTCCTCAATGGTGGTTTCTTTTCAGATAAGCATATCTACAATATTTTGGAGAACCACGGGTTCACCTTCCCTTGCATGTTGCCAGGCAAGAACCCACTGATTGTGTTCAATTCAGTCGAAGATATCCTGGTTTACGAGCACAGGATGGACGAGAGGAAGATTCTTAAGGTGTCAGAGGAGTCTGAACAGACTGCTGGTCTGGAGAGTGTAGAGAGTGACGGCCCCCAGGTGGTGGGAAAAGCTGGAGATGCAGCCAAAGCTGGTGTTTTCAAAGGGCTTGGGATTACAGTGTTGAGGAATGGCCCCTTCATTGACGCCAGAAGGCTTTCGGCAAGACGCAGACTGAAGGCTAAACATGCTAGACATGCCAGGGCCAGAAAGGAGAGGAAGTATCTTGTGAATAAGGAGCTTCAGGAGGCCCAGGATGGCGACAAGACCACAGAGTCCAGTGCCTCAGCCAAAACCACTGAATCGGAAAAGTCCACCGACTCCGATAAGTCCAGTGGGTCAGAAAACTCCTCTTCATCAGATAAATCTGGATCCGAAGCGTCGGTGCCAAGTCAAGCTGACTCCGGTTTTTAGTGAGGGGCCGAAGTAGTTTGTCATGGCGTTTATAGGGCTACAATGCAAATTGGAGTTGCCAAAAGAGTCTGGCGTTGTTCTTCGTGTACCTCGGCTCTCATTGCTAGCTTGTGTTAGTTGACATTGTGATCGTTGCCAAGCCGTGGAGTTAAGTGGTGTGGGTGGTTTGTTTTCGTGTTTCAGCGAAGGTACAATGAAATCTGGCTAAACTGCCCTGGTGGGCCCATTCCAGGAGATAACATGCCCCGGAATTAACTACCTGTTCATGTGTTGATATCTCGTATTTCGAGCTACAGCCGTGTGTCCTTTGAGGCTTATCCAACCCAGTCCTGGAAGAAACAGCCCCAATCCAGCCATCCCAGGCCTTCTTCAACCACAATGAGCCAAAAAGGACAATCGTCGCTACGTGCCAGTTGCTCCCAGCCCGGATATAACGATCCCTCGACCGTTGGAAAACACCTTCTTCTCCATTGTTCAGCCCTGTTTACCCGAGGAGCAATCCTTATTGTTGGTTCCCACAGCCAACCGAGGTCCAATCCACATCCCACCTTCTGCTTCCGTTTTGCCACCGTTTTGACGTCCTTGACACCTCCACATCTTGACGTTTCCAGAAATGCAGTAAGTGCAAATTCACGAACAAGCCGCATTCGTCATGGGGCTTGGCTTTGACCTTCCGTGACCGTAAGGTTTGATAAACGGAACAAGACTCGGAAAGCCGCCGAACGAGCCTTGCAAGCGCCGTTACTCGCCGAATGTGGGCTTGACAATGTATGGGAGAGGTTCGGAAATACGGCACCACCGGGCTTACTAAGAGAATGCCGTTGTTTGTCATTATTTGAATGGAAAGCATACTGGTGAAGACTCTAGAGAAGCCGCACAGAAGCCCTTTCCGCCGTGCGGTTCCGTTTGGCAGGAACCCCCAGAATGTGCTTAGAATGGGGCCCCGTATTATTTTTTTTTTTTTTTGTCTTTATGGTATTTATACGCCTGGCGTCCGTCTGAGTGTTGATTTTCGGTTTTCGGTTTTTTCTCGATTCAGCTAATTACGTGCATTGGAGACGGGATATTATTTGCGCCTTGCAGTGTGTCAAACGTCTCATACGTCTCAAGAGAACGCACGGTCCGACCTTGAAAGTGTCTCAAAACCGGGATTCCTGAAAAAATGTCCAGCGAAGGTTCTTTGACTCCGAAGGAGTTTGCTGGTGATGTTGAAGGTGCTGGGGATGTCCAGCCAGCTAACCAGCATGTCGCTGACCTTCTGAGAGAAATGTCTAGATTGACTTATGAGGATGGAAAACTTCCTGTTTCTTCAGAGGAGTTTAACTTGTCTCGTCTTTTACATACTTATGTTCGCCAGGCAGAGAATGGCGGTGTGCAATTGCGCCAGGTGGGCGTTACGTTTGAGGATCTTTCGGTGCATGGCATTGACCAGAGTTATGCGTTTTTGCCTACAGTTAGCGGTGTTTTGAAGGCTCCATTGACGATTTACCGTGCTATTAAGGAGGCTAGACACCGCCCAGAACGTGCTATTTTGAACCCTATGGATGGGTGTGCTCGCCAGGGAGAAATGGTGCTTGTTTTGGGTCGTCCAGGCGCTGGCTGCCTGACTCTTCTTAAAGCTTTAAGTGGAACGGATTTGCAGCTGTACACGAAGATCGAGGGCCAGGTAGAGTACGACGGTGTGCCCCAGAAGGATATGCTTGCAAGCTATAAGCAAGATTTGGTGTATTGTCCTGAGTTAGATACCCATTTTCCTCACTTGACGGTGCAGCAAACGCTTGAGTTTGCCATTGCCAGTCGTATGCCCAGGCAAAGAGTGAATAACATGTCCAAGAGCGAGTACATTGAGTTTATCAGGGACATGTGGGCGACGGTTTTCGGTCTCAGACACACGTACAAGACGAAAGTGGGTAATGAGTACGTTCGAGGCTGTTCTGGCGGTGAAAGAAAGCGTGTTTCTATTGCAGAGGCTATGGCGTGCCAGGGTTCTGTTTACTGCTGGGATAATGCCACCAGAGGTCTTGATGCTTCGACTGCTTTGGAGTACGCCCAGGCTATTAGAATATCCACCAGGTTTACCAAAGCCACTGCTTTTGTTTCGCTCTACCAGGCTTCAGAAAACATCTATGCCACCTTCGACAAGGTGCTTGTGTTGTATAAAGGCAGACAGGTGTATTACGGCCCTGTGGGAGAGGCTAAAGCGTACTTTGAGGGTATGGGCTGGCAGTGTCCTCCCAGACAAACCACTGCGGAGTTTTTAACTGCTGTTACTGATCCTATTGGTAGATTTGCCAAGCCAGGGTTCCAGAACAAGGTTCCACGGACTCCAGATGAGTTTTTGTCTTACTGGCGTAAGTCTCCACAGTACGAGAAGGTCAAGGAAGAAATCGCTGACTACAAGGCCACCGTCAGCCAGGACGAGACCAAACAACGTATGGCTGAGTCTGTCAAGCAAGAAAAACAGAGACTTCAGCGTAATGGCTCTCTCTTTACTGTGAACTTCTACGAGCAGTTCAGGCTCAACTTGAAGCGTGCTTTCCAGAACATCTGGGGCGACAAGGCCTATACGATCATTCAAGCCGTGGCTGCTTTCGTGCAAAGCTTGATTGTTGGTTCTTTGTATTACGATACCCCAGATAACGTCACTGGCTCGTTCTCAAGAGGAGGTGTGATCTTCTTTGCGGTCTTGTACTTGTCTTTGACGGGACTTGCTGAAGTGTCGAATTCCTTCAAGGCCAGACCTATCTTGTTGAAGCAGCATAACTACTCATTGTACCATCCCTCGGCTTTTGCCATTGCCGAAGCAGTTTCGGTAGCTCCAGTGAACTTGGTGATTACAACCGTCTTCAGTCTTGTGCTTTACTTCCTTTCAAACCTTAACAGAGATCCAGGCAAGTTTTTCATCTTCCTTTTGTTCAGTTACTTGGTTTCGTTGGTGATGAGTTCTTTGTTTAAAGCTGTGGCTTCGTGGAACAAGACCATCTCTTCTGCCAATGCTTTTTCTGGTGTGTTGATTTTGGCTTCTTTGATGTACTCGTCGTTTATGATTCAAACACCTTCCATGCATCCTTGGTTCCGCTGGATTGGCTATATCAACCCGGTTCTTTATGGTTTTGAGGCCATGATCACCACTGAGTTCCATGGAAGAGACATGCCTTGTGATTCTGCCTATTTGATACCCCATGGGCCAGGATACACGTCAGATAACGTTGTTTGTGGCTTTACAGGCTCTCTTCCTGGCCAAACCAGCATCGATGGTGATAGGTACGTGGCCCAGTCTTTCGACTATAGCGTCACGCATGTGTGGAGGAACTTTGGTATTCTTATTGGTTTCTTGATCTTCTTTGTGGGTCTTTCTGCTATTGGTTTTGAGGTCGTCAGGCCTGTTTCCGGTGGAGTTGACCGTCTATTCTTCCTCAGAAGCAAGAAGAAGAACGAGATCTTTGTTATTGATAGCGACAAGGCAGAAAGTCTGAACGACAGTGAGGCAGGCCCTGACCCACCGACCGATCTCGAGAAGGCTGGTTTATCTGATGCTGACGCCCATAAAGCTCTTGCAGACTTGCAGGGTAAGGATATCTTTGTATGGAAGTCTGTGGATTATGTTATTCCATATGCTGGTGGCCACCGAAAGCTACTTGACAACGTTTCTGGGTACTGTGTGCCTGGAAAGTTAACTGCGTTAATGGGAGAGTCTGGTGCTGGTAAAACGACTCTTTTGAATGCCTTGGCTCAAAGAACCGATATTGGTGTTGTCAGTGGCGATATCTTGGTCAATGGAGGCGCTCTAGACGCCTCGTTCTCGAGACGTACAGGCTACGTCCAGCAGCAGGACATCCATCTTGCCCAAACGACGGTCAGAGAGGCTTTAATTTTTTCTGCTAAGCTTAGAAGACCCAAGAGTGTTCCTGATCGAGAGAAGCTTGAATATGTTGAGAGTATTATTGATGTTCTTGAAATGTCGGAATACGCCGATGCCATTGTTGGCCATTTGGGCTCGGGACTTAACGTTGAACAAAGAAAAAAATTAACTATTGGTGTTGAATTGGTTGCAAAGCCTTCCTTGTTGCTTTTCCTTGATGAACCTACCTCAGGCCTTGATTCCCAGTCCGCTTGGGCTATCGTGAAGCTTCTTCGGTCGCTTGCCAACGCAGGCCAGTCCATTTTGTGTACCATTCACCAGCCCTCAGCCACCCTTTTTGAAGAGTTCGATAGGCTTTTGCTTCTTCGTAAAGGCGGCCAGACGGTTTACTTTGGCGACATTGGTGAACATTCCAGAACCATCCTTGATTATTTTGAAGCAAAGGGCGCAAGAGAATGCTCAAAGCATGAAAACCCAGCAGAGTATATTTTGGAAGTGATTGGCGCTGGCGCCACTGCAATAGTTGACCGGGACTGGTTTGCTGTCTGGCAAGAATCCGACGAAAAGAGAGTTGCCAACGAACAAATTGACAGATATATCGTTGACGGCCAGAAACAAGCGTCCGCTTCAGAGGCAACACCAGAAGAGTTGAATGAGCTTAACCAAACCTACGCTACTCCAGTGTATTACCAATTTGTGATTCTTTTGAAGAGAGACTTCCTTACGTTCTGGAGAAAACCAGAATATGTGATGGCTAAGATCTTCTTGATGACCATGAGTGGTCTCTTCATCGGCTTCACGTTCTTTGGCTTGAAACACACATTAACTGGATTACAGAATGGTATGTTCTGTGCTTTCTTGTCGGTTGTTGTCTCAGCGCCGGTGATTAACCAAATCCAAGAACAGTGTATTGCTATTAGAGAGGTCTTTGAAGGGCGTGAAAGGATGTCTAATACTTATAGATGGTGGCTCATGGTGCTTGCTCAGTACGTCACTGAAATCCCATACATGTTTGTTGGTGGAGCCATTATGTTCGTTTCACTTTATTTCCCAACCCAAGCTGATACACTGGGATCCCATGCTGGTGTGTTTTACTTGACCAATGGTATTTTCCTCCAGTTGTTTAATATTTCGTTTGCGTTCATGTTGGTTTACATGGCCCCAGATGTTCAATCTGCGGCTGTGTTGGTTTCGTTCTTCTATTCGTTCATTGTTGGTTTCTCTGGCGTCGTCCAGCCAACTCAGTTGATGCCTGGTTTCTGGACGTTTATGTATAAGGTCAGTCCTTATACTTATATCATCCAAAACCTTATTGCCTCTTTTCTTCACCAAAGAAAAGTCGAATGTGCTGATAAAGAGTTATCTGTGCTTGAACCGCCCCAAGGCACTACGTGTGGTGATTACATGGGCCCATTTATTGAGAATGCTGGTGGATACTTGGTCGACCCCAACAGTACCGAAAGCTGTGGATATTGTCGTTATACAAATGCTGACGAGTATCTTTTGACCCTTTACACCAAGTACTCGTATATCTGGAGAAACGTTGGATTCTTCTGCGTTTACATCATTTTCAATCTTGCGATGTGCCTAATATTGTACAAGGCCCTTAGGTTGACAGTGTGGAAAATTCCACCGATTTTCAAAAGAAGAAAAATTAACTTGGCCTATTGTTCAAATGCACAGTCTGTTTGGTGCAGCATACAACTGCATTCTTCGCATAAAACAATTATTACGCTTATGCGGAGCCATGCGCGTCCTGTGTATCGTATATCAGGCTGTTCGCACGATACTTGTATACGTCAATAAACCTACGTGAAAAGCGGCGGCCTTGTACAGCTGGTGTCTTGATTCTCCCCCTTCAGCCCCATACGTAAGCGATTGTACGTAATTTCACCTGGAGGAACATGTATTTTTTCCGTGGATACCCCAGCGAGCCTCATACAGGACCACAGCAGAAAGGGTCCATTAGCCTTTTAACTACCTTGTCGAGACTTATGCTTCTTCAAGTCAGTGCAGCCCCCCCCTTACTGGATCAAACTCAAAGCAGCATCCGATGAAAACTCACATGGTAACAAAAGCAGTGCACAGAGCGCATTTTGTGAGCTCGCCAAGGTAGAAATGCATGAACTCTAAACTTCATCTCGCTTGGGTCTCGCGTACCGTAGTACCAGGGTTTTACAGCCATTGCGTCCCCGTCTGACCCGGCTCCACAAAACACGGATCCTCTCGAGGTCCCCCACTTACGCTATTGGGAGGCTGGACGGGAAAACGCTTGTTTGCAGCCAAAATAGGTATCCTGATTTAGGGAAAGACGAAAAATTATTCTCCAAGTAAGCTTCGATTTGTTCTTTTTCGAAGAGAGAAGGATTTTTTTATAATTCTTTCGTTGAAAGAAGAACTTTTCTTCTACAAAGTAAAGTTTATAATTAGCTTGAATTAGCATATTAAAGAAGTAGATCAAAGATCCAAAAGGCACCAAGGGCGCAATATATAACGAAAGGTAATGGGGTCATCAAGACCTCAAGCGACGAAATAAACCGGAGAAGGTACAAGGCTTCCCGGTTTGGGTAAAAAAGGTCCATGAAATGATATAATCAAACTCATATCTAGCATGCTGCTTACATGAAAGCGAAAGCAACCAAGGAGATCAACCAAGAGTAGTTGATAACCTGGCCAGCAGCACCACCCTCGTAAGTGGAGACACCTGGAGCTGGAGCTGGCTCAGATGGGCCAGCAGATGGACCAGCAACAGTGGTTGGAGCACCCTCAGAAGGAGCTGGCTTACCTGGAGCACCCTCAGAAGGAGCTGGAGCACCCTCAGATGGAGCTGGCTTACCTGGGGCTGGCTCAGATGGACCAGCAACAGTGGTTGGCTTGTCCTCGGCACCTGGACCAGTCTCCTTTGGTGGGAAAGTAGAGATGTAGACAGTCTTGGTACCCTCGACAGTGGACTCGTGGACAACACCAGTCTCGGTGGTACCCTCGTGAACCTTGGTCCAGGTAGAACCAGTCTCCTTAGGACCGTGAGGCTTGTCAGCAGTCTCCTTTGGTGGTTGTGGCTTGTCACCGGTCTCCTTTGGTGGGTGTGGCTTGTCAGCAGTGTCCTGAGGACCGTGAGGCTTGTCACCGGTTGGCTTACCTGGGTGAGGACCAGCACCAGTTGGCTCAGTGTAAGTGGCACCTGGTGGGCAGACCTCGGTGGTAAGAGTAACGGTACCCTGCTCAGTCTTGGTGTAGACCCATCCAGACTCGGTGGTCTTTCCACCTGGGCAGACAGGACATTCAGAAACCCATTCAGTAAGAGTGTGACCCTCGGTCTCAACAGCAACGTTACCGGCCTTGGTGGAAGTGGTTGGCTTACCGTCTGGGCCGTAAGAAACAATCACCTCAGCTGGGGCAGTGACAACCTCTCCACCTGGAAGAGTAGTAGCAACACCAGTAGTGTAGGTGGTTGGCTCTGGAGTCACAGCAGGAGCACCCAGGGCGAACAGGGTAGTGGTGGTTGGCTTACCGTCTGGGCCAATAGACACAATGACATCGCCAGTAGCAGTAGAGACGGAACCATCAGACAAGGTGGTAGGAACTTCGGTCTCGTAGGTGGTGCCAACAGCAGAAGAAGCACCCTCAGAGCCAGAAGCAGAAGCAGAAGCAGAGCCAGAGGCAGAGCCGGAGGCAGAAGCGGAACCAGAAGCCTCAGAAGAGCCAGAGGAAGCTGGAGCGGAAGCGGAAGCGTCGTCAGAAGCGGAAGCAGAAGCAGAAGCGGAAGCAGAAGCGGAAGCATCGTCAGAAGCAGTAGCAGAAGCAGAAGCATCCTCAGTAGCGGAAGCAGAAGCGTCACCAGAGGCAGAAGCACCCTGGGAAGCAGAAGCAGCGTCAGAACCAGAGCCAACAGTGGTGGTCTCAGTCAAAGTACCAACATCAGACTCGGTAGCAAGGGAAGAGACAGCAGAGCTGACAGAAGCCTCACTGGCAGAGAGCTCAGACTGCTGAGACTCAACCTCAGAAGAAAGAGAGGCAACGATGGAAGAAGCCTCAGAAGTAGCCAGGGCAGCGATGGAAGAAGTGACATCAGCCTGGGTCTTTGGGGTTGGGAAAGGCTCACAGGCACACTTCTCTGGAATTGGGTTTGGAGCTTCACCGTTGTAGGAGATGGACCAACCACCGCCGAAGAGACCGTTGGTCTGGAAACGGCTGGCATCGTAACCTGGACCAATGTTGAAGTCGAGCTTGAAGACAATACCGAGCAAGAAGGTAAGGGTCAAGGTCTGGCCGTTGTAAGAGTGGCCAGTGAAACCAATGTCGACGTGGATGGTCTTGTCACCACCGAAACCAGCAACGTTGTAGCTTCTGGTACCAGTGATGGACTGGGTCAAACCGAGAATGTTGATGGAAGCATCCTGACCAGTCAAGGCAACGGTCTGCTGGTCGTCAACAGACAAAAGCTTGGAAACATCGAAGACAGAGTTGTCACCGACGTTAACACAACCTGGACCCTGGACACTAGAGATCTGGTGCCAGACAAGGTTGTCAAGACAGATGGCACCGTTGTTGACAACGTCAAGGCCAAAGATACTGGTCTCAACGAAGGAAACGGAACCTGGGGAACCACGAGCCTGGGCAACGTGGATCTTACCGTTGTTCTCCCAGCTCTTAGAAGCCTGAAGGCCGATCTGTGGGAAGAATCTGGAGTCAGAAGTACCCAACCACAAGTTACCGTTGTTCTCGAAGTTCTGGACGTTGACCTTAAGCTTACCAACAGCGTTACCCTCTCTGGAGTCGAAAGAGACGTCACCGTCGTTACGGAAGTCATTACCACCGTGTTCGTAGTTGATGGCTCTGTTCTGAGCGCTGGTAACGTAGAACTCACCCTGGTTTCTGAAGAAACCGGTGGTCTTCACCTGAGCAACGTTGATGAGGGTGAAGAAGGTGTCTGGGGCGATGTTAAGGTTGTTGATGTCAAGGTTGGTGAGATCACGGTAGACGGTGTTCTCATTGATGTCAAGACCGTGAACGGTCGACATTAAAGCGAGCGTGGTAGCCAAAGTGCTACTGAATTTGGAGATCAAAGTCATAGAAGTTGAATGATAGAGAAAGAAAAAAAAAACTTCAAGTTGGTTGGGATTCTTGCCAATATATATAGTCCAGAGGAGTGGTAGGTTCTGGTTGTGTGGCTGCAAAACAAGAATACTGGTTCTTGGTGCTCGCTACACATTCTTAGCCCCGTTTACAGCCAACCAAGCGTGTTCATTCTCAAAAGAGCTGATCGGTTGCTCTGGTTTCGACTTTTTCGGTATACCCTTTTCCAAAAAGGTAATGGGGGCTTTGTCTCTGCGTCAAAAGTTGTGTGATATACATGGTTCTGCTCACATGGTAGTGTTGCTGAATTGCCGCCTTACTGATCATTCACCCAAAAATTCATAAATAGCCGGCAGCAAACAAGGAGTTCACTGTGCTAAACTTGTTTCTGGCCTTACTTTTGTCAAGCTATGTCTTACTGGGAGCTTTGTGCATGTACATGTATGCACATGCAGAGATGCTTTATTTCGCTTGAGCAGGCCCTGTGCGTCTCCATTGTGCATGTGCAGGGCATGAATGTACTGGCTTGTAAGCGAGCCCTGTGAGGCTCCTTCGAAAAGAAAAGAGATAGAATAAACGGGAGTCCGTGGTTAAGCATCCACGACCGTGTTTAGGAGCTACTGGAATACAAACAACAGAAAACAAAACGCTCGAGTAAACAATTCACGTCCAAATCAGTTTCGAGGCGGGCTGGATTATTCGCCTCGAAACCAATGAATGCAAGGCGTGTAGACGCCCAAACTAGGGCGTAGCACCAAAATTAGACATCACGATATTGAGTAACGTGGGGCCCTCCGTGGGCGGCTCGGGCGCGAGATTTCATTAAGCGATTTTGGATGTAGAGGTTATGAGTAACACGTCGCCCACAGCGCCCCCCTTAGCAACCTTGCCAGAAGCGAGTGCCCTACCCCAGGTTTCAGAGTCATAAACTACTTTAGTGGTTTTAGCAAAAGCTAAAGTGGTGGTGCGCGAATCGTCTACAAAACCTTAAAGGAGCTGGTCTAAAGCAGGAGTCGGTAGCACCTGGCAACATCACACAAAACGGCCCTATCTAACCCCAAGTCCCAAAAGCGTATTCTATCTTGGGGTGCTTGAGTATTCGTGTTTCACTGAAATTACTTGGACTCTCTATTAGAGCCCCACGGCCTGAGTCAATATCATGTGCTCGACATCCACCTCCCATTTTTGCTGATAAATGCACCTCGCCTATACAATCAGGACGCATCCTCGCCTAAGTAGTATTAACCAGAATCATGGATCCCGCCATGGCAAAGAGAAATGGGGCAACGTACACCTGTAGTTGGCCAATACCCATTTTGGGCGGCTAAATCCACCAAGACTGAAGTTGTTTTGGTTAAGTCCATCCCTTGTTCAGGATGCTTTTCCAAACGACCCTGGTAGGTTGCTCTTCTCCCCTGAACCTCGGTTCTCGAGGGTCTGCCAGCAGCCGCCCTCTTGATGGTCTAGCAACCCTAAAATCACTTTTGTCCGACTAAGGCTGGACTTAAGCAAAACTAGGTTTAGGCTGATCCCCTAAACTTTTTAGTTGCACGGTCTATTAATGTCTATAGGCCACAAAAGCATGAAGAGTACTTGGACCTAACCCTGCTGGACAGACTACGCCTCGTGTTCCAAAAGCATCGTGTTTGTTGATATTATGATTAGATTGTTTTGTTAAGAAAAATAAAATTAAACCCTATGCTTCAGTTTCGTACCGTGTGTGTTTTCTGAACATTACCCTTTCCATCGAACGTGCGGTCTATGCTTGGTGCCGTTCCAAAAGGGCGTTCGTGCATTTCGCCACAGTTCGAGATTGAATAGGGAAGCAAACATTCCCAGAACACCAGCAGGTTTGCCTAAAGCAGCTTCTTGGACCTAAGCCTATCCTTAGGTTTTGGCTTGGTTGCTGGAAGAACCGTTTCTCCGAAGATTTTCGAGGAAATTGGCTGGTTATTTCCGACAACTATACCAAGAGTTACACAAACTGCAACTTAGCTAGGATCAAGTGAGGTGGGGGGACACAAAGTCAAATGTCTCCAACTCACGCCCAGGACGTGAAATTTCACCTAGGCGGGCTTTGAAAGTTTTCAAAAAAAAAAAAAAAAGGTCAATAAGTTATCTATCTCATCTACGTGAGGCCAAAAAAAAAGCCATCATGTCAAAACAATAGGCCGTTGGGAAGGAGGGGAGGATGCGTTGAAAGCCACCAGGGTTTGCGAGGTAAGGGGGTTGGGGGTCCTGGGTAAACTCTGGTCCCTTGCGTAACGATACACTGTATAGAGGTACATTCTAACAATACAGAAGCGACCTGCATGTTCCTAGCGAGACTCGTAACGAGACAGAAATATTGGCAGGCTTATCGTGCGTCTCGCAGTGCATATGCATATGTTGGCTTGTATGCCTGAGCGCACCTGACACTATGGCGAGAAAATTTTCCAGCTGTGGCTTCTGTTAAAGTGTTTCCGTGTTAGCCCTTTCCAAGTCTCCAAAAGGGAAGCAACCCTGTGTATTGAATATTACGAGGCTGTTGTTTCCGAAACGAGCCAGTTTGATCGATATACTTCAAGAAAAATGGCTCATGACTCCGGAAAAATAGAGCCTACTACCTGGCCGAGGCCTTACCCAAATGCATAGGGAAAATCGGCCCAGCATGCATAAGGCGTGGTAGAACGTATTGATCGAACTTCATTTGTATATTCGGTAAATAATAATAAAAATTAAGGTTTCTACAGTAAAAGCGCTATTTTAGTGGCTTTGAAAAGTTATGTGAACTGCCAGCCTTTCGCTTTCTCCATGGGCACCAAACCGCCAGCCACGTTCCCCGGTACCGGTCCCGGTTGCTAAGAGCAAATTCACAGCACTTCGGCCAAAAAAACTTGGTTTCTAACCCACGGAGACCACCGGGTACCGTTGACAGCCGTACCACAAAACCAGTAAGGATAGAGGAAATCCGAAACGGGAGCATGCTCCTTATGCTGGATGTCGGCAGCAACCGATGTGCTTCTCTTATTCTGCCTCCCTAATGCAGAATCTCGGAACACTTTAGGACAGCCCGCCAGGCTCGACTTGCCCCTTGGAGAGGATCAACTCACAAAAGTATAAGCCAAGGGGAATGATAATTGGGCTTGGAAGCCATGAATATTGCGTTATCGGTTTCACATAGCCTAAAGCTACCATAACTGCTACGTTTTCGGGAGAGCTGTGCAAAGCAGGAAGCAGACTTCCCATGTACGGTTTGGTTGACTGCATTCGTCTTCTGTCAGGCCACGAATCTAGACAAAAAAGGAACAAGCCGAGAAAAGCACTTCGCTTCGAAGTAACGCCATATGCTTTATTTTTGTCTCGACTCTCTTTTCACAAGCAGGTGATGTTTGTCGTTCTTTCCTTTTTCTATTTTTTATTCCATTCCTTTTTCTTTTGGGTTCGCTTTGTGTTCTTCTTTTCTAGCCCTCTGGCCTTGACTTTCCTTCCGTGGGGGATCTTCACGGATTTCAGTTGAAACAGTTGAACTGAAATTTTTTTTTATTTATTTTTACAATTAATGGTTCTTTCTAGTTTAGGTGGTTCTCTTTAATTCCGTGTATTACGGAGTGAAGCGGATTTTTTACTGGAAACCAAATTAATTAATTTATTTCCAGCTCAAATTAATAAAAAAAAATTCTAAAAATGTAGAGCCAGCCAGAAACTCACATGTGGATTTGCGTTAATTAGGTTGCCGCTAGCTAAAATTGTAGTGGTTGCTTCTAGAGTTGGAGGAAATCCTCTGTGTCTTCGAGAATTCCACTTCGTTAATTAAAAAAAAAAAAATTCATCAAAAAATTCAGCAAAAATTCAACAAACTTCGATGACTTCCATATCCAAATATTTACAGAAGTAAATAATACCCGAGAGTTCTTTGAAGGTTGAACTAATGTGGTTGTTCCGTTTCCCTATCCAGAAGTTTACATCCAGTGCATTTGGTCTCCCACCAGTCTAGACTTGCAACTACCAGAGCAGTACTATCAAATCTACCTGAAGATGGGTAAGTCTACGGCTTTAGCATCGTCAAACGCCGGCGATAGCCAAAGAATCGAACCTTAAACCACTTAAGCTAGCTGCATCGAAATTACTTTAACTCTAAAGGTTAATCCGCTGCAAGTGGTATGAGAGGTCTGCTATAGTTACCTCACTCTGCTTCTTGCATTTTTCAGGAACAATTAACTTTAACTTAGAAAGTCTATCTATTAAAAGCAGAAAAAGCATGGTTGATCGGCCCACAAAAAGCCTATTTATGGTTCTGGTGCCTGAGCGAGTTGTGCCCTAGCCACTCCTAGCATCAACAGAGGCTCAGTCGCGAGGCGTGTTTTATGGTATGATCAACATCAAATATCAACAATAAGCCTACTGGAAAACCCTGACTTCTTCAAAGTTGATCTATTTCATTTTCACAAAAGCGAATATCTAAGTCAAGTCCAATGTGAGGCCATGACTTGGGTGCGACCTCTGTATGCGAAACAGGGCTCAAGATTGAATGAACCCCTGAGGCCCGATAAAGGGAAGTCAGGGACAAGAAAAGAGACTCCAAAAGGGCCTGCCAATATAGAGACGCTCCAGAGCACCAGGCTTGTTCTTTCCTTCGAGTCTTCTTCCTTAGGTCCACCATCGTTCTCCCCTCTCATTGGCTGAAAGCCAACCAACTACTAAGGGCCTGGCTAGGCCTGGCTCCCTGAAGTTGTCAAGCCCTTGTGGCTATGGCAGCCCCCTAGGGTGACAACCAATCAGAAGCACCCAGTTCGACCTGTCAAGGGAGCCCCGGCCCCTGTAAACGCATATCATTATGATAACCAGTGCCTCTAGACCGGTGCCCCACCTTGATAAGACCCCTTAGCGTATATGCGCTTACAAGGCTGGCCCATGCGCACATTTAACCCTAATCCTCTGAGACATTACGAGTTACAATACCAATATACTCTAAGAGGTCCAGAGGTTCTCTACCACTCAGGGGCTGGTGTTACCCTTGGAGCCTTTATGCGCTTACAGGAAAGCAAGGGTTGTTGGGTTCGCCGGGGTATTTAAGCTCCTCGAGCTCCAATTATCCCGTCTTCACCGTTTTTTTCTCTTAAATAACCATGTCTACTGAAAAAGTGTCTTTTTTGCTCAACTGGCAAGCTACCCCTTACCACATCCCCGTTTACCTCGCCCAATTGAAGGGCTACTTCAAGGAGGAAAACGTGGATGTGTCTGTATTGGAACCTTCTAACCCTTCTGACGTTACCGAGTTGATTGGCTCTGGTAAGGTCGATATGGGCCTTAAAGCTATGGTTCACACCTTGGCTGCCAAGGCTCGTGGCTTCCCCGTCACTTCCGTTGGTTCCTTGTTGGACGAGCCATTCACTGGTATTTTGTACTTGGAAGGTTCTGGTATCACCGAGGACTTTACCTCTTTGAAGGGTAAGAGAATTGGGTATGTTGGAGAGTTTGGCAAGATCCAGGTTGACGAATTGACCAAGCACTACGGCATGACCCCAGACGACTACACCGCCGTCAGATGTGGTATGAACGTCGCCAAGTACATCATCGAGGGTAAGATCGATGCTGGTATTGGTATCGAGTGTATCCAGCAGGTCGAGTTGGAAGAGTACCTCAAGGAGTCAGGCCGGTCCGCCTCCGAGGCCAAGATGCTCAGAATCGACCAGTTGGCTGAGTTGGGCTGCTGCTGCTTCTGCACCATTCTCTACATCTGTAACGATACCTTCTTGAAGGAGAACCCAGAGAAGGTCAAGAGAATCATGAAGGCGCTCAAGAAGTCTACCGACTACATGCTTGCCAACCCGAAGGAGGCCTGGGACTTGTACTGTGACTTCAAGCCACAAATGACGTCCAAGGTCAACGGTAAGATGTTCGAGAGATGTTTCGCCTACTTCTCTGACTCCTTGTACAATGTGCACAGAGACTGGAGAAAGGTCAATGCCTACGGCAAGAGATTGGACATTTTGCCAGCTGACTACCAGCCAAACTACTCCAACGAGTACCTTTCTTGGGACGAGCCAGAGGAGGTTGCCGACCCATTGGAGGCTCAGAAGTTGATTGGCAAGATCCAGGAAGAGTGCAAGGCCTGTGGTGGATACAGAAGATTGGAGTCTGCCGTTGTCGGTGCTTCCGCTTAAGTTTTCTGGCAGTTTATAGTAACTTTTGAGTTTCTTACGCAGATGTAGTGACGTAGGCTTGGATACTGGAGGAAGTGGAGGTTTTTTGCAGCCATTCTGGAGTGGTAGTGTAGGCATTGTGCAGGGTAGAAGGGTGTTTTTGATGAAAGGTGGATCTGATTGGACAGTTGGAGGGATTCAGGCGGACTGGGGGAGTTTGAGGTGAGAGGATCTGTTTTGTGTATTTTTTTGTGTGTTTTTTGGTCGTCTGGTGGAAGTATGGGCAGTGTAAAGGCAGTCGCAGGTAGAGAAGTAGGTGAGAGGAAGGGAAGGTCAGTATGGCAGGATAAAGGCAGAGGGAGGTTTTTTGGGTGGTGTAGTTTGTGGTTGAGGTGGTTTTGGGTGTTTTGGGTGTTTTTTTGTTCTTTATTACTTCTTGTGTATTTCATTGATGGTGGGTTGTTAAGGAAGAACAGGTAGTGTTCGCAGTATTTAAGTGTGGTATACTGTAATGGACAAAAAGAGTAAACGCAATAGTGACCTTAAAAATCAGGTTTTTCTTGAATTCCCTTGAAAGTGAGTAGGTATAGAAATTGGGCACCGTTTTATGCCCTGTACGAGTTTCAGTGGATTTCATGAGCTTTTGGGTGTTTTAGAGGCCCTTCATTTATTCAAGTAGTTCACTCATACTTAAGGGAACCCAGGTGTTTGAGAAACGCCAAAAGATGGTCAGACTATGGGATGAAACAAAAAAAAAAAACAGAAAAAGAAGGGAAAGCTAGGTTAGAAGAAGCAAAGCCAGCTAAACGTATTGGGAATACTTACAAGAACCCTTTGAAAGGGACTAAGGAATTACTCCGGCTGAGAAGGTCGTTCATAGCTTCATAGTTGGGTCCATGAGAACACACTATCTACATTATTTAAAGCCAGTCCTGGATTGTTCATTTCAATCTTAGAAGCCCCCATAACTTGTTTATTTCGAATACATTTGGATTTGCTAGCGTATCTCGCATCTCTTAGGGCACCCTTCTTGTTTCATCTTCCCAACGCAGTACCAACACTAACAGAACCATAAGACGTAGAATAAAAAGAAACCAGAACAGCTAAAGATACATGGATTCATCAAACTTGTGCCAAAGGTCTTGAAATAAAACTTTTTTACATTTGATACTCATTTCTGTATACCATTCTGACACTAACCTTTGCAGCCAACACTCCAAGCCATACTAAGCCCCAACTGATACTACTAAGATTCCATTTGGAACCTACTAAACACAAATTACCTTCACCATACACCTAAAAACAACTTCATCCTCCACCTCTCCCTTGCCCTTCCCAAACATTCCACCCATCCAGTACCCATCCTTCTGGCACCTCTCATTGGTCCAATCCAGATCCCCCACACCAACCACCCCCAACCACCGTCCCTTCCACACCCAGGCAACCACCAAAAATCCAACCACTACAAAACCAACCATCCCTAATCACCTCTTCCTCCCCTTCTCCCACCCCCCTTTCTCTTCACAATAATACCTCGTATTTTCTTCACCTATTGTCTTCGCTTTTTCTCAGCCTTCCATTTTTTGCACCCATTTCACACCAACTACCTCACGGAACAAACACACAAAACCACAAAACCCCCCAAACCACACTTCCCACACCAACCCAGCCAACCTCTACCAGCGTCCCCCTTTTCCGAAAATACCCGCCGTGGCACGGCTTCTTGACCCTCTGCTGCCGCTTATCTTTTCCATCTGCGCGCCGATCTCGGATCCTGCCCTCGATCCGATCGGTTATTTTAGATAAGATACACCTGATACTTTGCATTTGCAACTACCAGGTTTTTCTAATGAACAACTATCTTATATGGGTGTCGTTGCTGCTCAATGCAGTGCTTCTTTGGGTCGCCATAACGAAGGTGCCTTACACGCTGGTGCCATTTTTGGTGCATCCGCTGGACCAGTATATTGACGGTGCTGGGTGGTTTGAAAAACACCCCATCGATTTCGTTAACGCTTCGGCTGTGTTTAATACGGTGCACGGAGCGTTGAAACAGAAGGATAATGATGTTTTCCCCGTGGGCGTCTCTTTCATTCCAGCGTATATTCCGCCAAATACGTTGATGTACCATTCGACGTCGCTGCCACATATTCCAGATGGCTACGAATGGATAGCTATGGACTACGAGTTTAGTTATAACTTTGCACGTTTCGATAGGGGCAAGAAACCGGTGTTTAGAAGGCCTCCAAAGAGACCACACCATGATTCAACTAATGGCGTCCACCAGGTTTCGTCCAAGTTCAGTTTACCTCTGGGCAATGCGTTTCTCTATACCTTCAGAAACACTAAACCTTTGGATAAGCTTATTTACCTTGATGGAGCTTCGGCTGCCAAGACAAATACCGGAGAGATGGACCAGCAGTCGATTCTTATGAGACAGAAGAATGTGGATGAGAGAGTGGACGAGTATAAGGCTGCTGAGGTGATTTGTGAATGGGGTAAGGAGTTTGGTCTTCAGGGCATTATTCGTCTTGAAATTGGTTACGAAATGGTACTTTGTGATTTCCACGATGGTATAGAACTTGCTGCTAATGTTTCGTTGAATAACGTTACAGACTTGGCCCACTTGCCTTATGAGAAGCCAGTTCCTGAAACTCCTCTTGAAACCAAAAGAGAGAAGCTTCTTGATGGCTGGTCCAGTTTCAACAGCTGGGAGCATCTCAAAGCAGGTGGAGGTGTTGACGACGGAGAGCATAGAATCGTTCTTGACTTCTCCAATATGGTTACTCCACTTAATCTGACCTGGATCAACCCAGACCCATACAAGAGAAGAATCCATAACCTTTCTGAACCTGCAAAGGAAGCTATTATCAGTGACGTCCGTAAAGGTCTTGTTGAACCGGTTGATCCATTCAGGAAGACCGATTGGCAGTTGCTCACTAGGAGAATCGAAGAGAAGTTTGCTCCTTTGTTCATGTTGCTTCAGACTTCTTTCAGGGTGTTTGAAGAGAACCTGAAGGAAGGTGACCTCTCAGAGGTTTTGGAATCTGCCGTTTCAGACCTCACCAGAATAACATTCAACTTTGTTAGGAGGTACTCCAACAACAACATAAAAGACCAAAAAGCCAAGGAAGAGCAGGCTTTCAAGGACGCCATCAAAGACTACGCCTTCCACACTTTCCCCATAGCCACCAAAGCGGACAGCTTGGTGTTTTCGTCGCTCTACAGAGTGACCACCGAGGTTGTTGGCTCTTTGTTCGACATATACTACACCACGAGAGAAATGTTACATGACATTTATGTGGAACCCAGCACAGCCCGCCACGAAGAGTTTAAAAAGACGCTCTTGCAGAAACAAAAAGACCTTTCAGATCTTTTAGGTGTTTTGCGCTGGTCCATATTCACCCGCTGTTCGAACTCCTGTGCCTGGGATGAAGTCTGTTACTCCCCTACGTGGGGACCAGGCCCAATGGGTTGGGGAGCCAACGATAAGTACTTTGTTCACGACGGTGATCGGTACAGAATCCCAACAGAATTGACTTGCGTCAGTTACAAAGACGTACCTCAGCGCTAAGCGCCAAGCCCAAACCAACTAACGAATAAAACGTCAATATACGCAGAATAGGGGAAATGCCGCTGGGAGCCGCTGGTGCTTTTGGACTACCGTTGGGTGACTCGTAGTCATTGGACGCCGCATTATAGTACTCAACAATGACTCGTTAGTCAACACACACAAAAAAAAAAAGCCATGCAAAGCCTATATGCCAAAAATTCTTAGCCAAACGTCTGATGGGCGCCCAAGATTTCAAAATTTGAATAGGGGTTCTTCTTTTCCAGCCATTATAAATATCCGTTGAGATCCTGGTCTTTTTTCAGGATATGGATCAAAGAATGGAACATCCACCAAAGACATCCAACGACTCTTCCTCTCTCACCAAGACTGATGATATCAGTACGGTGGACCTTGAGGGTGCTAATGCTGAAGAACAACAGGAACTTGACAGGATCTATAGAAAGTTGGATAGAAGAATCATCCCAGCTTTATGGACCTTATACTTCCTTACGTCTTTTGGAACCAACACTTATGGAGTCACGTTAACTATGAACAGAGAAGAGGGCCACTCGTTGATCCAGAGATTGGACTTGTCGCCATTGAACCTTTCCACGGCCAATGCTTTAGGGTTTATTGGTACTATCCTCTTTGATTTACCTATGAACTTGATCATGACTAAGGTTAGCCCTCAGACTTGGTTGGCTCGTATTGTCATTTCTGTTGGACTCATCTACGCATGCTACTGTGCTCTTGACAACTACCAGGGCCTTTATGCTGTTCAGTTCCTTGGTGGAGTGCTTGGTGCTGGTGTTTGGCCTGGTATGTCTTACTATATCACTTTATGGTACCCAAACCATAGAATGACAAGAAGAGTTGGGTACTACTTCACAGCAGCTCAGATTTCATGTGCCGTGGGAGGTCTTGTCAGTGCTGGATTCCAGAAAATGGACGGTACCAGAGGATATACTGGCTGGCAGTGGCTTTACCTTATCTATGGATGTATCACGGTTGTTGCAGGTTTCTCTTTACTCTGGTGGCTTCCAGATAGACCGTTCAAGACCCAGAAACCTTCAACTAACGCCTACAAGAAATTTATCAGAAAGTACCTCACTCCAAAGCATCCTCTTTCTACCCACGAAAAGGAGATCCATTGGAAGGATATGATGGACAGACAGAGAAAGTTGAACTGGGGATGGAAGGATATTGTGCTTATTGTCACCGATTTAAGACTCTACCCTATTGTTATCATGTACTTTGGTGTTGTTGGAACAGGTTTTGGTCTTGCAGTGTTTGGATCAACCATCATTTCTGCCCAGAACCCACATCTTTCAGATATTGATGTTTCGCTTTTGTACGCCCCCATCTGGATCTTTGACTTATTTGGAATTCTCACCATTACTCCATTTGCTGACCGTTGCAAGAACTACAGGTTCTTGTTCTTCTCAGGTGCTTGTGTGATAATTATCGTTGGAATGGTAGTTACCACTTTTGCTCCAGATCCATGGAGCCGTTACGGTGGATTACTCATTGCTGGTTACGGATTGGGCCCTACTGTGCCCATTTGTATGTCCTGGTCAGCTGAGATCTTTGAACACCGTTATGGTGATGTTGGTGCCAGTTGTGCTGCTGCTTTGGTTACTGGTTTGGGAAACCTTGGTTCTGTGACAGCTACCTACGCCTTGTACTCTGGATGGCCTGATGACGTTGACAGAATGTACTTGGGCTCTAATATGGTGCTTGTGGGAATGCTAGGCATTAGTATCTTTTCTTCGTGTGTTGCCAAGTTCATCCAGAATAAGATCAGACAGGTGGACGCATTGCCAGCTGATACTGACCATGAAGAACTGGCCATTACAGCTACTTCCACTGCCCAGAAGTGATGCTTCTCCAACCTATTCAACCCATTTTTTTACAGCCTCAGATAACCATCCTTAATATCTCTAATCTCGCTTACTGTTATCGCCTCCTTAATATCTCTTGTTTATAATCTAATCCTGATGTTTAATATTCTATAAAATACCGTAGAGAGGACGTTCGTTCCACACACCAATAATGGTGTTGATCCGTTCTTTCTCCTCTTTGTCTAAGATGATGAGGCGGCCGCCGTCGTTGGCATTGGCACAGTAGTATGTGGCAGCACATCCTCGATTTTCTACCTTGTTGAAGTTTGAAATTGGGCGTTGTCCCGTTCCAGGCTCGTTCTTGTCGCTCAAAACAGCGGGTATGATGATTTCAGATACTGAAACTGGGCCATTATAGCTCTCACGAAGGTCTGCAATGGAACTGAATTGCTGGCGGAAGGAGGAGTACCAGAGGTAATCCTTGATCCAGGTACCTTTCTTGCATTTAGTTAAACCGCCGTTGGACCAAAGAAGCAGGTTATTGCCGTAATGGGCAATCTGAGGCGAACAGACTTCTCCAGTAGACTCTATCTCGCCCATGGCGCCCGCAGTGTTGTAGTGGAACAGGAATTTCGAGTTTCCACTGATCAACTGCCCGAGCCAGAAGAGATCCTTATCGCCATACAAGATCTTCCCCGTCTTGCGGTAGTATTGCACGACAACAGGAATAATGAGCCCAGAGAAATGAGTATCTCTGTCCATGATCACCAAACCACTTTCAGCCACATGTTTCGAGTTAAAAAGAAAGAAGTTATTCCGGAGTTGGGCAGGATCAACCGAAAACCCAAACGGAGTCTTCTTGCTAGGAAGAAGCCCTTTGAAAAAGTCCATTTTCCATTTCTTCAAAAGCACATTAAGCTCACGGTCTCTAAAGAAATAAGCGCCGGTTTCCTTATAGCCCTCAAGCTCAAAGAGCAGGCTAGGAGCCACATACGGCACGGTATCAGCATCCATGAGAATCATCTCCTGGAACGAATTAAATATCGCCGCAAACCATTTCCGATTATATCCCTTAAAGTGTTTATCAAAGCCAGGAGCGAGGTACCTGCCCACGTTCTTGAAGCTGATTTGTTGGTCGTTTCCCAACGCACGAGATGAAATGGCTGCATAGCTCAAGAGCTTGATAGAGACATCAGAAAGCTCGTTCAAGTGAACAAACTCAATGGGAAGCTCGTTCCCTAGATGATTAAGCACGCGTAGCAAGTTGGACGCCCTGCCAACCTCTGCATCGCTGATACTCACCACAATGCCTCTTCCTCTCATTTTATTCTTGTGTTCCCGCAAGAACAGCAATTGGCCTGATATAGGCCCTGCTGGCGGGTGGCCCGAGAAGAACGGTAGAAGCTGTTTTTCAGCCAATTCAGCAGCAGGCGAAAGATCAAAGCCTTTCTCCAAGTAGCACCGGTTAAAGATGCGTAGATGCTCTATATGGTTCGTCACCGCCAGAAGCGGCTGGAGCGACAGAGACGAAGGCTTCACGGGCGCTTCATGAGCCAAAGCTTCAAAGTACGAGTTGCACAAGCGATCTAGCGTTCCGTGGTCCAGAAACACCAGCAGCGCCATGATATCACTGCTCAGCATCATATGTAGCGTTCTGGACGGCCACAAGTAGAGCGACACGATGCCCACGGCAAATAGACAAACCACGGCAAAGCGAGTCCTTGTTTTCATGGTGGTTGAAGACTGAACTGAAGTTTGAAGACTGAAGGATGAAGGAAGGTGATGGGGGCTTGGGGCACGTGGGATGGAAGGCGTCAATTGACCGGTACCAACAAATAAATTAATAAACCCAACGACAAGTATAAATACTCGGGCTTTCCCAGGTTTCCAAAGTATATATATTTTCCTCTCCCCGACGGGCTGTGCAATCAGGCTATGCAAACACTTAAAATTTGTTTAAAGTTGCGATGACGGCAATATACGAGACGCGCAGTCCATCTGCGGTAGAAGGTGGATGGAGGGAGAGAAAGAGAAGAGGAGGAGGAGGAGAATTGGGTGGAAAATACGATTTAGATGGAATTAGGGGGAGTTAAGGCTTTACTGATTTTATTGGGTTTTTTATATTTTTTATATAGTGGACTTGGGATGTAAAGCTTTAGGTGGACTGGTGAATCCACTGAGGATTAGCAAGCAAGCAGGTTTGCAGCCATTGAGGAAAGTGTGGGACCAAAAGAGGAACAGGGAGAGCACACAAAGACGGAAGGGCAGACTTGGAGGCGTTCTGGGGCTGTTTGGTGGCTGTTTGGGGTGTTTTGAAGGTTTATGGTGATGGGATTTATGGATTCATGCAAATGCTGGTTAAGCCTGGAGTGGCTGAGTCAGGCTGAGCCCAATGGGTGCAAAATGGAAGAGGGGGGTGGATTGGAGAGGAAGGGATGGAATGAATGGGGTGGATGAGGTGGATGGAAATTAAGGTTTGAATTGCTGAGTTGTGGCTTTTGGATGTTTTGTGGTGTTTTGGTTGTGGTTGGTGACTTGTATGGATTAAGCTTGGTGAGGACCAACAGTTAGTACTGGTACTCCAGGGAAGGCATTTCTCCAGATCCCTAGATCAGAACAAGGCTTTTCTCTCGCTTGTCTGATTCGGGATCGAGATCGGTTCCAGTTCAGGCGGTGGGTGCCCAAGGCTGAGCAAGGCTGTGCTGCTTATATGGACCGGGTTCTACGGGAAAATCACCAAAACAGCGGCAGCGACAGTGGCTATGGCTGTTCTATAAACAGCTTAAGAGCTGTTTGGTTCAGGCCAGATCTACAGGTGTGATATGCTGGGACAAGGGAGGAGGATCTCTTGTTACATAAACAGCAATGGTGGACTTGAGACACAAACAACCAGATAACACTGGATCTGAGATCTGAGCTGCATTTGTGACTCTTATAAGCCGAGCGTGCCGATATACTCATCTATGCTCTCGAGCCGCTTGAGCTGCTTCTTTTCAAACGTATAGATCTCCTCGGCAAACCTCGAAACAAAGTACTGGTCGTGGGAGGCAATGACAACTGCGCCTTCGTAGTTGGCAACCAACTCGGCTAGCGAGTCGATCGAAAGCATATCCAAGTGATTTGTCGGCTCATCCAAAATGAGCAAGTTTGGCGACAGCTCAAAGAAGTTAAGCGCCAACTTCACACGAGCCATTTCTCCTCCACTTAGCGTATTCAACGGTTTGACTGCTGTAGTGCCCTTGATTCCGAATTTACCCAAATGGCCTCTGTACTGACTTTCCTTGCGCTCTGGGAACTTGTCGTTGAATACTGTAAGAGCGGTTGCGTCGTCGTCAAAGTTGGCTTTAAACGATTCGGCGTTGAACTGGTCAAACGTTCCAATCGTAGCGTTGCCGGGTCTTTCGACTGTACCCACCGTAGGGTTGTTTTCACCTGTAAGCAACTTGATAAGCGTAGACTTACCGGTACCGTTGGCACCCACAATGGCAATTCGTGCTCTTTGGCCAATACTCAAATTGACTCGTCCAAAAATGACAGAGTTATTAGAGTACTTGTAGCCGACGTTGTTCAACACCACAAGATCACCCTGGTACCGCATCGGTGGAGGAGGTTCCACCTTCCATACATCTGGAACCATCTGTTTATCGACCACAACTTCATCACGGATGGTTTCATGGTACCCGCCTCTATCTCTGTTAAGTTTGAACCGATGGCCCTTTTCATTCACGTCCATACCGATTCTGTCGAGCTTCTTTTTCCTCGATACCATAGTTTGCACTTTCTTATCGTCACCACTTCTCTTTGCAGCCACGAGTGCTTTCTCCACACTCAGTTCCAACGCATCCTTTTTCTTTTGATTTGCATCTGCCTTGGCCTGCAAGAAGCTCTGCTTATCCTGGTAATCCAGAATATACTCATCGTAATTACCCGTGAAGTAGTCCAATCCTTGGTCTTTACACACAATGATCTCTTCAGCAACCTCGTTCAAAAAAGCACGATTATGCGAGACAACCACCATGGAAACATCATCCAAAGACTGTAAATACTTCTGGAGCCACAACACTGTAGGCAAGTCAAGATGGTTAGTAGGCTCATCGAGAAGCAAAATATCAGGCTTGATAAGCAATGCAGACGCCAAAGAAGCACGAATACGCCAGCCTCCAGAGAGAATCTTTGCCGGTTCCGCAATCATCTTCTCTGTAAAGCCCAAACCAGCTAAAATCTTTGCAGCGTTCACACGAAGCACTTCCACCGAGTCGTAGCCCTGGAGCTGGTCTGTCAATTCCGAAACAAGTTCCTGAGCAACCAAAGCTTCGTCGGTGCCTTCTTCAACCACATCATCCAAAGAAAGCGCTTCAACTTGTGAAAGCAACGATTCCTGTTCAACCAAAGCCTTTCTGGCCTTATGGCCTCTGGTCCCCGACCGTTCCGAAGCAATTTTCTGCGCTGCCGCCAACTCCAGCTTCTGCTTTTCAACCTTGACAAACTTAATCGCCTGTTTCAACTTGAGAGCATCGCCAGAGTCTAAGGCCTCTTCCAACACAGCCAATTGAGACAGCAACACCACCCTTTCCTTGTCTGCATCGACCACGGTCTCCAAAACCAGCTTTTCCGTGCCTTCCACAGCCACCTGTTCCACGTACAACGTACGAAGGTTCGAAGCTATACCCGGTATCTTCTTATACCCAATACACTTCAAAAGGGTCGTTTTCCCACACCCATTGGGCCCGATAAGCCCATACTTGGCGCCCTCGGTAATCCTCAAGTCAGTATCCACAAGTAGATCCTTGAGACCCGCCGAAAGCGACACTTTCCGCAAGTCTATATCCTTGGATAGCGTATCTAAGGTCTCATTATGAAATCGAGAGCTCTGCGAGGTAGCGACGATTTGTTCCTGATTAGTAGTTTTCTGTTTTCTGACCATAAAACGGGAGGAGAGGTGTTCAATTGCGGTCTCTCCAGGTTCAAGATATTCAGTAGCTGTTAATGAAGATATTTGGTTGTCTCCAGCTACTTATACTGAACTGGCTATACTGCACTTGTTATGAGTCATTCTTGCGAATTGGGAAGGAAGGGAGAAAGACAGAATGGGAGGCAAATGGGGGATCCTAGAGGGGAACCTAAGCCGGGTCTAGAAGGGAGTCTGGAAGGGAAGAGTTAAGGGGATGCTTTTTTGTTTTAGATAGAGTGGAGGTGGAAGATGGTGCGGCTGCTTTGGCTGCAAATGAAGATATGTATGTGTGTATTGGTACAGTATAAGAATGGCTGCGAAAGGGAAGGGAGGGAAAGTAGGAAGGGAGGGAAAGAAGGAAGGGAGGGAGATGAATAAAAGATGTTATTGGTATTGAAGGTTGGTAGAGGCGCTGGAGAGCTTTATGGGCATCTTTTTTGGGCCTTTTTGGTGGGTTTTAGGTGGAGTACTGGTAGGTTGATTGTTACTATGGCACTCTCTGTAGACATGGCAGAACACTAAGGGTAACACTAAGTGTAACTCTAAATGGTGCTTTTTTTTTGGTTTATTTCTGAATCTCCTCTTCTTCTGGGTCTCCTCTGTGAGTCATTCGAAGGAATATACTGGAAATTGAGTTTGTACTGGGTTTCTGGGAGGGGCTGAATGGACCGTGGATACGGCCGCTGGTCACCGAGAGCCGTACTCAAACAAGCGTTCTATGAAATCGAATATTTGGCTTTTTTTTTCTTAAAGTTTAGGAATGCTCCAGTGGGGGCAATCTAGAGTCTATGGATCTTTTGTTGGGCCTTGTACCTCACTGGATATGCCATATATGGGATGTTCAGGTAGGATGGCCGTATGGGCAATGGACGTTACCTGAGAAACTGTCGTTCCTCTTCAATACTCTTTTGTTGAATTTTAAAGGTCTTACAGCTGTTAAATTACCGAAACCTATGGTATACAAACTGAGGGCTCGTCATTTGGCTTGTTCCTGGTGCTCCTTCTCCAAGTGGCTTTCAATTGAGCCATAGGCCTAAGTGAGTAAAATTCATCATTTTACATTTTTCTTCGTTTCTTTCTATAAAATATGAAGAAGAACCTAGATTTTGTAGCCTTAGTATCCATGTATGGCTGGCTAATGGATGCCTCTTCATCTGTCCATTCACATGGCTTGGAACAAGAACTGTAGATTTACTACCCTTAAGAGCAATAAGAGATACTAAAATAAGCTATGGGAGTAAAGAAACACAAGGTATTCATAAAACCTTCCAAATGAGTTCTTCTTAGTGTACTTTCGATTGTCGTATGTCTTACATTACTAGTTGAGCCTTGGAGGACTTGAAGGGCAATACAAATGGTTCACTTGCAGTATTCCTCCTCACAGAAGATCAGTAGCATTTGAATCTTTCCCCAAAGAAGGTACAGAACGCCAATTGCTTGCAAATCTGTGTCTTTTTTTTGGTTCAAACTCGGACTTTAACTGGCCTCCATATACCACAACTCCCCAGCAACCAAACCCACACCAAACCAACCACAAACACCTTCACTACGTAATCAAATCCAAATATCTACATCTCCAGCCACATACCAAACACCAAATCTCCCCCTTCAGTTCCCCACCTCCCTCCAGATCCCTCCAGACCGGCAGTTCTCACCCCAAGCAGCCGAGTTGCTAGACATCATTAGACATGCATAGCGGTTACACAAAACGTCAAATTCAAACAGCACTGTTTTGTGAAGCGTCCCAGACCCTTGCTGAAGCTGCTATTTTCTCGTAACCGGGCCCGTAAGCCTGGTTTTATAACCCATCACATGACCGCAACCGTTACATCATAGCAACCACTTGGTACAACCACCTATAAAGACAAATACGCCTGGCGAAAATGGTCAATTGGGTCAAAAAAGCCATAAGCGATGTCCAAAAAGCAAAAACTCGAGCAACTCCCCAAGTTCAGCTCCAAGTACTACCCTAAAGAATTGCCCACCGCAGTGGCTGCAAACAAGTACGGGAAGGAAGAGAACAAACCATATAACATCTTGCTTAACAAAATAGATGATACTGAAAAACAACGTTCCAAGATCAAACCGGCAAACTGCATTGCCCATTGGTTTGTAAGAGACTTCCGTGTGTTCGATAACAAGGGACTTCTGGAGGCTGCCAAATTGGCTGCAAAACACAACTTACCACTTGTATGTTTCTGGATCAACTGTAAGGAAATGACCAAGGCCCATGCCAAGTCGAAATTCCAAATGCATTATCGTGTCAAGAGCATGGAAAAGCTCCATAAGAAGTTGGGTGACTTGAACATTGCGTTTGTTACCATCAATGCTGAGCTGAGAACCAAGATTGTGCCTTCAATCATTGATTTCTTAGAAAAACACAAGGTTTCCCATCTTTTCGTGAACCAGGAGTACGAGGTTGACGAATTGAGGCTTTCTATAAAGCTCATTGACGCTGCTTTACAAAAAGGGATCAACTTCCAGCCAGTTCACGATACTTGTGTGGTTCAGCCAGGCGAGTTGGTGACAAAGTCGAAAGGTACACAATTTGCCGTGTTTACGCCTTGGTACAGAGCGTGGGCTGAGTATGTGAACAACCATTTCATTGACGAAGGCAAGCTTATTTCAGAAAGTCCTCAAAAGCTTGAACAGTCAGTAGATGAGTTGCTCAAACAGGGCCACGGCTTGCCTCAGATAAAGGTGGACGAAAAGAAGTTCAACAAGTACTGGAAAGAGGTCGGCGAAGACGATGCCTACAAAGCTTTGGAAAAATGGGTCAAGTCAGATACTATCAAGAACTATGGCGAGACAAGAAACTCCATGGAAGGCGGTGCTTCCAACCTAGGCCACCATATCTCTTCAGGAACGATTTCTCCAAGGTCGATTATCTGGATGTTACATGAAAACGAGCTTTTGACTGAAGCCAACGAAACAGCTGCTCCAGGTATTTCTGAGTTCATCAGACAAGTCTCCTGGAGAGACTTCTACAAGAACATTCTATGCTACTGGCCCCATATTTCCATGTTCAAGCCTTTCCACTTGGAGTACTCAGATTTGCCCTGGGAATACAACAAAGACCACTTTTTAAAGTGGCAGGAAGGCCAAACAGGATACCCTATAGTGGACGCTGCCATGAGACACTTAAAGGAAACAGGCCATTTGAGTAACAGAGGCAGACTCATTGTAGCCAGTTTCCTCACCAAGCACCTTCTTATTGACTGGAGGTACGGCGAAGAGTATTTCATGAACAACTTGATAGATGGAGATTTTGCTTCGAATAACGGTGGCTGGGGCTTTTCTGCTTCTACTGGTGTGGATCCCCAGCCATACTTCCGTGTATTCAACCCATCTTCCCAGTCTGAGCGTTTTGACCCCAAAGGAACGTATATAAGGAAATGGGTTCCTGAGCTTAAGGATGTGGACTCGAAATCGATCCATTCGCCATGGGACCACCCAGACCTGAAGGAAGTGGCTAAAGAAAACGGGTACCCAGAACCAATTGTGGACTATAAAATGGGCAGACAGCGTGCGTTGGATGTGTACAAGGAAACGATGCAAAAAGGCAAAGAGAAGCTTAGTGACGAGGTGGAAAGCGACGAAGATTAATAGCTTTTTTGTTTATGTATTTTAGTAACCAATAACTGATGATACTAGCGTATCGAAGTTTTCCACTGCGCCATCCTCGGCAGCAGTAACAGTACCAGCACAGTCGTAGACAAGCGACTGGTTTTTTAAATCGTAACGGATGAATTTCAATCTGGGGAGCGACTGCTTGAACACTTCAGTTAGCCGAAGGTACTCGTTCTTTCTCTCGTCTTCTATCAGACTGGTGAAGGAGTTTGGCGAGCTGAAGTAGTCCTGGGAAATTAGGCAGTTCGTGTTATAGAGGGCGTAAATAAGCGTGTCACCGTGGTTGGCTGTTTTGGAGCATCCCAGGTCGGTGATGCCCACCTGGACTATCTTTATATGCTCCAAAGACAGCAAACTGTCACGGAGAAGACTCGTCTGGTCTTTGAAAACAGGAATCTTCAAGTACTCGAGCTTGGAGAACTTGGCAAGTCTCGAGAAGGATTTATCAGAAAGCGAACATTGTCTCTTTTTCTGGCCTGGCGAAACGTTATTCTCGATGGTATTAAAGCACACATCCAAGTATTTCAACGTAGGAGCATGCTGTTCGAGAGCTTCAAAGAGCGTATCCAAGTCCACAGGCTCGTTGGGCCTGAAAAGGTACTTCAAGTGGATACTGATATGTTCCAAGCCAGAGAGAGAAGCAATGAATGCTATAATGCAGTTGTTATAGTATAGCTCGTTAGTCATGCTGATATGAAGCAGCTTCAAGGACGTAAGCTCTGGCACGAGAAGGTCCAAGAAGAGCTCGGCCGGGGCGTTACGGCGAATGTATGCGGAAGACGTCAAGGAAATGTAATTATGGGGCAAGACATGGTCGAATAAGATCTCGGTGCAATCTTCTAAAGCGAAGCTCTTGAGGGAACCCAAATCCACATAGTTCTTCAAGATATGGGCGTCACACACAGACACAGAAATGTCCTTGAGCTTCAAATTCTCAAGCTTGATGGGCGAATCCAACGAAGAAGAATTGAAGAGCGACGATGTATATGTGGGAGCATCCATATGGTAGACTGCTTCCTGGGTATTGGACAAGACCGCTGAACAGCAAGGCGAAAGCGACGACGTGAACATACGGCTGCTTGAAGAAACCAGCTTCAGCACCGTGAGCGACGTCAAGTTCTCTGGGAACCCAGAAAGGTTATATAAGTTCTTTTCGCAGCCAAAGTTGGATATATCCAAAAGCTCCACTGACTCTGGAACATTAAACGTAGAGAACGTCAGTGAAAACTGTAAATTCCCACACACCTTCTTGATGCTGTTAGGCAACGAAGACACCAAATCGGCGTCCAAAGGCTGGTGCACAGAGTACCACTGGAAAGACGTCAAGTTCACCAACCGAGGAAATATACCCTTGAGGTACCCGACCAACTCGAGATGAGGCATATCTGGAATATGTTCCAGCGCCACTAGACACTTGATATGGCGACAAAAATGACGATTCCTCGAGAGGTTCTTCAAAAACCTCGTCAACGCATACAATGACCGAATCACCGTAGGGTAGCATGAAAAGTTATATTCCTGGAACCACTTATGACGGTTAACAAAGCCCTGGAGCTCGTTCAAATGAACCTTGGACGAGTCCAACACCACCACTTCGTACATCAGCGCATGGAGCGTTTCGTAGAGCTCCAGGCATGTTTTAGCCAACAGAAGCTTATCTTCCTGGGGTAAGTAGGTGGATATGTGGGAGATTATATCCGAGGGGAGTTTGAGGAGCATGGTGGGACGGATCTGGGGAAGGACATGTGTTTTAGGGGAAACAGCAAAGGTTTATAAGGGCTTTCAGGTCCGGACCGTGTAGGCATTATATGCAAAGAACCGTGTTGGAGACCGATTTGCTCATTTGGGTGCAAAAACGTAGGCGGGTATCCGACTCGGAGAGGTCACGTGATGGGGTTTGAAATTTACGATTTTTGGGCGTGTGGGGCTTCCAGGGGCGGCGAAAAAAATACAAGGGGTTAATAGAGGCTCTCTGATTACTATGATGCCCTCTTATTGCCTTATTTCTGCTTGTGATCTCGGATGGCTGGGACTTATGCATATGCTTTTTGACAGTTATAGACTGCTGTGGCTCAGATCTCATGCAGATAAAGTCACGTGATGCATATCACGTGAAGAAAACCGTTAGGAAAAGCAACGCCTATTTACTATTTTGCACCCAACCGCGTTTAGCCAAGGTTTCTTGTTTACCTTGGGAAGGGGAAGGGTTGTAGTGGTCGTTTGGAGGGTGTTAGAAGGTGTTTGGAGGTGTTGGGAGGGACTTTTTGTACGGGTTGACAGTTGGAGAGGGTTTGTAGGTACTGAAAAAGATGGCCTTTTACAGCCACAATGGGTATACAGAGAGGTCTAGTGGTATCTTTAATACATCTAGAAGGGGCTAAATGAGGAAGAGAAGGTGTTGGGAATGGTTTACGGGCGTTTGACATCTTTTGGACAAGAAAAGCGCAAAAAGTGGAAAACCAGCTGTCTTTGCTGGCCACGACTAAAAATTAACCCTGCTACTGCTTTCCTTACCAAATCAAGGTCCACTTTAGCCCCTTGAAAATTCTCTAAAAAGTCTAATTGTGCCTTTGGATGGGGGTATATGGTAACTGCTGAATGCCATGACCTACATACAAACATATCTGTCAATGCACTATGGGCTCAATCGGGAAGTATACCCGACGTTCAGAACCACATTTTGCAGCCATAAGGAAGACATGCTTTTTGGACATTTTGGGAAAGATGATAGTATACAATAATAGGGTAGCCCCTGAAGCGCTGGCCAAACTAACTACTTTGTTTAGTGTGTACTCCTCACCCTTCAGGTATTGTCCTTTGCTGATTGTCTTTCTACAACCGTGTATTATACTTTACCACCCCAAGTACCCCATACCACAGCTTTCATGCCACTCCAAAAGAAGGGATATTTAAATTTTAGTGAAGTTTAATTAATTACCTTGAAAGTTTGATCTTTCAGGTAAGGTAGTCTTATACATGCTGGACGACTATCTATTGAAGACATACTAACACCTGGTGTCCATAACTACTACTAGACTTTTTCCCTGGAGCACCCAGAACGTATATAAACCTCCCAATCCTCATGAAATGCCCTCCTGGGGCCATTAATTCCTTTTTTGAGCCACTGGCTGCGAGCTTTCTTGGGCTTCTAACAGCCATATGGTCTAGACACCATTCAAGGTACCACTACCCCAACAACTACCCTTGTAGTCAGAGTATAAGCTTTTGGTGGCCAAGGTGCCACAAGTACAAAGTACACTGCCTGATGATGTCATGGGGTCAAGAGAATACGACTGCAATGGAAGCCTGGAAGCAATATTCTTTGTAACACAAAAAGTGAAATGCCATGCACCTTATGGCCATCCACGTTTCATGGAGAGGGTGATTTTACTGAGACCATGAAGAGGAGACTGAAAATTGTATTAGTGTAGAAGACATGTTTGTGGAGGTAAAGAGGAGTGTAAGCTAGGAAACAACCAGTGTTCACTGGGAGACGAGGAGTGTTCACTGGGAAACAAGGTAAGTAATGACAGAAGTAGGATAACGAGGCTCTGATAGAACCACTAATACTACTAATGGTAGTAAAAGTACTTAAGCTAATACTAATACTGGTAGTCAGCACTCACTACTACTACTAGTACTACTACTAGTACTACTACTGGTACTACTACTAGTACTACTACTAGTACTACTACTGGTACTCCCACCAAACACATCCTCATAAACCAACCACCCCAATTCCCCAATTACACCCTCAGCAACCTCCAACCCGATCTGGTCATCCTGATCCTGATCCCTTTCTCTATCTCCTATCTCCCTCTGCCTTCCTCTGATTCCACTCCCAGCAACCTCCAGCAACCTCCACCAACCTTTACCAATTCCACCTTCAGCCGTTTCCGTTTCCGTCCCCTTCTACGCATCCACCTTCGATGACCACCTTCTCTCCTTCTCTCACATAACACCTCTTACATCGCTTATACCAGTACCAGTACCAGTACTAATACTAATACTACCCTCCACTCTACCTCCACTACAAATCCACACTCCAATCACAAAACCCTCCCACAGAAAAAGAAATATCTACCCACCGTACGGCTTTATCGTCTCTTTGCACCAGCTGCAAAGTTGCAGCTTGCTCTCAAAGTATAAATTGCTGTGGGCCAATAAAACCGGTTCCAAGGCGTCCACCTACATCCTCGTCTACCCCTAAGTCTACCAATTCCACCCCACAAACTACAAACAAGCTCAAATTTAACCTTCTTAACAAAGCGAACCAAAAAAGTCCAAGTCGTATTTTTATACTTTTCCTGGGCCATCCACAGGAAGCTTAGCCTGGTTTCACCTTGCTGCGTTGCTGGAATGCCACAAAAAATGCAACATTCAGGCAGAAAACTACCAGGGAACAGAAAAATAGCAGAAAAATAACAGAAAAATAACAGAAAACGACACACCCACCTGAAACGAGCAGCAAACTGTAACTTTTTTTTTTTTTTCAAGTTTCGTATGTCTATGTGGATTTGGAAAACTTGCAAAGTCTGGCCTGGCCTTGGGAAGGGAATGTAAGAAACCCGTGCACCACATACATAAAATGCTCCTCGGCAGACCGGTTTTTGTGTCGCTTTTGTCGTTTAAAAATGAGCAGAGGTGTCACGTGACACAGTAAGCGATGCCGTTGCCATCCGGAGTCGAGTGAAATTTCCATTTTCCATGGGCCTGTGTTTCCCATTTCTGGGCTATAGCGATGTCCTGCAGGTAGTCGATGGCGTCCAGGCTATGGATTTACGTCCCCCAGTTCCCCCACCGGGGGGAACTGGATTTTCCTTCTGTTTATTTGAACATTTAATGTAAATGTCTCCCCTGGCTGCTCCTTAGAACCAGCAGGACGTTTTCCAGCTCAAAATTTACACCTGGGGCTGGAAGCGAAACTGGGAGCGACTGTGAGAGTGAGAGATGCTTATATGCAGTACACGATATTCCAGTCCCATCAACCGTCCGCCAAAACGACCAAATCCCCTTGGATTTGACCAGGAAGTGGAGCAATGTGTAGAGCGTAGGGCGTATAGGTGGATGCCAAAGTTTGGCAGTCCCATGATGCCTGCCTGTCCTTTTACGACGGTCGTGGGGTTACCAAAAAAGAAATAACGGTTCTTACCTGCAGTCCTGACAAAAAGCCATATCCTCAATCGATAGCTCGTTATCACTAATCAGCATCAGGCACAAGGAGCACCCACCTTCCAGCTAAGTAACTTTCCCGGTCCAGTGGTCCAATCATATTACACGCTTCGTACCCCCCGTACCCCGCTATATTTCCCTTTGTCGTGCCCCGCCTACCCCTCCACTACTACAGTGCCCCTCCTTCCCAACCACATCACAGTCTCAGCTCCCCCCTGAAATATTCCAAGTCTTCTTAATCCCTTCCAACAAAGTTACCGTTTTGCATGTTCAACACCTCCATCTTCGATAACGCCGCCTCCAGCCTGCTGGACAGCGGCCAGGAATTTCTAAATGTGCCTCAGCCCATTGATATAACCCACCAGAGGCAGCCCAGTATCTTCAACAACTCCAGGTTCCGTAGGGAGCTGATTGCACATTCCCAAGGCATGGGAGGTGTTTCCTGGGGCTCTGTGACTATTGGCCTGTGGCTCAAGGACGAGGTGATGATGTATCAGAACCATCCTCAGGGGAACAGTGCCAATCTTCCGGGTAATCTTATAAACCCTAGAAGAGGGCTGTTTCGAATGTCGCTGGTGGCGGCTCCCGTGGCGGCTCAGAATGCTGCTAATCTTCACGCTGGAACGCTTTCGCCGCCAAACACTACCCTGTACCTTCCTACGTTAGAAGCTGACTACTGTAAAGACTATTCGTGCTGTGGCCAGCTCTTGCCCACGCTACACGACTTGCTTAGACACTACGAGGAGGCCCACATTCTGGCGTCGCCGCCTCAGGAAGCCAACTCGCATATCCTTGCGGCCCACCGCAATAGAAACAATATTAACAACATCCATAATGTCATGGAGACCGTGCTGACCACAGATGTGTTCTTGAACAACCACCATCACCAGGCTGCGCAGCAACAACAGCAGCAGCAGCAACAGGCCCAGGGCTCTTTGCATCTCCCGGCAAATCATTTCAACCTCCAGAACCAGACCATAAGCCAGGGCGCCGTTCCAGGGGCCATGCTGCCTTCTGGCAATGGTACTCCTCAGCAACAGCATGTAAACCAGCAACAGAGACATCTCCCGCCTCACAGAGTCAACCAGGCGGTTGCAGATGCCGACTCCGATAGCATGTACATTGACGACCCAGCTCGCCACTTGTACGTGATGGAGAATGAAGAGTACAAGCCTTTCAAGTGTCCTGTGATTGGCTGCGAAAAGACATACAAGAACCAGAATGGTCTCAAGTACCATCGTCTTCATGGCCACCAGAACCAGACACTCAAGGAGAACGACGACGGAACGTTTTCCATCATCGACCCGGAATCCAACACTCCTTACCTTGACGGAGCCGGCATGGAAAAGGATAAGCCTTACCGTTGTGAGGTCTGTGGCAAGCGCTACAAGAACTTGAATGGTCTCAAGTACCACAGAGGCCATACTACTCATTAAACCTCATCCCCACTGCATTGGTTTGTCTCTTCACGTTATTGCATTACTACACTTACTACTTTGGCCTCCTCGCATAGAGACGGTTGTATGGTTTTCTTCGTTTTTTGACCGGACACCATGTTCTATCTTGTCCTACGTCTATATTTGGGATTGCACAGCTATATTTTTTTGCATGCAAAGTTTCATGTTTTTAACATTTTTTAACCTGGCTTGTTTCCATCATTTATCATTGGTTGGTTTAGTCTCCCTTGTCATATGCCTTCCCTGCAGATTACACCCGTACACATCATGATGATACATTTCCCTTAGGGCACTTTTGGTTCCAATCCACACACTTATGGTTACACTCACCCAACGAATCCTATCGTTGATAGGCTCGATCGCTACGCGGTACACGCGGGTGTCGTTGTTTTTCACGCGTCAGTCTCTTTATGGCGCCTCTCTTTTCACGGCCATTGTGATGGTGCTCCTTCCAATTTCAGTGATTACGTACTTGAACTTTTATAAGATGCTCGTACCGGTTGAGAGATTTGCAGTGCCCACTTTGTTTGAAGAGGGAAACCGCTATGGAAGTCTTGACATCAGATCACATGCGTCGTTTACAGAGATTGACACCCTGCTGGCTTTGCTGTTCCTCCGACGCAATGCCGACTTGCCATTTTCCGTGAGAATCAACTTGAGAGCCGTGTGCTTTGTTGAAAAATCGTACCATTTGATGCGGTACGTGTTCAAGCTTACGCCTGATATCATCCGTGAGAACAGCTTTATCATTAATTGCGATCTGAGATACATATATGTCGATAGGAATAGCTGGATCCCGTACCATCTACGGTACTGGGTTCCTCCGATTTTTGTGGACATTTTCAAGACTGTTGAAGTGGATTGGCCCTTGTACTATAGTACAGGAGCCGAGCTTGTCAAGTTGTTGAAAGAACAGAAGAGTAATCTTACTTTTGCAAACACCAACCCAATTCTTATCGACAACTCCAAGACAACCTTGGACTTTGTCATTGAATGGGACGGCATCCGTTATTACCTCGTGAACTACTATTTCCTCAGCTTTTTCATTGGCGTGTTGATCTTCTGGGGCGCCAGTTCCTTCATTTGCATGATCTCTACGCTTTACTACTATAACAAGTTTAGCGATGAGCCTGAAGAAACTATACGTGCCCCACGTCCACGTCCACGTCCGCAGACAGCACCGCCAAGGACACACGGCTAAAGACTTAGCTTTACAATGCATAAAAGATGTGTAACGATAATGAAATTGATTATATCTATGACTGAGATTATCTCAGGATGCATTAAGCAACTTGAGCTCCGTAAAACTATCGATAGGAAGAAAGGGCACAATACGCTGGAAGTATTCGCCCTCGTTGATCTCTTCTCTTTTTGGCGAGCCTCCAAGATCCTCATCTGACGATCTGGATACCGTGGGGACGTAATTGGCTTGGTCGGCTTCAACAGTATGGAACAAGAAGCGTTCAAACTCCTCCACAATCTGGTTCCATTCATTGATGGATTTGCCTAGACATTGCAACGAGGCTTTATTAGAGCACCACGTGCCAATCTTCTTGACAAAACGTTCCTTTTCGTCATCTTCCCCATCATCAAATATCTCCTCTTCAATAAGATAGTTATCAGTACTGATATAAAAGGGATTGTAGATATCTGAATTGAGGAAAATCGAGATAGACGGAACCTTCACAGCCTTTGGTTCAGAGTTTGGCAAGGATTGTCCTTGCAAGTAGAACTTGCCATAGACGTCCGAAGCATTGGCCCTTTGCATTTGTGTAAACTTATTGGTCAAGACTTCGCTATCAACAACAATGTCAAACTTGAAGATTGGACGAACAATCTCAGGAGGCACCTTGAAGAGCTCTGGAGGCTGTGTATTCTTTGACGAACGAGACGAGAACGACGAGTTGGAAGACCCAATGAAGTCAGACATCGAGGATTCGGAATCAGATGTTGCCGAAGAGTCCGTGGACAAGTCGTTGAGCGACGACTGGTGAGACACCAAGCTAGGGCTTGAGTTCCTAGATGAAATCCTAGGAGACGTCGACAAAGATGAAAAAGACCTTGAGTTTCTCTTAAGAGACGTAAGCGAATTCTTTCTGCCCAATGCTTTTGGAGGCTGTATTCTGAGCGTAGAACTGTTCTTTTCTTCTGTGGATAAGCTCTTGAAGAACTTACTCAACGAGTTGATCAAAGAACCATTCTTCTGTGGCTTCGAAAGAGAGCCTTGAGGTGGACTGTTCTTTCCTGTTTGCTGTGCTGGAGAGCTAGGCAAAGAGGTACAGGAGTAAATGGCTTCGTCGAATACCTCGTAAGGATGAGTCTTTCTCAAATCACTGGTTCTTGTAGAATTTCCTGTTAAGTAGCTAGCAGAAATATCGTCAGGGCCCAAGTAAGTTTGACTTGGGTTCAATGGCAAGATACCGAATTTTCTGTTCACCATAGGGCTATCAGGAGCAAAGCTCAACTCTTTTGTGAGTTCTTTGCTTTTGCTCAAAGTGCCATACATCAAATCAAGCTTTGTCTTACTTCTTCTGGTGGTCTGAATGGATGATGAGGATTCATAGTTGTTGATACCAATTATTCTCCAAACCAAAAGACGAAGAAAGTAGGACCGGACGATTGGATTCCAGTGCAAGAAGAACTTGGTCCAAACATCAGTAGAAGTCAACCAGTTAGAGAAATTGACCTTGATGCTGTCTCCAGGATTCAAGAGCCAGCCTTTCAAGTATGAAACGGATTGAGGAAGCTCAGTCTTGCACAACTGATCAGGGATTCTGTCCCACACATTGAACAAGAAGGCCAAACTTCTCTGGATGATCTGAAGATGATGAGTCTCAGTGAGCATGAGGTAAACACAGCCCAACCAAAACTCCCAGTCAATGTTGCTTGTATCAAATACATGGTTCGAATGAACATGAACGAGACTGAGCACTAGGCCATTTCTGTTGCAGTCGTAGATGCTAGTCGAACGAGCAATGTTCACAAACAACAAGTCTATAAACCGGGAAAGATTGTTGGCGAATGGGATGGAGGAAAAGCTAATGTCTCGAGTAGTCTTAAGGATCTTTAATATGCAAGTATAGTTTGTATCATTCAGTTTGAACGGATAGGAGCTGGACAGTTGCAGGGGATTTGGCAGGGGAGCAGGCTGGGGCAGGGGCAGGGGCAGATTCGACGCTGGCACGGCATTGTTTCTTGGAGGAGACTTTGGCTTCGCTGGAGTATTAGACGTAGAAACGGGACCAACCGTGCCAGTAGGCACCTCAGGCTTCTTCATATTGTGAACTATTCTGTTTATGGAGTACTCAAACACCTGAGAAATGTGAGTTGCAATAATGTAGAAACCAGGAAACACCGTGGGCAGCATCTCTCTGTTGACAGAAGCCTTTGCCAAATATAAATCAGTAAGGTTAATGTAATGACGGAAAAAAGAATTGAAGATATCGCTATCGGAGCTGGACCATCTGCGTACCCAGGGCCCGCTAGGGTCACGGATGCCTTTCACCGGATGCTTAGGAGGCGGAATGGAATTTATTATGCCTTGCTTGGTTTTGGAGAGGTTCTCCACGCCTTTGTATGCAATAAGATGGGATAAGTGTTTCGGGAAAGCAGATTTGGCACCTGCCAAGTCATTGGTAGGAGGAGCTTCACAATTGGAAAGCAAATTCTGAACCAGGCTTTGTTTCACATTTAAAAGAAACAACAAGGCGTTACAGACATGCGGGAGATTGAAGAAAGCGAATGCAAAGACTTTACCCACAAAGGCACTCATTGAGATAGGCACAAGCTTCAGAGCTTGGACACGACGTACACAGAGGTCTAAAGTGTCTGTGAGGCAAGAAATAAAGACCGCCTGGGAGTCCAGGTCGGCCACGGTCCATTCTCGTAGGGCCATGATTCTAGATATGCATTCAAAGTAGGCGTTTCTATCCAGGGCAGAAACGTGGGTGGCCAGGTTCTGAGAGGCCAAGGCCAGGAGGAGCAGGCGCCACCATTTACCCAAGATAGCCGTGGAGACGGAGCAAAAACTGGAGTAGATCTTCAGAGAGACCAGAAACACGGATTCTAAAGGAGGTTGCAGGCGTAGGAACGGTAGCAAGACGGTTCGTAGCAAGTTAGCTTTCGTGACGGAGTTGTGTTTGGAGCTAAACTTGGACAAGGCGAGCTCCAACTTCTTATACTGTTTGAGGAGCACTTTTATGGATTTTTCGTCGTCTGGGCTGCTTGGAGGCTCGTGTTTCTGAGAAGGCAGAAACAGCATAGCCAGGTTCGCCGTCTGGGAGACCGTGTATGTTGACTGGGAGGCCAAAGACGACAGCAGGCGAGCCGAGCGAAGGGATTTCCGTCGAGAAACAGACGAGGAGCGTATTATAGGCATGTCAAGGCGAATGTGGATACGTTAGCAATCGGAAGGAAGAAGTGGAGTCTGAAGTATATCTGGAAGCGAGTTGGTCACCAAGCGATGGAAATGGGAGGGAGGGAGGTTGTGGATGGTTGTGAATGTCAGTGGATGTCAGTGGATGTCACTGGATGGTTGAAAGTGTTGGCCCTTCAATTGAAAACAACAGGTGGTTGGGTACTTCCAAAGACAGGCGAGCCAGGCTTAAATATAGAAAAAAACCAAAAAGTCAAGCTCTTTGCTTTCTGGTTCCGTTTTTGAGACCCGGACTGCCAAAGGCAACGTTTTGTGTATGTCTTGGAGAAAAGCTTTGGACCTGGTGCTGATAACAGTGAGACTGAGACTGAGACTGAGGTTGAAGTTTGAGACCTGCCAGCATAAGGTGAACCAAAAAGGAGGGGGGGGGGTCGAGGTATATAAAGAGGAGGAAATTCCCACTTTTTTTTATTCTTCGTTCTCAAATATTTGCACGGCAAGTTGCTAGCTTTTTATTTGGGTCCTTTATTTTTTTTTTACTCCACCGAAAAGAAACAAAAAGAAGAGGTATTACAGCCAAGCGAAAGCAAAAATACCAACCCTGCCAGGAAGCCAAAAAAAAAAAAAAAAGAAGCTCCAGTGCGGCGGATGCGGGCAGCCGCTGCAGGGCAAAAAGCAGTAAAAAAAAGTGAGGCAGGCAGGGAGAAAAAGAGCGCACAATGAGCAACCAGAGAGTGGGACAGGGAGGGAGAGGGAGGCCCAGAAAGGGAAGGAGTGGGAATTTTGGGGAAATAGTAGTGGCATTGGAATTGGGTGGTGCAGAGGTTTTTGGGGGTTCTTTTTTGGGCGATTTTGAGGCAGTTTTGGGGGTTTTGGTGGGGCCCTTTCTGGAGATTGGGGTGGACTGGAATGCTTCGAGGTGGCTGCGATCGACGCTGATTGACATTGACGATTGACAATTGCCGAAGACAGTTGGCAAGAGGCAATGGGCAATTCAACTGGCTATTTACAATGAGCTGGTAACCCAACTGGCTATTTGCAATGAACTGGCTATTTGCAATGAACTGGAAATCGGCAATTGCCAGAGGCAATTGCCTCTGGCCTCTGGCCTCTTGCTACTCGTCAGGCAATGGTTGCGAAAAAAAAAAAAAAAAGTGAAAAAAGTGAAAAAAAAGAAAAATCGAAAAATCGGAAAACCTGACAAATGTGATGCAAAATGCAAACGAACGAATATGGAGCCTGGGTTAATGTTGCGGCTGGCCAAGACCCCTTGTAGAATGTCTCACTTGGCTTTACCAGGTAACCCAGGGCTCTGTTTGTTCTATCATTCTGTTCCCTTTGGTTCTCACTGCTTTCACAGGTGGCTTACACACCGTGGGCTTTGACGACATGGGATGGGCCACAATTGGCTGCAAAGAGGACGGTGAGGTCATGGGATTTTTCTTTTTTCGGTTCTGCCGTCTACAAGGCCTTGGGAATGGTCCAATCCACTCCTGGAGGTTCCTGGAGGTTCCAGGAGCTTCTGGACGTTAAATATAGACCGTCTAGATAGCCCAGCAGCTCTTACAGCCCACGCCATGCTATTTAAAAGCCCAACACCTTTATGGGCCGAATCGGCGTTGGTTCATTAATAGCATGGCGCCAGCACCGCCGCACCAGAGTTTAATAACAAAAACATGGCTGCAAAAATAGCCTGGGCTGGACGACGACCTTCCAACTGCAATGTAATTGCAGTTGAAGGAGGAGGCCTCCAGTGGGGAGGCCCTTTGGTGATTTCTCTACCTCCTCCCACCTTCCTCCCACCTTCTCCCACCTTCTACGCCTCTACAACTTCTAATTGTGGTGGCTGCAAATGCCAAACCACTTCCCATTTCTTTTCACCAAATTCCACCTCCACCAAAGCAAACTTCAATTCTACAGCAAGCTCCTTGACATCTCCATTGCCTGGCCCCTTGCCTGGCCAGGCAAGCTACCCAGAAGCACCAATGGCAGCTTCCAGCTTGCAGCTTCCAGCTTGCAGCTTCCAGCTGCCACCTCTGCAATCTCCTTACAGAAGCTGCACAGATAAGTCATTCTAATTCCACCTGTCAGTTGCTGGCCCCTAGAAAGGCGCCTCCCAAATCAACCAAACCGCCGGTGGGCGCTTCTGCAAGATCGTGCTTCTCTGTCCTTCAGATCTAACATTGCTGCCAATCAAGTTTCCCGTTTGAGACAATCAGCCGCCCAATGTAGACCCCGTTACACAAAACTGAGCCTTGGCCCACATTTTAAAAAAAAGGGTGTTTGGCGTTTGTGTTTGGCGTTTGGCGTTTCGTTCTGGCGGTTAAACCTGGTTTGTGGGACTCCGGACGTTCCGGGTGGTGAACAAAGTATACCTTGACTTGGCGAAGCTGGAGGGCTCCAGGGCTTCAACCAGACCGTCTTCTGACAAGAAAAAAAAGGACTTATCCCTTCCCACAGTTGCTCTTCTTCCCCATTGGATCCTTCTCTTCCTGCTCGGTCCCATGTCTCGCTTCAGCCGCTATGCTTCTGTTGCTCACTCAGATGCGTGAATAGTACAGTTATCACTGTTCTTGGGGCACTTTTCTGCAGCGGCGTATGTAAGACCATTCGTAGGCGCCCTTGGCAGGTGGCTGGTGGCTGGTTCGTGGGGTTTTGGGTTCTCAACATTTGTAGTATTGAGAGACAAGTTGGGAACCACAAACGGTCCGGCTAGCCCAGTGAAAGGAGGTGGAGGTGACTTTAGCAAGCAAGTGGTTTCTATGTCTCCTTTTTTTTTTTTTTTTTGTTGACTTCAGCAAGGTTCGATAAGCTTCACAATGGAGACATCGAACAATAAGCCTCAGGAACAATCTCCACTTGTCTCTGCAATGTTACAGGTAAGCAGAGGCTCAATTAGCTTCTAATAATGGAAGCTGCTTACAGAGAAGTATATGGCTGGTTATGGATTGCTATGCCTTTACAATGGAACATCTATGCCGAGAAGACTTTTCCCAAACCAGAAGGTGTGTTGAACACTGCTATACTCAGGGGAAACCACATTTCTTGGCTTCTGGGGTGCTGGCGAAGAAAATATAGTTAGGAGCATTGAAGAAGGTTCTGGTGGAATGGAATATGGTGGAAGGTCAACGGAACGGAAAGGTCAGTGTTCGTGATTAACGTTTTGTATGATTAGCAATGGTTCAAGGTGCTCCACCGATTTCATACACTTCATACACAGAACCCGTTTATCCACAAACGTAACGTTGCTTCGTATACTTCTATTCTTTTGGCTAGCAAAGTGGAAGCCGTAGCAGCCGTAGCAGACATGGAGGTTGCCTACTACTTAGCAACTAGTGTTAGCAATTACACAGTATGGTGTAATGCCCCACGTGGAACTGGAAACCAGATCCAATTGCACTTTCCTTGCTTCTAAAAAATACCCAAAGAAGACCAGGATCTTGGAATGACCATAATTAATATCCTGCGGTGGTTCTTGTAGTTTCCTTCTCTGGAACTTCTGGTGGTAGACGCACAGTAAGAAGTGTTGATAATTTTTCACACAAGTACGTCACCAACCTCGAAAAACCTCGTATTTGGTCAAAACACGGCACAGGAAACCATATAAAATATCCAAATTGCCGTATTTATCACTCCTCCACGGGCCACTACTCCCCTTGTCTTATCGGTATTCGGTGGCTGCGAAAAGCATACTACACCCCATAATATCCGTACTTTGTGCCCAAAAATCGCCAAAAAAACTACCTACCCATAATCTACCACCCCCAAATATCCCCATAAACTCATCAAAATCTCCCTCCCATACCTCCCCAGGGAAACCCCTATCAACCTGGGGGAGCCTATCTTCCCCATGACACCCGTACACCATCACCACTAAATGTCGTGAGACCAAATAATTCTCAATACGCTAATCTAATTAACCCAGAACTTCCATTAATTAATCCCCATACAATCGCAATGGATATCACTCCCTACGAGGCCGCTCGGTCCCGATCTCGGTCCAGGTCCCGTACCAGAAACTCCACCGCCAATTCCCGTTCCACGTCAGCCACAAGAAGACCAAGCTTGGGATCCCGTAAATCGATCTCGGGCTCTTCGTTGAACAGTCTTACGTTGACACAGCAGCATTTTGACAATGGCGCTGAGATGACCATCCCGTCCGTGCTGGTGACGCTAGATAACACGTTGCCGTTGGATTTCTTCAAACAGGAGCTTATCGCTCTTATTAGAGCACTTAGAATCAGCAAGTGGCATAAGAAGTACTTGACGGTGAACAATGTGGTGGTGACCCGTATTTCGGGCGCTCTTACCAATAGCATCTATAAAGTGGAGCTTAAGGATCCGGCTTTCACGGCGCCTTCGTTGTTGTTGCGTGTTTATGGTAAGAACGTGGACTCTATTATTGATAGAGACTATGAGCTTAGCATTTTGGTGAAGCTCTCGCCGAAGAAGATTGGACCTAAGCTTTTGGGAATCTTTTCCAATGGCCGGTTTGAGCAGTTCTTGGAGGGCTTTTTGACAATGACGAAGCTGCATGTTAGGAGCCCGGTCATCTCCCAGATGATAGGACGCAGAATGAAGGATTTGCATTACAAGATTGAATTAGACGATAGAGACAGGGCCTCGGATTTCCCGCAGGCCTGGATCCAGATCCAGAAATGGCTCAATGTGTTTGAAAAGACGTTCTTGCCATTGTACAAGCCAGAGGAGATCGCTGACATTGTGCTTTTGCCGTGGGATCAGTTCAAGCAATTGGTTTTCACGTACAGAGACTGGCTCTTTTCCAAGTACGACCTGTCACGGTTTTCAGAGAATTATAGATTTTGCCATAACGATACTCAGTATGGTAATTTGCTTTTGAGAGAGACGTTTGATCCAGATGAGGTTATTCAACCTGCGGATAGTTCTGGAGTGAACACCACCAACAGAAGAGACAATGATTTGGCTGTGATTGACTTTGAGTACTCGGGAGCTAACTTCCCAGCGTACGATATTGCCGATCATTTTGCCGAATGGATGTCTGACTACGCGGATGAAAAGCAACCTCACGTCATCCACGAGGAAGCCTTCCCCAAACAAGCCGAGCAATTGAACTTGATCAAATCGTACATTGAGTACGATTTCCGTGTGCCTACGTCCAACCTCAGAACCAAGAACAAACCGTCCATCAACGAATCGGATGTTCTGCAAATGCAAGAGTACGAAATCAAAAAGCTCTACAATGAAGTCGTATTGTGGCGTTCCACCGTGCAATTCTTCTGGGCCATCTGGGGTCTTCTCCAGAACGGACCACCTAAAAAGACCGACATTGGCTTGCTCGGCTTCAACTCTGAAGAAAAAGGTGTCCACAGTACCTTCAAAATCACCACCGGCATGGACGCCTTATCGATGGAAGACTCAGCCATTGTGGACGACGACGAGCCCATCGGATCCACCGACGACGACTTTGACTACCTCAAGTACTCCCAGCAGAAAGCCGCGTTGATCGCCGGAGATATGATCTCGTTTGGTCTCTTGAGCATCAACAATATCCGTCCCGAGCACCACAACCTCATCAAGTTTCTTGACACCCGGACCTTTGACATCTAATCCCTGCATTCATTACCCTTTTTTCCCCCCGTGTGCATCTCAAAAATCAATCACTTCTGATTCTCCCCCATAGTAGGAAAAAGTGTGTAGGAGAAAGTGCGAAAGTTGGAGTTAAAAGTGAAGATAATTCACCTGGAAGACCCATCATGCTTTCGTTCAGAACAGCAGGCTACAACGGCTACGGCGTCAGGTACTCGCCGTTTTTCGACAATAAGCTAGCGGTGGCCACTGCTGCCAATTATGGTTTGGTTGGTAACGGAAAGCTCTTTATTCTTTCCATAGACGCTCAGGGCCAAGTTCATAATGATATTGGCTGGGAGACTCAGGACGGTCTTTTTGATGTTTCCTGGAGTGAAATCCATGAAAACCAGCTTGCTACGGCTCTGGGGGACGGGCTGGTGAAGATTTTCGACTTGAAAGTGCCCCAATTCCCGGTGATGAACTATAAAGAGCACCAACGCGAGGTTTTTTCGGTGAATTGGAACTTGGTGGATAAAAACAACTTTGTCACGTCGTCCTGGGACGGATCTATAAAGGTGTGGACGCCTTCGAGACAGCAATCGATGATTACGTTGAATCCAAGGGTGGACCAGAGTGCCAAAGCAGCTAACCCTCAACCGGCACCACCAACGAGCCACAACCAGAGAGAAGGTAACTTTAATACTTCCCAGTGTGTTTATAACGCTACGTTTTCTCCCCACTCGCCCCTGACGATTATCAGTTGCACGGGGCTGTCGCATGTTAATATTTGGGATATCAGGGCTCCACAGCCACTCCAGCTCGATTTCATTGCCCACGGCGGTCTTGAAGCGTTGTCGTGTGACTGGAATAAATACAAATCGAACATTGTGGCGTCGGCAGGTACAGATAAGGCTGTGAGGGTTTGGGATTTGAGAATGATAGCTAAACTCGATAACCCAGTGCCAGGCCAGCCGCTGCCTGCTTACCATATACGAGGCCCTACGCCGCTTAATGAGTTGTTGGGCCACGAGTTTGCCGTTAGGAAGGTTGTCTGGTCTCCTCATCTGGGCCAGGAGCTCTTGACGACTTCTTATGATATGACATCACGAGTATGGATAGATCAGCTGGAGGATAGGGCACGTTTCTTGAACAACGGCGGCAGTGGATGTAAGGGCATAATGCGCCAGCACAGAGAGTTTGTGGTTGGCTGTGACTATAGTCTTTGGGGAGAACCAGGCTGGTGTGCCACGACGGGCTGGGACGAGATGGTGCATATTTGGGACACGAAAAGGGTGCCTCCAAGGTAGTCCAGTGAAGCCAAAAAGACCTTGAAAGAGACCTTGAAAGAGATCTAAGAGGGAAGTGATGGAGGGAGCTAAAGGGATTGAGGTGGATGGTAGGTAGTTAACATCCAACGGAAGCAGACATTACTTCAATTCTGCTAAGAGGTTGTCTTCTTCCCTTACTGATTCAGCCCCAATCCAATGTCCTCTACGTCACAGCACCCCCAGTGAACTCATTGTATGCCCAGTTGCTGACGTCCATCACACCTCTACATTCGTCACCACCAACGCATTCCACCCACGAGTCTTACTACACAAGCGACGTCTTGTATAATTCCAGACTCTTACAGTAGAAGTACCTACTCATTGCATTGTAATTATGAATACCTGTAGCTCCAAGAACACCTTACCAACTACTGCACGCTTAATTTAAAGTACATCTCAACGGTTTTTGAGCTTCCACAAAAAGACATTGTACTACTTAAACACCCCAAACAAACAAAAAAGACCCTGTTTCATCTTATCCAGCAACCTTACTTTCCAAGCCAAACACCTCTTTCAGTTAACTTACACATCTCTCTGTCAACTCTAAATCCACATATACTCACCGTAAATGCACCCAAGTTTCCCCAAAACACGCCCCGAATTCCACCCAAAACACACCCTCATCGCCCCTTACCTGCCAAAATTAACTTTCCTTCATACCTCCATCCACAACACAACACTCGGAACCTCCTCGGTCTCTTTATGGCTCAGGAACCATAACGTTGGCGGACTGCACATGGTTTGATATCGTTGCCTATTTAGGCAAGCACCTCGCATGGAATCGTGCAGATTGTCCTGCCCAGTGTTATCCTATTGCCCATTTAGGCAATGTAATGTCGACCAGCTGCATACTTCTGTTTACCTATTAACCTTTGCAGCCATTCTTGCTCAGGCTCTCTTCTGCCACATCTACCCGTTTTTATACCCAGCCATCACCCGTCAACTTGCCCAGTTTCAGTAACCCATTTCGTTTCATCTACCATGGACTCGAATCTTGTCATTCTTTCCTTGGAATACTCCTACTTGCTCAACCCACTGGCTGGGTTGTTCGAGTCTGACTCTGGGCTCTGGCAGAGCCTGGCTACTTACTCTCCCACGTTGATTCCATACTCAGCAAGCACTGCTCATGTTCGGGTTTTGGATAATATGGCGCCTTTGAGGGAGACGGTGAGGAAACTTAACCATAACGGTATGAGCATGGAGAACCATGTGAAGTTGGTGGAACCACAATTGAACAACCAGCTTATTACTATTTCCATCAATGGTCTGGAGACGTTTATCAATATCAGCAGAATCGAGCTTTTGAGAGCGTACCACCGTGTGGACGTCAAGAAGATTGTTCTTTCAGATACGGATTTTGCCAACATTGGGCCTGAGTTCGTTCTGAGGCTTGAAGCTATTGCCACACGCTGCCAGGTTGAACTTATGGTTTCAGATAAACATATCGATTTCAAGTCCATGCACGGTGGGGCCCAGGCGCCTTTGGCAGGCCCATTTGCGTTGTACATTGCTGGTCCTACTGAGAACTTGACTGTGGCAGAAACAGAGTGCCGTATTTTGGTGGACGCTTTGTTGCACGGATGCAAAGTTCACCAGATTAACCTTCCGTTGTCGTTGCTTCCGGGCGTGGGAGGTGTCAACTTTGCCAATTTTGGTGAAATCGCTCGCCAGCTGAATGTCAATATCTACTTACCTTCATTGATGCCTCATAGTTTCAATTGTGAGATCATTGAAAGCAACGAGAGTTCTAGTATCTGGGTTACGGCTAAGAGGGTACCTGAGATTCTTTTAGCTAAGCGTATCATTCTGGATTTGGTCACCACTGTGGACTCCAGAGTCAACCTGACTGCAAACTTGTACTTGCAAGAGATTGAGCTTTCTAAAGATAAGCTTGATATCATTACACTTTATTCAGAGAAGGATATCCTGGCAATTATGTTTCTGCACGGCACGTTTGTGCAGATTCCTAGCTTGGGAGAAGCCAAAAACAATAAAATCGTGGTCCAGGGCCATAGCACCGAAGCTGTTTCCAGAACCATCCAGGATATCAGCAACTTGAGCTGCAATTACTACAGTTTGGATATCAAGTTCCCTTCAGGCTCGAGATCTGCTGATTTTGAGTACTACTTGATCAACCTTATCAATATCCGCAAAACATGCATTCTTACGTACAATTGCAACGGTATGAACATTGTGGGATTCAAGGAAGAAGTCAGACTGCTTCTTAAGGACTTGATTGCTGGTTTCCAGAACTCCAGCCTTGTTACTGAAGATTCTAGTGACGAAGAAGACTCCCAGTTCCGATTCTCTGTTAGTATGGAGCTTCGTAACGAACACAGAGAGTTCTTGAGTGGAAAGAAGAACGGTAAGATCATCAAGATCTTGAACCAGCTCAACCACATGCCGCAAATCAGATTCAAACACTTGAACGAGTACAATTTCGTCATTTCTTCTACAATTGCTGTTTCCGCTGGAGTCAAGAATAAGCAAATGTCTTCAGTGTTTGATATTCTTCTGAGAAGCGTCAGTCTTATTGAAATGGAGTTGCCTGCTGAAATGCAATTCAACATTCCAGAAGTGTTCCATAAGAGTATTATTGGCAACGGAGGTTCCATTATCCAGTCTATCATGAAGAAGTATAATGTGTTCATCAAGTTCTCCAGTCTGAAGAAGACTCCTGAAAAGACTACCGACGACAGAATCCTCTATTCCTTCAGAAGAGATAACAATGTCTTGATCAAGTGTCCTATGAAGAACCTGAAGAACATTCTCTTTGTCAAGTACGAGATTGACCAGTTGGTGGCTCAATGCTGCCTGAACACATTGGCCCAGCTGCGTGGAATGGCTACTATCTATAATAGCGTCGGTTTCAGGCTCTTGAAGAGTCACTACCTGATGCTTATTCGTAAACAGGGCCAGGATCTCAGGTTTGTCAACGATATGGAGTCTGATTTTAGTACTTACATTGATTTCCCCACGTCGTTGGAGACTTTCAAGGGTGAAAGCTCCCACTTGTTGGCAATCAAGGGTAACGATAACAGACCGCATCTGTGTGCTCTCAGGTTAGCATCTATGCTTCCTAAGACTTGGGAATTCCAGGTAACCTTCTGTCCTGGTAAGTTCGAAGGAACATTCAGTGAAAGCAACGAAGACTTCAGAGAAAGAATAGTTATCCCATTTAGGCTTCTTTTGGATGTTGAACTCGCCTGGAACAGAAACCCCGTGGACCCAGAAACCCAAGAACCGCTTCCATACCACCAGATCTTTTTGAGTTCTTTTGACGAGATCAACGCCCAAAAGGCTATTGCTGATTTGACCATCTACCTCAGAGAACAACGGTTCCTTATTTTGGACAAGCAAGCCATGCAATTCGACCCAATTGTGCCTGCCATGATGCTCCCAGCCACTCCTTTAGCTTCTCCACTCCGTTCTCCAGTGCGTTCTCCAGTCAGATCACCAACCAGATCCCCAGAACGGTACTCAGACATCTCGATGGATTTCCCAAGATCGCCAACTCGTTCTCCTACGAGATCACCCACCAGATCGCCAGTTAGGTCTCCTACAAGGCAACAAACGAGCAACACAGGCTCCCCCAAAAGGTCTCCCGCCAGAAACCCAGCGCAGCCATTGCGTACCATCACCAACCAACCGATTAACATGAACATCAACACGATGAAAAAGATACCCAGTCTAGCAGCACCGCTAGGCCCCGACACGCGCACGAGCCAGACCCATGGCTGGTGATGCTTCATAACGAATCGATGAATGAATAAACCGATGTAGATGGGATGTAGATGTAGAGAGAAAGCAGAGGGAATAGTAAGAGAAGGCACTACGAAGAGAAGGTAATACGAAGAGAAGGCAATACGAAGAGCATGCTACACATGGATTCTTTTTCATGCCAACTGCTACAATTTTTAGAGCCGAGGATAGGGTCCATTTACGTTGAGCAATTATTACCGTTATGGTACTTCAGTGTCTGATCACTACGGACCGTTATCACCACCCAACTTACCAATTGCGCTCCAAAGCCTTCAACACGCTCCCTCTATCGCCATTTGCGTTTCTGGTCAACCGCCAGAGCCTGATCGCCCTTGTCAATCTAGGTTCCGCTTTCAAACTCTATTTGCACCCACCAAGCGCCAACCACACACCCAACCAGGCTATACAGCTAGAAACAATTACCAGAAACGCTTTTTCCTGTCAATCCTCGTACGAGGAAACCAGCGGGATCACCCTAGAAGCGTTTCTTTGTCTACTCACCACATGGAATGGAATATCGGTGATCTGAACTCCGAGCCGAGACCCACCAGCCACAGACATACCCTTAAGCCTTCCATCCACCGCCATTCCACGCCATGTCCCTTCCTTCCACCAATCACAGCCAATTCCCCAATTCCACCCTCCACCCTTCCTCAAGTGTACACCCAGTGACGTCGTGTGGACGTACCGAGGAAGCAAAGCAGAAGTGGCTGCAAACGCTGCGGCGGTAAGCACAAAACGACCACCAAAAGACCACCATCCGATGTCCTTTACCGACCTTGGAAAAAAGCAACCGCCACTGCCCAGCCCAGAAAGCACACCCTCTTTCAATAATGAATTGTAGACAACCCCTAGATAATGGTGATTGTGGGCGCACAAAGACTCTTGTCTTTCCCAGGCTGGGTGGCTGCCTACTGCCGAGTTTTTCACCTTTTTGCGTAGTCCCCCTCCACCTCAGTTCTGCCTGATATACCTCTACTTTTTGTCCTCCCAGCCAGAAGGCTGGGAGAAATGGTCTCCCACCGTCTAACCCCATTCCAACACCACCACGTCACTTTCCACACCCAATTCCCACCACATCCCCCATCCACTTCAGTCCACCTCCCACCGCTGCTCAACCTTATCGCGCCCAACATTCGCAGCCTCCAACGGCGCCAGGGCATCGAGCGAGCGGCGCGATTGTTGGCCCCGATGCCGAGACAGCCCAATTTTTCAGTCCACCATTTCGAACATTTAAGTGCCAACGAAAACTGCTTTTGAAGCGGAAAAAGTGCTTCTTTTTGAAGAATATTGCTTTCCACGAAAATCCCTAGTCTCCTTTGTCCACCCCTCTTTCCGTAACCTTATTCTCTACCTGCCTCGTTTCGTCCCGATGCACCCGTAATGCGAGTCTAAGCATTACCTGCCGCTTAGATCGACTCCAATGGCTGCCATATAAAGTAGCCTAACTTCCTCCACATTCGTTACACCCACATAATGTACTCGTTTGGGCTTCCTCACCTGGAGATTTGGAAATGGTCTACGCCTTCGGAACCGCCCGTGGCTCCGTTTGAGAATGGCCTTCTAGCTGCTGTGTTTGACGCTTCCATGAAAGTGCTGATGCCTTTGACCATTGCAGTGGTGTACTTTTCAGCTGTGCACTTTATCAACCCAATTGTGATTGACCGCCAGAAGAGAAAGGCTCGGTTGGAGAAGGAGCTGCTTACTGAGGTGCAAGTTAAACGCTTGAGACCTGCTCCAGTGAAGGTGGCTGAAACTTCGGTGTTTAAGGCATTGGTGTTTCTTCACAATGTGTTTCTTTGCGTTTACTCCGTCTGGACGTTTATTGGCATGCTTCGTTGCTTTGGCAGAACTGCTGCTTCCATGTCGTTGAAGTACAACTCTCAACACAAACTTCTGAACTTTATTTATGCTGTGTGTGATGTGGAGAACGGTGTGTTCAAGCAGGACTCCCTTACAAAGAACTTGACCATCTACGGCTGGTGGTTCTACATGTCAAAGTTCTACGAGGTCATTGACACCATTATCATCCTTATGAAGGGCAGACCTTCTTCTCTCTTGCAGAGCTACCACCATGCTGGCGCCATGATGTGCATGTGGAGCGGGATCCGTTACCGTTCTCCTCCAATCTGGATTTTCGTGGTTTTCAACTCTTTCATCCACTCCTTGATGTATTTCTACTTCTCCTTGTGCTGCCTCAAGGTGCGTGTGCCAATGATTGTGAAGCGTGTCTTGACGTCGCTCCAGATCTCTCAGTTCGTCGTGGGCGGCTCTTTGGCTGTGTTCCATGCCTTTGTGTGGTACTGGGACCAGCAAAGCAACACCTTCAACAACTGCATCAAGTCTGCCGAACAGGCTTTGCCTCTTATGATTAACGTCGCCTACTTGACTCCATTGACCATGTTGTTTGCTGCCTTCTACATTGAAAGCTACATCAAGGGAGGCAAGAAGACACTGTAAATATGCCCGGACCTTTTCCAGACACTATATATATTAGATAAGGGTTTGTAGACTTCATGGGCCAAAGGCCTACGAAGTGTATTCTGTCTGCAAACACCGTTAACGGTCAAACAAGACACAAACAGGTCCGTTGGCGGACAAAGACATTGTATAACACAAAGCCAATATGGTAAATACACTAGTCGAAGATATTCACGGTTTATGGTTCTAGTCCATCTACATATTCACGGGTACAAAGTACAATAGGCAGTCAACAACCAGTAAGGTGGCAGTAACCAACTGGACGCCATCAGGTGAAGTCGCTATGCTCAGAGAAATGAAATTTTGCAAAGAAAGACTTTCCTTGCACCCATTTCAACAAATACCTCTAAACACTTATATACTTTCTATAGGGCCTGACGTCATAGGTAGGTCTCAGTTTTCCACCTCCACCAAAACAGCCAACCAGAGCTCCCAACTGTTTTGCAACCATTTTTTTCCACCCATATATGCTTGGCACCAGCTCCAACATCTTATTGGCCTCGCTGGCGTCTCGAAAAAACACACTTTCCGGCAACACCGACCCACTTTCGTTTTTGAGCAACCAAATTACGACATCTTGCAGCCGTCGCTTAGCAGACACAATGTCAAGGGGTGTTTTCGGTGGCTTTTCGGGCGGTTTTGGACTGGAACGGGTGGACAAGATGGTCCTAGGGTGAGACAAATAAAGAAAGTTCAAGGGTTATGACTAGGTGGGTGAATTCGTGGAGGTTGCTTTTTGGAGACATGCGTTAAGGATATGTATGAGCATTTGCAGCCACCAATGGAGGGTGCAGTGATTCAGATGGAGAGCGTAGAAAATTGTGACTTTTTGGTACCAAACGAATCCTCAGAACCCGTAGATTACAGTAGTAAATAATAAAAAGCCGTATCTTTTAAACTGACACCACTATCTCTCCCCATGTCCTCCTGCTGTACCGTGTCTCATACAGTGCAGCCACTCACAGTGAGGACCCACACATGGACTTCCAAAAGGGCCCAACAAATCCACCAAAACCTCCTTCAAAAAAACCCAAAATCCAACACCTCCTTTTCACACCCCGTAGAAGTATAAATAGAGCCCAAATTCCCCCAAATTCTCCCACCTGGCCCGCTTTTCGTCCACCTCGTCCACCCCGGATTTGGCCAGCAAGGAGCGCTCCCTGCAGTGCCGCACCTCCAAGGCCCTCCCCCATATTAAACCTCTCCAAACTACTCCATCAAGGAACAAACAACTTTCTTATATATCTCCTCGTTAAATGCTTAAACCATGAGCAGGTACCAAAGAATACACGCTGTTCCAGATTCTGGCTCAGCCTCAGACAACGAGGACCTGGGCCCTCCTGGACGTCCTACCCCGTTACATTCCGTGCTTTATCTGGCCCCTGGAGAAAAACAGCCACTTCAGCCTTTGGCCCAGTTGGACAGCTTGGACCAGTCGTATGAAAAACCAGCACACGAACATGTGAGTGATCTGTCGGGAAGCCGCAGTTCCGTGGACCTGGCAGACGACCCGATTATGTTGGCTTCGCTGGGGCTGGAGACTCAGGTCTCTTATAAGGGCCAGCACTCGTCCAATGGCGACGACGACGACGATGACGATTTTGCCGAGTGGGACACTATAGATACCGCTACTGAGCAGGATAGACTCAGACGCCGAGACTTGTCGACGCTGGATGGTGCTCAGGGTATCCACACGGATAATTTTGGCAATTCGTATGATCACGTTGATTTCGATGCTAAAAGGTACACCAGGAAACTCAAGTTCAAGGGTAAGAAGCTTGTGTACTTTACGTCAGCGTTTGTTTCGCTTTTCGTGTCGCTTTTCGGTTACGAACAAGGTGTGTGCTCGGGTATTTTGACGTTTGTCACTTTCAAAATGTACTTCAATTATCCTTCTGCCACAGAGATTGGGTTGGTCATTTCCATTTTGGAAATTGGCGCCATGATTTCGTCGCTTATGGTTTCGAAAATCTCAGATAGTATCGGCCGGAAACGGACTATCTTGTTGGGAACCGTGATTTTCATGCTTGGTGGATGTTTACAATCGTTTGCTACCAACTTGTGGGTTTTCGGCGTCGGCAGAGTGTTCAGCGGTTTCGGCGTTGGTATTTTGTCTACCATGGTGCCGCTGTACCAGTGTGAGATCTCGCCGTCGGAAGAACGTGGTAAATTGGTTTGCGGTGAGTTTACCGGTAACATTGCTGGCTATTGTTTGAGTGTATGGATTGACTACGCGTGTTACTTCATTCAAGATATCGGTAACGCGAGAGAAGACCCTGATACTCTTGCAGCCAATGTTTCTTGGCGCTTACCTTTATTCATTCAAGTGGTTTTGGCCATTATTTTATTTATTGGTGGCTTCTTTGTCGTAGAGAGTCCAAGATGGCTTCTCGATGTTGATATGGACCAAAGAGGGTTCCATGTTTTGTGTCTTCTTTTCCACGACGATCCAGACCCTCTCAAGGCAGAGCACGAGTTCTTTTTGATCAAGAACAGTATTTTGGAAGAGAGAATCAAGATCCCTAAGAAGGAGAGATCATGGAGACACATGTTGCGCCACTACAGGCTTCGAATCTTTATTGCCTGTTCGGCATTGGCGTTTGCCCAGTTCAACGGTATCAATATTATTTCCTACTATGCACCTATGGTTTTCTCAGAAGCAGGCTTCAAAGATTCTATGGCGCTTCTAATGACAGGTATAAATGGTACCGTGTACTTGCTAAGCACTATTCCACCATGGTTTTTGGTCGATAGATGGGGCCGTAAACCTATTTTGGTTAGCGGCGGTCTTTCCATGGGAATTTGTCTTAGTTTAATTGCTTTTGTGATGTGGCTCAATGTAGGAGCCACGCCGCTGTTAGTGGCTGTATTGGTTGTTATTTACAATGCGTCGTTCGGTTACAGTTGGGGTCCAATTGGGTTCCTTATTCCACCAGAAGTGTACCCCTTGGCAGTTAGATCCAAGGGTGTTTCGCTTTCCACTGCAACTAACTGGCTTGCAAACTACATTGTGGGCCAGCTCACACCGATTTTCCAAGAGACGATCGGATGGGCCATGTACATCTTCCCTGCCACCAGCTGTGCGCTTTCGATCCTTACAGTGATGTACTTTTACCCTGAGACCAAGGGAGTCGAATTAGAGAATATCGACCAATTGTTTGACGAATACTACGGCACAGGCAAGGTTGGGTATGCCCAAGTTGGAGACACTGGCATGGAGCTTGACGAGTTTGACTATGAGCTCGGAGTTGCCAAACCAGGCCCCGGCGAGGTTGAAGCGAAAGCAAAGAACGAGACGCTGCGGCTTTCGGGAGACCAGAGCTAGATCGATAGAAATTGGGGGTTAACTAAGTTAGCGGCATTTCCCAGCAGCAGACGATGATGCCAACCGCAAGTCGAGAGCGAGAGAGAAAGGCTGGAATAGACGCTGTGCGTTGATAAAAAAAGACCAAGAAGAAGAAGCAGAAGAAGAAGAGGTTCCAACGGCTGGCCGCACGAACAAACACCGACATACTGAGCTAGCTGTGGAAAAAGAGTTCTTTTAAAGTGAGTAGATTTAAATGCAAGAGTTCCTTGTTCGCCGAGCTGTTTATGGCTCGATGTATATGATATTAGCAGTGGGTGCAAAAGAATGGAAATTGCGACACTGAGCAAGTTAAAGCAACGGTGGTGCCGCACCAAGAAACAGGTGAATAAAAAAAGAAAGATAAGACGGTCAATGAATGACGAGAGGATGAAAAGGCAAGGAAGGTGAAGAAGGTGGGAAATTGGGATTTGGGATTTTTTGGAGGTTTTTGAAGAGGCAGTCTTCAAAACTTATCCTTCAAAACCAGGCTTCAAAACCAGGCTTCAAAACCAGCCTGCCTTCGGCATTCTGGTTTTTCAGGCTGGTTTTTCAGTCAGTCTGGCCCGCAAGCGAACACAAACAAGGACCCCTTCGAATATTCCCGCCCTGCGTTCGAGTGGCATTTTTCGTTTGCTTGGTCTTTTCACTTTCGCTTATAAAACCGAAGCATGAAGCGCCACAATGGAAAATTAGTCCTCCAAAAACCACCTGTTCTATCATTCTTCGTGTGTTCTTAAAGGCACTTCCCACTGCCAGTCTAGGGCGATTTGCAACCAAGCATTCGCACATTACCACACATTTCATAACCTTCCACTAAATGCTTGCAGTGGCCAACCCACCGAGTCTCGACTCGGGAAGCGACTTCTCCGATGATAGCATCGACAGTATTTTTGACTCTCGCAGAGATTCGTGTTCCAGTGTTGATACTACCTTCTCTGACATACCGGCTGCAAAACAGCCTCAGTGCGCCTGCTGTGCTCCAGTGTTGACTACGGTGACTGCCCAAGGGAAAGGGCTGTCTGTTCGGGACCCGCGGGCGGAGCTCTCGTATATCTTGGGTGTTTCTGAACCTGAGGAGAAGAAGGCGGAGGAAGAGAAGGAAGAGGAGCCCGTGGAATTGCAGACCTTCTCCAGCTCGGCTCCTTCTTATACACCAGAACCTTCAAGGTCTAGGTTTCGTACTAGAGAATCAAGAGCCAACTCTACGTTTCTTAGACTCTATGCCCACGATACTGCTGCTAGGGCCCAGGGAAGACTTCCCATGCTTAATTCACCTGAAGAGTTGGCGCTTCTCCGGCGTATACCTGCTCTTAGAAGGTTCGATAAGCACCACGACTTGGCTAGAATCCTGGCTCTTTCGTGTAAGAAGCTCTGGGACGCCGTGGTGCTTCCCCCAAGAGCAGACCCACTTCCTAAACAGACTGTGGACAGTTTTGAATACGTCAAGACAGAGTTCACGGGTGGCTTGACGCTTGAAAAGGGACGCAATTCAAGCAGAGTGGTGCCTTGGGCTCCGCAGAAAAGATGGGTCAGACCAGCCGGTGCTTGGCCTCTGGGAGGTCAGTACACGGTAAAGGGATGGACTCCAGCCAGGCTTGTTCCTCAGACGAGGAGGTAACTTGCAGACGTTGACGGCTGCAAGTGGTGTGACTGATGTAAAGCGGACATGTTGGTGAAAGCTTTCCATCCAATTTCCTTCCTTCCTTCATCTTCTTAATTCAACTAGCTGCTTCACTGACAGGATACCCAAGATGCGTTACAGTGAAACAGCTTGACTTGACCGCCTGGAACTACCATTAGTTCTTATTGCATTCGGGTACAAACAGATATCCGACCGAGCTCCCTGCGGTGGGCTCACCTTAAATAGAATAATGAGATAATGACTTATTGGTTGGTTGTAGGGATAGGACTTTGTCGATGGTAGGTATCTTATACTGGTTCTACTCTGTGATGGACTGTCCGTTTGCGCTTAAAGTGTTCTACGGTATAAAACCTAAATAGGGGGATTCAGAAGAACAAGAATCAACTAAAATGAACGGAATCATGATTTCACGTAATTTTGGGGTTTCTGGGTTATCTGGTTCGTGAATGGCTGCAAATGGCTGCGAAAAGTTGGAAGAGTCACTGGTATCCTTCAAACAAAGCCTCTATTTCAGGTAAAGTAAAGCTGGATTGTCTTTAATCAGCTTTAAAGAAAGCCATGGATGCTTTATTTCATTTATTTCTTGTCTTTCTGTTGGTTCTCTGTTGATGTTCACTGGCCTTCACTTGCTGTATATACCAGTGCTCAAGTAGTCCACGTAAACCGTACACACACCCATTTATAGCCAGAAACAATATATCTAGACACTATCATGGTATTACTATACCCCATTTATTACCTTCCTTTTACTAATTCTTCGTCTTTTTGCCCTTTTGACGGACACCTCTTTGGATGCTTTAACAGTCACAGTGCTCACATGACCAGTAGCACACTCAAACTGGGCCTTCCCTGCACTCCTGCAATGGCATCTCGCTCTCCACCCGTGCACCACGCATACTACGCTCTCACCGAAAAAATCAATGAAAAAAAAAACCCCCCAACCTTAGATCTCCAGACCTATACAACTCATAATGGCTCCAGGTAAGAAAGTTGCTCCACTCCCTTTGGCCGCTAAGGGCCAGGCTGTCGCCCCTGAGAAGGCTAACCCATTGATCGAGAACAGAAGAAGAAACTACGGTATCGGTCAGGACATCCAGCCAAAGAGAAACTTGTCTAGATTCGTCAAGTGGCCTCAGTACGTCAGATTGCAGAGACAGAAGAAGATCTTGTCCATGAGATTGAAGGTTCCTCCAGCTATTGCTCAGTTCCAGAACGTCTTGGATAAGAACACCGCTACCCAGACCTTCAAGTTGTTCAACAAGTACAGACCAGAGACTGCTGCTGACAAGAAGGAGAGATTGACCAAGGAGGCTGCTGCCATCGCTGAGGGTAAGAAGGCTCACGATGTTTCCCCAAAGCCAGTTGTTGTCAAGTACGGTTTGAACCACGTTGTTTCTCTTATTGAGAACAAGAAGGCCAAGTTGGTTTTGATTGCCAACGACGTTGACCCTATTGAGTTGGTCATCTTCTTGCCAGCTTTGTGCAGAAAGATGGGTGTTCCATACGCCATTGTCAAGGGTAAGGCTAGATTGGGTACCTTGGTCCACAAGAAGACCTCTTCTGTCGCTGCTTTGACTGAGGTTTCTTCTGAGGATGAGGCTGAATTGTCCAAGTTGGTCTCCACCATCAACGCTAACTTCATCGAGAAGTACGAGGAGCACAGAAAGCACTGGGGTGGTGGTATCATGGGTAAGAAGCACAACGACAAGGCCGCCAAGAAGGCTAAGGCTTTGGACGCTGCCCAGCAGCCTCTGGCTTCTGCTTAAGCGTATAGTGCTTCAGCATGCATGTATACTTAATTAAACCAGCACTGAAGGCGCAAGCCCGATGTGTTATTCACTGATAATCAAGTGTCGTTGTAGATATAGTAGATTTGGATTTAAGGGTTGAGGATTGTTGGTCGATGAGTATGTTCAGCCACTACCGATAAGAGAAGCAGCAACCAAGGGACCGTCAGTATACCAAGTGAAGTCCTGGTATTTAAGGTAGCTAAAGAGTTTATGCTAATCAAGAATTTCATGTGGCTGACTTTGCTTCTTAAGTAATGGTCAGTTTCCCATTAGTATTATCGTACTGACGTAATCCTACTAGACCCTTACCCAACTATCGTTAACATTAGCGTAAAATGAGTTCCTGGAGTTCGAAGCTGGAATTATTGAACTTTTCTTGCATCGAAGATTGTAAAGTGCATTGCTTACTTCCTGAATTACAGAATAAATAGGTAATTGGTATGAACCACAAGTTACATTCGAATTACAACTACAAAATTAATTTACGGTAAACCAAGCAAGAACTAACCCTTTATTGAAGAAAATGGATCAATATAAAGCAATCTAATAAGAAGTGTTATGAAATCGTGGCTTTCTAATACTATCTGTTCTGTAGTACCATACCACCCATACATATGGATCACACTGCACCACTTACCTCCCATCAAAAGCCAAACAAGAGCACATCAAAAGCGTCATCTTTCTTCCATTATCCCCCATAGCCCAAATTCAACCATTTCCCAATTACCTGCCCACATCATTACCTCTTCATCACTACCTACTTAGATCTACCACAAACATCCTATAACCTTCAACCGTCAACACTTCACCACCCACCATTCCCAAATCCCCAGTCCAAAACAAACCCCAAACCCGCCCATTTCCCTAATTTCCATCAACTTCAATTTTCCTCTTTTCCAGCCTCTACTACCCACCACCTCTCGTCCTCTTCCTTCCCCCTCTGCTGCCTCTTGCTACACTTTTCGCAGCCATTTCTGTCCCTCCATACTCTCCACCTACCCCCGCCAAATCCACCAAACATCACCTCCCCTTACAATAAACTACATTAAACAAACCCCCTAACCGTCCTCTACCCCACCGACCCATCAAATTTCCATCAAAGGCCTCCAAGGTCAAAAAACCACTGGCCTCTGGCATTCTTCCACACCCGTGCACCACAGCCAACCCAAGTGTCTCCAAAAAAACAGCCCGGCCTGTATGGCGGCCAGCACAGAAATTGACCAATCGCTAGGCTCATGATTTGCAACCTTCGCACACACCCATCCAATTTCCAAAAAAACAGCCTTTCCATCAAGACACCTCTGTGGAACACCCAGAACACTCCCCTTTAGAGGCACTAGCTTTCGAATTCCAGTATAAAAAAAGAATCAAGTTCTACCCAAAACTCGGTTTTCCTGTGCCATCACTCATAATATAGAATATGTCGTTTTTCAGAGACTTGATTGAACAGGCCTTCCCAGTGGCCTACGCTGCAGAGGTATGTACGAGAAGAGAAGAGAAGGAGAGATTAGAGGATAGAGAATAAGGAAGAGAAGAGAGGGAGGAGGATCAAGGTCTTGGAGGAATTGCAAGGCACTTCCTTGATCTCTAACCCTACTTCTGTTCTACTTCTATTGTTCTCATATTTTTCACCAATACTAACATCACAGCCAGAGGAAGAGGTGCCTATTGACTCCGAGGAGGCCGGCGAAGAGGAAAAGCAGGAAGAAGAGGATGCCGGTGAGGCCGCTGAAGACGCTGCCGAGGAGGCTCCAGAATCTGACGACCCAGCCGAGGAAGGTGAAGAGGAAGAGGAGGACGAGGATGAAGACGAAGATGACGAAGACGATGAAGATGAAGAAGAGGCTACTGACCCATTCGACGACTTGCGTGAAGAGTGTGCCAAGGCCCCATCTTGTGTTCCTTACGTCCACCACTTTGACCACTGTGTGGAGAGAGTCCAGAAGGAACAGGAAGACCCAGACTACGCACACAAGGCCTACAAGGAGGACTGTGTTGAGGAGTTCTTCCACTTGCAGCATTGCATCAACGACTGTGCTGCTCCAAGGTTGTTCTACAAGTTGAAGTAAGGGAACCCATCATTGGTGTTCTGCTTCTTCGGCTCAAAAAATTTAACTGCATGTCCATTTATTCTCCTTCATTCACTTTCTCCATCAGCTGCCTTCGGGCTTTACAAATAGAAACGCTATAATCATGGAAGACATGTAGGTGGGTTGTTGGTTGCTACCCGAGGTCCTAGAGAGGGCCCGCAAGGGCCCTCAAGAGTCCAACGCACGTAGTACGTAGATATGATGAAAACCATGAGAAGTGGAGAAGAGCTTGATGTCTAGAAGGTTTAGGTTGAGTATACTGGTATCTTCAATTGCTAGTGGTTGTATGGCTAGAGTCATATCCACAGCCAATTGCACGCCTGCCAGTTGAAATCACCCCAAATCCACTCCAAACCTTCCAGGCAACCCAAAGAACCTAATAATATATGGAGCTGCTCCCTTTTTGTATATTTCAATTGGTATTGATTCACCTACTTTGGCTCCTCCAGCTTCATACAAATGGCTGCAAACGAGCAACAGATACCCCAGCAACATCCGCCAACTCTTGCCCAAACTCGTTTTCTTACCATCTAACAAACTCTACTCTCCACATTAGCAACTCCAAATCAACCAAATCCCTCCACCTTCACCAAAAAATCACCCATACCAGAAACACCTGATTCTCATGAACCGTTCGGTACCCTCGGCTACAGCCCACCACCAATGAGTCCATTGAAGTCCACCAATTTTCCACAAAACAAGCCAATTCCCATACAACCCTCTATTTCCTTCCATCTGAAGCAAAAACTTGCTTTTCTTCAAATTTCCAATAATTCCCTACTTTCATTTCTGGTACCCTGCTGGATCTGATTTGCAGCCAGAACTGGAGATTACATGGAAAGTGCGAAACGACGTAATTGGAAGGCAATTGTAAAATCGGTGGCGAATCAACAAGTACAGAAAGTGGTGTTGAAGGAGGCAGAAAACGAGGAGGATTCTGGAGATACGCTTCTTTGATAAAAATCTACTGTATTTTTTTGGAAAATTGGAGGTGGTGGGAAGTTTGGGTCACTTGTGAAAGGGCCACTTCCTGCATACAAACACTCGGGTGGAATCGAACTTTCTAAGCAAATAGGCCACCCAAGTCATACCAGTCTTTGTTTAAAAACAAAAAACAACGCCACACCGTTTGAGAAAAGAACCCCTCTGGCCAATCAATTGAGCAAGTGCCCAGTCATTTCGTGCTTCAGAGAAAGAAAATTAAAGAAAGCTATTGAACTTTACTAAAAGAACGATCCCCCAATAAAACAAGGAACCATCATGTCGAAGCCAGTAATTGAAGAGAGAGTTTACGTCGGGAACCTTGACTACTCCATCACCGAGGAGGACATCAAGGAGTTTTTCACCGGATTGCAGATTGAGTCTGTGGACATCCCCACGAAAACGTTCACCAAGGGCACCAAGGAAGTCACAAAACGCCTAGGGTTCGGGTTTGTACAGTTTGCCCTGAAGGAGGATGCTGACGAGGCCATCGAGAGATCCAATGGCAAGGTGATCAAGGTGAGAACGCTTTTCTCCAGAAAGGCTGTTCCTCCAGCTTCGCCAGAGGAGAAGAAGGAGAAGAGAGCAGCTTTCTTGGCCAAGAAGGCTGCTATCCGTGAACAGAAGCAGCAGAAGGAGCAGGAAAAGGCTAATGCCGAGAAGACTGACGCTGCTGACCTGGTTCCTAAGGAGAAGAAGGCTGGTGTGGCCGCCAATGGCGACGCTGAGAAGAAGCAGGACAAGACCAAGACTCCCGAGGGCACTCCTTCGAACGATACGGTCTTCATCACCAACTTGGACTTTAAGGCTAATGTCAAGGTATTGGACGCTATTTTCAAGGAGCTTGAACCTAAGTGGATTCACGTTCCTGCTAAGAAGGTTCCTCGTCACATCCTTAGACAGATTAGAGCCAACCACAGGCCAATATACAACAGAGGCATTGCCTTTGTGAAGTTTGCCGATCAAGAGACCCAACAACGTGCCATCTCCGAGTTCAACGGTAGGGATGTGAACGGAAGGCTGATCATTGTTGAGGCTGCTGTCGACAGACCAAGACCTGAGGGAGATGAAGAAGTCCAGGGAGAAGCCCAGCCTGTTGATGCTGTTGATGCTGCTGTACAGGCCGAGGCCCAGGCTGCTACCGGCGCCTAAATCTGCTGCAAAACAGCAGACCGGTTCATATAAAAAAAAGAATGCCAATTACGAAAAGTATCATCTTGTGCCTATAGTGTGTAGACTGCTAGGGGTTCGGCCCTAGTGCGCGGCACGTGACCAGGCTTGAGGGTGTAGTAAGTAAAGTGAGAACCAGCCATATAGAAGAGGAGGGTCCCACTACGTAGGGAGAACAATGAAGACCTCTAGAAAGTCACGTGACCACACTCATTTTTCAGAAAATTTCTAAAAACCCAAGTCTCGTCTAGTAACCACAAACCACAATGGGTATGTTGAACCAGAAAATACCGTTTTTGCGATGGAAGCTATGCCATTTTTGAAATCTACGGGTCCAAAACCCCCGTGGCCCAAAAATCAGCTCCTTCCCAAACCTCCTCCTCCCCAACCCTATACTAACATCGCCAGGTAGAGTCATTCGTAACCAGAGAAAAGGTGCCGGTTCCATTTTCACCGCTCACACCAGATTGAGAAAGGGCGCTGCCAAGTTGAGAACCTTGGACTACGCCGAACGTCACGGTTACATCCGTGGTGTTGTCAAGCAGATCATCCACGACTCCGGTAGAGGTGCTCCATTGGCCAAGGTTGTCTTCAGAGACCCATACAGATACAAGTTGAGAGAGGAGACTTTCGTCGCCAACGAGGGTCTTTACACTGGTCAGTTCGTCTACTGTGGTAAGAAGGCTTCCTTGAACGTCGGTAACGTTTTGCCTTTGGGCTCTTGTCCTGAGGGTACCATTGTCTCCAACGTCGAAGAGAAGGTTGGTGACAGAGGTGCTTTGGGTAGAACCTCTGGTAACTACGTTATCATTATCGGACACAACCACGACGAAGGTAAGACCAGAGTCAAGTTGCCATCTGGTGCCAAGAAGATCATCAACTCTGACGCCAGAGGTGTCATTGGTGTTGTTGCCGGTGGTGGTAGAATCGACAAGCCATTGTTGAAGGCCGGTAGAGCTTTCCACAAGTACAAGGCCAAGAGAAACTCGTGGCCAAGAACTAGAGGTGTGGCCATGAACCCAGTTGATCACCCTCACGGTGGTGGTAACCACCAGCACATTGGTAAGGCTTCTACCATCTCCAGAGGTGCTGTTCCAGGTCAGAAGGCTGGTTTGATTGCCGCCAGAAGAACTGGTTTGTTGAGAGGTACCCAGAAGACCCAGGATTAGAGAATAAGGGATTTGTAATATTGCATAACACAAAAAAACGAAAAGAACAGAAAAGAACAGAAACTAAGGTTATGAAATGTAGAGGTGTGGAGAGAAGTGTAGGAGTGGTTGTATTTGTATGGTAAGTACCATATTTTGCAGCCATCAGAGGGACAACGTAGATAGCGGAATATATTTTGCAGCCATTAGAGGGACAGTATAGATAACAGATTATTTCAGAACGGTACCTGAAAGCATCCAAATCGCCATACATAAGGACCCCTTGCTTTAAGGTACAGCTAGATCTTGAAATCACACAAAGTTATCCAGACAACTCTTACCTACTCAGTTCCTCTCTGAAAGAGATCCTGACTGACCAACGAACAACCTGTTCACCACTTTAACCCAATCCCAACCAACCCTTAACCTCCCCAGCATTCGGCGATTCGCCATATCTACGGAACACCCCAACTCTGGTTCCGCCGTAGATTTCGCCGCAGCCAACAATGGGTGCCATTATCAAGAAACCCCACGTATAAGCCCAGTAACTCACTGATTGGCTGGAGCTGGGTAGGTGAAGAAAACAAAGGGGGATTAAGGGATTATGTCGTTTTAAGGAAATCATGAAATCCAAAGACCCCTTCCAGAAAAGCTTCCTTCTTGTCACTTCTCATGACTTTCCAGTATCTAATTTTTCACCACCAGCTCTTCCCAGGGTCCTCCACCTTCCCCAACCTCCATCGATTGTTGTTCTTTTTTCGTGGCTTTTCTTCGCCAATGGCAATTGTACTCTAGCCTTCCCCGACCAATTGTCTGCCGTTTGCCACCGACTAGCTCAGGTGAGTCACTGGCAGTGGCTTGCGGTTTTCGCAGCCATTAATGGGTGCAAAAGGGAGGGTCAGTGGGTGGTTTAGGTCATGGAGGATTGGAAATTTGATAAAAAAAGGTTGTAATGGTCAGTGGAAGTAGAAGAATAGAATCTGTGAATATGGAGGGATTTGGAGGGAAATAGGTCACTTTAGCTGGACATGTAGAAATACATACTGAGGAAGAGCCATCAGCCAGAACTGTCCATCAATTCAGCCCAATCTTCACTTTTTGAATTTTCCAAAGACACAGAAATACTCTGGAAGCCCCCTTATTACCAATACAGCCATCAAAGTACCCATTTTACCTTCTCTCCCTGAAATACACTTACCCTTTCATTACCCTCTCGTCTATGGACCCTTAGTAGTACGCACCAACCAGCAGCTGCCAGTAGGAACCACCAACCTCCATTCATTTCCACCACCTTTCCATAAAATCCACCCAAAATGCATCAAAACCTCTTCTCAAACCGTAAAAAGCCAAATCTGAAAACCACATCCACTTCCCACAACTCCCCGTCCATTTCCCACTCACTGTGGGTTACTGGGGCCATAATGGCTGCAAACCAGTGAAAAACGTCCACCAGCCAGTGACATCACCCAGACCAACATCCAGATGACCCCAATTCTACCTCTTTCTATTCATTTATGTACCACCCCCTCTCCACACTAACCACCATTATGTCAACTCGGTATGAGTCGAACTTCCATATTCATCACAGAAGATGTTTCCCATCTGCCGGCACGGCTCTGTGCGGTTATGCTGGGAACCTGCACTTTCCTGCCATCGCAGTCGGTATAAGATTAGCTCAGATTTCCAGTTTTCCAGAAACCACTGTACCTTTTTTTATTAACATACTTCTGCCATGTCTTGCCTACTATGGGATTATGACGATATCCCACGGTGTGCTCGTACGGAGATAACCGCGCTATATCCGTTGGCAGTGGCGGCGCTTTCGTTGGCCTGGCTTATCGTGACTTCCATAGCTTCGTGTACTGGGAAGAAGATTGAACTAGATGAATCCAGACCGCTTTTGGCTTCGCCTGATGTGTATGGGTCGGTAGAGCTGGCTGAAAGACCGGCTAACCAGCCAGAAATTTCTTTGAGAGAACGCCATTTCGATATGATGAGATTGCCTAATACCAATGAAGACGGAACGCCTCATGGCCAGACTGTGGAACAACCTAAATCGCTTGGCGATAGGGCCAGGGTGTCGTTGGAGTTTGTGCTTGTGGCTTTGCAGCTTGCAATGGCTGTGGCGACGTTGCTTTTATCTGGATTTTCCCATGAATGGAAGTCCCACTCGTTTGTTCAAGCAAGCTTGGTGTTCCACTGGGCATACGCTTTTGCTTTGTGTTGCGCTAGAGTAACCAACATGAAGAAACAAAAGATCGCTTTGCCTAACTTGTGGGCTCATTCTACGGCTTTGTACCTTTTCCATGTCTTATCTGCTGCGGTGTTTTTCCGTTCTGCCCTTATTGGCCATGTTAAACGTACGCCAGTGGCTTACTACTACGAAGCTGACTTTGCAATTACCATTGTGCTCGTGTTCCTTTCCATTACTTGCAGTGTGGGCGATAAACCTGCTAGAATTTATATTACTTCTGATGGTGTCAAGCCCTCGCCAGAGAACCTTGCTAGTCTTTGGTCTTTCTCTACGTACTCCTGGGTCGATGAAATGATCTGGAGAGCCCGTAAATCCTCTTTGGTTATGGGTGATATCTGGGGATTGCGTGAAGACGACTATGCTTTGCACGTTCTTAAGGTGTTCGACTCTACCAAGCTGGCTGCTCGTTTTACCATTCAGCTTTTCTCCCACTTCAAGTGGTTGTTTGCCCTCCAGGGTTTCTGGGCCTTGTGTGAATCGATCTTGGTGTTCTTCCCTACTCTTTTGTTGAAGAAAGTGTTGGAATACGTTGAAGATCCATCCACAACTACCCGCAGTATGGCTTGGTGCCTTGTGTTGCTCATGCCTGCTTCTAAGTTGATTGACTCTTTGAGTTCTGGCTTTTCCTTGTTTATTGGTAGACGTGTTTGTGTTAGAATGAGAGCTATCATCATTGGTGAAGTGTACGCCAAGGCCTTAAGAAGAAAGATCTCCATCAAGGATGTCAGTGACGACGAGCCTGCTTCTGAAGATGAAGCTTCTGTGGGCTCTGATGACAAGAAGAAGGACTCTGACGAGAATGGAACCTCTGATTTAGGTGCTATTATCAACTTGATGGCTATTGATGCTTTCAAGGTTTCCGAAGTTTGCGGTTACTTGCACTTTTTCGTCGGTGGTACTTTGATGCTTGTGGTTTGCACTGTTCTTTTGTACAACTTGTTGGGCTGGAGTGCCTTGGCTGGTTCTGCCGCTATCATTGTGTTCTTGCCAATCAACTATAAGCTTTCTCAATGGACTGGTGAAGCTCAAAAGGATATGTTGAGTACCACTGATAAGAGAATCCAGAAGATGAACGAGACCTTCTCCAGTATCAGAATCATCAAGTTCTTCGCTTGGGAAAACAACTTCTTTGCCAACATCATGAAGATCAGACACGACGAACTTTACTACCTTAAGAAGAGAAGTATCTTGTGGGGTCTTCAGAGTTTCAACTGGTTTGCTATTCCAACCATCATCACTGTGATTTCCTTCTACTGCTACACCATGATTGAAGGTAAGCCATTGACTGCTCCAATTGCCTTTACTGCTTTGTCTTTCTTTACCCTTTTGAGAGCTCCTCTTGACCAATTGGCTGACATGACTGCCATTATTATTCAGTCCAAGGTGTCTCTTGACAGAGTGAGTGACTTCTTGGAAGAGGACGAAACTTCCAAATACGAGCAATTGGGCCAAAAGCGTACTGAGAACTCTCCTGTTATTGGTTTCGAAGATGCTTCCTTCTCTTGGAACTCTACATCTGACGCTGACTTTAAGTTGAGAAACTTGAACATTGCATTCAAGCCTGGTAAGTTGAACGTTGTTATTGGCCCTACTGGTGCTGGTAAGACTTCCTTGCTTATGGCTCTTTTGGGTGAAATGGAACTTTTGAATGGTAAGGTATTCTTGCCTGGTATTATTCCAAGAGATGAGTTGGTTATTGACCCAACGACTGGCTTCACTGAATCTGTCGCTTACTGTTCCCAATCTGCCTGGTTGCTCAACGATACTATTAGAAACAACATTATCTTTTCCCAGCCTTACATCCCAGAACGTTACGACAGAGTCGTCGAGGCCTGTGGTTTGACTCGTGATTTGCAAATTCTTCCTGCTGGTGACAAGACCGAGATTGGTGAGAAGGGTATTGCCTTGTCTGGTGGACAGAAACAGCGTATTTCTTTGGCCAGAGCTTTGTACTCCAACTCTAGACACATTTTGTTGGATGACTGTTTGTCTGCTGTGGACTCTCACACTGCTTTGTGGATTTACGAGAACTGTATTTCTGGTCCTTTGATGGCCAACAGAACATGTATTTTGGTTTCTCATAATGTTGCCTTGACTGTCCAGAAGGCTGAATGGGTTGTTGTTATGGAAGACGGGAAGGTCAAGGTCCAAGGAAGTGCCGACGAATTGTTAGATGGCGGCCACTTGGGCGATGACGAATTGGTTAGATCTTCTGTGATGAATTCCCGTAACCAGTCAACTACTAACTTGCAATCTTTGGACTCGAAGAACTCTGAAATGAAGTCCAAGGCTGCCGTCATTGAAAGCAAATTGAAGGATCTTGCTGGCGAAGAAGAACCAACTGAAGCCCTTCGTACTGACGGTAAGTTGATCGAGGAAGAAGAGAAAGCCGAAGGTGTTGTTGGATTAGACGTGTACGCAGGGTACATTAAAGAGTTTGGTGGCTGGCCCACATGGTCCATTATCATCTTCACCTATGGCTTCACTCAGCTTGTCTACATTTGTCAATCGTGGTGGTTGAAGAAATGGGCTCAGGACACTCCTGAAACCATTGCCAAGGTTATGAATGTTGTTGGAATCACCGGCGAGTCTATGCCTTCAATTGTTAAGACTTTTGCTGCCAACACTAACTTGGCTATTGCATCGCTTTCTTCTGCTTACAAGCAGGCCTCAGACGCTGTTACCACTTTCAAGACTCACCACATTGTTCAATACTACATTATCTGGTACGCCTTGATTGGTTTGGCTTACTCTGTGTTGGCAACCATCCGTGTCTTTGTGTCTATCTTTGCTGGTATTAGAGCTTCCAACAGAATTTTCAAGCGTGTGTTGACGAGAATTTTGAGTGCCAAGTTGGGTTTCTTTGACAAGACTCCTCTTGGACGTATTATGAACAGATTCTCCAAGGATATTGAAGCTGTTGACCAGGAATTGACTCCATTCGGTGAAGCTACTTTTGCATGTCTCGTTTCATGTATTTCTATCTTCATCCTTATTACGGTCATCACTCCAGGTTTCTTGTTCTTTGCCGTCTTCATCTCGTACTTTTACTACTTGATTGGATCGCTCTACATCACTCTTTCGAGAGAATTGAAGAGATTCGACTCTATCACCAAGTCGCCTATCCACCAGCACTTCTCAGAATCCTTGACTGGTGTTGCCACAATCAGAGCTTACGGTGTTGAATCCCGTTTCATGAAGCAAAACTTGGCTGCTATCGACGAGAACAATAGACCATTCTTCTACATGTGGGTTGCTAACAGATGGTTGGCTTTGCGTGTTGATGCTGTGGGTTCTCTTGTCATGTTGTTCGCTGGTATTTTTGTCATTTTGTCTATTGGCAGAATTGACGCTGGTTTGGCTGGTTTGTCTTTGTCTTATGCCATTTCCTTCTCAGAGAACGCCTTGTGGATTGTTCGTCTTTATGCCAACGTCGAGATGAATATGAACTCTGTGGAGCGTTTGCAAGAGTTCATGAAGGTTGACCAGGAGCCCCCAAGTGAGATTCCAGAGACAACTCCAAAGCCAGAATGGCCTACTAGAGGTGAGATTGAGGTTAAGGACGTTTCCTTGAGATACGCTCCTCACTTGCCTAGAGTCATCAAGAACGTTACATTCCACGTGGAGCCATCCCACAAGATCGGTGTCGTGGGTCGTACCGGTGCTGGTAAGTCTACCATCATCACTGCATTCTTTAGATTCTTGGACCCAGAGACTGGTTACATCAAGATTGATGATGTGGATATTTGCAGCATTGGTTTGAGGAACTTGAGACAGGCCATCACCATTATCCCTCAAGATCCTACTCTTTTCACAGGTACGATTCGTTCCAACTTGGACCCCTTCGACCAGTACTCGGACGCTCAGATCTTTGAAGCCTTGAAGAGAGTCAACTTGATTGGACGTGAAGAGACCGCCAGAGATATCGACAGTTCCCAGGAGAACAAGAACAAGTTCTTGGACTTGAGTTCTGCCGTTTCTGAAGGTGGTAACAACTTGTCGCAAGGCCAAAGACAATTGATGTGTCTTGCCAGATCGTTGTTGAAGAGCCCTAAGGTGATTTTGTTAGATGAAGCCACCGCCTCGATCGACTACCAATCTGATGCCATGATCCAGCAGACCATCAGAGAAGAGTTCTCGGGCTCCACCATTCTTACGATTGCTCATAGATTGAGATCGATCATTGACTACGATAAGATTTTGGTGATGGACGCCGGTAAAGTTGTCGAGTACGACGATCCATACGCCTTGATCGCCAACAAGGAGACCTTGTTCTATAGCATGTGTGAAAACAGTGGAGAGCTTGAAGTTCTCGCCAAGCTAGCCAAGGAGTCTTTCGTCAGCAGGAAAAACAAAAATGAGACCCTTCAGTCTTTCCCTGACAGCAGCATCTGTTTATTTATTTCATTCAATGTACTCTTTAGAAAAAAGTATGCTTTGTAGTGATTTGCAGCCATAATTGCGTTTCCTGTGTGGTCCCTCCCAAGTGCTTATCTAGATAACAGTCTGACAGCTGCAGGCTGAATCCACAGTTGAAGAAACATCAACAAACCACCCATGTCTTTCAAAAGACACCATGAATACGTGGCTGTGCCTCGAGAAGATGATATAGAATCTGGTCTAGAAAACCTGACCACCGATCTTTTGTCCACAGAGGTGAATTTCTTGCCTCAGTTGGAAGAGGTACCACAGGGCAGGCACTTGGGGCTTTTTTCAACCATAGTGTTGTTTGTCAGCCGGATCTTGGGATCTGGGTTTTTGGCTATTTCAAGTGGAATGTATAACGATTGTGGTCGTTCGCCGTTCTTCTTCTTTCTTTCGTGGATCATTGCATGTGCTCTGGCGTTCGCTGGGCTCTATGTGTATCTTGAGCTAGGGCTGTTTATCCCGAGAAGTGGAGGCACGAAGGTGTTTTTCGAGGTCATTTACGATAGACCGTATATGTTGGCCAGCGTGGTGATCTCGCTTTACTCGGTGATGTATGGGTTCACGATTCTGAACCTTTTGGTGTTTGGGGAGTACTCTTTGCACGCGTTTGGAATCAAGACATCTGATTGGAACATTCGGTTGGTGGGTCTTGGGTTTCTTTATTTCACTTGTGCTTTTCATGGAATTAGCGTGCACCATGGTGTTCGAGTCCAGAACTTTATTGGTGGGCTTAAGTTGGTTTTAGCGGCATTGATCGTGTTGACAGGAATATGGGTTTCCGTGTTGCCGCTGAGTATTACCAAAATCGAGAACCAATTGCATTTTCATGGATTCTTTCCAGCTAAGAGTGAAATAACTCCAGGTTCTTTTGCCAGTGCCATTATTAAAGGAACATTTGCATGTGCGGGATGGAACTCTATCCATACCGTCACCAACGAGATCAAAGACCCAAATCGTACGTTGAAGATTGCTGGTCCTCTTTCTTTGCTTATCATCACAATAACCTATATCTTCATCAACATAGCATACTTGGTGGTTATCCCAGATAAGGAAATCATGGAAAGTGGTCAATTGATAGGTTCTCTTCTTTTCGAGAAGATATTTGGATACCGTATTGGAAGACAGTTTTTGACCATCGCATCTGCTGTTTGCACGGCAGGCAACGTCTTTGTCGTTTTGTATACCATTTCTCGTGTCAGCCAGGAAGTGTTTAAAGAAGGTTTCTTGCCATTTTCGAGATTCATGTCATCTAATTGGCCAGGAGACGCTCCATTACCAACGCTATTACTCAGTTGCACACTTTCAACCTTGGTTGTTGTTGGAGCGCCACATGGCGACGTCTACAACTATATCGTATCGCTTGAAAGTTATCCACAACAAATCTTTGTGGCTCTATGTGCATTGGGGATATTCATCATGAGAAAAAGACATCCTCGTTTCAAGGCTCCTATTAGGTCCACTATCATAGGCACAGTGGCGGTTATTGTCATGTCGATTTATCTCACAACAATGCCACTCATAGGAAAGAACCCAAACCCCAAGGGAATGGAGGACTGGATCCCCTACCCATACATTGGGTTGCTAAGCTTGCTTTCTGCTGCTTTCTATTGGTTTTGCATGTTCATTGTGGGACCAAGATTCTTCAATTATCAGTTGGTGGCAGAGGAAGACAAGTTGGACGACGGCTTGACCGTAACACAGTGGACCAAAATACCTCTCAACGAATTCAATTAATAGACAATATAGACTTATTCTTTTGATTTGCCTCCTATTAGTTTGTCGACACGCCTGACGAACGATTTAAAAGACCTGCTTTTCAATTTTTGGGCTATCTTGAACCTCAATGATAGATCGTCAAGTTCGTCGAGCTCTTCGTCGTCCTTCATTGCTTCTTCCAATGCCTTGTTTAAGAAGCTATCCATTTTACTTCCTTTCTTTGCTTTCTTCTTTTCAGGTTCATCTGTAGGGAGATCAAAGGGGATATCCTCCAAGGCGTCCCTCAAATCTTGCTCTGTTATTTTTGTCTTCAGAGCACCACTGCAAACAGTAGTATCTTGTGATTGAATACCTCCATTTAGGGACGAGTCAATCGAGAAGCAGCTATTATCGAAACGCTGAGTCGGTTGAGAAAATATCGTATCATCAATAGTGCTCTGTGACGCTTGACTCAACACATTCAGAATTGATCTGTTGAGATTAGAAAAGCGTGGAAGGCTCTTTTCAATGGGCTGTGAAAATTGTGTCGTTTGGGAAGTATCACCAAAGGCATTTGTAAATGGACCAGTAACCGTTGGTCCTCCCGCAAACCCAGGCGGCTGAAATTGCACTTGTGGGAGTGATCCAGTCATTTCAGTTTGAAGACCTTGAGCAGCGCCCACAAGAATATTAATCGAATTCTGGAAATTCGAAGCTGCAATTGATGGATAAGCCTTGACAAGAGGAGCTTGCGGAGTACTCATTTGCCAGGCAGGGATAGCGAATTGGGATTCAGCAGGATTGCTTGTTTGCGAATAAGACTGGGTAGGCTTTAAGTGGGTCGTATCATCTGTTTTTATGCTCTGGGGTGCCTGCTGAGATGCCTGGGAAGCTTGTGGAGGTGGTGGCTGAGGCAATGAGAGCTCGCTCTTCGAATCACGATAAACCAGCTGAGAATATGTCTGTGAATCCTTATCAACATTAGAAGCCTGTGAGTTAGTGGGTTGGAACTTCAACTCTGGGGTCGGTTCAACGGGCTCCCTACTGATATGGACCTGCTGGGTTTGCAGACCAACATAATCCTGAGACATCAGAAGCTGGTCCTCCAAAGATCTCGAAACGACAACACTCAATCCAAGCCATAACCGTATTTTCAGTGCAAAATGGTTGAAATGGCCTGCTGAATCAAAAGTTATCTGAAGACGTTTCTTCAAAGTATCGCCGTCTGAGATCTTGAGCCCCACAATCGGCTCCTTGGTAAGAAACTTTACATTTGTCTCGGTAATATGAGACGTATCCTGAGTATTAGAGAGATCAAAATAACGAAAAAAAAGGGGGTGGGTCATACAATTGGTTTTCCTTGGGAAAGGATCAATAGAGTAACTCCTGAGGAGTTATAAGTGCATCTTAGCTTAAGGCCCAGACGGTAATGGGTCCAGTCTTTGTTGGGCACTGTGAGCTGGGAAGCACGAGTGATAAGAAATTCAGTAGTTTCATGCATTAGGAAGAAGAAAAGGAAGATGCCAAAAATTATGAAATTGGGATGTGGGGGAGATCGACGGCTCTTTATATGCTTTTTGAAGAACCGCACTGCATATAAGAATTTGCAGCCAAACCGCCTCTACAGCTGGAGATTGTCTATTGAATGATATTATATTTCCCGGAGAAACCGCCCATATGTACATGTTGCTTTTTTTGTTTGTTCTAAGCCTCCAACAGTCCGTCGGGGCCAAAAACAGTGTCTAATCGTTTGAGTGTCATCTGGTATAACAAAAGCATGATTGAGCTCTGAATACCCGTCCAGATGAAACGGGGGCCGACTCCTGAAAACATACCGTAGATGCCTTCGTTCTTGTAGATGGAGTGTAAAGCGCTGATGGTTGAAAACTTGTGAAGGAATTTCCCAAGAGCACCTTTGGAAGCCGTGACAAAAGGTGCATGTGATCCAGCAGAGGCAACAGTTGCCGTTTGGATACGAGTTTTAATCACATCCAATGGCGTGGTAAGCACACCAGCCAAACCACCAGCGGCAGCACCGGTCAGAAGCTCAAGGGTAAATGGCAAGTCGTGGCTGGCGTCATTATACATGATGGCCCACTGACGGAACCGTTCATAAAATGCAAATTGTAATGCGCTGAAAGGCAAGTCTCGTAAAAGCGTTTCTTTATAACCGTACGCCAAAGCCGACGTTCCCTCTGTTTTAGCAATCTGCTTTACCGCATCTCGAAGATTTCTATAATTGTATCCGCATCCTTGTGTGTATGGGTTATTGTGTCTGCCTTGTAACTGTAATCTTGTTTTGAGCACTTCTGATGGAACATAAAAAACACTCAGTGCCAAGTCACCCAAAATACCGGCAATAAAATACGAAACCGTGTCGTTCATGTTTAAATTGTTGATCATAAACCGTTTCGAAAATTCATAGGTTCCAAAAAATGTAGCTGTAGATGGAAATGAACCCAAAATAGCAGGCGTATAACCTCCATAAAGACCTCTGAAAAATCCCTCTTGCTTAAATATCGTCGCGTAAGCCGGAACCATGTTCTTATACTTTGGATTAAACAGCAACCCTTGCTGTCTGGTCTTGACAGTGTCCAAGGAGTGCATCGCCGAATCGCCGATGGCACCTCCGAAACCACCAGCCAACATACAACTTAATATCGGAGAGGCACTGCCAGGCTCCGACCCTGCCGGAGGCTCGGTTTCCGGCAAGCTCCTTTTCTCATGATGTGTATGGTGTTCACGATGAGGCTGAAAAGGCGTCGGTATGGCGGACGTTGTCAACGACTGTGACATTTATGTGATGAAATATGCGGATGAATAAATAGTAGCAGTTCCAGAATATGTTATGTTCATGCGTGTGTAACGAATGGTTCAACGACAAAGGCGCCAAATGGCGAAAATACCGAGGAAAAGCTGGATAGTGTATCAGGAGAAGAAGGACCCAATGAAGTATCAACAGAGCCTTAGCGAAAGTGAAGATTTTCGAGCCTGAAACCCGTGCACCACTAACAAAAGATACTGAAAATTATTGGATCGGCATCCTTTCACGGCCGCAGTGACTGTTTAATGGGAAGTTTGAATAACAGCTTTTGCAGTTTTGGGGGTCTTTTTTTCTGTAGTATCAATGGAACGTGTCTTTGAAGCTTGCTTCTCGAGACTGTGCTCGTTTGCCTGTGATTGGCGCGTTTTGGTCTGAATGGTAGCCCGTAGATGGTGCTGCAAGAGGATGCAATTTAGATAGCCCTAGTAGAAAGTCTCCTAAACGATGCATTCAAACCGATAGCAACCGAAGAAAAAGTAGGTCAAGGGGCAAACAATGGCACTTCGTAGTGAAATCACGTGACTCCACTCGCTATGTATGGAGCTCATCGATGCCATCGCTCTACCCCAGACAATGCTTCCATCGAGAGGGCTAAGGCCTGTTTCGAGGTTATTTTCGAGGCAATACCGTGTCCTAGCGATAGAATCCTCGTGTGACGACTCATGTGTGGCTTTGCTTGAAAAACACTCTCCATCTTCGCAGCCAGTGGTGATTGACGAGATGAAGAGGACTTTACGGTCGGTAGAAGTTGGAGGAGTGATTCCAACAGCAGCATTTGAGTTCCATCTGATGCATATGCCAGCCTTAATGAAGGAGTTTTGTTCAAAACATGATTTGAGTATCAGGAACCCACCTGATCTTCTCTGTGTAACTCGAGGTCCAGGAATGCTTGGATCACTCAGTCTGAGCTTGCAATACGCCAAAGGTCTAGCATTAGCATGGGACATTCCTATGGTGGGAACACATCACATGTTGGGGCACATTCTAGCTCTGAACTTGCCCACGACTGAAAACCCCGGGCGTCCACCTCCACAGTACCCTTTCCTCAGTCTTCTATGTAGTGGAGGCCACACCATGCTAGTATTTCTGAAATCGTTGACTGAGCACGAGATCATTATAGATACTATGGATATTGCCTGTGGCGATGCGATTGACAAGGCTGCCAGGGAGTTGGGTATGCGTGGGAACATGATCGGGCCCGAGCTTGAAAAGTATGTTGCACTGATACCTCCCAGGGAAGTTGAGGAATTCTCTTCGATAAAGACGCTTGACAGGAACAATGAATTCAATTTTAAACTTAAAATGCCCTTGCATAAACCAAAGCACCAGAAGATTCCTGAAAACATCGCATTCACTTTTGCATTCCTTCTCAGTTCCATAAAAGACCATAAAGCACGCCAGGAGCTTGACGAACGGACAAAACAATTTTTAGCATTCAAGGTTCAGGATACCGTTTTTGAGCATATTATAGACCGAGTGAACTTAGCATTTGCAAAGCATTCCGACGCTGGCGACGGAAAGTTTGCGGGAGTGAAAGACTTTGTATGCTCTGGAGGTGTTGCAGCCAACCAGCAGCTTCGCCAGAAGCTCTTCAATAACCTTAAGTTCCAAAACAAGCTTGAATTTCATTTCCCAGACTTGAAAGTGTGCACAGACAATGCCACCATGATCGGCGTGGCTGGAATCGACTTATTCGAGAAACTCAGAGTCAAGTCCAGAATGGATGTCTTGCCCATACGCAAATGGCCACTCAACGAGCTTATAAGTAAAGGAGAATGGGATAATATCAGCGACGAGGAGTTTACTAAAGTCACGGGCTGGCTGGAAATCCCTCGTCCTCAGGAACGTCTCGATGAGGAATAAACGACTCTGTAATGTTATACTGGGCAATCAACCGATGCCATGTAGGGTAGTCAAACGTAGCAATATGGTGTGAAATAGCTGCCGATTCATCCACAGTATCTTCGTCATCGAGTACTTCCACGTATGGCACGTCGTTTTCGTCACTATCGAGCCTGATCTTACCGTCTCTCACCAAGAAACTAATATAAAACAAATTTTCCACCAGCTGAGCAAACGAATCAGGATTGAGAAAGAAAACATAAAAATTGAGCCTATCATCCTCACTCTTCTCCACCAAATTGCGGTATATGCTTCTCACCATATGTGATGTGTTCTGTTCTGGATCTGTATGGATATCCTCCACCGTCACCTTCTGAGCGGTAGTTTTACCCTGAGTTCCAAGCGTATCGTCCACATTCCTCGTTCTTGGCGCCACTCTCCTCCTCTGAGTCGCCAAAGGTCCATAAAGAAACTGTGAAGGCGCCACACGCGAGCCCAACAGAACAAACATAGCACCCATCTTCAGCCAGTTATACGAATTAAACACCTCGTTGGCAGCGCTCTGTTCGCTATTCACAGACTCCACCAACAGCCTATCTGACCCCTCCTCGTAATCTGGATTCATAAACTTTTTTGCTGCCTTGGTAAACTCGTCAAGTGTAAGTGCTTCCTTATAATCACCAAACCGTATATGCTTAGCATTCAAAGCAGCAAAAGCTGCCGTCTTCTTCAACGCTTCCGAATCCTTCATAAACATCGGCAAGTCCTTGATATCGTTCTGCGTCACCTTGGCAAATATCAGCTCCAATTCCTTGATCTTCTCCATCACCATCAGCCCTGCCTCTCCCTTGTACGCCAAAGCTTCAGCCTTGGCCACCTCTTTCTGGTATTGCTCATACGCTTCGGAAATCACGCCTAGGCCACGGTTTCGAAGGTTATTGGAAATGTCGTCGATGTTATTGGCGACATCTGCCAACGATTCTGCGTCGGCCATGGTGTAGTAGATGTGTAGTTACTTCTTGATTTAAGGCGCGCCATATCTGGGGAACTATCACCAGAAGGCTTCCTGAGAAGAGGACTATAAAAGGCGCCATTTCCCGTGAAGTGACCTTAAAACTAATAAAATTTGGTTTCCTCCATGCCCATTCGGAAACTCGACCCTTCGGTCGTCAATAGGATCGCTGCGGGCGAAATCATCATCCAGCCTGCCAATGCCTTGAAAGAGCTATTGGAGAACTCTGTGGACGCTGGGGCGACGAACGTGGATATTCTTGTGAAAGACGGTGGATTGAAGTTGCTTCAGATTACTGATAACGGGTGTGGCATTGGCGTGGACGATATGCCTTTGCTTTGTGAGAGGTTTGCTACTTCTAAGCTTACACTGTTCGATGACCTCGAGAGTTTGGCGACTTACGGGTTTCGAGGCGAGGCGTTGGCTTCCATTTCTCATATTGCACGGTTGAGTGTTGTGTCTAAGACTCCAGAAACGCCGTTGGCGTACAAGGCGTTCTATACTGGTGGACAATTGGCTACGCCTAAGTTCAAGGTGGAAGACGCGGATAAAACAGCACCAAAGCCCGTGGCAGGTAAAAACGGTACTCAGATCACCGTGGAAGACCTCTTCTATAATGTACCAGCGCGTCTTCGGCTGATGAAACTGAAATCGGACGAGTTGGCGCAGATATTGGATGTGGTGGGTAAGTACGCGATCCACACGTCTGGAGTGGGCTTTACGTGTAAGAAGTTTGGCGAATCGACGCCTTCGTTGGCTACTAGACCACAGGCAGAGCTTAAGGAGCGGTTGAGGACGGTTTTTGGCGTGAACGTCGCCAGTGACATTATAGAGTTCTCCAAGGACGGACCGTTTGAGGAGTATGGGCTTTTGAAAGTCAGTGGAGCAATCACAGGGCTCAATTATAATAACAAGAGACGATCAATACCTGTGTTTTTTATTAATAACCGTTTGGTTTCGTGTGATCCCCTCAAACGTGCTCTTGTGTCGTTATACCAGGTATTTCTACCCAAAGGCAGTTACCCATTCTTTTACTTGAACTTGGAAATCAAGCCACAAAACGTTGACGTTAATATTCACCCTACAAAGAGAGAAGTTCGGTTTCTACACGAAGAAGAGATTATAGAGTGGATCACTGGTTTGGTCCATGATACGCTTTCTTCCCACGATACATCCCGAACGTTCAAACAAAGCACGTTCAAAAGAGCCACCGACGGCGTGGACGACGTTGCTACGCTGGTCAAAAAATACCGACAAGAAAACAAACTTGTTAGGGTGGATGCCTCCCAGCCAAAACTTGAAGCGTTTGTAAGAGACACCAGAAACATCAACACTATCCTACAAGACGCCAGGCACGAAGAAACCGTCCCAGAAGAATCTTCCCAGCGAAGAGAAGTCCAGCTCGACAGTATCCAAGAGCTCAAAGAAGAAGTTCTGAACCAAGTGCACCGGCCACTCACCAACGTCTTCAACAACCTAGTCTATGTTGGAGTGGTTGACGGCCGCCGCAGGCTTTGTTGCTTCCAATATGACGTCAAACTCTTTCTCTGCGACTACGCGGCCGTGCTATCAGAGTTCTATTACCAGGTTGGGCTCACTGAATTTGCCAATTTCGGTCGCTTTGTACTAGAACCAGCCGTGCTGATGCATGAGGCTTTGGCACCACTTTACGAAACCCACTCTGGCCTTCTTCCCCGCGAGCAGGTGGTCTCAACCATTACTGGAATGGGGGAAATGTTCCAGGAGTACTTTGAAATGGACGTGAGTGAAGGAATGCTTCGTTCCGTGCCTCTCCTTCTAGCTGGCGCAGACCCTGCTTTAGCGAAACTACCATACTTCATCTACCGTCTAGGCACCAAAGTGGACTACCAAGATGAAAAAACATGTCTCAGCCAAATCCTCCGCCAGATCGCCCTTCTCTACGTGCCTTCCCCTGTCGACTCCCCCAGCCACGCCGAATCTTCCACCCAGGCCTCCTCCATAAACGACCAACTAGAGAATGTGGTTTTTCCCGCCGTACGCCAGAGACTCGTTGCCCCACCTTCGCTCATGGACCATGTTGTGCAACTAGCCGATCTCCCGGGCCTCTACAAGGTATTTGAGCGATGCTGAATTACTTCTTTTGCCCCACTCCAGCCAAGGGAATGGTCATATGGAGAAAATTCACTGTAGCATGTGCTGTTTATGTATTGGCTGCGAAAAATTGCCCAAATGGGGAACACACTTTTAGTGTGAATTTTGACCTGCTCGAACCACGGCTATGTGAAGAACATGAGAAAGTTGGAGGGTGTGCTCACCGCATTTTTGGGGAAACTAACCGGGCACGTATCAGAGAAAAAGAAAGAAAGAGAGGTAACTGCTTTTGACTTCTTCTGCCCGACTTTCATATTTATTACGTCTTCTAGAAGCCGGCCCCACTTTTTTCATATTTTTCTGTTCAGTTAACTGCTTTGTCTTTCCTTATCGCCATGTTGATCGAGGCCTCTGTTAACGACAAGTACATGAAAACCCTTTCGTTGGGGAGTTTCCCGCTGAAGGTGCTTGAATTCCAGGAACTGCCTGACTTCTTCCAGCAGACGGTGTTTGTGGATTACCAGCTTCAGCTACTTATCCAGCACGACTTGGGTGACGCTATCGCTTCGAGGAAGAACACGGATGCTGCCAAGGCGGCCCTGGAGAAGTTGGTCCAGTTGAAAAACTACATTTCGTCTATAAACGCCAACTACTCTGCCAGGAATAAGTCTTATGAGGAGTCCTTGTACTATACTGTGGTGTTGGCTGACTTGCACTACTTGAGCTCGGAATACGACCACATGTCTGCGACGCTTTCTTCGTTTACCTTGACCCAATCCCCTCGCCTAGACTCCCAGGACCAGGAAGACTTTGTGGACTACTTGACCGCTAGATTCTACGCCCTTTACGGGTCCGGAAAGCGTGAAGGTGCTTATAAACACTGGCTTGAGTACTTGGCTAACTTGCGTAAATACGGCACCAAGAGTCAAATCGCTGCCAACAGGTGGCAGGACACCATTTTGCTTAGGGTGGTTGGTCTTTTGAGCTCCAATGGCTCGAGACCGTTGCGTTTCAAGGACATTCTCTCCCAGACGTTCAGCGAGAACGCATGCAGCATCACTGCCATCTCCAGTTTCTGCTTGAGACCTGAAAATGAAAAACACGTTGTTAAGGAGTTCAGAGGCGACTTTGTCGTGTTCTTGACGGAACTCATCAACAACAAAATCAAACAAAAGAAGGACTTCCCAGATGCTTCGGCTGAGACCAGCGAGGAGGATGATTTCATTGATTCTCTTTACGAGGCCCTTTACGATATCTCCACACAAAGACCGCTTGTGGCCCAAGTGCTCAAACCAAAGCTTTCCAAGAAGTTCTTGGTCAACATGACTGAAAAGACATACCAGAGCTTCACTGTGCTCTCCAACTTAATCAGAACTTTGCTCGACTTGGAGGAGTACGACGAAGCCATTGCTGCTCTCAAGACCTACATTGACTATGTCGAGAAGGACCAAGAGCAAAACCACGGCCGTGTTAATAATATCTTGGATGTCATTGACATTTATACCATGTGCATCCAACACTTTAATCCAAAACACTCCATGATTCCATCTGCTCAGGAAAGTGACTTGCCAAAGAAGTTCAAGTACACTAGCTTATACTCGGTTGTCGAGCAACTCAAGGGTTTCACCAAGCAGCTCTCTAATTACTTGAAGGAACTCGCTACTGTGGCCGAGTTGCGTTATGATGAAGAGGTCGGTTTGCAAGACAACAGATTATCCTTCTTATACCACAGATACAACACCAATTTGGTAATGAACGACCAGTCGAAATTCGTTCGTATCGTGTCCAAAGCATGGTTTGTGATGGGTGACCTCCATTCCTACTTGGCTTCTCACCTGTCTCCTACGCATGAAATCATGAAGGAGAACACCGAATTGGTTCTCAAGTACTGGAAGAACAGTCTTATCGTCAACTCTACTGGTAACTCCAGCTTGCTTTTTAGATACGCCTTGGAGTTGTCTTACAACAACCTCGTTGGTCCTGCTTTGAAGTTGTGTAAGTTTACTTTGAAGAAATACCCAGAGCAGTTCCAGGTCTGGAACTTGTTTGTGTTGTTACACTCTGCTGCTGAAGCTGAGAAGGCTAGCACGGATAATGCCATCAACCAAGTTGACGATGCTGCTGTCTTGGAGGATCTTAAGAAGAATGGTTCCGATTCCTCCAAGGCCCCAGAGTCTGAAAGATTTGTTGAAGACGCTTTGAACATTGCTGGTCTTTACATGCAAAAGTCCCATCAAAAGGGCACTTCCATTTCTTTCCAGAAGAAATACTCTATCTTGCAATTGAAGAAGACACAGCTTGCCATGTTGGAAGCCAAGCATGGAATTGACTTCATCTTGGACTCCATTGCTGAAGTTTTCGTGCTTTACCGTGAATTGTTCGAACAAGGCGTCAAGCCCGAGCACAACTCTAACCAGAACAACAACACCCTTCAACCCCCACACTTATCTGCCGTTGCTTCCAGAGCCGAAAGCAAATGGTCCCACCGTCCTAGTGTGATTGACCCTGCTGTGACTGAACTCAAGGTTGATAAGTCTGCCCTGAGGGAACATCGTGCTGCAGCCAAGGACAAGATCAAGAGATTGTCCAGGGTTGGTGGTGATAGCAGTACCGGTAAGACATCCAGCAAGGCCCAACAGGAAGTCCAGCCTGCCTCCAAGCCAGCCCGTCGTGTTTTGCAAGACGTTTGGTTATGGGCTGCATCCATTTACCTTAGATTGGGTTCGTTGGAAGAAGCTGAAGAGTGTATTGTTGAAGCCGAAACTGTTGCACCACCTAATGTCAAGACATTCACATTTTTGGGTCTTTTGACGTCCAAGTCCCGCAAGTTCTTGTCTCTTCAAGAATTCGAAAGATCGTTGGAAGAGTTCCACCACCCAGAAGAAAAATTCAACAAGAAGGCATACGGCACGACGTTGCTTGGAATGTGCAAGCTCTTTATTGAAGATGACGATCCTGAAAACTCTCTTTTCATCTCCAACAAGGACGTGGATGCCGGATTGATCAGAATCAAGAACTACTTAGAAGACTTTAGCAACTGCTGGGCCTACGGCTACAACAGCCCTGAGCTTTGGTACTACTTGAGTACCATCTACGAGAAGTTTGACGACAAGCTCTTGTTCAACGAGGCACTCTGGAAGTGCGTCGAGCTTGAGAACAGGCGTCCTGTGAGAGCATACTCTGTTTGTGAAGAATGGATCTAGATGTATATATACGTGAGACAATAAAAGATGAAATACATGGAGGTACTAGTATACTTATGCTCTTTTCGCAGCCAAATATACCCACCACTTTTCCACGCCAAACACCATAAAAGTAAAAGAAAAAACCAAAAGGAGTTCCAAAGCCATTCCTTACTGCCACTAAGACCTCTTTATACTTAATTCTTTCCTCCAGGTCGACTATAGTCACCTCCTGGAGCTACGCCCATCGACCGACCTGCATACAACACCCACACAACCGATCGGTATTCATCTATCATCATCTTCAACACCAACTAGAAACCACCATAATCCACATGACAGAGGTAGCTCCTAAATCTGTGACATACTGTGACGTCTGCTCGTTCCCTCCAGAGTACTGTGAGTTCGGGGGCCAGTTCAGAAAGTGCAGAGAGTGGCTCAGTGACAACCACAAGGAAATCTTTGAAAAGTTGTATAGTGATGCTGCTTTGGCCAACGCTACACTGACCTTGTCCATCGAGAAGGAGGAGAAGATGCACAAGGACTTGGAGAAGAAACAGGCCAAGGAAGAGGCCAAGGCTGAGCGTGAGTTGAAGAAGAAGCTTGCGTCGAAGGTTGTGATCAAGAGAATCGAAAGAAACAGAAGAAAGCACGTCATTTCGATTGGAGGTTTGGAAGTGTTCAACATTGACATGAAGAAGTTGTCCAAGACGTTTGCTCAGAAGTTTGCCACTGGTGCTTCTGTGGTGAAGAATGCTGAAAAGAAGGACGAGATTGTTGTCCAGGGTGATGTCAGTGACGAGGCCAGAGCTTATATTGAAAAGTTGTTGGAGGAGAAGGGCCTTGATGAAGTGAAGGTGGAGCAGATTGACGACAAGAAGAAGAAAAAGCGTGAGGAGGCTGCTGCCGCTGCCGCTGCCAGTGGCAAGGGCAATTAGAACAGACTGAAGCGGCCATGATGAAACTTTGTGTAATGAATCTAGTATGTAAATGATGCAAACAGCGTGAGCTGGGAAATTAACAAGGAAACGAATGAGCGTAAGGTAATTTTTTTAGTCGTATTTTTCTTTGGTGGCCCAAGAAACGCCGTATTCATTGAAGTCGGGTCGTTTGAGAAGTATCCGGTAAACATGAGCAATACGACGTTTCGTATTGAACTTGTTGGTCTTGGACCGTTTGCCAATATGGCTATGCTCTTTGATTTTGTTGCCAAACCCGTATCCGTTAGTGAGGCCTAGAATGGCTAGGTTCCCGCTTTCGAGGTCTCCCGTGAGGTGACAGTTGAGCTCCCAGAGCGTCACGGCGACATTATGGTCATGAATATGTTGATAGTACTCGCCCAAGCTGTGTAGACTTAGTGCAAGAGCGTTGTTAGTGTCCTTTATGAGGAACCGTTTTAAAAGGATCTGTTCCTGAGGTGGGAAGCTCTCCACTGCCGGTTCAAGTTCTGGCGTCAACTTGCGGAGCGCCATGGCCAAACGAGCGGCTTTCCTAAAGTAGTTAAGAATAAGCACATTGTCGTAATTGTTGGCCACGTCGTCGCTCTTATTGTATGAAAGCAACCAGTTACCAAACATGGCGATTGCAAGAGGTACGCAGAGCCCGTCTGAGCGGTTAGCGTCACGAATGAGCTTTTCGTAGAGTTCTGGTCTTTGAGCGTTTGCTTTTGACTCCGCGTATAAATCCAAAACATGGTTAAAGTCGTGGATCGCTGGAAGTGCATCTTGAAGTAACTGCTCAGGCACAAACGGTTCAGGCGTATGGAACTTATTCAAGTTGGAAAACTTCACCTCGCCCAACTCAAACGACGCTTCCAAAATAAACCGTAGAAGCTCACCCAGCGACGGCAAGATCACCAGAAGCTTATCGCCAAACAAAAACACCTCACACGCCTCACTCCACAGCACCTTCAACGTCTCGTTCGTCTTATAGTCATAGAAGCTCGTCTTGAGGAACCCACACGCGTGGCGAAAGAAGAGCACATTCTCATCTTCCTCATCTTCCTCCCGTTCAACCTTCTCTGACTTGAACAAGTGCCGTAGTTTCCGTAGTTTCCCTCCCTTCGGCTTGGTATCGAACTCTCCCAATTTAAGCTTCACACTTTCAAGATCAGTATCGTCAGAAAGATTAGAAACCGACGAGTATAGCGAGTTAAAGCTAGAGCTCTCAGAGTATATAGAGCCCCTAGGAGAAACCACCGTATTGGACTTTCCACTCTCAGGGCTACCGTCTTCAGGCGGCACTATAGCAATCTCAGGAATCGCCGGCGCCTGCACCGCCGACAGCTCCGTCCCCACCCGCGTGAGGTCCTCGCTGCTCCCCTTTAAGTAAGTACTAAGAAGCGAGTTGGAATAATACAGCTTCGAATTGTCCATGGAAGGGAAGAATAAGGCCTGCGCGTCAAATATTTAAGTAGATGATCGCGCGGTACTGGGTGCAAAACTCGTCGTAAAAAACCATGGGAGAGTACGCATTGGGACAGGAATACGCGCTGTCCATCGGATATGGGTGCAAAAAAGCCGACGGCTCATACGGGACGGATAAATACCGAGTCTGGGGATGTGTGGGGTTGGAAAAAGCACATGAAGGGAGGAGGAGGGAAGGGATTGGGTGGTTGAACGGTTGGGGGTTTGGGTTTGGGGGTGAGGGAGGGAGGGAGAGAGGGTTGATGGGGATGGGACTGGTTAAGGCTTGGGATGGGCTTGGGATGGGCTGGGCATGGAATGTGGATTTGGCGTTTGGCATTGGGTCAAGGAAGGAGGGAGGAAGCAGGGAGGATAACGGTGAAGATTTGGAGGAAAGGCCATAACCATCAGGGTTGGTGAGTTGGTGGGTGGTCGATTGTAGCTGGTAGCTGGTAGCTGGTAGCTGGTAGTTCTGGAAGGTCATTATGGCACCTGGAGATACTGTCCTCTGTAGCGACAAATCGCCTTCGATTAAACTCCATGACCACTTAACTTTCCACAACATTGAACCACAAGTAAAGAATCTGCTGAGTAGAACATTAAAGAAGGCCATAATCGTGACCTCTAATTAGTCTAATTCATCTCTATACTCCAATTAACAAACCGTGAATGATTAAGTCTTCAAATTTTTAGTGTTTCGGGTCCTTTTTTTTTTTCTTTTTTTTTTATGCCAGTTTATGAAAGCAACTTCAGAATCGAAGGAACCTTATCGCCCTGAAGCACAGGCGATGTCGCCAGTGAAGAGGCCGCCAGCTGTGCTTTGGAATGGGAATGAGACGTCACCGCTGACGCATAAGTAGACTGAGTAGTTGATTGGCCCCCAGAAACAGCACCAGGCTGAATCTCAGGTAACTTAACAGGCTCATTCTCTTGTTTTGGCGTAGGGTTCGATGCCAAGGCTGAAAACCGTGCTGGATCAGACAGCGGCATTGGCGGTGGAGGCACCGCCATAGGTTGAGAATCGCTGGCAACAGGCACTGGAACAGAGCCAGGCGGCGATATGCTTTGTGGAGGAGGAAATGGAGCCATGGCCTGGTTGATTTCCGTATATGAATGATTTTTCGTAGGCGGCAGATTTGACATGGAAGCTGTGCCTGGAACAGGGTACTGAGGACCCATTGGAGGCATTCTGGCTTGATCTTCAGTCTGATACACCACAGGCACTTGAGGCATCACTTGCACAGACATTGGCGGGTATGCCACTGCGCCAGCAACAGAACCTATAGGCTGAAACAGCACCATAGGACCATAAGGCGACTGTATAAGCGTAGCAGTAGTGCCTGGCGGTGGCTGCTGAGGAATCATCTGGGGCAGAGCCACGGGAACCGAATCCTGACCTTTTGGACCATGAGAAACGATATGATAAGGCACAAACGCCGGCGGATACTGGCCATTGGGCGGCACCGCAGCAGCAGGCACAGCATTAACCTGCTGAGGCGGAAGCTGAGGCGGGAGCGGGTTCGGGTGGATCTGGTTAGGGATGATCACTTCCTTCTTCTCATCCTTCTTATCCTTAGCCCCATCCTGGCGCAAGTTCTGGTTATACTGAGCCATTCTAAGAGCATTTCTCGCCGGAGCATCCAAATTCAAATAAGCACAATGCAATTTCCCCTTGACACAGTTGAAACACTGGGGAAGGTTCTCATCACACTTGATACGTCTCTTCTTACAAGTGCCACAGCCCAAGTGGGAGTTGCGGTGTTTTCGCCTAGACGATTTCCTCTTTCTGTACTGATCGTCGTCTTCTTCGTTTCGTTCCGTACTCTTGTCATGGCCATTCCCATTCAAGTGGCTTTCGTTGCTGGACTCACCAGATGACGGTTCTCGCGGACTGGCAGCTCTTACAGCACTTGGGCTCTTTTCGACCTTGACGCCTGGACTCTTCTCGTCTTTACGAGCAGGCGGCAACGGGTTCTTAAGCGCCAGGTTAAACACGTCCATGTTGGAATCAAAGGGGGGTTTGGAGGGTCGTTGGGTGAGGACTGGAGTCAAGCCGAGGAGGCAGACAAGAAAAAAAAGGTCAACAAGAGACTTTCTAGGAAAGACAATAAATGTAACGTTGCAGTTGTAAGTCTCTTACTTTTCGTAAGATTAAATGACGTCTCTTAAGAAACCTCGTGGAAGAAGGTGAAATGGCGGTTGGTGGTTGTGCCGGTTTTTCGCAGATGGCGGAAAAACACCACTATCAATCCCATGCAAATCTACAGGCCTGTGGAGCCTGAGAAACCGGTGGGATGTGCAGGAGCGCAGCCACCTGCTGTGCGATATACGAGTGGGCAGACACTGAGGTAGAGAGGGAAGGAGAGGAGATAGAGAGGTTTTGATGGTTCCATTGGAAAGAGGGAATCGAGACGAGTTTAGTGGTGGTCTTAAATTTCTTCTACGGTGTCTGTGCGCGGAAATAACTGGGGGTTTCTACCAAAACCGTGCGTCTGCAAGCATTATCCGAACTTGGTCCAGCAACACCAGCACCAGGGGAAGCCCAGGGGAGGTGAAGGAACTGATGTATTAAGGGTCTATAGAAAGTAAAGGGTGGGATTGTCAGGTTTGGAAATCCAACAAATTCCAACCTTTTTAAGCTTTTTAGAGGCATTTTTTCAAATCCACAATACCCTTCCAAAAACAAGGTTGCACTGAGAGGAAGAATACCCAAAGTCCTTCCAACCCACAACAACACAACAACTCGGCACGGCACTTCCAGGTAAAAAAACCAGCCAAAGAAACCATTCCCCGCTGAATCCAGTCATTCTGGAAATTTTTCTTTTTTTTTTTTGTGCTTTCAAGGCGTGGATTGTCCCTCTTAATCTTGCCTGGCGACATTTGGGCGCCAACGAAGGAACGTTGCAGTCGTAAATTTGCTCGGTTTTTCCTGTCGGCAAGGGGAATGGCCCAGATGGGAGCCCGTAAAAAAAGTCGGTTTTGGGAGGCTGGGATCCGGGTCTTGTTTTCCGAGGCGGGAGGCGGTGCAAAAATTGCAAAAATAAAAAGTTCAAAAATGGAAAAAACAGCAAAAACAGCAAAAAATGACCTCCTCAGCCTTAAGGGCTGCGTTCTTTTTGCCTTGTATGGAGATTCTCCGGGTTTAGGACTTTTTGGTTGTGTTTTTTTGTTTTTTTCTCGTCCTACAAGCATTGCCTGCAGCTGCCTCTCGTAATTGACGCACCTCCCATGCACTTTGACAGTGACACAGACCCACCATTTTAATTAATCCCCAGCCAGACACTGAAGGAGGAACGTGGAAGAAGGTTTGGTTGGTTGGTTGTATTGAGATCTCTTTCTGAGTGGCGTAGCAGCCACTCAGTTCAAAAAGAGAGCTTCTTGACCGCGCCTTGGCACTTCTCTTCATGCCCTGGTTAGAGGCGCTGCCGAGCCTTCACCGGTGAAACCAGTCAATCAAGCAGTGGGAGGGTTTTTCCAGAACAGTGGCATCCAAGGCGGTTTTCCGCCGTTGCCGGGATATGACGACGCAGAGGGCCTTGTTTACGATTGCGTACCATCGGGTCTTGTGCCACAAAAACACGCCTGCTGGTCCAGAAGCCTCTGCTTACGCAGCCATCCCATGCACTGAGAGAGGTGGAAAAATTGCAACCAGCAAGAATCGCTAAACACCTTTTGGACCTTTTGGTGGATCGTCAGATCTTCTGGAACCTAATTGTGACTTTCGACATGGGGCGCCTTCACATGGAATTGTCTCCCTCGCCTTGCCTAAATCTGCCCAGAAGCCATCTCGTGGGTCGCCTTATTGCTCGCGTCAAGTTGCCTCGCCATAAGCCTTACTCCATTGCGCTGCTTTCTTGTCGTGGGCTCTTTGTTCTCCACCACTCTGCTCCATTGTAGAAGAAATCTCTCTATCCTTGCTTGCTATCACCGGGGTCCGGCTCTCTGGGCAAGTACAGCTGGTCGAACGACCCCATGCGTCGTTCCCACCATTTCTTGCGGTGGGCGCTTTTGCTGACTTCTTCCATGAGCATTTGCTCTTCACACTCGTCCTCTTGGTTCTGTTTATCGTCCATGCTTACGGCGAAGCCTTCCCCTTTTTTCGTGATGTCATACCGTTGGCCATGGACTAAATCTTTCATAACCAACTCTCGCGTACGTCCAAGCGACTCAATGGCGTCTACTCGGTCGGCGGTATTCTCTAGTAATTCGTCGAAATGGGGCTGTGATGCAATTTCATGGAACGCTCTCATCATCGGAACTGAATCGGCACGCACCCGTGAGTCCGAGTCCACGGTAAAGATATTGAGATTATCGTACTGCTGGATGAAATCGGGCCGGGTCATGATCTGCCGGGCTCTCCAGAGTGGGAGTTCTGGTAGGTGGTGGTTCTTCCAGTGCTCTGTGGCGGCACCTTTCGATTGAATTAGCGTATTCATTCGTTGTCTGTCCATTTCAACAAACACTCGCATGAGGAACATGGCACTGGTTGCAAATTTTCCAAACTCCATCACATCATCATCCATTCCTTCTCCTAGAAGCCCACACTGGTTAAGAAACCATGTCTTTTCACGGTCAATGATCTCGTTACAAGCGTGGATCACGTCCTTGTGCCTGGCTACTTGACTGATATGCTGAGGACGACCGCCAATCAAATCGTAGATCTTGTGGCACGACTCTTCGTCAAGTCTTTGGTCAGGGTGCTTTGAAACTGGCCAATGCTTGCCTCTGATGAACTGTAGGACCTTGACGGTCTCTTCACGGTTGAAATCTCTTACGTTGATGAGCTCTAGTCTGGTTCCCAACCGCTTGAGCTTTTCATAAACCCAGTAATCGTCAGAGTTGAACACCATAGTGACCAAATCGCTGCCACTGAGCCCTTCAGCTTTTTGCTGGAGGAGCTCCAAAAGCTTGACGCCCTCTTCGTTTTCCTTGATTAAATGCAGATTGTTGATAATCATAATCAATGGCTTTTCACTCTTACCCAGCATCCTTCTCTCAATGGCAAGCGTTTCCAACTTGTTGAACGCCCTCTCTATATCCAAAAGAGCCGTGGTATCACGAGGACCTCTCATACTGAACAACGAGCCAATGTAATCCTCAGAATAGGCAAAGTTCAATGCCCGGCCTAGTCTGATTCTAAAGATCTCGGGGTCAGCATGGGCATCGAAAATAGCAACATTCTTCCCGTCTATCTTCTTCATTGCCTCCATAATCAACGTTGTCTTTCCCGTTCCCTTTTCGCCAACCACAAGAAAGTACCGTCCTCTGATCTTACCAGAAACGATATCATCTAGCAACCGCTGTTGAGGTCTATTGACCCAAAACCCAGAAAGATCATCATTACTCTCTTCCTCTTCCGTATCTGGCCTCTTATTCGTCTTCTTATGCACCGCCAATTGGTACGCTGGATCCCCACTTTCAAACGCCAGACCCATCTTCTCCAAGACCTGACGGTTATAGATCTGATGGTACAAGTACCCAGAAAGCCCGAGAATACCAACCGAACTGAGCGTGATACCAATTGTCTCCAAGCACTTGAACAAGAACCGGCCCAACTTCTCCATGGTTTCACGGAACTTCGACTTGGACTCTTCTTCCTCGAGTTTTTCATCTATCTTCTCTTCTTCCTTCTCTTCCTCACGTTCTTCTTTCTCCTGCTTCTTCTCTTCTTCTTTCTTTTCAGCATCCTTATCGTCCTGGTCATTCTTATTAGGCGGTCCATTACCTCCCCCTCCCCCTCCACTGCCTCCACTGCCTTGTCGAAGCAGTTCACTCCATCCTAGGCCCTGAACCTCAGTGGTTATGTCTTTTGTAATCGCAGGCTCTTGCTTGTTCTTGTCATCGTCGTCACTGTGTTTCTCCTTTTCATCGTTATACTTCTTGACAATCTTTCTCTTTTGTTGAATCAACCTCTTCTTATCTTTCGATAGCGTCTTGTTTTCTTCATCTAACTCGTCGTCCTTCACCTCTTCCAAAACATCAAACGGTAACAATGGGTTGATGATCTTTCTGGGTAAAGATACGTGAAAGGATCTTTGCAATTGAGAGACTCTCTTAGGCACTCTAAGAGTTAGTCGTAACATGTTGATGGATCTGTGAATTGGTGGGTTTTTCGTGTAAGCAGTCTAAGTGTTCGCTGCATGTATGGTGCAGGGCAATGCAAGGTTATTATGTCTGATAAGCCTAAGATTGTTTCATTTATGTAAGTCTATAAAAAGGGCCTGCCTGACTTAGGACAAATCAAAGCCTGAATCGACGTTGATGGCGTAGAGAAGTTTTTCTCGTACCAATTTTTTATCTTGGTAGTCGGGAAGTTTGAGGAGGTTTACGCATGTGGACGCTGTAGGGAGCCTGTCTGGGTAACGACCACTGTTGCGAATGCCAAATCTGGGACTGAGGGAACCAAAACCAAGAAGTGGTGCTTTGGAGACAGACGTGACGAATTTGATGAGACGTCCACGTTCTTTGGAATCCATTTCTTCAACCACTTCCCAGAAGTACTTGACGGTGATATCGTCGTCAAAGTACCCGCCATAGTTGACATTGTTCTTCCAGTCTTCCACATTGACAGTCACCTCGCCTCCGCTGATCAACATCTGGAGTTCAAATGGGTCAAACATGTTGAGCCACTTGCGGTCGATGATTCTATGCAATCCTTCCAAGAAGTGCTTGGATGGGAGGTAGAGACACTGGTTGAGTTTAAAGTTTGCAACCTCGTGGATGTAATTTAAACGATTGGTGGTGGTGACACTGACACTTTCACCGTGTGGAGGCTGAAGATCGAATTTGACCACTCTGTCCTGGACAACTTCGTTGATGGTGAAGTTCAAGTCTAAAGCCTTGATCTCGCTCTCGCTCATTTCAAGCAATTTCATGAGGTTGTGGTAAAGTTCCACGTCCAAGTATTGGAGGTCGTTGACGGAGTTTTTGGCGGCGCTGAGTGCACTAGTCCACTTTGTCAAAAAGAAGGGTGCAAACTCAATGTCGATCAAGACATTCTCGTAAAAACACTTTCCGATCGTCATGCCAAGGAACTGGATGTAAAGAAGTCTTTCTTGCTGTCTCTTCAAGTCAAGCTTCTCGTGAACGCTCATGTAGATATCGTCGTTGGGATAAAGTTCGTTATTTGCTGGAGACTCCTTAAACAAAGCCTGCTTCAGATTTGGATCAAAACCTTCCATAGCCACAGAAGTCAAGAATTCTTTGGTGATACCACCGCCATCAATACCAGCTTCAGGACCATGTTCACTGTGGAATGTAACAGAAATTCTCTCCTTGAACTTGTGGCCCAAATGATAAAAGTTTTTGAAGGCATCCTCGAGTACGGAGCCTCTAGAAATATCGGCTTCAAAGCGCAGAGGAGGGTTCTCCATGAAGAAACCAAAAGCGTTATTGCTTGGTAGGTTTTGGCGATCACTCTCAATGATGCTCTGGAAAACCTTCACTCTATCCTTAAAGTCGATAAAGTATGACACCTTATCCAAGACTTCAAGTTTAGCAATAGCATCGTTGGTGCGCTTGGACCTCACTTGAGGCACTGTGTGTTCTGTTTCCGAATCATAGTCATCATCATGATGCGAGTCGCTCATCTGGTCATCTAGAACGAGCACAATCATGCTGTCTATATCGAAATTAAGATGCTTAAGCTTCCAAAACGCTTCAGGAAGGAACTTGATTCTCAAGTTTTTGAAGTAAAGCAGGTTAAGTAAGTTCAAAGAGGATGCCTTGAGCTTCTGAATATCACCAAATACTCTTGCTGGATCAGGTTTGTTGGTGTTGAAAATGAGTGTAAGTGTTAAAATCTTCAAAAACTTCGAAAGCACAACTGCCTCTGCTTTTGAAATCTTCTCTTCACTGAAGCTCTCCAAATCATTACTGACAAAGAGCCAATATGACATGATCTCTTGGAACGTGTAAAGCGTATTCCAGAACATGCTGTTGCTCAACAAAGAGCGGTATTGTTCGATTTCATCTCCCAGTAGATAATCCCTCGAGTTCTCTGCCTCAAGGAAGTGCTTGAAAATAGGATCCCTATTGAGCTCTTGGAAGAAACGTTTATGGGAACCAGGGGTGATCGTAATAAGCATACAGAGCTTAGTTGGAGGTTGTACAAGGTGCATGAGCGTTGCTATCGTTTGCATGGCAACATTTGCATCGTGTCCACCAACATCAACACTGACAAGCTGATTCATCACCAAAGAAACATATTTCGATGTGTATAGGTTGAGCACAGCGTCCATATCTTCCCTTGATATGAGGGTTTGTTTCTGAGGCGGTCCGTACTCCTCGTCCTCTGGTTCCTCAGACGTCAAGGCGACTGTAGACATTGTAGATAGTATTCTAGCGTGAACATGGTAAGCAGAAGGCAGAATAACGTCTTCACCCTGCAAAGTAATCACCGAAACCAAAAGAGCCACTTTTTGCTGGTTGGAAAGGTTCAAAAGCACGTTATGGTCAGTGGCAAGCACCGCAGACGAAGCGACATTGGCAAGTTCAGTATCAGCAGCAGCTGGACGGTAAGCCGCAAGAAATGAAAGAAACTGGCCATCTGGATCCGCCGAGTTGATAAGAAATATACATTTCGTAGCCTCTTCACACTCCTCCGCCATCTGTAGCCTTCTGATAATACCTCTAAATGCCTCATTTGGCACCTGTGGAGCACCATACTCAACCAACAACAGGTACAAGCTAGCCACAAGACTCCGTTCATCCCTACCGTTCCGTAGTAGCCTGTTAATCAGCGCATAAGTCACCAAAACCGCCCTCTCCCCCAATTGGCCACCCAGGCTCACCACTAGCTTGTGGACCACCTGGCCCACTGGAGCCAGTCTCGAACAGTACCTCGAGTAAAGACCAAGCTGAACCGCCCGAACGTTCCAATCACCATCTTCATCCCAGCCCCCAACAAATTCACTCAGCACGTCCAGCAATTCCTGCCACCGTCTGATATACCGCTGGATCAACGCAGCACTCCTCTCTCTAGTACGCAACTCTTCACGCTGCTGTCTCTGCAATTTCGTCTGTTCAAGAAAGTTCCGTCCTCGAGGCACCGATTTCCGGTCGCCAAGATTGACCGTTCTTTTCTTCGTTTGTCCTGTGAAGTTTAGCATTTACTGGAGCAAAGAAGAGTGGGTGGATTGATAATCACCAGGCTCCAGTGTAGTGTGTAGCGTTTATGTGGAGGACCTCACCAGGCAGGCCCAGACGACGTGGGGGAAAGTGCCAGGGAAGGAAGGTTGGGACGTGGAGGAAGTGGAGGGGTGTTATTGGAAAGCTTAGGTGTCTTTTGGTGGTCTTGGATTTTTGTTAGGTTGGTTGGGGAGGAAGATGGATGGTGGATGTGGCAGTGTAGTGGGAGTTACTATGGGTTCAGTGGGGTGGCTAAGATAAGAATTAAAGGAAGGGATTCTGATGGCTTTTTGTATATTTTTGGGAGAGGAAGCTCCAGGAATTCTACTTTAGTCCCTTTAGTATATGGCTTATTGAGTTATGGTCTGGATGAATGGTACATGTCTTGTAGTGGTATTTCGCAGCCATTAGGGTAGATAGTAGTATGCTTAGAGGTCATAGTACATTCAGCAAAGAAGGCTTTTTAGGATAACCTGAAGGTTATTTGCTTTTATTTCAGGTTCAGTAATAATATAGAATGCTTTGTTTTCCTTATCGGTGAAAAACTGGCCATTTGGCGTTGGTGAGTCCTTATCTCTAGTTACGACTCTCACTACATACTGTCACTGACTGAACCACCTAGATATCCATAAACAGCAACTAAGAAGGCCCAACTTCTAATTCTCTATTCTTTAATAAATATATCTATTGAAATCACCCACAACATCTCTCCTTTCCTCTTTCATCTGTCACCCAAATGTCTCGCGGTTATACCTTTTTGCAACCATTTCGTACTACATCACCATGACACCAGTTTCTGATCCCAAGCCTAGAAAGCTCAGCAAACTTCCAATTATCTTGTACCTCGTTGGCATCAAGAAACGCATGCGTTTTCTTCGCTTGAAGAAGTCAAACCAAGCCAGTGGGTCACCTCCACTGTCTGATACTTCTGGTAGTATTGGCCAATGCACTGATTCTGGTGATTCCCAGCAGATATTGATATATACGCCGAAAGTGCCGCCTAAACCGAAACCAAGAAAGCGAAAGGCGTCGGTGGTTGCTTATGAAATCGAACAGGATGCGTTGGAAGTGAAGGCAGAAGAGCGTCCTACTCTACGCCAAAGACTCTTGGTCTACCTGTGTTCAGCACTAGGTGGGAGTCTTTTGGCCTGCCTTCTCTTTCCAGAAAACAGACTTGCCAAAGCTTTGGCAACGGTTTCTTTCTATGCGTTAGTTATTGTTTATATGATCTAATTGTTGATAAGGTCCACGAGCTTTCCGACGGACTCGACGTAGTACAGCGGCACCAACGAGGCATCGCCATTGTCTAAAGCGTCTAATTCTTCTTGTGACGTTCCGCCGCTAAGCACAAGCAACGAGCCGCCGGCCTCTCCACCGAGCTTACCGTCATTGCCAAACTTAATGTCAGTGTATAAAGTATCGCCAAACATCAACGTCTTGCTGCGGTCAAACTGACAGTGTTTGATGATTGAATCAAGAAGAAGCGAGCTGGGCTTGCCAACGTCAATGAAATCTCTGCTGGATGTGAAACTCATGTAGTTCACGAAAGACCCGCCAGCAGGCAAAACGGTGCCGAACGGACCAGGATACGTCTTATCAATGTTCGTACCGATAAATGGAATCGACCGGTTGTTGTGTAAAAGATACTGCAACGTCGTAGCCACACGCAAGTAGTTCAACTTCTTGGTGGAGCCAATGACAACTGCCTTCACGCCCTCGTCAACCTGGAGCAATCTGTGAGCTGGGTCCCAATCATCGTCCAACGCAGGATCGTTACCGCCCAATGGAACATAGCCTGCCTCTTTAAGCTCATCCTCAATTCCCTCATCTCCAAGAACCCACACTTTGGATCCCTCAGGAACCTTAAGGTCTCTCTGAAGAATAAGAGCAGCAGCGTAACAAGAAGGGAATATCTTATCCTTATTGACATCAGGGAATCCCAACTTCTCAAACTTCTTCAAGTACGTCTCTCTAGACACAGACGAGTTATTGGTGACAAAAGCATATGACTTGTTCTTCTCCTTTAAGAGCTCAATAAACTCTGAGGCTCCAGCGATCTTATCGGGCCCAAGCCAAATCACACCGTCACAGTCAAACAAGAAGTGGTCATATTGGTCAAGAAGCTTGAGTGCTTCTTCCTTTGTAGAAACTTTATTCGTTGTGGCTTGACGAGTCATGGCGCAATATAGTGGAAAAGTAGGTAGTAACCTCTGGGTTAGGAACTGCGCGAAAGAGTCAGTCAGTCCTGGACTTCCCCTGTCAATGCAAGATAGTTGATAATGGTAAGTGACTCATAGAAACGCCAAAGAAATACAGGAGATACGCTTAAATCTTGCATTTCCACCACGGTGTGAAACTCGTCAAGTATGGATTTTGCATGTTGGGTGGTTTCCAGGAGCTTACATGCGTAAGCGTTTGCAGCCACATGGGACCGTACACTGAACACGCCAAACCTTCTTTTGGGTGTTTTTGATTGTTTGATAGCTTCGTAGCGGCCTATGGAGTCCTGGGCCCGTCCTAGAGCGCCAAGTGTGCCTTTGACGAGATCAGTGAAGTCCAGATAATCAGGAAGATACCGTTTCTGGCAGGAACTAGTAGACTCCCGCTTAACCAGAGCATGGTACCATTGCAAAGGAACGATCTTGAGGGTCTCCTTGTACTTGACGTGGAGCTTGTCGAGATCAGCTGAAAGCAGTCTCTTGGTGCCCTTATCACACTTACCAGTGCCCACCTCTTCAGCGTAACTGTCAATACACGAAAGTAGCTCTGGATCCTTGATATCAACGTGGTGGTAGTTTGCAAAGATTGTTGAAATGCTCGTGTTGGTCTTGACATCAATGAAGTACATAAACAAGATCACATTCAAGAGAAACAATACTCCAATAGTACTGAGGAAAAGGAATCTTGCCAAATATGGTCTTGTTGGCGGAGGAGCTCTGGAAATAGTAAAACTTCTCATGTTTAGTGGTTGACGGTTGTTTCAAGTGGAACGTGTGTTTCAAGATAAACCATAACTGCTAGGGTGAGACAGGATATATGGAATGGGTGCAGGAGACAGCCAGAAGAACCACAGTTTGCCAGGGAATGGAAAACTGATAAGGAGTCGTCAAAGAAGAAGGGGGGTTGTCAAGGAATGGAAGAGTGACACCACATTTGCTTTTTGTGTTCAGGAAACCTTGTTCGGTGGCTTTGGACAGTGGTCCCGTGCTGAGCACAGGGAGTGGAGCACCAGTAGGTGTTACATGGTGGAGGAGACCATGTTGAGTAAGTGGGGATGACCGAGTCTTTATGATGATGTGACCATCAGGGGGTTATTCAGGGGGTTATTGGTCATTCCATGGCGACTAGTTGGAACGTTATTGTTAAGTAGTAGATCTGCTTTTCGCAGCCATTCACCAGTAGATGGGTGGTGACGAAGTAGCCATTCTGAATATGAAGGTTCTTCAATTCGGTATCACTAGGCTCTTAAGCCATAATAGTTACTTTTTAACCACCAGATATCTTCATATTATGACACTCCCATGTTTTGGTCAATGTAGTACTGGTACTCTCATAGTAAGTGTTTCGCACCCACTCATCGCAAAATTCACTCTGGCATCTCCAAGCCATCGTCTTGATATCCACCCAAACAAGCATCTAAACGGATTAGTCATTCAATAGAACGCTTCAGTTAGAATTCCATCACACTCCTTTTCATAATGAGCGAAGACCAAGTGCAGCCTGAGAAGCTGGCATCCACAGAGACTGTTCAACCAGCCCAGCCAACGCAAGACCAGGACCAAATCACAGAAGGTGTTGCTGACCTCAGTGTAAAGCCAAAGAAGAAACAACGAAAAGAACAAACCGAAGAAGAGTTCAACGAACAGAAAGCTCAATTCCAGGCTTCAGGACCACAGATCAATACACAAGACTGGCTCTTCGACCAGACGCTTCTAGACAACCTAGATAACCTGAAGAAAACCGACCGTGTCCATATGCTCCACGCCTGTGAAAAGGCATATTATCTAAGGGATTTTAACAAGTGTCTATCGCTTATATCCCAGGCAGAGAAGCTCTTTGGTGTAGAGCTCGAGAATACCACCAAGAACGAGGACATCAAACTGGACTTTGCTGAGGCAGGTAAAAAGACGAAGAAGTCTCTGAAAGTTGAACGCCACGTCGTCGACCTTTTGCATATCAAGGAAGCTTGTCTTAAGAAGCTAGGAAGTCTGTCATAGGAAACCACCAAGCACAGTAAATAGATAACGATAATGAACATCCAAGTATCCCTTAAGTATCCCTCTTGAGCCAGATTTTGATATCCACATAACTAGCGCTTCTCTTCTTATACGTAGACTCCTCGTCGTCACTATCTTTGGTAGAATGCTCCAGTGCTTGTCTGATCTCATCTAGTACTTCCACTGTACCTGTCTTGACATCCACCTTGTACAGCTTCTTCGTCTGGTAATGAAGGCCCACAGAGATTGCCGTATTTATAGCCTTTCCCATCGCCTTCACCGTGACAAACCGTACTTTCTTATACTCTCCCAGCTGGTACTTCTTATGGTTGACGCCAGTGGTATCGAACTTTTCAAGCATTCGGTCAATTCGCTTAATAGCGCCCATATACGGGGTTGTGCTTTTCACAAGGAACGTCGTATCTAGCGCCGTTTTGCTTCTGAGCTTTGTGTCTGGGTTATGTTTGATGAGTTTGGACTCCATTGGTAGTAGTTAGCGATGTGAGAGATGCGACAATACATGAAAATATGGCAAGGTGAGGTAAGACACGGATTGGTGAAGGTAACTTAGAGAGAGGTGTAGGAGGGGTTGGGAAATTCAGGAGGTTGTTATTCAAAGGGCTTTAGTCAATTTAAAGATGTTTTTTAGGCACTTTGGTGTTTCATGGTTGTATGGTGGTGGAGCTGTTTGGCTGCGAAATATGGGAAGAAGTGTGGTTACAATGGATAGTTACAGTCTTTTCAGGTATCGTTGATTTGAATCTATGGATTGGTTAATAGATGGCTTATTATGGCTAGAAAAGATAAGAATAGCTGTTTTTCGTCGAATTTAGAGCTGATCAAGGGTAAGAAGTATGGTAGTACTGGTCTATGAACAAGTACTATAGACAGCCTACAGGGTAACCATAAATCAGCCAAATTCTGGTGTTCAGGAGATTAAAGAGTGAAAAGTGAATCCATTTGGTCACAGTTATTTGTCTCATGTGTTCTTTTGAAAATATGTTAGCCAAAGGTGCTTTTAGTTGGAGCTGTCTAGCCTCACTACCAGTACTCTTCTCAGTGTACAACCATAGAAGCTGCTCACAATCAACGGATGAACCAAGATAAGTAAGGATAAAGTCATCAAAAGGTTAGTAAAACACTCACTTGGACGCAATTGAAAGATACAGGTTTCTCTGACTTCTACATATTCATCCTGACCAGAGGTTCATATACCTGGAAGTCCATGTTCTTCACCTTTTAGACTGGCTGTGAAACTGCCATAAGAGCATACCACCAGTCTCCCAACTACCCAACTGCCCAAAATGACCATACTTAAAAAATGACCTCCTTCCAATTAATCCTAAAACAACCAATTCCACTTCTTTTTCTTCAAATTTCACCACTCCACTGTCATCTTTACTACCCTCCACTTTTCACTCTTCCATCGCGCATATACGCGTTTCTTCACAGCAACACCATCCACTTCTTCTTCCTCATTCCCCCAATCCCATGAGTTCTCCATATTCAGACAGCTCTGTGGACTCTCGAAAACGGTCTAGAGACGAATACGAGTTTGACTTCTCGTCGCCAATCAAGAAAACTCAGACCCATCAGATCCACACTGAAGTACATATCCATACTGTGAACAGCTTAATGGAAGCTCTGAGACAACAAAAGGAGCTACCCAAGATCGAAGATCAACATGAAACTGAAGAAGAGTCCCATAACTACCACCAGAAACCGTTCTGGCCCGTTCTACAATCAGTGAACCGTGGACGGTAACTGCCTACCCAGGTAGCATCCTACAGTCTCTGTATCCCTATGACTTTTATTACAATATCCTGAGAGGAGCATACGCTCCGGCTCTATCAATGGCCCACAACTGGTGTGGGCAGACGATGAATGGTTTCTTGAGCAGCGCTCGAGACTTTTCTAGTTCGTGTCCCCTGGCGACCAGCACAGATCGGCTGCCCGATGTATAGCTTCAATAATGACGAGATGACAATTCCAGCACGTTTCAAATCCATGCCTCGCCACCTGCTTAGGCTCTGGCCTTTCTCTTGGCCTTCAACAACACCTTCTGCTTCTGCTGCTCGGCCTCGGATTCGGACTCCTCCTCGGACTCCACGTCCATCATATCCTCGTCCTCGTCTTCCAACTCCTCGTCTTCCAGCTCGGCTTGTTCCTTGAGGGCCTTCTTCTCGGCCTTTCTCTTCAACTCGACCTCCCTCATTCTCAACAACTCGGGGTTCTCCTCCACCAACTTCTTGTCCAAGGCCATCTGTCTTTCCTTGTTGCCTCTCATTCTGTTCTTATAGAAGGCACGCTCTCTCTTCTGTCTGATCTCCTCGATTCTCGACATGGCCTTCAATGTCGTGGCCACCAACTCACGGTTGTATCTGACAGGAACGTTTCTTCTCGAAGCGAATGTTAAGGTGGAGTCGACGACCAACTCCTTGCCGGCAGCCTTTCTGAAAGCCTTGGTCCATCTCAACTTTCTTGGGTTTCTTCTCTGCTTGAAGGCCTTATGGCACTTGGCTCTGCAGAATCTGAACTCTTTGGCATCGTTTCTCACGAACATTATACCTTTACTCGGGTAAACCGGCGACGAGCAAAAATGACAAGAGTAGACTCTCATGGTGTATGCAAATTATTTGGAAAGTGTTTGGTTATTTGGATTGCCCTTGGGCTTATGCTAATGCCAGAAGAAATGAACTTGGATCTGAGATGAGATGCGAAGAGGTCGAAAAAAAAAAATACATTGAACGCATTAGTTATCTGGTGCACGGGTGTACTACTACAGTACCAGATGGACCTGTTAACCAACGGACATGAAGAAGGTCAGGAAGTGGATGAAACGGTGATGGAGGAAAGTAGAGAAGTATTGTGGGAATCAAGGTTTGAGTGGTTTCAGAGCTGGGGTTGTGGAAAGGTATGATGTTCATGATTATGGCTGCAAAAGCTCTCAACAGGACTAGTGTGGGCCTCCCATCCATACCAAGAACATTCGTCAGTTATCGATCCAATCGGAACCATCAAGAAGCCTTTTAGTCTCTCGTTCAATACTTCTTTGGAGCCTGGAATGACGGGGGTGGACAGTACAAGTCAAACTGGCTGAGGTCACGTGCCGTCCCCCAGAATTTTAAAGGCGAGAATGGCGAAGATTTTCAGTCAGACCAAACTAAGTCCATAACCATGAACGCCTCGACACTACAACCTCCACCTGACCAGCAACAGCAGCAGGGTCAGCCGGTTTACCAGCAACCAACATACACTGGTCAGTTGCAAAAGAAGAAGGCTCCTGAAGGCTCTGCAGAGTGGTACTTCGACAGGACATGTGACTGGATGGGAGACCACCCATGGCTCACAGGTCTTGGAGCTTTCGGTTTGGCTTACGTTGCCGCCGGTATGTTCAAATCGAACCAGCCAGGTTTGAACGGTAAAGCATTTGTCAAGGGCTCGTTTGGCCCCAAGATGTCCGCCAAGGAAGCTCTACAGATCTTGAACTTGAAAGAAACCAACTTGTCCAAGGCCAGGTTGAAGGAACAGCATAGAAAGTTGATGATGGCAAACCATCCAGATAAAGGAGGATCTTCCTTTTTGGCTACAAAGGTCAACGAGGCCAAGGACTTCTTGGAGAAGAGAGGCGGCATGAAGGATAAATAAATAATCTTGTAAATATGCATGGATAGAGCGAGGGCCGTCGACATGGCGGCAGCTGCTCTGGTAACAATGGAATAAAAGTATATTTTAGACGACGGTGGCTGGAGATGTGTAGTTGGAGAGAAGTGGAATGTAGAGATAGAAGGCCAGTAACTAGTTCTGAGGAAATACATGGAGGACTTTTGTATCTCTTCTGAGTTCTGGGGAAGTTGAAAAATCACACTTACTTGTTTTCCACACACTGGAACTACTTGGAGTGCCAGACGTAATATAGATCAGATATGGCTCTCCAGGCAATCAGGACGGCTACAACTCCATTTACAAACACTATAACAGTACTAATAAGTCCTCCTCTCACTTCCAGCCCCTAACAAAACACTCTAAGCACCACCTTAAGCCAACCTCGATCATCTACACTTCAATGCATCTCCATCGACCATTCCGGTATTCCCACCCTCCACTCCGTGAACCCACCAGCCCTCCATTCCCCATAAAACCACTTCCCCAGCTCATCCCCAATTCCCCCAATTCCACTTAAAATCCATGAATTTGCCATCCCACTGCCTCTGGCTCTCCCCAGCTTCTTTCCTGCTTCTTCCCTGCTTCCCCAGGAACCACCGCAATGGTTGCGAAATCCAGCAACCAAGCAGCCGAAGTACATGAAACCTGGCAAATAGCCTTCCCTGGTTAAACCACACAAAAACCAGTCTTCCCAAGCATTTCCCAGAAAAAATTACATTCTCTTTCCGTCTCTCTTAGTGGTGCATTCTGTTGCTCCGCCCCAGTAGCCGAGTGAGACACACCTTGTTTGCACCCAAATATAGCAGCACAGAGTCAACGTATTTCCACGCCCACACCACCAAAATCCACCAAACTTTCACATCCTTTTCTTCACACCCACAATAGCCTATTTTCCAATTTTCACCGCCCAATTACCTCCCCTTCCCGTAAAACACTTACCCTCCCATTCTCTCCCCGGACTGCACTTTCCGCACCAGAACCGATAAACAAGATCTGGCGAAGTGTCCCTACTACCTAGTCCATCACCTCTATGACAACATACGAAAAGATCGTCAAGGGCGCCACGAAAATCAAGGTGGCGGCGCCGAAGCCGAAGTACATAGAGCCCATTCTTATGGCCACTTCTCTGAACCACCAGGTGGCGCTGGAAAACTTCCACACCATCATGAGAGCGCTTAGGGTTAGGCTCCAGGACAATTCGTGGTCGGTGGTGTACAAGGCGCTTATTGTGATTCATATCATGATAAGGGAGGGTGACGGCGATGTGACTTTGGATTACCTTGCTACGCTGGCGCCAGGGATGCTTAATTTGAGCCATGCCAATATCTCTCGGAACCAGGGTTCCAGCGATGTGCGGTTTATTATGCGTTACTCTCGTTATTTACACACTAGGGTGAAGCTGTTTGCAGAGACAAAGGTGGATTATGTTCGGGATGAAAGAGTTAAAAACCTGACTGACCAGCAGGGCGGCCGTTTGCGGTCGTTGTCGGTGGATAAGGGCTTGATTAGAGAGCTGGAGGGCTTGCAGAAACAGATTGACGCTCTTTTGAAAAATAGCTTTATGGAGAACGAGGTGAAGAACGATGTGATCTTGACGGCGTTCCGTTTATTGGTGAATGACCTTTTGGCGTTGTTCCAGGAGCTCAACGAGGGTGTGATTAACCTTTTGGAGCACTACTTTGAAATGTCTCGCTACGACGCCGAGCGGGCATTGAAGGTGTACGTCAAGTTTGTCGACCAAACCAAGTACGTTATTGACTACTTGCGTGTGGCCAAGCACCTTGAGTATGCTACTGAATTGCATGTTCCTACGATCAAGCACGCCCCAACTGCGTTGACTTCTTCCTTGGAGGAGTACTTGAACGATCCTAACTTCGAGGAGAATAGACGTCGCTACATGCTCGAGAAGGGCCAGAAAGATAAGCCCAAGTCTGAGGTGCAACCGGATGCAAATAATAGAGATATACAGAGCCAAGTGCAAGCACAGGCTGCCCAGGCTCATAATCCTCAGACGCCTCAACCTCAGCAGCAGTTCAATCCTGGTGCTCCAGTGGCCAACAATGGCCAGTTCCAGTCGCCTCAACAAGGCAACGACTTGCAAAGGTCCGGAACTCTTTTGGTGCAACAGTCTACGTTCAACCCATGGGCTTCGAGCGTTGCTAGTCCGCAACAGTTCACCTTCCTTCAGCAACAACAACAGCCAACTCAAATCAACCCAGCCTTCACTGGTGCTGGATTTGGTGGGTATGGTGCTCCGCCACAGGCCACTGGAACCAATCCCTTCATGCAAAACAACTCCACTGGATTCAATGGTCCGTTCCAGCCTCAACCATCGCAGGAGCAGTTGCAGCAGCAGCAGACTCAGAATTTCCAGCAGCCTCAAAACTTCCAACAACAAAACTTTCAGCAGACCCAGCAGTTCCCTTTCCAACAAGCTCAACAGACGAACCAGTTCCAGCAACAACCAACGCAACAGTTCCAGGTTCAACAACAACCTACTCAGCAATTCCAGCCACAACAGACTGGTCAGCAACTGTTGGTATCCCAACACACCAACAACCCTTTCTCTGGGTCTTCGACTACTCCTACTGGTCAGCCAGTAGCTGTCAACTCCACCAATCCTTTCGGCAACACACGATTCTCCAACTCGCAAACCACTCCCTACTCGTTCTCTCAGGATAGAAACAAAAGGGTTTCGGTGACAGCTACTGGAAGCAATCCGTTCAAGGTTTCGCAGACGACTACCAGTGTGTTTGACCATGCTGAGCAGAATAAATCTCAGCAAGCATTACAAAAACAACCGACCGCAGGCGGGTTGGAGCTCTTGCCTACTATTGCAGCATTCCCAGAGACACAACAAGAGCAAGTACGGAACACGTATATTCTGAACGCACAGAATAATTTGACTCTGCAAGCCACTGGCCAGCAGTTTGGTAATCAGCAGTTTACGGGCCAAACGCAGCAGTTCCAGCAGCCACATTTGCAACACCAACCCCAGCACGTTCAAAACCGATTCTTTCAACAACAACTCCAGCAGCAGCAGACCCAGCAACAGCCGCAGCAGATACAACAGCAGGCTTTCTACAATGAACCCAGCTTAATTTAAATTACTCTATATAGGGCGACACTAAAAGTTTAATGCCAAAGCGACAAGGACCAAGAAGCCAGAGAGGCCTGTAGCAGTAGCCAAGTCATTTGAAGAAACAGTGGGTATAGCAGATGAGGAAGCAGAAGCAGAGCTTCCAGAATCAGAGCCGGAGCCGGAGCCGGAGCCAGACTCATTTGCTGAGCCGGAATCAGACTGAGAACCGGAACCAGATCCAGATCCAGATCCAGTGGTAAGAGCTGTAGCCAAAGTGGAGGCAGTTGTACCAGACCCTGAACCAGCAGAGGCTGAAGTAGCCACCGGCGAGGTGTGCTGGGAAGATTGGGCGACGGTGCTTGCGGCAGCCAGGCTCGAGGAAGCTGGGGATGAAGAAACAGCAGATGGAGCAGAAGAGCTGGCACTGGAGCTGGAACTAGAGCTTGGAGCAGAAGAACTAGAAGAACTGCTCGAGCTAGACTTTGGAGAAGAGCTGCTTGAAGCGCTTTCGTCAGCCTGAGAGCCTTCTCTGCCGTTGATCTCACCGTTCACAGCCTTGATAGACTTCCAGCTGCCAGACTTATCAGTGTACTCGTACTTGTCACCAGAAGAGTAGTCATCCACGATCAACTTCTTAATGTGCATGGTAAATGGCGCCTTGCTATAGTCAGTAGAACCACCAGCCCATTCAATAGTACCAGGTTCGTTACTTGGGTCACCACCAGCCCAGATACCAGCCTTGATGTACAGAGGACTCTGAGGGAAGCCCTGCTTGTTATCACTAGAAAGAGTTCTCACCGGAGTGCCCTCCAAGTACCAAACAACCTCGTTTTCCGTCCACACAATGGTATAGTTAAAGTAGTTATCCTGAGGAGAGCCAGGCGTCAGGTGGTACTCGCCACGGTCATATGTCTCAGTGTTACCCTTAGAGAAGTAGTTGGACTGGAACTGAGTATCGTCAGCGCCCAACAACTCGATATCAATCTCGTCCAAATCGTCAGACATCAAAAAGAACGACAGCACAATACCCTTACCTGGAGCAGCCTTCATCAACACCTCCACACGGCCAAACATGATATAGAAGTTAGATCTGATGCCTGGGTTATCACCCTTCTTCTTCAAAGTCAATTCCAAGCCATCGTCGGTGTATGAAACGCCCGAAGGCACAGCAACAACATCAAAACGGTCACTTTCCTCAGTGAACAGTTCCACCAAATCCGTGCCCAAAGCAGGTACTGGCGAACAGGAAGACGATAGTGGGTTGCAGTTGGAAGTTCCTGTGGCAGCGATAATGGCTGCAAAATGAGCGAGCAATGTTACAACAAAAAGCATAACAGGCCAATATGAAACGATAGAAAGCAGCTGTTCTGATCAAAAACCAGGCCTTATATAAGACATCACTGCCTTCTTATATTTCTTAGAAGCCTGAACACGCTTTTGCAAGGAGTCACTTACCAGGCTGTGACGCGGACAAAAATAGAAGTGCGTCGTGATGAAGCGAGCTCGAAACAGGCAGGACAGCCAGATAAAGCTGAAAATAGACTTCCACAAAGGAGACCAAAACGGAGGAAAAAACACAAAAAAATTACATTGCCAGAATCAGAAGCACCACGTTTGGGGCGAGATTTTGTTCTTACTTTGTCTTCTTGGAAAAGGGAGGATATGACTGGACCTTCTTGATAAGACAGGGCGCGGGAGGTCGCGTCTACCGAGACAATAAACCGCATTTAGAAGCAGAGAAAGGCAGCCATTGTGGGCTGAAAAAGGCGTTTTTCGTGCGACGCTAGGACGTCATTTGCAGCCATAGACGAGGGAGAGGTGGACAAGGACGATCAGGAAGTAGCTGAAATTGGGAAAATGAAAATATACAGTGGGTTGGAGTTTGGTAGGGAGAGTATGGGGATGTGAAGGGTACGGTTTTGGTTTTAGGTGGGAAGGTTATTTGCGTTTGAGCGTCCCTTCGTGTGGGCTTGGGTGAAGCCCCAAGGCTAGAACAGTTGATTGTGGGAAGGGTCAAAAGGAGGGTGGTAGAGTTGGTGGAATTGGTGGATTTTATCGGAAATAGATGTAAAAGGCGCTGGCCAAGAACGGTGTGAGTAGTGGCACTGGTGGTGGCACTGGTAATGGTGCTTTCGTGAATATTCAAATTTCATATTGTCTTAAATAAGAAGTGCATTTCGAAGTACGGCTTTTTATGGAAGCTCGTCTGAAACGGTCGGTGGCTGAATTAGAGAAGAAACGTGCTTTGAATTTGCTGCTTTGGGAGACCTGATTAGGCGTGGGTGTTCGACACGGTGTGGCTTTCGTGAATAGAGTTAAGCTTCGTCAAAGGCATGCTTAGACCCAGCCAATGCAAACCATAAACATCCCTTTTGGGAATATTCACTGAATGACATTGTTCTTTTTGGGAGGATTATCTTATCCTCACTTCGTAAGTCTGATTGACATATTGTACATTGGCAAGTAGAGTAGTATGTATACACAGTCAGCTGGGCCCCCACAAGTGGAGACGACGAGCGATTGACTTTCGTATGATAATCACATACGTTACGGTGGATTTTTTTGGTTGGTAGCTGGCCTGCCGGCCAGAAACGACCAATCTCATCCTCTCAGATGATCTGCTCTCAGCGAACCCGATCGTTTCTCTGTAGCCTTCAATGCTTCGTCTAGCGCCGTGGACCGGGTCCGCTTACGCCTTCATTCGTTCCAAATATCAGCAGCAAAGCCCTCGGTGACCAGAGAGTCTTCACCATACTTCCTGGCCCAACTGGTGAACCCACCTTCCATCACATACACATTGACGTTTCTTGACTCCAGACCCGTCTTGGGAGGAGCATCCTCGGCCGTTCTTAAAAACAAAAGAGCTGCCTTGGGTCCACGGGCCTGGGAAAGTGCACAGTGGAACACCACATTCTCAATCTTATTCTCTTCAAGCTTCATGCGAAGATCAGGAAGTAACGATGCAAACTCATTGGCTGGGTAATGATAGCAGCCCTTAATATGACCACCAGCGTAATCTGAATCTCTGACATCAACCACGGCAAATTTGGCGCCCTGGTCAAACCACAGCTTCACTACCGCAGGCTTGATAAACTTTAAGTCGGAAAGACTCACCAGACTCATACTCGGGGAGCGGGAGGAAAAGGGACGTTTGAAAAAAGAAAAACGGGACAAAATGGTGGCAGTGTTGTCAAGTTAAGTACTTTTTTCCCAGATCTAACTTGGACTAAGTACCTGCTTTTAGTGGTTGCTTAGATAGATATTCTGTGCCTGACGCAGTCGCATCCTGGTCATTATGGAGATCCCATGAAAACTCAAAAAAGCCATTGATTTTGGGGATATTTTATTTTTTCTACGGTCATCAAGGGTTGCTGGATTTCCCCAGATCAGGCATGTTGCATTTGGGTAACGGTTTTCGTCTTCGTGACTGGATCTGGCGTGCCGCAGCAAGATGCAACGGTTGCAAAATCCATGAAAAAGCCATTGCTAAGGCAGGACAGGCAGAACAGGTAGAATGGTGAAAGTTCCAGTATTCTTGCTCTGGGCAGCCAGGAGGAGGAACCCTTATTTTTTCTTAGGGATCGCTTAGGTTTTGGATTTTTGGAGGCCCCTACGGTGTTCCCTGTAGTTCACACTTCCTCCATGTATTTACCAGATTTGAGACAGATATGTCATGGATGCACAAAAGTGCCAAACCGGTACCCCAAGAATGACAAAATGACAAAACCAAAAACCCCCAAAAAAACCCTAAAAGTCCACCTTTCAATTCCAGTGACCAACGAAAACCCTCCATCCCTCATTCTCCATTCTTCTTCTTCCCCCTCCCCTTCCCTTCAGCTTCCACTTCGCAACCACTTTTCGCAACCAACATTCACCGCACGGTTAAGCGGTCGTGCTTTCCGATGATCGCCTGGGCAAGTAAGAAATGAACCAACGAGGCAGCGACGAAGATCTACAACTCTGGAAAGACCTTTTTTTGGTTAATTTCATTACTTTCTTCAAATTTCCTTCCATCTAGTGGCATACCCACCCTTACACCGGTGCACCACCACACACGTTTTTTCTCCCCTTCACATTCACCTTTTCGTTCGTTCCGCAGTGGAAAAGTCAGGTGCTAATACATCAACTAGGTTTTTTCCTTGAAGTTTGTTCATCCACCCACCTCCACCACAGCGATGTCGAAACTGCCCGAATCCGATGCCGAAAAGTCGGATACTCAGTTGAAAAAGACACTTTCTGTCGACTCCATTGCCCCCACGTTGACGCTGTTTTTCAGAAAACGCAAGCGGTCTGAGTCCACTTCTGACCTGGATAGGGCCCACTCTTCAGACCTGAGCGACGAGTCTGATCTGGACGTCAATGCCCACCAAAAACGCAGAAAAGTGGAAAAGACAAAGGAGCAGGAGGAATTCGAACAGAGAGAGAAGGAATACGACGAGGCGCTTCCTAAAGAGCTTCGAAAATACCGCCCCGTGGGCCACAAGTTCAACCTTCCTCCTACCGATAGACCTGTCAGGGTTTATGCTGATGGTGTGTTTGACTTGTTCCACTTGGGCCATATGCGCCAGTTAGAACAGGCCAAGAAGAGTTTTGAAAACGTGGAGTTGGTTTGTGGTATCCCTTCGGATAAGGAAACGCATAAGAGAAAGGGGCTCACGGTACTTACCGACCAGCAAAGAATAGATACCCTTAAGCATTGTCGCTGGGTGGACGAGGTGATCCCCAATGCCCCTTGGTGTGTAACTGCCGATTTCTTATTGGAGCATAAGATAGATTATGTGGCTCACGACGACTTGCCGTATGCTTCTGCAGACTCTGACGATATCTATAAACCCATCAAAGAACGTGGCATGTTCTTGGTCACACAGAGAACAGAGGGCGTCTCCACGTCCGATATCATCACCAAGGTCATTAGAGATTACGACAAGTACTTGATGAGGAACTTTGCCAGGGGAGCCACGCGAAAGGAACTTAACGTGTCGTGGTTGAAGAAGAACGAATTGGAACTCAAGAAACACGTCAATGACTTCAGAACTTACTGGATGCGCAACAAAACGAATATTAATAATGTTTCCAAGGATCTTTACTTCGAAGTGAGAGAGTACTTGAGGGGAAAGAAGTCTGACTTGTCGTTCGCCAACTTCGCCAACAACCACCTCGCCCACAGCAACAGCTCTCCAAGTCTTGTGAGTGATCTGGACGACGCCTCGCGTGGTTCAAGCCCCTTGACTGAGTTTGCATCGAAGTACATTGTGAATAAGAACGACAAACCCGCCCGTTTCTTCAAGGGATTCAATTTCAACAACTGGATGAACAAGGAGGACTCAAATGATGAAGACGAAAGACCAAGAAGAAAGAGAACAGCAACTTCATCCAACAATAAGTCTGAGTTGACCACCTCGATGTCGGCGCCTACCATTGCGCTGCCCAGGAAAATCAAGAAGCCTAGATCGAGAAAACAGCATTAGACGAACAACAATGATACCATTGGGGTCGCTACCGTCCAACTGCATGTGCCGGCCACTATCGGTTGTATATGTGAATAAGGTAATTTTATTAATGTTGCATGTAGAATTTCAAGTAGAACGAGGTGAAACATGAGGGGTTTCAGTCTGAAACATCCACGAAACATCCGTGAAAAGGCTCCACACATAATATACTTGGCAAAGCAATAGTCTGTGAATATATAAAGGGACCGTCCTCCCTTCCTTCATTCATCAACTCGAGTTTCTTGTAATTGTAGGTTCCGTAGAACTACTAACAGACAGCTTCCTTTCAATGCCATACGAAACAAAAAAGTTGCTTTAAGATACCATATATAGGTTAAATAGATCAATACAATGCTATAATTTTCAAAGCCATGTAATGTGAACCACAAGCTATGGGGTACTTAGGAATATGGTTAGCCTGTACCACCAGCTGTCCACGCAACTTATGAATGGGATGAAATCTCCAAGGTGAAGTTAAGGATGTCAGAAATAAAACAAACATTTGCAATAGAAGCAAATAGCAGCCAAAGATCTGTCTTTTCTAAATTGGCTACTAGGACTACTTTGTGGCCTGACTTCTGCTCTTCACAACTCCAGTACATTAGCATCCATACTTTAAGCCAGCCAAACTCAGAAGAATAACATTTTTGATAAATAAACCAAACAGTTCATTTCCATTCAATTGCCTTGTCATTAATTTTTACTTCCAATAAACACCTACCAAGAGCACACTTCCATCGGTTTACCCCAGACTCAGTCTTCTACTACTGGGTGCGAAATTCAGGACTTCTCAAACCACTGTTGATCTTCTGCTCCTCCAGTGAAATACCAATAACCATGGACGGTACGGAACTTCTGCGCACGTGGGCTCAGTCAGAAATGCCCAAGGGGTTCCCAAAAGGCCAACCTGAACAAATAGTGACGGTTCTACAACCTCCATCGAACAATGCTTGGTCGTTTACTCAAGGTCTAATATGTGGCCAAGTGAGTGTTGTGATTGTGATCTTGGTGTTTATCAAGTTTTTTGTGTTTGCTGATGGTTCTTCGCCACAGTCTGCGCTGTCCAAGTCGAACAAGAGAGACGTGGCTGCTGTGGTGGTGAAAAGAGATAAACCGAAGGATGAGGATGGCGAGGATAGCAATAGTAACCCAGCCAAACTCGCTACAATTCTTGAAAAGACATACTATGATGTTGAAAACCATGCGCCAGAGTCTTTGGACTGGTTCAATGTGCTTGTAGCACAGACTATTGCCCAGCTTCGTACTGAAGCATTGCTTTCAGATAATATATACCATCTGTTGAATACGTTTCTTGAGAAGCTGGAGACTCCTGACTACTTGGATAGAATCAGGCTTCTGGAGATTGATATCGGTGACGATTTCCCGATATTCTCCAATTGCCGTATAAAACATAGTGGCGATGACTTTGGTCGTCTAGAGGCACGTATTGATGTGGACCTCTCTGATACGCTTACATTGGGCATTGAAACACGTCTTTTACTAAACCATCCTCGTCCGCTTACTGCTGCTTTGCCTGTGCAGCTTTCTGTATCTATAGTGCGTTTTTCAGGATGCTTGACGGTTTCTTTGGTCAACATCAACGAGACCGATTTTGCCGGCAGCAGCAAGGAAAACCTAACGGGCGGCACAGCTCTTATGTTCTCCTTCCTGCCAGACTATAGACTAGAGTTTTCCGTCAAATCGCTCATTGGCTCAAGGGCAAAACTACAAGATGTGCCTAAGATCTCTGAGCTCATAGAAAGCAAGTTGCGTTCATGGTTCAAGGACAGGTGCGTTGAGCCTCGTTTCCAAGTGATCCGCTTACCTTCTATGTGGCCCAGAAGCAAAAACACTAGAGAGCCAGTTCAGACCCGAGAAGACAAGGAATAATGCTGTATATTTATCTAACCCAACATGGATCTCTTACGTCCACGTAACCTGACATCCTCGAGCTTCTTCTCGACTTCTTTAAGCTTCTTTCTGCCACCCTTGCTGGCCATGTTCTCGTGGAGGTCTTGGTAGCCTTCCAAAAGCCACTTGTTGTACTGGTCAGCATAGTCTGAGTGGGTACTCAAAACAGCTCTTTCCATGACATACAAATCCACAGCTTTGTCCTCTGGAAGATTTGAATATGAAGAAAGACCAAAATCAATGAGATATATGTCGCTTCCTTGTAAGATAAGGTTCAGTGTAGTTAAGTCACCATGGATCATATCGTTGATGTGCAATTTGGCAATGGCGGCACCAGTAGTTTTCAAAACCAGCTCCACTTCATCACTCAAACAAGTGTTCCTATCACCAGCCTTTTCTAGATACCACAAGTAGTTTTTAATCAGCGAGACGTCGCCGTTCGGAAGTTCAATACCAACATGTTCCATCCAGATAACACCATTAGGAGCATCTAGCAGTATAAGCGAAGGAGCAGCAACACCAATCTTCGCTAGCTTAGCCATAAACTTGGCTTCGCCAACAGTTCTCGACTTTGTGATAAGTGCATCAATCTTAGGATGTCTGTATGGCTTTGGAGGTCTATATTTCACGATGAACTGTGATGCCTTGGGTTCTGGCGAATATGGATGCACATTGGTGGAAAACACAAGAGCCTCAGCGCCTTGAGAAACCAAAGAAAGCGGGATATTAGGAACGACCCTCAGCACGTCTTGTAGAATGGCGTCAGTCATGGTTAGCTGGGATGGGTGGATGGAGTAGTAGAGTTGATGTTCAGCGCGAAGACTAGGCAGCTATAGAGGCAGAGACAAGAAGAGGGAGGCTGCTAGTGGTATTTACGGTAAGAAGGTGATTGAATGGCTTTGGCTTTAAAGGGATACAGTTTCGGTAGATATCGGTACTTTTATGGTTTTTTTGGTCTCTAGTTGAAATGTTAGTATGGTTTACTGTTGGGTGCAAAATGAGAGTAGAGGAACAGAGAGGAAGTGCTAGCTATGAAATGATATCGAAAATGTACGGCAGTACCATAGTAACTCTAGAAGGCTAGAAAGGCCTCGAAGTAGCCTTCACTGAACTTCTTTATTAACTCTACTTCTTTTACAGAGAAGTATCTTGTGACTATACCACCATGCCATATACCAGATGAGCCATGCCAAGGGTAATACCCAAATTGATCTCTCCAAAGACCAATATTAAGAAAAGCAACTGCTTTTAGGAACCCATTATTTAGTAAACCCAACATAGATTAACTGGTTTGAAATCGACCCAACTTCTGGGGACCAATACCGATGTACTTCTACAGACATAGACGTACAGATACACCGCCTGGTAAGTTACCTGCCACAATTTAACCATCCACACTAATTGGCATTTAGAGAATGATTCAGGATTCTTAGTAATCCCAACCCCATGCCTCAATTTCCCCAGTCTTCTCCACAAGTACCTCTCCTTCCCTCCCACTGTAGCAGTCATTTCGCAGCCAAACACGGACTCGGACTCCTCCACCAGACCAACCACCAACTCCCAACCGCCAGCCCCTTAACAGAAAAATATAATTTTCTATCCAAATCAGAGAAGCTCCCTCCCCTTATATACCCATTTTCTTCCCCGCCTTTTCCTTACCCTGGTCCCTTATCAGTACCAGAGCCTGTACTACCTGTTCTACCTGTACTATCCTTACCTCCCATATACCACCAGCAAACCAGCCAACCAGCCAACCAACCAAATTCCACCCCTCCAAAACCCAAAATCCCTAAATACCCATATCCAATAATTCCACTCAGCCTGCCACTAAAATCTCCACCAAATCTTTACACCCAACCGTTCCCACTGTTCCTTCCCTTCTTGCTACCCCAGACTCGGCGCGAATACACCAATCTCAACTACTTCACCACCTGACGAACCAGACCTCCACCCGCCCATTCCCACTCCAATTCCATCCCTCCCCACCTCGCCATGGCTGAACTCGTATACGTGGTTCCTCCATACCTTCTCAATACATGTTTGGGGCTTGACCTTCAACGGGAGGTGGCTGCGTTAGACGCTCAGTTGGCGGCAAAGAATGTGTTCTCTCCTCTGAAGCAGATCCACTTTCGCCAGCCCAAGGATATTGATAGTACCAAGGATGGTTTTTGTACTGACCCGGCGGTGAACCATATGATTAAGGAGAAACTCAAGGATAAGTTTGCCGTGTTGGGTATGTTGGGACTGTCGCCTACAGAGAATATCACGGATGAGTACTTGTATGAGCTCTATGAGATCTTTAAAGAACGGCTCAGTTTGGCCCAGGAACCGGCTTCGATGGAAACTAGCACGTCGACGAATTCACAAAACTCGTCGCTGCTGCATTCGAACGGTACCAATGGATCCAATACCAAGCAGAAGAAGTCTGCGTTTTGGTACCCTAAACTCGGAGAAGTCACTTTCGGACCGCTGTTTTTGAATAATGTCAATTCCTGTTTATCCAATTACTCTTTGGAGGCGCTTATAAACTGGGCGAAGGAGAGCTCCGAACATAAGTATTCCTTCTTCCCTTCCTTGGTGGTTGGCGCTCTGGCCTTCCTCTCGCCATTACCAATGTACTGGACGCCGCTTTCTGTTGATAAGCACCTAGAACACTTGGATAGGAACTTGGGCATGGAGATTGACACGTCTAGCGGGTACTCGTTGCTTAAGTTCAAGCTCCAACGTGAGAGACTACCCTTTGACGACCTCTTTCGCAAGAAGCGCTACTTTAACTTCATTGCCAACAACGAAGTGCAAGAAAAGTGTGGCATTTTCTACTACGAAGTGCTGGTGGACCAGGTGGCAACGTCTGCTTCTGATTATAAGCCGTTGATCTGCCTTAATGACTCCTCATTGGCAGCGGGCTCTTCCTTATACTTCACTTTGGGATACACCAAGAGACAAGTTCGCTTCGACAAGATGCCCACGAACACTACAACTGGAATTAACATTCAAAGCTTGGACTTGAAGGCCATCCAAAGCAACATCTCCTTCTATAACCAAAACGTCTACAATAAGAAGATCGACGATGACACGCTCACTTTCTTAGGCGCCGAGCCTGGTGTTTCCTTCGAGGGAAGCTTTGCAGTGAACTTCAACAACTCGTGTTCCTACGCCTCTATCAAAAGCGGCGACAGCTCTTATAGAACATCTTCACTCAACACGAACAGAAGATTCTCCCAGTTCAACAGACAGACGGCCGTTGATCAAGACACAAGCAAGATTGACGTCGAAGTGCCGTTCAATATTCATTCTAACAACCACGAGAGGGTCAAAAAGAGGTACAGAACGGATACTGTCGGTTGCGGTGTCAACTTCATTGACAAGACCCTCTTTATCACCTTGAACGGTATACTTGTCAAGGAAATTACCGAGAAGGAAATGGTGGATTCTAATAGACACAAAGATAGCATATTTGAGCATGATCTGAAGACGGGATCATTGTTTCCTATGATTGGTTTCCAGCTTTCGGAGCTTCAGAAGGAGATTCCTGAAGGAGAGCTTCCGGAGACAGTGGTGAAGACAAACTTTGGTCTCAAGGAATTTGAATTTAACATTAATCGCTACGTTGACAAATTCAAAAAGCAACAGGCAGACGAGCTTTCGAAGAAACTCGCCGATGAGTCTCAGTCTCCTCCCGACTTGACTTCGCCTGACGATACGTCATTTGAGAAAGCCGTGACGGATATCAAGAGTGACTCTGAAGTGTTGAACAAATTCATCAGAGGCTACTTGATACAACACGGTTATTTGGAGACTTTGAAGTCCTTCAATTCGGACGTTGAGGATCTCAGTTCGCATATTCATGGTGATGTTGATATGGAAGAGGAAGGATCCAAGCAGCAGGAGTTGTTGGTGAACGATTCCCATGCCCCACAAAGACACCAGGTAAGAAACTTGATCAACGATCAAAAGTTTCTTGATGCAGCGTCTTTTCTTCAAACGAATTACGGCAACATCGACAAACTTGATCTGTACGTTTTTGAACTACGTTTCCAGCATTATGTCTCACTTGTCAAACGGTACCTCAATCTGAAGTTTGGTCACGAATTTGACTTCGACTATAGTGAAGTGTCTAAGGACGAATACTTCAAGGCTGTTGTCAATTATGGTGAAGAGTTAGCCAGGCTGGCCTCGGGCAATCCTATCTCCTACTCCAAGGTTTCCAACTTCTCTGGTGTGATCTTGGCCAACAGCAAAGAAGAATTAAGCGAAATGCCTACCGCTCAGAGGGAACTCGATGGTCAACAGAATGAGATAGAAAAGTTGGCTAGCCGAGTCAATGGTGCCATTTTGGAACTGCAGAACTTCGAGAAGGTTTCAAAGTTGGAACATCTCATACAAAGCGCTGGCAACAACATCAACAGTCTTTGTACGGAGAACGACAACACTTACAAGTTGGTGAACTATGAGCAAGATTACATTGATATCTAAGATTCTATTTTAGGTTTTTTGGCGAGTTTGCTCCGCAGCAGCGTGGGTGCTGGACGTTTTTTAGGCTCGGACTCCTGAAGGAATTCCGAAGCAATGTCAAACTTGTCTAGAGCATCGTCCTCGATGTCCTCGGGGAACTCGACATCGGCAAGTTTATCTATACGATTGGAATGATACATTTTTAAACCCCAAGCGCCTCTTTCTAGCTCGTCCAACGAGTTTATCTGGTACTTTCTTGCAACGCCAATCATGACCAGCAAGTAGTCATCGGCGTACTCCTTCAAGTTGTATTTGATTGGCTGGCCTGGGCGAATTGGCAGCTGCACAAAGTAGAGAAACGCTTCGTCACTAAAGAATGGTGGAGCGAATGGGGTAACGTCCTTAAGAAGGGCTAAAAGTAAGCTTGCCGTAGCAGGCCCCACGCCCCTGAGTTCAGTCAATCTCTTCAAACTCAGGCGTAGCGCAGTCTGGTACTCAGATATATCGATTTCCAGCCAATTGGTCTGCTTCTTGGCATAGTCAGTGAAAATAAGGAACCCATTCCTCGTCGCCTTCTCCACACTTTCCTCGGAGTTTCCCTGGATAAGCTTAGGAAGCGAAGGTCTAAACTTCCCCTTGGCAAGTTTCCAGTCCATAAGCAAAGCCAATTCTGTCTTGGTGATGGACAATTGACCTTTCTCATAACGCTCCTTGAGTTCAGCTGGAAAATCCACGCTGCGCCAGTGGTCCAATTTGTTCAACGTCCAACTGTTCTTACCATAAAACTTCAGCAGTTGCCGCAGGAGTTCGTCGGTTATTCTCGGGTAGAGCAATTCTGTGCTCTTCACCAAAGACGCCTTGTAGTCAACCATGGTGTTGATAATGAAAAGGGTTCATGCGCGCCGATGAATAGACTGGCTGCGAAAGGATGGAGTAGTGAAAAGTTTATATGGGCAGGTAACACAAAATGGAGGTAAACAAAAAATAAAAAAGTGGAAGCTTCGCCTCTTTAGTTAATAACCAGTTCGGCAGTTTCCAGTTTCAGTTTCTTGAAGTCCATTCTCTTGTGTGGGGTGTAGTTCAATGGGAACACTAGGTCTAAGACAACGTTCTGGACCAACGAGAAGAGCTGGGAACTGAGCCAGTACAAGGTCAATGCAGTGGGAGCATGTAGGGAGATGGCCATAAGGAAAACAACACCCATTCGGGACAAATTGCCCAAGGAATCGAAGATGGTGGGGCGGAAAGCTCTCTTTCTGCCTGGAGGTTTCATGAGCTGGAATGTCTTAAACGTCCATTCGACGTTGAGAATCGCCACAATGCCAATGGCAATAGGAAAAACATGCAAAGGGTCTAAGGTAGTGAGATCTGTGAACCATAGAGCTCCTTGGTCATATAGACTAGGGTCTAGAGGTTTGTTGGCTAACGAGTCCCACGTAGACCAGCCACTCAAGTTTCTGAATGTCATCGACATACACACCCACAAGGGGACTTGTGCTGCTGGCAAGAAGAAGTTCTTATAGAGCTGAACGCCATGGTCTCTGAAGAGCTTCTTCTGTCTCTTTCTGGTTTCTTTTGCTGAAAGCACCATGATTTCGTCATATTTCATTTGGCCAGCTGGAGAGGCCATACCTGGAGAAGCGCCTGCTTTCTGGCTTGCTTTAAGTGCTTTCTGGGCTTCCCTAGCTAGCTTCATTCGCAAGATAGGTGCTGTAGCAGCCACTATAGGACGTAAAGCATTCTGTTTTTGCACCCTTAGTCTCTGCATCACCGCCAATGGAAGCGTCCAAACGCCTCGAAGAGTGAATGTCGTCAAGGGAATGACTGCCCACCAGGGTAAGCCAGTTAATGTATGGATGTGTTCGACTGACTCTGTGAGAACAGTGATGACGGCTGTGGGTTCCAAAGAAAAGTCACGTTTTTGGATCCTTAGGGCTGGAGAGACGAATCCATGGTTTCTAGGAATGCTTTTAAGGCCTAATGGGCGAGTTAATCGTAGCATACTGGAGGCAGTTGGAGCTGGAGATGGTGAAAATCAGAGCGTCTGTACTGCACAACCGAGATCATCAGCACAGAATGGGTCCTACTTATTGGGGAACCCAAGTAAGGAAGGAGTTACTATGAAGAGACAAATGGAGGAATTTAACAGTAAATAAATAAATGATAGAGCTGGATGGCAATTTTGGAGGGCTGGCTTTGGGAAAAGGCAAATTTTCAAAAAAGGTCACGTGACCAACACCTCTTTTCTCTACCATTTCGTGCTCCATGATCAACCAACTCATCCTCCCATGTCCTCCAAAACAGAGAGAGCTTGCATGCTCTGTGGCATAATCCAGCCCTACAGGCGATTCCTTGAAACTGGATGCCCCAACTGTGAGTCTGTTTTGCACTACGCTGACAACGAGGACGGCCAGATCCAGGATTGCACGTCCCCAGCTTTCGAAGGCTTGGTCGCTTTGGGTGACGACAACAAGGTCTCGTGGGTGGCTCGTTGGCTTCGTATTGACTCCTTTGTTGCTGGTCTTTACGCTGTGAAGGTTAACGGTAAGTTACCTCCACATATCATCAGTGACTTGGAGGATCAGAATATTAGTTATAGACCCAGAGACGGCAGTGCCGAGGACTAGTGGGATGGCAAGAAGCCCACTTACAGAAGACAAAAAAAAAGTGTATTATAAATTACATAGTTGCGGAAATGGAACTGGATTTCTTATGTTTTAGACGTAGCCAATCAAGTTTGTGGCGAAATGCTTGAGCTTTTCCACTGTAGCGGTCTTGTCCCATTCAGAACGGTCTGCCCAGACGATTTCCATGAGCTTGGCCATGGTGACCTCGAGTTGTTCAACGGTGAACCCACGGGTGGATTGTACCATGTGCTCTTCGAAGAAAGTTTTGGCGTCAGGAGGTACTATCAACTGGCGGCTGGTGTCGATGTTGACCTCGTCTTCAGCCTCAGATTCGCTTTCTGAGTGCTCAACTGGCGCCGAGTAAGGAACCACTTTTTGCAGTTTGGGCGACTGATCAACTTCCATGGCATCCTCTTTGGTAGGTTCAGAGGTTTCAGCGATGGCTTGAGGCTCAGGCTGTTCTTCTGTGGGTTTTTGTTCCGTAGCATCACCATTCTCTACCTTCTCTTCAACCTTTGGTTCTTCTGCAGCGTGGCCATTAGAATCGAGAGCTTTAGGAGGCTCGGTAGTCTCTAGAAGTTGAACCAGTTCTGGACCATTGAGATCATTCTCGATGACCTCGACGCTTTGAGCATTTTCTTCCTGCTGCTTCTGGAATTCGGCCAGGAGCTTCTTGTATTCTTCAACAAGCTTGGCTTGCTTTGCAATTTCTCTGACCCTAAGGTCTTTACAGGCCTTGGCGAATTCAGGATTGTTGAAGTCATCAATACCAAACTGAGCGTTAGTCATCATTTCATTAGCCTTGAGAATTCTCTCTCTGTCACCAGAGTTCACAGCATCCTTAACAATCATTCTGACATCTTTGAGGAACTGCTTAGCTTCCGAGTAGAATCCATTCCAAATTCTTTCCTCTATAGTATCCAAGTCCATATTGAAGAAGAACTTTCCGGTATTCAATTCTTTGATCATATTAGGATGCTCTGGATCTTCAGAAATAATATAAGCCACTTCATAAGTGATCATTGGATTCTGTAGGATGGAAGGTTCGAATAAATGATGTAAATAGCTCTCATCAATGATGGGCTTTCTGAAACGCTTGTAACGGTTCTTGAAGAGATCCATCAAACCTGCAAGCTTAATCTTCAACAAGTTTTTAAGTCTCTTATCTTCATACTCTTGTTGCTTGTCACGTTTTTTACCCAACAGTGCACCCACTTGTGTTTCCTGAGGCACCACAGGAAGCTGCTTGAGCTTTCTCTTGGGTCTATTGCTCAAGTCGTTGAGGAACTCATGAGGCTTCATGTGTAATGCATCCTCCACGGTTTTGAGGAAGCCCCTTCTTGCTTCGTCACTAGGATTCTCCAAGTGTACGTTATTGTTATCACCCAGAATACCAAGAGTGTACTTGATATCACTATCCAAGTCTCTAAACGGCCTTTCAGCCATTCCAAGCAACAAGATCTTCTCAGTGCTCTTCAAGTTTCGAAGCAAACCGGCGAGCGTGGCCTTTGCAGAATGGGTCATGACATCAAACCATGTGTCAATGTTGGGAATGAAAATAATCGAAGGCTGATGTCTTCTGGCCTCAATGAATGTTTGTACAATGCACAGCTCGGGAGTCTTCGTCACGTCTCCAAAAATGGTTGCAAGGTCCAAGTTTTGCACCTGGAAGCCTTCCAAGATCTTAAGAATGGCAGCACCAAGATATTGCTGACCAGCTCCTGCCGCACCACTTATAAGTAAATGTGGTTTGCAGATTCTTGAGTTTTCTAAACTCTTTAGAAGTTCTTGCTTAGAGAAGCCACCATCTGCATCATGAATAGTAGGATCCAAGTACATGGCCTCCTCAAGGTTTGTAAGTTTTTTCTTCCCACCGATGCTGATGGAGTCAGGGAGCAAGGTCTCCAATTTCGAAACGATGTCATCAAGCGAATCTTTAAGTAATGGGCGTAAACGCTCTGGAAGTGGTGCAGAACCAGTGGAAGATGATCTAGCACTAGATGGAACAATCTTGTCAACCGCTCTCATAAAATCCTTCGCAATAACCTTGACCTTAGTAGGATCAACCTTAAGTTTATCAGAAGACTTGTAAATCTGTGGGTACTTTCTCTGGATGGAATTCAAGGCGGCTTCGGTACAAAGAGCTCTCAAATCAGCACCTCCGTATCCCTTTGTGAGTCCAGCAACTTTATCAACAAATACTGGCGATAATGGAGGTTCCCATTTACGGGTGTGAATCTGTAGGATTTGCTTTCTGGCATCCAAGTCGGGAAGTGGGAAGTAGAACTCTCTATCAAAACGGCCAGGTCTTCTCAAAGCTGGATCAACAGAGTCAGGTCTGTTGGTAGCACCAATGACAATGACTTGACCTCTGTTGTCCATACCGTCCATAAGTGCAAGCAAAGTGGACACAATACTGGCGTGGATCTGCTCTTGCTTAGAAGAACGAACGGGTGCCAAACCATCAATCTCATCAAAGAAAATAATGGATGGTTGTTGGTTCTTGGCTTCTTCAAAAAGCAACCTCAATTGTCTTTCTGCTTCACCAACCCATTTACTCAAACAGTCAGCACCTTTACGCATGAAGAATGTGATTTTCCTGGAAGGAGTCGAACAGCTTGCAGCGAGGGCCCTGGCCATCAATGTTTTACCGGTACCTGGAGGTCCATGGAATAAAACACCACGAGGAGGAGTGATGGCAAAGTTCTGGTACAACTCAGGGTATAGAAGAGGCAAGGCAACCATTTCCTTAAGCTGATCGATGTAACCGTCAAGACCACCCACAGCAGAGAAGTCGATGTTCATGTCAACACCCAACGGATCTGTATCACTGAGATTGCTCTTCTTCTTACCCTTATCTCCAACGGACTGAGCACCAACAATCTTGGTGTTATTGAGCATACCAGAAGGAGCAGCAACGGGAGCATTATTGGCTGCCAAGGGCATTTTACCCATCGAGCCACTAACTGATGGTCTTGGTTGAGCAGCAGCATCCGAAGAAGGCACAAACTCGTCATCTGAAGAGTCAGACTCGTTTCCGGCGATCATACTGTTACGAGTATCAGCAGGCATACCAGGAATTGGAATACCACCTGGAGGGATGTTTTGGCCCAATAAAGAAATCACATCGCTACCACCGAAAGGTCCAGCTGTAGGGAAGAGCAATTTCCTGAAGTCGCTCTTGTTACCCACGTTTCTTCTGTTTCTCTTTGGAGGCTGCACGTACCTAGCACTCAAAGCGTCTAGATCGTGTTCATTGGTGATGGCTGGAGGAATCGTGTAATCGACCTTTTCGCCACGCTCACGAAGTTTGTGTTTCACCGGGCTCTCTTCATCTGGAGAAGAATCATACAAGTCCTGGATTTCCTGGCGAATATCCTCTTCCTGTTCTTCACCATCATCTTCAGCATCTTCTGCACGAGTAAGACGCTTTCTAGAACGTCTAGGCTCGGCAGAACGAGATCTAGACTTTGCTTTCCTTCTCAGCCTGCTCTTGCTTGTAGACGAGTAGCCATAGTAGCCGTCCTCGTCACCATCCTCCTCAGGAGCGATAAACTGTTTTTCTCGTAGCCTTTCAAGATACGCATCGTCTTCTTCAAAAGCGTCACTTTCATTCTCGGACTCGGCGCTAAGCTCGTCTTCCTTAAAGTCAGAGTCCTCACCAGCGTCTCTAGAACGCCTAAGACGTTTCGACAGTCTGACATTCAGCGAACGCAGTCTCTTTGCAGGGAGAATCTCGTCATCCTCATCAAAATCCTCATCCTTAGCATCATCTTCCTCAGGAGCAGACTCAGGCTCCTCGGGCTCCTCAGGCTCCACATCGTCTTCAGCCTTCACAGGTTGCTCTTTTTCATCCTTGGGCTGTTCTGCCGAGTCAAAAGCATCATCATCCAGATCTTCCAAGTACGAAACCTGTCTTCTTGGACGGCGGCTGCCTGCGTCGTTTTCGTCGTCGCTGCTGGCCAAGTGCCTAGAGCTCCGTTTGGGTCTAACCATCTCGCTCGCTCTGGCAGGATTATAGGACAATGTAACTGGGACAATTATGGCGGAAGCGGGGGAACTGAACAGAAACAAGGGGGACCAGCGGTAGCTCTTATAAAAGGAAGGCTAATGTTGTTTATTTATATGGAAACAGGCAACGAGCTGGGTATGGAGGAATGGGTATTTTTACCGCCAGTGTCGGGTTTTTGAGCTACCGCACCGTCTGTTTGTCACGTGCCGCACTCGACTCCAGCGTCCACCAGCACCTCAAGTCCCCCAACCATTGGGCAAAGTTTTACATAAAATTGAATAAAAATTACATTACCGTGATCAGCAAATCCCAACGGTCACAATGGTACCACTTTCATCCCCAAAAGTTCAAAATTAACCCTACTTAACTGGTTCTGTCCACTCCCCCCAGCGCTCGCTACGATCATCTTGCCGAATTTGCAGCCACGTCAAAATGGCCCATGTTATTATGTACGTCCCACGTCAAAATAGCACTGGGGCTTCTGTCTGTCCTGCAGAATGGACGTGCCAGAAGCTTTTTCTCTGTTTTTCACTTGGTTTGTTTTTGGAACGGGTTTCTCGCTTATCGTGAGATTTCCATAGTTTAAACGGTGCACAGCCGTGCCACCTAGGAGGGACTGGGAAGGGAGGAAATGGGAATGGTGGGTTTGGTGGGGGTTTAGTATGGACGTTGGAATTGGGGAAAAATGGGTGGTTCGGGGTGGCCGGGGCTTTGCCTGTTTTGGGTGTCCAGCGATTGCCCTGTTCTTCTAGATATGTTGGATACCTTTTTTACCAATTTTTATAGAGTTGATGGGGGATTGTTGGCGGGTTGGTGGTCGAGAGATGGTGGTTTCTGGGGCTGGTCGTGCGCAGACCACTACATCCACACTTGCTATTGGCTGCGAAATCTCTAGGATATATGTACATGGGGAGGTGCTGGTGGTATCTATTTACAAGTCTATTCCTCTCGAGGGTCTATTTTTTGCATCAACTTTTCTTTGTGCTGGCGGTTGGAGTTTTTGCCGTACTCGTAGTCTTTGCCGATTTGGGCGTAGTCCAATGCTCGTCTGGTTTCCTGGACTCCAAGACGGTCGAGGATCTTTCCAGCCAAGTCTGGCATGTATGGTTGGACACAGAGAGTTGTCACTCTGATTCCTTCCGCTGCAAGGTAAACCAAGTAGTTTCTGATGGTTCTTTCTTGGGATGGTTCGTCGCTGACGTGCTTGTTATATGCCCATGGCTCTGTGGCCTGGAACCAGCCATTGGCAAGCTCCACGACGTTCCACCAATGTTTCAATGCTTTCATATGGTCAAACAGGGCGAGGGAGGTATCCATTTGCTGTTGGAGGTCGTTGATAGCAGCCATGAGCTCGTTTCTTAACTCAATGGTCTTCTCAGCGCCCAAAGGCGATACAGAGTCGTTCAGTAACAACTCCTCGATGTTATCAAACTCTCCAGCCTGTGCTTGCTTCAATCCATGGGCTATTTCAAATTTAGGAGCACACACTCGGGATGCCAAGTTTGCAAACTTGTTAAGAAGCATGGCTCTATGGTTGTAGAACCCATTCTCACTAAAGTTACTATCGGTATTGATATTGGACTGCTCCATAAGGAAAAACCTCAATGGGTCCACGCCATAATGTTCAGCCATCGCATAAGGATCCACGACATTGCCAATGCTCTTGCTCATCTTCTTGCCGTCACAAAGCCAGTGTGAATGGACAAAAATGGTCTTGGGTAATTCGATTCCGGCAGCCATAAGGAAAATTGGCCAATATATACAGTGGAATCTCATGATATCCTTACCAATGACATGGTGAGCAGGCCAGATATTGTTCTGTGCTTTAAGGTCTGCCTGTGGGTACCCAGCAGCAGTCAAGTAATTAAGAAGAGCGTCAAACCACACATACACTTTCTGGGAAGTATCGTTTGGAACCTCAATTCCCCACTGAAGACGCGACGTGTGACGAGAAACCGAAAGGTCCTGGAGAGGCTCCGACCTCAACTCTTCCAAGATCTGTTTCTTCTTATGGTCAGGCTGGATGAACCCGGGCTGTTCCTCAATATACTTGATAAGTTGCTCCTGGTACGCAGACAATTTAAAAAAGTAGTTCTCTTCTTCCTGATAAACCACTTCATTGCCCGTTTCTTTGGATATCCTATACGTTCTTCCATCCTTGGTCACCTCTTCGGTCTGAGGTTCAGGGTAGAAAGCCTCGTCACTCACACAGTACCAGCCGCTATGGGTTCCCTTATATATAAGGCCCTTATCCATCATAACGTTCCAGAAGTGTTTCACTGCCTCCACGTGGTCTGCATCGGTTGTTCTTATAAACCTCAGGTAATCCACCTTCATGGTATGTGCTAGATGTTTGAAGTTCTGGGATACATTGTCCACTAATTCTTTTGGAGGGATGTTCTGTTTTTCAGCAACTCCTTGAATTTTCAATCCGTGTTCGTCTGTGCCCGTAAGAGAGTACGTTTGGTGGCCTGCCTTGAGCTGTTCCCATCTGACTCTGGTGTCAGCTAGAAGCATGGAGTAAAGGTGCCCCAAATGAGGGCTTGCGTTGACATAGAATATAGGAGTCGTAACATAGAATGGTTTGGAGGAGCTGTACCGGACGAATCGGCTGGAATGACGAGAAATGGCCGACTTCATTGGAAGAACCAGTACTTGGGTAGGTCAAAGTATGGAGTGATCTATGTATGGAGTATGCAGGCCCAAGTGAATTTTTCAAACAGATGCCAACAGCCATTGACAGGCAATGCCTCATTAGTGACTATGTTAATCTATGTAGGTGGTTAGGAAGAGGTGGTTTTGAGGTCGGCGTGCTTGGAATCAACGAAAATGGCCATCAAGGCAAACACCGAGTAGAAGAGACCAAGAGGGTAGGCGATCAAAGAACGCATATTGTGCAACTTCAAAGCAGTGATGAAGAGTCCCGAAGCACTGAACGTGCACCAGAACACGGCAAAGGCGCTCAACAAGTAGCCCCAGGTCGAGTCCAAGGACACGACAAGCCCAAGGGCACATATAAACACCAATGGCAACAAGCAGTAGCCAATGATGGACGCCGAACGGGTCAAATCGATCTGGACCTCGTTACTCATAAGTTTGAAAAGATAATGCAAGCTGACAATGCCGAAAACACCCACACCGTAGACGTATCCAAACTGGACTTTTCCAGATAATAGTAGCAAAGTACCAAACAACAACACAAACAAGATCGGCCCCGCCAAATCCGAGTCGCTCATGATTTCCGGGTTCAAGTCTCTTTGGATAGGGTTCAACACTGCTAGCGTTTTGCCCTTGATATGCAGAAAGTTGATTCCCAACTCCTCCAACAAAGGAGGTTCTCCAGGGTAGCCCGAGGTACCGAAAGCGGCAATGATCCCGGGCGTAAGTTCACCACCCATATCGCCAGAAACATCAAAATGCGACCCAAACATCGTGTCCATAGAGCCCATATTGGGACTGGCAACAGAGGGTTGCTGGTAAGCCGAGTTGGCGTAATTGGACTGGTAGAACTGCATATTATCCGTGGGGTTTTGCTGGTAGTATGCCATTTTCAGGGGATGTGTTAATTATATGGGTATTTTTGGAAAGGTGGGATGAATGGGGGTAAGTGGTTGGCAGTTGGTAGTATGGTTTGAAGTTTGGTGAGACGTTGACGTTTTGACGTGTACGGTCACGTGCGCGTAAGCCCTATGAAACAAGGAACACAATATAAACTTGTGGATTGGGGCCTTTTCGGCAAAAGAATGGAAGTGGGCAGAAAGAAGATCAAAATGTATCGGTTTTGCTGTTTTCTAGTGTTTTTTTGGTGTTTCTTGCTTATTTGTGTCTTTTGTTGTTTACTGCGAATATCGTAGCCAGGCTGTGAACAGACGTAATACAAAGGTCAATGGGAAAATGATTTAAATTGTAGGAATTTGCGAATGGGATAAGTGGAATCGTGAAAGAGTGATAAAACTTGTTTTTTTGTAAAAAACGAAAAAGAAAGTAAGGGAAGTGACAGGTAAGTGCATAACCATACCAGTAACTAATGGACGTTTTTCGCAGCCATTCCTGGAAGTAGAGATCTCCAACTACTCGTTGATACTTGAATGGCTTTTGGTCCATAAATAGATGTCCTTTGTGGGTGAAAGCCCAAATTCATCAGTTCCTTTCCAAAGGATTTTATTGCCAAAAGTTGGTCTAGTGGTGGCGGTGCTTCAAGTAGCCATAGGACCCTTACGTCGCCTCAGAACCTCTGTCTAAGCACTCAGGATGGGCAGTAACAGAACTAGTATGAAAATCGGAAACGTCTAATTTGAAGAATAGAATCTCAATAGGGCACCAATTGATGATACTGGGATGCTTTATGATCTCCAAAAAGTCGAAGCTTGCACTACACTGTCTTTCCCTTTACCTGGCGGTAGTAAGGCTCAACGAGGCACTACAGAGCATTGAGACAAGTTTTCTATTTTCCCTTTCAATTGCATTAGTTTGGGTTTAATCTTTTTGAGAGTCAACAATTGAAGCTTTTGTTTTTTAAAAACACATCATTTTCAGAGAAAGGTGAATTCTGGCTGTCGACTCCAGTTGCTTATGTACGGCCAGTAAGACCAGTTCATTCCTACCATATTAAGTAACCAAGCAAATTTAGACCAGTAATATGCAAAGATGAATAGTTTTAGTTTAAAAGCTATAACCAACGTTAAAATTAATCAACTTGCCAACTTAGCTAGCTGGTGGTTAGTTGTTTGGTCTACCTCACCTCAGAAGACTCTCCAAGCACTCACTGAACCAGGCCCAAAAGCTCAACCACTTCAAAGTACTCACCCAAGCAAAACCTACACAACTTGATGAGCCTAAAGCAACCCCTAACCTCCTTCAATTATATACTTTAAACCAAAATAGCCATAGTAGTCATAAGGTCCCTGACTGGTAGACCCATCCTGCGGCTAAAGAAATGGCTGCAAAAAAGTGGTCTCGAGCATATAAGGAGCTCGCATTCCCACTTTTTCCCTCCTGGCCATAAATTTCCTAAACTCTTTGATATGAGATATACTGAACTCCACCTTTCCAATCGTAACAATCAAATAATTTCTTCTCCACGAAGCCTTAAGGGTTCGTCTCGAGGCCCTCTCAATTCCACCACTACTTCTCCTCCTCCAACGATCAAAGACCCGCCTGCTCTGCCAACAGCAACTGCACGACGTTTGGGATTCTATGTGAGAGCTGCAAATAGATCTTTGCTTAAAGTAGGTGCAAGCCTGGAAAATGCTTACCGTTTTTTGCATACCTTCATTGAATTGGAAGAAACGACATCTGTCCCATTATTGAACATGTTTGGTGAATTACTTGCAAACCTTGCTACAAACCTACAATTGTACGACGATGATCGCCACAGGTACCGAATCAGAGCTTTCATAGAAGTCTTCAAACTTACAGAGCAAATGGATGCCCTTCTGGAAGTTGTTGATTTGTCTCCCGCGCTCGATAAGACCCGAGCACGTCTGACTCTCATACGCATCATGGCGGATTTGAGTACGCCGCCCGTGTCATCTTCAACGGTTTGGTTTACTTCATATGACCTCTTGGACTTGGTGGGTATCGTGTGTCGGCAGTATCTCATCTCCGGCGTTATATTTCGACGCTGGAATGTGATAAATCGGTATATCTCTGTTGCAATCGTGGGTAGACTCGGGTACAATCTTATTTATCTGCTTTACCCTATTGACCCAATTAGGTATCTCATTGAGCGCCTTCACACCCAACCGCCTTTGTATGATGATGTTAGCGTTCCTCGTCTCTACCACGGGGGCGAGCTACTTCCGTCATTGATCAGATCCTTCAAGAGAGCTGTTGTAAGCCTATTGTTTATACTCATTTTTATGTGCTACTATCCCCTGAGCCTGGTGATTGATTGGGTGATCGCGGGATACATTGTTCGAGGTTTCTTTCAGGCTATTATCATATTATTTTATGGCGAACACCCGACACAACGCTTCCTCTTGTGATTTCGGTTTGAGTATAATCTCGGTTACTTTAATTGTGTTTACGGGCAGTCGTGAAGCACCTTGTCGTTGCTTACAGCATTGATGGTATAGGAAGTGTGGGTACCTCCCGTTTGACTCCTGGAGAAACGCTTTACGAGAAGTTTTTCCAGGGCTTATTGCTGATGAGTTTAAGGGAGTAATTGATGGAAGAGAGTGCTTGTCTGCTGTTCGGTCGATATCACTCGCTGACCTCGTACCGTAGTCTAATATGTCGCTTGCAACGCATTGGATGAGTTACGTAGTGCAATTGTCTAATATTCCTGAGCCAAAAGCTAATCAAGCCATTAGAGAAAATTCTGGAGGTCAAATTAGGGGCATTCAATTTGCTGTGGTTCTTTGGGTACCTACTGCATTTGTTTATTCTATACGGTTTCAAGAGCCAAACATGACGTCCTCGAATACACGCCATTGGGGCAAGTGAGTCTCAGAAGCGGCAACTTTTCACAATAAATTCAACCAACGCAAGCATTATCATGAATGCCTTTCCTTGGACTTGCCTTGAAGCTCCAATACCCGTACTTGTCTGTTCCTTCCAGTTTGGACAAAAACAGCTATAACTCCACGAAAACTCGCCCAAATTTGTTCATATTTCTCATGAAGACTGCCCCGAGCCAAATCCAACTTTTGAAACATCAAATTGTACAATATTCAGCCTCCCTTATCAACATCCCATATCTACCAACGTTTCACAGCATCCAGTGTTCTACGTTACAGTGGCCGAGTGGTTAAGGCGACACCCTGCTACTCTACTTAGCAGCCTAGGTGTTGGGCATTGCCTGCGCAGGTTCGAATCCTGTCTGTAACGTTATATTTTTCCTATCTTGCCTCACCTTTTTTTTCCTATTAATGCGGACTGTGTGAAAATCTACTTGAAATCAACGTCACCAGCCAACTTACCCCTTCCACCTAACGACCTAACAATCCCTGGACCAAACCATGTCCCAGACCCTTATCATATTTGAACCTTCAGGAAAGGTGCTCCACCAGGTAAACAATAAGATTCTGCCTTTCAATGATCTTATCCATAGTATTGTGAATGAAACACATACTGAGTTGAACCCAGGCTTTTACACCACACTGGCGTCCCAGAAAAGGTTCTATGCTTTGAAGAAAATAGTGTTTACGCTGCGGTCTACTTTGACGTGGTGACCACTTTGGACAGTGATAGAGTCAGGCAATGCTTGCTGGATGTGTTGAAGACGTACTTTAAGGTTACTGAGGAGGACGAGGACCTGCTGAAATTGGGCAAGCTCGTGGACTACCAGTTTAACCAATTGACGAAACTTAAGACGGGAGCGGCTGCTCCTGCCACGCCTGAGAAAGTGACCAGAGCGGTGGAACCTAAAATCGAAAAGACCGTTCAGAAGAAGAAGGGTGCTAAGGCTATGAGGAAATGGGTGAATGGCGAGATGGTCGAGGTTTCTGCCGATAATAGCGTTTTGGACTATTCAGAGGGGAAGGGCGACTCTACAGATGCATTCAGTGGTACCGAGGAGCTTATTAGTGTGGATAATTCGAATTTCCAGCGTACAGACGATCTTGTGTTGGTTAGTGAACTTCAGGATATTTTGGGCGAGGAGGAAAGTGACGATGATGAAGATGCGCCTAAGACGTTGACAAGCACGTTTTTCGGTAAGGTTTCGTCGTACTTTGGCGGAGCAGCTGATATTAATGACGTTTCTAAGAAGTTCTATGAGCAGCTTATATCGAAGAACATTGCTCCTCCTACGGCTACCATGATCATAGACAAGATCAAGGCCACGATTAATAAGAAATCAGTCACGGCTGCAGACTTTAAACTGGTGCTTACAGAGGAACTCACCAAAACACTCACGCCTAATGTTTCTACAGACTTGCTTTACGATATCAAGCGTAACAGCGCTGGCCACAAGAGGCCGTATGTCATTTCCGTTGTCGGTGTCAATGGAGTGGGTAAATCCACCAACTTGGCGAAACTAGCATACTGGTTCTTGCAGAATAATTTGAACGTGTTGATTTGTGCTTGTGATACATTTAGATCAGGAGCAGTGGAGCAGTTGAAGGTTCATGTGAACAACTTGCAAAGACTCAATGCCAATGCTTCTACGGTTTCTAAAATTGACCTTTTGAAAAGGGTTACGGTGGAGGTGACCATGTGGTGAACACCGCCAAACTGGCTATCAGCCATGCCCAGGAAGAAGGCTACGATATCGTTTTGATCGATACGGCTGGTAGAACGCATTCTAATGCCAAACTCATGGCGCCACTTAAGAAGTTTGGTGATGCCGCCAACCCAGATAAGATCATCATGGTCGGTGAGGCGCTTGTGGGTACAGACTCTGTGGAGCAGGCAGTCAATTTCAACAATGCGTTCGGCAACCGCCGGAACCTTGATTTCTTTATCATTTCCAAGGTTGATACCGTGGGTGATTTGGTTGGTTCCATGATCAACATGGTGATGGCCACCCGTGTGCCTATCTTGTTTGTGGGTACTGGCCAGACATACACAGACATTAAGAAGCTTAGCGTGAAGAGCGTTGTGGAAATGCTTACCAGGTAGTGCTGTTAAAGTTAGAGAAGAACCTTACTTGTTGGCTATGTGGAATGACGTCATGGCAGAAACCGCCCGTGCCTTTGGTACCCAAGCTCGTGGGAAGGCCATGAGCAGCTGCTGACAGTCCAAACCTTCTTCAACCATCCACCACTGCATTTTTAATTGCCGCTGGCACCATTTGCTGGTTGTCCACGCCTTTCCTACCTTCCCTGGCAAGGCGCATGTTCTGCGGCTACCCCATTTCCAGCAGCCGCCCACCACCAAATCTGCTACGCCTGCGACGCCGTCAACGCTTCAACGGCGGCAATATCTCCCATTACTGCCCCGCCCCACGCCCTCAACCAGTCTCACCAACTAAACAGCATCCATCACGACCTCATCCATACTGCTTATCGTAGACCAGGCTTGGGAGTGATCTGCACAGCGCGAATTTTTGCACCCAAATACTAAGCCAGCCGGCAACTTACCCCAAAGTATCCAACCGTACTTGGCCAACCACTCCCAAGCCATACCCACAATTACTCTTTTTATTTCACCAACAAACCACAAAATCAGTTTTAAAATCATCAACACATCTCATCTCCCCGCTTTGTGTAACCTGTCATCATCTAAATCATACAGGCTGTGCGAAAAACTATAAGTGATCAAGCGATCTCGGCAGCTTCACTACTTTCCATATATTCCTACTCCCCTGGCTCTGTGGGAACCTGCCAACTACTGAACCCTGTCCAATGATTCTACGTCGCAAGTCCAAACACTCGCCAGGCTTGAAACTCAAAGTCAATGCCTACAGAGCAGCAGACCTTTGCTTGCCAGAAACGTATAAGGGCAAGCTGATCAATGCTGCGTTGCTAGTGCAACTAAACAACTTTAAGAAACGCAGCAGACGAAAGCTCAACACTTCACATCCGCTGTGGGACGATGAGTTTTATATTCCGTTGAAGAGTGGCGACTGTTCGCAATTGCTTACGCTTTCGGTGTGGAGCAAGCTGGCCAGGTCCAAGACGTACTTGGGCGAGGTGAGACTCTTGCTTTCAGAGATCTTTGACGACTCGGAACTGTTTACTACGTCGCCTAAATGGTATAAGTTGTTTTCGAGTCGCCATGAACATTCGTTTGTTACGGGCTCGCTTCTTCTACTGTTTGAAGTGTTGCTTAAAGATGGAGATAAGGTGTCTGAGGCGTTTGTTAAGGATTCCAACACGCCAGGCCCTCTGCTCCGTGTGACGCCGCCAACACTGCACAATTTGGCAGCTGGCCTTCCTTCGACGCCTCCTAGACTGGCTACACCGCTTTCAGAGGACTTTTCCACGTTGGATGTCTCAGATACTGAAAAAAGCCGACCCACGGATATAAGCGTGGCATTTAGAGCGTGGCTCGATTCGCTCATGTATCAGGACTTGAGCTCGGCGGTGGCGAACCCTGACGAACAGAGCTTTTATATTGATGTCAATGGGCAGATGCTGGACCTTGCGTTTACTGATGCCTCGGAGGCCGAGTCTATGGAGTCGCCCAGGAAACCAAAACGGTCTACTTCTGATTCGAGCCCTAGACAGTTTCTCCAACACAGTCAGTCTCAGCAGCTTTTTGACGATTTGCACAAGTCGGGCTCCCACTTGAAGGTGATTGACGATGACGTGGAAGACTCTGCGAGCATGTCTGAAGCGTCCTCTGCTACGAGTATTGGCTCAATGTATGCCAGTGACGGCGGTGGCTTATACTCTGACGCTGGCGTTAGTGGTTCAGATGCTCCTAAAAAGCGTCGGTTCAGGAAGAAGAGAGTGGCCTCTAACTATAAGCTTCAAAATAGAAACGTCAAGGGCGTTCTTTTCGTTGAAATCATCCTGGTTACGGATTTACCGCCTCTACGCAACTTCACACGAACAACCTTCGATATGGACCCTTTTGTGGTGGTTACGTTCGGTAAAAAGACATTCAGAACCAGTTGGAAGCGCCATACGTTGAACCCCATATACAACGAAAGACTTGCATTTGAAATCCTTGAACATGAAAGAAATTACAACGTCCAGTTTTGCGTGCTAGATAAAGATCACTTTTCGTTTCATGACAAGGTTGCCGATGTTTCCATTCCTATATCTGAACTCATGGATGTTGCTGAGCAGGAGGTTCCTGAGAACCCCAGACCTGGAATGTCAAACGCTGGCAGTACAAACTCGGTACCCAGGCCGGCTCCTTCTTCTCACGGTAGCGCTGGTTCCGTGCCTAGACCACCGTTCTTATCCAATGCCAGTTCTAAACAGGTGCCAAGCTCGATGCTGATTGAGCGGACCCGCCTGGCCAGTTCACTTACATCGTCTTCTGAAGCCAATGGCGCTGGAGGTGGAAATAACGTCATGTCCCTAGCAGAAGACGCAAACCTCGTTACAACATCTAGAAAAAAGAAGTTCAGGAAACGTCACTATTCGGTGCTGTACGTTGACACATCGCTCTTCAAAACACTTGATCTTGCATTAACCCTTCATAAGGAGAAACTTGCCGCCAATCATTCAACCAGCATTCGCATCCGTGCAAGGTATCTCACTTATGAAAACCTTAGAAGAGACTTTTGGGCTATTCTTTTAGAGCAGTTCAACGTGAATGAGAATCCTGAACAGCTAGACTACATTGAACTCATCTCGTTGCTCGACACTCTTGGATGTGATAACAGTGATGATATCGTGACAAGCTTCTTTAACAAACTCGATCGTTCGCCTTGGGGAGGTGACACACTCACACATGAAGAGATCATTGACTGCTTGGAAGACTACTTGTTGTTGGAGTCAGAGGGACAGATATTTGAAATCCATAAATGTCCAATTTGCTGCAAGAAACGTCTTTCCAAGAAACAGGATCAGGATATCATCACTCATGTTGCTATTTGTGCTTCTAAAGATTGGAGTATTGTCAGCAAACTTTTGAACTCTTCTTTTGTTACTCCCCAAGCTGCTTCCAAACGTTGGTTTACCAAGGTGTTGATCAAGTTGACCTATGGTAAATACGGATTGGGAAGCAACTCGGCTAACATTTTGGTGCAAGACAGATCAACGGGTATTATCATGGAAGAAAAGATGAATGTTAGTGTCAGGCTTGGTATCCGTCTTCTCTATAAAGGCCTTGATAAAGCAAAAACAAGGAGGATCAGGAATCTTCTTAGGAAAATGAGTGTGAAACAGGGTATCAAATTTGACTCGCCACATCTGAGGGCAGATATCAACTCGTTCATCAAATTCCACAAGCTTGACTTGAGCGAATGTCTCATTCAGGATCCAACAAAATTTGAAACGTTCAATGACTTCTTCTATAGGAAGTTAAGGGCTGAAGCTAGACCAGTTGAGGCCAGTGAAGAAGACAGAATAGCCGTGTCTCCAGCTGACTGCAGATGTACGACGTTTGTCACTGTTGATAGTGCTACTGAGCTCTGGATCAAGGGTCGTAACTTCAGCGTCGCCAAGTTATTCAATGGAAACTTCAATGGTCTTGAAGACACTGACTTGTACAGTTCCGGCAAATGCAGCATTGGTATTTTCAGGTTAGCCCCTCAAGATTATCATCGGTTCCATTCTCCTGTCTCGGGAACTATTGGTCCCATCAAGTACATTGAAGGAGAGTATTACACCGTGAACCCCATGGCCATTCGGTCTGATTTGGACGTTTATGGTGAGAATGTTCGAGTGATTGTTCCTATTCAAACCGAACAGTTTGGAACGGTCGTGATGGTTGCCATAGGAGCAATGATGGTTGGTTCCACCATATTGACTGTGGAGGAAGGCCAGAAAGTGTCACGAGGCGACGAAGTCGGATACTTCAAGTTTGGAGGATCCACAGTGCTTCTTCTTTTCCAGAACAGTATGTTCGATTTTGACCAGGATCTCGTGGACAATTCTTCGCTGTGCGTTGAAACGTTGGTCAGGGTGGGCCAGAGTATAGGCCATTCGCCAGATGTGGAAGAGTACAAGCGAGAGAGAATCGATTTCAGCAAGCAGCCTAAGGATATCAAGCTTCATATCATTCGTGCTATTACAGGAGGAGACCTCAACAACTTGGAGGAGCTCGGCAGCTGGGAGAGCCAAAACATCAAAATCACCGACGAGGATGTTCGGGAGTTGATGAGAGAGGAGGATTTGGAAGACGACCTCGAAGGAGACCTTGAAGGTTCCGACGAAGAAGGCCTGCTTGATGAAGCATAACAGCTGCGTGAATAACGTTCATTCAGTATATACAGTGGGTACCAGACCCTGATGGTGATAAATGATGGAGAATTGAAGGTGTGGTTTTGCTTAATGGTGGTGAGGGTGGGAGCAGGTCAAGGGCTGGTAAAGGTCAGCTTCCCGAAAACCCTTGGCCTCCTGCAAAGTTCTGACGTTCCAACCAACAAAGTCCATCTCGTGTCTGAGTTTCCAGATCTCTTTTTGAGCGTCGCCTAGCCAACGTGGTTTCAAGTAAAACTGGGAAACAAGCACTGGCACCAACAAGCCCAAAGAAAAACCCAAAACGGGACCTTTAGCAGCACGAAGAGACATTGAAAACTAAAGATGAGACAGTGCTGGGGGGAGGGGCCCAGGGGGGTCTTTATATACCCCGGGAAAAAAAGATGGCAACTTTTTGGACTCCCCCTCCTCCTCGGTAAGTTCAGACGCACCTTGGCATCACAGTGGCTGCACGGAGTGTATGCTGCTAGGAAGCCTAGTCGGTGGTACCCATGGTTATTTCATTGGGGCGAAGAGATTTTGGATTTCTGTGTGCAGTATATGTTTCCTGACAGTTCTACATCCCCAGATCTATCTTTTTCTGAACATTTATCTATTTCTTATGCATGTTTTACTGGGTGTTGTTGGTGGATCAATGACACATGCGGAAAAATGGGAGAGTTAGTGGTGTGGTGTTTCTGCAGGAATGTATGGGGTAAAGACGCATCGCACATTTTGCATCCCCGGAGAACTACGGAATCGCGTTATCTAACTTTAAGGTATTACTGTAATTCCATTTCTACCCACAACTCCTCTCTAAGCATGAATATAAAAGTATGCTTCCCAATTGTTCTGTAAGTGTGCTGTTTGCAAGCACTTCAAAGGCTCTATCCTTATTTCTTCTGCTTTCCGCCGTACATGGCCTTCCACTCGTCAATCTTCTTTTCGTCAATTCTCTTGAACAAGTACTGAGCCTTACCGATGTTATGGCCTGGTTCCAAAACAAGCTCGAATTTGTCCGTGATCGACAATGGAGGAGCAGCCAAGGTCTCCAGGATCTGGTTTCTGGTCTCAGGCATGAATGGACAGATGATGGCAGACACCAAGTAGATCAAGTTCAAACCAACACCAACCACGGCATCGGCAACATCTGGCGAGTCGTTGAAAAGAGAATTGTCCAACTTGTTATCCTGCAAGAACTGGTTACCTCTGGACGAGATGGCCATGGCCAATTCCAAACCTCTTCTTATGCTGACACCTTCCATGGCCTCAATGTACTGAGCCAACAAGGAGTTCACATCGTCAGCGAAAGCCTGGTAATTAGAAATGTGCTTAGGGTCGAACTCGGGGATCACGCCGTTGTACTTGGCAATGGTGAATTTGACTAATCTGTTGACGAAGTTACCCAAGTTGGCCAAAAGCTCAGAGTTGTTCTTTGTGACAAACTCCTTCCATGAAAAGTGAGAGTCAGACGTCTCGGGTCTCACCGAAGCCAAGTAGTATCTCCACACCGATGGAGAAATGCCTGTCTCCTTGGCGTTGTTACCAAACACACCCACACCACGGGACTTGGAAAACTTACCATCCTCGTATTGCAAGTATTCGGTAGTGTTCAAGTGATGCAATTTGGTCCAATTGTCTTTGGTACCAATCTCGGAAGCTGGGAACACCACAGTGTGGAATGGAACGTTATCCTTACCCATGAACTGGTACAATTCCACATTGTTGGGGTTCTTCCACCAGCTTTCCCAGGCTTTAGGGTCAGCCTTGTCTTTGAAGTAGTTGGCGGTGATCGAAACGTAACCAATACAAGCGTCGAACCACACATAAAGAACCTTTTCGCCGTAGTTCTCCAAAGGCACTGGAGTACCCCAGACCAAGTCACGAGTGATACATCTAGGTTCCAAACCTTGCTTCAACCACGAGTTGGTGATGGTCTTGGAGTTCTTAGACCAGTCACCCTTCTCTGAAGCTTCCTCGACCCACTTTTTAAGCTCAGGCTCCAACTCATTCAATTTCAAGTAAATATGAGTGGACTCTCTGACTTCTGGGGTGGCATTGTCAAGCTTACACCTTGGGTTAATCAACTCCAATGGGTTCAACAAGCCACCACACTTGTCACACTGGTCTCCACGAGCGTCCTCGTATCCACACTTTGGACATGTACCCTCGACAAATCTGTCTGCCAAAAAGGCATTATGCACGGGACAGTATAATTGTTCTGTAGTTTGTTCCTCCAAGTACCCGTTCTTGTACAATTTCAAGAAGATATCTTGGGCGATTTCGGTCTGCAAAGGAGTAGTTGTACGGCCAAAGTGGTCAAAGTCAATATCAAACCAGTCATACACCTCCTTGTGCAACTTGTGGTACTTGTCACAGAGCTGCTGCGGCGTGACCTTCTCTTCAAGAGCCTTGGTTTCCGTGGCAGTACCGTACTCATCGGTACCACAGATGAAAATGGCATTGTAGTTTCTGTTCTTAGCGTAACGAGCGTAGATATCAGCAGAGAGCACCGAGCCCACAACGTTACCCAAATGAGGCACGTTATTCACATATGGCAACGCCGAAGTAATTAAAATGTTTCTTTCATTTTCCTTTGGCACAATGCTGTCACCCTGCTCCTTCACCAAAAAGCCTGTCTTGACTTTCGTGGCGCCCGTGGCTGCTGCCACAGTTCTTTCAATAGAAGTGACGCCAGTAGCCTTGGAGACACCATCAGCCACCTTAGCGTCCTTGGCAAAATCGCCAGCCCACTGGCCTATCTTCGTATCTTTAAGCTCCTCGATAAACGGATAAACTGCACCAAAAACAACGACATTGGCGCTTGTCTGGTTGACATCTTGTGGAACCTGGACCTTCTTCAATGCCTCCACAACCTGTTCCTTCTTCCCACCTTTAAGTGCCTGGTAAACCTCAGACTCTTCCACAGCCACACTATCTGTGTTGGCAAAATCCTGAGAAACGTATTTCACTATAGCGTTGGGCTCCACGAGCTCAAAAGCAGACTTGGGGTCTTTGAGCTGAAGAGATGAGTCATCTGATCTGGCAAAGTCCACCTTGGGAGCAAAAAGCGAGATGGCAACACCCACTTTTAAGTTGTTCACCTGTGCAAGGAGACCCTTGCCTTTGTCGGCAGAGACCACAAAGGACATTCTAAGGATGGATATATGATAATGGATGGAATCTTAGTGGCCGGAATTTTTTTTTTTCCGAGTATCGAGAGGATCTGATATGAAACACCCGTGCACCACGCCACAGGTTGATACCCCAGATAATACACCTCATTACTTGAAAGGTTCATCAGTTGGAAGTTCCTGGTTGCAGAAAGCTGACGAGAATTTTTTTAAACATGGTCAAGCGTTGAAAGAGCTCTTTAGGCAGAAGTATTAGCTTTTGTCAAAATTTGTTGAAGAGGGTGCATATCTCTTGCAACTACCTCAGTGGCATCTATGGTCCTGACAGTACCTACTCGGCCACTTTCGTTCAGATAAGGGATCTTCTTATTGATGAGACTTCATGATATGGATCTGTAAAGGCAGCCCTTTCGAGGAACTTCGGGTAACTGCAAGCAACTCGAAGTGAGTTATACCTGCCATTTTCGGTACACTACGAAGGGCAACTAGAGCTCTAAGGTGAGCACGACCTATTTATTTGACAGAATTGCTTTACACAAGATTTGTTGACAAAAAAATGGAATACCTGGATGTTTGCAATGTCTATCGCTTCAACATCGAACCAATTCGTGACGGTATGAAGGTCTGGCTGTTTCCTCTACTATTTCATCTCCCTATTGTTTCTACACCAATTGATAGCTGCGTTACAAGGGCTTTTGTGAAAGACGGTCACATAATTTCTGTAACTGAGGCCAGCACGCGACCACGATGTGTGATTGAACTCATCAATCCACAACTTGACGGCGTTCTTTCTAATCCTAGTGATAGCCTTACGTGGCTTGACGAGCCTGGCGACGGAGCGCTAGTGTACACAGTGTTAGAAGCATCTTCTCTTGACTATGCAATTGGTGGTAAACAGATTGTCACTGACAGGAGATTGGTTGGCGGTTGTCTATTGAGATACAAAAAAAGAAAGTTTTGGTCTGGCTTCAATATCAAATTCCAGAAGCTAAATCCCTTGAGACAGGTCTCGAGCTCTGAAAATTGGAGTCTTAACTTGAATTATCACGATCCCGGCAAATTTTATCAAGAGGACCCTGACAATATCGTAACACCTGGAATGGAGCTTTCAGACTTTGTTGCATTGACGTTGGTCCTGCTGGGAATCCAGCCCCCAAGTATTTCATTGCAATGGGTTCAAGTGGAACTAGTGTATTGTGACACTAAGCAAATCCCAGATGCAGCAATATTTCTGTACAGTGATCGTTATGGAGCTATAACTCTCTTGGATACCAAGTGCGACGAGCCTCTCGTGGTATCGAAGTTGCCTGGAGTATATCCTAATACGTTCCGAGTTAGATCGCCTTATAAGTTTTTAAACTGCAAGATTCCTCAAGTGGGTCCTACGTTCAGTACAGAGTCGAATATGAGAACTTACTTTTTACGCATCCAACTCGTCATTCGAAGCGATGCCTCTAAGCATTTTGAGCTGTTGGACGCAACATTGAATATCGAAGTTGCATGTCAACATTACCAGGGGCGTAAAGAAAACTTGTCTGAGGATTTGCTGAATCAATTGGTGGGATTGAGTGAGCAGGCTAGAAGGGACGTGAAGGTGACAAGGAAAAGTGATGGAGTTCCAGGAGAAGAGACGCTGAAGTGGAGATTGCTGAAGAGCTTACGAAAATGGTCGAAAAGAGAAGGCTGCCCGATTGCAGATCCAGATGAGCAGTTAATGCAAACGGAAATGAACACAGGCAAGGTTTTCAAAAGGCTTGACCTTCCAGTGCGGGGAGAACCGTGTCCTTGTCCTGTGCTCCTGAAACCAGTTGACTACTTACCAGATGGTTACGAATTCATCTATGGGGGTCATGAAAGTGCCTGGTTGCGCGACATCGACGGGAATTTGTTTGTCATTACCACGGTCCGATGGTTTCACAGACGTTCAGGAGATGCGAATTATACTGAAGGTTTTGAACGATCAGTTCTGTACGATGGTTTTGATAATTCTGGTCTAGGCGGGTATAAAAAGCTGATGAATAGTCGATTTTTTTATCCCAGCATTGTACCAACCGGCGATGAATCTTCTCCGGTATTGAAGGCGACCTGGGTGCTTCTGAAATGGCCCGATCCCATCTTACTCCGGCAAGGGCATGGGAAATATTTCCAAGCATTATACCAGTACCATTGCTTGTCAGCTATGAGCACGAATCCGAAAAGGAAACGATTGATTGACAATCTAGCGTATCCTAAACTTGAGGCGATCTTCGTTGGCCTGGCTCGGTATCTGCAAGACGATGGAGGACGTATCGTTGTCTCACGGATGAGAGTTTCGGATTTCATTCGGCTATACATCAAATTGAGGCCAGAGGGCTGTGAATGTCGTATTACGATCGAAAGTTTAGCCATTGGTATCGATGAGCGGTTGACGTTACTCTCGGATTACAATCCGTGCTGCTTTTCTGAAACGTACGATGTTCACGAAGTGACAAATGCAAAGCCATCTTTGACAATTGATGCGAACCTGGAACCGTTGACCACTTGCACAGTACCTGTTCCTGTGTCGCTATATCAAGCCAGGATTCCAGACTTACTTGGTTCAGCGTTTTCGACTTTCAGTGAGATGAGTTATGAGATATTTTTCCACGTATCGTTGACTATTGACGGTAAGATAAAGAAGAGCTTAACCGCCCGCGTGCCAATAATCATTGCGGAAGACAAGTATGACTTATTAGGGCTCTTTTCAGAGGCACCGCTGTATCAACCTACCGGGTAACTACGTGGGAAGCTGCTACTGAATCATCGCAGTGCAAAATGATATACTATTACCACCTATCAAAACTTCAAGCTCCATTAATGGCATTCAATATTTGGGACAACACCGATGAGCGCTCTTTGCGTTCTATGATGAGCTCTTGAAGTACCACTTCAAGCGCGAACCTGGTGGGTTTATAATTCTTCAACGAAGGGTTGTCTTCTAGAATGACAACATACTTTTCCAAGACAAAAATTAGGGACTTTTTCGTTTTAACACCCTGGAGAGAGGTGTTAAAGTTTCTAAGCCAGTCCACAAAAGAGACAAAACTCCTTTGGTGACTTTGCAGAATTGAGAAGCTGGCTTCGCGGCTCAATAAGTCTATGCAATCACGCCGACCCATAACTTTGATTAAAGTAGCATAGATTGACTTCACAAGTTGTTCGAGCTGTTCATTCAATGGGGTATCATTAAGCTGATGGCGGATACTCTGGAGACAGTTCAACAAGGGTTGGGTTTCGGGATTACGATCACGGCAGAGCTTTTCAAATTCACTTAACCCGACTAATAATTTCTCTTGCTGGTGAACGCCATAATCATCCTCATGAAAATCACAACTAATCCTGGCTACCTCGCGGGTGACGAAGTCACCGTTGGCATCATGTTCAATGAAATTGATGATCGAGGTTCGTAACTCTTTCATGGTAGACCGACTAAATGCCATGTCATCTAGGGCATCACATATACGAGAAATAGAAGCGCCTAGTTCAAGTGCCATCCATTCTTTAGACACTGACCATATGCTTCCACCTGGAAGAGCTTCGGTGTCTCCTTCAGTGGGATAAAGCAGATGGTAGAGCTTCTGAACACTTTCCTTTAAGTCTCCAATCCTGAATCCCTTGCCAGCTTCCTGCCAGTCTTCAAGAAACTCAATGATGTCTTTAAACACCGGACCAGCCTCTGAAGAATCTACTGCCTCTGTAAGACTGCTAAGGGATGTGCTCAAAGAGGCAAAATCTGACCCATTCCCGTCTTGAAGAGATACAAGATGAATGACTGGCGCAGTATACTCAAATAAGGCTGGTTTAAGGTAGAGTTGAGTTCTTAACTTTTCGAGTAGTTCCTGCTTTAAAAAGAGTTGTTTTTCAACTGGTGCCATCTTTGGTTGTAGTACTTAACTATTTGCAGCCAAAGAGCACCTCGCGAGGATATGACCTGACCTGTGTGCCGATCCACACTCCTTGCAAGGTCATGACAGCTTATGGTAGACTTTTAAGATAGAGTTATTTTATCTAAGCATTTGAATTGACATTGAATTGAATTAATACTGCCGATCACGATATAGGAGGGGCTAGACGGGATTGGGCGAAAGGTACTTTTGCGTTTCTTGCTTCCACGTACCCAATTGGCCAAACCTTAGAATATAGTGTATACTTTAGTGCCGTCGATGTTCCTATCAGGTCAATTGATGAATTTTAGACACCTATTCGTCTTCGGGGTCTGGTACGACTGGCCCTGGAGTAACCGGCTAGACAGGGGAGAAAGAAGGGTTCTTCACGGTGGTAAAATACGAGGAGACACGAGGTAACCATATTTCTATCGTCCAAGAACTATTTCCCAGGCCCCGCTAAACACTCCAACGAACAATCTCTATCCATGGTATTAGATAATGATGGGACATGGCAGTATCGGTACCTCGCTGCTTGGTTTCGTCTCTAATGGGTCACCATATCCCCTTAAACGCCATTGATGGATAACGTTCTTAGCCTCGAAAACCATTTAGTGCTAATATGCCTCTGATCTCTTTCTTCACGCCTACTTTTATCCACTTCTTTACCAAAAACTGTTCTTTCTAGGGCTATACTTCCATGTGACATTCACGTGGTCTGTCACGTTTATCATATTTATGGTCTATATGCAGTATTATAAATAAACATTTCAGAATAGACCCGAAAGCATCACCATTTTCTGTATATTTCTACCCCTTCAAAACGCTTCGCCTTCTTTAAGTCCACCCCCGCCTCTAGCACTTTCACCTGCACTTTCCCAACACCACTTGTCCCCAAATGCCGTCCCCAAACTATACACAATCTACCCACCACACCGCCGTTCCCAGAAAACAACAAACGAAGATCTCATCTCCCAGCCACCACCCAGCTACTTCTCTCTCCCTCTAAGTCTTCTCTCACCACTGCCCCTCCCGTATAACCTTCCTTCCTTCTCCTCCAAAAGCCATCTAGATGAGTTTCCTGCAGAATACCTACCAAGCGCTCACTAAGTAACCAGAAGCTGCTACTCCAACCATCCTTTGCTCCAAGACATCATACGCCAATTCACACCACAATGTACCGATTGACCAAAAGAACTCTTGCCACGGCCATAAAGGACCCCTACAATGCCCTTATACTGTCACGTGCCTCCCCAAAACAAGGTGAAGGTCCTCTTGCTCCATGGACCTATGTTGTCAAGGACAATATCGCCACTACAGAGGAGCCCACTACATGTGCATCTGCGATTCTTAAGAACTATTATAGTCCTTTTGACGCTACGGTGGTGAAGCTTCTAGATGAAGCGGGTGCTACGTTGGTGGGGAAAGCCAATTTGGACGAGTACGGCTTGGGCTCATCTAATACCAATTCTGCATTTGGCCCAGTGAAAAACCCTCTCTATGAAGAGTTTCGTGTTTCTGGAGGTTCCTCTGGAGGCTCTGCTGCTGCTGTATCTGGAGGGCTTTGTGATTTTTCCCTTGGTACCGATACCGGTGGTTCCGTTAGACAACCTTCTGGTTATTGTGGTATTCTTGGCTTCAAGCCTACTTACGGGCGTATATCAAGATGGGGTGTGGCTGCATACGCCCAGGGCTTCGATACGGTGGGTATCATGGCTCGGGACTTTGCAGTTATCAGGAAAACGTTTGATGTGATAGACAAGTATGATGAAAAAGATGTCACGGCAATGCCGCCATGGATACGAAACAAGTTTGGTGCAGCGCATCTTCCGAAGAAGCTTCGTATTGGTGTTCCTCATGAATTCTTGGTTGGCGAATTACTGGCAGAAACAAAGAAAGAATATGGAGCTACGTTGGCGAATCTTGTCAAGGCAGGCCACTCGGTGATGCCTGTTTCTTTACCCACCATCAAAAAGTCGCTTCCAGCATACTATACATTAGTTTCAGCCGGTGCAGCTTCCAGTCTTTCCCGCTTTGATGGTGTTAGGTATGGTGTTTCCGTGGGACCCGAATACCCTGAGACCATCATTCCCGAAAATAGATCGCATGGACTTGGAATGGAAGTGAAGCGTAGAACGCTTTTGGGAAACTTCACACTTTCTAGTGAATCTGGAGACCATTTTGTGCGTGCTACAGGGATCCGTCAACACCTTGTGGAGGAAATGAATGATGTGCTCAACTTCCCCAACCATTTACTTAATACTCCCGAGAACCCAGATGGTGTCCACGTTTTAGTTGCACCTACTGCGTTTGGAGAGGCCCCTACGTTGGAAGACTACAAGCTGGCTTGCTCTTCGAGTCTTGTGAATGGGTACATTGACGATATAATGACGATCCCAGCATCGTTAGCGGGATGTCCGTCGATATCGGTACCTATGCGGAACCGCAGGTACGGGATCCAAGTGATGACACAATACGGCTACGACCGTTTCCTTCTCAAGGCTGCAGAGCTCATTGAAGCACACAAGTGATAGACCACGATTGATAGAAAAATAAAGAGATACTCTATTCAAAAGATACTCTAAATCATGCATTGTATAGAACTGAATATGAGGTGAATCATAGCGTCATAAAACAGGACCCGTTGAGAGGCCCAGCGCAAGCACCTATGCAAGAATGTCTACTTTCTGCCCAAGAGGGTCAAGAACTCGTCTCGGGTCTTTTGCTGCTGGCGGAAGCAGCCCAACATGCAGCTTGTTGTAGTGGAAGAGCCTGTCTTTTGAACACCACGGCTCACCATGCACATGTGGGTAGCCTCGATAACTACAGCCACACCTCTAGGGTGTAAGATCTCGCTCAAGGCCATGGCAATCTGCTTGGTCAAACGCTCCTGGACCTGGAAACGGCGGGAGTACATCTCAGCAAGACGTGCAAGCTTGGAAAGACCCACAACCCGCTTATTAGGAATGTAGGCAATGTGGGCCTTGCCAAAGAACGGCACCAAGTGATGCTCACACAAGGAGTACACTTCGATATCACGAACAATCACCATCTCGTCGTGATCCTCCTCAAACACCGCCCGCTTCACCACATCTCGAATATTGTCTTCGTATCCCTTGGTAAAGTAAAGCATCGCCCTGGCGTACCGTTCTGGAGTCTCCAAGAGACCCTCTCTATCGACGTCTTCGCCTAGCTCGTGCAAAATCGACTTCACCGCAGTAGCAATACGCTGTTCACGCTGCTTAGCTTCCTCGTCACTCTGTTCAATCCTGGACCTGGCGCCCTTGGAAGGCCATGATAACCCATCACTGTCTATAGGAGGGTTCAAGGTACAAGGAGAGGCCGCTCTGGTTTGGAGAGGCGTACCGTACTCTCTGGCGATGTAACTTGCTTGGGAAAGCTTATGTTTCTTAGCCGCCGACTCGCCCAAAACCGGTTTGGGTCTTCCTATGCCGTTGGCGTTGGCGATGGGGGTTAATTGGGAGGCATCGGTGGAAGGAACAGAGTCAGATCTGGCTGACTCAGATTCCCGATCGGACATGGGTTGGGTGGTTTCTTTGGGGGGTTTAGACGGTCCACGTGGCAAATGTCCTTTTACTAGGTCAAACAACAAAGGGTGGTGGGTATTCGTTGGAGGGCCTGGAAAATTTTTTAGCGCATAGTACATTACTCATTATCGTCTTTATCGTAGGGTGTGGGAGGGTGGTGTACGGGTGTGTTTGTGGTAGCGGTGATGTGATTTCCTGATGGACCATGCATAAAAGGAGGCAGATGACGACATGAATATACGAAAAGGGGGCTAAGAGTAAATTATCTGTATTAATTCAATATGCTTCAAGTTATAGTGTTCGTGATTCGTTATGCGTCGGCAAACGGGTTCAAGATCCGTACCGTCAAGCATGGCAACGCCATGCCGATTTCTGCCCTCAACAATACCGGCACCGGCTGCATTTCACGAATCTCTTGGATATAAGACTTGTTTTCCACGCGAGTGATTACGTCTTGTAAGTAAGGGCTCAACCCGCCGTCGTCAGGTTTGGCGTCAAGGAATGATCCGGACGATGGCCGGCTGGTTCCACCAAACAGGGTCCGCGATGGGGACGAAGGCATCGATTGCCAGGTATTCTTCACCTGAGGTGTGGTGACCTTGGGCACATCGATATGCATCGCTCCCAATTTCTCGATAATGCTATCAGGGACAATGTTGTTGTTCCGCTCCAATGCACTCTTTCTCTGGATCTTGGCAGCTTCCAGAGCAGACGTACGGTACTTGTTCTTGATGGAAGATCTGTAGCTCAACGCCGACTTTTCATCTGGAGGAATGTAGGTAGCCAGGTCAACGCCTCTTTCCCAGAACAATTCAAGCACACGGTTGGCCTTGTCGAATTCCGCCTTCACCAAGGGCAATTGATCACCGTGCACTCTCTTTTCAATACCAAACTCTGGAATGTAAACGTCGAACGATGACTCGTACACCTGGAGAACAGTACCCATCACCAACAATTGACCAGCATGTTCGCTCATCTCATTGATGGTTTGAGACAACAACAAATGGATTGCCTGGTACTGAGAATTGGCTGCACAATCCTTCTTGAAATTGCAATAATCGGAAATCGCCTTCAAAGCGTCCAAATCGGGCGCCTTATCACGCTCAGTAGCATTAATAACCTGCTTCACCTGTCTGTGAACAATAAGGTCGGCAAACCTGCGCAACGGAGATGTGAAATGAGTGTAGAGTGATAAGTTCAAATAATAATGCGAGAAGTTTTCGGAATCTTGCTTGCCAGCAATGTAGTACTTGCCCCGAGGCATACACTTGTATAACAAGGTTTCAATGCATTGCCTCTTGAGAGGGTCATCGATCTTCAAGATCGACAGCTGGATGCTGCTGGAAGTGGAGGTATCAATCTTGAATCCCAAATTGTATGCCTTCTTGGAGAAGTTCTCAATCTTCTGCAAAGTTGGCAATGCCAGGCGACGCAAGAAGGCTTCATCTCCCAAAGTAGCGTGCACCTTGGCAGCAATTGTGGAGTTAACCTTGTGGCCAATCTCGGAAACAATTCTCAAAGCGAAACTGCTCTCGAAAATGTTCAAATGCAATCTGACCTTCTCATCATCAAGTTGGTCCAAGAGGGTCAAGCTGGGGCTGATGCCTAGAGTCCTGTCACTCAAACGCTGACGGCGGAACTCTTTTGCAATAAGGGCAAATGTCTTGATGTAGTCACATGTAGCAGAGGTGATTTCACTGTTCACAGCGCCGTTACCCAAGATGGCATCCACATCGTCAAAGGATACCGTCAGCTTAGGGATGACCACAGACTCACGGATATGAACGTTCTCAACCTCAAAAGAGGTGGTGTCAATTTCAAAAGTGACAGAAACGGCCAAGCTCTTTTCATTATCCTTGAAAGAAATCAAGTCATTAAATTCAGCAGGGTATAAATGAGCAGCCTTCTGAGGCAAGAAAACGGAGGAAGAAATCTTCTTTGCCTTTCTCTCCAATGTGGATCCAGGCTGGACGAAATGAGAGATATCAACAGCGTGGAATCCCAACTCAATGATAGTGTTACTGAGACGCTTGACATGCATGGCGTGGTCGATGAACTGGTTGTCCTCGGTGAATGCGATAACGTAGTCGTTGAAGAACTCAGCTCTGTTGGGGTTGGCCAACTCGGTCTCCACGCTTGGTACGGAGTTTAAAAGGGATTGTAAGTACCCATCGTCACCATCAAGGCTCGATGGGTATTCGTCACAAGAGAAGTTATTGTCTCTGAAGATAGCATCAATCTCAACTCCAGCATCATCAACCTTGCCCAACTTGTCAACCAAGGTTCCAAAAGGATGCAAAGAAGTGATTGGCCATCTCTTGATGGATGCAACAAACATTTGGTCAGCATATTTCTCGTGATTCTCGACGAAATCCTTTGGAGCCTGTTCGGTAGGGATAGCAATCAAGGGCACTCTCTTGTCTGTAGGCTTGAACCATACAATCTTTGGTGCTTTGGGGGTTTGAACAGAAGGCTCCTTACCAGATTTCTTATCAATGGCAGCCTGAGCAGCCTGTGCTGGTCTCAAGAGTCCGAGAGTACCGACGAAAATCTGGCCAGGGATACGGTCAACAACAGCAACGACGTGGCCAGCGTATAAAGGCTTTACTTCGTCATTAATCTCCTCCTCTTCAACCAAAAGTAAAGCCTGGCCTTCAACCTCGACGTCATCGTTCTTCTTCATGGTAGGTCTCTGCTTGAGAGAGCCTCTTCTGCCAAGGCCTTCGCCATCGTTTTCGGCTTTAGAGTCATCATTTCCGGGCAGAGTGGAAGTAGCGTCATTATGAATGTCATCACTCAACACGGAGGTGGCATTGTTCTTGGTCAATGTATTGTCCTTGCGGCGCTTCTTCTCTTCCTTCTCCTTCTTGGAGTCCCAAACTTCATCCACAACCAACAACTCAACAGCCACGAGATCACCTTCAAGGGCACGATTACGATCCTTAGAGCCACAGATGAAAATGTCGGCGTCAAGAAGACCATCCGTGGACACGTATGCATCGGAACGGTTCTTCTTGTTGACCCGCAAAGTGCCGACGACAAGACGCCCATCGTTGATTAACTCAGGCAATGACAGTTGGGGTAAGTAGGGAGCGAAAAGGGATTTCCGGCCACTTCCGCCACCTTGATTGCCCTGGTTGGGCATGAATTGCGACAAGGACAGCACCAGGCCGCCGCCAAAGGAAGACCCACGGCCTTTATGGCCCGGAACGAAAAACAGAGGGGGTTCTAACGACAGTTGTGTGCGTTGATGAGAAGCCGGCTGTTGCTGGGAACGCCAATTCGAATTGATGCTAGAGTCATTTTTCAGGTTCAGGCGGAAGTGGGAGGAGCGTCTCAGGTGGCCCTGGCCACGTTCAGGAGAAAGGCTGGAAAAGGCCGGAGCGGGAGGGTGTAAGGGGTTATTTTCAGGAGGAAACTTAAACAGTTGCTGGCCATGGGCGGAACGAGACCGGGAGTGGCCTCTAGGAGATCCCTCGGACGGACCGGCACTGGCGGCAGCAGCATAGTTGGTGGAGGGAAACCGGAATTGGGCAATATCGCCAGGAGGCAGCAGTTGCTGCAGAGACTGGTATGGGGAATCAGGAGTGGAAATGGCCGGAGGAGGCGGATTCTGAGCCTGGCGCTGGTTGGCAGCCGCCTTGATGGCCTCGTTTAAGCCCAAGGAGTGACGTCTAGCGTGGCCCTGGCCCTGGCCGCCGCCGCCGCCTCCACCCTGGTTCTGGGACGAGGCCGAGCCCGAGCGGCGATGGCCCAACGAAGGCAGCCTCAGGTGGCCCTCTTGCTGCTGAAGAAGCTGTTTCTGTTGAGACTGGACGGCCTCCAACTGCCGCTGGAGGTTATACTGTTCCACCATCAACGTGGTCAACTCAGACGGCGAGCGGCGGTGGGCAATGTAAAGGTTCTTTTTACGGCCTTGGTGGCCTGGAGAATCTGAGCCGGACATTGTTGCCGGGAGTAATTGGACTTTGGAAGCTTTAACGGGGCGATTGCTAAAGAGTGGAAAAGGAAAAGGAAAAAAAAAGAGTGAGTGTGGTTCTCTTTTTTTTTTTTTTTTTAATTTTTTTTGGTTCCAGTGCGCCTTGAGCAAAGGGAGGGAGGGAGGGGGGCCTAGGGCCTCAGGGGAAACAAAAAGAAGAAAGGAAGTGGACAACCAGGGAGAAAGCCAGTGGAAAGGACAACCAAAAATTGTCAAAAAAAGGGTCAATTGACGGGGGAATCCAAGGGTTTATATAGTGCGTGGGCGGGAGGGGAAGAATTGGTGGTGACTTTGATGACTTGGTGAGTTTGGGGAGGAAGTAGGTGGAGCTATTTATAAGACTTGCTCGATGGCGGCTGTTCCTGACAAAACAAAAAAAAAAAAAAGATGTAGAGGAAATTGAGGGAAGTGAGGGAAAATAGAGAAATCTGAGAAAATCTGAGGAAGCTGAGGAAATGAGGAAATCTGAGAAAGTGGACTGCCACCGCGGGGCGGCGCAAAGAAGACGAAGAAGAAGGAAAGGAAAGGAAAGGGAAGGGAGAAAGTATATGAAGATGTTTGAAAAAGGTGATTTTTTATATTAATGGCAATTGGTTGGATTTGGGGGATTTGGCCGTATTTAAGGAAAAAATTGGGACCTGGTCAGTTGGATGTCCCGGTTACGGGCTGGTGGTGAGCTGAGGTGGTGCACTCCAGCAAGGCCAGTGAGTGTCTGAGTATCCACAAAACATAGGTACCTGGAGGTTGCTAATTAATTAGCAATTGCCGTGGAAATTGACGTTGCGGACGCTTTTGGACCGGTTTGGGACTTTTTTGTCGTTGGCGGGCCCCGCTCGTATTTATACTGCTTCTCTTATTCTTTCCTGGCTTGTCTTGGTAGGTTGTCTGGTGACATGTCTCACATAACTTTTGTACAAAGTATGGCTGTGGCGGTGCACCGTGGCACTCCACAAATCTCTTCTTACCTCCACCATCAATGCCAATCAACCTCCACTGCAATTGACCTTCTGTCTCTTTGTCACCTTCGATGGTGCGTGAAGTTGCAGCCATGTACCTGCGCTGACAAGCGTTTGCAGCCATTGAAAAATCGCTCTCCAAAATGCCGTCTGTGGGTGAACAAGTATATTCATTGGATCTTCCACTGTGTTTAGAAAGGCACTGCTCTTCCCCTCCCGTGTAATTTAGCTCCTTCCTTTGATCGACATTAACCTTTAGGCTAGTGGAAGCTTAGTCGATTCCGGGTTTCCGAATCGCTAGGAGCCCGCTAGATGATGTCCCCCACTCCAAGGTGGCATTGCTTCGAATAAGCGGTATACTCCACCAAATGCCGATAAAAGACCTTGATTTTTCATTATTCGCCTTGCGCATCTGGTATCACCTCCGCCATAAACCTCTCTATTCCAGTCCAAACTCAATCACCTTCGTCTCTAGAGTACTGGTATTCACAAGCACCAACTGTCCCGTCTCGGCAAACTCGGGAATACTCACAACCGTAGCTTCTACACCAGACAATTCGACTTTCTTGCTGCCAAACTCACTTTGGTTACCTGCAAAATACAAGTGTGGTGTCTCCTCTAATGCAAATGGGTCTGCGTCTTCGTAAGGGTAACAGTAAAGCGTATCTGGGGCAGTAGGTGCAATATGCTGCCAAAGAAGTGTCTTGGCTAAGATTTCTGTAGGCGAGACGTCCAGGTCTGGAGGGTAGTACTTATTAATATCAGTGATGTTTTGACCAGCTGAGCCAAGAACTCGAAGTCCGTTCTCCAATTCCATCCAAGCTGGATTGCTGACGTTTTGAACAGCATCGCTGGCCTGGATACCAACGTAATGAGCATTAGCACCAAGTAATGAAGGATGAAGTGGTTGTTGAGGAATGCAAATTTCTGCTGGATCTTTAGGTCCAGCCATGACAGTAACGGGAATTGAGGCCATAACATTCAGAAGCCAAGCGTTCAAAAGACGCAAAGACTCGGCTTTAAAGTGGGAAGTGTTCTTTGACCCAAAGTCCTCTTTTCTATCAGTATCCTCTTCAATCTCTTCCACAGAGTTACCGGCAAGAACCAAACGGGTAACTTTCGAAGCCAAATCCACATCTTCAGCGCCTCCAAGCTCTCCACAAAGCCATTGTTGTAAAAGAACACTCTTCAAATCGCAATCGGTCTCTTTCTGGAACTTAAGCCCAGAAACAAGTGCCACATACTGCTCCTCATCTGTAGCCATAGGAAGCGGTTTCTGAGGTGCTGGCGATGGATAAATAATCTCCATGGCTTCAAAAATACCAGCCTGGATCTCAATACCCAAAACAGCCACTATCGCTCCACTGACTATCCTCGAATTAGCCAAAAGCGACTCGTTATGCAAAATAGCACGTCCACTCTCATCTTCCAACATCATCACGCTCGCCTCGGTGCCAATATAGTTAACTGGCGTCTTTGGCAAGATATCATCAGTCCCATGCTCCACATCCTGGAAAATATCAAGCTTATTCTTCATCTCAGTGAACACAGTGCCCAGAACCCAGCACAACTCTCCGCCCGTAATATCCAAGATCCTCTCTTTCCACTGCACTGTCTGTCCGTTCACACGACGCGTATTATTCCCCCACTTGTTCATCGCTAGCTCATCAACTCTAGGCTTCAACACACTGAGTCTGTGCTGGTACATCGAGAAGAACTGCCTCGAGTACGTTCTTGCCCTGGAGTCAAGCGTAAAGCTTGTCTTGTTGTCAAACGAGTCCTTGAAGGTATCTGGGACCCTGGTGGTCGTGCCTTCAACAAGGCTACCGTTCATGGCGAAGAGGGATATGGGTGTTTTCGTAGAAGTGGTAGGTGAAATGTTGATGCGATGATCGCGTCTGGGACGCGCCATAGTGGAAACGTACCACGTCGAGGAAACGGGGTCCACGGAAGTGGAAAAGCTATATAAATGAAAACTGCCTCCAAAAGTGCCTCAAATTAGGAGATTCGATTGGTTTATATGCTTTTAGATGGACGGGGGACCCCAATTGATGGGACCTTTTCTACACTTGTCCTGCACACGCTGCTACCCCAGATTAGTATTTTCCATTCTTCATATATATGCTTGTTTCTACATGCCACGGTTTGTGCTAGATCCGGCCGTGCTTGCTCTCCAGTACCCCAAGGCATGTCCTGAAAAGCCCCAGAAAGTGAGGATTGTGGCCCAGGTGGCTGATCACGTTTTGGGCGTGTTGTACTTGACAAGAGTACCTAACCTTCCTCAACTACATACCCAGATTGTCCTTGATGGAACGGAAGCAGCGGCAGATCCTGTTCCTATAAATATAGCTGACCTTACTGTGGATGGAGATTGCCTTCGTCGTGGCGCGGTGGTATCTGTTTGGGGAGCCTACGACGGGACTCAGGTGGTTGCCTGGGACTGTCTGGCATCGAATGGCCAGGAATTGCTTGGTGGCGGCTCTGACATTCTTGCCGAGGCGTCAAATCTCAAGGATTTATAGTTCAAGGCGTGTTGGGTTCTTGTTTGAACGATGGCGCTGTCAGACGACCAAAGAACTGGTCCCAAATGGGTTCAGAAGGCATCTGTTGAATGAGCTCGAAAACGCGTTTCCCGTCTCTGTTGGGGCCACTAGAAATGTTAGAATCGCTTTGCGTTAGCGTCAAGTCCATGGCGCTAGGCTCACGAATCGACAGAACTGGCGAGAGGTTCTCAAGCTCCAAGAAAAAGTCCTCGAGATGAGTCTCTGGCATCATTGGCGTAGGAAGAGCTTGCTCGTAACTACGATCAACGCGGTCTTCTTGCTCGAAACCTTCCCTGGAAACCCAGCCGAACCGAGGCAGGTCGAATTGGGTCATATCAGGCTGCGAGTGTTCGCTATCATTGGCTATACCTTCCACAAGACTGGCCAAGTTACCTTTTAAGCTGCCAGTGCCACTGACCAGATCAAGCTTTTGCTTCATGCCGTGGCTAGAGCTCATAATGTTACCCACCATAGTACCTTCGACAGTCACATCGTACCGAATCTTGAGCACTACAGCCGTAAGCATCTGGAAAGTGTCCATACACGATTTGGCAGCAGTGCAAGAAGCAACAAGCAGCGCCAACACCAGGAGGCATTCCTCGGTAACTGCTTTCACCTCGTCAGCGTCATTCTGGCTCCGAACATGCTCGGAATTATAAAGCACAAATAAATATGATGTTCCTGCCATGAACAAGTTATGGACAGCAGCCCAGGTATAATTGATAGCCTTTTTCTTGTAGAGCTTGGTATAGCAAGCCATGAGGTTTTTCAGCGCTTCAAGCACTTTATAGTAAGCTTCTGGAGCGAGTTGGAACGTCTTCTTTGAAAGACCATTGATAAGAAGGAGCGTATGGTAATAGTTAAGGTCAAAGAACTCCGTATTGAACTCACAGTTCATCTTGCGAGGTTTCTTTGGGCACCTGGCCCGCCAGATTTCAAGCTCTTCGGAAATATGTGTTTTCCATTGAGCCAAATTGCCAAACCGTCTGGGAAGTTCGCCATTTTCATACAAGATTCTTTGGCATTCCAGTTGAATCTGGCGTACTTTGAAAAACGAAAGTGTGATGGTCTTATACGAAGCCATGCCACCGCTGTTATCTGAATAGTCTCTGGTTTCCTGATCATTTGGATCAATAAAAGCATCATCAAGCTCTGACGGAAGACGAGCAGTAATGGACTCTTCTGGGATACCCACAGGACGTCCAAGATAAAAGCACATCTGACGATCAATTGAGTAAGTTGACCAAAATAAACGTCTTCTTCTGTCCTTGGTGAATGCAGAAAGGGTCTGTGCTTTCGGATGTTCTTCCTTGTGGAGCCCCAAATCCACACATAAGCGAAGTGCTGTTCCCAAAAGGTACCATACACCAGGAACATTCGGTCTCATCACCAGGTAAAGCGTTTGAAGAAGCACAGCCTCAAGCTGCTCAAGCAGATCAGCGGTGGAATAAGTGGAATCCACATGTTTCATGGCAGCTTCTTTAAACAGCTCGCTCATATGAGTATGGTACTGTAAATGGTTTGTTGAAGACGAAATAGCAAAAATGATATTCAAAAAGAACAACGGTTTCCGGAACTGTTCAGGCGTATGCATGGCCAGAGAGATCCTGGCAGGGTCCTGGTCCAGGGTAAGCAGCGCTTGCATTGTATGTTTATACTGAGCTAGCCATGTCTGGTCCTCAGGCACAACGCTATCCTGATAACAAGCTCTGTTGAACGCCAGGTAATCAGACGCTAGCAGCACACTATCGTCCCAAGCACCATACACCGGCAAAAAGATATCCCTAAGGAACGTTTCCCTATGAAGCACAGGAAGCTGGGAATTGCTCTGGGCAAAGAAGATCCTAATAAACTCCATGGCCGTCTTCTTCGGCGGAAGAATCGCCGGTGCCACGTCCACAGGCACCAGCGCCATCAGGTCACTTGGCCCCATGTTCATCTTATTCGCCGTAACCATCAACTTGGCAAACGTCACGCCCATGGGCCCCACGTACCCAGCCGGTTCCGACGAAACCAGCATCAGTGCCAGTACCAGCGCCAGCGCCAGCAGTGGACTATCATCGCCCTGCCCCGAAGGATCCACGCCATGTTGTCGTAAAAGGCCCTCAAGCCTCTGCAACCGTTCTTCCAAATGGTAAACATACAGCCTGGGCACTTCACGCCCTGTGGCCGGGTCTATACCCACACACTCGAGGCCGGCCCGTTCACATTTCGAGCATTTCGGAAAGTTCTGGTCACACTTGATTTTCTTGCTTCGACATCTCTGGCAAGCTGCAATGGACCTCGAGATGCCCACCACACTAGCATTTGACGCTCTGCGGCGACCATGGCCGTGGCCATGTCCATTTTCCGTTCCCGAGCCGCCAGTACGTTTCTTCCTCGGAGGCCCGTCGTCCATGATATTTTGATAAAGAAAAGAAGAGGAAGTAGCTGGTTCTTGGATGGAGGTGGAATGAAAAAGATAAGCTTGACGGCGCCTGCAGGGTCCCGTATAGATGAAGGCGATTGGACGATCAGGGGGCGGGAGAAAGACGGTGTCAGGTGCAAAACAGGGCAACAGAAAGGATCGAAACAGAGGATCTGACAAGACGGGGCTGCTTTAGGCAAGCAATGTAGTGTTGTTTGTTCTCGAGAGGAAATGGAAAGATGGAAATAATGGAAATAATCGCTGCGAGATTCTGGGGTAAGCAGCTCTGCAGGAAGGCACAAAGATAGAAGCCAGGGAATGGACCAGGAAGAGTCAAGGAAGGGAAAAAGAAAAGAGAATAGACAAGAAAAGAACCGGCAGGGTCTTTTCTGATTCCGTTTTGGGTTCTGAATCGGTTCTTGGTTTTCTTAGACAGTATACTTAAACAGTTATACTGGGGATTGGCCTGGGCTGCTGCCCCAGGTACATTCCGTTTTCGCAGCCATTTTGTGCAACGGCTCGTCCAGCCTCTTCTCACACTGCCACGCTGATACCGGCAGTTATTCGGTTCTCTAGCCGGTCGATCTGATCGACAGAGGCAACTTTTCACCTGCTCTTGACAACACATTTATATTTTTTGTTTCATTTCTCTGCGTTTCAAGGGTCCACCTGTTCTGTTTGCCATTCCTGTTTGACACTCTTGACCTTTTTTCTGACATCTGAGGGAGGGGTGTTTGGTCTTGCCGCGCTAATCGTGGATGGCCTTCTGTTTAAGGTTTGACTCTCATGCTATTCCGCTGCTTCCCCACAGTGGTGGTTGGTGGAGGAAGTAAACGGAGGGTACGGTTTGAAAAATAAGTGGAGGGTACAGTGGAAGCGGAGGGTACGATTTGGGAGGTGAACGGGACGTAGTGAAAAGGGCCGGGAATCGGTTGGTATTGCTAGGTCTGGGGCCTAACTGACTGGCCTGGGCATGGCCTGGCTGGTAAGCCTACCTGAACCAACCTCCCTCAGCTCATCAATAGACTTTCATCTAAATCAAGGTCTGATCCAACATCTCATGTGCCCAATTATTCTTCCCCACCTGGGGTTTTAAGTGCTCCTTGTTTTGTAGATCCACACAATGGAGCAGACATTCTATTTTTCAACTTTTTCAATTTTTTCAATTTTTTCAATTTTTTCAATTTTTTCAACTTTTTCAAAATCAATCTTTAACCGCCTCAGCGGGTCTTGTCATAGAGCGTCAAGTGCTTGATACGTGTACGTTGCAACTCGAATTTTCCTTGCAAATCTGGAATCATCACCTCGTAGTCGGCAGTGGTGGCTTCGGGATCGTTACCATCGTCTTCCACATGCAAAGTGGCCACCAAACTGTTTTCAAGCACTGGGTACTTCAAGTGCTGCTCGTCAACTTTCTGTTCGGCCAATACCTTCTTGTCGTGCTCCAGGTTTGAACCTGGGAACTTAGAAACGCCCGTACCAACCACTTCAGCATAGTCTGACGACTGCTTAGCCAAAATCAAGTCACTCCAGTTTCTCTTGTTCAAGAAATAGTGATTGTCACGAGGCAGCCCGTCTGTGTTCGACATGAAAATGGGCACAATATCCTCTGTAGTATTAGAATCGAACTTGTGGAGCTTTGTCTGTCTCTGGAGCAACTTTGGCATAACGTCTGGTGGTGGAGCGTTCACGATAGCCGAAGAAATGACGTTGAAAACCAAACGAGGGTCGTACTGAGGTGTAGATGTCACATCCTTGTTCTCCTTCTCGGCATCCTTGAGAATATGAGCTCTGGGGTGGTGGTGGATCTTGGTCTTCATACGACCGAAACATCCCAAATGGACATCTCCTGAAAGGATTGTAATACGAACACCATTTGCAGCACCAAAATCAATCAATCTCTTCATCAAACCGTTACGTTCTCTCTTGTGGTGTTTAGAACACCAGTGATCGTTTAAATCGTCCAAAACCTCAACACTACCATCGAACTCATTAACCAAACCAGGAGCAACAAAACCTCTGGTGGCCAAACCACGAATTGGTTTCAAAAGACGCAGAGTCAAGATCCATTCAAGCCAAACCATACGTGGGTACAAAATAGGTACACCAAGCATGACAAGAAGATGCTTTGTGTCGGGGTTCTTGTCTATCTCTGCCTGGCACCGCTTGAATATCAAATTGTACGTATCTGGTTCGATGATCTGAGAAAGACGTCTTTCGGTACGGCAATCCACACCCAAAAGCGAGATCTCTTTACCGAGTCTCATGTAAACCGAGTGGTTACGCTGCTTGATAAACTTACCTGGCTTGTTCAGCAAAATCCACGATGGGTCCTTAAGGTAAGCATCCTCATCAATCAGCATATGGTGCTGGAAGATCATATAGTACTTGTAAGCGACATTACCAATGGTAGAGAACACATTGGAAGCCATTGTTCTGTCTTTATAAGACCCAAAACCATCAATAATATCATGGTCATCGTAAATGTTCACAGCTGGGATCTGGGCCATGGATAATGGGAACATGTGTTGCTTGGTACCGCCATTAGTGCCCATCCAGTAGCCCTGGCCAAACCAGGCCATATAAGCGTTCAAATAGTAATTGCCCATTTCTTCAATCATCTCAGGAGTGGTCTCGATACGACGTTTCCTAGCAGCGGTAGTCTCGTTAAGCCACTTCTGGATCAGCTCTACATGAAGCTTGATGGCATCACAATAGATCTGGTCACCTCCACCAAGCATAACATGGTAGTGCTGTTTCTCGTGCTTTCTCAACACGTCAAGCCAAAGCGACAGCTTGTACTGAGAGGTATCCGTAGACAAAGAGAACCCATTGCATGAAAACGACACCACGTTCATCGACTGGTCAGCAGCAGGCACAAAGAAGGCATGAGCATCGTTTATCTTGCCATTGATCGAGTACCTGACTCTTTGTTCGTACTCCTCAAGGTCCAACTTAATGTTAAACCTCCAGAACTTGTATTCCTGTTCGGTATAGAAGTTTACCGCCGGAAACGTACCGTCAAACGAAGGTTTCCAGCCCTCAGGCGCCAGTTCTTTAGCTGCCGGGCCGATAGCGTAGCCAATCTCTGGCTCCACGTCGCCCTTAGTCACAAGCAATATAGAAGCCCTATAATTAGGCGAATTGTCCTCCCACAGGCCGCAAAGACGAAGAATAGGACCGCAATGGATCTGAAGACCATCTTCGTCTACAGGCGGGTCAGGACAGAGCTCAGGCACTTCCTCGGCAGCCTGTTTCTTATTGAGCTCGACGAACTTTTCCACAGGCACAGGGTCAAACCAGGTCATTGTGAAAAATCAAAAAAAGCAAAAATAGCAAAAAATAGCAAGTATTGGACGTTGGTGATGGTGTAGTAAACAGAGAATGTGAAAAACAGAGCCTGTACCGATTAGCCAGTGAGGCGCTGCGAAAGCGTCAGCAAGCGATGCACCGCAGAGCAAGAACTAGACGGTAGATAAGGAACAAAAAGGATGTAGTACTTTCAGAACTAAAAGCTAATAAGGCAATTCTTGCCATCCACCAATTACATATATATAGTGTTTTCTTCTTTTTACCCTTTTTCACCCTTTTTTGTCATTTCTTACTGCCCTCTTCTTCCTCTTTCAATGCCTTTTGGCTGCGAATTCAGGCACAGTTCCCTGCCTTTTCCTGTTTCTACTATATTTTTTGTTTGTTCGAGACATGCGGGGGTATCTGGGCGCGCGCGGTGGGTGATTTTTTCGACGCACCGAAGGGTCAAAGTTGCTCGCAGGGCCCTGGGGGCGGCAGTGTGCTACGACGGTTACAGGGTGATATTGCTGGGGTTTTCGGGATATGAGTTTTTGGGGGGCAGATTTGGGGTGATTTTGCCAGGTGTATGGGTTTTTAAGGCGTGGTGTATAGGTTTTTTACACTTTTTTGTGCCCTTTTCGTGGCTTTTCCCTGTCACCGTTTTTGGCACAATGTGTCTCTTTTTGGCGCCATTTGGCGCCCTCTGGCCGTGCACTGCCATATTTGGAGCGACCAGTCGTGGCTGCGAAACACGAAAGTGAAAAATGCCAAAAGTCAGCAAAGTATGAGGAAAGTCAAAAAGACGAAGAATGATGGCTTTCCAGCTGGAAAGTGAGTTTCTGGTTTTTCGTGTTTTTTGCTTTCTTTCACGTTTTCTCTAATTCTGGATTCCATAGCTTCTCCAATCTCTCCTTGCACATGCCAATTTCCATCTCACCTTAGACGGTGAATAGACTTCAAATGATCACCACTCCGTCTTTCCTCCTCCTCCACCTTCCCCTTTCTCTCCTTTCATTGGCCAGAGCCAAAACTGTGATCTTCACTTTTGCCTTACTGTGACTGTTTTGAATCCTGGTGACCAGAAATGACCCTTCTCTGTTTTCTGTTTCCTCTATTTGAGTTCCCCTCTGTCTCTGTTCCTGGTTCTTCAACACTCCCCTCCAGTCCCCACAAGCCAAGAGGAAGAAGAATCACCTACGCCGTATCTTATCAGTAGATAAAGAGAAGGGGAGAAATGGAGAAATGGAGAGAGGGGACCACAGACCTTAGTGATCTGATCTACCAGTGGTTTCTATACTATCTGCCTCTGTATCTCCATCTGTATATACTGTACTATTGGTATCTCCATCTTCATCCTTTTCTTCTTTTCTTCCCTTTTCCAGATCCACCGTCACCCACGGCATGTTTCCTGGCTAAACACCCTGGGATCCGGTTTTGTGTACTTTTCATGCCAAGTTGGCTAATTTATCTTATCTCTTATCTCCCATTGCTCATCCTCATCTACAGTCTACAACCAGGGCCACCACCTATAATTCCCCACTAAGCCAAACCAACACTAAAACCAATTCTCTCCATCTCTTCTTCCTTCCTTTCTTCCTTCCTTTCTTCTTTCCTTTTCTTTCTATCCACTTCTGCCCTGCTCCACTTGGGCCCACGGGGCTTGATCTGTGATCTGTGACACCACATGCTTCTTGGCACGCCAATGTCGTCATCGCCACTGAAACAACACAGTGGAAATAAAAAAACCCTCCTTACTAAACACCAAAAAGGATACTGATCAATTGCCCACCAAGCAATTAGGGGGTTCTGGTCATCCACGATTTGCAGCCATTTTACGTGTTTCAGCCTCATGCTGCGGAGAAACGTCATACCGAAACTTCCGCAGACAAGCAAGGCCCCTCTCCAACCCCAAACTAGCAGGTCCAGCCAAACCATCAGTACATAATCAATGGCTGTAACAACACAAAATAATGACTTTCGTCCAATCAGGATCGGGAATTCAGGAAACTGGCGTTTCCCTCAGTTCGTCTTCTTCTGCAAGTGAACACACTAATTCAGACTGCCAAGCCGCCGTCCGAACGGCTGAACGGCTGCAAAATACATAGAACAGTCATCCCCCAAGGCATAAACAGCCAGCTTCTCCTAAATCAACAAAATCAACCAAATCAACCAAATCAACAAATCAACCAAATCCACCTCCAACCAATAATCACCCCCGACTTGGCCCATCTCTTCCCCCAATAACCCTTTAACCCTCTGTGCTTCGCACAAGGCCTGGCCAAACCTTGATCCAACTCCATCCAAATAACCATAACCAGAGACGCCCTGGCCTGGCTAACGGCTGCAGATACGCTACTTCCTCTTCTTCTTCCTCTTCCTCTTCCTTAACCTTCTCTTACATTACAATGGAAAGTCACAGGCGTCTGGATGGGAAATGTGGAGTGGGGCCACTGGGGGGAACTCCAGCCATTGTGTTTTACCTTCCAGGCGTCCCACGCTTCCAGACGTGAAGCTCCATGTTCTGGATGGCCAGTCAAAGAACTTGAAGAAAAGTGGTTTAAAGGGGTTTTAGGAAAATCCATGATTTATGGAATTTATCAAAGCAGGTGTTTTGGTCCATAGTTGAGATATTCGCCTGGTGACTGTTAACTTCCCCAGTGAGGCTTTGGGGTTCCAGAAACTGGCCTCTAGGGAGAAAGTCCCCCCTCGAAACTCCGTCCTAAGCCCTACCCTGGCCTTCCCTAGCCTTCCATAGCCCTTCCCTGCCATTCAGCGTAAATGCCAATTTCAGCCTTATGTCCCCCTTGCCTTTTACTTCCCTCCCTCTGGCCTTCCTCGGCTGCCTGTACTTCCAAGATCCAACTGGCTTTGTGCGATCTCGGCTTCCTTTCCCAGACAACCCTTAGATACTCCAATTACATGGTGCCTTGGACCGTCGACTTCGTTAATGGACTTCTCTGACCATTGAAAGGACTCTCCTTTGTTGGCCAGTCCTAACGTACTGCCCTGGCCTGCCTGGCCTCGCCTGCCCTGGCTTTTCGCAACCACTCACAACCCTCTCCCTCTCCCTGCCTCTCCCATCACTCAAAATCACCCAAGCCTCCTCCAACTCCGAAACCCATACTTAACAAGCAACCCATACCTTCACTTCCTCCTTCTCCTTCCTCTCCTATTCACTTCTTTCCACCTTCTTCCCTCCTTCCTTTAACACAGCCTTCGCCGCCTCACCATACGCACGTTGGCTCTGCTTCTGCTGCCGCGCCTAACGTTCTGGGAAACGTCATTAGCTACATTGGCTGCCACCGCCACCACCAACCACCACCAACCAACCAATAAACATCTCAAGTTTCCTCTCACCTCTCTCAAAATCCATCTCTACATGCAACGGAATTCCTGTTTTTCCGTTGCCTCTCACCAACCTTAACATCTCTCTCCATTTCTTCCACCCTCTAACTCACCCGATCTTATCAGCCCAGCGCCGGGGCATGCGACCCAGGTTACTCAATCAGCTCAAGCGCCACAACCCACCGCTTCCCAACACCGCCTCTCCAAAACGCCGTATATACCAAAACCTACAATTCCTCCTTCAATTCCTTTACACTCTAAATCTTCTTATTCCTGTCACTGGTTTATTTCCCGTGGATTGTCTTCCCCTGCTGGGCCCAGGCGGTGCAGTACCGCCCAGAATTCTCTGCTCGTGCCACTGTCAAGAAGTATAAGTAGCGACGATTTCTCCCGATTTTTTTTTTTTTTGCCGGTTTTTCTCGCTATCCACGTATTCCTTGAACGCCACGCCCTGCTTTTATTAGCCTTTATCCTTTTCTGTTCTCCTCGTCACTCCCCGACCCCATCTTTCTTTGCGCTTTCGTGCGCCTCACATTCCTCCTAGGCTTTTTCCCCAGACTTTTGAAGCCTGCCTTCCCTTAAACGGCCACTTTCCTGCCCAATTCTTCACTACTTTCTGTAGCTTTTTCCCTTGCTTCATGACAGAGGTGTCTGGATACTGTCGAAGGGTCAGCTTCAATAACGTCCACCCGGACGACGACAATGCCCTGCGGTTTTATAACTACTCCTTCCATGAACCCGTGCTGCCGACTGACCCTCCTCGTTTCTTTGGAAACTATTCCTTTTCCCATAAACGGCCAAAGTTGCCTGAGCCTCCTTCCAAGTCCATTTTGAAAAATAGACTTTCCCAGCAGCAGCTTACTGACAATTTGGTCCGTGCCCGTTCTTTGGGCGTGAGCTACCATGGCGATATCAATGATTTGGTCGATTGTCCTCCAGAAACAGTGCCCCGGTCTGAACTGGCCACGGAGCTGGCGGCTGTGGAAGATGACGATGACCAGGACGAAGAAGACGACCCAAAACTGCCTCGTGGGTCTGTTTCTGACCAGGCCTTGTCTAAATTCACTGGCCGGAGAAAGTCCTACTCCGGTATGACCGATGAAGAACTCATGGCTCTAGATCCACAGTACAACACCCCTAAAACGTCCGATATCAGCTCCTTCAAGTTTGACTCCCAGCAGACATATTACAAGTCCAGCCCTAGACGCACCTCGGTCACTCCGACTCCGGCAGTCGCTTCCAAACAGGTTATCTACCCGCTGTCGAACGAAAACAACTATCCTTCAATTCTGCTTACAACCAAACACGAAGATTACGACCACAATATCCTGACGGCACGGAAACTCTTGACCGTCTTGTCTGGCCGCAAACATACATGGAACCTGTTAGACTGGCTCTTGCAGACCGAGCGGAAAGACTCCGATATCAAAGAATCTGGCTTCCTCCAGAACGGCGACTACTTGATTGTGGCGGCTCTAGTCCCTCTCAAGTACTTCAATGCTAACACTACCCGCAAGAAGAACGCCCTAGAAGACAAGCTCTACAAGAAATGCGAGCACTTGCTCAATTACATCCTCCAATCGCTTCCTGACCAGCTGCTCTGTCTCAAAATAACTGTGGAGTTTATCATTGATGTCCCTCCTGCTGACCCCATGTCTTTGGGCGGCAACAAGGCTCCTCCTGTGGGCACAAAGTTTATGGTTGACCATATCTTCAAGCAATACCTGCCCAACTTGGTAATATTGGGAAACAAGTCCACTAACCTTAATTTCAAGTACCCCATGCGGAAGATTAAGGCAAGCCTGTCCATGTCTGCAGCTACTACTCCATCTGGCCAGGGTTTTCCCCTTAGCAAGTTCGCCCTGGCTCCTCAAATGATGAATAGAGGCGATGAACACGAAATGTACCTCATTAAATTGAGTTCCTACGTGATCAAGTATTCACCTGTCCCAGTCATTGTGGTTGGAGCTCTCAACACTGTGGTTCATCAGAGAAACGGGCACAAACCACTGTTGGTGACATTCTCTGAAGAGCCTCGTATGCATAAAGGTAGCTTGGACGTTCCTCCCCATAATATCAGAAAGAACTCGACGACTTCATCTACTTCCATTGAATCATACTCAGGAAACCATCCTGACGATGCAAGTTTATGCTCTCTGACAGAGTCTGCTCAGCATATCAATATGGCTGAGAGCCTTGCAGATGTTGTTGCATCAGAGTCAGAAACCAAGTTCCAAGATATGCTTGCAATCATTTCCTCGAGCTCGCTCACAGAGCTGAAAGATTACATCCACGCTATCAACGACAATTCGAAGATCCCGTCAGTCAGGCTTAATAGCAAAGTTCATCAGGCGTACCAAAGTTACACCAACACACGCACTGGAAGCCATACGGCGACGAAGACGATTTCCAATGGCAGTAGCGGCAAGCCCTACAAAGTCAAGAGCATGATTTCATACAGCGAGGAAGAGGAAAAAAAGAATGAGAAGAAGCTCAATGACAAGCGTCTCAAGAAGTCCATTTCACACTCATCAGCGGGACTGAGCAACAGTGACAAGAAAGTCAAGAAGAAGAAATCCTTCTTGCAAAAAATCGGATTAAAAAAGTCATGATGTCACGACCTCACGGTAAAACGGTAATAGGGAAAGAAAAAAGAAAAAGCAAAGTCGAGCCATTATGCTCCTTGATTATAATGAATAATGCTGTTCAATATTTGGCAAACGAACAACCAAACAATCCAGGAATGTAGACGGGAGAAAGACAGTCCATGGCCTGTGTGGGACACCACGTTAACTCACAACCGTTTCGGTACAAGTTGCTATGGTTTTGAACACTTTTAGTGTTTATTCAATAGCTTCGCAAACAAGTGCCAGAAAAAGTGGGCTATTCTAACCTTAATTCCAGGTCTGGGCTTCATTCGTAGGAGAACTGAAGTTAGGAAGTGCCATTTTAGGGCAAGTGTTGATGTTTTCAAGAGTTAAGCCTCCAATTGCACGAAAGACCAAACACGGCGTTCAAGCAAGATACACAGTCAAGCTCAATTAGACTTTAAAGTATTTTTTCACGATATTTTTAGTTCCTCAACATTTCATGTTTTCAACTAATGCCATTCTTTATGTATTATACATTTTTCGCAGCCAGTAGAAGAAACCACCAAAAAGGCATAAACAGAGATCCCCATAAACGACAAAAAATAAAGACGAAATTGAGATATATCAATATCTCAGCACTCTCTATAGCAATCTCTTCTCTTATCTTCTTTAAGTATCTTTTACCAGCCCTTGGCTGGTCCCTGGTTCTGGAGACCCGCACACCACGATTTTCCACCTACAACTCTTCACTTCTTCCACTTTCCCAGCATGGATCCACCAACACAGCCTAAAGAGGCATCTGAGGTTTCAGAAGCTGCTGCTCAGCCAGGCACGCCCACTGTGGCTGCAATTGAACCGCAAGTTGCTCCACCGCCAAAGGAAGAGGCCCAGGTGAAAGAACCAACTGGAAACACAACACGCCTGAAGACCAAAGACGAAGGATTGACGGCACTGGAACTTAAACAGAAGGCTGCAAATGTGAAAGTGCACCCTAGACTTAAGCCTACGCCGTTTGACTCGGACAATTTCGACGTGGAACCGATAATCACTCAGGACTATTCACACCAGGGAAGTACGTATGTTCAGTATGACGACCTTCCATTGAACAAACGTGGGTTCAAGTATAAACCGTGCAGACCGAACCAGGCGTTTCTGTCGAACTTGTATTCTACCACAGATTATGCTCCTCACAAGGTTAGGGTGAGTTACTTTGACCGTTCTTCAGGTATAGCGTGCAGTGAAGATATGAATGGGGTTACTACTCAGCATGGCTGGCTCTCTGCTAGAAGCAATGTGGGTGTGAGAGAGGGAAAATGGTACTTTGAGTTTGAGATTGTGAATGCTAATAATGAAACCGGCAAGAGCCATGTGAGGGTGGGTGTGGCTAGGAAAGAGGCTGCTTTGGAAGCGCCTGTGGGCTTTGATGGGTACGGATACGGGCTTCGAGACTTGAACGGACAGAAAGTTACTCTCAGTCGACCCAAACCGTTTATGGAGAACGAAGAAGGGTTCAAGTCTGGCGATACGATCGGGTTCCTTATTGAACTACCTTCTTTGGAGCAACAAAGGAAGTATAATGAACAGTTCGCTAAGGACTTGCATTCGACGAAAAGAAGGAAAAAGGCAGGTCAATTGGCTGCTGACGAGGAAGAGAAGAAACTCAATTTGCATCTGAATATCGTCAGGGACCAGATTCCCATCAAGTATAAAAATGCCTTGTATTTTGAGCAATTCGAGTACACGCCAACAAAGCAAATGGACCATCTTCTTAATCCAGTGACGGTGTTTGGAGAGAAAGCTTTCTTGGAAACCGTCGATAAGCCTCCTACGTTACCCACGATTCCACAATCAAAGATCACAGTGTTCAAAAACGGCCAGTCGCATGGCACAATGTTTGAAGATCTATATTCTTTCCTACCACTTAATGTTGATAATGACGCTGCTGCTTCCGATGCTAACACCAAGCAGCAGCAAAACGCTGCATATAGAAACACAGACGATGGCAGCCTCGGGTATTATCCTATGATGTCTGCTTTCCTGGACGGCGTGGTGAAACTCAACGCTGGTCCTGAGTTTAAGTTCCCTGTTCCAGAAGGGGGACGTCCGTTGTGTGAACGTTACCAGGAGAATGTTGCTGAAGAATGGTACTTTGACCTTCTTGACGAAGTCGAAGCAGAGTACTTGGACAGTTTTGATTAGTTTATGGCTCAACACCTACTTGGATGAGATTGCCATCTTCCAAGTTGGTAGTACTGCAGTTATTGAAATTGGGACACTTGAGGTCGTTTGCTTGCCTGGAATAAACTGTGAAGCACTTGTTGTGGAATGAAATATGGCAGTTGGACTTATCTGATTTGACGCCATAGGTGACCAATTCACCACACACATGGCAACTGAGAAGCTTTCCCAGTGGATCTTCAGGCGAAAACGTCCCGTACCGATCCACCAAATACGTTTTAAGCTCCGCTAGCGTTGCCGTGGACAAAATGACGCGGTTGTTGGACGTGATTTCGATCCATCCATCGTTGACGAGCCTGGCCAAGAAGTAATCGGCATCCCCGAGCCGTAGCTTCGCCACGCTGGCCACCTGCTGTTTGGCATTGCCAATTGGAACACAAAACTCGAAATCAGACGTGATTATCGAATCTATCATCTGCTTTATGGCGTCAAGCTCTGATGGCAGATAAGGCGTACACCCTTGGATCACCTCGTCCTGTTTCGTGTTGACAAACACGTAGACGATATCGCCCAGGACCTGGTCACGCGCCGACTCAACCTTAAAGTCATATTTTTGAATCCCCAAGTTGATATCTGATATATATTCCTTGACTGTGGCAGCTGGATCATCGTTGGTATCGATTTCAAACTCTTCCGCTATAAGCTTAAACTTTTCAGCCAATAGCAGCGCAGGAATCGACCTCACCATTCGAAGGTACGTTAGAAGCACCCTGTGAGCTTCTGTGAACAGCATTGGGGTGGATTGGTCTTGGGATCACTGATGCTGTTTTTCATATCTTGTTCTATGTGATATGTGGGAGGTACGGGTGTGCCTCTGTCCTGGGCCGCTCCAGACGCTATAAAATGCACTTTTTGCAACCATTCACCAGTTCCCATATCCCACCATTGGTCCACCAAAACATGTTCAAATTCCACATATTTTGGCTCTTTTTGACCGCAACGCTTGCCATTGACTCGCCGTGCAATCCGCTTAAAGATTCCGCTTGTGTGGCCCGCAATAACGCTCTCTCTTCGGCAGTGTATGAGTCCATGACGTTCGAACCCAGAAACTTCCAGCAGAACATGGGACCGCCTAATATCGTTTACGATAGTGACGGCGCCAAGATGAAGATCTTGGAAAGAGGCCAGAACCCGCAGTTGGCATCGTCAAAGTATATCATGTATGGCCGTGCAGAAGCAGAGGTGAAGGCTTCCCATGGTAAGTCTGTCATTTCGTCGATGTACATGCAAAGCGACGATTTGGACGAGATAGATATTGGCGAGTTCTTTGGCGGCAAGGGCGACGAGTTCCAGACGAACTACTTTGTCAAGGGTAACATTTCTAACTACGATAGAGACCGGTACCATAAGGCGTATGCTGATTTGACCCAGGGCTACCATAAGTTTGCCGTGGAATGGACGCCAGACCATATTATGTGGTTTTACGATGGGCGTGTGATCAGGAAGGTGCTAAATGCTAGGAATCCTCATGGGTTCCCTGCGTCGCCTATGCGTTTGATGTTTAGTCTTTGGATTGGTGGTGACCCTGAGAACCATCCAGGCACCATTGAGTGGTCAGGCGGTGAAGCAGACTTCCAGGGCATGCCGTATACTATGGGCATTCGCAACGTTCGTCTTGTGGATTACTCTAGTGGTCACCAGTACGTCTATGGGAATGGCCAGGATGTGGATGCCACCAGAGGGGAGATTTTCGGTAGAAAGAAGAGGGATGACGGTGAAGAGGAGACCCCAAGGGACTGGGACGACTCCAGCAGTTACGATGAGCTGGACGAGTACCATAGAGAGGTTCCTGATGGTAAAGAGAAAGAAGGAAGAACTGAGTACGAGATTGACCATGAGTTTGACCAGGGCATTGAGAATAAGGGTTTACGAGGAATCGCTTATTGTGGTTTGGCCTTTTACTGTCTCATGGCGGTTTTGGTCTTCGTGGTGTTTACCTGGTAGGGGGAAGTTTGTTGGATCACCGTTTTGAATAGAATAGAGAATACTGGTTAAGTGAAGGGGTTGAGGCGGGATGTAGTAGATTTACCGTTAAGGTAAGGAATTACTGCTTTACGTGATGACTGAACAGCTTACTTGAGTGTTTCACAGAAGAGAGGATTAGTTGGCTGCTCCATGGTATTAAACTCTCACGATCATACTGGAGCCCTACTGGTACTTAAACGACAGGTAGATTGAAAAAAAGGCTTATTATCTTCAAGAGTAAAATCCTAGAAGTACGTTGAAACAAGAAAATAACGATAAATTTGTGTGTTGATGCTTTGTCAATAAATTACGTGAGTAGTACCCACTCTACCTATTAGCCTCTCCAGTAGAACCACCCACTGTGAGACACCCCCAAAGAACACTTCCTTTTACCTTCCTAACAAATCCAATTCTTCAATATTTCCAATCCTTCAATCAAAGACAAAACACTCTCCCATCCCCCATTTGATGCCCTTCACTTACCTTCATCACCAGCCTCCACTAGCCACATGCCCCATCCACTTTACCACATCTCCCTACACCTCCAACTACCCAACCCAAAACACAACCGACCCCACAATAAATAATTGAAATTGACATATCTACTCTAATAAAAAAATAGCTTTCGTTTTTTTCCTCACTTCCAACCTCCAACTCTCTCCCTCTCCCTCCCTCTCCCTTCCCCCTCTAATGGTTGCAAAACCGCACATCCACCGACCACCAACCTCCAGCCAACCAACTACCCCCACCTTTTACCACCAATCCAAACCTCCCAAAACCACAAAACCCACCCCTTAACTCCCAATTGACCCTCCCTTCACTTCCCCCATCACTCTACCGCCCACGCTGGATTGCTTATCTCGGAGGCATGCAAGTCCGAATGGCTGCGAAACTGCCTTTCAGCTCATCTCCAGCCACAAAACCAACAAACCAAAGACCAGCCTTATCACCTTCCCATCACCTTCCTTTCCATTTACCTTTCTCTTATTTTGTTCATCACATCCCTCACGTCCTCCCCTACGCCTTCACCAGACCACCTTGGGTGGATCATCTGACGGTATCATCTGATGCCTGCACTTGCTGGTTCGGCCCGGTGCAACCCATAAAGCTACCACCAATTCACTTATCAGCACCTTTTCTTCTTTTTATCCACTACACAAAACTATGACCGTCGACTCGGTGAGCTTCATTTCGCTCGTCACGACGGATCCCACGCTTTTCAAAAAAACCGCCACCTTCTACCATGCCTTGGGCCTTCGCTTGGTGAAAAACTACAATAAGGTCTCCAGCTCAGTTGCTTCTACTATAGTGCACGGCATCTCTGGCGATTCATCTAAGGAGATCTGGTTGGAGGCGCTTCCTTTGCAGAACTTGGACCTGGACGGCAATGTGGTGCCGTGGCAGGAGATGCCGTTCTACGAGGGCGACCACACGGCTCAGTTGTGTAAGGGCACCGTGGTGAAGATTAGACTTTCGTCTTTGGAGATTGCCCAGCTGAACCCACAGACCATTGAGTTGTTTACGACGGATATGGAGAAGCTCAAGGAGCTTTTGGGGAAAGCGGGTGCTTCGTTTAAGGAGAATGGCGCTGCAATTGCTGTTTTAGATCCATTGGGCAACACTTTACACTTTTCCAATAAGGAGCTGTATCTCAGTGAACGCAAGTTTACCAGTCAAAAGGAGTACTTGGATTATAAGACCAAGGAGCTTACGGATGCGTTGAACCAGCATAAACAGACAGAGGATATTCTGGACTTGCCTGCTTCTCAGAAAGCCAAGAAGAAGAAGATTGCCGTGATGACTTCGGGCGGTGACGCTCAGGGCATGAACTCTGCGGTTCGTGCTGTCATCCGTTCGGGTATTTACTATGGCTGTGACATGTTTGCTGTCTATGAAGGTTACGAGGGTTTGGTCCAGGGTGGATCTCTCTTGAAGCAGATGGGCTGGGAAGATGTCAGAGGGTACCTTGCCTTGGGCGGTACTATGATTGGTACTGCCAGATGTGCTAAATTCAGAGAAAGAGCCGGCCGTTTGGATGGTGCGTTCAACATGGTTAAGAACGGTATTGATGCACTTATCGTTTGCGGTGGTGATGGTTCTTTGACTGGTGCTGACTTGTTCCGTGCCGAATGGCCTTCTTTGGTTAAGGAGCTTGTGGAAACTGGTCGTCTTACAGAAGAAGAAGTTAAACCATACCAGAACTTGACCATTGTGGGTCTTGTGGGTTCCATTGATAACGATATGTCTGGCACTGATGCCACCATTGGTGCATACTCTTCTTTGGAGAGAATTACCGAAATGGTTGATTATATCGATGCCACCGCTGCTTCTCACTCTCGTGCTTTCGTCGTTGAAGTCATGGGCCGTCATTGTGGTTGGTTGGCTTTGATGTCTGGTCTTTCCACAGGCGCAGACTTCATCTTCCTTCCAGAGAGACCTCCTAAGCATGGCAAATGGCAAGAAGAGCTCAAGAACGTCTGTTCTCGTCACAGAGACTTGGGTAAAAGAAATACCACTGTTATCGTCGCCGAAGGAGCAATTGACGACGAGCTTCAACCAATCACCTCAGAAGAAGTCAAGAAGGTGCTTGTTGAATTGGGCCTCGACACCAGAATCACCATCTTGGGCCATGTGCAGAGAGGTGGCTCAGCCGTTGCCTACGATAGAATGTTGGCAACCTTGCAAGGTGTCGAAGCCTTGAGAGCAGTGTTGGAAACCACTCCAGACACGCCTTCTCCTGTGATCGGCATTGTGGAAAATCAGCTAGTGCGTCAGCCATTGGTGGAGTCTGTCAAGAATACGAAAATGGTGGCTGAAGCCATTGAGGCTAAGGATTTCGATAAGGCTATGGGCTTGAGAGACTCTACCTTTTCTTCGATCTACAGGAACTACTTGGTTACCACTGTCAACGCTGCTGGCGAGAACTATGTTCCTGAAAGAGAGAGATTGAACATTGGTATCGTGCATGTTGGTGCTTCTTCTTCTGCTCTTAACGCTGCCACGAGAGCTGCCACCTTGTACTGTTTGTCCAAGGGCCACAAATTGTACGCCATCCAGAATGGTTTCTCAGGCTTGATCCACTCAGGAAACTTCAAAGAATTGACCTGGTTGGACGTCTGTGGCTGGCACAACAAGGGTGGTTCCGAAATCGGTACCAACAGATCATTGCCTAGCGAAAACTACGGTAACGTGGCCTATTACCTCCAAAGACATCAATTGAACGGATTGCTTATTGTCGGAGGTTTTGAGGCATTCACAGCATTGCATGAATTGGAGAACAACAAGCACAAATACCCTATCTTCAATATTCCAAAGGTGGTTATTCCTGCCACTGTTTCCAATAACGTCCCCGGCACGGAATACTCTTTGGGTTCCGACACTTGTTTGAATCAACTTGTGAACTACTGCGATGCCGTCAAGCAGTCTGCGTCTGCAACCAGAAGAAGAGTCTTTGTTTGTGAAGTGCAAGGTGGTAACACGGGATATGTTGCATGTTATGCGGGTTTGGTCACAGGTGCCATGGCCGTTTACACTCCAGAAAGCAAAGTTACGTTAAAGACAATCAGAGAGGATTTCGATTTGCTATCACAGGTGTTTGAAGACGACAGAGGCGAAGACAGAAACGGTAAGCTTCTCATAAGAAACGAACACGCTTCAGAAGTCTACACCACGGACCTTTTGGCAGACATGTTCAAGGAGGCAGCCAACGGTAGATTCGAAACAAGAACGGCAGTGCCCGGACACGTGCAGCAAGGGTTCATGCCGTCATCAATGGACCGAGTTTACGCTGTGCGTTTTGCTGTCAAGTCGATCGAATACATTGAGGAGTGGAGCAAGAGAGTGTTTTCGGCGGCAGACCACACCCTGCATCACAGTGTGAACAACATCAAGATGATTGATCTTTTGGACAAGGAACAAGAGCTGTCGGTTGTGATTGGCGTGCAAGGCGCCAAGGTTGTTTTCTCAGACATTAACGATCTTTACAACACCGACACCGACGTTGCTTTAAGAAAAGGACGCACCATCCACTGGAGCCGGCTCGAGGAAGTGAGCAACTTGTTGAGCGGGCGTTTGATGCTTAGAGAGGGCAAGCCAACACGGTAGAGCTAAGGTTCCACACAATGGGAAGAGAAAGGAAGGACGAGGGCACGATATAGTACAATAAAAGCCGAGTTATCATGAAGGACAACGTAGGCTGGGATGATGCAACTTTGGCGACAATGCCCCGAAAAGGTGGATATTGTTCGAGCCTGGAAGAGAAGAGCACAAAGAAGCGCAACCTTTACGAATCGTTTGGAAAGGGAACACGACAGAAAGAAAAAGAAAAAAAAGAAAAAAATAGAAGGGAACAAGCCGGTGGAGGTGTTGATCACGCGCCATTATGGTCGAAAGAGCCGTTTGCTTGTTGATGTTAGAGGGGGAGGGGCAGTAAGGGAAGGAGAGAGAGAGAAGGAAGGAGAGAGAGAGAAGGTGGAAGAAGAGTGGAAGATTAAGGAATAAGGATTCGTTTAGGGGATTTCAAGGTTCCCAGGAAGCTTAAAAAACCGCAAAAGTCAAAGTGCATTTATGGTTTCCACGGATCACCAAAACCCTCTTCTGAGACATCCACAGCAACAACAGCAGCGCAAACGTCTTTAAAGGCAAAAGCGCTATTTTTGGTCCCCTCAGTGAAGATCACGGCGGCAGACCTTAAAAGGACCCTTAGCAATGGCATTGTCGATTACAAGAACCATGTAATGGCTGCAAACGCCAAACAATGAGATTGTATGATTGTGGCAGACAGCACAGAGAACAGATACACTTTGCAAAAGAGTAGCGGGGATTTGACGAGGCGTCCCACCAGGCCAGTGTCGATCACGATCCTCAGGTCCATCCACTTGTACGTCTAGAACTGGCAGTTATTGCATTTAAGGATCTAGGGAGGATCTAGGAAGGATCTGGGAAAGGATCTGGGGATGATGATCTTGAGGGGATCAGATATGGGGAAACGATGGAAGTTGCAGAGGGTTGCAGAAGAGGACCCTGGGGGTTTTCTGGGATTTACATGGAAGATACGGGTTATGGGTTGGGGAGGTTGGGCAGCTTTTCTTTTCTTTTCTGGGGCCGTTTTACAATGGACGATTGTGGGAAAGACGTCAAGAAGACCGAATGACCACGGGAGAAGCGGATAATGCAAGGAATAAGCTCTGGCAGCGGGAAATAATGGCAGAGGTAGAGGGAGAGATGCAGCGAGGGAAAGAGCAAGAATCGAAGGAAGAAAGGGCGGTTTTAAGGTGGGACGGATCGGAATTGAGTGGGTGGAAGGCTTGCTTGGTTGTTTTAGGGGGCTTGGAAGAGGGTTTTGGGGGTTTGTGGGGGGACTCGTCAATGTGTGGTCAATGTGTGGTTGATGTGGATGGTTCCAGTTTGCAGCCATTGATGGGATTACTAAGATAGTAAGCTCTGGGGCTAAGTTCTGGGTCCAAGCAGATGTTGATAACTGAAGGCATCGAAGATATGCATTCTTTGTGGCTTGAGCGTCCCACAAGCATGGAAAGTGCAGATGTATAAGTTATGGATTTACCTGGTCACCCAGTCCACCAGAGCAACGATTACCAACGATTATCACTGAACTACCGAATCCACCCACCACTTTACAGCAAATGATCTACACCTCCTCTAGCTTTCCCTGTCCATCCCCTCTGTATAAACCCGACCTCTTTGCCGAGTGCCCACCCTGTTTCGTCCTTTTGTGGATCTTCCCTCTCCAACAGATGTAACAACTTACCAGTCTCTGCGGCAGCAAACAGAGGCAGGGTCCATGCAAGCGAGGCAGCCAGGGCAAGTTAACCCAGGCTTGGAGAGATTCGGACCGTGCGGCAAAGAAGCGTCTATTGCTTCTAAAGATCATGGTTTTGCCAGATTTTGCTAATTTTGCTAATTTTGCTATTTTCCATCGTACATCTGCCGCCGGCTAGAATTACCCCAAACGTCAAAAACCCACAGAAAAAAGCAGAGAACCCAAGCCACCAACACCGAAGCCCGAGCGGTTTTGTGGACTTCAGGCGGTCGCCCGCAGGTGCATGGAGGGCTAAATCGGTGGGAATAAAAAGGGTATGTGAAACGAAATATGTGTGGAAAAAAAGTGTAGGAAAGGATTAAGGGTATGTACGAAGGGCTACTGAGTGAAGCGAGGGCCAGGGAGCCAAAGAGCCAGGGAGCCAGGGAGTTAGTAGATCTGGGGCGAAGGCCTGCGGGAGTCCTGGAGTCCTGGAGCGACTGAAGCATCGAAACCTGTAAAAACTTTAGGAGATAAGGGAGTTAAGGGAGTTAAGGGCGCTGGAGTTAAGAAACCTCTCAAAAACATCTTCGGAGTTTTATTTCTCTCTCGTTTAGAGACGTTTTTGTGGAGTGGTTGGTGGATTCTTGGTGGCTCCGAGTGGGCCTGGGACGTCGTTTAGCGTTAATTTCTGGCGCCGGCCGCGCGAATCAAGGGTCCTTTTTTCTTCAGTCGAGGTCACAAAAAACGCACTAAAAAGTCACTAAACGGTACTCAAAAAATGTCACTAAACTGGTGAAAGGAGAGTTAAGGGGCATGGAAAAGTTGGGGATTAAAAGCAGGCCGATTTTGTGGTTTCCGTGGATTCCTACGGTTTCTGTGTATTTTTTGGGTGTTTTTTGGGTATTTTCTTTGCTGTGGGGAATGTAAGAGAATGGGGCAGACGAGGGTTCGTCTTGTTTCTTCTTATTCTTGTCGTTTTTAACGCTGCCGGGGTTGTTTTTTTTTTTTATGTATGCTTGTTTTTATTCTGCTTTTTACACTTCTTTTGTGTTTCCTGGAGCGTTTTCGGGAAACCAGCCTTCATACCGAAGCCACTGGAATTTCCAAGAGCAAGTTTATTGGAATGCGTGGTTAAGTTGGGTTCGTTGGGAGGGTTGTTGGAGAAGGTTGGCTGGAGACCGGCTGGAGACGATTGGCTGCAAATTCTACGATAAGGCTTTACGGAAAGGTTGGCTGGTTGCAATTGGCAAAACGACAAAAATTGATGATCTTCAGCTCATCGTTTACCTGGTATGGGAGGTTATGGGTGGCTTATAACCATAAAATAACGGTGTAGTCAGGCTGATACCGGTAGAATGTAGTGCCCACGTTGAACAGCAGCGCTGTAGATTATTTGTGATCGGTATTTAGGCTAAAAGCCGTGGTTTATGACCTGCTAGGTATGTCGTTCAAGTCTGCCCAAGAATTGGCTTGATAAGAGAATATGTATGGCAGGAAGGACTATCTAAGATAAAGTTTACCAACGTATGCGATTACATAGCCCAATGCCAGTCGCCCCGGGTATAGTAGCCGTTTGAGCAAAAGGAAGGTGACTTTAGCCCAGTACTTTACTCTACTGGCTGGATCTGGGGAGAGATCTATTAAGAATGGCCCGCTTCGAAAGGCCTCCTTGGGAAGGCCCCCTGGGGTGGCTCCACTTCAGGTCAGCCCAGAGAACAAACCTCCATTCAATTCAGATTAAGCTTCGTTCCCGAAAGTTACTATTTCCAAGTAAAACATCGAACCATACGTCCAAGCGCAATTCACCCAGCCATTCACTCAATTAACCTTCATCCATTCTCACCCTCTCCCAATGCCATTCACAACCTCCCTCCAGTCATTCGGATCCACCAATTCCATTCACAACCCAAGCCTTCCTACTTCCCTCAGGGTCAGGCCACAATGGAACAAATAAATAACATTAAAGCCTGAAAGCTTAAAAGTAGAAAATTCAAAGAACAAAAAGTATATCCAAAAACGCAAGACACGCTAGGAAACAAGGGCAGCCCTGGTCGTCCATTGAAACTGTGCCCAAGCCCAGCACCCCAAACGTCGATCTTTCCCTAAAAAAACACCATAAAAAACAGACTTCGGGGAAGAAGCCTCCCCAACTTTTTACGCTTTCCCTTTCTCTCTTTCCTTTTCCACTTTTACACTCTGCAGCGATCGGTTTCGTGGCTCGAATAAGCCATCTTCTGGCGTCCCCCCAACGCAAACGCTGCGCCAGAACAGGCTGCGCCCAAGCTGCGTCCAGGGTTTTCGCAGCCACCATGGAGGGAGGAAATTGAGGGAAAAGTAGTGCTAGGAAGGCCGTTTCAGAACCGGTTTCATGTTGTGTTTCACATCGTGTTTCATATCCGGCCAGCATTTTTCACTTTGTGTTGCCTTAATCTACGTCTGTATCTCCCTCTGTACCTCCCTCTGTATCGCTTTTCCATGGATCCTGAGCTACCTGCCTGCTGCCTGCCTGCTGGGGCGGTCGGACTACAGGGTACCACTGTAAGCCACCCACCGCAAAGTCTAAATCGTGGGATATTATTTATCCACGTCTGGAGCGTGGATGCGTATTTTTGTGTCGTTTTCGTGCTGGGTGGTACTGTGCAGCAAAAATGGCCCAATGGTTTGGGACGCCAGAGGTCAGGATCAGGCCCAGGCAGGGCTGGTCAGGCCCAGGGCGACGGAGTGACAGAACGGAATGGAATAACAGGATTTGGAAAGGCGAGAACAAAGAAGCCCCGGGGGAAAGAGATTAGCGTTTTTTCCCGCTTCCTTCTGTTTGTGCTTCGTCTTTTCTTTTTCTTTTTCCTTCGGTTTTTTCAATGGCTGCAAAGAGACTTGGCTCAATGAGACACATTTTTTAGGAGCTGCGCGAGAGTTGAGCTCAGACTTCAAGCAGCCACTGGCATTGGCGAGAAAGCGAAGAAAGTGAAGAAAAAAATGGTTTTGAGGGAATTCAGAGTGAATATATGGATCTGTGTATTTTTGAAGGTTTTGAGACCTCTGGGTTTTGCTACCTCTCTGTGGCTCGCCTCCTCGGTTTCTGGGGCATTTGGGGCGCCGAGCAGCATCTCTGGTGACAGCATGGGAGTTGCGGTTGCAGAGTGGAAACGTCGAAGAAATGGCTAGAAACGGCCAGCAGCGAAGCCAGCAAGAGCCATGACGTGTAGACACTGAAACAGCGAGAGAAGACGAAGTGTGGGATGCCAAACTCTTTGTCTGGAGAGCACAGAAAGCCTACCACTGGAGATACCGGGCCCACGCCGGGGTTAAGGACACAGCAAAGAATAAGGAAATGTGCATTAAAAAAATAGGCAATGCCCCACGACTCGTTTCGTGTGGGTAGGTCTTCAAACCAATACATAATCGTTGAATTGGTCAAAAAAAAAAGACGCAATTATAACCGTAGCCGGGCCCACCCCAGCAGGTCGGGAAAGCGTGGGCCATGACGAAGGACAAACCAACTGATGTTCTTTAAGCCCTGGTGAATCGAAGCAATGTAGGCTTTCGATCGAAAGAGAAGACGAAGGTGAAGAACCCTAACACATGGCTTAACCTGGTGGTATAGAAGAAATCACCAGATCCAAAACCCCCCAAAAAAAAGAAGGTCAATTCGAATAAAATAGGAGCCTTAGTCTGCGGCTGGAGATCGATCTTACATCGCTTCATCCCAAAGAAAAAAAAAAAAAAAAAAAGTTGGCTGTTTACGTGAAACCGTATAAGTAGAAGCATAAAATAGCCTGGGCGTATCTGTCTGTGCGCTGCACCCATCAGTCAACAAAGTAAGCTGACCCCAATTCTCTATTTACCTGTCCTTCTCCAGTTTCACCTACTTTTTTTACCTTCTCTTTTTCCTCTAATTCTCTGCCTCGACTTCCCTCCACTTCATCTCCCTCCACTGCCTCTACCTCCCCCCTCAGACCGTTTTCTCTCTGGCGCCAATAAGCACCCCCCGCCACGCCAGCCCCATGGAAATATTTTTCGTTCTATTATTCCACCTGAGGATATTTTCTACTATTTTCAATCTTCTGCTTAAATGTAAATAATATTCGCCTGGCCCGTTTCATCGAAACGTCTCCTTGTCTTCACTCACTTCGCGGGCTGCGGGCTCGTTTCAGTTTTCTGCGGAAACCCGACAAGACACAAAACAGTGAGGCAAGGGAAGGCAGAGGGAGCACGAAGTGGTCTTGTGGTGGAACATGCAAGGAAGGTGGGAGGAAGAATTGGCAGTTGCTTTTGCTCGGCGGGCGGGGGTTGTTACCCAGAGAATGACCGATTGAGTTGGAATTGGATGATTTTGGGGCGGCCCAAGCTAATAAGGCTGAAGCTTTGGGGCGCCAAAAGTCGCCTGGGGCCTGGGGGCCCTCGGACTAGTGCCCCCGGAAGGGCCTAATCTGGGGGGGGTATACCGGGGGGCGGTACCGGTAGGTTGTGTCCTGCATATAAGGTCGGTTGAAATTCACACAACTTCACAATTCACAATATTCACAAGGCATGCAGCCTGCCACGCTGCTGCCACTGCTGCAGCCCGACGCTTGACGCACTGCAGACGCACCCGCCCTGCACCACTCCAGAGGAACAAAAGACCTGGCCCACACGCACTCCCCCATGCACCTCAGACGCACTACCAGACGCACCACTCAAATCTCTCGAGAGCCGAATCTTAGCCAGAAAAAAAAAAAAAAAAAAAAAAAAAAAAAAAAAAAAAAAGGTCAACTACTTTTGATGTTCTTCATCTACATACCACTTTTCTTCCTCCAGTGCATAAAGTTAACTTTAGTATACTAGGCTTTTATATCTTCCCATATCATCATCAAGCAGTGTCCCGCCCATACGCCTCCTGCCCCATCGCACTAGTATAAATAGCCGTTACTTTCCCCCGGCCTTTAGTTAAAAGTCCCACTTACTCGGTCTCCAGAACGGCCCCTGGCCAATATAATCCTCCCCTTTCCCTCCCTGGGCGGCCCGTATCCTCCTTTTTTTCCTACTTTTCCCCCTTCCCAATCCCAGGCTGTTTTTTCTTCCATTAAAGGCGAAGACTGTCCAGGCGACAGACTAAGAGTGCCCTTATCTACATTTTAATCCACCTTCCTTCATTTCCAGTTAATTCCTCCCTTTTTTCCAAGCCTGTGGCCAGCATCCCATGACATGACGCCGAAACTGGATCCCCCCGTCAAGAAGAACGCCTTTGTGCATAAACTCTATGGCATGCTCAACAACCCAAAGTTAGCCCATCTCATCTGGTGGACTGGGCCCGACGATTCCAATACGTTTGCTCTTTATCCAAGTAAAGAGTTTGCTGATGCGCTTCTGGACTACTTCAAGCACGGCAATGTGGCGTCGTTTGTTCGCCAGTTGCATATGTACGGCTTCCATAAGATCCTGGACCCCCAGCTGGCTTATCACGACAAAGACCTGCCCATCTGGGAATTTCGCCATTCACTGGGCAAGTTCAAGAAGAACGACGAGTCCTCCTTGGTGTATATCAAGCGTCGACTGCTGCTGAACTCCCTGCGCAACCTGTCGTTGCTTGATAATGAAAATAATCCTCCCCAGCATCAGCCTCATCCCCATCAACATCAACAGCCTCTGCGTTCCTCCCATCCACATATCTATGATCCCCATGGCATTGCCTACTATCCACAGCCGCCACGCCCAGGCCAGACCCATCCACATGCTCATCCCCAGGCACCTCCTCCATATCCATACGCGTACTATGCTACTGCTGCTGGTGCTGTCCCTGTGGCCCAGTCCCAGTGGCCTCCACATGTCCATCTGACGCCCCAGGGGCTCCCGCCGTACGCTTACCAGGCCCATCCCTACCAGCCTCCTCCTCATCAGCCTGTCCAGGGCTTCCCTCCTCATGTCCAGCATCCTCATGACCCACAACACATGGCTTACCCAGGCGTGATGCTCCCGCCTCCAACGCCAAAGGCTCCAGAAGCTAAGGAAACGAACAATTCACATAGTCCTTCGCCCAAGAGGCGATCCCATGATGCTCTGGGTCTGCCTCATACGGTCCTGGAACTGCCCCATCTTCGGTACTCCCATTCTACGCTGCTGCTTCCGACTTATCCAGCATCTACACAGTCAGAACCTCCTCGGTCCACAGCATCAAGCGACGACGCCACTTTACAGTTTAGGAAACCCTGGGACGCTGCGCTGGATAAGCGTCCCCGTCATCCGTCGTTGCTTTTTGACCCATTGGCTCCAAACAACAACCATAATCACAATAACAGCAACAGTACACAGACCAGGCAACCCAATGAGGCCATTAAGCTTCCGCCATTAGTGGGCCAAGGCCAAGCTTCCACAAGCCCTCCTACAGGCGCTCAGCCCATGCCGCCATTGCCTATCCAACGTCCTTCGCTCTCTTCAGTGCCTATCCGCAAATCTGTCTACGATAAGCTACGCCCTCTGTTGATCGAACTACATTCAGCAGCACATCCACCTACGTCAGGCCATTCTAGCGCCAGCGCTAGCGCTCCTGGCTCGGTGTCGACCCCACCACGTACCTTGGCAGGCCACAACTTTGACTCGATTGGATCAGGGTCGCTGTCGATCTTCTCAGGCGCCTCGTCTATTTCGTCGCTCCTGAGCGGGAACAGATCGTCATTTGGCTCTATTTCATACTTGATTGAGGAAAACCGCAAGCCTTCGCTAGTGGCGCCTCACGAGAGACCGGCGTCACCACAAATGCATCCACCTGGGCCTCCAGCACCTCCAGCACCTCCAGCTGGTCATCCTGGGCCTCCTGGTACGTCAGTGGTGACTACAATCATGGAAGAACGTGAAGGCGATCATCTTTCGCAGCCAATGCCTCGGTTAGCGCAAGCAGAAGCAGTTGCGCTTGGGAAGACTTCTACAGAAGAGCAAGGCCAGACGACCAGCAGCGCTAAGAGTCTGACGACATCGCCCAAGCCTTCTACCCCGCTGTTCAAGGCGAAAGTATCGTACTTGCTTGATGATTCGAGCAATGGAGTGAAAAGGCAAAAGACAGAAGCCAAAGATAATGAAACCGAAAAGACTGCTGAGGCCTGATGCCGGCAGGGCCGTCGTTGGGCCAACAACACAGGTATGGGATCAGACGATCTACGAAAAAACGACACTGATGTTTCCAGAAGGCGCTGGAAGGCACCGAAGGCACCAAAGGCACCAAAGGCACTGGAAGGTACTGAAAGGCACCAAAACGTTGAAGTTAAAGTTTGGTCATGAGACAAGCAAAAACGGTGCAGCTGAAAAATCAAGCTTTCCAAGACTTGCCCAAAAACTCTTCCAGCTTAGAGCAACCAAGCTGCGCCAGCGCTTCAATGGCTTCACTTGCTTTTTGCTAGTTAGGGTCCACTGACGATCGAAGGATTGCCCAAAAGCACACCAGAGAGAAGCTCTGTGCCAGATGTAAAGAAGCCAATGCAGAAGAACGCCAGAGACCCGATTTTGGGCCTGGGTGGCCTGATTTTTGCATTTTTCTGCGTTTTTAGACATGCGCTAGCATGCGCCGGCACGCGGCACGGCTATTTCAGGTGGAACCAGCCGATCAGGTTTTTCAATCTTCAGCTGAATGTCCTTGTTAGGCTGTGAAAAAGCAGACAATGGTTTCCGATAATATCTTTAAAGTTGGAAGATTCCATTGCAGGGGGGCGTCTTTGCATAACTGATAAAGGCAAAAAAGTGGTTGGTTTCTAAAAAAAAATCAGCCCAGAGAAGCAGGGCAGATCGAAGCAGAGCTGAAGCGAGTCGCAGCAGGAAAAAATAAAAAAAAAAAAGCTGAAAATAAAAAATTTGCTCAGTCGCCCCAAAAAAATAAAAAGAGAGATTAAAAAAAAAAAAAAAAAAGAGGCCCAAGAATCTACACATCAGATAATGCATACTTCGATGGAATCTGTGGTACTTTTTTTGACTTTTTTGACTTTTTTGCAGTTTTGTTTTTTTTCTTCAATGTGTGAGTATTACGGAAGTTTTAAGAGAGACATGGTTAAATAGGTGAAATTTTTAATGAAAAAAATACGTCTATCTCTTTAACGTAGAAAGGCGTTGAAAGCAGCACCAGCGCTCATCACCATACCTACCGTTTATGGCTGCAACTACCAACAAACCTCCCCAAACGTCAAAAAAATCAGAAAAAGTCATGATTCCATTAAATTTCAAGCCAAACGAACACCACCACTGCAAAATTCAGCCCAATTCACCCCCAATAGCCTTTCTGGTACCTCTTTATCACCTCCCAAATCCATCGTCTGGCTTGTCAAGACAAACGCACGACGCTGCCATCAGGCTCGTCCATCTCTCGTCTCCTGCTTTTCCTGGGCCTCCGGCGTCGTCCAGCTGCCACCAAACTGCCGCCACTGCTCAGGCGAATGTACGGTGCCTCAAATGACGTGTAGATGATGCAGATACCCATGGACGAACTGGGACAAGTCCACGGCAGTGGAGGAGGAGGTAGTGGTTGGTTTTGGTGATTTTAGAGGCTTCACTATGGACGTTTGGATGGTAGATGGGTTACACGTGCCGTTGGATCCCCAAGACTGGTTTAAACAGCACTAGACCATTTTGTGGTCTTGGGAACAAACGGGCTTCCGGAGCACGGCGGTTCTTCAACTAGACAAGAGAGAAAAGAAAAGAAAAAAAGAAGGGTGAAAAGAAGAAAAGTGGAGATTCAGCCGCTGGACATGATGCTGGTTTCTTGTTGGTACATAGCCGGAGTCCCCGAAGGGAAAGTGTGCTGGAGAGTGATGGAGCAGAGTCTAAATAAGCCTTTTGGTCTAAAGCCCTGGAAGTGGTTTTGTGGCATTTGGCTGCAAACCATTGAATCTGGCGATATCGGATGGCCCAAGGCAGAAGCAGAAGCAGAAGCAGAAGCATGAACGGGGACGTAAATGCAAAAGTAAAGAAAAAGCCAATTTACAGTTCAAACTTTATCAACACTTCCTTCACTGGCTTTTTCTTCACCTTTCACGTTCAGCCCAACACTCGCCAACCCACTTTGTGTATTCTCTGTCCATCTTCACAAGCCCCTGCCGAGTCCCTTGAAGCTGCCGCTGCTTCTGCCGCTACAGCTCACAACCAGACCCCCACACTTGACTGTGTTTTACGACTGTGTGCGCTGTGCACATTCTTTTTGGGTATTGTGTTATATTCGTGGTTAGTCCCTGGTTAGTACCTGGTGGTTAGGCGCCGAGCGTCTGCCTAACGCCGGTCCAGGCGATTCCAGCGGAGTTGTTGGTTAAATCGTTTGGTGACAAAAAGAAGGAACTACATGGATTTACATGTCCATCTGGTGATATCTCTTCAATTGCATTTTCTCATTAAATGACAACTCTACAGCCCTCCAGCACTCGCTTGGAGTTTGCAGCATCGTAGTTTGCGCCTTTTCCTGTAGTGATTTATGTATGGCGGCCTAAATCCCAGCCAAGAGACCCTTTTGCTCATTTGGCAGCCCGTTGCACCCTGACAACCATTTGGACACTTGGAGCGACCGAAGCGAGCGACAAGTGCTGCCGGAGATCGATATCTCAAAGTACATGTGTTGCTAGTGTCTATTTTAGAGAAGGATGCTTCTCTGGCTACTTGCTTGCGTTAGGAGCAATGAATATCCAATGCAGATGGTTCTGGTTAGTGGACGTCGAGCAACAAGCAACGGGAAAGAAAGAGCAAATATATGTAAGGCGTAAAGCGAAGCGTAAAATGAAAAATAGAGCGTCGGTTGAAGCGAAGACGGCAGAAGCGTAAAGTTAGAGCTTTGGATTAATCCACGGTGCGTTAGTGCCGAAGGCCAAGTGGAGTAGACGTAGATGGCAAGCGTTGATGGAGTATGAGAAGAGATTTAGTGCCAAGGCAGTGAAGTGAATGAAGGGGAAGAAAAGGGAGAGAAAAGAAAGAGAAGTTTTAATCCAATTGGATATATCAATGTCTATATATATAATTAAATGTATATATATCCATATTCTAATTCACTCACCTTCACCCACCCGTCCAATCAAAACACAGCCAAGTCGAATTACTCATGCACAAACCTAAAAAGCCAAAAGTGCCAGGTATCAAGATCAACCCGGTTTTGTGGTTCTGGTTTAGTGTCGTTAACGAACAAGCAGGTGAGGAATAAGCGACCCGGTGAGGCTCCCGTGAGGCCCGTGAGGCTCCCGTGAGGCACAAGCGAGAACGGTATTTGCGTTTAGAGGGTATTTGCGTTTAGCAAATACCCCAAAAGCAAAGGGCATATAATTTGCCAAGTCAATGGGTTCTTAGTTGTCTGTCTTTTGGAGAAGTGGTGGGTTGTCTTTTGGCTGCGAAAAGTGTCCAGCCCAGTGCTTCCTCGCTTTTTCCAGAGGAAAAACTGGACTCCCCAAAACCTCCAATTTCTTCAATTACTTTCTTGTTTTCCTTAAAACCCGTGCACCTTAAACAAACCCAACCTCTCCCCTTCAATTCCACCCAACCCACGCTGTTCCACCTCCAATAAATCCCACGAATCCAGCAACCGCTGGCTTTTCTGGAGCCTCCAGCGCACGGCAAGATGCATCTGTGAGGCGCCAGCGCGGCGAGAAAATCGCAGAAAATCGTACCCTGAAAAGCGTAAAAGTGGCAGGAAAGTGGCAGGAAAAGGCGGAAAAAGACAGGAAAAAGACAGGAAAATGGCTGAGGCTGCCTGAAAAAATGGAACCCTGGCCAGGGAAAGCTCCAGCCTTGTTCCAGTAAATACATGAAAAGACAACATATACTTTCTTTAAAGAACATAAATGGTTTCCAAAAAGTGTCTTTTTTACTGCCCAACTTTTCCTTTTTTTAAATTCCCTTCTTTTTCCCAAAAGGGCGTACCCTTCTTTTCCTCTGTTTCCCTGTTCCTCCAAATCCTCCTCGCTCTGGCTCTCCAAACCCTCTTCCTCCCAAGCCCACCAACCACGCTTAAACTCAAACCTTACTCAAACCTTAACCTTGTCCATGCGGCGCCAGCTTGTATTTACCTTCTTACTCTGTTTCCCTTTCGTTCTTTCCATCCTCTTCTGGCCATTCACGCTTTCTGTTTACATTTACCTCTTCCTCTTCACCTTCACCTTCCTCTTCCACGTCTGGGGCTTGGTAACCTTAATTTCTGTTTCTGTGTTTTGCGTTTACATGCCGAAATGAAACCGCTTCTTCGGGCTTGTCGGGCTTGTCGGCCTCTTCGGGCTTGTCGGGCTTGTCGGCTTCCGCTGAATCTCTGTTTATACGTACTTGTTCTGGCCAGAAGGACCCTGTGGCTTGGAAGTGGAGATGCTCACGAACCGAGGTCCTGACAGGCCCTCTGGTGGCTGCAAATCAACTGTTTGACTGTTTTCTGGGGTAAATCGTTACCTTTCGTGCATTGTACTGGTGCAACCGGCAAATCTCCCCAGCACATCCAAAATCTCCCATTATGGTTAAGCCATCTAAAAAGACAATCTACAACCTGGGATCTAAATTCCCTTATAAAACCTCCTCCTCTTCGGTAGCTTACTACTCGCTAAACCCAGTCACCTTCACTCCCCTCCACCCAACTCTATTCTTTTCCAACCCATTCTCCAACCTCTTCTTCACTTTCCTCATGCCTTTAGCCTTTTGGCTTTGTCTTTTATGCTTCTCTTACGACTTAGCACGCTGCACCGCTGCCAACAGTCATGCCAATGCCCAAGCCTTCCCAAGAAATGCTTCCTCTTTCTACCTACGTTCCCACTACACCTGCAAATGTAACCATGGCATGCTGCTTTTGAGCCCGTGCTCCAGCAACCTTATTTCTTCGTATCCTTACCCAATGTGTCCTTATGTACATTGAAGTGCTTTCATCTTTCGAAAAAAACGTCTCTGTAATGCATCCTTAATTTGGGCACCTTCTGCCAAGCTTTGGAACAAGAAGAAACCAGAACCAACCTCACCGCAAACCTTTCGTTGTGCTGCCTATTCTTGTTTTTTCTTCTTTTCTTAAGGCTTTTTCTGCTGTTTTACGAAGCTGCGCCAGCAATCCTTCTTCAGCTTCCCATGAACCCCCGCTTCGTTCCGCTAACTGCAACAGCAACCAAACGCTTCGTGGTATCGAACAAAAAGCACGTTCTCTTGCATTGTGACAATGTGGTTGTAGAAATGAAAGAACCCAAGTCACAGGCATTCTTTTGGGGGAGAGTGACCCATGCTCGTACCAACATCAACACAATGGCTGATATGCTAAAGATAGTGGGTTTTCAGAGTTGTGGCACCACTCTTTGCCAAGGGCTGAGGGTCCACGGTTTGACTTATTCGCCTAGGACACAATGGGTATACATTGTGAAAGATATAAGCAAAAAAAAAAAAAAAAAAAAAAAGAAGAAGAAGGCGCCAAATCCGACTTCCCTTTTGAAGTTTCATTGTATTTCGCCATTGCCACGGCAATGGGGGAGAGCCTCTTTCTTCATGTTTCTTCTTCCATTGTGCTCAACGAAAACAAACCTCTATGTTGTAGTCCAACATCTAGCTTTTTTGGCGACTTTGTGATCTTCAGCACGAACGTCGTTATGGATCTCTTCTAAAAAGCCAATCTTCCATCTGCTTCATTTCTCATGCTTCCTTCACCAAAAACACCCTAGCCCATAACCACAATGGCTGGAACACTTCCCATTGTTAACGTCTTCCTGCGTCACACTAAATCCCATTATACGCATTGTTTCCCACCCAAAACACCACTAATCTTCACAAGAAAGGCTAGTTTCCTGGCACCCCTATCGGATCTGGAGGGGGAAGGCTCTGATCGTCATTACGTAGTTCGAAAGAAAGAACCCAACGAAAGATCAACATCCAGTATACAGCGTTTGTCTATGCATCTGTAACACACGTAGCAAACAAGAAAGCCCATCCAGCCACACAAGGTTCGTCCACGCAATACAAAGACATTGTTGATGTTTCAAGTGGTGAGTGTGCTCAACAAGGCCCCTTCCACATTCATGCGAGAGATCTCCTACACGAGGAGGGCCCGGAAGCCAAGAACAGATAGCAGTCGCCAAAGGCAAAGAAGAAGCAGCAGAAAAACCAAGTCCCCATGCTATTAAAAGCGTATTATAGAGCCTCCTGTCCAGCCACTTTATCGTCACAATGGAGGCCTTAGAAGGGCTCCCTTCGAATGACGCCCTTAGAATGGCGCCCTTAGAATGGCCGCTTCGATACCTTTGTCGCTTTTTTCGTGCTTCTCTGGGCACTCTGGCGGCGTTCCTCCTCTTCCTCTGAATCCACATCGTCCTGGCGCTGCCCCTTCAGAGCCGTTTTCGCCGTCTCCTTTGCCTGTTTCTTCTTCCCGTCCAATTCACCCAAAAACTGGCTCCGTTTCTTTTGAACCTTCTGAGGCGGTCCCTGTGGTTTCTTTTCCTTATTATTTACACGCCCACGGCTATCGTTTCTCATTTTGTTGACCAAAGCAGCCATGGCTTTGCTTCCAGCCGTGTTCTGGCGATTCTCCTGAACCTTCAACTTTTGGGGGTCTTTTTCAGGATTCACAAAATCTGATATCGTCTTTTGCTCCTCGTCGTCCTTCTCAAGCTCATAGAGGCCCAGCCCGTTCGAGAGAATCGGCAAGTTAAGAAAATCAGCCCCTGAAACCTCTTCTTCTGTGTTCAGAGAGGCATTCTGGGACGGTAGCCAATTGGCGACTGTGGAGTTGGATTCGTTGAGGGCAAGCTGGAACCGGAGCTGGAAGGCCTCCTTCTCTTTGATTTCTTTCCTTCTGTTGACTTTGGACATGTTGGTGGGTTAAAGGAGCATTAAGTGAAGATAAGTTGTAGGTCATCTCGCGAGATGAGTATGTAAGACCAAAAAAAAGAGTGCGCAAGCCCGGAATCGAACCGGGGGCCCAACGATGGCAACGTTGGATTTTACCACTAAACCACTTGCGCTAGGAAAGAAATGCTCCGAGACGGGGAATTGAACCCCGGTCTACCACGCGACAAGCGGTAATTCTAGCCACTAAACTATCTCGGACAACTTGTAAGTGGAGAAGGTGCTCAGGGTAGTAGTACCATGTTTTGGACAAATCTCAAAAATTTCAAGTTTCAAGAACTTATATATATTAATTCAAGTTTTGGCTATATGAATCCGGTGTTGAAATTGAGCTACGGCAATTTTTCGTGGAGTTATGGGCGAAAACGTGTGAAAATGTGTCAAATTCAAGGTATAAAACCCGTACATCCTCGAATGCCTATAAGCAGCTAATGGAGGCATATATTTCACTTTTTGCAGTTCGATGTGATTTTTTGGTTTTACGAAGGAAATACTATAGTTTAGAGGCTGATGAGGGCTCTTGGTTAGAAAAATTCCTATTCCAGAGGTATCTCTAGAGAGGTGTTAGACATGTTGTAAAGCTCTTGAGATATAGGTTATACAGATACTCCCACTCCAAATGGCCCATTCAGTCAATTGGCAGTCAAAGGCAAAACATAAGGAAACTGGTGAAGTTCAACATGATATAGATGAATAAAGAATGATATATGGCGAAAAGTTGATGTCTATGCATCTCTGAATACACATGATATATATGTACTATATAGGCTCTGAAGAGGTGAAGCAAAGACGAATAACCCCCAGTCAATGGCCTCCCCAGGTACCCAAAACAGCCCTTAAGTAGTTAAATATAGCTAAGAGCCACCCCTTTTTTACATTCCATCCCTCTTATCCAAAAACCACTCCCCTCTTTCCCTTCACTGACCCTCCACAACTCCCTCTTTCTCCATACTTAACCAGTCAACCAATACTTTTCACCACGAAAACCCACAAATTTCCCACCCCAACCACAAACTCCTAAACTCCTCCACCATCCAATCCAAGCCCACCTCCACTTTCCCAAAACCACCAAAACAACTGCAACTCCCTAACTTCCAACCTTCAACCTCCAGTTTATGCGGGAACCTGTCAAAATGGGTGCAAAACGCTGAAAGCTGCAGCGCCACAGCACAACCAACCCCAACTAGCAACAGAATTGCTTTTGAGTGAACGACCAGAAATCGAAAGAAGTCGACTGGCCTCGGGAACCACAATCTACTAAAACACTTACCTTCCTTTTCCTTCTTTAGTACCTTCCCTTTCTGCTTATCTGTTCGCACATGGCCGATTTTTCACCCTAACTACTACTCCATGAACCGACGAGACTGAGTGTAGCCACCAGGAATTGCCTATAATACCTCCTTCTTTTATGCCTACAGTCATCATTTCTCATCGACTGTCGCTTGTGGGGTGCTTGGTGGCGGCAGCACTTCGACTTTACTTCCAAGCACGGAACTTGAAGATCATCGTGGTGGAATCGCTAGATACGAGTTTCACCAGCCAGCCATTCTGTGGGATAAGCACGATTTCGAACCAGAGACTCGCTTATAATGCGTTTCTCCAACGAGCCTTCTTTCAGGGCTTGTTGGCGCCGTCGTTGACGTTCCTAGAGTCTATCCAGATCCACAACTCTCCTCTGTCGAGACCAGAGTTCCCCAATTCCCAGCATAAGGTGCTTGCCAGCTTGGGACTGCCGGCTCAGTTCCTTGCTCTCGTGTACCATCCACAAGTACTACTCAATTCGCTACGCCAGTCGCTTTCAGCGGATCCGCTGATAACGTTTCTCTCGGTGCTGGACCGTGGCGCCATAGCACAGCTCCAGGGCGACTGCTACATCAACTTCTCGCCGGGCGAGTATAACAACAAAACGGAGAATTTGGATCTTGCTGCCCATTCATGTCTATTTCCAATGGAGCTCAGGCAGCAGCTGGTGCTGCTGCTGCTGCAACAGGCTCCGCCCATGCTATGGCTCCCATCGTTTAAAGCCTCTACTCAAATGTTCGAGGCCATTTTCACCAGCACGGCGTCGTCCACGCGAGCCAGTCTAAACATCGAAGTGCATTCGGTCAACCTCAACATCCACGAAAACAGCTTCGCCTCGCGGTACGACCTCAACCACGGCATCAAGGCCTGTGACTATGTTCTCCAGCTCATGGAGTCGCTAGCCACGCGTCTTGGCCTCGTTCCTTCTCGTCTATAGTACATCAAACCGGAAGCGTATCCAAGCCAGCAATACGATTCACGTACGGTTCCAACGCTGGATGTCTCAAAATGCTGCCAATGACAGGCACGTTCCGTAGAAACTGGACAATGGTGCCTATAAAGTCGCCAAACAACGAAAGAATGCCCACGCCTTCCACGATAAACCCAATAAAGGAGCGTTTAAACAAGATCAACGTGATTCCACCGAAAAAGAATATCGTCGGTCTGATCTTTGTAGGACGAGCAAAGAAGTAGATGGTTCTCGTAGGCCCAATGATCAAAATGACGCCAATGACAAACAACAAGTTGCCAATGGCCAAAAGACTGGAATCAAAGAAGGCCAAAATCCCAAGAAGGAAAAACACCACGCCTGCCGCCGTCAGCACCACGCCGTACTCTAGGGTTAGAAGAATTCACATAAAAAGGGAGACAATGTACATACTCTGGCGCTCAGTGAGCCACATGTTGGAATCGAAAAGCATGGTTCTGGTTACTTTGTTGGTTGTGAGACGTGGATAGTGGAAAATAGAGAAGTAGGTGGGTTTAGGGTCACGTGACCGCGATGGAATGTTAGATGAAGGGTGCACGACTGTAGGTAAGAAAGACTATGTAACGGACATAGCTGGGTTTATAGTAAAGAGTGGTTCGTAGTGTATTGAGATAACTAGTTAAGGAAAGAAGGATGGGAGATGCCATCCTTATATAGTGAAGACATTGGATGGCAAGCAAGTAAGAGGGTCATCATCATAGCAACTATAGGAATCTGGGCAACAGGATATCATCATGCCTGCATATAGAGCATGTATTCCAACACCCGTTCTTAGCCTGTGGCCTAAGATTCATTTGAGTTCGGGTAGATATGGCCTGTATCAGTGGAGCGTCCTTATCAAAAGTAGTCTGTAAATGTTCGTATAGTTGTTGTTAAGGATTTGGGACATTCGAAGGACCACTTAAATGATTGTCCATGACACTGAATTTTGAGCCCAAAGCTTCGTGAAGGGCGTAACTGTCTGATGATGAATGACAGTTCTGATTCCTTTGATTCTTCGACGATTATTTAAGTCACATATTGATCGTTCGTTCGAAAATTGACTTCTTTCCTCTTGGAACCGTCTGTCCTCTTGGGACCGGTTGTCCTCTTACTTTCGCTTTTCCACTGGGATAGAGTTTGTTACTCTATATCCCACAGGCACATCAACGAGAACCTAGACATGTTTGTGAGTGTTGCAACCGTATGGTCGGGACGCTCATGGTGCTCAAGACATTACATCTGGGTAGAGACACCTCATGACAAACTGGTTGTTATCTCTCGTTGTAGTACCACAGCAGAGTATTTATTTTATCTTCTCTGCTTTGTCCAAGGTTGTCGCGGATTTATTGTAGCTCGGCGGTAGGGTGAATTCCCTTTATCTTTGTTGCGCAAGAGATGTAGCTAGGTTAACAAGTATCTGGCTTCTTCAGATAGTTCTTTGATGAAATCTTCCGTAGGACCCGTCCTTCTATATTTGCAATTGTCCCAGGTAACCTGCTGTTTTCTTCCTGACTTCTTGTCTCGCAACTTGCTCATGTTCCGTCATAGCCGCCTTTAACAAATAATCTCTGAGTACATTTCTATGTTGTGTCTTCAACGCGACTGGCCTTGTTCACTAGTAATCCACTCTTTAAGACAGGTCTCCTTCTTATGGGAGTAAAGCCTATTTGATCAGCCCAAGGTTGCATGCGTAGTCCATTTAGTGTGTCATTAGGGGAAGTCTCTGTTCAAGGTTTCGTGGTTTAGTTCCTTTGGGATTAGTGAAATCAGGTCCAGCTAACTTTATCAGTTCAAAGTTCGACATCGTTTTGTTTAAGCATCCATGTTAGTTGTTAAGGACCAACGTTTAATTTAGCTGTTTCGAACTGTATTGCTGGCTGTTGAGTTCCTTGGTTGAGAACCTGATTGACTGTTGTGCCTGCTCTCACTATCCCCTTTTTCTTTCTATGGCGAGTGTGCTTGTCCTGCTATCCGTTAGGTTTCATGCTCGAAGTATAACTGGGGGAACTTTGGTGACTCCCTAACTCTCCAGTTCAACCTATTAGATATTGCGGATGTGTTTGAAGTCTTTTGGTGAACTTAAACCCGTTCTTAACATGCTTTCCTTTCCTATGATCATCACTTCAAGTGTGCAATCCTTCTTTGGTTCTGATTAGTAGTGATATTCTTGTTATGTTGTTTTGGTTCCTCTTATTAGGGTTGACTTAAATAGCTGCATGGAAATCAATGGTAAATTGGCGACCTTCGGGGAGGTATCTCCCTCATATAGATCTGAAAGTGAGAACAACACATGAATTCCCCCTTTCGCCAATTTGGCACCATGCGCTTTGAATAGTAGTCTTCTTGTCTAAAACCGTTCTGAACTCACCGACGATGCATACGCTGTCCTGCTAGCCGGGACAGTACTCGGAGCTGTGTTGACTTCGTCTCTCGAGCCTGCCCTCTAGGCTTGTACTCTCCTAAACCGGGCAAGATTCATGGAGGTCCCCACTCTCACTACTTCAATGTCTTTTTTGCATTGTGACTTCCCTGGTATCCATTCCACCCTGTCAGAGGAAGATTTAATACCAGCCGCCAGAGAAACATCCTCCTTAACTTTCCGGGGTAAGGAGGTCAAAAAAATTCTGGACGAAGTCAGTGGGATGGCTTGCTTAGGACTCTAAGAACGTCTTCCTAGAATTGTGCGTAGGCGTTGGTGATTCTGTCAACTGGAACTGGACTGTAAAGAGTCAAAATGTTGACTCCACTTGACGCAGTTTCTGCGTTCGCTGTTTCGCTGTTAGTAGCATTCTAACACATCTCCAAGATGTGGTTAGTGGTGGAACCTGGTATAATGTGCTTTGCTTAGCTTCATATACTTATTACTGACGGGCTTTAAGTGTCAATAATAATCCACCTATTATCTAAAGGGACGATCGACGGAGAGACCTGTTCTCCTTTGGTCATATTTTGCTTTCAAATCTTTCGCAAGTCAATTATTAAGATAACGAATAAATGGCTTACCTTTTAACGATAGTGGGTCTCTATTGTAGACTCTCTTCTATCGAGCGAGAATGATTGAGGAGTACCTGACCTGGTAGCCATATAGTCCAGCGGCGCTTATTAGAGTACGCTCTTTCTGGATAGGAAACACGAGCTTAAGCGGATTTTCTTTCTTCGCTTTTCTTATGATGTTGGCGAGTTAGAGCGAGGGTTGGTTTGTCAATAATGAGACATAATGGAGCGCCAATTATGGTCTGAGGTACCAAAGTAAGGTCACCTTACCATACATTCCTGGTTTCTAATGAGAATAACGAAGTGCCAGTCATTATCTACCTGTATCGTGGTACATTTGCCGGTCAATGATAATGTAATTTCTTTACCCTTGTCGCTTTAACCTTCAGTGAGCTCGTGTCTCATGGATGTCGAAAATGCAGCGATCCCCCTTTGGCATCAAGTGGGGTTTCTGTCCAAGCTGCTTGTGGAAACCTCAACTTCTAGCTCACATTTCAATGATGTTATTTCAATGATGTTCTTGCTCCAGAACTGGATGGCGCTTCAGAGCTGTTTAGTCTCGTTGCTTGGCATAAGTATACTCTTGTTCATTCATACGAGACGATGCGTCGATATATGATCAAATATTCCGGCCCTAAGTTTAGCCATGAACCCAGTTGGGGTTGTGAGGTGAAAAAACAGCTTCACACTCATGACGCTTCGAAATGCCAGTATTGTGGTAGAATTGCAACGGTGACTCAGTAACATAGCTCTGTTCATTGATTGTTGAGTTTCCTGAGGAGAATGTAGCATCTGTGGCCCAATTAACGATTTGATGATCTCATTCTTGGACGCGTTGGGCCATGTCCGTTCCTCGTATCCCAGCAAGTGTATCTTGCTTCTCCAAGTCTTTCTAATAACAGTGTCCATGTTAGTGAGCTTTACTGGCGATAGTCGTCCAGAACAATGCACAGGTTACACAGGTAAAAGTTAATAAGCATGGCACTTTGAGTTGCATAAGACTGGGAGTATTATCTCTTAGGCTGGAAGAAATGCGGAAAGACGGGGAAATTGGAGATTTGTCATCTTGGAAATGATACCAGTCTTGTAGTACAGCGTAGATGGTATGGACCTCGAGTCTGCATTATTATTGTAGACTATTCGGAAATCGGCCAACTGCTTTGTAATTAAGATAGATGTAAAGCAGATTTCTTAGGATGTATTTAAACTCTTGGTACCCTTTGGCCTTGGACTTTCCCGGTAAATGTCATAGTAGTCCTTGTATGTGGAAGTGCTAGACACCGATAAAGACATTGGAAACATCTATACTCTACCTTCTGTAATGATGGCTGGAGTAGTTGCATTGACTCAGTAATAACCAATCGATGTGTAGGCTGAGTTTGTGCAAATGTGTAGAAAAATGAGTTTTGCTTCTTTAATTTTCTATCACAATTAGATTGTTCGTCAAATTTGTGTCCATGTCCTCGACTTCTTAGAAGGGCGTTGCTTTGTCAACGTCTCTCCTTCTTGACCTTTAGGTTTAGGGTTAATGATGCATAGTCGATGATGCATAGTCGAAGGACTCCAACCGCTGAATGGTATAGGGCTCTTCCACCTGCAATGCAGAGATGACAGTTATAAAAGTTCTCGCCTCACAAGAGCTCCCGGGAAGTGAAAGATTCCTTACACAAAGACTGTTGTTCTATTGTGTTTTCCAAGATAGATGCCTTCCCTATTATCAGGGAACTTATCCCGTTTGCTCTTGTGTTTGTGGGTACCACTGAGTTATTGTGGTTCCTCTCTGTCTAATCTCTGTTATGTATGCATGGAGTTTGCCTTGAGCCTTACGTCTAGCGTGCTTTGTTTGAGACTTCCTGACTTTAAAAAAAGATTTGTAGTCTCGTAGATTCATATGTTGTTCTTGATGTCAGGGCCCATTGTTGTTTATTCCCAGCTAAGCACGCTAGTCTGTTTGGAACGTATTATTTAGTTGTTCTGCTGTAGTCATAAGTTTCCAGTCCGTCACTGATGAACACCTGAATTTCGTAAGCCTGAACTCTTCTCTGTAGTAGACAAACCGTATAGTCAATAGTCAATAGCTTATGTTTGATATGTTGTTCAGTGTTCAAGTTCTCAGCCACTGTTTGCTGAGGGTCCAACTGTTGGTCAACGAGCATGTTAGTAGACCATTGCTTTCCCAATCTATTCTTATCCGAGTATGGTCAATTGGGTTCATTAGTTATGATAGTCTTGATCTTCTTCGTTCTTCGGTAGAATGGTTCAATAGTCTGAGGACTCTTGCTTCCTTACGACGATTGTACACAGAAGACGTCATGGTAGTCTGAAGACCCTTCAAAGTTGATCAACTCTTGATGGCGCCGAAGCTAACTACCATCTTTATAAAGATGTTAGATGAAGGGTGCACGACTGTAGGTAAGAAAGACTATGTAACGGACATAGCTGGGTTTATAGTAAAGAGTGGTTCGTAGTGTATTGAGATAACTAGTTAAGGAAAGAAGGATGGGAGATGCCATCCTTATATAGTGAAGACATTGGATGGCAAGCAAGTAAGAGGGTCATCATCATAGCAACTATAGGAATCTGGGCAACAGGATATCATCATGCCTGCATATAGAGCATGTATTCCAACATGGAATCCAAGCTATTTTGGCATTTCCCGAGATCCTGGAGTGGTGGGGGCGTAGGTGTGGTTTATTTGGCGTGGTTTGGAAAGAATGGGGTGGTTTTGCCTGGTTTGGGGTGTTGGGGGCTGGAAGGGTGGACTGGAAGGGTGGACTGGAAGAGTGCGGTTCGGGAAGACCTTCTACTGGCCACAGCCAGCCAAGGAAAGGTTAAAGTAGTGGAAGTGGTGGAGTGTAGTAAGATGCATATTGGAAGGTAAAAAGTTGGTTTTGGTATTGGCTGTGTGGATGTTTGGCGGTTTTGGTGGATTGTGGAGGGTATGTCTCAAAGTACGGTTTTTCGCAGCCATTAGGAAGAAGAAGTGGTGGAGGTGTAGAAGATGGTGGGTTAAGTGGAGGGAAAGAAGAAGTGGTTGAAGGTGTTCCTTATTGGGGAGGTCAAAGGTGGTTTGGCTGGGAATTGGAAGAATTGGCATGTTTGGTAGAAGTGGATGGTTGTAGCGTACTGGTACTGACTGAGACATGGCAGTCTATGGATTCAGTTCAATGGGAAGTCTTAAAATGAAGAAATGGGTAGAGAAGGTGGTTTTCTTTAATTGGAGTAATTGATGGGGAAAAGAAGATTTTTTGCTTTTTCGAGACAATTGAATAAGAGTGGACGCTGGTAAATAGGTACTACTGGGAAGTGAAGTAGATACTACCCAAGTTCCACCAAGAAGTCCAGTCATTCAGACGTTTTTTTTCATTTTTTCAATTAAAATAAAAACTATTAAACTGTAATAATTAGTGCCAGTAAAATCACCTTATTGCCATTTTGAATGGATGATGAATATGGGAACTAGGCTTACTATCATAGTACTATGTGGACTGCCATACTAAGGGAATCCAAAAGGACCTTAAAGAAACCAACTTCAGATACTTTCCACTTTCTAAAGACAAAAAAAAGCATTCACTTTTTAATTTTCCTAGCTCTTCTAGAAACCTCCAGGGCCTTCAGAAGCTTATATCTTCATTTGCAATAAACAAAAAGAATGCCATTGATGAAACCCACACCGTTAACCACCAGAAACCGCTTCCACTTGGCTCGTCTTATTCTCCCACTTATACCAAGGCAACAGGGCTACTATCAACATAACTTCAATGGCAACACATATCATGGTATGGCCCAAATAATGACTCTTGACAAATATCCCCAGCAGCTTGCCACGAATGGAACTGGCATAAATTAATGGTGGAAGGTTACCCAAAATCAAAATTATAAATCCCATAACCGTGTAAACCAAGTATGGGACAAGAAGAAACATCATCCCAAACACGAAACACGTCGTCAGGAGAAGTAGCATAAGTGTATGGGAATCGTTCCAAAAGTCCCAATCAAACTCCTTCATAATGTCTATAGTAGAATCATTAATTTCCCGTTGTTGAGTGCCATTCAAGAATCTGGCGGCATCCGGAATTTCCTGAACAGCTTTCCTGGCCTTGTCCAATGCCAGTCCCACGGCTTTTACCCAAGATAGAGCAATATGATCTTGATTTATCTTATTGGTCTCCACTTCTTGTGCAATTACCGTGCCAATATCATAAATGATGCTTTCAAGAGGATTTTCTGCGCCTTTGTGGCACACGGTTGGCTGCTTTTCTGACTTTCTACAGTAAGCATAGTAATGAATGTAATACTGTGTCTCTCCAAGAGGCCACTTCTCGGGAATATACTCTGCCATTTTCCCAGTAGATCCAGGCGAAGCATCTTCAAAAGCGTCCACTAGAAACCTCGAAAAGTCATACCAATCTCCCAGTCCTCCAACGCTGTATTTGACAGTCGAAGTGGGAATAGTAGGGATCCATAGCCAGATATGGAAGCCAAGACAAACCAATATCAAGAGAAACCTTATCAAAGAAGGATCCCTTTCTTTTTGCATTTCTTTTTGTAACATTTCTAAGTCATCAGGGACTTCAATCTGCATCTCCTGGAACTCTGGAGGTTTCTGGGCGTTCTCGTCTTGAGATGTAACAGTGGGCTTTGTATCTGACATGGTTAATGAAAAAGAAGGAGTAGAAGAGGGAGTCTTTTATATATAGAGGGATAAATAATAAAAGTTGGAGTTTCCGGTTCATATATTGGTTTCCTGTGTCATTTCCATGGAAAGGCTCAATATGAAAGTATAAGATGGCATGTTGAATTTACGTAATCTGTAGAACTTCAATGTAAAAATTAACAGGTATTTACTCTCCCTATTCATACTATATTCTTCGCTTTGGCAAACCAGGTACTAATTAGCTCCTCTTCCTCAAAGCCCAAAAACCCAAGGACACAAGCATCAAAGGAAAACAAGAAACAGTAACCAATATATAACCCATAAACTGGCTTCTCACAAGCGCCCCACTCTCTTTACCATGCATTAGAGCAGAGAGAATTATCTGTGGAAGAAATAGCAACACCCAACCAGCCATCCCAAAAGGCATCACTGGATCCATATATGGGGGAACAATCAGGGTCAATATTGGCACCAACGACCATACAGACACAAATACCAGCATGACTATGGCCCCCTCCGACGGAATGTCCCACGAAAATTCATCCACAACATCTATCGTCGTGTAATCAATATCCCTTTCTTGCGTAGCATTCAAAAACCTAGCACCGCTGGTAATACTTCTGATTGCTTCTTTAGCGGAGCGTAAAGCATTGTCCACGGCATTTTCCCAAGAGAGAACAATCTGTTTCTTTTTCCGTTCGTTGGTTTCCATGCCTTCTGCAAGCACCGTGCCGATATCATGAACAATCGCTTTTAGAGGTGATTCCATGCTTCCATGGCACACTGTGGGCATCTTTTCTGATCTCCTACAGTAACCGAAATAACCAAAGTAGTATTCTGTCTTTCCAAGAGGCCATTTTTCGGGAATGAACTCGGTCATTTTGCCTGTGGAACCAGGTGAAGCGTGTTCAAACAGCTTTACAAGAAACCTTGAAAAATCATACCAATCGCCCAGATCTTCAAAACTGTACTTTACAATCGAACTGGGAATTGTTGGGAAACATAAAGAAAGTTGCAAGGCAAAGCATACTAGTACTAAGGAGATGTTTATTGTGGCTGGGAACCAGTTAGCGTTATCTCTCCACTTTTTTTGAAGGTACTCTTTTGTTTTATGGAGTTTTGGCACTTGCTGTTCAGGGAGATTAATCTGCTTTTCCTGGGACTCAGGCTGTTTCTCGTTGTTCTCCTTTTGGTATGTAGCAGGCGGTTTGGGAGGTAACGAGGACATGACTAAAGAGGTGGTGAGGAATGAATGTAGAACTGGAGTTATAAAGTAAGAGGAATAAATAAAGTAGGAGTTGCCGGTTTGGATGTGGGTTCTAAAGTTGCCAAGTCAGTGATGATCACGAATATACAACTTGCCATGGTGGGAATGGAAAATGGAAGTAATGAAGCAGCAGGTTCATCTGTAAACGATAATTTATATGGTATTTAGGTTGTAGAAGTAACAAAAATAAAAGAATAAAAAAGGTGGGAGTGGAATGGGAAGAAAGACAGGTGATGTTCAGCGCTAATAGTTAGCTCAAGGTCGATGGAGAAAAGGAAATGGTTCGTTATTTTTTATAAGCAGCAAGTAGTATTTATTTAAACAAGAGGTCGATATCAAGAACATACAAGTAATCAGTAAGTGAGAAATAGAGAAAGAGTGTTACACTTATTAGGTAACTTTCTGGACTCTAGGATATACTTATTGGTAGGAAGATTAAAAGGAAAGCTGTTAATCTTTATTACAAATATAAGGCAACCTATTAGGTCACTCTTTGACAATATAAATTGAAGTTCACAAGATACATTCTACGATGTATAGAATATGAATGGCTGCAAAAGGTGAAATGGCTGCAAACTGACCACCAGAGGTCACAAGCATCCAGTTGTTCCCATAAACTAAAGCATCCACAAATAATGAAAGTTCAGGTTTCAGATATCTTCAAACCTCCCTTGCCAAATCTTTGTCCAAATATCACATACTCTTCACAGGCTGTTTCCTTCTTCCTCTCAATGACATGTCGACCACAACTAGGCTTCTATTTCTTACTACTCAATGTCTTAGAAGTTACAAATGTGAACATTCAGACCTTTGAATTACTTCCCACTCCTTCGTTCCGTCATTTCCCAAAAACCCTTCTCCTGGTCAGAAAAATCCATTGAAAGTTGCAGCCATTCTTCCTCGCGCCCTATATAGTAGAAACAGTGGACCTCCACTTACCATTGGTCCAATATACCAAGTTCCCTTTATTTTTCAAACTTTCTATTTAAAAGCATTTTTCCATAAAACCACCTTTTCTTCCATTTTCATGGTTTTTTTTTTTTATTCTTTTTTTCATGTTTTCCATCTCCCTGTCCATTCGCTGGCCCCACTGCACAGCCACAGAGCATTCGACGCAGCACAACCAAACCACCATCCAAACCCACCAACTTTCCACAAAACTCTCTCCAAAATCTCTCTAAACCACTTGCCCCGCTTATCTCCTGCCGCTTAACTCCTAAAACGCCCTCTTAACTCCTATCTCCCGCCCTCTCTCAACCCATCTCCCTTCCACTCTCCTTCCGTCTCTTTATAGTCCTCTGCGAATGGCTGCAAACCGAGATCCTCCCCCAACTCTCCCTCCAAATCCACCCCAACTCTCCCCCAAACCCACGCAAATTCCGTCTTACCTCCACCTACATCCTATAATTCCACTCCTTCCGCCCAAAACTCTAATTCTCTCTTTTTTTTTTCCACAAAACCACTTGTTCCATCTTCTTGGCAAGTCATCCATCACCTCCCGCGTCACGTGCACCAGGTTGCCCCAGATCATTATCTTCCCATCTTTCCAAATCTCTCCATCTACTTTCTTTCACTAGACCATGTCCAAAACACAGAACCCAATCCATAACCTTCCCGATGACGATGCTCCTCCTGACCTTCCTCCTCCTTCATATAATGAGGCTATTAGCTCTCCAGCTACTGGTTCGTCTGATATGCCTCCAGTCCAGCCCCAGAGACCTCCTCAGCCTCCACAGAGACCTGCCAGTTCTCTGAATGGATCGTATAGACCGGCTCCACCGCCTCAGCGGGCCGAGCCAGGCATGAGCTACTCGAATAACGAGCTGCTTCCTTTTCAGTTTCCAAAACGCTACTTCTGTAAGAAGTGCAAGAATACGGGGTATAGGAAAGACCATAAGATGTGCTTGGACTGCTGGAACAAGCTTTATATTCCTACAAACGCATATAATCCGAACCCACACCTTCCATTTAAGTACCCGAAGGGCTTTCTTTGTGAAAAATGCTATAATACGGGTAAAAAGGATAAGAATGGCAAGCCATGTAAGGACTGCTATAGACGCTTTGCCAAGCGTAATAACTACTCGATTAACCCTCCAGGGTTGAGTGGACCGTATATGGCTCCTCCACAGCCAATGATGATGCCTGGCCCTCCAATGATGCCAGGCAGTTACGGTCCAGGGCCTCAGATGCCTATGAGAGTACAGCCTGGAGATCCACGGTTAGGTGGAACACTTTGTGGAAACTGCAGAGGCACGGGCCAGACATGGTTCTTGTTGGATTCAGATTTGTGCACTGTGTGTGGTGGTTTAGGTAGACTCTTGAACAGGTACTAGGGAAGTTAAAAATAGAACAGGGGCTTCAGAGACGACTCGGCTGTCTAATTGACCAAGTGCTGGTTCAATTGGCTGCTGAAAGGTTGTCTCAAGGCATATTAATGAGAACAGAGAAAGATAGCCAGGCTAGACAAATTCCGCTTTGATAGCATACTACAATGGCTTTGTATGAGTCCAAGTAAACTCTTGGCGATAGCATCAATTACTTACGATTACGAACAATACATATTGACAGGTAGCCAAGCGTAGTTCATTGCCATGTTAACGTTGCATTTTTATATGTACAATTAGTTGATGTTGGATGGGTACTTGTAGTCCTTCAACTCGTAGAAGTTCTCCTTGATGTTTCTGACAGAAACGAATCTGCCCAAGATGTTACCAGAACCAGCCTTGTCGTTGGTACCGGACATTCTTCCACCACCGAACCATTGCTGGGCAACAACGGCACCAGTGCACTTGTCGTTGATGTAGAAGTTACCAGCAGAGTAACGCAACTTCTCCTCAGCCTGTCTGACAGCCTCTCTGTCTCTGGCAAAGACAGCACCAGTCAAACCGTACTTGGTGGAGCGGTCGATCTTCTCCATTATCAGCTCGAACTCGCTATCCTTGTAGACGTAAGCAGTGACGATAGGACCAAAGAACTCCTTCTTCATGAACTCGTGGTCTGGGTTAGTAGTCTGGATCAAAGTTGGCTGGACGAAGAAACCGGCCTGCTTGTCGGTCTCACCACCCTTGATGATGGTCAACTCTGGGTCGCTCTTGGCCTGCTCAATGGCACCGCTCAACTTGTCGAAAGACTGCTCGTGGATAACTGGACCCATGAAGTTGTTCAAGGTAGAGGTCTCAGTGGTGGAACCAATGGTGATGGTGTCCATGGCAGAGGTCAATGTAGAGGAGAACTGCTCCCAAACAGACTCAGCAACGTAAAGTCTAGAGTTGGCAGAACACTTCTGGCCCTGGAACTCGAAAGCACCTCTCAAGGTGGACAAGGCAGCGTGGTCAACGGAAGCAGATGGGTGAACCAAGTGGAAGTTCTTACCACCAGTCTCACCGACGACACGTGGGTACTCCTTGTAAAGGTCCTTGGACAAGTTGCTACCGATCTGACCGTACAACTTCTTGAAAACATCGGTGGAACCGGTGAAGTGCAAAGCAGCAAAGTCTGGGTGGTTGACGAGTTCCTGGGAGATCTCAACTGGCTCACCTGGGATGAAGTTAATAACACCCTTTGGCAAACCGGCCTCCTCCAAGATGTTCAACAAGAGGTAGTTGGACAAGACAGCGGAGTTGGATGGCTTCCACACAACAGTGTTACCCATCAAAGCTGGGGCACCAACCAAGTTACCAGCAATAGCGGTAAAGTTGAATGGAGTGACGGCGTAAACGAAACCCTCCAAAGGTCTGTATTCAGCTCTGTTCCACACACCTGGAGCGGACTCGCAAGGCTGGACCTTGTACATCTCTTCAGCGTACTTGACGTTGTACTTGAAGAAATCAATCAATTCAGCCACACAGTCGATTTCAGCCTGGAAAACGTTCTTACCCTGGCCAAGCATGGTGGCAGCCAACATGTCGTATCTGTACTTCGTGGAGATGAGGTCAGCAGCCTTCAAGAAAACAGCAGCTCTGTCGGACCAAGGCAAAGAAGCCCACAACTCCTTAGCCTCCTTGGAAGCAGCAATTGCCTCCTTGACGTCCTCAGGAGTGGCAGTACGCACGTTAGCCAAAGTCTGGCTGTGCTTGGCTGGGTTGACCTGAGCAAACGTGGGTCTATCATAAACCTTTTCACCGCCAATGATCAAAGGAATGTCCAAAGGACCGCCGTCAGTCAACTTGGTAAGCGACGCACGCAAAAGGTCCCAGTCCTTCTGGTGTTCGTACGAAAACTCCTTCACGGGTTCGTTGCTGATTGGAGGAACCTTGAAGTGGGCCAACTGAGAAGCAGCTCTCACTGGCATTCTAGGAACAAGACGAGCAGAAAGGGTGGCAGCAGCAGGTCTGGCCTTCATGGCAAGGCCACGGGCGGTACGCAAACGAAGCATTTCTTGAAAAAAATAAGGAATAGACAAAAAAAGCCAGGTAACGTCAAAAAATGTGGGACACCGATTCCTTTTATATTGCTCTGGGTTTTCGATGGATGCAGCCCTGCGTGTGGGGCCTTTGGGTAAGGAAGAGCGAAGTGGAGAGGGCGCGGGAAGGGTATAGCGAGGGCGGGGGGCATGCTGGCAGGAGATGGCGACGCCGTTTTGCAGCCAAAACACACAAAAGGAGTGAAAGGTGAGACAGGGGAAACAAGAAACAACCTGGGGTTGGAGAACATGATGTGATTGGTCAAGTGAAGGTTCTGGGAAGTGGCGGTTGGTCATGCTCGGAGTTGAGTCCGAGGTTTGACAGGGTGAGGAGGGAAACGGTGAGGTGAAAAATTATAGATATGCATGGTGGAGGAATAGGCGTGAAAAATGTGTCATTTTGTGGGGGAACATGAAACGACGTTGGAGGACGTTGGAGGACGTTGAAGGTGCGTTTGGGGAGTGATTGGTCTTCCTGGTAAGCTTGAACGGTGGTGCTTTTGTGGTAGCAATGGTGCGGTTGCTGTCAAGGTGTTTAAGCCACCGTGGTGGTCTTTAAAGGTAGGCAAAGAAACGAGGACGATGTGGATTATCGTTTCTTTTGAACGGGATGGTAGGCTTTGGATGACAGGTTTGGTTCACGGGAGTTCCGTTGGCCAGGTGGAATGGCTGGTGGTTGGATAGTGTAAGCAGTAGACGTCTAGATGGATGGCTTGTTGAATAGCCTGTAGGCTTGGAAACCGGGGGTACTGAAAGCACCGGAGGTAGGGAAGGAAAAAGGAAAGTTCGATGGAAGTAGTGGGCTTACAGTGTAAGCGTTCATTGACTGCCCTGAAGTCCATCCGACTGTAAGCTTCAGCGTTATATGGAAACCAAAACCGATGTATTCACTGAAAAAGTGCCTTTCCACGGTATGTCGTAACTGACATAAACAAGAACCATTCATTTCCTTCTTTGAGTGTTCCTCTATTGGAATGTACCGTCTTGCTTCCCTCCTCCCAAATGCCTTCATCCAATCAGCTTCCCTGGCCCTCCAACTTCTCTATACGCTCAAGAACAGCATTCATCTTCTTTTGGAACACCTCTGAGTTCCTGCCAAACGCTTCACTCTGCTCATTGATACTCTTATCGATCTTATCTATCGACTCATCCCATTTCTTCATATCCTGCGCCAACTCAGCCAAGGTCTTATCTAGGTTCGAAACACACTCAATTGCATGTCCACTTTCGGCATGGACGCGATTCAAAGATCGAAGTCTTGTTAATATAAGTGGTACTGTGGTGTTGGCCCTGTCGAACTCAGCCAAACGGTCATATAACGACGAAACCTTATGTTCAAAGCTGATCTGCACCGAAACTGGTTCTTTACTCCCACTGGCAACCTGTGCCATTCGTCTATTCGTAGCCAAAAGCTCCATTTCCTTATTAAGCAGCTTGATTTCTGCCTTTACAGCACTTAATTCACTTTCGTGATCGTACAACACCGAAACCTTGCGTGACGCGTTATTCAAAGCGTTCCGTAGACTCGAAGGAGGCTCTTCTGTCGTTCCCACGAGATCTTCAAGCTCTGCAATCCTCTTTTCAAGCCGAAGCACCTCATCTCCAGCTGTAGGTTCAACGTTCTCCTTCACTTTCAAAGCAGCGTCAATATCCTTAAAAACGCCACTTATTCCAAGGTCAAGCTCAGGGTCAACGCGGTCTTTACTCGTCAAAACCTCCAATTGCTTACCCAATTCTTCAATCTCCAGATCTCCCTCTTCCTTCAGTAACTCCTCGAGTTCCAAAGCTATTCTGCTCAATTTTTGACGCCGAGACTCTCCAGCTCGTTCCACACTGTACCCACTTTGCCCTAGGCGCCGTGAAACCGTCCCCAGGAAGTCTGCCAACGTCAACTCATCGTTGATCGCTGAAGATTCATAGCTTGCAGCAGCGTCTTGAGCCAGAGCTAGAGGGTCACGTGCAATGCTTTCATTCTGTTCTTCTTGAAGATCAAGGCCTGCTTCGCTTTCGACATCGCTGGTTTCGAAAACCTCCGGTCCGTGGTCTAGGTCTGGCGAAGCGTCTGAACCCATAATGGTTGGTTGATGTTTACAGTGCGCGGTTGTATGTGAGAAGGGAAGGTTAATGATGGGGAGGGTAAGAAAAAAGGTGGAAGAAAAGAGAAAAAAGTGGGAATCGGGTCGTATTTATACTTCGTTTCCTGGGTTTCTTAAAGTATTATGAAACTTTTGGTGGGTTTTGGTGGTGGGTGTTCTCCTTCACTATGGCTGCGAAATGGCTGCGAAAGATAGGCAGTGGTGGTCTGGCAGTAGTAGGAAGGAGGAAGGAAAGGGATGGAATTTATTGAATTCCATTGCCTTCTTTTGTCCATTGGAGGTTGTTCGATGACTTGGTGATGCTCTAAAGGCTTGGAACTGGTACTTAAGGCAACCTGGAGCCTTCAATAGTGTCTAGATCCCAAAGCAACACTGCCATCACCAATCCAAAGACTAAGTAATCCTTGTTTATATTGATTTGCCAGCAATACTTGCCTCTGGGGCCCTCCTACTTCGTCACGACTTGAACGACATCTTCATCGTTCACTGGATGCTGCAATCCACACTTCTGTGGAGAATGCTTTGCACTGGATCCCCAAACCAACGCGTATCTAAACTGGTTCTTCATCTCTCTATGAATGGCGTCGCAAACTTGCAAAATCGTCGAGTTCTCTCTGACAACCATAGGATCATCAAAGTTAGGCATAACTCCTCTTCTCTTCGTGTAAAGCCTCACAAGACCAAGCTTACGCCAGATCTCCTCCTTCAAGTCCTCAATACCCAACTCCAACTCACACGAAATGACAACCGTGTTGGGTTCACGTGCTAGACGGTCCGTCTCTTCTAGAGACACAGCGTCCACCTTGTTATACACGTAAAGACACTTGATGTATGACATATGCTGGTCGTTAATGATATCAATAAAATCATCAACAGTGACGTTTTCGTCCTTCACAAGCACATCAGCGTTGTGAATCTTGTAGTCCTTCAAAATGGCAGTAACCATCTTCTCGTCAAGGTACTTTGGAGGAGTAATGGAGTTCAACTTGACACCGCCAGTTTTCTTCACTTTAAGCGAAATGTTAGGCCTCTCCTTATTCAAACGAATGCCCATGGTCTCCAATTCGTTCTCTAGAATCTGTCTTTGTTCACCACCCTTGGTAGCATCCAAAACCATCAAAATGAGGTCTGACGTTCTGGAAACAGCAATGACCTGACGACCACGTCCCTTACCCTGCGAAGCAGCCTTGATAATACCTGGCAAATCCACAATCTGCACTTCAGCACCGTTATACTCAAGAATACCGCCCACAGACGTCAACGTAGTAAACTCATAGTTGGCAGCCTCAGATTTCGTATTCGTCACCTGCGAAAGAAACGACGATTTACCCACAGAAGGGAAACCAATAAGCGACACTCTGGCATCACCCGCTTTGGCAATCTCAAACCCTTGGCCTCCTCCAGAAGATCCACCTGGCTGAGGCTCTAGAAGCTCTCTTCTGAACCTGGCAAGCTTACCTTTCAAGAGACCAATGTGGTACTCTGTGGCTTTGTTTTTCTGGGTTCTAGCAAGCTCCTCCTGGATCTGGGCGATCTTTTCAAGTGCTCCCATTTGAAAGTTCAGTAGATGCTGTGGATCTGTAGATGTAGATTTTCAGAGCTACTGAGCTGGAAGTGCACCCGTACCTCCGGGGAGTGTAATGCCAGAAGAGGCAGATGAAAGGGGGCAGAGGGAATAGAAAGAAGGTTTGAATGTTGGGATTTGATAGTGGACTCCCGTTTGTAGATTATATCGTTTTTTTTTTTTTTTTTCTGTTTTAGGACATTTGGTGGGGCTTTATGGTGACTTAGCGGAAGGCCTAAATGGCTGCGAAAAGGGCTTCTCTGGGGTAGTACAAAGGCAAGAACCACCTTAAAGAATGTTCAGTTTTCTGGTATTTTCATGTCCTGGACATCAAAGATGTTGTTTAGTTGCCTTGAAATTGCCTCTAAATGACTTTCAGTGTCCATTCATGGGAAACCCTTCATTTGCTTATTCCACCGGCCACCCCTCACTGGCTGCCAATTGAACACCGAAACTTCACCAGCGGCTTCCCGTATCCATCAATATCCTCCCGCAATACCCTCAATACCCCAAACTTCCTCCTTTTGTTGAATTACTGGGCCGTTCAAGACGGCTTTTGAAAATTCCTGCATATACTGCAACTAACCCCAGGCCATCGAGCTCTTCACTAGGGCATCGCAAATCACTCCAAAGTCCACCTCCATTCTCCAAAATGCCTAAAGCAAACGGCCGATATGACCGCTACAACACTGACCTTAGTGACGTTTTTGGATCCACAGTTCGTGTGAAAAAACAAATCAAATCCATCCAAAACTTACTCCAGAAGGACGATTTACCTGCTGATGTAAGAGTCGAGAAGGAAAGAGCCTTGAAAGCGTTGAGGGTTGATTTGAAACATTCCCAGTTCAACTTAAAGACCAAAGAGCGTGCTAAGAAGTACCACATGGTGCGTTTCTTTGAAAGAAAGAAGGCCATCAGAAAGCTAAAACAGGCTACTAAGGCCCATGATGAAGCAGTCAAAGCTGAGTCCAAGAAGGAGATCAAGAAAGCAAGAAAGGTGTTGAGACACTCGCAGATCGATGTTGCGTATGTGTTCATGTTTCCCAAATCTGAGAAATACGTCTCTTTGTATCCACCAGAACTCACCAGTGAAGCTAAGAAAGACGACAACGTTAGAAAAGGTGTCCAGCTCACAGAGGAGAAAAGACTAGCATACCGTAAGAAGATGGAGGAACTCATCGACAAAGAAAGACTACCCTTCACGTTTGAGGACGTCTTGTCGGGTAAAACTGTCTATGTGGAAAACACGACATTGCCAGAACCAGAGGAGGAGATCGATGCTCCTCAGGAGAAACAGGAGGAAGAGGAAGAAGACGAGTTCTTCGAGTAGACCCATTCATTTTATTTTGCATCTCTTTGTATATTAGCATCAAACCATCATTTTTTATTGCAATGTGAGTGTAGTTTCGTAGCTGATATCCATGGCATCGTTAACGCAGTGGACAACCACTTCTTGGTTTCTCATATCGTCGAAGATTTCCAAGGAACAGGCCACTTTACCCTTCTTTCCGTGAAGCCTTGGTGAAGCTCTTTTAATAAGTAAAAGCTCCTCTTTGTTCTTATCGCAGATAATGACAAACCAGGACTCTCTCTGTGGTTTAGGGAAATGTGGAGCATACATCTTGAAATCCTTGTTGAGAGGGTAATTGTCATGCTCAAGCTCAACCCTTAAAGATTCAGAGGAAGTCTGTTCGACCTTAAGTTGAGCTGTAGGTAAATGTGAAGCGATACGAACAAACTCCTTGACACCATCCTTCTCGTCGAAATCTTCAACACCAAGCTTTTCTGCCAACTTATAAAGGTATCCCTTGTTTGAAGTTCCTACCTTCTTGAGATCAAGAGCATTGTCCTTGCGTTTCAGGACTTGGATTCCAGGCAATGCCGTTACGGGATCTTCGTCGTACCAGATTCTCTGCTTGATACATTGCATCAACTTCACAAACGTTAATACAACATTCAAGTATCCAAGCTCAGAAGCAACATCAATAAAGGCTTGCAAAATACGCAAGGCTTGGTCCAATACAGAAACCGTATCTTGAGCGTAATCGGCAATTGGAAGGTCGACTCGACTCATGAACGCCTGGATCAACAAGTACGCCTTCACATGGGGATCCCAAATGAACTCACGTTCCATATCTTCAGCAGGATACCTCATGGCTTGAGACATTTCCATGTTGATAAGTTCTTCACCGTGTCTTGTAGCGAGTTCATCATACTCTGTAGCCAGACACAATAACTTCAAGCATTCCTGGAATGAAGAGTCCTTCGTAATACTACCAAGAATCGTCCTGATCGTAAGATGGGAAAGGTAGTAGTAAGAAGACACCTGAAGGAATGGAGATGGCAAAAGCTCGTCTTTACCAGTATGAGTGATACAACGAGACTCAGTCAAGTTCTCAATAGCATCATCAATAAGACCACCCAAGTACTTAGAAATACCAGCGTCACTCAAGTCTTCAATGCCATAGTATGTTGGATTGTTGTGAGCACGTCTGTACAAGAACGTCCAAGTCAAGAAGTCAAGAGCTTGTTGCTTGGTGGTGATTGTTCCACTGGCAATTTCTGCACCAATATGGTTATCCAACACCTTATGCAACGAAGACTCCACAGGGAAACCAATGTTCAAAAAGTGCTTGTAGAACACCTTCTTGGCTTCTTTGGTGTACACAATTGCAATACCACTGGTATCGAAAGCAGGACGACCTGCTCTACCCATCATCTGGAGAATATCCGTCAAGTCCATGTCTTTGTAGTCTTCGATTTTGGAGTCGAAGAACTGAGTACCTTTGATAATAACCAAATGAGCAGGCAAGTTGACACCCCAAGCCAAAGTGGAAGTTGCAATCAAGATCTGGATCTTACCTGCTTCAAAAAGCTTATGTGCTATTTGACGGTCAGATTCAACCAAACCAGCATGATGCAATCCCATTCCGAATTGCAAGGATAATTTTAAGGTTTCGTCTTTGACCTTCTCCAAAACATCCGTAAGCTCAAAGTCGTCCATGTTAACAAAACGTCTTGGGTTCAGCTCCATACCACATAAATGGATAAGATCAAGAGCAGTAAGTCTTGTTTGACGACGGGAAGCGACGAAAATCAAAACTGGTTTGGTAGGCGAATGCTGCTTGATTGCCATGAAAGCAGGCTTATTCATGGTCTTCATCAATGGACAGAAAGCAAGATTGTCTGGGAAACCATCAATGTACATCTGCAAAGGAACTGGACGAACAGACTGTGGGAAGTTGAAAAGACCTTCACGAACACGAAGCCAGCCTGCCATATCAATGGCATTCGAAACAGCAGTAGACATACCCAACAAACGGATTGGTTTCTTTGTCTGAGACGAAATATAGTTCATACGACTGACAATCATCTCCAAAATAGGACCTCTGTCACTGGCCAAAAGATGGATTTCATCCATAATAACCAACGACACTTCTTGAACAAACTTTCTGGTTTGCCAGTTACGAGAAATACCATCGAATTTTTCTGGAGTTGTGATAATGATATCAGCTTCTCTGACTTCCTTAGCTTCAGGCAAAGAATCACCTGTCAATTCCACTAGTTTATGGCCAGTTTGCTTGCAAATTCTTGCCCTCCAGTCTTCAACTCTTTCCCTAACCAAGGCCTTCATTGGCGCAATGTATACTACCTTTGAACCAGGGAACTCGTTGAAAGCATGCCAAATAGCCAATTCTGCAACCACAGTCTTTCCTGAACCAGTAGGAGAACCCACAAACACATTAGAGTTGGTATTGTAAAGCGAGTGGAACGTCATTGTCTGCATTGGATTGAAGTAGCGGAACTTGGACTCGTACACAGACTGGATCTTATCATTATGCAATGCCGTAATAGGAAGTGGTTGCAAACGTAAAAGGTTTGTTCTCACAGTATCATTGGTGGGCTTAATGAGGTGTTGGAACGATACAGAATGCAGCGACTCAGATCCAATCCATGTATCAGAAAGTACCCTCACAACAATCTGTGCTGGTGGAGGATTCGAAAGTGGAATCATAAAGTCAAGCTCGTGTGGGTTTCTCATGGAGTTACGACGCAAAATGTACTTCTCCACATGAAGAATCTTTGTATCTTCAGACTCTTCAACAGTCACCCAGAAGAACTGGGCGTTTCCATGGTAACGTTCATCCCATACAAAGTCAGGTTCCAACACCACATGCATTCTGATGACATTGCTGGTGATAGGGAAAATCTCAGCGTCGATTTCCAAGTAAGGGAATCTGCTGATCAAGCGGTACAAGGTTTTACCCGAGTTGGAGTTGTGAACGAGATCACCCAATTCTGGAGCTGAAAGATCACGTAACGTTTCAATGGATGGGTTCTTAGAACGGATATTCTTCAACACATGTTCTGGGAGATCGAATTGGGCAAGTGGATGGTCAAAAGCCCACATTCTTCTATCGATAGACTTGCAAATAGAAAGAATGGCCTTGGAGAATGCACCCCAACGGCGGTTGATACCAATTAAAAATAAGGCTCTGCAGATTCTGGTAGAGTTTTGAGCAACATAGTTCAGGTCAGAAATCAAAGCTGAATCCTTGATTTGTGTCTGAGAAACAAATGCTTGAAGAAGGATATTCGTCTTCCATGGAGCAGACTCGGCCTCACCAGCTACTTGACAAGGGGTCTCATTCTCAACAAGTTTCGTCAATTCGACCTTCTCTTCTTCTCTGAACTTGATGTTATCGAACTCACTACTCATACTGATCATCGACAACAAATCAGCTTCAGTAGCCAATGGGTTAAGCATTTGAGTGAAGATTTCAATGGAGTTGTTGAGCAAGTAGAAGTCAGACGCAATTCTACCCAAATCTTTAGGAACAAGAGCACCAGAATTCTCGTCAAAGACAATCATCTGTAGAGAATGAAGTCTTCTAGCGGCGTCAATAATCATCTTCCTTCTTCTCATAGTAAGAGTTGGATCTTCTTCGAGTTCACGCCATTCAATGGCGTACGCAAATGGGTTCTGTCTCATTCTCACCATCATGAAAGTGTAACCGAGCCATTGAACACCCTCGTCGATTGTAGTCACTGTACCACGGGACACTTCCGCATTCAAGTTATCAATAAGCTTTGCCAGAAGCTTAGATTCAATAGGATGCTGTTGTGAAAGTAACGAAACGTAATGGTCAAGACGGTCACTGGTAGTACACAAAATACCGGTACCAAACTTTTCAAACTGGGGTCTACCAGCACGACCAAAAATCTGGATAACATCAGAAATACCCAAGTCAACGAATCCACCCTGTTTGGCGTCGTAAACCTGAGTTCCTTTGACGATAACCACTGCAGCTGGTAAGTTAACACCCCAGGCCAAAGTAGCAGTACAGCAAAGGACCTTGATGGCTCCACTCAAAAACATCTTCTCGGTAACGTTTCTATCAGTTCGAAGCATACCGGCGTGGTGAACACCAAAACCATACTGGAAGAGTTCCTTCATGTCCTTGTTTCTATTCTTGGTTCCCATTTCTCTCTTAAACCTGTCGTATGAATCACACAGATCTGATGCGTCAAAGTAGCCAAGCTGACCGTTTGCCTGGGCCATTGAAATGAACGTTCTAGCTGTCTTGACAGTATCCTTTCTGGAATGCACAAACACCATGACCTGGCGACCTTCCAGAATATGGTCAAGAAGCCTTTCGTATGAGATTCTGTCAATATTCTCTCGTGCTGTCTTGGATCCAGCCTTACCACGAGCACCCAAAACTTCTTGTTTAAGTGGACATGGACGGAACAGCTGGTCAAAGAAAAACATACCTATGTTTCTGTTAACACCCAAGAAATCAGCAACATCCATATAATTCGGTAGGGTAGCCGAAAGACCCACCACTCTGATCATTTGCTGGGTGGATTCAACCTGACGTAACGTTCTAGCCACAAGTGTTTCAATGACAGAACCACGGTCTTCGTGAAGTAAATGGACCTCATCGATAATCAAAAGCTTAACCTTTGCCACAAGATCATCATCGCCAATCAGCTTTCTTGTAACCACATCCCACTTTTCAGGCGTCGTGACAATAATCTGGGTAGTCATGATCTCAGCTTTGCTTAGCTGCATATCACCAGTAAGTTCTCTCACAGTGATACCGAGCCATTTCAACTTTTGGGCATACTTTTCCACAATTTCGGCAGCAAGAGCTTTAAGGGGTGCAACGTAGACGATCTTAAACTCGTCATAGTCAACATCTATAACACCATCGTCAACCTCCGAAACAAACTGCCCAATAGTATGTAGAATAGTAAGCAATGCAACGTCTGTTTTACCGGCACCCGTAGGGGCACACACCAACATGTTCTCGTTGGTATTATATGCAACTGGGTAGACTAAACTCTGCATTTTGTTTAGCGTTTTATAGTTGGAGAAGGTGCCCTGGCACAAGAAGTCCAAGTCGGCCACACGCACCAATTGAGAGTCCTTGATGTACCTGTTGGACACGTTTTCGGGGTATGGAATAATGAGCTCCTCGTGGGTAGGATAACTGGCTCTGGTTGTTCCCTGCGGCAACAGGTACGACTTTCCAGTGATTGCTATGACATTACCCACGTCAGGTTTTTTGAACACATGAGGGTACTGGCCGTTCTGCTTGATTTTCGGAAGCAATGGCTCGTTTTTGCGTTTTTCTCTATTGGTGACGAGCAATTTCACTCTTTCTTCAGGCGAAAGCGAGGCTGGATCAACTGGAGCATCAGCTTCCTCCTGTTCATGAAGAGCATCTCTATTCTGGACAATCTTTGAAATCAATTCAAACTCTTCAAACCCCAAAATGTCAAATAACGCAGATTGAAGCTCCTCATCGGTATTGTTGCTCTCGACAACTCCTCTAACTATAGATATAGTATCGTTCTCGTCCTGGCCTCTAGCCAAACTGACTCTCTTACACTCGTTGGCAATTTCCCTAGCCACCTTAGACGCACCTTTAGTAGCATCCGTAAGTTTGCTGATCACGTCAACATCCACATCCTTGAAGTCCAGCAAGAATGAATCAACGGATGTCGAAGTCGTAGACTCTTTATCGATTTTCGGATGCTTTCTGTCGCTCGATAGGCTCAAATTGGATAACACCTCCATCATGGGGGCCATGGCCTGCATGTACAGTTTCGTCGACGTCACTGAGTACTGGGCCATTGTTGTAGATGTAGTAGTAAGAGGGAGGCAACCGAAGTAGTAGAGTGAGTAATCTGGGTGGTGATATTCCTGCAGGGCTTGCCACCGAAGAAGGCATTGGTGGGGTGGAATTTGGTGAAAAATTGGGTTTTGGGGATGAAAAGGGGTTGGTATTTGGAAATTGGATGTAGTTTATGGAATTGAAGGTTTTTGGAGGTTTGTGGTGGGAATTGGCGGGGCCTTACTGGACTGAGCATGAGGTATAGAGGGGCCATTGAGTGGTTCCATGTAGATTCAGCAAAAGTGATTTTTTTATTATAAAAAAGTATCCTAGCAATTTACTTGACATCCATAGGCCTGAAAAAAATAGTACTTTCTTGTTTTTAGTGTATTCTTATTGATATACTCTAAGCTTACCTTCTTCAGTCTATGTATACTGAGTGAGACAGACCAGTCCCACTAAACAAGAGCATCCGTAGTGCTACCACTCCAAAAGTGCAAAGATGTAAACCTCACTTTCCAATAACCAAAAGAATATCTATTCATTATCCCTCCCTTTAGCACCACCCTTATTTAGTACCCTCTTTAGACACCTCTTCTACTGTAGAGGCCATTTTTCGCAGCCATTCCAGTCCCCCGCCATTCCACCACCACGCCAAAACGATGTCCAAAAAATCCAACCATACTCTTCTTTCCCCCTCTCAGACTACATTTAATTAACTTTCCCTTCTAAACCACCACTCCTGGTCAAAAAATGGGGTGTCTATGTTTCCCTGAAAAATCCCCCACGTGACCTGCCTCCCACTACCTCTTTTTCGATGCTCATCGCACCAAAAAATCTTCCCTAGTAACTATCTTTACAGTATGGGGAAGAAGTCCAAATCCAAGAAGGATACAGCTAAAAAGCTGGATTCCAAGCCTGTCAAGAGAACTCACGAAGAAGTTGACACTGCCGAAACCGAGCAGCTCGTGGACGAAGTGGACGGTGAATTCGATGATGTAGCACAGCTTTTGGGCGAGAACATCAAGGATCCAGATGCTGAGAAAGATGCAAAGAAAAAGGCCAGAAAGGAGAAGGCCGAGGCTGAAAAGGCTGCTCAGGATAAAGCTATCAAGCCCACAGTGGAGAAAACTGCCGAGGATGACGTGGAAGAGGATGTCAATACTGACTTTGACAAGGCTGATCTCAGTGAACCCACCATGAAAGCTATCAGAGACATGAAATTCACGAAAATGACCAAGGTTCAGGCCAAGACGATTCCGCCACTTTTGGCTGGTAGGGACGTTTTGGGTGCTGCAAAGACTGGTTCGGGTAAGACGTTGGCCTTCTTGATTCCTGCCATCGAGCTCTTGTACTCGCTTAAGTTCAAGCCTAGAAACGGTACTGGTGTGGTTATTATTTCTCCAACCAGAGAGTTGGCTCTTCAGATCTTTGGTGTGGCCAGGGAGCTCATGGAGCACCACACACAGACTTTTGGTATTGTCATTGGTGGTGCCAATAGAAGACAAGAAGCCGAGAAGCTCACCAAGGGTGTCAACTTGTTGATTGCCACTCCAGGTAGACTCTTGGATCATTTGCAGAACACTGAGGGCTTTGTTTTCAAGAACTTGAAGGCTTTGGTTATCGATGAGGCGGACAGAATCTTGGAAATCGGTTTCGAGGAGGAAATGAAGCAGATTATTAAGATCTTGCCCAACGAGAACAGACAGTCCATGTTGTTTTCCGCCACTCAGACCACCAAGGTCGAGGATTTGGCTAGAATGTCCTTGAGACCTGGTCCTCTCTACATTAACGTTGTGCCTGAAAACGCCAACCTGACAGCTGACGGTTTGGAACAGGGTTACGTTGTCTGTGACAGTGACAAGCGTTTCTTGCTTCTATTTTCTTTCCTCAAGAGAAACGCAAAGAAGAAGATCATTGTGTTCCTTTCGTCGTGTAACTGTGTGAAATACTTTGGAGAGTTGTTGAACTACATCGACTTGCCAGTGTTGGATCTTCACGGAAAGCAAAAGCAAGCCAAGAGAACCAACACTTTCTTTGAGTTCTGTAACGCCAAGCAAGGTATTTTGATCTGTACAGATGTGGCCGCCAGAGGTCTTGATATCCCAGCTGTTGACTGGATTATCCAGTTCGACCCTCCAGATGATCCAAGAGACTACATCCACAGAGTGGGTCGTACTGCCAGAGGTACCGAAGGTAAAGGTAAGTCATTGATGTTCTTGACGCCGAACGAGTTGGGATTTTTGAGATACTTGAAGGCTGCAAATGTGCCATTGAACGAATACGAGTTCCCATCCAGCAAAATCGCCAACGTGCAAAGCCAGTTGACCAAGTTGATCAAGAGCAATTACTGGTTGCACCAGAGCGCCAAGGACGGCTACAGATCGTACTTGCAAGCATACGCCTCACATCATCTCAAGACTGTCTACCAGATAGACAAGTTGGACTTGGTGAAGGTGGCCAAGTCTTTTGGCTTTGACGTGCCACCCAAGGTGAACATCACGATCGGCGCCAGCGGCAAGTCGATCGAGAAGAAGCACAAGAAGCAGAGAAGAAGTTAGATAGCATTGTAACATAGACACGAAAAGATTAAGGTTAGCATCCAGAATGGTGTAGGCAGAGGTGGATGGAGAGAGGAGTCAAAGTAGGAAAATAAGTTAGAAAGTGGTTCAGTATATACGATCGAAAAGAAAATGACTTTGGTATTATAATGAACAGATGGATATAGACATACTGGTTACATTGGCTACATAGGCTATAGAGGCTACAATGGCTGCGAAATATGGTACTACTGGAGAAAAAGGGTCCATCACTTTCAACCAAGGCCCCCTAAAAAGGCATATTAAATAATTAAATCTATTCCTTTAAGTGCCCCAAAAACCATCCTCTTATTACTTTTTCCAAAATCTCCAGCCTTCCCAATATTCACTGACCCCACCATTCCCATACTTCTTCCACCACTTAAGCACCTCCAGTTCCCAGACACCCCGCCTCCATTTCCTTCCAAATCGACCAAATCCAAAACTTCCCTTACCCCCAACTCCCAAAACCACCCCCTTCTTTCCTTCCCTTCCCTCCCACTCTCCCTTCCCTTCCCTCCACTTTGTCGATGCCTTCCTACACCTCGCGATGTGAGCTCTTCTCTACTACATGCGCCCAAGCCGGTTCCTCCAGTCTGTGTTTCGTGAAGGCGACGCAGCTCTTTGCAGACCGCTTCGAAACCTAAACCATGCTTTTCTCGTGGTGCCGTTGAAGAAGGATAAAGTTGGACATACGCATAATGGACGGTTTAACCATAATGATATCATAGGAAGGCCTAAGCGCATCTACTTGCCATTTTCCAAGGGGAAGGCTCTGGAGGACCCTGCTGCTGATAAGTTTGTTGTGACGGAGCCGACGTTGGACGAATACGTGTCGTTGTGTCGTCGACGGGCCCAGCCTATTTATGCTATGGATGCTGCTGTGGTGGCTCTGCTTGGAGAGATAGATCCGTATGGACCGAAGGAGGAGGGTCCTAGACGGTACCTTGAAGCAGGCACGGGGAATGGGTCGCTTACGTTGGCGATTTGCCAGCTTTTACATGGCGCCAATGCTGTGGCTAGGCACTTTGAGGACCCTTCGCTTCGAGGTGCTATTCTTCATTCCGTGGATAGGAATAAGATCCACCAGGAAAATGGCGCTTTGAACGTGGCTAACTATAAAAGAGGAAGGTACGCTGGCGATGTGGAGTTTGGCTTGGCTGAGCTGCCGCTGGAATGGGTAAAGCAGTACCCTGGCCAGTTGACTCTCCATGGCGTTTTCTTAGATTTACCCGATCCACATCTATACCTTGGCGACTTGGCCAAGGTTTTGGCTCTCGAGGCCACGTTGGTGGTGTTTTGCCCGTCTATTACACAGCTTTTAAAGTGCAAGCAGTATTTGGTGGATAAGCATAATGCTGGAGAGAAAGTAGACCTTTCGTTTGTTCGTGCGATGGAGCTACCGCCAGGAAACGGCGGTGGAACACGAGAATGGGATATTTCATCTGTGGTTGCAAAATCTACAGGCGAAAGAGTCGATATTTGTCGTCCTAAGGTAGGCGAAAGGGTCGTTGGAGGAGGGTTCATTGGCGTCTTCAAGAGAAAGTCTGTCGATGGAACGTTGTATTAGTATGTACATAGCACTGAAATAAATTACTCCCATAAATATTTGATGATTCTCCAGCCACGGTTAGGTGGAGGAATCGTCTCTGGGTTTGCCTCGACGTCCTTGAACAACGTCTCCAAATCCACATCTTCTGACTTCTTGTGATGCGTCTTCTTGACGATCTTCCAGAAGAAGAACAACACTATAAAGAGTGGAATGACAAAGTATGAACTGAAGAATGACGAAATGTCGAAGTTGTCGTCCAAGAAGTTGGCGTATCCTCCAGTTAAAAGAAGAAGGATAAAGAAGAACAACGAGATGTATGCAGCGTAGTCTGCAAAAGGCATCTTATAAGGCAAGTCGTCTCTGGTGTATCCCTGAGCCTTCAAAGCTTTCTGAAGGCCAATGTGGTTGATATCAATGGCAATCCACACCACAAGCAAATTAGCACTTGTCAAGTTCTGGAACCAGCCGAAAACCGTAGATGCACTAGAACTGGCACTCATGTAAGCCAAAGGCATGAATGCTGCAGACACAAGCACACCCCAGTAAGGCAAGCCGAATCTGTTTGTTTTAAGGAAGAACCTTGGAGCCTGGCCCTTGGAAGCCAAGGCAAACAAGTTTCTGGATGTCTGCACCAAACCCATATTGGCAGCAGAAAATGCTGAGGTCAAGACAACGGCGTTGATCACACTAGGAAGACCTTGAATGCCGGCATCCTTGATGGCAATGACGAATGGAGAACCAGTGGAGTCACCAGTAGTATCTGCAATTTGTGGGTTATCAGCAGAAAGAATAAGCGTAAGACCAAACACAGTAAGCAAGTAAAGCACAAACACTCTGAAGAAAATACGCTTACCGGCAGTGTAAATAGAGAATCTGGGTCTTTGGGTTTCACCAGCATAGAAAGAAATGGCATTGACACCACCAAATGCATAAACCACAGATCCAGCAGCTTTCCACCAGGCCAAGAACTCACCAAGGCTTCCGTCAGTGTAGTATTCCTTGAATGGGGTGTCTTTCCAGTAACGGAACCCAATTCTGTCCACGCCAGCGACACCACCCAAGTCCATGACAATACAAAGAATGATAAGACCAGTTATCAAAAGCACTTTGAGACATCCAAAGAAGAACTCGATCTCACCGTAGAAACGGATCTTCCATGAGTTACATCCAATAATAATAACCATAAACACTGTGATCCACACAGCAGGGTTCAAGTCACTCCAGTAGCCCATAACCAAAGCTGACGCCGAGATCTCACTAGGAAGAATGTGCTGGTAGACACCGATCCAGCCTAGGGCGAACGAATAAGCGCCATCAACAAAATGGTCGCCGTGTCTGATATAAGAACCAGTGACAGGCATCAAACAAGACAATTCAATCATGGCAAGCTGGTTCAAACCAACAAGAATACCAATAAATAAGTACGAAAGGAACATACCCACGTTACCAGTCAAGTACAAGGTCTTACCACTGGACAAGAACAAACCCGTACCGAAAACACCGACCAACGACAACATCTGAATATGACGTTGTTTAAGGCCTCTATCAAGATTAGCTTCCTTCTCAAAGACGTTATTCTCCAAAGAGTCAGTATCCGGACGAAGCGACTCCACATCCACCACATTCACGTCATAGTTGATCTGCTTACTCCCCGAAGAGTTTGAGGGAAGCGAAGCGACTTCCAGAGCAACACTATCGTTCTTGCTCATATCAGTAAATGGTTGCAAAAAAAAAAAAAAACCACAAATACACAATGCAGCAGATACCAAATCAATTATATACTAAACCCCCCAAATGCATAATCATATATTAGGCGACGCAGGCACTTTAATCGAAAAAAATAACACCCACTGCTGCACCACTGCTCAGATGATAGATACGACTATGGCGACAGTTCAAGTGGCTCGTCCTCATAAAATAAGCTATGGCTGATAAGAGCGAGATAAGACGTACTTTCGCCTCCACTTTTCCCGCTTATTTCCACCAATCACAGCGTGGCTGAATCTAAAATCGCCCGTCAATGCCCATACCATCGCTTAATTTGCATTGTTTCGGCCCGCTTTTGTGGATTGTGGCTACTTGTAGATGCCTATTAACTATGGCAATTTTGACCGCCACAGTTATGTGCGAGCTATTGAAAAAAAAAAAAAAAAAAAAAAAAAGTGCAGTGGCTGCAAATGGTCCAAAAAGGTGCATCTGTCGTTTGACCTTTTTTTTCTTCAAGTGGGAATCTCCAGTTTTGAAGATGTAATTTTCTGCTTTTCCTCTCTGTTTCTGGTTTTTTCGTTTCCAAAGCAGCCAGCACCTAGAGGTATCCGTCTCGGTGATGAGGCTCGTTAATGCGGCATGTCAAGACAGAAAGCCTCATGGATATATGAAATTTCAACGTGTATGCGTTGCTTGGCAAGGCAATCTGACAGGCATGGCGCTTGAGACAGAAGAGAAAAAAGCCGGTGGAATGGCGTCTGGATAAGGCATTTTGGAAGGTGCAATTTCTCTTTTGACATGCAATTGCGAAAGGGCTGCTTGGTGCTTGGTCTGTTTGACAGCGCCAATAGTGCTTTTGCATTTTGTGTTGGCTTTTTGCTGTTCATGGAAGGTTGATCCGGTGGGTTGACTGGTGCTGGGTGGTTCAAGGCGGGTGATGTTAGTGAAGGTTCTTTTGTAACCGTTTCTGTTTCATGTGTTGTATGTGTTTCTTGTGTTTTATTAACGGTAGAAGCTCTTATTGATCTGGGTTTGGATTTAAGTTTAGCTTTGCGTTGGTTGTGACCTCCAGCGCTGGATAGGCTAAACTGGTGGTGATGGGCGCAAGCATGTAGAGGATTAGTAAGGATTGACGTAGATCTGATGGTGAGCCACCACAATCTGAAGGATGGGGAAGTGGCAGAAAGTATTGGTTTACGAGAAATGGGGTGAGTTGGTAGTGACCGGTTTGGGATAAGAATTGTTTTCGTGGGAGGTTTAAGAAGATGATCTTTGATTTAGGTTTGAATGTGTTTTGTGGTTACCAGGGAATGGGTTGAAATAGATTCCTCTTATGGGATTTGGAAATCACTTTTTTTTGGATTCCAAGGTCAATAGGTAATTTGGTTGAACATAAAGCAAGATCTAGGGTTCTGGGAAACATCAGATTCCTTTGCATCAGGCTTCCTAGCATAAATTAATATAACCATCAACCATCAGCAAAGGGCAATGAAGAGATTGAAAAGTGTATAAACAAAGGGTGATGTTGGGTTAGCCGCTTGGGAACATGCTGGTAACTCTTGTATTTAATATTCTACACGTCTGCTTGAACTGCCATCAACAGATACCTATCCACCTGGTGCTTCTCTGTCTGCTGAACCAGTACCAATGTCAATGAGTATCACCACGCCTTGGGCCCCTAACTTTTCCAGCCAAATATACGCCTCTCTAATAATCATAAAATCCACCTATTCCACTCCAGTTTTGAGATATTCATTTTTTCACCATATCTTACTTCCCCTTCCCTTCCCATCGCTTCCTTCCAATACAGCAGTATTTCGCAGCCAAAGCTCACTAACAAGACAACTCCCCTACCAAAACAGCCATCCACCTAATCCTCAAAAATCCACTAAACCTTTTTTTCCCATCAACCAGCTACTCTTATTAATTCGTTGACTTTTTCTTTCTTATTCTTTTTTTTCCATATATTCAACCACCACATCGTTCTCCCTCTCCTCCACCACCTACTTGTTGATCTGCGCGGTTGAAAATCTCACACCAACCTCATCTCCATGAAAGTGCTCAAGGAAAGAGACGCCTTTCTAGCCGACTACGAGGTGCTTCTGCATCTCAATGGGCTTAAGGAAAAGTACAACTGGACTTTTTCGCCTCAGGAGGATAAGGATTCGAAACACCGCCGGAAAAGGTTCACTGGTGCTGGTGTTGATTTGGAGGTCATCACAAGAGACGTTACGCTGTGCTTGAACAAGCTGGCTGCGGGAGAGATTCCTGATGCAAATGCTGTGAAGGAGATTATGTCTTTTTTGAACCAGTACGAGTTGGTTAAGGTTGAGAAGCTTCAGATCCTCAATTCGTTGCCTAGATCGATGGTGCATCTTTATGCTTTGGTGGAGGAATGTGACCAGAGGTTTAGTGAAGAAGCCTGTGAAGCTATCTTGACGAAGATTAATGACGTGGTTCCTCGTGCTGAGGCTGAAGAGGATGTCGAGGAAGAGGAACAAGCGGAGGAGGATTAGTATGGGTATCTAAATCTATTGGCGTTTATATTAAGAAAGGGTTCACATTACTTTTGTGGTTACTTTTTTTGTTGTTGTTGTTTTTGGGGTCGGCTTCACATGAACCGTTCCATGATCAGCTTGTTGCCTTCGAGGAGATCGTTGTCTAATGCAGCAGCTGTGGTCTCGTCAATGCTTGGAGTCTCAGCGTTACGCTTCTCCCATTGCTCCTTGAGCTTCCAGACTCTCTCACTGACATCCAGGAGAAGACCGGCAGGACCAACGGCAAACATCGACTCGCAGTCTGCGTCGGCTTTGATCCAGGTATGTTCCACGGGCTCGTTGAGCGACTCTCTGTCAATATCCTCGTTCTCACGATGGATGAGATCTCTCAGAAGGATTCTTGCAAGGGCTGAATACTCCGTGGACAAGTCCATGCTTTCATCTTCAGATGGTTCAGGCGTGGTGGCGCCATCCACGTCAAAGTGGTTTGTGATCAAGTGCTGGATGACTGGCCATCCGTAAGCATTGGAGAACCGTCTTCTCACAACAATGTTGTTATGGGCGTCTGGCTTAAGCGATACAAGCACTTTTCTCCACAGCATCAGTTTATGGTACTCACGAGCGATTTCCTCCTCAAGTCTTTCCATTTCCTTGCTACGAGCCAAGTTCGTGATCGATTCACCTTTGGCCGTCAACTTCTGGATCATCGTCTTGCTCTCTTCTTCTGTGGGTTCTTCGATTCCGAAAGGAGGCAAGTCGGAGTCGTGGTAGACCTTGTCGTGCATGATCACGTCGTCTCTGGAAGCTGGGTTGGTGATGTATTTAAGCGAGGGCTGCGGTGGGAGAATTAATGAAGCGGCACTTTCAACGATAGATGGCTTCGGTAGCCCACCAAACGTTCCCTCCTTGGTGTTGTTTTCCTGGCTGTTCGTTTGGAAACGGTTATATTGCTCAGCATCGCTCTTGCGATGCTTTTGAGGCAAAAAGTATGAAAGCATGGCACTGAGAGCCAGTGTTTGGGAATCCTCATTATTTGGAAGATCCTGTGGGATCTCGCCTGTGGTGCCAGGTTTGGTATCGCTACCAACGGCAGTCAACCCGTCATAGTCTAGATAAAGTAATGCAGAAGTTCTGAGAGGTACAATACCGTCATTCACAGCATTGGCGTAGACAGTTCTGCGAACGAAGCGTTTAAGAATCCGGTGAGTAGGGCCTGTGGGAAGTAAAAGCAACAACGGTTTATTGTTGCTCTCAGTGTACTGTAGTCCCAAATCTTGACCTGTCTTGCCCACCACACCGGCCAAAAGCGCTAGTTTAATGTAGACGGGGTTTTCGTGGACCACGCCGATCATTGGAGAAGCCAAGGTGATGAAGTTGACTGGCTGGACTTGCTGGAAGAACCATGGAAAGTTGGCCTCTAAGTAAGCCACAGCAAACGTTTGAACAAGACCACCAAGCGAATGACCGATAAATGAAATCTTGGTCACATTACCCTTTAAGGTTTCGTTCTGCGTGACAAGGTCCACGACGTAGTCGGCAACTCTACTGCCCAAGTACTTGACGCCTCGTTCAGTCTTACAGACATTGCCAAAGTAGCCCTTGACAACGACATTCTCATCACCTTGTTTCTTATCAATCTGCTCTTTCAAAAAGAACATATCCGACAGCACGTTAGCATGAAGGCCATGCGTCAAGATCACCAAATGGATCGGCTTGGAAGTATCTGGAATAGGCATATTCCACAAGTCTAAAGTATCGTGGGTCAGAACCAGAACAAAGGGGTGTGGAACCACCTGGACGTTCGATTCCGAAAGCCATTCACGGCGTGCAGCAATAGAAATCTCAAAATTAGTAGCCACAGAAACATTAAAGATAGCCTGGGAGATCACATCAATGGTCCAACGATAATGCGGCTTATACTGGTGGCACAGTAGCTCCACGTAGAAGCTCTGGCCCGGAAGGAGCTGTGGTTCGTAAACAGGCTGATCCGCCGTGATAAACACGTTCTTTGAAATATCATAATCATCAGGTCGACAGTCCACATACAAAACATATGGACCAGCCAAGTAAGCAGCTCTCATGCCTATAGCTTCAGTATTCTTCACCTTCACCCATAACGACTTTGGAGGCTGAGAGGCGTAGTGTTCAGCAGACTCAAACGGAGCAAAATCCACGTCAAACCTAAAACTCTGTCCGATTTTAACGGCATGGGCCGATTTATGGAGAAGCATGTGCTCGTTCTTTTCAGAGGCGCTTGATGTCAAATAGTCCAGTGCTTTGGACAGAATATCCTGAGCGACTTGCGGTACTAGCAGGGAGATGTACTGGTTCAAGGGACCCCCAGGGAGCATCGATTAGAGCAGGCAGCGAGTGGTCAGGTGGTTTGTAGGGAAAAAGTGGAAGGTGTTTTTGGAAATGTTGGGGTAAACTTGATAGATGGCCTGTGCAGGTGTTGATGATTGCTGAATGGTTGCAAAAAAGATAAAAACACAAAATTTTTTGTCTTGTGAGCGCAAACAGAGATTTAAAACAACTTTTGCCGGCGTAAGCGAAGCTTTGGGAAGCTTCGTCGGCGTTAAAAGTGTAAGCAAACTTGTTGGGGAAATAAGTGTCTTTGCAGGCATGCCCAACCGGCAGCCAATTGCTCGTTGCCGAAAGTAAGGCAGTTTTGGGGGAGGGAGGAAGGATTTGGTGGGTACTAAGGTGAAGAAGAGTTCAGAAGAAGACGGTTTGGGATGTTTAAAATTAGTATTGGCATTCAAATGGGTGGTTCTTGTGGTGGTATGCGCTTAGAGGTACTTTGGTGTATCTCGAGCCACAGACGTGCTACAAAGGCCAGCTTTTGAAGAACATAACCATATCATTCAAATAAGGTATTTAATATCTAAACGGCTCGAAATACGCCTGTTTTTGGTGTTTTGGCGGAGGGTCTGACGACCTGGGGTAAGCTGGTGTACGGGTGTTTTGTTCTACCAGTGGTTGCAAAATCCCATGCTTTTGCCAATTTTTTTATTTTTTTAAAAAATGCAAGAAAAACCCATTAAAAGGGCCAAAAGAGACAAAATCGTTGATTTCGCCGATTAATACCATCACTTTACCTCAAAAGGTTCATCATATGGAAATACCCCATTTTTATAACCCACTACCAGAATTCACATTCTTCTCGGTTTCTGCATTTCTCACCATGTACTATAAATATCAACATTTTATACGACAAAAGCCAAAGATAGCAAAATGTAAAGTGTCCACCAAAAATCAGAATTTTGGCTAAACCAAAAAAGAAGTATATAGATTGAAATTACCTATTCTTAATTTTATAGAAAACCCTCTGTTTCCCCCAAAAACACCTCATTCGACCCATCCACTGTATTCCACTCTTTCGCAGCCAATTCAGTCCCACCCAAGTAGACATCCCACCAAGAATAAACATTCCAAGCAGCCATTTAATAGTATAAGAGAACTTTCTTCAAAATGAGTCATCAACAGCAAAATAAGCAAATTAACTAAAAAATACAAACTCAGTGGATAAAATAAGACAAGTAGAAATCACGCTCTATGGCTTCCACTGGCCCTACAAAGGAACATAGGAAGCCTTCACTATACACCGTGTATACTTCCACCGATTATTTAGAATTTGACTAGTTTTCTTGAAGAATGAAGTGCTACAGCCTTTTTAAATTATTCCTATAAACTACCATTTCACCACTTTCATCTTCTGTATTTCCATATAGAGCCTGGACCTACTTGCCTGAACCTACTTCTGACCGCGCGCTTTATCAACATATCTACAACCACATACTATGGCAGAGGAGGACTTCCATCCCATTGAGTTGGCGGCACATTCGCTTCTTTCAGGTCCTCTTGATAGTCTAAACGATAACTTTCTCCAGTTGCACCGGCTGCAGCACGTGTTGCTTACTCGGCTCAAGATGATCTCGGAACGGTTGGATCAGATCGAAAAGGGCTTCGGTGAAGGGATTGCTGGACAGGACGTGACGGCAGCACATCAGCAGATCAAGGCGATGAAGGCGAAGCTTCAGGAGTCCCAGAAACGATTGGGAGGGGTTGAAAAACGAGTCGAGGGGCTCGATAGTTAGAGAGGTGAAGAGTGAAGAGAAATTAGAAGTACGTCAGCGGGACTGATGAAACGTTTTTTTTTTTCTTTTGTGGTTCTATATATGGCCTAGATGCCAAAGTCAAGAAGTCTGTATGGATATCCTCTGGACTTGAAGCCAAAGAAGGATAAATAAGCACTGTAGGCGAGGTAGATCAATGCCGAGATGGTCACCACCGCAAGAAGCTGCACTTTGGCATTGTTGATCTTGGGAACCTTGGATGCCAACAACACGAACGTCAAGCCCAAAAAGCCGTACAAGGACGAGATAAGCTGACTCTCCAAGCCATACTGACTCTGAGGCGAAGGAGCAAAGTACTCCACACCATTGTCGGTCTCTCTGACGAAAGGAGCGCCACGAATCTGGTTAAACATGTAACCAGAAATGAACATAAGCATGGCGCCCGAGGATACGGTTCCCCACACGTACGAAGAGCGGAAGACGGCCAGCGCATACGAACTGAACCTCTTGAGGAGCAACACAACAAGGAACGTGATGACAGCGTTCAACGCCACCTTGCCCCAGTCCATAGGAACATGGATTTCAATAGGAACACCAACAATCTCACGCACCCACTGGGCAATCAATGACGTGTGTTCACCCTGGTAGAACTGGTACTGGGAGTGTTCGGTAAGGAAAGACGTGACCTTAGCACCAGGCTTGGAAGGAGGAAAGTGATAGATCTTTGGAATCGAGTCCAATTGCATAAGCTGGAAAAGCTTCTTGGCAGACATAAAGTCAGCCTCCAAGAAGTAGATGTTGGTTCTGCCCTGGTCCAACTTCTCCTCCTCAGTAAACCCATGTGGATGAGCATGTGTCCAAGACGTGGCCACCGTACGGTACAGCGGATGGATTTCACGGCACAAAATACAGTTGAGCTGGGGCGAGTCCAGCGCCATGTATAACACGAGGTCGTAGTCTCTGTCTCCGTAGAGGAACTTTTCAAAGTTGTCGTCACGGAGCTCAATGACCGAGTTTCTGCCTTTCAGGGACACAAGGGCTTGCATCTCCAGATCAGAGTAGGCGGCAAGAGCCACCAGGCACCAGGCGGCAACAACTAGAAAGAATTGGGTCCACTTCATGGTGAAGAAGAATGTTCATAAGTCTCGAGAACACGTCAAGTTGGCTCGCGGTCGGGTCACGTGTGCGACTTAGGTATGGAAGGAAGGATACCACTACGGAGGGTTCAGAGAGTGGCTAGGTAATATTTAATTATATATTATGGTTGTTAAGGTATGGTACTTGTGAGAGGTGGAAGTGGTTTTACTTGCTTGGGTGGTGTGGGCGAGTTGGCGTGGATGGGTAGTAAATGGAGCGTTCGCATACTAGTAGATACACCAGACATGGATCCATGTATTATAAGGTATACCAAGAGTGTAATGGATATGACTAATTCATGGGCTTACCAAGGAAAGTGTATTTCTGAGCCAACAAGAAGCTCAATTAATGGGTTTCAATTGGACATGGCCAGGCGCTTCTGATCAGCTTCTGGTATTAGACTCTGCTTTCCTCTTAAACAAACAAATAGCTCATTGCCGGTCTTCTTAAGCAAATATACTAAAGCATACTTCAGATAGCAAGCCCACGTGGATAAGAACAGACACCACCGACACACGGCTACTGGGGTGTAGTTTTCTCGACCTTCAGACAGACTCGTAACGGAAGGGAACAGGTTGTAACACACGGACGCAAGTTGTACTTTATGGTTGCCCGCAATTCATAGCTTCTGCTAAGCAGGTTGGAATAAAATGTAGGTCCAAGATCAGGAAGCTTGCAATCATAAAAGCTGTGTTTGAGCTCCAATCGCTTTTGATCAATAGATTTGCCGAATGCACTGTTAAACTTGGAGTTGTAGATTTCTAACCATCTTGTTTTAATTGACTGATCCGTGACATAATCTCCTCTTATGAACTCCCAGACTTGTATAGCAACGTTGAAGAGTTGGAAACCCTCAACATTGAAGTACCTAGCAAACTTGATTCTCACGAGGTCCTTGAGACTCATTCCGGGAAAGGCATGGATAGCTTCTGGATTAGACGACTTGGTATCATCAAGCACCATGTAGATATCTCCATGAGTATCATATGTAGGCGGACTAGGGGGACACAAGTGGCGGGCTTCAAGTTGAAAAGGAGGAAATTCGTATTGAAGAGTGGCCTCGTCAGTTTTGAGATACTGAGATCCATATGACTCTGACGGGTTTGCTTCACATTTGATCATCATACATTCCTCCTTTGTTACAGGCCCCAGCCCTAGAGCACCGATTCCGAATTTTTCCATTTGCTCTTCAATGGTCTTATTTGAATAGGTCAACAAATTCTGCGGAGTGTTCATCATCACTCTAGTCACGGTAATGATCGATTTTTCGGTTGGGAAAGCATCCGTGTGATGTGCGAGATAATCGAATCCATTCAACTTGATATTTGTCATGATCTTCTTTGTCACTTTTGAATGATCAAACAGGTCCTTAGGAAACTTTTCAAGCACGAGAGTACTTCTGATAAATTCTTTATTTTTCTTTCCAAATATTGGTAAACTCCATTCTTTTTGGGCCACATTGATCTCTAAGAAAGAATGGTATACCGATGAGAACCCGGCCGCTTCAAGCCTGACCAGGATTTTTAGTCCATAAGATCTCAATGTCGAGTTAGTCATAAAAGTTGGTCCCAAATTCGGAAGTTGGCAATCAAAAAGGTGTTTTGGTATCCACATAAGGCGTCCCTGGTTTGATAAGGGGAGACCTTCCCACTTGAATTTTTCATTGCACACCCTATGGATTAGTACAATGTTGCGTAAGCAATTTTTGGCATTCTCTGGATTAAATTTTTCGGCATTGCTATCCCAGCTGCTCGTAAGCTCCTGTAAAGTGACTGTAACTTCTCTGATTGAGAAGGCATATCTCACGGAAGGCGTGCTTGGTGGTTTACACCTTAAAAAAACACCTAAAAAACTGGAGAGCTTCATCTTGGGAGTCACCACCTGTGCGTTTTTGGTTTGGCCAAAGCCTTTAGGTGCACTGAAGTTCGGATACATCCCAATATCATAATTGTCTGCAGCAACACTTAGCCGAACTAAACAGCCTAAGGGATCTTTTGTCCCATAGAGTAATTCGGTCATGGGAAAGCCTCCATCCCTGAGCGCAACTGTATTTCGGCCAAACTTAAACACGCATGTCCCGACGAGCTTACCTTGTTCATAGGCCATCGAAGTCTCGGGTAAAGCAAGGTCTTTTGTGCGTAAGACTGAGTATGTGATCATGAAAGGTTCTTTCAGCATCGGCAGCGCCTTCTGGATGTCTACCGAAGCATCGAGCTTTGATTGCACATCGAACTGGACCGCATCTTGGGAGGTTCGGAACTTGTAGATAGTAGCCGTGTAATATCCATCCACATCCTTGAATGTCCGACTCGTATGACCAATGTAGTCTGATGTAATAGGTACACATGTCTTCGACTGGCCTTCAGCTCGGCTCTTCAGAAGGACAACTACCGTTGCAATCAGCTTTTGTGCCATTATTAACGTAAGGTCTCCACAAGTATTGCCAAATCGTTGTTCTTATAATGAGCTAACATGGCGATTGAAGACGGAAATTATAAGACGGATCTTTGTTCTTGCCGGGACAAAAAAATAAGCACCGCCCATACATGCCAACTAGCATGGAAAGAGAAAAACCTTTCGACGTGATCGATTTATCAGCGATTACATCTTCAAGCAAAAATCTCCATCAGCTAAGTTTGTATGATATTGATCAAGTAGCTCAGTCAGCACCAGAATATTGCCATGTCCTTTGGATAGCAGTCAGCATGGCAGAAGCACCAGTCAATCTTTCTTATTGTTTCCCTCCCAAGAGAGTCACGAGAACATGTTTAGCTTCCAAACAGCATTACCTCAGCGTATAATATTCTAGTTTTCAGATAAACCAAAGAGGACATAGAAGGTCCAATTTCCAGATAGAGCATTCTCAAAAGGGCAAGAACTATCGTTTCATAAAAGAGCGCAACGCTAATAAAACTTGTCGACCGTAGAATGCTCAGACACTCTTCTACACCTGCTTATCCTCTCCTGTGATGGTCAACTTGCTTGAAGATCCCAGCGTTACACGACAAACGCCGTCGCCGGTCTCAAAGCGCTCAACTAATAGAATATAGTCATGATGAGCTTTAGCAAGCGTACAGTCAACAAACACTCCGTAAACGCTGTCATTCCATTTATCATTCACCAGCACGGGTTGTTGTGTCGCACTATCAAAGAGAGACCCACGTACAGCTGGTCGATACAGCGAGAGAGTCTGCGGTTTCTCGCCTGCTTGTAGTTTGAATGTGACCTTCGTATTGGGGACAGTCGAACGAATAACTAGCTTGTAGCGATTCCTTTGGTCCCAATTGAACTTCACCGTTTCGTTGTAAAGCCCCAAAGCTTTGGGAACTTTTTCCAATTCAACATTATTCTTCCCACCATCATACATCACGATAAGATGGAACTTACCAGAAACACTAGCATCGTAGTTTGAGACAACCAACCTGAGCTGACCAGGTTCCACGTCATGCACTTCATGATGGTGAATACCAGGCGAGTAGTTGTCGCAGAAAAGAAGCTTTGACTTGTCAAAGTTGCGGAGCTTGACCATATGCTGGGATTTGTCTGTATGAAGCAAATGGAAGTTGACATCTGCTGTTTCACTGGACGAAACTGCAATGAACATCTTTGGAAGCCTCTGTTTAATATCCAAGTCCCATTGTGGATTGTCGATATACAGCTCTAATGCCCAGTTACCGCCATTATCAACCCCTGCTGTCCACGAGTCCTCGATCTCCACAACATTTGCATATTGTGGTTTTGCTTTGTATAGCGACACAGTAGGCGAGTGGCTCCAGAGCTTTACCAGAAAGATGGTCTTAGTCTCTGTTCCTGCAATGACAAGAGTATATTTGGAATTGGGGGAGATATCGAACTTCAAGAAGTAAACGCGAGACTTTGTCATCTTGCCGCCAGCGGCACGAACATATTGTGAAGGGTAGATGACTTTTCCTCTTGTGTTTTCATAAACGCTGACAGAGTAGGGAGATAAGGGTTCCGTTTTCACCAAGAACTGCTCTACCACAATTCCAACCGATTGTGTTTCAGACGAGCTGTTCTCAAGGACAAACTGAGGTCTATCAAGAAGAAGCGTAGACGACTTTGGAGGTGCACTGATGACCGAAGTGGAAAAGCTGTGCTTATAGAGAGCATCCATATTCCAGTTCAAATACAAGTAGGTGAAATGGCCAAACACAGAGGCATCAACTTCCAAAAGACGGTCTCTCGATTCACTGACCCATGGGTTCTTCAAGGTAACCCCGTCTTTGCTGTATCCACATACAACATAGTCGTGGCCAGGAACAACCTTCAACTGGGACGCCAAAGAGTCCAGCATGGGACCAGTACCCAATCCCAAAGCCACAAGGCCACGTTTCTTGAGGTCCCAGAGCTCTGCAAGCAGATCAATGCTCAATTTGCTGATCTTACGAACTTCTGGTGCCCATCCAAGCAACATATAAGTATCCTGGGCCATGTTGGAGCCAGAGAAGTTATAGTCATCTCCCAGAGCAATGAGGTATGCTTTTTCGAGGATCGCAGGCCAATAGAGCAGGCTGTTGGTGCTGGAACGGACCATCATATACCGATCCTGGTGAGGAGGTTGCATGAAAGGAAGCTCTGTGTCGATATTGAGTTCACGTTCACAGCCGTTGATATACAACTTCACCTTGGCCACGCCCAACTCTTGGTTGTACTTAACAAGACGCTCGAGCTTTTCTCCAAGGCCCATATCGTGGATGGAAAGAAGCGACAGCACGAACGAGCAGTTTGGAAGCAAATCCTGGCACAAGTCGCCAAAGCCTTCAAGACCAGACGTCATTTCTGGACTCTTAAACGTAGCTCCATACAGAAAACCTATACTTGGAAATTCTAGTTCTTTCTGATAGCAGTCGGTGGGCAGAAAGTCTATAGACCGAAGCCCACCGCCAAAGTCAAGCACCGGCGTCCAGTCAACGTCATATATCTCGCAAGAAAGCCACATAAGCTTCTCTGCCATTGTCAAGGCCTTCTGGCCATCTTTCTTAAGCTTCTCAAACCATTGTAACGTAAATGACGCCAAAGCCTTAGCAACATGGATACTACCTTGATCCAGTACCTCTAGAAGCTTATTGGCCTTAACAGCTGCTTTCATGCAAGTAACCCTTGCTTCTGAAGCCTTTCCCTCGGCGAGGTACTCATGGCTGTCCTGTAGATAGCTTATGATATCTACCACTTCATCTGAGGACATTTGTTGAGGGTAATTGAGGATAGTTGGGAAGTAGTGGTTATAGATGTACGCGCGTTATCAACACTTTTCAGTACTCCACGATCAACAGTATACTACTACCCCAGAGGTACTACCCACCAGATATGCATCCTACATTAAAGATATTTGGTGTTGTGGCCGTGCTACGTTTTCTCAATGCCATTTCTATAATCACCTTTTTCCAGCCGGACGAGTTCTACCAGGCCTTGGAACCTGCCCATAAGCTAGTATATGGATATGGGTACATTACATGGGAATGGCACGAAGGGCTACGTTCGTCGTTGCATCCGTGGCTCTATGCTTTGGCTTATAAGGCTGTTGGGGCTGTTGTGCTGGAGGATTGGGCTGTGTATTTAGCTCCAAGGCTTATGGGTGCTGCGGTGGCTGCTGTGGGGGAAACGTACCTCTATAAGTTTGCGTTGAAGTATACTGGAAGTGTCCAGGTAGCTACGTTTGCATTGGCGGCGTCTGTTTTGAGCGGATGGAATTGGTTTTTCATTACCAGAGCGTTTTCGAATAACCTAGAGATGGTGCTTACTACGGTTGGATTGGCATACTGGCCTTGGAATAGACCCAACGGGTGTATTGTGAAAAGCTGTATTTTTGGCTTCTTGAGCTGTATTGTCAGGCCTACAAACGCTCTTCTATGGGGCTTTTTGGGTGCGGGATATGTGGTGAAGAACCTCTCCCAGCCATTGCAGCTAGCACTGCTTGGACTTGATTTGGGGGTGCTTTTTGGCGTGATTTGCGCTTTGACCGCCTTGCCGGACCTCTTTTTCTACGGCAAGTTCACCGTGCCATTGTACAACTTTCTCGAGTTCAATGTGGTGAAAAACCTCCTGATCTTCTACGGCAGCGCTCCGTGGCACTTCTACTTGTTCCAAGGCATCCCATTGCTTCTTATGGGCTACTTGCCGCTCTGGGCAATGAGCATGTGGCGATACAGAAACACGCTTTTGGTCAATACCACCTTGTTTGTGATAATTGGATTTTCATGCATTGCCCATAAAGAATTCCGCTTCATCTACCCATTGTATCCGATCTTTATGGTCCACACAGCACAAGCGGCAAGAACGTTATTCCACAGGAAGTACTTCAAAGCGTTAGCCGTTTCTGTGGTGCTACTCCATTCCATGGTTGCATTCTTCTTTACTAGAATCAACGAGCTGGGCGAAATAGGCGTGGTAAACTGGCTTACTACCATTTCCAACGTCTCTTCAGTTGGATTCCTTACCCCATGCCATTCTGTGCCCTGGCACTCATCTTTCCACAGAGAAGACCTCGTTTCAAACCTCTGGATGCTCACCTGTGAGCCTCCCTTACACTTGGCCAACGGTAACCTCGAAAACGTCAGATCATACAGAGACGAGCTGGACAGGTTCTTCGACAATCCCGAACAATTCTTAAAAGACACCATCGGCACGCCACAACGGCCGTGGCCTTCGCATTTGGTGATTTTCCAGCACATGGAAGATGTAGTTTCTACGTTCCTCCAAGACACCTCCTATAAAGAATGTGCCCGATTTTTCAACAGCTACTTCCATTGGGACCCACGTCGCTGGGGAGATATCATCGTTTACTGCCAAAACGAATCCTTATAAGTGACCCTCGGCACTACTACCTTTCGCAGCCATCCCACCCGTCAAAAGCCCATGTTGCAAATGCAACCATCCACGGCCCAATGCAACAAAACGTTTTTCATGCACCCGAAATTACCCTAATTCATTCTCGAGATATCTGCAGCTGAAACGGCCCACGGTCTAACATAGGGGAGCATGCCCAAGTGGTAAGGGCTCATTTGCAGCAAGGCGTGCTGGGGCGCGGTAAACGCATGATGGTATCTGAAATAGCTGCCTCTCTTAGCGCATACATCAGGTGATGCTTCGAAGACATGACAGTGCCTTGACGTATACATCTTTTTTTGGGAGGTGGGGGGTTGAAGATCATGCTGGCGAACGATCCGAAGGCGGCAGAATAATTTCTTGGTTCTGGAAAAAAATAAGGGTGAAATTTATCCAGCCAAAGTTAATTTTTCAGTGACATACCAACCCCCACTAAATTGGACCAATTGGACACCGCCAGTGATTCCAATTGGAGCATTCAAGGAGAAATCCTCTCCAAGGGGCAAAGAGCCCCGACCCAGCCGCCCCCAACGTTCCTTTGTTTCCTTGGAAAACCACCTGATTCCACTATGGAGCCAATCGGGCTAACCTGAGCCGCACAATCACCCTATGCGAGACAGGTGCACTAGTCCAGAGTCCGTGCATCAGATGCGGCAGTGGCTGCAAAAGTATAAATTCCAAAGGATATCCAAACGGAGTCCCCTCTTCTTCTATCATCATCAATCATGAGCATTCCTCAAACACAAAAAGCAGTTATTTTCGAAGAAAACGGTGGCCCCTTGTTGTACAAGGACATTCCAGTTCCTCAGCCAAAGGACAATGAGCTCTTGGTCAACATCAAGTACTCTGGTGTGTGCCACACTGATTTGCATGCCTGGAAGGGTGACTGGCCATTGGCTACCAAATTGCCTTTGGTCGGTGGCCACGAAGGTGCCGGTGTCGTTGTTGCCATGGGTAAGAACGTCAAGGGCTGGGAGCTTGGTGACTATGCTGGTGTCAAGTGGTTGAACGGTTCTTGTTTGGGCTGTGAGTTCTGTCAACACGGTGACGAGCCAAACTGTGCCGAGGCTGACTTGTCTGGTTACACCCACGACGGTTCTTTCGAGCAGTACGCCACTGCCGATGCTGTCCAGGCTGCTAGAATTCCAAAGCACGTCGACTTGGCCCAGGCCGCTCCTATCTTGTGTGCTGGTATCACCGTCTACAAGGCCTTGAAGACCGCCAACTTGCAGGCTGGCCAATGGGTCTGTATCTCTGGTGCTGGTGGTGGATTGGGTTCTTTGGCCATCCAGTACGCCAAGGCCATGGGCTACAGAGTTGCTGCCATTGATGGCGGTGACGAGAAGGGCGAGTTCTGTAAGTCTTTGGGCGCTGAGGTCTTCATTGACTTCACCAAGACCAAGGACATTGTCAAGGACGTTGTCGCTGCCACCAACGGTGGTCCACACGGTGCCATCAACGTGTCTGTCTCCGAGAAGGCCATTTCCCAGTCTGTTGAGTACATCAGATCTACTGGTACTGTCGTTCTTGTCGGTTTGCCAGCTGGCGCCAAGGTTGTTGCTCCAGTTTTCGAGTCTGTGATCAAGTCTGTCAGCATCAGAGGTTCTTACGTTGGTAACAGAGCTGACTCTGCCGAGGCCATTGACTTCTTCGCCAGAGGCTTGATCAAGTGTCCTATCAAGATTGTCGGCTTGTCTGAGTTGCCATCTATTTACGAATTGATGGAACAGGGTAAGATCTTGGGCAGATACGTCGTCGACACTTCTAAGTAAAGATACGAGAAATGAACACTATGGGCTGAGCAATCAGTAGCATACGAATAAACGAGCATTACTAAGTTGTATTAATGTAGTCTAAGCTAACAAAAAACCATTCCTGATGGTCTTCACCTTCCCTCCTCGTTCTGGAGGTTCATGGACTCGGCGTCCTTGGCCACCCGGGCCATCCACCGCAGCACCAACAGCGCATTCTCCTCCTTAAGTGCTGCTATTTCATCTTTAAGCACGTTCTGCTGGATCTGGTGTATCAAGTACTCGTCATTGACAATCTCCACAGCCCTATTCTTCTCTGCCACCTCTTGGCCAAGAGCATCTATTTTCAGGTTCAACCTGGCATTCCCTGCTTCAAGTCCCCGAATCCGTTTCTCTAATTGCAATCCCTTCGACTCCAGCGCCTCTAGCCGTAGCGTTTGCTGGTTCAACCGTTCCACCAACGTTTCGTTCTCCAGCACCAACAGAACCCGTTCTTTCTCGGCCAAAGACGGGTCGTTTGCCGGTAGTAGCCGAGCCAACTGGGAGAATGCCTTGTAGTATTCTGAATCCTGTTTTTCTAGCTTATCTCTGCTCTGCAAGCGCTGTTCAATCTGTTTCCATGGGTCCATAAGGTGAGATTATGTAGTGCGAAAGAGAAGATAATGTATGGCTGCAAGAGGGAAAGAGAGGTAGGTGGACAAATGGTGGACAGTGGCAGAAATAAGGGGTTTTTTGGTTTCAGGGGGAAGAGAAAGACTGGGGGGTTTTGATGGTATAGGTACTTTTTTGAAATGGTCACTTTTCGATTTTTAAAGGCACTTTTACTGGTTTCCAATTGTTCATGCTTTTGCGTAGTTTTAGTTAATGCGAGTGAATACTGTCAAATCCTGGAATAACCAGAAACCAGTGGAATCTGTAAATTACAGATTTTAATTAGAAGGGAATGAAAAATGACGAAGATTGATAACTCTACTACTCTTACCTTCCCTGCATTGGTCAATTCCTTAATTACACCCTTTTTTCAACTTTCACTTGACCTCCATGACTTCCCCAGCCAGTCCAGGCTGTCCAGGCTGTCCAGGCCCTCCAGCCACAGACCACGAAACACCCCAAACCCAACTCCTCCAAGTAAAAACAAAGAATATTAAACCTCTCAATCAAATACCCCTATACATGACTCTTCACTTACTCCTTCACTTTCCACCACTGCCTACTCTTCTCCATCCTGGTCCCTCCGTTCCGAGCCGGTGCCATCAGACCACTTCCACCAAAACCCAAACTCAAACGCAAACCCAAAAACCAAAAAGAACCACCAATCCCACTTCACTCTTCCTTAAATGCCCCTTTTGTTTCTTCTAGTGACGGTTTTGGCGAAAACAACCACCTTCGTCCAGCCCTCTCCAGTGAGCCCTTCAGTCCACTTGAGCCTGCCAGACCCCATCTCCCCCAGCCACCGTCCGTGGTAGAGGGAAACAAATTGGATTTTCCAAAAAATCAAAAAAAAAAAAAAAAAATACGAAGAGTACCACGAATCGTCTATATATGTTGGGGGTTTGTGGCTGGGGTGGCTGCAATGGACCCTGGCGAGGCTGGAGGTGGAGGTGGAGGTGGAGGCTAAACGAGATACTACCATGGCCATTTAAATATGCCAAGGATTTCCCAATTCTGACATAAAAACTCCAAACCACGAATTCACTTCAAACTAATACTTTTATACGAAAAACTTATAACATTTACTTAAACCATGTTCATTCACTGACCCTTCTTCTCTGGTATCTAGAATACGTCAAACGACGCAGGCACAGCTAAATGGCTGCGAAAGAAGCATCCCACATGGAGGTGAACCACAGACCAGGAATACGAAGAAAACAAAGAGAAGGGGACGGTTTTGAAAGGCCAGACTTTTTTAGACCAATGTGAAAAGAACCCCATACTTTCCTTTTCTTCCACGCCTCCTCATAACCGTAGCAACCATGCGGGGCTTATCAGTTCCATCTCCCCAGGCCAGTCCTGTTCACTTTAAATACACATATTAACAGTAAATCATAAAAAGAATACCTCTTCAACAAAGAAGAACCCATAAAGAACCCAACAACGCTTTCAACAAGTGGAGTTTCACGTTTTGGGGTTCCTCGACTTGCCTGTTTCGTCTTCCTCTACTGCCTCACTGGGTCATCTGCGAGCCTCCAACCATTGCTCTTCCATGCGCAACGCCATCCCTAGAAATACCAGAAGATAGGCAGATTTCTTTGGATTCTCTAATCCTTTCATCCACTTCTTCTACCTTCTTTTTTACCCCATTTCCTGCTTCCCCTGGTGGACCCTCTCACATGAGCGGCCTGCGCGGTAGCTTTTTGGGTGCCTGATAAGATCCTCTGGTCCATGTGACTCAAGTAACTCTAAATTTCCACCTTTTTATTACCCACTCTTTAACCACAAACAGCCCACCATTTTGTTGTTAACGCTAGCATATTTCATGTTTTGGAGAAATCCTGACGGCCAGAACGAGCCTGTCCAGGATCAGGATCAACAAGCAACAACCACTGACGCCCCAGATACGCAAGGGCCTGATGACCAAACACTGCCTGAACAGAAACAACTGACAGGGTTTTTCTTTTGGCTGAGAGCTGCCGAGACAGAGGAAGCTCCTAAGGATGAAGTGCCTGAGAATGAACAGCCTGGTGATGAACAGCCACAGCTGACAAGGCCGTGGTATAGCTTCTTCTCCTCAGATGAACCCCAGACGGGGCAGGAGGAGCCAGAACCCGAGCAGAAACAGACCCTGTCGTGGTTTTGGCCTTTTTCGTCGGCTGTGGAGCCTGAGCTGGATACAGAGGATACAGATAATGCCGAGGTGTTTCGTGCTGCTAGGTCAACACTAGAGAATACCAGAGGAAACGGCCATTACGCTATAAAGTACGTGCGTGGGGCAACTACGGCCCATTTGGCTGTGTGTGGAACGGATACAGAGCAGGCTCCCGTACCGTTTAACGTGAAGAAGGTTCCAGCGTTGCCTAATGAGCTTTTGGAGGCGAACTTGGTGAGTGCTAAGGCTAAACAGAAGGCGCTCGAGGAACAAAGGGCACAGGAACAAAAGGCTCAAGAGCAGAAGGTTCAGGAACAAAAAGCTCAAGAGCAGAAGAATCAGGATTCGAAAACTCAGGGTCCAGATAAGCTGGCAGCCCAGGCGGCAGCCAAATCGGTGGCTGCAAACCCAACGGTTGCTGCTACTCCTACACCTGGATCACCAGAACCTACAAAGAAGGAAACGGCTGCTCGTAAGCCCAAAGAAGGAGCATCCAAGACCATGGAAACGTCAGTAACACTTCCAAAGAAACCAACTCCAGAAGCAAAACCATCGAGAACTCCTTCAGTCCATTCCGAACTTCAGACCCCTCTGGTTCTCCCATACATGGATAACAACTTTCGTGAAATCACTCTCATCACCAAGGCCCGTCTTTTAGGTGAAAAGTTTATCAAAGGTGATCAGACAAGTGAAAAGCATCTTTATCTCAGCACAGAGGGATCAATTCATGCCAAGAAGCGGAAAAGGACAAAGAACGTTGTCGTCATCAGCATGCATAGTCTCTTGCCACCTAAATTTGTCAGAAACTATATTGCACAATCCACGGGCAGCGCTAAACAATTTGGACTCAAGACAATAGACGCAGTGGCACGGTGGCTCGATGAGGAAGAGGAAGATAAGGCCAAGGTCGAGATTTCTGCCATTTGTCTCGAGGGTCAAGGCACGATCACGGATAGAGTACGTGAATCATTTAGGCTTTTGCGCAATTGGAAGCATGAAATCAATTCTGCCGATATGGTGCTTTTCGTGAGTAGCTCAATTGCAACGCCAGCGGCCATTACGCTATTCAGTGCCATGCATCAAAGCGAGGAGTTTCATTTGCATCGCAAAAAGCTAGGCATGCTTAATATGTCAGGGATCCATTGCGGACCATACCCTGGACTCAATGCTCGAGTTGTGATACGAGCGTACTATCCTGCTGAGAATGAAATTATCAAGGAGCTTTTTGAATTACAGAAGACGGGTTCAGAAACGTCAAAGCAGCTAAGCGCTGATACCAAGTATTTGTGCGAGAACAATGTGAAGATGACGCTTGTTGGAGCATTGAACGACCAATTTGTTCCATTGTTTTCATCAGTGGATAGTTTAGTGAGCCATCCGAATATTTTCAAGAGTATTTTCGTGGATGAACAGTGCAGTGTTCCAGCATTTATCGTGAAGCTCTTTCTGGTGATTTTAACGATGCAAAACGTCGGATACCTGGATCAGAACATGATAACCGATTTAAGCGAGCGGCTTCAGGGCCCTGTGAATGTGAATAATGGGTCGCACGGGCGCATATTTGACAATGACGAGGTCTACGACACTGGGGTTAGGTTTGCCATGGAAACGACAACGTTGGTGCGGTTCAGAGCACTTAAGTTTGAGAGACCCATCGGTACACGAGCCACAAACAGCCGAGGCAACAGTCGAGCAGGCGTTGGCCCAGCACGGAAGCCAGACGGGGCTGGAGCCGGTGGAGCAACGGGCGCAACCAGTGTAGTTTCCAACAGTGGAGGAGGCAGCAGCAGCAGCGCCGCGGCAGTTGGATCAGTGGGGACCGCTGCTGCCAACGAAAGCAGTACAGGCGAGGTGTGGCAGAGCGACAAGAATTTGTATCATTTACCGTGGAACGTGCGAGGCGTTGTAAATGACTTGCTCGCAATCAAGAACATTGAAAACCTACTGTTGCTTATGGATCTTGTTGAAGAGTACAGACGGTGGGAGCCCACCAAGGCGTGGCGAGAAATGAAGCATTGTTTTGCGGCGTTTGAAGAGTTTTTACTAGATGATTTGATGCTTTAGAGGAAAAAAAACCTGGAAAAAAAAAAGGAAGCCCAGCTACATTACTTGAGGCTGATTGCTTCAGTGCGAGCGGCTATATTTCGCAGCCAGGCGGGAGGAACTTGAGCCGATGGGATCTTGGTCTGCCTCAGGGCGGAGGACAAGGATGTGAAAAAATACGAGCCGCAAGTTGAAAAAAAAAAAAAAAAAGACGCAAACCTAAAGAATGGGGCCATTGAAGGTGATTGTTGATAGGGATTTGCTGCCTCGAGCCCGGGTGCAAAAAACACAAAGGAACAAAGAAAAAAAGTGTGGTTAGAACAATCGGGCAATGGAGCATGGACGAAACAGGATAAGGCAGAGAGTATAACGGCAGAAAGAAAAAACAGGAAGAGTTTCCCAAAAAAGCCAGGCTGAACGCTGAACGCATGGCACTTTTTTTTTTGTATGGTTAACACTTGCGGCGGCTAAACGTCGGTTTTGTGGGCCCCACTAAAAAACAAAACCTGGCTCTTGTTCAGTCTTTTTTTTTGCGTTCCCCCACGAGCGGCCCCCACAGGTCCAGAAACGGCCTTTACAAGAAAAAAAAAAAGAAGGAATCCAGCATTTGCTTGGTTTGTGAGTGGTCAACACGGCCCCGGAAGACTCCATCTTTATCCCTTATGCTTGAAGTCTGCCGTCGTTTCTGACCCTTTTGGATGCGAAAAGTATCCCATCCATGAAAAATTATACACAAGGCCTGTGCATTATCACGTTGCCTGCGCTAGCGAGCGAGAATCCTCAGCGAGCGAGAATCTTCAGCGAGCGAGCGAGCAAACGGCGCCGGCTGGTTTACTCCTTTTCACCGGTTGCTCCAAACTCCCAAGCCCCCCAAATAACCTTTTCCAGAATTTTTACTTTGCACTATCAGTTTAACCTTCTGATCCCCCTTTGCTGATCTTTTTTTATTTTTTGCCGCCACAAACAAAGGGGGGATGGACTATGTCCCTTGTGGCTGAAGAATGCCAGACAGGGCAGACAGGCCTCGCCTCGGCTTTGTTGCCGTCTATGTCCTTTTTTTTTTTTTTTTTTTTTTTTCATTTTTTTTTTCCAGCACTTACTATGATAAGCTATAGGAGCATGAGAATGCACAAGATGCTGCTGCTGCTGCTGCTACCTGACGCTGCTGCTGCACAAGAGGAAAACGAAAGGGCAGTCCTTTACTTTCCCAGCCGCAGGGCTTCTTACTTCTTTTTTTTGTCTTCTTCATTGGGTTCCTTTTTTCTTTTTTGTGTGGTTGGCCATTCTCTCGTGCACCTCACGTCCTGCAGCCAACCCTCCCGTCCCTCAGTGTGCCCTCCCAGAGCACCTTTTGCCGAGCCCCATCTCTGGATCACCAACGCTAACCTACCCAGGCTCTGAAGGCAGAAGCTTGTTGAGGCTATCAAACGAGACCTCCAGTGAGAAAACGGCCCCCAAGAACGGTAGTATGGCCGACGAAACTGCCAATAAGAGAACCCGTGCCTCGGGAGAGGTGCTAGAGTACCTTCTACGAGAGTTCGATAAGAACCAGAACCCAACGCCTGACCAGCGGAAGGATATCAGTGAAAGGACGAATATGTCTGAAAAGGCGGTGAGAATCTGGTTTCAGAATAGAAGAGCTAAGCTTAGGAAGTTTGAGCGGATGGGGAAACCTGTCAAGGGCTCCACCAATGGGAAGAACACATTTAACGCCAACTCCAGCTCCAACAACGTCGCCACGGGCGCTTCATCTACGTATTCGGGCTCCAGCATCCATTCTTCCCGCTCCAATTCTTATACGAGCATTTCGGCGCTTCAGGCGCTGAGTACGCTTCCTGTTGAGGTGAATGAAAAATACTGTTTCGTGGACTGTCTGTCGCTTTCTGTGGGCAGCTGGCAGCGTATCAAGAGCGGTGAACACGATACGAACCTTTCGCTGTCGTTGGTCAATCTTGCTCCTTATACGTTGAACAATGCCATGACTAGTGTTGACTTGATGGTGATATTGTCCAGAAGAAACCAGGAAATCAATTACTTCTTTCTGGCGGTTTCCAACAACTCCAAGATTCTTTTCCGCATCTTTTATCCCATCACATCCATCGTGCAATGCCTGCTTTTGGATAATAACATCAACAAGGAAAGCAACGAGTTGCGTCTTAACCTTTCCCGTAAACCAAAGTTCTCCGTGTTCTTTTTTGATTCTGTCAACTCCAGCCTCAATCAATGGTCTATTTGTGACGATTTCTCCGAGGCCCAGCAAGTCAGTAACGCTTACTATGCGCCAGGTGGCACTTCCACGCCGCATGTGCTTGTCGGGCCTAAGCATGCTTTGCTTTATTTGAAGTCGTTTATAACGGAGCATAATTTGGTTCATCAACAGGCACAGGCTAATTTTGGTCACTCAAGAGTCAATGGCTCCAGCGGCTTGCCTCTGCGTAACGACACACCTGTTTCTGAATATAATCTGGCAAGTGTCGCCAGCCAATTCCCATTTGACGAAAATAAAGAACACGGCGACCTCCAAATCAAACATGAAGCTTGGGAGACGCTAAGTGACCGAAGTTTCAGTACCCAGGCCACAACTGCTCGTCCTCCATTTGAGTCTCATCCTCTGTTCCAGCATCTTGCCCATCAAGCCAACGACGGCAGCGGTTTAGCAGCCACTCCTGACTTCTTCAGCGCTGTCCAGACTCCTGGCTCCAACATGGCATCTGCAAATGCCAACACAGACGACGACGGTCTCATACCGAGCCCAACTGCCCATGTCAAGAAAGGGCGCCAGCAGGACCACATGTCCAGCGACGGTCATATCCATGGTGTTCATGATGATGAGTCTCCATACGCACAGTTAAGCAAGTTTCTGGATGACTATCAGATACAACATGGGCTTGACGACCATGCCCACGACCATGGGGCTCATGATGATAATGCATATGGGTTTGATCTACACCAAGCTCCTAATGACGAATTCCAAGCTAACGACCTTTTAGTTCACAGTCCAGATTTAGCTTCCAATGATACTCCTGGCGCCTCTGCTGCCAGCCAGGTGGACACATTCATTGATTACAACTCGCATTACTGATCTTCCTCCTTCCTCCTCTCACTTGGAGGGTGCCGCTCGTTTCCTGTTTATTTTTTATCCGTTTACGCCTGCTTGTGATTTCTTTTATTAAAGTCGTGAAAAGACGACAAAGTTGTTCAGTTCTTCCCGTATTACCCATAGCGAACATTCTCGGGTATATGATTATAGTAATTAGTGCGTTTCCTAAGTAGAGTTTTAGAAATTCAAGTGGTTGCAAAATTGCGTCGGGTGTGCATAAACACCTCCCCATATATCGTTTTCTCCAATGCTGATCTCTAAGTATCACCAATGTTTTTTGCAAACGCCTCCAGAACGTTTGCAAGATGTTATTCCGCTCGTCCGGCAATAGATTCGGTTCTACCGAAGAAAAAGACCCTAAGTCGTCTTCTTTTCGACCACGATTCTCGTCTCGCTTATAAGAAGGTGATGCCCATCTTCACCAATGTCTATGAGAACCTCGAGAATCCAACAAACATTAGACTTCCACATTATACAAAGCATCAGGACCTTATGACACTTCGATCGGTCTTGCGTGATATTAGAGCATTGTCGAATGCTGTCAACAAGAACTTGGTTGATCTCGAGAACGAGTTGATTGAACAGGCAGCAGAACTAGGCAACAACGATGCCATTGCAATGTTGGCGTTCGAGGCAATTGGACTGCCTGAGACTCTGAAAGAAGACTATGAGTATGCGAATAAGCTTATAGGAGAGCTCCAGGATGCTAGACATCCGCTCGTGTTCAAGTTGGCTGGAGACCTAGCGTTCTCTAAGAATTACCATGAACAAGCTGCCCAATACTGGAATGATTTCTTGGAGCTTGAAGATGACTCCATTATTGCCAGTCATGTTTATACGAGCTTGGGCATGTACTATTTCAACTTTGCCAAGCCAGAGCCTGATTTGGCTAGAGCTAGAGTCTGCCTCGAGAAGGCCATCAAGTTTGGTGAACTCGATACCAGCATTATCAAGGCCCATTACTACCTAGGTCAACTCTATTCCATGACAGACCCAAAAAGATCGAGGTATCACCTTGAAATCAGTGCATCGAAAGGTCTCCAGGAGAGTTTTCCATCATTGGGTTTCTTGGAGCTCAACGTCTTCGACAACCCACTGAAAGCTCTTGAATGGTTTAAGCTCGGCGTTGAAGGTAACAACGATATTACGTGTCTTGTGGGCCAGTTTGATGCACATATCAGAACCAAAAACTTCAAGAAGGCATCGTCTATTCTTGCAAACCTCCAAGGCCTCAAGAAGAAACTTGATGGTTTCGCTAAACACAAATTTAGAAACGTTCCAGATGCCTTTAAAGGACACGCTGAAACAAATTATGCATTGCTTGTGACATTTTTCGATACACGGAAAGATGTTATCCACAAGCTCCCATCCCAGGTATTATAGAGCTGAGGATCTCTCAACAAAATTCAATTCAGAAGCATATTTGTCCCGTAGCGTCAATGGCTGTGTATTATTCCGAACAGGAGGTCTTTTGGGCACACTTTCGGTTTGAGATGCCACTTCCATAGGGACAACTTCGTCTTCTTCTTGGAACCAATAATGATTACATGTCTGTAAAATATCGAACCGCTCTGATGGATCAACCACAAGAAGGCTGCTGATCAAATCAAGAGCGCTGTCGTTAATGTCATCCCAGAAAGGCGAATAGAAAGCATACTTTCCTTCTATAATTTGCTCTCTCATGTTGGGAGGGCCTAGCTCGTCACTAAATGGCGGGAAGCCACAGAGACAAACATATAGTAAAACACCCGCCAGCCAAATATCGACTTTCGTAGAGTAGTTTCTATTATTGTTCAAGACTTCAGGTGCAACGTACGCTGGTGTACCACAGAGCGTATTCGTAAACTTGAGCTCTCCAATGAACTTGGCCAACCCAAAATCTGCAATCTTGACGCGTACGTCGTACTCGTTATCGTCCCATGGCCCCGTGGGGTCTTGTCTATCCGAAGTCTTCGGAGTAATGTCTAGAAGGATATTTTCTGGCTTAATATCTCTATGAATGATATTACGCTCGTGGAGGTAGTGCAAGCCTTGAAGGAGCTGCTTGAAAATAGCTCGTGTCTCGCTTTGTCGAAGCTTCTGCTTGTCTACGATGCGCTGGAAGAGCTCACCGTTATTGACCTTTTCAAGAACCAAGTATGTTGTCGAGGAAAAGGCATTGATGGGCTCCACGTAATGTGAAATAAACCTCACGATATTTGGATGGTTAATAGAAAGAAGAAGAGCCATTTCTTGCTTAAGTTTGGCATCCTCTTCGGAGCTTCCCAGACCAGATGTCTTACTGGGGTGAAAAATCTTCACCGCCACAATGTCCCCGTGGTTCTATCTCTCGCCTCCTTCACCACAGCATAGTGGCCACTTCCTAGCTGGTTCAAAAGAATGTAATCGTCAAAGAACGATTTCTGGATCAGGTTCTCCTGTTCATCACTCACGTACCTGAAGATATAAGACCCGCTCTTAGCAAAAGTAATCTTATCGCCACTGCGAAGGAGAGCAGTAGAACCCTTCCCCAACACTTCATTGTTCACAGCCGTCCCGTTCGAGCTCATATCTGTAAGTAGAAGGTACTCTTTCTTGTTGTTACTCGATAACGAGAACTGGCAATGCTTTGACGACACGTCTGCTCCTCCAAGACGAATATCACAAGCACTACTGCGCCCAACAACAACTCCTGCTGGCTTCCTAGGAACCATTATATGGGGCAGCCGGTCCATGATACTATAAAGCTTTGCAATGCTCTCATACTTATGGACGGGTCGCTTAAGGAGAGTTTCTTCCTGAGAAAGATGCTACTGTTAGTGAAAAGTCATAAGAAGGTGAAAAAATCGGTAAAACATACGCGTTTTCGTGAAAGCGACATGGTTCTGAAGAAACGATGGTTGATCTATAGATCCCTCTCGCGTTGTTTATGTTAAGGCAGGCGTAACTGCTATATGCACGGATATGATAATGGAGACCGTTTGGCTGCGAAATCGGGAACCACCTGATCCAGTCAGGAACGAGTTGGTTGGGTTTTTTTTGATTTGCAGTTGTTTTTGGATGACGTGGCAAGATGCTGGGGGCCCTGGCGTCTATACAATTCTGAAAAGCAAGTCGTTGATCTCACGATCGGTCAAACAGTCGAGTCTGTTTTCGAACCTTTCTCTGATATGTGAAGGGTCAACGGCATTTCCTCGAAGCGTCTTGGCTGTGCTTACATCGAGCGTGCTTAGCATTTCAAGAGACTGGAGCACCTTTTTGTAGTTTCTGTTGCTTAGGTTGGTGAAGAGTGGGTGCTCACTGTTAAGCAAGAGAGGACCAGACAAATGGCTCACGAGACAGTCGAAATCTGTCTTGAGCTGCTCAACTCCATTGGCGTTGAACTGGTTGTTGGTAACCACGTATTCTTGGAAGATTCTGGCAAATGAATCACACACTTTGCTGGTGACAAGGAAGTAGTCTGCCTCAGGAAGCGCTCTTCTGAGGAACGACATGTATGCTGGAACAATGGTAATGAAATTGGAAAGTTGGGGCGATGGCTGGTTCTTGTGGCTTTCATCATCGATCACCCACACTCCAGAGTTCACAAACTGTTTAAGCGCAGCACGGATTTCCTTCTTGAAGAACTCTTCATATTTTGAGAATACTCGCTTGAGCATTGCATTATATTCATCAAGACTGGAACTGAAGATAGAGTCGTCCTTGACCTTGTTGGTTGCAATTGTCTTGTAGAAGTTCCAGAGTTGAACAAACAAGAGCTCTCCACTCCATTGCTCCATATGCTGAATGACGAACTTCAAAGAGCAGTAAATACCGGTAAGCATTTCCAAACCTTTAAGACCATTATTGACAACAACTGGCGTCGTAGTCGTAGTATCTGGCTTGGTCGTTCCCGGTAGGAAGTTGGCAATCAACTTTGAGCTCAAGGATTCATTAAACGCCTTGAATGTGTTTTCTAGGGCTTTCAAGTATTCATCGAGGAATGTAAGCTGAATGTTCGACACATATTTGAGTTGATACTTGACAATGCTGAGTGTTTTGAAATGAGTGGTCAAGTTATCGAAGAGCTTCACCAAGGCGTATGCGGAGTAGCTTGGTTTGAGAACATTATGAGGATTTGCCGAAGAAGCATCAAACTCGTAATCAATACTGAATGCATCTGCAGCTCCAATGATATCAGAATCAAATCTTTTCTTTGCAAGTTGAAGCTCCAAGTTGAGCCAGTTGGTCACCACAGGACTGTCCTTGCTTGAAGAGCCCATAAAGGTATCACCAGTGAGACCCAACCACTTTCTTTCTGGGGCGCTTTCAAAGCTCTCCACATGAGGGTTGTATTTATAGTTGTTACGAAGTCTCTGGTCAAAAGAAGCCATTTCAAAGATAAGATGTGAAAGAACTCTGCCGTACTTCTCGAGCGCTACCAAGTCATCCTCCTCATTGGCCTTTTCAATATGCGAATTGAGCAGCTGGGTCATGCCAGAGATTTTTTCCCTAACAGGCACAAGAGCTGCTGTGATAACTTCAAACACGCCAATACGGCCATGTTTAAGGAACGTATCTCCCAACACAAGCTCAATTGATGGAATGTAATCAGCAAAAAACTTCTCCACATAGTTGAGGGCCCATTCTGGACGAGACATACGGTTTGTTTCCGAGGCCTGGGAGAAATGGTAGTTGAAACGAACCACAAACGGTTTCACGAGGATCTCTAAAGCCCACCACACATCAGGGTAATGTGGAGTATCTGAAATAGCCTGAAGATCCACAAGTTCAGCCAAAGTACCTGTAATTTCCTTCATCGTAGAAGAAGGCACGGATACCTGTTCTTTCGGTGAAAGCCACTTGATCTCCAGCAAGAGACCATCAAGCTTAGGCACCAACGTTTCCTTCCTTTGCAAAATAACCTGAAGCAACTTAGCTTCTAGAAGCTCCTTAATATCAAACTGGTCAATTTCAGCCACCCGATCAGCGTATACCTTCAAATCGTCCAAACCAAGCGCCAGAGCGTTATCGAGCAGTTTCTCTAGCTCAGCACCCGAGACCAATGCCTCTTGCAGCGTTTCAATCAGGCTCTTTTCATCCCAGAGCTTCTGTAGTCTCTCCTTGACACCCTCTGTTCCGTGCTCCAGCACCAATTCCCTCAATTGAGTCGGGTCCAGCGCTTCTAGCTGTTCAAGAAGCCTCGAGGTCGATTCAGGAACACTATCTGGAACTCCCGATGTCTTCTCCTTTATGATATTCTGGATTTGCGCCAACCGGTCGTTGAGTCTCGTAATATGGTCGTCCACATCGTCCAAGTCCCCTAGAGACACGAAGTGTGCGTTTATGTAGTCCATGGTGACGTTGCTAGTAGTAGCTGGAGAGATCAACACTGGAGTAGTGTGGTGTATGGGTCTGTGTGGAGGCCTGCCAATGGAGGCACCAAAGGGCAGTGTTTTGGAGGGGGAGAAGACGGGGAAGGGAAATGAATTGGCTTATTAAAAAGAGGTGGTTCAGAAGGTCTGGAAACTTATTTTCCCTGCTTTTTAAAGGTCCCTTTCGGTGAATTGACGGGGGTATGGAAGCTGCGAAGGAATGGCTGCAAAATCCAGATAGTAAGCAATGGAAGGGTGGGTGGTTCATGGTAATTTATAATTTGTTGGTTTGTTGTGGATTTAAAGGAATGTGTTGTTTTAGTGGGTAATGGTTTGGCTTGGTGGCAGCGTTGCTGAGAGCCTGGAGTGCTGTCTTATCAGCATTGCTCATTGTAGTATACTAGTGTGTGGAAAGTACCTAGGCAATTGCAAACTGACATGTATATATCCCAATTCCCTCAATTGGCGAGAAAAACAAGTGGTTACTTAGCTTTTATAAATGACTTAAATTTGTGGCATGGTTTTTGTCTGAACTTTTCTTTCCTAGGACAGTCACGGTGGTGAACTTTGGTGTTGCTATCTTAATTATTTTGCAAGAATATTATTAATGTGAAACTATCCTGCTGGCTTACTTTTCAATATCTTCTACAACTTCATTATACTATTGATATATTAATAAAAAATGGAATGGTAGATTCTAATGAACTCTAGATATCTATGCTCTGCTTCATAGATAGTTCACTGAAGGTGGATTATCTAATCGAAGGAACAAAAATAACAGCATGAAGTTCCAACTAATTACTAAATAAAGGCTTGATTTTAGCCGTCTTGAAATAAGTGACATGTAGAAACAGCTGTACTCATCTTCTGCCTTCATGGGCCATGTTTGCACTCATTAGCTACCAAAATAAGCGTAAAAGAGCTTCAAGACCCAAAGAAACAAAAATGTTAAAAATAAGTTTTTCTAACAAACTGCTTCAACGCGTTTCTTCACCTCCAAGTACCCATTTCGCCTTCAGCTTCAGTCCACCCATCTAGTGCACTTCTCCAATACATACACCAACATCCAACCAAAACAATAAAACAAGTTTCCAAAATGATGACAATTTCCATTACCCCGTTATTATATTTATACCCAAAAACAACCCAAAAGGCCAATAAAGGAACCACCCCTTTAGCTTCCACCCACTCCACCACTTCCTCCCACCCATAGTAAGCCTTTTTCGCAGCCATTAAAGGACACCAACCACGTCCACCAAAACCCACCCAAACCACTTAAAAAGAAAAGGTAACATAAAAGTCTATCTAAACCACTTCCCTTATCCCTTCCACTAACCCTTCAACCACTCTCCACCCCCTAAAGGCCAAAATTAGCCTCCCCCACCACTCTGGTCGTGCACCTCCCAAACACCTCTGACCATCTCAATTTCTTCAAGAATCTACAGTACCATACTTTACACCTACACCGATAATGCAAGCTCCAGTGGTGTACTTGAACGCCAATACAGAAAGACAAAGCGGGCGCCAGGCGCAGGTGTCTAACATTACTGCTGCCAAGGCGGTGGCTGATATTATCCGTACATGTCTCGGGCCCAAGGCCATGCTTAAGATGTTGTTGGATCCTATGGGAGGTATCGTGTTAACTAACGATGGACACGCTATTTTGCGTGAAATCGACGTGTCTCATCCAGCTGCCAAGTCGATGATTGAGCTAAGTAGGACTCAGGACGAGGAGGTTGGTGATGGTACTACTACCGTGATCATTTTGGCGGGTGAAATATTGGCCCAGACGTTCCCATATATCGAGAAGAACTTGCACCCGGTGGTGATTATCCAGGCGTTGAAACAGGCGTTGAACGATGCTTTGGAGATCATTCACTCGGTTTCTGTGCCTGTGGATATCGAAAACGACGAGGCTATGATCAAGTTGATCAAGGCTTCCATCGGTACGAAATACGTGCACAAGTGGTCTGAAAAAATGTGCCAGTTGGCTTTGAACGCTGTTAGAACCGTTAAGGTCGAGCAGGGTGACTATAAGGAGATTGATATCAAGAGATACGTGCGTGTGGAGAAGATTCCAGGTGGTGAAGTCACCGACAGTGAGGTGTTGGACGGTATTTTGTTGAATAAGGACGTGACGCATCCAAAGATGAAGAGACACATTGAAAACCCCCGTGTCATTCTTTTGGATTGTCCATTGGAATATAAGAAGGGTGAATCCCAGACTAATATTGAAATCACCAAGGAAGAGGACTGGAACAGAATCTTGCAGATTGAGGAAGAACAGGTCAAGTTGATCTGTGAGCAGCTTTTGGAGTACAAGCCTGATGTGGTTATCACCGAGAAGGGTGTTTCCGATTTGGCCCAGCACTACTTGTTGAAGGGTGGTGTTACTGCTTTGAGAAGAGTTAAGAAGTCCGATAACAACAGAATCGCCCGTGCTACCGGTGCTACCATTGTCAACCGTATTGAAGACTTGAAGGAGTCTGATGTCGGTATTAACTGTGGCCTTTTCAAGGTCGAACTTATCGGTGATGAATACTACACTTACTTGGTCAAGTGTAAAGAGCCACGCTCTTGTTCCGTCTTGTTGAGAGGCGCCTCCAAGGATATCTTGAACGAAATCGACAGAAACCTTGTGGATGCCATGTCTGTTGCACGTAACGTCATGTTCGAAGCTTCCTTGTCGCCAGGTGGTGGTGCTACCGAGATGGCTGTCAGTGTCAAGCTTGCCGAGAAGGCCAAGTCTATCGAGGGTGTCGCTCAGTGGCCATACCAAGCCGTCGCTGATGCTTTCGAGATCATCCCAAGAACATTGGTGCAAAACTGCGGTGGTAACGCTATCAGAGTGTTGTCACAGTTGAGAGCCAAGCACGCCGAGGGCCAACACACATTTGGTATCGACGGTGAGAACGGTAAGGTGGTGGACATGAACGAATACGGTATTTGGGAGCCTGAGGTGATCAAGCAGCAGTCTATCAAGACCGCCGTGGAGAGTGCATGTCTTTTGTTGAGAGTGGACGATATTGTCAGCGGTGTTCGTCAGCAGCAGTAGGTTGAGTGTATATATTAATAGAGGCCACGAGGAAAGACACTGAAGTCATTGAGTAGTGAAGAGGTGGACAAGAAATAGTGGAAGAGTAAGTGTAATTGAGAGCTCACTTGGGTCTGGTTTGGTAACTACCTATCACTAATGAAGCTAATCCTGGTTCTAGAAGGCCATTCAGCTTCAATCTACGACCCAACAGCACCCTTCTCATGCTTACAGTGGCTCCTCCACACCACCAACCATTGTTCTTCGCTGGATGTATGCCTGGTCTAGTCGTCTAGCAATAAGCTTCCCAGCCTCCTGTACATTCCCAACCAGCCTAACCCTCCATCTAACCCTCCATGCTAACCCTCCATTCTAACCCTCCATCCCCATCCTATTGTTGTCTCCTAACCTATCCGCTTCTTTCCAAGCCTGGGGCTTTGCCAGAGACGACCCACCATAATAGCATAAGCCATTCCTCAGCCAAACCTGGCTTCCAGAAGCCCACCCAAAACAGCAAACAGAGAACCCACAGAAAAAACAGTACCATTACGAAACCAAACCTTATCATTAATATACCACCTTCTCTTCCATGACATCATAGGTACCACAAATAGCCAGCTTCCCATATTGCCTGTTGTGCTCTCGAATCAGGTAACAGCCCGATCTGCTTTATTTTTCGCAGCCATTTCCTGTCACCCTAAGAATGTCCCAATCCGGTTCCCCCACCGATCCCAGCCCCTGAGAAAAGGCAAGAAGAAGGAAATTACCTGAACTTTATACTCTCAATTGCCTCTATAAATTTCTACTTTCTACCTTATATTTTACCCCTTCCCTTCACTTCTCTTCTAAAGACCCTCCCTCTCACCTCCAGCCTAAATCAACGGCGCGCCTAAAACATGCAAAACCAAAACAAGCAAACTTTCGTTCGCGGCATATCTTTCTATTGACAATGTCCCCAGAAAAGGCAACTTGCACTAGGAAATCATAAAAAAAGAACAATTTCTACCGCCAAAAGCACCCCTGTTTTGGAAGCAATCTGCCGTGCACACTGGCCTTTTCTGCCTCTCTCTGGCCTAAAGGGTGCATCTCTGGCTTTGCCTGGCCCACTGTGAGAGCCTGCCTGCCTGGCACTCGCGCTGCACTGGCTTTCTCTTTCTCTAGCCGTGCACCTTTCCTGGGCTTCTGAGCCATTGACTGCTTTGCACTTCTTTCACTTACGTTCTTTTTCTTTGACTTTTTCATCGTTTTTATTATGGCCGACCCGCAGGTGCCGTTTTTGGCTAAAGCCAAGGTCTCCTGGTCTGGCGAAGAAGAGGGCGACTTGGGCTTTCTAGAGAATGAAGTCATCAAGGTGTTCCATATAGTGGACGACCTGTGGTGGCAGGGGCTGCTTCTGAGGAACGGCAACGAGGGGATTTTTCCAAAGGAGTTTGTCAATGTTGCCATTGATCTGAGATCCAATAGTGCTGTTCCCACACCTACCAAGCAGCAGCAGTCTAGGGCTAGAGCGTCGAGGGAAACTACGCCAGTGCCTAGCCTGAAACATGTCTACCTGACGCCTACGAAGCAGCAGATGTACCTGGGAAAAAGAGCTTCCCAGGTGTTTTCGCCTACTACTACGCCAACCAAGGCTTCGCCTGGCAATTACGCTTATAAGATGTCGCCAGCGTCGAAACTGGCTCCACAACTATACGATACATCGTTTGAGAAGAAACTGTCGAACCCGAAACTCTATTCTCAGTATGTCATGGGTTCGGGGCTTTCGAGAGACGATAAACGCCATAGCATGGTGGAATTGAAGCAGAACGATTACTCCATGAAGCATAACGACTATACGCCTGAGGATGATGACTTGCTCGAGCTGATTTCATATAAAAAGCAGCAGCTCGAGAAGGAATTGATGAACTTGAAGCGTTTGGAGAGGTCCCACGTTCAACAGAAACAACGTCGCAGTCAACTGGTGGAGTCTTCTTTCGTTAGTGAAGATCTCTTATCGCTGAGACGTAACTATACGTCAAAGGATGATCTAGGCGCCAAATTGGCTCTTATGGATGAACCTGAGCTTGTTGACGACGAGGACGATGAACCTCCTCCACCTCCACCTCCAAAGCATAAATCTGCTTCCGTTCCTTTCGCTGCAGAGGACTTTCGTGCTTCAGGAGCTTCCCAATTCAATGGGTCTATGGAACGCTCCTGGCGCCAGCTGCAAAACGAGCAGCTTAAACTGTCGCTTAAATCTTTACAGAGCGATGTGCTTAACCTTTCTGAATTGAGTGCCACTTCCGCTGGCTCTTTCATGAGACACAAGTACGAAAAAGACATGAACGAGTCTGAGCATCGCATGAGTCGTATGAGCATCATTGAGGACCAAAGCGAGGATTCAAACTCTCGTAGCGATGTCATGGACGCTGTGTTTAGAGATAAAAAGTCCAAGCATCCTAAGATCTTCAAGATGTTGATGAAGAAGAAGCCTGAACAGAACTTGATGGAACAGCGTCTTCAACAAGACCAGCCTGACGACTGGCAAAGCGTCAAAGTGGACTTGAACAGAATGAACACTTTGATCACTCAGGACAAACAATTACGTACTAAGAGAGCCGTTAGAGAGGAGCCCAACTTCATTGCTAGGCCTTTGGACTTTGTTACTGACATTAACGAGAGCGAGACGTTTGGCCCTGATCAACATTTGGAGCCTGTCAAGGACATGAAGGTCAATATTCGTAAAGTTGCTGACTTCTCTGAACGTTACCAGCACAACTTCGACTTCAACGACTTGATTTCTGACATCAGCGTCAAGTTTGGTACTTGGAGACCTAACGAGATTCGAGCCGTGCTCATGCACTTGTGCAAGTTTAGAATCATAGAAGAAAGTGAACGCATTCTGCAAACCAAGCCTAAGTTGCAAGAGATCATGGCCAAGGGCGAAGCTACTATTTATCAACTCAACTATCTTTTCAAGAAGTTGCTCGAAGCATTGCGGATCCCCGCTGAAGTTGTGCTCGGTTTCTGGAAGAAGCCTAACGAGTTCTACCACAACGAACAGTACGTTATTAACCACTGCTGGCTCTCGGTGATGGTGGAAACGGATATTTATGGCAACGGTTCTTTCCGTATTATCGATCTCATGTGCTTCAAAAACGGCCCGATTTGCAACAAGGACGGTTTCAACGAATTCTACTTCTTGGCAGAGCCCCTTGATCTCGTGTCGACGCACATTCCTACGGTTATCGAGTTGCAGCATGTTTGTCCTCCGGTGGATCTCAACATTGCATACCATTTGCCCAGAACTTATTCTGGTTGGACCAAGAACGGTCTTACATTCAAGAACTTCAACAATGCATTGACCCGCATCAAAGACTTGGAGTTCTTCGAAGCTGACATTTTAGTTCCTGTTGACGTTGAGCTTTTCACTTTAATCAAAACGTCTAGGACTACATCCAATGACTACACATTGTGCCAGGTATATTGGACTGGCGGCAAGAGAATTGCCAAGGTTAAGGCGGTTCTCCCTGATAAGGAGGAAGTGGGCGTTTTGCAGATCTTTGCTGGGCCAAAGGGACTCCAGACCCATTTTGACAACATTCATGAGTTGGCATGCGTGGTGCCGCTCTATCATTCTGGATCCCAAAAGCCATGCAAGTTCGTTCCTCGCTTCCCAACCAACCAGGCACAAAATAATGACCTTTACATCAAGCATCCTCAGCTTAATAATATCAGCGTTGGCCACGCCTACAACTTTGAAATTGAGGCATATCCTTCCATGGGACTCAACAGCGGGCTGGGTATCATGAACCAGGACTTTAAGCTTGTCATTGAGTCTCCTCTGGGCAAGTACACCCGAGTCGTGAAGGAGGAGCCACACAAACCATACGGAACGTTCCGTACCAACATGAACTGTCAGGAAAACGGCACGTACCGTGCGTTGGTTATTGGTGATAGTGGAAACAGTTGGTATGTGTTTGCTCAATGGGAATGCGCTGGGTTGCATTAATAGCATATAAAACATAAAAACACATCATTACATAAACAAAATTCATAATACATGCTCCGAGAGAAGAAAAGGAAGAAAGCAAGTAGAGAATTAAGAATAGTAGTAGAATCTATTGGCACAGTAGATAAGCACTTATAGCCTTAGTATACCATTTCGCAGCCATTTTTCACTAATAAGTCCCACTACAAATCCACCAAAACTTCATAAAAACAAAATTTTAAAAACACCATTATCACCACAAAACCCCCAGAAATACCATAGTACCATTATTTTCAGCCCACCTTCCCTCCCCGTGCACATCATCCAACCTCACCAACCCCCTCTGGTCTTCCCCAGACTTCGCGAAAAACCATATCCCATATCAACGCTTCCCATCTAACCAGTCCATCTCCCTTCCCACTCTCCTTCTTTAGCATGTCTGAAACAACCACCCAGACCAAAACCAAGCCTCAACAGGAAAGGTACTCCAAAGACAAAAAAGTCGGTGAAGGTACTTATGCTGTGGTTTACGTGGGGAAGCTGGTGAGAAGCGGTCGTCAGATTGCCATTAAGGAAATCAAGACTGGACTCTTCAAAGATGGCCTTGATATGCTGGCTCTTCGAGAAGTTAAGTACCTCCAGGAGCTTCGCCATAAGAACGTGATTGAACTTATAGACGTGTTTATGTCGCTGGATAAGAACTTGAACTTGGTGCTTGAGTTCTTGCCTTGTGACTTGGAGGTGCTCATCAAGGACCAGAGTGTGGTGTTTAAGTCTTCAGATATCAAGCTGTGGCTTCTTATGACGCTTCGAGGGGTGCATCATTGCCATAGGAACTTTATTTTGCATCGAGACTTGAAGCCTAATAACCTTTTGTTGGCGCCTGATGGACAGCTTAAGATAGCAGATTTCGGTTTGGCTAGAGCGTTTGGCAACCCGAATGAGGATTTGACGTCGAATGTCGTCACGAGATGGTATAGGGCGCCAGAGCTTTTATTTGGCGCTAAGCATTATACGGGTGCTGTGGATGTTTGGTCGGTGGGTATAATATTTGCTGAGCTTATGCTTCGAACGCCGTATCTTCCGGGTAAAGACGATTCAGATCAGCTCGATGTGACGTTTAAGGCTTTGGGAACGCCTACAGAGCAAACATGGCCCAATGTCTCGAGCTTGCCGCTTTATAACGCTTTGAGAGTGTACCCTCCTCCATCCAGACAAGAGCTTCGGAACAGATTCAGCGCAGCTACAGAAAAAGCCTTGGACTTGATGATTTTCATGACACAATTAGACCCATCTAGACGGTGCACGCTGACCCAGGCACTTATGCATGAGTACTTTACGGAAATTCCATTGGCTACAGACCCAGAGGACCTTCCTACGAAGGGCGGAAAGGAATCTGCCGAGAAGAAACGTCGTTTGCAGTAATGAAGTCTATGTCTATTTATGATAAATGCTGGCGACGTGCTCTGCAATCGCCCATGACGAAGTGAGGCCAGGGCTCTCTATGCCCATGAGGTTGACAAACCCTCTGAATCCTTCTTCTTCTTTGATGTAATAGTCTGCAAAGTTCGTTTTGCTTTCTTCTGGAGAAAGAAGTTTAGGACGAACACCAGAATATGATGGCTGCAACTGGTCAACAGTAATGCTAGGGAAATAAGTGGCAATCGATTTGGCTGCTTCTGCTAGTCTACCTTCAGAAACGCTGTAGTCAAGATCAAGGGCGGTTTCTTTATCCACCCATTCCAAATCCGGCCCAAACCGTAACTGGCCACCAAGATCAAACGTCAAATGCGTTCCCAAACTGGAAGCGTTTGGGTTGGGACATGGGTAGATGAGTTTGGTGGTGATATCTTTCGTGGGAATGGGATTTTCAGGCGCATACGAGTAGTAGCTGCCTTTAGCGAAGTAACTCTTGAATTGGCGTTCTTTTGGAAGCACTTTATTGGCGATTTCTTGTGCAAACAAGCCTGCCGAGTTGATAATGTTATCGGCAGTGATCTCAAACTGCTCTCCGGAGCCCTTCTCCGTACAAACCAATCTATACTGCGGCACAGCCAGTTCATACTGAATATCATCGACCCTCGTATTAATAGCAATTGTGCCCTCGTCATTCTCAAACTGTGTATGAAAGAACAATGTCAAATCGTGGGCCAGTATAATACCCGTAGTTGGCGACTCCAAAGCACCAGCCTTAGCATTGATCCTTGGAAACTGTCTTGCGGCTTCCTTAGCCGATATAAGCGAAACCGGCACCCCCAACTCGTCAGCATTCTTATGAAGCTTCTCAATGTACTCCTGTTCCTTCTCGCTCTGGGCCACCACCCATTTCCCACACTGCTGATACGGCACGATATGTGGATCCACCTTATTATAGATCAATTCCTTCCCTCGTATACAAAACTTGGCTTTAAGTGTATTTGGAGGGTAATAGAGCCCCGCATGGATGACTTCGGAATTTCGACTTGTCGTTTCCATCCCTAGCATTTCATGCTGTTCAAGCAAAGACACACTGTTTCCAGGTACTTTCTGGAGTTCAGAAGCAATTGCCGTTCCCACAGCGCCTCCACCGATGACCACATGTGAAAAGTCAGCCAACCGGCGGCTGCACAAGGAGAATTGTCTGATTTGGCGGATCATGAAAAGAAGGAAAAGGTGGTTTTCAAGGTGGATATCATCGCGCATTTATAGTAAATCGTGGGGTACCAGGCCCAGAGACGTCAGACCAAAGTCACAACAAGGCATTGGATGCTGGAGGAAAATGACAAGCAGGGTGTTTATTTAGATTGAGGTGTAGCCGTCCTTTTAGATTTTTTCTATAAATATAGGTATAATTGGGGGTTGTCTTTCTGTGATTACAGTTGCTGCGAAAAGCTGTCAAAGTATGGTGGAAATGAATGTATGGAGGGTTTGTGAGGTGATTGTGGATTTGGTTGGAAGGGCACGAAAAATCGAAAAAGCGGTCGAAAAGGGTGTGGTTTGGGAAATGGATGGAGGAGGAAGATGTCTTTGGGTTTTGAATTCAACAAAAAAAAAAAAATTTGGTTTTGGTCGTTGGAGGGGGAACTTGGTGGAATCAGTGTTGGGTAGGTTTTGGTGGCTTTTGGTGGGTCTTAGTGGCTGCGAAAAGTGGGTTCAGTAGTTGGTTGAAGTGGTGGGTGAATAAGTAAATTAAGGTGGACTTGGCTGGTTGAGTATGATAAATGTAATTTTTGAAGAGTAAGAATTCGGATGTTACAAAGGGATAGGAAGAGTCGCTGGTTGCTTTGTAGAACCAATGTAACTATTCTTCTTACTAGCAGTGGACTGAGCGCTGTTGGTTAGTTAGAACAAAAGCCAAAGCTAGATTCTCCTTTTCGGAAATTGAATTTTCACTTTTTCTCCTATCTCCTTTCTTTCACTAGAACAAGAAGATAATGCTTTGATATGAAGAGCAACGGAAAACCATGGGCTGTCTAACAGGTTGATGGTCTTCTTTTGGGACCCAATGCCAGCAACACATTGCATTACTAGCTTTCGTAACCTCTCAAGAACCGTGAATCAAGCTACTTAGCTCTCTTAGTCGTTCCAAATACATAAGGAACCTTGTGGTAGTGAGTTAAAGACTACTAGGCAAGTCACAAGAAAAGTGAAGAGTCCCACGAAAAGCTCTTAAAAGGCTTCAGGTGTTCAAAATACACTAATTATTTACTTAAAGGAAGTCCTCGACTTACTGGATATCCTCCAAAGTGCCCATATACGAACCTAAAGCTTCATGTCCTTTTCCATAGTTAACGCTTGTAAACGCACTGGATCATCCTGGAACAAAAAGGCCTATAACTCACGATTCCGGCTGAATTCGGCAAAACAAACACTACAGTGATATAAAGAAAGTACGAATGCATATTTTAATATATTAAAATATTCATATTTTAAGCATTTTCCCAAAACAAGGTACCAGTTTAACACTCTTTTATCATCTCTTATACGCTGGTCCTATAGTGTAGTGGTTATCACTTTCGGTTTTGATCCGAACAACTCCGGTTCGAATCCGGATAGGACCTATTTTTTGCACCCACCTAACCCCGAATTTTTACCGCCCAACCTTAATTTACATCTCAACCCTTTTAGTCCTTTTTCATACTGCAGCGTACCCACCTCTGCTTCTTCATTAGTACCAGCTCTTCTTCACTGGCTGCGAAACGGTCAATACCATACACTGCATTATCTATTACAGCAAATTACCCACATACATGACAATCCACCACCACCAAACCACAAAGAGGGGAAAACCAATAAAAAGAAATTCCCTGGAGCACTATATAAGGAGAGGAAATCCCTTAAGAAATTACTAGTTCTTTTTTTTCCAAACGGCGGTCCCTTCTTCATCTGCCTCTATAACCGCACGTGGGGAGCGCACCTCATTAACCGGATGCATTTCCAGACAGGCTTAATATATCTATAAAGAGCATTCCCCAACCACATCGTCAGTCAGCGCCCTGGCCATGAAGTTTGGTGAACACTTGCGTAAGGCGCTTATAAAGAACTACTCGTTCTATTACATCGACTATGACGATCTCAAGCACCAGTTGAAGAAACACTTGAAGGAGAATGACTATGAGTGGACAGATGAGTTTGAGGAGGAGTTCGTGGCTGCGTTGGAGGACGAATTGGATAAGGTGTACTCGTTTACGAAGGTGAAGAACACTGAAGTGAACAGGAGAATTGAGCTGGCGGAAAAGTACGTTTATGAAGTGGTGGATGCGTTGCAGAACCCTAACAGCAAGACGAAGAAGCCGCTGGAGCAGGACTTTGACGACTTGGAGGAGGATCTTTCTGATATTATTGCTGACGTGCACGATTTGGCTAAGTTCACCAGACTCAATTACACTGGGTTCCAGAAGATCTTGAAGAAGCACGATAAGACCACTTCGTATAGCTTGAAGCCGATTTTCCAGGTCCGTTTGAACGCTAAGCCTTTCTTTAAGGATAACTACGATAAGTTGATTGTGAAGTTGTCGAAATTGTACGATTTGGTTAGAACCAGAGGTAACCCTGTCAAAGGTGACTCTTCTGCTGGTGGTACGCAACAGAATTTCGTCAGACAAACCACCAAGTACTGGGTCCACCCAGATAATATCACTGAATTGAAGTTGATCATCTTGAAGCACTTGCCTGTGTTGGTTTTCAATGCTGAAAAGGAGTTTGAAGCTGAGGATTCGGCTATTACCTCGATTTACTTTGATAACAAGGACATGGACTTGTACTATGGTCGTTTGCGTAAGGATGAAGGTGCTGAAGCTATACGATTGCGTTGGTACGGTGGCATGAAGAGCGACCAGATCTTCGTGGAGAGAAAGACCCACAGAGAGGACTGGACTGGTGAAAAGTCTGTCAAGGCTCGTTTCGCCTTGAAGGAAAAGAAGGTTAATTCTTTCCTCAAGGGTGAATACACTGCTACCCAAGCTTTCGAGAAGATGAGAAACGAGGGCAAGAAGTCCACCAAGGAAATTAACAACTTGGAGCTGCTTGCTAAGGAAGTCCAGTACTCCGTCTTGAAGCACAAGTACAGACCTGTGATGCGTTCTTTCTACAACAGAACTGCTTTCCAGCTTCCAGGTGATGCTCGTGTTCGTATTTCTCTTGATACCGAATTGTCCATGGTCCGTGAGGATAACTTTGACGGTTACGACAGAACCCATGGTAACTGGAGAAGAATGGATATCGGTGTGGACTGGCCATTCTCCCAACTTCCAGAAAGAGATATTTGCAGATTCCCATACGCTGTCTTGGAAGTGAAGTTGCAGACCCAGATGGGCCAGGAGCCTCCAATGTGGGTCAGAGACTTGGTGTCCAGTCACTTGGTAGAGGCTGTTCCTAAGTACTCTAAGTTCATCCATGGCGGTGCTACGTTGTTGACGGACAGGGTCAACTTGTTGCCATTCTGGTGGCCACAGATGGATGTTGATATTCGTAAACCTCGTATCCAGCAGGGCTACGGTATCTCTAGACAACAGCAGAAGCCCAAGTCTTCTTCATCTGGCGGTGAGCTCGACGAAGAAGAGATGTTGCTGGAGGAGCTTAACAGATACTCTTCAGTGCACTTTTCCAACGATACCAACCCATTAGAGGAGGACTTGGACGAGAACTCGCCTTTACTTTTACCTTCCAGCTACACTGCCAGAAACGATTCCCCAGTCTCGAACTTCTTCAGATACCTCTGGGCCAAGTTCTTGCACGTCTTCAATGACGACCGTACATTCACGATCAAGCCCGGCACCGACTTTGACATTAATTCAACATTTGCATCTAAGTTGCCCAAGGGTAAGAAGATCTGTGTGCCAATCAGAATTGAACCAAAGGTCTACTTTGCTGCCGAAAGAACCTTCTTGGCCTGGCTTTCTATTGGTATGATTCTCGGTGCTACTGCAACTGCATTGCTCAACTATGGTGACAAGTCTTCCATTGTCGCTGCCGTTGGCTTCTTCATTACCGCATTGTTCACCTTGACTTACTCGATCATCAAATACATTGGCAGAACGTTAGCCATCAGAGAGAAGAAGATTGCCCAATACTCAGACAAGTTTGGACCAAACATGATCTGTTTCTTTATTGCCGCAGCTACTTTCTCGACCTTCTTCTTTAAATTCTCCGAAGTTTAAGAAACCTTTCAATTCCAATACCGCATCAGAATCTACAAAATTATAAATAAAAATGTTAGGAAATGAAAACTTTTTGTGTCCTTGTTCTATATGCAAAGTTAGGACAGTTCGAGTCCTCTCAATCTATTATCGATGATATCATCAACATTTTCATCCTCAGAACCGCTCTTGTCTCTCTTGAATCTTCTAGCAATCTGAGAAAACACTCCAGGCTTCTTTCTCTTCACGCGAGTTCCACTTGGCAAGACAACGTAATCGTCATCATTGTGTGGGTCAATATCTCTTGTCGTGCCAATTCCTTCACCACTTGGAGGAAGTTCAGATTCCAATGGATTTGTACCGGCACGCTTTCTGTGGGCAGCGGAGCCTGGGGTTTCATCATCAACAATAAAGTCGTCCTTGTTGGTTCCGAAATGAGAACCAAAGATCTTGTTCACCAAACCCTTCAACTTCTGGCCTGTTGTAGAAGGATCTCTTGGGAACAACCATCCCTGTTTCAATTCGTTGTATGATCTCTCTTCAAACATTCTTCTGAGTTCAAGGTCCTTCTCGTAAATCTGGAAAAGTTCAACGTCGCTTGGCGAGAACATGATCTTGAGTAACTGGAGGATAAAGTCGAAGAAGAGCAATGCAGTGGTCAAGATCAAGAGAGTAGCCCACCATGAGATGTCGCCACCAAATTCCAAAAGACCGTAGTCAGCAAAGTAAATGGTTGGCTCATTGCTTCTGTGAAGAAACATGATCAAGACATTCCATAATCCGTAGCCAGCTACTGAGATAATGAAAGATGCAAATGCCAACCACTGCTTGTTGCGTTGTTCCAAAAACTGCGATTTGGCGTTGATGACAATGACAAGAGTCCAGAAGACCATGGTTCCCAAAGGCAAGGAAGTGTTGTCTTTGGTAGCTGAGAAGCCCCACGTAAAGTAGGCAATGAAAGACACAGCAACACTCTGCAATGCAGCCAAAGCCATCCAGTAGATGAAGATCTTCAAGTTAAATGCTCTGTAGTTGCGTCCAGTGCCGTATAGCTCTGGAACCGCTAAAAGTGTAGAGGGCTTCAAATCCTTATCGAACATACCAACGCAAAGCACTGGTAAGGAGGTGAAAAGTGTGTTGAACATCGATAACGACCATTTTTCGTACATGGACGTACCGGTGAACATGGTGTACCTCTGGTAAACACATTGGGTCAAGTAGAAAAGGAGCTCCTTATAAAACGTCGTAAGAACGAACTTGGAAGTTCTTATGTAATTGTAACGACCATTGACAAGAAGCAACTTAAGCAAGAAACGGAATTGGGCAATAGCGTAATCAGCCGATCTTGCAGCCTGCAAACCCTCTTTACCAGTAATACCAACACCAATGTCGGCACTTTGGATCATGGCGATATCGTTAGCACCATCTCCAATAGCCAAAGTGACATCCCTTTTTCTTAACTGTCTGACCGAGTTAATCATACTAGCCTTCTGGGATGGTGATGCTCTGCAACAAATAGCAGAGTCAGTTTGAATGCAAAGTTCGATGAAAACCGAAAACAAGGTAGGATCGCTTTCGATCTCACCCAATGTGGCGCCGTCAACGACAACAACAGAATGTGCAATTCTGCCAGCTTTGATCTCCAGACTGGCGGTGCTGATACGCTGAGTAAGCCTTTCGGTACCTTCGTCACTGGACAAAACAACGACAGTGGAGTAGTCCTTAATGAGTCGACATGAGTATCCAATATTAATGGCGGTTTCTCTCTTGTCACCAGTAAGCATCCACATCTTAATACCAGCACGACGCAATTTGTCAATAGCCTCACTTACTCCATCTTGCAACTTATCTTCAATAGCTGTTGCTCCAAGGAGATCAAAGTTATTTTCAATCTTGGCGCCAACTTCTTCAACTCTTTTGGCACGGTCAGATAATGCAATCTTCGCCTCACGGTACTCAGTCGACCATTGGTCATATTCAGCACTGCTGAGCCACTTGAAAGAGTACAACAAGGTACGCAAACCTTCAGATGAAAATTCCTCAATGTGTTCCAAGGTCTTCTCAATGACAAACTCTTCGTTAACGAGCAACTTATCTTTTGGAATGAATGCATGAGAGTTCTCTCTGGTATCGGCATCGTTGTGTTCGTCCAAACTGTAACGTTTGTTTTGTTGCATATGAAGAGACTGTCTGGCTTTAGCAGCAATTTGACTAATGTCACTTTCTTGTCTGGAAACGATATTGTCAATAGAGCCAATACGTTCGGCAGCATCAATGCTGGCTCCTCTCAACGAAGAAAGAGACCTTCTGTTTTCAAGTTCAGCCGAGACCTTGCTTTGCAAAACGATTTCAGCTTCTTGCGTTTTTCTGTCAGCAGAAGACAAGAAAATGTCTCTTGCTTTCTTCTTCGCGAGATCAGCATTCTTCAACAAGTCCAAAATGATGTTATCAGCACCTTTACAAATAACACCAATTCTTCCATCAGGAAATTTGACAACAACAGACATTCTCTTACGGACCGAGTTAAACTCCACGACATCAAGGATTTCATAACGGTCAACTCTTGGTGCTTCGTCAAAACCATGAGGATATGTCTTGACACTGATAACACCATTCTGCTTATCAGCAATAACAAAACCAAGGTCCCTAGCTGCGTCAGCCAAAGCCAACTCATCCGGAGAGGCAGCTTGGTAGGTAATACCAGCATCCTCTTCAAGATCATTCACCTGTTCTTCTTCGCTGCTACCAGTGAGAGTGTAGGTTGAGCTGTTGTTGACACCCTTGGCGGCTTTTCGAGGTTGACAAGTGTGACAAAGAGCTATGCTCAAAAGAAAGAACGTTGCCTTCCTGGAAAAGATCGTTTGTGGGTTGGTCTGGATATACTTCAACAAGTACAAGGAACTGGCCAAATGCTGCTCTTTCTCTGGCTGGGCTGTAGATCTCCAGCTTGTGGAAGTACGGATAGAAGAAAGTTCCATGCTTTGCCTGACAATGGATGTGGTACTTTTTCTTGTTGGAGGGAAGGCTTTGTTTTGCTGCAGAGGGCGAATAGCATCAACTTTAGCCATATAATGATCGCCGAACCCAGGATCCTCTTTCTCTTCCGCTAACTGATCAGTGTCGTGGATCCAGTTGGCACCACAAACACTGAACTTACGCAAAAGCATCTCGTTATCTGTAAGAGTTCCCGTTTTATCGGAGAACACATAGGAAACTTGACCCAATTCCTCAAGAATGGTGGCAGTCTTTGCATCGGCAGGGGTATTAGACTTGACATCGTACATGTCAATGTCATACTGCAAAAACACAAGCTGCATGACCTTGATGATTTCCATCGTAACATAAAGCGAAAGGGGAATCAAAGTATTGTACATGATGATGAAACCCATGAGAGTGGCAGCAATACCGACATCCTGGTCGTAAAGGTACCATGCTTTATGGAGATCGTTTTGGAGATAAATACGCTGAGCCATGGTGGACATTGCAGAAAGAATGATGACCACAAAAATCATAAACAACACAATAAAGTTGATGTTTCTTTGAAGTTTTGGAGCCTTTGTTCTTGGATTTTTCAAGTTGTTCATACGGATCTTGGACTCTTCACCGGTGAAGACGACTAAACCCAATACAGATCTTGTGTTACGCAAGATACTGCCTCTATAAACGACGTTGTCAAGACCAAGGGCGTAATCGGTACCGTTGGAGGAGAAGTGGCCCTCAAAATTGTACAAGTCCGGGTTAGGATCTTCGGTGGTGACGAGACAGCGAGCATTCTTAAGATCACTAGGTCTTTGAGTAAGTTTCAGGAGCTCAGGATGGGCGAATTTCGACTTGAAGTTAGTTTCACCATCAAGAGCCATGGTTTCAACGAAAGCTTCAGTTTCGTCGCTGTCGACTGCCAAAAGAATGATGTCAGCTGGAATCCATTCGTTCTCGTTGATTTGCAAGATATCACCGACTTTAATATCTTTCCAGGTAGTAGGATCCAGGCGTAGATTATAACGAGTCATGGCAATGGTGTTTGAAAAAATGTTCTTTGACCCGTCCACAAGCGAGCCAACCGAAGAGTTCTGAGAAGGCTCCTCAGGGTAGCCCACGGGTATGGTTTCTGTCATGATGGTGTGGATGGATTGAGTATCGAACAGAGCCAAGTCTGCGTCTTCACAGACAACACTGGCTATTTTGGAATTCTCTTCCTTATCGTGAGTATGACGTTTCCAGTCGTCGAAACCCTCACGAGCAATGGAAATAGACATAAAGATCATAAGCGGAATGATGGTGGTGAACTGGCCTGTGGTGGACCATGTGGGGATCATTTGCATGATGGCAACGACCATGAAGTAGCAATTGGCAAGCTTGGAAAACTGAGCCCGGAGCTGTTTCGGAAGGAACGTGTAGATGTTGTATTTCGACGAGGTGATGGTGTTGCCGATGTAGGGCTCTCCAGAACGCTCATCCACATACGCTTTCTGGGTTTTGGAGTAGTATTCGTCGCTGAAGATCGAATTGGCCTTCTCTTTACGAAGACAAACGGGGATGATACGTCCAGTTTCAGAGGCCCCAAGCTGCGACCGGCCCAAGAGCTTATCTTTATACTTCTTGAAGGTACCTCTCCAGGAGTTTCTGAACCGTTTCTGTCGAGTAAACCTGCTATCACGTTGTTCGTTCCCTTCATCATCGGAACTGTTAGCACTGGAAATCGTCGTAAGGCGAGTCGTCAGGCGCAGCATCTTCTGGGAGTACTGGGGGTACTCTTTCTTATGGTAACTGTCCTGAGGTCTATCCACGGTGATTGCCGGTGGAGCTAGGTAGTCTCCATGCGGTTCAGGGTATTGCAGGGACTGAAGGCCCAGAGGACCAGCCTGTCCAGGCAAGCCAGGCAGTTGCAGCTCCTGCCCTAGATTATCCAACTCTATCTGAGACAGACGCCTGGAATCCCAGAACGGATTGAACGAGGCCGCCACAGCCTTATTGAGAAGCTGGGAGCGCAACGACAAGCCTCTTTTGCGTCGAGTTTGCGGCGTGCTCTCGTCGGGCATGGATGAGGAAGAAAAAAAAGGTGGTGTTTTCCAGTAGTTGGCAGGTGTTGATCAGTTGGAAAGGTGATGTTGAGGTCGGCTGTGCAGGGCAGGCGCTCTGGAAGAAGGTAGTCAGAGGAAGAAGGAATGAAGGAAAGGAAGGATATAGTTAGGAAAAAAGTATAGGGTGTGATTGAGAGGCTTTGTGGAATCTGGGGTTGTGAATTTTTGGAGGTTTTGGGGGTTTTGGGTGGTTTTTGGTGGAGGTCTGGAGAGAGTTCTGGTGGACTGGAGAGAGGCTTATTTTTCACTCCCCAGTATTGGACTGCGGTGGAGTCGAGTCGGTTGTCTTTTTTCGCAGCCAGGGTCCATGTGGCAGGGAAGAGGAAGTGGGCTGGTAGTGTTTGGAGGGAAGTGGAGGGTTTGGATTTTGTTTGTTTGTTTTTGGGTGTTCTGGATTTGGTTGGTTCTTTTTCTGGGGATTTTTCTAGACTTTTTCTGGGAGTTTTTGTCATTCTGTGGGTCTGTTTATGCTACGGTTGGCGCTCTGGAGTGGAAAGTATGCGCAGCAGGCTAATTATAGATAACAAAGTGGTGGAGAGAAGGTGGATGGCTTTTTTTAGGTGGTTTAGAAAAGGGCTAGAAAAGGGTTAGAAATAATTGGATTTACGGATTTTAGGTCGAGGTTGGTAGGAATTTGTGGTTTCGTGGGTTGGTTGTTCTTTGGTGGGTTGGGTGATGGGGAATATGGACTGGTATCGTCAGATATGGAGATAGTCAGATCTGAAGAGATGGTGAGTTAGGGGAAGTTTCGTGGGGTGGTCTTATTTTACGTGAAGGTTTAAACGAGGGACGTTTTGAGGGATTGGTTGGTGTATAGTGGGAAGTTGGTGGGAGTTGGTGGGTGGTTGACTGGAGTGTCTCTGTGGGTGAACGGCTGAACTACGCTGGTGATAGTGAATGAAAATACTAATTTTGGATTGGAATTTGCTTTTATGGAGCCATAAAAATTACTTGTACTTACCTCCTTTTTGATATCGTGTTTCTACGTGTTTGGCTACTTACCTATGTGTATGCTTCCTTCGTCGCCATGTACTAATACTGAAACATGTCCCTGTAAGTTACACTAAACGAAACCTCAATACACAAAAACCATTTATCTACGTAGATAGGCTTTTTTCAGAATATTGGAACCGTTTTGTTTCCTTTTCCACGGCGTTGCCAGTGGAAGTAATGCCCTGTGAGGCTTTATGCTGGTCGAGATGGTCCAGATGGACATACATATTCTATTCTTTCCCTTGTTGGGTTGCGGTTTGGATGTTCAAATTAAGCTTTTCTGTTGATTTGGATAAAGATAAGGTTTGAAAAAATTTATATTTTTTATTGGGCGTCTGTTTTGTGCTAGTTCTTTTGGTTATAGTGCTTCACTTACCGATGTGGCTTTCACAGGGAAGACTCAAAAGCCACAGACCGGACGGAAACCCGGCAGATTCGGTAAAATTAAGGTTGGCGGGTGGAAGTGGATGGAGAAGTTTAATATGGTGGTTTTGTTACGAAATATGAAGAATTGCTGTTGCTGGTTGTCTAGCACAGAACGTACCAATGAAGACAAATATATACATATAGGAGGTAAGATGGAATGGGATGATGTTTTTGAAAGAGTAGGCTGGTTCATATGGTACTTCAGCAGTATGATGAACTCTGATTTGCAAGTTCAGAGTCAGAAGAAGCCTCTATCAATTGATCTTTCCATGAATCAAAGCACTAGTACTAAAGTTCAAGTTGTAAAGAGCGTAGAAAAACTCTAGAATGTCTTAAAACACACCTTACGTGTTTACTAAATAAGACACTAGCTTCAAAACAACTTACTGTCCATTCCAGTATCAATCCTCTTGAAATAAGCTTTATTAAAGGACACGAATACCGCCGTTAAGCCCCACCATGTAATAGAGTATTCTCTTTCCACTAACCGAAACGTAAAGCGTCGATCTACTCTTGCAAATCAAAGCTTAAATTCAGAAATCGTACCACTTCAATGCAACCATCTACCCCTACAAATCCTCTCATCACATCATTAATGTCTGATACATACACTTCATCTAGGCTCCTAGCGTCACTCTCACCTTACCGAAACAGTAATCTTTATACTCTTCAACGTAACCCTTGTGGTTTAATTCCACCTCTCCTGTAAGCTCAGACACAATCTCTTCGTTGCCTGCCACAAGAACCATACCACGGGGCATTTGCGTCAAGTCTGGGAACTCCTCCACGAGCTTTTGGTCGAGAATGAGTCCCGCCAAGTTGTTAGCTACCTGTCTGCCCATGTAGAGCGCCCAACCTGCTGACTTGATTATAGGCTTTTCGACCATGTCGCCAATACAGAAGACATTATCGACTTGAGTCTTGTTGTCTGGATGGAAGAGCTGGCCATATTCGTTCACATGGATGTTATTTTTGGACGACACAAACTGAGCCATGTCGCCAGTGAAAAGGTTGGTGTTGTTCTTGAAAGCGTTACACCAGTATGTGAAGTCTGCTTCGATGATCTCGCCGTTGGTAAGTTCCAAATCGTGGTTTTCCAACTCCTGCTTCACACGCAAGCCTGTCATAACCTTGACACCAGCACGTTCAAGACTCTCACGAGCCATATCCTTAAAAGCATCTGTAAGTGGTTCAGGAGGGAACTTTTCGTGAGGGTGGATCAAAACCACCTCTTTCTCTGGATGTTTAGTTTTAATGTCACCAGCGATTTCAATACCCACAGCACCGGCACCCACCACAGCTATTTTTTCAACACGTTTCGCCTGAGCATTAAATTCCACCATCTCCTTAAGGTAACTCTCGTAGTTATAAGCATCTGGCGAAGTGGGCCACGACCGGTTCCGGCCCGCAGCAACCACACAGTAATCAAACGAGATCTTCGCCAGACCACCAGTTTTACCGTTCAAAGTGTACTCGGCGCTATCCTTCTCCAAGCGAGTGACGCTTCCCTGGGCATAAGTGATCTCCAAATGCTCGTTGTTCTCAACCTTCACATTGGCGCCAAGCTCCCGCAACACATAGTCATCGTCAGACACCAAATGGTCAAAAAACAAGTCCTGGAGGTTCTGGAGCGGCACATACTGTGTTTTGGCAAACTCAGGGTCCACAATGGCTCTAGGCACCCCAAGCACATTAAGAAGCCCAGCTTTAGGCTCGATGAGCGTAATAGAGACTCGGCTCGTTGAAGGTCTCTGCTTGAATATGTTTTCAAAGCGACAAGCGCAGAAAGACCACCGTACGAACCGCCAATAATAAGAATGTTCGTCGTGAAAGACGCAGCAGATTTGCTGATTGCCTGAAGCGTAGTCATGGTTCCGTAAAAATGGAAAGATTGAATTTTCAATCTCGCTTCGATGGTCGGCGCCTGGACGAGTATATATATGCACTTCGGATGCCGCGCTTGTGGGCAGGAAAAATAGCCTGGTGGGTGCAAAAAGAGGGTTGGCAAGCGAGGTGGAGGTTCCGAGTCGGCGATGGAATTTCGGGACGGGGTTGGTTTTCCGGCTTGGTACATGCAAGTGGTGGGAAGGAAACGGTGGTTCGGCGTTTGCCACGACTGCAACGGCTGTAACGAAGATTTGCAACTATTCGAGGCCGTGCATGAAGATTCATGGTTCCGCACTGCTGAAGGCTCGTAATCTAAAAAATCAGCTGCACTGGGAAGTTGCAAAAAAGGGGGAAACAATGGGAAAATGAGTTGGGTGGAGATGATGGGAGGGTCGTTTTAAGGGGGTGGCTGTTTTGGTAGACGGCGGGTGCTGGCGGGTGGATGGTACCGCCTCTGATCAAATAGATAACGTTCAACCTCGGCATTTGTAGTTGGCAGTGCAAGAAAGAGATCCAAGTCGACCTTCCCATGGCACAGGGACTCCTTGGCATAGCTTCAAACCGTTAGCTAGGTTGGGGGTACGGACGGGTCGGAGTTGAAGAAGTGGTTCCGTGCCGGTGTGCATCTCGGCGCCGAGCCCGGCTTACCAAGGCCTATCCAAGAAAGGAGACGATCGGGACGAGCCACAGTCGGTAGACGGCGTGGCGGGCTGCTTTTCTTGGTGGAACGTTTCCGTGACAAACCCGTCGAGGTTAGAAGTGTGTTCTTCGAACTTGGTGGTGTCTCCATCCAGGTAGCGTGAGGCGTTGTTGAACATGCCCAAGACTTCTTTGGCGGTCATGCGGGAGAATTGGGTCATGGTGGGCGAACGAGGTCGAAGCTGGCTGGTGGATTCGTCTAGATTAAGTGGGATAGTCATTCCTGTGTCTTCACGGGACCTTTCCAAAGGTTCAATTGGTTTGGCTTGTTTTTCTCTTTCTGCCAGGAAATTCTTCACCTGGCAGAAGATCTCTGTAGGGCAGTACTCTTCGTTTGGAGCAGGATAAAGCAAAGCCATATTGAGCATGAGTTTCTCGGTACGTTTGCCGGGATGCTGGATGATAGTATGCTTTTCAGGTCCAGAGCTGACGTGCCATTCTTTCTGAGGCTCAGAGTCTCTGAACACTTCGAATTTCGCCAGCGACGGCCGGCTGGATTTTTGTTTGAGCACTTCGCCAGCCCATGGTTTCGCTGAAATGACGTTTTCTTTAAGGCGAAGCACGGGAAGCGAGTCCGGTGCCTCAGAAGCCCCAAAAACGGAATCCTTTATGCCCACAGGATCCGAATCTCTATGAACATCGAATTTAGGTCGCTTTTTGTCGCTCCCAGAGCCACTAGACGTCAAAGGCAGCCCACGTTTAAGCGAAAGCACGTTCCGTATAGTAGACGGTCTTACATCGAAATTCTCTGTTCGACGCTGAAAGTACCCGTAGTTCCGCTGTAGACGCGTCAACGGCCTGGCTTCCCGTTCAATGCCTATATTATAAACCTCCAGCGCATCGCCATAAGCGCCCTTGGTCTCCAAGTACTTAGCAAACTCCTCATAGTACAACGCCAACTCACAGCCAATGCCCTTTTTCGCCAAGTACACAAAGATATCCCTCGGCAGATCCGAGTACTGGGAATACTCAAGCCACACCCGCAAGTATCTCGGGTCGTTCTTATAAAACTCTGTATCTCTAAAGCACGAAGTACACCTCTCCAAGAGGCCCAACAACCCGCTCTCTGTGTTCCCACCCTGAGGAAACGCCTCGTTCGTCCAGTTTATATAATCAAGGTACGCCTGGAGCGGGTCGTCCAACTCGTCGTATTGAGCAATTGCCAGTTCAAACTCGTTCTTCTTGGATGTAACTGCTGACTTAGGAGCATGTTCCTTGAGTGCTAGAGCTAGTCTCAGCGCCGGCCGGCCGGTCACCTTCGGCTGGATATTCTCCTTTTGTTGTTCAAGCACGGAGAAGTCCATGAGATGGGGGTGGAGATGGAAATGGTGGATTGGTGGTGGTGATGTAGATCAAGTGTTTGTTTGTTTTTCATTCGCGCATGTATGGATAAGCAGAGATGAGATAAGGAGGAGGAGGGAGGAAGAGGGTTTTGGAGAAAATTGGGATTGGGGATTCAGGTGAGGTATAGAGGGGAGTTTGGGGATTGGCTGATTTTGGATTTCGTAGTTTTGGTGGATTTTGGTTGTTGGTTGTTGGTTGTTGGTGGTGGACTGACTGGGAATGGCCTGGAGAGGTTTCGCAGCCATTTCGCAGCCACTGGAGGAAGTGGTAGAGGGAAGGAGACAAAGGAAAGGGAAAGGGAAGGGGAGGTGGAAGGAGGGGATCATCTTGGTTTGATTTTAAATATATGGTAAAGTCAATTGGGTTTATGGTTTTTGTGGGTTTTTGTTGTTTGGCGTGGATGTTGGTGGTTATGGCTGGTGAGCAATTGGTGGTTTTAAAGGTGGGTGGATTGTCATAAACAGAAGAGATAAAGTTGTACCGAAGATGTAGTTTGTAGTTTTGTTTTTTACTATTTTGGGTGAAATTGTGGCTTTCTTCTTTCTTTCTTTCTTTCCTTTTTTCTTTGGTCTCTGTTGTTGAACTTTATGTACTGGTTACTGGGAGTGGTTATTCACCAGCCGTGCATCCTGGTAGAACGGAAAAGTATATGTTTACCGAGCAATTGAATGATTAAAGACTTTGTTAGATAACTATTAAGCTTAGTGAATTGTATGTAAATCTTTTATTGTCGTTTGCTTCTTGGAATAGTTGGTGGGTCCTACAGTGGATAGGCAGAAGAAGAGAGCAGACGTATCTAACAATCAGTACTCATGCTTAGAACGTATATAACAATAAAGTTCTTTCTTTTCAAGTGGAAAGCAGACTCAATTAATTTGCTAAAGAATAGCAGTATCTTAAGTATTTCGTAGTATAGGGATATAGGTAGCAGGTAACTTAGAAGTTATACTAATAGGATATTACCTCCAAAGCCACAAACCATACAAATACAGATGGCTGGATTTAATGAACTGGCAAGTTCTTTGGAGCATTAAAAATTCACTAAAAGGAGAAAAAAAGAAGAAAAAAGAAGAAAAAAGTCAAAAGTTAACTTCATCTGATCTGGTCTTACCAGGGTACATTGACTACCAGACAGAGAATACATATCCCTACCAACTTTGCATTACACAAGTAGACAATCACTCAAAGACCACCAAATCTATATAGTGGCACTATGAGTACCCCAAAACACAACTTTTTTAGTTCAATTAAATAAAACCACTCTTCAGCTTTGCCTCATTCACCTCTTCGTCTACTCCCCACGACACACCAACACCAGCACCACCAAAACACTACCAATAGAAGCAAAACCAAATAAACAGATAAATACCATTTCCACATCTCCTTTAAAGTAAAAGTCAATTCATTGCAACCTCCATTTCTTCCACCACTCCAACCAACCCTCCCATTCCTCACCTTCTTCTCCCTCCACCTCACTCCATTTGCAGCCATTACCTTTTCCCCCAAACCACCTCCAACCACCCCCAAACTCCCCCAAACTCTCCAAACGCTTCAAAACTCCCCAATCCCCCCTTTTTCACCCCATCCCTTGCCTCCCAGCTCAACATCCCCCAATACATCCTCCACTTCGTCCCACCGCCCCCACTGTCCTCCACGCGCACCTAAACACACCTACTCATCAACTCACCACCTCCAACCTACTACTCACCAAACCACCATCTCCATCCACCACACACCTCAACTTTCCATAGATGCTCTGGTTTGTTCCCCTCCTTTTCGCTGCTGTTCAAGCAGCTTACCATGAACAGCTTTCGTTCAGACCTCTTCCTAGGAATACGCTTCTTGCAGACTTCCACTTTAACACGGTGCTGCCAGCGTTCCCTCTTGAATACACCAACGCTCTGGCGCCAGCGGGTTCACAGGCACCTCGCCATTATGGCTACTTTCCCAGAATGCTAGCTCCAATTGTTCAGGCGACAAACACGCGTGAATTGCACTTACGGTTTACTCAGGGCTGGTGGGATGCTGATCTGTGGGGGCTGTTGCCTCATGACGGTGCTGTGATTGGCGGAACGGGCGTGGAAGTGTGGGCTGCCATTGAGGCTCCGTCCGTGGACGCTGCGAGAGCGTCGTGGTTGAAACTTACAGAGTCGCTTTCGGGAGTGTTCTGTGCTTCGCTTAATTTCGTGGACGATGCGGTTACGACGTTTCCCAAGTATAAAACGGCTTCTGAAGAGGCGAACTACGTGGCTGTACCAGGGAATAAGCTCTTTTTGCTTCGTGCTGCGTTGCCTGATGAACCGATTTGTACGGAGAACTTGACTCCGTTCTTGAAATTGCTTCCTACGCGTGGAAAGGCTGGCATTGCGTCTTTGCTCGATGGCCATAAGCTTTACGACTCGTTGTGGCACTCTATGAGCATTGATCTTGTTACTGCTTGCTCGGGAAATGAATGTCACTTGGAACTGGACCAGCATATCCATCATATTGCCGATATTACTCGTCTGATTCGTCGTAGAAACGAGGGCGGTATTCCTAAACCTGTTCCTGGCGATAAATTGCGTTGTGATGAATCTAAACATCATGACGCATGGCACTGTTTCCCTGCTGGTGAGGAGCCAGCGATTGAATGGGATATTGAAAGTCTCTATGGCCGTGCTATTAAAGGCCCTGGCTTTGAAAACCAAAAGGGTACAACCAAAATCAATTTTTTCGTCGATCCAGACCACTGGAAGGTCACTTTATTGGAGGAAGGCAAGGACGACGCTGCTGTGGGTGAAACATACGAAATCGTTAAAGCTGTTCCTCACAATTTCCGTCTTTCCACCAGCGACTTCAACAAGGTCTTACCAAAGCAAGAAACACCTCTTTTGGTCTCCAGATCTCTTACAGGCTACTCCCAGGACCGTGGCGGAATGCGTGTTACTTTGCATAACCCTCAAGATAAAGACGTCTCGTTGGTCTACTTTGAAAGTCTCCCCTGGTTCATGAGAATCTACTTGCACACGCTTCAAGTCAGCGGCAACGGAACCATCGAAAACCAGTTCTTCAAGCCTGCCATTGACAGAACCAGACCTACACATCTAGAACTCGCCTTGACCATTCCTGCCGGCCAGTCTTTAACACTCACCTACCAGTTCGACAAGTCCTTATTGCTCTTCTCTGAGTACCCACCAGATGCCAACCACGGTTTCGCCATTGAACCTGCCGTGGTGAAAATCATCGAAAACGGCAGCACCGTCTACCAACTCAGAACGGCCTCGTTGCTTCTCACGCTTCCTACCCCAGATTTCTCCATGCCCTACAACGTTACTATCTTAACATGTACAGTGATGTCGCTTGCGTTTGGCTGTGTTTTCAACTTACTTGCTAAGAAAGTCGTTACCGAGGAGGAATTTGAAGAACTCGCCAAAACCACTCCCTTGGGTAAACTCAAGGCCAAACTTGCTTATTTGAAGAGCAAGTTGAAGGGCATTAAGGCATAATGGGATTTCGCAACCGAGGCGCTCGCCAAAAACCGTTCCTGGTTTACCCGGTGCCATCTCGCGTAAATGGAAACGCAGTGCGAGAGAAACTGTGGAGTGGGTGCAAATGAGTGGCACAGAGACGAGATACGCTGGAATTGATGGGTTTAGGGGATTCCTGAGACTTTGGGGATTCTTTTGGTGCTTTTAAAATTCCAATATCTTGTGTTTTGGGCTTGTTTGGACTGTCACGGGACTCGTCGGTCTCGCCTGCCGTTTCCATATGTCCGGTCCCGGACATGGGACAGATTTTGCAAAACATGTAAATATCACAAATCTTGTCTCCTAGCAACTACAAGGCATGGATGTTTGAAGATTGCATTAATCGAGACGAGAACTTAATAGCCCTGGCTGTGGGCCTGGCGAAATTCGATACAACGCTGTTGGCGGCTCCTGAGTTCGTTAAAGGTGCTATAGAGGATTTCTTTTCCAAGGACTCAGATACCATTCGTTACAACTACAGCCGGCTTAATGGCATGGTTCCTGAAAAGCCCAGCTCCTTCTCGTGGGATTACCCGAAAAAATCGTCCAATTTAGATACAGATTTTCACCACTACAACGTGGATGTGGATATCTTGACCAGATGGATCTCCAGAGACGTTCTCCGGATGTTTGTTCCTATTATTTATTTCCAGGACCGCCGTAAAGAGCGTATGGAGAAGAGAGCTGCTGCTCTTACCGCCAAACCTGTTCCTACATTGGCTGAACTTGACGTTTGTGCTAAGCTACGAGGCAGAGGCTACTGGAACCGTAAAGGTGAGTGGTTCTGCACTACGCGAGATGTTGCCAACCAGGGCGATCAGCATGGCCTGAAGTTTTTCAATACTTATAATGAGTGGGCCAGGTGGGACTCCAAGCTTGATGAGTCTATCCGTGAAGCCAAGTGGAGCGGTGACGCTGACAGTTTGCGTGAACTACGGCTCGCAAGGAGCAACAACTAGCCGGCAGACGGTTATGTATGATGGAATGAATATTTATTTGGATGGATCAGGGATAAGGGAGATGAGGTGAAAGAAAGGGAATGGTGGTTAATGGACCAAAGAAAAGCCAAGAGGAAACGAATGCCTAATAGTACTTCAAAGCAAGTCTTTGGTAATCATTGAGGTATGAAGCGAATGCTTTATGGTTCATTCTTAGAAGCCACAGTGTTACACCAGTGTCGTGAATAAAGGCAGTATAGATCAATGATAAGAGTGTCTTGAGATTGACTGGTTCCTAATTGGGGAATATAAAGCTTAAAGGTGTAGAATAACTTCAGTTAGACAAACGTGAAGTGTAATTGCTTCTATTGAACAGAAGTATTACTCTTTATACCACATAGACAGTAACTGTCTTTAGTACCCAACCAGAAGTAATAATACCTACACCAAACACCAAAATTAGAGTAAACTGGCAATTTCTTACATTTCCAGAGTTTCATTAAACTTCTGTATTTAAGTATAACACGCCTTTTTATACTACCATTACTATTAGACATCTACCACAGATACGTACATACACTATAAGTATATATACATCTACCACTTCCACCATAACATAAATACACTTACTATTTTCCTACCAATTATCCAACTGCATCAATACTTTCCTCAGCCACTAAAAGACCATGTACACTTTCTTTTTAAAAAATTAAAGCATATTATGGAGATTCCACCTCCCCTTGACTCACCAGTTACTTCCACAACTTGTTCCTCACTAAATGCACCGTACCATTTTCCACCACCCCTACTTTTTCACCTCAAAACTCCATTCCACCATTTTCTTCCAATCCCTCCAACATCCCAATTTCCTCCAAATTCTTCAAATTCCCCAACCCTCAATTTCCCTCCACTTCTCCAAAACCAGTCAAACTGCAAAACTGGCACTTTTTCGCAGCCAAACTGATATCCACCAACCCTCCACCATTCCACCACCAACCCCCAAAAATCCTTAAAAAACACAAACCCCCTACTACTTCACCCACTACGACCCCAATACAACTCCCAAAATTCTTCCACGGCCTCCCAGACCAAAAATAAACGTACTCTGACTGACCTTAATGACCTGCATACAACACCCCACCTCTATCAACTAACTTCCAACCTCCAAAACTACCCTTCCACCTTTCCACCTTCCCACTTTCTTCCTCCCCAATGAGTGACCCGTTTACACGTATATCGTGGATGTTGGAGTCTGCACGTGACCTCACCATAGAGGCTGCCATGCTGGCTTCAAGCAGACTTCTGGAGACTCCTACAGCCAAAAGGCCTCAAGAGATACTGAAGCTTTTAAGCTCCAGATCTGATCGAGATGTGCTTAGTGGGATGAAATGTGTGATGGCATTGATAGCACGTGGTGAAGATGGACAACTGTTTTTCGCTGACGTGGTGAAAAATGTGACGCTGGCGCTGACGAGAGTTAGAGCTTTGGTGCTTATCTACTTGCTGAAATATGCTGAAACAGAGCCCGATACGGCGCTTTTGCTGATCAATTCGATCCAGAAACTGCTTAGCGATAAGCTGGCACACTCGAGAGCGGCGCTGATAAGAGCGTTGGCGGGGATCAGGATCTCTGAGATTGGCTCTTTGATACTTCTATGTATTAAACGAACTGTGTCTGACCAGCTGCCACACGTTCGGGCTGCTGCTGCTTTGGCTATAGGAAGGGCTTTCCATATTGAGGGAATCAATAGACAGCAATTGACGCTGTTTTTGGCGGCGTTGGTGTCGGATCATTCGACTACTGTGGTTAGTCTGGCTGTTAAAGTGCATGCTAAGCTTCTACCACTGATTAGTGCTAGTTCGCCAAAGAAAGCATGGGCGCCTATTCATGCTAATTTCAGAAGATTGGCTCGTCTTTTACCGGAATTGGACGAATGGGCTCAGGTTTGTGTTATTGACTTGTTTACAGAGTACGCTAGGAAGTTCCTTCCACGGCCTGAACTCACGTTTGAAGATGGTTCGACGTTACCACTTCCTGAATTTGCATCATTTGCATCGCTTACATTGTCATACACTTCGTCTCTCGACCTGGACCTTCAATTGTTTGTTGATTCTTTGAGAAGATTGACGTTTTCGAGCTCAGAAGCGGTTATTTTGTCTGTTGCTCGTGCTTTGATCTTAGTGGCCACTCCAGAACACCTTACTGAGTTTGATCTTCCAAGGATATTGACAAAATTAGCCACAACTCCAGTCTCAGGCTCAAGCGCTAGATCTTACGCTTTGCACATTGTCGCTTATATTGCCCAGACGGCGCCTTCCATCTTTGAAAAGTACTACAAGAAGTTCTATGTCTACCCAACAGACGACGATGAGGTAGCCTCCTTGAAATTGCATGCTCTTCCCCTTCTTGCTACACAAATCACGGCAAAGGAAATCATTAGAGAGCTCCAATACAGTGCTCTTAATTCAGCATTCCGTCCAAACGTCGCCCACGAAGCTGTACGTGCCTTGGGAAGGTGCTCGCGTGCTTCCAGAGACTGGACAGACCATATTTTGCGTTGGTGCTCTTTGCAAATCAGCAATGTGGGCGCTACGCCCATTGTCAGTGATCTACTTACGGTGATTCGTCATTTGCTTCAACTTAAACAGAACCAGGCTGGTTCAGACAAGACAGAGCTAGAGAGCGTGGTGCGTACAATCTACAAGTTGGGCAAGCTCTTGTACGATAACACTGTCAATTTTGACCCAGAAGCAAAGGCTACAATTATATGGCTTGTGGGTGAATTTACCGAAGCAGCAGATAACCTTATTGGTCCAGACTTGCTTCGAAGATCACTCCAGACATTCACAAACGAACCTGAAAGCGTAAGGTACCAGCTTTTAATGTTGGCTGCTAAATCTTACCTGTATGAGCTCCAAAAGAACGACGCTGAAAGCTTACCAGACACCAAATTGGGTAAAATGTACGCCCACGTATCGCAATTGGCTCGCTACGACGCTCTGTTTGACACAAGAGACCGTGTTAGAATGTTGGACCAGCTCTTGTTCACGCCCAAGAACTCTAAGCTAGCCACGCTTTTGCTCAATGTTCCTAAACCACCTCCCCTTGTTGGAGCCCATTTTGAAGAAAACACACCAGACATTCTCAAAAACTACCTTTCAGCAGACGGATGGGCGGATCCAGAAACCTTACCGCCAAGTTCCATCAGAAAAGAAAAGACAGTGGAAAGTATTCCTACAAGTTTCGAGAATGGTGCTTTTGAGAAAAAGACAGGACCTTCTATTTCTTCAAGCCACCAGATTTCTTCAACGCTGGCAAAGAGCTTAGCTCCAGCACAAGCTAAACCTTATAAATTACAAAGTTTAGACGAATTTTTCGGCAACGAAGAATCGCTGTCTGAGTCTGAATCAGAAGAGGAAGAAGAGTCTGAGGAAGTTTCAGAGAGTTCATCTGATGACGTTTCCGAGTCAGGTCTTGACTCTGATTCAGACGAGGAAGAGGAAGACGACGAAGATGAAGAACTGGCTGAAGAAAGCGACGATTCAGCTAAAAGTGGTGATAAGTTCTTGAAGTAGGCTCTTCCCCTACTACTAGAGATGTACGGGTCTTTCACCATCTACTAAGTGAGTATTGGGACCCACTTGAATCATCACCACTTCTTCTCCAGAAATGTTTACATTACGAGCCAGTCGACTTGGTTCTTTGGCCAGAAACGTCAGGTTCTACTCCAGGTACGCCAAAAATGACCAGATATATTTGCATGAAACGCCAGGCAGAATAATTGCAAACCTATCGCTGAACCCAGCAGCAACTCCCATTGGATACTCTCCTTCGAAGAATATCGATCCAGACACGTTCCTGGTGAACAAGAAGTTTCTTGATTTGCTTAATAACAAGATTAACGAATCCATCCAAGAAGATTTCACGTTTATCATTGAAGCAGGTGCCAGTGCACTGACATTTATGCCCATTTACGATTTCAGAGAAGTTCCTAGGTACGCCCGTGTTCCTGAGGTTGATAGTATCTTTGGGTACGTCTTGGTGGACGATAGAGGCAAGATTGTGCCCCAGACTTTTGATCCTAACTCAATGTACCGTATTTGCAACGGAGCAGGGTTGATCAAGTTGAGCGACTACTTGCATGAGCAAATGAAGAGCATCACCGAGGCCGAGGGCGCTTAGAACGATCATAAATTGGATAACTTTTGGAATGGAGAAAGGAGAGTGTAAATAAATAGAGGCTCTCGTCAAGAGGGGCCTAAATAGCATTACATAAGAATCAATCTTATGCCAACTTTAAAGTGAACTCGTCACACTTGCCATCAGACAACTTGATAGGCGTCTGGACGTACTTGCCGTGGCCATGCTTGCCTTCTTCGTTGAAGCACCACTTGAAGTTACCGCCAAAGCCAATATGTCTAGATTCCTTATCAAACTGGAACTGGAACTTAGATCTCGAGTTTGAACGGTTACATGTCAAGTCGCCCTTGCTGTCAAAGCCACAAACACCTTTAGAGCTCAACAAGTTCTTGCCGCCGAATTGGGAGTCCACAACACGGAACGTAGCGCATGTTCCATACTCATAATGCTGACCGTTACTGATAAGACATCCAGAATGGTCACTCAAACGAACGTAGCCGGATCTGCCGTTAGGATCCTTTGGAGGCTGGCCAGGAGGAGGCGAGAATTTGCCCTTGGGCAAGAACTTGATCCCGGTTTCAGGGCAACTGGACTTGGTAAGTGCATCGATTGGAATAAACTGTTCCTGCAAAAGCGAGCCCTGGAGATGGTGGAAGTACCAAATCTCCTGCAAGGCGTTATACTTGTTGCATTTAAAGTAAACAGTCTTATCGCTAAACTGAGAGTTTAACGCCTCAGCAATCTGCTTCTTCGTGTATGTCTCGTCCAACGAAGGATGAATACCAGCCTTGGCCAAAAAGTCGAAAGTTGGGTACTCCTCAAAGAGGTTCATGGAGATCTTGAAAAAATCATACACGTTCTCGTCCTTCAGAAAATCACTATAACACGTTGGTCTAATTGTTTTAATGCACGTGGCGTGCTTGTTGAACTCGTGGATCCACAACGATTCATCATCGCCATTGAAGTTCTTCCACACCTTCTGCATCTTCTCATACAACTCCTTATCGCCAAAAGTATCCATAAGGATTCTTTTAACCTCTCCCTTGGAGATTTCTAGGCTGTTATCACAGAACTGCTCATACGTGCCGTCACAGTTATCTGGCCACAAACCGTGTAAAGTGAACGTGTGGTTATCACCAATTGGCGGGTAATAGTCCCAGAACTGAGTCTGAAGCATGACGCCTCCTGGACTTTCGAAACAACAGGCGTTTTCGACTGGAGTCGAATTGGTACATGAAATAGGCACGTCTTTGGGACACGAGGAAAACGTGTGGTGGAGCGGCAACTGGCTCAGGGAGAGCTGAAACGAGGGAAGAGCCATAGCGGCGCCTAGAAGGGGTAATAGGGAAAGCATGGCGTGGGAAATTTGGAGGGTAAGTTATGGAGTTGGGGAAATGCTGGGGTTTATATATGCTGATAAGGGCACGTGGACAGGGGCACGTGCCGATACTGATAAAGAAAACGGTTATTTTATTCCGTTCAGAACTACAGTGGTGGATAGTGAATTATGTACATTCCGTTGAGGATATAACTGTATAAGTGTAACCATAGTTTTTAAAACTCACCCACTTGAGAACCCGTCGTTAGCCAAAAAATAGTAAAAAAAAGTAAATCATTAAATGCAGTTGATGCAGTAATACAGAAAAGAAGTTAAAACTCTCAAAATCTTGGGTCGTCAAGTAGAGACACACTTCCGATACTGAATCGCTTAGTATCTGTAAATGTCAGCCTTGAATGGACCTTCCTTTGGAATACCCAAGTAGTCGGCCTGCTTGTCGCTCAAGACAGACAATCTAGCGCCCAAGTGGGACAAGTGGCACTTGGCAACCTCCTCGTCCAAGATCTTTGGCAACAAGTGGACACCAATCTCGAATGGGCCGGACTTGGAGAACTCTGGGAACTTGGATCTGAACTCGTCGTTCTTGGCGTTGAAAAGAGCAATCTGGGCCAACACCTGGTTGGAGAAAGAACAGGACATGACGAAAGAAGAGTGACCAGTGGCACAACCCAAGTTGACCAATCTACCCTCAGCCAAAAGGATAACGTGACGGCCGTTCTTCATCAAGTATCTGTCGACCTGAGGCTTGATGTTGACAACAGACTCGGCGTTGGCCTTCAACCAGGCAACGTCAATCTCAATGTCAAAGTGACCAATGTTACACACAATGGCGTCCTCTGGCATGACAGAGAAGTGGTCACCGGTGATGATGTCACGACAACCAGTGGTGGTGACGAAAATCTGACCAATGCTGGCAACCTCCTCCATTGGGGCAACCTGGTAACCGGAAACGGCAGCCTGCAAAGCGTTGATAGGGTCAATTTCAGTGACAATGACTCTAGCACCCATACCTCTCAAGGCCATGGCACAACCCTTACCGACATCACCGAAACCAGCGACAACGGCAACCTTACCGGCAATCATGACATCGGTGGCTCTCTTGATACCATCGATAATGGACTCTCTGCAGCCGAACAAGTTGTCAAACTTGGACTTGGTGACAGAGTCGTTGACGTTGATGGCTGGAACCTTCAACTTGCCGTCCTTCAAGGCCTTGTACAAGTGGTGGACACCGGTGGTGGTCTCCTCAGACAAACCGTAACAGTCCTCCAACATCTCTGGGTACTTCTCGTGCACCAAGGTGGTCAAGTCTCCACCGTCGTCCAAGATCAAGTTCAACTTCTTGCCGTCCTTGAAAGCGAACAACTGCTGCTCAATACACCACTGGTACTCCTCCTCGGTCTCACCCTTCCAGGCAAACACTGGCACACCAGAAGCGGCAATGGCAGCGGCAGCGTGGTCCTGGGTGGAGAAGATGTTACAAGAAGACCAGGTAACCTCGGCACCAAGAGCAACCAAAGTTTCAATCAAAACAGCCGTCTGGATGGTCATGTGCAAACAACCAGCGATTCTGGCGCCCTTCAATGGCTGGGAAGATCCGTACTTCTTTCTGATATCCATCAAACCAGGCATTTCGTTTTCAGACAACTCAATGTCCTTTCTGCCGAAAGCAGCAAGGGAGATGTCGGCGACTTTGTAGTTGGTGGCTGGAGCGGACATTTCTAAGGTTTCCAAAAAAATTGATTTAGTTTGGGTGGTTTTTTTTGGTGGGGGCTGTCGCGGTTTATATAGTTTTTGGAAATTGGGATTTTTTTTTTTTTTTTTTCATGGTCTGCTCTGAAATTTTTCGCACGCTTTTTTAAACGACGAACGTGGGCTAAACGAGAGAAATGAACGAGGGGGCATTGGTTTTTGGAGGAATTTTATGGGAATTTGAATTGGCTGAAGGGGTAATTGGAAACCCGTACATCCCATCAATTAAAACAATGGAATTGGGGGGTCTTTTTTTTTTGGAAATTCTGTTGGGGTTTTTGACAGGTTGCAACTTTTTGGTGGGTGCTTAGACCCGTGCACCAGGCATATTCAGTAGATTCGCGTGAAAAAAACAAGTAGATGGTGAAAAATTGAAAGCATGGTCCAGGAATGCAGATCTCACACCCGTACACCATTTTGCAGCCAAAGAAGGCAAGGCAACGACAAGGCAACGACAAAAGACGAAAGGAAGTGGTTTGGATTTTGTAGTTTCAGAAAATGGAGGTTCAAAATGGTGATGGTTGTTTGCAGAAGGAAGTAGAATGTTCAGACGAAAAGAGAGTTCGCGGTGGTTAGTAGATGGTGAAAAACGTGGGAACAGACAAAGACCAGCAGAATGGAACCTCAGATGAACCCGGGATAAATGGATCGTTTTGATTGGCTGTATGATATTATATGTCTGGAATGGCAGGGGAGGCGTCGTTCGGTCAATTGGCGCCGCTGGGGCTTGACGAGCCTGGAGGTATCTTCTCAGAAGACACCCTTCTAAATCTCCCTGGAATCTTAATTAAACCGTCCACCGGCACCGTAGTCGTCAACGACCTGGTTCCGTGGAATACTGCTGAACGAATCAAAATACGACTCTGGGCCTTCAAAGAAAGTGCCCATAACGTCTGTCAAACTCGACTGGAAATCGAATTGTGGGAAGAAGTTCTCTAGCGGCATCTCGTCTGGCGGCAGAAGGAACTTATCGTCGCCAATGCCGACGCCTTGGAGGTTTTCGGGCTCTCCAGCGAACACCACTTCACTGTTAAGTGGATTAAAAAGAGACGTGCTGAGTCCGTCCTTTCCTTCGTCCTGGCCAAGCTTGATAAGATCGGCAACCGTACGCCAGTAAACTTCGTAAAGCGAAAGATCAACGTTGGAAATTGGCGCTTGGGCAACACGCACAAGATCAACGATCTGGTCGTCTGAAAAAAGCAACTTGGGCACCACAAGCTCAGAGTTTCGGTTGAAATGACGCTTATAGTAGCCTTCACTGACCAACACTCGAGTAATATATGTAAATGTCGTGCCGATTCTCCATGCGTAGCAGTATCTGTGGTTGATTTTATGGATTCCCAAAAGACAAACCTTACAACAACGAGAAAGCGAACGCATGAGCACCTTAAGACGAGGAATGTAGTACTCTGTTCTTGGAGTACCCACAATCTGGTAGCCCAAACGGGAAGTAACAGCAGAAAAGAAACCCACAGACTTGTGCATGAAATACTCCAAATGTGGGTTCATGACAAACTGGTAAGCGTACCGATAATATGGGTGTGGTTTCTCGAGCATCGTCGAGATAAATGGAATGTTCTCTTCGGCCAAAATCACCAACATTTTCTTAAGATAGAAGAACGATAAGTGGGTGTTTTTGTGGCTCTCGTACCAAAGGAAAAGACGGAAGTAGCACGAGACAATAAATATCTGGATGGGAACGTAGTACTGGAGCTTCAACAGCTGGACCAACGACTGGGAATCTGTTTTAAAGAAAGCCTGGTGGAAGTCTCTCATGGTACCGTAGTGTTCGTAGAAATACGATTCAAGCTGGTTCAAGTGGGTGATGAACTCTGAAATCACCGTTTCTTCGTTCATGAAAAGAATGGTTTTAAGCACGTCTTTGATGATCGGCATGAGCGCTTCAATTGGCTGGATAGACTCTTCAACTATGGAGTCAGAAGGACCATTAGAGTTTGTAGCGTCCAAGAACGGAAACTTCGTATCGCTAAACAACGCCAGCGACGTGAACGGCGTGCCAAACTTGATCAGGTTCGTATAATCCTTGTGTGTCACAAACATCCAGAGTTTACGACGCACGTTGTTGAGTCTAGGGTTGTTTAGCGTATCCATCATCTTATCAGGCTCTCTATTGAGCCCAATGGAGTATGCCAATTGCAAAAGCACACCGTTATTGACCTGGTGCAGATCACGACCAGGTCCATCTGGATCTTCAGGCGCCGATTCCATATAAATTCTCATGTAAACCACAAGCTGAACAACACCCAAAGAAGCTCTATTGGAAACCTGGTACTGGTTCAAACAGAAACGAGAAAAATCAACAAACTCAATACCTATAGGGCACAGAAGCAAGTGCTGGTCCTTGTCGCCGTCGGCACGTTTCAGAACATCTGTGTTTTCCAGCACTTCATTAGAAATAAGCGAAAGGTAGCTCATACGAAGAACCAAGCAAAGAATACCAATAAACGTAAGATCAATACGTCCAGAAATCTCCACAGACTGAAACGAGTCGTCCAGGTACGCCTTAGGACCAAGAATACGTTCTATACTTGACCTAAAGTGCTGTTCGTCAAGGAACGGATGGAATGGGTAGATGTACTGAAAAAACCGATCCACATGCGTCCAGAGTACCTTTTTCGACGGGAGAATCGCCAATAAACGCTCCTCGTGACTGGCATCGGTCTTGTTCCTAAACGGATCCTTAAATGTCAACCCTAGAGGGATATTTTGCAGCCGTAGCTTAGCGTTAGCAGGGTCAAACCGCTGCTGGGAGTGTTGTCTAATCTTGTCTAAAACCTGAATCGGAGCGTGGTCCCTGGAAACACTTTTTGTATAAACACTAGGCACCTTGACTCTTTTAGTAGGCTTAATGTTCAAGATGAAGTTCCACACATCAGCCAACGCTGGGTCCACTCTGACGATCGAGTGCCACGAAAACGGGCCGTGGTTCATTTCCTCCTGAGTCTCTGGATCGTAACTCATCGACGAGTAATCCGAAAAGAAGCTGATTCGCTCCTGGGGCGAATTCAATGGATTCACTCCAACCACCGAAGCGTAATCCACAAACCCAGAAAGCACTTTGGCTGATTTCACCGGCGACAAGTACACCGTCGGCTCCTTATTCGTTTCCATCAGCGCCGGCAGTTCCTTGAATGCCACCTTTTCTCCCACTGGCGTATCATCAGTATATGAACAGAGATGAGCCGTTCGATGCTTCACACACGAATTACAAGGGGTGTTTCTGTCACACTTGACTTTCCTGGCCTTACATATATTGCAGACAATGATAGTTCTCCGCCGTTTGCGAGGTTCCTTGCCCATGGTGACAAGTGGAGGTAGTTTCAGGTGTGTTGATGGAGCCCCACACTTTAAGTGATGGTACATGGCTGACAAACGCCAGTCACGTGGAGGATGGAGGTGGGAGAGTGGAGGGTTGGTGGTTTTGGGAGGTGGATGGAGGTGGGGGATGAAGTGGGGGAGGTGATTTGCTGGGGAATTGGTTTTGTAAGCTGGGAAAGAGGTTGTGTGGTTGGGTGGTGGAAAAGGGTGAGAAGTCAGAATCGTCTGGGGTACCCCGTGGGGGAGTTGACTCGGACGGGTCGAGGAATTGGGGGTGGTTGGGGGTAGTGGGGGAGATTGGAGGAGATTTTGGGGGGATTTTGGGGGTCAATGTGGGGGAATTGATGATGGCGTTGGTGATGGTGTTGGTGGAGGGAAGGCTTTTTCAGAGGTGAGGGAGAGGAAATGGAGAGGGCCAGTGTTGGAAGGGAAGGGGACGAAATTTTGGGAAGGTTTTTTTATCTGGGGATTCGCCCGTATTTATAGTTCCCCTTGTGAATTTCTTTTTCAAGTTTTGATGTTTCTATGGGTAAAGATCTTGGGTGTTTCTGGAAATACGTATTTCGCAGCCACTGAACGGCTGAACTGGAGAAGGGAAGAGCCTGGAAAAATGCTGGTTTTGTGGTCTTTTCTGGTTTTGTGGATTTGGGAGATGAAAGGGGTGATTTCGTTTCAGGGGAAGTGGTTTGGTGGAAATTGGATGGAAGAAACCGGAAATACGTATACCTACTTGTACTGAGTATATGTTCAGTGTATGGAAAGAAGAGAGCTACTCTACAAATTGCTGGATTACGTCATTGACTGATTCAAGCTTCCAGATTGATCTTGTGCTACTGAGAAGAGCCTGGCTCAATTAATAGTACCTTTCAAATACTGTCCAGCTACCCATCTTACCTTCCCTGTCTCTATCAGTGTGTATTTCTGGATATTCTATTTCTCTGGGACTAGTCCCTATCTCAGCGAACGTCTCTCTGGCTCTACTAATCGTAGATGACTCTAGGGTTATAGTTGGCGTCGTTGTAAAGAGCACCGGCAAAGTGCACAAGACCGGTTTCGGCCTCGTACTGACTCCAGTGGTCAAGCAACTCTTCAAGGATCTTAGGTTCCTTCTCAGCCAAGTCGTCAATCTCACCTGGATCAACCTTCAAATTGTACAACTGCCATTTTTCAGGTCCCATAGGTTTTGGAATGTACAAGGCCTTCCATTTACCCTTTCTGATAGCCTGTTGGGCAAACAACTCCCAGCCAGTGACAGAGTCTTCGTCGTGGGCGAAATCAGCAACGCCAGTAATGTATCCTTTCCAGGATAATCCCCTTGGCCTGACCACAGGTCTGCCACGGAACTCGTCGCCTGGATGTTCAACCTCTGCCAAATCCAAAATCGTAGGAAGAATATCCATAACTGTAGCAAACCCGTGCTTCACGTTACCTCTGTTCTTCTCTGGAATAGCGTTGGGATGGTGGATAATCAACGGACACCGAATACCACCTTCACTGGCCCACATCTTGTACATGTAAGCAGGAGCCGTGGCTGCCTGAGCCCACTGGTCCGAGTACCACACAAACGAGTCTTTTTTGCCGATATTGTCGAAACTGTTGTTGTAGAATAATTCAATCTGTTTCTGGAAGTTAAGATTGTTAAGAGGAAGCGCCTCCATCATCATTCCCTCGGCGCCGTTATCAGACATGAATAGAATGAAAGTGTTATCGAGCTCGCCGGTTTTCTCCAATTGGTCAATCACACGGCCAAGGTTTTGGTCTACGAGATCCACCATGGCAGCGTAAGTCTCCATGATTCTGTTTTCGGCCTTCTTTTCATCCTCAGTCAACTCGCTCCATGCTTTATCTCTCTGGGTAACAACAGCATGTGGAATCACGCCATCTGGGATAATTCCCAACTCCAAAGCCTTATCCAAACGCTTTCTTCTTAACTCTTCTGGACCTCCATCGTACTTACCTTTGTACTTGGCAATAACCTCCTCTGGAGCCTGGAAAGGCCAGTGTGGAGCAGTATACGTCAAAAAGCCAAAGAACGGACGCTGGTCTCTTTCCTTGTCGTCGCCCAAGTACTCCAAAAACTTATCGGTAAAGTAATCAGTACTGTAGTAGTCCTCTGGGAGACTATATGGGTCTTTACTCTCGTTGTTCTCTTGGAACAAAGGCGCCATGAACTTGGCAGGGCCCTTGTTTTCCTCGTCGATTGGGAAGTACTTAAAGTGGTTTCCAGCGCCTGGCAACAACGTAAACGACTTATCAAACCCTCTCTTGCTTGGCCAGTACTCCTCGGTAAGCCCCAAATGCCATTTTCCACTCTGGAAAGTGTAGTAGCCAGAGTCTTGCAAGATTTCAGACAACGCAGCGACTCTAAAGTTCAAGTATCCCTCGTAGCCCGGCTTTCCACCGAAAAGATCCGGGTGGTTCCTGGCAAACTCGGCCATCTGGCCCAAACCAGCAATATGGTTATCAGTACCAGAAAGAAGCATAGATCTCGTTGGCGAACAAGCCGAGGCCGTATGGAAATCAGTAAATCTGAGCCCGTTATTGGCGAGTTTGTGCAAATTGGGCGTATCGATTTCACCACCAAAGGGGCTCAAGTCGGTGAAACCCAAGTCGTCAGCAACGACAACAATGAAGTTTGGTTTCTGTTTGATGGTCATTTCGGGGTAAACAAAAAAGCCAATGGCTGGCGAAACCAGGGGGGAATCGTTGGGCCTTTTATAGTCCAGGGGGTGTCGTGGACATCACGTGGCAATGGTGTGATGTGGCTGGAGGAAGGTGTAATTAAGAAGCGGTTGGTCTGCTTATGGTGATAATTTTGCAACCGCGTATGGAGGTGGGAAATACGCAATACATGCGAGCCACAGTTTTGGGGGACCATGCTGGGGAAAGTTGGGGAAATTTGGGGATGGAAAAGGGATTGGGGGATATTGGGGGCAGTTGGGGGTAAATTGGGGGACAGAGAGTGGAGGTTCTAGAGTGGCTACTGAGAGGGACTATATATCTATATCTATGAGTATGTATGGTTTATGGTAGGTTTGGTGGGATGGGTAGTTGGCTGGGAAAGGAAGGAAAATGTGTTGGTTGGGGTGATTGGGGTTGGGGAATTGAAGGGGATGAGTTTGATGGTGCTAGAGGTTTGAAATGTGCTTTGGTTTGGTGCTTTTAATGGTTGCAAAAATGTATAGATGAGGCATTGGATGAAGGCTACTGAGAGTTTCTGATAATTCGGCAATTGACGATTGACACTCAAGAAACTTGTTTCTTTAGGTCGATTCGTTTCTTCTTGTGCTTTTTGGTACCTTACATTGATGTGACTTTGATGCTATCCTTAGGTGCCCTTGATTGGTTGCAAAATGCGTTAAAGCCAGGCACCAGTTTCCTGATCTGAAATAGACAATAGAGCTATAACGACCAAAATCTCTTCACCGGTATATTCAAGAAATTGACAAATACTGGCAATTGGCTCCTCTTCATCTTCTTGGCTTGGGTGCTACATAACCATGGCTAAACACAATGAACAACAAATACCTACTCAACTATACTTGGCGCTAGACAAGCAAATCAAAATCCAAGAACGGTGACTCCTCGTTTAGATCATACTCTTCAGCCCCATAAAGCTTCCTTCTCTTGAGCTTCTGTTTCCTCTCTTTCCTAAGCTTGGCTCTTCTTTCTGGGTACTCGCCCATGCCCACTTCTGAACCAGCCAGTGAAAGGGCACGTACAATGGCATCCACATTGTACCAAATAGCTTCGGAAAGAGGAGCTGTTGCCGTTGGCTCGGGATCAACCAAGTGTTTGGTTCTGTTACTGATCCTCTGTTTGGCTCTACGGTTATGCCACTCCAAACCACGCAATTTGGGCACTTTGAGAACCAGCTCAGGCACTTCCTCGGGCTCCCGGGCCTCCTTAACGGCATCAACCTCGTAAGAGGTTCCACTGGAAGGCTGGAAGGGAGAACCACTAAAACACCTATGTTCGGTGTTTGACGCAGACCATGCGTCCCCCGGTGATTGATCGTGCGTCAGCTCATGCACGCTGGGGACTGAACCAAGTTCAATTGCCGAGACCGCGTCAAAGCCCGGCGGCCATACAGACAGTGCATCTCGGTCGCCGAAACCAAACCCCGGATGGGATGAAGATATGGATCCTAGAGTATCTCTTATACTTGTGACTCTTTTGGTCCACCACTGGCCGAGCTTGGAAGGCGTTCTGGGTGTCGGTTGGAGGTTAAACTGCCGAGGCACAAAGGCTTCTTTTGGCTCCTTGGGCTTCGACTTAGCGAATCTGAAGCTCCAGGGTTGTGGTTTCAGTGCCAAAGAGCTTTCTACTTCTTGTTTAGTTTTAGAAGCCTCTCGAGTCATTGAAGTATCGCTGCCGCTGCCATTGACCAGTATAAGCCGCCGAAACGAAAGATCTCTCCAGAGAAACGGCTGACTCTCTTTGGAGGGAAGTGGAGGCACCGATACCTCTGAAGAAGCCGTACCAATACTCTCTTTCCTTTCTGTAGTCTTCCACTTTGCCTTGAATAGACCGCCCTCGGGCCTGGCGAATGTAGAACGTAATCCGTCCATAGATCGCTTATAGAAAGAACCTATTCTGGTTGGATGCACTGGACCCTCCAGAACACCCAGTTTCGGCCCACCTTCCTCCAGATTTAACAAAAACCTTCCAAAGGAATCTTCAGGCCATTTTTATTCCATTGACATTCAACTCCTTCGTTTCCTGAGGCTGTCGGCGCCTTGTTCACCTTCAAGAAGGGAAGACTGGCCCATTCGGAAGTGCACAGTTTCTGGACGTCCCCGACACTTCCCGTAAATATAAACCCGTCAATGGCCGTCGGCTGTTTGAAGTGACCACTTTTATGGCTTTCTAAATAAATATCACCCATTTTGGCGGAAAAGCAGTGGTATGTTTCTGGATCTCCCAATGGCTGCAAATGGCTGCGAAAAGCCATAACCAGGGAAGCAGAGAGGGTAAAGAAGTGAAGAGATACGGAGAAGAGAAGGTACTTTAAAGGTTGATTCATAATGCAAAATGTAAGGGAAAGCGTCTTATTACCTTAAGATGTCATGGGAAGTCATTTCTGGGGAGAAGAGTCAACCTTCATTGGTAGTAGTATACTATAAGGCATCCATAGTATATAAGCTCCGTAGCTTCAGCACCAAAAGGGCTCAAAACGAGCTGAAAGAAAATATGTACCTTTAATTGGTTTTAAAGATTACTCATGAGCGTTTTGAGGCCACTTGGGTTGCTCATATTGGAATTATAGGGTACATCAACTGTCCAACCTTGAAGAACCATAAGCTCCAGAGGACATAAGAAGACATCACCCTTTGATCTGAAGTCCATACTTATAACGATAAATGACCATTTACACCTCTAATATCTACATCTTCCATATCTCTATCTTCCCTTCCTCTTGTTCATCACTTTCATTATCTATACTTACTCCTTGGTCTGTCTGGATAACCTGTAATCGCCAGTAGAACCTTATATCCTCCAACACAACCCCATTCCCTTCACTTCGTCTACTTTGCCTTCGCTGACTATGTATTACCGTCCAGGCTATACTATATATCAAACTTGAGCCAGTCCAAGTCGCCGTACGGCTGGTTTCCTTTTTGCAAGTTCTCGTTGCTGTCCGACCCGTGCTGGCCCTTGAGACCATGGGTAAGTGTCGACCTCGTGTTGGAAGGTTTGATCTCGTACTTGCTGCCCACTTCGCCCATATCGGTATCCATGGGAACAATGTTATCGTCGTCCAACGGTGTCATCTTGTCGTCGTCTTCGTTGTGAAGGGAGGTGTACGTACGGAAGAAATCGTCGTCTGCCATGGTATCACCGGTCTTATCGGGAGAATTCAAGTTGGTGTGGCTATCTGCTGTGAACGCTGTAAACGGCGTCACATCAGAAGGCACAATAAACGACTGCCGGGACGAAAGATGGGTGGTGTTCGTGTATGACGATGGCAGGTGCACTTCACTCGGAGCATTATTATTATACGACTGCGTCAGCGGATTCTCGAAATATGTGTTGGACGAGAATCCCATTACTGGAGTGGAAACGTTGTGACGCATGGCGTTGGCTGCTGAAGGCACAGATCCACTGAGACTGTTAAGGTTTGGTTGGACAAACGGAGTGTTTCCTGTGGCTCCTGGAGTGGCTGCACTGTTGGGAGTGAATGGCTGAGGCGAGGTCATGGAGTAACCGTTCGGCGTGCCAACATACGAAGACTTTCTGTTGAGGTTGGTCACAGACGTTCTTCTGTTGAGCGAAGAGGCCTGGAACCCACGTTTCACCGTCGGCGTACCGGCTCCATTGTTAAACGAGCTGCTCATGGAAAGCAGGGACGGAATTCTGCGGTCAAACCCATCCAGCATCTCGTTGATATTGATATCGGACTTTTTCCGCTTAAACTGTGACGTCGTCGAGTATGGCGACGAAGGTTTGGAGAATTGAGAGTTGGCTTGAAGGTTCAACAGAGAGCCAACTGAATTGATATACGACCCGGGGACGGAACCTGCCGCTGAGCCCGGGGCCGAGCCTGTGTTGGAAGGTTTCGGCAAAATCAACACGTTCTTCGGCCTTTCGCCGGTATAAGAAGCGCCGTAGGAGCCTGCTGGCGCAATGTACAGCAGAGACTGGTTAATCGGTATTCCTTGGTCGTCTCTGTATCTTGCGAACTCCAGCGAAGACGGCGTTCTGTTGGGGAAGGAAGAAGCTGCCTGAACCGAGGAAGAAACGTTACGAGCCGAACTGGACGCTCTTCTAGAGCATCTTTTCTTGATAACATCTGTTTTGAGTGATAACGGACGCATCGTGCCGTGAAGCTTCAAAAATAACCCACAGGCGTTACACAAGGTATTCCCCGAGGGATCTTTACGCCAAAGGGGCGTTTTCATGGTATGACAATTCTGGCATTCCGTAGGTTTATCCTTATTCTCGTCCTTTGAGTCATCCTTGGCCTTTGCCGACTCCGAATCCGGCTCCGACGTGTCCTTCTCCTTTCTAAGCGACGAAGTCAAGTTCGAAACCGGACGAGCTTCTCTTTTCTGTGACGTAGGCGGCGTGGGCGCCGAAGCCTTGCCTGTTTGAATCTCTCGTGGAGGACTCTGGGAAGAGTACACTTGGACCGTCGAAACGCCCTCAGAAGGTTCCTTTTTGATTCCAGAGCCAGCCTTAAAGCTCAACGCATCGCTATCTCTGCTTCCATTGGTTGTAGACATTCTTCTCTTGCTTTCAACACTCAGTTCCTGGAAGTGCCTAGGAGGACTGCAGTCCATAGAAGACGGCGTGATTTCCGTCTGGGGCGGCGCCCGGTGGCTCTTGCCGTCCCTAGAGCTCGACCTAACGTGGTTACTCCTCAAATCGTCCACGGAAAGCGGCAGCAAAAGGTCCAAAACTCGAGAATCCACAGGCCCCTGGTTCTGCTGCCCCAGAAGATGAAAATGGCCCTGGTTTTGCCCTCCCGAGCTCCCCTGGCCCTCATTCTGCGCCAGAGAACCCTCCTTCCGCCACTGGCGGTTCTCCACCCTCGGTTTAAGCGCCAAAAGCTTCTTGGCCTGGCTGAAAAGCTCCAAAATCGTCGGGCCCTGGTCCAAACCGGCCCGGGCACGGGCATCGCTGGACAGGCTCTGCGGGCTGTCCATTAAGGGAAGTGTTTAACGGTGGTAGGGAGTTTTTTGGTGATTTTTAGATGAAAATGGACGTCTGGAACGGGGTAGTGATGGGGTACACCGATAATAAGGAAGTAGAAGGAATGTGGATTAAAAAAGGGATGATTTTCTGGGGTTCAAAAAAAGTGGGAAATCGTCTCCTTTTATACTTTTCAGGGGTGCCTTCTTCTTTGCTTATCGTTGTTTTATTGAATTTATTAAAAAATCCTGGGGGGAGGTATTTTGGCTTTAACTTTTTTTCCTTCACAAAATGTTATACTCATTTTTTTCCTCTATGACACCAAAAAATTAATATTTTTTTTTTTAGAGGTCCAATCCTGCATGAAAGCCCCCACATCCAGAAAAAAAAAATGTCCTTATTTCTCAAGGCTCCCCCACACCATCTCCAGTCCCCACGCTATGTACAAATGCTACTGAATAAGGGACGAGGAAGGTGGAGGGAAGGCGATGAAAGGGGGGACAATGGGCATCACATGACACGATCTCACGTGCACCCACGTGCTCTGGTAATCATCAAAAATGTTCGTACGTACATTTTCTGCGGTCCCCTTATGCTAGGCGCATTTGGACCCTTTATGCGGTATTTTGCAGCCACCCAAAAAGGCACCAAAAGAGCCAAGAATCAGCTCAAGTCTTGTATGGTCAGGTAGTCTTGAGTGATCTCAGGCCACTGCCTCCTCTTCACGTGGCTCTTCCTTATGGTGGTGGTTCTTCCTCCTCATACGGTCCCAGTACATCGTTGTGCTGTTGGACTCGGCGTGAAGTCTATATTCAAAAGACACACCAGCCACACGCTCAGTAGATCCCGTAGCCAACGTCTCCACGCAGTCAGAGCCTTGGAGAATCAAGTCACACTCACGGATAACACGCAAAATGGCGTCACACATGATCCGACGAGCCTGGAACGGCTGCAAAGGTTTCTTATCGTCGTCGTCGCCGCCACGACGACGTCCAAAGTGCAAGTTGGAGTTCCACAAACTCACAATGTCCTCGTCCCGGCGGATGCTCAATGCCAAACCGGAAATATCGCTCAAAAGCTGGTCTTGAATATGCTTCAGGTACTGTTTATCTGGAATAAGCGAGCCTGTCAAGGTACGAAGCACAAGACGTTCCCAGATCATCGACGTTCTTTGTCTGACTCTGGCGCTCATTTCTGGATCCTTATCGGAAGCGTTTCCAGGGTGGGAACGACGCCCAAAACGGAACACCCAGCGGCCTCCCTTGGCGTTGATTGGATCCTCCCACACCGGGTTGATGCCTGTTTTGAAAATAAGAAGCTGCGTGCTGTGGTGCAACTCAAACGCTCTTTTCGTCTGGCTCAAGCTGCCCCACAACTGTTCCACAGATGCAATGCTTTTGGTGGTGGAGCTGGGATCAGCCACGCTGATAAACTCAATCTCGTTGGTCGTTTGGAGGTACGAATCAACCGCAGCAGAAGCCGAAGAAGCTGCTGGTTCGGTGCCGGTAGCCTTTTGGGCAGCTGCAACAGCACTGTCAGTTTCACCCTCCTCTGGCTTGGTCACCTTCAGCCTCAGATGATGCCAAACAGTCCAACAGTACGGCAACACGTGGTGGTTCTCTGGGACCAAGGCCACGGCCGCCTGGGCCTCTTTAACAGGGTCTCTCTTGGGCAAGTCTATGCTGGCTAGCGCACTGTGGTCTTCTCTGTGGCCGTTGTCGTGGTTCCTATGTCCATTTCCATGGTTATGCAGATGATGATGATGGTGATGATGATGAGTGTGGTCTGAGTTTCTATTGGAGTTTGAGCCAGAGCTGTGTTGGTGGTTTCTGGACCGGTACAGCGAGCGATGGTTATTGTTATTGGTATTGCCACCAGCCGACGACGAAGGGCTGTTGTTCTGGTTGTTGTTTCTATGCGAGCCGCCCGTGTGGCCTTGGCCTTGGCTCTGGCCCTGGCCCTGGCTCTGCTTGGCCTCTCCCGGCTTGTTTTGGTTCATGATCCTGTTGAACAAGGATTCGGCTCTTTTCAAGTTTTCCGACATGACAGGACGACAAGGAAAGCAGATGGATATATAAGTGATGGGGTACAGCGGAGGGAGAAGAGCCTGGATAACGGGATAACGTTGGGTGGAGGCGTGGAAGGACGGAAGGAGGCGTTTGTAGATGGAGTTTGGAGTCTAAAAATTTTCAATGTACATGGTGGGACTGGAGGGGTCGTGCGAGGCACATAAGGGAAGACCCAGAGTCCCAGGGAAAGAACCCCCGGGAGGTGGTTTAGTGGATTTGGAGTGTTTTCTGGCTTTTAAGAGGCCCTTTTTTTATCTTCTTTCTTTGGAATCGTTTGGTTGGCGGGGGTTATTGGAAGATGCCTTCGCGGTGATGGCTGGTGATGGCTGGTGATGAGATACATAAAAGGTTCCTTGGTTTAAGGGTCGAAGAAAGAGGGGTAATTCAGGGGCTGGGGTATAAATAGAGGTGGATTTCCTGGTAATTTATTGGAAGAACTTTTTGTCTACGTGGCGTGGTGGATGTGTGGCCAGTGGCAGTCGTACCGTTTGCAGCCGTTTCGCAGCCATCGCTAAGCGAGATCCACGAAAGTACACAAAAGGGAAAAAGGGGAGGTGAAGGTAATGGAAAGGGGTGGTTTCTTAAGGTTATCTAAAGATGAACGTTGCTTGGTTGTTTTTTTCTGAACTCCCATTGGATGGCGTGGGTTGCAGAAGGAGATGAGCTGGAGAGGTAGCTTAAGCGAGGCACTTACTATACGAAGCAGATGTCAAGAACCATGCAGAGTGGATAGTTAGAGATGTTTGGGGAATGAGGGAATTGGGGAGTTTGGGGTTTTGGGTGGACTGGATGAATATTTGGAGGTTTCGGTGATGGATAAACTGGGGTTTCGGAAATGGAGGAGCATTGCCGAGTGGAACAATACGTCCGTGGAACAGACCAATGGTGTTGTTTCTAATGGAGGGGACTAAAAAGGGTTGGTTTTTCAGGTTGACGGGAGAAAAGTGTTGATTGTTTTGGACTTGCAGGTTCAAGTTAGGGAAAGTAAGTGTGGTTTAATTGACTGCACTGGTTATGATTAAGTGTACGCTTTGCTTCCTAAGCCATGTTCATGAGTGTCTCCAGATATAGTGTCAAAGTTGAAGTTACAGTAAAGGAATGTTCTCAGAGAGACTAGAGCCAAATGAGGGAGGAAGAGTGATGTTTTTCATTAACTTCTGGTATATACTTTTGGTGTTAACTGTCCAATTGTGCTCGTTCACTTCTTCCATTTAAACTAACCATTCCTTCTTTAAACGTTATTCCACATATCGAAAGACCAACTTACCACTTCAACTCAATGCCTTTAAACCTTAAAACCTAATGCCTTAAATTACTTTACCTTCCCATTTGTTGGCCAACCCACTTAAATGACATTCTTCTAGTCTTTCTCCCTCCCTCCCTCCTGTCCATCCACCCATCAAAGTCTAATTTGATTTTGTGTAATTACCTTGCAGATCAACAAAAGCCTAAACGTTCAACAATGCAAATCCATTCCAGCCAAACCTATAGAAACCTTTATCTTACAAGTACTCCCGGTCTGACCTTCCCTGGTTATGGCCCTCCTACACACAAGCTACACGCTTGACACATATTTACGATTATGCGCTTACTATACCATTTGCAGCCATTCCTCTACTGACGACCGTAGTAGTGCAAGTATCCACCCAAAGTCTTACATCCGTTGATGTAGTTGCTGACGTTCAACTTCTCGTTGATGGAGTGAGCGCCGTCGTCACCACGGCCCATAGGCAAGAGAAGAACCTGAGTACCCAACTCTTTCTCGAAAGTCAAGGTGATTGGAATGGAACCACCTTCTCTGGTGAAGTCTGGCTTGACGTTCCACACGTGCTCGGTGGCCTTGGAAGCGGCAGTGAAGGATTCGTTGAATGGGTCAGACTTCCAGTAGTCACCGTCGTGGATCAACTCAACCTTCAACTGGTTCTTGGAGTTGAGCTGCTTGAAGGCCTTGGTGACGTGAGCAAACACCAACAGGTCCAACTTGGCCAGCTCGATGTCTGGAACAGTACGGATAGAGAACTTACCAATAACCTTGGCTGGAATGACAGTCTTGGCACCAGCAGCAGAGAAAGCACCTTCAACACCGTGGATAGACAAGGATGGGTATCTCCATCTGTGCTTCAAGATATCCTTCTTGTCGTCGTACAAGGCAGTCTTGGAGCCAGAAGCAGCCTGCAATTCCTCAACAGAGAAGTCAATGTCGTCATACAAAGCGTCCTCCTCTGGAGTCAACTCAGCGACCATCTCGTCAATGCCAGGAACAAGAATCTTACCGTCAGAAGACACCAACAGCGACAAAACTTGCACCAAGTCGGTCATTGGCTCGGCAACCACACCTCCGAAAATACCAGAGTGCAAGTCAGCGCCAGGACCAGAAATGGCAACCTGGTAGTAGTTGCATCCTCTCAAACCATACGTCAAAACAGGCTTCAGGGTGCCCAACCAGTAGTTGTCAGAAATACACACAGCGTCCACGCCGTTAAAGTACTGCTTGGCCTCTCTAGCAATAAGATCCTCAAGTCCCAAAGAGCCAGACTCCTCCATACCTTCAAAGCACACCACCAAGTTCACAGGCAACTCCAAGCCCAAGGCATTGTGGGCCTCAATGACGTTCAACCAGCCCATCACCGGTCCCTTATCGTCCGTAGAGCCTCTGCCGTACAAGATATCGTTCTGCTCGTCGTGTCTCATCTCAAAAGGCTCCGAGGCCCAGCCGTCTTCCAAACCAGCAGGCTGAACGTCGTAATGGCCATACACAAGCACAGTCTTCTTCTTCTCGTCGTTACCGAAACGAGCCAACACAATTGGCGGCAAAAGCAAGTCTGGGTTCGACACTGGAGGTGGCTGTTTGCCCAAATCCTTAAGTTGGATATCGGTAAAGCCCAAAGTGGTGAGTTCATTGACAAGGAAAGCAGCCATTTCCACCACTTTTGGTCTGAGGCCCTCGTCTGAAGAAACAGAGGGGATGGCGATGGAACGTCTCAAACGGTCGATGAAGGCGGGCTTCAATTCGTCGATTTTGGCGAAAAGGGGCTCCAAGTCGAGTTTTTCAAACAGCATGTTGGGGAAGAAGTGTGGTTTGTTGAACAAGAATTTTCCATTTGGAGCCGTACGAATATGGGGTTGGTGTGTGCAGGACATGGGAAGGTCCACCGCCAGGTGGGCCTTTCCAAACGCCAACCTTTGGCTTTTCAGGAAGCCGGGGGCTCTATCATGGCTATATAAGCCACAAGAAAGGAATTGGTGCTTTTTCTGGGAGTTGTCAGTGTTTCTGGTGGATGGGTTGGTTGTGCTCGGCTAATAGCGGCCGTGCCGAGAGCCAGAGGTGGAAGAACAGGCAGAGTAGTAGATTTTGGGTATTAAAAAAAGGCTAAAAAGCTTCAATCTCAGCCAATCAGGACGCTCCAATTTCCAGCATTTTCCTTCATTCTTCTTCTCTTCATTCCTCTTGTCTTACTAAAGTGTGTGCGGCGATTGGATACGGCAGCTTAGAGCCAAGTATGGGGTAACCCAGAGCGACGAGACGAAGTTTAAAGTGTGGAATGCTAAAAAGGTGGTTTTTCTAAGGCCATTGAGGGTCGTTTGGGGTTCGGAATCTTGAAATTCCTCGGAGACTGGTTGTTTTTGGTGGGTGCAAATTACTGGACCTTTGGCTGCAAACGCGGTGTGGCTGCGCTGAACTCCGAAGTGGTTATGGAGAGTTGGATGGGAGGAAGTGGGAGGAATGGGAAGGTGTGGTGGTGAAGAGGAATTGAAGTGGAGGGATAACTGGTGGTGTTTTGGGGGGTTTCTTGGGGTGGAAGTTGGTGGAAGGTGGAAGTGATGGACCAGTGCTTAGTGAAAGATGAAAGGGAGAAATGACTGTGTATGTTAATTGGGGATGTATAGGAATTTTGGCTTTTTAATGGCTGGAGGAATGGGGAGTCGAATGCTATTGGTATTTTTAGAGGGCCGTTGGTATTGGGGTGAATTGGTATGAGTGTGGTTTGTTGGTTAAGGTGTATAGTATGGGGAAATGTGGACTTGAAGTGTCAGAGGAAACCCTTCGAGAGTATGTCTTTCAAAATGGTTTCGAGGAAGGATATTTTATATTGGGTGTGAAAGCACGTTGTTTTGTATTTTAGGGATAGTGGAAGGTTTCTGGGGAATTGGCGTGGAAAAGGGTTGACCTACAACTGAGGTTTGTAGAGGACCAGTGGAAGAGACCAGCACTTTTTTAGTGTATATTTCTCTACAACAACCTTAATACTAACATAGAGCCTGAAAACAATATTGGGAACATTTTCATAGGATTTTTGATAGAGTCTAAGTACCTTTGAAGGAAAATGGAAGTACATAATATCACCTACTTACCACCGCTGTAGCCATGCTGCTTAAAACCATACGTAAGGTAAGGATGCTTTCCTGGCTTTGTCCTTTTCCTTGTTTCAGCCAGCTACCACCTTCAGCGCCCACAATGTTTACGTCTTGTTCGGAAGTCACTCTAAATGCCCCCAGCTCTGCTCAGTTCCATCGTCCTTAACCACCTTCTTTCCTCCAACTACACCACATCTTTATTTATTATATTTTATTTTTATTTTTTATATATTTCTAATAGCCATTTGGCCATCTTGACGAGTGCTAAACTTAAGGGCACCGTCGCTTATGCAAAGGATCTAACACCCAGTCTTCAACTTGCTGGGGCATGCTCATCTTTCAGACACTGCAAATGGTCTGAAGACAACGGGAGCATCATATTTGGCACACTTCTTCAAAGCTGTCTTTCTCTTCCTTCTTAATTTAGCCTTGGAAGGCATAGGATGAGAACTCTTCGAGGCAATTGGTGATACCTCGTCTTTCAGAACTGAAGAAGCCACTGGGGCTTTAATACTAGTGGTCTTTTCCTTGGAAGCCTTGGGGGAATCGGCATCTGGAGACAGAGAAGCCACGGAATGAATGTTGGTTTCTGAAAGACAGGAAGACGAATTGGAGGAGGTTTCGTCCAGAGAAGGAGCAGCTTCCTTGATTTTGGTCCGTTCAAGAAGCTTTAGTTCTTTTTGATCAGGAACTTTGACAGTCCTGGGTGAATTAAAGCTGATGGAAGCTCCATGAAGTGTAACTGGAAGAGTTTCAGTTACTGGAGTGTGACAGGCCTTGACGGCTGTAGACACTTGAGGAGCATACTGGTGGTATGTCTGATGGTACTCGAGAAGCTTTGAAAGCTTATTGAAGTGGTGGTAGTACGAGAAAGTACTCACCTGTAAGTTGTTTGGAGGATCAACGACAACTTGTTCATCAGTAATAACTGGAAGGTGCTCAGAAGGTTCTTCAATTGGAGAAACGTGGGAAATGCCATTCTCTGGTTGTTCAACAGGAGAAGCAGACTTGTGAAAGTAATTCTTGAACTTCAGAAGGTACTTGCCAGGATGGAACCTTTTTTCAGACTGAGACTTGGTCTTTTGCTTCTTGGTTGCTGGCGGCTGTGAAAGAACAGAAGCCCAGGAAGCCTTGGAATCAGTGGAAGACTTGGAAGACTTAGGAGCATTGGGAGACTTAGGAGTCTCAGGAGACCTAGGAGACTTAGGAGGCTCAGAAACATTGGAAGACTTAGGAGTCTTAGAAGCCTTTGGAGACTTGGAAGCCTTGGAAGTCTTAGGAGCCTTGGAAGCATTAGAAGGCTTGGAGTTCTTGGAAGCTTTAGTGGCCTTGGAAGTCTTAGAAGTCTTAGTGGCTTTCTTAACTTCATCCTTTACACCATTGGAAGACAGTATCCACTGCTTGTAGTCGACCTTCATGTCCCAAGCAGAAACCTTGGGAGCCTTAGAAGGAACAGGTTCTTTTGGAACAGCCGGAATGGAAGCAAGAGCTTTTGAAGACTCAGACGACAAGGTTTTAATCTGGGAAGACTTATTGGTTTCAATAGAAACCTTAGTAGTGGAAGACTCCTCCCTTAACTTTGTTCTTGGAGCAGTAAATGGTTTACCAGGTAAAACGTAAGACTTCTCTGCATTTTGGGCCAGAAGCCCGTCGTCCTGATACTGGTCGTAAAAGGGTTGAAACTTGAGAAGCTTCTTGAAGTGGTGGTACAGACCAGGCTGCAAATTGGACTTATGGAGCTTACCAGAAGCCTCGATCTTTTGGACTGATGGAACAGCCATCTTCAGTGGAGTCTGAAGACCATTGACTGCCTTGTGAGCATAAAAGTGCTTCTTTGGAAGCTTACCATCATGGATAATAAGCTTTGGAGCTGGACGAGAGGGCTTGAAGGTCGAAAGGCGTTTTATTTGCTTCTTGGAGAAGGTATCTGACCATTTTGGAAGAGAACAAGCCTTTTTCTGTAAAATTGAAGCTTTCTTAACCTTCGTCAAAGCAGGAGAACAAGAAACAGGTTCCTTAAGAGCCAGAAGGTCGGTTCCAGAAGAGCTGGAAGCTGAGACAAGAGATACGTCGCTCACAACCGTCTCAGTGGATGTAGCGGGGGCAATATCAGTCGACGAAGCAGGTTTCGTAACAAGTTCAGCCATTTTGGCATCGACTTTCGACTGGAAAAGGGTTCTAGCTTGAGGACTAGAGGTTGATTGAAAGTAGTGGGTGAAGAACTTCTCAAGGTACTCGATATCCATGGGGATATCCAAAGTAGATTTTAAAGTTTGGAGGTTTTCGCTGTCCATTGAGTCAATGGGAAGCTGAAATGTGAATACTTGAACCATTGTTGATGATTTATATGAGTTTGTGTTGTAAAGTGTTGATAATTCTAATAGGCAAACTCTGAGAAGAAAGAAAAGTGGTAGAGAAAAAAGAAGAGAAAAAGTGGGAAGTGGGCGTCCTTAAATATTGCAATTTTGGCTCCAGGAAATAAAATAGGGAAAGTATAGCGCTGGGGAAAGCAGAGTGACCTGGTTATATGGTTGAGAAATACAAAAAGTTTGGGGAGCGATAACTTTACACAGAGAAGAGATGGAGATTTGGATTTTTGATATGTGCTTCTAAACTGTATTTTATCTTTATTTAGAGACCAATATTGCCAGTAGTAGCTCAATTGGGTGTACAGTTAGTGGGTGCAAAAAACTACAGCCAGTGAGGGCTCTCGGGTACAAAGACCAGAAAGGGCCAGATAGGGGCGCACACTTTCCGAGACGTAGCCGTCAATAGCCGGGAATAGAATGGTAGGCATGTAAGGGTTTTGATGAGTGCCTTTTTTTCAGTAGAGGTTGCTTTGTATGGGCGTTGGTTGAGCGTTGATAGTATGCGTTATGCCTAACGGCGCACAACGTGTAATATAGAGATATGCCGAATTTGAAAGGGTTCAAACTTAATTCATTGAATTTTTTTGACTGAATTGATTGAAATTTTGATTTCTCTGGGCTTTGGGCTCGTGGAGAGATGGTGTGTCTCAGGTTTGCCTGGTAAGGTCGATGAAAGGTGGTAGGAGAGGCAGGGCTAGTTTATTCAAGTAAGGCTGTTAGAAAATAAATCATAGCGTTGCGTATTATTTAGGGAAAGTCTAACGTTGATTTTTTGTTGATTTGGTGGTGTTCGTGGATGGGTGTAAGGGCATAACTCATACCAAGCTCTTCGAGCATTTATGAGGCAAGTGTAGGCAAGCTCTTACGTCCTGGTCTACTCGCTCATTATCATTTATTCAATTATACAAAATAGGGAAGTCTAATGGAAGATTTTGTCGGCCCATGGCGGGAAGGACAGAAACGTCAGCTTGCTCCATATGATGGTATAACACTTTAATAAGTATATGCTGTAGGCTGCCAACCTCAAGCCAGGTCTTCTGAGACACAAAAGACACTATATACTACATAAAATTATAGTAAAAAAACCATTACTTTCTCATCTTAATTACTGGTAGATCAACTGGCTGTCTGAGAACTTCACTACTGAAGACTCACCCAAAGGCACCACCATCCAGTGATCTACTACACCAATTGTAATATCAATAACCCCATTTCTTTTCGTTCTTCAATATCCTTCTTTCTAACTTACAAGCCACTTCCAAACTTTTCCAACGCTTTCCCTTACTTATACCAAGTGGACCCTCAACCAACCTTCCATCTCTCAAACACCATACCGTTTACGACCTTCCTTGACTCCAAATCCTACAAAAATTCAACACACATAACCTCCATCTCTCTTCATCCTCCACTGCAACTTTCAACCCATTTCCTCCTCCCCATCCATAAATCCACCAAATTTCAAACGGTTATCCAGCCGCACATACATGTCTCGGCTGCGCTTCAGGTACTTCTAAGAACATCCCATGTAACTCTTTCCACAGACGGAATTTGAAATTTCCAAAACCTGATCTGAAGTCCTGAAACCTCCAGCTTTCTAACCATGCCCATAAATCTCCAATCCCTTCTCCCATCAACAATATACATAGGGACTTCTGAAACCTGGGGTAGATCAGGAACACGGCCCGTGCTCGTAACACCCTCGAGACCAGGGCCCTTCACGAGTATATAAACCCCTACAATTCCCACTTTCTGGCTGATTTCTTCATTTTTTTATACATCCATATTCAACCTTATCCTCTTGTTGTCTGTCGCCATGGCCCCACTTCTTGCCATACTTCAAAAGAAAGGCTTTCGGCCATCGCTTTTGCTCCTAGAATACACTGCCAATGGAGAAACGTGGATTCGAGTAACCAGTTTCCAAGCTGGGGTAGAAGTTATACGAGAAATAACACTCCAGCCAGGGGAATCGGTGGTTGGCCGAATTTCGCTCGAGCTCAGGAAATCCAACGTCACTGTCTCTCCCGGCTTGGGATTTGAAGCTCCAGCGTTCTTTACGGTTCCCAGCCCCAACAAAGCTAAGCTTCGAGATATCACGGGCTTGAAGCCTCTGGATGGGTTGATCGTCGGAATAAGGGATGTCACCTCCAGTGGGTGGAGTATTGCCGAGAGGTTGTGGATGGCAAGGTGGTGGATCCACTGGTTGCTCCAATTGTTCTATGGGTTGATTGTTTTGATGTGTTTATCATGGGAACAGGATTGGATTGGCTGGGCGAGATTCTTGGTGGTTGTGGTATTGGCCTGGCCTGTGGCAGGTATTTGGAAGGTGTTTGCAGACTTCAGGCCCAAGTTACGGGTTGGGAGAGGTCGTCGTAGGGGTGTTCGTCATCGCTTGGCGCCCTTGCACGGGTTATTTTGGAGGGTTTTTCTTCCCCTTCATCGGCTTGTCTGTGTGGTCTGAGGTGGTCGGTGGTTGTGCGGTTGGTGGTTGGTTGGTTTCTTATTTATTGTGTCTTTGGTACCACAAGTTTCCTTTATTTCGTCAGTTATTTTTTTGGTCTTCGGTTAATATATTTAGAGTTAATAGAATGAAACAGGAAGAGTATTTTAGTTGATGTGGTTGTTTGAAAACATTATTTGGTGGTGGTTTGGAGGGCATTGGTGGCATTCAGGTAAGGGAAGTGGAATTGTGATAAGGTCGCTTCTTAAGGCAAGACACGCTTAGCCTGCTGGTTGGAATTGACCAAGGGTACTAATAAGTTGAACTTCATTTACTTTTACTACTTCTATGGATGCTTACGGAGGTAGTTCTACGAGAGAGTTTATCACTCTTCATGCCATGTATTCAAGACAGAACTTGGAGTGACACTAGCCAGATCAACATGGAAAGAAAGGGAAGCCCACGTACCTTTATTTCTGAGTTTTTCTTGATGAATCTTTAATACTCATTATAAGGATTGAGTATGTTCAATGTCTTCAGTCACTGTCTGTGTTCACCAATGACCAGGTCCAACAAAGACACTAGTAGATTGAATTCCCAGTGATCCCCAAGTAACATTAACAACAACCACTTTAATAGATAAACCTCCAAAACAGTATTCTATCTTTCCTGACCTTTCTACCATAGTCCATTGACTGCACCATATCACCAGTCACTGGATGCCTCTTACTCCCTCTATATTCCAATCTCCCATACCCAAGTCCACCAAAATCTCCAAAATTTGCAGATCCCCAAAACCCACCCTCTTAATAAGCCAAGTTAAATACCAGCCTTTTTCAACTTCCCTCAAAACCATCCAACTCGTTTCCTCCCTTCTACCTCTTCCTCTAGGACCTCCACATTCGCAGCCATTTTTCATCGCACCATACTTAACTACACCTTCACCAAACCCACTTAACCGTCCTGTCCCGTCCCCGCCCACGCCCCTGAAGAACTATAAAAGGAGCCGATTTCCTCCTACTTTCCTCAATCCAGCTTTTTTGAACCTCCACTTTCCCCGCATCAATTCATCTAATTCCCCTGCCCAGACACATGAGCGACAGTGACGAGATCCTGAGCGGGACGGACGATGACGATATCCTCAATGCCATCATGAAAGGGCTGGCAAAGCCGAGGAAACCGCCTACGCCTGCTCCAGCAACAACATCAACAGCCACGGCGGACTCTGACGACGAAGTCAGTATACCTACGGTGTTCTTGACCCAGGGCGCTAAGAACACTAGTTTGTTGAAGAAGGCAAACGAGATCAGCCAGCATATCAAGGAGGAACAGGAGAAGACGACAAGGCAGTTGGAGGAGCTTGGACGACTCAAGAGGGAGATTCTCGAGGAACTCAACGATAACGGCTCGGCATTGACATATACGTATAAGTCTGCAAACGACGTGATTGAAGAGTATATCCAGCATTACTATGCTAACCATTACTCGCTACGAGCACACCGGCACTTCTACTTCTTTGGAGATGTGTATAGGGTGGAATTGGGTGATGTTCTGGATGAAAAGGGGACGTTGATTGACCTGATGGGCTTGAGCATGGACGAGTCGCTCTTTCCGGCTTACAATAGGGCATTGGCTGGAAGGGGTGTTACTAAGGAAGATGTGGCTTTCTGGTGTATTGGAAAATGCCTAGATGAGACACTTCTCGAGGATTACCTACGCTTTTTGCAGCAGTATAAGCCTGAAGATGATGGTAAGCCGGTTATGGGGATTGAAGAGGCCCTAGAAAAGGTCAGCGGGACGAAACCAGCGTATAAGATGCCCCTTAAGATCAGACACTTTAACAATAACGTTCGTCTATCGATCCTTCGAGCTTCAATGCTTTTCCTCGCATATTCACCGTCCACAGACAGAGTTCCATATATTCTCTGCTTCTTCCTTGCATCCTCCGACTTCTACGCCAATAAGCATTGCAGAGACTCACTCATAGAGTTCCTTATGAAGCCTACTTTCTCGAAGATAGCAGCGGAAGACTCATCAAAGGCTATTTACGATACCTTCCTTGCATTGAAGCCCCATTACTACGGCAAAGAACCAGATGAAAACTACCAAAAACATTACGAGCTTATTTTTAATTTCTTGAGCAACCTCCATTCAGCATTCAAGCACACCCTGGGCCTGGAAAATGCCACTTTGGTGCTGCTTCTGAGAAGTTTCCTTCTTGACGACTTCCACCCCTCCACTTCCCCCTTTTCCATTGATGAAATCACCAGTATCCTCAACGACTCCCTCCCACGGCTGCCCACGACGGTCGCCCAGCATTCAACCTTGGCTAACCCCATCTACAAATACGTCTTCAAGACCAGAATCTGTACGCGGCTTCTCACCGAGATGCTCTATTCAGACCTCGACAAAAAGCCATTCTTGACCCTCCACATCCAACTCCAGTCCCTCAAAGACCGTCTCCAGCAAGATATGAGCCACTGGCTTTTCCTTAGCAATGACATTCCATACAAAGCAGATGTCTCAGCTGGACTAAGTGAGGCATACCATGCATTAGACCATTTCAGCACGGTTTTAAATAAAAACCTCCTGCTCATACAAAAAGACATATTCTACGAGGACCCATAATTCCCCACGAAAAGCGCAATCTATTATGATTTTGTGGAACTTTGATAACACTTCTTGTTGGGGTTTGGTTGCAAAATACAGACCCCACGTGGTGCACGGGTGTGGCCCATCCATCCCGGCTATTACTTCTTCAAATGTACCGATAAGAGTCACACTCTCCAACTACTACTTTCTTTCCTGATAATTATTATGACAACCTCCAGCGAAAGACCACTTGTTTACGAGAACCCGGAAATCGATAACCCAGACACTCCAGGCTCCACGGTCACTTTAAAGTATGGCCATGGGCCTTTGCCTGAGCAATTGAAGAACAAGAAGATATTCTTCTTTGATATCGACAATTGTCTTTATGAAAGGTCGACAAAGATCCACGATATGATGCAGGTGAAGATCCACAACTACTTTAAGAAGAATTTGCAGTTGAATGACGACGAAGCACACCAATTGCACATGAACTACTATAAGACGTATGGATTGGCGCTTGAAGGGTTGGTGAGAAACCACCAAGTGGACGCCTTGGAGTATAACTCTCAGGTTGACGATTCGCTTGATTTGAAGTCGGTTTTATCGTTCAACCAGGAATTGCGTGATATGGTTATCCAGATCAAGGAATCCCATCACTATGACGTTTTGTGGCTTATCACCAACGCCTACAAGAACCACGCCTTGAGAGTTGTTTCTTTCCTTGGTCTTGGCGACCTTTTCGACGGTTTGACCTACTGTGACTACTCTGAGTGCCCAATTGTTTGCAAGCCCATGGACGAGTTCTTCTTCAGGTGTCTTGACACAGTGCAAGTGGACAAGAAGGACCCAGCCGCTTTGGGCCAGCTTTCGTTTGTTGACGACAGCGAAATCAACGTCAAGGCAGCATTCGATCTCGGCTTCGGCCACGTTTTCCACTACGTCGAAGTCGAGAAAGAGTACGAGCAGCTCAAGCAGAAAGACGACTACTCCAAGTACTACGAAGGGTCCAGAAAGATCACCATCCTTCGCAACATCCTCGAACTCCAAAAGTACGCCTGATGACATTATGACACTACTACTATGACATGCCAAAGACCTTTCTTCACCTCCAGCTCCATCTTCATCTGGAGTTCCCAGTGCGCATTATATAGAAACGGAATAAAATACACCATAGACAACCCGTTCTCTCCACCATGGCCAAAAAGAACATCGAATACACTGCCAGGGTCGTTTTTCTCCATGGATTCACCCAGCTGGCCCTGGCCTTCTACGCCAAAACCCTGGCGCTCCGGAAAAAACTCGCCCTGCTTAAACTTAAAGCTGTATACTTGAATGCTCCAATCCAGCTTACTCCAGCCCAACTTCCCACCACAGACTCTCTTTCACGGTTTGGAGCTGTTGGAGGCGACGACGACCTCGTGAAGTACCGGGCCTGGTGGATAAAAAACCCAGATAACACTTACGAGATCGATCTGGCGATAGAGAGTGTGAAGAAGTATATGGATGAGAATGCCATACTTAATGAAGAGCTGGGAGAGTACGAAAAACAGGATGAAGAGGATACGAAGCTTCCTATTAAGGGGCTTATCGGGTTCTCCCAAGGTGCTTGTTTTGCTGGGGCCATGGTGCACAAGTTCGAAGAGCTCTTTGGAGCACCTCTAGACTTTGCTGTGCTTTACTCTGGGTTCAGGATAGACACGTCGCTTATGCCTGAAATTAAAAAGTACTATACTGAAGATGATGGAGAGCTGACGAAGGCGAGGTTGTTGCATGTGGTGGGTGAATTAGATACGGTGGTTGGCGAAGATAGAGCGTATACGTTTTACGAGAGCAGCAAGAAGAACCTGGACTTGTTGAAGCATCCAGGAGGGCATTTTGTGCCTAATTCGAAGTTGCTCGTGGACCAGGTGGTGAACTGGATCCAGCAGGAAGAGAAGAAGGCAGAGGAGAAGAAGGACGACAGTGTGGATGACATTTTGGCCATGATGGATAAGGTTGGCGTGTGATATAGACAGGGGAGGTGATATATTTATTAATGCATGAACACTGGATCAGGGCTGGAGAGTGGGTCGCTAAAGCTCATCGTGCTCCACGACCTTTTCGCCTCTATACTTGGCGTAGTACTTTTTATCTTTCTTGGAGAGACCACCTTCAGTAGGTTTAATTCCTGTTTGTTCCTGGACCCAGGACTCCATTTCATGCTTATTCGTAAGCTTACCCTTGTTGAACCTCGAGAAGGTGCCCTTTTCAGAGTCCCAGTACAACAAAATAGGAAGCGTGTCGCCCTCCTGAATAGGAAGATCAACCTTCTTTCCACCCACAGTCACCGTAGCAGGTTCAGCGACGTTTGTCTTCAAATAGCCAAAACTCACTGTAGAAAGAAAGTCAATCGCCATGGTCTTATAAACCGGCGAAACGTTACTATTCTTCGACAAGAGCACCACACGAGGCCCCTCGCCTTCTAAGAACCCAGGAAGGTCCTTCAACCCGTGGACTCTCGTCACGTAGTTCTTAATTCTGCCAGAAACAAAGTCTGTCATTGCCTTAAGCGTTCTCTGGCCATTATACGGTTCAGGCACATGTTTCGACTTCAGCAGAGCTTTCCCTGGAGCATACTTAGGCGGACGGAACACCACCAACGTAGGAAACCCTTGCACTCTATAAGAAGCACACAAGGGCTTATTGGAGTCCTTATCACAGTTCACCGCCGCCACGTGAACGCCATATTTCCCATCCTTATGAAGAAACTTCCCGAGCTTATGCCAGATAGGCAGCAATTGCTTACAGTAGCCACACCACGGAGCGTAGAACTTGACGATAGACGTGTAGTTGGATCTGTGGACCACCTTATCGAAGTTCAGCGGTGTGAGTTCGTAGACGTTTGGATCGTTAGTGTATGAGTCGCCCAGTTCACGAGCTGCCACGAGGAGGCAGAGGAATGTGACTGTCAAGAGTCGAAGCCAGGTGGACATTGGGGGAGTAGGTGAGGTGGTGAAGTTTTCAGTAAACGCGAATACACTTAAGTGATGGTGGAGGTGGGAGGTGGAGGGACTGGCTTTTCTACTAGTGATTTTTGTTTGTATTAGGTGATAACTGGGGTTTGATTTACTTGATTTGTTGCTCTTTTTTCTTTTTGGTTGGGGTGCTCTTGTAGGATTATGGGAATGTGGATTGAATGGGGAAGGGTAGTATGGTGAGGTAGAAATGGTACTGGAGAATGTCAAAAATGGGTAAAAATGAAGGTATTTCATGGTTTAGTAGTTGCAATTGGGTGCTTTTGTTATGGTAAAATAGTTATTTGTCAAGAAATACATTGGTTTGGGGAAATAGCATATGCTTTATGTTGTCTCTATGGAACATGAATAGGTGGATAATAGGTACTTTACATTCACGATAAGCCTTTCTTTTTGGGTGGTTTATTTTTCTTCATGTTTTAAATAGTACCTGTAGTTCTTTTACTTGCTGCTTTGGGTGCTTTGGGCGAAAGTAGGTTGTGAATCACTTGACTATTAATGCTTAGTGGAGTTTTGGCCATAGAGGGACAGAAACACCATAAAAAGGGCTACAATTTTAGCACAGGCGGTAGGATGCTCTTTGGAAAATAATAGACGACTTTTACCGATTTTAGACAAGAATTGTAATTTTGGTGGAAGTTGGCAGTATTTGCTAATGGCTGCAAAGTCCAGAATATACTCGGTTTTGTAGGGTAAATAAGCACAAGATAAAAAATTGTCTTTTAAAGAAAAAAACAAGGATATTTATTCTTCTTAATCCAACTTTCAATAGTATACAAATGGACAGACTAGTGACTTCAGAGGTACATGACAGAGACTCACTATTTCCAGAAGCGATACCTCTCCAGAAAGCCTTACTTAAATACATACTATACCTAATACCTCCTGAAAGAATACCCAAATTTTCCCAATCGAAGCTGGCTGCTTGGAAGCCAATAGATACCAATAATCTCCTCCTGTCACAAGTCTTAGGAAGCTTACATTACTTACTCTCAACAAACTCTTCATCAAAGCACCACCCACTCTACCTACAACCTACACCTCGTATCAATTCCCTTTTATTACCCCTACTAAACCCTAAACCCTATGTAGCAGTGGCGGTGCTGTCCAACGGCTTCTTGCATCCCATACATTCCCCATTGACTTCTCTGACCAAAGACGCCTGGGAATAAAACATACGGTTTTTCTTTAAAACCGACATTGCCTGGACCATCAGCTCCTCGGGACTTCTCCTTGGAGTTACAGCCAGCACCGTGGAAAACACACAAACAGCGCCATCGCTCGTAAGTGTTTCCATTTTATGGCCCTGGTAAACGAGCCCTTTCCTTTCCACCTTCTTATAGAGATCCTCAGTAACGTCAGTTGGGTAAAACTTAAACCTGTCAAACGTTTCAATAGACCTGAACTTTTCAGTCTTCTGTTTTTCTTCTGGGTAAAGCAAACGGGTCAGTGGACTGGGACACTTGAACTCCAAACGAGCAATTTGGATTTCAAGGAAAACCTCCACTTCTCTGCTCCAAAGCGTATCCATACACTCAAGCTGAAGCATGATTTTAATTCCATAGCTTCTGATGCACTCGTTGGAGTAGGAAGTTGGCTCAACTAGTGGAAGCAAGCATTTAAAGAAATGATCAGGAATCACTGCTTCTGTAGGGTCATCAGCCTTTGGTATAACATCAATAGAACACCTCTTATCCAAAAGTGTAAGAAAGTTATGTTTGCAAACAGGCTTTTCAGGAAAGAACACTGTATCCTGTTTGAGGTTCCTAGTACACGTAAAGCGATGAAGTTCAACCCTGAAGCGTGCAATGTTAAGGCTTCTAATACCCTTGGGGTTCTCCAACTTCACCTTGATAAACTTAGACACTCTGGTTCGAGGAAGCACAATTCTGTTCTTCTGGTCGCTCTTGAACTTCTGTTGTCTAAAAGAAGCCCTCATGGTGATGTGCTGACTGTTATCAGGACAAAATCCGTAGACTCTTGTCTGTTGTGATACTCTCTTGCTGCCATAGAGAGCATGGCTCATGGGGAATAAAGCTTTGGTATAATTGAAGGTTTTTCCATTGGAAATAAATTCACAAGAAGCCTTTGACATTGAAAGCCCTCCGGGATGGCCTCTCAATACATACTCAAGTCTCTGTTTTGGCTTTTGGACATCTTTGACTTGTGCTCTTGTTTCATACAACCATACCTTGAGTCTTTCGGCTTTTTCTATTGGCCCAGCAAACCTGAACCGAACTTCAGTGACGGCACAAATATGGGTATCTGTTTCGAAGGTTTCGGTTGAGTGGCTGACATAGCTGGCTGCAAAATGTTCAATGGTTTTGTGGATGATGCTGGCAAGTTTTGTTGGATGGAAATCAGCTTTCTCGAATTGCTCGAGCATGACATAGCTCTCTACGTGGAAATCGTACATTTTGGTGATAAAGAGGGAAAAGGGAAGGCCTCAGGTTTATATAGACCAAAACGCCATGTAGAGCATTTGTGGACCGAAACAGGAAACCATAGTGATCTGTACCGCCTTTTCGCCGAATATTCTGGACTTACCTGAAATAGTAGCTGAGCTAATGAACGGACTAGCGTGGCCAAAAGATTAAGAAAAGGGAGTTGGTGGAATGGCTAATGGAGAGTCCAGTAGAAGAGGTTTTGGACCGTGAGACATCAACAGAAGCAAATAAGGTACAACGAGACAAGCCAACCGAGCCAGAGGTCTTCGTAGTAGAAATATAAAGAAGTAAACGCTGTTCAGCTTGCAGCTTCACAGCGTACAGCTTAACAGCTAAGCAGACTCACAGAGCGTTTATTATGCAATCAGATATACACACCAAAGAAGTTGGCAACAAAGACAGAGCCCAAGCCGATAGAGGCAGAGGCCACGGCAGCACTGGTAAAGTACTTAACAGGCGAGCTTCTGTTGAGGAAAGCCAACGCGAGCGAAATGAATGCTGGTTTGTTAGTATGGAGTTGGTGGATAAGGGTACGACATGGAAGGGAGAGGAAGTGACGTAGAACGCGTCGAAGAATGGCAGAAGGGGGGGTTCCCGGGATGATATAAATTCAGTAGAATGGATATTTCAGGAAGCCAAGGTCAATCGGTACAGTGTTCACTGATCAATACTGGACACTTGGACATGTTCAAAGACAGGTATATTAAAGAAAACCCGAGAATATTTGACATTTACCTGGCCCCAGCCATTCTTCATTTTTCTGTCTTCCTCTTATCATTCTCTTCGATTCTTCCATTTCTTTTACCATCAGTAGTTACGTACCTAGGAGCACAAGGGCGAAGGTGATGAAGGTCTGTTGTTGCTGGAGAGCAGAAGGGAAAATCTCCAGGGAGCCGAACTTAAAGAGCTCATCGAGCTCAGCGAAAACGACAAGGTTGTCGACGGTTCTCTTAAGGTCCATTGGTGGATTGGAGGTGGATTTGGGGTTTGGAGGAAAGGTACGTGGTTAGATAAAGCGAGTAGGCGGTGGGTGGAGGTTGACTGGTGCACGGGTGTGGAATAACCAAAGGCACAGTTATTTGGGGATTCCCAATGAATTTAAGGAATATTTTTATATATTTGGAATCAGGGGACTCAGCTCAGTATAAATTCCAACTTTCAGCACTTTTGGACCACATTTCCCTGAAATACACTGGCCCTCTTCTGCCTACTACGCACAACTATCAACACTTCGCAACAGCCTACTTACTCTTCCAATGTCGTGGGGCTGGAATACCATTGATTCCGATGCGGTACGTGTTTTTGCGTCCACGTGACACTCCTCAACCATATACTAACCCTTCCAGGGCGTTTTCACCGAATTGGTCGAGCGTTTGGGCGTCCAGAACGTCCAGTTTGACGAGCTCTACTCCATAGATAAGGAATCGCTTCTTGCCGTGGCGCCAGTGTACGCTGTGGTGTTTTTGTTCAAGTATAGTAAGCTTGACCGGGAGTATGCGGCGAAGAAACAGCCAATTGACGGTGAATACGATCCCGATTATGCTGAAAAGGGCATCTTTTTTGCCAATCAGACCATCCAGAATGCTTGTGCTACGCAGGCTGTGCTTAACTCGTTGCTTAACAAGCTTGACGATATTGAGATTGGGGAGGAGCTTCATAACTTGAGGTCGTTTATTGAAGGTTTCGATCCAGAAATGGCCGGGGAAACGTTATCCAACTCCGAGACGTTAAGGTCAGTTCATAATTCGTTTTCTGCTCCTAAGTTCATTGATAGTGACCAGTTGCCGCCGCCAGATATGGACGATAAGGACGACGGGCTTTTCCATTTCATTACTTACCTCAATATCAACAATACCATCTATGAGTTGGACGGGTTGAAGCAGTACCCTATCAAACACGAGACTTTGGATGCGCCAGACCATTTTTATGATGTTCTTCCCCGGGTGTTGCAAAGAAGAATCGATAAGTACCAGGGCGAGATCCGTTTCTCGTTGATTGCAATCACAAATAACAAGTTGGAGCAGTATAAGCTCTTGGGTGATGATATGAGTGTCCAGCAGGAACTCGTGAAGAGAGAAACGTGGAAACAGGAGAACAAGTTCCGTCGTCATGACTTCCCAAAGCTTACGGTGGCGCTTTTGAAGAATATCCTGAAGGGAATGAGCGATGAAGAGTGGGAACAGCTTCTAAACCTGGCGAGACTGAAATCGCTTGCACGTCAAAGCCAGCGGTTCCTCCAGTAAGTTGAGGGAAGTTTTTGATTCTCAGGAGTCATCTGAAGGTTGAACGAAAGGTTTAGCATTTGCATGTTGGTTGTTGTCTCTGGTATAAACAGAACAGTGTTCTGGAAAGTCAGGTTCCATACTCCATGCCCTGGCTTTTACAACCCAAGCCTACAGCGATCTATCGTATATATCAATGCAAATGCTATGTATTCAGTCTACTCCCAGTCGCTGAACAGGAGGAAACCACCGCCGCCACGGGAATGTCTGGAGAAATAGTCAAAATCAATACTGACAGCGTTACCCAACAAAACAGCACGCTGGTCAAGCGTCAATGGGCCCGCCACGCTAGGGTACATCAGGCCCATGCCTGCAAACGATGCTGGATCCATACGGACAATGTAGACACCGGTATCAGTGAAAAGCTCTCTTCCCAAACCGACCCAGTTTCTATCCACAGAACCAACCACGTCGCCATCCTTGTTGTACACTGGGAAATCAAAAGCAAGAAATCCAGAGTCAATTGCACCGTACTGTTCATATTCATCTGAGACGTCATCCTCAAGCTTAAACAAGTTGTATCTTCTACGCCACAAGTGCCATTTCTGAACGGATTCACCGATAATCTCGTGCATAAGGTTGCCGTTCTCGTCGTAGCCAGGCAAAAGAGCCTTGATATGCGAATTGATAAATGAAAAAGGTCTCTTAATCGTAAGGATCTTATCGCCATAATTGTTAAACACATCAAGCTCAAATGGACGGTGCAAACGGAAAAACTGTCTTCCCAACGCCTTCATGATTCCAAAATCCTTCTCCTCCATATACGCAATTTGTTCACCGTTGGAGTTCATGATCTTGTACCGGTTAGCCTGTTCAAAGCCAATAACAATGTTCATGAACTCGACCTGCCGCTCAATGACCAAAGTTGGCTCTTTCAAGATATCATAAATTCCGTCGTGCTCTGTAATGATGCCGTTTTCGTTAGGAGGAATATCGAAAACAGCTCTGAATTGAGTAGGGTCGTTCATGAAGCCTTCCTGGTTCAGCGATGGATTTTCATGGTAGTAAAACTGGTTCTGGCCATTTTCAAAGCCTTGTCTCTCCTTACGTGCTTTTTGGGCCTCATTGTACTTCCTGACCTCATCTGGACTGATTTCACGAGCTTGTCTGGTCTTCCCTTGGTACCGAACAAGAGCCGAGGAAGTTGTAGAAATGGGTCTTTGGAGGATGTTGGGTTTTAGAGGGCAATGCCTAACTTTGGGCAACGCACGACTCCATAAAGGTAGCATTTTAAGCATTGAATAGGTTGGCAATTGGGTGGAGGAGCAAAAGAAGGTAGTTGGCGATGGAGTTTCCAGAGGCAAGTGTTAGTTGGAGGGTGGTGTGTACTTGTGTGCAGTACAGACATAAATACTAGTACTACAGTTTGCAGCCATTCTTATAACTACTCTAAAGTCTATCGTTTATCAACTTTTTACGTAATGCAGACGGCACGTTCTGGGGCCAGCCAGATCGGCGGCCACGTGCTCTGTGAATAAATACCATACTTTAATCAAAAGCAGCGGGTTAAGGAGGGAGTGGTGGGGGGAATAAGGTCAGTTAGTAGATCAGTGGCTCTACTCAAGCTTCTTGTTGCTGCCAGGCAAAGCATTGCCAGACAAAACGCCCTTCATGAACTCGTAGACAGTGAAAGTGACAGCCTGACCTGGAGCAACTCTCATGATTCTTGGAGTGATACCCTTGTACAAGGCACCCACACCTTCTTCCTTGATCAACTGCTTACCGATCTTGGCGATTCTGACCCAGCCAGATTCGTTGGAGGCGTAGGTGGATTTCTGCAATCTGGTCTTGATGGTGTCCAAAGGAGCGTTGGAAAGAGGACCCAAGGCACCGGAGAACAAACCAATCAAAGAGGTTTCCCATGATGGAAGAACCTCCAAGTTCTGGTAGCCCTGGAGGTACTCCTTCAATTTCGAGTACACGGTAAAGTTAACACCCTGGTTGGATGCCTGTCTGGCAGCAGTCAAGGAAACACCTCTGTACAAAGTCGAGAAACCTTCTTCTCTGACAATAACGTAAGCAGCGTGGAGAGCGTTTCTGTACTTTGGCACGTCCAATGGGTCAGCCATAGAGTGGTGCTGAGCTTGCAATCTGATCTTGACAACCTCCATAGGGTTCACCACAAGCACAGCTTCGGTGGTACCGGCACCCACACCAGCAAGGAAAGTGTTACCGGTGGAAATCTTACCCTCGTTGTCCTTCAAGAGAGATCTGTAGAACTCGTACGACTGGAAACGAATACCCATCTTAGGCACAATACCAAGCACCACAGCTCCAAGACCTTTATAAAGCGACATGAACGTTTCCTTCTGGACAATGTTGATACCAGTTCTAAGGAACCCAGGTGGCTTCTGGCCAGACTTTCTGTACAACTGCATTCTCACCTTGACGGTGTCCAATGGATGACAACATAACGCTTCAAACAAACCAGCGACACCGCCGGCAACGAGATCGGTGACGGAACCTCCTTTCTTTTGAGTAGACATTACTGGAGATGGATATAAAGCAAAAGGTGAAAAAAGATGGAAAACCCGTTTTCCAGTGGGACCTCTGTTCCTTATATACCCCACAAAAACCGCTCTGTATTTTTCATAGTCAGATTTGTTCCTTTTCCCCGAGGTCCCGCACCGGGAGGGTGCTCCAGGGTGGAAACACGTCCCTCCCGGAAGAACACTTCCGCCAGGGGCTAGACCCCGCTCGGGGTATAAAAGGCGGCCGATTTCCACTTTTTCTCTTTTTTTACGATTATTTTACCTCCCTATCAGCCATAGCTTTCTGCCTGTTCATTCACTGGCTTGTGTTTTCCGGGGTACAGGCGACATCCGCGGGACCGGGCGGCTGTTTTTTGAGTCGCAATCGAGTCATTTTCCGGGGCATATAAGACAACCACAGGGAAATGGGCTTGTGTGCAGTACGCAATAAAAAACCCAGCTTTCTTCTTTATTGAACGTTCATGTTCGCGTCCGATGGAGGAGGTGTTTTTATTGGATGATATGGAGGAACAACAAACGGCTCGGCGTTTTTAGACGTGAGTTGGCACACGATCAATGGGTCGGTTTTTGGTGCTGATAAGTGGTGGTGGTATGTGCAGGAGGGTGGAAATTGAAACGTTTGAAGTGTCATAGTTAAGGAAATTTAGGTTATGGCAGGTAGATTTTGGGAGTCGGTTAGGGGCCTGGAAAGGTCTTTTAGAGACGGTGGTGGTGTTGGAGCGTGGATTTGGTGAGTGTGGCTCGTTAAGTATGGGGAAACTGGGGATCGCGATATCTCGGGAACCAGCGTAGATATGAAAATTTCGAGACCACCACTAAACTCGGAAAGTCTTATTCACCCTACTCATACCCTCCAATGGCTTCAATTACACCAAAATTGGGGTTTTGGCGGAGGGTTGAATGGCCTGGGGTAAGCTGGTGTACGGGTCTTTTCTGGAAAAAAGTGTCGGTCCACCGCTCGGCAAAATGGGTTTATCCGAGGACAAACATGCCCGAGCCGCTTATTTGCAGCCATTACGTGGGAAATTGTGGAAAAAAGAGGAAGTGGTTAGAGGAGGAAGATTACTGTAAGGGTTGAAGGTTTAAAATTTGGGCATTGAGGGGAAGCGGTGGTTTATTGGATACGGTCGTTTTTGGTGTCTCAGGATGTGAAAAATGGCAAAAGTAGAGATTCTCTGTTTTCTTCGTTTTTGGACAAACTTTGGTTTTCTTGGATTTCAAAAGCCCTGGAATCATCTCAATGACGTAGTGCTTCATTTTGGCTGCAAATTCTTCGGATGTAAGCAACCGAAAAGGCAAACCGAGAAGATATGGTGATTTTCGAACCAGACAATGGACACTGGAACGAACAAAGAGATGGAAAGTGCCTTCTTCTCGGACTTGGCGGGTTGAAAGTTTCCGTTCTGTTCAATTCAAGGTTATTTCTTTAAAAAGAGACTTCGCTTTCCAGTGGCATACGTCAAAACCTTGTTTAAGGTTGGCCACTGTCAAACGGATAAACCTTGGATTGGTCGGTTCCTTTTCTTCCTTTTTTTTTTTTTTCTGTTTCTTGATCTCTTCAGATTTGTTTCTTTTGGCTGCTTTTCGTTGATCTTTGGCGGTTCATGATATCCACAGTGGTAGGCTTCTCATGGAAACCTGACTGTTTTCCACCATCAGCAACAGAAACGCTTCCAATGGCTGATCAACTTCGATCAAACAATGTCGCTGATGATTTAAGACCTTTTGGTCAGCCCCAGGGATCACCAGAGGCGCTGCTTCTTTCTGTAGGAAGGGAAATGGCAGGAATCACAGGGAGATGCTTTAACTTGCAGATTTGGAGTAAACAGCAAAGGAAAGTCGAGGAAAAGTAGCTGGAAAAGGTGGAGGACAAAGCTGAGCAATGGCAACCTTCAACTGGAAGGCTGTGTTTGGTTGTATCCTTGGAAATGGCATTGGAGGAGCAGAACTGGGAAATATGATACTAAACGGAATACCCATAGTATTATGTCTTCCAGAAGCCATTGAGTTTTGAGGAGCAGCATAGACATTAATTGAGAGCCACTTAGTATATTGAAGTCCATTGGAACCAGATTTGTCAACTTGGACAGCCCATTCTTCAACTTCACTTTTCTCAATACTCACCAACGACAATGCCCCACATCCACTCAAAGCAGCCAAGCAACGACAGTCAAACTTCACCACCAGAAAGCTCAAAATCTCCTCTTTCATCTAATCTCCATTCCAGCCCTTCATTCCATGCATAGCCCTTCCTGACCTTCCCCAACACAAACAGCCAAATCCACCAACTGACACTTTCCACTTCCACCAACGCCGTCCCAACTCCCCATCTACCCTACATCAATCGCAAACCTTATTTCCATTAACCTAGCATATTTGTTCAATCCATTGAGTCGGTTTCCCGCCGTGCTGCCAGACCTCCTCCAAGTAAACCTCTAAAAACAGAATGGCATCATGAAGACATGTCTGTAGCATCGGCTCCATCCTCAGAACCTCACTTTCAATCGTACTGGCCCATCTGTAATGGTAAATGAGATGGCTGATAGCTTCTTGCAACACGTCCATCTCGATCTTGCCAATACCTCTTTGCCATGCCACAACGGCAAGAGTACTATAGTTAGTAGAAGCTTTGGATAAAGAATTGGTCAGTCATACGGCTTGTGTAGCTCAAAGCATCCATGGAAGTGTCTTTGCAAAGCAAGAAGCTGGCTCACTTGTGGAGAATCAGTAGACAAGTCCATTAAGAGAGTGTCTTCGTCCCAATACTCTAGAGAGTAGATACGCAGAGCGCCTTTGAGAAACAGCTTCAAGTAATGCATCGTAACGGAGGGAGGAATTGAGCTATTAGAAAGTGTTTTTAAAGATAAAAGTGGGTGCAAAATGTGCTTGTGTCCCCATGGTAAGGTGCTCGCGCACAACGCACTTAATCTATGGAACGTCAATCAGCCTTAGGCCTTTTCAGACACTGGAGGCTCGGCGGGGGCGCCGGCGTCGGCCGTGGTATCGTCAAGAGCACCAGAACCGGTATTGTTCTTATCGGCCTTCTTCAACTCGTACAAACGCTTGGCCTCACGGTGCACATCCTGAACCTCCTTCGAGATCTGCTTATAGAACTCGTGCACTTTAGCGCCAAAGGGGTGGGACGAAGCCTTGTCAAAGTAGTATTGCAACTTCTGCTGGTACGACAGACCCTGGAACGACAGGTGGAGAGTGTTGAACTGCTCCTGGGCCTTGTTGAGACCTCTGTTGGCATGCGAGCCAGGCTCCTGGCTTCCCACGTACTTCTGGTCCAAATCAGTCAAGAAAGACTTGAACTTGGTAGTGTAGCCCTTTTCATTGTCAAATTTCACAGCCCTGTTGATCAAATCGTCCGACAACAGGTACCCCAGGGCCAAAAGCTGCGCCAAAATCGCCAGCTTGGGCTTCTCCTCCTGCAGAATATCGTCGTAGTCGCTATCGCCAGTAATTGTAGCCGCATCAGCCTTCTCCAGCGACAGAGACTGGATCTTATGGTCGCCAGCACCCTCCTGCTTATCAGGCAAATCGTCATACGAAGGAAGACTCTCCTCCTTCACCACAATGGGCACAGAATCCAATTCTGCATCGTTCAAAAGCAACGCCGTCGAAAGCGCCTTCTCCAGCTCAAAATTCACCCTATACTTGTTGTACCCATTTTCATCAGCGCCTAGCTCATCCACCAGCCTGATAACGCCACAAAAGGCGAAAAACTCCTTCAATTTGGGTGCTGCCACCGACTTGGACACGTGAGAAACAGTGACTGAAGACATGATACTAAAAAGAAAATCAAATATCCAAAAAATGGAATGTGGCGTTTCACCTGGAATCAGCCGTCCTTTTATATGTGGGGGAGGGGAGGGCCCTTATGGAAGTGCGGCGTGACGGCGGCAGAAGGAAAATCAGTGCATTGGGTAAATGTACTGTGGTGTACGGGTGTATTGGGGCAGCTGGGGGCTGAAATTTCCTTCTCTAAGCATGGGCAAGTGTTGGGGAAAAGCCCAATTCGGCAGCAGATCGAAGGTGGGAGGAATGTGATGACAGAGGGGGGCAGCAACGAAGGAAATGGAGGGATCTGATTGGCTGGAAAGTGGTGGCAAATGCAGGTCGCTTTTTGTTCTTTGGTCTTTTTTGGTTTCTCTCTTACAGCCTCTTTTTCGCAGCCAATCTATGACCGTGATAATGTGGATAAGGCTAAAAGTTATGGCAAAACAACCAATGGAATGGCAAATTTAAATTCCGTTCCTTCATTGTCGACCTTGTAAGTTTGGATATAGTCGGCATACAGTTTCATGGAATCGTCGCTGGACTCAGGTTTGGCGAATTCGTTGAGGAGAAACTTGCACACGAAGAAGTACCGAAGGTCCATGAATTTTGATGATTGGAATTGCTGGGAAATGTGGCGGGGGAGGTTGATGATGCTTGAAACGTGGAGGTTATCGGCAGTGTCGTCCCAGTTGGCGGCGAGAGCTGTAGCGAATAAGTTTTGTTTCACTGTAGGCGTGACTTTGTAGGTGTTGACGAATTGTTTCTTTTCTTCAAGATTAAAGATCTCGTGGGCTTCAACGTGGGCGTGGAAGCCTACTATCCGTGCGCCGTCGTCGTTCTGGCGGTCAATGTCAAGAAAGAAGTGCACTTCGTCGCCCACATGGTAAAACGGTTTGGACATGGTAAGTGTACAAAGACCAATGCTGTTGACTCTAATTTGGTAGCTGACCCTTAGTTTAGCTGGCAACTGCGATATAAGACCTTTGTATTCGGTCAACGACTTCGAAACAGAGCTTTTGCGTCGTTCGTTTGCTGCCACAACTTGTACATCGCTTTCTATAAGTGTATCGATATCACGAAGCAATTTCTCCTTGGAGCCCTTTGGCTGAGGCTGTGAAAGCACGTTCTCGTCCCGCAATTCGGCCTTCCACGCCTTATCAACAAACGGTTCTTGTAAGTAGTCATGCTGGAGCCATTCTCTATCCCAGCCTTTTTTGCCCAGACGAAACTCGAACGGGAAGTAGATGTTTCTGGGACTCAATTGGCCGTTCGACTCCTCGGACGCTCCTACAACAAGTGAGTACCCAATGGAAACGAGTCCTGCGTCGCCTGCTGCTCCAGTCAGCTTGGTGTTGTAAGAAGGAGGAAGGTTATTTGGCGGTTTTTGCACTTTGAGAATATACTTTTCCAGCTCGCCATGCTTGACCTTGCTGCTTGAAAACAAAAGCAGCTGTGCTGTCACATAAAAAGGCACAATGCTATGGCCAACTTCCTTTGCCAAATCGTCAGCATGGTTTTCAGCATTTTCTGGAACTCCCGTCAACGTATTAAACGGGTAAACAAGATCATGAACCAAATACTGAGCCCTGGCATCGTAACTATGCAAATTGAGGTCACTCACACCGCCAGTTCGATTCTTAGCAGCCTCTTCGCCAGCATTGGCCTTAAGAAACGGTGTTTTCTTGATTGTCTCGATCTGAAGCTCCAAATCGTCGTTTCCGTAAAGCTCCAAGTACTCTGGATTCTTCCAGTACGGGTTATTAGCAGCGTTTGCAGACCCATCGCTGCCTATAAGTCCATTCAACCGAATGTATCCAATAAGCTGGATATAGCCTAGTAGAAGCAGTGTTTCTTTAGGAGAATCCACCAAATGTGTCTTTTCCAGGGAGAAGAAGCCCAGGAGCCAGCCAGAGTCACGTTTTTCGTCTTCCTTGGTTCCATTGGATGCAGTTCCATTGGCAGTTGGTTCTTCTTGGGTACTGGAAAACTCAATGTGGCATTCGAAGAAATCGGGTTCTTGAGGCAAGTCTTTATATGTGACAGCCACGTGGTACCCATTGAGAGCATCTTTAGATAGACGAGACCCTAGGGGCGAAATTGAGGGCATTTTGGGGAGTTTGGGTGGGTTTTATGGAGTAGTGATAAATCAAGGTGTTGATATCTCGAGGGAGTATGTGCAGACCATTCTGGGGAAATGGATAGAGAGGGTAAGGATGTACAGAAAAATGGTATTTATTTGAATGTTTAGTGACTCTAGTGGAATGTAACGGGTGGTAAAGGACTAGAAGTTGACTTAGTCTTTGTTGGTTTGGTGACAGAGCCCGGAAGCATGAAGAACAGGGACAACGAGATAGACGAACAAACGCAGGGTCCCTTGCCACTAGTTGGATTAAAATGCTTCAGTGATGGATGTTGGATGGGAAAGTGTTTGTCAGAGCCAGCGGGAGGTTAGCGTTCGGAAGACACGTAAGCTTTGTTCGAAAGACACAGATGGGGCATCAGCCTCAACGGTTGTCTGCAATTAACAACATCAAGCTCGAGAGCCAAAACCAAAGGGCTTCAGTTTAACCTTTTCAGACCCTCTGGTTCTGTGAACGCTGCTCTGTTCATCTTGTTCCTTTAGGGGTACCTTTACGTCTGCTGTGGCTGCTCCTGTTTCTGGTCGTCCAGAGCAAGCTGGCCCTCCTTCACCAAGGCCGGTTCGCCCTGCATCAAATTGGCCTGTGCCTGGGCCACATCGCCCAGCAAAGATGGATCCTGGCCAGCTCCGCTCATCTGGTGGAAGTCCAAGATCTCAGAGTACATCATCACGCGCCAAGTGTCCACAGGCAAGTCAGCATCGTTGAAACTCCAGTCGAACTTGGTTTCACAGGCTGGCTCATCGGTAGGGTCGTGGTATGGCTCCATGTACTGGTGGGTCAAGGCATCAGCAGCGGAAATACGCTTCTTGGGGTCGAAAATAAGCATCTTGGAAAGCAAATCGATCGCCTCGGGCTCCACGTGAGTGCACTGGCCAAAACGTTCACTAAATGGAATAGGTTCTCTGCGAGGCAAAGACTGGACGAAACGCAAGGTGTTTTCCGAGCAAATGGTCTCAATGACATCAGGTGGAGGCAGGCCCAAGAGCTCCGTGATGATGGAAAACTGGTGGACGTGGTCTCTTCCCGGGAAAAGCGGCTTGCCCTCGATCATCTCGGCCAAAATACAGCCCACAGACCAGATATCCACCTCAGTATCGTACTTTTGCCACGTCAACATGATTTCTGGGGCACGGTAGTACCGCGTAGACACGTAACCCGTCATTTGCGGGTCCTGAACTCTAGCCAAACCAAAGTCACAGATTTTTAGGTCACAGTTCTCGTTGATAAGAATATTGGACGGCTTCAAGTCTCTGTGGATGACGCCAGCCAGGTGCACGTACTTGAGACCACGCAAGATCTGGTAGGTGAAGTACTGAATAAACTGTTTCTCCAACGGACGAGACGTCAACAAACGGTGGAGATCCGTGCCCTGGAGCTCGGTGACAAAGTAAATGTCCTCCAAAGGCGACAAGAAGATATCCTCAAGGGTGATCAAGTTCTCGTGGCGCAAGTGCTTAAGCAACTTCAACTCACGGTAGGTTCTCTTGGCAAGCACCGAAGTGGAAAACGGTTTCATGATCTTCTTCACCGCCACGTTCTGCCCAGTAAGCTTGTCGACCGCCAGGCAAACAAGGCCAAAAGCACCCATACCAACCGGATTAAGGTCGGTGTAACGGGACGTGATTTCGAACACAGTGCCGAAGATCTGCGTACGGGTGAATTCTCCAGAGGCGCTCATGGGGAGGGGGGACGTAAGATGTAGGGAAAAGTAAGGGGATGTAATGGAAAAGAAGAAAAGTGTTGATGGTTGGAATATTTGGGATTTTCGCGCACCAGCCGTAAAGGCTGTGGAGGAAGGAAGAAGGTGAAGAGAAGAGGACAAAGAAAGGGGGGGGAAGGGGGTGTCTCGGGGTATATAAAGGGAAGGAAATCCGCTTGTTTTTGAGAGGGAAGTTTTTTTGAAAAGGCAGCTTTGGGGGCTGGGAAGGGGTGGATGATGGGTGATGGACTGGTGGTTGTTCAGGCGGGCCCTGGTTTAGCCTGCGTTGCAGCGGCAGTGTTGCTGAGACACAGTAACCAAGTGGAGGAGGAAGAAGTGGAGGGAAGTGAAGGAAAGGGAAGAGAGAATGGGGAGTAGAGAAAGACGTGGATTTCACTGGTATTTATAGTTTTTGGTTTGGGAGGTTTAGGTTGGTGGGGTTAGTTAGGCTGGTTACTCCTTCCTGGTTTGAGATCTATGAATAGAAGTATGTGGGTGGAAGGCGTTGGTGGCGAGAAGTTGGTTGTGGGAAGTGGTGGGGGTGGTTGATGATGGTGGATTGGAAGAGCTGGTTTGGTTATTTTGGCTCTGGCTGGGCTGGAAAGGTGAGTTGCTGGTGGTTTACTGTTTGAAGAGGTGCATCGCTCGTGATGCACCCAGAAGGTAAGACACGGCTGGAACTATGATGTCTTAGAAGAGGAGGTTATTACAGTGGCCTTAAAAGCAGCCTAAATGGATTTCCGTGACTTTTTATTGGTTTTGATGGACAAAACTGGGCCTCTTTGTCCTTATCTACCTGCTTCTGGTCTTCCAAGCCACGGGCCGGATCTGACTGGGGCTCGTAACAAACCCGCCCCACGATGACTCTCTCGGGTTCTTAACCTCCGAGGGGTGGTTGAGGGTTGTGGTGAAGCTTTTTGGAGTTGGTGTTGGTGGCTGGGTTGGAAGAAATGGAGGGCTTCGAATGGAATGTCTCAGAGTGGAACATCACAAGAAGTGACATCAAAGGGCACTTTTAAAGACAAATCTGAATACCCAGATAACGTCAAAATAGGCTATCTCAATTGAACTGGCAATTCAGAATACTAACTGAATGCTATAGTGCTGTTACTGACGCTCTCCAGACTTCCCAGCCAAAGAACATACCAAGACCCTGAATATCAGCCACATCTCCCAAATCCATCATCTAACGACCCTTTCCCTTCAAATCACTTCTTCTACAACTCACACCCCTCTCTCTACACCCTGCTACCGTAAATCGTCTATTCTTTAAATGCAAATGCTAGCGAAGCTCCATCAACCGCTTCATGTGTTTTTCGTGGCCCAACTCGGCAGGCTCCTCCAGTGCCTTCTGCTTGTGAAGATCAAACAACGGCCAGAACTTCAAGTTCTCGTCGCCTGCCACTGTTGCCAATGTGGTCCCGTCTGGACTCATGCACCCACTGAGCACTCTAGAATCGTGTGCCAGCGTAATCTCTCCAGTTTTCTGGAGGGTAGGGTAGTTGAAAAGGGAAATGCTATTCAGAGGGTAACCGTGTGTGGCCACCACTTCATAGCCTGTTTTGCTTTCGTAGCCCCAGTTGAGTGAAGATATCTGGGACTCGGTTTCAATCAGGTTGACTCTGGCGCCTGTGGATGTGTTCCAGAAATGGATGGTTTTGTCTGATGTGCCGCCGCCGGTGGCTAGAAGCGAGTTTTGAAACGGACACCACGCCATGGCCTTTACGGCAGCTCTGTGGTTGGTTTTCTTGAAAATAGGCTCCAGGGTCAGCCTGGCGTCCCAAACAGCAACCAAGTTATCGTTGGCGCCCAGACAGAACTGCTGGGAATCAGCTCTATACTCCAAACCACATATTTCAGCCACATGGGTGTTTTCCAACTTGGAAACCAAGTGGTCGTTCACTCTCACGTCACTATGGTAGATAGTGCCTTCTCTGGACCCCAGCGCCAACAAATGAGACAGCCAGCAGTGGGCAGCCACTCTGGAGCCTGTTCCGTGCAGAAGCGTTCTTAGCCTCAGGTTGGTTTCGATATCCCAGATCTCTATAGTGCCGTCTTCCTTACCCACAGATATATAAGAGCCATCTTCAGACCAGCGCAAAGAAGTGACAAGCATGGAATTGCCGAGCTCGCAAAGAAGCCCCACCAGGCCTGTGGAAGCGTTCCACACGTATACTGTGTCTTCCAAGCCAATAGCAATCAAGTTGCTCAGAGCCCATGCTACCAAGTTCAAGTAGAAGTCGTCTACGATATTTGGAGCGTCAAGCACCCGTTCAGGCGCTGTAGGGATCTTTTTGGCTCTGGCAGAAGCCACGGAAGGTCTAAGCAAGCTGCCCAGTTTAGTAGCACTCTTTTGGTTGACGCTGCTAAACACACTGAGCGGTTTGCTTCTTTCTGGCGGTGCTGGTCTGTAGCACAAAATACGAGAATTCACATCAAGTCCACACGCTTCGGCCACATGATGCTGGTATATTTTCGACGTTTGCGCCTTGATATGGGTTTGCGGCAGGGCATTGGGATGTGGTTGTTCGTTCTGAGGCGTGAGTTTATTCAGCGTCAGGTTGCGGTGGCTAGGAATGAACCGATCTGTTTGAGAGGCCTCAGCTGGCGTTAAAAGCGACGTGGAACGACGAAGTTTTGCTGGTTTCGGCGGCAGAAGCATAGGGTTCCTAGAATCACCAATTGAAGATACCGAAGATGAAAGTGCCGGCTGCAACTTCATCACCGGCAACGGCGGTCTCTTTGGCGCCAGTCTGAGCTCAGCAATCAGCAGTTTCGCTCTAGCTCGCATCACCGGCGGCTCCTTATCCAAAATAACGGTTTTCCTCTTCGGCAGCACCACCTCTAGCGACCGTTTACGCAGCGCCAGCGGACGAAGGTTATCCATGGTGAAGGAGGACGCCGTTGAGTCGTGGAAGGGCGTTTTGAGGTCCATGAAGAAAGTGGTGGAGAAGAAGAATTGACGTGAAGACGGCGCTATTAAGTTTCCCAAAGAAGAAACAGAGGGGCAGCGAAGAAATGGGTGGGAAATGGCTGCGAAAAATGGTACAAAGCAGTGTTGATGTTGTAGCCGGATTGGGAAGTCATATTGCACTTCACCAGGGCATCCCGAGGAACGAGGGATGCTCTGGAGGAGTGCAATATGACGACAATGTCATTTAACAGAATAATCCTGGTTTACTGGATTTATGTATTTTTTGTTCTTTTTTGTACTTTTTTGTGTTCTGTTGGTGGTAGCCTTCTTCTCTTCCTCTGGTTATGCTTGCTCGGTGTTTTCGCAGCCATGGAAGGCTGAGGGGAATGGAGTCACCAGAGAGCAACTGGGGAATAAAAAGAGGAATGAGGCAATTGAGAATGGGAATGGGAATGGGAATGGGGAGAATGGGGAGATTCAGGGGTTCAGGGGAGGTGGGAGAATGTGGGGGATGGAAGATGTGGTGAGTTGGGTGAGGTGAATTGAGAAGTAGAGGAAGGACAGTATTGGAAGAGGTGGAAATATGGGAGGAAAGAAATGAGGCTATAATTTTAAGAAGTGTTTTTTGTTGGTTTTAATGGGTTGTGGAAGGAAAGGAGGGGTGGAGTTGTGGGAATGGTCAGTGGTTGATGGTTGGCTGGTGTAGTAGTAGTACTAGTAGTAGAAGTGGTAGTAGTGTAGTAGTAGAAGTAGTAGTAGAAGTGGTAGTAGTGTAGAAGAGTATAATTAGGATAGGTGTTTACGTACTGACAATGGGAGGTAATTACACCAAATGCCTTTTGAGGTTCGTTTTTGGCGGTAACTTTTAAGAGACTAGCTTTTCTGTACCATAGGGGTTATATCTTCTTAGGTATGCCATTTACAGAACGAATGAGATAAGTTTCAGTTCCAGTAACCATGGAATTGCAATGAGAAATATAAAGTATACTATGTGCCTTTAACTATGAAGGCTTATGCTTTTTAAGGTCACACATTAACGCCTAACATATAGTCGTGTGACGCTTGTGGATGGTATTTGTGGCTTGGAGTGGTTGGAGAGTACGGAGCGTTTTAGTGTAACAGGAAAGAAGTAAACTGGAGGCTTAGGGAGGGGTTTAAAGTGAGATGGCTTTTTGTTTGGATGAAGTTGTTTTTGGCGAAGCCTTAGGCGGTTGGGCTTAAGTAGCATTCAGTGTGCCCTAATGGATAGAGAGGTCTGCCAATGGATAGTATAACAAGGTTTGGTTCGTCTATAGACTATATTTTTACCTGATTTAACTAATTTAAAATCAACGAATCGTAATTTGACTGAAGATGCTTGTCAATAATTTGTCCAGTTGGAATACTCCCAGCTAGGGTACTTCCCATAGATGGAACTCTCAAGTCACCAATTGACCAATTGACCAATTGACCAATTGACATTGAACAACTTTAAAATCAATACTGGAGTTTGTTAAAATAGGATTGGTGTAAAACAGCTTAGAATTTTCATAAAAATGGTTAGAAGACATAGGCTGGTCTGTGTTGTTTCCATATAGACCTGACTCTCAGAGCACCCTCCAATGAACACACCAGTCATATGTATAGTTCCATGGATTTCGTTCTCATCTTTACAGTTCCATATAAATTCAAGAAACGAAAAACGAAAAAAAAAAAAGAGTAAAAACCAATTATTCACTGTTTTTCACTCTCTTGAGGAACCGCTTATGGCAGCCATTGACTGAACCATTGACTGTCCACCACCCTCCACCAACCCCCACCTTTCTCTCCAAAAACCAACAAATCCATGCCTTTTTCACTTAAATAGAACTTCCTCTTCTATTTTTTTCATCCAGTACCCCTTTTCTTTCCTTCCCTCCACCTTCAAGTCCTCCCACCACAATGGTTGCAAAACGAGCAGCCTCACAAACTCAACCAACCAACCAACCAACCACCACTAAATCACCACCACTAAACTCCAAAAGCAGCCCAAAACCTTCCCACTACTAAACTCTACAAACCCTTTAAACCACCAATCACCTTCATTTATATACTTTTTTTGGCCTTCATTCTCCCTTCTCTTCCCTTTCCCTCTCCAGGTCCTCACTTCCTCACTTCCTCCAACCACTTCCCACTTTCCACACAACCCTCCAACCCTCCAACTCTCCCTTTCCCAACCTCCCAACTCTCCCAAAAGAAAATCCACTCTTCAACCACTCCACCTTCCACCTTCCCTCTTCCTTCCATCTCTTCCTTCTTATCTCTCACGTGCGCTCCTCCACACTTCTCACCGTTAGCTATCAAACGAGCCTTCCATCTACAACTCTTCTTCTATGGGCCAGGGACCGTCACAGCCCAAGATCACGGCCCAGGATAGGGCCATTTTTCAGCTCAAGCGACAGAGAGACAACCTCAAACAGTACCAGCGGAAATTGGCGGTGATTATTGAAAAACAGCAGGGGTTGGCCAAACAGGCCCTAGTGGAGGGAAAGAAAGATAAGGCCAAGTTTTACCTACGCCTGCGGAAACAGCAGGAGCTGACCATCAACAAGACGTACGAGCAGCTAGGGAACTTGGAGAATCTTATTGGCACGATCGAGTTCAAGTTGATCGAGAAGGATGTGGTGTATGGCTTGTCTCAGGGTAACGAGGTGCTCAAGAAGCTCAACAGTGAAATGAGCGTGGAGAAGATCGATAAGGTGATTGACGACTTGGAGGACGAGAGGCTTAAGGTGGACGAGGTTTCCGATATGCTTGGAATGGGCTCGTTGAGCCATTCTGAGGAGAACGAGGTGGACGAGGAAATGGCTGCTTTGGAGCGGGAGCTAGCGCCCAAGGAAGCCGAGAAGCCCCAGGAGGAGCCCAAGGAGGATATTCTGCTTCCCGATGCGCCTACGAAGGTTCCGGAGAGAGAGGAGCCGGAGGAGGTTCCCCAGGAAGAACAAGAGGAGGAGGAGCAAAGAACCGCTGTTCCAGCGTGAGCTCTCGTCGTCCTGCTATTGAAGATACTGAGTCTTCCCACCTGATGCATTCACCGCCAGAGGCAAGCCTCTGGCCTTTTCATTACATCATAGACTGTTGGCCAAGCGCCTATATATTAATTCACGAAACACTAGATTTGGGAATGGATATTCCATTAGTAGACGCTTTAAGTCTGGCTTCTGGTCACCTACACCTCTTTCACCTCTTCTTTCCGTTTTTTCTAACCTATGTCCATGGCCATGTTAGTGTGGCCCTTATCTGTGATGGAGAACTCGCTCCTCTTCTTAATCCCCGTTTAACTCAACCATTCCAAAAACTCTGGAGTAAAGTAACTGATAAACAAACGGGCACCAGCACGCAAGAAACCCTGGTGAGACTCGAACGCAATAGCCTTCAAATCAGCAATACCCTTATCGGCAGCAGCGTGCAACATGGCATACTCTCCACTGACCTGATAAACGCAAAGAGGGTAGTCCTTGCAAATTTTCAGCGCCTCGTTGACGATATCAAGGTAGAAGGTGGATGGTTTGACGATAAACGCATCTGCACCTTCATCGATATCACGAACCAACGCTCTTCTGGCCAAACCAGAGCCGCCAGAAGGCAACTGGTACGACTTTCTATCGCCATGAGAAGGAGCACTTCCGGCAATATCCCTAAACGGACCATAAAGCGAGCCAGAGAACTTGGCCAGGTACGACATCACAAGCACCTTATTCTCGAGTTTCGCCTGGATAAGCCCCAACTTGATTTCCTTGATTCTGCCGTCCATCATATCTGACGGAGCCACGCAGTTGGCGCCTGCTTTGGCGTAGTTCACAGCCACAGCACCGATTCTCAACACCGAAGGCTCTCTTTTCAACGAACCATCGTCGTTCAATATCCCACAGTGCCCGTGGTCCGTATACTCACAAAGACACACGTCACACATGATATACAAGCCCGGAAAGTTCGCCTTCAACAACTTAATCGCCTGAATGACCGGTCCCTCTGGATCATCAGCTGCCGTGCCCACCTCATCCTTCACTCCATCTTTCAAAATCACGCCAAACAAAATCACCGCCTTAAGCCCCTTTTCCACCAACGGCTTCACGTACGCAAGCAACTTGTTAATACCATGGCGCTTGATCCTCGGCAAACTAGGAATCTCAATCTCTTCATCCTCCACATCACTTACAAAAAGAGGAAAGATGAACATCAGTTTCGTAAGCTGGCGTTCACTCTGCCACTCACGTGCCAACGGGTGGTTGTAGCCGCCTTGAAGCACCGACGAAATGTCAGTACCTGAAGGAGGAAGGTACTCTGCCTGGTGCATGGTTAAGTAGTAGTAGGTGGAAAGATGGAAAGTTGGAGATGAGTGCGAACTGGGGAAGCTTTATATAGATAAGGCCAAGGAGGGGAAGACTGGTGGATTTTGATGGGATTTGGTAGGATTTTTATGAAAATTGGAAATTGAAGTAAAGAAGACGAGGCGGTTTTGGTGGTACTTTTTTTGGTTAATTTTCTTCATTGTGTGGTGGTTTGGCGGACGGTTGGTGCTGGCGGAATGGCTGCGAAAGGTACCAGCTGACTAATTTGGGGCCTACCACTGGGATAGGATTTGGCATTGCAAAACCACACACTGGGGCTTTCTTTTTATTTGGAATAGAAGGCTGTGATTGGTCAGAGGGGGATTTAGAGGAAAGAGGTTTTTGAGAGGTTTTATGGTTTTGGTGATTTTTGGTTTTTGGTGGACCGGTTGGGGTTACTGGAAATGGCTGCGAAAAACGTCAATTGCGCTAATCGAGTATGGGAATGTGATAAGTGTGTTTTGGGTGTGATTTTGGGGTTGGGAGATTGGAGAGTTTGATGTTCATTGTTTACGGAAAATGGCAGGTTTTGGGTGTATTTTGGGCCCTTTTGGGCCTTTTGAGTCTCTTGGGGCACTTCTGGGTCTTTAGCTGAAGTATGAACTACTCTACTAAGGCAGCCCTTCACCTTTTGGTCATTTCTGGGGAGCTTGTGAAATTCAAACTTGTTCAAATGACCTTCTATTGGCCATCTGGTCAGAGCTAAGTAAGGTTTAAAAAAGCCAGGTACAGCAAGAAAACGAGTTGATCTGTCAATCAAGTCCTGGCAACGCCTATTTGTTTAAAAGTGAAAATCAGTGATATGCTCTTCATACTACGGTTTTTCTTCTTCTCATTTTCATACATCTTCTTCAAAGTCTTTCACACACATTTATCTCCTTCTCTTGATCTGCTGCAACTCCAGCCACAAGCTGGGTGATCTGCTGAAGCATCGACCGGCTCACACATTCGGGAACGTCAACCTTCGTCATCGAGTACATCGCCAAACTCTGGTCCGTAAAAGGATTTTTGCCTTGCTGGTGGGAACTGTCTAAAACGTAACTTTCTTCATTCTGCTCAGTATCATCTAGTTCCTCGAGTTTGATAAAGGTTTGATAACCCTTGGATCTAAACATTCCCATACTTCCCAAACGTTTGACCTGCAACGGCAGAAGAATCGAATCCTTATAAAGGTAAAGGAAATTGGCTTCGTATAAGCATATACCCTTTGCACCGCGGACCAAGACAACGCCAGTGACGAAAGGAAATGCTGTTCCTATAAAGCCATGAGAGTTGGTCCATTTGTCAAAAAGATTCACATTGTCCTCTAAGATATCAAGTCGGTCAAATTTATCACCATTTCTCATCAAATAATTGAACCAGACTTTATCCACCAGCAGTAACAACTCCCAAACAACAGTCTTCACAGTCTCCAAATCAATAAAGTAGCTTCTCATTGACCAGTATAAGGTATCAAAAACCGTAACAAGTCACTCGAGCTCCACGCCTTCTCTGAAGACCGGTAGATGCTGGGAAACCCAAAATCTTGTTGTTCTTGGTGACGAAGAACGGTCTGGTAAGCTTCTTCTTCTAACTTGGACCGCATTCTTTTCATCCAAAGGTAATAAAGCTTTTCTGCGTAGGTAGAAACATCTGCCACTATAAAGGGAGTAAAATCAAGGTCGTTTACTTCCTTCTCATTTATCATTCGGTCAAAACGCCTTCTTTGAACTTGCGATGCCCATGAGATAACCAGAAACAAGTTAGAAAGCCAAAATGCACCTTTCGATATCAACCTATCTTCGGGCATATTTTCAAAAGCATTGTCAAGTGAAGTTTCTAACTTTGAAAAAAGCATCTCTCGCTTTCGGGTTCGGCAAATTTCCTAAATAGTGCCACAAAGAATATGATTTGCTGAGCAGCTTTCAAAGCTTCCGAAACATCTAAATCAGCAGCGGGACCAAAAGGAGGAGGCTCCATGATTGCTAAGTTCAGGCAATAATACACAATTTCATTATGGTCCATTTCGAACTCGTCAGGAAACTTCTTCAATAGGCGGGAAGGAACTCTTGGCTGTTCGTATATCCTGGCCAGCTTAAAATGCCTATCCTCGACATTGTTCAAGTCAAAGGGCTCGAAATGCAGCTTTTCCTTCTGTTCTTTCAAAGCACCAGCTTCAGCTTTGGTTGCCTCAGACTCCTGCTTTTCTTCTTCCAGCACTTCAGACTCTGCTTCTCCCAAATCCTCAAACCCATCTTCTGAGCCCACTTCGTCCACCAGACGAAACTCAATCTTCTTTTGAAACTCTTCCACGGAGGCAACCTTCTCTTCATCACCCAGCTTCATCGCCTTCGCCGCTGTCAGGCTTTCAGCTTCACCGTCTTGCTGGATATACGCAATAACAGTACAATCGATGTCCTTGGTGGCTTCATGAATAAACTGTCTGTGGGCCTTCAAACGGTTGTTTTCTTTGATGACAAAGATTCCATCCTCGTGTTGCTGGAGCTTCTTTTGAACCTCTTTTCGACCAATGATGTAGTGGGGCAGGTTGAACTCACGTTGGAGAAAACCACCTTGGAATGGGTATCTGTAGCCATGGGCTGACTCTTGCAGGACCAAAAAGACGACGGTTTTCATGGTTTGCTTGGAGGGCAATGATCAATGGGGGATTGTGAAGTATATACACTTCTTTTTGGCTGCAAATCCATGCAAGTGGCTAGGCAGGAGCATGTAGAAAGCAGCAAAGTAAAGCCAGTGACTAAAAGGGAAGAGGATGTCTTGTCTGGGAGCGGTGCATTGGCTGACATCAACTGGCTGCCCGTCTACATCTGTTCTTGTTCGGCATGAATATTAAAGTGCATACTTATCGATGCCTGGCGTCAACGCCAGCGATATCTTCGTGAAATATGTGAAACCCGCTTACTCGAGCTTCTTCTCCTCCTTCTTTCCGTAGTGAACAATCTGGCCGGCAAGAACAGCATTCAAAGCAAAAGAGGTCAGGTAGCCAGCAAGCAAGACAGAGTCTCTGGTGCGGGACTTCTTGAAGTTCGAGGCCGTGGTGAACACACGGATGAGCGAACCAATCACATTGGCGAAAATCGTCACCTCAGACAAGTGAGCGGTGCTCTTCAATGCCTGGTTTCTTCTGATTTGAGGAATCTTGGCCAAAATGCCAATTGGAATGTTCAAAATCTGCAAAGTAGCAATAACCTGAGGTGGACAGATCTTGGTCAAAAACACCAACACAGCCACAATGGTGGCAGCAGGCTTAAGCAAAGCCTTGAAGCATTCTCTGATCTGGTCCTTCTCGCTCAAGGTGGTGGCGGCAGCGAGCTCTCTTCTCAACTTGTAGTACTTGAGAAGCAAGAGAATAGCAATGTTCTGAAGACCCAACAAGAACAGCTCGCCGTAATTGACAAAACTGTTTCTCTGCTGCTTGTTGTACGTGACATGGATCCATTGAGCAGCCGTCTCCAAAGTGACCGATTCTTCACTAAGACCCTTGGCCAACTTGGATCTCGCCGCCATCGTCTTGGGGCCCAAGATCTTTCGAATCTGCGGGATCTTAATCACAGAAGACACTCCCACCATCAACGCTCCAAGCAACAAAGAGAGCACTTTGGCGTATCCAATGGCCTTGATTTGTCTAAAAGCAAACTGCAAGATCACCTTATTGGAGATCTCAGGGTCCCTAATGAGGTTGATGAGCATCATAAGTGGAGCAGACATTTTATAGAATTCTTGAGTTGTTTGTTGGAAGCTGACAATTAAAAAGCACTGGTTGGTGTTTGGTTGATATTTTGATTTTCACTTTCCAATCGAGGGGTATATAATCATGTGCCGCGGTTGGAAAGTTTGCCCAATGTTGGTTTCTGCCTCCACACAGGTCTTCGAGATGAATAACTGAAAATGGAGATAATTCAGATGATCCTGGTGGGAGGAAAAATCGGAGAATTCTGGACTCTTTATCTTCTCTTGACCAGCGCCAACTTCAGCTCAAGCGTGTCTTTGGTGCTTTCAATGTACTTTAAGTTTTCAAGGTGGATGTTCAACAACTTGACAATCAGCTCGATGGAGGCCTCTTCGCCCTGGCCACCTCTGGAACCGATGTTCTTGACGAGAGACTTGTTGAAAACGTCGCTGACAGAGTTGATGTCGCCAATTAAGGTTTCCAAGTTGCCGCCCAAACTGTCCAATCTCTCGTCGAGCAACTCGGCGTTCTGGTAAGCCTGTTCTCTCAATTGATCAGTAGCGTTGGTGGAAGATGCGGGAAGGTTGGCGTTGGAGCCTCCAGTGGTGGTGAGGGCGGCGCTGTTGGCTTCGTTGCTGTTGAAATCGATGTTTCTGAGAAGAAGGTCTGCTTGCTGCTCGTAGTTGTCCAAAACCTTGTCGAGTTCATCTTGCTGGCTCTCCACAAAGAACAATTGCTGGTCAATCTTTTGTTGTAAGGTTTCGACCTCGGTGGAGTCTTTATGCAATTTGGCAATCTCGTCAGCGCTCTTGGCAAGTTCCACGTCCCATTCATTAACCTTGTCAGTGTAAGTTTCAAAGATGGATGATGTCTGTGTCAACTTCTTAGACCACTTGGTGATCAAGTCGTCCATGGTCTTGTTGTCTAGGGAAACGGGGATTGGCTCTATCTTGGTTGGTTTCAAAGTTGGACCTTCAGAAGTGACAGTCTGGGTTTGTGGCTGGCTTGGGGCAGAACCTGGAGCTGCTGGAGCAGTTGTAGATGCACCATCGGCCTTCTTTTCCTCTGGCTTGGCTCCGAAAAGACCTCCAGAAGCTGCTGGCTTGGACTCACCTGGCTTACCGAAAGAGAAACCACCATTTGGCTTGTCGTCCTTCTTTTCATCCTTCTTTTCTTCGGGCTTAGCACCGAAACTCAAGGTTGGCTTGGCTCCACCAGCAGCAGCACCGCCAAATGAAAAGCTTGGTTTATCGTCCTTCTTCTCTTCTGGCTTGGATCCGAAAAGACTTGGTTTAGCATCGGTTTTGCCATCTGGCTTAGCTCCAAAAAGACTTGGTTTATCGTCCTTCTTTTCTCCTGGTTTGCTGCTACCTCCGAAAGAGAATGCTGGTGCTGAGGAATCCTTCTTTTCCTCGGGTTTACTTCCACCAAAAGAGAAAGCTGGAGCAGAAAATTCCTTCTTTTCGTCAGGTTTGGAGCCGAAAAGGCCGCCTTCCTTCTTCTCCTCGGGCTTGGATCCAAAAAGACCACCTTCTTTCTTTTCAGCTGGTTTGGCACCAAAGAGACCACTTTCTTTATTTTCAGCTGGTTTGGCACCAAAGAGACCACCTTCTTTCTTTTCTTCAGGTTTAGATCCACCCAGACCGCCAAAATTGAAGGCTGGCTTAGCAGCTTCTTTATTTTCAGAAGCTTCAGGTTTTGAAGCAGCAGAACTGCCACCGAAATTGAAAGCAGGGGCTGGCGAGTCTTTCTTTTCTTGTTGACCGAAAAGGCCACCGCTTGGAGCGGCAGCTGCTGGCTTAGCGCCAAAAAGACCACCAGCTGGTTTATTTTCAGTATTCAGTTCATCCTTCTTCTCTGTAGATCCACCGAAAGAGAATGCTGGGGCCAGAGTGTTGGCTGTGCTTGCAGAGGAACCGAAAGTAGGCGTCGAGCTCTTTTCTGTGCTGTTTTGAGTGCTTTGTCCGAAAAGACCACCAGAGGAACCTGAAGTTGTGTTAGACTGGCCAAAAGCACCAGAAGAAGGTTTTTGAGCAGCACCTCCAAAGAGGCCGCCTGAAGGAGCACCAGAAGTATTAGAAGAAGCACCAAAAGCAGGTGAAGCGGTAGAAGAAGCACCAAAAGCAGGTGTAGATGGAGTAGTTTCCTTCTTTTCTTCAGGTTTCGAGCCGAAAAGACCACCAGACGAAGGAGCAGCCGTTGAAGAGCCACCTTGCTGGCCAAACATACCGCCACTGCCTCCAGAAGAGCCGAATCCACCCGCAGAGGACCCAAAAGCGTTACCTCCCGTACTTCCAGAATTCGCCTGGCCAAAGCCTGAAAAGCCTGATTTAGCAGGTTCAGCCGGTTTTGAACCAAACGCCAGGCCTCCCGAAGCAGCCTGCTGGCCAAAAAGACCGCCTGATCCCGAACCTGAACCAGTGTTGTTATTTGAGCCAAAAAGGCCACCAGTCGAGCCCGAAGCCGAGCCCAGGCCAAACGCCGAAGGCTGGCCCAGCGTGTTATTCGTAGATTGAGCACCGCCAAACACAGACAGCGCCGGCTGTTGCTGGTTCAGCAGTTGCAGAGATTGTTGGTTTTGGTTCAGCGAGCCAAAAGCAGAAGATCCACCAAACGAGAAACCCGATCCCGAATTGGCGTTTCCAGAATTGGCAGGGGCACCAAAGGGCGACCCTGAAGCCTGGTTAGTGTTTTGCAGGCCAAAGTTAGAGGACATTGGGGGAAGGAATAAGGGAAATGGATGGAGAAAGGTGAAAACGAGATGTTTGATGGTGGATGTTTGGCCTGGGTGGTGTATGCAGGTTGGTGGTTTTGGATAAGGTGATGGATTGGGGGGTTTGGAGGGTATTTGGGGGAGATTGGGGGATGTTTTGGGGGAAACCGGGGGTGTAGATTTTAGTGGTTGTGTTGGATTTTGTCTAGGATGTTTGTGTGTGGAGATAGCTGGGGGTTGGAGGCCAGGTAGAGTATAGTGAGAAGACGAAGAGGAAGTGAAGAGACAGAGGGGGAAAGAAAAAGGAGGTTTTGGTGAGTTGGAAATTGGAGGTGCTAAAATGGGATTGGAGATTTCGATTGAGTTGGTTTTTTCTTTGGATTTTTCGGATTTCGAATTTACAGGGGGGGTTGTTTTTCGTGGTTTTTCATGGTTTGCTTCTTTTCGCAGCCAAAATGGAAGAAACAGTTGAAGAGTGTGGATTTGAAGGAGGGTGGAAAAGAGAGGAAGATATGAAAAAATTGGTATTTATTGGAGGAAGGTGATTCGAAGGAAGTTAGGGCCAAATTAAAAAAAATCAGTGTCACATTGGCCAAATTCAGTGTCTGATTGGCCAAGTTGGTGACAGTCAGAGAGCAGTTGGTGAAAGTCAGAGTACTTGGTAGAGTAAGGTACAGATTACAGTGTAGGGATGGTGGCAATGTATTTTTTATACTTATGACTAGCATATTTTTTAATTAGAATTTCAGAAACATATTGATCACCGTTCATAGGTGTCTTATTACTACCATACCTAGAGACCCAGCTAATCAGTTCATGTAACAGTGAACAACACAATCCACGGTTTTCCTTACGTTTAATTGAATGACAAATAAAATGAGGGCTGGACTGGAATTGGGCTGGTTTTGGTTCCTTTTAAAGATGTTTGTATTGCAGATGATGTGGTGTTTGAAGGGATATGGATTGCTTGAGAGTGGTTGGCTGAAGATGTGGATTTGGTACTTTTTTTTTTGGGGGTTTTATATGTGAATTGTCCAGAAATGGAGAAATTCAATGGTTTGGAAAAGAGGTGCTACTTGTGTGTGATTTGGGTGGAGAGGAAGACCAAAGGGTGCTCTGGGCATGGCTTACTGTCAGTCGATTCGGTAATAATTTGGGTACTTCAGCTGTTCTATCTATTGAAAAAGGCCATTTATAAAATTAAGGAATGGATTCAATGGCTAGAAAATACTGGCAGCATCTTGTTATATTGTATGGTTCAGTTGATGTTGGAAGAAAGACCAGTGGTGGTGAAGAGTCAAGAAGAGGTGATTGTAAGATACACTTTTTCTTTTTCCATTCTTATGATGCTTAAATGACTCCAATTTAATTCAATGGGCCCAAAGAAACTGCCAGTGCTTATTTTTCAGCGTGGAAGGGCATTCGGTGTGGGTGTTGAATGACATGAAGAGATGTATACTGAGTACCGTCAAGTGGTGGAAGTAGGCACCTTCAATGCTAATTTTCATTAAAGAAAGGCAATTACCTAGATTCTTCAAATACGAAAAACAGGGAAATGGAAAGCCTAAACACCTTTAAAAGACTGAACAGACGTGCTACTTATGCCTTTCCATCGCCTCTTTGAATGTCTCTCCACAGTACAAATACCAACCCAGAAGGACACACAGAACGTGAATATCCGCCATTGGCTTCACCTGACGGTACTTGGAGGCACCTTGAACCTTTTCAGCCGATTCTAGCGAAATCCAAACACATTGACCTCCAACGGCAGTTAAAACTACCAGTTAGCTCTTCAAGAAGAGCCCTCCAGGAACCGAACAACCCTCTACTGCTGCCCAGCCAACGTCAACTGCCTTTGTCCTTCTTCCTCCAATTGTTCTCTGCCTCTCCTGATGCTCTGGCAGGCCGCCACCACACTTCACCGCCTAAGCGCATATTTTCACTCATCATAGCTACACCTACAGTAAAGCAAAGATTTAACTCAATTGATATACAATTGGCTCCCAGCGACTCCCAGCCCGCAGGGTTGGTGAGGAGCTGGTGGGTGGAGTTTCAAGGGGTCCGATTTTTCTGGTTTTCCAACGTAGCTTCCAACCTGGCAGTTGGAAACCACGGTTGTCAAACCCAAACCCTCCAACGTAGCTTTCAACCTAGCGGTTGAAAACTACTTCTTGGAACCCTGAGCAGCCACAGCAGCAGCACCCGCAGCAGCAGCCTCTGGATCCAAATAATAAGCAGGCTTGGTTGGCACCAACTTCTCGTCCAACTCATACACCAAAGGAATACCAGTAGGAATGTTCAAACCAGCAATATCGTCATCTGAAATATTATCCAAATGCTTGACAAGACCTCTCAACGAGTTACCGTGGGCAGCAATAAGCACCGTCTTGCCAGCCAACAAGTCGCCGGCGATCTCGTCCTGGTAGAAAGGCAACAATCTGTCAATCACCAACTTCAACGACTCCGTCTTTGGAATCACTGCTGGGTCAATGTCACTGTATCTGATGTCGCCAGCCTGGGAAAACTCAGACGAGTCCTCAATCACTGGAGGTGGAACGTCAAACGATCTTCTCCACGTCTGGAACTTCTCCTGACCGTAAGTCTCCAAAGTCTGGGCCTTGTCCTTACCTTGAAGAGCACCATAGTGTCTTTCGTTCAATCTCCAGGATCTCTTAACTGGAATGTACAACTGGTCAGCAGCCTCCAAAGCCAAGTTGGCCGTCTGGATAGCTCTCTTCAACTTGGAAGTGTACAAGATATCAGCGGTGATGTTGGCTTCTTTCAAGAGCTCTCCACCTCTGATGGCTTCTTTTCTTCCAACTTCAGACAAGGGCACGTCGACCCAGCCGGTGAAGAGGTTTTTTTCGTTCCATTCGGATTGACCGTGTCTGACCAAAACAAGCTTAGGCATGGTGGAATTGGATTTGGGGTTTGGGAAAATTGGGGGTTTGGAGGAAAAGGTGGGAAACCGTGGCTCTTTATACCGCGCCGGGTGGGTGGAACCCGAGGCTCAGGTGACCCGGGGAGAACGGGTGGAGCCATTGGGAGATGGGGAGAGGTGGGATGGGGATATGGAGGGTACCGTTGGAAAGCTGGGGTTTGGAAGGATGGGGTGGTGAATTTTGGGGGGATTTGGGCCACTGGGGCGGGAGTTAGCTGGGGTGTTGTGGATGCGAAGTGGTGGTTATGGAGGAAGAGGGTGTAGAAGGGCCAGTTTTGGTGGAAATCGGCTGGAATTTGGAGGGTAGGTAGGGGAAAGGCTGGGGATTCTGGGGGTACTAATTTTTCAGTGAATTTGTTGATATTGGTGGACTTTGATGGAGGTGTTGGTTGGCGTTGTGGGTGTGGCCTGTGGCTGCAAAACATGCGCTTACGAGGCTCCTCGGGTGGATGAAGCATGAACATCAGGAAACCGTGAGGAATCTACGAAAACGGTGGAAATCTCGTTTATTTACTGTTACTGTCGTAACGCCGGCGGCACCGTCGGCGTTGGGTTTCCCTGGCTCTCACTTTGTGTGAGTTGCTTTGGCGGGTTCTGATTGGTTGGTGGAAGTGAAGGACGTAGAAACAAGCAGGGACCTTCAATTTGGTCAAAAGTCAAAGCAAAAGGCTTCAATTGTGTAGATCATCAACGAAATCTCGTCGCTCTGTAGAGACCATTCCTTGACGGTTCCTCACTGCCCAGTGCATGTGAAGTGCACGGCTGAAGACGAAGAACCCGAAGCAACCTTCAATTCCAACGTCAAGAGCCTGAAACCGGGTTGATATGATCCTCAAAACACCACCTACTGCTTTCCTTCAATGTTGCATTGCTGAAATGTCATTGCAAATGTAACTTTCAATGTACTGCCACCTTCAAAGGCAGCCAAGCAACCAATGCACATCAAGAGCAGGTCAGGGAACCGCCAGCATCACGGAACGCCTTAAACTACCTTTCCTTTCCCTTCCTTTCTTATCTGGCCATCACGAGCCGGAGTTTTGGGCGCCGTGTGGTTATGCACTTAGATGGACGATCTGTGGCAGCAGGTGATGTCAAATGAGGTGATCCTGGAACAAAAGAACAAGAGAACGCCTGGACGCCACGAGCGGCTCAATGTAACCTGTAGTCTGTTTCTGGACGGTAACGTTATACTGTAGCTCGTAGATTGTGGACGTTCTGATGGGTTGCTTTGCTGCTTTTGGTGGTTTCTGTGGGTGAAAAAGACCCTGAAAGCGGCACTTGGTCAATCTTAACTGTAGAAAGGGTCTCTCAAAACCACATAGACCTTCTTTATCCTGTTATTCCGTTGGTCGACGGAATTGAGCCTGTTGCTGGACTTTAAAGTATCATAGAGCGATCTCATCGACCTAAGGTTGCGCCATAAACCCGTAAAAACGTCGAAGCACAGCAATTCTCTCGGTTATAAAAGAAACTTCCATGGCTTCATCTTCCCATACCTTCCAGGCGTCCATTGCACGACACACACAGAACCAGATCAGCGAAGAAGCTTCCATTGCGTCACCGCAAGCAACCAAGGCCACTCTAGGCCTGAGATGGTGTTTTTCGATGACACTCTAGAAAAAGAGGTCTTTGCGGGATGACAATAAGCTTTGGATGATAGAAGGACGGGAAGAGTTGACTTTTGATGTTGGGGTTTGCTTCTAGACCCTGAAGCTTTAGCAACCCTTCTGGAGGTGTAGCATTGTGACTTTTCTCTCTCTTTCTCTCTCGAAGTCTCTTTCTCTCAATTGAAATCCATTGATATCCTTCACTTCCTAATTCAGTGGAAATCAACAGATATCCGTCTTCAGTTTCCCTGGCGATTCCTGAACACTGCCTCCACGCCCAGAGTTCCAAATCCTCAGGGTGAACTCTCGATAAGCTGGAAAGGCCATGCACATCGTCTATCTTCAAAAACCGAAAGCCAAACCGAAAAGGAAACGGGAATAAAAAAGGAAAAAAAAAACCAAAAAAGTCGCTGATTACGTAGTGCTTGACATTTTTGCGCCAATTCGATAACACCAGATCCGTTAGAGGCCCTGTAGGTTTGCGCCTGGTGCTTTTTGTGATACTCTACCGGCTCCTTCGGACTCCCAACGGTGCAAGATGGTCCGCTGGATGTTTCTTTTTCGGATTTGCGAGAAACCTGGGAAGAAGGACTGGTTTGGTGGAAAGCGAAGTTAGGGAAGCTTCCAAGGGCTCTAAACGAGGAACAAGTGGGTTTCAACGTAAAAATGGACTTTATGGGTTTTCTGGGCTTTCTGGGCATAAAATTGGGCACTCTTGATGTTTCTGAGGCCCTTTCTGAACTGTTTGGAACTCTCTGAATCATTCTAGATCCATTTTAGACATTCCAGGCCATTTAGACCCATTCTGCCCATTCTGACCCATTCTGGGCCAGAACGTTCAGAATAGCTCACCTAAAATGCTCTCCCGTCTGCTTCGTAGCCTCTGCAATCTTATGATCCGCCGGATTCGGCGCCAGCTCGTACAACGTAATCACTGGATCCTTCGAAAGCTCAGTAAACTCGCCTCGAAGCTCAATCGAGTGCAAATGCACCTGCTCCTCGTCGCCATAAATATCTTTAAAAAACAACGTCAAGTGCTGAATCCCCGTAAAAATATGCCTGGGCACATGGTGTTCTACAAAGTCTGCATCGTCTTCAAGCGACTCAGGCACTTCTTCTTCACAATCACTGTCTTCATTGTAATTGACACCCACATTTGGATGTTCCAACGAATGAAGCGGTTTCACCAGCTCCACGTTATCAAAATCAATATCTCTGTTGTTCTTCCAGACCTTGATTGTCTTAGGACAGTACTTATCACCATTTGATCTAATAATGATCAGATGGAGCTTTACGGATCCGTTCAAAAACGGGATATGAAGTATAAGCTGCTCGTCAGCGTCCAGTTTAATAATTGGCTTCAACGAATACCTGGAGTTGCCGTTTTTAAACAACTTCTGGAGGTCGTCTGGCTTGTTTTCCAAATTGAGCGCTGTAACGTGTGGCAAATCGACTTTCAGGTTAAGCAGGGTGGCCACAGATGTTGGAATGGGCGGTACGTGGTCGTCGCCACCGTCGTCGCCGCCGTGGGAATGGCTATGGCCATGGAAATGTTCGTTTTCACAAGACATGGAAAGGGAGGAAGTGAAAAGTTGGTAAAAAAGCGGTAGAAACTCGGGAAAAGGGGGTGGGTAGGGTAACTTGGGTCGGGGAGAACGATCTGGGGGTTGTTTTGGGTTGAAAAGGGGCGGTTTTGGGTGAATTGGGTGGTGGTTGGAGGAAGAGGGAGTAGTATGGAGTGTGGAGATTGATGATGGGGAGTTGTATACAGGCGGGGATTGGGGAGGTGAGGGATGGAGGAGGTACAGGCAGATGATGGAGAGGCGATATTGGTATCAAAAGAAAGAGAAAAATTTGGGGGTTCTGGAGGTGTAATTTGGAGTTGTTTGGGACGGTTTTGGGGGCGGTAGAGGCGGTTGAAGGTGTTTTGGAGGTGGGTGTAGAAGGAGGGTTGGCATGGAGGGGGAGAAGTGTAAGGGGCTAGAGATGGTAAGGAGGTGGATTATGAAGAAGAATTAGGGGGATTCGGGTAGTTTGGAAGGGGTGGGGGTGGGAATTGGTGGTGGTGGGTGGAAAAACACGTGCCGAGCACGTGGAGATAAGGTTTCAAAGGAAAGGAAGGAGATATTGGGAAAAGTGTTTGGATGGGGTTTTAGAGGTTTTGAAGGTGTGGAGGGTGGTGGAATAGGATTTGTGGAGTTTTGGGGTTTATGGGTGGTGGTTTGGGAAGTTGTTGGTTTTTCGCAGCCAACGGGAAGGAGAAGGTGGATGGAGCGAAGGAGGGACTTTGGTGGTCGTAGGAAGCTTTATTGGAGTGTTTAGGGGCTTTCAGGGGCTTTGGGATGTTTGGGAGTGAAAAAGTGGAAGTGGGTTGGGGTTATGGATGGTGGAAGGTCAGTGGACATGGAAGAGTAGAAGGAGAGGAAAGAACATGGAAAGGGAGTAGCGTAGGATGAATGGTAAGAAGATCTTATACTGTTAGCTGTTATATTGGGAAGATTTTACGTTGGAATAAAAGAGTAGAAAAAAAGGAAGGGAACCAAGGAACTAAGAAAGTAGGAAAGTGGGAAAGTGGGAAAGTGGGAAAGTGGGAAAGTGGGAAAGTAGGAAGGTAGGAAGGTAGGAAAGTAGGAAACTGGGAAAGTAGAAACTAAGAAATCTAAGAGGAACTAAAAGAATACCCAAAAGCCCAAAAACCTAAGAAGCCTAAGAAACTAAGTACCTGAAAGACGAAACTGTTGGAGTTGGATGGTGGGCATTCCAAGAGGAGTATACAAGTGGAGGTGTACTTATGAAGACCAAGTGGGAAGATGCTTAGTCTGTGGATTTGAGGCTTCAGAGGTTTTGCCTAAGTAATTGAACAGCTCATAGAGATTTGCAATTTTTCAATCCATGAAGTTCAAATTTCAATTTGTGGAGTCTTAAGTGCTTTAAACTCTTAGTACCTCTTCAGAAGTGATGCCTTTCTGGCACTTCCATTGTAAGCTTCACCTGGATATGACATTCTACGACAAGGTACCATACTAAAAAGAACATCCACAGAGCATCCAAAGAGGCTGGAGGTAATTTTCCATCAGCCACGAGGCTTTCAAACCAGCTTCATAACACTTCTTTTGATTCCCTTTCCTCCATTTATCACAAGCACCATTGCATGTTTCCCCAAAAGCAGTCTCCAACTTCCACCAACCATTCCTTTTTCTCTTCCTTCACTTTCCCCCATTTCACTTGTTTACCGTGAACATTCTCCGAATTTGCTCATTGCCAAAGCCTCCCCTTGCTGGATCAAAACCTCTGCAGCCCTTACATCACCGTGCAACAAAGGGTGGAGGAAAGTAAGAAGAATTGGATAGGGGACGGGGCTGGAAGGCAAAGGTTGGGGCTTGGTGGTTTGTGGAGGTGGAGGTGAATTGTGGAGGTGGAGGTGAAGGAAAGGAAAGGAAAGGAAAGGAAAGGAAGAAGCAAAAGCAACAAACAAAAGCAAATACACTTGGTAGTCTTTGATTATAGTATCTAAGAATGTAGAATCTGGGGCATGGGACAATATCAAGGGGAACTGTACAACTAAGAAATAGAGAGAACCAATGGGTACTGAAAGATACAACAAAGTATGAAGCTAAGGAACTAGAAAATAGGAACCTAACTAAGAATTCTAAAATCTGATCATTTGTTGTGTTGAAGAGTAGAAAAGGTATGATAGGCTGTTATTAGACGATAGAGAACAGTGAACCTATAAGGTTCTTGGTATGTCTAATACTCTAAATGACCAGGAACCTAAGAAATAAGAAAGTGAGAACCTATGAAACTAAAAAACGAAGAAACTGAAAAACTAAGAACCTTGAAAACTCAGAAACCAGTGACTTTTCTTGCTTAAATCCTTATCTGTCTCTTTGCCCATATTCTGCTTCTTTCATCAACCACTTATCTCTCTGGTAATAGAAGCATGTAATTTGTACCATCTCTATGAAACTCACAAGGTCAAACACTGCAAAGCCAAGAAGACGTATCGTCCAGTCTCTGTGAAATCCAAAGTGCCACTGAGTAATGTATGTCCCAGTCCAGGCAAAGTTGAAGCAACCTAAGTAGATCATATGGGAACACCAAACACCAAAGATAAGCAATTGAGGTCTAAATGGTCTGAATCACAGAAGCCAGAACGATTAAGAGGTCTTTCAATGGTCTACTACCATCTTCAACTGTGAATACAAATAGTATTAGGCTCTTTGTCACCTCTTGCTTTGGCTCTTTGGACATTCAATTGGAGTACCACTCCTTCTTCAAATACAAGAAGTAGAACATAAAGTAACATAAATAGGAATCCTAAAGATCCATCTACTTCGTTAAAATCTAAGAATCCACTTTCCTACAAGACCACTTAATCTACAAAGTGAACCTTAAACACCTTCTCTTCTTCCTCCTCCCATTTACTTCACCTCCCTTTGCCTCCCGACGCCTCTGGAAATACGAGGATCGTAAACCGCCAACCCCAAAACGCCCCAGGAACGAGAAATCCACCTTGGAAGCGGCATTCCACATGTAATCCCTGGAGATCAAACAAAAGGGCTCCTTCGTTTATTCTTTCCGGGAATTTAGAGATGCTGTTCATTCCAGAGGCACAATTACAGCCGTTTCAACCAAAACACAAGTTTTGCCATGACGTCAGGGAAAGGACAAAAATCACACATGAAACCTTCGTTTCTTCACTTTGTCTTGTTGTGTGTTTTCAATTCCACCTATTTCTGTTGCCGGCTGAATGGGACCTTTCAGAGAAGTTTGTGAACCGGCATACACGACGGGCCGGGCTTAGAAAAGGGACATTTTACAAGTAAGGTTCTTTGGGTCCAGGCAGGTAGAGGCGTGTGTGTGGTTGACGTAGTTCTGACGTATTTGAGCTTTTTGTATATGGTTTCCCGATTGGGAAGTATAGCCGCGGGACCTTTTCTACGGTAGAGGGGCCTAGGGGGGCTAGAGGGGGCCAGAGGGGTCCGGAGGGGCACGTGGCCAACGTCATAGTTTATCCGAAGGGGGGTGTCCACCCCCCTCCTTGAAAAAAAGAAACTCATAGTGAAGGCCCGCTTATTGCATGGGGCAGCACGTTACGGCCAGGCCATGCCATGTTCAGGGTTTTCTTTTTTTTTTGGGAGACTTTTTTTCTTTTGTGTGAAAGGGTATATGCAGGACGTGGCATCCTGCACATATTGCCCACCCGGGCTAACCATATGATGTAATGTCGTCTGACACATGTGCAGGCGGCCATTGGCTAGTTCTTTGACGCTACGTCATCGAGACATTTTCGGGCATTACGCCTCCGGCAGGGGCAATTGATCCCCCAAAAGCAGCCTGCAAAGGCTGCTGAGGCGCTGGAAATTGATACAACCATTTCCTTCGAGCCCCTTCCAGCCAATGGCGAAAAAACCACCAAAATTGGAGGCCTGAACGTCAAAAACATGAAGGGAAACGGTCCGTCCTGCATATAACTCAAAAGAAACTATACATGCAAAAAAGAAAAAAAAAAGGCGCAAGCGCTAAAATGCAACCGTCTCGCGGTTGTCGGAATATTCTGACAATGAGAAAAGAGACGCAGGCCATCTGGTGAGAGATAAGCCGTCTTATATGCAGTCCCCGCATGAAAAAGAAACCACAATATACTGACTGCAAAAAATCACCATAACCATTCCTCAACCAACCCAAAAAAAGAAATAACGCCTCCTTCCGATTCCACTATAAATACCCCGAGTCCCCCGACCATTTCCACTTTTTATCAAAAACCAAAAAAACCAAAAACACTCTTTAATATGACTATCCAGAACCAGCCAGCCGTTTTCCACGTCAACGCCGCCCTCTTCGACTGTGACGGAACACTTGTCAACTCCACCGGCGCCATTTCAGAATTCTGGAGAGATTTCGGTAAATCCAGACCCCACGTGAACCCAGAAGAAATCATCAGAACCTCCCATGGATGCAGAACCTTTGACGTTATCGCCAAGTGGTCGCCAGAAGATGCCGAGGAACAACAAGTCACTAAATGGGAAGCTTCCATTCCAGACACTTTTGGACACTTTGCTAAGGCCATTCCAGGTGCCGTGGAGCTTGTCAAGTCGTTTGATAAATTTTCCAGAGAGGCTACGGAAGATGCCAAGCAGAGATGGGCCATTGTCACATCTGGTACTCTTCCTTTGGCCACCAAGTGGTTGAACTTGTTGACGATCCAGAAACCTGAATGTTTTATTACTGCAGAGAAGGTGACCAAGGGTAAGCCACATCCAATGGGATACAGATCTGCCAGAGATACTCTTGGGTTTGAGAGCGACGATGCCAAGGTTGTGGTGTTTGAAGATGCTCCTGCTGGTATTACTGCTGGTAAGGGCGCAGGCGCCATGATTGTGGGTATTTGTTCGACTTACGATCCAGAGAAGGTGAGAAAGGCCGGTGCTGATATTGTGGTTGATGACTTGAGCTCGTTTAAGATTGTGGGATTTAACAAGGAGACGAACGAGTTTAAGGTTCAGGTTGGGGAGTACCACTATGCTAATGAGGAGTTCCTCCAGGCCGTCTAGGTGAACTGGCGAAGCCGGTTCACCACGGCCGTTCACGATTTGGCAGGCTAGAAACTGGCGCCAGCCTGTTTCTGCCGTCTGAGTCGAGAAAGCAGGCTGAAACCAAGCAGAAAGCAAGCATAAGCATGAATACCTGAGCTAAGACAGATGTCTTACAGCTACAGGGTCCCTGGAATGCCTGGGACCACCAACCGGAAGGTTACTTATAGAAGCACACATGTATACTAGAATTATCAAATTTATTATTTATGGAATATGGAAGTTGTAGATGAAGATATGATGAGACTTGAAGAAGATGGAAGTTGGAAAGTTGAAGATGACAATGAATCTTCAAGTTATAAAGTTGAACATTACCTCGAATTGAAGATGAAGAAGTACTTCAAGGACCACTTCAAGAGAGTGAATCGAGGAAAAGGATTTCAGGGTGAAGAAGATCAAGAACTGAATTGATGGTTTTAAGGTAAAGCACTGAATTGATGGTTTTAAGACAAACAAGATGAAGATAATGGAAGAAGACTTTTCGATTTGAAGAACAAGTAGAGGTAAAACCTTCAAGATAGTGGTTTGAAGATGGTTCTAAGAAGAAGATCAAGACCAAGATGGTTCTAAGAAGGAGATCAAGATTTGAAGATGAAGACATGGATTTGAAAAAAGAACGGTAAAGAAGAAGACTTGAAGAAGCCTTGAAGAAGAAGACTTGAAGAAGAAGACTTGAAGAAGAAGACTTGGAGATAAGAGAAATGCTTCTAGTTGAAATGAGCAGTGGTGCCCACTTGGTCGTGTCGATCGAAAGTTCCTTAGACTTGTCCAAAACGTCGTATTGCAGATTTGACGAAAAGGGACTTGTGAATGAAGAAGACGATGACTTGAAGGGACTTGGGGATGGTGACTTTGAGGTAAAGGCAGGATGAAGACTTCAAGAATGGGAATAAAGATGGAGTTCAAGTGGTTTGGAGAGGAAACAAAGATAAAGGCGTGAAGACTTGAAGATAAAGACTAGATGAAGTCTTGAAAGTGAAGATGTGAAGATAAAGAAGGTGAAGAGGATGACATGAAGAAGGTAGGCTTCAGATTTGAAGATGAAGACATGAAAGTGAAGAAGAAGGTTTCAAATTAAAGGTTTTAAGTGATTGGAAGAAGATGAAGACAGGATAAAGACAATTATGAAGACGTGAAGGAATGGATTTGAAGAATTGAAAAGGTATATAAAGAAGATGGACTTTGAGGTGAAAAACTTGAAGTTGATTACTTGTAGATAAAGAAGGTGAAGATGAAGATATAGACTCGAAGTTGAAGACTAGGTGATTTGAAGAAGAAGCTAAAAAATGAAGGCTTCAAGATGAGGACTTCAAGTTGGTGACTTGAAGATCAAGATGGGTTAAGGACTTGAAGAATACATGAAGATAAGGATTGAAGATACTGTAATGTTTAAATGTCCTGGACTGCTGGTTTGGATGGATTTGGGTGAACATTCAAATGAGAGTGAATGGTTGGCAAGAAGTGCTCAATTGGATGGAAACGTTTCTTTCTTAAGGTATGACGTTCAAAAGTGAACGAACGATAAGTGATTGATGAACTCATTTTGAGGGAAAAGTCTTCTTTCTTAAGGTATGTCTACCTGAACTTTGAGGTGTTTTTGGAAATCAACAGACTGAATAGCTTATCTATCATATCGTCATCGTTCAAACGAAGATGGAATGGGAGATTGGCGAATCTGAACACTTTCAGGGATCTAAAGAGATGGCTTCATTTCAAAGAGAACAGTAAGCTTTTGAGTAAGAGCTCTTTGGTTCTTCCTTTTCTGTACCATCCATTACTCTTCAAATTAGACATCTCTCTGGAATGTCTCATTACATCGTTCTGAATTGTACGGCTTTAGAGAACACTCTAGGTTGAAATTGACTTCGTTTTCCCCATTTATCATCAACAATCTTCCAATTCTTGAGTCATGGGGAGTCATTGGCTTATCAGTAGATGCACTGATAAGAGATTGATCTGGACGTTTCTGGCTCTCAGAAGCTCAATTCGTGGTGGTTTACGGTGAAATTCATCCAAACCAGAGCTTTACTGGCTTGAAAACGCCAGACAAATTTTCATAAAGAAATTTTGGGAATTGGTATGGGAATTGGCGGATTTCGTCGGTATACCTGGTGGAAAAGACCCGTACACCAGCTTACCCCAGGCCCATAAACCCTCCGCCAAAACCGCCAAATTTGGACATTTTTAAAATTTTAAAAGCTTCAGTAGGTAGCTAGTGATGTCTAGAGTACGCTGGTGGTTTTAGATTTTCAATTGTGTTACTCAATCCCGAGATATATGGAATCTCAGTTTCCCATACTTAAGGCCCCAAAAAGCACCAATATCCATAATAACAGACGCCACGCTTAACCTCCCCTTCCCAAACTTCCTCTACATCATCTCCTGCCACCTCTGATTCCCCCTGAAATCCCCAAATTCCTTTCCTTCCCACCATCTTCCCCCAATTTGCCAATCCCCCAAAAAATACCCCAAATTCACCTTCTACGTCCCGTATCTCCACCAATTTACATCCAAAACAGCCCAAAACAACACCAAAATCAACTCCAGCGTCCAGGCTTTCACCTGAAACACTCTGCGTCTCTCTAGGACACCCCCTTCCGCTGCTTCCATGCTTTCCTTCATTTCCTGCCAAATACGTCCATGCACAGATTCCAAACGGTGTAGACACCCTGGGGCGGTTAAAATTCAAGGAGAGCTTCATCCAGCGGGTAATTTCATGAGACTTGACTTGGCTGTTTTTGGAAAGCAGAGTTTGGGTTTGTGTTTAGCCCTTTGTGCTTTGGGGTTGCACAAACAGAGATTTTGAGATATCTCGAGACTGAGCGAAGCTTTGAGACGGGGGTTTCTGGGATGGAAAGAGGTGGTTTAGATGATCCTACTGACCAACTTTCAGGTACTTTCGACGACTTTTGGGCATTCTACGTCGACTTGTTGGTGGATTTCGCAGCCAGTGGTGAAAGCCTCGGTAAAAGTGCCCTGGGCGTCGGAATTTCGCTGGTTTTTTTGCATGGTAGGCGGGCCGCCCACTTCCACAATGTCGTCCACTTCTTTCCTATTTAGTTTCTTCCCTTTTTTGTTTGTTTTAAGTGGTATAGTGTAAATTTTTCTTTGGATCAATGGTTTGTCCTGCATGTAAGAACGCAAGCCATTCCCAATAAAAACCTTCCTAATGTGCAACACAAAATGTCCACTTCCCATGCACCATTACCGCTTGCTCTACGGTTGCAAAAGGCAAATGTGAAACGGTTAGACTTGAAGAAAACGTCGGGAAAATAAGGACGTGGTGTGGGCTTGTGTGCAGTACTAACATCTGAAAAAGGAACTTTCGTCCTGCACCTCGGCATTTCACGTGCACACACAAAAATGTCAGTGTGTATGAAAGAATCAACCGTTACGTCACAAAATTCGTATTAAACAAACCGTATACGTGTAGGAAAGGAATGTCTCTCTGTCCTGTGTGAAGCAGGTTGAGGTCCAGGTTCAGGAGGTTAAACTATGGCGTGTGAAAGAGGGACAAGAAGTTTATCCGGCCAAGATAATCCAGCGGGGCAAACGAGAGGGGCCAGGAAAAAACGGCCGGATCAATTGAGGGGTACCAGCAGAAAAAGAAATAAAAAAGAAATGCTGTTTTTCCGGCGGTTCCAAAAACACCCACCAACCTCCAGCGCTCCTTCAACTACACTATACAACACTCCGATAAAGCCTGAAACTAGGAGTGGCTGCGTCTCATACACGAAGAATCTAATGTGAAAAATCGCAACCTCATCTGGACCGCGCGTAAAGAAAAAAAAAAAAAAATGCATCCCAATTAGGAAGGAGGGTTATATGCAGGTGGCAAAGGACTGAAGTCGATCTAGAACTAAATAGCCGGCCCTCCCACCAGTGGCAATAAGCAGAGGTGTAGCTTACGTAGGGAAAGGCCACCCCGGGTATGGACGTTTGAGGTGGGAGGCACGTGGGGGAAAGAAAATGAAGGTACTGTTTTTTTGTGGATAAAATCACGTGACCTCATCTATGTCTTACCTGCAGTACCGAACAACCCGTAATTCATACAGCCGTTTCCAAGAAAGCTTCGGATTCAAAGAAAAAATTATTCCAAGACATTGTTGGATGGAAGGCCTTGGCGATGAGCTTGTAGCCGTGGAAAAAAAAGTAGAAGTGGTCGAGGGAAGAATTGGGTGGATGGAAAAGGTGGGTGGTATAGACCCGTACACCACATATATAGTGGTTTTCCAAAGAAAAGTTGGCATATTCTTAAAGGGAAGTGAAGGTGGAAAAAATGGGTGTTCTTTTGGGATTATAGTCGGTTTTGGGAAGCCTTGGAGAGTAATTTGGTCTTTTTTGGACGTTTTTGGCGTTTTTGGGTGGCCTTTAAGTGGCTGCGAAAAGACATAAAGTGTAGTTTCGGAACTTTTCAGTGAATTTCGAAGAAACGAAAAGGTTTCTTAATTTTGGAGTAACCAGGGGATTTAGAGATGGATGAATTTAAGACTCCTCGATTTTGGGCTCTTTTTGACCGTTTTTCGTGCTTTTCTGGCGGATTCGTTGGCCCAATTTGAGTGTTCACCAACATCAACAGCCAATTCGTCAGATTTCCATCTTTTTTGAAATTGCTTTCAATTCTCATGTTTTTCTAGAGGTCTAGTTTCCTAAGAGTTTCTTTTTCCTTTCATTTTGGCACGTTTACCTCAAAAATCACCAACCTTCTGGAACCTCATTGGCCAATGAAAAGGACCAATCTAACACTTCCCTTTTTCCGTCTTTTACCTTTAAAACAACTCAAAACCAAGGATTCCTTGTTCTTTAGACAAATCAGCAAAAACATACATCTCTTTTTTTTTTCTTGAAGCTCCAAAACAGACCCAATTGATCAACCCTACTTCTCATATTGTACCCACTCGTCTTTCCTGACTGTTCCTGGCTTCCCTGGCTAAACCACAATGTCTAAGCGTTCCAGTAAATTCAATTGATTGTATATTTATCCAAAAGATGTTCTCCCTCTGCCTATTTTGCCCAAACAGATCCTGTTCACATCAACCACTAAACATAAATAAGACACACTCTAGTGACTAGCAAGTAACGAAGCAGCATTAACAAAAAGCAAACCACGACTTTCTTCAATTAAATTCAAAACCCTCTCATCAAAGAAAAATGGGCGCTACAGTCAGCAGTCTGTCTTTTTGGTTAACACAAGCAGAATGAACACCGCTGTCAATTTCGTTCCAGATATGCCTTCAGCTCTTCGAACGTACCATCTGATCCCTTGGTTTCAAGGCAAAGATACTCCAAGTTTGAAAAGTATCCTTAAAGAGGTATGTGATGGCCAGAAACATCAACTTACCTTGTGGTCTTTTCAAGAAAAACGTTGCCAAATTGATTTTCTAATGCCATCTTCATTCCTCATCAACATATACTCCTTCTATTGAAAGATACCTGTTGGGTTGTTGTTTATGGTGGAAAGACATAATAAAGACATAATAAAGACATAATAAAGAGTTCAATGAGGAGCTATGAAAAGTAGGAAATCTGGACGAGTATAAATGGTCGTCATCCTAAACTGGTCTTCCCACCAGTAAGAGTTGACCTGACATCAAGACCACTACTAAGCATAAGGTAAAGGTACTCCACTGAGTAGCAAGTAACGAGCCAGCATTAATGAAAACGAAGAAGAATCTTCTTCTGAAGTACTGTTGAAATTACCACTACTTCTTAAAATCGAATCCATCTCTATTCCTCATTAAAGGAGTATAAGCATCATAGATACTGAAGCGCAGTCAGCTCTTATCATTATTCTTGTACTCCCTGGTGCCAGTTCATACTTCTCCTTTTCATAGTTAGCTTTCACATACGCCGAGTCACAGGCCTGGGTCGCTTCTGACTCGTCAATACGTCTTCCATAGATCAAGTCTTTAAGCCCAGAAGATCTTAAATGGTACGACGCCCAAAACGAAAAACATGGCATCCATCAGGTTTTAACTAGAGCTGTCACATTCATTTACTGGAAGGAGGAGCCTTCTGCTACCAGAATATCTGACATACTCCTTTTAGTAGACGATCTGCTAATACTAATATACTTACCTTCCCAAAGGACAGGCACCAACTGAAATAGGTGTATTTTGGTTTCCTGATTTTACTTGATTCCCCTAGAAAAAAAATAATTAAAAAAAAAACAGGAGAATGAGCCTCCTTAGGTATATATGCTCTGGGTAGCACTGAATGTCCATTTGGAGTGAACACTTCCACCAAAACCTCCAACGACGTCAGAAAGAATCTTTAACGATAAACAGACTCTTATTTAGCCTTTGAGTAATAAATAGAGGAAAGCAGAACCCACCTCTGGACGTCCTTATCACACTTCCATGGACCATACTCTTCCCCAGCCACTTCTCCATTACCCTCCACCCAACTCCCCCAAAAACCATCAAACCACCACCAAACTCCCACCAAACAACCCAACCTGCCCTCCAAACACACCCACAAACTCTCACCACCGTCTCGTCTCTCTATCCCTCACAACCTCCCTTTCCTTCCTCTCCATCCTCAATCCTCACCAAAATCCACCAACACCATCACCAACCCACGCCAGCGCCAAAGAAACCCTCCAAGTCCTCCAAAATCCTTTTCTTCAAACCTCAAACGATCCACAGCTTTCATTCTTTTTTCTCCAAAGATCTTCCCCCACCCAATCTCTCAACATCCAAATCCTTCCATACTCAACCACCAAACCTCCCTTTTTCACACCCCCAACATCCCAAAAACTCCCCAAACCACCGTAAACAGTTTCCTTCCAGCCTCCCCCATCCACCTCCCTCTTCCCCTTCTCTTCCCCTTCACTTCCCTTTGTTTACCTTTCGTCCCGATCCGGTAACAACATCGAATCACCTCCAGGTCCATTCTTCTACCCATTCTTCCACCTCCTCCTTCCATTCTTCATGTCTGAATTATCCCGTTCTCCGTTACGCCCCGCTGCCAGCAACAGAATCATCTCAGAGTCCACAGGACTATGTAAACTTCAACTCTCCCCTAAAAGAGAGAAAAGACATGTTTTACAGCACCAACTGAGTCTGCCCAAGATAACCAGCAAACGGCTGCTTCTCCAGGTCCAGCCTGCCCAGCCTGCCCAGCCTGAGCCGTCTAGAAACGACCTTTTAACGAAATACGCCCAGAAACAGGCAAAACTTATGGAGTTGGAGAACCAGGCTGAACTAGTCCGGTTTGAGCTCTTGGAGCTTCAGAGTCAACTTCAAACTACAGAGAGAGAGTTACCCTTTACCAATGAAGTGAAAAACTTAAAGAAAAAAGTGTCTACGATGTTCCAGCAGGCTCCACAGGCGCCAGCGTTACGCAAGAAAGCTTCGAATATCTTTAATTCGCCAGAACCAGCAGCTTTAAAGCAAAAAGCGTCGATGGTTTTCAATAACCGGTTTTTAAACGACGTCAAAGAGAAAATGGACCAGCAGCAGGCTGAATTCACGAAAAGAGGGTCTGAATTCGCCAGATCCTTCTTGGGGTTCCCTAAGAAGGAAGAGGACAAAGGAGCTACGGCAGATTCGTCGTTTATGTTTGAAAATTTGAATTCCGAACCGGCAAATATCGATAAGTCCATTCTTCTCAGTGAAGAGCTGGACTCTTCGTTGATTGTGGATGCGTACGTTTCTGACGATGAAGATTACGTTTCAGACGAGTCTGTCGTCTACTCGAGGTGTTGGTAGAAGGTAGCGTTTTGGTGAAACAGGTAAAAGAGAGATGCCAGTGAATGCACTGAAAAACAGAAGAGGCTGCTTGATTTGCAGAAAAGGCTTGATCGTCGTTGAATGGCTCCTGGCGGTCCAGGGGAAGATAATAGAATGATATAGATGGAAACAGCTTGCTGACAGGGAAAGAAGGGCTGCTCTTGGTAGCTGAAAGAGTGGAAAGTGATGTATTTATACAGATAATGCTTAAAAGATATATTTCGTTGGAACGTTTGGTGGTTTTTTTCAGTGTAGTATGACAGTAGTAGTTTTTAACCATTAAGGTGAATTAGAAAAGGTGCTTATTTAGAAAGAGTGTGAAGGTTGTCAAAGTACTCTTGAGGAGCTGTTTGGTTGAGAGAAGAAGAAGGGCTACCAGTACAAATACTGATATGGACACTGATGGTACTACTTATACCAATAGTAATAGCAGTAACAATAGTACTACTTATACCTAGTTTAATGCTAAAAGTAATAGTAATAGTAATAGTACTTCTTATACCAAGAGTAATGCTAATGGTGATGCTAATAGTAATGGTTATGCCCGTGGGAATATTATACTTAGTAGTAATACCAATGGTTATACTGATAGTAGTGGTAGTAATTATACTTATGGTAATAGTAATACTAATAGTAGTTCTAATAGTGACAGTTATAGTTATATCGATAGTGATACCAATAGTAATACCAAACGCAATACCTATAGTAGAGGTGTTAGTAATATTAACAAGAACAATAACAATATAATAGTAGTAACAGTAGTAATTCTTATAGTAGTAATTATCCTCACAATAGTACTAGTAATAGTTACAGTTATCCTGGTAATAGTGATAGCAAATCTGATGGTGACAGTAGTAGTACCAACAGTAATGCTAATAGTAATGCCAGCGATAATAGTAATAGTTAATAGTTGTAATACTACTTATACCAATAGTAATAGATATACCAATAGTAATGTATACACCAATAGTGATGCTAATAGTAATAGTAGGAACACCAACAGTAATAGTGGTAGTTTTATTTTATTCTAGTAATAGTGATAGTGGTAGTAATAATAGTAGTACTACTTAACCAATAGTAACAGTTATACCAACAGTCTTGATAATAGTAATGCTAATAGTAATGCTAATAGTAATGCTAAGAGTTATGATAATAGTGATGGTATTAGTAAAATAATAAAAGTTGATAGTAGTGGTAGTAGTAGTAATACCAAAAGTAATAGTAGTAGTAGTATTAATACTTTCTATACCAATAGTAATAGTTATACGTATGGTTATAGTAGTAGTAGTAGTAGTAGTAGTAGTAGTAGTAGTAGTAGTAGTAGTAGTAGTAGTAGTAGTAGTAGTAGTAGTAGTAGTAGTAGTAGTAGTAGTAGTAATCAAAGTTAGTAGTAATAGTAGAACTACTCATACCAATAGGAATAGTCATACCAATAGTAATGCTAATAGTAGTATAAGTTGATAGTCCAATTGCTAGTAATAGTAGTATCTCACAGAACAGATATAGTAAAAGGACCACCACCGCTAACGCTAACAACGATGTTGGCTGTATCTGACGGTCGTAGTAGAAAGTGTAGTATAACAGAGAGCTCAATTGGTAGGCCTCTTAGTGATTAACCAGTATACCTCATTGGATGCTTCCTTAAGAGGAATTAATAGAAAGAGGCATATACCAAATCAATATGAGTCTCTTATCTATTTATAAGTATACTAAACGTTAGAAAAAACAAGTTTTGGACTTATTATAGAGACTTCACTCCAAAGTACTTGCCTGGAAGACAAGCAGTAGTTGGATAACACAACGCTAAGCCACCAACTACCAGAACCAATATCTGTTATCCTGAAATCTCTATTAACCCTTTCTCAACAAATAACATCAGAATCTGTTCTCCTTAAAAGGGCTTTAAGTAGCTATAGACATCTTTTGAGCCAATAGTAGCACAGGGTGAACTGCCTGGCTCCAAATACAACCTTCACCAAGTCTCAAATCACCCCAACTTCTACACTGTCTAAACCAATCATAAATTAATAAAACATCCTCTTCATCAGGTATCTATGGGCATTTGGGTATGTAGAAGTACAAACGCTGGGTACATTAAAAGCGTGGTGTCTACTCCTCCTTGCGGTCCTCGTCGAGCCAGCCCTTGGCTCTGTCGACGGCCTTTTCCCAGCGCTTCCAGTTCTTTCTTCTTTCGGAATCCGCCTGGACGGCGGTGAACTTGTTGGTGTCACCGTCTTTAGCGCTCAACGACTCAATCACATCGTCAAAGTTCTTCCACAAACGGTCGTTTTCGTCCTTGAGGCCAAGACCAGCGGCAATGGCGGCTCCCAAGGCAGTGCACTCGGCGTTCTCGGCTCTCTTGACACCCACACATGGTCCAAGAATGTCTGCTTGGATTTGGAGCACCTCGTCGGCCTTGGACATACCACCGTCAACGTTTAAGGTGGATAAGGGCGACTTTTCAGACTGAGAGCTCATGGCTTCTTCTAAGAAATCCTTGGATCCACCGGCATCTTCAGCCATGGCCCTCAAAATAGCACGAACCTGGAAACACACACCTTCCAACGCAGCACGAGCAATATGAGAAGATGATGTGTACTGGGTCATACCGAAAATGGTACCTCTGGCGCCACGGTCCCAGTAAGGAGCGTAGAGACCTGAAAAGGCTGGAATGAAGACAACACCGCCTGAGTTATCCACCTGCGAGGCCAAAGGACCGATATCCTTGGCGTTATCAATAAGCTTCAAGTTATCTCTCAACCACTGGATAATGGAACCAGCAACAGCCACGGAACCTTCTAATGCAAAATGTGGTTTTCCGTCTTCGCCCTTCAAGTTGGGGAACCAGAAACCGAATGTGGTCAACGCACCGTGGTCAGAAATCAACTTTCTCGTACCGGTGTTGTAAAGAAGGAAACAACCAGTACCATAAGTACATTTAGCCGAGCCTGGCTTGACAGCCATCTGGCCGACCAACGAGGCAGACTGGTCACCCAAACAGCCGCAAATAGGAATGTTGTAGATGGTTTTCAACATATCGTAAGCGTCCTGGGTGATTTTATTGTGGAAACCCAAGTTGGAAAGGTTAGGAGCGGCAAACGAACCGTAGTGTTCAGAAGAAGACACAATCTTCGGGAAATGGATTCTCTCCGGGTCAATGTCCCAGAAATCAAGCAATTCCTCGTCGTAGTCGTGGGTTTCCAAATTCATAAACGACGTTCTGGAAGCATTGGTCACGTCAGTCACATACGACCGTTCCTTCGTCAAGTGGTAAATCAACCAAGTGTCCACGGTACCAAACATCAAGTTGCCCTCGCCAGACTCGTACTCTTCACGAATGGTATCGTCATTGTCCAAAAGCCATCTCACCTTGGCTGCACTAAAGTAAGTCGACAAGGGCAACCCAGTCTTAGCGTGCATGGCGTCCTTGGTCTCCTGGTCGGTCATGTGCTCCAAATGCTCCACAATCTGAGCCGTTCTGGTGTCTGTCCAGGTGATACCGTTGCACAACGGCTTACCGGTCTTCCTGTGCCATATAAGCGTAGTTTCTCTCATGTTGGCAATACCAATGCACTTCACCTTGTACTTGATCTTGATATCTGGGTTCTGGTTGATCTTACGCAACGTGATAAGACACGCCACCAAGCACTCCACGGCGTTGGCCAAAATGTGCACTGGCATACACTCGACCCAGCCAGGCTGGGGGAAACGAAGCGTAGGACCCAACGACGCTGCGTTGTTTTCAATCTCCACATTGTCTGTAATCAGAATGGCCACACCTTCAGCGGTGAAAATCGGCTCGTTGTGACGAGCAAGCGACGATCTACGACGGTACTGGTCAGTGTTCAGCGACGACTCTGGAGCCTCAGAGGCTGAAGTAGAGTACTCGATCTGGTGCTTGGCGACTTCAGTGCCGTCTTTGGCGAAAAGGATACATCTTGCCGAGGTCGTGCCAATGTCGATAGTGGCGACGACAGGGTTAGACGGAGCGTTCGACGAGCGACGAGGCATGCTGGGGCGAGTTGGAAGGCTTGAGTTGAGTTTTGGAGGTGGAGAAGTTTGGAAAACGGGAGGTATGGGTTTTGGGCGGCCACAGTAGATGAAAAACAGGCGTGGCGGGTCGTTGCAGGCGAGATTGAGTGGTTTGGCAGCCTGTGGAGGGAAAGAAGGGAGTAGGTGGGAGAAGAAACGGTGGAAATTATCAAGACTTTTGAGGCTGGTCGCGAAAGGTTGCGAAACGACCAGCAAGCGAGCGTGACGGGGCGAGGCGCTGGGAAAGTATAGGAAATATGGGTACCGTTGGAGAGAGAAAGAAGAGGGGATTCTAGTGGTGTTGTTTATATTAATTTTGGACCATTAATGGGGGAGTTACATTGTCTAAGACACGTTCTCCACGCATTGTGAGACTTTCCTAGTGAAAGCCCAGCGGAACACCGAAATGCCAATTTAATTACGTCGTTTGAATAGCATTCTCTTAAGCAAAGAAAGACCTTCCGAACCCTGTTTTTCCCATTGAAATTGCTATTTTCTGGCACCGTCTACGCCGCTTTCCGTGTCTATTGCTGGAACTTCGCCTAGTGAAAAAAAATGGCTGCAAACCAGAAAATGGCTGCAAACCGAGGAAGAAGACGCAAAACCGGAATAGCAAAAGAGACAAGCGGGAAATGGACGAAAGGAGGAAAAAGGTTGGAAAATGGAGCGTCCTGATTGGTCAAAACGTGGTGGTTGCATTCTGCTGGGTTTTCTGTGCTGTTTCTTTCGAGAAAGTTTCCCTGGGCGTGGTTTTCATTGCTCAGTGGCTTGTTCATACTTTGATTTGCAAAGCCTTAACGTCTTTTCGTCGAGAAAAGGAAGTGTAATTTTGGGAATCTCTCGAGATGCCTCTTTTGAAGGTGTTTTTTGTTTTTTGGTCTTTGTTTCTTCGTGTGGAGATATCTGGGGAAACCGTGGGGAAACTGGGGCACGCAAGTGGTTCTTATTGGCTGGAGGAAGGTGGAGGGATATGGAGGAAGGGAAGGTTTTGGGGGAGCAAAGGGAAGTGTAGTGGATTTTGGGTTGGAGTTTGGGAGGTTTAGGAAGGTTTGGAGGTGAAGGGGGTGGTGGTTTATGGAAATTAGTGGTGGTTTATGGAAATGAGTAGTGGTGAAGGAAGAAGTGGAAAGAGGATGGAAGGGGCGTAGTGGGTGGTAGAGGCTTGTTTATGTAGATTCTCTGGTGCTATTAGAGTGAATTGAATCCTTATTTAGACGTCATTTGGTGGTGTTTGGTTATGCTGTTTGCTGTAGATGCTTAAATACCAGTAATGGCCAGTAATGACTCAGGAACAGGCTGAATTTGGTTCAAAAGACATCAGACAAGAACTAGAAGGATCAAGAGACTCAGTAGTATCTTCCTATTCCCTCTGTATATCACCTTCTGGCCGTTTTGGTCCTCCTGGTCCTTCTTCCTTCTTCTCTGTTAACCTTTCTCCCACCAGCCCTCCTCTCCTACAACTACCTTTCTAAATGAATTTCTAAAACATGCTAAGTTTCCCTCTCCTCTTGAAGCTTATCTTTCAGCTACCCTACGGCTGGCGCCGGGCCTTTCAGCCCGTCTGCCCCGTGCTTTTCCAGAGACGCCCACGTCTCCATGCTTAAATATACGTACCCGATGGTTCTAATATGCTCGACAGTGTGTGATGCTAAATCTGGTCGCCGTCCTTGAACTCCTTGCCCTTGACGAACTCCAAGTGCTCTCCGTGGTAACTGGTCAACCCAGAAACCTCCACAAAGGCACCTTCAGGAACGATACCGCCGTTCTCTCTGACCCACTTGGTGCCCAACTCGAGGAAATGCTTCTTGCATGTGAGAGCATTGTCGTTGGCAGCAGAGGTGTTGTTCTTCAACGGACTGAACTCCTCGGCTCTTTCCACCTCCAAGCATCCAAACTTGTCCAAATTGACCGAAGGGAACACATCGAAAATAAACTGCTCCAATTTCACACCGTTGGGTTCTTCTGGCTTGACAAACTCGCCCGTTTTCAAATCAATAGAAGGAATCTTCTTCTTGGCAATATGGAACGGCAAGTGCTCCTGGGACGAAGTCCACTCGTCCAACATCTCTTCAAGCAAACCGACCGAGTAGTAGTGGTTCACAATGTTGGCAGCACGCAAGTACAACTTGGAAGAGTCCTTAGGATCGGGCTTTTCGGTCAAATCCTTGGAAATCTCACTGTACTCAATCACACACGGTCTCTGGCTCTGTTCTTCCAAAACAATAAGCCCCACCAGCTCAGCGGCGTCTCTCTTTCTCACGGCCTTGGTGGCCAACAGGAAATCACGCTCAATGGCGAAACCCAAGAACAACGGGTCGGCAACCTTGACAAGACTGTTATCCACACAGTACATGTGAATATGCTTGATTTTCTTAGCGTGGAAATCGTCCAAAAGACGAGCCTTGATGATGGCCTTATAAAGACCGCCGTTTCCATCTGGAGACTCGCAAATCGACGATCTCGAGTTCATCAAGATCTTCGACCCGTCCAAAGAGAAGCACGGCAACGTGCCCTGGTTGAAGAACGTGATCTGGTCGCTCTGCAACCCGAAATGCTCCATCTTCTCAAAGTGCTTCTCGGTAGCCTCTCTCGTAGGTCCAGAAGTCATAATGTACCACTGCACCTTAGGTTCCAGCTCAGGGTACTTCTCCTTGGCCAACTGCTGCACCTTCAAGATCTTTTCCGCCTGGATCTGAAACAACGTCTTCCCGAGGGCAACCCAATATCGTAGCATCCCTTTGGATCAGAGCAGCCCAACCGAGTGCCCTGGCCGCCAGCCAATAGAAGCACAGCTACTTCGTTCCTGGCAAGCGCCTCCAAGCCAATATCGAACCAGCGGTCCAAATGCTCCTTTGTCTGTTCAATGGTGGACGAAGTCAGTTCATGAGGAAGCTGAGCAAACGATTTTTCACCAGCACCTTTGGAATACTGGATAGCCTGTTCAACCGTCAGAACAAGCTTTTGTGGATCATCAATGGCCAAAAGCTGTTTCTGGAGGTGTTTTTGTTCGTCCAAGGAAAGGGCGTCGAAGTTGGCGAAGAGGTGGTTTTGGCCTGCTTTCTTGAATGCGTCCATTTTGAAGAAATGAAGAAAGGGTGGAAAAAAGGCCAGGTTTATGGATACTTTGGAATGGATAATTATAGCTTTTGGGCGCGAAAAACCATGTAATTTATCGAATCGGGAAACCGCCAAAACATGCGGTCTGCAGAGAAGCAGGGCCTGGCCTGGCTGTCGTGGTTGGGTTATCTCGGGGTCTAGAGCAGCTGTGGAGATGGGGATTGCACGGTTGTAATCAGGGGAGTCGGTTTCGGAGGTGGATTTTTTTTGCAGACAATTTTGACCAAAAGGTGGCCATTTAACTGGGGGTTTCTCTTCCTGACGCTTGCGACTGCGCCAGCGGCTGATGATGCATAGGGTCCAGGCACGGTAGAGAATGGACGTGGAGCGTCAGAGGAAGACAAGGATAGTAGTGAAAGCGTGTCACTTTGGGTTTCAGGCCTGGCCGGGCCCACGGGGGCTCAGGGGGCGTCGGCAGGTTTAAGGTTTGAATTTGGTTTGGGCCAGGTTTGGAGATCGGGTTAGGAGCCCTGGCCTCACAGGCGATGGAAACCTTCGGTTGCTGTCACTTTACGAATAAGGTGAAGTGGATGAAGAATAGAGGAAGCTTAGGGTGGGTAGAGAGTTGAGGAATTAGTGGATTTGGTGGGAATGTAAAGGGTGGAAAAGTGACGATTTGGTAGGTGCTTTTTTTTTTTTTTTTTTTTTTTGCAACCATATGAATTTGGTCAATTCTTGATAAGTCCCAGGATCTTCTGTTTCCCTGTTGATCTTCCCATTCTTTGGCGTCCTTCTGGCTCTTCAGACGCGTTCTATTGTGGAAAGGTGTCGTTTTGTTGTAGAAAAGTGGCTCTTGTTTGGTACATGTCGATGCTTCCACCTGCATTATGGTGAATAAGAAGAAGCAAAGAGTAGTTCAGGGCTTTTAGACGTGGAAGGCTCCAGGTCGTCTGTTTGCATAATTGACGGTTTAGTGGTATTTATCATCGAAGAGCTGTTAGGAGGATATTTTTAGGGATGGGTCGTCGAAGAGTTGGAGTTGTATCTAATATGAGTTCACTTACTATTCTGAAGAAACTTAGTTCTCATCGTCCTTCCAGATAATCAACTATAGAAGGCTTATTGGTAATGATGAGCCTACCATTGACGTTTATTTTGAATCCTTTACTGAGATAAAAGTACCCAGATACTGGTGGTTTGTGTCATGACATGAATATACATATCTACAGCCAGGAACCATCAAATACCAGTAAATCTTGATCCTGATATTCCTAAAGTTGCCTTAAATATTATATTGTGATGATATTAAGCATTATTTCATAAGAGGCACGTTCAAAGACAGATCCAACCCTACCGTCCAAATAAGCACGACAAATATCACCAGTACTTACCATAACCTTCAAAAGCCCTGGAACACTTGAACTCTGTCTTATTTGAAAAGTTCGTTTTGTGTCTCAAGGGAAAGATCGGTTGTGGTCTTTTTTGTGCAACTTGAGAGGAGTGACTGGTAAGTGTCTCTTCTTGGAGTACTCAGGAAGTAGACAACTTACGCTAACGAAGTCAGAGGAAACATAAAGATATGAAAGAAAGCACACAATTGGACTTTAAAATGGAGGTCGTTTAGGCCTGGTTTAGTCTTTTTTAATGGTTTTCCAAGGCTGAAGAGTGTTTTAGTAGAACTGGTGAAGAGCAGCTACTACAAAGAGACAGACACAGTTAAAGAACATAAATCCTGAAAAGAAAGTGCTTTCACAGAGGAGGTGTTTTCAACAATCCAGGGGACCCAATAAGCCCGATTTTCCAATATCCCAGTGTCCTTTCAAGAAAGAAGCCTTCCAGTAAACTCCTCTACTGGTCCATATCAGGCAACACTACTTACGTCAATCCACGTAGAAAACCGTCCTCCAAGTTCCAAAAAAAGCCTAGTCAGAACCTAAAAAAAGACATTATCCGAACCTTTCCCACCTTTTACTTCCCTAGACGTCACCATCTCTACATCAACTCCACTTCCATATCTACTCAGTCCACTAAGTACTTCCCAAGCCAACCTCCACCAACCACAAAGTCCATCCAAAGAAGAATCCCAAAAATTCTAGAACCTCAAATTCCAGAACCTTAAATTCCAGAACCACCAATTTCCATGCTTCATCCGACCTTGTGATACTTTCCCACTTCTCACTTCCCACTCCCTCCTCCCCAACCTCCATAAATAATTGGTCCGTCTTCGGTCACCCAGTTACGCTATTGGGACCGCCAGCGACATTTTCCCACCGGCAAGAGGGCCGCCTTATGAACCGTCTGGTGGTCCCGGAACTCGCTGAGCGTGTTTTGTTTACATACTTAACCGCCATGCCTCGTGTGGACGTCTTAAAACGGTTGTTCTTTGATTTGCCCAGGATGGAGTGTTTATGAGATGAGTTCCGGGAGACCACAAAGAGGGAGATTAGGGAAGGGAAGAAGAAGTTTTAGCCTCGTGGTCGTGTAAACAAAGAAGGTGGCTTGGACAGTTGGACAGTTGGTGGAGTTTGTTACACAAAACAGTAAGTGAAGAAGGGAAGGAAGAAGGAAGAAGGAAGGAAGAAGGGATGAAGAGAGGAATAGAAGGTAAAGTAAAATGTAGACTTGGACCGTCTTTTCAGTTGTTGTTTAAACTCTTACGCTATTATCTTGCCTATTGTCATGTATCGAAGAGTATGAATTCTTGGCTGACAGCTTCTACAAAGACATTAACAAATTTGTACATTGAATATGAGCGGCCTCTGGCCATAGCATAAAAGCAATTAAAGTTTCAAAGTTTCAAGGGTCAGAGCCCGGGACTGTCGAATTAAACCATGAGAGCAACGATAGAACCCACAACAGAAGACAAAATCATGCCTGGGGTCAAGTAGGAGGCAGCAGCACCCTCGGAAGAAGAGCCAGAGCCAGAGCCAGAACCAGAACCAGAAGAACCAGAACCAGAACTCTTGGAGTTGCCGGAGCTCTTGGAAGAACCGGAAGAAGAAGAAGCAGCAGAAGAAGAGGTTGGCGAGGAACAGTTGAAGTTGTGGCCCTTGATCTTCTTGTTGTCGTGCAACTTGACGAATGGCTTACAAGAAAAGTCCTCATTCTCGGAAGAAACGGAGAAATCACCGTCAACCTCCTTCAATTCTGGCAAAGTGAAGTTGCCAAAGTCACCCTTGATGTTGATGGCACCCTTGACGGTCTCCAAAGAAGAAAGCTCAATGTCCTCCAACTTGGAGTTGTTGAAAATACGAAGCTCACCGTCAATCTCGGTCAAGTTGTTCATGGAGAAGGAAGACAACTCGTCGTTGGCAAAGATCTGGAGAGAAGAACCGACGCTCTTCAAGTTGTCAAAAGTAACCTCGTCGAAACCGTTGTAAGCGAGCTGGAAGGAGCCGTTGACGTACTCCAAGTTGTCAATAGACAAGTCACCAACGTCCTGGATGGTCAAGTTGGCAGCCCAGATCAAGTTCTCCAACTTGACAGTGGCATTGTCGGAGTTGAAAGACAAGGTCAAGCCCTCAGAAACAGTCTTAAGGCCAGACAAGTCGATGGAAGTGACGTTCTTGTTGTTGTTGATGTTCAACACGCCAATGTTGTCAAACTGCAAAAGCTTGTCAACAGAAGAAATGGCAGTGTCAGACAAGGTCAAGGAGCTGACGTCAGCAAGGCCCGAGTTCAAGTTAAGCGAGGAGAAGGAAGGCAAGGAGATAAAAGCCAACTTCTTAGCCTTTTGCAACTGGTTGAACTGGATAGCGTGCAACTGAGTCAAAGCGTCAAACGACAAGGAACCCGTGATGTTGCCCAAACCAGAAAAGTCAATGGCAGTGATGGACGACGAGTTGAAAATGTTAATGTCACCCTTGACGGTCTGGACCTGGCCCAAGTCAAGGTTACCAATGGCATCACCAGTGATTTCAATGGTTCCGTCCAAGGTTGGACAGGAAGCGAGGTCAGAAATGGCGGAGGCAGCCGAGATGGTGGTGGAAAGCGAGCACTTCTGGGAAGAAGAGTCAGCGGCGGCCACAAGGCCGGCCACACCTAAAACGAGGGACTTGAACAACATGATGAAGAAAGAAAGAAGGGTAGGAAGAAAGTGGTGGATTTGGCGCAGATAAATGGTTGCGAAAACGAGCTTGACAGCGACATTCTGCATGTAGTGGCGAGGTGACAGCGCGGTCACGTGATATACATATACAGTTTCACTTCCATTCCGAGGGCATTACCGGGGGCGCGCCGTCAACAAACAATCAAAAAAAAAAAACCGTCCCGGGCGAGAATGCCAGCACAGCCGAGGTGGGCTGTGACAGAGCCAAAGGGAGGGAGAGGGAGAGACAGAGAAAGGAAAAGAGGCAGACTAAGTAAGGGCATGTAGTTTTGGATTTCGGTAGATGTTCACTTGGTTTTTGGGATTGGCTGGAAAATTTGCCCAGAAAAAAAAGGCCATGTAAAAACACGCCATGAAATCGAAGGGACGTTTTTTTGGCGGCAGTACAAAAGTGGATGCAAAACGAAGGTGAGGCACAAAAAAAGAGTGAAAAATTCTCTGCGGTGCGCTGAGGCTGGGGCTGGCGGGCCCAGGCGGGCGCCCCGGAAAAGCCAACCATTTGTTGCTGTTTCGACTGAATTTCTGGGTTCTATTCAAGCAAGGACTCTGTAATTTCGTGCGTCCACGTTTTCGTGTGGTCAGGGTGGAAAGTTTGGGGGAAATTGGGGGACAATTGGGGGAAGGGTGGAGGCTTCTGGTTTGGCTGGTTTGGCTGGTTTGGGTGCAAATGGCGAGGCAGGAGAAAAACGAGTAAAAAGAGGCTTCCACGAGAAAGGAGACGTCTTTGAAGGTTAAGGTTATTCGTTCTTTTTTTCTTTCTTTTTACTGTTCAATGTTTTCTTCATTTTCTTCATTTTCTTTGATTTGTTCTTTATTTTCTTCTGTTTCTTCTGTTTCTTAATTTGTTCTTCCTTTCTCTTCTGGTGACGTTTCGTGGTGGCCTGACGAAAACGGATGGCTTTTTTCTCAGTGGCTGCAAAACAGCCCTGGCTGGCATCTGGCACTGGCACTGGTTTGGCTTTGGCTTCTTTCTTGCTGGTTTCTGACATTTTGTTTATTTTTGTCTTTGATCCATTTGGCTCTTCTCTTTTCAAGTTTTTCTCTTTCTATTTATTGATGTTTGGTCTGTGGTGGTTTCTGGTAACTGGCCATTGGATGGCTGGCACTGCCTGGGACTGCCGGGGACTGGTGATGTGGATGGGCAAAAGGGAAGGACAAGAAGTGGCCCGGAAGGCTGAGTAGTCGAGGGTAGATCGATTTGGAAGAGTTCAGATGAAGTGGGAAAGGAATGAAGTGGACGTTTCATGCGTTTATGGGGCCTCGATGGGTAGACAGTGGAGGCAGTGGAGGTAGTGAATAGGGAAGGACAGGAGGATGCTGATGGTGCCATTATTGGAGGCTTGTAGATGAAGTAGATTTGTATTGGGCTGGGTGGATTAGGGAAGGAAGTCAAGAGTAGAATTGGCACTGGTGTATCCATGGTTGATATGCTACTGGACTGGTAGATGTCTAGAGTACTGGTTTCAATTGGCAAGCGAATGAGGTTTAAATTCTATTCTTATTAATATTATTCTGAAGTTTCGATGTCGTTAGGCCTGATTCGTACGGTTTGATAGCAATTGACTGGTTCATCAATGGCTGGTTATTGGATAGTCCTCACCAGCTGGTCTATCTACTCAGTATACTACAGTTCAAGGAAAGCGTAGAAAAAGGAGAGTACTATGTCAATTCACTCTAATGAAGCAATTGCTTGAATAAATAACAATAATTCAATGAGTAAGAGAATTCAAAAGAACCAGCTACATCATAATCGAATCACCAGTAACCAGTAACCAGTTATCATTGAGATCTCTGGACAGTAAGACACCCCAGTAACTCCCCTAACAATCCACCAATTACCAACTAATTCCAACCCAAATAACCAAAAAAAGCACAAAACATGAAACCTTCTATCCCCAATCCCTCGAAATACCTGCTTCTTTCTCCCATCTCCATCTCCTTCCCTCCTCTCCATCTCTCCCTGCCATTTGCAGCCATTTACCCTCACTTCCTGTTTCCTCCAACTCCCCTGCCAAATCACAACCCCCCTCCCTCTGGCCCCCTCGGCCCTTCAAAACACAAACAAACGGCCACATCGTCCCGCCAATACCGGCCCCTTACCAAAAATCACTATTATGATTTGCTCTGGGGCTTTAATTCCATAAAACCGCTGGACAGGAAGACGAAAATGTCGTGGGCATGAAAAAGTGTCAAAATTCAGGCACCGGTCGCGCCAAAATGGCCATTTGCAGCCATTCTTTGTTTTTGGCGTTTGACTTTGGGAATTGGTATTTGGAGTGGAATTGTTTGGCGAGGAAGGGGGAAGGGGAAGGGGGGGTCTCTTAGATAGCTTGAAATTGACCTTACGGCCAATTTCAAGGCCAGTTCAGGCTCTGTCCCTTTGGTGGCTTCGTGCGACATTACCCTCGGTAGGAAAGGCTGTGCTGGAAAGAAGCCTACCGGGCACTGGCGGTTATAGTATGTTGATTTTTCTATTGCTTTATGGCGTGTGGCTTGCTGGGCTGACTTGGGCGGTTGTTTGGTTACTGGTTACTGTGTTGGGCAGGTGGTTACCTGATATGGAGGGTGAGTTTGTAGTGGCTGCGAATATGGATGTTTTGGAGTGAAGCTGGTGGCTGCTTGCCAAGAAAGAAAGATGTGTGCTGCTGGGTATATGACTTCTGTTTTTGTTAGACCGGGAGGGACGAAGACGTAAAGGGAAGGAGACGTAGATGGAAGGAAGGAAGGAAGCAAGGAAGGAAGGAAGGAAGAAGAAGGCAGTGCTCACATGGAGGGTGGAAGTGGAAGGCAATTGAATCATGTCATCTTCGTCTTTGGTTCCTTTTTTGCTTTGTTTTGTTCTCTTTCTGTTGTTTCGTATATTTGCCTTGTGAATTGTCATTAGGTGTACTTGGCACTTGGTACAATTAGACATACATTGTCTGTGCATTAGTCCAGACAAAGTAGCCAATTGCTTGTCGTTTTCTAGAAAATTCTTTAAATTGACATTTATTCTTGTTCGATTAAGAGTCTAATTCTAGCTTCGAGACCTCTTTGGTTGTCACTCTGTCGCCTTTGGTGACATAATTCACACTTACTTGTAGTGTCATACTTTACCTGACCTCCATTTTCTTGCCACTAGATTGCCTTCAACCACTAATTATCACCCCAAATGACGAAACACATCCACCTTCTTACCTCTTTTTCCCCACATATCACCATCTCCATCTACATCCACCTACATCGACAAATCACACTTTTCTGCACAAACCACCCTCTAAACCGCCTCCAGAACGTTCTAGAGACTTCTCTTTTCACACTCGTATCTCTCCTATCAAAATCCAGCCACTCACTACAGCCGTGCGTTACTTTTGCGTTGGTGATGATGCTGACTAACACACAAGGCACAAATACCGCAATGCATCATTACTAGTACAAGGCACAAGAAGAAGCAAAAAAGACGCAGATACATAGAAAGTGGCAAATACTGCTCACGCAAAAAGTACTCATTGGTGGGAAATCCAGGCACAATTAGCTCAGCTCTGGGGTATAAGTAGAAGTCCATTTCTCCTAGTCTATCCATCCTCTCACCATCAAATATCAATCAAATATCAATCAAAATGGCTCCAACTTCCGCTTGCACCTGCTCCCAATGTACCTGTGCCCAGTGCACTTGCTCCAGCGAGTCTTCTTGCCAGTGTTAAAGCATTAGGCTGAGATTACTTGTTTTTTGTTTTTTGTCGTTTTCGTTGCTGACTAGCAATGCTGAACATATAGTGAATGAATGCCTGGTTTTTCAAACAGTTGTAGTCACCAAAAAAGGTCTTTTTCTTTGTTTTCTTTCTACTTTTATTAGGTTTGACATAACGTTGCTTCTGGTTACTTGAACATACATGATCCATATAACGTTTATGGAAGATCTACAAATTTACTCTCCATGTAGTTTCCCCTCGTGAAACCGTTAAACGCCTGATTTTTTAAATTGCAGCCGAAGAAGTATACTTCTGCCGTTTCTCCCCTTCCTTTAATGGCTGCAAAAGACGCTTTTCCACTAATGGAAGCCTACAAACTCATAGAAAACAAGCCAAACCCCGTAAGCCCTTCCTAACACAACCAGTAAAAACACAGTCTAAAACAGCCCTTATCAAAACACCCAAGCACAATATATCCATCCTTCGGTCTCGTCTAGCTTACCTAAATAAGCTTCCACTGCATACCATCGAAGCTGCCAAATCAAGTAAGTACCTGGGAAGATCGTCCATTGATCTATCGTAATTGTAAAAATTCCCGTACCCAAAAAACACCCTTTTTTTAGGTTTTTCAACCAAATCACTTACTTCTCTTTAAATCACCAATTCTCTATATACTCAGTTCCCTAAATACCCCCAAAAAAGTCCAAAATTGGCCTAGAGAGCACCAAAAAACACCAAAATCCTCAGAATCTCCGTCTCTTTCCAAATCTCCTATTTTCTTCGCCATAACAGAAAATCCTTAGTCCCATTGTTACCATAACCCTTCCAGCCCCATTCACTCACATTATGCTCGCTGGAGATCCTCGTGTGCATAAATAACGGCGATCGCGTATTGCCCAAGCAGGGTCCAAGGCAGGCCAAAAAGGGCCAGCCAAATGGGTCAAAATAGCCACAAACCGCCACAAACAACCACCACTACCTTCTCCTCCGCTTCTTTACCACCCCTGGCCTCTTTTTCCGCAATTTCTAGGGCCATTTTGACCCAAAAACCGCTGTTGTTGATTCTGGTCACGTGACTGTTTACATTTCGCCCAATTCGTATCTCCAAACTATCACAACAATCCATCATCTCTCCAATTCCCTGCTCTTCATCCCACAATAGCAATGGCCCATCTGCCTGAGTCGCAGCTGCTTTTGAACGACATGGACGACCCATTCACCCACGAAAACCGTACGTACTCATTCAAGCTCCTTTGGTATCTTCTACTAACTTTCCAGGCTCGGTAGACCTCTTGCTTCAGCAAATGGACCCTGAAGCACTTGCTGCTGACTGTGATACCTCCTTTTCGGCTACGACGTCGCCTACAAAACCACTCAATTTCCCGCAAATGGGACCTTCCAAGCGTAATTTGTCCCTGGGCTCCCATTCACCTAACGATACAGAAGCTCTTGATTTGGCTAGGAAAGAGTTCAACTCCAGCTCAGATACCTACGTTAGTGAAAACAGCGACCGCAACAACGACAACGTTGACTCCTTTGACCGTAACTTTGCCACGGACGCCAACTTCAACAAGACCATCAGCCTGTATTTTGATCCTACCCAGATGGCTAGCCAGATGACCTTGGGCCACCCTGAGGACGACTACGAACGTGCTCCTTCTCCTTCCAGATCCATTATGAAAACATCCACGACGCCGGCTGCTTCTCCCAGGAAAACTGTTGCTTTTCCAGATGCTGATTTGGAGGTGCACCACCATTATCCAGCTGGCGAAAACGAGCTGAGCTCTCGAATCGAAGAAGACTTGCCTCCTCAGATGGCTCATACGTGGGCTGAAGTGCCCAAGGGCGCTTCGGAAAAGCTGGTCTCTTCTTCGCCTCCCGTGCCTCCTCCACATAAATCTGATACTATCACGTCGCTTCTAGGCTCTTCCCAGCCTCAGGATGATTCCACTCACCTGGACGATGTGGACGTTTCGACGCTATCTCAGTACCGTGTGAATCATAAGAACTTCAGTAAGATGTCGCTCCATGAAAAATTGGACCTCTATTTGGGCCAGAGACAGCATGACGACCTTGACACTCACATGGACCATTTGGATAAATTGCAGTATGCTACTAATAACGAAACCGACCTGAACATTCACAATCTTTCACATCATATGGAATTGAACCATCCAACCATGGAGAACCCATTGAACATGCTTGCTGACTCGAAGGAAGTGCAATTGCGCTCCGCTGGCTCGTCGCAGTCGTCGCTTCCTTCTCTTGCGGCTTCCAATCGTTATTTGGAAGCTGACTCGGTTGCACATCAAAGCCCTGGCCTTTCGCTTAATGACGGTATTAAGGGTTTTCCTGATCATATGGCTGATGTTTTGTTCCCAACGACTGTCAAGGCTCAGGATTCTGACGAGTCTGGCCATCTCACGTTTGGCACGAAACCTCATGAGGGCTATGAGGAAGAGCATTCTGACCTCTCTGAAGACTTCCAGGATTCGTTCGACCACTCTTACAACCTGACGAAGCAGTCTATCATGGACCTTCTTAACTCGGCTTCTAACCACGAAATTAATGAAACCAGAGCCGCTCCAGAAGCTCCTGTAGAGGCTGAGTCTCCTATTGAAACAGAGGCTCCTTTGGAAGTGGAAGCTCCTTTGCAGGTGGAAACAAACGCTGACGAAAGCTCCAACCAATCTGTCAAGCAGGAAGAGCATCTGATGGTGAGGGAGGACTCTGATGTCTCTATCAAGGAAGAAGAGGACTCTTTTGTCAAGCCGGAACAAAACTCCTATGTCAGGGAAGAGGCTGGTCTCTCCCAGATCGCAGAGGATGAGGAGAATGAAGCATACCTGGCAACAGGAAGTCCCGCCGTTAAGCAAGAAGAACCTTCCTTTTCGGAAGAAGAGGCTCTTGTTAAAGGAGAACCAGAAGTGTCGCACGTCGCCGAACCTGAAGAGTCTGACGATGAGAGATCTATCTCTCCAGAAAGCGCTTACGAAGAAGCATACCAGTACAAGGTTGAGCCTAACGACGAGGTTGCTTCTGAACCATCAGAGCCTGTTGAAGTACAAGAAGATCCAGTTGCAACGCGACAGGTCGAAGAGGAGAATCCATCTGACGAAGTCAATTCCACCGTTGAGAATCCGGAAAACCCTGAAACTAGTACTTCACCAAAACAGGAGAGTACAGAAGAAGAGGAGATCCTTAACCAACAAGCCGTGGGTTATGATGGCACTGTTTCGCTGCTTGAGACGAGAGATTTCAGCAAAATCGCTATGATGGATAGCCTGGATCACGCCGCCCCACAAGTTGGCATTGCATCGAGAGGCGTCAAAGCTCGTCCACATCAAGTCAAACTCGTGAAGTCGCCAATTAACCTGTTGATGACAACTCCTACTGTTTCGCCACTTGACATCAAGTTTGGTTCTGAAGATGCCAATGTTAAGGATTCTGGTATTGAAGGTGATGACGAAGACACCGAGGAGCTCAAGGAGAAGCTTGTGACGACTCACCACACCAACAGATTCTCCAAGGTCATGCAAAATGCGTCAGTGACATCATCTGTTGATAACTTTGAAGACTCGTCTGAGATTCCTTTGGGAAGATCTCTTGCACCAACCAAGGTTAACGAAGTCATTGATGCAACACATCCACCAGCTGATATTAACGTGAAGAAGAGAGGACTGGCAGTTGAGCATGAAGGTGATTCTAGCGTTCTTGCAAACTCTTCGAATGTGAATCCACCAAATGATATCAAGTTACCTGAAGTTGAAACCAACGACGCCTCTTTTGCAGACTTGACAGCAAAGTACAGGGTTTCTTCTGGTGGCTCTGCCAATTCTGTTTCTTTTGAAGAGTCTCTTTCAGCTGAGCACGATAAGGATACAGCAGCTCTTGACTTCATCTCGATTTGGCATACACAGAGGAAGCAGCGTCAAAACAGAGGCCCACCAGCTACGTCACAATTCTACAACGTTCCTTCTGTTCTGAGCTATAACACTGCTGATTTGTCTCAGTACGACAAGTACCGCATTCCATCCAGATTGCAGCCCAAGAAGTTTAGAGAAATCAATCTTGTCTCTAAGAAAGTTGTCAGTCCTGATCATGTTGACCTTAACGTATCTGGTTTCTTGCCAGAGATTTCTCAGCTTTCCGGCTTGGAAGGTCAGTTGGATGGCTTTATGAAGAACGATGATACGACGATGAACTCTTTGAGAGTGTGCAGCAATGGCTCAAAGGCTCCACAAACGGATAATGTTTTGGGCCAGGGTCTCAGCAGAACTCCTTCAGCATACGGAACATTGAGACCGGTCAGGGTTTACAGCCGCGAGATCATTCCACCGCAACAGGCCCCAGCAGGTCCTAAGAAGTCGAGATTCCATGTTCCTTCGTTCGAGATTAAGCGTTCTAATTCTATCTTGTCGCCAAAGAACCAGTATAATGACATCTTTGAAGACACTCAACCTACTATCAGAGCCAGTGGCATGAAGACTTTGCCAAGTATGGACAGAGACGATGTGAAGAGAATCATGCAAATGAAGAACACTATGACCCAGGAGGAATATTCTAACCTCAAGTTTGGTGGTGCTAACCAGAAGATTGTTCAGGGCGAGGCCGGTAACTTCGACCATGTCCAACAGAAAGCTTCGATCCACTCTTCGATGTTCTCTATGGCCCCTAATACTGCTGAGAACCGTATCAAGCTCGAGCATGTCTCCAATGAACTTTCTGCGAAGCCAGTTGCTCTCGATGTGGATCACGAAACGTTCTCCAAGACCTTGGAGGCTAACACCACCGTCGACCCAAGCAAACTCCAGAAAGCTGCTGAAGTCAGTGAGCAGTCTTTCTTGCCTGACCCTGAGCCAGAATACGTCGGATTCCCAGAATCTAACGAAGCCAACGAAGAGAAGGATGCCCAGCCAAATCTTGTGCCATTGACTGAGACTGACCAGAACAAGCTTAATGTGATTCCTGGAGCCTTCAACGTGCTGAGCCCAAGTACTCCAAAGCAAAGCGAGAAGAAGTCTCCCGTCAAGGTCATAATCTCGCCTTACAAGGACGACCAAGAGAGACCAAGATCTCCGATCAAGGTTAACAGTTCTCCTATCAAGTTGGTCAGAAACGGTTCTGAGGTTACTGGTGTTAAGCTTGAGCAGAAGCACAAGCCTCAGGAATCTTTTGATGGTACTCAGATTGTCAACAACAAGTTGAGAGAAGGTAAGGGTCACAACTTTGCACTCAGCACTGTCTCTGTTCCAACGTTGAAGGGCGATGTGGAGTCTGAACACAAATCTGTGACTCCAGAAATTCTCGAAGACAATGCTCCACAAGTTGCAGCAGAACCTGTCAGTCAAAGCAGAGCTGCTTCTGCATCCCAGGAGCCACCCAAGGAGCGTGGTAAGTTGTTCTTGCGTGTCATGGGAATGAAGAACATCACTCTTCCTGATCTCAACGAAAGAAATGCTCTGTTCAACATTACCTTAGACAATGGAGTCCACTGCATCAAGACGCCTAACTATAAGATGTCCAAGTCTGCTGTTTACGTCGGCAAGGAATTTGAGTTGACTGTTGGCGAATCCTTGGAGTTTATTTTGACCATGAAGGCAAGCTACAACAAGCCAAGAGAGACGATGAAGGAAATCAAGGAAAGAAGAGTGGTTAGATCCTCTAACAAGATCGGACGTATGTTTGGATCAAAGGAGATCGTCACAACCACCAAGTTCGTTCCACAGGAAGTCAAGGACCCATGGTCTAATGTTATTGCCAACGACGGCTCCTTCGCCAGATGCTACGTTGATGTGGACCAATACGTCGATCAGATCACCGGATCTGCCAGCAACTTCAACCTCAACTGTTTCAACGAATGGGCAACTAAGAGCGGCAACGGCGCCAGATATGAACCTTACAGCATTGCCCAGCTTGAAGTGAAGATGCTTTTCGTCCCACGCACTGAACCTTACGAGATCTTGCCCACCAGCATCAAAACCGCTTACGAAAGCCTTGATGATTTGCGTGCTGAGAGATCTATGCGTCTTGAAGGATACTTGCACCAAGAAGGTGGAGACTGTGAATCATGGAAAAAGAGATTCTTCAAGCTTTCTGGTACCAACATGATTGCCCACTCTGAGTTCTCCCATAAGACAAGAGCAAAAATTAACTTGGCCAAGGTTGTGGAAGTTATCTACGTCGACAAGGAGAACATGAACAGATCGTCGTCGAACTACAGAAACTTCAGTGATATCTTACTTGTTGAGAACGCTTTCAAGATACGTTTTGCCAATGGAGAGATCATTGACTTTGGCGCCCCCAACAAGGACGAAAAAATCAAGTGGATCACCGCCATCCAGGACATTGTCTACAGAAACAAGTTCAGAAGACAACCTTGGGTGAAAATCATGCAAAAGCACAATGTGGGCAAACCTAGGCCCAGATCCATCATGTCTTTTGCAAGTTAAGTTAAAACCTGATGAACATTTTTCGCAGCCATTTACTCAAGTAGTTTGTGGTGCACGGATGTACATTACCAATATAGCACTAATGAGAAACTGAAATAAATATACTTATCTATACTTCCACGTAAATCGCCAATTACACATCATGGCGAATTCTGACGACGAAGATGCCTTCCTTTATGGTTCAGATGACGAGCAGCCGTCTGCCAAGAGGCAAAAGTTGGAACCAAAAGCCCCAGAACCAGCTGAAGAAAACAAAAAAGAAGAAACTCCAGCCCAAGACCTGGAAGACGAAGACGACGAAGAAGAGTCCTCAGATGACGATATTGAGTTTGTCATTGGCGACCTGGCGCCAAAAATCAGTACCACCACTTCCACAAGCACAGCCACTGCTGCTTTGAATGATACAGTGGGAAGCACAGCAGAAGCTAAAGAAGGTGCTAGCGACCTGACAGGAGACAAAGCTGCTGGAATTGAAGTTGCTAAGGACGAAGGAGCATCTCTGGTGGATATCAACAAGGTGGCTGAGTTGGACGGCAAACCGCTTACTCAGGTTGACCTAAATGAACTTAAAGATAAGCCATGGCGTATACCTGGAGCAGATATCTCTGACTACTTCAACTACGGCTTTGACGAATTCACATGGACCGCATACTGTCACAAGCAAGATAAGCTACGGGGAGAGTTTAACCCACAGAAGGTTATGGCCAATATGATGGGAGGGTCGAAGGGCGGTATGCCTATGTTCCCCTTCCCCATGCCTAACATGGGCAATATGCCTCCAAACATGAGCAACATGCCTATGCCTCCTAACATGGGTAACATGCCCATGCCTCCTAATATGCAAATGCCTCCAAACATGCAAGGCAACGGTAAACAGCCTCCAAAGCCACCGGGCCAGAATAAGGGCGGACCAAGACAAGGAAGAGGCTACAGAAACTCTCCGCAGCCTCCAAAGAGGTAAGGTTAATGGTCATTGTAAGATAGAATAGGTGGATGGATTGAAGGTGGGTCCACAGAAGGGCACGAGGTTGCAGGGCCTAACTGCTAGCTAAAGTATGTCAAGCCATTTAGCTGGCGTCTGCATTAGGATGTGGATTCTGTGGCTATTTTCCCAGTGCTATGACTTCATGGTCTTTCTAGGAGTCATCGAAAAAGATGGCGTGCTAGGGCTTGCAGTATCTAAGGCTGACTCGACGCTCAGGAAGCTAGCATACTTTACGAGACTTAAAATGCTTTAGGCTGTTCCGCCTTATGAGGAGTCTCCGCCTTATGAGGAGTCTCCGCCTTATGAGGAGTCTCTCATTGATATAGCAATCTGAAAGCATAGCGTATAATGGCTTGTTTACGATTACGTTAACTGCCATCGTTCATAGGTACCAGACGAAAACAGAGTCTCTAGAAACATAAAATAAAATAACGTAATAAGAAAAACAAAAGAGCAAAGCAACTGTAAGACTTATCAATACAAAGTTAATCATCTAGAATCTCTTATTATTGTATAGTTGTGATGTTTCTTCCTTGAGTGTTTTAGTGAGAGTGAGCTGCCATCACACTAAGTGGCATTACACAACAGCAACAGCTCCAGAAGTGGAATTGCCGCCTCAGGGGCATTGAAATGTCACGAATGGACTTGATATTACTACTTTTTTGTCTTTTTGTAAGCTTTTTGATTTTCTAGGGTGATTACCAATTTTCGTGTCTTCATGAATGGTTGCGAAAACAGTAAGAAATCAAGAACATCACCTGGAAATCACATAGATGTATAAAAATCGTAAATTATAAATTAAAATAGAAACTCATTCTCCTTCAGGAAAAATAGTAAAATGTTTCTTAATAAATAAATGTCTGGTTTAGGCATCAGAGAATAATGGCTGCAAATGGCTGTAATACCCATTTCATCCATCAACAGATACTCAAAGTCCTGCCCTTTGCCAATCGTCTCCTTCACCTCTACAACCGCTTTAACCAGATTTACATACCCTCTATTCTGTAACCGTGCTGAGTATATTAACTATGGGCGCAGTCCCGGCACGCCGATCTCCAATGCTATTTATTCCTCGTCCGACTCCTCGTCGGCCTCCTTCAACCACTGAATGAATGGCTTGGCAGCCTTTCTCACCTTCTTGGAAACGTCCTTAGAAACGTATTTCTTGGACACCTTCAGACCCCAATTGAGGATCTCCTCTTCGCTCACCAACTCCTTGTCGTACAACTTGACAAGAATCTTTGGCACAAGTGGGATCAAGTCTGGCTTTTCCAAACCAAGGAATCTTTCAAGACCACCCAAGAAAGCCTTCTCGAAGTCGTTTTGGCCGTTGATCAACTTGGCCAACAAACCGTGGTGCTCATCGAGCTGCTCGAGAATGTCCTCATCGAACAAAACCTGGGCCAAGATAAGCATGACATCAGGCTTTTCCAAGAGTTCCAACTCGGCAATCTTTTTATAAAGGTCAATATCAGAAGGCAAGTCTTCCTTGTCCTCGGCATCCTTCAATGCCCACTCACCGAATTCCGTGAGCTTGGTCTGGCTGTCATTTAGCGAAAGACCCTCCAATTCTCTAGCTCTGGCTTCAATAGCCTCCTTGGACATGTCCACAGCCCAGTCGTCGTCAGCAACCTCGACAGTCTCCTTGGCAAGAGCAGCAGCCTCGGCGTTGATCTTCTTGGTCAAAGCATCGTCGTCATCGTCACCGTTAGCCTGCTTGGAAGCATCGCCGTTGTCAGCGCTTTGAGCAATATCAGAAATGGATTTACCACCACCAACAACGTTGGCCTGCGCAGTGGCAGACTTCTTACCTGTAGAAGATGGAGGTGGGTTCTTCAAGATGTAGGAAGACAACTTGTGTCTCAAGTCAATGTCGGTGATACGACCGCAGGCCTTACAGTCTCTCTGCAAAAAGCCCTTGCTCTTGATGATGATCTGGGTCTCTGGGTTCTTACAAGCACCACAGAGCACGAATTTGTTGATGAAACCATCCAAGGAGTCTTGTAGCTCAGCCTGAGAGTGAGCACCGTTAACAAGGTATCTGTCCTCGTCCTCCTTGATCTTGGTCTGTGCACCCAACTCGGAACCAAAGTATTTCACCACGTAAGCTGGAGGGCGACCCAAAGCTCTGGCGACTTCACTCAAGTTAGGAATGGCAGTCTTGATACCGTTACCCCTACCTTCGACCTTGGACTGGATCGGAGGCATCTTATAACGGTAGAACGGATCGGTGTTCTCACGACAGATATTTATGAACGACATCTTTGGAGTGGGAGTTGATGGAGGTTGGAGATGATACTTTCAGACTTTTTTTTTTTCGGTGGATAAAAAACTCTGTATCAATTTTAGTGAGCATGGAGACACCCGTGCACCATCACAGACATGTGGGTCACATGACCGTACTCCACCAGTAGGAGGTCAAGCTTTCATCATCAAGAGCTGGCTGGGGCTGGGGCTGGGAAAGCGTCTGTTTTCAGAAGCACTATGCACTTGTTTGAATGGGAAAGGTAGCCCTTGACGTGTTTGTGGACGATAAGGTTGGTCAATATGCACTCCACCTGCTCCATAGAAACCTCTTCCTTGGCTTCAGCATCGGGAGATTGGGAATATGTAAAGGCTGCTTGAAAGTAAGCAAAGGGAACGATATGCGGTGTTGTTTCCGTGACGGTTTTGTAGAAATTGGCGGTTTTTCTTACAAGCAGCAAGTAGCACACTTGTTTAAGTCGAAGCGCCAACAAGTATATGTGTCTGCTCAAGAAGACCTTATGGAATTGCTGCAAATAATCATCGAAAGCCAGAATATTACCTTGTTTTACCGCCTTGAGAAGTCTATCTTTATAGATAAACTTGAGGTTTGGAAATTGCTCGTACACCTTCTCTGGAAGCTGTTTTCTCGAGCTGAGGTACTTCAATGGAACCACAAGCATCAAGATCTTCTCTTCCTGAGGACAAGGTCTCTTTTTGCTGCCGTAACAGGCCAAAAACTCCAATGCCGTAAGAAGCTTCACTTCCGCAAACGGATAATCGCCATCGTCCAACGACAAAAGCGAACTATAGTACAAATACGTCACAACGTGCATTCTGTACTGAGCAGGACAATTGATAATCGCTGGAATGGCCAGGTTCGTGCCCATAAGCGCCTTTTCCATAGACTTAGCAAGATCAATGTGGTCCAACTTAAAGTAGATTTTAATAAGCGAGGCCAAGAAGAAGTGAATGCACAGTTTCTTGGACGTAGCTGGGTCAGTAGACTTATCCGTAAGACAGATCTTAAACAGGCGATGGATCACCGTGCTGACTCTTTCCAAAGACTCGTCATTTTCCGCCTTATCCTTATTTCTCGCCCGAACCTGGTACACAGAAAGAAGCTCGTTGCTGCTGCTAATCAAGGCAGTACACACCCAGCTGGGCATAGTTTCAGCCATTCTGTTGAAATCACCCATAAACAACAAAAAATTCTCAAACGCCTGGTCAATAGACTTGTGTTTATAAATTGACCGCAACAACCGAACGTACGACCGTATGAGCGGTCTAAACTTCTCTGGAAGCTGGTAAAGGTCAATATCACTGAGGTCCCCGCAGTTAGCCGTCTCTGCTGCGTCGTACAACGATGGTTCAAGGCATAAGTGGTCTTTTAGGCGGCTGGGCAGCCGGCGATACAAAGCTTCAAGCACGCCCTCCACATACTGGCGAATGGTCCACATGGTGGTTGAAGATGGAGTATGCGAAAAAGCGTAGTAGGTGAATGTTGATGTCCAGCACGTGAGGAGATGGACTGGGGAGAAGAAGTAGAGGAGGAGGAGTTTGGTATGGGAGGAGCTGTAAGGGCCACTGGGTTGCTTGGCTTGTGGGTTTGGGTGGTTTTTTTGGCTTTTTTGTGGAGTTGGTGGGGGTGATGGTGGGGGTAGTTGGTGATGTCTGAAGTGGTTAATGGAGGATGAGAAAGGCAGTGAAGGGTGGGGAAGAAGACGAGGAAGGATGGAAGAAGAAGGGAAAGGAAATGAGGTTATTTATGGAGTGAGAAAAACTCAATTGAATGGTTTATTTGCTTTTTGTTACGGTGGGGGTGAAGGAATTGGAGGTTCAGTTGGTATAGTATGTATGGTGAGTATAGGATACTATGAAGTTGCTGAACCAGAAGAGGCTACAAGGAAGATACCAAAAATAAAAGTGGTTAAGAGTAGTATTTTACTCCATTTAAAATATCTCTATCCGCTTTACGACTTTTGGGGCTTTTTCTGTGTACTTAGCTGACCACTTACTGTGTCTACTAATGCTCGACATGTAGAGAACCAAGAGGTGTAACCATACACTATGGCAGTGACCTTGAACAACCGAATATGGTCAATTTTTTTAGGGAATGACCAGTTGGGTCCCCACTATAGCCCCAATTTCACCCTTGGTTTCTGATACATATGAAACACTTTCGACACTCACCTGAATGGCTTCTCGCACTGGCCCCAGATTTTGCAACCATATAAAGACGAGATGGAATTCCCAGAAAAAAGCGTTTATCCAGCTCAATAAAAGTCTAGAAAGCTGCCGAGCTAGTTACTTTTACGTCACCGTTCACATTGAAGATTACTTTAAGAAAAGCATTGAGGATGGGTCGAGAGGAAGACCAGGGACCGCTTCCAACTCCCACCAGTCCAGAATTTGAAAGAGAGGGCGGAAGAAGGGTAGAGGTTGTTGGTAAATTAGACCAGATGGGAGGTTCTGAAGAACTGGTTGAAGAACACCAGGAACAACATGTTCATCCACGGACTCCAGAGGAAGAACAGAGCTTTGGCGAAGAAAGCTTATACTTGAGTGCAATTAGTTCTTATGGGGCAGGATCTGCCTATGGAGAAGGTTTTTCTAGCAGTATTTTGTCTACTATTGATGAGTCGAGTGGAGAGCTAGGTGATATACTGTCATACCGAATTTATGAAGAAGAGGAGGGTCTGGTCCAGGAAGAAGGACTAGAGTTGTCCTTTTCAGAGGAAGCCATACCAGAAGAGGAGCATGTGTTCTTTGCATTAGGGGATGCTACCACAGAAGATTTAGAGGATGTTGTTCCAGAGGGAGACTATGAAGACTCTGGTTCTGAAGAAGTTTCAGACGACGAAGAAGAAGAAGAACAAGAGGAGGAGGTCTTTCCAGAGGTAGATTCAGAGGACGAAAAAGACGACAACACCTCAACCACAGAACAAGGTAACGCTTCTTCCCAAAGAGACCCAGAGGAATATGCCAATGAACGGATTGACCTTATTGAAGCCCTCATGGAGCCTCCACCTCCTCATATTGATGATATCCATAGAGCATGGGTGGACCGTACCGAAGCAGAGGCTCTTGAATTGAGTATCACCTTCAACAACAGCGGCGGCATAAACGTCTTCGAATTGTCAGATCTCGTAACTGAAAGTTCTTCAGGTAACTCTCTGGATGAAGCCTATGATGGTCCTATGGAAGATATCCTTTCAGAAACCGAACCCTCGCATAGCACCCATTCAGAGATCCCTCATTCAATCTACTACCTACAGCAATTCGGTCGCTTACTAGCCTTCTTGGACTGGTTATTCCAGGGGATCTGGAAACTGTGGTTGATGCTAATCCTTAGAAGCCTCATCAAGAAGATTCACATGAAGGAGCATTTGGCCAACTTGGGAAGTACAGCGAGACGGTACCACAGTAACATCAAGACATTTGTTGACGTCTGTGTGGGTACCGTAGGGTTGGCCCTTCCCCAATTGAACACTTTTGCGTTATGGCTCATTAACAAGGATAAGCCCATTATGGGTCTTCGTGGAGTCCGTGCCACGCCCAGCAAGCTTAGGTTACGTACGCCAGCCAGCGTGTTGCTTGGAACCACAAAGGACGGGTTTCTCAGAAACATGGCCTCCAGAGCAAGGTTGCTTCGTGAGAGAGGAGCAAGAGAGTGGAAGTAGTGATATGAATAAAAAAAAAGAGCAAGATCTTTCTTTGCAGAATGTGGGGGTTCGTAGGTTTTGTGTTTTTTAAGCACTCCCAGGTATGTCACAGGACCAGGAAAGAAAGGAGCAGCATTGTAGGAACCATCACCACATGGAGATGCTTCTGCTTGCTTTCTTTCGTCAATGGAAGGTGTAAGCGGCTGCAAAGGGACGTAAGTTGACGAAAAAGCAAGGAAATGTTATGGAAGTTTGGATTTGGGAAGAATTGGTTTTTTGCTTTCCTTATCCACTATTTTTCTATGGAACGGAAGGTTTTGGCATTAGGAGGTTGTGCTTATACGGTTTAGTAGTGGGGGGCTGTTCCTGCATAGAACCGGGATACGTCAAGACGCACATCACCAGAATAAACGGTTTTAGAACAGGAACAAGGCCACGTCCCATGCCGGTTGCATGCAGTACCACAAGGGGTTGGGAGCCACAGGATTAACGAAGAAGCAACGAGAAAGGCAATCTGCCATTATATCAAGGGGTTGTTGAATAGGAGGAGAATGGCAGGGTGTCCCAACTGGGGTAGTGCCTTAGTATCGGCGCCAGATTTAACCTGTAGCACCTGCGTCATCACGTGACCAACGACGTCACCGTCCTTCCCATTTTCCAGATAGGAGACGATGCTGGACCAAAAAAAGAACAAACGCAAAAGCAACGCGAAGCACGTTCAGTGACCGCAGCAACACACTTCCAGGAGGTGGATGTGGCGAGTTAGAGTTTCCTGGGGCGGTCTTTATAGCATTAGGGAAGGAAAAATGAAGGATATATGGGGGAACATGGCGGAAGTTCTCTAAGTTGAGGTTTATTCGTAGAAGGACTATTTTGGGAGGAAAGTAGGAGGTTGTAGATATTGATAGGAAACGAAAACAGGGATGATTCGCCATAGAAAGCGCCGCTGGGGATTACAAAAATCCGACGGGTTTATTATGGCGGTGGAAGAATGCACGGTACGACAATGTCGTGGCTGCCTCAGCAACCCCGAGTCAACTCAACAAGTTTTGATGTTTTGGAAATTCCAAGAGTACCACTGTGTAGAGGAAACCCAGGGCTTTCCAATGGTACCACTATCATCCTCGAACCATCCCTACTTGCCCAAATCCATCGACAGTTGCTGACGGTGCGACGACATTTTTGCAATCGTTTCGCAGCCACCTTAGCTGGACCACTACAGATCAAAGCCCTGAAGAGTGCCGTGAAAAGGTCCATTATTGTTTAAGGTTTAGATATTCTGAAGGACGTGTAGGACCATCTGTCCCAAAAGAAAGAAAAGTTGACGCCAGTGGAAAATCACCACTTCTCGTAAACCACAGAAAAAGCACCACCAGCAGCAACCGCAAACCATACCCAGCGAGCACCGCCCAGCCCAAGCCAGGCCAAGTCAGGCCAAGTCAGGCCAAGTCAGGCCAAGTCCAAGAACTAAATAACCAGGATTTCTAAACGGAAACAACTAATGTATGAAATTTACAGACTACTAGAAACCAAAAAATAAAACCTAAACCACCACTTTGTCTTCTCTGTCTCTGCCTCGTCTCCACCTCTCGAGACCAAACAGCCTCCAAACGTTTCCCCCAAAACCCTCAACCTCCAGAAAGAGACCTCTTTCACTTTTGTCCAATCAAAACCCGCCTTTTTTCGCCACCACCACGCCAAAAAACACCACCCCTTCCCTCCACACCATCCATCTCCAAAATCCCATCCCACAGCTCCCATAAACCCTCGTCTTCACTGCTCTGTCTTGTCGTGCGGGCGCAGCGAGTAAGCCTTTTGGGGCCTGGCTTTTTTTTTTTTTTTTTTTTCTTCCTCTTTTCGCGCGCTCCTCACCATCTTTTTTGTTCTGTTTCTCACATTTTGCCAGTTCACAGCACCTCCTATTCTGGACCACATATCCAGGTTTTTCTGCGTTTGTTGGGAAAACACTTGTTATTTATATCCATTGAAGACTCCAACCGGCTGAATTTCTTGACTCTGACCGGCCCATTCCATTCCAGTCCTTTTTTTGATCGTTTCCTGACCTTTCCTTTTTCCATATCGTTCTTATCCATATTCTGCGGCTCCGCCATTTGCCATGGTGAATATATCGCCGCCGACCATCTCCCTTCTGGCCCCACAACGCCCTCCACAGCGCTCGGGCGGGTATAACAATGCTGGCAATGGAAACTACGCCCAAGGTTACCCCCAGAACGACCCCAATATCGCTGCCCACGGCCTTCGTGCATCGCAACCTCTGGCTCCTCCAGCTTCGTCCACCGATCCGCTAGCAAAGTCCATTCCTATCCCTCAGAGAGACCTGGCGTCGCTGCTGACCCTGCCATTGGCCTCTTCGGCGGCTACGGGCTCTCTCCCGGTGCCTACGGATGCTCCTATAGCGCTATCCATGTCTCCCTCGGGCCACATGGACAACTCGTTTGGCCTTAGCCCTGGCGGCAGAACCCAGAATGGTCTTAACGGGTCGGTGCTGGGCCGGAGAATGCGCCTGGGGTCGCTCTTCTCCACCATGCTGATCTGGAACGACGACGCTATCTCGCAAAACAGCCCAGGCCATAATCTGGGCCTGAGCTTCTTGGACTTTAACGACTCTATTCCAGGCAGTGGCCACTCGGCTGGGCCTCAGGTATCCAGTCTGAACTTTATCAGTCCTACGTTGGGCGCTCAGCCTTCTTCGCTAGGCGCCGATACTGGATTCCTTTCCAACCCGACCAGAAACCGCTCCCACACCACCAGCGGTGCCCACGCTTACCTGCTCCAGCATCCAATGCTGCTGGTAGAACAGCAACCAGTGCAGCAACTGCCTTTTGTCTCACTGGCTCCGCAAAACGACAAGTCTGTGCTTTTTGATAATCTCATGCTTAATATACCCGACGGGGCTGTCCATGGCATTGGCAACCGGAATCGGTCCCAAACCTACTCGGGCGTCGCATCCAACATCCCCGACCTCTCCATGGCTGCAAACCTGATAATGCTTCTTCAGCAAGCGCAACAAAACCACGGTCAACTGCACCCACTGGGGCTGGCTCGCGACAGAACTCAGACTCCTAATCAGCATCTTAATCAACCCAACCACCATTATAGGCCTCATCACGATACCATTTCCGGTGCTTCCAACGTGTACCAGCCTATTTTGGAGAACGACTTCAACTTCTCGCTGGTGGTGATCACCACTAACTTTGAAAATCCAAGCTTGGGTCCAACCTCCACTCTTCTTCTCGACAATGTTCCCCAGTTCATGGACGCAGCGAAGTTGTGGCACCTAATTGCTAGTTTCCCTGGCGCCGTGGGTAACCCTCTACACGGAAGGGGCGTTATCTGCGTCCGCATGAGTGCTACTAGCACTACTAAATTGGCTTTGGTGGAATGTGCATCCATCGAAGTCGCTATGAACTTGAAGGCAAACTTCAACCACTTGGAGCTTGTGCCTGGCCTCATCTTGTATGTTGCTTTTGCCAAACTCTCCGAAAGACCGCTTCCTATTCCTCCTCACCATCCTCCTCAGCCTCAGCAATCGTTCAAGCATGCTCCACAAGGTAATGGCTCTTACCAACAACCTGAATCCAGCAATGCTTCGCTTAAGTCAAACTCTGGAAGCTTGAATGCTGGAAGACCGCTGAGCAGATCAAGCCATAACGCTAAGGTGCGTCCACAGGGATCCACGGAGGTTGATCTTCCATCGATCCAGGGCGACTTGGTTCACTTGGTCTCGACTTTGTCGATGTTGGAGTCTATAGACATTAACCGTGTCAAGTTGCTTTTGGACCATACTATTGCTTTCCCTAAGGAGAAATACGAAAGCAACTTTGGCCCATTGCCAGACCCTATTCCTATGCGCCAATTCGACTCGCCAAAGTTGAGAGAGTTGAGAAAGGTGTTTGAGGCTACTGAGAAGGCAAACTCGGACGGTTCCAGCAAGTCTGACACTCCAGAAAAGGGAGAATCCGAACCTGAGATCATGACTCAGCCTGAGTTGGAAGCCTTGTGTCTAGCCATGTTGGACGAATTGCCAGAATTGTGTTACGACCATATCGGCAATACTATTGTTCAGAAGTTGTTCACTCTTGTTGAGTCGCCATTGATCAAGTTGATGATGGTGAAGGAGCTTGCCCCATACTTGACGCAGTTCAGTATCCACAAGAACGGTACTTGGGCGATTCAGAAGATCATCAACTTGTGCCACGATGACTTCAAGCAGATGACCATTATTGCTGAAAGCTTGAAGCCATACACTGTCAAGTTATTCAACGACCAGTTTGGTAACTACGTGGTGCAATGCTGTCTCAAATTTGGATCTCCATACAACGACTTCATTTTCGAGACCATGATCGACAACTTCTTGGAGATTTCTTACGGAAGATTCGGTGCTCGTTGTATTCGTACAATCCTTGAGACCGCCAGCGATGCCAAGTCTGCTAACAAGGGTTATGTCTCCAATGAGCAAATCTTCTTGATTGCTGGTATGATTGTTGAATTTGCTAACGAGTTGGTCGTGAACAATAACGGTTCATTGCTTATCACCTGGTTCTTGGAAACCTTCAACGGTTGCAAGTCCTTGAAGCATGACTACCGCTACGAGCTCTTGTGTGATAAGTTCTTGCCTCACTTGGGCCATTTGTGTACCCACAAGTTGGCAAACTTGACGATCTTCAACATCTTGAACAACCGTAACGATATTGCTGTGAGACAGAGGATCATGAATGAGATCTTTGGACATTTCAATGAACACGACCTTGAGGAAATGAGTGCCCGTCCTCCTACGGTTCTCTTGGAGACCATTTTGGCCGAGAATGCTGAACAGAGCACTGGTCCTCTTTTCATCTACAAGATTGTTTCTAACCCTATGCTTATGAACATTGGCAACGAGCTCAGCAATGCAAGGTACAAGCAGTACATCATTGGCCAGGTGAAGCGTGTGCTTTTGGAGATCCAGATCACCAACCTCCAGCCATACAAGAAGCTTGTGGATGAAGTTGGTCTTGCTACGAACCGTTTGAGCCGTTCCAGCCTGACGAACCGTAAAAGCAAGCGTGATCGTCGTGGCAACAAGCCCCACTCTCCTCATCGTCCAGCGCAGCCAATGATCCAGCCATACATGCAACCCAACCAGGGGATGCCTCCAATGGGTTATGGTATGCCAAAGATGCAAATGGGCGAGCCCAACGCTGGTATGCCACCAAACGGGTTCTACCAGCCTCAAGGAGAAATGCATCCAGGAATGTACAACGGTGTGAATCAAGACATGCCTCAGCTTTACCAGCAGAGACAGCCGTTTGCACAGCAGCAACAACTCCAGGACGTGAATGTGATGCAGCAGCTCGAGCAGCTTTCGTTGAGTTCTGCCGCCATGGGTTACACTTCTAATCCAGACACTCCTAATCCGGGCCATGGTACCCGGTTTGCCTAAAAAACAAAAAAAAAAAATCAACAAAAAATTGCACATTACGAAAAACAATTACGAACATACATAGTCATAGACGCCATCGTTTAGGAAGCAGTAGAAGTAAGTTGGAGTGGTTTAGGTAGCACCAGGAGATTTAATAGGGGCATTATGTACTCTGGGAGGATAACAATAAGAAACCCTTTATCTCTTGGAACCCTAAACCAGTCTTAAAGAAACGAAACAAAATCCACTATTCTCAAATAGTGGATATTCTCGGGATTCCCCTTATGGAGATACAAGTACTACTCTTCAGCCTCCCATTAAGCTTTTCGCAGCCATTATACAACCAGAGAAGGCTCAGAAGGTTGGGAGCACAAGGAAGGAGGCATATGAAAGGCAGTGGAGACATAAAGGGTATTAGTTGATGAAGAAGAAGGAAAGGTTAAAAATCAGTAGAAAAGAGGCCACTACGGTAAATCCAGTTTAGGCTCGCTACTACACTATCTGAGACCAATGATTAGACAGAATAGTACCAGTGATTTTGGTAACTAAGCCTGAAAAGCGGTAGATAAGATTTTAATTGTTTACTTCAATAGCAAGCAACATCCCTGAATGTTCAAAATTCAATTTTTAATAGAGCACCTGCTAGGAATCTTCAGTTATCTCTTAACATCTACAGATATGTGTAAGCGAAGGAAGGGCTCACTATCAAGAGGCTTAAAGTTTCGTAATCCGCTGACAAAGATTAAAAGGCACGTCTGATAGAGACGAACTTCCAAGGAAAACCATCAAAACCAGTAAAATATCAGTAGTAGGCAAAATGTGTTGACGTCTTCTTTCCTCTGGTTCGGTGTCTATAGTTAGCGCAGGCTTAAGTATGGGGGCTCCAAATGCCCACCCAAACAGCCAAAAACGGTCAAAAATAGATTTTGAAAGTACCCCCATTACCAGAAAATCCCAAACTTTCCAAATCCACTATTAATTCCCTGGAATTCTCAAAACTCGCCTCACCTTCTATGTGCCCCTGGCGGACGCTTTAAATAGTGGCAGTGGCTGCGCGACCAACAGGCAAAAGCAAGCAAACGAGCAGAGAAAAGGATACAAAAAGCGACGTGGAACTGGAGAAAAACGGTGAAAATCACCAATTCCAGATTTTCCAAGCTCAAAACATCTCAATTTTAAAGACCTCTTTTAAAGACTTCTAAACCACCAAAAAAAACCCAAAATTCTTCAAATCCAGCGTTCTGCAAAAAATGCTGAGAAATGCAACAAATGTCGGTACTGCACACAAGCCAGTCCACACACACTTACAAATCTCCTGCGATATGGCCTTCCTAACGTGAGCTTTAACCAACTACTACGCCTGATTCAAGGTCACTTTTCCCACCAAGACCCCATTCTTTTCTTGATCCCAGCGGCAACGGGGCATTTATATTGTTGCTTTTTTGCCAGTGCACCCGTACACCAGCGCCATTATCTAAAGTCTTGCCGCTTCCCCCAAAACGCCTTTCTTGGAAGTACATCAGCCTCCCATTCAAATCCCTTCCTTCCAAAGTCACCAACAAGGGAACACGCCCAATTAAACGGCTCCAATGGTCGCCAACACCAACCAAGACGGCCTGAGGTCGTCCAAGCGAGGCAAGCTCGCGTCGTACATTCTGTCGCAGTTCTCGAGCTCCCAGAACCAGAATCAGCAAGGCAACATGGCACGCCATAATCTCGAGTACATGAACGAAGGGCGCCATTCGCTAGATAGCGAACATAACGATTATAACGAGTTGCGGGAGGCGTTGCTTCAGAAACGAGGCCTGACGGGCGCCCGCTCGCAGATCCAGACCATCAACTTCCACAACCTGCGCTTGTTGCAGCTTCCGACGGAGGTTTTGCTTCAGGTGTTTAAGTACTTGGAGAAATCGGATTTGTACCTGTTGCTTACGGTGTGCCGTGAGTTGAGCGATTTGATCGTGGAGATACTATGGTTCCGTCCGAATATGCAGAGTGACCTGCCTTTCCAGAAGGTCAGGGAGGTCATGAAGCTCCCGAGGCTGGAAACTCACTGGGACTACCGCAGCTACATCAAGCGTCTTAACTTGTCGTTTATGACGAAGCTCGTGGACGACGAGTTGCTATACCTCTTCTGTGGATGCCCCAAGCTTGAGCGTTTGACCCTTGTCAACTGCACGAAGCTCACATACGCTCCAATTGCCCAGGTGCTCAAGAACTGTGAGCATTTGCAGTCCATTGATATGACAGGCGTTCAGGATATCCAGAATGACATCTTCTACGCGTTAGCCCAACATTGCACGAGGCTTCAAGGTCTCTATGCACCAGGCTGTGGAAACATCCTGGAAGACGCCATCATCCAGGTCCTCAAGGCATGCCCAATGCTCAAAAGAATCAAGTTCAACAACTCCGAAAACATCACCAACAATAGCATTTTAGCCATGTACGAGAATTGCAGGCTGCTTGTCGAAATCGACTTGCATAACTGTCCCAAGGTCACCGACAAGTACCTCAAGGGTATCTTCAGTGAACTCTCACAGCTTCGTGAGTTCCGTATCTCCAATGCTCCCGGCATCACCGACGACTTGTTCCTGCTGATTCCAGACGACCATTTACTCGACAAGTTACGCATAATTGACGTCACTGGCTGCAATGCTATCACCGATAAATTGGTGGAGCGTATGGTCCGTTGTGCCCCACGTCTTCGAAACGTCGTTCTCTCCAAGTGTATGCAAATCACAGATGCATCGTTGCGCCACTTGACCAAGTTAGGCCGTTCGTTGCACTATGTCCATTTGGGCCACTGCGCTCTCATCACCGACTTTGGCGTCCAGGCGCTCGTCAGATCGTGCCATCGCATCCAGTATATTGATCTAGCGTGCTGCTCACAGCTTACAGACTGGACGTTAATAGAGCTACTGGGACTCCCCAAGTTGAGAAGAATCGGGCTCGTCAAGTGTAACCTTATCTCGGATTCGGGTATCATGGAGTTGGTGCGCCGTAGAGGTGATCAGGATTGCTTAGAGCGTGTGCATTTATCTTACTGTACCAATTTAACGATTGGCCCCATATATTTATTGTTGAAGAACTGCCCACGTCTTACGCATTTGTCCCTCACGGGGATTTCAGCATTCCTTCGTCGTGAGATCACCCAATACTGCCGTGATCCACCTCCAGACTTCACCGAAAACCAAAAGCTGTCGTTCTGCGTCTTCTCTGGCCACGGCGTGGTTCAACTACGCAACCATCTCGATACCATAATGGACCAGAGAGCATACATTTTGGAGCGCTACGGGTTCCAGGATGACGTTGCACCAGCATACTTGCCCGATAGAAGAGTACAGCCTGATGCAAGATTCACACCAGCGCCAGGCGAGCCCACCCAATATCCTACGTCTGAGCAGCTCAATCAGCTCCGCATGGCCGGACCAGGCGTGTTAGGTAACCCAGGACCCGTAGGCGGGTTTGCGGGTGCCGGCGATGGGCGTAACATAATTAATGACGACGAGATGACAACATGGGCAGCCCAACGTGGGTTGGGAGAATTGAGAAGAGTGAGAGATGCTCCAGCGAGAGAAGTGCCTGCAAGAGATACGCCAGTCCCCATGAGACCAACTAACCCTGCAATGCTCGAACACGATGCCATATTCGTACAGCTCATGGCACCTGATGTGCAAGCCAGGCAAAGGTTCAGCCCCTTCCACAACCCTCTAGATGCAATGGACCAACGGATCCGTGACAACCAAGCAGCCATGCGGTGGGAAGATATGGGCGAGCCCGAGCAGGGAAACGACACAGTCAACGTGAGGCCTGGTAACGCTCCACATATCGCTCAAGCACCAGTTTTCGGTAATGACGAGCCTATGAACGGCGGCGACGAAGACTCGGAAATGGAAGGCGTCGACTTGTTCCCGAGAATAAGATAACCTAGTGAGTTCATTTGCGTTTACGTTTAATAGCATCATGGGATTTTCTTTTCGTTATACACATGTACTAGCCTTTGTCTTACTTCCTGGAGACGACCAGCCTCATCCAGAAAGCAACGTAGACGGTGATGAAGGCATGCAACAAAGTCAGGAATCTTTGTGGCCAGCTTCTTCAGAATCCTATCAACATACGCCAACTTCAAAGGTTTTTTCCTTGGAGGTGATTTCTTAGAACTAACACTCCCACAAGACTCTCTAGAGCATGTTCGTTCACTTGCAGAACCGTTATCCCAGCTGGAGCTCCAGAACCGACGATAATCCAAATATAAGCGAACCATGTTCCTCTGGTGATTTACTTTCTGTGGATCGACTCTTTCCTCATCAATTAATTCAAACAAGCATCTAGGCCTTTCCACCTCTAGCTTCTCTGCCATGGAATGGCTGGAACACTTCAACAGCTGGCGACAAACCTCTTTACCGTGCAAAGGAACAGCACATATGTAACAGGATAAGTTCAGCTGGAGGTGAAGAATCTCCTGAGGCAGAAGCGTCACTAGGTAATTGAATTCGCCGTGTTTGCCTAGGAACTCAGGCCCAAAGCTGCCATTGGCGTTGATACTGAGTTTTCTGCCTGGCAGAGAAACACAAGTTGTCATGGGAGGACGAGATTTGGGTGGATTGGAAGGGGCGCCTGGCGGGAGAAAATGGTATATTTTTTATTGTGGAAATGGTGTTTTTGGGGGAATTGTGGGAAGACGTGGAGTGGTAAGTAGAGATTTTGCAACCATTTAATGGCTGCGAAAGGGAGTGAGGTGAGTGTTGGTGATGGTTGGAAGGGGGAGCCTGGAAGGAGAGGGAGAGAGAGAGGGGGATTAGGAGGGGGACGATAAGGTGGGAGGAAAGGTTTCTGGTTAGTTAGAGTTGGAGTTGGAGTTGGGTTAGGTTGGGTTGGTGGGTAGACTGGCTATGGTTATACACGGGTTATGGGAATGGAGACAGTGGGTAATACCAGTTCATTTCATTTTGCCTATTAGAAACAAGAAGAAGAATCGAGGAAAGATCGATGACATAGCCTAGAAAGATAAACCTCTCTTGATGTTGCTTGGTTGACTATTTGGTTACTTGATGGTGCTTCTCCAGTTGTAGGTGGACTACCACTTACAGAGACAGTAAGAGACAGTAAGAGACAGTAAGTAACGACACTTCTTACACTCAGGAGTAAAGGTCAAGAGTGACGAGAGGAATTTAGTCTTCTACAGCCCACAATTCAAACTCCTGAAGCCCAAAAGACTTAAACTGACTTCTCTCTCTGGACCACTGTCTCCACTGGTTGAAACAATGAGGTGAGCTCCACTTACCATATATAGATCCAAAAAGGTACCCTTTCTTCTTAAAACAACCGTCCATATTCATCTAGAACACTCCAAAGAATTACCAAAAGGTACTACTTCCCCCCTTGAGGACCCCTCCACCATCTTCACGACCCATCCTCTCCTTCCATACTACACTCACCTCACCAGTCCACGCGGATACCCTTATTCCCAACAAACGTCTGGTTTTGGAGTTTTTGCAGCCATCTATACATCAGCCTCCCTTCTGAAACTCAATGTCCCCATTTTCCCATATTTCTTCCTTTTTCTCTCTACGTTGGTGGATTGTCTGCCTCTAGGGCTGGAGCCCTAGACGCCGTCATCCACGTGACAGCCAGCTCTGCGCTCGCTTTTCGCCCATGCACTACAATCTTTTTTTCCACCGCTGCGCTCCTACTCAGAAAAAAAAAGTAGCTTAAGAAGCCTGGTTTTTTTACCTTTTCACCAACTACTACACAATGTATGTTTGACCAAAGTGCTTGAATGAAAGCCCAGAAACGAAGAAAACCGTGTTGACAGAAAACGTAACTTTACTGAATCCATCCAATTTTCCAATCCATCGTTCCATGAAGATCCCATAATGGAAAACTACATCGATCTATAACCATCAAGTTTTCACCATCAAATGTTGATCAAAGTCTATCAAAGTCCATCAATCGTGAACAATCGTAAACCTCAAGAATCCAGTCGCCAAGACAACTTTTCCAATAAAGACATCCTGTCTATTCCTCCTTGTCATTTTCACCTTCACGTCTTCACGGCATCTTCGTTATAACCCATCCACTTACTAACATCCCAGGACTAAGAGAACTAAGAAGGTCGGCATCACCGGTAAGTTCGGTGTTAGATACGGTTCGTCTTTGAGAAGACAGACCAAGAAGTTGGAGGTGCAGCAGCACGCCAAGTACGACTGCTCTTTCTGTGGTAAGAGAACCACCCAGAGAACCGCCACCGGTATCTGGAAGTGCAAGGCCTGCAACAAGACCGTTGCTGGTGGTGCTTACACTGTTTCCACTGCCGCCGCTGCCACCGTCAGATCGACCATCCGTCGTTTGAGAGACTTGGCTGAGGCTTAAGTAATTTACCTAATGAAATACATTTAGCAGGATCCAAGGTGTAGATTGAAAGGGGGTTCCATTTTGAGTAACCGCTGTGAGATAAAAAGTGAGGACTGACGAGACAAGCTGTGATGAGTTCTGGAATACTGTGGTACACCACAGGTTAATGACAGAAGTCCCGGTATAATCGTCAGAAAGGTCTTTTCCAGTCGAAAGCTGATCGTTGTATTCAGCTGGGAGCGATTTATAGGAATCCAGGGAAGACTTTCCATTGCTTCCGATGGCCACTTCTTGGCTTCGACTATGTCTCGGTACTTTTCACTATACTTATCCAGTGCCCATACTATCTCCAAATCCAGCCAGGATTTTAATCAAAACTGACCTCTAGTATCTCTTAATGTTCGGAACTCATGTCAATCATCTCTTTATAAACTTACATTAAGCTAATATATGTCTATACCTCCCTCCCTCTCAATTGTCTGCCCCAGCTCGACCAGCACTATATAAGTACACCATTCCTGGAAAGAAGCTGCCCCTAAAAATACCCACAAATCCAACAATCTACAAAAGAACCCCCTTCAAAACCATCCTTTCAATTCCCCACCCCCTGCTTACCCTTCCTTGTCCAACTACTCACAAGTCCCTTCCACTAGCCTAAACCCACTTTCGCACCCATATATAACTATCAACTAACCTACTACTTCACCCACACTTACCCCCAAATACATGTTTGAATTCCCTAAACTACATTCCTTTCCGCCATTCTTCACTAAACAGAGCAACGCCACTATTCTAGAACACCAGCTTGAGGCCTGGTCGTCGCTTATTCTCTCATACTGTGAGTACTATAAGATCTATAGCTTGCTGGGCACGGGAGCAGTGCTTTCGGCCCAGAAGAAGGACGTGGAGTTCCCGCCGTTGTTTGAGAATAAGCTGGTTGAAAGGGCGTGCCTGGATTCGTTCAAACGTGAAATCTTTAGCCACCTTATCCATAAAAACGACCGAGCTAGCTATATTGATCCCAAGAAGCTGGACGCTGGCGTCCTTGTTCATTGGCGTACATTGCCAGAATGGGCTAAGCTTCTAAGGGATTACGTGGATAGTACTGGCCAGTTGGGCACGATTCTTACGGTGTATGAGTTGACACAGCTGGAGGATTCAACTACAAGTGAGGATTTCAGAAATATCGATTACAACCTTTTTGTAAGGATATTGCAATTGCTTATGAAACAGGGTAAGGCTCAGATTTTGATGGCAGAAGATAACCTGGGCCAAATTGAGGGTGTGAAGATTGTGTAAACGGAGGAGGATAGACATATAGACGAATGAAGCATTCATGATCTTCTATGTAAGGCTGGGGTCTTCCAAGACTTGCCAGTTTCGCCATTTGGTGTCGGTGGGAACATCGGCTCCACCGGGCAATATCAAAAGTAATGCCGGCTGAAGGTACCTTTGCTGCTTTTACAGTAACAGGTGTATACAGCGGCACACATGCTTTAGTAGGGATGGAGACAAAGTCTGGAGAGTACAGGTTCAAGGACCGAATAGCTTGGAGGTAGCCTGAGGTACTGAGGATTTCTATTAATTGAAATCAATGGTACTGGTGTGGACGAAGAAGACAGTTAATTAACGTAAATGAGACATGGTTCAAGAGGAGTTTGTTTCAGAAAGCGAAGAGCAAATGTCACGAGTCCGTGGTTCTGAATGAAGTCTCCTTGTTCTATAATGTGAAAAGAAAAATGAGATCATTTCTCTTATGGATTAATAGTGTATTTCATTGAAGAACCAGTATGGAGAGTAAAGCTGAGGCATCATAAGAAGATGTCTGCTTTGGGAACACAAAACGACCAGACTCTTCAAAGCACCCTCCTTCCGAAATCCAACAACCTTTTACAACCTTGCTGATTTATCACATCCCTTTTAGTATTTCGATATTTACCATTTGGCTGCAAACTCACAAAATATACACAATACTCAATCAAAAGCAAAAGCCCACAAAAAGTAAAAACCAGTGAGCCCAAAAAGCAACCAGAAAAGGCCAATTTAAACACCACAAAACCCTGAACGTACCACCAAGGAACTCCCCTCAGATCTCTAGCATCTCCCCTGGCACCAGCTCATCGCTTCAATAACTATACCACATCGGGACTCGCAGCTTAAGTATGCACCGAACAAAACCCATCAAGTCCCCTAAACTTCCTGGAAATCCACCTCTATTTATACTCCCCAAAACTTCACATGCTTTTAAGGGCAAGTAAAAAGTCTATATAACCAAGAATTCTTCCCACCCTGCGAACTCCAACGCCCCACTGCTTCCGTCTCCAAGTGATGAGGCTGGTAAACAGACATTAGCCGATTTCGCAGCCACTGGCCCACCAACGGCATTTCCATCCCCCACCAAATCCAAAATTGTTGGGAAAAGCTCCATAAAAACAAAAAAGATCTCTTTAGACGGCCAAGAGAAACAACCATAACTTATAAAAGTAAGTGGTTTCTTCTAAAATTACCCTCTCTCCACTGCTGTCTGCTTAACTATGGGGACGTGGAGACCTCATCGCACGCGCTCATATTTTTTTTTCTTCTGGTTTCCTCTTCTTTTCTTCTTCCCGCTTAATCCATTTAAGAGGGTCCGTAGCCTTTCTAATTTCCATACATTTTTCTTGTTTCCATTAATCTACCATGAAATACGTTGTTGTCTCGGGCGGTGTCATTTCGGGAATCGGTAAAGGCGTGTTGGCCTCGTCCACCGGTCTTCTTTTCAAAACCTTGGGCTTCAGAGTCACTTCCATCAAAATCGACCCTTACATGAATATCGATGCTGGTACCATGTCTCCTTTGGAGCACGGTGAGTGTTTCGTGTTGAACGACGGTGGTGAGGTCGATTTGGATTTGGGTAACTACGAGAGATACTTGAACATCACCTTGACCAGAGACCATAACATCACCACGGGTAAGATCTACTCCCACGTTATTGAAAGAGAGAGAAAGGGTGACTACTTGGGTAAGACTGTCCAGGTGGTGCCCCACATCACGGAAGCTATCCAGCAGTGGATTGAAAGAGTTGCTCGTGTGCCTGTTGACGAGTCTGGCTTGGAGCCTGAGGTGTGTATCATTGAATTGGGTGGTACTGTGGGTGATATCGAGAGTGCTCCGTTCGTGGAGGCCTTGAGACAGTTCCAGTTCCGTGTGGGTTCGGAGAACTTTGCCTTGATTCACGTTTCGCTTGTTTTGGTGATCCACGGTGAACAAAAGACTAAACCTACTCAGGCCGCCATCAAGGAGTTGCGTTCGCTTGGTTTGAACCCAGACATGATTGCCTGTAGATGTTCTGAGGAATTGGAGGTTGCTACCGTGCAAAAAATCGGTATGTTCTGTCACACTGGCCCAGAGCAGGTTGTGGCCATCAGAGACGTCAACTCTACTTACCACGTTCCTCTCTTGTTGCAGGAGCAGCGTATGATGAAGTTCTTGTCCAAGAAGTTGCGTTTGGACGATGTTGAGTTGTCTGAGAACTCCAAGTCCAGAGGTGCTGCCCTCTTGTCTTCCTGGAGATCTTTGACTTCTGCCCACGACAAGTCTATCGAGCAGGTCACCATTGCTCTCGTGGGTAAGTACACAAACTTGAAGGACTCTTACCTTTCGGTGATCAAGGCTTTGGAGCACTCTGCCATGAGATGTTACCGTAAGTTGAAGATCGAATGGGTCGAGTCCAGCGATTTGGAGCTTGAAACCAAGGAATCTTCTCTCGCTGACTACCACAAGGCATGGCACTTGGTCTGCCAGGCCGACGGTATCCTTGTTCCAGGTGGTTTCGGTTCCAGAGGTATTGAAGGTATGATCGCTGCTGCCAACTACGCTAGAGTGAACAACGTTCCATACTTGGGTGTTTGCTTGGGTTTGCAAGTTGCCGTCATTGACTTTGTCAGATCCATGTTGGGCATTGAAAACTCTTCTTCTATGGAGTTCCACCCAGAGGCCGACGAAGAGACCTCTTCTGTCGTCTACATGCCAGATGTTGACCAGATCAACCTCGGTGGTACCATGAGATTGGGTATCCACACCACCAAGTTCTCCCAGGACTCTGAGTGGTCTAAATTGAGAAAATTGTACGGCGGTGCCGACTCCGTTCTCGAAAGACACAGACACAGATACGAAGTCAACCCTAAGTTGATTGACAGAATCGAGGAGAAGGGCTTGAAGTTCATTGGTAAGGACGAGACAGAAAAGAGAATGGAGATTGTTGAGCTCCAGAACCACAAGTTCTTTGTTGGTACTCAATACCACCCTGAATACTGCTCCAAGGTCTTGGACCCATCGAGACCATTCTTGGGTTTGGTGGCTGCTTCTGCCGGTGTGTTGGACGATGTCTTGACCAGAGATGACATTCACGAGAAGGGTGAGTTCTAAAGGGGAGTGGCCCATTAATTTTTTTAGTGTACACTAAGCTATATTTTGCATTCTATAATTTCATAGACAATCCGTTATGTTTCAACGTCTCACTCCGCTAGGCAATGTAGACTAAACAAAGTGTTGAAGGTTCAATTGAACCCCTGAGATCACAATGGGATCTAGTTTGAACAATGGCTTAAACATGACGGAGTACCTTATCGTGATTTGTTAATTGGCCCTCGTCAGGCAATTTGAAGCGTCATAAATTGTACAAATGAGGCGTTTGATACCTTTAAAAGGTAAATTTCGTATGGAGTATGTAGGCTTGTTCTTCCCAACATTCCGTAGATCAGGAAGCCGAGAAAACAAATGCAACAGATTTGGATTAAAGGAGACCAGGAGTTGTAGATAAGAAGTGTCACGTCAATCAATGCCAAAGAATGAATATTGCAACCTGGAGGCCATTCCAGCCCAGGGCCATTCCATCTGCATGTACTGATAAGACCGAGGTCGGTGGCTGATATTATTCAGATCAATGGCTTATCATGCATCATCGTCTCAACCTGCTGTTTCGCTTATACTTGGAATAGGGAACCCGACCGTCCGTATCGTACAATACAATCAAACTGTGACTTTCAGCCAATTGGATTCCTGGAAAGCTGAACCTCCTTTTCCTAGACATTGGCTCCTTCAGCCCCCCGCATTACAACCATTCATACCAAGTACCAGGACACACAGGCGTCTGGACTTGCGCAAAATGGCCATACCTTCCCATCCAATTAGACGACGTTGGGGCCAAGATAATGCCGCTATCAGCCGTTACACGTGATGGAGGCTGTTAGTTTGGAACAACGAATCGATGCATGGGTCTGGTCCCCGCCCGCCAAGAATCGATGCATGGGTCTGGTCCCCGCCCGCCAATAACCGGGGTATAAAGAGGGCCCACATCCACTGGGATTCTTCTTCCTTTTTTTCTTCTTTACCAACCAACAAATTCAAATTAACAATGATCAACTACCAAAACTCCAAGTGTACCTGCTGCGATAACTGCAAGACCTGCGAGAAGTGCCAGAACGGTGCTACCTGCCAGTGCTGCGAAAAGAAGCACTAAATGACAATGTGCTCGCCCAAGAGGCCTTTGATATATGAAATATGATACTTTTCTGAGTTGAAACTGTAGCTGTAAGTATCAATGGGATCTGCAGGCCAACATCTTTGGCTGGAGTTTGATGTAGACAGGCGTTGGTAAGTCACCACTTTGGCATAGATCTAATGGACCAATCCACCCCAAGCTTTAAAATGTAGACTTGGTGACGTCTTGACACTTTCAAATGGATACTTTGGTCATCTTTGTGGATACTGAAGCCACTGGGTGTTCGTCTTTGCTGGTTCTGAGGGTCCACATGGATGGATACACGCAAACCGTCCAATAGCCAATCCAGAGTCAATTCAGGCCTAGACTGCGCAAATCTTACACGTGATGGAGGCTGTTAGTTTGGAACAACGAATCGATGCATGGGTCTGGTCCCCGCCCGCCAAGAATCGATGCATGGGTCTGGTCCCCGCCCGCCAATAACCGGGGTATAAAGAGGGCCCACATCCACTGGGATTCTTCTTCCTTTTTTTCTTCTTTACCAACCAACAAATTCAAATTAACAATGATCAACTACCAAAACTCCAAGTGTACCTGCTGCGATAACTGCAAGACCTGCGAGAAGTGCCAGAACGGTGCTACCTGCCAGTGCTGCGAAAAGAAGCACTAAATGACAATGTGCTCGCCCAAGAGGCCTTTGATATATGAAATATGATACTTTTCTGAGTTGAAACTGTAGCTGTAAGTATCAATGGGATCTGCAGGCCAACATCTTTGGCTGGAGTTTGATGTAGACAGGCGTTGGTAAGTCACCACTTTGGCATAGATCTAATGGACCAATCCACCCCAAGCTTTAAAATGTAGACTTGGTGACGTCTTGACACTTTCAAATGGATACTTTGGTCATCTTTGTGGATACTGAAGCCACTGGGTGTTCGTCTTTGCTGGTTCTGAGGGTCCACATGGATGGATACACGCAAACCGTCCAATAGCCAATCCAGAGTCAATTCAGGCCTAGACTGCGCAAATCTAGCTCCAGGCTTCCAATAGCAGGCAAGATTTAACCAAAGCAAAGCCAATACAAGCTCCCCGTACACGTGACAAAGTGACCAATGGTCAGATCATTGATGCACGGGTTTGCCCCGCAACACCGACGCCGGTGCCATATAAAAAGGGCCCTGGAAGAAGCTGTTTTTGAATCTTTATCCATAATCAATACATTCAAAATGATCAATTACCAAGAACCAGAAAAGTGCTCCTGCGGTGAGAACTGCAAGTGTGGCGAGACCTGCAAGTGTGGTGAGAAGCACTAAGCAGCTCCCTAAATAGGAATAAACCAATTCCCCTTTATTTATCAGTATCGTGTAGTTTGATGGGATGGGACCAGATCAATGGACTGTCTAGGCCTTGATTTCAGGCTTGATGAGGTGTTTCTTGAGGTCAGCGTCGGATGGGAGTTTTTCCAACTCTCTGACTCTCAGTTTGGCCAATTCTCTAACTTGGATGGTTTCTTTGACGAAAGCCAGGACTTTGGAGTCAGCGCTGACCTTTTTGCTGTTTTCTAATCTGTTGATCAAGTCGCTGTCGCCGACGGTGGCAATGCCAACCCATGCTTTGGTGAAGGTGGCGCTGAGTTCCACAGCACGAAGGAAAGAGTCTCTGGCGGCTTGAAGGATAGGATAGAGGGCCAAGAGATCCTTTTCCTTTTCAGACTTGGCCTGGTCTTGTTGCAAGAAGTGGTAGTACTGGTAAAGACCAGCCTTGTAGAACATGTTGTATGCCAATGGCTCAAGAAGCAACACTTCCTTGATACAGAAGGTAGCCTCTTCGTAGTTACCAATCTTAGCGTACTGCTCAGCCAATTCTGCCCACGTAGTAACGTCAGAAGGCTGGATGTTCAAGTAGAACGTCAACGACTTGATATATTCAGCCACGTTTTCAGATCCGTCAGCCTTGTATCTAGCAAAAGTAGCCAACCTTCTAGAAGCACGGAGCTCATCGGTGCTGGCGCCCAATGCATCCACAGCCTCTCTATCTTTTCCTGTGGCTTCATAATACATGGACTTCAAAATCAGGTACTTTTGGGACCGCTGGCCAGAAAACTCATCATTGAATCTATCAAGCATCAGCTTAGCATTAACATCATGATTCGTAAGAAGCGAAACGTGAAAGTACAATTCGTAAAGATCAAACAACTCAGCAGAGTCTAGCTTTTCCTGGGCAGTTGGAAGAATCTGGCCAACATCTTTATGGAGCTGGTGAAGTTTTTCAGGAGAAAACTTTGTGTACGAGCCTGTGAAAAGGATCTCAGAGTACTTTTGGAATAAACGGTCTGACATCGAAAAAAAAAAAAAAAAAGGAAGCCGAGTGGAGGGTGAGAAAGGGCGGTATTTATACGTGATAAATGTTTTCCACTGTGGTGGTTATAGTTGAGCAAATTGTCCTGCAGGAAGGGGCCCCAGAGCCACCCACCAAGGGTGTTTCAACTAAGACAGTTAATAAAAAAATGGATATTTAAAGGGTTTGGAGGGTTGGAAGGTTCGGAAGGTCAGGAGGAGTTGGAAATGGCGGTGTGGAAGATTTGTGGTTGTGGGATTTGTATCGCGTAATTGAGGGAGGAGTGTGGAGGTGGAATAGTGTTCAGTTAGATTAATTCTGGGTATAAAATTTTGGATTTTGATATTTCCATGAAATTAAATGAAGCTTTAATTGTATATTTAATAACTCTCTTTATGTTTTTAATTGCATGGAGGTTGGTTTGTTGGGGGCTTTCTGGTTCATACTAGGCCTAAAAGAATGGCTGCGAAAAGTAGGAACCAGTAGTTGTGGTGGGTCCAAGTAATGAAGACAATCCAAGGAGAAGAAGAAAGTTGAAGTGATTTCAAGGACACCACTTAATGCCCAATTTACCTTACTAACATCGTTCGTTCCAGTTTTGTCAGTACACTTAAAGCTCTCTGGGAGGTTTGACTACTTCACCTTCCATATCCATTAGACCCTCACAACAACTTTCTACAATAGAACCTACAAGACAACGAAAGACAATGAAGCATGCAATGAATAGACAGAAGAGTCTCTCTGACATTTCTCAATATAAATCAATATGTCTCCCTTCCTCTTCCTTTCCTTCCTTTTCCTACATCTACCACCACTTGTACTCTACGACTTTCCTAATGTAATTTTTTTTTATTTTTTATTTTCTAGTTTTTTACTTTTTTATGATTTTTTACTTTTTTTCTTCTTTTACCGTTTTACGGCTTCTTCTTCGCCTACTCCTACATCACCATCACCTTCTCTCATCTACCTCCTCAAACCAGAAGACATTCGAAGATGTTCACCTTCTTACGGTTACTGGTGTCGAAAATCAGATCCTCCTCCTCCTCTTCCGACTCCTTAAGCTTCTCCATCATCTGCTTCATCTTCTGTTGCTTCATCTTCTCCTGCTTCGTCAACTTCTTCTGCTTTCTAGTGTCGAAGATAGGCTCTTCCAACTCAACAAACTTCTCAACATTCTTCTTCTTCTTCTTCTTTTGCTTCACCTTCTCCTCCACCTTGACTTCCTCCTCCTTCATCTTCTTCTTCTCCTCATCTTCCTTCATCTTCTTCTCTTCCTCCTTCATCTTCATCTTCTCCTCCTCCACCTTCCTCTTCTTCTCCTCCTCCTCCTTCATCTTCTTCTCTTCCTCCTCCTTCATCTTCATCTTCTCCTCCTCCTCCTTCATCTTCTTTTCCTCCTCCTCCACCTTCATTTCCTCCTCCATGGTCAACTTCAGAAGACAGTCATAGATGTTCACCATCTTGCGATTGCTGGTATCGACAATTGGATCCTCCGGCTCTTCCAACTTGTCCACCTGTTGCTTCATCTTCTGCTGCTTAATATTCTGCTTCTTTGTCAACTTCTGAAGCGTGCTGGGAATAATTGTAGGACTGGGCAAAGGCGAGCCTTCGACCTTCCTCTTTTGACGTCTGGGCTTGACAGTCTGCCATTCTGAAGCCACGTCAGTCTTTGGAACTTCTGGCTCTTCCCAAGTAAGAAGCTCAAGGCTCTGAGCAGGTTCCTTGACGTTCTTGGATGTTTCCTGAACCGGAACAGAAGGTGCTCTTTGTTCATCAAGATCAGTAGTAGATGTAAACAGGGTTTCGTCAATGTTAAAACCCGGCATGAGGAACATCATTTCTGCCTGTCTCATGAACTGTAACCCGGCTGGATGCAGCAAACGGGGAACAATTAATCCATCTAAGGATAAAAAGGATTCTGGCCTGAACCAGGATCCAAGACTACTGGAGACTTCTTGGAATCTCCTATAAATAGATTGAATAAAACGGGTATGCGTACGTTGAGCAACGGCTCTAGCGTTGGTTAAGGCAGTAGCTGGAGCGGAAGCAAGAGCACGGAAAGACATAGTGAAACTAGACATTTTTGAGTTGTTGAAAAAAGTGGTTGGAAGAAGAAGAGAGAGAGGGAAAAACCACGACTATTTATGCTTTTCGGGAATCCAGAGAAGGATCCAGAAGAAGCTGAGTTAAGGTAAGTTCAACGTGGGAGGAGATATTTTTTGTGTATCACTGGTGATATTTGACGAAAAGGGAAGGTTGTGGAGGCAGCTCGAGAAAATGGTCACGCAAACAAAACTTGTGCAGACCGGTAGAAGACGGTAGAAGACGTTGGAAAGGCTGGCTACGGCGTTGGAGGGCCCTGAGTGAAGGGTCCGGGTTTGTAGGGTCTGAAAGAGGAAGGTTTCGGGGAGGTGATGTGGAAGACAATAAAGCCGTGACTGTAGAATGGCTGGAAGGGAAGCAGAGGGAAAGGAAGAGAGGGCATTTTGTGAGCTGGCAATAGGAGAATGGGTGAGTTGTTCGAATGGAGGGCTGATGAAACGAAAAGAAAAAAAAAAAAAAAATGGGAGCAAGCCCAAGAGCCCATGAGCCAGTAAACACGAGGGAAAACCCAAGGGACCAAGGAATTGGCAAGCCAGGCGGGCCCGAAAGGATGGAGTATCATGAGATAGCTGTTGAATGACAAAACTATCCAAACTGAATATGGATCATGGAACGTAGAAGTAGCAGGCTAGGGAGCTCTAATGACGGTAAGTACATTGTCGAGGAACGACAAGCTGCAAGAAAAGCATGAACGGATGTGATTCAAATGGCTAGAGAGCAACTGGCAGTAAATTCATTTCTAATGTGTAGATAGTTTCATTTAATACTCATTCGAAAGAGCACAACAAACTGTAGTAATTGATACACCAACAATTAACGTACAACCTGCGCAACTCTGACTGAAGATATTGTCTTCTTTCAAGACTTAAGCCTTTCTTGAACTTCTTTTAGCCCATTTATATCCCTGAGAGCACTATGAGCTCAAAACTCCCTTTTCAATCTCGAAGCTGATTCACCATTCCATGAAGAGGCATAGCCAATCCAATTGAACTAAAATATCTCTGAAGAGGACCAAGGAATGCAAATTTACATACCACTTACAACCTCATTATCCTATTTATAGATCTTCCTCCTTTTATCAAGTGTCCACCTGGCCCATTTACGTCTTCCACCATACTCATCCTCCGAAAGCCCATTTCGCAGCCATTCAGTAAGTACCACCCAAATACCACCCCCAGCCAATTCTCCCGCTAATAAATCCCATCCCCTTAAAACCCAACCAAGTCTCTAATTTCACCCACCCAACCCCTTTTCACCTTAAATTCCAAACTTTTCTCTCTTACCATGTACATCTCTTCTCCCCCAGACCATCTCCAAATCCACACTACATACTCGCGTTTCGCATCAACAAACCATTAACTACTCCATCATGTCATTGAACGAGGCCTGCGACGAGCTCCTAGAAACAGGAATCCTCGACCACGAGCATGGAATCCCGAGACTATGGTATAAGCTGGCGGAAGAGCTTCTGGATCCACAGGGGCCTCAGTCAAAGTACTACAACCTCAATAAGGGTCTCTTGGAGAACCTAGATGGCATTGTGTACCAGGATAAGCTCAAACAGCTTCGGGAGTTGCCTAAGGATGAAATTGACGCGTTGTACGAGACAATGGCTCTGCTGGAGCCTTTGCTGCTGTTTAAGAACCAGGAAGAGATCCTGGCTTTCTTGGAGAAGCATACCAAAACATTCAAGACCCAGGCGCTTATGGGCGACTATATTCCTTCGGCGTTGCCTATAGTGCGTGCTATTCATCATGGGAACGCCAGTTTGGCTGACCTGGAGATTTCCATATTGAACAATCTCAAGAGACTCTATTCTCATTATAATGACCATCCTGCCAATATCAAACGGCTTATCAAGGCATACAGGGAAGATTCGACATTGACAAAGAAAGTGGCTTCGGTTTCGGCGGAAGTGAATAGCTACATTTCGACGGTTTTGCTCCCGAAGCTTCAAAGGCTTGAGAAACTTAATGATGAGCTCGTGGTGCTCCAGAACACTTATAAGAATCAGGTGGAAGCTAGATCGAGTGCTGCTGAAAAGGCGCCTCTAGAAACAAAGAAACTACGGGCTGAAGTGCTTCAGCTTTCTAAGCGTCTCACAACTACAGCAGTTCTCTGTGACTTCCTACCGAACCTTATATTGTGCCAGGCATCGAACTGGCATTCAGACAGCCTGCTTCGAACGATCATGGAGGATTGTCAAGACGTAGCAGAAGCCATTGAAGGGTACATATCATCGCTTCACTACAAGAATGCTCGAACATTGAAGGTGGACGATATTCTACAAATCGATTTCGAACCGCTAACGATCGTCTAATGTATATTTACAGGTGAATAAGCCCCGGAGTTCATGAGAAGAAGATGTCATCATTCCCCAAGGCCATATCAGGAAGCCACAATTAATTATTTAGACCTCAAACAAACGCTTGTTCACGACTTCCCAGTTGATGCAATCCCAAACCTTCGACAAGTACTCAGACTTGCCCATGATGCCATAATCAGTCATGTAGGCCACGTCCCATACGTTCAATGCCAAAAGAGGTAAGGTCAAGTCGAGTTCTTCATTCTGTGCCTTCTCTTTGATGCTGTTCAATGCGTCAAAGCTCTCCTCAGAAACAGCGCCGTTCATGTCCAACAGCTGGTTCTTAGCATAGTAGTATGGAGTGCCTTCGTTGTTGCACCGTATAATCTTCATGGACTTGTCTGGTAACTCCACCAAGAACACCCAGCCTTGGCCTGAAAGCTTTTCAGCCTCCTTGAACATAGCAGCTTTGAGATCCTCCACACTGTTAATATCTTGGTCAGCTAAACGGTCCATGATGAATCTCGATGGTCTAGTGGCCTTGGCTTCTTCCTTGTCAACCAACTGTTGGAAGAAGAAGTGGTTGTTATGAGCCTGAGAGGCGTAATGGAAAGTATGTTGTTCAGTGGTCTGCTTGGCTGTGTTCAATAAGATGAAGTAAGGTGTTCTGGTCTCGTTGGCACTGCCGACGGTTCGTAACGAAAGGTTAGTGGTCAAGTACTTCTGGTAGTCTGACCAGGCAGTTTTGAACCCAGCCGGTGAGTATAAGCCTTCAATTCCGTTTTCCAAAAGCTTTTGCTGGTTTTTCAATTTTGGCACCGTGTGGACGCCACGGACGGCTCTGGGTATCGTAAAGCCTAGCCTGGAGAACATTGTGGGATGATCTTATGGACTTTGGTCAGACTGGTGAAAAATGCTGCAACACATAAATTTTCGATTTGTCGCGTGCACGACCACGCTTGGGATGGAGTAACGGTAGACAATCAAGAGACGTAGTAAATGGAGACGTAGGGTCCTGGAGAGAAACAGGTCTAGAAGATTTCTTGCTTTCTTGATATTTTGGTTTTGTAGTCGTGGTGTTCTGAAAATTTTCATGTCAGTATGTTCCGAGTGTAGTAGGTCTTTCGCAGCCATTGTGGGTAATGAAAGACGCTTTCTTTCGTCAGGAGTCTTCACAATGTGTATGATGAGTTCGTTTAGGAAGGCTCCATATGTTTATAGCAACGTGCAATTCATGTTTTGATTCGTCGGAGTTTCATTTAAGAAAGGAACCGTCGTAAATGAGCGCCCTTAGCCAACTCTGGAAGCTGATGCCAATGCTGAGCCGTTCTTCAAGCGCTTCTATTAATCCAGATCATTAGCTTGAAGCTGCCTCGGTTGCCTCCGCCTTCTCTTCCTTCTCTCCACTCTTTTCTTTTAGCAGGTTGCTCAGCAACTCCTGGATCTTTCGACTAGTCACTGGCATATTCTGAGACACCCATCCAGCGTCTCTCAAGTGTCTCTTCGGATCAGCGGTCCTAGGCAACTTCAGACACAATTCTTCGTACAGAGATTCCTGGATCTTATACTCCCTCAACACTTCGTTCGACTCGAGATCAATAAAAATACGAGTATCTCTGATTCTGAAAGCCACATCGTCCACACGTAAAAAGAAACGACACAAGAGAAGCAAGCACAGGTGCATGACTCTGATTTTTGTAGAAAGCATAGAAATACCGTTATCGCCCAATTCATCCTCAAACAAGATCGACTCGTCAAAGAACAAAATCGGATCAGGCCGAAGAAGCTTCTGCACGGGAATTTCCTTCTCGGTAGGCACAAACTCGGCATCGTGTAACGTTCCCTCGTAGTTTGTAGAATACGTCCAATCGTATGGTTTCACAGATTCAAGCTCAGGCGCCGATGCCGAAGAATCAGCGTCACTCTGTGCATCTGCCTTAGCCTTAGGTCGCGTGCTGAGCCATTCCTTATAGTAACTAACCTTAAAGTCAGCCACTTCGTTTAATGAGTCTAAAGCGTCTAAAGTATTAAAGTCAATGGAAGCACCCGACTTATCGTTGACGATCCTGACGTAGTTGTTACCGAAAATCATCTCTGGCAACGGAAAATCAAACCTCGTTTCGTTCAAGTGGTCCAACTCGTCCAGCAGGAGAATTGGTCCCTTCATGGTGTATATGCTCCAGTCGTTCACTGTAATGGAAGGGTTCTGCTCAAACGGGAACGACGCCTTCGGCAGCGGAATAATCACAGTCCCACAATGTCCACACTGTGGGTTTTCACAATCTCCCTTATGGCTTTTCGCCGGAACCGATATATCCATCTTGGTTACATGTGTATGAGTATGAGTATGAGCAGGAGGTGGAGGAGGAGCACTTCTTCGTGGCACCCTAGCATGGATGTCCATTGTGTTCTGGGAAACCACTGGCGCCTGTCTTTCTGGCCCCCTGGCCACAGCACTAGCACTGGCAGGCGGTCTGCGTCCCAGAGTGTGGAGATTGACCTGTTCTCTTGCTTTGGTGACGTGAATGGCCAGGATTCCAGGAGGTGGCGGGGCCGAGCCCGGAGAAGGGGCCTTGTTTTGGGAATCGGGCTTCTGGCCTGGTTTGGGGAATTGCTCAGGCAGCGACATTAAGAGGTTTTGGTGGTTTTGGGGGTGATGGAATGGGGGAATAGCGTGGTGAAGATTTCTGAGGTTATAGGTTCTGGGGTTGTTCAGTGTAGGGAGGTACTGGTTCGAATCTGGGGGTGCTACCAAAGGACCAAAGGGGGCAGTGAAGGGAACGTGATTAGTATATTACAGGCTGCTAGAGGAGCAGAAAAATGTCTAGAAGAGGGAAGTGAGTGTTTTTGGTTACTCGGGTTTCCTGGTTATATCGATGTTGGTAAAAAGAAAGTGTGGCTCAGAGCCACTGGATCGAAATGGCTGCGAAATGGAGTAGAAGGGAAGAGTTCCTTAATAGACAGTCTCTTCTTCCTTTCTGAGGCCTTCTCTCACGGCCAAAACAGAGTCGGCAATGACGGCATCCACACCGGCCTTCATCTGGATCTTACAGGCTTCGGGGTCGTTGTTCTCCACACCGTATGTCACACAGACCAAACCAGAGCTCTTGACAACCTGGGCAAGTCTAGGAGTCTTGACAAGCGTCTTGGCGTTACTGACAATACCCAAGAGATTCCATTTTTTGGCGAATCTGATGGCGTTTTGCAAAGAAGACGCTCTGATGTCGGCCATGGGCTCGGTACCGGCTTCGGTAAGGTACAAAATAGGCATCGTGGGCTGCTTCAACGAAAGCAAGAGACAGATATCTGGATGGAAAGACGAGAACAAGATATCTCTGCCACTGGTGTTTTCTTCGTAAACCGTCTTCAAGATCGTGTCGACGTAGAAGTTCATGTCGTAGGCAACCTCTCCCATGCTTTCAAGCTGGGCTTCGTCCAACATAGGGTACTTGAGCTCAATGTTGAAACCAACGTTCTTTGGCAACTTTTGGAAAAGCTTCTTCAAGGTAACGAAGTTCGAGGCAATCGACAAACCTCTGGCGTTTCCCTTGAAACCTTTTTCTTTCCAGGTCTTTGTAAGCTTCATTCTGCTGGAAATCTGGCTCTGGAACTCTCTGTCCAATTCATCTTCTTCAGCAGCAGAGGCAAAGTTTGGTGCAGATGGATAAGACGACATGGAACGTGGTCTGTTGTACTTACCCAAAAGCTCGTCATCAAGAGCAAAGTTTTTGGTGATGTTCAAGTTATTGTTGACCTTGTCGTAACTCAAAATAGACTTGTTCTTTCTTGTGGCGGACTCGTGCTCACTGAGTCCCAAGAACTGCTCTTCGGTCAAGGCATGCATTGGGATATCAACACCAGATTCGGCCACCAAGAAGTCATGGTAGATAACAGGAATATGGTCCTTGGTAAGCTGCACATCAAACTCAACATAAGAAGCACCCAAAGAAGCAGCGGCAATGAAAGACTCCACAGTATTTTCACCCAACTGCAAAGAATCTCTCTTGTTCATGTTCTTACCCAAACCTCTATGGCCAATAACACGGGTAGAAACCAACTGCTTCCAGTATGTGTCAGAACGAGTAATGGAGATCTGATGATGGTCAAACGACTTGGCACACATGTACTCACACTTAAGAGTTCCCAACATGTCGAGGGAGTCCAACTCTAAGATAGGAACAGTGATGCAGTTATGAAGGGAACGTAATTCAGAACCAACATCTGTGTATGCGCTCTTCAACAAGGCAACACCTCTACCCAAGATCTTACCCTTCATAGCACCCTTGTGGGTTTTCTGAAGGTTGCTTGTAGGGTATTGGTAAGTTGGAACAATGTCGAAAGCCACTACCATGTCGTCTGCACTGACACCAGCATCGAGCTTGAAGGTAATAGGGTCAGTGGCACTACCATGTTGATCTTCTAATGGCAAATCAACAACGACTGGAGCTTCAATGATATCTTTAGTCTCCTTGTGGCGACAAGTGACAACAAGCGAAAGGGCAGTGTCAAGCTCAGTGAAGAAACTTTGAGACATGGAAATCTTGTTCAAGTCGATAGGCTTCAGCTGATCACGCAAGTCGGTAGTACCCAAAGTGATCAACACCAACAGCTCTCCTTTAGCCAAGTATCTATGACCGAAGGACTTGATTGGCTTCATTTTACGACGGTTAACTGGAGATCTCGATCTGGAGTGACTTCTAGCACGAGTGCGTTCCTTACCGTTGGAATGAACTGAAGAACCATTGGTTGAAACATTGGAGCTGCTGTCAAACTGCTTGAACTGGCGGTAGACTTCATTCACAGCATTTCTGTTCAGCTCAGGAAGCTTCTCAATAGATGAAGTAGACAAGAGCATTTCCTCGCTAGTTGGGTGCAAAAATGGCGAAGTAGTAGTAGAAGCATTCTTCGACGAAGGGTTATGTGTTCTTGGAGTGTTCTTTGATGGATCATCAATGTTGTACAAGAGCAAGTTGTCGTCAGAAGGCTTCAATAAATCAGCCAAGACCAAGTGACCACGCAAAGAGGCATGCTCCATTGGCAACCAACCAGAATCATCAACCAAATCGAAGCGGGCTGCGTATTCAATCAAAGCCTTGACCACATCTTCATAACCTTCAGCAGCAGCGATAAAGATGGGTGTCCATCCGAAAACACATTCACCCAATTCAGTATCAGCGCCCATCTTCAACAAGAACTTGACGGTACTCAAGTGGTTGAGCTTGGAGGCGACGTAAAGAGCGGTTTCTTCATTGTTTTCAGCGTCAGTGTAGTTAACGTCAATAAAGTTAGCCTCAAGCAACTTCTTAACGATATCTTCACAGTCAAGTCTCGTGGCTAGAAGCAACAAGTTAGGACAAGACAATGGAGACAGGTAAACGTCAAGAAGGTTCTCAGTGGTCTTTGGATGCTTACCGATGATGGCAAGGTGCAAAGGCGTCAAACCTTCTTGATCGCCCCACACTTCCACCAGGTCAATTGGAGTATTTTGATCGACCAACTTCCACTTGACCAAGTACTCCAAAAGCAAGCTAGTGACCTCCAAAGCACCATACTGAGCAGCATAATGAACCGGAGTACGCAAGTAAGTGTCCTTAGCCACAAGCAAGTTTTGGTATTCAGGATACTCCTCGACCTTCTTCAAAATGTTCCTCAAACCATCAACGTGCACAGGCGAAAGCTGAGAACCGTCAGGACCACTTTCGTTACCATACAAACGCTTGATGTCACTGGATTCACCTGGGTTACTCTGCTTCTGTTCCTTGATAAGCTGCTTCTTACCAAGCGAAACAACGTGCTGATGGAAGAAGTTTCTTCCTGAAATATCAATGGAATCGAAAAGAGCGTTGCTGTCACCGACCTCATCGGCATGAGCTCTGGTGAAATCCACCAAGTAGTCGAAAAGACGATCAGTACAAGCAACAGAGTTGGCAAGAGTAGCCTTGTTCAAAAGCGAAAGGAACAACTTCACCGACTTTTGAGCCCATTCCAAACCGTCAAGCTCAGAAATAAGCTTATCGGCTTCGTTTTGATAAATAAGCTCATAAAAGTTCTCCATGAACTCCTTATCAAAAGAATACCTTCTGTTACCACCAATCTTCAACACATTCAAGTTCTTGGTGGTAGTAGAAAGCACCTTTTCGGCCTCCAAGTTGTTTTCCAACTCGATCTGCTGGTCACCCAACTGGTTCAAGATCTCGTTGATGGTGTCCAAACCAGCCTGGATCTCCAGACCATTGGCAAACGGCAAGGCATCCACTCTAGTGGCCAAGTACGTTTCCTTATTGTTGTTTGGCAAGTTCACCTGAGGGATATCCTCGTCCAGGTGTTCAGCGTCCACACGCAACTGGTCATTGGCCAAGTTCGTCAAATAAGCCAACTTCTTATCAAGTTTCTTCAAGATCTTGATGAAACCCTTATGGTTCAACTCACCGAACCACTTCAAGTTCCTGTAAATGGCTCTAAGCTCCAACAGAATGGACACAATCTCGTCAAGCTCATCGGTAGTATCGACCTGATGAGTAATCTTGCCGTTGGTGTAGCCCAAAACATGCACTATCCTGGCGGTTCTTCTGGAGTACTCGTTATACTTTGAATCGTAGAACTCCGAAACCCTCTCTATATCTCTATCAAGCTCATAGAAGAACTGCGAGAGCACCGTGGAAATCAACTCGGGAAGCTCCAAAGGCGAATAACTATGATAGTTGATAAACTTATCAATGGTCTTGATCACCTTCTTCAAGTGCTTATAGTTCATATAATGGACGGACCATTCTGGAATCTGGTGGGAAAGGAAGGTCTTTCCGAACTTCATGAAGACTTATTCAGAAGAGTCGAAGTGGATGTAGATTTTTTTTCCTCTTTTTTTAAGGCTTGTATTCACAAAATGATAATTTATAACAGCATGGCGCTTGACCCGATGCCAGTCCTACATTGAGGCGGCACCTGCGCTGTGGGGCGAACCGAGTCACCGAGTCCCCCAGTCATTCCAGGGCATGGACGCCTGTCACGTGTGGTTGCCCGACCCGTGGGGTATAAATACGAGACGAATTCCCACTTTTATTTATTTACATTTTTGCTCTTTTACGTCCCCACGTGGCGAAACCTGTGCCAACTACGGGGCCCGTGGGCGCTCTGTGCTACTCTGTGGTTGCAAAACGGCACGTACAAAAAAGAGCGAGCGCGCTGCCACGGGGTCCTGGATGGGAAAGAAAAGGACAGGAAAGGAACAGTGAGGGCATAACGGTTTCGCAGCAATTGAGCAAGGCAGTGGAAGAGGTTGATTGTTTTCGTGTGGCACGGGGCGCAAAGGGGAGGGATGGATTAGGTTAGGGTTGGAATTAGTGGAGGTACTGTTTTTGTGATTTGTTTGGTGGTGGTGGTTTTTTTTTATTTTTTTTTCTTGAACGATGAGGCATTTCTTGGTTAGTTACTGTCGGATTTGTTGCCGCTGCTCGGCTAAATAGTCCGAGCTTTGTGGTGGTAGTGGTAGCGGACGTCTTGGGTCAAGATCGACATGGATAAGGAGTGATGTCATTAAGGAGAAGGTATGTGGGGGAACCTTAAAGGTTATTGAGAGATTGGAGATTGACATGGATGGTGGTTCTGGAGCCATCGTGCAACTCCGAATCAACGTAAGTGCTGGATTAGGCTTTTATCCATTTCAGGCTGTATCCAATGCATTCTAGAAGCAATGCTGCTTCTTTATCTCTCCAGCATCGACTTTCGCAACCGGAAACCATTACTCATTTGGGGCCTGACTAAGCCAGGCGGTTATTTCAAACCCCAGGCCCTACACCTTGTAGTTCGTAATCTAACTTTTCTATTTAGATGATGCCAGGAGGTTTCTTCCAACCCATCTTCTAAGTACTTTCATGCAATCATTTATCTAGAGCAACGTCTCGCCCATGGCACAACGGCCAATGGCACAAGCAGCGCTCACGGTATCGAGAACGTGGTTCTCGTGTTCACCCAAAAGCGGGTTGGTTTCAACAACATCAAGTGAGCTCAAAAGACCAGTTTGAGCTATGTCTTCAGCCACAAACAATCCCTCTCTTAATGACAAGCCACCTTCCACTCTGGTACCGGTGGCTGGAGTGAATGAAGGGTCAATGGCATCAACATCGTAAGACAAGTGGATAGGGAACTTACGGTCTGGGTTGACCTTGTCCAAGGCCATCTCCACAACCTTACCAATACCGTACTTGTCGACATGGTACATGGAGAAAGCTGGAATGTTGTATTTTTTCAAAATGGCCTTTTCACCATCGTCCACATCTCTCAAGCCAATGTATGCGATCTTGCCTGGCTTCAACTTAGCTGGAACCCAGCCGTATTCCGGAGGGAAAGATTCCTTGTCGATGCCCATGACGAACGACATGGGGCAGCCGTGGAGGTTACCAGAATCCGTAGTCTTTGGCGAGTTGATATCGGCGTGAGCGTCGATCCACAAAACACAAGTGTCGGGGTTATTTTCCAAAGCAGCAGCAACCGTAGCAGTTCCAATAGAGTGGTCACCGCCAATCACCACCGGAAGAGCCAATTTCTTATGGGTATCAAGACATGTCTCGTAGATGAGTCTGTTGCAGTCAGCCACGATCTTGGTGTTCTTGACACCGTACGAGTCCTTCTCGTCCGTCTTTCTCAGCTCAAAAGCATGGCCCTCAAGCGGATGAGCCACCTGGGTCGTCCAGCCCAAACCCTGGAGCTGTTTCTCAAAGCCAGCCTCAAGAATATAACGAGGTCCAAGGTCAACGCCTCCCTTTGGCTGGCCGCCAGAGAACGGAGCAGCGATGATGGTTGTTTTCTTCGAAGGATGGAATTTGTACTCGGGAGTAGTCATTTGTAAAATTGATAGCGAAAAAAACGAAATCAACGGGGAAATGAGCGATATTTATACCGATGAGAGATGGGGGACATTGGCAACGTGAAGGTGCTCATGGATCAGAGCCGGGAACGGCAGGCGAACGCGACGCACGGTTGGTCTTTCCAGGCATCAACAAGAAAACGCGAGTCACAAAAGGGCAAGCGGGTGCGAGCAACCTCCAATGGAAGGTAACAGAGGGAAGGCCACAGCAAGCCGGTCCGAGCCTGGGAAATACGAATAATGGGGATTGTGGGGTTACAGAAGGAAATGGGGAATTATTTGGATTGGTCAGGTTTTGGAAAGGAGGGGTGAAATGGTGGTTTAGTAGTGGGATGTATGTTTTTTTGGTAGGTGGATGGAGTGGCTGCAAACTGGAAAATGTGAGACATCCAGAGGGAGTGAGGAGTAGGTGGAGGAGGTTCCTCCAAGGGGATGGTTTTTGAGGGTTTATTGGGAAGAAAGGAGGTTTTTAGGATGAGTAGGATGGCTTTTAATGGTGGTTCTTTAGGTTTCTTGGGTTTCTTGGATGGTTGGTGGTTGGTGGTTTGTGGCATCAGGAGCAATGTAAGACAGCCACAGAGAGCCGCAGGCGGTGGGTTGAACTGGCTCCCACACGGAACGGATGAAGTGGGATGGCGTTGGTGAAGACGGAGCTGTGATGTCTGGAAAAATGTAGTTTGGTATTTTATGGAGTTTTCATGGAGTTGTGGCTGGAAGTTGGTGGTTCTCTGGGTTCAGTGGGTGGAGTTTATGATGTAACTGGAGTGCTGGTGGAAAGTGGCCACGGAAGGTGGATTTGTATGTGAGTTGTGGTTGTTGGGATGGAGGGTTGGTTAGATGAGGGTGGTTGGATATGGTGGTATTATTCCGGTTTAAAGTTTAGTTGTATAGATGGAGTACTGGTCCCTCTCTGGTACTCACCGATTGGAGGGTAGTAGTTGGAATGGTTAATCCTTGTACGTATGACGTCTCTGGCTTAAAGTGAGCTCAGTAGAACCTTAAGCAGGAGATGTATTTGCATATTCTTCTGTAGTTGGTGGGTTGGCTGTAAGGGCTGCTCCTTGGAGGTGCAATTGTCGTCAGGTGGTGGGTATATGTATCAAGACCCTGAAGCAGTATTATGGTTCTGAGCAAACGCTGTTTATTGATCTCCGGTAATTAAAAAACTAGAAGAACTCCAGTGATCATTTATCTTAGAGCATCGTCTGTTGACATGGACGTTTTTAGTCAGAAGTAGAACGGGCTATCTTCTTAATTTACCATCAATAAACTTTTAGTTAACAGTGAAATGTCATAGATCAATTCAAATCCAAATTTGTTTTTGAAAAAAAGTATCTTGAATCCCAAATTCAAGCTTTCATGTTTGAATCTCCAATACTAGCACTATATGCTTCTCGATGGACCACATGTCTCACCTCGAATGGTAAACTCAAACACGAAGGAAACAAAAGCACCAGATGTCGTATAAGAAAACCTTCAATATTTAAACACCTATACCCCAATATCTCCCTCCTGCCTCAGCTTCCCCACTGCCTCTCCAACCACTACCAAGGCTTATCGGTGGTACAGCCTCCACTACCAACCACCCATGGCTGCAAAATCCACTTAAATCCTCAAAACGCCCCAATATCCACCAAAATCTCTTTAAACTCTCTCAGAAAACCAACCAGACCACCCAAACCATCACCACCTGACTCTTCCTTCTACCATCTCTCTCCGAGGCTACTCCGAGGCTCGTGCGGCCCGCAAGCAACTCCGAAACAGTTCCCACCACACCGCCAATTCACCTAAAATCCCCAGAAAATCACCAATTCCAAACCCAAATCATTCCACCAACCACTAAATCCCAAATTCCCCCCTCTTACACTTCTTCACCAAAAACCACAACCACGCCTCGCAACACTACCCAGTGTTGCTAGTACTATATCTTCGCGCATCACCTAACTCATCTTATCTCTTTACATATCCACCTCTTCTTAGCTACCACTATGAATTTGGCTTCCTCAGACGACGAGCACTACCTTCTGCCTGTGGACGATGACGAGCACCACTATGATGATCTGGACGATGGAATGTTGGCGCTGAGTTTGGCGCTGACTCACTTTTCCACTACGGAAGATCGGTTTATCAAGGACCACGATTTGAAGATTCGGGCGTTTGAGGCTCTTCAGGAGTCGAAGGATAAGGATAAGAATAGCCATTCGGCGCAGAATGCTCATGCGAAATCACTCAATCGCCAGAGAAGACGCTCTGTGATTGACTTACCGGCTTCTTTCCACCCTCATCCTCTGGACGCAACTCAGGGTAAGAACTTACCGGGACGCCAGCCTCAGGGGTACACGAACGCATTGCCAGAGGAGTACCCTTCGAGTGAACTTGTCGATTTGTATGAGAAGGTTCAGATGTGTTTGGACTTGCGTCACAAGTATATGGACTTGTCGCTCCAGAGGTTTGAACAGACTAACCCTAAGAACAGTGACGATTGGGTGGTGTACCCTCCTCCACCTAAACCTACTTATAAGCTGAAAAATAAGTTTAACCAGCTTCCAGGTCAGCATTTGGACCAGGAGGAAATTGATATGAGTAAGTTCCCTGTGCCTGACCGTGATGCTTCTGATAGGTATGAACTTAAACATAACGATGGAGACGTCTACGAGGTCATTGATAAAGAAACAGGCGAGCCAATTACCCGTGTGCCTACTTTGCGTGAATACTACACGGATTTGAACAAAATCGCCAAGATCTCGTCAGATGGTCCTATCAAGTCTTTCGCTTTCAAGCGTCTTGAGTACTTGGAAACAAAGTGGAACATGTACTACTTGCTTAATGATTTTGAAGAGAACAAACAGTCCAAGAGGAACCCTCATCGTGACTTCTACAACGTCAGAAAGGTCGATACCCATATTCACCACAGTGCATGCATGAACCAGAAGCACTTGTTGCGTTACATCAAGTATAAGTTGAAGACTGTGCCTGATGAGCAAGTCATTTTCAGAGATGGTAAGCTTTTGACGTTGCAGCAGGTGTTTGAATCTTTGAAACTTACTGCCTACGACTTGTCCATTGATACCTTGGATATGCATGCTCACACCGATACCTTCCACCGTTTCGACAAGTTCAACTTGAAATATAACCCTATCGGTGAGTCCCGTTTGCGTGAGATTTTCTTGAAGACAGATAACTTCATCAACGGTAAGTACTTGGCTGAAATCACAAAACAGGTGTTTGAAGATCTTGAAAACTCCAAGTACCAAATGACAGAGTTGAGAATTTCTGTCTATGGTCGTTCCTACGACGAGTGGGACAAGTTAGCTCGCTGGATCGTAAACAACAAGTTGTTCTCCCACAATGTCAGATGGTTGATTCAGGTTCCTAGACTTTACGACTTGTACAAGAAGAACGGTAACGTGACAAACTTCAACCAGATCATGACCAACTTGTTCGAGCCATTGTTCAAGGTTTCGCTCAACCCTAAGCTGAACCCTAATTTGCATATCTTCTTACAGAGAGTGGTTGGATTCGACTCTGTTGACGATGAATCCAAACCAGAGAGGCCAATCAACGCCAGAAAGTTCCCTCCAGCCTCTGAATGGGACGGAAGCAAGAATCCTCCATACTCCTACTACTTGTACTACCTTTATGCGGATTTGGTGTCGTTGAACAACTTGCGTGCTGCCTTGGGCTACAACACTTTCGTGCTTAGACCTCACTGTGGTGAGGCTGGTGATCCCGAGCACCTTATTTCTGCCTTCTTAACTACCCATTCCATTTCTCACGGAATCAGATTGCGGAAGCTTCCTTTCGTCCAGTACTTGTTCTACTTGGACCAAATCGGATTGGCAGTGTCACCATTGTCCAACAACGCATTGTTCTTGACGTACGATAAGAACCCATTCTTCAGTTTCTTCAAGAGAGGTTTGAACGTTTCGTTATCTACAGATGATCCATTGCAGTTCTCATACACCAAGGAACCATTGATTGAAGAGTACTCTGTGGCAGCACAAATCTACAAGTTCTCGGGTGTCGACATGTGTGAACTCGCAATGAACTCGGTAAAGCAGTCAGGTTACGAAGCTCTGATCAAAAAGCACTGGCTTGGAAAGAACTACATGGAGGGAGGTGTTGCAGGAAACGATATCGAGAAAACCAACGTTCCTGACATTCGTGTAAGGTACCGTGACGAAACTCTCCAAAGCGAACTCAGCCTTGTGGAGTACTACACCTCCTTGGGTAAAGAAAAAGTATAGTCAATTTCAAAGAACGGCTTGTTCCTGGACCTCTCTGCTTCCCTTGTAGAGTGGGACTGTCTATGCGCATCCTCCTAACGTATGCGCTTACATGGCCTCCACACCACTATGCGTGCACAAGAAGTGATCCAACCTTCCTTGCTGGATCCACTTACCCAGTTATCTTCATTCAATTATGCCTAAAACTACTTATATCGAGCTCCTAAGCCCTCAGGTCACCCCCAAATCGCTCCCTGCAGTTCTCACCGTTGCTGGACTGGATTCCTCAGGAGGTGCTGGTATTGAGGCAGATATCAAAACCATCAATGCCCATGGAGTCTATGGACTTACTTGCATTGCAGCATTGACTGCTCAGAATACTTCTGGAGTTGAGGCAGTCGAGCAAACACCAATTGAACACTTGCGGAAGATCCTCAAGAAGAACTTTGATGATTTCGTCGAGGGTTATAAGGGTGAGCACCCATTGAAGGTGGTTAAGACTGGTATGCTTACTGAGGCAGCTGCCACGGTACTTTCCGAGAATGTGGATTATTTAAATAAGAACGATGTGAAGATCGTTATGGATCCGGTTATGGTGAGTACTTCGGGAGTCACTTTGACTGATAACAAGACTGTGCAATTGTGCTTCGATAAGATCTTTCCTTCGACTTTCTTGTGTACTCCAAATTACGTTGAGGCCTTGCAATTGTATGGAGCAAAGGAGGGTAAAGAACCAGAAGTGAAATCGCTTGCTGATCTTGAGAAGCTTATTGTGGCGTTGCAGCAGGTTCTCAAATGCCAGAACCTTTTGGTGAAGGGAGGCCATATTCCATGGACTAAGGATGGCAAGTTGGCTGAACAGAAGAATGGCGACGATTTGGTCATTGCCGATGTGCTTTATGAATCCAAGGAGGACAGAATCACTGTGTTCAAGTCGCCATATATCCTGCTGGAGAACACTCACGGTACTGGATGTACATTAGCCAGTTCAATTGCATCCAACGTTGCCAAGGGATTTACTCTTCAACAAGCCGTTCCGCTTTCCATCAACTATATTCACACGGGCATGCTCAGCTTGGCGCTGAAGTTAGGTCATGGCCATGGACCTGTTGATCATACTAATATCGCCAACAATAGCGTTCAGACTGTCATCAAGGGTTCTGATTCGCTTAAGAGCGATTTGAAGGAGAAGCACGGTGGAGCACTTTCGTTCTTCAAAAACCACGAGTTAATCAAAGATAACTGGAAGAGATACACCGAACATCGGTTCGTTGAGCTTGTGGCCACAAACAAGCTTCCGTTCGATAAGTTTCTCTTTTACTTAAAGCAGGACGTTTACTATTTGGTGAACTATGCCCAGATCCACGGTCTTGCAGCCCTGGTGGCTCCATCTTACGAACAGATCCATGCTCAAGCTGAAGTTATCGATAACATCATGAAGGAGATTGAAAGACATAAGGCCAAGTTGCTCAAGAAGTACAATATCGATTTCGATAAAGCTGATTTGGATTCAGAGCTCCAGCCTGCCAAGCCATGCATTGCCTACTGTGACTACTTGTTGAAGGTGGGTAAAACGCAAGACTTCTTGGGTATCAAGGTAGCCGTTGCTCCATGTCTTCACGGATACGCCGAAGCAGGTATCTATGGCCTGAAGATTCGTGCTCAGCATGATGGATCTTTGGGTGTCTTATCGTCAATAGACGAATCTGAAGTGTATGGTTCATGGCTTGACGATTACACTTCCGACTGGTACACTGAAGCCAATGAGATTGGTATTAAGGTCTTGGATGACACCATTGCTGCAGTTGATATTTCTGAGCAGAGGTTGGATGAGTTGACCAAGATCTTCAACGATGTGACATTATTGGAAATCGCCTTCTGGGACGAAATCACTGAAACTATATAGAGCGAAGAACAATAGACCTATAGAGGCAGATTGAAATTTTTATGATTTGGCTATTTTTGTATGTGTAGATTTCTGTATGTAAAGTGGTCCATTGCTCGTAAGTACAGCCTCAGCCACCAAGCATCTACGAAACAGAAATACGAAAAGGGCCTTTGGGACTTCTAAGTAATGTTTTTTTCAGGATTTTGGTGCTTTTCACGAAAAGTTTAAAAAACACGAAATCCTCATGTTTCCCATTTCCATGACTTTTCACGAAACCGTCGACTCTGACTACATGGCCGATTTCGCAGCCAAATTTGTTCAGTAGCGCATTGGAAGAGTCCACCATTTCCACACCAAGACCATGAAATTTGGGCAAAACCAAGTTATTTAAAGACAAATCGGCTAAAGATTTTGAACTTTCACCCTTACTTTTCATAAACCCCCCTTTTTCCTGGCTTTTTTGGACTACTTTTCAAGGCTAGGGTCCCTGGAGGTTACCGGGTGTACGGGTCTCCCCATACTGATACGTGCTGGTTTCTCCAACCTGATCTACTCACACTTCATCCTTACTGTTTCCATGTACAATCCCTACCAGGGCGGCTTTCAGGGCAACTACCAACAAACAGGTGGTTTCCAGGGCCAGTACGGTTTCCAGGGCCAGCAGCAGCCGCAGCAGCAGCAACCTCAGTATGTGCAACAGCAGCAGACTGGCTTCTACCAGCAGAACCAGCCCCAACAGCCTGGTCTCTTTCAGGGTCAGCAGACGGGCTTTCAGCCTCAGCAAACGGGGTTCCAGCCTCAACAGACTGGATTTCAACCTCAGTTTCAGCAACAGCAGCCTCAATTGAACCAGCAGGCTACTGGGTTCCAGCCTCAGCAAACTGGCTTCAATTCGGGATATGGACAGCCTTTGACTGCTCAAAAGACTGGGTTTACCGCAGCTCTTGGCTCTGTTAGTGAAAATAACGAGTTGAAGATTCCTAGTATTCGTTTGTCGTTTATCAGTGCCGAGGAGCAGACCAAGTTCGAACACCTCTTCCGTACGGCTGTTCCACAGGGAGAGAACTCTATTTCTGGTGATGGTGCCCGTGATATTTTGTTGCGTTCGGGCTTGCAGCCTGTTACTTTGGCTGAGATTTGGACTCTTGCTGATACGAACAAACTGGGTGCTCTCTTGTTCCCTGAGTTCGCCTTGGCCTTACACTTGTGCAACTTGTCCTTGAAGGGTGAGCCTTTGCCTGGTGTTTTGCCAGAGAGATGGGCAAATGAAGTTCAGAGCTTTGTGGATGCTATCAGTTTCGCTGTTCCTGAAGATCCAAACAAGATCATGGCCAACACGCCTTTTTCGTCGTTTGCAGCTTCTAAGCCTGCCCAAAGCGATTGGTTGGACAGTCAGCCTGTGAACCAGAACTTCTCTGGCGGTGCTGCTGCTCCCCCACCAACTTCTTTCACTGCCCAGCCAACTGGTGGTCTCAACTCTTTGACTGCTCAGCGTACTGGTGGTGGTTCCTTCGTTGCCTTGCAACCTCAGCAAACAGCCAGCTTGGTGCCAGCTCAGTCCTTGCAATCGCAGAGAACTGGTCCTCTTCAGCAACAAACCACTGGTTTCCAGCAGCAGCAACAACAGCCACCTCAACAACCGCAATTGACATCCCAACGCACTGGCTCAGGACCTTCTGGTGGTTTTCAACCACAGCAAACCGGTCTTCAACCACAAGGCACTGGATTCAATGGTGCCCAGGGTCTTCTGCAACAACGTACTGGTGGCTTTCAGCCTCAGCAGACTGGTGGCTTCCAACCTCAGCAGACAGGCGGCTTTCAACCACAACAAACCGGTGCTTTCCAACCGCAGCCAACTGGTGGCTTGTTGCAGTCCCAACCTACTGGTAAACCAGGCCAATGGGGTTTCGTCCACACTCCTACTGGTGGAATCCCAGGCTTAAACGCTATGGAACAGCATTTCTTGCCTAATGCCCAGATGAACACCAACAATTTGCAGAACGCTATGGGAGGCTCCTTGAAGAGTAACGTCACTTGGGCCATCACCAAGCAAGAAAAGCAGATTTATGACGGTATCTTTGGTGCTTGGGATCCTGATAGAAAGGGTTTCATCCAAGGCGATACTGCAATTGGTATTTTTAACAAATCTGGTTTGAGTAGACCAGACTTGGAATCCATTTGGAACTTGTGTGATGCAAGCAACCGTGGTAAGCTTAACAAGGACGAGTTCGCTGTTGCCATGCATCTTGTTTATCGTCGTTTGAACGGCCTCGAGATTCCTTTGAGGTTGCCACCAGAGTTGATCCCTCCTTCTGCCAAATACTTGCAGGACTCAGTCGACTCATTGAAGAACTCTTTGAAAGGTGGCTCCAAGGGCAAGCCTCAGGCAGCCAAACCAGCTACGACCGCTTCGAGATTTAGAAACAATGATGACGATATGGGATATGTCTCAAACTCCCGTCATCGGAGTAGAAGACCTACCGAAGAGGAGCCAAGCAGTGTTCAATCCTCAAAGTCTCGTGATTTGAGTATTGCTGAATTGAAGAAATTGATCAGAGAGAAGCAAATCTTATTGGACGCTGTCAACTCTGAGGACCAGCATTCATCTATTGCAAACAAGCAATCTGACGACTACAACACTAGATTGGTCGAAGGCTTGAAAACTCAGATTAGAGAAACTGAATCGAAATTGAGTAAAGTTGCTCTTGGTGGTTCCCAATCGGAGAAAAAGCAACTTTTTGAGAAACTCAACCATTTCACGAAGGATAAAGTGCCAACTTTGATTCAAAGGATTTATAAGGTAAACCAGGATCTTTCTAGAACGAAGACCGAAGTTGCTAAGGCTAAGTTGAAGAAGGAGTACCCAGATTGGTCTCCTGAAGCAGGTGACCTTGACATTGTCGGAACTGGTCCTAATGGTGAGGTTACCGATACTGATAGAAGGAAGCATAAGTCAAAGGCTCTTTTGAGACAACGTATGGCTGCGTTGACTGGTAAGTCTTATTCTGACGGTAGCAACAAGGACGCCGATAACAAGCTCAAGCAAATTGCTGAGAGTGCTTCAAAGGAATGTGAAAGCGAGTCATCTATGATCAAAGATATTGAAACAAGTATCAAGGACTTGGAAGATGGTGCTGCTCTCCATCTTCAGGTATCAGTCAAGGATGAGACTGGTATCGAGAAATGGGAGAATGGTGTCGGTGTTTCTCAGGCTGTCAAGCGTTTCATTGAAGAGTTGAAGGAATTTGAGCGTAAGCAAGCGAAGCCACAGACTCTGTCCAGCAATGACTACTTTGGTGCCGCCAAGCCAACTGCAAATTCCGGCCAGACGCCTCAGAGTCAGACTTCCTCGAAGAGCACAAGTGCCGTGTCGTCTCCAGCTGCCCATAGAACGCCAGAGGAGAGACAAGCTTACATTAAAGAGCAGGCTCAAAGGAAGATGAATGAGAGATTGGCTAAGTTAGGCCTTTCTAGAAAGGGACAACCCCCAAGTCTGCCAAGTGCATCCTCTCCAAAACCTTCTTCACCAAAGCCTGCCTCTCCTGTCAAGGCGCCAGAGCCCAAGCCCCAGGAGCCTCAGCAGCCTCAGCAGCCCCAGCAGTCTCAGCAGCCTCAGCAGTCTCAGCAGGTTAATGAAGCCCCCAAGGCGCCGGAACCTGCTAAGAAGGAAGAAGAAGATTCCAGTGATGATGATGACGAAGAGTATGCCCAGCTCATGAAGCAAAAGAAGGAACTAGAAGCAAAGAAGCTCAAGAAGAAGCAAGAAAAGGAAGCGAGACTTGCCAAGTTGAAGAAGGAGATGGCTGATATGGAAGGATCGAGCGACGATGAAGCACCAGCTCCCGCTAAAGCATACAAGCCTAGCAGCAACAAGTCAACACCAGCCACTGAAGCTCCAAAAGCGGAAGAGCAGAAGCCACAGCCCGAAGAAGAGAAGAAGGAAGAGCCTGCTCAAGCTGCCAATGGACCTCACAAGAGCAACCCATTTGCCAGATTTGGCACTGACTCTGGTAAGGCTGATCAGGGAACTGGAACTCCAAAGTCAGCCCAAAACACCAATCCATTCTTCAAGCCTCAGCAATCCCAAGCTCCTGTTGACCAAAAGCGCATGGAGGCTCAGAGAGCATCCCAAAGGGGATTGGGAAGTGACGATTGGAGTGATGACGAAGCCAACTCCTCTGATGATGACGAGCCAAACAGAGCTGGCGCTGCCAAGTTGGCCAGTTTACTCTTTGGCGGCATGCCACAGCCAGTTGCAAGAAACCCTACTGGCAATGCATCTGATTCACAACAAAAGGCTGCTGAACCTGCTCAGGCTCCACCTCAAGAAGCTCCTCAAGAAGCTCCTCAACCTCCTCAAGCGCCTCAAGCAGCTGAAGCTCCGCAGGCCCCAGAAGCTCCTCAGGCCCCAGAAGCTCCTCAACCTTCTCAGGCTCCACCTGCTCCTGAAGCTCCACCTGCTCCACCAGTGGGTGAGCAAAATGTTCCTGGTGCTTTCTCTGCTGGTGGTGAGGAAGATGAATCTTCAGAGTTCGACTCCGATTCAACTGACGAATTTGCTACACCTTCGCCTCCTACTGCTGCCGCCAGACAAGGTAACGACGATGTGCCTCCTATCCCAGATCAGGCTCCTCCAGTGCCTGATGTAGCTCCGCCTGTGCCATCGAGCATCCCACCTCCACCTATTCCTCAGGAGGCTCCTCCAATTCCTCAAGAGGCTCCTCCACTTCCACTGCAGGCTCCTCCTCCACCATCTGGTGGTCCCCCACCACCTCCACCACCCCCTGCTGCTGAGGTGCCACCAGTTCCTACGGGCGGTGCTCCTCCTCCACCTCCACCTTCGTTCCTCTCTGGACCTCCTGCCCCACCTGATCTCGGTGGAGCTAAGTCTGGTCCTCCACTGGGAGGTGCTCCAAACATTGGTGCTCTTTTGGGTCAGATCCAAGGTGGAAAGTCTCTTAAGAGAGTCGACGACAGCCAGAAGCATGTTGCCGATGGTGCTACTGTGGGTAGAGTGCTTTAAAGGTGCTGATTTATCTGTATTATTGTTCTGGACAACCTAGATTTGAAACTATTTACAAAATGTATTACTGAAGTATCACACAAACCAAAACTTAGGCCGTCTCACCCTCTTCAGCGTGGTTAGGTACAACATGAAGCTTGTTGTCCTTCATTTCCACCTTCACATCGTCTCCTTCCTTCACCTGACCCTTGATCATAAGCATGGCTAATGGGTTCAAGAGATCCTTCTGTAGAACTCTGTTCAAAGGTCTGGCGCCGTAAATTGGGTCGTAGCCCTTTTCAGCCAAGAACTCCTTGACATCTTCAGTAAGGTGAAGGTACATTCTCTTGTCACTCAATCTGTCACCAATCTCTCTCAATCTGATATCGAGAATATTCTTCAAAGATGCTTTAGAAAGTCTGTTAAACACCAAGACTTCATCCAAACGGTTCAAGAACTCAGGTGGGTAGTGATGACGCAACATCTCGATGATGTCAGATTTGACAGAGCCCTTGATGGAACCATCCTCGTTGGTCTCTTTATCAGCAAGCAAGATCTCCTGACCAATATTGGATGTCATCACAATAATAGTGTTTCTGAAATCAATATGCTTACCATGGGAGTCGGTCAAAGCACCTTCGTCAAGGACTTGCAAAAGCAACTTCGAAACATCCTTATGGGCCTTTTCAAATTCATCAAACAAAATAACAGAATATGGCTTTCTTCTCACAGCTTCCGTCAATTCACCACTGTCTTCGTATCCAACATAACCTGGAGGAGAACCGATCAAACGAGAAACTGTATGCTTCTCCTGGAACTCAGACATGTCAAATCTGATCACTGAGCTCTTGTCATTAAACAAGAACTCGGCAAGTTGTTTGGTCAACTCTGTCTTACCTGTACCAGTAGGTCCCAAGAACATGAATGATGCGATTGGTCTCTTGTCACTTGTGAGGCCAGCTCTTTGCAAACGTACCGCATCGGAAACAGAGTGGATAGCCTCGTCCTGACCGACCACATGTTGCTTGAGAATTATTTCCATGTCAAGCAACTTGTCCTTCTCACCCTTCATCAAGTTACTAAGAGGAATGCCGGTCATCTTAGAAATCACAGCGGCAATATCATCAGAAGTAACGGAATCATGGAGAAGAGACAGCGATTTGGCCACATCTTCAGATTCAGTGAGTTCTTTGACCAGCTCCTGTAATCTTGGGATGGTTGAGTATTGCAACTCAGAAGCCTTGGCGTAGTTTCCTTCTCTCTGGCTCTCTTCCAAGTCAAATCTGGCCTGCTCCAAATCAGCCTTGGCTTTCTTAACATCATCAATAGACTTCTTTTCGGATTCCCACTTGTCTGTAAGCTCCTTGAGTTCTGCCTCCTTTACTTGAAGCTCTTCTTCAAGCTTCTTCGTTCTGTCCACGGACAACTGGTCTTCCTCCTTTCTAAGAGACTCCAACTCGATCTGGATTGTCATGATCAGTCTGTCCAACTGAGTGATTGCATCAGGACGCGATTCATGTTGCAAACGCAAAGTAGAACATGCCTCATCGACCAAATCAATAGCCTTATCAGGAAGGAACCTGTCGGTAATGTATCTGTTGGAGTACAATGCAGCAGTCACAAGAGCACCGTCAGTGATACGTACACCGTGATGCACCTCGTAACGTTCTTTAAGGCCACGAAGAATCGAGATGGAGTCTTGAACAGTAGGCTCGTTCACCATCACCGCAGAGAATCTTCTGGCCAATGCAGCGTCCTTCTCAACATACTTTCTATATTCCTCGATGGTGGTGGCACCGCAAAGGGAAAGCTTTCCTCTTGCCAAGGCAGGTTTAAGCATGTTGGAAGCATCGATAGAGCCTTCAGCTTTACCAAGGCCCATAAGAAGATGGAGCTCATCAACAAAAAGAATCACAGATCCCTTCTTGTCTTCCACTTCTTTCAAGATTTTCTTAAGCTTGCTCTCAAAATCACCTCTGAACTTAGCACCTGAAATGATTCCAGCCAAGTCCAAAGTAATGATTTGCTTCTCTTTCATCAGCTCAGGCACTTCACCTTTGAGTATTCTCTGCGCAAGACCCTCCATGATAGCAGTCTTACCGGTACCGGCGTTACCGATAAGGACAGGATTATTTTTCGTCCTTCTGGAAAGAACCTGAATCGTTCTTCTGATCTCTTCATCACGTCCAATAACCGGATCTAGCTTACCCTCCTTAGCCATGTCTGTAAGGTTGGTACCAAACTTCTCCAAGGCAGGCACATTTGGGTCGTCATCCTTATTCATTTCCATCTGCATACTTCTTGAAGCAGATGAACTGAAGGAACGAAAACCCTGGAATCCTGGCGACAAGCCAGTCTCCTTCATTCTGGGCACCAAAGGTATGACAGGATCAACTGACCCAGATTTTGCAACAGTAGTCAAAGTTCTAGGGAACGCCACTGCGACGGGAACGTGGCCCCGCAGCATAGGCACCCTTTTGATAGCTCTAGACACACGAGCAGATTTCGAAAGCATTGAACTTGAAACAAGGGAAAAGCACCAATTGATGGAGATTTATACACTTTCATCTGGAGACCGCCATTGAGTGACTGGAGTCACGTGCGCTTACTGCCAGTGGGAGGTTCTCGAACGGTTGCAAAATTTCTAGAAAGTTCTGGGTTATTCTGTGTGGGTCGTGGAAGGAAAAAGGTTCGATTGGTTTGGTCTTTGGGTTATTTGGATTTTGAGGTTTCTTTTGGGGTACTGGAAATTTTTTTATCGATTTTAGGGTTGTAGTTGATTGTTTCCAGGATAAGGCATCTTCTTCAATTGTGGTGCGAAATGGTGATGAATGGCTGCAAACTGGGAAATTGTATGATTTTTGTAGATTGGAAAATCGTATAATTTGGATGTTGTAAGTTTCGAGAGGTGGTGAGCTTTGGGAATTAGAAGTGAATTTATTTCCGTAACAGAATCTTGGAAGGTTGTTGAATATGCTGGCAGTGATTTACGTTTGCAGTGTAAGTTAGAGTAGGTTGATGCTTGGAGAGGCAAATTTTATAGCAGACTCAGGAGCTATATATACAAGTTTCGATTCAGATCTTGAACCAATGAGCTTCTTAGAAGATCCATATCTGTATAATCTTCCGTTTTTGATATTTGAGAAGATTGAATGAAAAGTTGTATCCACTGGTTTCGATATAATTTGCAACCGTAATTTAGAGCGTACTTGGGGCTGCGAGCTCCTTATGGATGTATTTTTAAACTGCTATAGGAAAACACCTACTTGGTAATGAATAAAAATTATTGATAAGACAAGTGGTGGCTGACTTATCTTCGTATTGACTGCAAAAAAGAATCGCCCTTTAATCGCTCATTTCACAAGCTACGGCCCCCAAACTTTTACCGCAAAGTACTGAAGCGCTGAGAAACATGTTTATAAACTTATTTTTGGCATAAAATGGGTTTTGGCGGCAATTTTGAGCTTGCAAGATCTATTTGGTTGCAGCATCTTTCAATAAAGAACCGCCTGCGTGGCGTAATGGTTAGCGCATTTGACTTCTAATCAAAAGATTCCGGGTTCGAGTCCCGGCGTGGGTTCTTTCTATGCGGTTTTAGCTCAGTTGGGAGAGCGTCAGACTGAAGATCTGGAGGTCCTGTGTTCGATCCACAGAAATCGCATATTTTTTTGCATTTACTCATCATAGATGAGAGTTTAGTAGATCTTATCGTTCTACAGATTCTTTTTTTCAATCATTAGATTTCTATAAATGTCCGTCCGTGTTTGAATCCTCTCACTTCTCATCCCAGTAGTCATCGCGACTAAATCCAGGCAAAGGCTGGAAAGGTGGAAGTGAGGTATCATCATTCATGTCGTGTTGTTCATGAGTGTCGTCAAATTGCGTACCGAGAATATCGTTTGCAACATTATGGTAAGCACTGGATGGGCCTTCCTGAGGCTCCCCTAAAATATCGTTTGTGTCTGTTCTGTGTCGAATTCCATCACCTCCAGCACGCTCCCAAGCTTCGTCATCGTCAATGTACTCAACTTCGTAGCCTCCCTCATCGTCATCATCGTCGTCGCTGTCGTTGTCGCGATTATTACTATTATTGATAGAATCACGTTCGTCGCCGACATTGTCAAAGTATAACATATCACGACGTTGTCCCACGTTGGCCTCACCAAGATCCAACTCCCTATCGCGAGTAGTGTTCAGTGTGACAGGGGGAGTTCGGTTGACTGCGGTAGATGAAGACTCGCTAAGCATGCTATTTGCCACATCCTTTGTGTCGCCAGCGACAGGTGCAACTTTACATGTGAGCATGTTCCAAAGCCAAGTAACAGCACTTATGAAAGAGGCAGGCTTCGAAAAGTATGCGTTGCTAAATGTCATAACATCATCCAACGAAATCTTACGGCCAAGCATTCCAATAAGCTCAAGCCTCAGTTCCAAGTCGCGAATAGAGTAGAACCATTCCCAAGCTGTTGTGAGAATGTACATTTCGAGCAAGTAGGGAAGGAAAGTTATCCAAGAGGTTACAAGCCACTTGTTTTCCCATAAACTTGCAATCAAGATGGTAATTATGACATGAAGCCCTATCATAAACCAAGTGAATATAGCCAAGGGAAGAAGCCTTCTGGAGTATGAGACTTGTCGCGGGCTGGAAGCTGTACCACGAACCGTATGGTACCCGAGGGTGACACTTATCCATACAATAAATAGAACCTTGAGAACCATGGTAAAAATAGCTCTGAATTCGTCTTGTTTGTGCGCCATGCGGTCGTAGTAATTATCGGCCATGGCCAAGTCGACCGAGTCGACGATAATGTACATAATAATCAAACAGGCTCCTATTAGGCCGTTGTAGAACTTAAATCGCTGTTTTGTCATCTTGACAACGAGCTGGAAGAATGCTAGGCAGGTAAGGAATTGCAGGATGATCAATGCTATGGGGTACTTTTGTCTATCGTTGACAAGCAGGAGAATATGGATCATATCCAAAGAGTCTTTATAGTACTCTTTTCTGGAAGCCTGGGTGACCTGGGCCAAAAGAATCGTAAGCACAATAGAGTAAACTCCCGTGGCGATCTGGGTCATGAGCGGTTTTCTCTTATGGTTTGGCGATAGGAGGAATAGCAATATAAGCATCCAGCACAGCACGCACAGGCCCAGGATCATAAACAACAAGGCCACAAAGGCGTCGCCGTTATCTGAGACATTATATGGATTAGCGTAGTAGTCGCTGAGCCAGCGCTCCACGTCAGATTGGTTAAACAGAAGCTGGGCGATCTGCTTCTGGAGATCGGTCATCAGGCAGTTTGTCACATAGTACGCGGGAAGAAAGCCCTCCGTGATGTTCTCCAGCCATCTGCCAGTAAAGTATTCCTGGTACCTGAGAGACCCCAGGGTCAAGGAATACACCGAACAGTTCGTGTCGAGCCCTTGGTTGTTCAGCAAAAAGTACAACAGGTAGTTGCTCATAGTGAGGGTCGGAACGTTATCAGGGAAACTGCCAGCATCAAATGCACCAAAACCAGGTACGTCGAAATTTGGCCCTGCCCGCAAGAGCGAGGATATCATGCTGTCTTTATATACTCCCAAGCGGGGGGTCGTATCTGTGGTCGGTACCAGATGCCTTAGCGAAGTATTGTTCCTAGGAAGCCAAGCTCTGGCGATTTTCTTGGGTGCAGCGGTGCGCGGCGGCCTACCGGTGGCTCCTTGCCTCTACTTGGGCAGAAGTTGCTAAGGAAGAAAGAGAAGATACTTTTTAAGGAGATGCCATATAAATAAATAGAGCATAAAAAACAAAAAATAGGGGAACTTCTGGGGGAAAAGGGCTGCTATTTATGGTTCTTCAACGCCCTGGTCGTGCACTTCTCAGGGATCTGTATGTGCAGCAGACTCTGTCCGAGGCCCAGGAAGTACCACAGAATGGACATGACGTATAGATAGAGACATGTGGAGAATTTATGGAGGGATTGAGTTTTTGTGTGAGCTCGAATAATTTTTTTTAGGGAGGCTAGACAAAAGGGGTTTAAATTTCGGCTATTTTGGTATTTTTTTTGGTATTTATTTTAGCAGTTTTGGTATTTTTTTTTCTGGCCTGTGTTTTAAAGCTTGCTTACGCCGTGCCGGACGGTTATGGTTAGAAGGTGCTTTTGCAGCCACGCAAGGGACCTAAAGAGGATGGAGTTGCGAGTGTGGAAAATGCCGTGGGGATAAAGTGAGAGTGGATTTGGGAGATGTGGGGTTTTCGGTTTTATTGGTGTTTTTGTTATTGGTGTGGTTTCAGTTGGTTTAGGTTGGTTTAGGTTGGTTTAGGTAGAGTAGATTGGCTGCGAAAGGGTCCAGCTGGCTCTCAAACTTGCGGTTGCCAGTTGGGGCAATGGTAATGAAAGGAAGGGGAAGGGGAGAGTGGAGGTTGGCAAGGACATGGGTGCAAATGAGGAAGTGGTGGGTGGATGTAGGTGAGTGTTGGTTGAGTAGAAACTGTGGAGGGACAATGTCAGGTGCTTGCAGGTGTAAGAGAGAGTTGAAAAGGGTTATTGAGGATGGGAGTCGGAGGAAATAGTTGTGGAAATTGGTTTTCGGTGGTTTATCTGACAGTGTTTCAGACGAGCGAATATTATTCGTGCTTTTATTCACTTCAACAGAAGGCAGCCCTCTGACTGGCCCCTTCCTATTCTTCTCTTATTTTGAGTAAAGAAAGTTTAGCTGATTAGTTTAGAGGATGCTTGCAAACAGTTCCCGGCGATTCGGATGGCCTGCCTCAGGTAAGGCGTATAAATTACTGAAGAAAGATCAAAATACATCAAGTACATGAATACTTTATGGAAGGGCTTCGTCAGGATCTTTGAAATTCCCATAAAGTCACAGCTTACTGCTCTTCGCATTCACTACTAGCAACACATATGACAATAGCTGAAGCTCTCGCAGTGAGCCAATGCATACCTAGAATGGTAACAACCTCACACTCTCCAGGCCATGCAACCAACTTCAAAAAAAAAAAAAAAGAACAAAAAAGAAAAAAAAACCAACAGTCAGCAAAACTTTTCTTTGTAATTCAAAACCAATTTCATGCATCCTTCCACCCACTTATGCCCTCCATCTCCCATCACCTCTTCCATCCACCAGGTCGTACACGCACCGCACTATCACCACCAAGTCCAGTAGTTAAGCCCACTATCTAACCAGTTGGTCCAAACATGTCCACATTCGATGACTGCCGTGCATACTTTGAAAACGGCAACCAATTGTCCCAAGATCAACTAAAAGCTCTAAGAGCCCTACCGGAAAAGGAAAAGCTCGCTCTTGTGGAGTACATCGCTTCATCACCGTCTGATCGTCTTCCATGTCTCGAAAAGTATGGCACAGAAGGCGCTGCTCTCGTGCTGTCGGCTCTTCCAGATAAGCAATTGTCTTTGAAGGTGTTTGAATTTTGCAAATATAAGCTTAGTTCAGCTCTGGACGCTTCCATTGCAGAGTTCTACCTTTCAGTGTACGCCAACATCGCGTCCAAGTATGAGATCGATGATTTCCTTTCAGTGCCTCAAATTTTAGACCTTTTGGCCATTGAGCATGAAAAACTACATGCAATTGTTGTCTTTACCATTGTTAGCATGTCAAAACGGAAACCCATGGAAACCTCACAAGCGATAGAGAGGTACCTCACAGGCATCGTGGACCAGGAGCCGAAACTGATCTCACCTCAGCAGTACAGTCTGCTCTTTGAGACCCTTCAGGCGCTTTATCCTCTTTTTCCTGAACAGCTCAAAAAGGTGTACACTAGCGATGGCTGCAAAAACGCCATCTTGTATCAGGTAGCCAGGTTGACCTCTGGCAGGGGAGATATCGATGCCGATAAGGTCTCCAAAATGCTTCAGGTGGTTTCTCTGACCTGTATCAACGAAGCTTCCAGACATTTCAACTCACAACACTACCTTACCTTTTTGATTACAGGCTCTGAGATGACCCTGGTCCCTCAGGTCGTTGCTCTTTCGCTACTTTGCATCGTTAAGTTATGGAACTTTAAACAGATCGAGTCTCAGATCTCTCAGAAGACTGTGTTATCAAAAACGGTGGGTCTCCTAAAGTCAGAATTACCTCCTCTGGCTCTTCTGGCTGTCTTGGAGGCTTTGACATACTTGTCTTTGAGCGGGACATGTCGATCCTCTATATTCCAAGATGAAGAGATAACCGATAGACTCCTATCAATCCTCAAGTCAGAGAAAGAGTCTTCCAATGTTTATGGTGTTCTTCTAGTCTTTGCAAATTTGACAAAGATGAAAGACATTTCAGAAGTTAACGAGCGCCGAAGAATGAAATATGCTGCGTCAGCCAGTAACCCTGGAAATCAAGATTTGGGCGAGGTCAGCGATGAGACCGTCAAGCTTTATAATCTGGCTTTGGTCAAGTCTCAGAAAGTTGTTGGAACCTTTAAAAAGCTAGATTTGCTGAAGGTCAACATAATGAAGGAATGCGTTACGATTATCTACCACTTGTCCCAGAATCCAGAGAATGCTCTTCATCGAAGCCTTGTCATGCAAGGTGGACTCAACTTAATCTTGAAGTACCTTACGACATACTCAGGCATTGATAAAGAACACGCAAACACGCATGGTTTATCGACAGACGAGAATGAGCTAGAGCTCAGAGTATCTGCTCTTCGTGCTCTTGCGAATATGTGTCTGTCGGTTGACCCCAGACTAGCATTCAATGAATATGACATTAAGACAGCAGTTCCCTTTTTGACAGAGCTTTTCGGTTTAGATACGTCTTTTGGACCCAAAGCCAAAAAGGATGCTACCACAGTTATTGCTGGGCTACTTTCCCAAATAGACCAGTTCAAGGCGCTTTTGGCTCTCACTAACTTATGCTCTCAGCCAAACAAGGAGTTGAACAATCTAATCATTAAAAAGACCTTTGATCAACATTTGAAGAATTTTATTATTGAAAGCACCAACCCGGATATTCAACGTGCCTCTTGGGAGCTTATCAACAATTTAATCCAGGAACCTGCCATGCTAGCGAAGTTCTTCAATCCAGATAACTCAACGAGTATGACTAATTTGGAGATATTGGTCAAAATGCTACATGCTCGAGATGAGAGTCTACAAGAGGTCATTGCCGGATTGTTGGCGAATAGTACAATGGAGTTTGATCTTGTCACTACAGTTATTCTTTCTCAGAAGGGTATTTTTGATCAATTAAAAGCCATAGCTGCGGATATTTTTCAAAAACAGCCAGATGCAAGCGGTTTAATGCTAAGATTGGGTACTTTTATCGGAAATGTGATGGACACCGCAGAACAAAGCGGCAACTCAGACTTCAAGAAAGACAAGCAGTTGCTACTTGGCTTCCAAACAGTTGTCCAATCAACAAACATTCCTGAGGTTTTTGAACTCTTCACTGAACTATTAAAGATGGCGGTTCAATGAGAAGCTTAGAAATGGAGCAATCTTTGTGTGAGGGTGCTGGCGTCATGGACAGGATTGGCTGGTACTTTGAACTTCTTACCTTCTTCATCAACCTTTACTGTTACCGCTTTGTGCAATGAAGTTAAGAAAGTTGCATAATTTGGCGAGGTGCTAGCAATCTTCGATGAAAGCAGGTCCTCGATGAAAGCTTCGTGGAAATCTCTAGTGAGATTATCGAAACCCTCGATGACGAGTTGGATGGCCGACTGACCGATGGTAGGTGCTCCGATCACGTTCTTCTGGAAAAACCTGACAAGATTGCGTGACTGTTGGGAAATATGAGTAGGAAGTTCTGGTAAGGAATCCATGTGAGGTTCGATATCTTCGACGTTTCTGACGTGTTCACCGAACATATCTGCTAAAAGCTGCCTGTTGGTATCTGGATGCACCCTTACGTAAACTGTGGTACCATCGCAAAGAATGTAAATACTAGGCTGCAAAGACAGACTGGCCAATGGTAAAAATTCCGGCAACTTAATGAAAGAGTCTTCCTCATCTTCCGTTGGCATGCCTTCATCATCAGCAAGCGAGTGTACTTCAACTAAAGCGGGATATAAGTGGTAGACGAGACGCTCTAGAGGCATATTCAACATATTGTAGACATCTGCGAGGCGGTCGTCAATTGGCACAGCAGTTGAGTCACGAAGAGCCTTGGACTTGGTGAGAGCCAAAATAAATAACGGTATGTGTCTCAAGGAATCTGGGAAAATTAACTGGTTGGTGAGGGACCTTGATTGATTGTGACTCCTTTCTTCCATCATTCTGTATTGTGCATAGACTTCAACAAGCTTTCCATTGATCGACTTTCTCAACTCTGCAATCAGCTCCTTTCCAACGAAAGAAAGCGTATCCCTGACGAGTGCAGCGATGACAGCATCCTGGTCAATAAAGTTAAACACATCTTCAAGGCGCTCGCAAACAGCACAGACAAGATTCATGACACGAACTTTTCTAACACCATAAGTGTCGGTGTAGAGCAAGGCAGCTTGCAAGTGACAATCGAAGCTAGTCTTCAAGTTACCATCATATTCAAGCAAGATCGTGAAGGTCTGATCTTCGCTAAGAATTGGAACAACTGGGTCCAGGGATGTGTTGGTGAGTCCAACGATACCACCCTCAGAAGTTGGGAAACCATAGTATTGTGCCACTTGAAGACCATTAGAACAACGGAGCTTCAATTGGCCCTGGTATCCCATAGAAGACTTGATTGAGCTGACGATTTGCGCTGAAAGTGCACGGCCATCTCTGTCGAGGACGAAGTCGGCCCACTTATGGATCCTGCCGCCGGTAGCTGAAGCTAACCATCCAATGTTTGAGACATCAACAGGCGTCGATGAAACGGCAATCACATCCAATCCAACATTCTGAGCAATCATATCCTTCGCCAAGAGTTTGTAGTACTCGTTATCGACAGAATATAACTTCTTTTCAATCTCTGCAGATGGGTTTCTACCGACAGTTTTGTTGTGCTTCAATCTAGATCCGCCTGGGCCCCAGGATGGAAGAGTAGACAAGATAGCAGTGATCTTACCACCGCCCACAGCATCAAGACTCATAGCTGCAGCTCTGCAAGCGACCGAGAAGCAAGGCTCTGTGTCATGAAGAGATTTTGTATCAGCCAACATTTGCAAATTGTTGAGCGCATCTTCAATAACCATACCACTTTCTTCGGGGTCGGCGAAAAGACCATCGTAGAAAGGCACGAAAGGATCATCCAAGTCTGGAGAAATACAGATCTGCGTAGAGTCTAATTCAGCTGACAAGTTGAAGAAATGAACAGCCTTATCAAACATTATAATCGCAAACTTCTGTGGTCTCCTTTCGCCTTCGTTTTCTCTCTCGTAGTCAAAGAGCGTGGCACGAATGGCATCTGCAACCACGACGTTCAACTGTTTGGCAATGCTCTGTTGACTCACATCCACCAAGAAGACGTGATGCATGGGCTTTGGCTTTCTATCAGCACCGCCCACGTTGTAGTAATCAGGAACAATAATATCGTAGACGCCTTTATGAAGTTCGGGTCTCTGAGCCCTATCGATTCTGGCGCCTTGCTGGTCTATTGGAGCAATGTACTCCTGTGGCACCGTGCTGCTAGGAAACTGACACACGTTACATGTGAATCTTCCCAGCATGCTATGAATCATTGCCGGGTTGATGTATGCTCTACACCTTCGGCATCTGGGAGGCCCAAAGTCCAGTGGATCCATAAACAGGGCTTCACCCAATTTAGACATGTCAACTGTTGGAACAGGCGTTTCTGTGGATAGTAATGGAGCAAATGGACGGATCGTCACGGCCATAGGTAGTCTGGTAGCTTTACGTAACAGCTCCAGCTCGGGAACATTATAGAAGGTCGATCTCATGTGTTTGGGAACAGCCGTGCCCTGATCCACGGCAAAGTACTGTGTTCCAGCAAACGGAGGAACAACATTTTCAAACGAAAGAAATGGTTTCGTGCCAACGCAGTTGCCGTCGTTGTCGTAAAGCAATGAGGTATACTCTGTTTCCATCTCATGGCGTGTTCTGCCAAGCGAAAGGCTTGAGTCGGCTGGAGGAGCATGAGGAGCTCCCAGCAAGTCAAAAGTCGTATCGTGAGCAGGCTCATTAGGCATCTGAGGAGCTCTTTGATTCTGGAAACCGGGGAAACCTTGAACAGCCTGTGCTGCTTGAGCATTCTGATGGCCCTGGTAAGTCGGCGTTTGTGGAGCGAATTGGCTGGGCATTGCCTGCTGGGGCGTGCCCGTTTGAGGAGTAAACAGCGGCTGTGATCCAAACTGTTGTTGGGAAGGAGTTGGCGATGCCACTTGGTCCCAAGAAGGTGCAGCCTGTTGATTCATGGCATGGTACGCTCTTTGGGGTCTTTTTTTCCTCTTCCCGTCGAGGTTGAGGTTTTGCATCCCCTGGGAGGGATCGTAAGGCGCAGCCATGAGACGATAAGATCTTTATATGGCGATTTCTTGGAAAATATGGGGTTTTCTTATGTGTCTTCTTTGGAGTTTTGACGTTTTGATCCGAGAATTTTCGTGCGTGAAGCGCGGCCTCGGCAGCTGGGAGCGGCTATAAACCGATGGCAGATGGAGCAGATAATGGGAAGGTGGGGCGGATGAGGGATTGAAATTCGGGAGGTGATTTGGAAAGAAACGAAGAAAATGTGTTCTTCCCTAAAAAATTGACGTTTTTCATTGTTTATTGTCTTAGTAGACGCTGAGAGGCCACGCATGTGCATGCAAGGTATTGAAGAGAACAGTATGGAGAAGTAGAGGAAGATGGGAGTGCTACTTGATGGAGTTCTCAAGGAAAAATGATAAGGTAATGTTCGTATTTACTGTGTCATTTGGTGCTTTACATTGGTGATTTACGGTCTTTTCTGGGTAACTTTGAAGAGTATATTGGGTACTTGGAAGCTTTTCGCAGCCATTCGTGAAGGCTAAGTCAGAGGTAGACCCATGAAGAAACCACATAATCGCCAACTCCAATACTCAAAAATATCCGATACTCAAAACTTTTCGAAAACTACTTCTACAAAACTCATCTTTTACTTCTTCTTCTTTTCCTTTATGTCTTTATTGAATATATAATGTAGATACTTGGCTACATACGTATGGCTGTCTATGGTTGACAGAGAGGACGCAAGATCCGAACCGAATGCTTCACGTGGGGGTTCAAGCTTGCAATGGACACCTTCTTGGGAATCTTTCGATTTGGCTCCTTATGAAGAGGTTCAGGGCTGAGCGGCCGGCGCAACGTCAACCCAGTGGCTGTAGAGGGTGTGATGGGTCTCTGTATGATGGAGCTCCTTCTAGAAACCGGCTTGGAAGTCTTCTTGAAACCCTTTCTACCCAGGATCTTTCTTCTAACTGGATAGATCGTACGAGTCCAGATGGTGAAGAAGTGGGGGAAATCACCGGGGAGATAGGTCTTCTGAAGAGACTGTGCTGCCTTGAAGTGAGGGAAGCAGGTAGGCAAGTATTGCCTGTGGTACTTTTCGACAAGAAGATGTCTAAAGAAGGAGAAGTCGCCTGGTAAGTACGAGTTATCCAGGGGCTCCTTGAAGTACTCCTTGAACTTGTAGAAGTCACAAGGTAAGTAAGAGGTATCCTGAGATGCCTTGAAGTACTGCTTAAACTTGTAGAAGTCTGAAGGTAAGTACGAGGTAACTTCAGTCTCCTTAAAGTACTGCTTGAACTTATAAAAGTCACAAGGTAAGAAGGAAGCACCTTCAGTTTCCTTAAGGTACTCCTTGAACTTATAAAAGTCACAAGGTAAGTACTGAGGGTAGGTCTTCTTGTTCACGGTTTCCCTGAACAAGGGGAAGTCAGCAGGCAAGAAGGAATCCTTCTCGTGCTGGTTAAAGAGCTCCTTGTACTTAAAGAAGTCGCAAGGTAAGTAAGAAGGAATAGCCTTCTCGTTAATGCTCTCCTTGTACTTGTAGAAGTCGCAAGGCAAATAGGAAGGAACAACCTTTTCGTTGATACTTTCCTTATACTTGTAGAAGTCACAAGGTAAGTAACTATGGTTGACCTTCTCACTGACGCTCTCCTTATACTTGTAGAAGTCAGTAGGCCAGAAGACTGTAGAAGCCTTCTTAGGAACGGTCTGGGTCTTGCTCTTCCGTCTGTTGGCCCGAGCAAGAGTAGCCTTCTTTGCTTCGGCAACAGCCTTAGCAAAATGAGCATTGAGATGTTCCTTCATGGCCTTCCTGGACTCCTCTGAAGGTGGAAGACTGGTCTGCTTGAGAGCAGTACGCTTAAGAAGCTTGTTAGCGTTACGGAGCCGCCATTTTGCGGCATTATGTGCCTCTTGGGCACCATACTTTTCAGCAAGAAGCATGATTTTCTCGGTATAGATAATCTGAGCTTCGAGCTTCAGGCGCCAGTTGGTTCTGGCGTGGACGAGGTGATTGAGGAATTCTCTGAATTCAGCTGTGGTCCAAGGCATGTAAGCCAGACCGCTGTTTTCATGAGAGCTTTGAACCTGCCCATCACTGAGCAGGATTCTAGCCTCGGTAACGTCCAATGGAAGATAGCAGTTGAAGATGTTGTAACACTTAGTAAGACACATTTTGAATAGATAAGAATTGGTTGGTGAAGAAAAGAAGAAGAAGAAGAAAACCGAGACAGAGGGAAAAGAGACGACCTTATATACCTCAGAGCGTGCCTTGCAATTGGACTTTCCAGTTGATAAATCGAATGAATGACCTCCTGGCGATAAGTATATGGAGGTGTTGGTTCGAATAAAGCAGGTATACGGCTGCGAATACAAAAGCGGTAGGTCTAATGATATCTTAGATACCGGCCAGATAATTTCTGGATATCATGGAGTTCTATGGAATAATGTCTGTTTCACTGGAGTAAGAAGAGCTGAACTCGTCTTCCATTGGGTTCTTTATTGAATTGGACTTACTGGTTGTGAGGGATCCATAGGAGAAGTGGTCACACACGAAGACCGGATTCTTACTGGATTGGGTAAAAGTTCAGATATCAACGACAGGAGGTTAAAAAATAGGGCTTCCAGTCAAATGTGACGTGTCAATTAGGGTGTCCACCGGGTATTGTAGTTTTGCTGATATATGGGAACAGCGTTTGAGTACTTTTGAGAAAGCGTGAGTCAAAGAGGCACATTTTGAGTTTATCAGGGTCTTTTGAAATGACGCCGTTTTTTCAACGCTCCCAGCCGTACTACCATAGCCTCCTTTTGTAGTTTACTGCGTTGAACGAGTCGATGTATGTGAGGGCTTCCAGAGTAAGCACATCTTCATTGGACGCTTTTTGTTCTCTTTTTTAGTAGAAGTAGAATTAATGAAGCTCATAATGCTTTCTTTATTAGAAAAGTAGTATTTTGCTTGCTTTTGTTGGCTTCACTGAAGTTGGAGTTCAATAGATCCTTACGTAGAGTAACTGATGATCCGAGTTCTTCCACCGTACAGCTCTGCTAAGCAACCAAGCCTTAGATGATTCTATATTCTACAGCCACAAGCCTCACAGGCATCAATGGTTTTATTTTATACCCAGACTCAGGGTACTTCTAGTTATCATCATCTAGAGTATTAGAAGACTTAGCTTTTCTAAGAGAGAATCCTTCATTTCTGACAAAAACGAACGAAATATGCCAGGCTACTCTCCAGCCAACTTCATAAACCAACGTTATGGCCTCTCCTTGCTGACATCCAGTGTAACGCAACCTCCAGCATCTGAGCACCATCTGACACCTCCTACACTCTTCGAACCTCCACGACTCCCCTCCCCCTCCTACGAATATCTTGAAAATCAACCTTTCCAACACGTAAAACCCCCAAACAAACACAAAGCAACACCCACCTCTCCATCGTTCCCTGGCACCTTGTGATGCTCCAATTCTGGAAGCCAAGACAAGCCAAGGCTTCCATTCCCAGCTCTCACAGCTCCAGGGAAACCTGAACCGAAGCACGAAAAGCGACGTAATCGAAATTTTCCCACTAAAAAACCCCAAAATATCCAAAAACCCCTTCTAAATCATCAAATCAAAAAATCACCCTTTTTCGCTTGCCGTTGCTTAAACCACAAAAATAACGTATGGCCTATTTTTCATTTTTTGCAACCGTCCGCGGACAGCCACGCTCAAGCCGCCAAAAACACGAGCGGTTGCATCTTGTGCGGCAACATCGAACGACCAAAACATTGCCTTAAAAGTGCCCAAAATGTCTGAAAGATGGTGAAATAACAGAGATCCAAGGTTCATTGGCCTCCAAAATCAACGAAGAACCAATAAAAATTTCCAAAAAGAGTATCAAACGGGAAAAATTAGCCCGTCTTTTATTCTCTTCGCGTCACGTGACCCAAGCCTCGTGGCGCGCCTCAAAGCCTTCAGTCTTTGTTTGTTCGATCTAGTACCCTGAATCATCAACCCTTACTACTTCTTTGAAGGCTCTCGCTCATACCACTATAAATGCTTTGGTTTTACCTTCTTGCTGCCGCTTTGGCTGCTGATCCAGGAGTCGCTCCGATTGGAAACCCTCGTACCACCACCACAAATACCCCTAACTTGGCTGGTATGCAACTTGAGACCACTACAAATACCCCTACCACCAACCCTGCTGTGGCAAACACTGCCACTACTGGTGCTACTACGCCTGCTGGCGCTACCACTCCCGCTGGTGCTACCACTCCCGCTGGGGCCACCACGCCCGCTGGTGCTGCTACTGGAACCACCGGAACTGGTACTGCTACTGGCACAACTACCGGAACTGGTACTAGAACTGGTACTACTGCTACCCCTGCTGCTACTACGCCCGCTGCTGCAACCACTGGCACTGGCACTGGTACTACCACTGGTACCGCTACCGGTACCGCTACCGGAACTGTGAACACTGCTACCATGAACGCTTCCCAGTTTTCTGTCTACGAACTCACAAGAGGCATGAACTCTGATCAGCTTATCGCCTGGTCTTCTACTCGTACTAACGCTGGTACTGGTACTGGTACTACTACTCCTGCTGCCGGTGCTGCCGCTGACACGGCTCCTGCTGCTGCTCCTGAACCTGCTGGTAGTATTGCTGCTACCCAGGCCCCACCTCCAGCAGATATTACTTACGTTACGACCCTTAAGAGCAGAGCTTCTCCTACTGCTGCTCAGGCTGCTGCCGCCACCCCTGCATCCTCTGGTGCTGGTGAGAACTCTGGCTCCCTGTCCTTCGCCGGTGCTGGCTCTAAGAAGAGCCTCGCCACTTCTGGTCTCTTTGCTGGCCTTGTAGCCGTTGCACTCGCTCTCTGAGACTTTTTCTGTTAATATACGTTCGGTTTTGGTGAACTTCTTCTTGCAATTTGATATTCCTGCAGGCAATGTAACAGTATCTACTTCTACTCGATCCAACCCTCTACTTCATCCATCAAGATGCTTCTGTATAGATTGGGCCTCTCGCCAATCAGGAGCCTTCATTACACGGCCCGCATACTCAACAGCCCCTTCCTATATCCTTCATCCTTTTCTGATCTTAGCTCAAAGATAGACCAGCATTTGAAAAAGGCTCCAACTGAAAAAACAGTCCTTGATGCCTTGACCGCTTGCAGAGACTTCCAGCTGAATGTACATGAGGGAGATAAGTTCGGCAAAGACCCAGTCAATAAGCAATTAAGCAGTGAGATCAAGAAGATTCTTCTGGATGAAAACGTCACTTTTGACCATGATTTATTGCGCAAAGCTCTTCTCCTAAAGCTTCCTTCAAATTGGGCCACAAAGGTCATCCTGACGTTCTACGAAAGAAATCCAAAGGCTGTCATTGATAAAACTACGGCTCTTATTCCATTCCGTCAAAGTTTACTTGATGGAGATCTCAAGAACGCTTTGAAAATCACAGATATCACTACGGGTCATCCAAACTACATTGCCCAAAAAGATACAGAAATGCGTCATGGTATTTACAAGCTTGCCGCTACTGCTATTGGTATTACATTCTTCTCGAAGTATGGAGTGAATCAAATTATCGAATGGGGTTGGCTCTCCTCTACTTGGAAGCACTTGGGTTCGATTAATGCTATGATTTTAACGTATTTATTGAATTCGAGTTTCTTTGTTACCATTGTCCGCTTTGGGCGTCAGAAAAGTGCTGCCGGAGGCGACTACTTAACGTGGCAAAAGGGTACTTTCTACACTCATTGGTACAAGCATGCAGATGAGATGAATATGTGTGCTAAAGTTATGCAAGCAGATGTGTGGCTCAATGGAGGTCTCGAGAACACTCCATCTTTGATTGAGGAGTTATGCAGAAGGGACGACTCGCTAGATACTGGCAGAAACCCAGTAGCAAAGTTGAATAGGGATGGCAAGAAAGTTCGTTTGCTTGAGCCAAAGGATAACATGGAGGACTTGAAAATGCAAGCTTACTGGATGAGTGGCGGTGACGGCTTTGAGTGGGTTGAGCCTGATCAGGATCCAGCTGACATCATCTGGAGAGAGCATTTAAAGAAACTCCATGCTCCAGAGTTGAATGGTTCGAACCAAAAATCTCTTAAGTGGGCAGAGGAACTTATCGAGCCTCCTCAACAAGTGTAAATAGAATGATTAATGATCTGCTTCATCAGCAAAAACGATGCTTCTGCTACTTGGAATCACTCTCACCTCGTAGTTTGTTTCTTGCGATAATTCCCACCATGGTTCACATCGAGTCCATGCCATATGGAACATATCCTCGCTTGCGTCCCACTCACTCTTTGTAACGCCGTCTGGAAGATGAATCAACTCTGGTTCTTCGATTTCAATGCCCGAATCCTCAAGAGCCTTCTCTCTAGCGATTTCGCCTTCAAGGTTCTTATCAATACGCTCGGCCTTATTTAGTTCAGAAACATGTTTCAATTTCGTGTCCAACAAAGTCTTTTGTCTAAACAAATTGTGTTGTCTCACCTCTGTGAAAATGGACAATGTTTCAGATAATGGAGGTGGATAATGGTGTACTATAACACCAAAGCCGGCGTTATGATGAATGCCCATATTCTTTTTATTCACGGCTTTCTTCTTCGCTATTAGATCATTCAGCGTGCGCTTACTCACGAGAGCGAGCCAGTACTGGGTCGAAAGTGGCTCATACCAACCGATAGCACCAAACCACCAGCCTGGTCTGTCACCGTTACGAATTGCCCAATTACGCCACTCACGGGCCTCATCAATCCATGGATCGTAAGGAAGGCAAATCCGCATGCCTTCAATCAAAGAACATGAAAAAACGAGCAGGCCAGCAACTTTTCTAAGGACCAGGTGCAATTTTAACACGAAAGGTGTTGTTCCAAACCTAGGATTTCTTTTCCGACACATCATAGTGAGACCAAAAAGCCCATTCAAAGTGATCACGGATGCCGTAGCTACCCTATTATCAGCAGCTGGCATGATTGGACTTAAGTAAGTGAGCATGAAGCTTGGATTTGTAGGAAACAAGTCCAGAAACGTGAAATCAGTATCGTCTGTACTATCTCCTTCAACAATTCTGTCTCTACCTTTACCTGGAAGATCCATTCCCTTGGGTAGAGAGGGGGACTCAGGCACGGGCACTTTCTCATAGTGTTGAGGTTTATCCGCATTTGACTCAGAGGCAAAGCCAAGATTGGCCTTGATCCACGCCTGTATCATAATTTTTGGTGTTGTAGAATGACGATATAGGTATGCAAATGACTAAACGATCTAGATGCCGTGCTTGGGAGCAAAGAGACCGAATGAGGTGACAGAGCGTTGCAAAGAAAGTGTTGATATTTCGATGTTTATATACAGGCCGCCACTTTTTGGTGTCGTCTGACACCATTCAAGAATCGGATAATTTATAGAGTGAAATGAAGGGAAGGGCTCGGCAGGTAAAAGGCAGCCAGGTTTTGTTAGCTTCTGCATTTTGCCAGTATGTTGTCTTCGAGGTCTTCATATATCGCAGTTCAATACCTCGCATTCGTAGTGCTTGTGAAAAATTATCCATCGAAACCGCCAAGGCTTGGATAAAAAGCAAATTGAGCTCTAGTTAGGTGTTTATAGTTTTCAGGCTTTATCATACACTAATATATTTGCAATAAGAGTCCACAAGACCTTTCATTTTGCAGCCGTTCTTATGCGTGGTATTGCGACTGCTGTAATTGGCCCAAACAAGTATAGGCCAGAAAATGACACCAGATTTATCAAACTTATTGGTATTAGTCTTGGCTACATTACTACATTCAACAATTCACATTGCATTCAAAGAAACACGCAAATTGCACTTAAAACTTCTCACGAATAGATCATTTCTTTTTATCTATTGCACAATGCTAGTTAGCGGAACGAACCAGGCCCGCTCCAAAGCCAGTCTAGGGATAATTCAGTGGCATTTCACCACACTTATGCCTCATCGGCGTACAATTCCTCCTTCAAGTCAATGCCCAATTCCTGTCTGGTTTCCTTCAACTCGTCCAAGTAGGCCTGGTATTGCTCCTTGTTCTCAACCTTGTGCTTCAAGGCCTCGAATGTTCTGACGGCAGTAGGGTAGTCGTTGACTCTTCTGCAAGCCTCAAGGGCCTTCTGGATCACAGATGGGGCTGGAACCAAATCGTATGAGAAAGAGTTGTTCAAGATTCTCTGGACTTCGAACAAGTCGTAGGCCTCCTCGAATTCCTTTTCGTATCTGCTGTTAGTATAAAATGTCAAGAATAATAAATGGAAATGTCTGGATAGCTATCTGATGGTGTATCGTGAAATGTTATTTTATGCTTGTTCAGGGTCCTAGTGAACCACTGAAAGTCATTCGATAGCCCCTGATAGCCCGGCACGGTCAAGCCAGCAACTAAAACATATTCCTAGCGTAGCACTAATACATACCTGGCGGTGAACTCCTCAAAAGTCTCTTCGTGGTGCTCAGAGTACATTCTCACAGAGGTCATCTTGATGGGGCTCATGGAGACAGATGGTCTGACGGTTCTGGCAACAGAGCGAGGGACATTAGCTCTCACGGCGGAACGAAGCACTGAAGAAATCATGGTCCTTATTTTGAGTTATTAGGCAACTGTTGGGGTAGGAACCTTTTGAAGCTTTTTAAACGTTTAATTTTGTTCGCTTGAAAATCGTACCACGGGCGTGCGCGGCACACTTTTCTGGAGCTGATCAACTGATTTAGCGGTCCGGCGGTTGTTTTAAAAAATCGTGGCGCTTTTGCTTCAAAGAGGATTTTTTTATCTACATTTTAATTATCAGATGGCTTTTCTTTCTTGCTTCTTTTTACACTTTTTAACACTCAACCTTGTTGCAGCCAATAGAAAGTGGGCAATTCCTGAGGTGCGACGTGCATCTTCGCGAACAGTGAGTGTCTGAAATTGAGTCTACTGAGGTGTACGGGTGTGCGAGAACAATAGCATGCATCAGGATTCTTTTTTTTGCAACCATTCTTTGCAATCAATGTCTCTACAGCCATTGTGCCTCTTGGGCACACACTATTCTCAATAAACCAATGTTACTATATAATTCCTAATCCTAAGCTTTCTGTCCATGAATATTAAATCTACCGCCTGCGGTTGGTCGGTTTCTTGAGCGGCTTGCGTCTCCTGACGGCCTTTCTCAGTGTGTGGGGTTGGTTGAGGTTGATGGGTTTCCATACTGGGAGTCTCTTCACATCCACCTTCAACTTCTGCTGTTCCACTTCGCCAAGCTTGACTTTAAGTGTCACCCATGACTTTGGCCCACTGGCATTCACCTTGAGTGAGTTCGACAGTTCACGAATAAACATGTAGCCATGAGTATTCCTCTTGTAGAAGGTGGAACAGAAGTCCTCTGGGTAGTCCTTCAAAGTACAGCTTTCAAGCACATAGCGGCTGCACTCCTTACCCAAAGAGCCATGTGGGTTAAGGCTGGCAGGAGCAATGGCTGGCACAGGCTGCTTTGCAAGGTTGCCAAAGTCAACAACAATGTTAGACTGGAGAGCCGGCTTTTTTCGCTTTGTGTCATTTTTAACACTTCCGTCCAGCGGCTTTCTGCTTGCTGGTCTCTTCTCTGACACTTCACGAGGCTCTTCAGCTGGGCGTGTGGGTTGTGGTTTCTGATCTGTGGGTACGAACACAGGGTTGTTGAGCTTCTCGGCGTACAAGTTCCTCTTTGCTCTCTCATAATCTGGCACCTGAGCCTGGAAGTCATGGTAGGCAGGGATGGCAGCCGATGAAGAAAGGAAACGCAGTCTAGGAGCAGCAGCTGGCTGGGAAGCCATCGACGAAAGCGAAGACACTGGCGTAGGTGGACTGATGTTGATGTGTTGGTGCTGTTTATGGCTGTAGTTCTGAAGTCCTGGAGGTTGCGAGCCTCCGCCAGTGCTCCAGATAGAAGATCTATTAGACAACGGAGCCAAAGGTTCGTGGCCAGCGTCTTTAAATGGGTCCATGAGTCTTGGTTCGCCTAACTGGAGGCTGTGCATCAGCTGGTTGAGCTTGTTGACATCCATTCTAGGACCAGGAACACTTCCCAGCGAGAAGGAGTTTCTCATATCCCGGCCACCAAGAGGGCTGTGGTCTCTAAAAGTGTATTCTCTGTTGACCTGGTCCCTAGCAAAGTGTTCACGGATGAAATCCCGATTGCGGAGGTTGACATCAGGCAACTCCTTGGGCGCAACCGAGGAACGAGGCGTCACTGTCGTAGAAGTTGGAGCTGTAAGCGACCCAAGTCCATTATACGGCGTATCTAGCAAATTAGACGAGAAACGCACGTTTGGCGACACGAGAGCCGAAGTGTCTGGAGTTTCGTTGTAGCGGGTGTCGTAAGGCTTCTCGAGGCCACAACCACCAGGGCCCAAAGAACCGTAGAAAGGGTTTTCGTGGTTTCTGAAAACACGAGGCAGCTGGAGACCAGCGTGGAACATCTCGTTGGAGTAGAAATCATCAGAATACGCCGGTTTCTCTGAGTACTGGGGTGCACCAAGGAAATCGTATCCGAGATGGCCTGGTCCCATAGGCTCTGCGACTGGGAAGAAGTTGGACTGTCGTCTTGGGTCCGCCATGGCAAAAGAAGTAGCTGAATTGATTGACATTGGAGGTCAAAGCCTTTTTGGCTTCCGTTTTTTGTTTTCCTTTTTTTTTTTTTTTTCCTTTAGTAGTTCCTAGGAATCTCGTGCCTTATATACTCTGGCAAGCCAAGGCCTGGAACGAGAAGTGGTTAGACAGGAGGGAGGAAAAAACGGCAGTTCAGGCTTGGGCTCGGAATGGAAGAAAAAAGGCAGGAGGGAAGGTTAAGCCTTTAGAAAAAAGAAGAAAAAAGGTGTTTTTCAAAAAAAAAAGTTATGGGTTCCGTTCTGGCGCCTCTTTATATCACATAACCTCCATTTCTGGGGTCACAGGGGACAAAAGCACCGTGGCAGAATATTGTGGTTATGATGAGTGCCAGGGTTCAGGCAGGCTCCTGCCGTTTTTTTCTGGCCTTGCCTCGTTTTCTGAATTTGGGTATACAGAGTGATTTCGGCTTACAGGGAGCTCTTGAGGCGGAAAAAAGCTCGGAATATGGTATATAGGGGTCAAAAAGTATGAATATGTAATTTTTTTGGCACTTTTTCGCCGTCTTCATACCTCCACGGACAAGTTTGGGTGAAGTCGCCAGACTTGCAACCAGGTGCTTCCTGCAGTACGGGCCTAAAAGACAGTCTCCTGGTGCGAATATGTGCCTGCTAAACCTGGCGGTGGGTGCAAAAAAAGAACGCACCAGGAGCCATGTGAAGGCCGAAAATAACCGAGCGAAGATGCAGCAAAAGATGGTAACTTTTCGATAGTGGTTATGCATCACGTGACATGGTACACATGTTGGATATCTCCATTATATGCACTCCCTTGACAGGGAAATATATCCTCAAACCTTAATTAACCCCTGAAGTGGCATAGTATTGTTCATGAGTTACCCCTCTATTGTCGGGGTATATAATCTGGGTCTTTTGCAATTCCTGATATTATAACTATATACTACTTTTCTTCATCTCTGCTCAGAATATATTTTCACCACCTTTAGTAATGACTTTATATAAGTCCTTGTCTGCAGGAAAGGGAATTACTGTTCATCTTTATAAAGATGGGACAACGAGCCCATATGAGGTTATCTTTAAACTCCCATTTATTTTGAAAGACCATACACAATATGTTTACTGGTATCAAATCTTTATTCAGCAGATAAGAGAGGTTTATGGTGATCCTACCGCAACATATATTAATACTTACTTTCATAAGAAAGAGGATGCAAGGGCTAGTATTGCACAACTCCAACCTCCAGAACGGAGACCCGTGAATGGTTATGCTGAGCATATTGCTCAACGTGTGAAAATGTTTGGCATTGATCAATCAATATTGCTGGGTATTAAAGTATCGAGTCAAAGTCTTGACACTTTGTGTAATTTGCATGAGACAATGACGAAGTATACACCAAGGCAATTTAAGGATTTAATTCATGAGGTTGCACAAGTTTTCGTGCTGTTCGGAGCGTATAATGAGCTTGATTTTATGGATGTGTACCGTATGTGCGTTGCACACTCCTTCTCTGGGAAAGAACTCTTTTACCTTTTGGCCTTGGGTAATCCAGATAATGATGATGAGTTAATCATAAAGAGTCTCTTTCGGTCCATGAATGTGGATAACTATGATTTCAGAGAAAAGCTTTTCAAACTGTGTGGAGAATCTGCCTGCCCTACTAATGAATTGGTGCTTGCATATGAAGGTCAAAATCCTAGCAAGAGGGAGAAAGTTACGGCTTTGAGAAAGGATTTGAATTCGGCTACGAGCTTTGTTCCTTCCACTGTTAACCTGCTGGTAAATCTTGTGAGAACATGCACGCACTGTAGTAAGCAAGGTCATACTGAAGACCGTTGTTTCTTAAAGCATCCTGAGTTGCGAACTGAAGCGAATAAGAGAAAGAAGAAGGCTCATTGGACAGAAATTAAAAATAAGAAGCGAGCTAAAGCAAAAAAGGACAAGAGCCAACAAGAAAAGCCTAAGGGAGAAGAAACTGCTAAGTCATTTCTAGTTAGTCCTCATCTGTCTAAATCTAGTGGTCTGAAAATGTGTTTCATTTGGGATTCGGGAAGTCCGATACATTTTGTGAGTGATTTGACCCTTTTGAGTGGTTATGTTAAATGTCCGAAGTTCTTTGGTGACTATGGCACACACCATTATTTAGCCCCTGGTTATGGCCGGGTTACTGGGAGAACTATTTCTGGTAAAGTAATCACGATGGCGAACGTCTATTACATACCTGATGCCTCTGCTAATGTTATTTCGGCTTATCATGATTTCGGATTATCTGTTTCGAAATATAGACTGGATTTGTTCGATAGTGATGGAGTCAAAATTGGTGAGGGTCGCAGTCCTGGTCATTATATGATCGATTTGGATTGCAAGGTTCATGACAATCCCGGAGTGACGCTTTCTCACTCGGAGATCAAGGCAGCGCATGATGACATGAAAATTAATCTAGTCAATGTGTATGCATTAAGGTCCGTGAAGTGGGAGACAAAAGCAACTTATGCAGAAAAGGATATGGAACATCACATTCGTGCTGGACATCCTACATATCAACAATATCTCGAACTTCAGAAGAAATTTTCTTTTCTTCCTAATATTGATAAGGACATCAGAGAACACTGTGATGCATGTCAACAGGGTACCATGGTCAACTTTCGTAAAGATCGTGAATCAGAAACTATTGCTACCCATCCTTTGGAATACTTGCATGCGGACATTTGTGGTCCTATATCACCAGCTGGTTTTGATGGTCTGAAGTTTTGTTTAGTGGTTGTCGATAAGTTTACGAGGATGTATTATTGCTCGCCCATGACTCGTAAGGAAGACACACTTGGCAATTTTTATGCTATACTTAAGAGGTTAATTGATGAATTCCCCGGTGAGAAATTCAGGCAAGTTCGTGTTGACAACGGTGGAGAGTTTCGTTCTAAAATGTATTCGAGAGGACACAAAGATATTTTCGATCATTTTAACATCTCCTTGAAATTTACCACACCTTATAGTTCACATCAAAATGGTCTCGCTGAACGAGCCATTCGTGCTATTCTGACGAAAGCTAGAGTTCTTTTACTTCAGAGTGGTTTACCGTTAACATTCTGGCCTGAAGCGTTTAAGACTGCTGTTTTCACCTTGAATAACAGCCCGAAATCCCAGAATCATTGGATTATTCCTATGTCATATTTATCCCCAAGAAAATATGAACGTTTTGATCTATGGGAAGCATCTCCTTTCGGTTGTTTAGGTTACTTTAAAAAGTACAAGGTGAATGCCGGTAAGAAGGTTGATCCTCGTGGGGGTAAGTGTATTTCGCTAGGCCCTGCTTTAAATCGCAAAGCCACGAGAGTTATAGTCCTTGATAATGATAAACTTACTGAGCAAATTGTTGAAACTCATCAGGTTAAATTTATACTGAAGAAGTTTCCATTCTTGGGTGTCCATTGGACTGTTGATCATGATTCTATGAAGAGTCATATTATGAGTGAGAGTCATCCGAACCATTTCTGCGGAGATCCTGAGGAAGAGGATGATTCAATGCTAAGTCCAGATTATGTTCCAGTTGACCAAACTGATGAAAGTGTTGTGTCTAATCAGCAAGAAAAGTCCACTGAACCGCATGGTGGTTTTACCTCCTTAAATAAGACAAGTGAGGAGGATGTTTCCAACATGAGTGATAAGGATTCCAGAGACAGGCTGGAAGATGAGTTGTCACATTCGGTTTTGAATAACGGTGCACTGCACCCGCAAAGCGAACGAAGTGGGACTGTTGAGCTGCCTAGAGCAGTTCCTGAACAGGATAATATTAACCGACGGGCTACTGAGGATGAAAGTCAACATAGTCCTCGTATGCTGAGTCGTCTTGCTGGGAAGCATAAACTTAACTATCGTCAGTTATCAGGCAAAAGAAACAACAGAGTTCATTCTTTGAGAGGGGGAGATATTATGATCTTGTCAGTCACTCCTGGAGATGATTACGTTTCCAAATCACTCACTCTGTTTGTTGAAGCTTTTGAGAGGAACAATGTTACAAGAATTATGTTTACTAAAGTTCGCTTTGAACCAGAAACCTATAAGGAAGCTATCTCATGCGATGAAGCTGATAAGTGGAAAACTGCTATAGATTCTGAACTTGATTCATTGAGAGAGAAAGAAACATTTGAGGAAACGACTTTACCTTCAGGTCGTAAGCCGATTGAGTATAAGTGGATATTTACCATTAAAGACGGTGGTAGATATAAAGCTAGGTTGGTCGCGAAAGGCTTCTCACAAGTGCCAGGTAAGGATTATCAAGAAACTTATTCACCAGTTGCTAAGTATGATACTATTAAATTGTCTATTGCTTTGGCAGCTAATCTTGGTATGACTGTCCATCAGATTGATGTTAAAACGGCATTCCTCAATGGTCCCCTAGGTCTTGATCTTTATCTCACTGTACCCGAAGGTCTACAGACAAGTCAGAATAAGGGCAAAGTCTTGAGGCTTAAACGCGCATTATATGGACTTAAGCAAGCTCCCTTGGTCTGGAATTTGGAAGTGTCCAAGACATTAAGGTCTATTGGACTTGTTCCTTGTGTCCGGGAACCCTGTCTTTATTATTTGTATGAGAGTGGTGTTTTGCTCTTAGTGGCTCTTTATGTGGATGATATGTTGATAATGAGTTCTGATATTAAACTTATTGAAAAGGTTAAGCAAGGTTTGTCTATGGCATATGAGATTAAGGACCTTGGTCCAGCGAAGAAGTTCTTGGGAATGAATGTTAGTCAGTCTGATTCAGTGATTACATTATCCTTGGAGGATTACATTTCTAAGCTTATTAGTTTGCATTTGGATCAGTCTTCTCAACCGTGTGAAACACCTTATTATTCAGAGTGGTCAGACTTGTTATGTCCTTTAGTGACTGATGAACTTTATCCCAATCCCACTAAGTTTCGAGAGATAATCGGGAAATTACTATTTGCCTGTACGACTGTGAGGTATGATATTTCCTTCATAACAATTGCGTTAGCGAGATACTCAAGTAAGCCAGCCATGAAGCATTATAAGGCATGCATGCGAATATTACGGTATCTCAAAGGAACGTCAGATTTTGCAATTCGTTACAGAAAAGTCAGCAAGCCAAAACGTTACGTTGATATCAAAAGTTATAGCGATGCAGATTGGGCTAACTGCAAAGAGACATTTAAGTCTGTGTCAGGTAACATATTTTTCATTGAGGAATCTCCAGTTATTTGGAAGTCTAAGAAGCAAACTTCAGTTGCTCTTTCTTCATTGGAGGCGGAATATTATGCATTATGTGAATGTGTTAGAAGTGCTAACTGGTTAAAGTTTCTACTTACTGAATTACGTCTTTGGAATCTACAGCGGTGGATTATCACATATGTGGACAACCAGGGTTGTAAGGATGTTTGTGACCAAGAGCATTTTACTTCTGATCGTACTAAGCATTTTAAGATTCGTCTTAGTTTTGTTAATGATGAAGTTAAGAAGGCAAATGTGAAGGTATTGAAAGTTCATACAAAGAACAATTTTGCTGACCTCATGACTAAAGGCTTGAAGCAAACTGATTTTAAAAGACTAAGGAATACTCAAGAAGAACTGGTACTATAGATTGAGGTCTTCGTCTAAGAGGGGGTGTTGGATATCTCCATTATATGCACTCCCTTGACAGGGAAATATATCCTCAAACCTTAATTAACCCCTGAAGTGGCATAGTATTGTTCATGAGTTACCCCTCTATTGTCGGGGTATATAATCTGGGTCTTTTGCAATTCCTGATATTATAACTATATACTACTTTTCTTCATCTCTGCTCAGAATATATTTTCACCACCTTTAGTAATGACTTTATATAAGTCCTTGTCTGCAGGAAAGGGAATTACTGTTCAACACACCTGTCAGGACCCACAATTTTCCCTTTTGTCATATGTCAAGTTTCACTACTTGTTCCAGCCTCGCGATGACGCCATGTACTGGCGCTAAACTGAGCTGCTTTAACCACTATGGTTGTTGCTGGAGGAATAGTGCGTATACTTTTTTGGAAGGGTCGTGCGGGGCTCATTTCCTTAAGTAGGATTTGTCAGAAAAGTCTCGGTCTTACATAACATTCTGCGTTTTTGCAACCACTTCTTCGCTACCCATGAATCCCCCCTACTGGAAAGATTCTGAGGATATTGAGTCGTCCTTCCGACCACCTACAGGTGACCACTCCTTCCGCACGTCCGAAAATGACTTTGTTGTGTCCCATGTTCCTCAGCCCCCTAGGAACTCCTCGGAGCCTTCTTCTGATCAGCATCCACAACCTCCATTGCCTTCTCCGCTGACACATATTTCTACGTCTCCTTCACAACATACTGCTTCTACGGATGTCCGTTCTACTGTTTCCGTGAGTGCATTGACGCCAGGATTGAATCCTCCACGACTTGTGGAGAGGAACCATTTGGAGAGCTCCCCCGAAGGATCCAGCGTGGATGAATCGATTGCTGGAACTCGGAAGAAGGTTTCGGGCACGAAACGTGCAGTTCAGAATAGAAACGCCCAAAGGGCTTTCCGTCAGAGAAAGGAGAAGTATATGAAAGAGTTGGAGGCTAGAGTGGCCGAGATGCTGCTGTTGCATAAGAAGATCGACGACTTGCAACGTGAAAACAGAGAGCTACGGGACTATACTATGGCACTTCAGAGCGAGCTCTTAAAGCTAACTCACAACATGAACAATGAGCACAAGGGATGATTTTCTGGGTTGATCCTGGAAGAAGTCTCTGGGAACGTTCCAAGATGCCCTATGGCTGTGTTGGGCATGATATGTCTTAACGGGACGTTTGAAGTTTTTGCTGTTTGCAACAGAATGTTGGCTGATTTTGTTTTGAGTTCGGATATGAAGAAAGGCGATACTTCATAATGCTCACTAATGGGACCGTTTGCTTCGCCAGAAACAAACTTCAAAATTTGACAGCACTGAAAAGGGAGTACAAGCTTCCTTGTTGCCAACCTCCGTGGAGAGTAATGAACTGACTTGCCGCAAATGTGCTGTCAAAATGCTTCTCTTTCTATCATTCCTAGTGCATGGTGTTCGACTACCCCAAGATGCCATTTTGTAGATAGTTAGATCCTGCGCGGGAGCTTAGTATAGATAGAATGTAATGATCACGATATGAATAGGAAAGTGATGTAGAAAGAAAAAGAAAGACAAGCGAAAGCCTCTATAAGTCAGTTATGGCACCATATGGTGTTCCAGAGGGGGATACCGAGCAGAATAGCCTTGGAAAACTTAGAGCTCGCATAGCGCCAAAATTGATGTGTGATAATTATCCGGATCTTTTCAGTGCTGTGGGAATCCATTATTTTCTTGCAGGTGAACAGTTGAACTCAAGCCCTATCCTTTGCTTAGAACCAATAAGCAGCCAAGCAAATACTTTTACTGATATGTTGAAATATCCAAACAGTTGTAAACGGCGTTACAGCTCGTGAAGTCCCAGTATTTTGATGTCCTTTGGACTCTCAACAACCTTATGGGAGCACACACCATAACCCATAAAGAAATATCCCTAAAGAGATGCCTTTAACCTTCCTCCACAATACTCCCATGCCAATCCAGACCTCAGTGACATTTAAGTAGTCCATCTCTTCCTGTTAGCAACAACTCGATTTACGGCGTTGCAACTCACCGAACAGACCCAAAACCGCCGTATACATTGCTTTCTTTCCATCACAAAGCCTAAAACTCATCATTCAACCAGTCCTGACCCTTCAAGAACAGCAACTTCGTTATCTTCCCCTCATACTCGATAACAATTGGCTACTCTTCCCAAGGCCATTTCTCTAAGCGGCGGCCCAGAAATTCGCCGTTTTGTGCCATCAGCTTATCCCGAGTCTTCCATAAACAAAGCCATTCTATCCATCCACCCGTCCATCTATAAAGCAAGAAAAACCAGTATGAACCACATTTTCCACCCATCCACCCCAGTCTTCTCTTCCCACTGGCACGGCACTATACATGTTTGCAGCCACCCAGTGCGAGTCTGGCAAAGTGCCCCAGAATTCCGTGGCTCCCAGTGTTCTCTGGCTCCAGATGCCGCACCGAACGCCGCACTGATAAGCACTCTGAAGCCGCTAAAAGCGAGGCAACGCGAGCCTGTGGCAGTGAAATACGGCAAATCGAGCCTGTTTCACCTGGAGAAGAGGGAAGGATAAAGAGACACAGGTAATTGTTGCCTTACTTTCCTCCAGTAGCCCCATAAGTGTACTACCCGTGGGCTATTACTGGATGTCGGATTGGGTTCGCAGCGCCAATATGGATTATTGAGTCAGGTAAGGCACTTGGCTGCAAACGGCAGCACTGCGAGCCATAGTTGGAGGGGGTTGGACTTCCATAGAAAGAACACTCAGAGAGGTGAACAATGGTTGGGAAAATATTCTGTGGTTTATCTGGGGATCCATGTGTTCTTTTTCGTCTTTCTCTATCCATCCCAGCTTCTCTCCGTTGCATGGCGTTCTTCCAATCTTCTCTGGTGCCGTTGGGCCTCCGCGCGCCCGGTGCCGGGCCCTGTGCGGCGGTAGCTTCACTATTTCTACCGCTAGATAAAAGGACGCCAGGCCCCGGTTTCTTTCTCACCATGGACGAGAACCCAGTTGTGCCGGGGCTATTTCCCGCAATCGACTCGAGCCTGTGGGCGTACCTGTGGCAGCTCGAGGGCCCTAAGATAGCGCATTTACAGGTTGAGGAGTGCAAATGAGAGCTGGTTGCAAATGGCCTGCCAGAAGAGCGTGAGCAGCAAAGGGTACATGATATTGATACGGCTGTAAACGGAAAAGATTAGTATTTGGCTTTGGCTTGTTTTGCATGGTTTTTACACTCTAAGCTTTGGTGGTTGGTGCTTTTCGTATGGTTGTTGCGCTGGAAGGTGTGGAACCTGCTCGCCGGTACCGGCCTGAGTCGCACTGGGTGCAAAGACTCTGGAGCCTGAGGCAAGAGCTATTAAGAAGTTAGTTACTTTGGTTGAAATTTAGAGGAATCCCACTGGATGGTGTTCCTTCATTTTTTTGCTGAAATTAAACAGTCCTGCTGGACGGAATATCAGGATATTATTTATAGTTGAGGACACTTTCGTCTTCATGTTACAGGCTTTGGCCTAGAGCTGGCCCTGGTGGTTAGCCAAATGTATTAAAATGAGATTAGATTGAGTTTTGGTCAGTTTCGGGTTTTCTTTTCGCTGATGTGATCTTAGTAGCATGTAGAGTTATCGTGAGTAGACGTCTTTTAGAAATGTTCGAGGGTTACGCCTGCCGAGGGCCAGTGCCATTTAGGTGAAGAAGAGAGTATCATTTACAATGTAAAACTTTCCTAGATGCTTTCGGTTTCAAGAATGTGGTACTCTTGGGGTATGTAAGTTGTGGGACGTTCTTATCCACTAAAGACATTGAAGGCTCTACGAGAGACATGTGTGCAATACAATTCAGTGGAATCTTCACACAAATATTGAAAGGATGGATTTTAAATGGGATAGCAAGTTAACAGCCTACTTATTTCGATGGAGAAGTGTTCTTCGTGCTGGTGAAGAGGGCCAACTCAATGAAGAGTGGAGCACATACTGGACGATTAGCTGAAGATTTTTCAGTACTGAGATATAGGGAAGAGCCGGATAACTTTCTTGTTTTTTTTTTTGTTCTCTTCCCTTGATATACATTTACATATATTTTTTAAAACTATTTGTCTTAATTCTCTGGCAGATTTAACACTTCTACTCACTCTTAGCCCAGTTGATGTCTGGCTGCGAAAGAGGTTCGAAAGGCCTATCAAACATTCCCAGAACAATAAATTAAATAATCAGAATTTCAACTCATTTCTGCAAAATTCGTACCCCTATGACCTTAAAGAGATATGTTTTTTTTCTCACAAGACATTTCATAGACTTGTCCCAATATCACCGTTTCTTCAATCCTTCGCGCGTAATTTTCAGCACCTGCAACCGAAATTTTCAGGACTCACATCCAACTCTTCATCACCAAAGACAACCGAATTACTACCATAGTTGCCCTAAGATGAGCCTCAGATTCACGCGTGGATTTGCTTCTAAAGCTAGAACGTGGGGTGTTTGGAGCGAGTTTCAAAGCAGGTCTTCCTCTTTGAAGATCCCCAACGAGAAGATCAGAAGTGATCTCTTCAACGGTATCTCACCAGAAGAAGGCCCCAACTCATACAATGTCCCAACACACAGAAAGACCTACCACTCTCCTTTGCTCATCGATCCAACTTTCCAGCAAGCATACGACATTTTGGAGAATGAGGCAGAGAGCATACACAAGGAGGCCAAGGCCAATGAGAGCGAAGACCTCTTGGTTAAAGCTGAACTCAAGAACCCAGAAGTGCTCCACAACTTCAACACCGGCAAGGCTGACCTTTCTTTGCCAGTTTACAGACACCTCGCTGAGGAAAAGTGGAAGAGTCATGATCTTATGGTCACCATGCAAAGATTGGAGTCGCTACATGTCATCCCAGACACTTTGCCAACCTTGGACCCTAAAGTTGATGTGAAGGTTAGATTCGGTCACAACACTCGTTCCGAGTTCATTGGAGACATTGAGCCGGGTACCATCTTGCCAGCCTTTGCTGTTTCTATCCCACCAACTATCGAAGTCCAGGAATTCAACTCCTCGGACTATGACTTGGGTCTTTACACAGCTGTGCTTGTCAATCCAGACACTCCAGACTTGGAAAAGAACTCTTTCAAAACTACCCTCAACTACGGCTTGCACAACGTTCCTTTGACCTACACCGACAACAAGATTCTGCCAGCTAAGCTCATGTCCAACCCTGAATTCATTTTCCAGCAATACACTCCTCTCTTACCTGAGAAGAACGCTCAGACACAAAGAGCCTGTTTGTGGGTTTTCAGACAATCTAAGGAGCTCAAGGATTTGAGCTTCGACGCTGAAAACTTCAACATCAGAGAATTCGCTGAATCCAACGGTCTCACTGCTGTGGGTGCTCACGTGTGGAGACAGGCATTCGACAGATCTGTCAACGAGACTAGAACCAAGTACGGTCTTCCACTGGGCCGTGTGTTCAAGAGAGTGAGAGGCACCAAGCCACTCGTGTAAATAGCATGTCTGTAAAATTCAGGCTACTCCAATGTACAAAGAACCAAAGCATTCGATAGGTAGGCCATATGACCAAAATTTAACGCTTGTAAGAAAAGTTCAAATCTTCTACGAACTTTCTGACTGTAGCCTCCCAATTTGTGCTGGTGAACAATTCTTCTCATCAGTTCTTCTCAGATTGATGATTTCCCAAAAGCTTTCTTTCTTTGTTGCTTTTTTAATTCTTGATATGGAAAATGAACAAAATTGAAAATTTTCAATCCTTAACTTTCTTCATATTTCGAAAGTTTTGATAAACTACGATAATTGATGGATTTGGAAAATGACGTAGTTTTCGCAATTATCTCTTCCATCTTGCCATACTTTGCAAACTGCTGACATTCAGATGACCACAGTAAATCAGAAACAACTTCAACAATATTCATACATCTTCTCAAACAATTTTTGAGCTTACAAATTATTTCCAAACAATTCCCTAAATATTTTTTGTTCTAAATCTCAGCACAATCCACTGGACACTGGCACTGCTCCACCATCACCAAGAATTTCCTGCGCGCACTATGTAACCGAAACTCAACTACTACTTCATCAAACTATCTTCAAGTGGTGCTGCATCTTTCATGTCCAATGACATCCCTAGACGCCTAGAGCTTTGTGAGCTTAATGAACGGGCGTGGACAGGAGAGCTGGTGTACAAGCTTGCTGCAAAGCAGGACCTGAGTTTGAAGAAGAATACTGGTTTTGTTAAGAAACTCCGAACTGCTTTCAATGCTGAGCAATATAAGCATATTCTCAAAGATGTGGAAACTTTGAGTCTAGAAAAATACCTGGCCGAAGTTGTTAACCCTCTGTTTGAGGGCACATTGAAGGTGACCAAGAATGATGACATCCTCCCGGCAGCTGAGATCATCTCTGCCCTCCATCAGCGACTCAATCTTCAATTTACGCCTTTCTACTTATCTCAAGTAATTAATGCTTTGGTAGCTAAAGATCTGCCCGATTTGATGCCCAGACAGCGTCTGTTGTTGAAGGTGGTAACTGAATTCTATTTGACTGGGGTCGCCCCGTCCCTTATAAGTTGCGAGAAAGATCTGCTTCTGCCCGTGGCTGCCAAACTACTTTTGAAGCATCCAAGTGACCCCATTTTGATACCATTACTTAAGGATATTCTTTCTTACCAGTTCCAAAAGGCATATGCTTTGCCCATAGTGATTTCATGGTTGAAGAGATATGCCTTCATCCTTCAGGATGAGAGTGCCAATACTCCCCTTATCCCGGAAAAAGACTTGTTTGTCATCAAGCAAATATTCAATATGTACTTCGACAAGGTAACCGATCTTCTCCAGAGCTCACACAAGCAGAAAGTGAAGCTAGAGCATAGCAACAAAAAAGCCATGATCCGTACTGGTAAAGTCCTTGAGGAAAGACAAGTGGAGCTCGAAGATATCAGTAAGGTATTGGATACTCTCAATTCTGGATGTCCTACATTAGCCGAATTGCTACAAAGAGAAATGCCTTCGCTCGATTTGACTGCCGATGCCGCTGCCAACGAATCAGATGTTTTTGTCAAAACCAACTCAGATGAAGACGCTGCTGGATGGTGGGAAGACAAGCGTGAGAAGAATTTCTACTTGAAGGTGCCTCTGTATCAGGAAGTTGTTGCACTGGAAGCCCCAAAATTAAAAAAGAAGGAATACGCAAAATTATCGGAGGGAGAAATGGTGGTTCACTTCTTAGAAAAGCTTGAAAGTGCTGTTTCGGAGGAGGAGATTGATAAATTGACAGCCGAGCTCCACACTTTTCTTCCGTCCAATAAAGCTACACACAACCGAATTCTACGGTTCTTTCTCGAGGTGAAGAAGATTGATAACGTCAACCTATTTGCGAGGTTTTTAAAAATTAATCAAGAATTCTTCCCAGACCTCATTACTGAGTTAATCGAGACTCTAGACAAAGGCTTCAGGTCGCTGATGTACAGAGATGTCATTAACTTTAAGAACTTGTCCTTTTTCATCGAGCTCGTGAAATTCAAGCTTATTCCAACACATGTTGTATTTCACAAGATACGAAGGCTCACCTTGAGCATTGAAGGTACCAATAATGCGGACATACTACTGATTTTCTATGAACGTTGTGGTAAATTCCTTCTTCTTGAGCCAGAGTATCAGGAAACTACTCGAGAAATGCTTGCGCTTCTTAATAAGCAATCTAAGTCATCGAGGCTTACAGTGAATGAAAAGTTGGCTTTGCGAAATATGTTCTTGATTGTTAACTCTTTCACTGCCACCAAAACCAAAGTCAAACCTACAGTGGTGGAGTTGACACCAATTGAAGATTTTGTTACTCATATGGTGAAGCGTGTCTTTTGGAAGAACAAGTCGCCTCTACCAGTTGAGGTACTTTCAAAGATTAATTTCCGAGGATGTGAAGAAGCTCGCAACACTTTTGTCGCATTATACCTGAGACCCGAGGACCTTGGCCTAGATAAGCTTGATCAGTACGCAAAGGTTTTGAAGAGGCTAGGTCCGCAGAGTATCCTTCCTCCCTTGGTGATTGACGCACTCACAGAGAAGGTTATCAGAGGATTGGAGCTCAATGACTACAGACAAAACCTAGCAAGGGTGGCTCAAATGAGATTCTTCGCATCTCTCTTCACTGCAAACGTCATAAGTTTCCGCTGTATCATTGATCTACTATACAAAGTTGTCACATTAGGACATCCCAACAATCTTCCCCTCCCCGGGTCAAGGCTTGAACTTGATCCAAATGATAATTACTTCAGGGTTAGCTTATGTTGCGCACTATTGACGAACACAAGCTTTTCTAAGGTCGATAAGGCACGTCTTCTTGTGGGCGGTACAAAATCTATGGAAGGGTTTCTCACCTTCTTTCAATATTATATTCTGACCAAGAAACAGCCACTTCCTCAAGAAATCCATTTTGCCGTGCAAAATGTATATTCCAAGATGTACATCCAGCCAGCTTTGGACAATCCTATGCTTGCACTTTCATTGCTTCAAAAGTTTAATGCAGAGCAAAAGAATGCACCAAAACAAGATAAGCCGGTTCTTATTGAGAATGACAACGACGTGGAAGAAGATTCGACGGATGAAGAGGATTCGGATGCTGGCACAGATGATGATGATCTTGCTCTAGATGATGATATGAACTCACAAGAGGGAGATAACACCGAGATGAATGATAGCATGATCGATGACGCTGGTGATGGAGATGACGACGAGGACGACGAGGACGACGAGGATGACGACGACGAGGAGTCTGATCAGACCGATCATGACGAAGAAAACGAGGAAGATGAAGACGAAGTGAGTGTCCACGATGAAAGTGTGAACGCCTTGAACGAAGAAGATGAGGATCCTACGCTGTGGAACAGTTCTAGGGAGCGTGAAGATAAAAGATTTGCTGATGCTATCGATGCTGGTATTCGTGATGCATTACAAGAATCGCTCCATATCTCGCAGGCACGTCCAAGGGGGAATTTTAAGATGCCTGCTCCCTCAACTTTGATTAATGCCCAGGGCGACAATACTGGCCAAGCGTCGGAAACAGCTTCTCCAAATGGAAATGTAAAATTCAGCTTCCTCTCGAGGAAAAACAACGTGAAAGAGATGCACTTGCCATCAGATAATAACTTTGTTAACCGAGTTGTCAGAGAACAAGCAGCACAAAAGGCGAACAGAGATAAAATTATCCGCTTAATAAATAACATGGACCAATGAGATATCTTCTTGTTGAGTCTAACTATCTACTTAAAGCACTTCAACCATAACGACTGTCACGTCATCTTCCTTTCCACCCAAATACTTTTGTCCCGTAAGCCTAGACAACTCCTGAGCGAAAGCGCTAGGGAAGTCTTGATCTTTAGAAACCTTCACCACTTCCTTCACCAAACTAGTGGCAGCTTCCGGCAAAGGAGTGTTCTTTTCCTTTTTATCTTTCAAGAAAACTTCAATATCTTGAGGGACGACATTGTCAGTAACACCATCCGTAGCAAATAGAACAACGTCACCCTTTTGAAGCTGCCATTCGTACTCGTCACTCTGTTTAGGTGTATCCGTAATATAGTTCTTTCCTTGACGAGCAGCAGCCTGTAAAATGCTCTGTGGGATTTTTGCTAATTGATAAGGAGTGTTGAAGTTGTGGGTTTGGAACTGGGTTTCCTCCACAAGCTTACTGTTTCTGAAAACACCGCACCACGAGTCACCCAAGTTTGCGACCTTAAGTCTTCTGTCAGGAGAGAAAATACCAAGGCATGCCGTAGTTCCTCCAATCTCGACTTTTGGAGAAGCAAGAACTTCGTCGAATGCATTGCAAAGAAGTGTCTTGGGCGTAATAGTATGCTCACCGACGCCAGACTCAAAGATGGTCTTCATGCTATGGCATAGTTCCCTGGAAATTGCAGAGGAGTCATAACCGGCTTCAGCCCAGCCACCAACCCCATCAGCAACACCTAAGGCAAAGTAGCCATCCGTAGACTGCTGGGATACGAAGAGATTGTCTTCACCAGAGGGCAGGGTTTCCGCGGCCGAGAGCTTCTTGTTCCTCGTGAAGACATTAGATTTCGTTCTATTTTTTGGCTGGAAAGCCACAGCAACATTGAAATTGACAATTCTATCTATCGAAGATTTGTCATAGTTATAGGATGCAGAGGCCGACGAGGCAGCTCCAGTCGAGGAGGATGAATTAGCTCCGTCAGAGGAAGCGCCAGATTCATTAGAGCTCCAATGCTTATCAGACGAGTGTTTTGGATTAGACGCAGCATTATCAGAAGAGCTGGAAAATGGAGAAAACGAAATGTATCTTTTAAGCACCGCAGAATGGACACCTTCAACAGTGGAACCAACAAGGGCCCTTTTGGTAAGTGCCGATAAGAGCATGGGAATTATGAAACAGAAAAGCAAATAAAATCCACGCATGCACACTCAAAGTCGGCAAAGTCAATTAAGCAGCTAAAAAAGTTCAGTCGCTCACGTTGGCCAGAGATGCTGACGATATAGGTTTGGGAAGGGTAGGTGCTGTGGAGTTAGTTTCGGTGCGAGAACGTGCGAATAGAGAGGAATGGGGAGGAGGTGGTGATGAAGCTACAAAACCGAGTTTGGCCAAAACCGGTAAAATGAAAATCGAACTAAACATTGTTGAAAAGAGTGTGTTTGTCTAATTTCTAAGACTAGGTGATGTTGGGTGGTGAGTGGATGCAACCAGGCTGATTTTGCAGCCAATCTCTATGCACTGACAGCCCCGGCTGCCGGATCATGGGTCTTGGAGATGTCCACTATTTCTTCGTTTTGGTCGCCTGCTGCTTCAACACCTTCTTTTTAACATCATCACTGAAAGTGACACCATCAAGATCTTCTATGGTTTTGAGAATTACATCAAATGGTATTGGGCTTACTTTGCGTGGCTTGTCACCTGCCTTTTTTTCATTATACCATTCAGGTGGACAGCCTTCCAAGGCACGCTGCTGGACGTTTCTGAGGTACTCCCTTTGTTCCTCCAGTAGCTCACGAGGTTTGCGTGTGCCCAGCTCATGCGATGGATCACCATTTGGCTGATTTGAATCTTGGGAGCCTGACTCCGTGTTGGAAGGCGTATTTTCATGACGAACTCCTCTGTAGCTTGGTACAAACTCTTCAGTTACTCTCTTAGGGTGCTTCCATGTCGCGTGTGACATATCGATATTGTTTTCAATGGCTCTTGCGTGCTGTTCTTCAAGTAAACGGATCATCCGCTGACGTTCTCTTTCAAGGGAACAACGACGTCTAGCACCTGACAAATCTTGTGGAAGAGGTGGCAAATTACTCGTTTGAGTGGATCTTGGCCTCTCTTGTGCATCAAAGCTTCTATCCTCTGGGGGCGACGAGGTCTTAGAGCGCTCACCACTAGACTCTCCATGTGTCTTGAGTTTACTAGTCAATCCTTTAAATCCGAAGGGGTCTTTTCTTTTGAGTATAGTGAAGCCTTGCAAAACCCAAGATTGAGACTGATTTGGGGCTTTTGGTCTTGAGCTTCCTGCCACGTCCTGTTGTAATGACTTTTTATCTCCGGAATGCTTTGGAGCATTGGAATCTCTTCCAGTATCCAGGGTTGTATTTGCAAATACTGGCTTGTCACCGCTAGGAATGTTTGATGTCATGTTGCTGCTAAAGAAAAAGATTGAGCGAACTTGCTGAATTGAACCATTATTTAAATAGCGTAGTGGCGAAGTAGATAAATGGTTGCAAAATCCTCTAAGGCAAGCCCAAAGGCATTTCGCAGCCATGAGCCAAAATAGGAAATATCAAGATTATCTAGCACCTGCCAACAATCACATTTGAGAGACGTGATATTTCGCTAAGCCTTCGAAGAGTTAGCCAAACATTGTGGAAAAGCTGGACTTATTTCTTTCAATACAAATTGGCTGCTACTGACGAAACCACGGCACACGATCACGTGATCGAATTCATTTGGATATACTCATATCCATCTCTTCAGTTAGTTAAAGAGCGAAAATAACTCGTAACAATCCCAACATCCCTTCATGTTTTCACTCGTTTATTCTCAACAGGTCAAGTTTGATGCTGTCCAAGGTAGTTGTGCCATGTTGAGGTGTACGGGTTTCACACTCTGACGTCCAATCAAATTGAATTGAGAAAACAAGACCGAGCGAAAAAAAATAACTGAAGGTCCAACTACTCCAGATCACACAACACCAACTGGTACTAATATTCACAATGTCTACCTTCAACGTGTTAAGATATTCCGCTCTCGGTGCTGGTCTCGTTTACGGAGCCGTTCACAGATACAACTTGGAGTCTGCCGTGAAGGAGCAGCACAAGGCTGAGGAATGGAAGAAGCAGGAGAAATTGATAAAGAAGGCCAAGGCTGAATACGCTAGATTGCACGCTCCAAAGGAGCAGCCATCCACTGGTGCTTCTTTGTCGTTGAAGACATTGGAGGACCCAAATGTCGACTTTGGCAAGGTCTTTGAGTCCTTGATTCAAAAGTTGGAGTAAATGGCGTCGTTCTGGAATGATATATATTGAAGTCTGACAATGTCAAAAACACATTTGAAGACGTGAGGTACGGATAGAAGGATGAGGTCAAACATTGTGATTGAAGAAGACGTTTTTCCTCGAACATGTACTATGCTCGCATCATGGCATTGCCCAGCGCGTGCCCAATAAAAGTATACAAAGAGTGCAATTATGTAGCTGAAGCTTCGAGGAGCTTTCAGAAGCCCGAGAATTTTTGTTTTGCTGAATATCGTGGTCTTGTAGCTTGAATTATTCATACGATGTCACGTGAGTGTGGAGCCATATTGTATCGAGGCGTATAGATAAGCGGTCCCCATCACAGTGTCCTACATTCCATACATGCTTGGAAGTGACAACTAATTATGACGCCAGTGTCTTCCACAGATACTGAATCAATAAATGGTACTGCACCAGGAACGGGTGATACAGATTCGCCAGACCAATCAGAGAAACTAATATGTCCCATATGCGACGAAGACATGATATCGCTAGTGCAACTCAACAGACACATCGACGATGCACATACTGGAAACAATAACGAGACAAAATCAAGCCACAAGGCTCCACTGAAGAAAACGCTACGATTAGATCTATTCGATGATAGTAACGGGTTCGGCCTTAGCGATACAAACGGTGAGGTCGTAGAAGGCAGCCAAGACCAAGGGCAGACCCACAAGATCACAAGGTCCCACTGGAAACAACCCATACCTGGCAAGGCTAACTATTGCTCTCAAAAATCATGCAAAAAGCTTTTGAATGTCCGGACGGGTATCGTTAATTGCCGCAAGTGTGGCAAGCTTTTTGCAACGACCACACGAGATATAAAGTTAAACTTAGCGATCCACCAGCAAAAGGTAAACTACCTCAGTATGATTCATTTGGTTATTTTGCACGTTGTTGCGAGACTTGCTATTTCGAAAAGCCCCTGGTGAAGTTGGGTACTCAAGTCAACAGCAATGATTTAACAGAACAATTCACGAAAATAAGGGAGTCTCGAGTGGAAGAAAAGAGATCGAAACAAGACATCCTTCAAAAACGCTTCATAAGGCTCACAAGTCTATTAGGTGAAGATTATCTATGGCATACTGAGCACCGGAGTTCAGTTTTCCTGGTCTTCAACTCCCCGAGGCCTCCCTACACTAAGGAAGAGTACCAAGAAAGAGAGAAAGAAATTGTTGGGTACGAGAACTGGCAGGTGGATGACGACGTCACACATTGTCCATTATGCTTCGTCAAGTTCAATATGCTCATCAGAAAGCATCATTGCAGGCTCTGTGGCACAATCGTGAGCGATATAGCCATCAACTCAAACGACCCTTCCTCTATGTGTTCATTACAAGTTCCTGCCGGTATATTCTTAGAACTTTTGCCAAATCTCAATTACCCTCCGCATATTAGCAACAACTGGGATGCTTTGGTTCTGATAAACCCGGCTTCAACGAGACACGCAGAATTATTTTCCTTCAGATGTTGCAGAGAGTGCAAGAATACACTCCTTCCCAAACATAATAGAGATGATACAGACGAGACAAGTGCTCTCTTTGCAACATACAATGAGCTTTTGATGCTCAAAGCGCATATATCGACAGCAATGCCACGATACGAGTCATTGGTGTCAAGTAACTTAGACCGCCAGAACGAACAAATCAACAGGCTTCGAGCGAAGCTAATGAAGCATTTAAAGGATTTCGAAACTGCAATTGCCAACTTAAAGCAAAAGCTGTTTCGTCTTGATCCTAACACGAAAAAGCATGTCCCGTTGATGCACCCCACCCTCGTCACCAACATCTATAAGCTGACAATCGTCTTTTTACAAGACTCCCTACTTCATTTCAAGAAGATAAATGATGAGTTCCAGGAAATGGAGAAATCACGATTGACAGGTCAACTTGGGCAGCTCGATACTTCCTCGGCCGACGAACAGTCTGCTTTATCTCCCGAAGCAGCATCGCCAAGTCCAGCGCCCCCAAAACCAAGGCTTACTAAGAAACAAATACGAGAACTTAGGGAAGAGCTAATGGTTGTGAGCGAACAGCAATACTTGGTAAACCAACAAATTGCCGAGGCTAAGAAGCGGAGACGTTTCGATGAGATTCTGGCACTTTCAGAGAATGTTAGCGAATTAGAGAAGCGCAAGAGTGAACTAGAAAACGAATTGGGGGAGTTTGGCTTTGAATAAGCAGCAACTATGCAGCAACCCCATGGGGTAAGTATATTTGCGAGATGTCAGACATTGGGGTATGGTGGAGGTACCCCCACGATACTGTTGCCTCCTCCACGTCTTTATTGTGAGACCCCAAAATAGGTGGGTATCTCCCCCATTTTTGGTGGGGTTTTTTGGAGCATACTGCATTAATTTGTCCCCCACGCCTGGTGGAGGCCTCACTTTGTCCAATGAATGATCGTCTCAAAGCCCAAATCAATCCCTGAAGCTAGCGAATTTGGTCTCCCCCATGTGGGGGTACGTCTGTGAAATCACCTTCAGGCAAATTGTGGACCATTTCATCGCGACACCCGTCTTATCAGGATTTTGCAGTCACGACGATCATGAGATTTTTATACCCCTAAAGATTTCAAAGAACTAATCACAAAGCCTTTTCATAATTTCCCTGGCTTGAATCTGAATATCCGGTAGCTGGAATATTCTGTAGTGAATTTTCAAGTTCACAAGCGTCTTGGCTATGTTACACAAATTTACGGATAACACAGGTGTCGGACTATCTCGAGCGTGCACGAGGGCCTGTATAAGAAAAAGTGCATTAGATCTTCGGCTTGGGCTCTTCTCTCCACCTTTTGAACTCTGTCGCAACCTCTGGAGAGCGTTTGTTTCTTTCTATAAAAGGTCTGGAGGATCCCTAACCCTATCGTTGTCTGGAATATTTTCGATCCTCCAACAACTTTCAAAACTTACAATATTCTATGGGACAGGTCAAGCTGCTTACCGAATCAGAAACTACCAACACCGATGCTGAGATCTATAAGCTGGAGGATAACTCTATACTGAGTTACGGCACCAAGCAAGGTTCCCCTGCGAAGCCCGATGCAAAGCGCCTGACGTGGGAGGAAGTGAAGGACATCATCTTGTTGAAGAAACTATTTGAGAAATACGAAGAACGGCCAACACCGCTGGCGGTTTATAACTGGCGTATCTACGGTACTGCTCTCATAGCGTCGGCAGCGGCTATTATCATCGGCTACGATGGTGGCTTTATTGGTGGAACTGTTGCTTTAGACTCTTTTAGACTGGAGTTCGGTCTCGACACCATGACGACCGCCCACGCTGATAAGATAGTATCTGATGTTATTTCAGTTTTCCACGCTGGCTGCTTCTTTGGTGCGCTTATTTCCTACCCTTTTTCCTACTATTGGGGAAGGCGTATTTCGCTTATCATCGCGGCTGTCACGATCACCGTTGGTTCCGCTATCATGCTAGCTGCCTCTTCAAAAAATGGCTTAGCTCCGATATACGTGGGAAGAGTGCTTGCAGGTCTTGCTGTTGGGTTCTCAACGAACTTGACCCCCGTATATCTTTCCGAAATCAGTCCTCCGGCCATCAGAGGCAGAATCATTGCCTTGTATGAGATTGGTTGGCGTGTTGGAGACTTGGTAGGTTTCTGGATCAACTATGGTATTGATTCCCATATAGCACCCAGCAAAAAACAATGGTTCATTCCTTTTGCTGTACAGCTTATTCCTAGCGGTATGTTTCTTGCGGGAAGCATCATCATGAAGGAGAGTCCTAGATGGCTCTTCTCCGTGAACAGGCACGACGAAGCTACGAATAACCTTACATGGTTCAGAAATCTCAAGGAGAACGACGAGTATATCATTTATGAAGTGAACCAAGTGAAAGAGTCCATTGAGTACCAACGCAATAACGTGGGTCTTGGACTCACTGACCCTTTCAAGCAAGTTTTCCTCAACAAAGATCGGAAAATTCTTTACCGTCTTTCCCTCACATGTGGCTTGTTTATATTCCAGAACTTCTTAGGTATCCAGTCCATCAACTATTATTCGCCCAGAATCTTCGCAAGTTTGGGCGTGGAAGGAACTAACGCTACGCTTTTCTCAACGGGTATGTTTGGAGTGGTGAAATTCGTTTGCACGTTCATTTATATCCTTTTCATCGTGGACTCTTTCGGAAGAAGAAAAGCATTCATGTGCTCCTCGGTGGTTTGTTCCATCTGCTTCTGGTATATTGGTGCTTACCTTAAAGTGAATGACCCGACACAACCTGGCGTGGATGCTGGCCCTGGTGGCACAGCAGCTATAGTGATGATGTACGTCTGGATTGCTTCTTTCATTCTCGCTTGGTCGGGTGGTCCATTTGTCATTGGCAGTGAGGTATTTGACCAAAACATTCGTTCGTTTGTTCAAGCAATTAACGCTGCCGTGTCTTGGGTTCCGATTTTATTATGAGCCGGTTCACATCGGATATGATAAGAACCATGGACTATGGTATCTACTTCTTTTTTGCAGCTTTGGCAGTCTTGGCTGTTCCTTTTGTGTTTTTCTGTATTCCAGAAACAAAAGGCATTGCTTTGGAAGACATGGATAGATTGTTCAACAAGGACATCCCTCCACGTCTTGCTCACTCAATTGTCCTTAACCAGGCAAGGAAAGGTGCGGCCGAAGTGATGAAAGAGCATCATGGCTTGTTTAAAACTGACACGGCAAAGCGAATGGAGAATCAGCATGTTGAAGACCTCTTGGCCTTCAACGGTAAACAAGTATAAATATGAACCGATTTAAAAGATCGACACTATTAGTACATACGACTATACATTACGAAACACAAGATCGATATCTGGATAAAATAATTCAACGCATGCATGTGCCATTCCAAGTCCATTGATGAAACCCAGGCCACCAGCACCGTAGTTATGAAACACAGTGCCCCTAGACGTGCTTTCCTTTTCTATCCTCGCTCCACCTTCTCTTGAGGGACGGGCTCCTGCTATAACTCGCAATATCTCTAAGTCTTTACGTGTCTTGTCTTTGAGCAAATCTGGTAATAATTCTGTCGTTCGGTTGATTATATCTTCTGTTTCATTGCTGAAAGTATGAGGTGTAGAGACATTTGGCTGGTAGAACCCTCCCAAGATTACTTCATGTGTGTTAGAGAATGGCCTTGGAATGATGTAGGTAGAACTCGTTTCACGCCATGCCGTGACGACAGACTTGACCGATGGATCACGAACAACAACAACTTGTCCTCTGGTAGGAAAGACAGTCTTATCAGCACAGAGGTTGGCAGCCCCTAACCCAGAGCAATTAAAGACGGCGACTGTATCCTCACCGAATGCCTCGTCCAAAGACTTCAATTGCTTCGTCACAGTTTTCACACCCAACTCTTTGAATCTCGAGAGTAGGTTGAACGTGAGTAACGGCGGATTAAAGACGATCCCTGTGAACGTAACTTGTGACTGGCAGCCCGCTACGGAGGAATCCGATATTTCAAGATCAGGAATAAACTTGATGATGTCTGCTATGTCTGCATTATCAAGATGTTCCGAAAAGTGTTCTTTAGTAGTAACCTTCTCAATTCCAGTAGCATCACCTCCGATAAACTTTCGAAGTAAGTCGAAACTTTCGTAGGTGTAGCGGCAATATGACACAGTATCCACAAAAGGGGTAAAGTAAGCACCAGCGTAAGGTGAAGCGTACTTGATCGATTGATCTCCTGGGAAAAACTCCGCGATGATAAGGATGGTAGCGGGATCAACACCTCGCTCGATAAGCTCGAATGTAGTGTACAAGCCAATGATACCAGCGCTTATGTTAGCAATTGACTATGGCTGCAAATGTTCAAGCCATACGTACCCAATGACAACGTGCTGAGTCATGAAGAAAGGAGTTGATTGTATCAAGGGTTCCTGGCTTGCTCTATGATATGCGCTCCACACGTCTCGATGCACGACATGCTAACACAACACGGTAAGACCAAGACACCTCAAGGTATAAGGTGGGAACTGCTCAAATTAAGCCACTCAACGTGAGCTTTTCAAGGAATGGCAGGAGATCATCCTTGCGGATTTCTATAATGGAAGACTCGAAGCTATTGATTCTCACTTTCGCGTCGGACGATGCTGCGACCCTTTGGAATGCAACACTGAATGTATTAAGACGAGTCATGAAGGTGGAATCATGCTGATGGGGCTTTTCTTTATTTTGCTGGGCAATCTTGGCCTTTGCAGTGTTGTCTAGGCCCCTTGGATATTTGGGTGCAAGACCAATAACAAGGTATGTATCTGAGGCAGGATCCAAACTTGCAAGTACGAGGGGCTTCAATGCGTTTGAAAGAGACTTATCGTTCTTCGACGCGAGGTTAAGAAATTCGAGCTCATTGATGTTTTCTAGAAGCCAGTTTCCCAATTTTGTAAGGATAAGAGGGTTGCTGAACATGTTCAAGTCTGGAATGGAACCGTCATTTAAAACACAAAGACGATAAAGACGTAAGTTTTTCATGAGTTTTCTTTCCAAGACAGACATTCCCGTCCTGAATATTATCTGTTGATTCTCTTTCGCTTTCTCGAGTCCCCTTATTAGGAGATCATAGCCTTTAAGCTTCTTGACACTGAGTGCTGCAGCAAGAGAATTGGTGTTAGAGGATACAACCCGAGATGCTGCGCTGTGATTGCTCATATTAAGAGCATCCCATGACGACCAAAAATTATTAACCCATAGTTTTTCCTTTCTTTCGATCTTTTCGTTGATATCATCGTCCTTATCATTATTATTATCACCCCCGGCGCCGTCATCGGTTTCAAGAAGCGCTGCGAGGGCTTCAACGCATTCCATTGCTGAAAGCTGCCCGGTATAGCCGAACGTCCTCACAAAGCCATCTCTGACTATTCCCTCGAGACCATAAAGCGGAAGATATTTGCTGAAGATGCTGGGCAAGCTCTTCTTGACAGAAATGTCCATATAGAGCCACTTTTGTTGTGCGACTGAAAGCGAAATTCCCATCTTTGCAAACAACTTATGAAGCTTTTTCTTTCCGTCTTCCGTCCAAAGATTGAGTTTTGAATTGACCAATGAAGAATAAAAGAACGAGTCGTAAAGTGTCCAATGACGCAACAAAAACAAATGGTAGTCATCTTCGACAGATAATGCTGTAGAGTCTGCTGAACGTTCAGTTCCAGCAGAAGGGCTTAAACGTCTAACCTCTTCTTGAAAGAGAGGTACTATGGCGTCGTATACCTCGGGGTGAAGTCTATCAAGAGATGATGCACCGATCATGGAAAGCCATAGGTTTTCGATACTCGTTTCACCAATTTTAGATAATATAGCGTACACTATAGCGGTGGTTCCGGTCAAAACTGCGGTTCCCTGGTTGTAATACGCTTCAATGACATTTTCACTTGCATTGAGCTCTTTTCTTCTCTGCTTTTTGATTTTTTTGGCTTCGACTTCTTCCCGACGACGTTTCCTGCTCTCCACTGATTCATCAGTAACAATGCCGTTGTCTTCGTTGTCATCAGCATCCTCTTCACTGACATCCTCTATAATCTCGTTGACATCAGATTCTTCGTCACTTGAGTCGCCAGATTCATCGCTTGATTCATGATCAGAGGCATCAATCAATACCTTGAAGCTCTCTAATTCTTTAGTTAGGTTCTTGTCGATGTAACCATCGTCGAAACACACTACCATATGTGACCCGAAGACATTGTCAAGGTTCCACGGCCTATTTCCGTCCAAGACATAGATTCGTCTGCTGAACGAAGGACCTGGATCTTTTTCATCGAGGTCATGCAAGTTCTCCAACGGTGTAGGTTGGAATTCAGTGACAAACTCGTTAGGATCTATCTCAAAGAAGGACTCGATGTCAATCATAGCACCACATCCGACAAGGATAACATTCGAGACTTCCGGATCTAGTTTTTGGTAATGAGCCTTCAAGTCAGCGTAGCCAGCCACAGGAATTAACTGGTACTGTATTAAGTTCTTCTTGAATACTAGACTTAGAATCTTAGCCGTACATATGCTGTCTATGCTTAGGCAAGACACAAACAAGATGAGTTTGCATGTGGAATGGGATGCTGACGTTCGTTTAATATCAGAAAACACCTTCGCATATTGCGAGTGATTAATGTACATTTGGTGGTGTCTTCTGTGTGTTTTTCAAGGTCAAATATCGGTGGTTGATGGACTCGAAAGTAGTAGGATCACGGTCACGTGATTCCACAACAAATCGAGAGAAGAAAAAATCTAAGACAATCGCGTCGCGTTTAGCAAGAGCAATGGAATACAGCAAATGTTAGCGTCGTACATCGTTATATTTTGTTTTCGTAAATCCCTAAATAATAGTTTTTTTGTGCTAAGATTGTCTTAAACGTAGGAGAAGCTACCAAGACTACGGCGAGCCCGCACATTAATGTCCCAGGTGACGATGCCTCCATCTTCGCAGCCAATGTACAATTGGTTTTCGAGCCAGTCCAAGCCAGACAATTCCATCTCTCCATGGATATGGTTGACTGATTGTTGATATGAATCGTGGCAAGAGTAACGTTGTTGTGGAGGAGACGCATCGACCATTTCGGTGTCATGGGACAGGCCCTGGCCTGCCTCCAAGTCCAAACGTTGCCTCACATCATGAGGATCAACTGAGATCAGGTTATGATGACCTGACTGACTCTCTCCCTGGTTAGACACACAGTCCTGATTGATTGAAACCGGTGTCGAATTCCACTGTGGATGATTAAGTTCTGGAGGAGCAAGATTGCCATCATCCTCGTTGCAGACGGGCATAGGCTGCGGCTGATAGACATAGTCTTTGAACAATTTGGGGTTTTCCTCAGCGAGGTAGTTATAATCATACACCAATGGTGCTGAGAAGTGAGACTGCGACTCATCAAAGATATCGAATCTCTTATGCTTATCCACGTTCTTATCGTTCATATCGTCATCATCAGCACCAGCGAAGCTGTGCTTTCTTTGTGAGTTCATGAGCTTATCACGCACACTTAGTCTCTCGTGTTTATGGCGACCATACTGGTCCAATGCAAAGGGGAAAACGAGCACCTGTTGATTGTCTTGATCAAGATCACGAAGATCCACAAGGTGCACCCTACCGACATGTTCGGAAATTACAAGTAAATCCTGAATGGCGGTGTGCAAGAACTTGCAGCACCTAAAAGCACCAGATTGATGACCTGGCCTTGTTGATTTCACCTCAAAAAGCGGTTCTTCTGTAGCCTTTCTCAAGTCGTAGAGCAAGCAAGCACCTTCTTGAAATGCTACTGCTAATGTGTTCTCGTTATTATGGTATGAAATACCAAATCCAGAGTCGTATGCTGTTCTGATAACCTCAATTTGAGGCTTGGGAGATTTTGGATCAAGCAAGAAGATCGAGCTTGAGTCACCTGTGGCAGTCAATAACCTACCATCAGGCAGCTGATGAACGTTGTTAAGGGAGGTGTTGTTTTCACACACCAACTTCCGGTCGGCAGTAATCCTGTTGTTCGCAATATCCAAAATGTACATGTTGGAGTCGTTGTTGCACACATAGGATGTGAAATGCGAGTCACCGCCAGGGTAGTCGGGGTATACTGTTACAGCGTTATTGATCATTTCACCCAACTTATAGGTAAGGTCACCATCAGTATACGGTGAATAGAAGGAGAACAACCCCTTGGGCAGTCTGTGTGAGGATCCTGGGATGGACTTTGTCAAGTCAGGAATATCCATGGAGAAGACTTTCGACAGAGAGGTTACCACACCACCAGTGACTATATGACCACCCGGGCTATGATTAAAACATCTGGGGAAGTACGGTAGACTCACATAATCATGGGACTTGAGGGTTTCTTCGTACAAGGGGAAGACCAGCAATGCTCTGATCGAGTCGTCTAGCGTATGGTAGATATTGCCAGTATAAGCATCCACCTGCACCAAGTCTCTGAGCTGCCAGTGGTTGACAGAGGAACGGATATTCGAAATGTAGGTCGGTTTCGGCTGGAGATATTTGAGGGCATTGTAGTAGTTCTGGAAACACTTGTAGTTGGATGAAACAGACCTGCGGCGGTCCTGGCCGATAGACCTCCTTCTGTCGTAAACACTTTCTGATATCGAGATAGTCATGCTGTGTTGTCTGAAGAAGAGTGGTAGGAAGGAAGCAATGCGCCGATTTGGCAAAAGTAGTTTTTGTTACTAACTATGGGGGTAATTCTCGCGTTATATATATGACCTGAGGAGTGGAGGTGAGGGAGGCAGAAAAAGGAAGGTGAGCAGCAGGACAAGAATGCAGGGGAGCCTTGGCTGCAAAGTAAACTGGGGTCCGGAAAAAAGCCAAAAGGCTCATGCATAGGTCGAAAAGCAGAAGTTAAACTTCTGGTGTTGGGATGTCACGTATAAAACGACTCTTTTTTTTCGTTTCCTTTGAGTTTATTCGGTGATATGATAAACCTAGAACTGGCCACTAGCACTGCGGCGTCAGAGTATGGCTGCAGCATATAGTGCGACCACGGAAGCGCTGTCAAATGTCGCAATACTATGGGGGGAAGAGATGTCAGTGAGAGGTGCTTTTGTGGCTTTCCGTGATGGAATAGCCACATTCTAAACAAGTCGTCTACAGCGATGGCACCCTAATATTGAACAAGACGACAGATATCACAACGGTGCCGCTTTCTGACGAAATGTCGCGCGACATTAACTTTAAGCAAATGGGCTTTTCGCTGTGGAGAATCTCGGTAATCGACTCTTCTGTTATAGCCGTCCTGCAGACACCCCAGCTTGTCCATGCCACTGCTGATGAGATTTATCACTATTGAGCTTTGGTCATGCGACTATGACGATAACGCTATAGAATATCCGGGGAAGCTAAAAATCACAATACAAGTCACTCTCTAAGATACTTTATGGTGTTACGTTGTTTTGGGGAAAGGAAGAGGGAAGACACAAAAAGACTAAAAAAAAAAAAAAAAAAAAAAAAGAAAGGAAAAAGAAAACAAGACCCTGTACTTCGTCCTTTACATTTTGCTCCTCTTTCTTTTTCTTTCCTCTTCTTCCACTGTTATGCAGTCTATTACATAGTTATACTTACACCTGACGTCACCAGCTGGGCTGTCAAAAACCTTTCGACTCCGACGAAGCCCGAGTTAATTTCAAGTGAAAAATTGGTAGGAAAGAAAAAAAAAAGCCCCAGGTGTGTAGTGGAACGGAAAATGCTGCATCGCAGAACTCAGTGTGTTGGAAAAAGAAACGACATTCTCGCCTTGACAGGGTCCAATTCATGTACGTAACCAGTCCAATAGTTCTTTCAATGCACAGTAGCTCTCGAGCAATCATAGACAAACCTTCAGTGCAGATGACAGGGCTTTGTCAGTAGTCAAAACAGCACCATTCCTCTATTGTGGTCGGAGCAAAAGTACTTTACACCGTCGAGTAAGAGGATAGAAACAAAGTAGTTCACCATTAACAATGCAAAAGACAGCTTTGGATTTCCTTTAAAACCTCATTTGTCAATCTAAGGCCCTTCTCCTCGGCTTTCTGTCTTATGGGACCCAGTGGCTCCTTGAAAGATCAGTACGCTTCTCATAATCGAAATCAGTTTGTCTTCTTCGATACCTAGTCTCCCTCCGCTTAATCGACGAAGAAAAGAGAAGGACACTTCAGGCAATGAATATGCCGCCAAATTTTGTTCTACGCGTCTCTTGCAATTACCTTTTCCCATTCCCTACTTACAACTTGCCTTCCCAGGCCCTCTTCACCCAACCGCAGTCTCTGATGTCATTACTCTTAGCGTCCACTTTAAAATTCTTTTCGGGGTCGTCATACTTCCCTCCAAAGTCACCAGCAGGCTTGGAGATGCAAATGTAATTACCATTGGGTAAAGGACACCTCATCTGGCTCGAGGGAAATGGACACGGACACTTCTTCGGACTGGCAACACACTCCAACGTATCTGGGCACAAGTATTTGTCGCATTGGCTGTCTAAAACTTTTTGTTCGAACGAAGGCTGTTCACCTTCGCCATGGTGGAACTGGTTTTGGATGAAATCAAAGATGCTAGCGGAGACCAAGTTCGCGAGAACAAACACTAGGAGAGACTTGAAAAGTGGTTGCATTATTGACTTTCTGCTTCTTTTCTCTTGTTGTTCCTTGTCAGAAGCTTTATTTGGCGAAGCTGGTATACGTAATCGACAGGTTGAAGAAATTGGGCATGTAGTACGAACCCATAATGCAGGATTGGGTGCAAAATGGCACTGGTCCAGAAAGTTGGGCTCTACCAATATGCTCCAGATAATATGATGACCTACAATATATGTTTTTTTGTTATTTCCTTGTCTTCTATAGTTGCCAGAAACTATGCTTTCCCTTTTGCTTGTTGATAACTTAGACCTGCCCGTTATGGATCTTCTGCGCCCACTGAGTGGGATCAAAAAGGACCCCATTTTAATTCGAAAGAAAAGATACCTTGCTTATAGCTATTAAATGGAAATGTTTACAGATAACTCTTCTGAAGATGGAGAAAGTGTTGATATTTCTATAGAATCCGACTGCGACGAGTTCGTCTTCACGCAGATTGAACCGGAGGACACATCAAAACCCAAGAGACTGATGATTCAGAGTTATTATGCTGGGGTAAAGATACTGACTACGATGATACTTCCAAAGCTAAGAGGCCAAACACTTGTATTGATGACTCGGATATCAGCCTGATATGTTCCACTTTTCGCTCATACCGCCGCATAAGAAAATATGAGGTGAATCTCCATGACTTCAACTTGGGTAAGGAAGAGTTGAATGTTTCAGGTGAAAGCAATGCTGTAGCTTTCAATGATCCAGAAACCACTGAGTTTAGCAAAGACGATGCCCCGATCGACTTAGGCTCCAACAGTCAATCAAGCCCTTCGGAAAGTAGCCCTCCAATCCTTCGTGATAATACAAAGGGTTGCAAAATGTCAAGAAAGTCACCAAAGGAATTCTTCACGCTAATTGGTGCTTTGATGGAAGATTTGAATGCTGATTCAAAAATACCTCCATCTGAAGTGAAAAGCTTGTACCACATTGGTGCACATTACGTGGGTGCCATCGCTGAGGACGTACTGTCACTCTTGACTCTAGCATTTACCACTTGTAAGCAGTTCACAACAGAGCTAAGACGGCTTGCAGCATTAGCTACCCGAGCAATTCTGCTTCTCAACAATGAGGAGCAATCTGTCGAGGAATATGGACTTCAGGCATTTCATGAGCAAGTGAGACAGAGCTATATGGGCTGTGAAAAACTCTTGAGAGACATCCAGCTCCTCAAAGCTGACGTTGACGTTAAACGAACTTTTTGGCATAACAACACATCTGAAACAATTGACCTTGTGCATGAAGTTTGTCAAGTTGACACTCTGGTAGAACGGATTTACCAGCATTACTTATCAGGAGTTGACGAATTGGATTTTAAGGAGCCATGGTTACAGTTTCCCCAATATCGTTCTTATAATAACGCCATCAAATTTTTACTTTCTGAGGAGCCCCATTGTATGATGGATGGTTTGGAACTTGATATGGCGCAAGTGCTGGTTGATTTGAGGGAGTTGGAAGAAAGCGTTAAAGTTCTAATGGAAGGACATGAAGGAAAGCTTTATTGACAAAGATGATGTGTATGTTTATGAGTAACATAGCGGCCGACACGTGTGACTAAGAGTTGAGGAGCACGGTAATTGAAGTGAATGGCCAAAAGGGGAGGTGAGTCAGCTTGCGCATGTTAAACACAATTTTATTAGCCTTATTCTTACAATTCATTAGACGTTCCGAATAACAGAATCAATTAGGCCACTCAAAATTTTAAAAGTGCAAGGCCGTGACAATCGAATCAAAAAAGCACACTCAAAAGTCCGCTGCACAAATATCCATTTTACAAAATTATCAAAATTCAAGTTTATTGCAATAATTTATCTATTGAGCATGTTCAACGAGTAGCCATGTAGGCAGCTTTAGCTTCGTAAGAGTCTTGAGATCTTTCACTGTACCTTCTTGGCTTGCTGATTGAATCATCTGATTTATCTCTCTTTTTGAACAAGCTATATATTCTGCTCGAGGCCGAGTGTAGGCTAGAGCTGATGGAACGGGTTTCAGTATCGGTTGATGATAGAGACTTTGCAGACATTACAATTGAAGTATAATGAAGAAAAGAAAAAGAAGCACAAGAGACTGGCAGACGACCCTATTTAAGTACCACAGAATTGCCACCATTTCTATGACCAGGAAGTATGACAAATACTTCCAGTAGATCTAAGCAATCTGCAGAAGTCCCGTTTCGAAGCCTCGCATTGTCCTAGCCGTGCTTAATTGAGCGCACGCTAGCTAGATATCTACATAAAGATAGAGAAGGAAAATATCGAGGAATTGTGGATTTAATTGCTTCTGAAACATGGTTTCGACCAATTGAAGTGATGGTTTTGTCCGACAGCTCATTCCCCTATGCTCAAGATTGAAAGATATGGGTCCAAGATTCTACGACCTATGACTATCCTACACGTTGACTGCAGGGCCTCCAATTTGCTACCACGGTGTTTACGAGCCATGAATTAGGATTAAGCAACAAGCCTGGAAGGTTAAGGATACCCTCAATTGCCACTGTCTCAAGCAAGCCCCATATCTGGCCTACACAATGGCAGTAAGTACCCCAACGCATATGGGGTGCGGCAAGTTCCAAGTGAGGCTCTAGGCTTCGTAAGATACCTGTGATACAAAAAAATGACCAAGGAGTGCAATTATTACTCATCGAAGAAAGTAGACAGGGTTAAAACACTCGTGATTTTAGCAGAACTCTTTTGTGGAGAAGAACCTTTTCTTATGAAAGTCTGCACAATGAGTCAAACGCACCACCCAAAATACGAGGTTGTTCGGGCCCGTCCCTCGCCATGCCGCCTACCCCGACACTCTCCCGCTTCCGAATGAATGAATCTGGCCAAAAAGGTCATAAATCGCTTACTGAGAAAACAGGGCTTAACAGTTGTTCTGTCATTTGTTTACCGATGTGTCACTCGGGTGGTTCTGGAAGGGTCCGTAGTGGAAACAACACTTTAGTTGTGTGCCATTTCGATAATTAACTAAAAGATCTATGAAAATAATTATGATAATTAGCAGGAGAGTTCGAATGGAAAGAAAAAAATATGTACCTCCGTAGTCAAAAAGAAAGGGGCGAGCTGGGAATTGAACCCAGGGCCTCTCGCATGTTTGTATGTCAGCTCAGTGAACCAAGCCGTCGCCCAAAGCGAGAATCATACCACTAGACCACACGCCCTCTTTGTTGTAGTGTACACACTCCTAAACATTTATTTCATTTTCATTTGGAGTCCCAAAAGTGCAAAAATTCACATTTTGGAACTTTAATTTCACTTTCTTATGTTATCTGAAGTTTCTTATTTCATTCAGATAGTTTAGGAGCGCTAAAATGAATTATTAGGGCTTGTAAAAGCTCTTAAAAGCATTTTCCTAGACACCCGTTCTCAAAGGAGACGTATAAGAATGACAAGGATGTATGAGTGCTCGATTGGACAACGGGATAGTAATATCTTTAACTATATCGAATTCTTCGGTCAGGTGCCTTTAAAAGTGGATGAAGAGGCGAGAACATAGAGGTTTGTTTTACACAAAACGGCATTGCATTATGATTTTTATTATTAGTTATATCAAACGATTATTAGTTTTTCATCTAGTATTAGGCATTAATAAATAAATTGGAATTAAGCAGTGGCTCTATAAAGCCGCTGTATTCCTCTAATTGCATCCTCGACCTCCATCCTTACCTCTTGAAGAGCACGCAGCTCTGATCTGACACCAAAGCCCCAAATCAACCCATTAAGCACTCCGGAAACAGCAATCAACGTACTTGCGAGTGAAAGAAGCACTGATGAACATGGCTGCTTCTGTGAGGCAAACGTAATACCAATATGTATCATGATGACGAGCAAGATCGATGCAAAAAAGTGGTATTTACGCCAAGTTGCTTGAAATGGAATGGTCTGCTGGAGATATGTCGTGATCTCACTATGGGCATCTTGGTATATTTCAAGGAGTTCCGCTTTGCCGTGTTTATCGTGGAGATTAGTTCTGTCTCTCTCGCTGACCACAAGATCCACGGCGAAAGCGAAATGATCAGATGCTGAGCAGGAGTATGGAGGTGGAAGCACTTCAGTAAACCTTACAGCTGCCAGGACAGGCGTAAGGGTCTGTGAGTCGATTAAGACGTAGTCTAAGCGGCATGCCTCATGAGGTTTCCGGTGAGGATGCCATGTGTTGAATATAGAATTGCAAGTGACGCCAGCCTTGACTATCTGATCATGAGGAGACATACGGGCGATTTCGTCTGGCAGTGGGTTCTTTTCGCCCTGAAGAATCTCCCACGAGTCCGCCAAACCGCCCTCCATCGTGAAGAGCTTGTAAGGCAACAGACCCGGTTTGGAGTTGAGGTCACCTACCTGAATGACGGCATAGTTGGCCATTTTCAAAGTTTTCACCAACTTGGCCATATCCCATGCTTGGCATGCTCTATGTGTGGAATAAGCGGCATCCCCCAGCGAAGAGTATGGAGCATGCATGTGTGAGTTGAGTAAGGCAATAGGCGGGGTTTCCGGAGTGAGTGGCTCTAGTATTGTGACTGCAATAGACTTTCCCATAAACCAGTCACCTCTAAAAAAAGCACTGGGTCTCCCGTTGATGGGGAACCGATAAAGGAACGAATTGTTGATGGGTATCTTCAGAAGGATGGCTAATCCGGGGCCAGCAAGGACTCCAGAACGGAAAACACGACGGTAAGGGTACTGGATCCGACACTGTTCTTCGATGTAAAGCCAGTCTTCCTCTACCCAAACTTCCTGAAGCGCCACCACATCGTAGTCGGTAGAAGCCAATTGGTTTGCTATCCAGCGAAGTCTTGCCTTTCTATGCTTTGCGATGTATTTGAGGCCCCAGGCATTTAGCGTTAGGAGGCGGACCTTATGCTTCTCCATGGTTGAATATATGGAATAAGGACTTTTTGAATAAACAGGGGAAAGAAGATGAGGTACTTAAAAGCCGCCTCGGAACAATGCTGAAGCCTATGTTTATGTTTCCTGTACGCCGGCTGTGACAGTGCACTGTGACAGCCGGTTGCTGCAATGACGATAGTAAAGGTTTGAGATAAGAAAAAGAAATGAAAAGTGTGTTAGAAATCACCGGAATAATGCCGGAACCTTTCTTACAATAATTCTTTGATATTCTTTGTGAGGAACGTTCTATCTGACATGTATGTTTTGTGTCTTAACCCAATTACCTTCTGTGCGCATTACCCAGTTGGGGACATGAGCATGTAACGGGAATTCGTGACTTTATGAGGACAAGAATTTGAGAGCCTTAAAGGCTAAAGTAACATAAGATTCACTTTGAATGACAATTTGAAAGAATGGATAAATGACAAGATAACGTTATTGCCCAAATAAAAATTATTGTCACGGCTTCTCTTGTCTGTAGAGATCATCGTACAGACATCTTATCTATAGGGGAGTCTATTGGAAAGTGCTTGTGTGCCGTACATTTCAACTACTTACATGGAAATCATAACATCAATCAAACGGTGAGCATGAGTTCAACTATGTCAGCTGTTCAAGAGTTTAACCTGCTCCGAAAGGAGATGGAAGACTTCACGCTGCGTTTCCAATCTTTTACATTGCTGCAAAAACTGAATATTCTGACATCTAAACTGCAACATGTCAATAGAATTAAGGAACTTGAGAAACAGGCTAGAGCACTCCTGACGGAAATAACAGCCACCAACGAGAAAACAGAAAAAACGGAAAGTATTGTGGAACAATCTCTTCGTGACTTACAAAACAAGCAGGAGAAAGTGGACGCTCTTTCAATGCAACTGGAGCACAGGAAGGCAGCAAGGGGACAACTCCAGAGAGATGTTGAGGATATGAGAAAGGAAGTTATAGATTTAGAGGAAACATTGAATAGCACGCGCTCTGTTCTTGGCGACCAGGCTGTCAAGGATGCTGAAGAGCTTACGAAGTTTGAACAATATTTGGGCTTGCGAATCGAGGCCGTCGACATTGATTTGCTCAAGTTCAAATTCGTCAATATTGACCCGAACGACGTCGACCGTGAAGTTTGGTGTGAACTAAATGTTGCTGAGCAAGACTACAGAATTGGCCTTACAAATCCTACTTTACCTAAAGACTTAGTGCTCAAAATCCAAAAAGACCTCAATCTGCATGGGGAACTTGTCGTGTTCCTACAACAAATGAGGAAAGCATTGCGTGCTGAAGTTGCCTAATTTAATATCTGGTTGAAACGTATTTAATGTGACGGACTTCCAAGCACTCCCAAGCAACATGTTTTTTTGGGTCTTTCTTTACTTGTGCTTTGGTGCCTTGACGGCGCAGTGCTCCCCTGTTGAGCTTGTTCCTCAAGCTAGAACATTTCAAACTATGCAAGATTTGAAAGAATCAACATTCTGGAAAAATTTTGTCCTAGGCAGAAACCCAGTGATCGCCAACACGACAACTATTTATGTGAACGAATCCCAGTCTGTGTACTTCTTTGAAGAGCAAATTGGACGTTCAAGATGGAGAGATTGGCTTCGAAAGAAACCGCCAATCAAGATGACCGAGGTGCAGTTAGGTTCAGTGTACGAGGACCTTCTGATCGAATATTATCCCCTTGTCACCATATCTGCAGAGAACAGTCGTTTGGATGCAACTGTGGAACGCGAGGTCACTGATGGCTATAGTATTTCATTCTCCCTAGACCTGAGATGGAAGAATGATCTTATAATCACAGGAATGAAAACGGGATTCAGCTCTCTGTATGCTTTCGACTTTGCTTTGACCCAATCTATGATTTGCAAAGCACCTAGAGGAGGAAGAGTACAGATGCAAGTAAGTGCGAAGCTAAGATATTTCCCTGTGGCTAGAACACGCAAGGTCTCTTATGTTGAATACATTGAAGACTTCGAAACAGAGGAATGGGAAAAGTTGTACTCGGTTGTGGAGAATGAAGAATACGAGGGCGCTATGTTTTATTGGCCAAGTACAATTTCTCGCCAGCGCTGCGTTACTGATCAAAGACTCTTCAAGAACAAGCGTCACTCACGTTGGATCCCACGGCTCCCTCGGATTTCAAGTGCTCAGAATGTCAAAGAGTGATTTCGAGGAGCTATCTACGCACCATATAATTCAAAGGACGTAACCTAAGATACGAGAATCGCACTCGGCAAGTTGCCAATTTCCTCGAAACATGAAGGGTATTCTATACCTATTAATTTACGAATACAATTCTGTAAAATTCCCTCTTGTAGCAAATCTATAGTTAGATTCAATCAAATGTGGATGACTCTCTCAAGCCCTTTAGCCCTTAAGCCCTCATGAGCATTATAGCTTTTCTCGGTGTGAAAATGTATCGGAGATAACGTCTTTACCCCCGGTGTTGTAAACCGAATTTTTGAGTTAAAACTCCTCAACCATGCACCATTTCAACCTCAGTAACCGTCAAGTTATGAAAACCCTTCTTAATAATTGGTTTTACTTTAATCTCGTACCCCAGATTCTGTAATTTTGTTAACAGTTTTATTTCTCATCCCAACGGGGTGCCTTTGCAGCCTCCGAACCGCGGGGCCAAAAACCATACTTAAGCGCATGTCACATGTACTACCAAACACTTTATAACAGAGTCTAAATCCTACCAAAAGAACGGTCCCCTTGTTGTTTTATCCCGTAATATTAACGTTATGAGTGACCATTCCAAGCGTATCACCTCGCATATGAACAAAGACCATCAATTGGCCTTGGTGGACTATGTGGTGGTTTATGGTAAAATTCCAGTTCACCAGCTCGAGCCATCAAGTGTCCAGATGACAGCTGTGGATGAGAAATCCCTTACTCTTTCTTACAAGAGAAATGCTGCCTCTGAGGAGATTGTGCTTGTATGGAATGAACTTGCAGATGACGACAAGATTGAGGTCAATGGCTTTATGGATATAAAGGCGAAGTTGATCTCCATGGCCAAGTACGCAGCACGGGTTCAGGGTTATTCCCATAAGCAGTTGAAGAAGGTTGTTTTACCTAATAGACCACCTCAGGTATTCATGTACCTTGTTGCTATCGTTCTCGCTTTGGGTTCAATTGACAAGTTTTGGGTCAGAAACATCATTAACAATGATGCTTTCTTGTCTCTGTTGACCTCCCGTGCTCCGGCCTTTTTGAAATCGGCCGGCTCTTTCCTTGAGGACCACGTAAGAACTATCGCAATTGCCATGTATGCTATTCATCTCGTTGAGATTGCCATTGTCTCGTTGCCCAAGTTGAAGGCCTACAGAGCTTCGGGTCCAAGGAAATTAGCATGGACTACGATGCACTTTTTAGAGGGTTTTCTTATCTTTAAGAGGCTCAATAAGGCTTTAGAAGATGCCCATTAAGTAAGATGAACATGACATATGGACTGCAGCTCGTAGATTGGCCACCTCCTACCAAGGTTAGTGAAGCTACAAGGTTCTAATATATATCATAAATTACCAACATCTAAAGACTCAACTGTGTGAATCGAGGAGTTAACTCTTCGAACTAGCCGAGAGAGGGCGGAGCTTGGATAAACCTGCAAGGACTTCGTCGGTGGAGGGCATGAATTCACCCTTCTTAAATGCCTTGCGGAAGTTAATGTACTTCTCTGTCTTCCAGAAAGGTGTCTTCACTCTCTTAGGAGGCACTGGAGCGGATGGCTGAGCGGCAGCGGGAGACTTTTGACCAGGCTTAAGGAGAACCGTGGTAGAGTCTTCCGGGGTACCGGCAGCGAACAAGGGCTCAGATGGAAGGGGAGGGGCCAAAGATGCGTCGCCAACTTTGAAAGACTTGGGCAGCGACTTCGCCAGCGACAAGCTCTTCAACGTGCACTTTGAAGAACTCATACCGGGAGCGATCGTACCAGTCTTGGGGGTCTTTGACATTTGGGCGGCAGACTTCTGCTTGGGCACAGACAAGAGTCCGAGAACAGGTCTCTCTTTACCGAGCATGTTGCGTACTTCGGCGCCGACGCCGATGTTCCATGGGTTCTCTTCTATCTCTCTGTGATTGAGGCAACCATTTACCAACATCAAGGGAGCATGTGGAATGGGTGCAGACTTGTTGAGACAGTGAGAGGATTCCGAAGGGACATCAGGGGTAGTTCCGGTTGTCGACAGGCTCTTTTGAGGGCCAAAGATACTTGTGTTCTGGGAGGACTTCGAGGAGATCTGGGGAGAGACCTTCTCGGGCTTGGCAGCCTTGTCAATGTTAGTAGTACCCGTAGGCTTGGTCTTACCACCGACAGTCAGAGACCGCTTAAGGGCAGCGGCAACCTTCCTGTTGGCTTTAGCAAGGTGAACTTGGTGCTCCAAGTTCTCTAACTTCCTTCTCTGAGCAGCCAGCTTGGCATCGATGTCTCTCTGAATGGCTGCCTGTTCCAGGTCATATTCCTCCTGGGCCTTTTGATGAGCAGCTTCCTGACGACGAGACCTCAAGTGAGCCAATTGCTGCTGTTTCTCCAATAAGACGAGCGTGCGTCTCTCTACCTTTATCTTTCTCTTAGCCTCTCTTTCGGCTTCTCTGTGGGTTCTATCCTCGCGCCATTGCTCCCTGAAGAGCTTAGCACGACAACGCCAACGGGAAGAGAGGCGATTCAATGCAAGGGAAATGCGTTGGCCCTTGCCAAGTTTGGGCTTGTCAGCACAGTCATCCAGCTCACCGGGGGCAGAGGCAGGCAGGACGAAAGTGTGCACCAGGGCAGTACGGGGTCTGAAAGCGGGAACGCCAGAACCAGCTGGCACCGACCCAGAAACGTATTCGGCGGACAAGTCGGCGAAGTACGACGAAAAGAACTCCCTGGGGGAAGCGGCAAAGTCGCTGTCAGCTTTCAAACTTTTCGAGCTGGGGGCGACGCCATTCAAAAACTCTGTAAAGGCAACTTCCTTCACGAGTTCAGCAAGAGCAGGACTCCGCTTGACCTGTTGGGCAAAGCGAAGGGCCTGGAAAAGAGTCTGATGCTCTGCATCAGGGATATTCTTGTGAATATCAGGGATGTCGGCAGCCCATTGTGGAACAGGGCGACAACCGACCAGTGCGTAGACTTCCAGTGAACGAAGGTCTGGATGGGCAACAACGTTGCCAGTAGAAAGAGCATTATGGAGCTCTTCTAACGAGGCAGCCCCCGATTCCTCGGAGGAAGGCTTCCACTGGAGGGAGCCGTCGCTCATTCTCTTCAATTTGAACGACTTGAGGTTAAACGTAGCGTTGAGGTTGCCTTGTTTAAACTCGAAAGCCTTCGTGGTGTTGTCGATAGGCTTCAAGACAAAGGATTGAGGCTTAAACGATGCCCCACTGTTTCCATTGACAAATTGCAACGCTTTGAAAGTGGCGCCCTGGGGGGAACCACATGACTGGGATGATTCAGCGTTGATCGGTACGCTCAAACCGAAGGCTTTGGCGGCAGAACCACCGCTCGTGATGTCGATGACCTTCATTTGCATGGAGACCAGAGGATTGGTCTTCTCGAGGCTCGAGGGGATGATTTTAATGCAATTGAACCCCATGATTTAAGTGACAGGGGTTTGGCTAAAGATGCGCTTGTGGTCGTGTTGAAAGGTATTGGACAATTACTCTGTTGTCTGGCAATGAAATTCGTGATACTTTAACGGCTAGAACCTATATCAAGAACTCCAGAATGATTTCAACGGGTTGGTGAAGAAGAAAAGAGGGAGAAAGAAAAAATGAGACCAAAATCACAAACACATTCTTTTATAGGGGCCTGATATTTTGCAACCGTTCCTGTATATAATGATGTTATATAAGCTTCTTTACGTCTCATGGAAGAAGTCCGAATCCCCGAATAGAAAAATGCGAGCCATCCTTCGTCCAACCATCTACTGCTGATAAAAGCTTGAAGAAGTATGATGTGAAAGGGCAAGTAAATGTATGAACCGATTTGGATTTTTTATAGGCAAGCCTTTGATATTTGGTAGAATGGCCTGAATTGCGAAGATTGTCGTTAACTGAAGAGTTGGACTTCTTTTGCCAAGTATCGCTAGATAGGTTGCACCAATTACAGTTAAGGTTATAAGATGTCCATAGATTCATGAGTGTAAAATAGTCTGTGCAATGCACTCTGAAGGGTGTAATTGACCTGGTTGGCAGTTTCTCTATTGAGAACAAGAAGTTCTATCAAAATACCGTTTCCTTCATTAGGTCTTCACGAGCCTTCGGGGCTACACATATCGCATTCAATGGAGCTTTATTATCGTTGCAAGGTGACTTTGGCAAAGGTGAGAATCTCTGTTTTATAGAAGACTCTCCCTCTATCTTTTTGGTTATGATTAGGCAGTCTCCAGTCGAAGACGACCTCTTGGATGTGCTCTTGAATGCTGCTCACATATTCTTCTGTGAGATAAACCCGAAAGACAGTAATGCGCTCGATTCTTCTCTTGTGTAGTGCATCCAACCACTTAGCTGTGGACCCTTCACTATTAAATTTAGGCGTCATAAGGACTGGTTATCGGAGGCTCGCTGGCCAAGTCTGCCAGAGAACGACCAGACTATGGCTGAACGTTTAATGCGGCATCAGCCAAAGCTTGAAGACACACAAACTGGCGCATCGGATACCATGGCAGTATCTGATACCACCAAATAGAATAACTGAGCTATTCTTGCGATTGTTCTCATTCTAGAGGGGAAGAAATCCCCAGAGTGTGCGAATGCCAGTTTCAGTTGAGCACGAGGTTATACGTCAGAGAAACGTACTATATTGGTTGAAATCTATTCATCACCTTAGCATTTATCTTTGGCATAAGAAAGCAAGTCACGAGAGAACGACCTAGGGCCTGCTGGCTCTACATCATTATCCAGTAGTCTGCACAATGGCTGCAAATTGGAAGATATGGAAACCTGATTCGAATCTCACATACTACATCCCTAATTCACTTTCCCATAGAAAGGTTCACAATCCGGTAATTCACTGGAAGCAACACCTCTTTTGGAATTTTGAGACCCACTTATCGGCAGCATTGACAAAATTGAATCATTGAACCCTGGTTGGTGCCCGCGTTTGATGTATAACCTAAAGAAGTTTCGCCAAACTGACAGCTGATTTCGATGATAAGAGCGTTTATTTGGGCTAGTACGAAGGCATCCTATAAGCTTGCCCAAAAGGCAGCCCTGAAGAAGATCTCACACACTTGTGAAACCATTGCTTCAATGTATGAGAAGAGTGTGAACAGAAATAGGTACACTCCTTTCACTTCTACGTTACCTTACCAATGTGATAATGACAAAACATACTCGTTCCAGAAGCCATTCTGTTTCATGAAAGGGGAGCAGTTCTCTATATTGAACGCCCTTAAAGGCGCTCGCAACAATGAAATAAAGGCTCCGAGAAATCATCCGACCGAATTGGAATGGGAAATGAAACATAACATCAAATGCAAAAAAATGCACAGCCGCAACTCGAAGAAATGGAGAAGAGCAGCAGAAAAAAGTAAGAAAAAGAACAAGAGGAGGAAGAAGAGGAAACATAACCTTCCTCAACAGCCTATCGATAATCCTGAGATGCTCCCAGCTATTCCATCATTGTTGTTAAGGGAGGATACGCAATCTTCGATACTAAATCAATATTTATCAAAGCTTCCAAAAGCAAACTTCTTATCAGGTAGACCTATCAATTATTATCCACCACCGCGGGCGGTTGATACGACCTTTGGCTCACTCAGAGCTAAATTGCATGACTTCAATGGGCCAAATCCCTATGATGCAAATGGCACACGACATTATACTGACCGTTTAAAAGTTGAAAGCCTAAAATATCTACGGCAGGTCAACTTGTCTGATGAACTTTTTGGCAAAAATGACGAACGCGGCTTGGTCACTGAGAGAATGAAAGCACATTGCTACCTGGAGGAAGAATTGAATTTATTGGGAAAGAGTAATCGGGCGTTTGCTTCAAGACCAAAACTAGTATTGCAAGCATCAGATTTCTTTATTGATAAAGAAACATCGAGATGGTTGGCCCTTCAAAGGCAGTCATGTAAAGAATGGGAAATGAACATTCTTCGAGAGATACATGCTCGTGCAGAAGCTAAAGCTAGACTGCAATGGAGAATGCCTATCAAACCTCACGAGGTTGAATGGATTAACTCCATTCCTGCAAATGAGATACCCCGTTGGTATCACTATCTTCTTGATCATTTGCAGCCTGTACCTTTCAGACACCGCCTTTTAAATGGGCTTTTGCAGTTCCCAGAAAAATGTACCATGTGGAACTGGTACTGCCGTTCTAAGATAATTGTATTCGTTGAGCTCGCTAAATCCAAAGGGAGGGGCACCTGGGTTGGGGAAACCAAATTGGGAAAGGTCATATTTAAAAGAAAGTATCGACTCTGCCCTAGAGAGGAACAAACAATCTATGATGAAATTGACTGGTACAGTCTTCCCGATACTGATGGGGCGGCTGATATCAGGTATTTCAAGCGGTTTGATGAATTTCCAAATGAGACGGGAAAACTGCTTCATGTGTTCCCAAAACCAAAGAAAAGAGTGACCAAGATGGTCAGCATTTTAAAAGGAGGCAAATTGTCTCTGAAAAATAGTAAGGGTTCTTGTCGAGACTTTGAGGTACTGAAAAAGTCCCATATTTCAGATTTTGCTCTGCCTGCTGTCAAATTTAATCCTAAAATTCTTCTTGGAAGATTCACACGCTGCATCCCAATAACGGAGGACAAACTCCTAATGGCTAGCAGGCAAGGAATTGGCTTCGGTCGTATTAATGTTGAATATGTTACTGATGAGGAGCTTACTTCTAATGATAATCATTCAGGAGAAGAAATTGGATTGACTGAAAACCCCAAGGAAATCCAGTCCTGTAACAAAGCGATGCATCCTGAGATTCGGCAGGAAGATCCATTTTACTATTTGGCCGACATGCAAAGTCTTCATGTCAACTGTACTCCTGAATTAATGCATGGAAGTGAAGTCCCCCTAAAGAGGCTTTCTAAAAGCCTTATTAGTAACATTGGTGAGACTTTGCAACAACGTCCAATATCTGATCACAAGCCTTTCACTGACAGCATGCAGCAGGATAATGTGTTTTTCCCAGATTCGAAGTTTGTAAGTGAAACCCCTTTCAGACGAAAACCTTTAGAGGTGTGCTCTGTACGGAAGACTTCCTCCTCTCGAAGCATGAAAGATTACAAAATCGTAAGTTTCGAAGACACTGCACCCATCTACAAACACATTGCACCATCTCTTGCTCTAAGGACCATCGAAGAAAGTAATGGATGGGAGAACTATGCTGTTCACTTCTGTCAAAGCGTTTCGAGGCCAGAGCTACATCACGCTTTCGAAGGGGATTCCTGGCCACAAACTCGACACATGGCTGTAGGTTTTGCTTTAAGTTCCCATGTTTCAAACAAAACTTTCAAAGAGTTTTCGAACATCGAATCTAAAGATTCAGATGGTGCTTTTACTTGGCAGTTGGTTCCGTCTTATGGTACTCGGAAAGCCTTTCTAGTGGAAGGAAATCTGGCTGTAAGTACTGAACGAAAAAAAGATGCAACACTAAGCACATTCCATCATGCCAAAGGAATGAATAAAAATGGGATTATCAATTCCCAAAGTCGGGTGATTCATTTTATGGAATGTTGTCCAGATAACTCAAACCATCGTTCAATGGATTTGCTCCCTCAATCGACAAAGTCGACTGACTTATTGCCCTACGATTTGAGAAACCGTCCAAGAAAGGGATCGATTACCATTTCAAAAAAGCTTGCAGTAAAACTCCTAACTGCCACACACAAGAAGACTGGTCGTTTTCCAAGTACCGCTCATCTTAGTTTTTCGTTATGTTATTCTTCAGAGCATCTAAGCACACCTAGAGTGATGAAATCTACACTTGGCAAAACACTATCGAACACAAATCATGCAGATCATCCCATGATTGGGCATATATTTCCCAGTTATTCAGACGTCTCTAGTATCTTGCGAAAATATTATAGGAGACGGCCCAATGAAATTGAGATGCAAAAATACTTTGAATTGTATACTGTCATCAGTCTATCGGGAAAGAAAGGCTTTACCAAGCTCATGAGGTACTACGACTTGGCACTTTTGGGGAGACTCCAGGTTGTCAAGGAAATCTGTTCATTTAATGATTATCTTGCTGGCAATCGCTTAGGACGTCGGTTTCACGAGCTGCAATCAGAAAAGATTTTGGCATGGTTTCCTTTACTTAAACGGAAGAAAGACTCCTTCAAAGGGCTTTTCTCCAAGAACAAATTAAAGAATACGAAAGATAGAGGCGTGTTTAATAAAGGCACAAAAATTGAGACTCTTCCACATGAGTACTGTTATGAGCTTCAAAAGATGCAAAACTTAAAAAACTCTCCCCTTCCCATACACTTCATGGGCTCCAGAGATGAACACGTTAGCTTGTTTGGAAGGGCTTGGAAAAGGTATACCCCGGAAGAAGTGAGAGCTCTTCTGTTGTATTTCGGTTATGCGTCATATCCTAGAGTCCCGAAAGCAATCTATCAGCACTTAAAGTGGAGCAAAGTTAAGATCGAGGTTCCATTACTTAATCTGCAAAAACGCAACAGTGCAATTTCGTGGAATTTTCAACATCCTGGAACAGATACCCACTCGATGAGAAACGTCTATTGTCAAAAACCTGAAGAGATAACTAATACTGCCAACTTTGGTACACCGAAATCTACTAAGAATCTAAAATCGTACACCCTGAACAGAAGTCGAGGTAGTGCAACATATGATTGCCATGCCGATTATGAAAGATTCTCTTTGACATCTAGTAATTCAGATGTTTCTCCAGTGGCTAGTTCTGCAACTCTTGATGGGAGGCGAGGATTTGAGCGAGAGTCAGCTTCTTCAAGCTGTTCTACATCAAATCCTATGAGCAATGAGAGCAAGACGAAGGAAGCAGTGCAAAGAGGTCATATGTCCGTTAGAGACACGGAAAGGGAAAAGAGTTTGGTAAAGGACGTCTCTAAGCTTCTGAGCTGGATGTTCACTTCTGATTCTATCCCGTTGGAGGTTTTGGATGATGTAATTGGGTATATCGCTGAGCGCTGTGCTGACGTCTCAGTTCCCCCTACTTCCTAATTTTAAGCAATCTGCCTTATATATGTATGCATCTCAGCAGCATATTAAGCCCCGAGCTGTCTGATCTAAGTCGAATTTCTTCGAGCAACCGTTTCTTTACTTTATTTTTCATATGTCCGTCCTTCTCCTCATTGTCTATTTTTATGAAGACGATTCGCAGCCACCTTCATCCGCTTCCCTAAGGATACCTCCTTTTTGTAAGATATGTACTCTTGGGGGAAGAATTCTCCCACCGTTGATTGTGACCCCTCAGCACGCTTTCTGTTCATGTCCCTGATGAGAGGAAGCATTACCTCGTCGACCCTGGACTGAGTCCATCCGACATTAAACATAAGGAATGACCTTATTTGGTCTAAGTTAGGTACGCCCCATTTAAACTCACTCTCATCCTTATCTACTTCTGGGTGAGTATAAGCCTGGAACACGACATGATCAGGGAAGCTTTCTGGTAAAAAAAGCTTACCATTTTTTATTCTTGTCAAGAGATTCTTCTCTAACTTGGAAGGCAGGGAGTCCTTTGTTGATAGGTCCCTTGCGTGTTTGTCAAACCAATGCTTGAAGTTTTTCAAGTTCCCAAATTCCGCCAAGATCTCCATAGCTAGCACCGGCCCTATTCCTTTTATCCCCTCTGTGTAGTCACTCCCCAATAGTAGGGCCAATTCTATGAGCCTTTCTCTGTTCAAGCCAATCTTGTGGTCAACATCTTCACTAAAGTAGCATTCCACGTATTGTTTTTGGTTAAACATGTTCTTATAGATACGGCTTCCTCCGAATAGAAAGCAATCACTGTCATCCGTTATGATACCATCTACCATGCCAAGCCGGAAGAGTTCAGCGCACTGTGCCTCCGCTTCCATTGGAGCAGTTATAAACGGAATGCCGAACCTTTTCAAAAGCTCTTGTACATCCTGAATCATTGTTTGGGATACCTCGTCTGAATCACGCTTGGCCTTCTGAACACGTTCTTGATATAACTGCTCGTCTGATATCCGTGAACTTGTCGAGATTGGAATCTCATGTTTCTTCTTCATTTCTGTTGCAAACTCTTCGTGTTGATGGTTCTCCTCCCGGAGCTGCTTGATCAAGTCTTCTTCTTCGTCTGCCTCTATCTCGTAATCAAATGTGGCTACCTTTTGGCGGCTCGAGGAATCAACTCCAGAAGTTGTTGCACTATCCAGCCCCATTATCTTATCATCCTCCATATTATCAACGGCCTTTTCATTCCTTGCATCCGTAAGAGCAGAACTACTGGCGTCGACGTCGGCATTCTCGTGGTAAGACTTGGACAGGAAACCTGATTTGAGTTCAGTATCTTCAATTTCTATGATATCATCTTCAGCACTTTTATCGCGATCATCAGGGACATCCTCAACATCGTCATTATGATCATCCACAGTAACAGATTTCCCAGATTCCAGCCCGTCAGTGACGTTGATGTTTACTGCGTTGCTTGATGCAGATCTGAAATCTCCACCTTCGATCATCTCCTTTGCTTCAGACCATGATATTAAGCCAGCTTCTTCATCATCATTAAGCAGCCGCGTTGTCTCATCAGTTCTCTTAAGAAAAGTATCACCAGAGTGTGGTTTGTTGATCTGAGACACGCTATCATCAAACCAAGATGGCACAGATCGTTGAGGTCGATGAGAAGCCTCAGGGACTTCATCGTGCTGCTTCGGATCATTTCGTGCGCCATCATCAAACTGTGAGGTATCATTTTCGTCACTTCGCTGTGTTTCGTCAAAAAGAAGAGAGCGCTTGAAATCGAACTGATCATCTTCAACTTCGTGGGGAGCAGCATTATTTCGAAGTTTTAAAGCTTCTTGTTCTTCTTTTTGCAGTTCAAAATAGAGCTTCTTTGAACCTTCCACCGCTTTTTTGAGTTTTGCCTCATTATGATTATCTCCATCGACGTTTCCGCGGTAATCATCCTGATACATGTCATAAATTGACTCAATCATCGCCTTATTTGCTTCCATATCATCATTCTTTGGCTCAACATCTTCCAACTCGTCATCGCTGTTGCTCGAATCATCTATAGCATTGGATAGCATGACGTCCTCCTTTCCTTCGCGTGTTTTCTCCGAGTGATGTTTCCCCGACGACATCAAGGATCTGACCACGTCTCCATTTTCATCGAGCTCCACTAAATCACCTTCTCCGCCCTCTAGAGATAATGTCCACCCATCGTCATTTTTCATCAACGTGTAATGTCTATCTCGATCACCCGCTATCCGTCGCGTAATATTGCCACTATCTTCGGACATTCCACTTACTGTCATGAGTTTCTGAGTGTAGTAGTTTCGCTTCTTGACTTGCTCTATTTGAAATCGTGAGAAGTCTTTACTATTGGGAAATAATCCTTCCAATTGATCTTTGCTGTATCCCAACCTCAATCTCGACCGTAGGCGTAGATGCGACAACATCATGTACTGCGTTGCCAACGGAAGATCACCAAATTCTTTGGAGGATGGATCAACCGTATCAATGTTTATTCCATCGATGGTGTCAAAATCAGCATCATCGGCATATTCTTGAAATTCTGTAGCTGGCATGATACGGCTATCGTTCTTCGAAATTTTGAACTGATGGATATCAGGTAAATGATACTCGTCTTTCTTGACAAACTTTCTTGGTGAGCTTTCGGTAGACTTTACCAATTGTGGGCTAATATTATGAGGCTCGCCATGTTCAGGATGGAGTATTGGCATATCTTCAAGATAAATCATGTTCTCGGACTTGTCCACAGCTCGAGATGCCGTCTGCTTGGGCGTTTGAGAGGCTTTTTCGCCCCTTTTACCTTTCTGGAGTTGAATAGCAAGAAGCTTTTGCGCAGTTAAGGCAGCATCTACTTGATTCTCCTGTCTGCGATCCTTTCTCTGTTGTATAACCTTTCGCTTTAAAGCTGGTGCACCACCATCAAAAACGAAAAGTGGCAAAATACCGTAGTAAAGTAACTTGCATATTCTTCTGAAGAAGCCAACAATATGTGACTGATGTAGTGTGTTGCCCTCCTTATCCCTCACAGCCTTAAGAAACTGATAGATCCAAATAGAAGCATCTACTGCTAACTTTTTCCTTGTGAGTGCCTCTAGTTTCACTGGCCGTGCGGCTGGACCGACAATTTCCCATAGGGAAGTGACTCCCATGCTTTCCTTGCACCAAAAGAAGGGACGATGAAATCAGAATCGAGTTGCTTATCAATGAATGCCTCTTAAACCCTGCAGGACAGAAATTTTGAACGGTTATGTAAGTGATTACGTAATGAAGATTGCAAACCGAAAAATTATACAGACAGATTACGAACTTCGCAGCCATACTTCTTGAGTTCTCCATCGGCGTGAAACATCCTGACAAACCGTACTCTTATGTTTAAAGCAAACCCAAAAGGCACATTCTACACCATGTCTCGGCCAAAGCTGTACAGTCCTTGGGACTACCAGGAGAAGAGCATGGATCTAGATCTAGGCTTTTCCTGGGGCTTGCATCCAATTGAAGTTGGAAGTCCCATGAAGAAACAGAAGTTAGGTGAAAGCATTACAAACCATGAACAATCGGTAGGAAGCTTTGATTACGTTCGCCTTCGACTGGCGCCCAACATGGCACATAACGAGAAGGTTTGCAACTGGTTTGACGAGTTGCCATGGTACTTTCATCCTGATGGTTCCATCTTTCATACTTTTTACTCAGCCACGGCCAGTGCTTCTACATCCTCAAGTATAGGATGTTGTTTCGATGACACTGATTTCGTCATTGAGTATCAATTGAAGAAGATTACGAAAATGGTCCGGCTCAATTATTTAAACGAACCTGAACAAGTCGCTAAACTAGAAGACGTCTCCGATAATAGCTCTCCGATGGAAACTCGAGCTGAGTCTTTTATATCCTCTGAGTAATGCATACATTGATTCTAAATGGCAAAACCTAGAGGAAGCGTGATGTTATATCCATACATCGAGTTCTTTAACGTTGTAGGAGGTCAAACTATCCTGTAAGCGATCAACACGAGGATAGCACGGTACTAATGCATCACAACTCTGGATATAAGCAGTATTGTAGATCTTCCAAAACGGTGATCGAACTTTCCGGGCAGCGTGGAAAAGACCAGTCCAAATGTAATTGAGGAAAATTCCAGGACCAAGTATTAGCCTAAGTGCATCGACACATTCCAAAATCCTAATAATAACATGTGGAGAAAGCTCGTAAACGTTCGGCAAAAGAAGATTCAAGAAATGAATGAAAGTGCCGATAAATTCGTCATGAACATGGCCGGCACAGTTAAGCGCCAAATGTCGAACAACAGTCGCCGCAGTCTGTCTGTGGACTTGGTCTCTATCTGTCAATGCATTTTCAAGTAAAGGGGTTATGGCGTGAAGGTAGTCTTTGCTCAGAGAGCCATTGATGTACTCAAACATAAAGCTAAGGGATTTCAAAACGCCATTCTGAACATTCTTGTCCGGAACCCTGTATTCGTTCATCAAGGCTGGGAGTACAGTGAAGGGAACACATGTATCTGCCACTATACCAATAGCTACCGCTGTACAGACTCGGAGCTGACGTTCTTGAACTCTAAGATTGTTAAGTAAAGTTGCCAATACATCTTGAGGCCCTATTGCACTAGCTATAAAGCCAAAAGTAGCATTGGATGCCACCCGAATCCTTTTTCGCTGACTCTTCAACATGTCTAGAAGATCAAAGCATACTCTCATCCATTCTTTGGCATTTATAGAGTCAGCACTTTTACGAGCGATAAGGCCAACTAATTTAACACAGTTCTCTTGGACCTTCTCGTGGCGGTTCTTTAATATCGGAGTTAAGCTAGGTAAAAGCATATTCATCGAGGGATTATCGATCAGTGACAAACCTTCAGTATCAAAGGTATTCAAACATGCATAAAGGGCACCGATTAAGGAGCCTAAAACCTCGGGATATACTTCACCTAGCGACTCATATAGAAAAAGAATAAGCTTTAACATGGTTCTGTTATCATTTCCAGCACATTTGCTCAATACCGGGGCTATTGCTGCAACTAGGTCCGCAGATTGAAGGCGAGTTTCGGGCTCCTTATTTTTCATTCTGAAAAGCACAGTACTCAATATTATGGTCATATGAGACCGAATCCTATTATTGAGCACTTTACATACCACAGAAACAGCAGCTAAGTAGGATGGATGCGGTTGCGTTTGCTCCTGAAATGCATACAAGACTGAATCAACCAAGCTATCGGTCGAGCGTTCTTGAAGCTCTATGAATTCATCTGGGCTATTTGAAGCAATTTTGTGGATTGCATCAACTGCCATTCTTCTTAGATTCTCGTTGGCGTTTTTAGCCAAAGGACTGAGTGTCTCGATAACTTCTATAACACTGATTTTTTTGGACAACATGTTAGTAGCGTCAACAACGAGACGGCAAAGCTGGTTCGAGTCCAGAGCCACTTTTCTAGTCCAAAAGTTTTGAAAAAAAGGAATCAATATTTGCTCTCTGAAATTTGGAAAAACTTCTTTCGATATTGGCAAGCTTAAGAGAGAGCGTAAAATAGCTTTCTTCATATCCTCGTCGGGAGATCTAAACTCTCTCGTCATGACTAGCATGAGCTCACGCATGTAGTAGTTGGAATATTCTTCGAAAGAGCTATTGTAGGCCATTAAAGGGACCAAAGATCCCATTGCCTTCAAGAATGCAGCCAAACCTCTACCCCTGTGATGCTTTAAACCGCTCCAAATTGGCTCCAAAATCGGCTCAAATGTTTCAATACCGTATGGGCGTACATTTTCAGCAAGTAAGGACACTGTATTCGCAGTTGCAATTCTTACGGGTAGAAGCTCATCTTCAAGCCCCGGTTGTAGAACCTCGACAATCTGCGGAAGATGAGGTAATAATGTGGCCCCATTGCCACCTCCGAGATTGACACAAATATGATGAATGATTCTGATACCTGTATGACGAGCTTGGGAAGATTTCTTCGACCTGATCACAGCTTTCACGAAAGGAAGGACCTTTGTAAGGCCTAGTGTAGTGGCTGCAACTGCAAACACCCTGGCAGTTAGGTTTCTAATATACTCCTCAGAATTGTCTAAATCAGGTCGAAGCGATGTGACCAAATTAGCCAAGCCTGCAGATCTGGAGATCGTAGAAATAGTTTCCTTTGCCTCTAAACGAAGTGTCATGTCTTCATCAATTAATAGAGGGCTGACAGCAGCGACAATTTTCAGTGTGAAGGGCCTGATTTGTTCACCCAAATTATACACTGCCCGATTTGTAATTTTTGTCAAAATATGTCTTTCGCTTTCATCAAGATCGGGTTCGAGCATTAGCGGTAGTATCACGCCAAAAAACGCTTTGGGCCCAAGCTCATTTACGTGAGCAGATATCCATCTGTTAGCTTTTTTCCTGGTTTTCTGTGGGCCCTTTTTCGCTTTGAAAATTACGTCCATGGCTTTGAAACGCTGCTTTTCATGTAGGTATTGTAGTTCATCTTCCCTTGTTTGCACTAGCATATAAAAATGCTTTATGTCTATCTGATTCATGGAAATACCTTCATATTCAGGGGCTGCATCCCTAGCAAGTTCTAAGTCAATAGTTGGGTGGTGCTCTGGTGGAAGATATAGTGAAACGCTTGCAGGTGGAGCCCCTGGGTGCTCTGGCGGGCCCACCTTAACGTATCCTTTTGGAAGAATTGTATCTAAAAAAGCATCTGTGAGCTCGAAGGATGATGCGTTCAGTTGATTATTCCGGGCACGCAACTGGGTAATATGAGATTGAGAACCCTCTTCGGGCAAACACTGTCTCTTGGCTGTGTGGACATTGGCAAAATCCTGCTCCTGCTCTATAAGCTTGTTAACCCTTACTTCCTCATTTAATATTTTAGTGGAATCCATTCTAGCCTTGTAACTCTGTATATTGTCGACATTAATCAGTCTCTTGTAAGATTGTTTTCTGTATTCATCTTTAGAAAGACTGTGAGCTTTGCTGTTGTCATTTTCCTCTTCCATCAATTGGGATAAAAGATTATTACTCGATCTTTTTGTTGACATGACATTCAACGGTTTATGGTTGGGTTTTGGGTCGTCTTCAAAATTATTGATAAGAGCACTGGTCCGCCTGATATAACGCTTGAAGCAGGTATTGCTTGACAAGTGGCTCTTACTGGAGGTATAGACAAGAAAAAGGCAGTGCTTGCCTGAGGGTTTCCTTCTATTGCTTTTTTCTGGCAGGAGATTCAATGATACAAAATCTGGTAGTGTCTCGAAATATGGAGTGTTCCTCCATACAAATCCCATCTCTCATCTCAGCGTTACCTCATCCTACGAAGTATAATCTCGTTTTCGAGGTATCTTGACCATAAACATGTCTTCCCAGAACTCTATCGTGTTGCTAAAACGGTACTTGGCTCTCAAAGAAGCTTCTCCATTTGCTTTGATAGTTGACTCCCTTGCACAATCTGCCCATTTTTTAATCCAAGAGTTTATACACAAGTCTGAAGCTCCAGTCATACTACTCTCATTCGAAACTGCCACTAAACCACCATGGGCTTCACATTTTATTGATTGCTCACAAGCTACATTGTCTGTGATTGCTGATTTTGTCTCAACGAAGTCGTCAAGGTCTAAGAAAGTACTTGTCATTGTCGACTCCCTCAACTATTTACATGCTGACAAGTTAACTGACTTCGTCTCTGGCATCATGCTGGCATCTAACCTTGTTCTAGCAGTTTACCATTCGGACTGCCCACAGTCACAAGCTCAAAATTATCCTTCGCCATCATCGTTGCTTAGCTACATCGCGCTGGCTACCTTTCAGGTTGAGCCGGTGGCTATAAGAGACGAAGAAGAGTTTGATAAGTCTCTTACTCGTCTTAATTTACCTATAAACTCCGGGCTCAATCTGTCTGTCTTTAAGTTAAACTTCTCGAGCAAAAGAAAATCTGGAAAATCGATTCTGTATCAGTTTATTGTCAATCTGGACACTCATGTGTACGAGGTTTGCAAGCAAGAAGTCCAACTGCAGATTTCCGATGATGATGATGTTCTCAGGGATCTCACCACCTTCAACTTGAACACGAGTGATAAGCAGAAGCTAGCAAAAGAGCAAGTAGAGCTTCCTTTCATGGAAGCACAGGCGGAACTAGGGAAAATGGGAGGAGCTATTGTCTACCAATTTGAGAAGGATGATGACTACGATGAAGAAGATCCTTACGAAGACCCATTCTAGTTCCGTCCCAAAGTTGTGCGTACATAGGGTGAGGCTGTTGCGTTAGCCCTAATTGTCCTAATCAGCATTGTACCAGCTTCAACCTATGCATTACTTTCATCAAACGAAAGGCTGCCTTTTGTTTCATAGCATTTTCGCATCCCTTGGCAGGTTGTAAAGGGTTTCAATTTCCTTGATTTTTTTTCTTTTTCCTTTTTTTTTTTTTTTTTTTTTTTTTTTTTTTTATCTGAATTACATCACGCCAAATCATTTACCTATCCTTCTGTCAGCAAGGATAGAAGCAAGGATTACTAATCATATGTGCTTAACATACTGTTGTATTGAGCTCTATATTATGGTCCGTCCCTAGCGATCTATATGGTTAACGATGCTATGACCATCAGCGTCTGGAATGAAGGGAAGAGAGGCGAATGTATTGACCCAGCTATTTGGAACCCGTTCCGTTCATATTTTGTGTGCCTCTACAATCAAAAGGGTAGTCTAACGTGTTCATGTCTATAGTGCTACAATACTCCCAATAGATCTTATAGAAGACAAGAAGTAATGCTTACTCAGAGAAAGAGAGAAAAAAAAATAATAGAACTAGAAGAGACTGGGTTCGAAAGAGTTATTTCAAGGTCGTTTATCATTGATACTAATACAAATTGCAAAAATAAGCCCGATGCGGGGCTCGAACCCGCAACCTTTTGATTGACCTTATATGTTTAAGAGTCAAATGCTCTACCGATTGAGCTAACCAGGCGAACTTCAAAAATTATAAAATTTCACATAAACCTATACCACAAATTCACTAAACTGAATAAAACCATATCTTTAAAAGTTTGAAAATTTATTTTGCGTTTTTTTTTTATGTAATAAGGAGTCTTAGTGGCGAGTTCAAAAAATTGACTGAGTTATAGCTCATGAAAAAATCGAAAGAAAAAACAACTCGAGGAAGATTAGGAAATTAACTTGACGCCGTTCAACTTGGGCTATTCCGTTCCATTTATGCCAATCGTAGCACACGCAAATGAAAATATTCTGTAACACTTAAAACGAATGTCATGTGTCAAAATTCAGATGGGACTGAATGGAGCTCTCAAGACCCATGAAGCTTTTGAGAACTTATCTTTACCGGGCAACGATAAGCGGGTTTTGGATTATGAACCCTATCTCAATTGGTGGGATCTTGAAAGTCCTATGAACCGCGTCTTATACAACTAGGAGAACAGTTGGAACGAATCTACGAGAATACAAACAGCATACTGCAAAGCGATACAATTATCAGAGTTCTAAAAGAGAATTTTTGTCAGGGGATTATTGTGCCTTACCGCGACCAAAAGACACTTTTATTGATGGATTAATCGGTATAATTTTCTACAACGACACAACAAAGGCTCTACGGGTGCCTTAAGCGATTGGCAACACTTTGAATAACATATAAATTGGACCACAATGAGATTTGTAGTCATCTCAGTAATTAAGCTATATAGGAATCGAACGAAAAGCCCTATAGCACAGTTTGTCTGAGAAGTCAATCTCGGAGATAATTCAGTTGGTCTCGATACAAAAGAATAAAAAATTTCTTCAGTCATATGGTCTTTTGCCCTTTGATACAATTTATCATGAGATCATACATAAATTTCCAGGTTGCATTAACATAATGACTACAATTGAGACATACTGGCCAAGCAGGCTCTGAAGCAAGAGTTAATCTGTTTCGCGTCCTCCCCAATCGCTAGTCCTCCCGGATGAACTCGGTCTCTCGTGGACTCGAGGTCTTGGATGACATGACTTCTTAGCCATTTCTGACTTCTTAGAAGATAGCGGCAGCTTGAATTTCCAACGCATTATCGATAGAAATCTGGTTTAGAGGCATTAACACCATATTCACTGAGAGCATTGCTCAAGTCTTCCATTGTAAGAACAATTTTGCCTTGTTGGTGACCAGCATTAAAGTGCAGTTGGGGTTGCTGTTGCTCGGAGGCGTTGTCAACACCACCACCTGCTCCGCTATTCTGCTGGTTCGCAAACTGTTGGCCCTGTAGAAGCTGTTTAGCTCTGACTTGGGGATTAGCGGAGTTGTAGACGGCAGAGGAGCTCCTGATTCTGGAATATTCATAGGCATCTTGAGCAATGTCTGACACAAACTTTTGGGTGGCAAGAGCTAAGAGCCTTTTGACCCTCACGTCGGCTGTTTCGAATCCACTTCTCGCTAGATAGTAGTCAGTCACGGCATCTGGAATAATTGGCAGAAAATCGCCAGCCATTAGCTCAAGCATTTCTTGAAGAGTTTTATCTTTTCTTGTTAAGTTGGGGAGTTCGTGTAGCGAAGGCCCCGTAGCTGTATCGGCGACTTGACCATCGTCTTTGTCCACAGAATCTTGCTTTTCAGAAGGTGGCAATAATTCGGAATCAGCATCATTAAACTCTTCATCTACTTCTCCATTTTCTGCGTTAATTGCAGCCTTATTTGACTCTTCTCTTGACATGATGAATGGTAGGTATAACCGTGTGTCTATCTGATTACCAGTGTTGTCAGAGGTCTTGGTGCGACAACAGCTAAATGCAGATGGGATCTCGCTTACACTCAAGTTGATGGGGCGAACCTATTAGCAATAGATTCTTAAAATTTTAGTTTTTTTGTTTTTTTTTTTTTTTTGTTGATTTCAAAAGTGTTAAAGTTCTGTAATGGACTGAATCTCTAACTTCAGCGGTAGCTAGTATGTCTTCTCTCAAGCCACCAGACATTACTATTTGTCTCTGATGAAAAAGCCGTTTATGACCGCGACTTTACAAGTTTTTAGAGGAACTTTAAACAAACCACAAAATAAAAAAAGCCCCCTATAAAATCTACTTTGGGCACTTTGAAGAAACAAAGTTTTGTACTGATTTTTCCAGTGTGGCTACTTCATAAAGCCTGCGTTAATGTGTGACTAGTGCTACGGCCAGTATCTTACATCTTCTTTCAACCCCACCCATTGATTTCGCATTGTCCGGAACGCCTGGTATACTGCCTTGCTTGGGAAGAGTTTATTTGTCTTTGATAAGATGGGAGATAACCCTTATGAATCGTTAACATTTGGAAACTCGCTATCTTTGCGTGTGGATGGTGCCATTGGCACCATGTCGCTTTCGCCGAACGGGAGAGACGCCGTTCTTGCAGGCCGGAAGGGTCTATTTGTCATTGACTTGGAGGATCCGTTTACGGCACCTCGTTGGCTTCACCATATAACCTCATGGGAAGTAGCCGATGTTCAGTGGTCGCCACATCATTTCCTCAAACCATCCTGGTGCATATCTACATCTAACCAAAAAGCGCTTCTTTGGGACTTGGCTCGCCCGTCGAATAATGCAATTGCTCACGTTCTTCATCGCCACACAAGGGCCATAACGGACATAAACTTCCATCCCATGGATCCGGAAATTCTAGCGACATGTTCCATAGATACATTCGTTTACAGTTGGGACATGCGTAGCCCCAGAAGACCAATTGGGAAGTGGGCAGAATGGAGAGCTGGGGCTACTCAGGTAAAATGGAGCCATAACAACCCCCATCAGTTGGTCTCCAGCCACGATCATAGCTTCTTTCTATGGGATTCTAGGAAGGGAGCATCGCCAGTTCTCAGGATCGACAATGCTCACAGAGGTAAGATAAACGGTCTTGATTTTAGCAGTGCGGATAAGCTTATAACCTGTTCCAACGACGAGAGGCTTAAAATTTGGGACCTTCTGCAATTACTGAACGGTGAGAATCAACCGTCTGTTATAATGCAGGCAGACTATCCTATCGCCAGAGCTCGGTCCTTACCTTTTGGTAAAGATGGATGTTGCGGTATTATGCCTCTTCGGGGTGGAGGTAATGCTATACATGTAATAAATTATCAAGCGGCCTTAAACGAAAATGCAGCTACCGGAGAGACAGTTCTTGTTGATGTCATACCGGACTATTCGTTTCGGGGACATCAGGGCTCCATCAAGGACTTTTTGTGGAGAACACTTCGGTCAAGCTACGCAGGTTTTGATAGCAAACAACCATGGGAAGATTATCAGCTAGTTAGCTGGTCTTCTCAAGACTACGACCTCAAGTTGTGGCCCCATGAGAGGGAGATTTACGAGGTTGCAAATTATAATCCACTGCACCAAAAGCTTTTTAATTCTTTGGTGAAAAGCGCTGGTGGCTCTGATTCAGAAGACGGAATTGCTGGCAATTCTCCTACTGGCTCCCCGGGCTTTGAGTTGAACGAGGAGACGTCGCTAAAGAAGTCAGCAACATACGTTTATAATTCATATTGCGCCGAGCCGCCTCTCCGTGTTGAAGACTATTCTAGAGAGTATAATGGTGATTATCTATCTTCTATGGCTTACTTCAAAATTGTTCAGTCTCAAGAAAATTTCGGAGGCTCCACTCAGGTAAATCATCTCGACTGGATCTCCGGTGTACGTATGGGCGAGTCAGGCACCAACCGGCAAGAAGCGCATAGCCATTCTGCGTTTGGAAATTCACTGGGTCCTTCAAACTTGGGCGAAGAGGTGAGCATAGTAGGCCACAAATTTCCTAAGCTACGTTTCGAAAAAATTTCTGTCTCCACTGGCCACCTAGTGATGACACTCAAGGGTCCACTCCCCAAAGTAGAAGACGTGGTTCCTGAAGATGGAAATGGCAAAGAAAATACAACTGAAAAGAGTAATGCGATCAGCGAGGATAAGTTGAGCACATCTGCTAGTAAACGCAAAGCGACTGGGAGGGATGGCAGCCCGCTGCTTCAAGCCAGTGGTCCATCCGCAACTCTGCAACTGGTGTCGGTTGGAAAATCCCCTCCCAGTTCGGTTATCAATACGAAAGAGATTGAGTCACAGAGAATCGATAACATTGATGCGATGGAGGACAACTCCAAAATGGAACAGGAGCAATCTCTAGCTTTTATACGACTTGAAGTTATTTTTCCTAAGTGCTATCCCGACTTAGAAGATACCCTCTCAAAAGGACAGAGAGGAAAGAGAGCTCACAAGAGTCGAACCAACAAGATCACATTCAACATAGAAGAGACTCATGAAATTACACCAGATATTAAGCGAATCATGATCGATGGGTTAAAAAGAATTGCAGAGTTCTACTCCAATAAGTTTTCGAGATTCTGCCTTGAACCTTGTTTGCGATTCTTGATGGGAGATAGGATAAATCTTGATGAAGCATCGATGGTACAAGAACTAGATGAAATACAAGAGTCTGCCCTAGGGGAGGAAGATGATCTTGTTGAAGTTGGTAGTGAGGGCTGGGCAGATGACCTAGTGAGTCAACATAACGCGGCCACTACTATGCCCTTAAGCTACGGAAGTGTCGAGGAGGAGGAAGACGAGGATGCGGATTTAATACCAACGATCGGTGATCATGGTGTAAATGCCCTTGAATCATCTCAAAAAGAGGATTCCAAGCCGATATCCTTTGCAGATCAACTCAGGGAGCGGATTAAATATGACACAACGCCACTTCCAAAAGGCTGCGGAGCTGTTTGGTCCCAAGGTGGTCGGCTAGTATGTTTTTTTATCAAGCGTCATAACGAGGAACAGGAAAAAAGAACGCAGGATAGCACGAAATCTACTTCATATGGGACTGGTGTCAGTTATGATGAGGATGATGCAAATATTGATCAGTTGGAAACGGGCTCAGTAGACTCCATGGATGCTGAAGTTTCACTAATGGATGACTCGGATGGTCAAATGGATGAGAATATTCCCCTGGACTCCTCGCTCTCATCTGACGATAGCTTTAACCATGACTGGGACGAATTGTTGGAGAATGATATCCCATCAAGGTCGCGTGTAAGGGGTCTCTTCAAAGAGTCTATGAAGGTAGGAGGTAACTTTTTTGGGATTAATGAACATAAATCGGGCACTGGGATGACACCAAGTGCTGCAGGAACGGCTTCGAATTATAAGTCTTCAACGCACGGTGACCAATCTATCAAAGGCAAAAGAACTGACAAAACATCCAAGGGATCATTCAATGTGGTATCTGTGGTCGATTTCTCGCACCTTACGCCTGACAAATTTGAGCTCGCTTCGTCATATAAAGTTTTGGGGGATTCGCCGGAGAGGTTGGCGAGACATAATTCCGAAGTGGCGCTGTACTATGGATATATGGAGCTCCGTGATGCCTGGAAGCTCATAGAGCTCATATTGATTAAAGATGTTACCTCCGCTGATCTTAGAATAGCAAGGTCATTTGCTTCACCTGATTCATGCAAATTCTTCTGGGGAAATCATCCTTTTGGCAATAAATGGTTAATCAAAGAGCTCTTTCATTATTTTGAGCTGAAATTGGATCTTCAGATGGTTGTGATGATGTCATGTATCCTATACGAGAATATTACCACACCCTCCAACAGAGCCGGCGACTTCTTGCAGAATACTCCCATTGGCCCGCCATTTTCGACAGTCTTGACTTCCAATGACCGGAGAAATGATGGCATTTCTGGTACGCTTAATGAGTGTGAGATTAAAGTTGGGTCGCCCTTTTCATTTCAGCAGGCAAATACAGAAAAATTGCTTTTAAGGAAAGCTTCAATGATGAGCTCTGATGCAAATATGCACAGGATATCGGATTATCAAATGTCCAGGCCTCCATCACTGACAGTAACATTACCACATCCTACATCTGTTTCACCAGAGTTTTCTCCTCATCAAGGTGCACAAAGAAGAAACCAGAATATAGAAAGCCCCCAAAGACGACTCAAGCATTATCAAAAAAGACCTTTGAAGGGACAACAGCTCAAAACAGGGTCATCGCTTCTTCCGGCGATTAAGCACAAGAGTGGACTAAGGCCAGCACCGACTATAACTATAGCAATGAAGAACGATGACAGACTTGATATCTTCGAAGACCTGTTTACATCACCTTTATTGGATGAAGTCAGTACTGAGAAGATACGGCGGTACAGAGAAGAATACGCTTCCATGTTGTATGCGTGGGATCTACTTTATAACAGGCTTGAGATTCTCAAATTCAATTACACAGCAGACGATTCAGAGGAAAGTAAGGCATTCGAAGAATTCCGCTGCGATTTTGGGTTACGCTTCAGGAAAGCCTTGAATGTTTCTCAACTGCTCCTATCCCCCATTACAACGATTCTGTCAGCCAAAAGGAACTCGTGGAATACGAGAAAGAGAAACCAGTTACAAAATTGTGCCCTATGTGCGATCTTAATTACTAAGCGGGCGTTTGTGTGTGCCAGTTGTGAACATGTATTACATCCAGAATGTGCCCTTGAATGGTGGTCAGCAGGAGAAGTCAATTTAGAATGTCCAACAGGTTGCGGATGCTCCTGCTTAAAGCACGGCATTTGAAATATCATGCATCATGTCTTCCGAGTCTCCGTGATCTGGCTTCTTAACTTTTCGTCCCATTCGCCGACTAACTTATCTATGAAAGCAACGACATCCTCAGCACCCGTACTTTCAATTTCATCATGCGTAGTGAACTCGCGACCCCAGCGGTTACACGCCGATACCCATTTTACGGACTGATCGCAGTCGTTCAATGCGACTGTTACAGGTGCATTCGCGGCAGTGTACCCTGATATGTTGTGAATCTGGGATCCCAAGAGGCGAGCTATATAGAATAGGATCATCATACCGTAGTAGGTAAAGACATTCAAAAACTCGAAAAATGAAAAGCTGGTAAATATTCCTGGATGGACAACATAGGATTTGATATTGTACTTTTGGGAAAGATATCTGAAAGTTCCGCAATGTAATAGATCAATAAATCTTTTTGAGCCCTCGTAAGGCTCGGGAGATTTAAGTAGTTGAAGGTCGTCAAAAGATAAGTATTTGGGGCTGGCCATAACAGAAGAAATCCACACAACACGGGCACCACCTTCGAGCAAGTGTCTGATTCTGTGTAAAAAGTAATATGGGCCAAAGACATTACCTTGGAAAACCACCCCGATGTCATCGACAGACTTCACACCAACCTTCTGAAGCTTATAAGTTGGAAAGGTAACGGCATCAAGAATGTTTGTAAATACTGCCTTTGTCGCTTGCATCCAATCAATGCCGGAGTATACTCCATGGGCGGCGTTAATGAAAACGTAGTCGATTTTAGTGAATTTTTGCTCAACAGCATGGAATGCACTTAATACCGACACCATGTTAGTAAAATCGACAAGAAGATAATCAAATTCGAGTTCACCAGAGCGATTGGGGTGTTTATCTCTGTAGTATTTCTGGATGTCGGCTATCACCTCTTTCACCCGCGGCAATGTCCTGGAAGTAACAATGAGAGTGATATTTGTGCCATTGGGTAGCTGATCAAGCAACCTAAAGGCAATATTAATGCCGAGATTAGAGGTAGTCCCAGTTATCAAGGCCACTTTTCCCTCTCTCATCCTGAATGGTATTGAAGTTGTTGCACTTTCAACGCGATCGTATCTGTACGACGCATTTACAAGAAACATCACGTGTCATATGATCGCGGCATTAGAAAATTCCACTTCATACATGGGGGCTAATAGCCATTTGAAACCGAGCAGTTCATATGCTTTCCAATCGCTAGGTCTACACATATACTTGAGCATTTGCTGATGATAGTAAATCAGAAATATGGAAGTAAACACACCAAAAGAAAAAAAAAAAAGAAGACGACAACTGCAGGACTCGAACCTGCGCGGGCAAAGCCCAAAAGATTTCTAATCTTTCTCCTTAACCACTCGGACAAGTTGCCTAACATTGAAAGGTGCTAAACACGGCTTTAACATGAAAACTATATCTCAAAAATAAGCCCAAAACATTTAAAAAACAAAACAACAAAAATTTTAAAACTTGTGTACTTTATTCCTTATCTCAGAATTTAAAAAACTCGAAATTTCGAAGAGATATTGTCCTTTTTGTACTTTTTTCTTCTTTTTTTTTTTTTTTTTTTTTTTTTTTTTGCTTTTTTAAACTTGTTTCTTGTTACTGTTGATGTTTCCAGGACTCCCATCTAAATAATACAAAAATTGTAGCAATTCTTGGGGCCACCTTGTCACCATTATCCGGTTTTTGCAGCTAAAACTTAGCTTCTCTATGAAGCGTAATGCAATGTAGGCATTCTGGCAATTTGACTTGTTTTGCGGAATTAGCTTGTGAAACTTGTCTGTACTAGATAACTTAGGTTATTCTCAATACCATATTGTAAGGAAAGGGCTTTAGATTGGGCCATTGAACAAAGTCATGAGACAGATTAGTTCTTGGGGTGGATAACTACAGCGGGCTCTCTTAGGATGACCAAAATCTCAGAAGCATCTCCCATTCGACGTATCTAGGAACGATAAGGAAAAAAAAAAAGAAAAAAGAAAAAAAGAAAACCAGACAAGCGGAACCATTGAGCGAATTATCGCAACTGAGCTCACTTGACCCCGGAGAACCTCGATACTACCAATGTTTAGACGTGCTAGAAAGTATTTGTTCTTTAATAAACCAAATACCTTTGACATAAATACCAGAAAAGAATAGAAGAGCTTTTAATCCGTCAGAAAGATTTTAAACATGGCGTATTTTGCAAGATCAAATTACTGAATGAGGAACGCGAGAAGAAGCTTATTCTACTGCTGTAGCTTCACTTGCAAGCGACGCTTCTAAACGACATTCGCGGAACCAACTGATCTCGAAAAGGTAAAAACACTGTGAAGCTAACGCAAAGCTAGACCTAGAAAGATTTAGAATTTTAGATTAACCGCGGAAGCCATTTCGCTTAAACTTCGGGTTTTTCCGGCTTAGTGGTTGTGCTGTGAAGTACATGCCAGCCAGCTTTTTTGCCAAGATATTCAACAAGCCGCAACCCCACCTGCGCGTTGAGTGCCCCGCGTTCATGCACGGCTTCCTTTGTGAAGCAGCTCATCGGATAATCCCCCACGTCGCTGGTTGTGGTGTGTTATCTTGACGTATGTCGAACTTTGTTGGGGAAAGTATAATTTAGTATACTTCCAGATACCGTCGGTTCTCTTTGCCCATGGAAGATCGTATGGCTCTCCACACGGTGCTTAGTAATCCCTTTTCCTCTTTTTTTTTTTTTTTTTTTTTTTTTTTTTCTTTCTTTTATCATTTTTTACTCTGTATCCTACCATGATGGAAGTCTGACTTGGTGTAATAGGGGGCCCCCAGAAGAAGTGGATCTCCATGTATTACTCTCGTGATTTCCTTCGAATTGCATTGTTCCAATATAGCCAAGTTTATGTCACCGGCTTATCAAACGCCGTTATCTTTTCAAGAAGGCTGAGTAATCTTGATGCCTCCACATCTTGTAGTTTCCCAAAAGTTTGAGTCCATGGTTTCCAATTTACTTGAGTTTTCCAGACGACTATGTATATCTCATTTCATCAAAATAATCTGAGCATGGGCTCTCGAATTCAATACCAGGGGCCTTCAAGTCTTTCACAAAAACTACGACTTAGAATAGGCTGTGTTGGGATGTGAACGTGTCCATTCTTGTAATCATCAACCCTGGTGCCGATGCCCCTTACTGCGTTTTGCTTGGTAAAACCGTTTATCACGCCTACGGCACTATGTAATCGTGCAGATTTTGCCTTGGCAATTCTATCAAAGATAAGATCTTGAAAACTAACAGCGAATCTTCTATTTTGAACTATTAAATCGTATTGGAAAAGATAGGTTTAGATTAGGAAAACATCTTAAGGACAGATCATATGCCTTGCTCGTTTTGCCTATACCTTGCTATCCCACATGTACTTTTTTCCCATCAATTTCGTATATATCTGTTTAAATCGTCCACTACCGTCGAGAGTCAACTTAAATCAAGAATCTAAAGTCGTCCTTCACTTCTGAACCATCATTACCCTTACCCAACTCTTTCTCCCAGTTCATGGTACCATTATCGATCCTCTTGTTCAAAATCTGTAATCTCCATCTTAAAGCAACGGCGCAGACAATAGCGAGAGCAACAAAAACACAGTTGCAGATGAAGGCGACCGAATAACGAGGAGCCGATGATGAAGGATATAAGTATGCATTCCAGATTGAGGCCGAGTTCGACAAACAGTTCATCAAGGAAAGAGCAATCGCACGCTTTAACGGAGGACGTGGACAAGAGTTTGACATCCATGATAAGATAGTTGTGAAGGAACAGTAGATAGACGGGACCATTATCACCATCGAAAAATATCTGGCTCCAGTATTCAAGGTGGAAACGGCAATGATGAACGATGCAAGTGCAACTACCAAAGGTGAGACGACATGCCAAAACCTTTCACCCGTCTTATCAGCATGAAGTGCCCAGATAAAAGTTGCAATGACAGCAAGAATATATGGAGGAGCAGTCAAACACAATGTAATAACACGATTAAATTCCAATGTTTCGACAATTGAGGGGAAGAAGTTGGTAACACCAGCTGCGGCAACTAACCAAGAGAGAATACCACAACATGCCCAAACCTTAATATCGGAGACAGCCAACTTGAAAGCACCCCAGTAAGACTCCTCGTTTGTTTCGTCACTATCATCTTGGCCTGTCTCACATCTGATTTTGTACAAAAGAACATCTTTTTCAAAGTCATTCAACATTCTTGAGTTATGAGGCATATCTGGCAACACGAAGTACGCGATTGGTGCAATACCAACTGTAATGGCACCCTCCACGATAAATAACCATCTCCATGATCTCAAACCGTGAAGGCCGTCCATGTTATCGATGATACCTGCCGCGATCAAACCTGAAAAGGCACCAGAAAGCAAAGAGCCCGAATATAATAGCGAATTTCTGAAACCGAGCTGGCTTCTAGTGTACCAACAAGACAAAACATAGAGACAACTGCCAAAGAAACCAGCTTCAACAAATCCCAAAATCAAACGGATTGCCAATAAACCACCGAAATCCTGTACTGCAGCAGTACAGGTAGAAACGGTACCCCAGCCACCCATAATGGCGGCAATAAAAATGGAGGGTTTCTTGAATTTGTTTAAAAACATGTTAGCTGGAATCTGCATGAGGATGTAACCAACAAAGAGAATCGAAATACATGTTTGGTATTGGTTGCCTTCCAAATTCAAATCCTCTTCCAAACCGCCTAGTCTTGCACTTGCGATGTTATTTCTGTCGAGGTAGTTGAGAATATACAAAAGAACCAACATTGGGATCAAGCGTAAATCCACCTTCAATGTTATTTTTTTGTGAAAAGCATCGATCTCTTCGTCAGTGTACTGTTTTAACAGATCAGGCTTCTCAACCTCCAAAGGGCCCGTTGACTTGGTGCCACTTTCAACATTGCTTTCAATGTGAGCGATCTCAGATTTTTGAGCAAAGGGCTTCATAGCTTCCTCCAGGTCCGAGGAATGCGACATTATTGATGTAAAGTGATCTGATATGACTTTGAAAAGCTTGATGAAGTACTTGGAGGGAAATCTTCGGTAAAACGATGAACGAAGGCAAAATGAAAAAAATTTGTAGATGAAGATTTTTTTAGCAATTTATAGTTTTAGGATTGCAGGAAAAGTTTTTGCCGACTTTCGGGGGCGCTATATTTGACGCTCATGCTCTTGCAGGACTTGTGCAGCCGACAAGTGAAGGTGCACATAAGCCGGATTTTCTCCAATTGTAGCGGGGATCTGTGGGGACCTTGGTGGGGCACTTGCATGAAACGAAAAAAAAAAAAGAACGCGGCAACGTCTCTCTGTAGTTATTTCCGTGTTTTGCTGCTACGCAACCTGCAAGGCTTGCATTTTATGAACAAAGGAAGAGAACAGGGCGAAATGGAACCATCGTAGTTTAAATCACTTGAATGAAGATGATTAAAATAGCACAACAAGCTAGACATTCATCGCACAGAGACAATGAGCAACATTTGATGTCGTGTCATGCCGTGGAAGAAAACCAGAAAGTTCCGTACTAACGGGGAGTTTCCAGAATATTCACGGATTAACTTTTCCTATTCTTCAAAATTTTTTTTTTTTTTTTTTTTTTTGTTGGATTGCAACCTCGAGAAGACGCATGAAAAGTGCAGTATGTGGGGGCGCTCCTCTCAAAAGGCATCAGAATTTTGGAAGAAGGCCAAACCCAACTTTAAAGGGGCTATGGGCTTCTGATAACTCATGATGACATGCCTCCGCTGCTACTGACATGAATGAGATTGTGATAAATATTACTTTAGTAGTCTTTGTGGAGATACTAATGGACGCGGGTTATAGAGAGACATGCAGCAACACATAGAGAAGCAAAAAAAAAAAAAAAAAAAAAAAAGAAAAAAAAAAAAAAAAAAAAACCCTTTGCCCTGGAAGCAACGAAGGGGCATGCGGGCACAATTGAATACAAAGCAAAACAGCCCAATAGTAGTCTTGAAGCATGAAGTTAGTTGCTATCCGAAACTTGTCTCAGGACTTATATCGTTTTTTTTTGTTCTTTTTCTTTCATTTTTGTTTTCTCTCTTTGCTTGTTTGTCTTTCTCGAAAATACTACAGATTGAGCTCCATCAAGAGTGAACTTTTTTCGCGATACTTGCGTATCCCATGGTTTGCTTCGTACGCTTTATTCAAACGTGGCATAGTTAGCCTCAAACCCGTTTGACAAAGATGCTCGCAGCTTACTAAGTAGAAAGGGAGTCGCGGCAGTTGCTCACATTGGCGTGTTGGTCGTTTTGCCATCAGAGGTAAAGTTGAGGTATGCTTTGTCACGTGCCACATTCCCCTGAGGGCTTACCTCACTGTGCTATGCTTCTCCTTCTCAATCCCACGATAAGGTGATTATTCAAAATGGACAAAAAGACGGGAAAGGCGAATTATCATGACGCTTTTCGCCATGATGAGTCAAGAAATACTCTGAATATTTCTTCAAGTTTTGATATAGATGGCTCATATAACCAAGAAAGATCTGGCCCTTCGATCGTGCAGCTGTGCAACGGCGAATCCTCAGAAGGAAGCTGTCTTGGGGACTTTGATGAAGAACAATACCACGAGGAAGAGGTGGGAGAGGAAGGCGAACAGGGAGCTCAAGAAGAGCAAGAAACTGATAATCTGGATTCATTCGCTGGTGAAGCTGATTATACGGATGAAGATGAATCCCAAGATGGCGAGCCAAACTTGAATAATGATACCAGGGCCCGGGAATATCGTGATAGTATCCTTCGAGATCTTGTTGGACAGGAATCAGGTGTAAGACCAGGTTCAAATCTTCTTGATGTTGTACAAAGGTTGGTTGGGGGTCTAGATGCTTCGCCATTTGGACGCCAACTGGCAGAATTCGAGGCACTTATTTCCAATCTTTCTCAACGTGAAGACTCTTTTCTTGTGATGGAATCTTTGAATGAATTGTCAGAGAGACTATTGATGATGAATGGTATCACTGCTGAGCGACTCATCCCAGCCAATAGGCTAGCACGATCCTTAACCGAAATCTTGCGAGACCCAACCTTTCAAGATCATCTAGAATTACAGTTAGTGGCATGCCGTTGTTTATTCAACTTTGTGGAAGTGAATCAAGACTTTATCAATGATGCACTCATAAACGGTGCTGTGGAAACCCTCATATCTCATCTTTTTGAGATAACTTACATTGATCTCACTGAACAAGCATTGCAAGCATTAGAAATGATTTCGAGAGAACGATGCTCTCATAGTCTTATCGTCAAAAATGACGGTCTCCTAGCATGTCTTCAAAATTTGGATTTTTTAACAGTCCACGCCCAGCGGAAAAGCTTAGCTATTGTATCGAACTCTTGCCTTCATTTGAATGATGGGGATTTCGAGAAGGTTGGAAGCTGTACCGAAAAACTCTTTGACGTTGCCAAGAACAACTCTGATAAGACAGTTACGGAAAACGCATGGCTAGCGCTATCCAGAATAGTCATGAGCTTTAGAGGTAAACCTGAATTACAGGAATCTCTATTTGCAGATGTCTCCTTTCTTGGTCTAGTGAAGGAAACTTTCACCGCTGCTTGCAGTTCCGGAACTAATGATTCAACAGTGGGTTTCAGGATAGGGCTAAGTCTTTTACGATCCCTTCAATATATGGCGGCCACATCAACCAAACTAACCGAGTTATTGATTGACATAAGCTTGGGTGAATCATTATATTGTACCCTACAAAGCTACGCCAAAGAAGGCGAGTCAAATACACCAGAAAGCTCTTCTAATGGAGAACCGAAATTAAGGGCCGAACTTTCTATTGACTCCATAATGGCTGCTCCAAAGGATCTCGTATGCGAGGTTCTTCAAGTCATTGGTTCAATATTGCCTGCGAACTATGCTCTTACCGATTCACCCTTCGTCTTCCTACCAGATGATAAAAGCTCCCTGATGACTAACTTAAATATAGCGAAGGCAGAATGTCTTCTGAAGAGACAAAATGAGATAAATGCTTTTGTTCAATGGACTTGGCCGATTTTACTCAAGGCTTTCTCAGCGAGCTTGGATTGGGACTTGCGCAGGATGGCTCTTATCAACATCTTCCGGTCATTAATGCAAATAAACAAAGAGCTACCCATCATAAAGGAACAGGCTGAAGAGCTATCAGGTGTTTTGGCATCCATAATCAGTACAAGTAAAGCTGAATTTGGTTCCGCACAGTTCGAAGATTTAGATGACCGCATAACAGCTCATGCTGGGGTACAATTATTGCCTTCTTTGGCTATTCTCAACTGTATTATGTCGAAAGAATTTCTGGCTTGCTCCAGATCCTTAGAGACAGAAGGGGTTTATCAGGATACTGAACTGATAGCTCGAGTATTCGAGAGCTCACGCCCAGAACTGAAGGAAGCAAGTGTCCCACCGCATATTTCGAATCGGTTGGCCAGCATTAGTCGGTTCCCACCAAACAATCAAGATCCCGAGTTTTCCAGAACGTCTGAAAAGGTGCCGAAAGATCTTGTACTAAGAAGGCTAGGTTTTTTTCTAGCTTCATTCCAAAATTGCCGGATCGCCTTTAAAACTGGCTCTACAGATGATGACTCTATCAAGACAAAACATTTGAAAGAGATCTTCCAACTTTCTCGCTCCCTGGAAGGATTAGATCGAAATGACTATGAAAAGTTATGGTTACTTCTTAAAGACTTGCTTTTATCTGATTCCCACCCGATATCAAGCTACGAACTTATGTCACTGGGTGCAACAGAGTTAATGATATCCGAATTCCTCAAGACAGACGAAAGAGATGTATTTGCGGCTTTTTCCAAGGACACATTTTTCTCCTTGATTTTCAGCGATTTTAAGGCGTCAAAGAAATTAATTCATTTACTACTTGATTCTTTACTGAGACTGGAAGTCTTCAATGTTGTTTCAGCAACGGATAGAACGGCTTCCCGCGATCCGATACACACTACGAACCTTGCTAGGCAGTTTAGGATTGAAATATCCCCTTGTGATAAAGATAGCTCTGAAAAACCAATTATAGTTTATGTCCAAGCCATCGCAACCTTTCGCTCAATTGAGTCTTTTTTGAAACAGAAGGCACTTACATCAGATTCTTTTGACGAAGTTATGCACAATGACAATACCACGGATAAAGAGGGGGAAGATATCCTTGATTTTTTCGTGGACGACGTGTATGTTCCAACAGATACTACAATATTTGGAGCTATATTTAATTCAGTGCAAGAAAAAAAAGATGGCTTATCTCACCCAGACATATGGTCGCGGGTACACAAGGTCACTTACGGCAGGCTGAAGAGCTCAGGCAATGCAAGTGAAAACAAAGTCATCCCTGACGTCTCAACAGATCACATTGTCTCTCATACCACACTTTCAACCTTGAAGTTGCTTAAGAAGTTCTATGGCTGGAACTTAATGTTGAGAAATAGAGGCCTCGTAAGTCACCCAGACGATATTTTCCGAAGTTGGAAGCTTACGGTCAAACTCAAGCGGCAATTGGAAGAAATTCTTGTTGTGGCTAGTGGGGCACAACCCCCATGGAGTTTGGTATTAACCAGAGAATACCCCTTCCTATTTCCTTTGGAGATAAGAATTCTCTTTTTGCAAAGTACTTCATTCGGTTATTCCCGTTTAATTCACCATTGGCAGGCCACCATAGAGCGTGACCCACCTGTTTCTACTCAGGGATCAGACTCGCTCATGGCAACAAGGAAGCTTCAACTAGGTCGGATAAGTCGGCAAAAAGTCAGAATCGCCAGATCGAACTTCTTCCCTAGTGCTCTTAAGCTTTTAGAAAAATTTGGTTCGTCTCCCGGAATTCTTGAAATTGAATATTATGATGAGGTGGGCTCTGGCTTGGGGCCCACCCTGGAATTTTACTCGATAGTATCTCACGAATTTCAAGAAAGAAAGTTGCGTATGTGGCTAGAATCTGATAGCGAGCAACATTCCAATGGCTATGTCAGATCCGATAATGGCCTTTTTCCTAGACCACTTTCTAACACCGAGATACACTCAAAGTATGGAAGGAAGATATCGTATTTGTTTTTCTGTCTCGGTAAGTTTTTGGCCAGATCACTTTTCGATTCCAGGATTGTCGATCTCGATCTCAATCCCTATTTATTTGATATCATCAGATATACAGAAGAACCCAAAAGGTCTGCTTGGAAAAGATCCGTCACATTGGATAATCTTGCGGAAGTTGACAGAAGGCTCTCTCTGAGCTTGAGAAAGCTTTCCGAGCTAGCAAAGTCGGCCAGGATATTGGATCAACCCGACTTGATAGAGGCAATGGAATTATACTACCTTCTCCCGGGAAATTCGGATTATGAGTTGGTGCCCAATGGCGCCCAAGTTAAAGTTACTACAGACAACGTTAACAATTATATCCAGTTGGTGATAGAAGCGGTATTACTACACGGTGTTGCCAACCAGGTCACGAGCCTAGCCGAGGGGTTCTCGACTGTATTTCCTGTGAACTCAATCAAAGTCTTCTCTTCCCAGGAGCTTAGACAAATATTTGGAGCCAAAGAGGAGGATTGGTCTGAAGCGACCATTTCAGAGGCTATTCGGGCAAACCACGGCTACACGAAGGCATCTAGTACGATTATGAGTCTAGTAAAAATTCTTTCTTCGCTAGATCAACGTTCTCGCCGTCAGTTTTTGCAGTTTCTAACAGGATCTCCTAGATTGCCGCTCGGTGGTTTCAAAAATCTACGCCCAGAGTTCACAGTTGTCAAGAAAGAGCCTGAAGGTCAGTTGAAGAGCGATGATTATCTACCTTCGGTAATGACATGCGCTCTGTACTTGAAGCTTCCTGACTACTCTCTGATAGAGATCATGGAATCTCGCTTGTTGAGAGCCATTGATGACGGTGCCAATTCATTTCACTTATCATAGGTTTTTTTTTTTTTTTTTTATTTTTTTTTTTCATAGCCAATCCGGGGCATTTAGTGATCCCTCTTCGAGTTGTGTACACTGTACAACGTAGTCCCCACAGACACTAGTGCGCATAAGGTAGAATCCTCACTCGACATAGAGAACAACTAAACATGCAGTTAGATACATTGGTCAGAGAATTAATATCCACCGCTCCACCGAAGGAAGTAGGACCAGTCAAGGACTCGTTGAGTAAAATTGTTCCTAAGGATGGCAAGCAGCTTATCAATGACTTAATAGCGAGATACCTCGAGCAAGAAGGCCACGCAAACAATAATGTTCTTATTTCTGAATTAGCTAAGGATCAAGCAAGCGGTAAGTATATCGACTATCAGAGTCAGCGGAAATTTTACTATGATTCGACAAAGGATGAAGCTTCGGATTTTGAGCAGTTTTCTCCAGAGACTTTCCCATCGTACTTCGACGATCTCGTGGCAGCTCTTGATGCTTACGGAAAGAAGTATTATCCTTCTTCATATCAATTCAGCGTTGTACCAGGGGAGAGCGGTTTAGTAATCATTATATTAAGTGAGGATGATGAGCCAGCAAATTTTTTCAGTGGCCGGTGGAGATCGATCTATACCATAGAGAAGGGTAATATTCGAGCTGACGTGAAGACGGACATTCACTATTATGAAGATGGAAATGTGAGACTTCATTTCAGTGACAGCTCGAAAAGTATCCTCGATGACGAGTCTGCAGAGGCCATCGTAGATTTCATCAAGACCACCGAGGATCGGTTAACCTTGCAAACAGTCAAGGAATTTGACGAATTGAATCAGAACCATTTTAAGCATTTGAGAAGATTGCTTCCTGTCACCAAATCGAAGATTAACTGGGGAAAAGCTATTGGAAACTATAAATTGGGCTCCGATGTCGTCAACCGTCAATAGTGTATGAAATTTATCATGAGTTAACCTTGTAGATCATCCAAGCGATGAAGAATAACACGAGCACTATCGCCACTATACGACTTATGTTCAGATTTCGTCTCATGGTAGTCGATAGGTCACCGCTGCTTCGTTTGACCCGAATCCATAACAGGGAGAAGTTATCATTCAAGGAATCAAGAAGGCCCAGCTCGCTTTGCAAGCTACCCTGAATATCATTTTGGACAGTGTTTCGAAAATGGCTTAGAGTATCCGCAAGCTGATCAAATCTTTCATTATTATCCTGTTCTCTGTGGCCATACAAGGTTGACATCGTGTGAGGGCAGGTGCTTTGTTCGATTATTATATTCGCTGTAAGCAAATGTCGCGGCGATTCTCGTAACCCCGTCAGTGCGACACCTCTATCTAACCTCTTCTTACATTAAGTTGTTGGGTTTACGACAAGATCATTCTATTTTATACCAGCTTTCCTATGTTTGCTCGAGCCACTCTTAGCTCTTCCGTTCAAAGGTTTTTTCTTTTTTTTTTTTTTTTTTTTTTTTTTTTCCGGAGTCGCCTGACAAAGCACTTACGGAGGGACTAAAAATGTCCCATACGTTGATTTCCAAAGCCACTCCCAGTCGGTTGTTGTTGAACAGAAAGCTCTGGGTATCCGCTTCCAGAGGGATACGGTAAGTTCCCATTCAGCCTGATATCGCCCCTATAACTAACGACTCTATCAATCAAAACATTATAGAAGTTTGTTGCCTCATTCATACGATCATGAAGAGCTCCTAGTTCATCTCTTCGGCCACCATATTTGTCTATCGCCTTTGCTAACGAGGGCCGTGTGGGGAGGACATCGTTATATAATTCCGTCACCCTATCTTCGTTTACTTGAGAAGGCTCAGATGATAGGAGAGCAATAAGTTCGTCAATCTTTAGATGCTCAACGCGAACCAATCTTTCTTCTAGTGATGTTTCCCTTGCTGCTTCTTCAGCAGATTTGCTTACTACTGGAGTAACGTAGTTCAATGGAAATATACCAGTTTGCCCATTGGGTAGGCTACCCCGCCACCAATCGCGATACACAGATTCGATAACGGTAATTGTGTCGCCCTTCCTAAATGAAAGCTCATCTGCTTCGTAAGATATAAGGTCGTAAAGCGCGCAAACTTTCTTGACATTAGCAATGGTCATAGCTTCGGGCTCGTCTCGTTCTCTAGAACTCTTAGAGCTAACGTTCATATCGTCCGAGGAAACATATGTGGTCGCTTGCTTATTTCTTGTAGACTGCTCGCGTTCATACTCTTGAACAGATAGTTGAAGTGCTCTTTCAAGCTCTTGTTCCTCATGCTCTTTGTCTTTGCCCGATATCGCCGTTTTAGCCGGCTTCGACGGAGCGGCCTTGCAAAAATTACCGAACTTTGACATCAATGTACGATGTGCTTCTTGAATTGGTCGAAGTGAAGGATCATTCTTGAAAGTGGAGTTAAGATTGATGATAACTTCAGCTATTCTTATTTTAACATGCTTATGGATCTTTTTATCTGACAATTTCTTCAAAAAATATTCTTGAAGAAACTGAGTAGATGCTATTTCTTGTTGCATGCGGGAACCACAGTTCTCGGCTATGGCGACGACAAGTGATAGCGTTCTGAAAAGGACATTCGCATCCCTCGTGGAAAGTCTTGTCCTGATAATTTTCATGGCTTCTTTAGAGTTCTGTTCGGGGTCTCCTGATATGAAATCGCAGACATCGAGTATGTATTGCCAGTTATCGTCTGTTAATGTACCATCAGTTGCCCTATTAATAAGGACATCTAAAGACGTCATGTTGGATGAAAATCGATCGAGAATCTGCGTAGGTTCTGGAAGCAATCGTGAAGTATGAAGCCAAAGGAGAAAGAATCTAGACTAGTTGCTTTTTTTTTTATTTTTTTTTTTTTTTGACTCAGTATAATCACGATGAAAGCAAGCAATTAATAGTGAAAGTTAGGGGTAGCGCGGGTGTAGGATCATCAAAGATGTTTCAGTTGAATGATTATCTACACCAGTACACCAATAATGGCTAAGGCTTCCTAGCTTCACGAGACTTTTTTTTTTTTTTTTGCTCTGCTTTAGCTCCTTCCTCTTTTGGTTGTGTTGTACCACTCTTATAACAGCCCACTCGTCACGCAAATAAAGTAAGGGTACGTTTAAATATAATTGAGTACTTCAATACTCTTTGAAAACAACCATGAGCACCTCTTCATCGCCCAAACCAGCTCGCCGTCGGAGAGGCTCCTCCGTTGGAAACATCAATGTGGGGGACACATCTGCTCCCGGATTTTCGACGATGAAGTTGACAGCCTCACAAAGGCAGAAACTGAACCAAAGAGTGAGAGCTTTGAGTGACGAATCCAGGACCGATGTTGCAATCATTCGCAAAATGTTCGTCGCTTTTAAAGAGTTGTCATTCAGACACACCTGGATCAATCCTCTCATTATTCTCTCGGTGTTTTACTTAGCTTTTTTTGGGACAAGCGAAGGAAACCCTGTTCATGAGAACTTGAAGAAGCTCGTCAAGCCTTCATATCTTATTGAAGGCACTGATCAATACGGCAAAGGTGTCAATGATTTTTATTTCGTTGGCTTCTACGCTCTCTTCTTCACATTCTTAAGAGAATTTATGATGTGTGTGGTTTTGCGGCCTTTGGCTCGTATATTAGGAGTAACGAGACCACACAAAGTTAACAGGTTTATGGAGCAGAGCTACGCCATGTTTTATTACGGCTTGTCGGGACCGTATGGCCTTTACGTGATGTCGAAAATGCCACTATGGTTCTTCGAAACCACCCCGCTTTATGAAAACTATCCCCATAAGACGCATGATTGGCTTTTTAAGGTCTACTACCTTGGCCAGGCAGCCTTTTGGGTTCAACAATCGGTGGTGTTGGTATTGCAACTCGAAAAGCCAAGGAAGGATTTTCACGAGCTCATTCTTCACCACATTATTACTATTGCACTTATCTGGCTTTCCTATCGCTTTCATTTTACTTGGATGGGCATCGAGATCTACGTCACAATGGACGTCTCAGACTTCTTCTTGGCAACTTCAAAAACGTTAAACTATCTAGACTCCATTTTCACAGGACCTTTCCTCGTCGGATTTGTCTTCGTCTGGGTTTATCTTAGGCATTACATAAACCTCAAGATTTTGTGGTCTGTGCTTACCGAATTTAGAACAGTTGGGCCATGGGAATTGAATTGGGACACACAGCAGTACAAGTGTTGGATTTCACAGCCTATTGTTTTCGGTTTAATATTTGCATTGCAAATTTTGAATGCCTACTGGCTCTTTCTTATATTAAGAATTTTGTATCGCTATGTTGTCGGAGGAGTGGCTGCTGATGAAAGAAGCGAATCTGAAGATGAAGACGATGAGGCCAAGCAAAAAGACAAATCAGAATAGGAGACAGACTAGCTAAAAAGTTTAACAACGAAAAGAAGTGTATATCTCTATTTACATGGACACCTCTCCAGCTTGTGTGGATGTGTGAACCAGGGCGTGAAAAAGCCCTTTTCTTTGGCACATTCCGTCCTCTGCAGCTCTTGATAAAACCCCCAAAATTAGCGAAGTAGCTCTGACTGAGTCATCATTGCATGGAATGGGATATGACAATAGTGAAGGCTCCATGTCCGTATCCGAAAGTCCGATAGTTGGAATTCGGGCAATTATACATTCATTGATGACGTTTCGGTTCTCGACAGGATTTAATATAACAACAATATCAGGCTTGACAGTTCCCTCTTGTGGTACCATACGCTCCGTCATTTTATCTCCCATAGTCACCTCGACTTTCTGGGTACCACCCAACTGCTTGGTAACTTCCAATGCATTTGTAATAGTTCCTGGTATCCACCTTCTGGATACATAGTAGCCATTACATCTTTCAGCAGCCTTTTCAAGTGCAAGATGCTGTTCATGTTGTTTTCCAGTTCCCACGAACAAGATAATACCCCCTCTTTTCGAAACATCTTTGATGACGTGAGCAGACCTCTTGAGAGCAGCTAATGTTTCATTGAGATCGATAAGATGCAAGCCTTGATACTCTCCGTAGATGTAGGGTTGGGTAGACGGCCTCCACAGAGCTTTTGCATGGCCCAAATGACAGCCAGCGCTCAAAAGATGACTGAGAGAAATATCCGAGATACTGGAAGGAGACTTGACGTCCTTGTCGGCAAGATAAATGTCCTTCAACTCTGAGCCCAAACTTCCAGAGTTTCGCGTATGCGATAAGTGTCTGAGGTAAAGCTCCGATTCAGAATATGGCTTATAGTCAGGGGTAGGCTTCAAATTAGGAAAGTTCGAGGCATGCGTGTTCCTCGTGGTTTGTATCTGTTGAGAAGATTGCTCGGAATCTTCCTTCACATTTTGATTAAAACGATGAGGTTGCAGAATCCAAGGTCGATTGGCAATTTTAAAAGATGGAAGTTCCAAGCGTTTTGCAAGCAAACCCTCGATTTCGGAGTCGAGTTGTTCGAGCTTTTGAGTCTGGCCTAGTTCCTTCTCAAGAGAGCTTGCTCTCTCACTTGCTACATCTGAAGGTGTAGTATTCATTGCACTTATCAATGACCTCATTTGGTTTCTGGTTTCCCGTATGGCTTTCTCTCTGGCTTTTAATTCTTCTTCCCTGGCAACGGCCTCTGCAATAGCTTTGTCTCTTACCTGTTTCTGGTCCAAAGCCTCGGCAGCTAAAAAACGCTTTGAATGTAAGTTGACGGCATTTCTGTTATGAATAACATATCGAAAGTTGGCCGGCCGGGGACTACCCTTCAGAAGCATCGTTGACGTGGGAGGTATGTTACTCAATGAACAAAATTTTCAACCTTTTGAGGTCATGTGCCGCTTTTTTTTTTTTTTTTTTTTTTTTTCTTCTCGTTTTCGCACCTTCGTCAACTGTTCTTCAATGCCATGTTCGATTTGATAGGCGACAGTATCTTGGGTACCATAGAGTCTACGGATAGTCATGTTATTGTTTTTATCTTGCCAGAAATTCAGTATGCTCTAAACGAACGTGCTTTTTTAACATGCTTGTCTGTTCACATGATAAATCGATTGAATAGTTGTTTTATTTTTTTACCTCACGATACGCAAGAAGCTGTTACCGCTGTTATCGAGGCATTTGAAAACAGAAGTGCAAAAGTATTAATCGTCATAACTTCAGCGAAGTCTACCCATAAGGCAAGTCTCCTTTGTTTTTACAGCTTATGCCACAACTTAGCATTCTACTACGATGTATGTGTGAAATTCGTATACTTGGAGATTTAGAAAAAAGGACGCACAAATCATCACATACGAAGGATTATTGCTCTTCGTTATTGTGTTCATCTTGCTCTTCATCCAATGCTTCAGCTGACTCAGTAGTACCTAATTGACTAGCCAAGGCACTTAAATCAGGAGTTCCACCTCCTCCCGCGCCAGCTCCAGCCAAGAGCTTTGAGAAATCCAAATCTCCTGCTCCACCAGGACCTCCAGGACCTCCAGGACCTCCCATCATGTTTGCCATATCCATATTTCCTTCATCGGCTTGTTCCTCCTGTTCATCCTCATCAACCCACTTATCGAAATCAGTTTTGATATAGTGAAGCTTTAACTTCTCTTTCAACAATCTAGGCCAGTACTCGGATTTAGCATCAGCTTTCCGGATAATAAAAGAAATGTGATTTCCGGCTTCATTCCAATGAGATTTCTCAGGGTCGACCTGATCGTAGAATGCCAAGTTTAATTCATATGTATCGCTGCCGTCGGATGTGCCAGCAGAAAACTTGAGCGCCTCAGAGCTCAAGTCAATTTTGGAGTTTTGAGGATCTTGGACTTCAATTGTAACAAACAAAATGTTTTTCTCCGGCTCGTCTGCGCTGGAGCGCTGTGCCCACGTAACAACTGGATGAACAACCATGCTTATTGAGTAACCGGTGGTAGGAGCGAGCTTTTATCTTCGACTCTTCATTCCAGAACGTTCGATCACGTGTTTACGAACCATGTAGGTCATACTAGAAGCTACCCTTGCCCTGGAACCCGAAAAGCACGGCAATTGGTTCCTTACAGTCTGTTTGATGTTTAGCAAGATTACTGGCTGCTTGGATACAGAAGTGTGCATCTTTTGTTGTGCCTTCAACTCTCGAACGCTGGTCGTGGATCTGCACCCCGGCTAGGGTCTCACGATATCCGCTACATAATTCAACATCCAAATTGTAGTCTAGTCTTATCTACGCCTGCAATGCTTGGTCAACTCCCTTTAGAAATTCAGGTCCTCCTACTCAAATCCTGCCCTAATACATCACTCAAGTTCCTAAATACCCATTTTTATCTCCTTTACAATGATTTATTTTTCGAAAAGCTCATCAAAACATTTGGCGACGATGTGGTGGAGATAATCGCAAAGGTATACCCCTGGCTCAGAACGTATATCATGACCCTAGATGCCTTCCGTAAAACCTCTAGAGAAGTCATTGCTAAGAGATTGAAGCTAATTGATGTCCGACAGAAGTCTGGTACGCCCTCGGAGATCATAGAAGCAATGTATATCAAAGATTCTTGGAAGTATGTCTTCTCACTATTTAAGAACAAGCGGCTTTTTGCAGAGTATTCAGATTACAAAATCGACGAACCCACAAATTATATCTTCAATCATTTCGTCGAGATAAACCGATCCTACCTACTTTCCTACACTAAAAGGATATGGCTTGCCCCAGGAACATATAATCTAAACATAGGACTTGTGGTAAAGTCGGGGAGCGGTCTTGGAACGACCAAGTTTGACTTAAAGTACTACGATTCAAATGGGAATGCAATCGTTCAAACTTTTTATCCTCCTTCAAATATCAACGAAATCCTTCCCAAGCGGCAATTCTGCTTCCTTAAAATTGGCGAGTTTCTGGTGAATGACCCGACGCCTGCTGCTGGTGAACGTCAAGACAAGCAGCACAGTAAGCTCCAAAGGTTGGAGCTAACTATGGAAGAGATTGGCCTCTATCTTAAGTCGGGGTTCAGAATATTCTTCATCGATATATCTCAACCATCGATGTTGTTTAATGATTATGATCTTTTATTTTACAGCTGTCAGGAGACCAATTATAAGTATTTTATTAATTTGCCTTTAAAAAACTTTTATAAGGCATTGAATCATGTTCAGAATGGAGGACTGGAGAACGATGGTAAAATATCATACGGAACAGGTGATCCGGAGGATATCGCTGATCAGTATGACAATGAGTTCCCAGAGAATATCGCTTCTGACAACATATCACATGAAGAGAATTTGATGGAATACGCCAATTTCTTCTTCCATAATACATACAACCGAAGATACTACAAATTCAACACTGTTTATCAAAGGCGGCAGTTTGTTAACCGATTTGGGGATTTTGAATTAGATGATCGTGAAGGTGATCCTCGCAAACGGCGATGTTCCTACGACAGGAAAGATATCAAATGGAGGATACCCATCATCGGCGAGCTTTAGTATATTAGTAAGTACTGTAACTAAGCATCTTCTGGATATAAGCAAAAGTAGTGTGATATAATCATAGTCAGATTCGCGCCTCTAGTATGTCGCGCCAGTTATAAGATAACAGGCAATCGGCTCAAATGGAAGGCGACTCCAGGATACATATCAAATCGAATGACCTGGAAGGTTTGCTTGACATGAATGAGAGCCCTGAATTTGTATCAAAAGAAGATACACAGGAAGGGCGTTTCAATGATGTACATTCAACATCAACAGAGGAAAGCTCCAACAGCAAGTGCTTCGAGAGAACGAACAGAAGGATCATATTACAGCGATTCACTATTTATAACTCATCCAATACAATGTATATTGTTGGAAGTAATGCTAAGGAAAGCCTATTCAGGATTATTGAAATCAGCACGGATGATATAGACGGGACATTATCAATAATCGAAGACAGGAACTACTTCTACACCAGAAAAGACGTTATTGAATTAATGAGAGGTTTAAATGAGTCAATTGAAGGTGGCATACACAAAATAGCTCACGCATATGGCTTATTAGGCTTCATCAGGTTCACAGACGCGTACTACTTATCCATTATCACAAAGTGCAGCCAAGTCGCAGTCCTTGGAGGTCATTTTATTTACCACGTTGACGAGACGAAGCTTATACCTCTCAGTATCAGCTATAAGCGGCCCTATAAGTATAGCGATGAAGACAAGTTACTTTCCATTTTTAAGTACCTAGACTTGGGGAAGACTTTCTATTTCAGCTATACTTATGATATCACAAACACTCTACAAGAAAACCTTACACGATTGAGGTCGCGCGACAAATCAGCCAAAGATGGGGAGAGTAGCTCATATGATGAACGATTCAGCTTGAACGAAAGGTTTGTTTGGAACAGTCTTCTTCTTCTGCCTGTGAGTGAAACCGACATTGCAACGTATGAGTGGTTTCAGCCAATTATCCATGGATTCATAGACCAAGCCAGTATATCTATCTACGGAAGGAAGCTATTTATTACAATTATAGCTCGACGTTCCCATCATTTTGCGGGCGCCAGGTTTCTTAAGCGTGGGGTCAATCATAAGGGGGATGTCGCTAACGAAGTGGAAACCGAACAAATAGTAAACGATATGATCACTTCATCGTTTCATGATCCGAAATTTGGTCAGTACGCTAACCCAAGATTTACGAGTTTTGTTCAACATCGAGGGTCAATTCCATTATATTGGACTCAAGATTTGAACCGCCTTCCAAAACCTCCGATAGAGATTAATTTATCCGATCCATTCTACCAAAGTTCTGCTTTGCATTTCGACAATTTGATCCAAAGGTACAATTTTCCAATCATTATCCTTAACTTGATCAAGACGAAGGAAAAACATCCCAGAGAACTGAAGCTCTCTAGACAGTTTGAAAATTGCGTAGCTTACCTCAATCAATTCTTGAATAGTCAAACGAGGCTACAGTACCACTCATTTGATATGTCCAAACACTCCAAAAAGAATGCTGACGTTATCGGACCCCTTGAGACGCTTGCGAAGTCAAGCATCAGCAAGACAGGCTTCTTTCATAATGGCAGAACAATCAAAGAAACGAAGATTCAGAAAGGAGTCATTCGAACAAATTGTATTGACTGCTTAGATCGAACCAATGCCGCTCAATTTATCATTTGCAAGGAGGCTCTATCGCAACAATTGAAAAGTCTAGGTTTTCTTACTTCTTCGGCAACTTTGGATTACGATTCTGATCTTATAAATATACTCACAGAGATGTTTCATGACCACGGCGATACAATAGCTGTCCAATACGGGGGATCTAATTTGGTGAACACTATGGACTCCTATAGAAGAATAAATCAGTGGAGCTCGCACACAAGGGATATTCTTAACAGCATCAAAAGGATTTATTCAAATTCCTTTATTGATGTAATCCGACAGGAAGCAATTAATCTTTTTTTGGGCAACTACATATATAAGGCAGAAAAGCCGAAGCTCTGGGAGCTACAAAATGACTATTATTTGCACAATCAAGGATCTTCATTGGATTTCAACAAAAAGAGAAGCTATATTCATTGGTATACCGAGCATGCGATAACCAGCCCCACGGCCAAGGATGTTCAACAAAAACCTGCTTCACTACATGCTCAGCGGCTAGAGCTTAATGAATTGTCTGATAACTGGTTTAATGAATGCTATGTGCCTCGTAAATTCCAATCATTTTCCAATATCTTTCAGTTTAACATGAACTCAAACGCTAGATATTTTCCATCCAGTACAAACGAAGCAAAAGCTTTTGACTACAGTCCTTTTGGGACCCGAAAAGGGAGGTTCATGGCTAAATCGAAAAACGGGTTCCGTCTCTCATCTGATACAAAAAAGAAAAATGCTGCCCACGCGTACACTGGACATACGTCCACGAACGATTTTGAATACTCGTCCACTACATCGCCAGACTTCTCAGAAACCATTTCCCATAAGCCATTCTCTGTCATTTCGTGTGATTCAGCTGACCAACGTATCTTTGCACAAAGCATCTCTGAAATACGAGATTTGAGGAGCAACAATTCAATAGACTCATTTGAGGCTACCATTCTGCTTTCTACGGATGACCAGACGGTTTACTCTAAATCAGTCAATCCTCCGCCTTTCGAAAATGGACTGGACATGCTTCTTAGGGTTATAGCTACCGAAAGTATTCAAGAATATTGGAAATACCTCGAATGCTTCTCCGAAACCAAAATTTTAAGAACAAATGAAAGGTACATATGATCAACCTATATTTGTTGCTAAATACATCGAATCTCACCAGAACATATATAAGCCTCTCCGCCCTCATTAAAATATACCCCTCGAAAACCCAGTCAACCGTGAAAAAATTCTGCAACAGCCTGAAAAACTATGAATCACTCTTGACAAGCGATCAAGTAGACTCAAAGACTCAAACTGTGATGCTCACCCAACCAGTTACGGGCCCCTTCCTCCAGTTAACGTATCCGACTTTTGATAATAAGAACAAAAAAAGATTGTCAACGTGGGGGCCGCTTTACCAATACTCAAAACCAAAGTACCGAACAATGAATTTACATAACCAAACGTGGATAATAAGTATCCAAATGATCGTGAACTCACGGAATAGAATTAAGCGGGTTTATATTTTTTTGATCTTGGGGTTAAGTAAATGCAGCTTCACTGCTTCTCTTCCAGCCGCAACGTGAGGCTGGACAGAGGTGGTAGTGGAAGTAAAGAGAGAAAGGAAACCATTGAAAAATGAAGACCAAATGGAAAGCGACAAAGACCGGATTCAGTCTAAAATAATATTGATCAAGAGAACTGCATCTTTTTCATCCAAATAAGCCATAGAGCTTTAGTAGGAAACATCTAACCGAAAGCGCCTTAAATTGATAGTAATACCCAGTACACCTTTTCTTACACCCAAGTTTCATACGACCTTCGACTACCTCGGGGGCCTACAACAAACGAACGAGTCACGCAGTAAATAAATTAGAGTTCATAGTCCTTTCCTAAAACTAGATTGTATTTGTAGTTTCAAAGCTAGATATTTGAGATGTGGGAAGGAAACTAGTTAAAAAATTAAGAGGTGACCTGCAGTTCGAGACCATTACGAAGCAATCACAGACAATAAATTTATCAAGAAAGACATCGACAACTACCTAGTTAGTGGACGCCCCGGGCATGTCATACCGCTTCATATATGATTTACGGACAAATAAATTCGCTAAGAAAACATCACATAATCGAGTCATATTATCTTCATAACCACAAAGATTTCTTCCAAACATTACCCTACAACATTTTTCTCACAACAACTTCACAGCAAATGGCCTTTATGTCATGTTGTGCTAAGCAGGGGACTGAATGAGGCAAAAGCTAAAGGGGCTGCAAAATATTTAAATGAAACCCTCTTGAACTTATCTTATTTTATGCAACAGCCTACATAGTTCTATGCTTCGTCGTGAGCAGCAAGACATTGAATTAGCAACATTCTACAAACTTTTTGACAAACGCAATTAAGCTCAGATCTCTCAACCGAGTTCTGACAACCGATCTTCCATTTTTTTTTCTTGTTCACTATGTACCAAGAAGACGCCTTACGACTCGATTATTATATAACTATAGAAAACTAAATATTACATAAAGTACATTCTCATGATTAAATAGCTTCCACCACTGTTGATCATCTCTGATTACATGTCTCGACTTGATTTACAAATAACTCTTTGATCCGTTGTCTCTAAAGTGCAATATAACGAACTTATCAGATAGACGTTGCAACATCCCTATTTTTATTTTTGCGTCCCCTACGCTGTCTCATTGTGTAGAACAATCAGCGGGAATCCTAAATGTACCAAACCGTTAACCGATATGTTACGACTCTTTCTGTATCGTGTGCGAAGCAACTTGATTCTGTCCCGAGATTATTAAAGCAATCTCCCAGTTGCGTTCAAAAACAAAAAAAATTCTCTTTTGCTCAACAACAATCTTTAAACCTTCTTCGGTGCACAGTAATAATTGCTTTATTACAATACACTTTCAATTTATCACTGGTAATGCCCATTTCCAAAGCATGGTAATTGTATTTTGGCTTGGTGCACCTTACCTGTACTGCAATATTCTTTAGTATATATGTGTTTTCCTTCTTTTTTTTTTTTTTCTTGTTTTTTTATTCCTTGCCCTCGCCACTTTACAGAGGGTAAACTTCAGAAGTGTTTATTCTTCTCCCTCGTTTTTTATGTTTGTTATTCCGATTATCATGTCTTTTTCATTTCAACTTACTCATAAGATTTCCATTAGCTTAGTTTTGTTCTATATTGATAATAAGTCCTTACAAAAAATGTCTTACTCCTCCGAAAGAAATATCGTATTGGTCTTACACGAATCACCTACATTAACAACACAAGAGAATCGTAACAGAAACTAAAATCTCCACTCCGCTTCGTCTCTTCTTCTCCCTGTGGCCCGCCGTTTGCTGCCGCTTAGGTCATCAACTTCCCTCCTCATGTTCTCACGTTTAAGACGCCTTGTGTTACGCTCTCTTTCGATCTCACGTTTCTCAATTTCCCATGGACTTAGGATTTCAATGAACGGCTCCCATACCGCGTTTCCGTTATGCAAACTACTATCAGTTCGAATCCTGATACTGCGTTCAAAAATGAGACCCGAAAGCTGCTGATACTTATTCAACTCATTGTTATACGTACCTTCGAGAATCTCGCGTTTGAGTCTTAAAACCGTATCATGTAGAGCATGAGCAATGGCGGGCTTAAACTCGAGTGAGAGCCCAATATCAGCGACCACTGTTTCAGCGAACTCTTCTGGTGTTATATCGGTTTGCTGTAAGTCCCATTCAAATTTATCTTCATATAGCTTTTTGTCAAGATTCACGGATAATTCAATTATAACGAAGTACTCGGCCGCCATAGGTAGCGGTGTTTGTGAAATCGTATGATATTCTTCGATTTGCTTATTGATGGAATCAACAATCTCCTGGTTAACATGGTTAGGTAAGTCTAGGTCTGCCGTAAGAAGCGTGGCAAACTGATCCGGCGAGATGAGACTTTCTTCGACATTCCACATAAAAAAATCCACTAGCTTGGAAGTCCCTGAGTTATACTCGATGTTAAGCTTTATTGGAATGAGTCTCTCTGAACTTTGGCGGTTGGGCACTTGAGGCTTTGTATCCTCTTGGAAGCTGGCTGGTCTCGTTAATTTCGCAGGCTTCAATAAATGTTTAGGTACGGAAGTTATGACGTGAGTACTTGCAATTGGAATGGAGTTATTGACACCGTTCTTCTCTTCATCATATTCAAAATCATCATTAATATTGTCAAACTCCGCGTAGTTAATCTGTTGCGCATTTCTTTTTGCTGACCGCTCTTGAGGAATACTCGTGACAAGAATGGAACTATCGGGATCTTTCGCCACTCTCGATGATATTCCAGAGCTTAGTGCCTGGGGGTCAAACGGATTCCCTTGATATGTCAACGACATTAGAGAGTGAGTCGTAGTCTGTACAGCTCGTTGATGTCGACGATATTATCGGGTTATGTGCACTACTTTCTTAAGTAAACATGAAAAGCAGCTTTATTTTGGCAAATACATTAAGTTCATCGGATTTGCAGTCTATTTGTTCATTACAAGAGTTTAAAACATTCATTGGGAACAGTTTTGGTGCAGACGTGGCCGCAGATTTGTACAGTTCGTTAGTAAACCAACGTGACCACCTAGCATCCACCCTACAGAAATACGATGAGAATCACTCATTAGGACCTGTGGAACCAGAAATCATTCATACGGGGGAAGGCGCTCCCTCCTTGCGTTCTTTATGTAACGTCCTACAATTGATTGTTGAAAACTCGAAGAAAGATCTATCTATTTCCGAAATGAAGGTACACGACGTCCTCACCAGGGTTCAATCACATATCAAAGAGACCTGATATGCATCTTCTAAGGATGTATACTGCTGGAAAGTCCAATCTCCAGTTCTGTTGGTCCAACCCATCTCCATATCTGGAATTTCCAATTGAGGTCTTTTCTGTCTCCAATGAAATGAGATGATTCGATTCCCCCTAAGGCATGTGGCCATATATAAGTTAAGCGGCTTATCCGTGAATGTACAAGTGCCATGCTACACATTATGCATGGCTCGTGGGTCGTATAGACCAATAAATCCTGGCATAAGTAGCTAGTAGAAGATATCAAAGACCCTTTGAGTCGATTTTCTTTTTCGATTTGAGCAATCATGTCGATGGCTATCATAACACTATGCTTCAAAGGATGAGTCTGCCGACAATCAGAAGCGGTTGTCAAAATGGTAAGCTTTCCTTCTTCATCTTGTCGAGCAATTAGGGTCGCTGACTTAACGCTTTCGCTTGCGCTAGCTAACTCTACCAATTTATCAATCAATGCGGCCTCTTGAAAGAAGTCGAACCTCGCATTCATTAGATCACGGTGATTCGGGTTTCCCTTCCAAGATATGGGCCAATACCTTTCACTCCACTGAATTGACTCATCTTTGGTTTTCGGTATTGTTGTCGGAACTTGAGCTTTGCGAATGTTTAGCATCTCGGTGTCGAGGTCACCTATCCAGCCTTCCTTAAGTAGCTCCATCAAGCGATCCCTTGAATTATAGCAATAGCACGAACAGATTAACAACAGAATAGAAACACCTTTATCCGTTTTTGTCAGTTTCATCCTCTTCAAGTTCGTAAAATCATATTCATCAACATCCTTTATGTACTCAGATATGAATCGTAGCATTGCTTTAATATCCTGCGGAGAGATATCACAAATCCAGACATCAGTTAATTCAGGTAGAGTGGGATACTCATTCGATTTCCTTATTTGTTTAATGAGACCATTTATAGTCGAAGTCTGTAAATCAACATTGCCTGTCATGGGATTTTGCTTCTCTCGTGATGTTCCACAACTTTCGCGCAGAAAATGATTTACGATAAAAAAATCACGGATGTCATTAAAGGATGGGGTAAGTCTCCGATCCATTCTATGCACCAAAAATCTACTTGTGAACAGCCACGAGGAATTAGATAATCATTCTAGACTTTTTAATGAGTTTTTGGACACAACTTACGTAAAACGCTTGCGTGGACGTGATCATAAACCGTTGCAGAACGTGAAGTACTTGGAAACTGCTGACATCGCAACTTTTCTTTTAAGTTTAGTGGAAGAATTTGCACTGGACAAGTCGAGTGGTCAGCCATTTTATAGTGTTACAGCTTATGATAGCTCCCAACCTACAATTGATTTTCTGTTGGATTGTATTAGGTCTGGCTACTGGCTGCGATTCTGCACCATCATAGGACGAAAGGAATTTGTCAACATCTTGAATAATGCTGAATCTTTCATGTCCAAATCCAACCACGTTTATTGGATTTTTATAAGATGCGAGTCAATACAAAGGAGTCTATCGAACGCTTTTCTCTCCAAATCCGCGATGATGTATTCCACTGGTTTCAAAAGGCGCAACTTAACTTTGATGCTGGAAAGCATTGAAGAGATGGTGCGATGCATTGAGTTTCCAAAATTTGTTAACACGAAAAATGTACCAAAGCGTTTGAGGAAACTCACTGGTTTATTGCGACGAGCTAAAGTCGCTGATTCCAAAATGAATTATGCGTATCTCTTCGAGGATCAAATTACAAAGCTTTCTTATCAGCCCTATACTTCTCTGCACGATGTTGCGAGATTCATTTTGGTAGTTATCGAGAAGCTTTTCACATCATCGTTCTGGGGTAATGCGTGGAATAGAAATTGCTTCCGTGAATTCTTGATTGATTACTTAAAGAGCCCAAAGAAGACGAGCACTTCAATTGGGGACCTAGTAAATGCGTTGAAAATACGTCATATTCGGTGGTTGTATAAAACCGACGAAAGATTATCGCTACGGGAGAAGGAACATTCAGAACAGCTCTTCTTTCGTTTTATGACTTGGATGTTCAGGACATTTCTTGTCCGGTTAATCAAAGCATTTTGGTATGTGAGTGAAACTTCAGGATACATATCAAGTGATGGATCTCATTTGGTGTACATACCTCACAGAGACTGGTCTAGCATGTCTGATCTGTGGCTTGAAGGATATGCGCATGAGTATCTTACTCAGAATAATCCAAATGCGATAGAACGGCCGCGCTACAAGGAGGGCGCTTTGAGACTTGTGCCAAAAAAGCATGATTTTCGGCCCTTATGTGTCCCTCTTAGGTATCAGCGTCTACCAAAAGCCGAAAGACTCCTGGTTGAGGAAGTACGGGACTCATATATTTTTGAGAAGAATGTTTTAGCTCCTGTCAGAGATATAATAAGGCATCAACAAACGAAGAGATCAGTTTACGACTTCGAGGGCCACGCAAAGTGTTTTTCAGTTGACGAAGTTGTGAGATCTATTAACAGGTATAAGGAAAATCTTTCCTCCCAACTCTGCTTGAGTAAAGCTAAGCTTTCAGTCATCAAGTTTGATATGAAACACTGTTATGACAATCTCAATCAAGCGAAAATTATACAGACTGTCAAAGAGCTATTTAGGGGGGATAAACATGACCTTATCTTTTTGAGAAAAGCTCTCAAATATAAGAGTACAAATTTGACTTTTCCTAAGCTTCTGAGCTCCATCACAGATCGAAATAACCTTGAAAGATCATATCAGATGGGATTGAGAGGGAAGGAATCTGTCGTCAAGGGTTGCCAGAAGTCAATAACTCAAATAACACACTTGAGGGTCTTTGATGTACTAGATGTCGTCCTAGATCAAATTCTCAATGGAACAATACGGTTGCAAAGCTCCAAGGACGTCTACTCTAGAAAGAGAGGTGTATTTCAGGGAACTGCTTTGCTGGCAACGTTTTGTGATCTCCTCTATGACCAGCTAATTTCGGAGTCCTTCAAATTTTTAAACGAAACAAAAGATACGATTTTGATTAGACTAGCAGATGACTTTCTTGTCTTGCTGCTTAACCCCAATACCTGTCAAAGGGTGTTTCAAGTCGCTTGCTCGCAGAAGTTTAAAGATTTTGGTGCCTACATTAATGAAGAGAAGAGCCAGTTTCACACTACGACCGAGCGAACCTCTATAGATTTTGTTGGACTAGAAATAACTCTTCCAACACTTGATATTCTACGCAGATCATCCTTTTCTTTGAATATACCGAGAAAGGTTGTTGGTTCCTTTAGAACCTTGCTTGACTACATGGTTAGGGTGTTCGAGTATAGATTACCAAAGGAATTTTTCAAATCTGCGGCAATATCGGGGGAAGCTGTGAAGATTAACGTCATGCATGTCTTGAATCGCATTTTGAAGGTCGTGGGGCCAATTGTTTCAAGGAGCAAAAACGACAGCACTTCATTTGCTCAGGACATAGACCTATTCTGCAAAAAATTGATTTACACAATTTGGGCAAAGTTTAAAGGAATTCAAGTCGATCAACAGTTCCTTTTACATTTATGCAATTCTCTTTCGAGACGTATTTACAAAGCCATGAAAAAAATATGATAAGACCAGCGCCCCCAGATCAAATGACACCAAAAAACAGCCTAAGGTTTTCGCTATCCTTTTCTCTTCGGCTTTTTTCCAACTCATCAATACCGCCAGACTTCCTCAACCGACTCTCCGATACAAAGGAGCCTAATTCTTCCTGGAACTGGTCACCCCCCATCAACTCGCGCTCCTTGTTTCGGATCCTCTCAGCTCTTGCTATTGCTTCGAGCCGAGTTGAATGATTGGGAATCAACGAGGCCACCTCGGATAGCATTGCATCCTTAAGACCGTGTAAGCTTTCTCCAGTGTCGAGGAGATTCATCCGAGTTACTATGTCTGTGCGCTTACTCAGCATCATCCGGCTTTGTTGGGAGGAACAGCGCTTAATCAAATCAAACGTTTCCTCTATCTTTTTTATATCTTCAACCAAATCCAGCGTAAGATCATCTTGCAACGTAAGAAACTGTTGCTCTTCGCAGACTTTGTCCAACTCCTTTTCCCATATCCTCTTCCACATAGGCTTCTCAGATCCAATATAAGTTCTGAGGCAGCTCAATGCGCCTTTCGCATACTCAATTTCGTTTGAGGCGTTCTTAAGCTGTTTCTCCCCTATACGTACGCCTCTTTGAGCAACATCTTTTCTAAGCGCTTCCATCATATCCAGCAAATCGTCAACCTTGGTCAATAAGAAATCAGAATCACCTGATAACTTGGCATAGGAATTCTCCATATAATGCCGGTTAGATGAAAGCGGCTGCGTCAAAGACGACTCTTTAAGCTTCGCTGTCAACAGCCTTGATGATTCGACCAACCTTATGATCTCCTCACGACCCACATTCTGAACCTGCTTGACAGCCTTGATATCACGACAAATCAAATCCAAGTCCTTGGTGACTGTCGGATTATTCTTCGAATAAGTCTGATTTGACATAGGCTTAGCTATAGGTAATAAATTTTTAATTTCAGAGCTCATACTGCTGAGATCATCTTTCATTGATGTGAAAAATACTGCGATATCTTCGCTGATTCGATCTAATTTGCTTTCCGAGATAGCGGGTGGAGCGACTTTGCTCTCGCGCAAAGACAACGATACACCTTCAGTGACATCAGATTCGAGTAAATGCTCCTCAAGTTCGTATGATGTTAGATGCCTTTTATCCTCAATATAAATATCAGGGAAGATAGTACTTCCCGGGGAGTAAGCAAACTTTTCAACGAAGCATAAACGAAGAGAAGCCATGGTGATCGGCTTCTCTAGTAAAACTTTTTTTGTCTTCTCTCCAACCAGAAGAAACACCGTAATCCTTCCAGACATTTGTTTTTCCGAGTTGTGCTTTTCAACGACATTATAAGATTTATCAGCGATCTTGGTGGTTTGGTCATCAGTCAAGGGAAGAAGACCTGGCTTATTAGCATTAGCTAATTTTGCGAACTGGTAGGCACTAAATCTCTTAGATGCCCGACGCAGAATGGCTCTGCTTTCTTGCAATTGTCTGAGGGCATCCTTTTTGACGCCATCCACCAGACTTGATTCATGCTTCCCATCACGAAGGTTCGATTTCGTTATAGAGTTGCCTGGGTCAATATCTGCATTCGAATCGGCTTCCATTTGACACAGGGAATCCATCAGCAGCGAAGGCTTCATTGGCGTATCAAGTGGCCCTTGCCCAATGTCTTTCGTACCCACACGGGCGGAAAGATCCTCGTCTAACCCTTTAATTTTAAGCTGTTTTTGTTTCAAATTTTGAAGAAGATTCACAATAATACTTCTGATGTTTGGAAGGAACCGATCCAAACTCTCCTGAGTAGGTGGTTCGCTTAAAGCAGACTCCAAGACTATCCTAAGGGCCTTGGGAACATCGCCAATGTCGGACACGTCGACTTTTGCGTTCGAAAATGCCCTAACGGCAGCTCTGAAGTCGTTTCCCAACTTGACATAAGCATCCGAAACAAACTTGTCGTCTACCTCCTGCCTCGTCCATTGCGTCAAGCTTTCAAGCAAGTGCTTCGTGGACACTAACAATCGCGTGACACTACTTTCAATTGTACTGGAACTGTTTCTTTTTGATTGTGACGATGTTAGCGAGGACGATCGCCCAGAGTTTGACTCGTTCATATTGAGAGAATCCGTGGGTGTTATAACCAATTCTATAAAGATTATTGTGTTGATCGAAGATCACGTGCAAAAATCAGCCATTGTGATTTGATGGACTGAAATATGCCTCGATTACAGCTTGGTCGCTGAAGTTTGCAAGGATCTTGATGGCGTCATCATGAGAGATCCCGCTAAGTAATGACTTGGTGGCTTCGACAGATTTATCGGCGATGTTGCCGCGGATTGACTTGTGCGAAAGGGCGAGAAGTATACAATCAACTATTCTGTGAGGCTGCGCGATGACTGCGGGATGGTCACTTTGAATAAGAATGGTGAGGAACTTGTAACAAGATGTCGCAGCTTCCAGATCATGAAGAACTGGTAAAAGATTGAGCCATTGTGACACTACCTTATTAGATTCCAGAACTGACCCACCGTGATTCTCGCATATTTTTGCAATTGCAGACACACAGTTGTCAGTGGCATGGATATTCTCGTCTGCCTTTGCATCTGGAAAGGTGGCCACCTGGAAAAGTACCGGGAGACTTTCAACGCATAGCGGCACATACTGCGGTCCCTTATGTTCTGCAGCGAGTCCAATGGCGTGTGCTGCTCCCTGTCTTATTTCCGCTTGAGGCGCTGTCAAACAGTCGGAAATGATGTAGCTAAGATAATTGAGTTGTTCAGATGAATCCGCAACGTAGTGAAACAAGTCGCAAACTATACTCAAACCACAAAGCCTAATGCTAGGATTTTCATCAACAATAAATGCAGAAACGAGGGATGATAACAGCTTCTCATAATGCGGAGCGAACGAATCGCGGCACTTTTTGAAAAGACAAGTGATAACACGATTTAACTCATCAAGTAATTCCTCATCTGTTATCTCCTCATCAGCATCATCCACATCCTCCGTATATTGATCATCTTCAGTATCCCTATTCTTGAGTCTATCGTAGATTTCCGATAGATTACATTGCAAGGCAGATGTTAACGCATTCAAATGCTCACTCGACAATAATCTGGGATCTAATAGGTCAATGCACTCAATAAATGCCGTGTAGTAAGCCATAAGAAGCTCTGGTACTGGCTCACTCGTAAGCGCTTCACTTAGCTTGGCACAAATCTGGACCCACATCTGACAAGTTTCCTGAGAGTGAGCACCAGTGGCATAAACAGTGCATTTGAATAACGATGCTAAGGTAAGTGAAGCCGAAGCGCGGACACCGTCATGTAAATAGAAGTCCAAGGCAGGAATGGCGATTTCTTGAGCGATCTCTCCCACCCATGAGAAGAACTCACCTTTCAATTGAGCCGAGTATACACGAAGCAAATCCATAGCAGTCACTTTGTCATCGAGAGCAGCTGTATGAACAGCAATTAATTTCCCAGAAAGGTTAATGACATCCCATTCTTCGCTGTTATTGAACTCTTCAGCTTCGTCTTCCTCTAAGAGTGATACATCTTGTGCCGCTTTAGCAGTTTGAAGCAATGGTGGTAGCACTATGGGAAGATACTGCAAAAAGTCTTTCCCAATAAGTTTACATATTCTACCCCAGCCCTGTTCTAGGTACGATTTCAACGGATCGTCCACTTCCGTACAGCCTTCTTGAAGCTCGATGAGTATTTCGATCAAGCTTCGGCTGTATTGACCAAAAATTTCGTTTCCCACAGCTGTGCCAATTAAAGTCGCACATTCGACACACTTAGCCTTTAACAAGCGGTTTTCAACACCCATGTCGCTCTTGAGAAAATCTATCAATAAAGGAAGTAAAGTATCGTGGTATTTGACGAATTTGGCTTGCGCGGCGTCTGCAATAATTGCAATTGTTGTCAACACCTGCTCTTGCACATATCTCTTAGGCGATTGCAAAAGCGCCAATAAGTTGTTTAATAGATCATCCAAGTAAGGTTCGAGAACATCGTTAGAAGCTGCTTCACAAAAGTTCACTAATGCAGCAGCGGCATGCTTCTGTACCTTGAAAACAGATCTCGTGGTTAATTTAGATATCAAAGCAGGAAGTATTCTGTCGCCCGAAGTCCTCTGTATGACACCCGCAAAATCAGTAGATACCTGACCCAAAGCATTACAACAGGCGAATTGAACTCTCGGATGTGGATGATTGATGCAGGGCAAAACAAGGTCAAGAAGCTTGGGAATTTCCGTAATCAATATTTCGGCGCAGCCTTCGGCTGCTGCTGACAAGGCCATGAGTGCGGCAAAGCATTCCCGCCAGTTCGATGAATGGCACATAGTAGGTAGAAAATGGAAAAGAGGGCTTGCAATAGCTTGTCCCCCCAACTTCAACGATATTCTATCAAGAGACTGTCGTGCTGCCTCATACTCAGGCTCATCTTCTTCATCTTCTAAATTGTCGTTATTGTTCCACTCAGCTGCATCATCGTCATCAATACTAATTTCTGTTAGGAGTGATAAATTTATCATCACCATCGTGGAGGAATAAGTCGTGGTCAGCTTACACATCGCTGGAGAGACTTCAGCGAAAGTTGTCAAGAGTTCCAAGGCAGCCAACCTAGAGTTCACTTCTAGCTCACTATTCTTGCAGACTGTAGAGCAAAACTCAATGATGGTGGGAAACATATCTTTGAACATTTTGGGCGCCATTTCAGCAAGCTCTACGAGGCTCTCTAGCACATTTGCGAGAGCTTCGTCATGACCATTCTCCAAAAATCGAGGTAAAGAATTCAAAAGATTTGGCAATAAAGGATTCATTACCAGCCAAACATTTCTGGGAGACTCTCTAAAAAAAGAGACAAATGCCGTGCAAGCTGATATTCTCACTTCGTCATCATCGTCTTCAAATCCAGCTTCGAAAAGTAGCAAAACTTTTTCAATAAAGTTTTCTGATATAACTTCTGGACAGCTAGAAAATATACGAAAAGCACATTCTCGAAGGCTGTTCAGTTGGCTGCTCGCAGATTCGAACAAAGTCTGGAGGAGATCAGGCCATGTACCACTTGGCGAAGAATCTTCTCTGGCAACTTCAGCCACTGCATCAGCTATTTTTCTTCTGACTGCGGAGGTTTGCTCAGAGACAAAGCCAGTGAGTAAAATGTTCCGGATCTGAATCCTTACAGATTCGTCAACCTCCCCAATTGTCCTATCAGTGACACTGCCGAGATTCTTAGGCGATCTAATAGACATCCTTCGAAAAAGAATAGCACAAAATGTTCTAATAGTTTGACTCGTACCGTTGACGGCATTCGTGGCCAAGTAGAGAAGTAGAAGGCCCACATTGTCCGGGTTCCTCCAATTAGTTTCGAGCGCAGTTTCAGCAGCCCTTCGAGGTTCGTTATCAGTCGACATTAAACCCTCAAGGAGCCGATTTAAATTATTCACTTCATCTGATGACAAGGACATAGCGGCCTTAATGTTTTGTTGGTGTGATAGTCTGATTGAGAACAGACAGAATTCTACCTGAAGATTTTCTTCAACATTGAGCGCGATATACAGGCAATTTTATTTCTTCTTACGCATGATTAAAATTTATCAAGACAATACCTATTGACGCACATACCACAGATTAGTCATGAAGTTTACCTCTTGAGAATCGTAATAACATCTTCATCTTGCAAAGTATGCGTTAATCCGACAATTTGGGGCTGGTGTTTGACAGATGTACCATAGACAACAGCGTTCTTGAAGTCTTCCACCAAAGATTTATGGATTGAATTACAGAAATCTTCGACAGAACAGCGTTCACTTCTTAGCACTACCGGCTCGTTGAAATCAGGCAATTTGCCCTTGGGCTTGGTATAAACACGCACAAGCCTTAAGCGATCCCACATCATCTCAAGAAGGTCGTCCAAATTCCATCCACTTCCTGATGATATGGGGACGGCGTTTGGAATTTTGTATAGCAAATCAAGCTCTTCGATCGAAAATGAGTCTATCTTGTTTAAGACGTAGATCGCAGGGATATACCGGCGGGACTTTGACTCAATAGCATCAATGAGGTCATCCACCGTTGCATCACATCTAAAAGCGATGTTGGCTGAATTAATCTTATATTCAGCCATAACAGCTTTGATTTCATCATTGTCGAGATGAGTCAAAGGAGCGGTTGTGGTGATGTTGATACCGCCTTTTTCTTTTTTGTTGATGACGATATTGGGAGGTTCTTTGTTGATTCTAATACCAACGCCCTCCAATTCTTTTTCGATGATTTGCTTGTGATGTAAAGGCTTGTTTACATCAAGAACAAGAAAGAGTAGATTGACAGACCGAGCCACTGCGATGACCTGTTTGCCTCGCCCTTTACCATCTTTGGCTCCCTCAATGATTCCAGGCAAATCAAGCATCTGAATTTTTGCTCCTTTATACTTAATAACACCAGGAACCGTTGTAAGTGTGGTAAACTCATAGGCAGCTGCTTCTGAGTGTGTCCCTGTGAGTTTCGACAAAAGTGTCGATTTTCCTACTGAGGGAAAGCCAACAAACCCCACTGTTGCCACACCCGTACGTGCAACATCGAAACCCTGGCCACCACCGCCACCACCAGAAGTACTATCAGATAGTAACTCCCTTCTTAGCTTGGCTAATTTTGCTTTGAGCTGTCCGAGATGAAATGACGTAGCTTTGTTTTTCTGGGTTTTGGCCATCTCATCTTCAATAGCCTTAATCTTTTCAACAGTAGTCATTGTATGGAAAGGTAAAGTAAATTATAAATGGCTTTGCTTGGTAATCTTTAAAAATTTGCAGTACACACCTGAGTTACGAGCATCTCATACCGTTCAGTTAGAGGTGCGCAGTAGTGTGCTAACCATCAAATACTGAACTCAGAAGAGAGCAAAAAAAAAAAAAAAAAAAAAAAAAAAACGGTGAACAGACAAACAGCGAAATGGCGAAAAAGTCAAAGAAAGGCGGCAAGTCTGGCGGCGACTTCTGGGACGAAGAGCCAGATGTAGAGCAAAGCATTGAAGCTTCCCCTGAAGGAGAAGATTCTGAGGCTCTAGACCAGGAGGAAACACCTGCGAGCGATGACTTCCTCAGTTCTATTCGAAGCTCCAAGAAAAAGAAAGAAGCTAAAGAGAAAGAAGAGAAGGAAAAAAAAGATGGACCTAAGCTTTTGAGTAAGAAAGAGAAAGAAAAGTTGAAGAAGGAGGCAGAGAAGCAGGCGAAGAAGGAAGCGGCCGCTAAAAAGAAGGCGGACCAAGCAGCGAAGAAGGAGCAGATCAAAGAAGCCAACAAGCAAAACGCTGCAGCAAATGCTGAGAAGAAAGCAGAGTCTCACAAATCTCCAAGTCCCTCGGAAGATTCACCAGAGAGTAAATCACAACCAAAGAAAGGCAAGAAAGCACCTGCTGGTATCGCTGCTTTGAGGAAGCAGCTCGAACTCAAGAAGCAAATGGAGGAAGAGCAGCGCCGTATCGAGGAAGAAGAAGAAGAGCGCCGTTTAGAGGCAGAAAGATCTGCTGCTCAGAAAGAAGCGGAAGCTGAAGCAGCCCGCGAGGCAAAGAAAGAAAGGGACCGTCTCAAGAAAGAGAAATTGAAGGCAGAAGGCAAGTTGTTATCGAAGAAACAGCGAGAGGAGAAGAAGTTGCAGGAGCGCCGTCGTGAGCTACTTTTGCAAGGGAGTGGTATTAGCGTTGCTGGATTGGAGAAGAAAGATGGTACTGAAAGGACTGAGAAAGGGAAACGCGTGGTATACTCCAAAAAGAAGCCAACAAAGTCAAAGAAAGAAGAGTCACAGTCCAAGATGGATCAAGAAGCTAAGGCCGATGAAGAGGTTTTGGATGATTGGGAACAGATGCTCGACGAAGACAATGATGATCATGGAGATTCCGGTCACAAACAGGAAGTCGAGGAGAGTAATGAGACTTCAGAACTCTCTGGAGAAGCTGATGTCACATCAAAGAGCGCTACAGAGCAGACACTCGATGAAGATTCTAAGACACTGGATAATCTGAGCCACGGAAATGTACAAGCGGTCCAGGAAATATCCTCGTCGCAGCCAGTGGTTGAAAGAGATACTGCCTCTATTGGGAAGGAGATGCGTTCTCCTATTTGTTGCATCCTTGGTCATGTCGATACAGGCAAAACCAAATTGTTGGACAAAATCCGCCAGACCAATGTTCAAGGTGGCGAAGCCGGTGGTATCACGCAACAAATCGGTGCTACATACTTTCCAGTTGATGCTATAAAGCAGAAGACTGCAGTGATGGCCCAATACGAGAAGCAATTCTTTGATGTTCCGGGTCTTTTGATCATCGATACGCCAGGCCACGAGTCTTTCACTAATTTGAGATCTCGTGGTTCATCTCTTTGCAACATTGCAATCCTTGTCATTGATATCATGCATGGGTTGGAGCAGCAAACCCTAGAATCGATCAGACTTTTGAGGGATAGGAAAGCCCCTTTTGTTGTCGCTCTTAACAAGATTGATCGTCTTTATGACTGGGAAGCGACCCCCAATAACTCATTCCGTGACTCGTTTACTAAACAGAATAAGTCCGTTCAAAGCGAGTTCTCCAACAGGTTTGAGCAAATTAAGCTTGCGCTCGCCGAACAAGGTTTGAACTCGGAACTTTACTTCCAGAATAAGAACATGTCAAAGTACGTCTCAATCGTGCCTACTTCAGCAGTCACAGGAGAGGGTGTACCGGATCTTTTATGGTTATTGCTCGAATTGACCCAGAAAAGAATGTCAAAGCAGTTGATGTATTTGTCTAAGGTTGCTGCTACGATTCTAGAAGTTAAGGTTGTCGAAGGTTTCGGTTACACTATCGACGTTGTCCTTTCTAATGGTGTTTTGAAAGAAGGTGATCGAGTAGTCCTTTGTGGCCTCAATGGACCCATTGCCACAAACATTAGGGCATTACTCACGCCCCCACCTTCGAGGGAATTGCGTATAAAGTCAGAGTATGTTCACCACAAGGAGGTCAAAGCTGCGTTGGGTGTGAAAATTGCTGCAAATGATCTCGAGAAAGCCGTTGCCGGCTCGCGTTTACTTGTTGTAGGACCAGACGATGACGAGGATGAGCTTATGGAGGAAGTAATGGACGACTTAACGGGCTTATTAGATTCTGTTGATACATCAGGCAGAGGAGTCGTTGTTCAAGCTTCCACCTTGGGATCTCTTGAAGCTTTGCTTGACTTTTTGAAGGACATGAAGATTCCAGTCATGTCTATTGGACTTGGCCCGGTTTACAAGAGAGATGTAATGAAGGCGACTGCAATGCTTGAAAAAGCGCCTGAATTTGCCGTCATGTTGTGCTTCGATGTTAAAATTGATAAGGAAGCTGAGCAATACGCAGAGGAGCAGAATGTTAAGATTTTTAACGCCGATATTATTTATCATTTGTTTGACGCTTTCTCAGCTTATCAAGCTAAATTGCTTGAGGCAAGGCGGAAAGAATTCATGGAGTATGCCGTTATTCCATGCGTTTTAAAGACGATTCAAATCATTAACAAAAGGAATCCAATGATTATTGGTGTCGATGTGATGGAAGGAACAGTCAAAATAGGCACGCCTATTTGCGCTGTGAAAAAAGACCCTACCACGGGCTCATCAAATGTGTTGGTCCTTGGTAAGGTTGTCTCTTTAGAGGTCAACCATAAGTCCGCTGATCTGGTCAAGAAGGGTCAGACAGCAGCTGGTGTCGCTATGAGGTTGGAGAACCCATCCAGTGCCCAACCTACGTGGGGCAGACATGTGGATGAATCTGACAATCTATACTCCTTGATTTCCAGACGCTCTATTGACACATTGAAAGACCCTGCATTCCGTGACACCGTTCTGAGAGATGATTGGCTCCTAATCAAGAAATTGAAGCCTGTTTTTGATATCAAGTAAATAGATTCTACTTTTGAGATGTACTGCGCGAACCAATAAAATTTCATACAATCCGCACTGACCAAATCGATGTGTAACTTGTACTCGAAACTCCTTTCACCATGCAAGATCTTCCACCCATAGGCGGGTACGAGCCCGTCCAATGGAAAAGAAACATTCCATCAAGAGGTTTCAAGCCCAGTGTATACTTTTGGAGTATCACAGGCTTGATTGCTTTCGGATTCTATAGATTCTACAAAGGAGTGGATGAACAACGAGAACTTGCAAGAGAGAAGCAATGGGCAAGGTTTTCACTTGAGCCTTTATTGCGAGCTGAGGAAGATAGACATCTTGCGAGAAGGTACTTTGCGGAACTTCAAAGGCGTGAAGAAATTGCGTCAACTATGTCATCGGCTGACAAAGCCAAGTTCGAGGAGAAACTTTACAATGATGACTCCAAACTCAGACTTCCAAGGTTTTCCGCAGGAGTTGATCCATCACAGCAATAGTTTATAGCCATAACATGAACTGAGGACTATAACTTCCAGCTTCCAGAGTAGGTACCTTATGTTTAACCTAACTAGTCTCATTCTCTATCCAGCCTTCCTATGAATTTAGCGAAGAAAACTTTCCTTTGCCATAAACTTGTGACACATTTACAGGGCTACATCCAATCTCTCTGCAAAGGTAACAACAGCCCACTCAATTTACATGCTTACAAGCTGTTGCAGCGCGGTAGAGAAGGGCAAAAAAGCAAAAAAAAAAAAAAAAAAACAACAACGAAGGGTAACGAGGTACGAATGTCTAAGGTCGACACATCCAAACAAGCGCAAGCAGTGCTTCAAGACTACGAGTATTTCTTGTTTGACTGTGATGGAGTGATATGGCTTGGGGCTCACGTCTTGCCATTCGTAAGGGAGACTTTATCGCTTTTAAGAAATGCAAACAAGAAGATCATATTCGTGACTAACAATTCAACGAAATCAAGGTCTGACTACGTGAAAAAATTCCAAGATATGGGGATCGAAGATGTAAGAAAGGATGAAATATTCGGCTCCTCCTTTGCGACAGCAGTTTATATCCAGCAAATATTGAAGCTTCCACAGAGTAAGAAGATCTGGGTTCTCGGTGAAGAAGGAATCGAAAAAGAACTTCAAGAGCTTGGATATGAAACGCTTGGAGGTTCAGATACATTTTACACGAAGGATGGCGTGAACTTTGATCCCAATGATGAGAGTCTCGCCCACCTAGATGACGAAGTGGGCGCAGTTGTTGCCGGACTCACATTTAACTTGAACTACTTGAAGCTTTCAATTACGACGCAGTATCTCCTCAAAGACAATAAGTCAATACCTTTCATTGCAACTAACATTGACTCGACGTTTCCTATGCAAGGGAAGCTTTTGGTTGGAGCTGGGTCAATCATAAATACTGTGGCTTATGCAAGTGGACGTGAACCCGATGCAGTTTGCGGCAAACCTAACCCTTCAATGATGGCGTCTATCATGGCGAGAAATCCTGGGTTGAAAGCAAATCCTCGGACTGGAATAATGATTGGCGATCGATTGAACACGGATATGAAGTTTGGAAAGAGCAACGGCTTAGATACTCTACTAGTCCTCACTGGTATTGAAACAGAAGAAAATGTTAAGAATCTTAGAGAGGGCGAAAGTCCCACATATTACGCTGATAAATTAGGTGATCTCTTCGAGCTCCTTCAAACCTCCGAGCAGTAGCTGCTTCGCTTTAGATTTTATAGGATTCGTTTCGCAATGATGTCACTGGACTGTACATAGAGCACGTGATCACTCTATTGAAAGGGGACTAGAATTTTGGTTGAGCTTACGACCAACACAAGTTAAAAACGTCACAACGCCAGTTACAACGCAAGAATAAAGTGCGGTACAACAAACACTACCTTCAACATATCCTTATCAACCTCCATCAATTAATTCTCATTTCATCACATCTGACAGAATGAGCCAAGAGCAAAAAGAAAAGTTGGAGAAAAGTGGACTCGTCGAATGGTCGGTCTTCTCTGAATTGGTGGCCATGGATGAAGATGAGGAAGAATTCTCAAAAGGATTATGTCAAACATTCGTAAACCAATTCAAGGAAACCGCACAAGAAATTGACGATAACTTGAAATCGAAGAACTTAGAAAAGTTGTCATCCTTGGGACACTACCTAAAAGGATCAGCTGCTGCATTAGGCTTGAAGTCAATCTCTACCCAGTGTGAACGCATTCAAAACTATGGTCATCGCGTGAACTTTGACAATTTCAAACCCGAAAAGGATGTTGACGAAGAAACGGATGAGTTTTGGATAACTTTGATCCAAGATGCCGTTAATAAAGCAAAGAGTGGCTTTGAAGAGTCTAAGGCAGCCCTAGATGAATACTTCGAGGACGAATTATAATTCATGACATGAATATACAGGTGATAACTGGTGGATATATTTGTCTGGACGGGCCATCGCAGCGGCAACTGAAAGCCTCTTTTCATAAAGCCATCAGGATGTCGAGCAGTAACATGCGGTGAAGGAAACTACAAGATGAGGCCGGAATTATGACGCAATCTTTAGATTATGTAGTCAACGAAACGCATTTCTGGCTAGTATGAATCCTAACTTGTAATTCGTAAAAGACAGAAATCCATATAATCGATCTCGTAATCAACGAAACGACGCAAGGATTTGGGAATGTAGAGGAGACGACCGACCCCTCTGTGCTGACCGGCACCATTAATCATCTTGGTGCAATGAACACGTTCAAACTGTGGGTCCAACACATCATCTTCAATCCATATGGGAGGATCGCCAACCAGGATATCTGATTTCGAAGAATTGTCAATAAATACATCACAACTCTTCAAGTCAACGATCTTGTCAACTGCAAACTTGTTTTTTGAATTCATGTTGCGAGGAATACTAGAGGTGACCTCACGGATTGGGATACCTTCGACAAAATCGCCAGGCAAAAGACCGTCGAAACTGCTCTTGACAAACCTCAAGCGAAAATTGTCGGGGAGAAACATTGATGTAGGAAAATGGTACCATTCCCGTCCAACGCATACGTTGACAGTTTTGTGGGCGTCATACTGCTCGGATATATCTGATAGACTTCTTGCCACAGATAGAGGAGCTGAATAATTTTCCACCAAATTCAACAACCTGAAAAACAGGATGGCTATAACGAAGCAGCCGAATAGATATTTTGCACACCTTAAAAAACGGCTAAACAGTGTCGAGCGTGCCAAATAGTTGAATACATCAGTGTATATCATTGCCGCGGCTAAACATATCATGGGGTAGATTGGATAAAGGAACCTTTCCTCTTTATGAGGTTGTGTTGCAAAGACCAAGCTCCATACCCACAAGGGGCAGAGTACGCAAATAAGCTTCCTCGTTTTGGAATGCTTGGCGAATAATGTTGAAATTGTAGCACCATAAGCCGCAAAGAACAGGACATTAAAATTTAGAAGTAGGTTTTTCACATAGTAGCTAAATGGTTCAATTCCAAATATCTCAGGACCCTCACCCTCTGCAGCAAAGACATTATAAAGTACGATATTGGAAGGAACGAATACAAGCTTTCTGTCGTAGTAAAAGGAATCAACGATAATTATCGCTGCCAGAAGAAGGCACATTATCAATGAGCAGCAGAATAAAATATAGCCAAGGTTTTGACGCTTATTCCATAATGTGTACAATCCAAAAGGTAAACCGAGAGCCAAAGTAAATGGCCAACCAACTAACCCACCAACAAGCAAACAGCTTATGGCAATAATTGAATCGTTGGAGGTGTATAACGTATCCTGCGAGCTATTGAATGATGAAAGAGCAAAAGCAGTACTTAGCGTTGCCCAATTCATAGCCAAAGAGGACGGTAATAAAGCACTGGACGCATGACCCATACCAGCTGATACGGTTGAGACTAGAAGGAACCATCTGGCCGTTACCACTGAAATGTTTCTCTTGACACTTCGAAATAGAACAAGCTCGGTGAATGAGGTGAATCCAGACAAACAGACGACCCTTATAAAATAAAAGAAATAGAAGGGGGAACGGTCTGTCCGGTAAGCTTCACATAGTCTCTTAATGGGAAAGTTCCTATGTAATATGGAATGAGATAGAAGTATGAACGAATAGCATGTTCGGGAGAGTATTCCCATGTTTGTTTACCAAACCCTCGAAAAAGAAGGTTTAGGGGCTCCCAGTAGTTGAAAGTTTCATCACAGTCTGCAATTATCATGAATAGACCACAGTAAATCCTTACTGCGACATTCAAAAGTATGATTAGAACATCGACTGAAAGGAATTTGGATAAATGAACACTGATAGATCTCTCTCTTTCATGGCTCCTGGACGGCATTAGGGAATCTATCTCTCAGGTATTTGATTTCGTTGGCTCTGAAGTAGGAACGCGCGCTGGTATAAATTGTCGAAATTCACTATATAACGATTAGTTCTTAAGCAACATAGAATCACGAGAAGGACCCACACCAACCCACTTGACAGGTACATTCAAATATTCTTCGATGTATCCCAAATACTTTTTAGCATTCTCAGGAAGGTCAGCATAGTTCGTGATCTTGCTGATGTCTGTCTCCCAACCGGGTAATTCGACATACTCGACTTCGACGTTAGCGAGTTTCAGCAAGTCTTCAGGAAAAGACTTCAACTTTGTACCCTTGTACCAATAGGCAACACCAACTTTGATGCTCTTGAAAGAATCGAGGACATCTAACTTGGTAATGTTGAGATCCGTGTATCCGTTTATAGCAGTAGAATACTTCAATACCACTAAATCCAACCAACCACATCTTCTCTTCCTTCCTGTGGTTACACCATACTCGGCACCAACATTTTGCAACGTCTCACCGTCTTGATTAAGTTGCTCGGTGGGGAAGGGGCCTTCTCCAACTCTAGTCGTGTACGCCTTGACGACACCGTACACATTTCTGATGCTTCTAGGCGGGATACCTAAGCCCGTCAAAACACCACCAATTCCTGTAGACGACGATGTCACATAGGGGTAGGTTCCGAAGTCCAAATCGAGCATCAAGGCATTTGCACCTTCCACAAGAATCTTTTTCTTCGAAGAGATTGCCAGATGCATAAACTCAACAGAGTCAACGACAAATGGCCTTAACTGCTCCCTGTACTTCTCATACCTACTAAGTTCTTCCTCAGTGTTGTAGTCGAATTCGCCGTAGCGCTTGTACCTCGAATCGACTAGCCTCTGATATCTGACCTTAAATTCTTCCCAAGCACCGGGTTCTTCAGAGACTAGATGATGTACTCTAATACCAGAGCGGGAAGATTTCGTGGAATATGTGGGCCCAATACCCTTTCCAGTCGTGCCAATGGACTTCTTAGTTTCGGAAAGCTCTGCCTCCTTCAACTTGTCAGTTCTTTGATGAAAATCAAAAACGAGGTGAGCTCTAGATGAGATGAAAAGTCTGTCTCTTCCCTCAAGACCCTTATTTTCTAAGTTGGTTAGCTCTTCAAAGAAGGAGGGAACGTGAATGACAACACCGGAACCCAACAAATTCTGACATTTAGGATTAACTAAACCAGAGGGAAGCATATGGAAATCATACTTGACCCCATTGACGACGATAGTATGGCCGGCGTTGTTACCACCTTGGCATCGAGCGCATACATCAATTTCATCACATAATATATCCACTAACTTTCCTTTTCCTTCGTCACCCCACTGAGCGCCTAGAACAACGTCACACATCTTGAGTTATAAACGTGGCACTTGTATAGAGACCTTAGTTGCAAGCTAAGGAATGAACGACTGAACGTTAAGCCAAAGAAAAGTTCGAATTTTTGGGACGTATTTAAATGAAGAGCCTGCCTGCATGAATTGAACAATTCCACGACCAATCAAGGGACAGCTTGACAACGATTTCTAAAATGCAGGTTTCAGATGGATACGAGATGAAGACCCAGACTTCAACAAAAACGTTAGTTTAAAGTGAATGGGGGGAAACAACGATATAACAAACTCTACTATTCTTCTCTTCCTTGTACGATTTGAAAATCGATATACACACGGCTATCTCTATAAACCATGGACATCAGGCGTTCAACTTTGCCAAGATCGCATCGGTGAATTCAGTTGTAGTGGAGTTACCTCCAATGTCTCTAGTTCTTACCTTACCCTCAGAAATAACGTCATAAGTTGCTTGAGAAATCTTGTCGGCATGGCTGTTCAAGCCCAAGTGTCTCAACAACATAGTCGCGGACAAAATCATAGCGGTTGGGTTAGCAGTGTTCTGGCCCTTAATATCCAAGCCAACATGTCTACAACCAGGTTCGAAGACAGCATACTCGCGGCCAAAGTTTGCACCAGGAACCAAACCGGGACCACCAATCAAGGCTGCTCCGATGTTGGAGAGGATCGAGCCATACAAGTTTGGAGTCACCAAAACATCGAACTGTTGGGGTTTAGCAACTGCTTGCATGGATGCATTATCAACAATCAAGTCATTGACCTCGATGCCAGGGTAGTCTTGGCCGACATCCTTAACAGTTGTCCTAAACAAACCGTCACCTAACTTCATGATGTTGGCCTTGTGGATCGCGGTCACCAATTGCCTGTTGTTCTTCTTAGCGAAATCAAAAGCAAACTTGGCGATTCTTTCAGATTTGAATCTCGTCATGATCTTCAAAGACTCGACGACACCTGGAACTGATTGATGCTCTAAGCCTGAGTACTCACCTTCAGTATTCTCTCTGACCAAGGCAAAATCAATTCCATCCAATCTTGACTTCACACCAGGAATATTCTTGATCAAGACCAAAGATGCATAGATATCCAATTCCTTTCTTAAAGCAACGTTCAAGGACTTGTTGGTCTTGTTTGTGGGAGTATACAAAATACCTTTCAAACCCACCTTGTTTCTCTTCAAGGAGTTAACTGCTTCAGTCACACCCTGGTTGTCTTCACTCAAACCAGATACATCGATCACTTCCCAGTTAATAGGAACGCGCTGATCCTTGAAAATGGTTTGGACAGAATCTGTGATCTCCTTACCGATACCATCTCCGGGAACCAATGTCACAGTGTAAGTGCCTCCGTATTTTTTTGGCAAGACTGATTCGGGAGAAGCAAATGTCGCAAGGGTACGAATCTATTGGTTAGTAAAAAGTAATTCGTAGAGCTTAGCACGTAGCTGCTTTTGTGAAAAATGGGAAGGGGTTAAGTAGACTATGGGCTAGACTGTACCGAGGTGAAACTCCTGCCCTCATAATTCAATTCATCTTATCAAAAGTAACATACATTTCTAGCAACTGGTCTGAACATGTTCAAGAAAACTAAAGAAAAGATGAGTTAAGAAAACGATACGTAGGGAACGCAGTTTTTCCGTTTGGTACCTTGGAATCACCATGGAAAAATTCGCACGAACATGCTTCGGACCCGAAACGCGATTTAATTGGATAGAAAATTTCCAATAACTTTCGGAGTGTGGTACATGCAAGGAAATATGGTTAATATTTTCAAGAGAATACTACAGGTACTGACAAGCATAAATAGTATAGATTTACGCCGTGGATTATGCTCGTACCAGAATGTCCCAAAGTCCTTGCTATTTCAGTTGGGGTCATCAAATCGTCTCCTAGGTGCCGATGATATTCGACGGCCTATTATTTTGGAGACAACAGTCGCAAAGTCTCGATTCTCTATTCTCTATTCTAATTCAAGGATTGTTCTCTCAATGCTCACATACTTTTTCTTTCTCCCTCTTGACCTTCGCTTCTTCTTTCCTGCCTTTCATCCTTCGATCTTTACTTCAGTTGTGTTTTGACATTTTCATTGTCGTATCCACACTATGGAGTTGGCGCGAAGATTAATGCGTACTTCTCCTGTAAGTGGTCGCAAGAACCTATCGCATCCAGATTTCATTTGCTAAACTGTTACACCCCCAGAGGTCTCTCTCCTTAACAACCTCATTTTAAAAAAAAAATTGTCGTCTTTTACGTGCATTTTCTAGATGACGATGAGTAATTGGAGGATACTTGCGAAGGATTTGCATCGTGAGCTTTTACGGGCTCATCAAAGAGTCCTTTCTTGTCGACAAATGTTGGACTATGAGAGACAAAAGGCTCGCTTAACTTACGAGAAATTTCAGCTTATCACCAAGCGGAAGCCATACGAGGAAGTGAACCGTAAGCTTGCCACACTCGAGAAAAATGGGTGTTTTGCCGACCCTCTAGATGCTAGCAGAGCGAAGGAATTAATTCGGAACTCGAAGGATATCAACAACCTCGGCAATGTTGTTAGATATCTCCGCTCTCAGAGGATTTATGATGAATTGTTGGGAAGATATAACCCTGGGCTCTCCATGAGCCAAGGCGAAAATGTGCAGAAGACAGCTAATATGGTTGGACTACAAGTACCTGAGAATAAATAAAATTAATCCTTTTTTTCTCCATTTTTAATATTTTTTTTATCGTTGCAATTTTGCTCCAGATTATGCTAATCTTTTGAAACCTTTCGGTGATGATAGCGCCTCAATACAATCATTCGAACGCTTGAGCCTCAAGTTTTCCGTCAATATACTGCCTTCCCTTTCTTTGATTACCCTATTTTCTTGGAAGAATTTCTTGAGACTGTCAACCATCAACACGTCATCATAATGTTGCCGATTGAAAAGAGGGACAGCTCCGTTCTTTCCCAATGATGAACGCTGTAGTAAAGATTGTAGATACCGAGAGCTAGCGTCCAAATTATAGCCATATCTGTCCATTAGAAACAGTAAGGCTAAAGCGTAAATGAGTGAGTTGGAAGCGTGTTGTTGGTTGAACTTGGACGACACGAATAGGATGCCTGCTGACTCGTTCACAGTAGTTATGAGTTTCAAAAGGCGGTTGATGTTGAAAAGCAGCTTCAAAGGGTTTCCATTAATAGTTGGAGAATCAAAGGCCAACTCTGCATTATGTAGGTTGGAATGGATGTAGTAGTGGATATTCTGATTATACTGGTAAAAAAAAGCCAAATAGTGCTGCAAAACTTTATTAAAGCGTTTGTGGAAAGCGTTAAAAATTGCCAGGCCGTTCGAAATACTAGGATCGAGATTGAGGATAATGACGTCTGAGGATATAACAGGGATCTGTACGTCAAGGAATTCGAGAAAGCCAGATGAACATCCGCAGTTGACGACTACCTTAATGTTTGCGCCATCTATGAACTCGCCGTTGAGCAAGGATGTATAAGACCCAAGGAAGACACCAGGAGTTAGTTCTATTCCAGAATGATGCTCGAAAACAACCATTCCTCGCGTGAGCTTAACAGAATTGGTACTGCCAGGAGACGCGGAACAGAAATATGATATATCTTGTTTTAACCAAATTCACTGAAATGAGCTACTCCAAATTAAAACTCTCAGAAAAAACAGGGATAAGGGAGCAACAAGACTTGTTGATGAAGTCTACTGACCCTCAGAAATAATGGGCGGTGCCTCTGGTTATATAGCCATCGCTTATGTAAGAGAACTTTGTACGTTACACAGACGATGAAGGCTGGCGTGCCGGACTGAACATGCTGGACAAGCTGCATATAAGACCGCTTTCGACAGTACAGGAACGGTGTAATGCGTTGTGGCAGGCCGAGTAAAAATTGTAAGGCACTTTTTTTTTTTCTATTAAATTTTTGCAAGTCTCTGCGCACAGTAAATGATTGATTGGCCCAAACGGGCTCTTCTATCCGTTGCATAAACATCTCATCCTAATGCCTTAGCATCTCAAGAATAAAATTCGATTATTGGTGACAAAAGTAATGTAGTTCTTTTCCGGGATGCAATCGCTTCAGTTTTGCGCAACTGTATAGTCTCCTTTTATCTCCACATCTATCGCGAATGTAAGACTTCCGCAACTATAACTTGATAATGCTCTTGAGTATATTCAAACGCAATGCTTTTCGACACTCAATTGGTATCTGCTCAATTGTAGGTACCGGACTCTTAATCAGACCGAGGTTTGTCGTGAGAAATGAATCAACCATCTCGTCTATATCCCCGAAGGTCCACAACAATCCAGCTACTTACGACGTTAAGAACAAGACGACAAAATATCAAGACTTGTGTCTTGGCTCCGTATCGGGACTCTTCCTAGGGTGTGTTGTCGGTAAGTTTTCTTCTTTGCTTGTGTTTCTCGCATTATCAACTTACTTTTTTCTAGAATTTCTTGAGAGCAGGGGCATCATCACGGTCCCATGGAACAGCGTGCTTGCTATCGGAAGTACTCGACTTGACCTCAAAGACTTGATTTTCAAACGAGCAAGCTTCAAGTTGTCATTTTCAGCTGCCTTCCTCATAGCTGCATTTAATATATAAACTCGTGTCTTAGTATCAAACATGCTATGGTATTATTATGTAACATCTAATCACCGTGCTTTATATCAGTCATAACGTCAAATGATCCGGTACCCACGTTAGACAACAAGCCCATCACTATCTTTGCTGATGGCGAATCCAAATCCTCTCTTTCGCCATCAAGCACAGCCTTCGTCAAGAATTGGCAGGTGGTCTCATACGACATCTTCTTGAATGCGGAGGTCGAAGAATCTATGCCTTGTCTGTTAAAAGCACGATAGGTACCTTCTCTTGTCATCATGTCAGCAATGAGGTCGAGATGACGCGTTGAAACAGAAATCGCATAAGTAGAGAAAACGTTATTGATCTCGTTCACGATTGTGTTTCTTGCTGCCTCCACACCATAAGTTTTCAAGACCGAAACAATATCGTTGGACGTAATAGCATTGACGTCGATGAAATCATCCTGCTCCCACATCGCCTTGAAGTTAACACCTTCGGTGGTTAAAGCACGCTTGCTGTTGTCTTGCTGTGGACGAAGGCACCTTCCTATGTTGGTTATCTCTCTAACCACGACACCACGACATAAATCCTCAATGATGTTCACCATCAATAACTTTTGGACATCTCCAAGTAGTTCGATTTCGAACTCGCACCAATGACCAGCTTCGTCATCGAAGTTGTACTTTTTGATGTAATGATGCGATGATATCACTTCCGCTTGCCTATCTCTTGCAGCTCGAGAGAGATCCTTGGGTAAACGCATCTTCTCTTTTGCTTCATCGAGTACCATCTTATCTTCTCCATCGGAATCAGAATCCGATTCCGAATCGTCAGAATCCCCTGATTCTTCGATTTCCTCGTCAGAAGTTTGCTCCGCTTTCCTCATATTTTCGACTTCGTCTTCGTCAGGTTCATCATAAGAAACAGCTTGCTTAGAGTTGGTCCGGATCTTCTCATCTGTAGCATCGTCGTCACCTTCTTCCATGTCAGTAATCTTACCAGGTAATATAGCAGCGTCGGTCTGAGATTTCGGCAAAGCTTTCCCAATTGAAGGTTTAGATGAGTTCTTTGTTTGCGTCTTCAAACTTTTGTTGATTGCCGACTCCAATTTGTCCAAAAATTTAGTAGAAATGGTGGCTTCCAACTGCTCTTGCGAAATGTCATACTCATGCTCATACTCCACCTTCGGGTAAAAATTAATTCTGACCTTGTATGCTCTATAGGAAGAAGTACTTCCTTCTTCCACGCCAGTAGTTTCAGTCACAGTCACATCGTCAATAAATTCACTCAAGTAAACTTTGCCGATAGACTTGCAGAAAGAATCTGCCATGGAATTATCCACATCTTCTAATATAGGCAAAGACATCTGAGGAGTTGCGATCGAAGCAGACGCAGTCATGATGATCTCTCTCATTCTTGGAATACCAAGTGTGACATTAGCAGCTCCATGACCAGCAAAATGGAAGGTATTCAAGGTCATCTGGGTCGATGGCTCTCCAATAGACTGAGCAGCCACAATACCAACCGCCTCACCGGGGTTGATCAATGACCTCATATACTTGAGTTGCATTAGAGCTTTGAACTTCTTCTCACTGACCGCATCATCCAGATGTTTAGAGAAAAGTGCGGCGTTCTGCTTCGTGAAAGTATCCAATTTATCCTGAAATTTCTCGGAAACGGAACCCAAGTATTTCGAAGGACTGAAAACTGAAAGAACTGGATCATATTTTGCACTCTGCTCGTAATGGCTCAACAGTGAATTTTTCTTGAAATGCTTTCTTGCTTTCTTGGCGTAGGACAACGCTGCTTCCGTATCCAAGTGGCCTGCAAGATCTCCTGGGTTGTAGCGACTGACTAGAGCATCGTAATTTTTGAGACAGAAATCGAACTGGTTCATGTGAGATTGCTTGGTGGTATCCACGGAGTCTCCACCATAAAGGAACTGAAGTAAAGAACCATCACCATCCCTCACAGAATTATCATAAGCGACGTGCACACCTTCCAATTGCTTTGTAAGACAGCGCTGTAAATAGCCGGATCTGGAGGTCTTAACCGCAGTATCGATCAAACCTTCTCTACCTGCCATACAATGGAAGTAGTACTCTTGTGGCCTGATACCAGAATAGAAACGACCCTTGATATAACCACCGGCTCTGGCATCTGTTTCAAAAGGTTTGAACGAGGGCAAAGTCTTACCGCTCACCATAACCGGCACTCTTCTTCCCTCAAGGGCTTGCTGGCCGAGTAAACACATGATTTGAGACACGTTAACACCCGAGCCTTTGGCACCTGACAATGCCATAGCTTGCATACTATTATATGGGAATCTTTTCATGGTGCCGTCTGGAACGCATTTACCAACAACTTGTGATGTGATCGCATTCACCTTCGATTGTGTGATAGCATCCAAAATTCCCAGTTTGCTGTCGTCTCTCAAAATTTCTTCGAGTCTCTTTAACAATTCCTTGTCATTGTTAGGGGTTGAAGTATCTAAATTAGTTACTTCACATGCTGCAGCTCGTCCGATATCGACTGACTTCTTCAAAATGTCATCTCTCCATTCGTTTCCTTCTTTCGTTAATCTCAAATCATCCATACCACAAGTGAATGCAGTGGTTAATGTATAATTCGTGAAAAGCCTTCCCAACACGGACAAAGCTTTGCTGGCGATTGAAGGCCCGTAAACTTCATGAAGGGAATGAACAATACCATACTGCGCTGCACCGTATTGCGATTTGTCCAAGATACCACAGAGAAGTTCACCATTTCTGAAAACCACGTTATTCTCCTCAGAGTCCTTGCCCCAGTATTCATTCTTCACCTTGTTCTTAGATTCGAGATTAATCCCTGGGACATCTTTGGGCTTAATATTGAGAAGAATTGTTGTGATGACTTGCTTTCCTGTCCAAAGTGCTTCCGGCTTCAATATAGTTGGAGGGACAGTAAGAATGCGAGCTCTTCCGTTGGTGTGACCATCTTCGGGTCGAATGCATCCATAGACAAGCTGCTGGTATTTCTCCCTTGTGAAAAAAGTATCCTTGTTTGTCAACCAAACTCCCGCACTGATATGATCCTGAATAAGACCTCTGAGAGGAGACCCCGATGTTGGAGTCAAGTACTGGGAGTCAGTATTTGCAAGATTGAGTGCCTCCGACTTCGCGTTCTCATTCTGTGGAAAATGCATATTCATCTCATCACCATCAAAGTCAGCATTATAAGCACCAGTATTCGCATAATGCAATCTAAGGGTTTTTTCGCCAGGCAAGACTCTTACTTTGTGTCCCATCATGGACGCCTTATGCAAAGTAGGTTGACGGTTCATGACCACAACATCGTTATTCTTAATGTGTCTAAACACCTTCTTGTTGAGGCTTGAAAACCCGTTCAATGGGGTGAGAAGCTGATTTGCCACGGCTTTTCTTTGCTCTAGAGACATACCCACTAACGAAGTCATGAACCCATCTTCGTTCTGGACCTCAATTGCTCCTGGCCATTTATCAGGACCGTTGATAACGGCCTGTCTTAATTCAGAAACATTATGAGAAGTAACAGGTTCGGGATAAGTGAGCTTGACAGCAAAGACGGGAGGAACACCAATCTCATTCGTTTCGAGGTTCGGGTCTGGCGAGATAACTGAACGAGCTGCATAGTTGACACGCTTTCCCATCATATGCTTCCTAAACAATCCCTCCTTCTTTTCCAACGCTTGTTTAATTCCGGGGGTAGGCTGCTTTCCGCCACTTCCATTCATGTTCTTGCTGGAATCAATAAACACGTTGACGTCGTTTTGAATGGTAACAAAAGCATTCATCAATCTATTGAAAAGTATTTTTCTGTTTTCTGCATGAGATGCCTTTTCCTTTGAGAATAGAGTGGATATCTGATCATTCAAATCCCTAATGAGCAAGCAAGTCTTCAAAATATTCGACAAGAGTTCATTCTGCGCATTCTCATGAATTTCATCGCCGAGTTTTGAAGGAAGACGGAATCTCGTTGCTGGGACAATTAAAGCGTGAATGAAAAACATATCAGCACTTACAACATCAATTGATGTTGGCCTGGAATGAAAGACCTTCTGCATGATCGCCTGTTCATTCTGGAATACGTTTCGTAAAACATACCTAACCTCCGTTGAGAGAACATATTTGGAGCCCGATCTTGGTTTCAACTTGGGGACTGTGGTCGGATGGGATGATGTCGAGTTCTTCTTCAAAGCATCTGGTCTGGTACCTCCCTTTACCCTGTTGCTGCTTTCCTGTTTGTCCGTCAAAGGGTTCTCAAATATCTTCACAGCTCCATCTTTACGGAATGTAGGAGAAAACATACCACAATTTTCGCATTTACCTCTTGACAATATCTTCTTGTAAAATGCACCAACAACTTCCTTCCGAACTTCCCCCACGGTTTCTGTAACAACTCCTTTAGTTTCAGTTCTTCCCTCTTTCAATGCCGCGGAGATTGCCAGTTCGACAAACAGCTCTCTTTTCTGCTTTAAGAGGGAAACGGTTTTCGAGTCACCAGGGACGTACTCCTTGCTGTCGTCCTCTGCCTCATCAGCATTCGCATTGTCCAGGGCAGACATGTCTTCGAGCTCTTGACACTCTAAAAGCAAGCCATACTGAATCAAACGAAGCTTGCATGCAAATTTATGAACCTCCAATGAGTTGAGTCTGAGGTGATGGCAATAAAGACAGGAGGATCTCAAAAATAGGAAGACTTGATTCAAAAACAATGGATTATAAACTGGCACTGGTAAATCAATATGACCTTGATGACCAGGGCACGAGTGTTCGTCAAGTCCACAAGTTGTACACAAATTCCTCAAGAAAGCTCCGAGAGCCAAATCATACAAGCCATTGGTGATAGGATGGCCAAGATTATCAAAAACAACAGGGTTGGTAATTTGTTTAGCAGACAACTTTCTGACTTCGTCAGCAGACATTACCCCAAAGTCGACTGAGGTAACCTCCGACCCAACTGGCTTTGAGATGTCCATGATCGTTGTCCTTTTCTTGAAAATTCCAGTGATGAAGATCTAAAATTCGAGAGATGAGATGCGAAATGAAGAGAGCAAATTTTGTATGCATTACTGTTAACGTGATCTATGGCAGGTGATCATTAAACAGTATGTGCGGCGAGGAGACTCTTATCGAATCATATAAAAAAAATACTCGGGCCTGAGAATACATGGTTAGCATGGTGTATAATTTTTTTTTTTTTAAACCCGATTCTTTAATTAGCAGGCACGTGTACTATACAGCTGTCTGGGCACTACTACTAATCAGCAAGACCGATAACGATGTACCACAAGCGCCGAGTGATCTCTAAATGCAGAATTGAATTGGGTATACTCGGTACTGTTTACTTGAGACGCAAAAAATAATTCGAAAACGACCGACCTGATATGGGTCATTGATATCATATTATCGGGAAACCTGTACTTTGTTAGAAATCGAAAATCTACTGAAGTCTGACAGGCTATTTTACACCCCAGGACAAGTTATCATATCCAAAGACCCAAGGGCCCAACGTGTGACGCAAGAAAAGCATTGTGATGCTCAATGCAAACTGGGAAACCAAGATAATGTAGCAAAGTTTTTTCTCAGTCAATGGGCCGATGACAACTAGAGTAAGGTTTATAATGGTGAGATTCGAGAACTCTGTAATCTCTCCTTCGCGGTTCCTCTTCACGGCGACCATACGAAGGCTAGCAAGCATCTGAATTAGTTTCTTGCCTAAAATGTTACCATTCTCAAATTTGGCGTAGCTGGGGTACATTAAATCCTTCTCCGGGTCAAAATGGGGTAACCGGTGTCTGGGGCACGGTACGATATGAAACAATTGTGGAATAGAATAAAGGAAGTTGATAATTTGGACAATGAACAACATCAAAAGCGTTTTAGAAAAGTGACCAAGAATACCAATAACAGCAAAAACCATACCACTAAAATAGCAATACGTATCTCCCACGAAAACACGTGCCGGATATCTGTTATAGACGTAAAGCCCAAGGGAGACACCTATAAACGGTATCAAAAAAACTGCTGACAATAAGTGAGAATCACGGGCAGCCTGAGAAATGGACAGTGTGTAAAGATAGGCTAGGTCGTTGGATAAGAATACAAGACCAAGCACGATTGATTGGCCGACTTCTAACCCATTGATACCTGCCAAAATGTTAATTGAATTCGGACAAAAGATAGATAATGCTGACATATACCCATAATAGAAAACTCCAAGGTCTAAAAGAACTGGAATGTCGGAGCCGATGGTATAATCTATTGCTAGTGTAGTGAATCGGAGGCCCGTCACCTTCGTGAGTAGCTCGTTCGCTAGACGGGATGTCCAATCTATGAAGAGAACGAGGCGAACACCTGAGCTAGATTTGGTGATGAAGCTTGGAACAACGATTGAAGTCACACTAAAGTCAACATAGTACACAATTAACAATGGAAGTGATGCAACAGCTGGTAAGAAAAACTTATGTCTCCACCTGATGTCGAACAAATCGTCAAAAAAGCCCAAGATGATAGTACTGAGCAAGCATAGGGCACCACTTAAAAACTCTGCGAGCTTGTTATGTGGAAATAATTGGTTTCCAAGATAGGCATTGTATTGATCTTTGTAATTGGAAAGCATATCGCCGTCGTTCGACAAGGATGAGTAAGAGACCAAATACTTGAAAAACACAAATGGTATAACAAGCACGAGTAGCACCATGTAAACTATGGAAGCTACAACTCCCATTGATTCAGGAATAGGATCAACGGGGCCACGTTTAGATAGATCCTTTCCTTGTAACCCCACCTTCATGAAACTTGGACCCAACCGAGGTATCAAGTAAGTGGTGAGGACAAAGCCAATAATCCCAAACGCAAACAGCGTTTGCAAGGGGCTATCAAAACGAATAATGATAATTCCTAAACCAATCAATCCAAGCTGAAGGAGGCCTTTCATTTCTGTTTGAGGTAGACTTCAGGAAGCTTTTGGTGAGAACGCGCATCAAACCTGTCAAGGTTGACCAGGCATGGACTGCCAGACCAGCAGTTTCCAAGAGATAGCTCCTTAAGTGTATGAAGATTAGAAAAGAAAAAAAAAAATATAACAGAAGGGGATCAAAAAGTTCTAGTCTTGACTCTTTTCAAATAAAGACGAATATGCCTTAATTAGGCTCATGTTGGGGTATAAATGTGACATGGCCTGCAGAAGCAATATTTTGTAAGACTACGGGCCTTACCTACTACTTAGCGACAAGATGCATGTTTTCCAGACAGGCCACGAAGAACTTGTGCATGATATAAAATATGATTACTATGGCAAGCATGTGGCAACAGCTTCTTCGGACCAGCACATAAAGGTTTTTGACCTTGATTCTGCTTCATCTGCATGGGTACTCAACGACCTGTGGAAAGCCCATGATTCTCTGGTAGTGAAACTATCGTGGGCACATCCAGAGTTTTCAGGACAAAGGCTTCTCGCGTCATGTTCTTATGACCGTACAGTGAAAATTTGGCAAGAACTGTCAAATGAGTTACATGGATCAGGTCGTCGGTGGGTCAAATTGGCGACATTAGCATCCGAATCCTTTGGCCCTATCTACGATGTTGTTTTTGCTCCTTCACATTTGGGCTTGAAGCTAGCTTGTGTTGGATCCGATGGTATCACACATATTTATGAGTCATTGGAGCCATCTGACTTGTCCATTTGGTGTCTTACTTCTGAAATACCTGTACTAAACCTGTCGCTTCCCGCAAAGAGTCTTCAAAGCAGTTTCTGCATTGAGTGGTGTCCAGCAAAGTTCTCGAAAGTAGAGATGCTATGTATAATAGCTCTTGACCAGGGTTTTATCTATGGGACAGGCATGGAAACCCAACACACTAACGTGAATAATGAAAGGGCGGGTGACGGTTTAAACATATCCAACAAACAAGCATTCGACCTGCAAGTTCTTCATGACAACAACGAAAAAACCGAAGTAGAAGGTGCATATCTGGCAAAGCATCTGTCTGCGGGAGATTCTACTGATACAGCCAAGTATGTCAGGCTTTGCAGTCTACCGGAACACAACGGTCTTATAAGATCTGTCAGTTGGGCACCATCAATGGGTCGAAGCTATCATCTTATCGCTACTGGATGCAAAGATGGATTTATCAGAATCTTTAAAGCGACAGAAGCTAACGACAATGGTTTGAAGATTGAACTTACAGCAAAACTCGACGATCACAAGCAAGAAGTTTGGAGAGTTGCATGGAACAGTACAGGCACTATATTGAGCTCAGCGGGGGACGATGGTAAAGTGCGTCTATGGAAGCAGAACTATATGAATGAGTGGCAGTGCATGAGCGAAATAAACAGCAGTAATAGACTGGACTATAGGTTGGATGGTGATCACGATAGGCCACCTTTTGTGCAGAGACCGTCAACAACTAGGTGATATTACATTTTAAACCCGTCTTCTGCGCTTGGTAATTAGAGGCTTGTCCTGGCTATCCTCGCTCGCTTCAAGTTGCTGCCAAAGATCCTCATCGTTTTGGAGGTCTTCAGCTTCCTGAACAGACTCCTTATCAATTGCCGAAGATGAATCGTCTTCAAGGAATAGAATGCTACCTATCTGGGTGCCGAGGTATACTTTCGCAAGTAATCTTCGTGTTTGGACGTCAAAGACCCGCAAATATCTATCCAAGCCGCCTGTGGCAATTGCATCTGTACAAGGAGATGAAACTATACTGTTTATCGCTCCTGTGTTCCCTCCTTGCGAGTATTTCCCGAGCACTTTGAGGGATGGTCTGTAAAAGGTGCCCGCAGAGGCCGAAACGATGCGGATAGCCTTGGCGTCAACCTTCACGAGTGAAAGCCTGGCAACAAAAGTATGCGTATCAGCAATCACTATATCCTCTTGAGAGCTTGTCGCAAACTTCAAAGCATTTATAGGTTTTTCGCAGACTTTATAGGAAGCAACTGGTTCCAGCTCAATCAGTGTATCGTACTCTCTGATATGACCGTACCATGTCGAAGTAACAAGCCTGAAGCCTTTTGAGCGATCCATTTTGCGGAAAAGAATGCCTGTAATCCATATCGGTACATCTAAACCGAGATGGTCGGGTTCAACGTTCTCTGCCTGAAAGAGAACCTTTGGCTTCCAATAGCTGGGGTCCTTCCGTTTTTGTCTATCCTTTTCAAGAAGCTTCAAATCAAAAAGCTTTGCTACTTGAAGATCATTATTCTTACCACCGTATGCCACGATTCCCGGCGAATACGGATTCATAGAAAAGGCACTAATAGTATTGTTCTCTTTTGTTCTTGAGGGAAGGATGATATGAATGGGCTCGATATCATCCGTAACATCAATTATGAATACAGACCCCGATTCAAAAGCCACCATTATAAAATTGAGAGACTCAAGTTCTATCAATGCAATAGGCTTGTCGCCGGCCTCACCCTGTAACTTGTATGAGCGTAGAAGTTTCCCAAAATCATCGGACTCCCTATTTGAAACATCGTGAATATCAACATAACCATTCAAACGAGCAACTGCTAACCTCCCATCTTTCAACATCGTCATCTCCCTGACCCTATTCTTGACATTAACATGTTCAGATGCCTCGAGTACGCTTCGTATGAGTTCGGGTTGAGCTCCCTCTTTTTGCGAAGTATCAGTTCCTTCTTGACAAATCACCTCTTTCACGTTACCTGTTTCGTCGGCAGATATGAGGAAACGCATGCCGTGTGAATGATGGATGTAGAAACCTAAGAACGAGCCGATGAGTACTAAAAAAATCGATGCGCGGCTCCCGATGCTCATCACAAACTTGGATCGCATAGCACCTGTCCTCAATAGACCCTTCTAAATCGGTAATATTGGACGAAATATCTGTTATTTCAATCAACTCATTCCAATTCACAGTTCAAAGAACTCAATCTGCTTTTCGATATATCTGTAGTGCTTGCTAGACTGCAAGATTCAGAGTTGACTGTTCTATCCCCACATATACCATTTCTGAATGTTCATAAGAGGACGAGATGAGACTTCTATGAGCATTGTATCCAGCAAGGTCTAGATTCCTTATCCGAAGACAAGCTGTTCTCGTTAAGGAGACTGCGGCCTGAAGGTCACATAGTACTTCGCAAGCAAGGATGGGCAGTAAGTTTCATCTACAGAAAGAGGTATGACTAGAATTCAAAGACGTCGAGATTGATCATGATTCTCTGGAGTTTTCCCTTTCCTGGGTTCTTTTGTTGGATACGTCGATTAAAAGTCGCCATCGGTTTGGTGTCTCTCTCAGACTATTTTAAGCGTTTTGTTTGGCCAATTTTATAATCAGTAAATCGCCGGAGACGGCTTTAAACGTCAGTTGAAGCACATTTGAACACGAAGGTATCTAAAGCTCAAAATAACATCATTTTTATAAACTTTTGAGACTTTGATGAGTTTTGATATAGTTTACTGCGTATGCCAACTTGTCGTATTATGGGCGTGTGGCGCAGTTGGTAGCGCGTTCGCTTCGCATGTGAAAGGCCTTCGGTTCAAATCCGGACTCGTCCATTTTTTTTTTTTTTTTCCCTTTCAACCTCAATAATACATGATAATCTAATTTTTTAGTCGTAGAATTTTCTTTGGTTTTCGCACCTAATTTCCTCTGTGTCCATCTGATTCTTGTTTTCACCCGCAACTTCGCAAAAAGTTATTCCCAGTATATGAGTACTGCATGTAGAAACTTGAGAAGAGCGTTGCACTGGAAAAAAAAAAGACGAACGATCCACAGTGCTCATCATAGAAGAATAAAATGTCTAACGTGATTGGTATTACATTCGGAAATACGTCGTCCTCCATTGCCGTTGCTACTCAAGATGGTAGAGTAGACGTCATTGCCAACCCAGATGGTGATAGAGCCATCCCCTCAGTTTTGTCTTATGTCGGCATTGACGAATACCACGGGGCCCAAGCTAGAGCCCAATTGGTTAGAAACCCAGCCAACACCATCATCAATTTCAGAGACTATGTGGGCAAGAAGTTTGATGAGGTTGATTTTTGGGCCTCTAAAGCCGGTGCCACACCTATCAAGACTGAAGATGGTGGTATCGGTTACAAGATCACCAGAGAGGAGGGCGAAGAAATAGTTACCGTTGAAGAGGTTGCTACAAGACATTTTAAGCAGTTGAGGAGTGCTGCTGAGGATTATCTAGGCCAAACTGTGGAGAAGGCCGTTTTGACCGTTCCAACTGATTTCACTGAGCATCAAAAAGAAGTACTCAACAAGACGGTAGAGGATGCTGGTTTGAAGGTATTGCAACTTATTAATGAGCCATCCGCTGCATTGCTTTCCCACTTGACTTCTGCTGATGACTCTGCTCTGCTTGAAGACAAGCTTTATGTCGTTGCTGATTTTGGCGGTATCAGATCCGATGCCGCTGTCATTTCTGTAAGAGGTGGTATCTTTACCATCTTGGCCACCGCTCACCAGCATAGACTTGGTGGTGATGACTTGGATGATGCTCTTTCTGATCATTTTGCAAAGGAGTTTGAAAAGAAATTCAAGGCTAACGCTAAGGCTACTCCAAGAAGCTTGGCCAAGTTGAAGGCAGAATCCATCACCACTAAGAAAACCTTATCGAATGTTCCATCATCTTCCTTTTCTATCGAGTCTCTCGCTGATGGTTTTGACTTTTTGTCTAACATCAACAGATTGAGATTCGAGTTAGCAGCAAGAAAACCATTAAGTGAAATGACAGCGTTTGTTGAGCATGCTGTACAAAAAGCTGGTTTAGATACTTTGGACATTGATCAAGTATTGTTAGCTGGAGGTTCTTCGAATGTCGTGAAGTTGGCTAGCAACATTCAGTTTATCTTCCCTGAGTCTACTACCGTTGTCGCACCTTCTTTAGACTCTAAGATCGCCAATCCGGAAGAATTATCTACTAGGGGTGCTGCTTTGCAAGCCGCTCTTATCGAAACTTTTGATGACGAGGAAATCCACGAATCTTTGCAACCAATTGTTGTGAACACCCAGCATTTGACGAAGCCAATTGGTGTCAAGGATTCAGAGGGAAACTTTATTCCAATTTTGGTCGCTGAGACAGCGTACCCTATCAAGAAGTCTCTTGAAGTTACCAACGGTAACAGTGCTGATGTGGTTGTGGAATTGTATGAGGGTAAGAGAAATGTGAAAGAAACTGTCATTGAGCCAGCTCCTAAGAGCGAAGATGAGTCCGATGACGAGGATGAGTCCGATGACGAGCCAGAAATCAAGAGAGAGGTAGAATACCTTACAGGTGACTTACTAGCCAAGTTATCTCTCACAGACTTGAAACCAAACTCTAAGTTAGAGGTCATTATCAATATTACCCAAAATGGTGTATTGCACTTGTCCGGCAGAGAATTGAAGCAGGGCTCTGTCGCAGTGAAGGGAGAGCTCCAGGCTGCTGCCTAGGTCACTTAGGTTCGCTATTTATATAGAAGAATTCCCCCAATAAGTGGGTTAATTATACAATGATATAATCGGTCAACGAAAAGAGAGACGAGCAGAAGCAAGCTCTGCTTCTTGTTTCTCGTAGCCATAAGCGAGAGTGAGGTCCTGCATTTCGGTCCATGTATGTTATGGTTATTCTACGCATTTACTATCGTAGCGTTCGTTGTTCCGACCTCGCAAATACACCTTCCATCAGCAACAGCTAGCAAATTTGAAGTGGAGTCCATATTTCCTCTTCTATTGTTGAAGTGTCGTGATTTATTCCCATCATGCCAAAAAAGAAGCAAGAAATGTCACAGGTGTATGGCCAAAGCAATGAGTTCATCTTTGGCGAGAAAGGTGGAAGAGGCAAGAATCTTCTGTCATTTCTCAAAAACCTCTCATTAACGGGCAATTCACATCTGCTGCTGCTGCTTCTGCTGCTGCTGCATCAGGGTAGAGGTGGAAATCCAGAAAGTCTCCGAGAGGCCAATAGTAATATTTACGGGAACTTATCCTACGGCTTCTCAGGTCAGGATCACGGAGGAGGAGAAATTGGTCAAAGGCCGGCAATGGCTACTAGAAACTCCAAGTTTTCTCGGTCAGTGTCAGCAAGCAACCCTAGAACTTCTACACCCCCGTATGATGGTATCGATGATAAAGCCAGCCGGCTGTCCTCTCCTTTCAATATCACTCGTGCTATGAGCGGCTCTGGTTACTCTCCAAGGAATGCTTACAGAAGACCTACCTATACCGATTTGGATGACGATTGGGATGCTGCCATTGATGAAGTAAACCAAGGTAATGCACGTACAAATGCCCCCTCCCAAGAGAAATTGGCCAGCTTAGGATCAGAGGAGAAGCACGGTGGGGCACCTACTATAATTGATTCCCTATATCCCGAATTGACGATGAGCTCAGGAACTGGAGCCCCTCTACCCAAAGAGCTGATGGATTCCCAGGACAAGGAAATGAAGATCGAGATTCAAAAACTCAACCAATTCCATGCTAAGTTTAACAAGTTTAGGAAGATACTCATCGAAGACGAAAGTGGCGTTAGTATGCGTGATCTAAGAAAGCTCTCTTGGAACGGTATCCCGGCGGAACTTCGGGCACTCACCTGGCAAATTTTATTGGGTTACTTGCCCACTAATAAAACAAGACAGGGTTCTACTTTGAGGCGTAAAAGGCAGGAATATCTCGACGGTCTCGCCGATGCTAATTCTGAAGCGATGTTTGATGGATCAGAGACGCCTGGTAACGAATCTTCTGCACTGTTGCCTGCCTCCAACAATAGGGATAACAGTCAGAACAAAGAAAAACAGCTTCATCATCAGATCAAGATTGATGTCAAAAGAACTAATCCTTCAGTGAAGCTTTTTGGATATGAAGCTACTCAGAAATCACTCCGGAAAGTCTTATATCTATGGGCAATCCGTCATCCCGCTAGTGGGTACGTCCAGGGAATAAATGACTTGTGCACTCCATTTTATCAGATCTTCTTGGCTAATTACCTTTGGCAACTACAACAACAAAAAGCATACGAAAATGGTTACGGGGAAGATCAGAGCGCTCTTTTCATTCCAGGATTAATTGACGAAAGTGGATCAGATACTTACGAAAGGGAGATACTCGACGATCCCAAACTACCAACTTTGACATGGGAAAACTTCGATAGCAGTCGCCTTTCGTCCAGAGTATCTGCAATAATTGAGGCGGACACTTACTGGTGCCTATCAAAACTTTTAGATAACATCACGGATAACTACATTCATGAGCAGCCCGGCATCATCAGACAAGTCAACGATTTGAGAAATCTAATTTCCAAGATTGACGTTTCTTTGCTCGAGCATCTTGAACATGAAGGAATCGAATTTATTCAATTTGCATTCCGGTGGATGAATTGCTTGCTTATGAGAGAGCTTTCCATAGGTCTAATTGTTAGAATGTGGGACACATACCTCAGCGAAACACCACTTGGTTTTAACAATTTTCATGTTTATGTCTGTGCTGCATTTCTTATAAAGTTCACAGGTGAACTTAAGCAGAAGGACTTCCAAGAGATTTTACTTTTCCTTCAGAATCCGCCCACTGCCTCCTGGACGGAGAAAGATGTGGAATTGATGTTAAGTGAGGCTTTCATATGGCAGAGTCTTTACAAGAATGCATCGGCTCATCTCAGGTGAAGATGCATCAAAAGTAGGAACATCTCAAAAAGGGTCCTCACAATAATAAAAAGCATCATTAGTTCTGCGACTTCTCTCGCATGCCGCACAAAGAGCGGCCCATTCTAAGGAAGTCAAAATGTCCGGCTATCGGCAGAAATAGGTGAATTAAATAGACTCCACTGAATTCGAGCAATATGATCGATTCAAAACGGTAGAAATTTATTTACGCTTCCTCTCAATCTTACTGATTGCAATGGCCTGCCGAGCACTGATAGTGACTTCGGTTTATTAGCGATGCTCATCGATAGTGCAGGAGTCAGACGTCAATATAAGCGATAATCGAAACCACGTTTTTTTTTCTTCTTACTACCTTTAGTTGGCACTAGCTTTTTTCTCTTTTGTCTAGCTACCAGTCCAATAGCCTAATCGTTACAAGCTTATTCACTAATGGCACATCCAGCAGGAAGAACTATTTTGGCGTCCACTATCGCCAAACAATATGTCAGTGAGATAACCTCTCAGGTGAAAGCCTTGAGCTTCAAACCCAAGTTAGTCGGCTTCTTAGCGAACGATGATTCTGCTGCTGAGATGTACGCTAACTGGTCTGCTAAGACTTGTGAACTGATGGGATTCGAGTATGAATTGAGAAGAAGAGCTAAGCATGATCTTGAAAGCGCTTTGATCCAAGCCAATAACGATGACAACGTCAACGGCATCATGGTTTACTTTCCGATATTTGGCGACAAGCAAGATCAGTATCTTCAGCAGCTAATTTCGACGGAGAAAGACGTGGAGGGACTCAACTTCCTCTACTACCACAACTTATACCATAACATTAGATTTTTGGACCCTCCTACCAACGAGCAGAAATCGATCCTACCATGTACACCTTTGGCTATGGTCAAAATCTTGGAATATTTGGGAATTTATAACAAGCATTTGCACTATGGTAACAGACTTTATGGTAAAAAAGTTTTGGTGGTGAACCGGTCAGAGATCGTTGGAAGACCTTTAGCCGCTCTTTTAGCAAATGACGGTGCCACTGTGTATTCTCTCGATATTAATAACATTCAGCAATTTACCAGAGGTGATGACTTGCTGATGCAGAGGCACAAAGTGATTGACTTAGACCTGGAGAAGTACCCATTGGAGAAAGTTGCACCTCAATGTGACGTAATCATTACGGGTGTGCCCTCTGAAAACTACAAGTTCCCCACCGACTTGGTTCGTAACGGAGCCGTTGTGATCAACTTTGCGAGCGCAAAGAATTTCAATGAGGACGTGAAACAGAAAGCCGGTTTGTACGTACCCCTGATCGGGAAGGTTACTATCGCGATGCTCCTAAGAAACTTGCTTCGCTTGATTAACAACAAGAAAATACGTGTGGAGAAGGTGAAAAATAGTGAGACCGGCGCCACCGATGCTTCTACACTGACCGGTGATGCCGCTGCTCCATCGCATGGCGGGGCAATTGGTGATAAAGCGGAATAAGGTAGCACGAAGTTTCCTGAAATGAGCAGCGGGGGGACCTGTTTCGTGAAGCCCAACTAAAAAGCGGAACTAGGATCTGAGAAATTAACTATGAAGGCAACTCTCTCACGTGGTTTTTATCACGAGGCTCATCCCGATGGCCTCACGTGCGGCGGGAGAACTCCGGTGTATGTGGACCAGAAACCTTTCTCCACTGACTCCAGTCCGCAGAAGTCAACCATAAATCAGTGACAATTCCCACCAGCTACACAGGCAGCCCTGTTTTCAGATAACGTTTTAAAAATCCCAAATAACCAAAAGATCCAAGTTAGACTGTTTGTGCCAGTAAAATACCCCAGCCTCGACTCTGTTCATTGTTTTCTCGTCTATGAACAAACTGATGAAAAGATCTCACCGTCCGATTGATACCCTCGCGATCACTGAATCCCTTGGGCTCCAAACATTTAGGAAGGGTGGACGTAAGGCATGGACGAAGCAGGAAGATGCCAAGTTAATTCAGCGTTTACACGAGCTCTATCCAAAAGAGGCGTCGGAAAAAACGCTAGATTCCAAGAAGATTGAGTGGGAGTTGGTCGCGGAAGCTTTCAGCGACACCTCCCGTAAAGCAAAAGATTGTCGCAAACGGTGGGCAAGTTCGTTGAACCCTAGTCTTCGACGTGGAAAATGGACCCCAGAAGAAGACGAACAACTTCTCAAGAGTTACAAGAAGCACGGACCTCTGTGGCAGTCAATATCGGCCGAAGTTGAGGGAAGAACAGAGCATCAATGTCTGAAAAGATACTTAGAAGTTTTAGACCCAGCATTGAGCAATCGCCTCAAGGCTTGGTCTTTACAAGAAGACTTGTTACTCATAAGTCAGGTCAAGGAACATGGTACTAAATGGAGGACTATTGCAGCGGCTTTTGATGCCCGACCATCACTTACCTGTCGTAACAGATGGCGTAATCTTTTGACTTCTGTGGCCAGAGGTAGAGCTGATAAGGCTGTTATGGATGCAATGGAGCTGGTTACTGGCGGTGACATAACAGACAAGTTTACTGTGAAGAAAGAGGACCCTGATAATCATGGCAACGCTGGCGTTGAGGATGGTGAGATCGTCTCTAGTAGCAATATCAAACCGGAAGGTGCATCAACATCACCAAATTCTTCACGACTGCCTGGCCCCGAAATACAACTTCAGCCATCAGAGAAAGAAATTGAATGGAGATATGCGATTGTCAGCCGTGACGAAACAAATGACACAGCCGGACCATTCGATGAGATCTTGAAGAATGGGGGGCAAATCAAATCGAAAGAATTGGCGCAGTATCTCATCCAGTATGCGTCAGTCTACAATATGAAAGTGACTGTCCATCAACACATTCATCATCACTATGGATCACAAGAGAACTCCTCGACAATCGATGGCCGTCTAGCGAAAGAAGATTCTCCTGCGTTTGCCGTTTCACCAGCTGTCTCAGACCATTCAAAGAACAGTCGCTCTATGGATAGTCCAAAGTTCTACAATTTAGAACCTGAAGCCCAACTCAATCGTGTACAGCACTTCAACTACCTTCCCCCTCTCACAGAAGTGCCCAAATTAAACTCGTCTGCTTCATCACCTGCTTCGACCAAAGAAGGAAGCACCCACCATCACCATCATCATCACCATCACCATCATATGCATGAATCAAGAAAAGAAAGGAACCGGAGCCAGAGCCAGAGCTATCGAGGCCACGAATTCGGTACTGGAGTTACTTCTCTTCCTGATGAGGCTCGTTCCAAGGAATCCGATTTACTTAAACTCCTCGACCGCGCTGATAACAGAGGAAGTACTTCATCGAAGTCGGGCCACAAGCCGTTAGATAGAAGAGAACCAGCCTCGAATGAAGCTAAATCGAACTCACTTACGCCTTTGACTCAGGCGGTGCAAATGGTGGCTGATGCAGAGACAGATGATCCATTGATCGCTAAAAGGCCATTGGACGGCTTTAACGAACGGAGCAAGAAGATGAAGCTTGATATTCCTGAAGAGGATGGCGATGAAGGACTTGACTTTTTTGAAACTATGCGCAATCTCAGTGCACCTTATCAGCCTCAAGGACACCGTCATGAGAGAAGATTATCAAATCCACATGCAACTGAGCGGAGAGGACTGAGAAGCAGCAAAGGAAGTCCTCGGGAAAGCCAGAGGCAAAACCAGCCCGTCTCACAGCACCATCCACTTCATTATTCACAAAGCACTGTGGCCCAAGGATCTGACCCGATACCTGTTGAAGAAGAGGATGACCTTCTTGACGTCTACGGACTCTTTTACAACTCACATCCTAGAGAGCCTACAATTGAGCCTGCCGCTCATTCTCAGCCTAATACTGGCTTACTTGAGTTAACAAATCCTTTCGCATTTCCATTCAACCCTTCTTAGAACTATGAACTATACGGACGCATCTTTAGCATTAACATCATTCTTCTTCCGATTAGCAACCAATTTGTAGTCTTTTGAGCTTCTTTGTGTGCTTCCAGAAGCTATATTCATTTTTCACTGCTGAACAATATAAGCGTCCCGTGGTACATCTTTCTTCCTGGCCAATGCTTAATAAGGTACAGAACTCTTACGAGAGTGTGGCAGTCCATCAGCACTTGTTTCTGCTGTACTTTGTGTAGTTAATTTAGCCTCTGATCTATTACTCCCAGTTCCTGCCTTCTTCGACGCCTTGTTTCTCCTTTCTTGATAGTACGCTCTCCATCTCCCTTGTTCACGAGCAAATTGAAAGAGCTTAGATAGCCATAGCTCCTGGGCCTCCTTATCATCCATCCTATTATGACGAATCTCGTCGAGGAGATGTAATATATACTCAAATTCTCCGGCTTTCCATGGTATTTGGACCAATATCTTACCATTATGAGTTGTTAAAACTCTTCCATTGGGGCAAAAGGCGGCATTCCTTACATCTTTTGGGATGTAGAAGTTGAAGATGTTGAAGCAACACTCACACATTTCAGGATATGAAGACATCTGGCTCATCCTAGACTAGTATGTTTATGCTACAAACTTCTGAGACGGACAATCGTAATTTATCTCTTCAAGCAAGGCAATTATATTGAAGGCTGAAGATTGCCTCTGGACTTCCCTTTTCCAAACGGGCGGTGTCTTCCTTCCTTCTAGAGGTAACTTTGAACTTCACTCCATAAGAAAGTCCAATATTTCATTGGCTTGGTCCTCAAATTTCCCACAGGGTAATTTATTGAAGCGAGAAGATAGCTGATGCAACCCCGTCCATCATGAAGATATATACTTTAGACGTAGATTATCCTTCTCTACCATTATGTGTCAATTAGATCACAGGCATTACCGTAGATGACGTTGCACTTGCCTTCACCCGAAACAGTACCTACCCCAGATTCGCACAAAGGTAGCACATCCTGGAGTTGGAAATGATCCACTGGTAGAACGAGAGCTTTCAAGTTTCCTGGTATAGTTTGCCATATCACGCCTTTCCCTCCTATGCCTCACTTCTGTGGAATAAGAATTGCCGATGTGATTGCCAGTTTTCTCGGCTTCAGAACAGGCCGAGCCTGCTCAGCATTCAATGAGCGGCAATTAAGCACAGGGAGCTCGCGTTAGGCAAGAATAGACCAAAGCGTAAAAGGAAAGATTCCTTGTCATTCCAACAATACCTCTGCCTCCAAAGTTCTACCTCCAACCTTCCGCCTTTGATCTTTTGCTTCTTTAGACGGTGTGCTTTGGTGCACTAATTTCCCGCTGCGCACCCAAGATCATTCCCTCACCAGCCTTGATCTGCTTGTAGTGACAACTCAATACAACTTGCTTTCCACGCCTGCTTTCCTCAAGTCTTTTCCTAACACTTGATGATGCAGCAAGTGAAGAATGGGCGGAAACCACCGCCAGACCTTGTCTCAAGGCTGGCAATATCGAATAATCTACCTTTCCAGGGCGCAGTTCACTCTCCGACTAAGAGCCGGTCTTACCAGCAAAACCATGTTCTGGCCCTGGAACCTCCTCGAAATCCTCCTCCTCCACCGCCTCCGTCAACCCTGGCCCAAAATAAACTGCATCAGAAAAAAACTCTAACCAAAGAAGACTGTCAGAAGATCATCAGCTCCGAGTTTCGTTCGCTTCAGCTAGATAGCAGTCTCACAACCATGTCGGTCTTTGACCTTATCGATCACTGTTCCACCTTATTCGAGGAACTGAAGGAGCATATCTATACTTCTCTGGGTCTCAAGAGTTACATTAGAGCATATTTGATTTTCAACTACTTCATAAATTCATTTATCATGGTACATTTCGAGGGCTTTGATCGCTTCCTTAAGCTGAACCAACAGGATTTTATCATCTACTTGAACTTGTACAACTTTTTAGAAGCGAGGATATCATTGGGCGGAATGTATTTGATGTTGATTTGGATTCTTTGCAGCTGTACATGGACGAATACTTGACATCGCACAAACTCTTATCGTTTGACATCCAGGAACTTTTTGGATGGTTGAATGAGTACATTGAGTTTTTGAAGCATAAGGACGATGACTCTGAGGAGGAGGAGGATGACGACGATTTTGGCCAGGAGATCAGCGCTCCAGCAGTTTCGAAGCCCTACTATCAAACTGAGCCGACTAACCTGCTAAATTTGTCGGACATCATTAGACAGGGTGATCCTGCCGACCAACTGAGTGATGTTGATATGTCGGATTTTGCCAATCGTTTCCCGGAAGTCGCTACTGACTCTGAGCTAGTTTCAGAAACGCCTTATCCAGTGCGGTTGTCTCGTCTGTCTTTAGCTGAACCCCCTTTGCATAATAATCGTCAAAATGATGGTTTGTCACAGAACAATGTCTCACAAGCCCCATACAGCATGAATCAACGTCATGAGGTGATGTCCCAGCCCCCGCTTAATCCGCCAAAGCATATATCACCTCCATACGCCACACCATACGAAAAATTAGCTGCTGGGCCTTCCGTTGTTTCCCTCCCGCCTAACGGCCAATCTATGGCTTATGGAAACAACGGTAATGCATTCCACTTTCAGAACAGATCGCATGTACAGCTCCCAGATCGACAAGCACAGTATCAACAGCATGGCCAAACATATCAGCATCATTACATGCTGCCGCAAGTCCCTCAACCACATCAATTTAACTCACATCCAATGAACCATATTAACGGGACATATTCTGCGCCGTATCAGGGTCCGATGATGAACCCCCACAAGGCACATACCACGACAAATCTACAGGCAATGGAATCTCAGAGAGCAAGATATTACGAGCGTCAACAGAAGAATGAGTGGCTACGCTCTCTCTCGATTTGTGGTCTAAAAAACTTAGGGTCATCGTGCTACATAAATCTGACGATTCAAGTCATGTTTGGGGTAAGCCGTTTTGTCTCGTTGTTTTCTAAGAGATCAAATAATACAGCATTAGCGAAAGCAATGAGTTTGACAAAGAATCGTACCATTTTGACTGAGGCAATTGTCGGTCTCCTAAGTACTTTTCAGGCTAGTGGGGGTAGTGTTATTGCCCCACTAAATTCATGAGAGTGGCATCCCTGTTAAAGCCTGGCTTTAATATACCTTTCGAGCAGCAAGATGCACAAGAGTTTCTTCTATTTGTCATCGACAAGGTTCACGAGGAATTGGCAAGACCGCCAAGTGAAGAAGCGCTTCAAGCCGACTACGTAACGCGTTGGGGCGTCGATGTCACTCCTAGGGAAAAAGAGGAGTACTTGAAGTGGTATAGGTCTCTCATGAAAGCTGAGGGTGTTTCTCCTATGAATGATTTGTGCCAGGGTCATGTCCGCAGTCAGTTGATCTGTAACAAATGCGGCTGCACTTCGAATAGTTATTCATCGTTCTCAATGCTTTCGCTCCCGATTCCGAACCTCGGAAGAGATATGGTGGACTTGGTTGAGTGTTTGCGTTATTTCTCCCAAGATGAAGTGCTCAGTGGAGACAATGCCTGGAAGTGCCCTAGATGTAATAAGTCTGATGGTGAAGGTAACCCGATGGATGTTGTTTTCCAACAGAAGAAATCTCTTAAACCATGGAAGAATAGAAACTCACTGAAAAAATCCAAAGAGAGTGTCGACGACAAAGGACCAATCACAATCAAAAAGTTAAGCATAATCAAGTTGCCTCCGGTTTTGTTTATTCATTTGTCCAGGTTTTCCATGTTCAGTGTCACAGATAAGCTAAACGCTGTCATTTCATACCCACTACGGCTCAAATTCAACCATCAAACTGGTGATGTTCATTATAGCTTGACAGGTCTTATCAACCATTTTGGCAATCTCAAGAGTGGCCATTATACCTCTCTCGTTAACAAATCGAAGGATAGTTCTGACAGGTTGTTGAATCCCGAATGGTGCTACCTTGATGATGAGAACTTCAGGCTCCACGTTCCCCATGGGGACGTGAGGTCAGAAGCGGCCAACCGTCTTCATTCTCGTGATGTCTATGTATTATGCTATGAAAGGGTGTCGTGATTGTGCTTTATTCGTCATCCTCATCCTCATCGTCGTCCTCACCGAAGGCAGTCGTGGTGACCTTCTTCTTGGTGGAGAGTCCCTTGAGTGTCAAATTGACAGGTTTATTGGTGGGAGGTTGGGGCGCTGGTGCTACCAGGGTTTGTGTCGAGTTACTGTGTAACTCCTTTCCTTTAGTGATTTGCATCTGAATAAATGCGTTAGATCTATTCTCATCTGAAGCAAGGTCTTTTTCTCTAGTTTGCTTTGTTTGTAACATTTGGGGATCTACCAAATTGATCATGAGATCAAACTCATCTGCAGCTTCATCACGGGCCTCTACCCGTATCTTTCCGACTCGCCCCAAGTATTTAACGAAGGACGTGAGGGTGTTCCATCTTGTAGCGTTCATATGGACATGGTTCTTATCGTTGAGAATATACTCTTGGTAGAACTTGTTTGCGTTGATCTTTTTCGTACCATGGTTGATACGTAGTAAATTCAAGAAGTCTCTTTCGAAGCGTCTCAGGAAATCCTCTACCACAGATCTGCCCTTGCCTTCTTTACTGAGGTTGGATATCCTGCCGGTATGCGAAGGTGACTGTAGGTGGTTTTTGAAACCATTGGAATCTCGACACTGTTTCTCGCAGATCTGACAGTAGTATCGTAGTTTTTGAAGTCCAGCCGCTTTTAGTTGTTTGGATTGATACTTGGCACTGCCAAAATCACTTTTCCCCATTTTTCCCAAGGAAGATGAGTTATGGAGGTGATGATCATCGTTGAGATATCAAGACACAGGAAACTACATCTTTCCCCAGCCAGTAGAATGTTTGGCAGGTCAACAACAAAAGCTGTGCGTGCACTCCCCTTCAAGTCAAGTACGACGAATCTCCCGTTAATAACTTTCCGAAACTACTCAGGTCCTCCAATTAAATCCTACCATGGTTTGAAGACGCCACTCTCGTTAATATGGGCCAACTCGCCTCCACAAGCTAAGGTCTTTGGAGGAATAGTGGCGCTTGGTCTTGCCATAGCTCATCTACATCCCAATACCATGATCACATTGGGTCCACCGCTTGGCGTTGGTGCTTGGCTCTTGCGGAGACAGTACGAGAGAAGTGAGTACAATAAGCTGATAAAGGGAATTCTACCCACATCGCAGGAAGATTTCGAAAAGCAAAGTCAGAGAATAAGGGTCGCTAGATACGACGAAACGGACGTCGATACTGTTTTAGAGGGGTTTGACAACCAATTCCAATACTTCCAGAAGCAGATTCTTGAGATAGTGGAGAAAAGAATAGTTGACTATATAGCTGTTTCAGAAACGAAATCAGACACGATCTCCAAATTGCTTCGACCACTTGTGGATGAAAATAAGCAGGTGACCGTGCATTTGGGTTCAGATTTCGAGACATTTGTTACTACCAAAGCTGAGGTGCCTGCCGTCTCGGATGATACTTTTGTGGAGTTCACGAAGCTCTCGGTACCATACTTCAACTCGAAAAACACCCAAAAAAGGACGAGACTTGGAGTTGCAGAGGTAAGCTTGCTTGAGATTCCACTGAAGGAGGAACAGGTTCAGGACTTTAGGATAGCTATTACGCTTGTTCAATACAAGCAATGGGGTGCTGCAAAAGAGCACATAGACGTTCTCCCAGGACAAGAGATCCAAAAGAGTCTGTTTTGTGAATAGATAATTAGAAAGAGCGGTTACCACCAAAGAAGTTCCGCTGGAAATCATCAAACCTACCCCATTGGTAGCAGTTGGAAGCTTCTCGCATCAGCTCCAACTCTGGCATCCACTTTTGGATATCAGACACTCGTTTCGTAGTGTTTGGATGAGTGGACAAGAACTCTTGAAGCATGCCGCCCCTTGCCATAGGAGCGGCTTGCTTTTCCCAATTCTCCATCCTTCCCAGAAACTAACAGCCTCGTGAATATTGAAGCAGGAACGAGCCATTAATTCGCAACCAATTCGATCCGCCTCAGACTCCATTTCACGAGAGGAAGGCATCTGAAGCAAACCAGCAATGAGTAAATCGTTGAACCATGATATTCCTGTTGCAGCGTACAAAGCAGTGGAGAGAGCAATGTAAATCGGCTGCTTGCTGAGCTGCTCCGAAGAGTGGTGTGCCAACTGGTGGGAAAGCTCGTGTGCTAAAACAGTGGCAAGTCCGTCTTCATTCTTGCAGATGGGGAAGATAGAAGAGAAGATGAAGATCTTTCCATTGGGTAAAATAAATGCATTGGGAGGCTCCTTCCTTGGGTCCTGGACTTGGATGATACTGATGGACCAATCTAAGCTCTTCAAATGGGCTGCTTGCTTGGGATCTGGAGTGTTGTCTATAGCTGTAGCAAGCAACTTGTTCATTATTTCACGAATCTTGCGATACTGTGGGTCCGACGATGGGAGGAGCTGACCTCTGAACTGAGAAATTATCTGTGAGTAAGAGTAGTCGCCTATCTTCTTCTCCATCCAGTACGGAACCCAAAGAAATCTGTATCTATGAGTAAAAGGAGCTTCATTAAGATTGTATAGATAGAAGCCCACACATCCGCCGATAACGTAGTGGAAATTTCTGTTCCTGATGAGGTCAGCGATGGAGAATTGCGATCCAGACTTGTTATTGAAGCCTTTGTATGTGGCATAAGATCGAGGTTTGGACCAAGAGAAGCCTGTCCTTGACAAGGAACGAGTAGATGAATTGAAGGTCCCTCGCCATAAATGGTGGAAGTTGGCCTTAGTGAAGCGGAACATTGGAGGCGTATGGAGTAAGTGTGAGGAAGCTTCGCGACTACCCACGAAGCGCTTGTAGTAGGTGAGAAGCAGAGGCAAAGAACATAGAACAAAGAACAGCGTTACATTTACCTGATTTTACATTGGGATTCATGCCATTAAATAACCTACATCAGTGAGCAACCAGCACTCACTTGAACACAACGTCAGGCTCCTCTTCATCGAATGTCTTGGTAGCAATATTGTTGTCAAAATTGCCCTCGATGTTAGCAATACCAGTCTCACTTCCTACTGGAGGACCTGATTCCGTCTGTGGAGTCTCCACTTCTTCTTCCGTAACAGTCAACTGATTCTTCTTTGACTCGTCGTCCACGGGCGAGTCTCCATTAACTCGTTGAAAGTATATGTGTTTTTGGCGGGGTGCGGAACTGCTGTCGTCGTCATCCTCATCTTCATTTGTTGAAGGAACCTGAACGACATAGTTCTCGTTTATGGCGTCGCTGTGGAAGTAGTCTCTAACGAGTTCTGAGCTCGAATTATTAGCGGGAACTGGCAAATGCGGTCTCTGCTTTATGGAGACGCTGGCTGCTCTAGAAGGAAGTTTATCAAAAAGCTGTGAATGGTGGAGCTGTTTAGCGAGATTGTCTAGCGAGCGATTATCTCTGGTGGAGCCTGTCGCCATAACAGGACTGCCATTGAGGCCTGCCCACCTATTAGACTCGTGTTGCTGCTGCTACTTCCAGAAGATCTTCCGTCATGATTGAGAGCTGGAGGTGGCTGGGTCAACTCACTCAAGTCGCCAGCGGTGGAATTATGTGAAGCCAAGATGGGGATGAATGTGTCGTAGAAATCGTAGGATGACGGGGATTTCTGATGAAGGCCTGGAGAACCTTGCTGGGAAGCAGAAGGAGGAACATAGCGTGCGCTATTTCCATTAAGCACACTTGGAGGAGGAGTGAAGAAATTAGGTCTCTTTTGTTCACTGAAGGTGTTGCTAGTGGAGGAGCCCCTGGACAGAGACATGTTGTCCTCGTGAACATCTAAATCGGTGGAGGAAACCTGTTTCTCGTGAGCAGTAGCCACATCGGACCCTTCTTTCTTTTCGTAGTTGCTGGCCTGCCTATGTAAGGCATCCTGGAACTGGTTGAATGAGTTTTCGTCTCTAAGTTCGACGTCTATATCTTGTTCCATAGTGTCCTCCTTTCTTTGGCGCTTCCTATTTCGGAAGAAGAAAGCAACGCAAAGTACTAGGATTACGAGGCAGGGGATACCAACCGAAAGGCCCACAGCCAAAGAGTTGTCGTAACCCATCAAGTATCAATAGGCAAGTTTAGGGGCTTCGATTAAAAGGCAGTTCTAGAGTGAACCTGGAAGCAAAATATGAGCGAGGGACAGTTTATTGAGCGAGGGAATGTTCCATGAACTAGGAAGAAACTGAGGAATCGGTTGCGTTGGTTGTCGTCGGTTGCCGGTTCCGAAAGCTGAGATCTCCCTTTTTTTTTTTTGTTTGGTCGAGTGTTGATCAAAATGGAGCAGGGACGGAATGGAGGATGTCCAGAAAACGAGCCCTTGATGGAAATCAGCAGGAGGTTGAAAGCTGATGGAAAAAGAAAATGCACTAATGTGGCAGGTAGTTGGAAGGCTTTCTTTTTTTTTTTTTTTTTTTTTTTTTTGTGGAGCTCTGTCTCTATTCACGCCAACTTCTCTGTCTCAGGTGGCTCAGACTGGCTTTTCCGAGGCGTTGTCGGGGGGTACACCGGGGATTGTTCCGGTCACTCAAGCTATTGCTCTCACGTGACTTCCGGGGGCATGTTCCTGGCCTGTCAGCGAGCAGCCCAGCAAGTATTCCCCAGTGCTCGCCTGGAGTTCCGGCCCACGGCCCCAGCCAGCTCCTTTCTTGCCTCACCACTGTCACTGTGACACAGATAGCTAAATTTAAACACCAATAAAAACTATCCATAAATTTCCCGTGAACTTCGCTCCAAAACCGCCCCAACAATACATTTTTTTTCTTCCCCAACCCTTTGTTTGCGCACCTTCCAGCGCCCAGCAGCACAGTCTCCTAAACCCCTTGGCCCTCTCGACGAAGGGTTTTTCCCAGTGCTCGCTTCAATACACTTGCGCCCGCCCGCGCCAGCTTTTTCTTCTTTCTTTTCTTTTTTTTTTTTTTTTGCACTCTTTTTGGACTTTTTTTACCTGCCGCCGTCTGGTGCCCAGGAACCCCCAAAATCTGCCTGGTGCTGTAACTGAGCCGCTGAGGCTTTAGGCGAGGCGGTGAGTGGCATGTGTGGAGAAACAGAGGATTTACATGTATGCTTTCCTCGAATAAGTCAAAGCCAGCCAAAGTTAAAAGCGCTACAAAGGTGATTGTTAGTGGACCTCCTTGCTGGCCAAGTGGTTCGTTTCCTGTCCTTTCTCGAGGCCTTGCGGTTGGCGGTAATTTTTGGTGGAGCGCAGCGAGCGCAGCGGTAGAGCTGTTGCGGACCAGGTGGTGAAATTCCCAGCCAACACAGGCAGCCGTTTGCGAAGTGGGCCCACTGCGTAGAAGAAATGTGTACAAGAGTTTATTCTGTATTTTCCATGATACCCATAGTATGCTTATTTTCTACTCACCATATTCTTCGTCTTCAGGTGAGTTTTGTGCCACTACACTGATTGCTGCGAAACCGTCCTCGACCTGGTGGGCTCCCTGCGCAACCCACCAGACCGCACAGGCAATTCCGAGGGTGCCCAATCCGGCCGATCTGATTTGACCTTTGAGGAAAAGCTATGAGGAAGCCTCTCTAAGCGGCACGGGTCTGCCGGAAACTGGGATCATGGGGCCGATTTTCATAAGATTCCGTCTTTGCCCTCTTTTTCTTCGAATTCTGCTTAAGCCGCCAATTGGCGGTTTTGTGGTGTTGGTGAAAGTCTTGGTGCTGTTTACATCCACCAATGCCCAGCTCACTAACCGTCTGCATTAGGCAGCAAAATGCCTGGAACGGGCCCATGTAAATGGCTGCAAAGGATGCCGCAGCCATGCTATTTTTGACACCTGCAACCACTCTCTGCTTGACTATTGAGGTCCAACTGATAAAGCTTTATGGTGCCTTTGACTGCTGGATAGAGGCTTGTACTAGGGCTATTTTTAGAAGCGGTTAGCTATGGCATTTAGGTTTGAATGTCTATTTAATGAAAGCGTAGTCCAGGATTGAGGCGGTTTTGAAGGCTTTTTCATGGTCTTGAGGGCTCCATGGTATATGTTGAAAAACCTTTGGGTAGATACAAAAATACCTTACCCTCGGTTTGAGAAATCAATAGTGGAATGATGAGGCGTTCTGGAGGCTACTATTAATACCTTCTTTTGGAAGAAAGCGGTCTACGGATTCCGATCATCGTGTCCTATCGTAGCAGTTTGAGTTCATTTCTATGTACAATTGCAATTCGTAAGTGATGTGCTGGGGGACCTCTACAATTCGAAGTCCACAGAAGCATCCTTGGCCAAATCAATCACTTCGCCGTTGTCGGTCTCCAACGTCCAAGCGTGGATATCAAATGGGACTAATTTAGATGTTCTGGTAGCCCTGAGATGCAAGTTTCCTCCGCCAGTATCGCCCTTGACCTTAAAAGTAACATCAATGTTTCCCTTCACAGTATTAAGAGGGCCCCAAATCCAGGGCCACGAGCTCTCAAAACCAATGTTTGGCCCGAGAGCCGCTTTGGCATGTTCAGATCTTCTTAAGCAGTAGAGCACAGAGTTCACGATTGGTGATCTAGTCTTCTCATAGTTGAAAATGAGAAGACACGAGAGCGTCGTGCCCACGGCATATGCCCAAAAGTATCTTCTGTTCTGTTTTTTCGTCTTGAATGGATCCGGCAACTCACGTTCCACAGAAACTGGAATCGATCTCACTATAGTGTCTTGAGGAGGAACACCATCATCAGGATGCTTATGCGCAGCTTCACTCAGGAAGCGTATAGACTGAAGAGCAGGCTGGTTTACTCTTATAGCAGGAACCGCCGAACGCATCATGGACGAAAGGGAAGCAGTCCTCATCCCTATACGGTGGCCTACTTTCAACATATTTAGCTAAGTAGTAGGTGCAAAGTTTGATATAGTGAAGCGTTCCAGGGTGCACGGAGGTAGAAAGGTGACGCCGAGGTGGAGTTGGCCACTTTGAAAAGGGCCATCCAGCAAAGAACATAATGGAGTGGTATTTTTCCTGTTTTTCGAACAGCTTATAAGTGTGGTATACAAGTAGGATAATTGACTCTTTTTTTCTTTGAACTTTTTTTGATTATGTTAATAAGTTGATTTACATTCTGTCGGTTCTTCTGCAATTTGGGTGCGAAAGACGTAAAAGTAACTGAATATGGTGATGAACCGAAATTCATAAAATGATAATCAGACCACCAAAAATTGAAAATACAGAAAAATTGAATTTTAATCTATGGCTCTTGATGGGCCGGTGAAGAGGGAATTTTCTTTTGGTTTATTCTTCAAATTCGCCTCTCATTGGCAGATTCTATTCCATTATCTCTCAAACCTGACCACTCGTATAAATTCAGAGAGGTGCGGAAAGCATGGGAAAGCTTAACTATGGGAGGTAAGCGCCAGGCATATTTGCTTATCTGGATCAAACACACAAACGAAAAGGAGACCGTAGGAAGCAAGGATTTTAATCTAGAATTACTATAAAATACTATTCATAACACATTGGGCTGAAGAAATCACGTATCTCACTTACGATCAAATCTAATGGTCCTCTAAGGTTGTAATGGCCATCGTCTAGAGCTCATAGATCACATTTACACACATACCAATCCAAGGTATCAAAACCATCCAATTGAGGGATGCTCTTTCTCTCGTCGACAAATGCCATATCGAGGCTCCGATTCAAAAACTTCACCACCGGCTGGGCTTCGCTTACCTGTTTTGGAACCATGATGTAGCATTCTGTGATATCCCACTCCTCTTCACACAACTCAATAAAATCCACACATGAGCGTAAGAGGTTACCAGAAACCAACGCTTGGGTTCCCTCGGGACTCAAGAGAAAAATACCCACGGGGCATTTCAGTTCTGTTGGCGCCCGTCGTTCGATTCTGCCTTCTAAGAGGCGAATCTGTTGCGTACCATGTTGTACGCTTACTTCCAACTTGGAATGACTAAGCAGAATTGCGAAGTCACAGACACGACGGAGCTGTCGGAGCTAGGACCGAAAGCTGATTGAGTTTGGAAGCGACGGCCATGGTGCTGTAGTTGGTGATATCGCCAGGAGCCACAAAACCGCTGGTGATGGTGGCGGACGAACGGTGACGATTCAGGTCATACTCTGGTTCTGGAAGATTCATTTTGCTGGCTAAAGATTCGAAAAAAGACGTATAATGATGGGTATTGAAGCTGGGGGATGATATCTGAAGGGAGTGATAAGGAATAAAGTGGAACGCGGGCCACGGTCCAGTCATGTGATGAAACACACGTGAATAAATCAGGACAAGAAGATTGGAGGATATGCCCTTTTGAAATGCTTATAAGAAGCATGGAAATATTTAAGAGTGATGGTAATGGTCGCTTAGTTAAGCAGAAGCTTTCTAGAAGCATACTGGAAGCTATTGTTCTTTTTAGAGATAGAATCACTAGGTGAGCATCGTCTTTCCTATACACAATACTCTCTCTTCTAGTACCTCATCGGATCGAAGCCCCTACGACTTTTGAACAAGAATGGCAAGAAAAGGTATGTGATCATCTAATGGTATAGTGTATCTATCCTAAGTCAACTCAAGTTACTAATGTCCAGTTTCCAAGCATAGCAGAGCTGCTCGTAGAGGTGAGATCGACCTCGAAGGTGAAGCAAAGTCGTTGGCTAGCGTACCAAAGACAGAGAACAGCGATGTTCGTAAGTCCATCATCAGAACGACAATTAAGAATGAAAACCTTCTAGCAAAAAAGATGGAGAACGACGCTATCCGTAAGAAGGCCAACAAGAGAAAGACCAACTCCTTGAAACATAAGGTGGACAGAAACCTGAAGCTCGATGGAGTCTTGGCCACTAAGATTCAGCAAAGTATTGATCGTGCCAAGTATGTCCAGAATGCTAGAAAGCTGGGCTGGGACCAGATCAACAAGGGCTTGAATGTGAAGCCAGTGGAAGCTACCAAGACCGAGGAGAAGCCAAAACTGGAGGAAGAAATGGCCATTGAAGAAGAGGATGCATACGTTGAAGAATTCTTCTCAGGATCAAAACCAGCAGAGGAAAATGAAGAGAAGGCCCAGAGAAAGCCTGATCAGAATGCGTTTTCCTTGCTCGAGGAAGCCGAAGCATGAACAGAAGACACCACTGACAATCAGCTTGTATATTAGACAAAGAAGGGTTATTATAGGTAATTTACTAATGAAAACTTGATACTTGTACGTGCCTTTCTCTTAAGGTTTTATTCTGACTGGTCTGCACACAAGACAGTAGTAGGCGTAGATTTCCACCTACTTCTCAAGGCTGCAACATCACGTCTATCTAAAAGCATAGCCATGGATTTGAGAAAATTGGCATTGTTTTTGGTTCTGATCGCCCCTTCATTGGGGAAGGATTTCGTCCCTTTTGACCAATCTCTGCTCAGCAAAGACTCCTTCTTTGAGCAATTCGACTACCCATCTTTGCTCGAGTCAGGATGGATCCCCTCCCAAAGCCTGAAAACAGGCCCATTCGACTACGTTGGAAAATGGAAGATTGCTGACACTTCGAAATACGCAGCCTTTGAGGGTGAAAAGGGCTTGCTCATGGCGAAAGAAGCAGCTTACTACGCGATTTCCAAGAAGTTACCTCAGACGTATGTCAGAGGAAAAGACGACGATTTGGTAGTTCAATTCGAAGTTAAGTTCCAAGAAGGTGTAACATGCAGTGGCGGCTACATCAAACTCCTTAGTGAAGGAAGTGTTGGGGAGGAATTCAGTGATAGAACGCCTTTCGAGGTGATGTTTGGACCAGACATCTGCGGATCAGAAAGCAAAGTTCACTTCATCATCAACAAGAAGGATCAGGAAACCGGACAATATGTGGAACATAAGTTGAGAAGGCCACCAATGGCCAGAAATCACGTCCTCACCAACTTGTACACCTTGATCTTTAGAAGCGACGGCAGGACAGAACTTAGACTTAATGGTGACATTGCTAAGGCTGGAAATGTGTTTACCACTCTCAAGTTCATGGAACCACCTTTGACGGAACCAGAATTCATTGAGGACAAGAGTGCGCAGAAACCAGATGACTGGGACGATCAATTCTTCATCCCGGACCCTGATGCAGTCAAACCGGACGATTGGGACGAAGTTTACGGCGCACCATGGATCCCCGATCCCAAGGCTACTAAACCCGAAGGATGGAAGGACGACCCCACAATACCAAAAGAGATTCCTAACCCTGATGCTACCAAACCTAAGGAGTGGCTAGAGGAGGAAGATGGAGAGTGGGAAGCACCATTGATAAGAAATCCCGAGTGTTCGGTTGGCTGCGGTCCATGGACCCCTCCAGAAGTACCAAACCCCAAGTATAAGGGTTTCTGGACTGCTCCTCTGATTGAAAACCCAAACTACAAGGGCATCTGGAGAGCCCCAAAGATTAGGAACCCACGTTTTGGAAGGGATGAGAATTCAGACTTGATCGGTCCTGTGGACGCATTAGGGTTCGAGCTCTGGACAATGACGCAGGGGGTACTCTTTACAAACATCTACCTTGGACATTCTGTCGAAGAAGCGGAAAGGATCGGGAATAACACCTTCATTCCCAAGTCACAAGAAGAATGGGAAGTCTACAAAGCCAACAAGCCGAAGCCTGAGCACGACGCCAAGCCACCACCACCCACGTTTGAGGATATCCTTGATGATGAAAGCATAAACGTGGTAAGTGAGGGTCTTGGGCTCATACTTCAATTCTACAGAGGCCTCTATGATGACGCACTTGATTATTGGTACGAGTTCCAAGTTGACCCAGCTGTCGCCATCTCAGAAAAACCCGTGAAATTTGCAATTTACTGTACCGTTGGAGTAATCGGTCTCACTGTCGTGTTTGTTACAATCAACGTGGTATTGTTCTTAGTGCTCACAGCTAAGAATGCATCGGGGCCCACGGGGCGAGACGACTTGACAGGTGATGGAAAAGAACAAAAGGAATCGCGAAGCGAGATCACAAAGCCTCAAAGTAGACCAGTTGTCTCTAAGAAAGAAGGCGGCATCAGCAGCGCAAAAAGTGCTGAAACGCAAGTGGCAACAGGCACGGTTGAAGATGAGCCAGTGGCTAAATCCACTGGAGCAAGCGCTGGTAAAGCAGATGGATTGAGGAACAGAGTACAAGAGAGTTCAGCTGGTAGAGAAGCCAATGCTTGAGTCTGAATACTAAAGTTTGAAAAAGGTTTAACAACAGATTTGGACCATGGAAGTTCCAAAAGAACACAAAATCACCGAAAATGTCACAAAACCAGCTTTCGAGCACACGGATGCAAATTGGAGGACGCCTCAAGCGGTTCAATTTTCATTTTTGCTCACAGGAGGAAAGCCTATTGGAAGCAATAGTGCCTTCGTGATATCTGACGTTTTCCTCGGCCCGGAAACCGGTGAGATCTGTCTCCTTCGAGGCTTAGAGCGCACATGGGACCTAAAAAGTATTAATGATGTTGAGCAATTGAAAGCGGAACCGAAGCAGAAAAGGTGTAGCAGCGGAAAGGCGTTAAACGTAACAAGGCGGAACCGTGCAGGGATGAGAGAGTCGCCCATACTAAAGAACACTGTGGCCGTGCATAGGCGCCCCTCAGACAATACATTATCTGCGGCTTAAAAAAGACAAACGAACGCAAGTAGATTGCAGACAAACGTTGGTTTTAACCTTTCTTGCCTCACGTGGCGGAAAACTGTGAATCCTAACCATGGCTCAAAAGACACAAACCCACGTTGGGCACAAATTGTGATGCTATAAAGACCCCAGCGATGGTCCCTGAATCTCCTTCTCTATCAATTCTTTCGTTACACGTTTTTTCTGCAGTGGCCTGCCAGTGTACACTACTTTTCCCCTATTAGTTAATTGCCTGCGCCTAAGTATGTCGATAAAGACTGCGAACGATTCTCACAAGAGAGGTAACGTCACCAAGTTTGCTCGGTTGGCTTTCGTTTTAGTTACTGCTGCTTTCTTTGTTATATTTGATATGGGTCTTCCAGTTGCGTCCGCGTTGAAAATCAGACTTTACACCAACAACATCCGTTACGACAACAAGAACCTTGTTAGTGGTGAACACTCATGGAGTGAAAGAGAGCCATTGGTCACTGAGAGTATCAGGTTCCACACCCAGGCTGGTCCTTCCGTGGTGTGCTTGCAGGAGGTTCTTCGTAACCAATTGGAGGATATCTTGGGTGATTTGAACCTGGAGAACAAGAACGAGTGGGATTACTATGGTGTTGGTAGAACTGACGGAAAGTATAAGGGCGAGTATGCTCCAATTCTTTACAGAAATGCTGACTGGAACGCTGTTGAGAAGAAGACTTACTGGCTCAGTCCAACCCCAGACAAGCCTTCCAAGGGCTGGGACGCTGCGTTGGAGAGAATTGTCACTACTGTGATCTTGGAGCTGAAGCACAATGGCCAGAGAGTGAAGGTGTTGAACACCCACTTTGACCATAAGGGTGTGGAGGCCAGAAGAGAGCTGGTTAAATTGATCATGAGCAAGATGGAACTGGGCCCAGAGCCTCCATTCTTGTGTGGTGACTTCAACACTGAGCCAAAGGATGAGCCATACAAGCTTTTGAGCAAGAGTGGCTTCAAGGACTCCAGAGTCCAGGGTAAGACTTACGGCTACAAGTCGACCTTCAGTGACTTCAACCGTCAGCACGAAGCTAACACCATCATTGACTACATTTGGGCTGGTGACCACAGTCAATGGCACACATACGGTGTGGTTCCAAACTACTTTGACTTCTACATGAGTGACCACAGACCTGTGATTGCCGACTACACAATCTAGAGCAGATAGCTCGAGACAGTTGATGCCAATGGCACCCAAAAGTATCTGACATTTTTTGACATTCTTAACGACCTTTATATTTTCGTATAAAAATCATAGTATTGAATCTTAAGCTTGGCTGTAGGTACCTTAGCTCTCATAGAAGAGGTGCTCTTTAAAAATTTTCACTTCCACAAGCCTTTCCCTAGCAGTAAGTAACCCAATCTGGGCTCTCCTATATCAATCGAGCCAATGCATGCCTTAGTCTTGTGCTGACGACTAAAACCAAAGTTCATTCTCGTGGAAAATGCTGGAAGTGCTTAGTTTTTATCAGGCTGTATACTTGCCTTATTTGTTCAAGTTATATGGCTTGGAAGCGAGACGTAGCAGGTTGAACCCACCGAGTGGTATAAGCATTGACAATATTATCTGGTAGTGGAATGTATGATTGAATTTACTTTGAAAGAAAATCAGTTTAGCCTCTTATCATGGTGCTTTTCGCTTAACTTTCTTGTACTTCTTGTATAACTTGATGTACTTTCACGTAATTTTTGGATTTTTTGAAGTACTTTTCGTAGTTGAAAACACTTAGAGCTCTCACGAGATGCAAGATAAACGACTGAGCCGTACTTCGCCTAGATTCGGAAACATTTCCAGCCTGGTTACAGATCTACGTGTGTATATACGTCTCGCTCAAGATCTTCATTGATTTAAGGTTTTGCACCTCACTCATAGCATTAGCCACGGAAGGACAAAGCTCACCTATGGGGGAGCCAAAAATTTTTATGGGAAATAGAAAAAGTTTTTCACAAAAATGAAGAAAAAGTCGTCGTTCGTAGGATATGTTGTGAAAACGAAAAAGTAAGTAAACCAGCAAGCCAGGATACCCATATTCGGGGTTGTAGTCCGACATTTTCCTGCTTTTTCTTGGTACCCGGAGCTCAAATACCCCTTATCTTCCAGAACTGTTCTTTTCTCTCCATCCCACACCAATCTTATCGATTTTGGTACCTTTTACGATTTATCTGTGCCCACATCTATTATTCGGCCAATCTCGGTACCGCTAGAAACCGGGAGCAGATGTTGGGACGACGATGGTGGAGGTGGGGCTCTTTGACAACAATGGACCGGAGAAAATGATCTTGGAGATTTACAATGAAACACCGGGAGTTCTGTACGATAAGTGCTGCCAGCCAGCCAATAGATACTGCAAGATCCCCTGTACCTTGGTTTGGAACCCCAATTGCCGTGGCACCCGGAGAAACTTCAGGGTTACCTGAAACAGAAGAAAGATCTTCGCATAGAAAGCACCACTTCTTCCACGATCTCCACCACCAACTCTATTTTCCCCTAACCGGAACAGCTTGAAATCTTCCGAGCACCGCGGTGGGGTGGCTGCGGGGGAGGGGCAGGAAGAAGGAGCGCATGAAACGAGTTGAGAATCTTAAACGGCTGAAGGTAAAATATTTCTCTGCTTAACCGTGATATCAAAACCCGTCCTTACAAATACCACTGGTTTTTTGCCATTTTTTGTGGTCTGGCTCAGCCTAAATGTGCCTTTTTGTGAGTCTCTGGGCGCGGGACATTCTCGCATTGACAGGTGCGCTGACAGAAAAATTGGCATATTTTACTACTAGCCGCTAGGCGAGGTGACGCAGGAAAAAGCTGGGCATTTGGTTGCGAACACAGTATTGGAGATCGTGGTGGAGGAAAGAACGGGGTGATTACTAAAAGAATTGAGAATTGTCTTGTTGTGTAGAGAGCGAGTTTCACTTGCTGCTGGAGGATTGCTCCTATTGGTTGGTTTATGGTTTGGGTCTGGTGTAGTGCCCCCACAGAGTTGTGAGCCTATCAGTGTGGGTTATGTTCCTGTTTCTCTTGTTTCAAACGACGTTTTGTTACAAAGAGAAAGGCACCTGGACGCTCCAGAGGGTCACTGGAAACATTTACGAACGACAAAGGGTCCCAAAGATCCTCCCAAAAAAAGTGGCAGTGTCACAAAAATACTACAAAGGTGGAGATATGAAGAAAGAACAATGTAACACTTTCCAACGACGTGGGGGACCGAGTTTCTCGGTGAGACCCTCAAAAGCCACCGAACCTCCACGAACTCCATACAACATCCCGGATATTTGCTCTTCACGTCCTCCCAGCCTGCCCTCACGCAACTCCACGGATAAAATCGCTCTTCCCGGAACCCCCTACCCCAACAAGCTAAGCGCCTAGTATCAGATCATATCCCATTCGGTTACGTTTCTAGGGCCAAAACTCATGCACCCCGCATTGTGGGGCAAGCGGCGCTCACCGTATACCTTCCGTGAATGCATCCGAGCTCGCTCATTAGGCATCAATTGCCGCAACACTTAACCTACTTTTTGGGGGCTCCCCCAACCACACGCGAGGCTGAAGAGGCCCGGAGGGCTAATTTGTTCCATGGAGTATTGCGGGGCTTGCCACCATCACGTAGAGAATACAGAGCTTCTTTTGCTTTGTTTGCAGCTTCACTGATGCATCTGTAGTTGGTGCATTGTCATGTCTATATAAATGGTGGGGGTTTCTTGTTTTTTTTTGTTTCTTTCTTTAAATCTATTAACTAGCAGTCATGGCGTCTATAACTTCCTCCATGCACTCGGAGTATGTGAAAGAACATAACAAACATGTTATTCAGCCGCCTAAGCTTGACTCGAGGTCTATCAAGAAGTACCTCTCCACGAGAATCAGTTCCCTCTTCCCTTCGAAAGAAGAGCTTCGTTCTCACAGTAAGAGGGAGCTTTTGAACCCATTTTATCCATTGAAGCAAATGACATGGCACCACTGGAACTACTTCTTCATGGGTTTTGCAGGCTGGACCTGGGACTCGTTTGATTTCTTCACGGTGTCTTTAAATGCCCACGAGATTGCTGAAAGTTTCGACAAATCTGTCACTGATGTTACCTGGGGTATTACTTTAGTTCTTATGTTGCGTTCGGTTGGTGCTGTGATTTTCGGTTTCTGGGGTGATAGGTATGGTCGTAAATGGCCTTACATTATCAACTTGGCTCTTTTGGTTGTGTTGCAAATTGGAACTGGTTTCGTCCAGACTTATCAGCAATTTTTGGGTGTTCGTGCTCTTTTTGGTATAGCGATGGGTGGTGTTTTTGGTTTCTCCTTGGCTACATCTATGGATGACATTCCTGTCGATTGCAGAGGTGTCTTGTCGGGTATTTTCCAGGAAGGTTACGCTTTTGGCTATCTTTTGACTGTTATCTTCAACAGAGCCATTGTTCCAAACTCTCCACATGGATGGAGAGCTATTTTTTGGTTTGCTGCTGGTCCTCCAGTGCTCTTCGTCATTTGGAGAGCATGCTTCCCTGAAACTGATACCTACCTTCGCCAGAAGGAGATCATGAAGAAGGAACAAGAAAACAAGCCTGTTGCAAAGAAGTTCTTCACTATGTCTGACTCCGCTAAAGAGGCTTTTAGACGCTACTGGCTCATTATGATCTACTGTGTGTTCATGATGGTTGGTTTCAACTTTATGTCTCATGGCTCTCAGGATTTGTACCCTACCTTGTTGAAGGTTCAGTTGCAGTTTGGTGAAGACAGATCCACTGTTACAAACTGTGTGGCTAACTTGGGTGCTATGTTTGGTGGTTTTATTTGCGGTCACTTCTCTACATTCATTGGAAGAAGATTGACTATTATTCTCGCTGTGATTCTTGGTGCTGCTATGATTTATCCATGGGCATACTTGCGTTCTGGAGCTATCAATGCTGGTGCTTTCTTCTTACAAGCTGGTGTTCAAGGCGCTTGGGGTGTGGTTCCAATTCACTTGTCTGAATTGTCTCCTCCAGCTTACAGAGCGTTGGTTGTCGGTCTTTCTTACCAGTTGGGTAACTTGGCTTCTTCTGCTTCTTCAACTATTGAGAGTAAGTTGGGAGAAAAGTTCCCTACTAGAGCCCCAGATGGAAAGATGGTGTACGACTACTCCAAGGTTATGGCCATTTTCATTGGTGCTGTCTTTGCTTACATGCTCTTCATTATTTTGATTGGTCCAGAGAACAGAGGTGCTGACTTCAACATCTCCAGAGATGCTAAGATTGATGAAGACGAGGTGCACAGCTTGGGCGAGAGAAAGGATAGCATGGACTCACTCCACAAGAACGAAGTCGATCACATCGAAGCTACTGACCTTGAGAGGAAGGCAGATGTATCCTACGTTGAAACTGCCAAGGTCTCATCAAGAGATTAGTGTTTGTATGGCCCACTGGTTTGGGCATGTATGTCTACAAGATAGTATTTTAATATTTTATAACATACTTAATAGCAACATCGGACTTGTTGGCTGCCGCCGACAACGTTCAGTGAAGAGTCATGGAAGCATCTGCTTCAGGCACCAAGGGCTCAAGAGGCTCCCCAACCTCTACCCAAGTGTACCCGTCACAGACACAAACACTTTTCACCACCGACCATCAACGACGACAACGTAAAGGTCATCAACAGGACCAAGTATCAACAGCAGCAACAACGTTGATGAAGCGAGAAAGGATCAAGAGGCTCCCCAACCTCTGAGTAGTATACTTCTCATAGTTGTAACAAACCATCAACAGCAGGCCCAGCGACGACAACGTCAAAGGTCATCGGCAGTTCCCAGAAGCCAACAGGAGCAACGACATCGACGAATTAAAGAAGGCAGAAGCTCCCCAACAACTACCCCTGTGCACTTATAGTAGTCGATACTCCTCATGGACACTGAAAACCAACGACGACATCGTTCGAAGATACCCAAATGCCAATAGGGGCGACAGTAACCGACAAGTAGGAAGGGCTCAAAGGCTCCCCAACCTTTTCCCTAGTATACCCATCACGACCGCCACCCTTTCTCAACAAGTAGTTACCAGCAACGCTAAAGTATGCCGACGGTATCAAATAGCATAGAGACAACAACTGTCAGTAGGCAAAGACATAAGCTAGGGGCTCCCCAACCCCTTGCTAATACACCTCACACAGCTGTTTCTCCCTCTGGATAGCAAATGAAAGCGTCAGTTGATACTCCATCACCAATAAGACCAACACCAGTCAATAGGCACGAAGGGTAAGAGGCTCCCCAACCTCTACCCCAACAAAGGTACCACCGGCGCCACTCCTTCTCGGCAACAAAGACCAACGACGACAGCGTCAAACCCATCGACGATATCCAGTCCCCAGTAAAGGCTTCAACAGCCGACAGGCAAGCGGATTCAAGAGGCTCCCCAACCTCTGGCCAACTATACCCATCTTCGTATCCACCCGTCCCAAAAACCAAAGACCAACGACGAGGACAACAACGTCAAGACCATCGACGGCGCCCAGCTATCAATCAAAGCAGCGGCGACGATAGGCAGAAAGAGTCAAGAGGCTCCCCAACCTCTCTTCCCCAAGTAACCCACCATCAGTGCCACTCCTCTCAACAACTGAACACCAACGACGATAACGTCAAGTTCTCTTAAGCTTCGAAAGCTTAAACATCTTGCTCTGGTCCCGCAAAGCAGGAAGAGCAGCCGCCTTGGCGGCCTTCTTAGCAAATCTCTTTTCACGGTTCTTCAGCGGCTTCACCCCAGACATCTTGCTGGTCCCCTTGCCACTGTCCAACGTCGAGCTCCCCAACTCAACGTATTCAGACTCAAGCAAAGCGACGTCAATCTTGGCCGCCGTCGGCAGCTTCTCTGGTGTAGTCTCGGCGGTGAAAGCCTCTAGTTGTATGACCGTGTAGCTGTTTCCAGCCTCAAAAACAGAACCCTCTTGGTCGCCCGAACGGACGACAGTAAACGTAGTAGGTTCATATTTGACATCGATAAGGTCGTCGGCATCGATGTCGGCAAAGGTAGGCACCTCGGCGGCGTCGCCAGTGGTGTTGGTGCCCTCGTTGTTGTTGGCGTTGTCAATGACAACCTTCTCTCAAACCGTATGGTGGTCAGTCTTCGTCTTCTCTGTCTGAATCAATGAACGGAACCATAAGGCCCCTTCAGAACTCTCGTGTACCGCCTCCCTCATGGTCTCCATCTGAGCTAGTCATGACTTGTTCTCCCTGAAGTTATCATAGAGCTTATGCCAGTATATCTGCTGAGCGAGATCTCTTGCCCTGAGATCAAAACGACCGTAGACAACAAGACGACAAAAGAACTCGAACTCGCCGGCGGCCCATGGGATGGTTAAGCACTTGCCATCGTGCGTTATGATCGACCCATGGTGTAGCCACAGTGATTTGAGAACATCGCTGGTAAAAATGCAGCCCTGGGAGTACCAGAATGGTTCCGGCTGGAAGCTCATCCTGGAGACTTGTAGTAGGTGAGGGGCGACGGCTTCTTGGTGGTAGTATTTGAGAAGAAGTGCCGAAGAAAGACTGGGGTTAATAGACCAAGTTGTTGTTGGTCAAGAAGAAAGAAACGGTAAAGTGCTGGTGGTGGTTGTCTTCCCTATCTGAGGCAGATAGAGACTGGTGGAAGGCTTCTTGTTCTTGGGCGAATGTGATTTACTTTCTAGACTGTTGTAAACCTATTGCTGAACTTTAAGAAAAAGAAGAAGGTGAAGAAGAAAAAAGTGGGAATTGACCAGAAGGCCTCCTTTTATACCCGTTTGTACCAGCTGGACCGCGGGCTCCCAGCTCGCACACTTAACAGCAGAGCACCAGCGCTAGGAGGTAATTGAGGAGATTTATGTTCAGAAGGTGAAGGTTAAGGTGGTTTTTAGGGCTTTTGTCAAGAAATATTGGCTGTAACAGCCATTTGGAGGCCTATATGAATGGCTGCAAAATCTTTATACCGCCATACATGTTATATGCGCACGCTAAGAGTAGATGGTCCAGGGTCGCCGAAGCTCCCAGACGTCACAGTTCCGTAATAAACAGGCCTTAACAAGACAGTCAATAATTTACAGCAATACCTTTGGCTAACAGGGAAAGCTACGGGGTGGCTACTCATGGTGGGTATCTGGCCAGATGCCCTCTCAGTGACCTACTGGTCCCTACTGATAAGATAAGATAAGGTAGCAGTAACCTATCCCAACAACTCACCACTAGCCCCCTAACAGTAGCCACTGCCAACCTAAGCACGAAAAACATCAACCCTGAAAACAAATACCACGCCAAACCTTAATTACCTGGACCAGTCCAGTCTGGAGAACCACAGTGCGACGTCGGACCAATTCCATAGCTCAACGCGATCCATAGACTCAACACAGTAACACCCAAATCACTCTAAACATACCGTAAACCCCCAAAAAACCAAAGTACAACCTCTACCACCAGCGCAAAACAAAGGCTGAATTTGCCCATTCTTCCCCAAGGTTCCCCACAGAATCCTGTATTTCTCTTGATCCCTGTACTCCTCCCTGTCCATCCAAATAGCTAATGAATGCGCGTCTGAACCTCATCCTTTTTTTTTTTCACTATTTCACGAAGCCAGGTCTGATGGGTCCTGGAGGAAAACCTAAGGTCCGGGTTCGGGATAACCGAAAACAAAAAAATAAAAAGGTCGTCAGCAAACCTCAGCTTAAGAAGATCTTGGAGGGTCCAGGAGAAGCCATCGGCGAGGATGCGTTTGACTATACTGATCTTCCACGGCGGTTGGAACGGGACGTGCCTAAACATACTGGCAAGAAAGCGTTGGATGCTCAGGAATACGTTCGGAGCCTTCAATCAAGAGGGCCGGGCGGTCCGTTCCTTCTTATTCATTCGCGTATAGAAGGGTGCCCGGATGATGTTGAGTTACTGGCTGAAGCTGAGGAATTCGACCGGGGTGGAGATTACAAGTTTCTCTTGAACCAAGCGACGAAGGGGTTTGATCCCAAGATTTCGTTGCATGCTATGAAACAGATCAGGTGGATTTGCAGGACCCCGGTGGAAGTCTGCCAGTATGAGTTGAACGATGACTTGAACTATTTGCCTGAGAATGACTCCACTTATAAGATGGAGATCACCAATCCTAGCGGATCTACCAACGGACAGTTAACTTCTTTCTTGAGAAAGACAGGTTGGGAGAAGTTCAAGAAATTCGTGGACGACTTACAGTTAGCAGACGCAAAGTACGAGGTGTATTTGACGAAAATGGCCTTTGAGAAGCTGAACTCGAAGCGTGGTAAGAAGATCCTCACTCGTGCTGAAATGACAGAATTCATGGAAGTGATCGATAAGAGATTGAACAGTGTGCCAAAAGCCCTCGCCTCGCTTCTCATCGGTAACTCTCGTGTGATATACCCACATGTCTATTTCCCAGCTTTAAAAGATGTTGGACAGTTGGACGAGTTGGAGTCTGTTCTTACCAATGACAGATTTGGCTCTTGCGATCCAAACGAGGTCATTGCTGATATCAATGAGTTGCTTCTTGATCTTCAATTCGTTAAGTCCCTGACCCCAGACCTCATTCATGAATTCAAAGAATGCACAAGTACTCGTGATAACTACTTATGGGCCAAGATTCTTTATAAGCCAACCCCAAGAGCCCAGGAGCTTTTCAAGTACGGCTTCTTGCATCCCTCAGATGAGATATTGAGCTGGAACGAAGGACCAATGGTTAGACACAGATGGCAGCTGGCAGATGTGGAGATACAGCTTGGACTGGAAATGACACCACCTAAAAGGACAATCGTTGATCGTGTTCGTAGGAATCTTGAACGTGATCTCGGTGCTGCTACACATAAAAAGAAGTTGAAGGCGGTTGTTGGATATATGAGCAAAATGAAGCCCTACCGTAAGATTTCCGATCCTTTCGATATGAGCTGTGTTGTCAAGTTTTGCTATCAGTTCTGTGCTTTTTGTCATACAACAGACCATACCTTCCAGGATTGCCCAAGAAAAGGCTGCTATGTTTGTGGCAATGATTATCATTCGCGTGCTAACTGTCCCGAGGTTCTTAAACAGAAACAAGCCGAAAAGAAAGAAAGAGAGGAGGCAACCGAATCATCGGATTCATCTTCTGCATCATACATGGACGTATTTGACAATGACACCGAGGTGGAGTCCGAGCCAGAATACGACGTCCGAGAAGACTTGGGAACAGAGCCTAAAGTGATTGTTCACAAAGAGCCAACAGTACGCCCAGGGCTGTCAGAGACGACTCTTGCTGCAGAGGCGTGATCGAAATAGCCCATATGGCCTAATAGCTGAGCAAGCACCTCTCAGCAAAATAACACTTCATTTCGACAGAACAGAAAAAAAGGAAAGGAAGAAAACAAAGGAAAAAAGACAAAACAGGATAGCATTTCGAGAGACAAACAGTATAGTTAAGAGACAAACCATTTGCACGAGAATGAGTTTCCATGTCGGTTGCAACACCCCGAGGCCGGGCCTTAGGAATTGGTAGAACTGGTAGAACCTAAACCATTCATAGTGTAAGCACCGTCAGCGGTAATGGCTAGAGCAATATGGAACAATGACGCTACTATCGTTTTCACTCTACTTGTGAAGACAAACTGGCGAGAAGTTGGCTCTTGGGAGACACTATTTTCAGAGGGAAACAGTCTGATACCCAAAAAGCATTTAAACGGTGGATTCATGCTCTATAAATTTCCCCAGAGGTTCCTTGGGTCTTAAGGTTTACAATTATATAAAAATGTCACCAACAAGTCAAAAATTAGACGAGAAAAATACAAAAATCAATATTCATATAAATATATTATACAACCCCTAAGGCTTTACATGTACAACTCATCCGAGATAGTTTAGTGGCTAGAATTACCGCTTGTCGCGTGGTAGACCGGGGTTCAATTCCCCGTCTCGGAGCATTTCTCACTAGCGCAAGTGGTTTAGTGGTAAAATCCAACGTTGCCATCGTTGGGCCCCCGGTTCGATTCCGGGCTTGCGCATTTTTTTTTCTTGTTTACCTGTCCCTATCTTTTTTTGATCGATATCAGATGCTTTAAATAGCTTTTTGTTGTTGTTGTCTCACTGTCAATGCCTTCTGTGGACTTTGCAACCGCGCACTCACACAGTCCCAGTAAATAAACAAGTACAGCCCCAATTCATACAAATCACTTAAGAAATACTCTTAAAGTTGCTAGGCTGGTAATTTCACTTACATTCTTCGCCTCCCATGAATTTTCTGGGTTTTTCTTGACCGCCAAGTCGGAGGTTTTTCCAAATTTCAACTGTGGTCACGTGACCTCTACGCGCTGTTCGGTGTATGGTGCACGGACTGCAGATAAGGAGGTCTGTATAACGGACTGAGTAGTTGAGTGGTTCATAGTGTATTGAGATAACTAGTTAAGCTAGAAGGATGGAGGAAAGTCGACATCCTTATATAGTACAACTGGTAGCAATCTGGAGTCATTCAGTAGCAACCCAGCAACCCAGCAACCTTGGGAATTTTCTTGGGTTGCTAGCAACTTATAGACTAGAAGGGAACTCTAGGTCTCTGGGTAGATATCATGCCTGCATATGTGCATGTCTTCCAACACGCGCCTAAAGTAGCCTACTGCTTTGCAACCACATCACCAAATAGAAGCTATTCACCAAACGTCGTTGGCATATCCTGACTGATCCCATTGGCATACTTTCCTTTTCTTGGTGTTTTTATATTTTCCCTGTTTCTTAGCATAATTCAGTCAGCCAGGCGTGTGCAGTACACTTGAATCCAACAAGGCCTGTTTTTATTCATAATCGACGAACCTCCCACGATCCAATTCTATACATGAGTTTGGAAGACCCAGGGCTTCAGAACCCGGTCTCTGTGGGCTACTATGATCCTTTTGGCCTATATCCTGCGGTGAAAGAAGACTTTGAGTCAAAATTCCCTTTGACGAACCTCCATTGGAAGTACCACCCACTTAAACCAGTTAAGCTGATTCCACTGCTTCCCATTCAATTGGTCGAGGAAGTCCCTCATAGCTCAAGGAAGACGAAGCAGCCGACCGTGTATGACAATGTATACTTGCGTTTGGTGTTTGTCAAGGCTGATAACCTCGAAACCTATAGATCCCAGGTAAGGCCTTTGATCCAAGCATGGCTTGGCGATTTGGTCGCTGGAAGAGAAGTCAGCTGGGCAATTGTCCTTATAAGCTCTGGAATCTACAAGGAGAAGTCACTGACATTGATGAAAAAGTCGGTGTATGAAAAACTATTAGCGGATTTCTCCAAAAATGGAAAACACCAGGTCCTTCACCCTCTGGATGACCTAGACGAAGTCCTGGAGGAAGAGGAGTTTGTTTTCAGGATTGGTGATAAGTACAATAGTGATATCGAAAAGTTGGAGACCTTCAACCACATAACCACGGAATTCAAGGGTCTAATTTTGAGAACCTTTGATAGACGCTATAATGCCTACAATGAAGAGCTCGACAAAATGAAAGAGTCCAACGGAAACGATCCTGAATTATTGATCCGCGAGCTTTTTTATAAACTCAAGCTTGTTGATATCGTTGGAGATATGCGTTTTCTCGATGAATCCTTGGACTTGTACGAAGATATTAGTGAGGCATTGAAGGAACTGTCTCAATCGGTGAGCCATGCATTCGAACGGACTACCTCGAACTTTTTTGAGTCCGTGGAAAGTCAAAATTTTAATCCCGAGAAGACTGTCTTGTCCCGAGAATTGTTGGGCCAGTTTAATAAGTATTTGACCGAAGGCAAATCCATCAATCTTCTCCAAACAAACTTCAGCATATTCCTTGGTGCTTCTATATTGCTACAATCCCTAGCGAATTCTGCACCCACATTGTCATTATCATCTATTTACATTCTGCATTTATTTCAAAAGGTCATAAACTTTATCAACGAGGTTTCGGGGAGCAGGAGCAATGACGCACAAATCCTTGAGTGGTCTTGCTCACTTATAGACTTCTACTTGGATTTACCCGTCACCCATAAGCTTGTTCAGCTCAGCTCTAACAATGAAGATAATGGTGTCACATCGTCCGCTGGGATCTTTGAATATATGGGTGAGCTTAGGCTTCTAAAGAGAGGTCTAGCTGGACATTTGGCTAGTTTGAAGGGCTTTGAGCCACCTGAAATTGGATTTTTGCTTGAGGAGATTAGCCTTGACGACAGCAACGGGTCGACTCAACCCAAAAAGGAGGAACATGTGTTCAAGGATAAAGCTCTTGAGCAGATCCTTCAGTCCCAAGAGAGCTATGATACGTTCTACGAGGGCTTGACTTTGGCTGCCATTCAAGATTTCGCCAAATGCGAGAGAAAGAAAACCATAGATCTTCTTAGTGTTGACTTGGCTGTCTTGCATTACAGAAAGGGAAACTTCCAACAGGCTTACGAAGTCTTATTGACCTCGTACGAGTACTTCATAGAAAATGGTTGGAACTTCATGGGTGGAATGCTTCTTGAGATCTATATCAACTGCTTGGAAAAGCTTGATACGAAGGACAACATGCATGTTCTTGATACAAATATCAAGCTCCTCTCGACTCTTAAGCATGAAAACTCAAGAATCGGCGGTATTAATAAGTACGATATCGTCAAGACAGCCAAACAGAGGAAGCAGTTACTTGAACATATCTATGATATCGCACTGCAAGTTAGTGATATCGTTTCGATTCCTTTGGAAATCTTATTTGGAAGTACGGTCGATCCTTACATCGAAACATCAAAAGAAAAGCCTGGTGCCTATGTTTTGGAGCTCGATATAAAGAACCATCTTGGTATCGAATTGGATCTCAATGCGCTCACTTTGGAGATGGAAGAGTTGTCATCGTCAAGTCCAAAAACCATTGTGTTTTCAGCTGAGAACATAAAGCTTACACCAGGTCCACGCCAGAAAGTTTGTCTTTCAACGAACGACTTCAAGAATGCCTTCTTCAAGCCAACGAGGCTCACTTACAAGCCATGTGAGAACCTCATATTCGATCAAAGCTTTCTGGAAAGTGACACGACAGAACTGGTTCTCGCAAATGAGACTGTCGTACACACAAAAAGCAACAACGAGATTCTCCAACAAGGTTCTGATCCTGTGAATTCTTTGGGCATTTCTGTGCCGGTACCGGAACCCGTTGATTCCCTGGAGGGTGCTTTGTACATGTATGGTGATCCATCCAGCTTGAGCGCTAAATTCAGAGTGCCCGCAAAGATCGAGCTTAATGCTTCGGAGATCGAATTTGTGATCAACCCCGGCAAGGAGGCCGTCAAAAATGTCAAGGTTGACATAACTCCCGTTGACATTGGTGTCGAACTCATTGGCAGCCTTGATCATTTTGAGGAAGAGTCTCTTGATGCTGGTCAAGCTTTGACTAAAAAGATTCCGTACAAATATTTTGGTGATAGAAAGGTTCTTCAGTTTGCTGCAGTTGTTACCTATAGTATTGGCGAAGAGGAGCACACATACTCCTTACAGGATGATGTGGATAATAACCTAAAGATTCTGATCTCTGTTCAGGATATTTTCCGGGAGAAGTCCATCTACTCAAAGTTCCAGATCGGCTGTGCACAGTCAAGGACTCCAATACGTATTGTTGATTCAGACTTTCAATGCAACAACGAAAAGTATGCTGTTGCTAGTCTGACTTGTGACATCAATGAGAGTAATACGCAACTTGCGTTTGGAGAACAACCGGCCTTTATGTTCTACCGAATCACGCCCAAACAAGGAAAGGTGTCTTCTTCAGATACTTTAGACTTGACTATCACTTTCTCAAACCTACAAAGTGAATGTGAAGCTGTTATCATCAATTTACAAAATGAGTTCTTCGACAGCTTTGAGCTACAGCGCTATTCCACACTTTTCACTGAACTAGTGGGACGCCTCCAGTTTGACCTCAACAGTTACGCCATCAACAATGAGATCCATATTAAGAACGCTGAAGATGTCAGAAGCTTGTTCTGGGAATCGATTAATCGTCACATCAGATCAGAGAAGGATATAGCAGAGCTCGTATGTTGCATTGATGGAATCCTCAAGAAAGTTATTCCTGTCGAGAACGTCAACTACGTCAGGCAACAGCTTTATATCCCTGTGGCTGTGCCAATCTTGGATATTCTCCACAATGTCGAATTTAACTACGGAAAGAAGGTGCAGCACCTTGTCGGAGAGCCGATTGAAATGAAGCTCCAAATTACGTCATCCATGAAGTGGAGCGAAGAAGAAGATGCCCCTCAAGAAGTGCTTGCGTCATCGTCGCCAGCAGGTAAAGCTACACAGAAGCAACAAATGTTCCAGTTTATTGTTCACCATGAAGACAATTGGCTTCTTTCTGGGTTAAAGAAGCACGCATTCTCGGTTCTGGGCGCAAACAGCAGGGCCGAGTTTGACTTGACGCTTATTCCCCTTAACGTTGGTAAACTTCCGCTTCCGAGGGTCACAATTAAGCCAGTCGACCAAAATGGGTCACTCAATAGGACCTCCACCGATACGGTGCATGAAAATGGATTGGAGACAGTCTTGGTTGTGCCCGAGTTACAAAGCATTACATTTTCTTTTTAGAAGATGAAAAACGGGTCATACATTGCATAACGAACTAAAATAAGAAAGAAACGACGAAGAAATGCAAAAGCCAAAGTCACAAGGATGATGAAACTCAAGCATGGGTTACAAGATCATGGAGACGAAATCCTTCAGTGACCTTTTTTTGTAGAGAGGAGCTCTGCCTTCCACACCACCTGCAAAACAATTGGAGTACCACCTTCACAGTCGTTGTCTGCCAAAGAGTACTTGTCATCACCGCTTGGGCAAGCTCTCCATTCGTCTCTGTTCTCGAAAACCAAGTGGTCACCGTCAATAGAGAAGCCAGGAGTGGCAGCTTCACGGCCAAATGGAGCGACATTGCCGACCTCGCCGGTGTCAGAGTCGTGCTTGACGCCTCTTCCGTCTTGGTCAGACAAGGAAGTGTCGTCATCCTGGAAGTTCAAGATCACGTCCTTTCCGTCGTCACCTCCAACAGCAAAGACGTGTGCGTGGCTTTCGACCTTTTTGATTGGGGTGTTCTGGAATTTAGAGCCATCTGTACTCCAAGCCTTCAAGTAGAATGGCGACTTCACTCCAGGGTACACATTGTCACAATTGCCCTGGTTGTAAACCACAAGGTCAAAGCCATCTCTGTCACCACACTTGGTATCGTAACCGAGAGCATTGTTGATACCTGGGCAGCCGTACCACTTGCTTTCTCCCTTGTATTGCAACTTACCATCGTTGATGGAGAAGTCCTTGATATGATCAACACCAAGGTAAGCGAGGTCGCTCTTGAAGTTGACATACTTTCCAGCAGGAGCGTCAACAAGCGAACCATCATCGTTAAGAACGAAACTGATGCCGTCGCCGTCACCTACCTCGATGTTGTCAGGGCGGTTAAGAATATGTTTACCATCATAGCGAGAGCCTTCTTTCGAGGAGAACAAGTTGAAAGAAGTAGCAGCGTTGACGGCGGTTGCGATTGCGAGAAGACCAAAAAGCTTCATGATTGATGAGTCGATGAGAGAGTTGTAAAGAATAAAAAAAAAGAAGAGGAATCTGGGGAAACCTGGTCGTCCTTATATACTTTTCCTTTTTGCACCCATTTCTCCTGGAGTAACTAAGCTTCTGCAGGGGTACCAAAGCCAGGTACCCCAGAAACCCAAAAACAAAACCTATATTTAGCGATTCCAGGGTTTCTCCACACGGGTCAGGTGGTATAGTGTATTTTCTTTCTTTCTTTTCTGTTTACTGATGATCAGATAAAGCAGTATGGGTGGTTTCGGTACCTGTGACGTCAGTGACGTTTTGGGACGGGCGCTTCTATTTTTGTCCCCTCACTGAGTCTAAATTACCTGCGTCGGTTGCAAAATAACTAAACATGCGGCATCTCTGGTCAAGTGTTTACCATCCACCTCAGAGGCTTTAGCAAAACGCAGCCTCGTAAGGATAGAGGCGTTTACGAGGGGATTACAAAAATAGAAAGCGAACGGCTCAAACGGGTCCAACGGCGGTTTCTCGGAAGGGGTCGGAATGGGCCAGGAGGTTTGAAGGTCTCGAGAAGGAAAACGGCTTTTTTTGGCCGGTGTTGGTGTTGCAAGCAAAAGTCACCTGTTGCTTTGACAAGCTGTTTTTTTTTTTCTTTTAGGTTACTCCCCCGAGTCAGTTGCTGGATTGGAGGGTTGGAGAAGGAATATAAGCGTGACAGAAAACAAGAAATGCGGTTCAAGTGGAGATACGAGATTCGGATGACCGTCGAGAAAAGTAGAGGCTTCAGATGTGCCGAGTGGCTTGGAGGGGTGCCCCGTGGGCGTAGTGGAAATAGAAAAGAAGTAAAGAATAGGCGAAGACGAAGTAGGGAGGGTTCTTTGGGTGCAAAAAAATATAAAGTATAATGGTGACCTTGCGCGAACCAGGAATCGAACCAGGGACACAACAATGGGAACGTTGTATTTTACCACTAAACTATTCGCGCCACTCAACACTCGAATTTGAAAATTTACGGTACTTATGCCGTGGACTGGGAGAGTCTCAAAAATGTAAATTTTTTATATTTTCAGTATGTGAAATGAATAATTATAAATAACCTGTAGAAATTTCAGAGCCGTAGCTCAAAATTTGGGTGAGTTATGCCCAAAAAGACTACTTTCAGAGCCCCAGGGGCTGAAGTTGAACGTCTACCGTTGTCTCTTCAAGCCTTGTAGGCTTTAGCTTCGTCAAGAAGCAAGTCTAGATCTTTTGGCCAACGTAAATGGCCATAATATACGGCTTTTTCTTGCAGTGGATAGGGCTAAGCCAGCATTCTATCAGTCTGCTTAGAGATCAAGGGTCCTTCGATCTCCAGGGGTAGTGGCACCCTTCAAGGGGCGGCCTTTCAAGCCTCAATTGCAGGGCTTCAGTTTCCGATTTTTCATGGCTATTTTGGGAATACCTCCAACGTTCTATTTACAAATGTTCTGTAAGAACTGTAACCTCCAGGCCAGTTTTCGCAGCCATTGTGAATGGCCGAACCAGAGCATAACGACTTCCCCAAGTAGCCAATTGATCTATAATTATAAGTAGTAAACAAGCAGCATCAATGAGTGCCTTTCGTAAACTCCCGAGAATTTCCGAATTCCCAAATTCCCTATTCCAAGTATTCAACCCTGAAGGTACCTCTATTTGACTTCTCAGGCACAGACATAGACATCCATAAGACAATGTTCACCGATTCGGAAATCCATAAAAAAATCGGGTAAAGGAGAAAGCGGCACGGAATGGGTGACCCTTTTGCACCTTCTTGTTTTGTAGATTCCGTAGCAACGAAAGTTGAAGACTACCACAGCCATGGCTATGTTCCTGAGTCATAGGCAACCGAGCGCCACCAGAAGATTCAGTCAACGAGAGATAGAAGTAAAGAGATAAAGAAAAAAAGCAACAAAAAGAAGGAAAAGCTTTCAAGGAACTCTTTAAATGAAAGAGACAATTTCCTTTTCTTCATCTTTTCTTCATTTCGTCACTTCACCTTCAGTGCCTCCTCTGAAATGGCCTTCCTACTTCGCACTCCAACTGAAGCTTCACCTTGCCACTCCACATCCAATGGATAACCAGATCGCCGTGCCGATACCGCAGTATCCGCCGTTTAAGCTCAGATCGTCGCTTATAGATAAGGATCCCGTGATCTGGGTCCATCTTCTAGAAGGGTACATCCAGCTTTTCCAGCTTCTTTTGAACGATGATGTTGCTCTTAGCGTGAAGCTGCAGCAGCAGTTGCAACAGTTTTTGAAGAGTTTCTTGGAGGAGACGGCGGAAGAGTCGACGAGGATCTTCTCGTTGGGCGCTATCAATCCAGATATAAAGAAGAACACGGCCACGCTCAGGGCGTATGTTCTTTCGGTGATTCGTGCTCACAGCATTGTCAAGCTAGGCATTACAGGACAGAGTCTATGGCACTTTGTGGTTGTATACGTGGAGAAGAATGCTACGATAGTGAGGTCTTTGGTGGATGGCACGTTCAAGTCGCCGTTGAACGATAATCGGAAATCGAGCAATATTTCACTGATTCCAGCGCTTAGAGCTGCCATTGAGGCTCAGATCGTGGACGGCTCGCTTGACGCTACCGCCCAGCAGTTTTTGTTTTTGCTTCTAGGCCAGCATGCTGCTCCACTGAAGGCACAGACGTTTCTGCTTTCTGGTGGTTCTCGTAAAGGTAAAGTGCTTGCCAAAGACCGTGATCGCAACTTTGCGTCGCTGTCGAGCGCTTTGGCGTTTGCAGAGTCATTTGTTGCTCCCGAATGGATAGAAACGCTTGAGCGTTTGTATTCTGGCGGTCGAAGCGTTCATGCTGAGGCTGTCAGAAATTGCATGGTCATCAGCATTCTAGCATTATCAGTGTCCAAGTTGGCTACGCTAATTTCGACCTTGGGCATCAACAGCGCATCCACAATGTCAGGCAGTCCGTTGCTCAGCTCTATTATAATATCAGATGCATACAAGAAGCTTAATCCTGGTCTTGAAGAGAAACTACCGTTTTTGCGTACTCTTCAGGTTGGCGAAGAGGTCGAGGAGACTGTTGATGATAAGGATATCGATTTCTTGACAGACATGTTCCCATCTTTGACGAAAGGAAAAGCAAAGGTTGCCTTGTTGCAGAATGAAAAGGACGTGGAGAAAGTTACGGGAATGTTACTTGACGACCCACTGATGATTGAGTCGATCCCTGAAGAGATCGAGAAACCTGAGAAGGAGCCAGAAGTCCAGATCTCCTCTGAGGAACTCAACAGGGGCATGGAAAGGTTCAAACTTAATGATAACGAGACGACTGCTCGTGTAGAAAAGAAGAAACAGCCAGTCAGCGAGGATGAGATGAAGAAACGGACGCTTTCGGCTGCCCTACAGTTGCTCTATGAAAGTGACGAGGATGAACGTGACGATACCTACGACGACCAAGAGCACACCTCAGGTGCTGCTTTCCAAGAGTTCGAGCGTAAGCCGAAGAACAAGGATAAAGCACGTTTGGCAGTGTTTGATGAAGAGAACGCTTCACAGAAAGAAGGTACACCAACGGATGCAGTTGCAAATGAGCTCGAGAAAACGGAGCTCAATCTATTTGGCTATTTCAAAGCTAATGGTGAAGCAGCCTTTGATAAGACCGCTCGTAAGACGAAATTGCGTGACGAGATTAAAGATGTCTCTAAATGGACCGACGAGCAAATTGAAGGTTGGTTCAAGATGCTTTCAAAGTCACCAAAACGTTTCAGGTTGTTGGAGGAGCGGTTCGCTACCCACTTCTCAAACAGAAAGGTCTCGAATCGTCGACAGCAACAAACCCAGCAGCAGTCTAAGAATGACTCTCCTAAACCTGCTGGCGACCAGAAAAAGGCCAATGCCCGTAATGAACGTCAAAAGAGTAGCAGGGCTAATCACAACAGGAAGAAGGGCCACAATAAAAAGACGAGGGCCGACCTTGCGGGAATGCAATAGACATAGCATTAATACATTACCATCCGTGGTCAAAAAGCATCGACACGGACTCACCGTTGTGAATTCTTCTGATAGCTTCGGCAAAGATTCGAGAAACATCAAGCACCTCGAATCTCTCAGCGCCAAGCTCGTTCATGTGTTCCAATTGCGGAATACTGTTTGTAGTGATAAGCTTATCGATATCTGAAATTTCGATCTTCTCAAGACCGTCACCACTGAAAATAGCATGCGTCACCAAGCAGTAGACATAGGAAGCACCCGTTTCCTTCAACAATCTAGCAGCCCTGGTGATGGTATTACATGTATCAGCAAGATCGTCAATAAGCACACACACCTTGTCCTTGACATCACCCACAAGCATGGAGCTGTTGATCTGGGTAGTTGTGGATATCGTGGAGTTCATGGAGGTAGATGCAGAAAGGATAGGGGAGCCAATGGAAGCTGGGGTGACCTTAATACGCCTTTCCTTATGAATCAAGGCAAAACGACAACCCAAGGCATCAGCAATGGCAGTGGCTCTTTTGGCTCCACCACTGTCTGGCGAAACAATAACACAGTCCTTGTAGTTGGGCACGTAGTCAATGATATAACGCTTGAACAACGGCATCAGGTAGAGGTTATCGACCAGGATATCAAAGAACCCTTGGAACTGTGGATCATGCAAGTCCATGGTCATACATCTATCAGCTCCAGCGTTCATGAGTAGGTTGGCTATAAGCGTGCCGTTGGGACTCACCCATTGTTTATACCCACTATCGTCCTTTCCGTACCCGTCCACAGCGCCCAAAAGGTTCGTAGCAGCTGCGTTTGTCAGAATAGCACGGGGTCTCAAAGCCGGCTTGGGCAAGGAAAGCTCATCCTCGTCAGCAATAGCATTATCGTTCAACGAAACCTTCGGGTTCTCTGGTTGCCTGGAGTATGGAAAGTAAGGCAACACCGCCGTGACTCTCTTGGCACTCGCAGTCTTGCAAGCCGAAATCAAAATCAAAAGCTCTATAAAGTTATCATTGACTTCGCCACAGCCGCTCTGGACAATAAAAACGTCTTTTTCACGAACAGAGTCCTTCACGGTGATGGAGGTCTCACCATTGGAGAACTTCTTCAGGTCGACTTCGCCAGGGTAAATCGTCAAGTTTCTGCAGATTGCCTTTGCAAGGGACGGAACTGAACTTCCGCCAATCACCAAAAGATCTCTCATTGTTTAATTAGCTGGGGTTGTTGCAGGTCTGGGAAAACGTGGGGGAGGTAAAATTTTGAGATGGTGATGTTTTCGCATCCTCCATAGTTAAGCAGATTCAGGCGCACATAAAGAAGGAACATGCCATATTGGGAGGATTGTGTCCAGAACTAAATCCTAATTTCGTAAGATCCCGCTTCAGTGGTGTACTTGATCCACTTGACGGTTCTGTAGTTTGACTTTTCAACAACTTTCAAGAATTTCACCAGAAGGCCTGAGGCGCTGTACATGTCCATGGTGAAGTCCAAGCTCATGGGGTTTTTGGCATTGACGATTTGTTTTTGCAGGAACTCGTCGTTTTCTGAAAGCTTGAGCTCGGCGCTGAGCGAGTGGTCCAGGTCGCCGTAGAGCTTGGAGAATTTCCACGAGATGGTGTTGTCGCCTGGGTTGTACTTGGCTTTTCCGTTGGAGGAGGTGATATTGTTCTTGAGAACGTCTTTGGGCGTGGGAATGGAGAGCGTGACGCCTGTAGCGGCGATCATCGATTCAAACGTAGACCTGAGGTTCACTCTTATCGTCATTTTGTCGCCCTGGACGGTTACCTTCGGTATGACCTTAAACGGGAGCATGAAGGTGTTGTTGACGTGGTACAGCATAAGCTGGAAAGAGCCGTCTGGCGGAACAAACCTGATCACCTGGTCAGTATCGTACTTGGCCAAATCCACACATTTATGGAACTTAAAGTCGTCAAGACTGATCTTCTCGAGAAGTCCTGTTTCCGACCGATCGTCAGCAAACCCGAACCGGCAAACCGGCATCCCCAGTAGATGTGTTTTCATAGTTATCACACCGTCAATGTACGAGCGCAGGCACCGTCCGTGGCTGTCCAAAGTAACATGCACTTTTTCATCCACATTAAGGAAGATCTCGTTTCGACGGTACTTGATCCCTGGCTCTCGCCACAGCACCATTCTCGGATCGTAACTATGGTCCATAGCCGAAGCCGCAGCCTTCTCTGAAGCCTTATCGGCGCTAGGCTTCAAAAGCGAAGCGTGGAAGTCGAACCCTGATTTCGGCAGCGGAAGCCCTGGAATCACTGAGGCAAGGTACGTGGGCTCCATGTTTGTAGGGTACCCGAACTGAAGCATCTCTCCAAGCATCTCATAAATCGAACAGAAGTTCCCTGTGATAGCCTCCTCCTTAAGCGGAGCCGCTGGATCCTTCAGAAAGAAGTGTTTAAGCAACGCAGTAAACGTGAACAAAAACTCAAAGATCACCAGCAGGTCCTGGTTCAGCCGGGTCACCGCCACAAGCCACATGTTCCCCAAACGTGTATGAAGAAACGAAGTGCTGCCCAACGTCAACACCGGCAGCCTGACATCCTTAGAAGACAGACTGGCTCTAGTCAGGTTGATCACCTGAATACGGAACACGTCCAGAACCAGCTGACGCACGCCGTCTTTAAGAAGACGAGACATGATCACGTCGCCCTTGGCATTGAAGATGAACACGGCGCTGATCATGGAGGGGAGGTGGAGGATAGGTGAATGGATGGAGAAGGAAGGTGTTGATATCGCGATTTTCAGTACGCGGTGGTTTGGTCACTATGGAGGTGGTGGTGGGACAGGGAGAGGTAGGGAGGGGATCAATGGAGGCTTGAGTAAGTGGAGGCTGACTGGTTTGGGTAGATTTGGGGAAGATTTGGGTCAATTGAAAAAAAGGTGGATGGTGGAAGGTGGAAGGTGGTGGTGGTGGTTGAGGAATGGAGATGGAAGGGTGGCTATGCCAGGAGAAGTCTAGGGAAGAAAAAGGATGGAGAGTGAAGGAGAAGGAGGGGAAGTGGTGTTGGAAAGTGGACTACATTGTTACTATGTAAGTGTTAATAAATTTTTAGGAAAGTTGTTACTTCTGGGGGAGTGAGGGAGATGGGTGGTGGACTGTGAGGACTACTAAGCTCACCTCAGTCGACTCAGAACTAGATGACATAAAGTCAGCAGAAGGAGACTTTTTTACTTCAAGTGACTAAATGAGCCTCTCCATTTGATACATTTAAAGTCTTATACTGTCAATGGAGCAGGGGAAGTGGCTAAGTGTACTGTGGTACTCTTCTGGTATACACCCTCCTAACATCACCACCACCTACTCCTCCTCCTCCTACTCCTCCTACATCGCCAGATTTATTAATATTTTTTTTTTATTCTTTTTATTTAGGTCAAGGAATGGCGCTGGTTGCATTTGAGAGTCTTCATTCCTTGGGTCTCTCGATCTAATAAACCCAGTCAGCAGCTGGTTGTGGAAGGCTCATGGCAGCAGAGGTGGCCAAAGGCCGCTCAATCCTAATATACCAAGAGTTAGGGTTGGGCATTTCTCTGTTTCTTCTGGCACGAGCAGTTCTCTGTCTTCTGAGCTTGGCTTTGGAAGGTCCGTAAACGTAAACCTTAAGAACTTTGGGTCTCTGAGTCGGCTTAGAGACTGGAGAAGGCACAAGCGTGGAAGCAGGAGACTTTGGAACCTCGACGGGAGCAGCGCAGGGATAACTGCCATGCTCTTTAACGTAGCTATCGAGGTACCCGATGAACTTGTGGAACCGCTGGAAGTGGTGATGGTAAGAAAAGGTACTCACCTGGAGGTTGGGGGCCTCAGAGGGAGTGGTTTCCTGAAAATTGGAAGCGTTAGGCAACGGCTTCCAGAACTTGATAGTACATCCAGTGAGTTCCACGGTGGCGAAATGTTGTCTTATGATAGGAGGAATAGACACTGGGATGGTATCTTCCTTCTTATCTTCCTTCATCTTCTCATTCTCATTTTCCAAGTACATGGGAAGGTACTCGAAGAACTTGAAGAGGTTCATGAAGTGGTGGTAATGAGACAACTGGCCCACCTGGTTGGTAGGCTCGGGAGTGGCTTCCACTGCTTCTTCGACTTCTTTAGTGTCTGGGACACTGGGAGTAGGAAGTGGAGAAGTGGGAAGATTGCACTCATTGGTCATTTTTGCAGCCTCTGCGACGTCACTCTTAGACTGGGTGTCGGCGACGCCAGAGAGTCTTTTGCTTTCTCTGAACGCCTTCTTGGACTGCTTTCTTGCCTTCCTGGCTCTTCTCTTAGCCGCCTGTTTCTGGGCTCTTTTAGAAGGTACGGAAGGTACGGAAGGTTTCTGGAGAGGCTCGTCAGAAGCCTCCTCCATCGAAGGACCATCCAGCTCTCCCTTCAGCGTGTTAGGCGTAGGGATACTCTCGTCTGACTCAGCTACAATTGGCGCTGGCACTGGAGCTTCCGCCTCGGGTTCCTGGCAAACAGGGACTTGAGGCTTTGGAGGCTCGGTAGACTGAGCAAGAGGTTGAGGCTCGGGAGTGGAGCTGGCCATAGGGTGATCAACAGGAGTAGCCACAGGCTGGGCAGTGGCAGGCTGGGAAGGCTGTGGAGCCTTGGAAAGACCTGGAGGAGGGCCATAGGCATGAGAAGCCTCAGGCTGTTGAGGCACCTCAGGCTGTTGAGGTTGAGGTTGAGGACCCTGAGGCATATGAGGCATCTGAGGACCCTGAGGCATATGAGGCATCTGAGGACCCTGAGGCATATGAGGCATATGAGGACCATAAGGACCCTGAGGACCATGAGGACCATGAGGCTGAGGGCCTGGCTGGGCGTACTGGGCGTACTGAGGCTGCTGTTGAGGTGGTGGTGGAGGTGGTCCATACCTGGCCATGTACTGGAACAAGACCGGATCAACAACTGGTCCCAGAAGCAAAGGGTCAAAAAAATTGGCCTTTGGGTAAGGCGAAAGGAAGTTAACAAACTCCCCTGGCACGTTAATGGCATGAGGGCCACTGTGGAGCTGGTGGGTGCCCCATTGAGTAGCTCTGACAACTACTGCGTAGACTGGAACAGTAGGCCCAACTGCCATAGGACGGAAAGTGTGCAAGAAATAATCAAGCTTACCTGGATGGTTGAAAAAGATGACAGGCCTGTCAACTGGAGGGCTGCGAGGCACTCTGGCTTCGTCGATGCCGATTTCAATGTCAACTTTAGGGCCATTGGCTTCGTTTGACACAAAACCAGCAAAATCCAAGGGAACACTCTGGGAGGCCGAAGAGCCTCCGTCAAAAATGTTGTACCCAAGAAGGTTCTTAGGTACGGTAGTAAAGCTAATAGGAGTCATTGGAGCTCGGTAGTCGACGGTGGTGGTCGAAGGGTAGTCAAGTGGTGATTGACTGGTGGTACAAGCTCAAGTAGGTTCTCTCTCTTTCAATTGGTGAAGGATAAAGAACAAGAAGTGGTTGTGGAGGAAAAAACGAAACTCAGGCGAAATGGGAGGATATTTATGTTCGAAATTGGGACAACTGAAACTTTCTGGAGGAAAGTGGTAAAGAAGGAAAGGATGGTAAGGAATCAAAAGAGTAGGTGGAGTGTGCGCGTATATATCGTCAGAAGTAGAGGGAGCTGGGGAAACGATTACTCACTCAATTGCGCTCAAATTTGACTTTTTGGAAACCCCAGGAACGGGAGAGTTTATTATGGGCAGTTAGAGACCCATAAATGTAGGTTTTGGGGGAATTTTAATGGCTGCAAAATGGCTTTTACCGTTGTGCGGCTTAATGTCGCAGACCAGCCTGGGGAAAGTATAATAACCGCAGGGACCTTCGGGCCCTAAGAAGATGGAAAGTATAAACTGTGCATACGAGAACAATAGAGAAGTATGAAGGACGCCTAAGAGTTTCCCTCCTTTTGGGTAACCAGGTAGATACACCTTGTGGAGCTGGTTTCTCGTAGTGAGAGTAGTATGTGAGTACTGGGGCCTTTGGCTGGGTATAGGGTAATGGGATTCAAGATGAAGGTTTTTCTCTACTTCAACGTCGTCTTGGTACTCTAAAGGGTCCAAAACGGTATCTACACGGCTTCTGGTGGGTAAACGGTGGAACGTTGGTAGAACCGGTTACGGGGCCCTGAGCATTATACTTTCCCCTTGCAGAAGCCTCACTCAAGCCACCGCTTGGATGCAACTGGCTGTCATGAAGCTTCGAAATCTTCCTGCCTTCCTATTTGGTTAAAAACAGAGGGCATTGAGTTTTTGGCTGACGTGGTCGATTGGTTTGGTTACCTTAAGGAAAGTCGACGAGTGGACAGAAGAGGATGGTTAGGGAGCTGCGCCACGAATCTCCAACAAGGTGGCAGTTAGGAAAGTCGAATAATTTTTGTGAACCTGCATTTTTATTAATTATCTAGTGTATGGAGGAAGCAGGGTTGTTGAGTTGGTATAGTTTCCTTTTTGCTGGGAAGGTGCCTCGGAGGTGTACTTCCGCGCAGTGTATCTACCTCTGTAGCAGACCAGGATGGATGAAAAGGGGTGCTGGGGATGGATGACGGTCATGTTTCTTTGATTTGGCATCTAAGAGGAAAGTGGAAAGTGATGTGGCTTTTTATACTTGTGTTTCATTGAAAGAAGACAATGGGGATAGGAGGTGGCATTACGAGCTCCTTCAACCTGGATCCAGGTGTCCAACTTGCCATAGCCCCAAATTGGACTGGTCATTCAACAGACAGTATTTTTCATATCAGGAAGGTTAGGGCTATTGGCAGTTCCAACTTGTAGAGTGCCCCAGATCAGACCTGAATACTGGGCTACCTTCCCCCTTCCAATTGGACTTTCTGAGTTGAGAAGGGAGAAACGGGAGAAACGGGGTCTGGTGGTCTACGTGGTATTGAGAACACGTCGCCGCTTTAAGAGGAGCTGTTTGGAGGTATTCCTGATGGTTTTATGTTTTTATGTAAGTGCACTGATACGTCTTTCTTGGAGACCCAAAGTAGGTTTGTAGTATAGTAGTGATTATATAGAATATGTACAAAATACACGAATTTCAAACCGCTTGCAAAAATCGAAATCTCTCTAAAATTGGTAAAAGTGTCCATAGATCTACCCCTTGGTACCCAATAAAGCCCCAGGAAGCCTCTATTCCCCCAAAATGCCGCCTGTGGCCTTGTTGGTGCCTTGACTTATAAATGCGAATGAGCCACGCTTCAGGCTCACGTCAAATACTGCCACTGTAGAGCAAAAGGGAGCAAAAACCTCTAAAAATGAGAAAGAGCCTCACTGTAATGTGGATTGTGAGGGATTTGTAGTCTTTCTTTGAAAGGACGACTTTCAACTGAGGGCTGGTGCTCAGGGCATCAGCGAAAGAGCGGCGAACAAAGACTCCAGTAGAGGAGAGAACATGAAGTCACAGGTACCATAACGAGCTTGAGCGTGTAGGATGGGAACTGGTGTTTACTACCTGATGCCTCCTCTTTCTTGTTTTGACGGGAGTAGGAAGGTCCCCTGACGATGGTACTGTGGTAGGTATCCAGAGGCTCTGGCTACAACCTACGAGCTAAAGGGATCTCCTTGGACTTTTCCAGATTAAAATATCTAAAATAATAAACTAAAACGGTCTTCATATATTATATAACTATACTTTTAGACAAGAGTTCGGCGCTGTAGCTGCCGCTGGGCCGTTTCAACGGGGAAAACGGTGCACCGTCTTTCACTGCCACATGTAGCCTGAAAGAAGCCAAGGAGGCAGCTTAGAAGGCGTAGTAAGGTAAGCTCAAGTCTTCAAAATAGTCTACAGAGACTGGCCGTAGAAGGAGGGAAGCTCCTCAAGAGGGCATGCTAAGAGAGACTGAAGGTTGTTTAGCCCCCAACGCCAAGTACCCTAACCCCCAAGGTTGCTTAAGCGAATCAAAAGTAGGAGGGAAGCCAAGTTCGAGTGCATGAATGATCAATAGATTAAAACCCTACGGTCTACACACTTCCAGGAAGGTAGGTCCAAGTAAGGCTCCTCTGGTACTGAACAACGCCAACGACCTACCAGCTCTCAAGCTACCCAAGAGTTCCCTATAGTCAATAGAGCTCTAATATTCGTACAATATACCTTATTGAGCTCAGGTGAGACTTTTTTCTACCTCGCTGACCCGCCATTTACTACCTCTACATGTTCACTTCAGACAGCTCCATTCAAACACCACCACCTCCACCTCTCCCAACCAACAGAAACCCGCAAAAACGACCTAAACCCCCAATCCCTCTCTATCTCCCCACTTAGACACCCTCCTTATCCATCCCCTCTACACCTCCCCCTCTCTCCCCAAAAGGAACATCTGTTGATACATCTGCACGGTTTAAAGTCTGTTCACCTTTCCCTGCATTATCTTATGCACAAAGCTGTCAAAGAGACCCCACCAAACAGCCATACCCAGCTATCCAGACAAGAAAACACGTCACCAGAACCCACCACTGGGCTCCCTCCACCCCTAGACGACGCCCCCGCTCGACTTTCCTTCTTCCTTCACGTTGATTTCCTGGCGTAAAATCCCACCAACCTGCATACAACACCTACACCTTGGGTTCATAGAGCGAGGGCCCTTCTTCTCTTTCCCACTTTTTACCAACAACTCACTCAAAAATGGCATTCAAGAAAACTCAAATTTCCAAGATGCCCAGCGTTCCAGGTAAGACGCCCGACTCCCAGAAAGTCGAATTTGCTCCATTAGCAAGTAAAAGGGAAAAAATAGCCCACATATTCTCATTTGCTAGAACTCATCAACGCACCAACACCAACCATCCACAGCCAGCCACCACATCCCCTTGGATCGTTCCCAAGAAGAAAACAGGTGTCGGCCACTTGGGCGACGCTCAAAAACCTGTTTTGAAGAGCGGCGCTGCCCATCTTCGTTCAAACAACCCCTTCGAGTGTTTACGGTCTGAGAACACAAAGAAGAAGAGACGCCCACAGCCAGCCAACAAACCACTCTTGACTGCCAATGTTCATCCCGATGCCAGGGCCGCCGCTAGGCATGCTTTTGGTGCTCTTGGCGACAAGAAAAACGCTGGTGTTGTCGTTTCAATCAAGGAAGAGGCTGACGAGGTGATTACTAGGATCGTCAAAGAGGCCAACAGGCCTCTGAAAAAGGCTCCCAAGACGTCGTCCAACGTCGGCGGCAAAACCACTAACAAGAAACAAGGTTCTAAGGCCCACATTCCGTTCGAATTTCCTGTGGACTTCAAAATCATGGTTTCGCTGGACCCTCTGGGTAACACCAAGGTTGAGCACCAGAGCAGTAAAATGTCTCGTGCGCGCGACATTTTGGCTGCGAAAGCTCAGGGTCCCTCATACAATGCCGCCACGCATAACGTCAAGAGCCCCAAGTGCGATAAGGCAAAAATAGCACTTGACGGTAGAAGTAAGCTGGAGAAAAATGGCGTGAAAACGGCTTTGGAGAAGTGCCAGAGCGGCAAAAACCATGGTAAAGTTGATATTCGCGACATTTGCTCTTCTGGCCCGAAAAGCCGGCTTTTTGGGTGTTCAGAGAGCCCAGTACAGCTTCCTAGGCCTTCCAAGGCCCAGTTTGAGCCAGTTAAGACTCCCAAGGCAGTTTGGCCCGTCAAAAAACCGCTTTCAGTGCCTAGAACGAAGTATAACGACATTTTCTTATATAACGAGGACTTTGGTCCTTCTGGACTTGGCTGTTCGAAGGATATGGAGAGATCCAGAAAACAGTCCGTGTCCTTGAGAAAAAAGAAGGGAAAACCTTTGGTGATGTCGAAGAAGTTTGGAAAAGCTCGGATATGCTCCTCACCAGATGATGCTGGTATTTTTTTTGAGAAATCCAAGCTCCCAGAACTGTCTCCATCGCCCAAGGCGACCCAGAAGAAGAAGAAAATGACGAAAAAGGAGAAAAAGGAGAAAACGCAGCAAAAAGTGACAGAAAAGACAGAAAAAGAGGCCTCGCCAGCCAATCCTGAGACACTTTCAACCTCTCTGGCCCCTCAGGCCAGGATTCCGTCCCAGGAAGCCTCTTCCAAGGCGCCCCAGTCGCCCAAGGCGCCCCAGCCGGCGCCAGTTTCTTCCAAAAAGTCTTCCAAGACCCCAGAATCGCCCATTTTTATGGCCCCAGAGTCTCCAGCCCAGATTACCGAGCCTTTCCTTGGGTCTCCCTTCACCTCGCCTGAACCTGTTTGGTGGTCGCCAGAACCTCCATTGGATACATCCTCTCCAGAGGTGAAGACCAATGCAAATGTGAACTCACCAGAGGTTCCAAAGTCGTCGTTGCCGTTGGTGTCGGTTCCTTGTGTTCCTTCGGTGCCGTTGTCGTTGCCTCCTGCTTGTCTGGCGTTTGACTTCTATACGGCTGGTATACACGATATGGTGGTTAACCCTTGGGCTTCTGTTCAGCCAGGCACTGAAACGGCTTCTACGGCTACGCCAGTGGTTTCTGTTGTACCTTCTCGTTGTCCTTCGCCTCCTGTGTTTGCTGCTGCTGCAGTGGAGACCCCATATTGGCCTTTTGACTGTTCTAAGGCTAGTGAGGTGGAGGAACCACTTAAAGAGGCTTCTGAATCTGTTGATACTCTTCAAGTGACTAGGTGTGTGTCTCTGGGTGCTTCTGACGTTGCCTCTCTTCTCGAATTGCCCCTTGCGGTGGTTAAAGAGGCAGCTGAATCTCTTTTTGACATGGAGACGCCTATGGAGGCTCCAGTGGCTCCAGTGGCTCCAGAGACTCCAGAGACACCTTTGGAGACTGTTGATGTTGACGTTACTGAAGTGACTTCTCCCGTTTTGGCTCTTTCCTCTTCTGAAGCTTTTGCTGATGAAACTGTGGAGCCAGAGAAGCCTTCGTTGCTGGTGGTTGCTGAACCTCAGCTTCCTCTTGAGCCTGTCCACTTAGAGACCCCCGTGGTCCTCGAGGCTCCTATGGAGACGAAACCTACCGAGTCTGTTCCCGAAGAGGCCACCCAAACTGGTGATGCCCAGACATTGAAGGTTGAGTCGCCAGAGGTTGTTGAAGCTCCCAAGGTTGTTGACTCTCAGGCTTCTCCATCTTCCACTCCTCAGGCTTCTCCTAAGGAACAAGGTGAACTTTCTGTGGCCCTTCCAACGCCAAAGACTTCGTCGTCTTCTCCTAAGACATCGTCTTCGTCTTCATCTTCGCAACTTCCTTCTACTGAGCCTGCAACACCTCCACAACCACCTTCTGTTCCTACTCCGGTAGCTTCACCTCCAAAGAAGGTTTCAGCCATTGAGGCCTTGAAACAGAAGCTCAACGAGAAGGCCAACACCACTACCGTCCGTAAGGCTCATATCTACACGAACTCGAAGCAAGTCCTGATCAAGAGCAAGATCAGCACGCTTAATGGCTTCTTCGAGGACGCTGGGTTCCAGAAGCCTGAGGAGAAGAAGGAAAAGGAGTTGCCGGTGAAGAAGCCTTTGAAGACAAGCAAGTTTGAAAAGAAGACAGAAAGGAATACTACTAAGATAGTCATTCCTTCTACAAAGACAGAAACAGTCTCTTCTGTGCTGAAACTGTCGCTGGAACCAACCAAGACTCCCTCTTCTATGGAGTCGTCGGTTCCGTTGTCGTCTTCTGTTGTCCCTTCTGTTTCTTCCGTTTCTTCTGTTTCTTCTCTTCCTTCCAAGCCTGAACAGTCTTTGGCCCAGAGAAGAGATGCTGAAGCTGCTGCTCGTGCTAAGGCTGATAAGAAACAGCAGTTAGCCAAAAGACTTGCTGCCTTGAAGAAGAAGATGGACTCAGACACTGCCAAGCCGTTGCCGCTGCCGTTGCCGTTGCCCAAGAAGGATGTGGAACCAGTTAAGGAGATTCCTCCTGCTCCTCCTTTGCCTGAAGACCTTTTCGATTCTGATTCGGAGCCTTCCAACTCTGAATCGTCTTCTGGCAAACCTGTTACGCCTTCTCCTGAGCCTACTGTCTTGTCGAGTTCTGTTCTGGATAACAGCCTGAGCCTGGAGCCTTCTGCTACGCCTTCTCCTAAGTCAGAAGCCCAAAAGGCTGTTTCCACTGAACCTTCTTCACTCGAGTCTTCTCCTGAACCTGAGTCTTCCAAGGCTCTTCCTGAACCTGAATCTTCCAAGGCTTCTACTCCAAAGACTGTCCTCTCTAAGGATGAGAAGAAGGCTCAGTTGAAGCAGAGACTTGCTGCTTTGAAAGCCAAGATGGAAGCTGAAGCTCCAAAGAAACCAGCCAAACCAGAAACCTCTTTGTTGTTGTCTGATACTGTTAAGACGCCTGAGATCCCTCCTGCTCCTGCCTTTCCTGAAGGTCTTTTTGATTTGGATTCAGGTGACTCTGAAACAGTCCCAGAGGTTTCTGCTGAAGTTGTTGATGTTGGTTCTGAAGCTCCAGCTCCAGTTGAGGCTTCAGTTGAGGTTTCTGTTGATGCTCCAGTTGATGCTCCAGTTGATGCTTCTGTTGAAGCTGCTCCAACTGCCTCTGTCGCTCCAGCTCTCGCTGAAGCTTCTCCAGCTCCCGTTGAAGCTGTCGCTTCAACTGCCTCTGACGCTTCTCCAGCTTCCGTTGAAGCTGGCGCTTCAACCGTCGCTGTCGCCTCCAAAGAAGAAAAGAAGGCTGCTTTGAAGAAAAGGCTTGCTGCTTTGAAACAGCGTATGGCCGCCGAGGCTCCTCCAAAGCCTGTAAAGAAGGACGCTCTTCCAGTGGAGCCTGTCCAGGTTCCAGCCCTGGTTCCACCACCTCCAGCTCCTCCTTTACCTTCTGACATCTTCAACGCCGTCCTTCCTTCTCCCGTTGATCTTCCTGCTACTGAACCTCCTGTTCCAGAACCGTCACCAACCAAACCTTCTTCTCCAGTTCAAGTTGTCCAACCTCTGTCTGACTCTCCCCAGAACCAAACAGATGGCCTTTCTAAAGAAGAGAAGAAGGCCCAATTAAAAAAGAGACTTGCCGCCTTGAGGACCAAAATGACCAGTGATGCCCCATCCAAGGGTACTTCCAAAGATGGAAAGAAATATAAGGAAAGCGTTCCGGAAGCTTCTCCTTTGCCTGTGGACGTGAAACAGCCAGTACTTCTGGAGGCTCCCCCTCCTCCAGCTTCATCGATTCCTCCACCTCCACCGCCTCCTCCTCCATCTTTGCTTCCTGTTGGTCCTCCTCCTCCACCTCCTCCAGCGCTTCCAGCAAGTCTTCTTCCAGCAGCATCTGAAACTCCAGACGAACCTGAAGATCCAACGGCTCCTTCTGAAGCGTACCTCGAATTGGAAGCTAAGCTTTCTGCCAAAAAGAAGAAGAGCATTGATTTATCTACCATTAGCGACCAGATCCCTGACTACTCCAAGAAGACGAACTTTTCTTCGAAGTTGCTGAAGATGGCTTCCAAACTTGAAGCTGTTCTTCTTGCTGATGGTAGGTTATCGTTTGATGGTCCCGTTACGCCTATGAATCTTCCTAAGCCAAAGAAAGCGTCTCTTCTTTCCAAAGACGAAGTGCCTAAAAAGAAACATAACGGTAAGAACGCTGCTATTTTGAACAAACTCGAGGGTCTTTTCAAAGACCGTCTTGACGAAAACAACGGTGTGAAGGAACCCAAAACGCCCAAAGTGTCCAAGTTCCATATCGACATGGACCTGACTGAAGTGTTCATTCCTCCTTCCCATCCTAACTTTCCAAAACCAGCTGCTGGTCTGGGAACGGCTCCTCCTCCTCCTCCACCGCCTCCACCTGGTTTCTTGACTAATGGGAATGGTAATGGCAATGTTCCACCTCCTCCACCACCTCCACCAGCCTTTTTGATGGCCAGTGGTGCTCCTCCACCGCCTCCACCGCCACCTCCAGCGTTTCTTACCAACTCAGCAGCTCCACCTCTACCTCCACCCCCTCCAGGGTTCTTATTGGATGCTGCTGGACCTCCACCTCCTCCACTGAACGTTCCTTTGACGAAGAAGGAACTTCCTAGTGTCAAGTGTATTCATGGGTCGTTTGAAGAGAAGAGGAAGGCGTTTGGTGCTTTCTTCTCTGCCCATCCTATGAAGAAGAATGCTCCACCTCCACGGATTGAGGCTCCCAAGAGGAAGGTTTTTAGCCAGGATGAACTTGACAAGATGAAGCCGTTTGAGAGGACCAGGGTTACTATTGAAGGCCATTTACAGGATTTAGTTCGTGAGGGCAAGGCCTTGCCGGGTGCATGATGATGATGATGATGATGATGAAGCAGAAGAAGAAGAAGAAGAGAAAAAGAGAAAGAGAAAATGAAGAAAAGAAAGAGAAAGAGAAGAAAAGAAAGAGAAGAAATGAAAGAAAAGAGAAAGAGAAAAATAGAAGAAGAAGAAGAAGAAGAAGAAGAAGAAGAAGAAGAAGAAGAAGAAGAAGAAGAAGAAGAAGAAGAAGAAGAAGAAGAAGAAGAAGAAGAAGAAGAAAGAGAAAGAGAAGAAAAGAAAGAGAAGAAATGAAAGAAAAAGAGAAAGAGAAAAATAGAAGAAGAAGAAGAAGAAGAAGAAGAAGAAGAAGAAGAAGAAGAAGAAGAAGAAGAAGAAGAAGAAGAAGAAGAAGAAGAAGAAGAAGAAGAAGAAGAAGAAGAGGGCCCGTGCTGGACACGAGGACTCAATAAGTTATTAGTTAGTTTTTTTTTAGTGGTTTAATGCCTCTTTTTTTTTAGTCTCGAGTAGCTTCTCTAGTAGGTTTTCGGTTAGGGCTGAACTGGGCACTGTTTATGGCTGTTTGGGCTTGATAAGATGAAGGTAAGGGGTGGAAGGTTGAGGAAATCTACTTTAGAGGAAACGTCACTGGTTTATATAGGTTTAGATTGATATGACGCTGTGATAGTAGGAGTGGTTGTTGAGCATCACTGGAGACCTTAGGTCCACCCTTCCTTACTGGTAGGAAGACCGTCATCCTAGGCTGACTCCCAGCCTGCTGTTATAGTTTTGGGCTTCAGCCAGCGACTTTTAGCCAGCAATTTTCTAGTCCTGGACGACTGTTTATACTCGTCCCGTTTCCCTACTTTTCATAACTCTTCAATCAACTCTTTATATGTCTTTAAACACTAAACAATCTACTGCGCAACCTAACAGGAGAAGTGTGAAAGAGGAGACTGGTAAGATGCCTACTTAAAGGAAGGCACTACTTCTTATTCTTATACAAACTGTTAAAGATCATGCTTGAAACCCACCTCTTGACATACTCTAGAGGATATGGCTCTGAACTGGTCACTTGCTCCTTCCCTCACTGATAAGTTTATCACGCTACTATCAATTCTTCGCCCTATGAAACCTCCAGGGTACGTTTCCACCTGGAATCAATAAACCATGATACTTCACTTGTTTACTTGGCCTGACATGTCCATTGCTCTTTCTTCTTCCGTGGATACTGAGTCTCATGAGACTGACGTCTTCATATCCCAACTTCGCCTGCTGACAAACAACCAAAACCACCACCTTAGCCGTGGAAAAGAAAGCCAAGCAAGTACCTTCCAACCTCCACCACTTCACGCTTTTAAACGGCTATCACTTCCTTATTTAACCACTTTCTCGATGTAATTACCCTTTTGGGACGTATACCCGTATGCTTAGTGAGACATATGCACCTGGTGCATAGAGGATGCACGAACCCAGCAATGCGGTTATAGAGAAGAATAGATAAAGCGAGCGAATCCAAGAAACATACACAGCAGGCTTATTAATGGTAGAGGGAGGACGTCATTGGGGTGGTTGGTGATATGTAAGCGTTGATGGTTGGGCGCTGAAAGCAGTTTTGAACCTCTTGTGTGATGACAAACCGGAAAAGCTCAATCTTCACGGATAAACGATTTTCCGGGAACTATATAAAACCATGAATATCCATCAATATCAACCTTCTCATCAACAAAAACATCCCCACCACCACTATGAGTTCCCAAGTCACCGCCAAAGCTTTAAAAGACACCAAGCTCTTCGAGCCCATCAAGGTCGGCCAGAATGAGTTCTCCAACCGAGTCGTTTTCGCTCCATCCACCAGATTCAGAGCTTTAGAGGACCACACTCCTTCTGATCTTCAATTGGCCTACTACGACGCCAGAACCAAGTTCCCTGGAACCTTGATCATCACCGAAGGTACAGTTCCAACGACCAAAACAGGCACTTACCCTCATGTTCCAGCAATCACCACCAAGGCCCATATCAAGGCCTGGAAGCAGATCAACGACAAGATCCATGAAAACAAGTCTTTCTCCAGTATCCAGCTCTGGGGATTAGGCCGTGTAGCGGACCCTGCCCAAGGCAAAAAGGAGGGCCAGAAGTTTAAAGGCGTTTCACCCATTTACCATGATGAAGAAACCGAACAAGCTGCAAAAGACGCCGGCAACGAATTGGAAGCGTATACGACCCAGGAAGTGGACGAATTGATTGAAGAGTACGTCCAAACAGCCCACAGAGCCGTGGAGGCCGGCTTTGACTATGTAGAGCTCCATGGAGCTCATGGGTACCTCATCAACCAGTTCTTTGAAGCGTCGTCCAACCAAAGAACCGATAAGTACGGTGGTTCCATTGAAAACCGAGCCCGTTTCGCCTTATCCCTTGTGGACCGTCTTTCTGAAGCCATTGGCGCCCACAGACTAGCCATCAGGATCTCTCCCTGGGCCAAGTTCCTCAACATGAAAAGTGAACAAGATAAGGAAGCCCATCCAGTGGCCACCTACTCGTATTTTCTTGGCCAATTGCAACAGAGAGCAAACCAGGGGAAGGAGCTAGCCTATGTCTCCCTCGTGGAGCCCAGAGTTTCTGGAATCTTAGACGTCAACGCAGAAGACGTCGTTGGCGATAACCTGTTTGTCAAGCTTATTTGGAAAGGCACTCTTTTACGAGCAGGCAACTATACTTACGACGCTCCCAACTTCAAACAGCTTTTGGACGATCTTTCAGATGGTCGTACGTTGGTTGGGTTCTCCAGGTACTTCATTTCGAACCCAGATTTGGTTTACAGGCTCTATGAGGGCAGAGAGTTGACTCCCTATGATAGAAAGACGTTCTACAGGAACGATAACTGGGGGTATAACACGTATAATGCTTTTGGAGGGAAGCAGAAGTTTGACGAGGAGGCCGAGAAGGCCCGGAAGCCTGGCGTGATTACCGTTTAGTTTTTTTAGTGAATTTATGTTGTCGTTTGGGGATTTGTAGCTAAGGGAGGTTGGAATGGAGGCTTTATGAATGGTTGAAATCTTTTAGGTGGTTCTAATTTTAAGGATTTGTTGGTTTATTGAAGGTTTATGCATTGGGGATTCAGGAAGCAGCTGGAGGTTGGTTTCCAGTGAAAGTGGTATGGAATAAACTTCTACTTGAAATGCTTCAGATGGACACTTCAAGTTGGATTTGTAGATTGGAGGTTGGACTATTTGAATAAATTCATTTTGAGTGGAGATGTCTGTTTTTGTTATGGTGTGTTTTGAAGAGTCTTTAGTGTTTCCAACTGGATGTTTACAGATGGCCTATGAAGGTTTAACTAGGCTAACTATTGTTTGTTGGGATTGATCTAAATTGGGTAAGTGGCATCAAAAGGTGACACTGGCCTGCCAAAGAGATCTATTATGCAGCTTTAGGGGTTAATGGAGATTGGAGGAACGTGGTTTGGTGGCTACATGGTGATTGAGTGCTTGAAGGATATTGGAAACTCCACTATTTGTATAAGTATCATGCTTTGAATCTTTGAATTGGCCTCTTATGTTTCTAATGGCCATGTGTCACCTTCCAAAGCAGATGGTTTACTTTTGGCTAACTTTCAAGTAATAGGCAGTTTTATTGGGCAAGTGTTGATTAGTGGATCCAAATGATACCCAAAAGTTCCTTAATTTTGCACTGCCTCTGGTTAGAGACAAGTACAGTTTTCTAACCAGCAAAAAGAAGTTTGTATAACTTGACTGACTGTATTGGTGCTATTCAAACAGCCCAGCAAGGCTCCAAGACGTAATAAAGAAGGGTACTTCCTAACAGTACCTGCTTCAAAGCAATATATACTTAAAGAGTTGAAGCATTAGTCTTTAAGGACTCGAATTGACTCGACTGTTCTTAGAAAGTACCCTTAATTGGAATGCTTCCCAGCCCAGTCATCTTAGTACCCTTACAACTTACATATTCCATGAAATATGAAAATACTTAATCCTCAAGGGAAACTCAAGAGAGGTAAAAAAGGAGATAACACCACATATTAGTCAAGAAATGAAGAAAAACAAGCTTTTAGGACTGTTCCTCGAGAGAACCTTTTAAATGGAATACATTAGTATAATGAACTCAGTATCCTGAGAGCATCCAATTTGCAACTCCCAAGTACTAATACTGCTCCTAAACTATGTCAAATATGATATTTACCATGAAATTAGACTTCATATCCAACGTTTCCTCTAATTCTACTTCCTCAGTAACACCACTAGCTCTTATACCACAGCCAAACCTTCTCCCTTCCAAATATACCCCAAAAGTAAATCAAAGACCAATAGAAACTAGTTATCTTTCCCTGAAACAACCTAATTAACAGCTTAAAGAAGGACAACGAAGCATGTGTTTCTAATTAAGAGACACTTAGAAACATCACTTAGTTTCTGTCACTAATTTTGATACATTCACGAGAAGCAGAGGAAATATGATTCTAGAGCTGGATCGTGGAATGTCGTTCAGCAAGAAGGGCTCTAGAATGGTAATGAAGAAGAGTACTCTCTAACACCACCTTTTTCAAAGTAATCATTTAAAGAGATGAAGAGAACAAGCATTTGAGAAATCGAACTAACCCAACTGTTCCTTGAGAGCACCTTCTCGTAAAGCTTCACAGTCTACAACATCCAGGTAACTTACAAGTACCGAATCCTCAAAAGTGGTGGGAGATGTTCACCATAAGCCCATTGGTGCCTTATCATTGGTGATGCTTTCTTGAGAAGACAGTACTCCTAGAGTTTCCTAGTTCTCCAAAGAAGCTCACCACAAGGCATTAACTACTACCAAGCATTGTCCCCTACAAATATGTCTCAGAAGTGAAATAAATGCCAATAGAAGCTAGATACATCCAGAAAACCAACCTGTGCTACAGCCAAAGAAGGACAACAAAGCATCCACTGTGACGGTACAAAAAAGGGAACTGTCCAACACCACCTTCTCCATAGTAGTCACTTGGAGAGATAAAGAGAACAAGCTTTTAAGAAATCAAATCGATTCAGCAGTCCCTAGAGAACCTTATAAATAGAATACATTACAGTTCAGTGAACTCAGTACCCTTACAACTTCCAACTTCAATGATGCTTCAAAGTACTTGGTCCTCAAAGATCTGCAAAGTATATTCCTTACGTGAACTTCCATCCATTCCTCTTCTTGGGCTTACATAGTCATCTTAGCACCTTATAACACCCAACTTCCAAGTAACTTCCAAGTAACTTACAAGTAACTCCTAGTAATTCACAAGTATCTTCAAAGTACCTCCCAAGTACCAATACTGGCCCAATTACAACAAACAGTTTGGTTAGACCCTTCATTGTAAAACGAAGTACCTAAAAGACTCTTACCTTCTTTTCACTCGCCTTGATATTTTGAGACAAGAAGAACAATGAAATCAACTGCAATAGCCGTAGTGGTCTTAATTGAAGTCTTACAGGGTCCAGTAAGGAAGAGGGTCACTTTCCACCTTCTCCAAGCCAGTAGGGATGAAGAGAAACAGTCCTTTATGAATCATGTCAACCACCAGTTCTTACAAAGCACTTCTGTTAAAAACCTTCCCAACACAACCATCTTAGTATCCTTACAGTAAAAAGCCACACTGCTTCAGAAATCAAAGTGACCTAACTGTTCCTCGAAAGAGCCATTGAAATCGAATACTTTAGTATAGTCAAATAAGTATCCTGACAGCATCCAACTTGCAACTCCCAAGTACTAATACTGCCCCAAAAAGTATGTTAAACATGATCCTGACCATGAAGTTAACTCTCCATTCGTCGTTTCCTTCAGTTGTACTCCTTCAGAACGCTAACCATCATCTTTTCTACTACCATCTCATCCCTTACATTTATGTCCCAGAAGTGAAATAGTACCAACAGAAAATAGACAAATTCATGAAGAAACATAATCTACAGCCCAAAGAATGACAACGAAGCATCAACGTTCCACCTTCCTCTTCAAGCACCAAATTACCAAAATTACACTCTACATCAACTACAACTACCAATCTACTCCTTTTTTAATTTTCTTACATTTCCATAAATTCCACTTCCTTTTACGTTTCTTCCACAAGACAATCATAGATGTTCACCTTCTTGTGCTTGCTGGTATCGAAAATAGGTTCTCCCAGCTTCACTTTCCCTTGTTTCTTCAGCAGTTTCTTTAAATTCTGAAGCATACCAGGAATGACTGTGGGGTTGGTTAAAGACGGTTTTTCCAGTTTCCTCTTGGACAGCCCTTTTTTGACCGTTTGCCAGGAAGAAGACTTTATAGACTTTGAAGTTTCTAGGGACTTTGAAGAGTCAAGCTCTTTTTGAGCATTTGGAGCCCTCGAAGCCTTCGGCTCCTCCGGCTCCTCCAAACAAAGCCTTCCCAATTTCTCCACCAACTCATCCATCTGTTTCTCAAACTGTTCTTCTGAAACAGCCATTCTTTGAGGTTCAACAAAAAGAGGCTCTTCCCGGGCAGAACGCCTAAACAAAGTCAACATTTGAGTGTTTCTGAGAAACAGGGGCCTGGAGAAACTCATTTCTTGGGCATTGTACCCTTCCAAGGACAAGAACCCTGTTCTGAATAAAGAGCCTAGGGAACTGGACACTTCGTGGATTCTCCTATAAATTGATTGAACAAAGGCGGTATGCGTTTGTTGGGCGGTAGCAAAGACCCTCCTGAAAGCTGTAGCTGGCGAAGCAATGTTACCAAAAGATAAAGTGAATCTGGACATTTTATGGATTGAGATTTGGGTTTTTTATGTTTTTGAAAAAGTGGTTGGAAAGAAGACAAGGAGGGAAAAAAGCCAGCTATTTATGCTTCAGGGGAAGTTGTGGAATGATCTGGAAGGTACCAAAGTAGGGAAAGTTTAGGTTGGAAGGAGGTGGGTGGGGTTTGGAAAGTGGTGATATTTGACGAAAAAGGAAGGTGGAAGGGAAGGGAGGAGGAGGAAAAGTGGGAGTTGAAGAAGCCGTTGGAAGGCGTTGGAAGGGCGGTAAAAAGGCGTTTTAAGGCTGGAGAGGGAGGAGGAAAGGCGTTTGGAGGGGGGTTTTTGGGGAAGGTGATGGGGTGAATGAAGAGAAATGTAGAAGAGAGACAAAATGCAAAGGACGTAAAGTAAGAAGTAGTGTAAGTCAATATATGGTAACAAAGAAGGGAACTAAGAAAGTAAGAACCTAGGAAACAAAAAGAGTAGTTCTCCAAGAGACTCCAGTTTGGAATCTGCAGATATTCAATTTGGCTCTAAGAATTGAAGGACACTAAGATGGTACTTCAAAGAGCCCAGCTAGAAGACTTAAAACAGACAAATCCAAGATGAAGAAGATATTGAAGTTAAAGAAGAATGTAAGAATGTAAGAATTCAGAAACCAAGCGCACTGAAGAAGTCAGAAACTTGACATGAAACTGCCATGAAATATCAATAAGAGTTACTCAAGAATCAATTAGGAGGTCAGCGAAGAAGATATTGTTTGGTCTATGGAAAGAAAGTGCAAATGGAAAGAGTCATAAAAGATACAAATATAGAAATTGCAGAGGAACTTTAACCATCTAAGAGCTGAAGTAGCTGAGTACTCTTCAGATAGGAGTATGAACACTAAGATGGTACACAGAAGTATGTAGATACTTTCAGTAAATGCTGTCTGGATGGTTTTAAGTGCAGTTGACCATTTGAACAAACCGCCTTAGGAAGAAGCACAAACGTAGAAAAAGTTAACTTAGAGGAGCGTCAAACAAACACCACTAAATGGCCACAAAGACATTTCAAGAAACATGGCTTTGGAAGGGGGTCACGAAAGATATCATCTCTAAAGACTCAGAGGTGATTGGAAGGACAAAAACAGTCCAATAAGTGAACACAGAGATCAAGTAGAAGACGTTTTAAAGTCAATTGACAGCGGCTGCAATGAAGGGGATAAGTAAGTAGGTATGAGGACAAGAAAGACAAAGGGAACTAAAAGAAGGTTAACAAGAACATCCAAGGAAGAAACTAATTGAAGAATAGGTCAAGATTTGACCCTGAAAAGACACAAAACCTAAGAGGTGGTGAGATGGTAGAGATGTCAAGACAAAGCAGGAAATGTGACTAAAAAGATGTCAAACAGTTAGACAAGTGATCTCTGCTTCTTAGATTCTATTAAATGGAAAGCTCTAGGAAACTAAAAAAGCTGGAAAACTGGAAAGCGAAGAAATACTAAAAGCTGGAAAAGCTGGAAAACTGAAAAAGTAAGAAGTCAGAAAAGTAAGGAATGCTGGAAACTTTGAAAAGGTGGAAATTTAAGAATTATGGAAAACTGGAAAAACTGAAAAACTACAAGAAATGGAAAACTTCAAGAACTGAAAAATCACACAAAGACATGGAAAAGTGAAAAGTGAAAAACTACGAAACCCAAAAACCTGAAAATCCTGAAAATCCTGAAAAATCAAAAAACCTCTGAAAAACTTCAAAAAACCTGAAAACATCAAAAACTTCAAAAACGTCAACTTCAAAAAAATCAACGCCGTGGATTTTTCAAAAAATGCGGCTTCCACTTTGCAAAAAAGTGCCCCACATTTTCTGCGTTTTTGGCGCCGAACGAAGAAACTGCGGTTGAATTTTCAAAGAAATTTCGAATTTTCAAAGAAAACGTGGGGGATTTTTGAAATTCTCTTTAAAATTTGAGAGACACTTAAAAATTGAAAGAGACTTGTTTCAAATTTTGTATTGGCGTTTGAAAAAAAGAAGAGGATTTTTTTTTTTTTTGGATTTTGAAGTGCCGTTTTTTTTGGAAGTGCCGTCTTTTTTCAATTTTTTCGCAGCCAAAAAAGACGGCACTAAAAAAAACTGAAAAATGCCGAAAAAAGTGAAGAATCCAAAAAGAGGGGCCCTTTTTTAAGGCGATTTAAAAAAAAATGGAGGTTTGGGGGATTTGGAAAAAAGGGGTGAAAAATTTGGGGCTGTTTTGGAAAATCTGGGGAAAGGAGGGGAAGAAAATGGTACAAAATTGACAGTGAGAAGTTAAAGTGAAGGAAGGAGAAAGAGATGTCAATGGAGATGGAAAGGGATGCTTTTGGGGTATTAAATGTTGTAGAGAATTCTAGGGAGGTTAAATTGGCTGGGACTGGTGAAAAAACGGGGGAAATTGGCCAAAAATTGACCGTTTTAGGTGGTTTTTAAGTGGATTGGAAGACCTCGAGGATTCTTGGTTCTGCGGCGCAACTGGAAAGGGTTTAAAAATGACAAGAAACGGTGGAAGTGAATGGGAGAGGGAAGGGGGAGATTTGGGGGAAGTTTGGGGGAGTTTGGGGGAGTTTGGGGGAGACTTGGGGACTTTTGGGGGAGATTGGGGGATGCTTTAGACGTTTAAGAGGTACTTTAGAGAAGTGAGTGAAGAAGAGGAATTGGAAGGTCTGGGGATAAAGGAATGTTGGATTAGGGAAACTTTGGGTGGAGAAGAAGACTGGAAGGTTGTTTTGGAGTGGTTTTGAAGTGGTTTTTGGAGGTTTTTGGGTAGTTTAATGAAGGTAATTGGTGTTTTCTGGATTGAAGGGGGAGGAAGAAAAAGAAGAAGAATTTGGGAAGAAGAGGCGCTTGGAATTGTAGAATTGGACGTCTTCGAGGATTTGACGTTGTTTTGGGACGTTTTGGGGTTGGTGGTTTGTAGATTTTGGACATTTGGTGGAAGTAGGTTTCAGGAAGTGTTGATATTCAGAAAAAGCTGGAAAGAAGCAGCAAAAGATGAAGAAAAGGATTCAGGAAGTAGAAGAAGGCCTCGAGGAAACTGGTGAATTGCTGTTTATGCGTGGAAGGGTAATTTAAGCGAGAGTTTGTTGAGTAGTTGATGTTCGAGATAGTGAAATACACAATTCCAGAGAAGTGAAGAAACTGAATAAGGGAAGAAGAAATGGATTGAATAAGTATGAAATTAAGGGACCAAGAAAACATAAAAGGTTATTTGGAAACCCAGAAGAGCTGAAAAACGAAGGAAACATCCAAAACATCCAAAACAGCCAAAACGTCCAAAACGCTCAAAATTAAAAAACTAAGAAATCCCACAAAATGCCAGCCACCCAAGAACTCCAATTAACTATTACCATCCAAATTTCCATCCGTTTCTGACCCTTTTGGACGAGTTTTATATGCGATTTTGCAGCCACCACAGTGGAAACCAAAACTCCATGAAAAATCCACCAAAAAACGTCCAAAAAACGCCAAAAAAACGAGAATCTCTTCCTCTTCATCAATTATCTTCAAATAACCTCCAAACCCCCCAATTTCCTCGAAATCCTGGCGCTTTCACTGTTACCCCACGATTCGCTCAGGTTACCCCAGGTTGCGCCAGCTCGCGGCAGATCTGGGCCTTTTCTTTGAGGCCCACCAACTCCACCAGTTTTCACCCAATTTTGATGTTTTTTGCACCATTTCAACCCCAATTCTTCCCTCTTCACGATCCCCCATTAATTCCCTTCAAATCGCCGTTTTCTGGGCCAAATTTGGACGAAAACTGACCAACTTTCATCTTTCCACATCTCGCGCCGTGAAAAATGTGAAAAACTCTCTCCACATAAAAAAACGGCATTTTTCTGGGGAAATTACGTGGACCCCTGAATTTCCAAATTAGGGCGTTTCATTTATTTTAGGTCATTTTTGGGTTACCTTTTAATTAAAAATAAGCACTTTTTTTTTGCTTTTTGGCGTTTCAGGCGCCGTTTGGGGGCCGTTTTGGGCCACTTTTTCTTGAGGCGTTTCGTGCGGCTGGCGGGCCCAGAGTGCCGAAACTTTTCGAGTGAAACGGCGTCGAGGGGGGTTTGAAGGGTGGTATTGAAGGGTTTTGGAGGGATTTGGAGGGATTTAGAGGCAATTGACGGTGGTTTTGGAGTTGGGGTGGGTTTGGGGGAGAAGACGACATTTTTGGGGGACCTTTGGGGGATCCTCGTCGCTTGTGGATGCCGTTTGAGTGTGGTCGAGGGTGGTCGAGGAGTCCGAGGGTAACCGAGGGTGGTCGAGGGTGGTCGAGGGGAGTTGGAGATGGAAGGTTTTCGGGGATCGGGGAGAGATGCCCTATGAGATCCGGGGGTGGAGCAGTAAAAGTTGGCATGGCATTATTTTGCCAATTCCGAGGGTGTGCCGTTTCCCCGGACTTTCCAAAGAACTCTTTCCAATTTTTCTAATACTAAGGCATTTGGAATTCCCGCTAATTCCAACGTTGGCCCACTTTAGCGGTCCTGGAGGGGCAAGAAACTGCCACAATTCTGTTAGCGGGATTTCCAGATGTGGCACAAACTCAAATTGTGGGTTCTGGTTAGCGGGAAAAGGGGGACTTCCGGGGGTGGAAAATTCGCGAATTCCGGGGGTAGAAAAAAACCCCAAGGCTAATTTACCAACGTTTGCTGCGGTTGCTGGTTGTTTTGCCGCGCGCACCAAAAGTCCGTTCCACGTTGCAAAAGGGTCCATTTGTAGTGGTGTTGGAGGTTGTGCCCTCGGAATAGAGACCAAAATGGGACTGGAACGGGCCCGGAAGTCTACTTCCGGGGCCATCGGGGATCGGACATTGACGTCCGCTTTGCACGTCCGGCCCAGATTGGTACCCCGAGCAGTGCGTTTGACCCTCGACAGTGACCTGTCGAGGGCGGTCGAGGGCAGTACCCCCCGGCCCCACCCTCGGTAGTACCCCCGACCCTGCCCCCGCCCCCCGGATGTCTCGTTCCTCTCGGAACTCGACATCCCCGAATTGTGGGGTGCTCCAACCACTATAAATACCCACCATTTTCCCCTAAAATCCTCATTTCCTCACAAATTTCAAACCATGTCCGTCGACATCTCCAGACTCGCCCTCAACGGCAAATCAGAGGACGCCGCCTCCGTCGGCTCCGCCTCCGGCGCCTCCGTCGCCTCCTTCAAAAACGACTACATCGACACCCCCTTCTCTGGCAAACAAGACCAGTTCGACCAAGTCCTCGATATCTTGGACCTGACCGGTTTCATCCCAGAATCCCTTATCGAATCTGAAGCAAAGTGGTTCTACAACTGCTTGGGCATTGACGATGTCTACTTTGCCAAGGAAACCCCAAAGGGCATTGCTTCCCATATCCATTCGCTTTATTCGTGTAAAGTGCAAGCTTTTGCCTCTGACATCAAGGTCAGCGAACAGCCCTTGATTCGGTATAAACGGGAAGGCGCTGGCCACTCTGTGTTCTTTGACACGCTGTTCTACGGTGCTGGGTTTGATAAGCGCCGGTTTGACGATGTCATTGACGAGAAGTACATTGACCTGAGCTACGGCAGCGACGCGTACCGGTTGGAGTACTTTCTGGCGCCACTCAATTACTCGCTGGACCCGATTTTGGCTGGTGTGGCTGAAAAGTATGCTGCCAATGCTGAGCTGGCGGAGATTTTCGCTAAACAGCAGGTGAAGTGTCACTTTGTGTATAAAACCAAGTATGCTTCTGAAACGGCTGACCCGAACGAAACGGATATCGAAAAAATCAGCGACGAAACGTTCTGGAAAATCGCTTCCGAACGCACCAAAACCCTCTACCAGGATGTCATCAAGAAGGTTGTTTCGTCCACTGGCCCCGTCATCCAGCACTTCCCCATTGAAGAGTCTGAAGAGTACAGAGTCGTGATTGGCTACCGCCAGAAGACCTCCCCTTCGTACAATTCGGCCTTGCTGGACCTCGCTGACTACTATAAACTCTCCACCACCAGAAAGTACGTGGAACAGTTCTCCAACGGCGTGACCATCATCTCCATGTACATCAAGGCGACTGTGGCTGGCAACAAGAAGACGCCTATTGATCTTCTGATTTACCAGGTGATCAAGGAGGCTTCGTTGTTGTACTGTATCCCCCACAACTACTTCCACGACTTGTTCATCAAGAACGATTTGTCTTTACAGGAGGCTATCTACTCCCAGTGTGGTGTTATCTTTGTTACCCACTTTTTGAACCGTTTGGGGCCAGAATACACCAAGTTGCTGCAGTTGCTTGACCCGCTGAAACTGATACAACACGCTGAAGTGTTGAACTCCTTGAAGAAGCGTTTGAGATCTGAAACATACACTCAAGATTACATCAAGGAAGTGTTTTCCACCAGAAAAGAGATCATCCGGAAATTGTACCGCCAGTTTGCCGACGTCCACTACATCAGACTGTCGATGGAAAAGACGTTATCGTACCAGCGTCTTTCCCAGATCACTCCAGTGGGCACCGAAGAAGAATTCAACCACTTGTTGAGCAGAGAATGTGGCCAGAACGAGCACCACGCTGTGGTTTTGCGTGCTCTCTTTATGTTCAACCAGCTGATCCTCAAGACCAACTTCTACACGTCCACCAAGGTTGCCATTTCCTTCAGATTGGACCCTTCGTTCTTGCCGCAGTCTGAGTACCCAGAAACGCCATACGGCATGTTTTTCATTGTCGGGTCCGACTTTAGAGGCTTCCACATTAGATTTAGAGATATCTCCAGAGGTGGTATTCGTGTGGTGAGGTCGAGATCTGTTGATGCGTACCATGTCAACGTTCGTAACTTGTTTGACGAGAACTACAACTTGGCTGCCACCCAGCAGAAGAAAAACAAGGATATCCCTGAAGGCGGGTCCAAGGGAGTCATTTTGCTCGACCCTGGTTTGGCCCAGGACACGCCCAAGGCGTCGTTTGAGAAGTACATTGACGCTATGATTGACCTTTTGCTCAAACAGCACATTCCAGGCGCCAAGGAGCCGTTTGTGGATCTCTACAACAAGCCAGAGATTCTCTTTTGCGGTCCTGACGAAGGTACTGCTCCGTATGTGGACTGGGCTGCTCTCCACGCTCGTTCCAGAGGTGCTCCATGGTGGAAATCCTTCTTTACCGGCAAGTCTCAGCAGATTGGAGGCATTCCCCATGATGAATACGGTATGACGTCGCTTTCCGTCAGATCGTACGTCAACAAGATCTACGAAAAGCTTGATATCGACAATGCCACCATCAGAAAGGTCCAGACTGGCGGTCCAGACGGTGACTTGGGCTCCAACGAGATTAAGCTTTCCAGAGACGAGAAGTACGTGGGTATTGTGGACGGTTCTGGTGTCATTGCTGACCCTAACGGGTTGGATAAGCAGGAACTCTTGCGTTTGGCTTCTGAGAGAAAGATGATTGAGCACTACGACCGTTCCAAGCTTTCCAAGACCGGGTTCATTGTTCTGGTGGACGAAAACGATGTCCAGCTTCCAGATGGAACTGTGGTTGACTCTGGAATCACGTTTAGAAACACGTTCCACGTGAAAATCCAGGAAATCTATGGCACTTCCGGCGTCGACTTGTTTGTGCCTTGTGGAGGCCGTCCAGCTGCCATTGACACCGATAACGTCAAGGCATTGATTGACCAAAAGACTGGCAAGAGCGTTATTCCTTACTTTGTGGAAGGCGCCAACCTTTTCATTACCCAGTCAGCCAAGCTTATTTTGGAAAACGCCGGCTGTGTCATTTTCAAGGACGCTTCCACCAACAAGGGCGGTGTCACTTCGTCGTCTTTGGAGGTTCTTGCTGCTCTTTCCTTTGACGATAAGGGATTCTTGGAGAATATGTGCATTGACGGTTCTGGAGTCAAGCCAGAATTCTACGAAGCCTACGTCAAGGAAGTCCAGCGCAAGATTGTGGATAACGCCCAGATGGAGTTTGAGGCTTTGTGGAAGTTGAACGGTGAATCTGGCCAGCCAATCACCGAATTGTCTGATAAGCTCTCTCAGGCTATCAACAAGCTTGGAGATGAATTGGCCAACTCCCAGGAATTGTGGAACGACGATGTGGAGTTTAGAAACGCCGTTTTGGTTGACTCGCTTCCTCCTTTGTTGCTTAAGGAGATTGGCATGCCTGCTATTTTGGAGAGAGTGCCTGAGTCTTACTTGAAGGCGTTGTTTGCTACTCGTTTGGCTTCGAGGTTTGTGTACTCCAGGGGCATTGATTCGAATCCGGCCAAGTTTTTGGAGTTTATTTCTTCGATTAGGAAGGAGTATAGGGAGAAGCAGCTTTTGTAAGGCCGCTACTTTTCAGCGTTGTGAGGGCCGTAAGGCCTGAGCAACAATGTGGAAGCCTGGAGGCCTCCGGCCGACTGGCGTTCTGAAGCTTTGAAGTTTCCATGTTGTGACGGCTCCAGCCTGAACAACAGGAAGTCGATTTATTCAAGTTTCCAGTTCTCCAGTTCTCCAAACTTCCACTTCCACCTGAAACCTCCTTTCCACCTCCCAGCCCTTTCCAACACTCCCAATTATCACTAATTAACCGTGGGGCCGCATGAAGACCCTCGTTTTATCTATAGATTAATTAATATGCCAAGAAGAAACGTGTAGATGTTGGATATATCATGAAACAGTGGGTGGGTGATCTGAAACACGATCTGAAACGGGGTATAAAGGCGACGTCAATGGACTGTTTTTTCAACCTAGACTAACTTTACGGGTCGTTTTGAAGGTAGAAAGGTTTCTATGGGTTGCCCTTCCCTGGTCTGGTGGTTCAGCATTGTCTACTTTCCATGAATCGAAGGTCTAGAACCAAATAAAGCCATTTAAGCTTCTAAACGAATGAAGGCAATTGAACTGTTAAGCCATTTCAACCAATGAAACACATTGAACCGTTGAAAACTTCCTGAAACCCTATAGACTCGAAATAGCCTTGTAGAACATTTGGAACCTTGTTAAACTATGTATTGTAAAAGCATAGAAGCGTCTTGTAAAAGCAAGTGAACAATTTGAACCTCTGAGACTTCCAAAACCCACCTTCAAAGAATAACTGCCTCTTTTGGCTTCCTTTGCTTTTGGAACAGTTTTGGTCTTCTTTTCAGACCATCTCCTGCTTCTGTTCTTCAAGACTTCACTTTCTGCTCTCTTTATGTCTTTCTTTCCAAATACAACTTATAGACTTCATGTGAAAGCTTTACAAACGCCCGCCGTTCTTGAGATCTCTTTGGTATTCTGAAAAGCTGCAAATGAAAAGAAGTTCGTTGTTCTTGTTCTTTGTCTTTCACAATCTGAAGATTCAGCTGCAAAGACATCTTTAGGTTCACTTGTTCCACGTAAAACATACAAAAACAGAAAACGGCAGTAGCCAAAAGATTGGGAAATAAAGACCCACTTGGAAATAATGAGAATTTGAAGAAGTTACAGTAAGATTAGTAAAGTTTAGTAAAGCCAAAAGGACTGAATAAACCAAGGAACTAAGAAACCTAGGAAGACTAAAAGATTTCCCAAAAGTCCAGGAACCGAAGAAACCTTAGAAACCAAAAAAATGCATTGTTTCTTTATCAATTGGTGTTTTGTAAGCAGTTGTAAGTGCTTGGAATATTATGGTCTTTTTATGGCAATGGTTGGGGCCATGGAAGGTGAAATTGCATCGCTAGAGCAGCCAATCTCGAGCTACAGCTTGGAAAGGCCACCAAAATCATAAATTCCACGCTTTCCATATCCCAAAGATCGTTCCGTACGCTTGAAATCGTCTTTTCTGGTTGGTGTTGGCCCTTAAGTATGAGAAACCATATCCTGAGATATCTCGAGAACCAGCAAAGCTTTCGAAAAACGGAAAACACGAGCGTCTTTAGGACACCTCAAGGAAACGAATGAACCCCTAAAACACCCCAAACCAACCCTTTTTGGTGGTTTTGACGGAGGGTTGATTGACCTGGGGTAAGCTGGTGCACGGGTCTTTTTCACTTCAAAACCACCCAAAATCACCAAAAACCACCGAAAACGACCAAGCCAGGGTCGTTTCAAAGCCCAGTTTTTTGCCGCTCGATTAGGCACCTCAGCCTCATTTGGCTCCCAAAATTCCAGCTTTCCAGCTTCACTGGCGCCCTCTCAGGAACCGAAAGTGCTCTTTCCACCCAAAGAGCCAACCGTCCAATCATATCCTCCAGGAACCAAAGACTCCCCAAAGGTAAACTCCCAAGGGCAATTCATCGCCAGTTCTCCATCCTTTCCAGGCCTTCCCCTGCGTTGCCAGTTGCTGTCTGGCCCCCACTGGCTCCATCTCTCGTCCATCTCTCCACCTCCACCCAACCAGCCAATCAGAGCATCCAGTTTCCAAAGAATCCTCTCAATTCGAACCCTTCCCGAATTCTTTCCAAATTACCAGCCATCCACCTTCGCCAGGCTTCGCTGGCTCAGCTGTTTGGCCTGGTAATTTCATCCTCAACCCTCCTTTTGGCCACCACTTCCTCGTTCACCCTGGTCGTCACGTAATCGCCCAAAAGCGCAAACACAAAGGTGGACCCGGCGATATAGTACCGAGCTTTCACGGGGAGATTCATCCAGCGCTGGAAGATGTTCATTGGGGAAAAAGAGGGAGTTGGGGGAAAGTGAAAAATGGGTTTTCCAGGCATCGCGAAATCTGGGGTAGATGGAGGGAAAGAGGGAAGAAGAGGTAGGAGGAGAACGGCTGGGAAATTGAAGATTTTGAAGGGTTTGGTGGATTTGGGGGAGGCAGTTTGGTCGGGTGGGGTGTTTTTTTGGGCGTTTTTGGACGTCAGCAGGCAGAAATAGCCAGAAAGGTGCATCTTTCGTGAATGTCTTTAGATGCTCTGAACAGCTAGAGGCCACACAGTGACCGTTTTCTTTGAAGTGTGGCTACCCTTGTCATGAAGGTTCATTTTTGGTGAAATATATGAAATGCTTACTTTGGAGAATCCAGTTAAGGGTTTGCTGGGTAGGTCCAGTGGACAAGGTCTTTTGCTGGTAAGGCTTCAGAAGGAAGTTGTTTCTGTTGAAGCCGTCACAGAGGTTATTAAGGAAGTCTAAGATGTCTTTGGAGTGGAAACAAGAGTATATCGACTGAAGAGAGACAGCTCCAGGGTATTAGTGCAGCTCTTTCGAGGGCAGTGGAAGGGAATAAGGAGAAAGAGGGCAGATAAGAGAGAATTTAGGAAGGCTGCTTAGAAGGCTGCTAAGGAAGGGAAGAAATGGTCGTGGATTGTGGATTGTAGTTTTTGGCAATATTGGGTTTGATGTGATTTGGAAGAGGAGTGGCAGATTGAAGAAAACTGGTGGTGGTGGTTTTCAGTGGAGAGGTGGAAGATGACGAAGAAGGGATGGGAAGTGGTTGGAAAGGACAAGAAGTGATTTAGTGATGCTTGAAAAAGAAGGATAAAACTGTACTTAGGAGCAATTGGGTTGCTAGAAGAGAAGAACTGATCAACTCATAGAATGGAGCGGATATCACGAGCTACGAAACTAAGAAGCTAAGAAACTAAACAAGAAACCAGAAACCAAGAACTAAAAACACAGAGAGTTGAAGAAACTAAGAAGCTAAAAGTACTATGAATCTTCGGATCTGGGAGACTAACTGCCTTTAATGGAACACATGAGCCACCAGACAACCAATCACCAACACCTTCTCATAAGCATTTCTCTTCAAAGGTTTCATACTTCCTTCAAAAGTATTTTAAAAGCTGTAAGACTTACCACTTCCTGGAACCAATTAGGATACTTATCGAATACTTCAACTGGGAGTGGAAAGTGAGATAAATGTCCCCACAAGGTTTCTTCTGATCGTAAACTTGAAGACAAATAAACGCTTTGACATAAATAAACAAAGAAACTATCCGCGCTTGGCTCCTTGAACTTACTTGACCTTCCTTAACCCTCTCCAGCTTCCTCTAACTGATGTTATACCAAATAGATCCAACCAGATGCAACCAGACCCCACTAGAACTGCTTGGGTGGTCTATTATCCAAAAAGAAACGCTGGAAAGTGCATTTTCAAAGCCACACCATTTGCTTCTGAACAGGTATATTATGGTATCTATTGAACCATATGACTACTTCTAGAGGCTTCACAGTGACCATACATATTTTCCATGGCCATACTGAGTGGTAGTACAAGATATCGTAAGAATCATAAGACCAGCAATATATTGGCGACTTCTAAAGACCTCTTTTTGATGCTTTTCCAAAGAGAGGTACTTTCATGTTCTTTCAAGAGCTGTACTTGGTGCTTCCTCCAGCAACTCTTCTTTTAGTCCAACACGAGAAACCCAATGACCTGGCAGTGCTTCCAATCACAAAAAAATAAAGATAAATACTACTTGTAACTTCATTTCCACCTAGAGCTTCTTTTGGACTCCCTTCTTCCTCTCTCACTGGATCCTTAACTATGGGGAAACCAAGTAACCCACGTATCTCCACCAAAAACCATCCAAAACAGCCCAAATTTTAACAAAACCTACCTCTCCCCTGACCCAACTCACCCTCCAAATTTCACCCTTCCACCTCCACTCCTTGTCCCTCCACACTCCTTCTCCCCATTCCACCCAACCTCATCTGAAAAACTCATCTTGCGCATCCCCACAAACCACTTCATCTTCCTCCCAAACCACCAAAACCGCTCCGTTTCCGTCCAAATGAACGCCTCCACGCTGCTCCCGCCGTGCTGTTTACGTATCCACCCAGAAAACCCCGAAATCGTCGTTTTTGGAACGTACAAACTCGAAAAACCTTCCTCCCTCAGACATGGCTCTTTGGACGTCTACTCCACCACCAACAACAACTTCAACCTACTATCGTCTACGAAAACAGAGCTGGCTGTGCTCGACTTGAAGGTCTGCCCGGACGACCTGGCTACGTGGGTGCTGGCCCATTCTACGGGAAACATCTGTATTTGGACATACACCAACCACAAGCTTGAACTCAGGGAGAACCTTGAGTTGTTTGATAAGGATGTGCTTGTAACGTCTGTGTTTTTTAGTCCCACCGACAAGACCTCTCTTCTAGCAACATTGACTTCGGGAGAGGCAGCGTTGGTGGACTTGACCAGCGGCGCTTTTCGTGTTTTGGCAGAATCCCATTCGTTGGAATGCTGGACAGGAGCGTTTGGCGAAGAAGGGCCTGCTGCCAATGTTGTTTTCACCGGCGGCGACGACGCCAGACTCATATCTCATGATCTTCGAACGGACAGTAAGATCTGGGCAACGTCTCATCGACACCACGACGCTGGCGTCGTGCTGATCTTGTGTCCTGGTAAGGAATGGCCGTTGGAACTGCCCAATTGTCTCTGGACGGGCTCGTACGACGACAACTTGCGAGTATTTGATTTGCGTAAGTTGGATACCGACGAAGGACCTTCTTTGTTTCCTTCTTTGCTCCCCCAGGAACTCCATAAAATCAACTTGGAAGGCGGCGTTTGGAGACTCATTCCAGCGCCAAAAACAGCCACAACGCCTGCCAACTCTGTTCTAGCGTGTTGTATGTACCAGGGAGCATATATCGTTCTGGCAGAAGCCGAAAAACCAGCAATTCACAAATTTTTCAAAGGAAACCACGATAGTATGGTTTACGGCGGCGACTGGGCCCTGCTGGGGGACACTGTAATCACCTGCCTGTTCTATGATAACGTCATTGAACAATGGCTGCCAAACGCTTAAGTACCACTTAATACAACAGTAAATCAAGCGGCACCGACGAGCCTCGGCCACTAGGATAAAGCTTTTCTTTGCTTTCAAACCGGCGTGGGTTTGGCAAGGCGTCGCTGTTGATAAACTTAAACCTCGTATCTTCTATAACCGTTTTCTGGCCTCCTCCATCTGCACCGTTTCTCTGGTGAGTGTTGATGGTGTAATCCAGAGCGGAGATTTTTCTAAGATTCTGTCCAGACGACTGCTGCTGCTCCATTGTGCTTGGCGGCGGTGGAGGCGCTGCTTTTTGGATTTGAGCGATCCAAAGTGTGATCCAATGGAAGGAGCAGATGTTGGAGGAGGTGGAGTTTCCTTCGGTAGCGACGGAGCCAGTGGAGGCAGCGGAGGCAGTGGAGGCAGTGGAAACAGAGGTACTGCTTGTGGGGAGGAGGAATCAGCAGTGGTGGAGGCGCCAGAGGAGGCAGAGGAGCCTTTGGAGGAGGAGCAGACGTTGGAACTGGAGGTGGAGCCGAGGGAACCGAAGGAACTGAAGGGGCCAGCGATTGAGGAATAGGTGGAGCCTCAGAAGGAGCAGGCGACTTCGGTGGTTGAGCAGCTTTGTTCCTGGCGTTGATCTGGTCCAAGAAAGGCAACCCTGGCGGTGTTGGAGCGCCAGAAGATGGAGGTTCTGGAGCTGCCGACGGTGGTTTTGGAGCCTGAGTTGGTGGTTTTGGAATACTCGAGGCGGAAGGCACTGGAGGAGCGCCAGAAGGTGGTTTTGGCGTCGCCAGAGGCGTTCCCAGAGCCGTCAGCGTCTCCAGCGTATACGTAGAGTAATTAGACGTTCCGTCCACAACAGCAGACTCGTTTCTCTTTGCATTGATCTGGTCCAAGAACGGAAGCAGTCCTCCAGGCATAGGAGGAGCCTTAGGAGCAGAAGAAGTGCTCTTTTTGTCTGCTTTCAACGAAGGAGGAGCTCCAGAAGGTGGAGGAGGTGGTGGAATTGACAGTGCTGGAGGCGGAGGAGGTGGTGGAGGCGCCAGCGACGTGGGAGGTTTTGGAGGGCCTGACGAAGGTGGTTTTGGAGGATGTGAAGATGGAGGAGCTGGTGCTGGCGGTGTTGGAGCAGATGGAACTGGAGGAGTTGGAGCAGAAGGTACTGGAGGCGCCATTGAAGGCACAGGCGGTGCCTTGGAGGGCTGGGAAGCCTGGGAAGGCTTTGGTCTTGAAGATGGAGCCAGGGGAGCTGAAGGAGCCCCAGACTTATCCACCACATGTTTTTCATCACGTTTGGCGTTGATTTCGTTCAAAAACGGAAGCCCCCCTGCCATTGGCGGTGCTGGCGGTGTAGAAGACGTAGAAGGCGCCAGTGGAGCCGAAGGTGGAGGTCCTGGTGGAGGAGGAGCCGGTGGAGGAGGAGCCGAGGTCGGCAATGGAGGAGGAGCTGGAGGCATGGACGATGGCGGTGGCGGCACTGGCGACAGCGGAACGGGAGGGGGCGGAGGCCCCAGGGGAGGCCCCAGGGGAGGTTTTGATGCCAGACTGGCCAGTTCCATGGAACTGACTGAACTAACCGAGCTTGTTTTCAAATGGCCCAGTTTCCTTGGTCTGGAAGGTGGAACTTTCGGCACTTTTAGCGAATTGTCGCCTGGAGGCGGCGGCGCCGACCCTGGAAGCGGTGGAGGACCCAGTGGAGGCCCAGAGGGCGCCTTAGAAGGTCTAGACAGAGGCATCTTTGGTGGAGTCAGGCCTGGAACAGGTGGAGTCAGGCCTGGAACGGGTGGAGTGGGGACTTGTGGAGCTCCCAGCGGGACCATTCCAGATCTGTTATCTTTGGTTGATTTGAGTTTGGGCATTCCTCCAGCGAACAAGTCGCCTAAGCCAGGAGGCCCAGGAGGACCGCCAGGGCCTCCTGGAGCTGGAGAAGACGAAGGAACAGAAGGAGCAGACGAAGGAGGACCAGTCGAACCTGCTCCTGACGGAGCAGGTCCTCCAGGTCCTCCTAGGGCCGGCCCCGACTTATCCACAGTAGTTGCTTTCTTCAAACGAGCACCCTTCCTGATATCCCCCAAAAGAGCGTCTCTTCCCTTGGGCATTGAAGGTGGGGGCGCCGGGGGAAGGTCTAGACCCGGCGGAGGCGGTGGAGGCGGTGGAGGAGGGCCAGGCATGGGAAAGTGGTGGGAGTTGGTGGAGGAGTAGAAGTGGCTGATGTGGAGTGAGTGGAGTGGAAAGTGTTGATAACCGAGTGGTTATATGGAGGAAGAGGTGGAAGGAGGTGGGTAGGAAAAGGTGGGTGGAAGTGGGAAGAAGTGGGAATTGGTGGAGTATTTATAGTGGTTGGGGAAATGAGGGGAAGGAAGGGGGTGAATTAATTAGAGGGAGGGTTTGGGGAGGAGTTGGTTGGTTGGTGGTGGTTGGTGGTTGGTGAGAGTGAGAAGGAAGAGGAAGAGGAAGAGGAAAGTGGAAGGACAAGGGAAGTGAGAAAGTGAGGGTGGGGGATCAGTGGGGGACAATTGGGGGCAGTTGGGGGACAATTGGGGGACAGTGGGGGAGACAGTGGGGGCAGTTGGGGGTAGTTGGGGGACAATTGGGGGAGAGACCAGGTAAGTGTACTTGTATGGGTGGTTGTTATATGGTATATTTATATGGTGCGTGGTTATATGAAGAGAGTGGTGGGAGGGAAGGAAGGAGAGGACTGGTTGGAAGGTATGGGGTACTGGTTTTGGGAAGATGAAATTGGCTTTTGGTTTGGGATTTGGAGGTTTGGAGGATTGGTGGTTTAGTGGTTTGAACATGGTTCCTTTTCTGTATTGCTCTTTCTGAGGGAGCAATATTCAGTAGGTCAAAGTTTCCAAATGATGCTCTTAAAAAGAGAATTGACAGTAGGATACGCTTCTTCCTCCATCTTTCACTTCACTTCATTGAAGTTGGAATTTAGAAAACTTGGGGCTTGGAGGTTGAGAGGTTGGGCTTTCTGTAGAAGAAGCAACCATACACTGGTAGAACCACCGTAAGCAGAATGTAGTTAAGGAATTCTCATTAAGTTCAGCAAAGATTTGGTATTCGTAAATCCATAACGTCAGATTCACCCAGTAGAAGCTATTCTGGGAAACTGAAAACTTAGAAACCTGAAAACTCTGAACCCTGAGACTTGGACTTGAAGGTGTCTTCTCCTTCAAACGCAGGTGTAACCACAGAAGAATACATATCATCTTTTAACCAGCAATATGGCTAAATCATTGTCTTTGCTGCTTGTGTGGAGACTGATTCACAATTTCGGTTTCCTTATACTTCTTCCATTTTGCACCCAATACTAGGATAAGTCAATTGGCAAAGACCAGCAATTCTGAGGCTTCAATTGCTATTTCAAGCCCTGAATTCGATGCATTTAAGCTTAGATGTCGAAGAAAGACATCCTCCAGCCATGGAAAACATACTATGATCTCTCAAGATGAAATACCCAATTGGATCATAGATATACCAAATCTGGTCAGCCGGAAGATCCTCAGAAAGAGCATTCAATTGAAGTTAATGTCGTTTTCTCTTTAACAGCAAAAACAGCTCCCTTCCTTGATAGTTCAACTGGCCAGCTCTGACTTTCCCTCCTCCACTTAATACCAACCCAGACCGTCTCCAAACCACTGAAACACCACTTTCCACCGCCACCGCTACACTGGGCCAATAAATATACCTCAATTCACGGCTATACACGAAACGAGGCCTAGAAGCAAGCAACCTTTTCCAGCTGCTCCAGCCCCAGCTGCTTCTAGCAGCATTATTTACAAGACACGCGAAACCAAAGAGTTAATGCAAAATAGGAAGAGCCATTCCACTTGGCTACTCCTCCACGTTCAAAGACACTTCCGTGCCCAACTCGTCGCTCAACTCTTTATCCAACAAGACCGTCAACTCACTGCCATCTCTCAACGTCGTCCACTTTCCTCCAATCAAATCGTACCGTTTAGGCCCACTCACAGGACTGCTCAACCAGATCTGCTTATTTGGCGGCTGTTTATTGATAACATACGTTTTGCCTGGAGCTACAGATAACGTCATCACTCCATGGTTAAGCTCAGCGTCAACCTGCGGGTAGTCTTCAGAAAGCTGCTCCAACTCGTCACACAACAGCTCGAGGTACACATTGGAGAGTTTGGCGTATTCGTTATCAGAAATGTCATCGATGATTCTTGAAACGTTTTCTCCACTTGTAGAGATGGAATATGGACGGATTTTGGCGGGGAAAACGGGAATACGCTTGGCGAGAGCAGGTCTTGCGATTGCCGATGCTCTGAGAAGGCAGGGAGCTCTGGGAATGAGTCTGAGGGAAGATCTAAGCATTTTGTGGTTGGTGGAGAGAAAGTGGTGATAGTTTAGTGTGGATTGGGTTGGGTGGTTATATGCAGGACGTTTGGGGTAAAAAAGGGAATTTGGAGATCTTGAAGGTTTTGGGGTCATTTTGGGAAATTGGGAGGTGGATAGGGAAACTGGGGGTGTCGAAGTTACTGGGAATGTTGTTTTTCTGAAGTTTTTAGGTGTTATGGGGTGAATTATTGAGGGTTTATGGAAGTCGGTTTTTTGCACCCATTCTGCGCAGGTCTGACTCGGATGGAGGGCAGGGGAAGTGGGATAAAGGGATGGTTTAAAGTGATTGAAAGTTGGTTTGTTTTACAGGGGCTGGAGGAAGGGATGGTGAAAATTTGGGCTCGAAAAGGTGAGTTTTGCGTGTTTTGGCGGTGGTTTTCGGCTGGTGAGCACTGGCTGTGGCTGGAGGGAACCAAGGGGCAAGTATTTGGAAGAAAAAGGAAGTTGAAGCTGTCGTGGGTGTTGGAGAGGCAGTTGAGTTGGCTCAGGGACGGTGAGATTTTGTGTGTGGATGGTTTGTGGTGGTTTTAAGGATGGTGGTTTGTTGAAGGTGGGTGAGCAGAAGAAGGTGAGCTGGTTCGGTAGGAGAGAATGGTAGGAAGGTGGAAAAGGTTAAAGGAGGGTTCAGATGGTAATTAAAGAGGATATTAAAGTATGTTTTGGGAAGTAGGGGTCTTTTGGTGGGCAGTTAAGGGCACTGGATGGGACTTATTGAAGAGGTGTATAGTACAATTTATACTAATAATGTTTAGAGTGTTATTCAATAAGCAATTTCGATTATACTTGGTGAGAAAATTAAAGGAATCTGTTATCAATAATATAGCTTGACGGGATTTGGAGAGGCCGTGTTGCAGAAGAGTGTCTTTTGTTCAAGCTATAAGTAGCAATGAATGAGGTGGTAGAAGTGAAAGAATAGGAAAACGAGGAAGAGCAGGAGGTTCTCCATGGCCACCAAAAAGCTTTATTCGGTGATATACTACGTTTTAGCCTAAAATGGTAAAAGAGCAATGTATACTATCTCTAGGGAATCTCTCAAGGAATAGGAAAGACCTAAAGAAGTAAGCAGCTCCATCAATTCTGCAAGCTGTTCTACAATAAGTTTTAAATTCCGTTGAAGTTATTTCAGGAACAATAAAAATAACCTCACTTCACCAAAGCTTAACTTAAAGAAGTCCATGGATATCACTTTTGCTGAGGATTCGAAGTAATTGGGTACTAGCTCTACTGGACTAACACTTTTCAGAAACTTCCAGTCCAAATTCACCAAAATTACAATCTCCTGCCCAAAAGAATCTGAAGAATACAAGTTTACAATACAGAAGAGGAAGTACTTCTTGACTACTGGAAGAGTCCAAAAACCACCAACCAGCAGTTAACCATACCAGCCAAATCAACAACTTCCATTCAAAACCCTACAAAAGCAGCCTCCTCAAATCCCAACCATAAACAAAGAGAAAAAAAAAAGCTAACAAAACCAGGAAATCCACTACGTTCTCTCCAACCCACCCTTCCCTTTCCCATCCACACTTCTTAGGCACACAACAAACAACCAAGGAAACCTCCCAAACTTCAACCGAACTCCAACCAAAGTCCAACCAACCACCCACGTTTCCCCCAAACACCGAATCCCCAAATCCCAAATCCCCCAATTCCCCAAATCCCAAATCCCCCAACTCCTCCAATGCCTCTCCATCTCGTATATCTCTTCTCTGTGTCTTCCTCCTTGGCTGCCCCGCCTTGACGTAACGCCAGTGAAGACTCGATTCACCTTAAAACCTCGTAAATGGGCACTTTTTGCCTTTGTCGACGTCGTAAAGACAGGCATTTCTTACGTTTTGCGGGCGGGTGCCCAAACTGTCCGAGCCAAGGAAAGACGAGTTTTGCTCGGTGAAAAGTGCCTTTTGGACGAGAAAGTGCCTTTTGGGCCCGGAAAGTTCGGAAAAAAGGTATTAGCAGAGAAATAACAAAGCTTAAAGAAAGGAATAAACAGAAAAAATAGGGAAACTTGTTTTCCAGACGACGTCTCTGAAGGGACGAAAGCCAGAGATTGGACCTGGGAAGGAAGAAATGGCTGCGAAAAAAGTGGGCTGCTTGAATAAGCATGTGTACTGCATATAGTGCTCAATTCCTATTGTTCTGTGCAACTAAACCCGTGCACCAGGCATCAAAAACCTCTACACCTATACAAAAGCCACTGCCGCCATTTCTCCCCCAAAAAATCCATATAAATACATCTTAAATTCCCTTTAAAAACCCACCAAAACCTCCAAACTCCCCGACCTCTGCCCTCCCAAAACCTCTAAATTTCCCATTTTCTCTGCCTTTTTGACCCTCCCCCGCCCTCCTGGCGTCCCCTCAGCGACAATAGCACGGCGTTCTCAAACTCGCCAAATTCCGCAAAACCAAGAAATCGTCGCTGATAAGCCGAAGCGAAACGCCTTGCAGAAAGAAGTGCAAAAAAATGGAAAGATTGGCTACTTTTTGTTGATTTAGTAGTATCATTCGAATCGTGGGGGCTGGGAGATGTTGGGGTCTTTTTTCTGGCGTTTTTTGCACAAAATTCAGCCTTTTAAGTGTCCTTTTGCTGATACATATTTTAGTTGGTTTTTAGCCTCACGCGTTGTGAGCCCGTGGCCAGACGATAAGCTGGGCATAACCCTTTCATTAATTTTCCACATATTTTTGCATTAGTTTTTATTAATATTTGCATTAAATTTGAATTATCAAGTGAATTGCCGTGGCCAAATGCCCCAGATTAAGCACCTTCACATCGCCCCAGCGCAGTTTCCAAAGTGTCCAAAACGCCTCAAACTTACTCCTCTGTGCATGTTATCTATTGGACTGCCTTGTTTGGAGGTTTTTGATGCTTTTTCTGGTTTTCAGTTTTGCTGTTTTTTCTGATTTTCTGTAATTGGCTGTTTTCTGTAATTGGCTGTTTTCTGTTTTTGCTTATCAGAAAGATGTAGGATGTAGAAACGCCAAAGAGAGAAGAGGCAGAAGAGGAGAAGCCACAGCCTCAAGGAAAGGAAGCCTGGGGATGCCTGGGAAAGCCTGGGGAAGTTGTTGGCGAAGATCAAGAAAAGATGGAAGTTCCCGCCATTAACCGAAGATCATCTCTTCCAATTGGGAACCAACCAGTTCTGCTTTGACGGGAACGGCTCTGCCCAGAATCCATGACTCTTGAAGGCTTTAGACAATAAGGTTAGGAAGAGGAAGGAAGAGGAATCTGGGGAATGTGGAGAAAGAAGCGTCAGAGGAGGAAGCGTCAGAAGAAGGTTTGGTGCCGTTTTCGAGTCGAATCAACGGCACTCCGAGTGGAAATGGAAAGGAAGATTGGGTGGTTTCTGGGGAAGTCAGGGAACGGCACTTTCGGCGTTTTCGGGAGTTTTCAGGGCTTCTACGGCCTCCAGCACTTATCTAAATATTAGTTATACTGGTTTATTATCGGTGGTATTGTTGTATGGCCTCGTATTTCTGTGCTTGTGCTTTGGCTTGCAGGTTCAGAGAAATGGCTGCAAATGAAAGAGGGAGTGCTCTGGGAAGGTGGAAAATGAATAGTGGTGAAGAAAGGGTAGTGGAAGCTTTAGTAGATGTTTGACTGTTGACATATATTAATTAGTACTGTCTTGGTAGGTCTGTTAGATTGGAAGAGTTACTGTTGATGTACTTGTGCTTCTGGTTGTAGTAGTACCAGTTCACTGACATTATATGGCTTCATTCATATCACCATAAAAGCCCACCACTTAAGTAAATCCTTCAGATCGTCAATAAACATCATTTACTGCTATCATTATATCTCTATCACTTCTTCTCTTCCTTCTTCTTCCTTTTCTTCCTTCCCTTCTAGTACCACCTCCGGTCTCACTACCATTTCCTCTCTTCCTCCACCACCACTTCCTCCCCATTCCTCCACCTCTTTCTTTACATCCTTCTTTTGCTCAATTCCCTTCAATTCCCTTCTTTTCTTCAATTACCCAATGCCAGACCAATTGGTCCCATGACATGTCTCAGATGGTCACACAAAAGCACGTTACATCTGGACCTACATCAGCTCACCAGATGATGCCACAAACCCATCAGTTACCACTCAAATTGACTGAAACTGCCAGAACAAGCTGATATTGAGCTCTGCTTTTTAATGGTACCCTTTTTGTTCGTTTATCTAAATTGTGTGGCTTTTGTGGTGTAGTTTTCCCGTTTTTTTGCACCCAATCGAGGCCAACCACATATTCCCAATCCCCATGATAACCCAGTAACCGAAGACAAAACAACGCCTAATAATAACCATCAATTCGACTAATCCCCACAAAATTCATTCCTTTACCACCCCACCATGTAAACAGCACTTCTACCACCACCACTACTTCCAGTCCTCCAGAACCCATCTCCAGTAACCACCAAACCCTGTCTTTCCACCACTTCCAAAGAAGCCAAAGTAGCCAATTTATACAAAAGACCTTCCCTCCCACCTAACCAGCCTGTAACCATCAATTCCACTAAACCAGCTTTCCCCAAACACCAACTCTCTTCCACCTCCATCTTCCATCTTCTCACATACACTATACTATCCTCTGCAGCCAACCCTCCACCAACTCCACCAGTTCCCAAGAAAAGACCCCAAAATTAATACTTCCAGAACACCAAGCCGCCAAAAACAGCCAAAAAAACAACCTAAAAACCAAATATACCTGGCAATCCCTCCACCTACCTGCCTCTTTCCTTCCGTCACCTTGTGCGCTCCAGCCAGTCCAGCCAGAGCAGCCAGAGCAGCCACCAACACTTCCCAACCACTCCCAAACAAAACCACACCTAATTAAAATAAACTCCCTAGTCGACCACTCCACCACTCCACCCACCTTACTTCATTACTTCTAACTACCATATCCTCCTTCTACCACTTCCTCCCTCCACCTCTACTTCCCATCCACCGGTTACGTGCCCCGTCCACGCCCATCCTCCATCCACCACTTCCACTTCCCTCACTTCCCTCACTTCCACTTCCCTCACTTCCACCAACTACCAACTCCCATCCACTTCCACTTCCACACCCAAAACCTCTACCTCTCCTCCTTCTCTTCATCTTTACTTTCTCTTTACCTTTTCACCTTTTCACCTTTTCACCTTTCCATCTTTTCTTCCTCTTCTCCATCTTCTCCATCTCGCTCGCTCGTTCCTCGCGATCGAGATGCCTTGGCGCCAAGGCCGCCGTGCCCCCAAAAGGCCCCAAGCCCAAACGCCTTGCTCCAGCTCCAATCTTCCAAGATAATGTTTCTCCCAAATGCCTAGTTGGTGCACTCCATTGCATGCGGCGGAACCTTTTTGCAACCATTTCCACCAAATGCCGTGATATATAAACCTGGGATTCTCCCACCATCCATTCACTTTCCACCAAAAGATGTCTGCTCAGACTGGCGATGTGCTTGCGATGAACGTGGAAAAGTCCGTGGCGGTCCAGGAAGCTCAGGCCCAGGATTCTGCCTCCTCTACTGAAAAACTTCCCTTGGAAACTGTCGATAAGGTTTCTTCATCTACTGACTTGGAACTGCAAGATGAAGGCAGAGAACCAACACCAGAAGAGATGAAGACGTTGCGCCATGTTTCTGAAAAAATCCCTCTTTCGTGTTGGCTTGTAGCCATTGTGGAGTTGGCGGAACGTTTCTCCTACTACGGCTTGTCTACACCGTTCCAGAACTACATGCAAAATTCTCCAGACGATAAACCCAAGGGTGTGTTGAACTTGAAGAACTCGGGTGCTACGGCTTTGTCGTACTTTTGGCAGTTCTGGTGCTACGTGACGCCTATCTTTGGTGCTTGGCTCGCTGATACATACACTGGCAAGTATAATGCTATTTGTATTTTCTGTGGTATCTACTTGGTGGGTATTTTGATCTTGTTTATTACGTCTTTGCCGCTGGTGGCTTCTCATAACACTTCTTTGGGTGGTTTCATTGTGGCCATTATCATTATCGGTTTGGGTACTGGTGGAGTCAAGTCGAATGTGTCTCCATTGATCGCTGACCAGATTCCAAAGACTAAGCCAGTGATTAAGGTGTTAAAGTCTGGTGAAAGGGTTGTTCAGGACCCCAACATCACCATCCAGAACGTCTTCATGTTCTTCTACCTTATGATCAACATTGGCTCGCTTTCGGTCATTGCAACCACCTCTTTGGAACACAACGTGGACTTCTGGGCTGGCTACCTTTTGCCCTTGTGTTTCTTCTGTATCGCTCCGCTTGTGTTGCTTTTGGGTAAGCCTTACTACGTCAAGGTGCCTGTGGGAGAACAGGTGATTGCCAGAGCGTTCAAGGTTTCGTACCTTGCCATCAAGAACAAGTTCAACTTTGACGCTGCCAGACCTTCGCTTAACCCAGACGCCAAATACCCCTGGTCTGAGAAGTTTGTGGAAGAAGTCAGAAGATCCGTCTACGCTTGTAAAGTGTTTGTGTTCTACCCTATCTACTGGTTGGTTTACGGTCAGATGATCAACAACTTTGTGTCCCAGGCTGGCCAGATGGAGCTCCACGGCTTGCCTAACGATATCTTGCAGGCCATCAACGCCTTGACGATTATTATTTTCATTCCAATCTGTGAACGGTTTGTGTATCCGTTTATCAGAAGATTCACTCCATTTAGAGCTATTACTAAGATCTTCTGGGGCTTCATGTTTGCTTCCAGTGCCATGGTTTACGCTGGTGTTCTTCAGCACTTTATCTACCAGCAAGGCCCATGTTACGATATGCCTAAGGAGTGTGCTGAGGAGTTCAGAACGGTTCCTAACCAGATCCACGTTGCTATCCAGACTCCTGCTTACTTCTTGATTGGTATGTCTGAAATCTTGGCTTCTATTACTGGTTTGGAGTACGCCTACACCAAGGCCCCAGTTTCGATGAAGTCGTTTATCATGTCGCTTTTCCTTGTCACCAATGCGTTTGGTTCTGCTATTGGTATTGCTCTTTCGCCAACCGCCGAGAACCCCAAGTTGGTCTGGACCTACACTGGTTTGGCGGTGTCTTGTTTCATTGCTGGCTGTCTTTTCTACATTATCTTCCGTCATTATAATGATAAGGAGGATGAGTTGAACCAGTTGGATTATATGGAAGACGATGAGATCAGGTTGCAGCCGATTACTTCTATTCTGGAGAGTTTGGCTGCCCGGTAGTTAATGTATAGTAACGAGTTACGGATAAGAAAAGGCCAAAGCCCAAGGCGAGGAGGCGAAAGGCCCAAGGCGAGGAACGAGCTTGGGCCTTCGCCTTTTGATAGTAGAATAGTCTTAGGATGTCTTGTTCAAAGGCTTAGATTGACAGGTTTAGTATGACAGGCTTAGTAGACAACTAAGAAGGTCTTCTAAGACAGCTCTATGACTGCTTTGGCAACCATTCTTCGTCTTATCTTGGTCTGCTTATCTTGATACCTACCAAGCCTGGTTTGTGTTCCAAGTACCTCTGCTTATCTTATCTTTGTGGAACTCCAAACAGCCCAAATGTCCAAAACAGCTCAAAACAGCCCAAAACAGGCCCAAAACAGATTTCTTATCAGGAGCTGTTCTTGGGATCTGTAAGTGACGCTGGGGTACGGGGAGACAATGGAATTCCATTGCTTGCCAAGAGGCTTGGTCGCTTATCTGTTCTTGGTAGATAGTAGCAAAGATGGGTTGGTTGGGAAGTCAGGAGGTAAGTCACGGGAGATTCACCGTACCCAGAGGAGCCAAGGGGAGGGTTCAGTTGGAGGGTTTAGTTGGAGTTGTGGAAGTGGAGACAGAGTTGGAGTTGGAGGGGTGGAGAGTTGGAGACATGGTTGGAATCCAGGGAAAGTGGTCATCAGGAGACCTACAAGAAATGACGACTGAAAGATTAATTTTGGTCTTGGTGGGTCACTTTTTATTGAAATTAATCAGTAGATAGGCTTAAGAGAGTAGTGTTTGCACTGAAGATAAGATACTTCTCTGGGAGTACTTTTAGATGGAGAGCATATGGAGTGAACTCTGGTTCATGGGTAGACCTCTGAAAATGCCCTTGTGTGGTTAAGAGTACAGTTCTAAATTTTGATAATAGAGTGATTTAAGAAGTAGTTCTTTATCGAGAAACAGAATCTACATAGTTGGGTGTTCAACTGGAAGAGGAAGGTACCATGTCTGGCACATGTCACTCTCTTAGCTTCAACAAGCTACAATAGACATCACCGAAGGTTGACCAAAGTAAAGCAAAGAAGTTAATAAGTGTAAAGGAAAGCACAGAGAAGCCCCAACTTCCTGAATATTTGTAGAAAGAAGTCATTTTTTGATTTGTCACTAAACCTCTGGTCTTCCTTGGTGACTACCTTTCTGGAGACCATTCTTCCATGGCTGCAAAGCTACATTGGCTGTTCTCTAGTCACTTAAATGGCATATTTCTGTCATTATTTCCAGCAATATTCCATTTAAACATACTCAGTTTGCCTTTTTTCCGCTTTAAAGGACATTTGCTGCCTTTCCAGGTCAACCACTACTCCAAGAGGCTTTCACAGTGATACATGGCCAGTAACCTAAAGTGGTCTTATAGATTTCATTTCTTGAAAATTTCAATGTTCTTGAATATCCACCTTTTTCCATTTTAAATCCAAGATAGCTATTCTTTATAGACATTTGTTATAGCCATCATTGTAGCCATTAAAGCTTCTTCTCCATCAGTGCTTCCTCTGAGCTTCCAGAGCCTCCACTTCTACATAACCAGCCAAAACGACGAACCAGCCCTATTTTGTTTCTTCTTTCCCTTTACCCAATTAAAATAATCAAAACACTCCAAAACATCATATACCAAAAAAAAAAAAGAGTAGATCCATCTAATGCCCCAGGTCTTCTCATCTCCCATTACTTCAAAACCACTGGACCATCATCCACTTAACCCACCTTTCTCTCTTTTTTCTTCCTACCACCACCTCCAACTCACCGCCTTCCACATCCTCCTTTTTTTATACATACATTTTTTCACCTCCATCTCCTCCCTCCACCTCACACAACAATCACTGGCCTCTTCTCAGTGGTTGCAAAATACTCCAAATACGTTTCAACCGTCCGCCAAAAATCACCATTTACCCCAAAACAGCCCAAAATCCACCAAAACATCCGTCTCCTCCACTCCAACCAACCCTCCAATTTCCACCCCCAAATTCCCAAAACTCACCCTCCACCGTCCATTTTCCACTTTCCTCGGCATACTCGGCCCATCGCGCATCACTTCTCAACTCCAACTACCACCAACAACTAACCAGCCCACATCATGTTCCTTCCACTTATCATTCTTGCTATTGTGTTTTGTGCCATCTCTCTATATCTTCCCTACTCAGCAGGCCTTACTCACCTAGAAAGAAGAAAGAGAGAGAAGAAAGAGAAGGACACTCAGACATCCAACGAGTTCCAGGGCTACGTTCCTCCAGATGAAGAAATGAGAAGACAGAGGGAGGAGGACGAAAAAAGAGGATTGAAGGCGAGAGCCAGTGCTTTGAAAGAGAAGCTCCATGTTACTGCTGAGGACATGCCGGTGCTGATTCGGTTGAACCAGGAAAGTGGGTTGCGCAAGAGAGGAGAGAAGGTTTCGGCAGACCACAATCCGAATAACTACGATTACGATTTGGACGAGTTGATCCAGGATGAAGCTCGCGAGGCGAACGCTGCAAATATTAAGGCGGCGTATGCTGGGCAGCAACTTGGTGGTGATAAGGAGTCCATGGTTTGAGGAAGTGAAAGAAGTTGCATTTCCAGGAAGAAGAATTCCTGGCCTGTTCATAGAAAAGCATTGACAGATGGAGGATGTAGGTGGACGTGGGGCGTGAAGAGATGCCAGGCGGTTTCTGGATGGCCTGGATGGTTACTGGTAGGTTACTGGATGGTTCCATATTCTATTTACACTGATGCAATGGACCTGAGGTAGTAACAGACAGCTGGAACCCTGGGAACCCGTCGTCTAGCTAATCCGGTCCATGAGGTCGATGAGGTACCCTTTTTTGATATAGTTGAGCTCGTCCCGCTGGTAGAGCTCGGCCGTAGAGGGTCCGTCTACGGAGGCCTTGGAAGCATTGGCTTTGGATACCGCAAGTGCTTCAAATAACTCGGCTCGATGGTCGCCTATCTTCAAGGCAGACTCTGGTTCACTCTTGCGTATCACCAGGATAACAGCATCGTATATCGCCAGAACTAGCCGGTCCAGAAGCTTGAGAAATGCGCCTTGTTCAAGCGGTAAACTGCCTGAGTCTGGCGTGATCGTTTGATGAAGCAAACTCTCCACTTCTGGATGCATATGGAGCCTGTCGAGTTTATCTTTGAGTCTTAAATCTGTGCTGATTTCATGGTAGGCGTCATGGAGCCCTATTACCATGGCAATAGTATCTTTGGCGTCTTCCAAAGTATGGGTTCCGTGCTGGAAGGACTCAAACACTTTGAGGAACACTCGGGTGCTTAGCGGAAGATGGCACTTGTGCTCCATGACTTGTAGAAGCAGCCGTATAGTGGAAAAGTCAGTACCTGAAGATGAATAGTAGTCAAGTAGTGGAAGGAAGGTTATTTCTGTGGGAAAGATCTTGTGGGTACCTTTTTGAACAGCTTCTTCCACAGCCAAAGCGTAGAGTTTCTTATCTTCTGGCGTCAACCGTTTAATGTACCCTTCTTCAGCTTCAAGTGGTCTGTCCAAGACTGAAACAACTGCCTGGACGACTTTCTCTGCACTTTCGGGGGCTCCTGCCTTCACCAAGGCGTAGACAATGCAGTTGAGGTTCTCCACGTCCAAAAATTCAGGAAACTGGTCTGCCAAAAGGGCACTATACTCCAAAGCTGTATCTGTATCGCCATAATCAGCATATCCGTAGATCAACCTTTGGAAAGTTTCCCGATCCGGGTCAATTTTGCCAGAATGCTTTTTATCCAAATTAAGTAGCTCCTTGACGTCTTCCACGGCCTGTTTGTTCTCGTTTCGAAACGCAGTCAATAAAAGCACATTTATCGAACTCAACGGTATAGGCTGTGGAAGCGACTCTTTAAGCAGCTTGTACGCTTCCCAGGTAAACAATTTCGGCAGAAGATCACCCCCCTTCTTCTCTCCAGCACTTTCTCCAATAGCCGTATCCAAATACAGCTTCTTTCGCTGGGCAGCTTCAACCTCATCCAAAACGTCCTTTCTGTCCCTGAAAAAGCCCAAGTAGATCAACTGGTTCTGCTCTTCCACAGAAATAGGTATCCCAGCCTCCTTCAAGTCGCCAATCACCTTCCAGCACATTTTAACATGCGCTTCCCTCTGCTCCATCTGTTCCTTATACCCTCTGAGTATCAGTGAAGGCAGGTAGTACCCAGAACCCAGAGACGCCACGAAACTCGGCTTCACAAAATCTCGTCTCTTCAAGATCTCCCTCATGAAGCACTCAAAGTCCTCTGGCTCCATATGCCCCACTCCTGGACTCGGTAGCTCCATATACTGTCTGTACAAGGCAGAATGGTTAACCAACGCTCTGGGCGACTCAGGCGCCTCGAGACGAGCCAAGGACTGTTTGTATGGATACAAGGTCTGAAGAAAAGCCACGTACTGGCTTGGATCAGGTTTATGGACCATCTGGTTGTTCAATTGGCGTAGTCTTTCTGCTCTTTGGGTTAGTTCATGCAGAGGCAGCTGGGGCCGTAGAGCTCTGGGGCTGGCGAGCTGGGAAAGGTAGGGGCGGGAGGACGTGGCTGCCACGTGACTTAGTAGTAGTTTGGCTGCTGTTTGGGCCTTGGCGGGGTTTGGCATGGATGATGTCTGGTTGGAGGTGGATGGTGATAGTTGGTGATGATCGCGATGGGGAGGTGGAGTGTGGGATTCCACGAAGACACAACAAAATGGGTATCAACAGAGAGATAAAAAGTCGGGGAATCTGAAAATCTACTTTTTATGACTCTGGAGGTCCTGGTTGCCTGGTTATTAGCTGTTTCCACCTCAATCACGTGACTTTACACGAACTTTTCAGCTACTTTTTCACCTTCACCAAAACCACCAACCCCATCCAATGAAGATCCAACACAACGCCACCAGGGTCTTGGAGAGAACGTCCCATTTCCTCCAGAAAGGCGTCCTCTTGGACAGACCCGCCTGGGTCAACTCTGTGGGCGTCCACCCCACCGGCTACGACATGACGAAAAGACCCAAGAAGCTCGAAGCTGGTCGTCAGCCTGTAGACCCCCAAGACTTGCTTGCAAAGAAAAAAGGCAACTACTACAACACCAGAACGTCACGCACAGACCGCCGAAACACCCACGGCAAAGTCAACGCCATTCCCAAGATCAAGCTTTTGGAAGACCAGTTGAGAGATGTCTTCTACCATCAACATCCCTGGGAGCTTGCCAGGCCCAAGAACCTCGTGGAGACCCAAGGAGACGATAATGCTCATTGTGACTGGTCACGTATGCTCCAGTTGAGCAAACCTTTGGACGGAGAGCTGGTGGTGCAAAGAACGTTGTACTTGTTGAAGGATAAGCCTAAGGCTAAGGGTACGCTCTTTGAAGCGTACGACCAGGCTCGTTTTGAGTTTTACCAGTTGCGTATGGCCGAGGAGATGGAGGCTACCGTGCTGCGTGAAGAGCTGACGATGTACGGTTCCATCTACCCAAGCACGAATACTGACTGGGGTATCCAGAAGGAACAAGAGGCTATTGATGATTGGGCACCAAAGGCCACCGAGGAGACCAGAGCGTTGCGTGCCACTATGGGAACTTCCAAGACGCTTGCCAGGAACGATGCAGAGGAAGATGATGGGCCCTCGATCTGGGAGTCGTCGGTGGGCGAAGACCAGGCTAGAGAGTAGACAGAGGAGGCATGTAAATAGTGAATATTCAGGCACGAAGGAAGAAGGTGTAGCGGGAAGGGATATGGGAGTGAAGGGAGATTGCTGGAAGTGTAATATGGGTACTGCCAGTCCCCATGATAGAATTAGTGATGTAGGTTGATGATGTGCTTCTTTTTTGAAGGAGAATGAAGCGAGAGTATCTCGTCAGCCAGAGCTGATGATTTAATTATTGAAGGAATAGAGATTGGGCAAGGCTGTCATAAGAGCCTGAATTGGGGCATAGGAGTTGAAGAGTAAATGGCGTTGACTGGTGGATGGAGAAAAAGAAAAGGTTGACGGATTGTCAGTGGACTCTTCAAGTGCTGTAGGAGGAATCGAAATAGGTGAAATGTGAATATGGAGCTGCTGGAACGAGATCGTTTAAACCATTTCTTGTCTCCAAAGCATCATGGACCGAATGTATATCACGCTGCAAGTCAAGCAACGTAAACTAACATTTGTCTTCGTCTCCATCATTAATAAGGGAACAAAACTCGGCGGTTCGTCCTGGAACAGGTATGAATGCTTTGTCTTAGCGTTCTTCAAAGTAGGCAGTCCCACTTCATCTGTAACAGTAGTCCTCCATCCTCCATCTCTAGCATTACTTCATCTCATCACCAAACTTGTCACTTTGATCTCAATGACTGTAGTCTTTTCGTTAAACCAGGGACATCCATATAGTACCATCTGTTTTTCATATATGGAAGGTTCCCTTGTCATAGGCAATGAATGGATCTGCGTCCCATTCCCTTTCTCTTCCTCTTCGCTTCCACCATGAATGGGAACTAACGTCCCCATTCATGGTTCCCATTCGTGGGCCTACAATCGGCCAAAAAATGCATATATTTCACACTATCTAATGATGGCCAGCCTCAGGCTTCTTGATCAACTTATCGTAAACCAAGTACGCAGAAAACGCCACGGTGGCGATTCCAAGCCCAGGAAAGGCCGACTTGAATCTGTTGATTCTGGAGAACTGGCCTTCGTATCTCCACGCGTCTCTCTTGGCCCAGGGATTGCTGCTCATGGCTGAAAGTCGGTTCGGGTTCTGGTTGCAATGGATTATTCGCAGATGCTCTTATTGGTGGGCTGGGCGTGCGCGAACCGAAACATCCAGACGTTCTATAATGAAGAAGGTAAGGGATGGAAGAGAATTATTCTTGATTGATTTGGAAGGGTTTTGGGCAGGTAGGTTGGCAGATGTTGTTTTTTTGGTTGGTTTCTTGTGTGGGTGGAGCTGGTGTGGTGGATTGAGCATTGTAGAGGTATAAGGACTGTTGTGTTCTAAGTGAGACGGTTTATATCATGTACTTTGTTTTTGTGATGCGTTTAATGAAATTAGGTATATTTGTCTAATTTGACCTTTTCTGACCTCTTTTAGTGTAATTGTGGTGGTTATTGGAGGGTTGGTTGGCGTCTGTAAATGGCTGCGAAAAGTGCTTAACTATGAGGGAAGTGGATAGTCAAGGAACAGCTCTAGAGATGTAAGTGACGACAATAAGACATGTTATGAAGTTCACTGGAGGCTCTAAGACTAATCTCCTTGTCAGTTGGACATTTAATATTCCTTTCGAACATAAGGTTTGTCTGTGTCTTGGAGGTCTTGAAATAGTAGTAGAACCAAACCACCAACTTTGCCATATTTCAAAGGAAAGCTTTACTTTTCTCAACTTCTCTACTTTCCTTCTTTGGTTTTGAAGCTATGAGAGTTCATTCTGTATCCTATTAGGCTATTCCTTGCTGGTTAACCTTCCTCTTTGGTGCATCACCAGAACCTTATACTTAACCAATGGAAATGGTGCACATTTTCTGGAATATAGAGCTTAATGCTAAACTAAGAGCTGAATACGGTGCACTTAGTGAATTTAAACAAAATGCCGTAAAAATCACTCCTTTTTATACCGATTTTTTCTGAACTGCCTCAAGCACTGTGCACCTCCACCACTCTTCATCAAAGACATGTCTACCAAGAGCACCATACATTCCATTCCTTTCCCTTCTTGATTAAATAAACAATCTAACTTCTTCTTTCTTATGTGACAATTCCAGAAAATATGTCTTCCACACTACGGCATATCCTTCTCTGATATCTACCTTCCATGTCCTTGAACACCACCAACACCGTGTCCTTTTTACTTTTCCATTGCACAGGCTTCTACATAAGTCATTCAACTGCGCTCCTTTGACTTTAAGATATTACTTGTAGCACCAAAGCACCACCATAAACCACTCCCACTCATCTTGACTCTCCCTTCTTATCATTCCTCGTTCACCGCCCAAATCACCCCTCCATTTCTCCCAAACTTCTCAATCCCAGGTCCACAGTTAAACTCCCAATATCCCGTTAACACCACCAAACGAACCTCACCATTCCATTTCTTCCTCCAACCCTCCAACCCTCTTCTCCCCATCCCTTCCTTCCTTCACCCCCTTAGCGCATATTTTGCAACCGCACTAGCCACGCCTTTAGAGGTGCAGAATGACATGTCTTCCATGCAGCAGGCAACATAATATCGCATAGCAACGCAAAACCAACGCTACCCTCCCTCCCTCCAATTCCATCTCCCAATCGCCATACTTAATGTCTTCGAGCGAACCCAGCCCATTGGAAAGACTTGTGGGTGAACCTGAGCCGCAGCAAGAGCTCCTTACTGATTCTGAAGGTGAAGACGACTTCGTCAAGAAGTATGGGGAAATCGACTTCAAATATATAAAAAGACCCAAGGACGCTGTGTGGTTTATCAGACCCCATGCACTCAATTACTTTAAAGATGGAGTGTTGTACCGTACCAAGGGAGAACGGCTGTCGGCAAAAACAGAGTTGTTCCTTGACTTGCTCTATGTGGGAATCATAGGAACAGTGGCTGGCGACGCTTGTGAGAATGCTTCGTGGTTCTCCTTGTTCAAGTACGTTTTGGTGTTTTTGCCGTACTGGACTGTCTGGGCCGATATCAAGGATGTCACCAATTACTACTATAACGAAGACTTGTCGCAGAAATTGTACCTTTTGTGGATCTTGGTGTTGCTTACGACCTCTGTGAATGCCCAGTCGGAGGTTTTGGAGCTGACTAGGGGTGCTGTTTTCACAATTGTGCCGTATATTCTTTGCAGGTTATCATTGGCGTTCATGTTGCTCTTCTACTCGTTCTATATCCCAGAACACCGTCCTCAGCAACGTCTATACTTTGTGTTTTTGATCCTTACAAGTTGTATTTGGGTGCCAGTGATCTTTGTAGGGCCAAATACAAAGTTGGTGCTTTCACTTGTTGCCATTGTGCTTGAACAGATTACGTTTACGGTTGTCTTCCACCCTACCACCAAACAGTTGTTGAAACTCTCCATGTCTACAGCCCTTAACATCGAACACGAAGTGGAAAGGATGTCTGCGTTCTTCACCGTTGCCATTGGCGAGTTCTTGACGAAAATCACTGCTGAGCTGCCCATTGGCGTAGGCTTCACCAGCTTATACCCCAGAGCCATCTTCTGTCTTGTGATTGCGTATATTCTTTTCTGGCTTTACGATAACGCTGGAACGTCAGAAAAGGCTGTACATCCACTTCGCCACAGCGCTTTTCGTGCCATTACATGGATCTACTTACACATTCCACTTATTGGCTCAGTGGTGCTTGCTGCAGACGCTGCTGGAGAACTCTTGGGTATCCAAGAACCTACGATCTTTGGCTGGGGCAGAAAGATGAATGAAGTCCCTATAGATCCAGAACTCAACGTTTATTCACTTACCTTGTTCTTTACTGGCGGTTTGTGTGTCACTTTGCTCAGTATCACTGGTATTGGGTACTTGGACGATTGCAGAGACCCTCCAGGTACGTTTTTGGTGCTGAAGTTCTGGAGAATCTTCTGGAGGGTTCCCGTGGCGCTTTTGATTCTCTTGTTTGGGTTTTTGAATATTGGTACCTCGGCGGTTATGGGTAATACTGTCGTGCTTTTGCTTGTGCTTTATGTGTACGAGAGTGTGGTTGCCACGCCCAAACGGTGTCTCTGGCTCCCGAGGTTTGCCAGTGCCGATGAGTATGAGTAGGTTTAGGAGAAGGTGATTTTAGGAAAAGAAGTTATGGTTAAATATTCAAATGTTGTTTCATGAGGTGGTTTGTAGGGAAGGTGGTGAAAAGACGTGGGATAAAGAAGAGTAGGACTGATTAAGAACTTTGGCAAATACTGCTGTATTTAGAATCCGGCTTTACTCTTGTTCATCATTAAGAAGTGCTTCAGTGCTACTTCTGTTAGTGTTGATGCGTCTATTGCTGTACTTTCAGGAACCATCAAAGACTAACCAAATAGAACACTAGAGTTTAAAATAAAGAAAATAGAAGAAATAAATTAGTAACCGAATATTTATAGTTACGCCCTTTCACGCTTTTCAGAGCATTTACAGTTCCCTACTGACTGTCTACTGGAACTACCACATTACCAACATATATATATCCCCTACCAACGAACCTCCCAGTCCCCAAGTTCCCAAGCCCCTCCCAAGCAAACCAACTCCAAATCCACCCACAAAACCCACCCTACCATTTTCAAACCACCCTTCACTCTCCCCTTACACATACCTCCACTGCTTACAAAGCACCATCTGCTCACCCAGTCCACACTCCACCAACCGCCACTCCACCAACCCAAAACGAACATACCCAAAGTAACACAAATCAGCACTTTCTCTCGATCCTCTTTAATCTCAACCAACCTCCATTCCTTCCTTACTCGTCCTTCTTTCCCTTCCTCCCTCCTCCCCACTTACCTCTCCAACCGCAGATTTGCACCCACTGCCAAACCACCACCGCCTCTCCAAATTTCCCCAAAACTTCCACCACCTTAACCCTTACCCCCAAAACCACCAAACCCCAAAACCTCCCTCCTCTCCCACCACTCTCCATCTCTCCTCCTCCTCCTCCTCTCCCACCTCCATACTTAACCATCACCATCGCGCACTAACCTTATATATATACATCTACAACTACTACTCAAATCCACATAACCCTACTGTTTATCCCATACCAACCCTCCCACGTGTCTTCTCCACCACCGCATACCCTTCTTTCCTCCTGTTTTTGTCCAGATGACCCGTATCCAAGTCATGGGACCGAAATCTGGGAACCTGGGGCCTGTGAGCTTTCGAACATGCACTGATCTGGAAAATGGCGTTGTGACTAATAAGGTTCTTGTGAGTATCAAGTTGGGGTCAAGACTACGGCAGGCGGCGCCACCGGCGGCGCCTGCTCTGCTGGGGCTGGACCTGACAAGGCCTAACGTTAGCCCCCAGAGAATCACACGAAGCCTGGCAAAGGCATCGCCAGAGAAAAGGGGCGCTGAAGAACTACCGAGGACCGTGGAACCCGAGAAAGAGCCGCCTCAGATGGCTCCTCTTTGGCCTGTTCCTGAAAGAAGCGTTCCGCCTTTGCTACATCCCCAGAACACTCCACCAGCACAGCCAGAACTGCTGGCGCCGCCTCCAGAGCCAGCAACACAGAAAGATACGGATTCCGAGTCTGAACTTGAGGTTCTTGAGGTTCGGGTGCTTCCACAGCGGTCCAGACCGCAGCAGCTCGAACTAGACGAAGAAGACTCCGATTTGTCATCTCTAGACGATGAGCTTAACCATGCTCTTTCGTCCACGAACACTGTACCTACACAGCTTGTCACGTCTCCTAGGAAGGAGCCAGAACCACAGAGGAAACCGTTTCAGCCTCCACTACCCATGCATAAACTTCTACCTACGTTGTATAAGCCCATCAAGCTTAAAACGTCTCCAGCGCCGCCTGGCTATAGGAACATCCCGCCAAACTTGGTGTGTGCTATACAAAGAGAGCTAAATACGTTTTTTGATACCGGTGGCGACGACCAAGACGACCTTGAGGTCGTGGGAAAGATTGTTTTTTCACTTAAAGATCCATACTCGGCTACTAAGATTGCTCTCCCGGTGAAGGCTACAACGTGCCGCCACTTCGAGTGTTTTGACTTTGATAATTTCTGTACCTTCTCGAAAATGCCCGCTGGCATTCGCCACAGTTTACGGAAATCGCTTGTACTGAAGAGCCATGATGCTAGACGACTCGAGCAGCTTTTCCTCAAACAACAGAAACTCATTTCTGAAGGAGCGCTTCTGTTCAAGGCTCCTGGACTCGTTTACCCGCTGTTTTCTGAGCACGGCCAGATGTTTTTCCTGGAGGTTTACTGTCGAACACCGCCATTGTACAAATGTCCGTTGTGCGATGAAAAGTTTGGCTTGAAACAGCTTTACATCAGCGATATCTTCAACTTTTTTGTCAAAACGACGCCAAGGACCATCAGCAAAATAGAGTTGGTCGAAACTGACCGGTACAAGCTTATAGATGAAGATACTCCTGTCAAGGAGGAAAGAACAGAAACGCCGGACGTGGTTGTTCTTTCTGAGGACGAGTCTGATGATGGAGAGGTGAAGAAAGAGAGTGCTGTGAATAAGTCGTTCAGTGCTGAAGACTTTAATGACGGCTTGGACGATATGTTGACGAAGATTAGTCAGGACGACGGAACATGGAACAATCCAGTGACCCTCTAGGGAACAGTTGGACACTTTTGTATATATTGGGACAAAGAAGGTGATTTATTAGCATAGGCCATTCAATTAACGTTATTGATTTGAGATATAGAGGGAGGTTATGGACAAGTGATGAACTACAAGGCTTGTTCGTGGCATAAGTAGAAGATAGCAGACGGGGACATTCTTGGTTATTTCGATGTCAGCTAAAGATCAGACAAGTCTGATTGGAGACTATTCGGTGCTTCTTTTTATACTTTCGTCGTTGGTTACATATTCTTTTGCTTAATAGACATTGACTGACTCGAGGTAAGCATTAAGTAGGAAGCAGAACGCCATTCGTCTTTTACTTGCTGGTTTAGAGCAACATCAAAGTCAGCAACTAAGTCAGGACAAAAAATCAATTACTCCAGTGGAAGTCTTTAAAGCTTTTAAAGGATTTGCTATGGGTTTCTTATAACTGTGGTTCCACTGGTACAAGAGTATTCGAAGAAGTAAAGATATAACAAGGAAGATCAGTGATACAGTAGACTTCGTTTTATAACGATAAAAGGAAAATGTTAGATGAAGTTGGACCTATGTTTTTCTACCTAACTTAACCTTAAATAACTTCTTCACCACAGCCTCGGTGGAGACACAAATATAAGTAGAACAGAGATATTGGTAGTAGCAGTATAATTAGACTAAACTTTCATAATTAAACAGCCTGATATCCCTCTTAAAACCTAGGAAGGCCTAAAGACGTCATTACCCTTAAAGGTTATCCTACTTAGTGGACCACAGTGGTTCCCTCTGAATGGCATTCTTGGAACTGCCATCAACAGCCATAGAAAGATATAGCTACCGGGCCAGAATATATACTACTTCTTTTGAGCCTTCTTCAATATCTTCCTTCTTGTTGACAACTTATGACCTTGTCTTCTGAAGCACTGTAGAGATTTGGATCTCTTCAGTTCCAGGCGTTACCATGAGAAAAGGTGGTTCCACAATTTAAACGAACAACCAAAAGCCATCACCCAAGACTCAAATTTCCAACTCCTCCTCCAACTCCAAATCAACAACTCCCACCAGCCTCCACAGTCCCGTCCCACCCGCCTCCGCATGTCGGCTTCACTGAAGGATCTTGCTTATACCCGCTGTGCTGCTCATCACGACTCCACAGTTTCTAGATGGGAAGAAGAAGAGGCGGGTGGACGTAAAAGAAGCGATAAGGAAAAAGAAAAAGCGAAATTCAAACGCTTTTTTGGTTCTTTTCCTTTCCTCCAGTACAAGTCAGTGCTTTTCGACACACAGTGTCTTTTCCACCACTAGCCAGTGATAATCCTCCAAAACGACCCTCTTCGTCCAAAACCCGCTGTTTCCCAGTATCCCTGTCAAGGACCACCTGCCCCTACCCTGCCAAACCCACTTTCATCACCCTTTCAGTCCAATTGGCTCAATCCCCAATGGCTGCAAAATACCCTCTTGAACACCTCCCAGTCCATCCACCCTCCACCAAACCCAGCCCTTCCTGGACTCCCTGAATCCGCTCAATCCCCTGTAACTGCCCTAAACCGACTAAAACAATCTAAAAAAATAGACCTTCCCGATTAGACCCAAAAAACCGTTGGGCCTAAAGTGAAAAATTCACCTCAACCAACCACCCTCCCTTTGAACCTCCTCTACAACCTACACCCCCTGCCTTCCCCTCCTTTACTATAAATACGGGCCAAATCCTCCAATTCCAAATCCCCTTTTTTCTAAACTACTTTCTTCCCAACTATCCCCCGTCCTGAAGCCTCTGAAATTCCCAATAATCACATGCGCGGCGTTTTTTCCAACCCTATAAAGCCTTACTGTTGAGCATTCTCTGCCACCATCCACCCATATTTCCCAACTTTCCTCCTTCCAATTCCCTCCCCTAGCAATGGCCCAGGGCATTACCTTCCGTGGCGAGACCTTCGCCGTTCCGGAAACTCACGATATGGTGAAGACGCTTTTCGACCCCACAGTCAGGAAGCTGGTGTGTGAAGTGATCATCTTGGTGCTTTTGGCGTCCAACGGGTTGGTGTTCTTGCTTCCGCTGGCCGACGCCCAGATCAAGGCGTTTATTGCGTTGTATGTGTTTTGGCGTTTTTGCTATAACTTTGGCATTGGCTACTTGCTTAATCAGCAGCTGAACAGGTTTAGGCTTGTGGAGTGGGCACGCAAGTACCGTGTGTTTGACAAGGAGAACAAGAGTGGATTGGCTAATTTTGTACGGTTGGAGATCAGGTCGCAGATGGGCGCTGAGTATGATATCTGTGGGTTTCCAGTGGACTTCAATACGTGGTTGATTTTCCGCAAAGTGGTGGATTTGATCTTGATGCTGGACTTCACTACGTTTGTGTGTCTTGTGGTGGCGTGCTGCCTTAAGGACGATTACCAGTTTTTGCACGGGCAGCCGGTTTGGGCGGTGAGCTCAAGAATTGTCGTTGGTGTGTCGTTGATCTTGTTTAACCTTTGGGTGAAGATCAATGCTCATAATACCATTAAGGATTATGCGTGGTACTGGGGGGACTTCTTCTTCCGCCAGATCAACAATGAAGATTTGATTTTCGACGGTGTGTTTGAAATGTTCCCTCATCCCATGTACTCGGTGGGTTATATTGGATACTATGGGTTTGCGCTTATTGCTAAATCGTATACGGTGCTTGTGGTTGCGTTGTTTGGCCATTTCTTGCAAATGGTGTTCTTGCACTTTATTGAAAACCCTCATATCGATAAGATCTATGGTCCTTCGGCCAACGAGAACAGTTTACTGCAGTTGATCAGCTATAAGGATTTGGCTAATTTCGATAACGCAAAGCCTTTGGTTGGGTTGGCCAACTTTAACCTTCTTAGAGCCAGTGATGTGATCAATTTGATTAACTGTGTGACGTACCTGGCGTTTATTCCCATTTTGGCGTCGCTTTCTGCCTCCAACGTTTCTGCTGTGGGTAGGATTCTTTTCTACTTGACCGTCACCATCAAGGTTCTTGAATCTGTGTCTATTAACAGTGTTCTTGTTTTCCAGAGCGAGTTTAAAACCTTTACTAGATGGTACCTTTCCAATAACGTGCCCGTGGAGAAGTCTTTGAACAACTTTGCTGTTCTTTACAACTCCTTCATCAACTTGACGTATGCTTCGTTTATTGGTATGAACTTGTTTAAGGTTCTTACCTGGTGTGAGTTCCAGCACTTGTTCTTTACCGATTACCTTTACTTGAGGATTTTCATGGGCGTTTTGCTTGTTATTACTCAGGTTTGGATCAACACTTCGATTGTTGATCTGATTGGTTACTTTGGTTGGTTTTATGGTGATTTCTTTATCCCCAAGTCTTCGTTCATGCCTCAAAGAGCCCACTTGACCAAGGCTGGTGTTTACCGTTACTTGAACAACCCAGAACAAGTGTTTGGTGTTTGTGGTGTCATGGGAGCTACGTTGATGTTGCCTACTTTCGATAACCTTGTGATTTGCTTGATTTGGGTCGTCAACAACTTTGTCAGAATCAACTTCATTGAAAAGAACCACATGATCAAGATCTATGGTGAAGAAGAGGTCTACCAAGACAGTGGAGTCACCAAGACCGTCAAGAAGCACTTGTTGCCTGAAAGTATTGAAAAGAAGCTCAGTAGATCTGACTCGCAAAAACGCAACGCTGCCACCACCTCGTTGATTTTGTCGTTTGACAGTTTCATGAAGGAGTTGAGAGCCACCACCAGCATGTTCTCCAAGCAGAACATCGCCGACTTATCCCAGAACAAGTACTTTGCCAACAGCGACTACCACTTAGAAATCACCGGCTTGGAAGAGTCCGATTCTATTCCTTACAAGTACGTGGGCCAGCCTGTGAAAGTCAACTTCACTGCTCCTTCAGAGCACTCTGCCCATGACTGGGTTGGTTTATACAAAGTCACCCATACCACCTACTCCCGTTACAGAACATTGATTTCGTCCAACTCCCGCTGGGACTGGACTGGAGCCGAAACCACCGGTTCCATCGAGTTCTCCAGAGACAAGTTATTCTGGGAAGAAGGCCTCTACGAGTTTAGATACCATATCGACGGCAAGCACGATGTTGGATTCATCTCGTCGCCTTTCGAAATCAAGGTTCCTCATATTCCTGTCCCCACCAACCCTTCAGATGCCACCGAGTTGGCCCAGGAGCTCAACGAAACCATCTTCTCGCCCATGTTGGAGTCGTCTCCCGACATCAACACGCCGATTTACCAGTTTATTTCCAAAACAGACGACATTGTGGCCATTTACACCAGAGTCGCTCAGCTTATTGCCAAGAGCACTGGCGTGAAGGTCAGCAAGCGGTTCTTGATCTACAACGACAACGAAAGCGGCAACAAGTTCACCATCTACGACTTGGCTGCCAAGTTGGTGTCGATCAACAATGCCTTGTCTGAGTTGCTGGTGGACGAGCACGAGCAAGATTTACAGGATAAGAAGACCCAGTAGAGCACAAGCGTGTAAATAGAGTTTGCATAGATATTGCATTGACGAAGGTGTAGAAGGAGAAGGTGATGCAGGGGAAGTGAGGTTTAAAGGGTATAGTCTAAGGTACTCTTCAAGAAGTTACAGTTCATCGAATTCCAGCAACCAAGCCAGATTTATCAAAACCAGTTTAAGGGAAGTTCTGGGCATTCCAAACTGGATTGAACTGGAAGTTGAGAGTCTTTTCTTATTGCTCTTTATTATTCGATGTCTTGTTGGTGGAAGTCTCTTTCCAGCTTCCATATGACTTCCTATTAAACTATATAACCAAATCCACTTACTACCCAAAGACCATTCATTTGAATATTGAACAATACTTACTTAAAGGCCCAGAAACATCTTAAACACTTTATTTAATTTTCTCTTTATATGCCACTTCCACTTCGTTACCTCCACTTACTCACTTGTACAAAACATATAAGGCCTTACAGAAACCTTCCAATACATGTTACTGAAAACCCTTAAACTCATTTCTAGTCACTTCAATGCAACTTTGAAGAGGTACTTCTTTTTAAGTAAGAACTAAAGTTGTTTCTTTGTAAAGCTTCTATCACTACGGTTTCTGTCTTTACAAATCTGAATTTGTTCATTATACCGACTTCTAGTACAGAAGATTAACGTCTAGAGAGAACCAAATGGGATAGAAATAATGGAGTAGAAATAAAAAATGGAACCTCTATAGCTATGAAATACTTAATATTCTTTTCTGTACTTACTTACGATAAAGCATCGGCTTGGAGGATTGCAAAAGACAGATATTAACTGGAAGATGCCATATATGTAAATCCTTCTGGAAAGGTACAATAGTTGATCACCAACTACTACTTCTTTGAAACGTTATGTTTTGCATTTCTATGTTACACTGCTAGTAGAGCCCTCGTAACGAAACTAGTTCTGTCTTGAATGGTGCTCTTGGTGCTCTTATTGATGTATCATGGTTTCTGGTAAACCAAGCTTCCTCAAAGGCCCCTCCTATCTGCTCTTGTTCCTTCTTCTTTGCCTTTGAGACGATGCAGCTGTCTGAAGAAATCACCTTATCAGATTTAGGTTTTTTTCGAGTGCATGTCTGGCTCCTGGGAACGTAACACTATTTTGTCGTTGCCTGTTTAGCCTTCTCTGTAATTCTTCCACAATTCTCCCCTTACTCCTCTTCGGCGCCCTCTTGCACCACATCGGCCTCGCGGGCGACCCTGAGCAAGTACCCGTTAAGGTTCTTCCTCACTTCCGTAGACATCAAGTCACATCCCAGCAACAACTTCTCCAAACTGGCCGCTTCCACCTCCTTCGACTCGTCACACTCCACCCAGAACGCCACCATCTCGTTATCATGCATTTTCATATAACTAGCCACACATTCAGTGCCTGTAGAAGTATCCTTTTCAGCATGGAGCTGCAGATCAAGGTCTATACTCTCTCCAGTGAGCTTGGCATGGCCAGCAGTGACCAAATCCTTCACTTCAATGCCTGAATCCACCATCGCCAAAGCAGTACAGTTGACCACCCACGAGATCAAGTTAGGTAGAGTTCCAGTTGCTGGATCGAATGCAATGACATTTACAAACACGTCGATGGTCGATTTCGGGTATTTTTCCACGCATATCGACGGCAAAAACGCCGTTTCCACGTACGTGCTGATTCTGTGCTCGATATTGGTTAAGCCTGTTCTTCCAGTACGCTTGTCTCCAGCGTTGAAGATGACTTCGTTAGGTTGGGTTAAGTATGGCAAAAACTTGCACTCCACAGAGAACGACGCTCTGTCTATGAACAGCCCTCTGATTGGACGAGGCCCGTAGACACTGACTTCGAGAATTGTGTTGCCTACTTCCAAGTAAGCCAGGCCGTTGGCGTTTTTCGTAAGACCAGACTTGAGGAAGAATCTGCGGACGCCATGGGCGTTTTCGGCTGCTGAAAATTTGGCCGTGGGGGTTTTGCCGGAGGAAATACCGACTTGAGGGGTTTTGGCGTCCGTAGGACCGGTAATTCGTCTTCTGTCTGTACTCATTGGTTGTTGGTAGTTGATGAGTGTAGTTAGTGTGATGAGGTAGTGTGTAGTGTATGCAGGTTGGATAGATAAAGTGTAGATAAGTCAACCAAGGGGGTGTTTAGTGGGGTGGAAAGGCGGTTATAAGAGAGCCATATAGGTGAAGTAGAGCACTCAGGGAGTACCTGGGCTGCAGTGGAAGTGGAACGGAAGAAATACTATTTGAAGTTTTGCACGTGACTATAGTCACGTGCTTTTAAAGAAACCATCAAACTCGACCACTTTCTCCAACTGAAAAGCAGCCTTAGCCATTACCACTACAGCTATAACCTATCCTTTTTGCTTTATTTATCCCTGGGGTGCCACACCACCTGGAAAACCCCAGATTGTTTATCTCCACGTGTCCTATCACACGTGACCAAACTACATCAACAGACGCCATCACCAACGTCAAACCCCCCAATTCCCATCCAGAACCTCCTTCTTCCTCTTCCCAGCCATTCCCAGCCAGCACGTTCCGGTCACCGACCTCCTTTCCCCTCCCCTTTCCAATTTCGTCCCCTTTTCCCCTAAAACCTTAATCCCCCATAATAGCAGAAGCTTATCCACCGTATCTGCTGCAAACATCACCAAACCTCGACAGAAGCTTAACATACACGTTTAAACTCCCAATTTAAGCTTCCTCGGACCGACGGAGTCCCCAATTGAAGCTTTCCCACGGTCACCCGTCACGTGTGTGTCACTAGTCCACCATTCAGACCTGACCAGCCAGCTCCAGCTACACTCCAGTCCTAACGGAACCAGCTCTAAAGGCCAGCAGCCAAGCCAGACCCGTTTTGGCCAGTAACCTTCCCACACCTTTCCACGTATCCCAATTAGGTTTAACCTATTCTTACTAAACCTCCATAGTCACTTCTACTACCAGCCTTCCACCTCCAACAACTCCCCTCCTCGCCCCATGAAAGCACATATTTCCACGTCAGGGGGCCTCCACAAGGCACTCCACCACGCCTTCGAACTCGTCCAGGCCCGGCCAATCTCGGAACCTACCCACTACTACAACTGCACATCTCCCGAAACCCTCCGGAACGTCGTTGCAAGGGCCCCTTTTCCATGGACCCAAACGGCAGAAAAGCTCCATCACTTTCATTACGAGCACGTCACTGATTTGCTGGCGTTGCATGAAAAAATAGCAATGCTTGAGGATCCTTCGAACCTTATTATTATCGAACGACTTGACCACATCGTTTTGCAGCCAAGTGGATGTGAGTATTATAGGCAGAACGAGATGCTTGCGGCGACGCTTCGGCGGATGGAAAATGTGATTTTTCTTGACGACTGGGGGTACCTCGAGAGGTATTACGTTTGAAATGAAGAATTTGAAGAAATCAAGAGGGAAATGAAGAAATCAAGAGGAACTGGAGAAGCTGTTTTTCCACTTTTTCCTACATATAAGCCCTGGAAACTCCAGTTAAAAAATACTCGTCATAGGCAAAAGCCTACTATGGAAAATCGGCAAATTAACATACACAAGGGCAGTTTTTTTTTTTGACTATTGGTCCATTGCCCCGCGTTTGTATGCAGGAGTCATGTACTCCAGACCCAATTTCGGTCTATGTGCAGGATTCCATGCACTCTTTTGCAGCTTCTCCTAAGAGCCGTGGGGGTTGCCAGTATAAATACAACACGTCCCGCCTCAAAATCGCCCTTTTCCCCAATATTTTGCTTCACTCCCACCATGGCCGATTTTGACTCCCTCCTGTTGCTTTCGCCCTGCCTGTCGACTTCCACCATCGTCCCAGGCAAATGTTTCCCAGCCGCAAGACCCTCTGCCCAGCCTCCTTTATCCGAGATCAAAGTGATGCTCCCGAACTTGACCGAGACGAAAACCGTGGAAATCGCTGATTTGGAGAGGTTTGTGGAACGGTATATCGGCGCCGGCGTTGCCGTGACCACCCTCCATCTTTTGGTGTACTTGTATGCCCAGAACTGGACCCAGCATATGACTTTTGTCAGTGACATTAAGCTTCTTCATATGGGCAAGCAGTATCGGCTCACGAGGCTTATGGATCTTCATTCAGAACACCCCTCTTTGGTTTCCGTGGCGTCGAGGTTCCCCAGTTTCCAGTTGTTTGTGACGCCTGATCAGGTACTGCCGGCAGTGACACTCCCGGTTCAGGAGCTCATGGCTCGGTCTATGGCTCCCAAAGTGCCTGAAGAGGAAATCCCAGTGACGTATGCTGACGCTGTGATTCGTATGATAAGAAGGGCTTCGCATCGCAAGTCGTCTGTCACGTCTACTACGTCTTCTGGAACGGCTGCATCTGAATCTGGGCAAGTCAGCCGTACGAGTCTGACGGGCTCCAGCGTCAACCCAAGAAAAAGAAGCAAGATTAAGCACTCGTGGCGTAAAATGGTTAGCTGTGTTACCGTCAGCGCCCGGTAACCATGACAACGACATGTTTGTGTGAAACATTCCAGGCTGGCCTGGAGTTGTATTTATTGATCGTTTCTATATATTCGCTGCCGATTGGTCTTGACCTTCGAAGGCTCTAAGATGGGCCATTTCTTGTGAACAACACTCACAAAAAGCAAGCAAATTGTCAACACCTTCGGTATAACTGGCCTTGATTTCATTCAGTGTTTCTCCCTCGCTGGTCGGGTTCATTAGAAGACTGCATTTTTCAAGTTCGTCCAGAAGCCAGTTGCGCCATTCGCCCTTGGCCACTTCCTCCTCAAGCTGGTTAAGCATCTGCAAACTCACAATCAATTCGTTTCGGCGGATGCCGATTTCTCGTAAAGTTCGCCGGAGGTTGGTGGCCACGGATCGGGCAATGTCATCCTCATACTTTAACTTCCACGCCAGCGCTTGGTCGTAATTCTGGATAAACGACTGGTCCAGGAAAATCCGGAAACACGTTGAATTATCCTTGGTGACGTGCTGGTTCTTAATGAGGTCCTTCACTTCGTTCAAGTAAATGGCGCGCTCCATGATCATTGGTTCTCCCTGGATAATGTCTAGCATTACACCTCTGGCATTCTTTGCTTGCCAGTAGGTGACAGTTGACCTGCCCATGAGAAACACGTTCATGAAACTCAAACAAATGATTGTGAAGACCAACACTCTATTCATTGATAAGCTGTTGAGGAACATTTGTATACCGTGGACCACCAAATATACAAAAGAAGTGATCTTTCTTATGATAGATCCAAGTGTGCCCCTCAATGTCAAACGGAACACTGTATCAACATTCAACTGCGTTGGAGGCAGCGCTGGAATCACATATGGCACGTCGGTGATGGGCACTTTACCATACATGTAAATGGCCTTTGCAATCTGACCGTGGGTGCCAATCACCTTGGCTGTCTTATCCAAACGACGATGAACACCGTTGGCAAACGCAGTCTGGAAGGTTTTCGATAAGCTTCTGAGAAGCGGATTGAAGATGGTTTTCCTGTCGAAGATCAAGGAAGCATAATTCATGATCTTGGAGTTTCCGCCCTCGGTAGCGATAATCACCATTCTTGTGTTGATTTCAAACGTCACCATGCCAAACTTGAATGACGATCTCAGTGTTTTGCAGCAGTAGTACTCGTTTTCGCTCATGTCTTCGATTTCCTGTCTGACGGTGATGGTATCTGTTTTACCGTCGTGATAAACGATGGCAGAGAGGAAATCACGGAATAAACCACGGTCGTTTCCTGGCATCTTCATCCACTGTCCATGAGTGATGTACTTAACTGACACAATAGGATAAGATGCATCCATAAGATGTGATTTGTGGCCGAAAAGAGCATGGAATATAGCCTTGGGCGGGAGTTTGATCTTGTGGGAACTGAGAAAGTGCATGTCGTCGCTGAAATCAACCCTAAACCTCGGTTCAGAGTCGTGAGGACGACGGTCCACCTCAAACGAGCTGGCTTCGTTTGGTGACGCTGTGTGGTCTGCAAGTCTTCGAAGCTCTTCCTTCTTCAGAGCGTACTCTCTCTCGATATCCTTGAGTTTGCTGATCATGCCGCTGACATCTAATGGATTGTTGCTGGTGATGTTTTGGATGATGCCGTTGATTTTCTGTGCAATTAGGAGTCCCTCGCCCAAAAAGATCTTGGTCTTGATCAGACCACTCACTTTATGAATCTTCATGTAGTCGTAGTTCTTCTTGGGCACGCAGTTGGCCTCCACGATCTGGTCAATGGGCGTTTTGCTCAAAGCAACAAACCCCAGTGCATGCAAGTAAAAGTATAAGTTTTTCTGGGTGATGAACGCTGTACCACGGAGCTCCTGGTTGGAGTTTGGCGACCAGAGGCAGTGGAACGAAAGCAAACAGCATTCTGTGTTGTCCACTTCAGACTCAAAAAGAGCCCTCATCTGGATCTCACTGCCTAAAAGTGTATCTGGGTAATTAGCTGGCACCATAATACCATGGCCAATCTGTTTCGTAAATGGCTCTTCGGGAACAGGAGCAACTTCCTCGTGGGCACTGGCGTGGAAATCTTCATGCAAATAATAACAGCCCCAATTAAGCGACCCCCAGATATTGGCACTGAGGGCTGTAGGTACAGCGGTGGAGCCTGCCAAACTGTATGCTATAAGCGTGGACCGGCTGTATTCTGTGAAGAAAGGTAACCGGATTCTTGTCACTTGGTTGTAGACGAAGTTTTGGAACAACTTTTGGTTTTTCATCAAATGCGCTGAAAGCCTGGAGGAGGTGATTATCTGGCCTTCTTTGTTGATGACCTTTGAGTTCGTCAACAGTTTGTCGGTGCTTGTGTTGTTGGAATTGGCAAATTCCGATATGAGTGGTGGGTATCTGTTGCTGGCGATGCCGAATAAATTCGTCATGGGGTCGCCAGTAGTGGTGATTCTAGTTCTGACATTTTCAAACACTTTGAGCCACAGGTAGAGTTCCTGGACGGTTTCTGCTTGGAAGACGATAGTCGTGTCGATGGTTTTGAGCTCAAAACAGAACCTTCTGTCTTCATTAGCTGTGTATTTGGTGTTGCAAAGAAGAGCACCGATTTTGTCTGTTTCTTGAACCGCCGTGCCAGATGGACTTAGCACAAGAAGCCCAAACACTCCGCCTTGCAAGAATGCCCATCTCTGAACCCAAACAGGCTTTGTGGACTTTTCAATATATGTTTTCATGAACAAATGGCCGTGCTTTTCCACAGCAGTCTCAGGGAAGCTTGCCAACATTTTGCTATTAATGAGCGACGTTCTATAATCATTAAGATCACCGGAAGGCACAAAACTGGCGCTGGTGGATTCGTGGATCTGTTTTTTGGCAGCCTTCATATCTTTACGGAGCCTGGCCACAGAGCCTCTATAATTATCAAACCACGACGAAATGCGTTTAAGATGAGTCCACACGTCTGTCAAGAGCTGCTGGACAATGGGATGGGTACCAAAACGCTCCACTTTCTGGTGCCACATTAGATAAACGAACCTGACGATTTTATGGTTCACATACTCGATAACCTCGTTAAGTTCAATGATAAGATCAAGACTAGCAGACATGTACTCTTTCCGCACAGCAAAAAGCTGCAACAGATCCTCCATGACCAAAGCTGGATCCTTCAGTTTTGGCGTAGACATATGGATCCGCAAGAACTTATCGTAGTTAGCCTGGGCTTCATCAAAACGCACCTTATAGGTCTGGTACAACGCTATACGCTCCATGATCGTATCCTTGGTCGACTCTAGCCGAGGAATTGAATAATTAAGAAGCCCCAAACTGATATCCCAGACCATCTTGAGGCCCTCAAAGATCGTATTCATGGCTTGTTGCGTGTATTCCTGGTCCACCAAGCCGTCCAGCAAAGACTGGGGCATCAAGTACTCCAAAAACGAATTCACATAACTCTGCAACTCCTTCACTTGTTTGGGAATCTTCGTAAGGGACGATCTAAGCGCCAAGATCCACTTCTCTGTAGTCATAAGCTGCGTATGGAGATGGTTAACCGAGGCTCTGAACGATGGCGAGTCCAAAGCAGCCTCTTTCAACGCCACAGATATAAGCTTGATATGGTGGAACTCGGCTGAAGCCGGTAACTCGTCCTCCTCTGCCTGGGCAGCTTCCTTGATGGTGGCGGAAGCTTCGGTATTGACTTGGACCGAGGATACAGGGTCCAGGGCCTGTTGCAGGGGCGCCTCTTCTGTGGACGAGGGCATGAGAGGTGGTTGGGAGAATTTGGAGGAAGGCTATTGGAGGGAATTGGAGATTGGTGTTTTGTGGTTTGCAATTGGAGCAATGGAAGGTTGGTTTCGTGATGTTTCAGTAGTGATAAGTAGAGGAAGCGTGGTGTACGGGTGTTTCGGAGGGAAGAGGACGGTGATTTACGAAACGGCGAGTTTTTAAAGGTTTCAGAGGTTTCAGATGGGTTCATTGAAGTTTTCTGGTTGTTTTGGTGGTCTTGGAATTTTTTTATGGCCAGTTTTGGCGGTTTTAGCTGGACTCTTCCTCGCACGAGCAGCCAGCAAAATCTGGGGAAGAAGCAAGCAACAGAGATGGAGGCACAAAATGGGAAAAAATAAAGGATATTTTGTAAGAAAGAGGCTTGGACGAAAGGAGGATCAAGGGGTTCGGGAAGTTTAATTTTTGGGCCGGTTTTGGTCAGGTGGATGGGAATTGGCGATTTATAGAGGTTTCGAGGAAGACTACTTGTTTACAGAAAGTAGGTACTTTTGCCGTGGTACGTCTTTGACGAAGAAGTTGGTCCCAGCGAGCCGAGGGGGGAAATGCTACGAAGTGGAGGTCGTTTTTGGAGAATTCCTTCGAGAATGCTTATCGATAAGGCTGATGAGGCTTATAGGAAAGAAGGTTTGTCAATGGGATCAGTGGCTTGGTGTATGTATGGAAGGAGACAAGGAGAGGGGAGGGTGGAGGGAGGGTGTCAAGGAGTGGACTGGTGGCAGGTAGAGGGGAGTGGTTGAAGGGAGGTGGAGATGGAGTGGTACAAGCTGGAGTAGTATGGTTACAGAGGTTTGTTAAGGCAAGAGAGGAAGGCTTCAGATTGGGGATTTAGGGTCTATATTTGAACGATTTTAACCTTCAAGGGTATTTCACTGAGAGAATTAGGATTAGGATTAGGATCAGTAGTAGTAGTAGTAGTAGTAGTAGTAGTAGTAGTAGTAAGAGTAGTAGTAGTAGTAGTAGTAGTAGTAGTAGTAGTAGTAGTAGTAGTAGTAGTAGTAGTAGTAGTAGTAGTAGTAGTCTATTTACTGATTAGCCATAAGGTCTCCATATCCTCTTGTATGGTTAACAAGCTCAGAAAATGAAGTCTAGATGTTCATCTTTAGTATTCTAGCACTCTTCATTCCAGTATGGGTAAAGCTTAAACAGTATTTAGCCTTCCACTAGTCTTCACCATTATCCATAGATGAAACCCCAAATACTCAATATCCAACTTCTTCTTTTTTCACTTCTTCCTCTTTTATCTTTATTCCCACCAGTTTCCCTCCCTCCTTCTACAACCTCTACCTTCATCAATCACTTCATTCAGTATAAACTCACCTCTACAACGTAACTGGCTCACCTTCAAGCACCTTAATTGGATCAATGCCGTTGGCCTCAAACAACTCCTTCACATCCAGGAATCCCTTATACAACTCGTCCACGCTTCTGCTGCCCACAACGTCCTCCAAGGTCTCGACCTCCTCTCTCTTAAGAGGAAGAGGACCCACAAGGCCAAGGAACCTGCTAAATCCCCAAGCAACAATCTTACTAAGCCAAGTAGAGTCGTGAATGTCAACAGTGTCCTCTCCAATCTCAGCACCAAAAATACCTCTCACGTAGGTATTCAATACCTGGCGGTAAGCAACATCTGCTCCTGGGTAGTCAAGGTTACTGGTACGGCTTTCACGCTGGCAGCCTTGCACGGCAGCTTCACCGTCAAACCTCTTTTCCAACCATGTAAGAGCAGCTCCTACGCCAATAAACGATTCAATGATATGGCCAGTGGTCTCAGAAATAGCCCATTCGATCGAAGGAGCTCCCCATTCACAGAAGTTCTTGTAACCTCTTTCGGCTCCTTCGAAAGGCACAATTTCGTCAGCAACGCCGTGGAAAACGAACAAGGGGATTTCAGGAACACCGTCGTTCTTCTCGTAAGCTAAAGTGTTTTCTCTGACAATCTCTGCAATCTCTGGAATATGGAAGAAGTCGAGCTTCAGTCCAAAGTAAGGGAAGAGTCCAATAAAGAACTTATGGAAAATAAATGCAGTAAGAGAGTTGATAAGACAGTTCTCCTTGGCCTGGTAGAACATACGCTTCTTGATTCTGTTTCTTAAATCTTTGTCGAAGATATGGGCATAATGGCTGTATTCGTCCATCATACCGTTTAAGGCATTGGGAATAAGTCCAGCAGCAAATGTACCATCTGCAGCCACAGCAGTCAGCGTAATGTTGGTCACCCAGCCTCCCAAAGCAGCGCCAATAAGGTTCTGTTTGAGTTCTGGAGCGTACGCTGGTTGAAGCTGGGAAGCCCATCCAGTAGCCAAAGAGCCTCCAGAGTAACCGTAAAGTGCAACCTTGGCATCTTTACTGATTCCAGTGACATCGCCAGACTCCAAAACAGCACGAATGCCGTTCAAAACAGCCTTTCCAGCCTGGTGGCCAGCAGTAAACGCAGACTTTGGTCCTTGATAGTCAGGAACAACCACATACCAGCCTTTGGAAAGACCATACTGGATAAATGGCACTTCGGTCTGGGTAGTAATCGTATCGTGGTCTGCTTTATATAAAAGAGCGTACGAAGGAGCACAGTTGATGTTGTTGGCGTCTTCCCAGACCTGGTAGGACCAGACTTTCTTAGGGTCAGCGTTGTAGGGTTCCAAGATGGTAGTGACAAAAGCGTTAGGTACGCCAAAAGTGTCTTCCGAACGAACAAGCGCCTGCCACGAGTTCTTCACGTCCATGGAAAAAATCAAGGACCTGACTTCCACTGGTGTTCTTCTGATAGCAATGATATCACCGCTTTGGTAGTCAGAAAGGTTCAGTGGGAGGTCATAGAAGGCATCTTTAGAAGGAGGAGTTGGTCTGGAAACAAACAACGCCTGGGCCATGGCAGCCCAGAGCACAAGGGCATAAAAGGCTTTGAAAAGCATTGGATGGGAGGAAACAAGTGTGGATTGCTGGCCCTTTAAGTAGTCTAGATCAATGTATGTGTTTCATTTTGCAGCCATTTATTCAACTGGTGGGGGCGGTGCCGAGGAACGAAAGTATACTGGTTTCGACAGCATGGACACTAAAATGCATGTTGCCAAGGTTCGAAGGGAAACGATAAACCGGTTTGCTGTCAGGGCACCGAATCGTCAGGGCGTTGGGGAAAGGTAGATGGTGAGGGATAATGGAAAGGCGTTTAATGTGGGGAACATCCAAAGAGGTATCTGTATATCCGAATTGATGATATTTGTTTAGAAACAGCCTTCAGACAACATCTGGTTGACGTACAAAGCGTCCTGGTGGAAACGTGGGGTAGGAGGGAGTGTGGTTTGCCAAGTCTGGAGAAACCACAAAGACGTTATCCCTTACGCTGGGCAACAGGGTTTTCGGCGTTGGGGGACCCTGAAGGGTGAAAGCCGAAACAAAATAGACCATATCTGGGCGTTCTAAACCCGGTCTATTACGTGTAAGCAGTGCATAACTTAGATGGTCTTGAACAGTAGTGGATCGGGATTATCAAGCATAGATAGCGCAAAGCAAGTATTTAACACAAAGCTGGAAGGCTGGGGAACGTTGATACTGGCGGGTTTTGAAGTAGTAGTTCCACAAAGCAGAGTGGACGTTCGTCCCAGAGCTGTTGTCCATTTAACCCAGTGTGCATTCGTATCTGACATGCCACGAGCCCAAGGGGCCTCCCAGGGTGAAGGGAAGGCAGATGGAGACTCTAATAACGTTTTAGAAGGGTAGTGAAGTATGGGATTCTTTGGAAGGTCAATTCTTGACCTTTTTCATTGGAATAACCCAGGTATGGAACCGTTTCCCAGTGCATTCTCTAAATCAGCTGTGTGCCGCCAATGTGCCGCCATGCTTCGAGGATGTTGCATTCCCCACACGAGGAATTCATAGAACGCGTTGTTTGGTTTTGGTTGCCAGCCTGTTTGGTCTGAAGAAGGCTTTTTACTTCGTCTCTTGGCTGTGCCTGCCGAGGAGCCAGAAGCAGCCTGGAGAATCCTCCAGAGGCCACGTTCAGGGGTACAATACCTGGACGGCTTTCAGATACGGTGCTTGGCAAGACGACGTTTGTTTGGTGTAGTTTGTTGATCTGAAGGCCAGGGTATACACTGTGTTGCATGGAAATGGCTGTAGAAGTATATCTGTATTGGCAGTGACGCAGCCGACTTGGTACCCCTGGAAAGGTGATTCTAAGCGGTTGAAGTTGCAAGTAGACGTGTCCCCCAATCTTCAACACTGCTTCTGCTGGTTATGTTTCTTCTGCCAAGCACCCAAAGTATGGTAATCTCGGTAGCGGCTCAGGAGCCTCCCGGGCGTTATCTGACTCACGAAGGACACGCCCAGTAGCTCTTAACCGTTGGGCCCACAAACCAGACCTTTTGTTATTCTCTTTAGCTGGTTCACTCCATTCGTTCAGGGAATAAACGGTTGGTTACCTTCCAGTAAGACATAGCCCTTCCTCTTTCCTAGCTCTGGAAACTACACAAATATGAAAAACACGGCAAAACCTACCTTTTATAGGTTTTATAATTTTATAAGACTTGCTGCTGGCCCGCCTTGAAAACTACCAATTTCTAGGAAAGACACCATTGGTTGAAGAGTGTAGAAGTGGAGAATAAAACCTAAAAAAGGGACCTAAATGCGGGGAAAAAGCCACAAAAGAAGAGCTTTATATAGCTGAATATCCTAGCTTCCAAAAAGTAAGGTTTTTGTTTTAAGATTGTGTTTCTTTGCTGGGTATGGTGATGTCATTTGCAGCCAAACACGCTGGTGTATGTGTGTACTGCAGGTAGTGTCCAATTATGTCTCGTAGACTGTCCCTATATGCACCTTGTGCGTCTGCCACCTTTTGCAACCCCACAAACTTCAATTCCCAAAGAAAGTGTCTCCCAAAGGCTTTAAGACTTTGTCTTGTGGTTTGGTGTACTCAGACGCACTTGGGTTGCTTCTTGGTTTTTGAAAATTTGAAATTGGCCGGCTGAGTGTGAAGTTGGTGCTCCTCCAAGTTTGGGTGCAAAACAGCATAAAGTAAAGGAAACAATACCGAAAGAAAGCTTTCTTGGAAACTAGAATCATGAGCTCCTGAATTAATATGACCTAACACCTTTGTTTAGGTTGATCTGGAGTTTGATGTTGAAAGCTTATCTTGGACGTCAAGGGAGGATGGTACTCAGAAGGGTTACTTTAACTCACCACTAGTCTCCATTGAGTCCTTTAGGAAGCACATTTCAAAGAAAATCAGTTCAAATAGCACATTTCAAAGACTCCAAATTACATGTTCCTTAGTATTTTCATTGTCTAGTTAGTAGCATCTTAGTTCCTTTAAAGTGATGTCTTTCTGTCTCCCTCCAACACTTATACTGAACCCCAATGCCTACCTCCCCATATCTCCAAGTAACCTTTTCCACTCCCACTTTACCTCCCCCAGCTACATTTCTACATTTTTCAATCCACAAAAAACATACATTCTATACGTCTATTGTACTTCTCCTCAGGCAACAACCTCCTCTCCCTCAAGAACCTTGATAGGGTCAAAGTGGTGGGCCTGCAACAACTCCTTCACGTCCAGGAATCCCTTGTACAACTCGTCAACGGTCTTGTTGCTGGCAAGCTCTTGAATAGAAGTAGTCTCCTCTCTCTTAAGAGGAATAGGACCAACAATGCCAAGGAACTTGGAGAAGCCATAGGCAATGATCTTACTGAGCCAGGTAGAATCATCAATGTCAATTGTATCTTCACCGATTTCAGCACCGAAAATACCTCTAACATAGGTATTCAAGACCTGACGGTAGGCAATATCGGCGCCTGGGTACTCGAGGTTTGAAGTACGAACAGTACGCTGGCATCCTTGAACTGGAGCTTCACCATCAAACCTCTTTTCCAACCATTTGAGAGCAGCACCCACGCCAATAAAAGACTCAATGACATGGCCGGTGGTTTCAGAAACCGTCCATTCAAGAGAACCAATGCCCCATTCACAGAAGTTATCGTAAGCTCTCTGAGGCTGGATAACAGGCACAACTTCATCAGCAAGACCGTGGAAGACAAACAAAGGAATCTCTGGAATACCGTCCAGCTCTTCAAAAGCAACAGTGTTGTTTCTGACAATCTCGGCAATCTCTGGAATTTTAAAGAACCCGTCTCTCAGCTTAAAGTATGGCAAAAGACCCAGGAAGAACTTGTGGAAGATAAACTGAGTAAGCGAGTTGATAAGGCAGTTCTCCTTGGCCCTATAGAAACGACGTTTCTTCAAGGTTCTCAATTCTCTATCGTAAACGTCCTGGAACATCAGGTACTCCTCCATGATTCCATTAACAGCATTAGGAATAAGTCCAGCAGCAAAAGTACCGTCAGCAGCAAGAGCAGTAGAAGTGATGTTGGTGACCCAGCCACCAATAGCAGCGCCAATGATGCTTTGCTTAAGTTCTGGAGCAAACAGAGGCTGGAGCTGGGAGGCCCAGCCAGTAGCGTAGGAACCACCAGAGTATCCGTAAAGAGCCACCAGGGCGTCTTTTTCGATTCCAGTGATATCTTCAGAGTTCAAAGCAGCACGAATACCATTCAAAACGGCTTTTCCAGATTGGTGGCCAGCGGTGAATGCCGACTTGGGGCCTTGGTAATCTGGAACAACCACGTACCAGCCCTTAGAGAGTCCATATTGAATGAATGGGATCTCAGTTTGAGTGGTGATAGTATCTGGATGAGCTCTGTACAAAAGAGAGTACGAAGGGCTGCAATCGATATTGTTAGCATCTTCCCAGGCCTGGTAAGACCAAACCTTCTTTGGATCAGCGTTGTAGGGTTCCAAAATAGTAGTAACAAAGGCATTGGCCACGCCAAACGAGTCCTCAGAACGCACAAGAAGCTGCCACGAGTTCTTCACGTCCATAGCAAAAATGAGCGATCTAACCTGGACTGGAGTTTGTCTCACAGCAATAATGTCACCATTCTTATAATCAGAAACGTTCTTAGGCACGTTATAGAAGTCATCCTTGGATGGACTGGTAGGTCTGCGGGCGAACAAGGCTTGAACGGCCGTAGCCCAAAGCAAAAGAGTGTAAAAGAGTTGGAAATGCATTGGTGGATGAAAAAAGAGTAGGAGAATGCTTTACTATTTATACCACAACTTCCAAGGACGGTTTCGTCCATTTGTGGGGGTTATTCACTGTTTTTCGCAGCCAAACAGACAATGCATAAACATAGATACCAAGCGAGAACAGTGCATGAACAAGTAAGGTGGGGTTGTTGTTTTAAGGTTGCCAAGCGATCAAGAAGAGCTGGTTTCTGTCAGGAAGTGGGGGAAACCAAAAGACGGTAAGGAGGGGAGAGGAAGCACCAATTCGCTGAACCTCCATATCTTCATTACCAGCTTATCAGAACTTTCGGTGGATCCCGTAAACCAACGTTAGAAGCACTGCAGTGTCGCTTGTAAAGATCCAGACACAAAATAGAAGATCCACAGTGGTGGTGATTTACGGGAGCATGTTCCTTCGATGCCAAGTCTGGAGTGATTCACGAGAGGCTTTTCGAGGAATGAGAGGGAGGTTTCTGGGCGGCTCCCAGGGCATATCCACGGGAGAACCACAAAACGAAAATTAACAATGATACAGGTGGGAGGTATAAACCCGGTGGAGGCTGTTAGGAGCACATCAAAGGTTGTTTTGGGGAACAGCGGGACCGAGTTCGGATACTACTCAGAGTACATGCTCAGGCATTTGCAGCCACAGCTTCTCGGGTACACTTGCAGAAAAAGAAGAGATAGTATAAACTTCCTGGCGCTGCCATGCAACGAGCTTCCTTTCTGAGCGTCTGTTTCACTTGCTGGGCTTTTTTTATCGTTGCACAGCGTGTGGATGCTATTCCAGGTCTACGCGGTCTTGGAAGGCTCGAAGATGCATAGACCAACGTCAGTATCATGCGGGGCGGAAGCATATTTGGTGTTTTGGCGAGTTAAGACGTGGTGCCGAGGCAGAGAAGAACATAGAGGGGGAGTTTAATCAACGTGGGTCAAAGGAAGTTATGGTATGGGGATTTGCATTGCCAGCTCCAGCTGGAAATACCACTCCTGTAAAGGCAAGTACATAGCCTTTCGGCAACTTCCGTCCGCTAAACTAGATATACTTTATTTCTCTTCAAAGCTTATACTGTCGGATCCGCTTCTACCTTCTGTTGCTTCCTGGAATACAGTTCAGGGGCATGCACGTAAAATAGCCTTTCGTGTGCTTCTACGAAGTCAATTATCTCTGACTGGTTAAGCAAAAACACTTATTCACGTACCCTGGGCTATCAACCCGTAACTGTCAACGGTTACGATAGACAAGCATATTCTACTGAAACACTGGTTGACCACTGCTACTGCTTCCTTCCATCCTTCTTTACCAGCCCTTTCCAGTCCTTCCAGGAAACCCCCAACTCGTCCAATTTCACATTTTGCAGTCTGCGGCGGTTGTCCATCATCCAGCTAAAACCTTCCATGTACATGTGAGTCAAGCTCCATTTGGATTGTTCCCTCTTCGATGTTCCAGCTTATCGCGGACGTTCTTGGCTTGGCAGTGGAGGTGTATCTGCGGAGCCTTTTTCGGCGGGAGACTTGGGTTTGTGACAGCGTAGGTTAACGTTATTTTAGGTTCTAATTACGAAAGAAGATCAGGTCTGTTGGTATATGGTTGTAGGATATCCATGGTTTCTCGACGAGTTTTGGTCCTGGGAAGCTCAAACTTGAACTGGAACATACTTGTTTTGCGCTCTATCGAGCGGCGTCGAAGGTCTCCTATTTTTCAAGATTGTGGTATTTTTGTTTACAGGTAATTTGCAACCAAACACTTACCGTGTATGTGTACTGTATACAGTGTCTGTATGTTTTCGTTTAACCATGCACAATGTGCGACATGCGTCAAGAGTTGGTTTGCAACCGACATAGTACTAGTGAAACGTCTGTTTCGTGGTTTATCTGGTTGTTAGGGAGATTGGAAGTTAGTGTGATGGTTCTTTTAAGCAGTGTGCATTACTAGTGTTTCAGTGGCTTTTTTGGGGGCTTCTCTGAGGCTTTTTTGCATGGATATGGCCTGATTTCGACGTTGCATTTAGTGTTACTACGAAGAGGTACAAAGATCAAAAGGGTTAACCCCGAAATTCTTTATCTGGGCTAAGGTAGACATGGAAGGTGGAAGAGAAGTGGCTTTGGTTGTTTTGCAAATTTAAGTTTGAGTTTGGGGAACTTGGGAGTGGAACAAAGAGCGGTTAAAGGAAAGGAAGCAATGACAATGTAGATCGTGGATTAAGCGAGTCAGATGGAGACTGGGATTTTTCAGGAACAGTTCTGGGTTTAGGGGATTACAGTAGGTTCAGAATGGATATCACTTCTTGACTTACTTATATGAATGTTCCACAAGGACAGATATAGTTGGACTGGCTTGAAAGGAAACGTCCTTTGGAAGACCAAAATCAACAACTACATCTCCTTCCTCTCAATGCCTTCATTTGATTCCTTCTACACCTTTTCTTCCTTCTTTAACAATCATCATTTTATTTTCTCTAATTTCACAACACAGCCTAAACCCCTGGCTCGCCGGCAAGAACCTTGATTGGGTCGATGTTGTGGGCCTGCAACAACTCCTTGACATCCAGGAAACCCGTGTAGATCTCGTCCACAGTCTTGTTACCAGCAAGCTCCTCGAGCGTGAAGGTATCGTCTCTCTTTGGAGTGAAACGACCGAAGATACCGAAGAACTTGGAGAATCCCCAAGCAATAACCTTACTGAGCCAGGTGGAATCGTTAATGTCAATAGTATCTTCGCCAATCTCGGCACCAAAAATACCTCTAACGTAAGAGCTCAAGATTTGGTGGTACACAATGTCAGCACCTGGGTATTCAAGGTTGGTGGTACGAACAGTACGCTGGCAGCCCTTGATAGGAGACTCACCATTGTAAAGGCCTTGCAACCAAGTGAAAGCAGCACCAGCACCAAAGAAGGTCTCCAAAGTGTGACCAGTGCCCTTGGAAACAGCATATTCAATGGATTCAACTCCCCATTCACAGTAGTTCTCGTAGGCTCTTTCAGGCTGGATAATTGGCACAATCTCGTCGCCTTGACCGTGGAAAATGAACAAGGGGATCTCTGGAAGACCGTCCAGCTCCACATACGCAAGCGTGTTGTTTCTGATGATCTCGGCAATTTCTGGAATGTGGAAGAAGTCATGTCTGTGTCTAAAGTAAGGCACAAGTCCCTTGAAGAACCTCTGGAACACATACTGGATGAGCGAGTTCACAAGACAGTTGTTCTTGGCTGAGTAGAACTGGCGGTGTCTAAAGTCGTTGATTTCGCTGTCAAAGAGCTCCTGGTACATGGAGTACTCAGACATAATACCGTTGATGGCGTTGGCGTTGATACCAGCTGCAATGGTACCATCGGTAGCGATAGCGGTAGAAGTAATGTTAGTGACAAAGCCACCAACAGCAGCACCAAGAATACTTTCCTTAAGCTCTGGAGCGTACGATGGCTGGAGCTGGGCAGCCCATCCAGAAGCCAAAGAACCACCAGAGAAACCGTAAATGGTAACCTTAGCGTCCTTGCTAATACCAGTAACGTCACCAGAGTTCAAGGCAGAACGAATACCGTTCAAAACGGCTTTACCAGCTTGAATACCAGCAGTGAAAGCAGCCTTAGGGCCCTGGTAGTCAGGGACAACCACGTACCAGCCTTTAGAAAGACCGTACTCAATGAATGGAATCTCAGTTTGGGTGGTGATAGTATCTGGGTGAGACTTGAACAAAAGGGCGTACGAAGGAGCACAGTCAATGTTGTTGGAGTCCTCCCAGGCCTGGTAGGACCAGAGCTTGGATGGGTCGGCGTTGTAAGGTTCCAAAATAGTGGTAACCACGACGTTAGGGTTGCCAAACGAGTCTTCAGAACGAACAAGAAGCTGGTAAGAGTTCTGGACATTCATGGCAAAGAAAAGCGAGCTGACCATCACTGGTGTGTGTCTGATATCAATGATATCACCACTCTGGTAGTCAGAGATGTTGGCTGGGACACGGTAGAAGTCATCCTCAGAAGGGAAAAGCGGCGACTTGAAGAAGATAGCCAGGGCAGTCGAAGCCCAGAGGAAGAGGGAGAGGAAAAGCATGGTGGGGAGAAGAAAGAGAGGATGGGAATTGGGCCAATTTATAATGCCCAGAGCTCCAGTTTCTTCCAGTTGTTGGTGAGTTTGTGTGTTTTTGGTATTTTGCAGCCAAACAGCCGTCCTACATGGCCATGCAAGAAACAGATACCATGCGTTGGGGGTAAAGGATGTGGAGGACTGGGGAGTGTTTACGTGGAGACGAACTTACGGGGAAGGAGGTTTGGAAGTTGGAAGATGCTTGGCTTTCCTGGTTAAGTAGTATTCTGTTGATATTTAGACTTAAAGTTTGGAAAATGAACCAAAACCAAACTCCAACAAACAAGAATCCTTACGTGACAAAGCCCCTTTCTGGAAGATATCTCCATGTTTCACACCATTGTTTGTACAAGACATATGGTGATTCATCCATAACCGAAATAACCGACGCACAGTCTCTTTCGAAGCAACAAACACTGGGACAACCAGACTAAAACCGTGAATACGCCAGGCCTGTTTGGCCCCGACTAGCGGGTATTTTCCAGCCACGGGTCTCGACATTCGCTTCTACTTGACATAGTGTTTAAGTAGCTGTGCATTTACAGAGGATATGGAATATGCTGCGTCACAAGACGTAACTGGTGGTTTGCCAGGGACTACTTGGCTTCCAAGACACCTAAGAGGCAAAGAGTCACCATACATCGAAGTACATGGAGGCTTTGGTCATCAGTTTCCGTAGTTACATGGAGCTGAAGAGTAGTAAGGCTGAACCAAAGACACTTGGACCTATATCTACCCAAAGCCTGGTAAATCTAAAACACCGTATTCGTTCGTTATCTGACCTAACTGTGGCTCATGCCGTTATCGGTCTCAGCCTGAATGGCGGTATTTCTCGGCTTCCCTTTGGTGATTTTGTGAACCTATCTGTGCCCAGAAAACAGTACACAGTTAATCGAGTCAAAAACGGAATCAAACCGTATTTCTCTTTGTTGGACCTATCAAAGTCGTAAAGCATCACAAAATAAGTAATAGAGTTTGGCAAGTACAGTTCGGTTTGTGCTGAACAGTAAAGGCTATTTAAGTGCACAAACTGGTTTGGAAGACCAACTAGGTTCTTACAAAACCTTGTCTTCCTTCACTTGCAACCGCAGAAATCCCAGTGTCCTCCTCGGCCCGAGGAACTTCAGACGTAGCCGTTTTGTGTCGCCAAAGCGTTCCCGGCTGCATCGAATATTCAAAGCCTGGTCTAGTTTTAGGCGCTTTACAGAACCATGTTTTTAGTGGAGCGTGGAGGGAGCGTGGATAGCAGGGACCCTCGTGGCAGCCAGACCGTCCTCGGCTTAGGAAGACGTTCTTTTCGTGGACGTTGTTTCTGGTGTTTGTGGTATTTTTCCTTATCTTTCCGATAGACACCAGAAGGTTTACCCAGGGTCTTGGCTTGTTATTGGTCTAGCAAAACGCTAGGGTCCATCCAACTGAACACAATGCCTGTGAAACTTCCATTGAACCCTGTCCCAGATAAGTCCCTTTGTTACTGATTTGATGTTGCATTCCATTTATCTGTAGAATATACAAGATATCTAGAAACTACATCTACTAGTCAGGTTCCAAAGCACCAAAGCTTCTCACAGTACTTCCTAGATGTAACATGGATCCATAAAAGTAACCTCCTCTTAAACCTACCCTACATTCTTCGTGACAATGGCCCAAACACTTGACGTTCTTTAACCCACCGTGCATTCACAACCCTCCATGTTTCGGTCGTCCCTTGAACAACACCACTTTTGAGTCACTTTCTTCACGCACGAGTTTCGATAACAACGGTGTTCCGACTTGGATAGCGGTCTTTTGAAAGTCGAACGCAGAGAAGGCTGCTCATGGCTGGTACATCGGGAAGCTCCCCGGACGTCTAGGTTGCATTTATCTCCATACAAATGGTGTTTGTGGTACTGATAGGTAATCTGGTTACTTTTGGTTACTTCTTTCAGAAAGCGCTACTTAGATAGGCCCTAGGAGGGTGAAAATGCCGTTTAGAACGTCAACAAAGAGCTGGCTTATCGGGGTGGACTCTTTGTAATTTCTTGTTTCCTCTCCAACCTTCTGTCCCAAAACGGCCCTCATGAATGTATCTAGAAACTGGATGTTCATGATATCTGCGCCAGGGTAGAGAAGGTTGGTGTCTCTGGAAGTCATTTGGCACCCCAGAGTAGGCTTTTCACCATTTAGACGTTTTTCAAGCCAGACAAAACCAGCTCCAATGCCTAGACACCCTTCACTGACATGGGCAGTGTACTTGGACACGGCAAACTCAATAGAAGGTGCTCCCCAGGAACACCATTTCTTGTATGCCTCTTGAGCCTGGTTCATACTAATCACTTCATCGTTCTGGGCTTGGAATATAAAAAGAGGCATTTCTGGGACGCCCAGGGCCTCGTCCAAGGCTAAGGTATTGTTTTTCATGATCTCTGCAATTTCTGGGATTTCCAAAAACCCGTTTCCATCCCCCATCCATGGATCCAGGCCTTTGAAGAGCTCTTCATACGCATAAAGCTCAAACGTTGCTCCAAGACACATTCTTTTCGCCTCGTAGAACGTTTTTAACCTTTTCTTGCCTATTTGCTGCTCGATAATAGGAACTAGCGCTGGGTACTCTTGCATCATGCCGTTTATCATAGCCACTACAAGCCCAGAGAAAGGACTTCCATCGTTTGTAAGGTAAGTCTCGGTGTTGTTCGCCATAAGCCCTCCAAAGGCATTTCCCACTATATTAGACTTTAGTTCGGGTGCATAGTTTGGCTGGATCTGGGCTGCCCAGCCTGAAGCTATGGATCCTCCAGAGTACCCATATAGGCCTACTTTGGCATCTGGTTTAATACCAGTAAGTTCACCAGATCCTAGGGCAGCTCTTATTGCATTCAAAATAGCCCTTCCAGATTGAAGGCCGGCAGTGAAAGCAGCCTTAGGGCCCTGGTGGTCAGGATACACCACGTACCAGTTCTTAGACAAGGCAATATCCATAATGGTCATTTCAAACTGTGACGGAAGCGTATCCATAGAAGCTCCAAATAAAATAGCATAGGAAGGACTGCAATCGAGGCTTGGAGAGTCCACATATGACAGGTACGATAAGATTTTGGATGGGTCGGCGTTATATGGTTCTATGATGGTTGTAACCACAGAAGTAGGTTCACCAAATGAGTCTTCTGACCTTACTTGTACTTGCCATGCGTTTTTGACGTTTAACGGAAAGACCATGGATCTTAGGTGGACTGGAGGAGGTCGCCAGGCGATGATTTCGCCAACTTCGTATTCGGAAACGTTAGCAGGTATTTCATAGAATGGGTCGTCCACTGGTTTCGTCGGAAGCTGAAAGGCCAATGCCAAAGGGGCCCAGAGTAGCCAAAGGAAAGTAAAAAAGTTCATTGGAGAAATAAGTTTAGCTAAATCTTATCTTTTTAAGTTGGTGCTGGTGATTCGTACCAGTCGTTGGAATGTAGAGATTACTACCCAAAGAAGATATAAAGCTTGGAGAAGCTCAAGACAATGGAGAAGTGGAGACAAGTTCGGATAGTTCTACAAAAGCTTCTTGTTGGAAATACGCTTCTTGTTCGAATAAACTTTCTATTCTTCTTTCCATGCATAGTTTGTGACTTGGAATAGACTAGGTGATTTAAGCTGGATCTCACTGGAAGGCTTTAATAGCAGGGCGGTATCTTCAACTACCTAACATCGAAGACTTTTCCGGGAAATCCAGTTTTATTAAAATTTAATTATCTTTCATTTTTGTCTAAATAGTCCGAAGACATAGTCTTGGAACTGTCTGTCATTGTTGGTACTTGCGCTTTTTGTGGCTTTTGAAATACCAGGTTTTCCCCAAGCATTGTTCAAAAAGAAGCCATGGCTCATTAAAGTTTTTTTTTTTTTTTTTTTTTCTATTCTAGAATCGGTTTAAATCAACTTTTTTTTCGTAGAGAAGCGCTTTGTCTGGAGCTTATGTAATACCATACTCTTCCAACGAGTAACCACAGAACCATCACTTTCCCCACAAAGCACTACCAAGCTGACTCTTCAAAATCTATCTAATTAACAAAACAACTATCAACTCTAAAAAACACACTAACAAAATAAAAATACTCACAACAGGAACGTCTCGTTGCCCTGGAGAACGCTCCATGGGTTGATTCCCTCTGACTTCCACAAGTCCACCACATCACCAAGACCTTTGAACATCTTGTTCTCAGTATGGTTCGTGGCAATACGGACTCTGGGACTTGAAATACTACTTTGGTCAACTGGCGTCAAAAGCGAAAACCAAGCTGTAAGTACATGAGCAAGCACCTTACTCAAAAGCGTAGACTCACTCAAATCATCAGTATCCTGTCCAATTTTGGCTCCAAAGATACCCTTCACCAACGTATCCAAAAGCTGGCGGTAATTAGCATCAGCTCCAGGGTAGAGAAGGTTATTTTCTCTGAGTGTACGTTGGCATCCTTCAATGGGTACATGTCCATCGAACACTCTCTCAAGCCATGCAAAACCAGCTCCAAGACCTGTCACGCCTTCAAGAACATGCCCAGACGTCTTGGAAATGGCAAATTCAATGGACTTGGCTCCCCAAGAGCACCAGTTCTCGTATGCTCTCTGGGGCTGCTCCAAAGGCACAACCTCGTCTCTTTCTCCCTGGAATATAAAAAGTGGAAACTGGGGAACGCCATGACTAGAAGTCAAAGCAAGAGTACTATTCTTGACAACTTCAGCAATCTGTGGAATCCCAAAGAAACTTGCACCTTTGATCATCCATGGATTCTGTCCTGTGAAAAGCTCCACATAGTTATATACTCCAGAAAGCTGTTTAAGACATAAAGTTTTAGCTTTATAGAACTCTTCAACCCGTGCCAGATCCATCTGTCTTAGGAACAAGTCCTTGAGGTACGAGTATTCCTGGAGGATCCCGTTCATGGCTGCCACAGCTATACCTGAAAAAGAAGTGCCATCTATGGAAAGTGCTGTCAGGGTAATGTTCGTTACGAACCCTCCAAAAGCAGCACCTATAATCAGCTTCTCCAATTCTGGAGCATAGTTTGGCTGAAGCTGAGCTGCCCAGCCAGCAGCAATAGATCCACCAGAATACCCATAAAGACCAACCTTAGCATCACTATCTATTCCAGTTAAATCAGTGGTTTGCAAAGCAGCTCGGATCCCGTCAAGCGTTGCTTTACCTGATTGAGGCCCTACAGTGAATGCCAGCTTGGGGCCTTCATAATCTGGAAGAACCAAGTACCAGTTCTTCGAAAGACCGATTTCCATCATGGCCACTTCAAACTGGATCCCAATGGTGCTCATGGAAGCGCCATATAACACAGAATACGAAGGGCTGCAGTCTAAAGAAGCTGAATCTTCAAACGCCTGGTACGAAAGAACCTTGGAAGGAATGGCATTATATGGTTTGATAACTGTAGTAACAAACGCTGTAGGTTCGCCAAACGAGTCTTCGGTTCTTACGAGTAGCTGCCATGCTTTTTCCACGTTTAAAGGAAAGTAGATGGAGCGTAACTGGGCAGGCGTATCTCTCCATTTGATGATGTCACCGTTTTTGTACCCTGAAACGTTAGAAGGGACTTCGTAAAAAGGATCTTGCGTTGGAGCCAAGGGAGGATCGATTGGGGACCCAACTGCTGTTGCAATCCAGAAGAAAACAAAAAAGAACGACTTGAATAGCATGAGTTGGTGGTGATAGTATCACCATTCCATGCCCAATCTCCACTATTTATCCCCTGGACTGGTCTTCTAGTATCTACACGTGGTGGATATTCCATCAAAAAGGCACAAAACCGTCTATCTGTCTATATGATTAATTTCCCGGAGTCCTATAATAAGGCGGAATAATTTGCAGCCATACGCGTGGCTTGTTTGACACTGAAGCCATGTCAAGTCAATAGACAAGTGAAGTGAATGAAGTCCAAAGGCATAGAGAATTAAACTATACGGCAAAAGATTCTTAAAAAAACACTCTTTGACTTAATTTTACTAAATTTCTCCCAAGCGGTTTCCACTAATTAATTACCTTCAGTTTGTGCTACTTATGCCTCAACGACTACTCACCCATTACCGGGAATGCCTGGACGGACTGGACCGTTTTGGCAAATCTTCTCGGCACGCTTCAGCCTCCAAAACCTGTCAAAACACAAACGTTGCCCCTGCTTTATATTTTACACTTCAAACATGAATATGCCAGCCACGTGGAGTCAACACAGAGCCCTTTGTTCGTTATAACACCTCCCGCGCCGTGCAATGCCTGAACTATAGGGACTAACGCTGGAGAGGTTAATTGGGGGAGGAGGAGGGGGTGTTTTTATTGTGGCTCTCTGTTTTGCAGTTCTGATGTTGGGGTCTTCTCTTTGTAGTGGTTTTGAATTGTGTGTCTGGTGAAGGCTGTGGGTTGGACAGAGAATGAGGCAACCTACTGGATACTGCCGCAGATGGAATTCATAGATGAGCATGGTTAAGAAGCGCCTGTTATTGACAGTTTAGGCTAGAAGGAATTTGAAGGGTACTGGTAAAAAAGAAAAAAAAGGAAAAGTTGTTAGTGTTTATTGCTGGAGTGTGGTAGTGTTAGTGTATGGCTAGTGCTGGGAGTAAAAGTGGACTCTAGGAGTATCTAGCATAGGAAGAGCGTTACAAGGGTATTCTGGGAGATTTTGGCTTTACCCTTTGATGTGCTTTTGGTAAAATATCGGTGTATCGGAATTTTCTTTCACTTTTCTTTTTTTTTTTTTTTTTTTTATAGTATGTTTGTAGTTTCTACGAAAGTTGAGGTATATACTCACCTTTTTAGTTTGGCTGCGAAATGATACAAAGTATGCAAAAGTTAGATTGCCCACCAAAAATCGAAAATAGCTCCAATTTAAGAAAAAAGGCACCCAGAGGAAAGCTTATTGGGTGAAAAAGTGGCCTATAGCTTTTTTTGGGTCGTTTTCGGCCTTTTTCGGTCTTTCTGGTGTGACAGCCCAAGAACGCTCTTTAGACTGCAATCAATACGTCAAAAACGCAAGAAGTTGCCACAAAAACAAGGCCTTTCAGGAAAATAGATGAACGTTTAAAGAAAGTTTGGAAATAGTCTCTCCTTTTCCTCTTTTGAGGTGCCATTTCTCACAATATCTCTACTACCGCTTCTAGTGCCTTCTCACCCACCAAGGCTAACCAGTAAAGACATCTAGGCATTTTCGAATAAAACCTGTTCAATTCTTACCGAAATCAACATTGATAGCTTCGTACGGGCCTTAATCCAAATAGGTTCCGAAAACTACCCCATGCCAGCAGATCAGTAACCTTAAGTACACCACTCAGACACTACCTACTCTCCATCCACCAACTCATACTCCATCCTCCCCAACCTGTTCCCACCATTTGTACCAATCTATTCACCTCGACTACGCCATGTAAATACACCTTCCTTCTATTCATCCACTACAACACTACAACACTGCTACACTGCACCACCACACCACCTATATCCACCAACACCATCACCATGCAGCCCTAACAATCCCAATCAGCCAAAGGCCCCAAAAGAAGAAAAAAGACCAAGTACCAGGTATCAAACCAACATTCTGTACTTCCACCGATAGCCCCTTTTGCACTCCATTGACATCGCATGCTTCTTCCTCTGTCTCACTGGTCTCCCACTCACAAGCTCACTATATTACTCGCCTCCACCAGCCCAACTCGCCCTCTCCAGCCTCAATTAGCTCCAATTAGTATTCCTAGGCCAGTTCAAACCCCCTCAATTCAACCGCTGTGCAATTGATGCCTCCACCAATCAGCCCCACATCTGGCTGTTCCTGGCTGTATATTGACTCCGTTTTTCGTGCTTGGACCTAAAAACCAGAACCCCTGAACTTCACCAGACTCCCCGAAACTTCCAAAAGCAATTGCTTTAAACCACCAAAGCGTTTGCTTCAGACCATTACCAAGGACGCTCTGTTGATTTCTGGCTACTTTTCCAGACAACCCACTTTTCAGCTTCAACTTTTTCAACCTTAATTTTTCAGTCTTCAGCGAGATCAATTCCGCTAACTACAACCTCCATCTACCAAAGACAACCCCAACACATGCTGGAGATTGGTAGAAATATAAAAGAACGGACGTCCTACAACAAGTTCCGTTCCCAGCAAAGGGATAGAGATAATGTGGCACGCAGAGGGTACACTAACTGGTTATACGATGAGAGAGACCTAGCAGATCGTGATTGCTTCTTTGATGACGCTAGTAAAGTGTGTAACACCGAAAAACCACTCATTTGCATCGACGTGGAGGCCCACGAACGCGACCATAGTAAGATCACAGAGGTTGGTGTGGCTATCTATACGCCAGCTGAACTGAGAGGCAGCATAGTGCCATATATTAGACTGGTACATATGATTATTGCAGAAAACCAGCACTTGCGGAACAAATCGTATGTTCCTGATCATATGTACAACTATAATGGCGGCAAGAGCTTGTTGATGACCTTAGATGAAGCTGCTGAAGCCATCCAAAGGAGCATTAATCAGCTCAGTGGTGATGACATAGGCCAAGGCATATGTATTGTGGGACACGGAATGGAACACGATTTGGAATGGCTAGACCAAATGGGGGTTGAGATCGGTATCGCTGACAAGTTTGATACCCAGGACTTCCTTCACTTGACTCACCAAGGTCGCTATTCCAGTTTGGAGTTCGCTTTACGACTTGTTCGTCAGCCATATGCGTTTTTGCATAATGCCGGTAACGATGCTTACTATACGTTGCTTTTAGCACTTTGCTTGGGAGATCCGCTTTACAGAATTCCTGCCCAAATCGATTCTGTTGAAAGGATGGGAATGTTCAGATGTCGCCAGAAGAGCGGGGTTGGCCCCAATGCCAGCCTACTGGTAAATGGCAGCTTGCAAAGGTATCAAAAGTACCTCAACAACCAGCCAATTTAGCATGGATGAAGAGGCCCAATGATTGATGGGTACTACGTACTAAGAGATGATTATGAACCAGAGGGAGGTCCAATGCCTCCAGACTTTTCTTCTAAACCATATTCCTATTACAACGCTCTATCTAATCAAATGAGGTATCTGCAAACGGGTCCACGTTCTCCCGCTGCCACAACTGAATGACATCACCAAGACCCTTGAACTCTGGCAAAGTCGTTCCATCGTCTCTTTTAAGCGCCACAGGCCCAATCTGCTTAATAAGAGCTCCAAAGAGCAGCTGCATGATGGTACTGACCATGGTGGATTCAGTGATGTTTCTTGTGGTTTCACCAACTTCTCCACCTCCAAAAGAACTAAACAACGTTCTTACAAGTTGACGGTACTGGATATCGGCGCCAGGGTAAAGCACATTGGACGTACGAACGGTTCTTTCACATCCATCTACTGGTTCGTCACCGTTAAACATCTTTTCAAGCCATACCAAAGCAGCTCCACTGCCCTCCACGACTTCAAGAATATGTCCAGTGGTGTTGGAAACAGCAAACTCCAAACTGTTGATGCCCCAGTCACAGTAGTTCTCGTATCCACGCTGAGCACCAGAAAAAGGCACAATCTGGTCTTCAGTGCCATGGAACACAAACATGGGGATTTCAGGCATGGGCCCTTCTTCAAGAAGAGCTGCAGTGTTGTTCTTGATGACTTCTTGTACTTGGTCAAGCTCAAAGAAGCCCCAGCCTTGAGTGGCCCATGGGTTCTTTCCAGAAAAGAACTTGACAAACATATAATCAAAGATAGACGTCACAAGGCATTTATCCTTTGCAGAAAGGAAACTTTTAGTTTTCTTCGTTTCAATTTCCGTATCCACAAGATGGGAAAGCGAAGGGTACTCGTTAAGCAAGCCATTGATGGCATTAGGAATAAGGCCTCCAAAAATAGTTCCATCTGTGGCTTCAGCAGTAAGAGTGATATTGGTAACCCAACCACCCACAGCACAACCCACCAAATTAGGCTTCAATTCAGGAGCATACTCTGGCTGGAGAGCAGCTGCCCAGCCTGAAGCAATGGTTCCACCCGAGTACCCCCAAAAAGCAGCTTTAGCGTCTGGATCTATGCCAGATATATCCTCAGAGTTTAAAGCTGCCCTGAGTGAATTAAGCGTAGCCTGACCAGACTGCTTTCCAGCGGTGAAAGCACCTTGAGTGCCTTCATAATCAGGCACCACCATATACCAACCCTTGGCCAAAGCTGTTTGCATAAGCACCATTTCTGCCTGGACTACTATAGTATCCATAGGCGCATTGAACAACATGGAGAACGAAGGGCTGCAGTCATTGGAAGCTGAATCTTGCGCTGGCTGGTACGATAAGAGCTTCTTTGGATCGGCATCGTATGGTTCTAGAATAGTAGTAACCACGATATTTGGTTCACCGTGGGAGTCCTCAGAACGTACCAGCAACTGCCAGGCGTTCTTGACATTGACAGGAAAATAGATCGACCGTATCATTGCCGGAGCCGGCCTCGAAGCAATGATATCACCATTCTTGTACAGCGAAAGGTTGCCTGGAGCCAAGTAGAAGTCGTCTTCTGTAGGCGCTGTAGGTTTAATGAACAGGGCCGACACAGCAGCCGTGTAAGTCAAAAGCGAGAGTAAGCGCATACTAACAACGATGAAGAGAAGAAATCTACGAACCCAGGGTCTTAAGTACTGATGTTTGGCTGCAATTGCCATAATCGGAAAGCATATACCCCAGAAGTGACATCTGCAAGTACAGATACCCGGGCTGCACCGGCATCGGGCCGGCGACAACATTTCCAGGCAAGGGAGGAGATCAAGGGAAGGAGAGTTTTGGGGTTTAGTGGATTTGGTGGTTTTTGATGTTACTGGTGCTTTTGGTGTTGCTGATGTTCTTCTTTTTTGCACCCAAATGGCAGTGAGACTTACCAGGAAGACAACCAGGGCCCATTCTTTTCCAGATTCCCAATTCCAGATTCCAGGAAACCAAAGTTTAAGGTCAGGGGACCGGCATTATTTTTTCAGAAAAGTCCGTTCTGCAACTCATGACCCAGTCGTTAAGGCACAAGACATTACTACACTTCCTAAACAGGGAACTTCTTCTATGCACAAGCCACAGGGAAGGAAGGAGAGGAATGGGATGGGAAACCAAGAAGGAAGGAATAAGGGGAAGATTTGTGGAGATCGAAGGGAAGAGTATTTGTTGAAATGTGGATATAAATATGTATATATATATGTATATATTTGTGGTTCCTCAAGAGCAGAGTGGTTGGCTGGTGACAGTGGTTTACGGTGGAAAGGTGCATATGTGAAGTGGACTAAAGTGGAGGAATACCTGGAGGGAGGAGATTTGTTTCAGGAAAGGAAGTTTAACGAACGCATGCGTTGCCAGGCGCTTGTGGAGAAGGGAAGAGGTTGTATAGGAAAGAGAATGGTAGAGTCTTGGATGAAGTGAGTGCTAAGAAAACGAGGAAGGGGAAAGGGAAAGAAGGGTTTCTGGGTTTTTGAGGGTTAGAAAAAGATCCTGTTTTGATGTCTTATATCTGTTCTTTTTGTTCTTTTTGATCCACTTGTTCCACTTGGATGGTTGTTTCACCTGCTTTGTGTCCCCTCAGTGGTATTGTTCACTGGAGGCGTACAGTAGCCTGGAGTGCCTCGGTTAACGTGGAATAGAGTTTCAGAAGGGGACTAAACGGTAACAATAGGTGGTGATTTTCCCGTCTTTTAGTCCGGAGAAGCCCAGGAGGGAAGTTTCAGTGGTAGCTGGAATGGAATGGTGGTTTGCAAGAGCATGAGAAAAGGTCTGTTTAAGCTTCCCAGAACAAGGTCTACTAATCTATTTTTTCAAAAGCATAGAAAGGCATCTTAGAATTCTTTCTTCTTCTTCTTACCTCTCTTCTTTCATTACGCTTTGTGTTGACGTCAGTTGGTCGTCTGGGGAACGTCATTGTCAGTGCTTCAAGCAGAGCTACTAGAAACACAGTCACCAAATCCCCCACCTAAACGCTCTAAACCGTTAGCTGGGACACTTAACTGCATTAGGAAACAACCCCTTCTTATGGTTATATTATAAGGTTCACTTTAAGCTTTGTCTGTGGTCTCCCACGCACATGAAAATTATCAAGCAGTAACGTTGGTAAAGATGAATATCCATGTTATTCAGAAAGAAAAAGTGGATCTTTCATCCAACTAAAGGTTCTACCACTGTCTACGAAATCCACTACTTTCCCTGCTACCACATTACCCAAACCTTTAAAAACCATACATCTATTGGTCTAGCACAAACACTAGTATCTAAAACTTTTAATTCACAACGACTTCCCGTGGAACAGCATGAATTCCGTGTTCTTCCCACAACCTAATCACATCGTTCAAGCCAGGAACGTCTGGAACTTCATTTCCATCTCTCTTATACGCAATAGGACCAACAAACGTAAAGAGGAACCCAAACACTTTCTGCAAGAAACGACTCAATAAAGTCGAAGTGTCTGCGTTCTTTGTAGCAACTCCAAGCTTGCCTCCAAACACTGAACTGACCAAAGTCGACACTATCTGGTTGAACTGGGCATCTGCGCCAGGGTAAAGTAAGTTAGTAGTTCTTTCTGTACGCTGGCATCCATCAACAGGCTTTTCTCCATTAAGAACCTTATCAAGCCATACTAAAGCTGCTCCTGAGCCTTGAACGGCTTCAAGCATATGGCCCGAGTTCTTGGAAACTGCAAACTCAAAGCTTTTTATACCCCATTTACAGTAGTTGTCGTAGGCTCTTTGAGCACTCACAAAAGGCACAACTTCGTCGACTTTTCCATGGTAAACGAACATGGGGATTTCAGGAATCGGTCCGTCTGGCTTCAAAGCAGCTGTGTTTTCAATAAGTACCTTTTTGAATTCAGGGTTATCAAAAAAGCCCCAGCCGTTCTTCGCCCACGGATTTGGGTCTTCAAAAACAGCCCAAGGGTTCGTTTTCTTACTAAAGAACCTGACCATTTTAAACTGTTTAATAGAAGGCTTGACACAGTTTTTCTTGATCTTCACAAACTCTCCCTGCTTGTCTTCTCTGATTTCTTGCTCCACTAATCCACTAAGACTAGGGTACTCACTGATCAACCCAGAAAGAGCATTTGGAATAAGTCCAGCAAAAGCTGTACCGTCAGCAGCTTCAGCAGTGGAAGTAATGTTCGTAGCCCAGCCTCCAAGAGCACATCCAACAAGGTTGTTCTTTAGTTCAGGTGCATACTTGGGTTGTAAAGAGGCAGCCCAGCCAGAAGCTATAGTTCCACCAGAGTACCCCCAAAGAGCAGTTTTAGCATCAGAACTGATTCCAGTGATTTCCTTGGATCCCAAGACAGCTCTTAAAGAGTTAAGTGTGGCCTGGCCAGACTGAATACCAGCTGTAAATGCTCCCTGGGTTCCCTCGTAGTCTGGAACCACCAAGTACCAGCCTTTGGCTAAAGCTGTTTGCATGAAAACCATTTCTGCCTGGAGCATGATAGTATCTGGGGATGCTCCATAGAGCATGGAGTAGGAAGGACTGCAATCGTTGGAGGCGGAGTCCTGGGCGGCCTGGTAAGAAAGAAGTTTCTTTGGATCAGCGTTATGGGGTTCCAAAACGGTAGTAACCACTATATTTGGTTCACCAAGGGAGTTCTCAGAACGAACCTGGAACTGCCAGGCGTTTTTGATGTTCATTGGGAGAAAGCTGGGTCTGACGTTGCCAGGAGCAAGTCTCCAGGTGATAATCTGTCCATTTTCGTAGGAAGAAAGGTTCCCTGGAGCCGTATAGAAGGCGTCCTGGCTGGGAAGGGTTGGTTTGACCAATGCTGCTAGGGAAGTAGCGAATAGGAAGAGAAGTAAGTGAAGCATGGAGAAGAGAAAGCAGAAGGTAGGAATTGGCTCTTTTTATATGTTTGGAGAGGGGAGAAGGTGGTTTGGTCGTTTTTTGCACCCAAAACGGTGGATGCTGGAAATGCATACCAAGTGAAGTACCGGCTGTGTTGCGGGGTTGGAAGCGAAAGGAACGACAGTTTAGAGAGAGGAAGAGGAAAGAGGGGAGCTGGTTTGGAGTGGGCTTTTGTTGATGGAGGTGGTTAATTGGTGGTCGGAAGAAGTGAGTATGAGAACTCAAGAAAGGCAGATTGTATGTCAAGAAACAAGGATTACAACTTACGAATGTGGTTTGAAATTGACGACTCTCTACCCAGACACCTAAGGAGCAAAGCCATATTGTTAGCAATACTTTGTGGTTGCTTGCTGCTTGGTCTGGCTGTGGAATTGAACTGCTGGTTAAACAGGTATATCCAGAGATAAAGGGGAACGATAGAAATTTGCATTACGTTTTGTCCCCACACTAAATTACTTAATTCACGCTTTCTTCAACCGTTTACAGAAATAGGGGCACTTTCTGACGTTATCTTACAGTTACGATACGTTTCTTGCAGTTGACCTACGCTTACGGAACCAAAAGGCCCTAAAACAGACCAACCAAAACTTCCATTCCACGCCTTTTAATATTCTACAGGCCGTTTCACTTTCCAGCAAAACAAACACTCAGTTTAAGCCTCCCTGGGTTTCAAGCTGGAGAAGTAGGTAACTTCCTATTACTACCGTTCCTGGACCTGGAAAGTTCCCGGGATATTCACCACTAAACGGTCTACTCCACTTTCTGTTTTGAACTTTCCGACAACAAGCCTTCAAAAGTAAACAAAAGAACTCCTGAAAACCAGCTGGTTTGGTTGATGTCATCGTTAGGGCTGGTTCCAAGAGAAGTCAGGATGTGACGTAACTGCCGCAACACAAAAACCACCCCACCGTTTTAAACGGCTTTTTCAAGGGAAGAAGAAGATGTTGAGGGGAGAAAGGGGTGGATTGGAGGTATTTAGGGGTGATTTTGGGGGAGAAGAGTGACTTGGCAGCGAGGTTTGGAAGGCTGTATGGATGCTGTACTGAGGTTGCTTTGAAGAAGTGCTTACATCATGAAGGCTGCTTGTGGGGATGGAAAAGGAGTTGAGGTGGTTGGGGAGGTGAAAGTTAGGTTTCTGGAAGTGGAAGCTTGCTGGGGTGGGAGTTGGAAAACGTGGAAGTGAATGCTTAGATGAGGAAGAGCAAGGATGTGCTGGATACTGGAGAGGCATAAGTTCAAAATGTATGATTTCATGGAAAGACTTGAAAAAGATCAGCTTTTAATGGATTGAACTAGGACTGATGTTGAGGGCCTCCAGAGACTTCCATACTTCCACCTTCGGAAGACCCACCATATCATGTCCAACCCAGAACCACTAACCAACAACTAAAACCACAGAACCACTAACAAACAGTCGTTGCCTTCACTCCCACTAACCGACCAAAAAGATCTATGAAGAACCCATTAGAGCATCGCTTAGCAGCTGTAGATCTTCGATCGATCCCAAAGCCAGCCCTACCAGAGTTTATCCGTGAAACCATAAACGCAGATCTTGCCTCAAGAGAAGGTCCAGGGGCAGAATAATTTCTAGTTTCAGAATCTACACTTTCCAAATGAAGGTGTCTCCATGTACTAGGCTATCGGCACCAGAGAAGAGACAGACATAGTCAACCAGTCAACCAGTCTACTAGAGCACCCAGCAGGTAACATTCCACATCTACTTCTTCATCTTTCGAACCAAAGAGACCCTTCAATTCTTCATGTCTTAGCTTCTCTAATTTATCAGAAATTACTAGATTTGTTCATCAAACATTGCCCTAGCTTCTGAGCTACACGTTTCTTTCCCGAGGCTTTCCAGTAAAAGCCTTCGCTTAACCAAGTGACGCTACGTTTCCAAAAAAAAAAAAAAAAGACCACTAAATGGCCGTAAGTGTTTCTGATCTGACCCCAAAAAGGTATTCCACAGTCTTTAAAAACCACCCAAAGCCTCCATCTCTTCCAGGAAGCATCTCAGTCCCAGCACTGACTTCCCATACATTGGACCTGAAGACTCCACTTCCCAGTACTTTCCATGATACCAAACTCCATTCACCGGTAAAGGAAGCAAATTCTCTTCCTATCTCTTTCTCTGCTTCCCCTTTCTTCCTTCGCTTCACCAGCCTTACGGCTGGTTCAGCTGGTTCAGCTTACCGAGGCAATGCGCTTAGCGAACTCCCACCACTTCCCCCAAAACACCCCAAAAAACCCCAAAACACGATATCCCAAAAGGGTCCCACACCCGCATAGCGCCAACCGCCGTGTCACTTTGCGTATGTCCCAGAAACGTCGTTGGCTATATAAGTCTGGGGTTGGCTGGTGATAGAGTTTTGGGAATCTGGAAACAAGAAGTATCTACAACTTTCACTTTTACTCTCCGCTATGGCCATGGGATTTCATTGGGGCCAATTTCAGTTGGAAAGTGGCACCATGAGAAAATGGAGAAATGGGAAAAAACCTGGGAGGCCACCTAAAACAGGAAAGTGTAAGCCACGAGTGGGGGGGGGGCCTGTCCAGGGAAGAATAGCCATTTTAGCCATTTTAGCCATTTTGAAGTGAAATGGGTGCTTCCTTTGGGTCATTACTTCTTTCGGGGCGTGCCGAGGAAGAGGAGACGTTGCACCAGGGTTTCAGTGGAAAAATGGGAAAACCAGCCCAGGTTGCAAAAATATGCACATACGGGGAGGGCGTCCCAAAAGAAGGTTAAATAATATTTTGGGAAGGATGCCTGGCTGACGATCTGGGATCTGCACGATGTGCATGGGTACTGCATACAAGACACGAGTAAAAATATTCGGCTCTCAAATCTCTCAAGAAAGGCCTCGAGATGAGGTTATGTGCAGGAAAACAGGCCCTGAAACTAGCTATATTTGAAATAGTCTTTGAAATTACGAGATTTCCAAGACTTGGAGGGTCTAGCTCCTCAAAAGGAACAAGGACAGCTCAGGGGCTTCCTGTTAAATTTTCATCCTTCCATTGTCATTTTTCCAGGAGATACGGATTTATCAGATTCTAGAGGCCCCAGAATGGCCCGTTTTCCATCGAAAAACCACCCCAGTCACTCCACGAACCCAGATAATAGCGAAATCCTCGCTCTGGAAAAGCCGCGGAGTCCTGGACGGCGCAAGCAAGAGAAGGGATGGCGAGGCAGGGCCAGTGGCTGCAAATCAAGCCAAGCAACGCAAGACGCAGTGCAAAGAGAAATCAAAAGGATCAAGGTGAAAGTGATAAGGCATTTGGAAGTTCCCTACAGCATCTGGAACGAGTTTAGGGTGGAACTGGCGGTCATTTAGACACGCCTCATGGAGGATCTATAATGGTTAGTTAGAGGAGGAGCAAGCGAGACCTGAAATTGGAAGAGCACTCTGGAATTGCATTCTTCTGGAAGCACGTAAAACAAAGCCAGCAGTCACCCTACGAGAAAACGTGGTTTTGTAGAAACCCGTATATGTAATAGATATTATAGGTTTCTGGGTCTTTTCGATGCAAGCGAGAGAGATGGATCTGAGAGAAGGCTGTGGATTCAGATGAGAGGTATTTTTTCTAGTGGGCTGTCACGGTTGAGGGTATTCTTTCTTTTTCACAGATCCCACAACGTTGCAACCAGGAATCTGGAGAATTAAGATGATGCCGTATTAAGAAGACGCAGGGCGTGGCGTTTTGTGGTCTGGAAGGGTCTGTGGGCGGGGCCAATTTCACTGTCCATACCGATTTCAAGGGTCCATTCCAGAGCATTTCAAGCCCAAGTGAAATATGTATTGGAATGGCCTGAAATTGGAGGAATAGGGTTAAGTAGGGCCTTGGGCCATGCCATCGGCTTATATGCAGTACGTGCATTAAACTGGCGTGAGAGGGACCATGCGAGAAGCACGGAAGCTGCGAGGCAGCGCGACGAACAATGCGGAAAGGGAGAGTAAATGGTAAGGCAAATCGTTCCACCTGCATCTCGTGCGTCCCAGATGCCGTAACGGCATACACATGCATGAGGGTTTTTCCGAGGCACAAGCCCTGGCGCCAGTCCCACTCCGGAAAATCCACCCTAACCCCCCCGTATTCGGGGTTTACCCTTTCTTTTGCCCTTTTTATTATTTCTCCTCCATCTCCTCGTTTCCCTGTCTATATAAACCAGCCGTTCCCACCCTCTTTCTCGCCCCCATCCAACAATCTTCCAAATATCCACAATGGCTTACTACATTGACCAATCGGCACTTTCTCCTTCTGCCTCCGCTGAAGAGCAATGGATCAACAACTTGTTGTCCACGCTGGCGCCCATGACCACCGCCAACTCCTACTCGTTCAACATGAACGTTCCAGTGGTGGAGTCAAACTTCTCCACCGCTGACTTCCCCAGTCTCTTAGAAGACAACAGTGTCTTTTCTGGTTCTTCCAGAGCTTCTACAGTTTCCACTCCTCCTATAAAAGAAGAAGACTGGGACCCTTGCTTGGAGCTGGACAGCCTGGACTTCATGAACACTGTTCTGTCCAAGCTTCAAATGATGCAGCTGAAGAACAACCTCACTCCAAAGGCATTGGAGTCTATTTTCGATACCAAGGACGTACTTAAACAGAGCGTGGAAAGCAGTCCAGAGCAGCAGCAGGCTCCCCAGCCACAGCAAACACACAGACTGCTGAAGAGACGGTGCCCCAGAAAGAGACTTACTGAGTCTCAGAAAGAAGCACACAATAAGGTGGAAAAGAAGTACAGAGTGAACATCAACTCCAAGATCAACAGCTTGCAAACGGTGATTCCATGGTTTGCCAGCGATAACGGGCAGAAGCTGCGCATGGACTTGAAGGTGAATAAACTGGTGATTTTGGAGAAGGCGTTTGACTATATTGTGTATCTTCAGAAAGAGAATGAGGCCATGAGGAAGCGTCTCGACAGGCAATAGTGGGGCGAGCCTTCGAGCTCAAACCCGAAGGGTTTGAGATAGAGGCTCTCCAGGGTTTCACGAAAACCCACAGGTATAAAGGATCAAACTGATATAGTTTGATAAATGGGTTTTCCAAAATAATACAGGCTAATGGTGCTTCAGTTCCACAGAAAACGGGTTCTTTAAATTATAGCTTTTTTCACGAATAAACGAACAATTAGAAGACAGGTAGTTTAAAGCTTAGATCAATGCAAGAAAGGCTAAAACGCCAGGCTGAGCCGTTTTTCAAAAGAAACGACAAGTCCACCAAAAATGCAGAAGAGGCTAAAAACTACTACAACCACCTTTTTCATCCCGAGGACCACCGTCTGGCTCCACTTGCCTCGCTAGCGCAGCCACACGGCTCAGCCAATGCTAAATATATCCATTCATTGAGCCCCAGACAGCCCCAGAGAGCCCCAGGCAGCCCCAGCGGTTGCGTGGTTTCCAGCAGGAGAACTAATATCTCATCCCGACGGGTAAATACGGGACGCAGATGGAGAAACGGCTAAATGGTGAAAATGGCTCACTTTGAGGGTTTTAGGAGGAGGACGAAGAGGAGGTAGGAGGAGGTGGTGGAAGCTGGTGATGCCAGAAGTGGGTATCTGGTTTCCAGCAAATTCTACTTAGCGTCTTTTTGAAACTGAAATTCAGACTTTTGGATATTTACTGTTCTTTGGTTTTTATCATTTTTCATTCCTCCTCATCGTCTGTTTCCACTGGCGTGGAAACATACCATCCACCGTAACTGCCCGTCAAAAAGCTTCCCGAATAATTCCTACATAATTTCTGTACAATTTCTGTATGTCTCAGGTTAGCTGTTTTCCTTCAAATGCACGGCCTGGCGTCGGCTGCAAACATCGAATGGAATGGACTGGTTGGACGGTTTGGGATGGGAATACGGGAACGTGGAGTGGTTTTATGGACTGCCCAAAGTAGGAAAGGCCGCTTGGGGAAAACGTCTGTGGTTTGCTGATTTTTTATGTGAATATCTCCGGTAACGGAGTGGGTGGACCCACTGGATGGGGTTGGAAAATTGCATGAAATATCGTTCAATGTTGGATTTGGATGGTTGTTTATTGGACTGGGTTGGCACAAATGGGTATTGGTTGATTCTGGGTTTTCGGGTTTCCAGTTGTCGTTGGATATTAGGGTAACTTACGATATGTAGATTTAATGGGGAATTTGTAGGTTTCGATAGTTCGTTGTATGTTTGTGGACCAGTGGTATTGGTTTCCATGAATTTGATTGAACTTGATTGAGTACATCGATTTTCGACATTTAAGGTTTCAATTACTTATAGATCTATTGCTCTTCATTTATAGAATCCTACTCTAGTCTATTGGTTTTCACGAACTTCTAAACCTCCAGGTTTCTAGTTGTCTTTAATTAATGTTACTGGTATTCCCAGACTTCAGACTTCCAGGTTCCATTACTCAATTGGTTACTTGCAATTCATGAGTAATTGCCCAATTTGTTGTTCTTCTTTCTTCTTCGTTCTTCGTTCTTCGTTCTTCTTTCCTCTTCTTTCTTCTCTCTTCCTTCTCTCTGCCTTAACCCTCTACAAATCCCTCTTTTTCATCTCTATAAATACATATTAGCTATAACTTAGTTTACCCTCCCAAACAGTGAATCTAGAAACGACGGTTGGCCAATGGCTGGGTGTTGGAACCGGTCTGGCGACCACGGAATCCACCGCCGCCACGACCAAAACCACCACGACCACGGCCACGGCCTCCACGGCCTCCACCACGTCCGTATCTAATATGAGAACCGTAAGAACGACGGTCGAATCTCTGCAACTCAGGAGGAACAGTCTGGTTGGCCTCTCTCATGATCTTACACAAGTCACCACCCAACTTGGAGTTGGCGTCGGTGAAGAGGGAAACGGCGGTACCTGAAGTACCGGCACGACCAGTTCTACCGATTCTGTGGACGTAGTCCTCGATGTTGCCTGGCATGTCGTAGTTGATAACGTAGGTGATACCCTTGACGTCTGGATGTTAGTACAGTGAACTCTGAGTTCGGGAAGGATGGTCTACGGAAGAAGAAAGGAGTTCGATATCTATTGATTACTGGAAAGCATGTATACTTAAAGAGTCAACGCAGGCAAGTTTGTGGGTGAGAAGCCGGCTGGGAATCACCCCGGCGCTTCAAAATGATCAAAATATTAATGTAAACTTGCTTCACGGGGAGTTTGGTTTCGTCTCCCTGTCGATCTCGTTCTTTCTGTTTGCTTTCTCATAATCAGTTCGTGTTCTAGTCTCCTTCACTTTCGTAGTCAACAAAGTGGCTTTACGGAGAAGATCTCGCTGGACACCTTCATTACTGTCACCTTAATAACGTTTCGTACACATCGGTGACAGTCCGCTTTTCAAACCTTCTTAGAAGGAAAAAAAAAAAAAAAAAAAAAAGCCAAAATCAAAAAATATCAAAAGCGTTAACCGGTAACGCTAGTCAATCTTTGCAAGCTGAACGTTCCTGACGTTTCAGCTCATGCTGACGCTTAGAAATGTCGCTGACCAGCAGCACATCTAAGCAACCCCATCCTAGTCCGTTAGTAAATCAAAAAAACCAAATTACATACCAATACCTCTGGCAGCCACATCGGTGGCAACCATAATAGGAGACTTACCGCTTCTGAATTCACGCAACACCCAGTCTCTCTCGTGCTGGTCCTTGTCACCGTGAATAGCCAAAGCAGGCCAGCCGTCCTCTCTCAAGAACGAAGTGATATCGTCACAGGCTCTCTTAGTAGAAGAGAAAATAAGACACTTGGCCTCCTTGTCGGTGGTGGCAGTCTCCAAGTGCTTGACCAAACGGTCTCTCTTTTCGAACTCAGTGACAACCTCCACAAGCTGAGTGATGGTGTGGGAGGCAGCCAACTCCAAAGAACCAATGGTGACCTGAATAGGGTCAACCAAGTAGTCTCTGGTCAAGTTCTTGACTTCCTTAGGCCAGGTAGCAGACCACATCAAGGTTTGACGGTCTGGTCTGATCTGGTCGACAATCTTTCTAATCTGAGGTTCGAAACCCATATCCAACATTCTGTCGGCCTCGTCCAAAACCAAGTAGGTGACTCTTCTCAAGTTAGTCTTCTTGGTCTCCAACATATCGATCAAACGACCTGGAGTGGCAATACAGATTTCCACACCACGGGCCAAGTCTCTGATCTGCTGACCCTTTGGAGCACCACCGTAGATACAGGTGTTTCTGATTCTGGAAGAGGCACCAAACTTGGAGCACTCCTGCTGAATCTGAACAGCCAATTCTCTGGTAGGAGCCAAAATCAAAACAACAGGACCATCGCCGTGCTTCAAAAGAGGCTGAGCGTTGATGTGCACAATAGCTGGCAAACAGTAAGACAAGGTCTTACCGGAACCAGTAGCAGCAATACCCACCATGTCTCTACCAGACAAAGCCATAGGCCAACCCTGGCACTGAATGGCAGTAGGTTTAGGGAAACCCTGCTGCTTGACCTCGCTAAGCACGTAATCTGGGAACCCAGCCTCGTCAAAAGAAGTAATAGGCTTTGGAATGTCAGGACCCTCAATGGTCATGTCGTTCTCCTTTCTGAACGCCAAAACATCGCTCTCAGAACGAGCAGCAACCTCTGGGTGCTCAGTGTAGAAGTTCTTCTCGAAAGGAGGCAAAGCATCCAAGTCCCATTCAGGAGTAGTAAGTTCCTCTCTTTCATCAGGTCTTCTTTGGAATCTGCCACCACGGCCACCGAAACCGCCACGGCCACCGCCGCCGCGGCCGCCAAAGTTGTCCCTGTTGTTGTAGTTGTTGTAACCGGAGTTGTAGTTGCTGTAACCGCCGTTGTAGGACATGATGAAAAGTGGTTGAAGAAGGGAAGAAAAAGTGGGAAAACGAGGGTTTATATATGCGAGCGATGAGGAAGAGAAATTTTATCAGTGGGTATATGCAGGTGGGACAGAACGTCTAGGGTTAAAGCATCCTTTTGGGGGACACTATTAAAGGAGAATAGACTATAAAAGAGGGACCTCGACTACGAGGGCTATATGGATAGACTGGGAGGGAATTTGGGGTTGGAATTGGGGAATTGGGTGGTAGTTGGGTGGATTACTTATATGCAGGTCGTAAACAGAAATACAATCTGAATCAACGCCATCGCCATCCCGATAAGCGTTTTCGTTATATGGCCATAGAGAAGGCCATAGATAGTGTCATTTTCAAGCTTTCTAACAATTTTCTAGAGAGTGGGGAGGTCCATGAATGGGAATGCAAGAGAAGCCTCCTGCATGCGGCTGCATGGGCATCTCTTCACCCATAGAAACCACAATTTGGTCCCACACAAAAAAAAAAAAATGAAAAACCATACTGACGGTTTTCGAGGGTAGATGGGGGTTGGCAGAGGTTAAATGGGTGGTTTCTGGGTGTAATTGGGCAGTTTTGGAGAAATCTGAGGATTTTCAGTGTATGCAATTGACGAGATGAGCAGAGCCAGCAGAGACTGAAAAGGAATGCAGTGATGGAAAAAGAAGGTAAACTGGATATTTCAATGAAAACAGCAATGCAGTTGAAAATGTTGAAAGTATAAGAAACTGAACAGTATTGTATGTTTGTTCTTATAGTTTTGTTCACAAAAAGTGGGTGAAGTGAAGCCTCATTAGTCCATTTTGCAGCCATTAGAGTCTCAAGAACACCTCCAGTCACCAACGAACACAGGTATATTTTGAAAATTGTTGGCAATCCTTATGGCCCTATAAGTCCAAATAAAGGCATTTATGCCAACCAGGCGAGCAAAATACCACCACTTTCTGACTTTAAAGCAACCCTTCACCACTCTCCTCACTCTCTATATACATCTCTTTCTCTCCATTCCCAACCACCACATCTTCTGAACCTGCCACACAAAACCACCAAAAAAATATTCATTTCCTACAACTTACCACCAATTCTTCCCCAAACCACCCACTACACTCCACCTCCTTCCCATCCTCCATCCCTTTAAACCACCCTCTTCACCTCATCTCATCTCGTTTCGCAGCCACCACTTTCCCTCCACTTTCCACCCACCCGTCCAAATCCACCCAAAAAAGCCAGAACCAGTAATACCCAAACAAAGACCAGCCCCACCATCCAAACCACCATAATCATACTCTCTCCGTCTTCCTTTAACTGGCTTGTCTTATCACTGCCTGGTCCCCCTGCAGTACCTCATCATCAACTCCACTTGACAAATTCTCACCACCAACAACCACTTCTTTTCACACAAAATGGCCGAAGTCACCGACATACCCATGGAAAACGACGTTGACGTTGATGTCAGCGAACAAGAATACGATACAGACAAAATCAGGTTATTGCCTGGCTCCTCGGACGACGGCACGGCCTCTTCGTTCCAGATCATCGACGAAGACCATACTTTGGGCAATGCTCTAAGATACATCATCATGAAGAACCCAGAGGTGGAGTTTTGTGGTTATTCGATTCCACATCCTTCGGAAAACAAGTTGAACGTGCGTATCCAGACGTACGGGAACATTACGGCGTTGGAAGCGTTGCACCAGGGCATGGACAACTTGTCTGAGTTGTGTACGCATATTGAGGAGACGTTTACGGAGAAGGTGGAGGCTGGCGGGTATGCCACGACGGAGCCGTGAGTACATAGAGGTCGAAGGCCTTCAACCCCAGGGCGAAGGCCTGGGGGTGAGGCCTGAGGCCACGAGCCGAGATCCAGCATTTGACAATATACATTAATTACAGGGACCCACGGCCACAGAGCCACGTACTCAGAAAGATTGAAGGTTTTCTGCCAGTTTTGGCCACGGTATGGATAGATCTGGCCTTGGGATGAGCTTAACTATGGGGATGCGAAAAGTCGAGATATCTCCATACACAGACGTCCCAGGCAAAAACCAACCACACTGCCATAACCAGAAACCTCCAACTAACCCATCCATACCACTCCCACCACCATACCTCTTAATCTGACCTTTTTGGCGGAGGGCTTGACGACCTGGGGTAAGCTGGTGTACGGGTTTTCTTCACTACCATACCCATCGCGTCTCTATACTCTATTTGTACTAACATCAACAAACCTCCAACTCATCTCCAAACACCGGCATGACAGCCTCTCCCACAGCAGACATGACCGAACTGTTCATGCACGTGACCGACCACTCGGCCCGGTTGCTGTCGATCGATCCAGACGACACAACCAGATCTCTAGCTGATATAAGAGAGCTTATACGGTTAGCCCAGAAACATGACGAAGCAGTCAAGGAAAGTCGTCTGGGCGTCCACAGAGAGCCAGAGAAGAAGAAGGCGTTCAGGAATCTTCTGTCGCTGGCGCAGCTGACGCCTTTACAGAGACCACTCAAGGAGGAAGTGGACGCTGCCAGGTTGTTCAGTCTTTTGCAGCCATTCTTGGAGAAGTACCTTGGAGAGAAGGGAGGCAATGGTGGTGGCAGTGGCATTGGTAACATTGGGAGTATTGGCGGACGGTCCAGGCTTGGTTCTATAGCTGACGATCCGTTTACGACGCCGAGGAGGTCGGTGGTTGAATCTGAGCTGGACTCAGAGAACAGCCATGATCTTCGTGTGGACGATACCTTTGACAAGCCGGCGAGGAAGGTTTCGCCTGTTCATCCGGCGCTGCTGCCGGTGACGACGCCGCCGTTGTCTCGAGAAAATAAGGATTTTGGAAGTGAAGATACCATAGATCCAGAGCATTCGGATACTGATGCTGGCGACGAGGTCGAGCCCGACAGCGACGTGTGCAAGTACTTGGGCAACGTTCCACAGGTGGAATTGGCCGATTTGACGGCGGACGAGATCCAGATGGACGGGGAGAAGAAGCCAGACCAGGCCAAAGAGGTGGCTGAGCTTAAAATGCAGTTGGAACAGGCCAAGCAGCAGAATAGGGAAATGGCCAATGAAATCTCCTACTTGCGTGATAAGCTCGCCAAGGACGTGCGGTTCGAGAAGACCAGTCCTCCACCGTCGGCTGGATCTATTCCCATTAATGGAGAGAACGTGGAGGCCTGTTTCCGTCCATACTACCTGAAGCTCCAGCTTGATAAGGTCGACGGGCTCAGTGACGTGGAGAAGAGCAACATGATCAAGAACTTGATGCTCTCGCTTCTTGTTTCCGACTTTGACCATATGCGTACTATGGCGCCCAGAGTTGGTGATTATTTACGGATCACGTCTCGTTTCTTGGATAAGCTCCATGCCCGGTTCTACGAGTGTGAAGGGTACAGTCCCTCGAAGTACTTGCGGGATTATTCGGTGGAGCTGATGGAAGATTTCCAGGAGTGTCTTGACGGAATGATGGAACTTATACAGCGAGACGTCCCGAGTGAGGAATAGATAGTAATGCAATGGTAACGGTGGTTTGGAGTAGGCGAGGGGAGGGGGGGGGGGGAGAGAAATTGGAGGAAGGAAGAGGGTTAAAAGGTGTATCGGTCTGGGCTGAGTGGTGATGAAATGGTGCTACTGGAGGCTTCATGGGTGGGTTCAAAGTATGGGAAAGTGAAGACCATCCAGCGTAAAAACAAGTGATCTGAATGGTACTATGGCGAACGCTGATGGTATTTCATGGTAATTGGTGGTCTGGCTCTGGTAAAAGTATGTTTTGTTGGTTGCCAGACTGATGATTTAGTAAAAGCTGGTTTTAGCAAGCCAAAGCTACACTACATTACACAGATCCTTCACTGAATTGAAAGAAAAGAAGAGTCCAGTAATAAGAATATGCTGAGTTTAATTGAAGAAAAATCAAAGTAATATTTCTTCTTCAAAATACTGGTAACTTGGGTACTCATGAAAGATATGCTTATGATAAGTAGAAGTATCCATACATCCAACTGATAATACCATATTTGGACCCCACGCAGCCTCCATTTCCAACCCAATTGCTTCCATCAAGACCTGACCAACATTTCCTTCCCAACCAATCTCCTTTTGAATATCCATTTCCACTCAGCTTCCTGTTCCTTCTGCTCTTCTACCAAGCCTACTCCAAAGGAACCAAGAAACCACCCAGCAAAACATCCACAAAACGTCCACTTCCTACCCCAAAACCACCAATTACGTCCCCTGCAATTCCCAATTCCACCTTTTCATCCCCACCAAATTCCTTCCACCCCTTGTTTCTCCATCACTACCTTATATATCTATATATATATGTATATACCATTTCTCATAACCACCCACATACCACTATCCATTCTGTCCAAACACCAACCCAACCTTCCTTCCTTCCTCCCTTTCCTAACAACCCACTAAGTCCCACTAGCACCCTCCAAAACTCACAAAACCTTCTTTTACTTTTGTGGCTCTTTCCAGTTAGGGGTGGGTCGCAAGATGCTTTACATTGTGTAACGATGCACAGACCAGGTGAAACTAGCCACAGAAAACGTCCAGCACAAACAAACACGCTGTTTGAACAATGCCAGGGAAACCGGCAATTCTTACTTGAAACAAGGGACTTTAAGGAAAACTGGGGAGAGGCTTTTTGCAGCCAGTGGAGGAGCACTAGCCACTTTTGGGGGGTTTTGGTCATGCGCCAAAGTCACGTGAAATACACGTGACCATAACAAATAGCCATCGCGCGTCACCTGATCTCCACTTTCCTGCACACAACCGGCCAGCCTCACCGCCAGGGCAACCTACGCAACTGTGCCACAAGTTGCTACCGCAACGGTTCCCTCGAAGATGACGGTTTCTGGCAGCCCAGGCAGCAAGGGTGGCACGGCTTAAACCCGTACACCACGCAATATATACGAAAAAACCTTTGCACCGCCGTTTTTTAGAAAAAGCAAACTTCGGTGGACTAAAAAAAAGTACATCACGTGACCCAGCCTCAAAAAGAAGCAAACGTCATTTATCACTCACTCACTCACTGAAACCCAGGGAACTCACCCGAATTACGAAATAAACCAACAACACTTCCAGTGGCGCAAAACAGGACAATTCAAATTGCAATAGCCTGAAGAGACCGGAAACCCGTACCTCCAGTCCTTCCTTTTGTCCGTACCGTTCGCCATCTCCCACCCCTTCCTTTCCCAAAACCCAGTCGCCCGGCTCCAGACTTGTTCATAAGGTGAGATAAGCTAGAACGTCCACCACTTCGCCCCCAAAAGCGACGTAACCTTCTGGAAACCACCACCTCGCCACTCCCACCGCCGTCCCGGTGCCGCCGGTGTAAAAAAATCGAAAAAAGCTCCAAAATTCGCCCCTCCAGGGCTCCTCGTTTCCAGCCTCCATGGGTGATACGCTTCGAGCTCAAAAGCCCAGGCCTAACGGGGCTCCTCCTCAAATGAAACGCTCTGCTCCCCAGCAGCGAAATCCACAGCCTCCTTCGGAACAGCCCAGGCTGCTAGACCAGCGCCAGCAGGCTCCCAAGGACAACTCCATGAGACTAGAAGTAGGCAACTACCTGAACCTGCCAATGGGCCAGGGCAACATGCCACAGCTGGCTCCGCATTTCAACCAGTCCAGACACAACTCCCAGGCGTTTTTGTTCAATCCTGGAAGGCAGGACCTGATGCTGACGCTTCTCAACTCGTACCCTCTTCCCAATACCCAGCAGCCTCAGGGCAGCACGGGGAAGAGGCCTGCGGCCGATCTGAACTTCCCTAGTTACTATATGGGTCTGCGTGATTCTGTCAGTGGTGGTGCCAACATGCCGCTGGGCCTGTTGGGCGAGAACGTGCCGCCTGGTCGTCTTAGAGGAGACCTGATCTTCTTACCACCACCAGTGACGTCTAAACACCCTTCTGACGATGGCTCAGGGCAGTTTACCCAGCCCCAGAACACCCAGCCTCAGTACCAGACCCATCCTTCGCAATTCCCCGGTCAGCTGCGCTCCAACAGTATCTTCAGCTCTCTCATTCAAATTCCAGGCTCTTCGCTGAACCTGGTGCTGGAACCATCCAAAACTGGCGGGCCTGGCACTTCCAGTCCAAAGAAGAAGACTACGGACGACTACCAAACGTTCGACAACAAGGATAGTCTTGGCCAGATGTTTGGCTGGAACCAGACGCCGTCCAAGCCAGCCAGCACGGGTGGAAAGGGCTCCAAGCTCTCCTTTGACGTTCTGAACGCTTTCTTGGAAAACTCAGGCCTCATGGGCTCCATTGCCGGTATGTCTAACGACAGCATCAACGCATTCCTTGCGAGCATCCAGAATAACGGTTCTGTGGATTTCAACAGCATGAGCGATCAGCAGCGGCGTGACTCCATCTTGAAGTTCATCAACGACCAGCAGCTGGGCGCTGAACGTGGCGCACAACCTCGCAAGTCGTCGCTGAGAGCTACGCTTAGAGAAGATATCTTCGATAAGCTGAGAGATAGCACTTCGACGCAGCAGTCTCGTGGCCAGCGCAAGTCTAGTCTAGGCATGTCTGATCCTTCCAGGCTTTCGCCGCTGTCGTCGATGTCGTCCAAATCTTCCCACCGCTTTAATGAAGAACCCCAATCGCCCAAGACGTCGCCCAGCCAAATGAAACGCACCTTAGACCCTTCGGAAACCCTAGCGCTTCCTCCCCAGCATCAGCAATATCCTCCCACAGCACACCCTGCATCCATCCAGAAGCCCACTCCCAATAATAACTACTACCCACAAAACACTTATCAGCAATATCCAGTCTACGGTGATAATGTTGGAAGACAGCCCCAGCAGCAGCCGAACGCAGCTCAGCAGCAGCAAAGGCAACGTCAAGCCCAATACTCTCCTCAACGCCAGTATGCCCAGAATCCACAGATGCAGCAGTACCACCAAAACCTGCAACAGATGCCGATGTACAATCAGTTTCAGCAGCAGCAACACCAACAGCAGGCACAAAACCAGGGATTCAACGTTCCACAGAATCCCCAGGCAGCGTACCTGCCTCAGATGTTGAAGAACCCTCCTCCTCAGTTCTCGCCAGGCAACAAGAATTATTCCTATGGTAATAACCAATCCCAAAGAGATGCCTATGCTTTACAGCAACAGCAGCAACAGGGCGGTCGTATCCAGAACCCTAATTTGTTGCCAGCCCAGCAGTTTGCACGTTCTGAAGACGGAAGACCTTTGCTTGGAGCAACTAAGGTTGACCAGCTCATGCTTGTTATTCAAGCCAGAGAAAAGGGAAACACCGGTGCCATTAAACAAGCATCAGATGGAAGCATTCTTGCGCTGCCTAACTCGAACCACGAGAAGAGCGCTGTTATTCCTCTGACGGTCGATTTGGTTGGTGGTATTGAAAAGCCCCAAAGAGAAGAAGGCGAGATTATTGAAGGTGCACCTGAGAAGAAAAAGAAGCGTAAGGGCAAGACGCAACAATGTCCTTACTGCTACAAGACGTTTAACCAGTCCACACATTTGGAAGTGCACGTTCGCTCCCACATCGGGTACAAGCCATTCCAATGTTCATACTGTCTCAAGCGGTTCACACAAGGCGGTAATTTGAGAACGCATATGAGGCTCCACACCGGTGAAAAGCCATTCACTTGCGAGGTCTGCAACCGTTCCTTTAGCAGAAAAGGTAACCTCGCTGCCCATATGTTGACCCACAACAAGGAGAAGCCTTACGAGTGTAAGCTTGACAACTGTGACAAGTCGTTCACGCAGTTGGGTAACCTTAAATCGCATCAGAACAAGTTCCACTTGCCTACATTGAACCGGTTGACGCAGACTTTGGCAGAGCTCAGTGGTGAAGCTTTAGAGAGATTGCCCCCAGAAGAAAAAGAGCTTCTTACATACTTCCGCAAGCTCTACAAGAACCTGAACAAGGGTATTCGTGGACGTGGACGTGGCGGAAAAGGTCTTGATGGAGACGAGCCTCTTTCTGCCGAATCCAGTGTGCAGCTGAGTCCTCAACAATTGTCGATTCCAAGAGCTGACGGGCAGCAGCAGATGCAAATGTCACAGCAGGGTTCGCCGCTCTTGCAATCTTCAGCGGCTCGCCGTCACGACGGGTACTGATGAAACGGGTAGTAGCATGAGAGCAAGAAATGACCGAAAAACGAGAAAAAAAAATCAACCTTGAAATTACGAACCCCCCTTTTAACGATTGAAATTTAATGTGAATCACCTTCTTTTACCTCCTAGGCTGGCCCTAGGTCGTTGTACGTTTATACTGCCAAAATTAGCGAAAATGGAAATGAAACAAGCTTGTAGACGCTCCACTAAATAATGGGTGCAAAATTCCTCATAGTACTGCACAGAGCACCCCAATCTCTAACTCTCCTACTACCACTCCATCTCCATAAGGTCCTCCAATTTGGCCAATGTCCAGCTTATATAAATTGTCCATACTGGGCGTACGCTCCTTTTCACCCAAGGATAACGAAATCATCCAGTTTGGCGCACCTCTCACGCTTATTTGTGGCCAAAACGGATGTGGAAAAACCACCGTGATCGAATGTCTAAAATACGCTACAACTGGTGATTTGCCGCCTAATTCTAAGGGTGGAGCGTTTGTGAACGACCCTGCTGTGGCTGATAGGCTGATGGTTAATGCCGAAATCAAATTGGGCTTTATCTCCGTCGACAACAAGCTGATGACGGTTACGAGGAATATGCAATTGACCAGGAAACGTACTGGGCGGCTGACGACGGCGACCAACACGTTCAAGACGCTTGAGGGGCAGCTTGCGGTGCATTCTCAGGGCCGGAAAACGTCAATTTCTACGAAAAACGCCGAATTGGATACAAGAGTTCCACAGTACCTTGGAGCGTCTAAAGCTGTGCTTGAGTATGTGATCTTTTGCCACCAGGAGGATAGTTTGTGGCCGTTGAGCGAGGCGAGTGTGTTGAAAAAGCGGTTTGACGAGATCTTTGAGGCGTCGAAGTTTACCAAGGTTTTGGATAACTTGAAGGTGATCAATAAGGAGATGACTACAGATATTAAGTTGTTGGAACAGAGCGTGCTGCATGCCAATTTGGATAAGAAACGGGCCAGCAAGATCAAGGAGAAGGTTCTGGAAAGTCGGGCCAAGGTGGAACAGTATAATGCTGAAATAGCTGATCTTAATATGGAGATCGAGGGTTTGGAGAAACAGGCAGATGACCTTTTTCACTCCAACCAGCTGTTCCAGAAAACTTTGTCTGAGCACGAACGTCTAAAAATGGTTTATGAAACGACAGAGACGAATTTCAAGCGTTTGGGGCTGTCCATTGACGTTTTGAGGGAAACAGACGACGAGCTCAGGCACCAGTTGGCCAATTTCGCCCAGATCCAGCTGCAGAAAATGGAAGCTGTTGAGGAGAAAGAGCTTCTTTTGGTTGACCTCGATGGCCAGCAGCTGGCGCACCAGGAATCGCTTTCCAAATTGACCCGTGACGAAGGTATCTTGTTTAGTAAGAGAGAGGCATACGAAGAGAGAAAATTGAAGCTTTCTGAGCTTCTGGAGGCTCTTCAACAAAAATACAGCATATCCAGGGAGTCCTTGCATGAAGATTTGAAGGCTCTTTTGAGCCAGACCGAAGCTCAGTATGAAGAATTGGTTGAAAACAACAGAAAGAAGCTTGACGAGTCTGCTGCACAGGTTAAGGACGCCGAAAAGCTTCTCTCACGGGAAGAACAGCATAAGAATTATGGTTTGGACGAAATCAAGTCCACAAAGGCAAAGCTTAAAGAGTACCATGCCAAGATCAGCTCCTCTTCAGCCAACGAAGATAACCTTACTATGGAGAATGCTGAGCTCGAGTCGCTTCAGAAAAAGCTTTCTCGTAAAAAGGACAACGATAATACCAAAGAGCTCTCCCAGAGCATCCAACAAGATACAGATAAGCTCCATAATCTTGAAAATGACCTTGACGACCTTATGAGAAAGATTACGACTGCTAATAAACAGGCTGATTTATTCAGCAAGCTTGATTTGCTTAAGGATTCGCTGGCTGTTAAGGAAGAGGTCCTTTCCAAGAGCATTCAGCAGAACCAAGACAGTTTCGAGAAAATTACTGGTAAGAAGTTGGCTGATGAAGGTGAAGCTGCACTTAATGAAGTTCTGGAAACGACGCAGAAGAAAGAGCATGAACAACTCCTTTCCAGCAAGTCTTTGGCTTCTAAGCTCGACAAGTTACGTGCTAACGAGGAATCAGACAACAGTGCACTTAAAAAGCTTGAAAAGGCGCTTTCTACGCATACCTCCAATATCCTCAAAGTTATCGAAAAGGACGAAATTTCCCAGTACGAAGAGTTGGTCAAAGAAGCAGAAGAAGACTATAACACAGCCACGTACAACTTGAACACTTTCGATGTCACCAAGAGTTTCAAGGTGAAGGCCATTGAGATCGCCAAACAGTCGAAATGTTGTACTCTCTGCAACAGAGGTTTCTCTAATACTGAGCTTGATACTTTCATCAAAGAAGTTCAACAGAATGTCAATAACGTAACTGCCAAGAAGCTTCAGGAAGATGTGGATGCTACGAAGAAGGATCTCGACCTGATGAAGGCTATTAACTATGATGTCTTGCAGTACCGTTCGTTAACTACAGAAGTTGCTAATTACAAGAAGCAGATGGAATCCAGAGGAACAGAGATGAAAGAACTTCAGCTGCAGCATGACGAAGTTGAGAAGTCTTTAGAAGAGACCAAGAGTGTTTTGAGTGACCTTAACAGACTTAGACAACCTATCATCAACATTACCAGGTTGCGGGACGAGATCTCACATTTCCAGAAACAGATCGATGATGTAAAGAGCGAGCTTGACACTGATGGTGCTTCTACAATGACCATGGCTGAATTACAGAAGTTGCAACAGGAAAGGAGCTTTGAAGTTAAAAGGTTACGCCAGAGCATTTCCAATAATACTGATGAGAGAGATCTCCAGTTGAAAGAGCTCAGTCGTCTTGAAGGCCAGATTAAAGATAAAGAGCTTCTGATCAGTAACTTGAAGAACTCCATGAATGAGTTGGTTGCGTTGAAGAGTACCATTGCTGAAGCAGAAGAGCGTGTTGCCAGTCTTGAGGTGAAGCAGAAAGGTATCGATAAGAATTTGCAGGAGTTGGAGGAGAAATTGGCAAATGTAACTGCTTCTGCTACAGAAACCAAGAACCAGTGCAGTGAAGAAGAGTCAGAAATGCATGAGAAACACCAGGAATGCCGCCAGAACGAAGCCAGTTTCCGTGATCTTCAGCAGCATATCAAGACTTTCGAGGAGCAGGATCTCCAGAAAGTTGAAGAAAACACCCAGAAGATTGGAGAAGTAAGGGAGAAGATTCTGGTGATCACCAAGGAAAGAAAGGCATTGGACCAAGAAATGTCGGCCTTGAAAACAGCTTTGAACGATGCAGCCAAGACAAAGCGAAACATCGAAGACAACATCGAGTACAGAAACACCGAGCAGGAGCTCGATTCCATCAGGCAGCAAATCGAACAGCTTGATGTTTCCAACGCTGAAGTCGAGAAAGAAACGTACCAGGCAGCATCCAAAAAGCTCAGAGACCAGATCAACGAGCTCAACGGCCAGCATTTCGGTAAAGCAGGTGAAGTCAAGCAAATCAACGACCAGATCCAGCAGCTTCAACAAGAACTCAATTCTGAATTCAAAGACGTCGAGAAAATGTACCACAAAGAATGGATCAAGCTCCAGACCAACATGCTCGTTTCCAAGGACTTACAGACGTATTCTCTGGCTCTTGACAACGCTATCATGAAGTACCACAGCATGAAAATGGACCAGATCAACAAGATCTTAAGAGAACTCTGGAACCAGACCTACAAAGGTACAGATATCGACAGAATTGAAATCAAGTGTGATGTGAATACCCTGGGAAGAGGCCGTTCGTACAACTACCGTGTGGTGATGTACAAAAAGAGCTCTGAGTTGGATATGAGAGGCCGTTGTTCTGCTGGCCAGAAGGTTCTTACCAGTATTTTAATCCGTCTAGCTCTTGCAGAGTGTTTTGGAACAAACTGTGGTATGATTGCCCTAGACGAGCCTACAACAAATTTGGATACAGAAAACGCTGAATCGCTAGCCACCGCCTTGAACACCATCATTGACGTCAGAAAGAACCAGAAGAATTTCCAACTTATTGTGATTACCCACGACGAAAAGTTCCTCAGCCACATCAACGGTGAAAGCTACATCGACAACTTCTACAGAATCGAGCGTGACGAGAACCAGTACTCGGTGATTAAAAGCTTACCTATTCACTTGATGCAAGACGAGTAAGCGAACCTACAAGCTTGTTCTTTTCGACCCACGTCTTTTCAAGCCATTTCTCCATCTTGGGCTTTCTAAGCGGGATCTTATCCAACAGCTTCTTCTTGACGTGGATCGTCACCACATGGGGCTCTTTACATGAAAAGTACTCAAGAAGCGTCACCGGCTTGTTGTGCACGATCAGAACATCATACAATGTCGAGAACCTGGCTGCTTTCCTGGTAACCTTCTCCCCTCTCAACAGCCAAATGGCATTGGAGAAGTTGGAAAACCTAGGGTACAACACCAGTCTCATTTCAGGCAAAAAGTACTTATGGGCCTGGATCGACTGCAAGTACGACGTTTCGCTTGTCCAGATATTCACCTCTGGAAAGAGCACCACCCATTCTGGAGCGTTGGAGTCTCTGACCCGTTTAAACATTCTATCGCTTTGCAGCTGTGCCAATTCCCAGTTTTCGTCACAACGAGTCATGTTAAATAACGCCTTGACTGTTGGAGCCCTGGCCAAAGTAAACCAGGTGAAGAAATTGACCTGCGGCACCGATTCCCATGGAATAGCGCCGTTTTCTCCTTTCCTAAACTTATGGGCCACTGCTGCCAAGGCTATATAGTCAGCTAGCAGTTGGTGGTTGGCCATGAACACTGCTGAAAAAGGGTCAATCTCGTCGCCCTTGACTTCGACGCTGACTCGGTTGAGTTCACTAAAGAAGATCAAAACCTCCCAAACAACAAAACCTGCCATTCTTTTGGTATACTCAGCCAATTCTGGAAAACATATACCAGTAACAGACATCACCAAGGAAATGGAATGGTACCATGTGCAGAGGTTGAACAAAAACCACATGGTTATGTACCCGCGTGCTTTATAGAGCGCCGACTCGAATGTTGGATTTGGCGCCACGAGAATGCCCAAATGAGTTAAAAGTTCCATGAAAAGTGGTTTTTGGGTTTATGGTTTGTGAAATGGTTGCAAAAAGTGGGAAGTAGGGTGTTGTCTTGTCTGCAGTACCAACTCACCAGTCCTACATTTTCAGCTCATCTCGATCAGATGCCCCAGCTATACTTCTCCAACCTCCAAGATGTCCCGTTTGATCGTGAAAGGGCTCCCGAAGTACCTTTCTGAAGACCGTCTCAGGAAGCATTTTGCCGCCGAGGGCGCTGTTTCAGATGTGAAACTCATGAAAAAGAGAAACGGTGAATCCAGACAATTTGCATTTATCGGTTACAGATCTTCTGAAGATGCGAAAAAAGCTGCTAAATTCTTCAACAAGACGTTTATTGATACTGCCAGAATCGACGTGGAAGTCGCCAAAACATGGGCCGATCCTACTGTGCCGCAGGCCGTCAGAGAAAAGAGGAAATTGGCTGAAAGGCGCTTGATGGAGCAGGAAGAAAGGCTTCAGAGACAGAAGGAGGAAGCTGAGCAGAGAAAGAGACAAAAGACGGATAAGAGGTCGAAGTTGGATGAGGAGATTGCGTCCAACCCGAAGTTGAAGGAGTTTATTGAAGCTACCAAGCCTTCTAGTCAGAGACAGTCATGGGCTAACGATGGTGCTGACGGACTGGGAGCTCCATCTTCAAAAGCTTTGGAAACTGCCTTGGCTGAGCAGGACGGAACTGGCGCTAAGGCTGTGGATGAAGCTAAGTATGAGGTTGCACAGGCTCGTGAAGCTGCCAGTGACGACGAGTATGAGGATTTCGGTAAGGCTGAAGAGGAAGACGAGCCTATGATGAGTCTTAATGAGCTTCCACAAGAAGAGGAGCCTGTTGAAGGTGAAGGTGAAGGTGAAGCAGAAGACGACGAACTTGCAAAGGATGAGAACGTTTCTGACCTAGATTGGCTCAAGCTGAGAAGAATCAGAATGAAGGAGAACGAAGAGGAGACTAAAGAGGAGAAGCCAGAAGAACCTAAAAAGCAGAGTCGTCCAGCGCCAGTTGAAGTGCCACAGAAGTCTGAAGCTGATAGAATCAGAGAAACAGGCAGACTCTTCATCAGAAACATTCTTTACGACTCCACCGAAGACGATTTCCGTGAGCTCTTCTCTGAATACGGAGCCCTTGAAGAAGTCCATATTGCCATCGACACACGTACTGGTAAATCCAAGGGGTTCGTGTACATCCAGTTTGCTCGCAACCACGATGCTGTTGCAGCCTACAACGCCTTGGATAAGCAGATTTTCCAGGGCAGACTTTTGCATATTTTGGCAGCTGAAGCCAAAAAGGACCATCGTCTTGACGAATTTGCATTGAAGAACTTGCCTCTTAAAAAGCAGCGAGAGCTTAAAAGAAAGGCCCAGGCAGGCAAGTCTCAGTTCAACTGGAACTCTCTTTACATGAACAACGACGCTGTTCTAGAATCTGTTGCTGCCAAGATGGGCGTTTCCAAACTGCAGTTGATCGATCCACAGAACTCCAACTCTGCTGTGAAACAAGCATTGGCTGAAGCTCATGTCATTGGTGATGTCAGAAAGTATTTTGAAGACAGAGGAGTGGATTTGACGAAATTCGACCAAAAGGAGCGTGACGATAAGACCATTTTGGTGAAGAACTTCCCCTTTGGAACCTCCAGCGCCGACCTTGGTGACCTTTTCGCCGAGTACGGTCAAATCAAGAGAATCTTGATGCCTCCAGCAGGCACCATCGCCATTGTGGAGTTCAGAGACTCTCCTGGCGCCAGAGCAGCATTCACAAAGTTAGCATACAGAATGTTCAAGAAGAGCATTCTTTACTTGGAGAAAGGTCCTCGTGACTTGTTCGTCCGTGAACCATTGGTTGGAGAAACCGTGGAGGTTGAAGAGCAGCCACAAGAAAAGGCTGTGGAAGCCAAGATCACTGCTGATGATGTCATGGGCGGCGATAAGCATGGAGAAAGCGATGTGGAGGATGAAATTGAAGGTCCTACAGTTTCTGTGTTCGTGAAGAACTTGAACTTTGCTACTACCGCTGCTCTGTTAACTGACTTGTTCAAACAGATTCCTGGCTTTGTTGTTGCTACAGTCAAGACGAAACCAGACCCCAAGAACCAAGGCAGCGTGCTCAGTATGGGTTTTGGCTTTGCCGAATTCAAATCTAAAGATGCTGCTGATAAGGCCATTCACACCTTGGACGGTTACAACTTGGAAGGCCACAAGATCCAATTGAAATTGTCCCACCGCAAGTCTGGCACAACCAAGGACACCACCGCCAAGTCAAAGAAGTCCACCAAGATCATCATCAAGAACTTGCCGTTCGAAGCTGCCAGAAGAGACGTTTTGGAGCTTTTTGGCGCATATGGCCAGATCAAGTCTGTCAGAGTCCCCAAGAAATTCGACAAGAGCGCCAGAGGTTTTGCCTTTGTTGAGTATAACTTGTTGAAGGAAGCAGAGAACGCCATGGACCAATTGCAGGGCGTCCATTTGCTTGGAAGAAGATTGGTAATGCAATATGCTGAGCAAGAGAGTGAAGATGCCGAGGAAGAGATTGAAAAGATGACAAACAAGATGAGAAAGCAGGCTGCTTCGAGAGAGGTTGCTGCCATGAAGATGACAGGTAAGGGTAAGGTGCAGCTTGACGAAGACGAAGAGGATCCATTCAGCGAGTTCTAAGAAACGCTACGATATAATAAAGGCCTTCATAGATTTTAGGTCCATGCCGGGACACACTAATTACAAGCAAAAGAAACGTCGTACGCCGTGTAGAAAGCCAGCAGCGTCATTGTACGAGGGTCATTTAGTTCTCCTTCAAGTAAGAGGAGACATCCTTCAACAAGTCTCTGTAAGACTCCTCCTCCTTGACTTCAGAGTAACCGAAGATGAAGTCAGCCAAGGCAGAGTCGATACCCTTGTCGTTCAAGTACTTCTCAACGGAAGCCTGCAAGGACTCGTCCAAGTTGGAGAAACGTGGGCCCTGGTACTCGAAGTTACCCAAGAAAGTGCCCTTGTTCTCAACCTGGTTCAAGAAAGCAGAAACGTCAGACTTGTAGTTGAAGTAGTCAACAAAGAACTCCTCCTCAGAGCTCTGCAACATCAAGTTGAAGAACAAACCGTTGTTGTTGGACTCGTTGGAAACCAACACCTTGACGTTGGCAAAAGTGGAGTCGTACTGGTAAAGCTCATCGTCAAGCTGTTCCTCGGCAGCACCCTCCTCTTCCTCTGGGACTTCAGGAGAACCGAAAGAGACGTCAGTAACCTCGTCAATGTCAAAGAAAACAGTGAGTTTCTCACCAGATTCCAACTTTTTCAGAAGCTGAACATTGGACTCACCCTGTTTCTGAGAAACCTCAAATCCAGATTCCTTCAAGAATTCAACATGGTCTGGAGCCAATTCGTTCTCAATAGAGTTGGCAATCTTGAATTCAGACTTGACAACATCAAGCAAAGCAGCAGTGGACTGGTTGCCACGCACAATGGAGGATGAAAAAGAACGAGCAGGACCAGCCAAAGTGGGCAATCTTCTGGCCATTTGTGGCGCAGCAACTCTGGTTGCCTGGGCAACGACACGAAGGGAGGAGGTGAAGGCTCTAGACATGTTTCAAATTGATTTGGGGTGGATGTGGAAAGTTAGAAACTTGAAGAAGGAGGAGGACTCAGATGGTGCGATGATGTTGCCTGGTGGTGGGTGTGTTTCCTGCAGGACATGGAGATTTTGTGAAACCTTCTGGATTTTGCAGCCAACGACGAAGGCTAGAGAACATGAAACTAAGATGGTTCTTGAATTAATGATGAATATGAGTATAGCGAGTGACAAAGCTAAGAAGAGCTTGAAAAGGTGGTAATAAAAAAGTTGAGTTGCAGTAGCGAGTGGACGGCACGGTACCATAAAGAGGTATGGTAATGGCCAATGAGGCAGAACAGAGCTGGTAAGGGCTCGTTATTTCTTCATGACAGTAGAGCCCAGGAAGGCTATTATCGTTAGGTGTTGCAGGTCAGAGACTGTGGTCTGGGGACCTTTTGATGGCAATGCGAAATGGTGATCTATGAATGACGCCTACTCGTCTTTGGGCGAACGCATTGCTCTCAAGAACTCTTGCACGAACAACAGGGATCTTCTGTAGCGTCTTTCCTGGTACTTCTCGTAGATGGCTTTATGGTGCGACTCGGCGTTGGAGCACATTTCCATCATAATGCGTGCAAGCGGTTTGAGCTGTTCCTCTGTGTAGCCAGAGTAAAAGACATGAGCGTCTGTCCAAGCCCCCTTGTTGAGCATCTTCCGCAGGAGATAGTGGGCGCCAGCCGCAAGCCACGATGGCTGCGAGGCGACAAAACGGTGGTCCATGATGGTGATTTCCAAAAAGTACTTGGCGAGCGTACGTGTTTCGTAGTCGTAGTCGTCGGCCTTGGAAGTGCGTCTTAAGAAAGACATTGGTCCTGGCCAGCCCATATCGAATTCGAGCACGTCGATCATGAATCTCTCGGCCTTGAGGAAGTCTTCGATGCTGTAGGCATTATCAGCCATGTATGCAACTTCTTGGACAGTAGGACAATTGATCTCTTCGTACTTGGCGGCAATGAAGAGAGCCACGGCTCCAACAAGCTGGAAACGCAGCAAAGACACTCTTCGGCGACTGAGAAAACGATCAATATAGTTGACCGTAAGAAACAAAGTCTCCGGGAGCAAATTAAAACGCTGGTGGACCTGGACGACCCAGTCAATGAGCACGCCACGCATTTCCCAGCGCAACTCGTCTTGGTTGGCCATGTAGTCGGCATCAGCAGCGTACATGTGCTCAAGTTCATGCAAATAGTTGAAGATTTCCGGCGCATACTCAGCAACCATGGTCACGTCGTAAGTGTCCTCGTCCAGCTCGTCGAGCGTGGCCCGAGAGAAGGTCTTCATTACTGTCTGTAGCTTGTTGAAGATCTGTTTGTTCCATTTGGGCTCCTGGGGGCCTTCGTAGTCTGTAGCATCGCTATCGTCGTCATAAGCTTCGGCACCAGCGGCGTCGCAGTCAGAATCCTCTTCGATCTCTGCAAAATGGGACCGGTGGGCCTCGCTATAGCTTTGTGATTCCGAGTCAGGCGTAGCTGATCTGGATGTAGACAAGGTCATGCCGTGCAAAGCGGCCGCCAGCTCCAGACCCGTGCCAGGGGCAGCGTCCGAGCGAATAGGATCAAAGTGCTGGCGTATTAGTCCATCTTCAGACGATGGGATTGCAGCATAAGCTGGTTCTAGAGATCCCAGGTCTCGTGTTGTACGAGACTCATGTTTGGCATGTCTGAAATCGGGTTTTGTTGATCGAGAAGCCAAATTCACAGGAAGCTGGCCCAACGGCTTCCTTGCTGAGAGGCGCTTAGGGGCTTCAGGCATGGATCAAGGGTTGATTTGGACTGATTAAAGGAGGTTATGTGATTTGTGTATAATGCGTGGAAACAGAACGAGGAGGGCGAATTTGGTCGGGATTTCGCGATGCTGGCCTATTATGGGGTGAATAAAACGACCTAAGTGGTTATTACCAGGGCAAAGTGGATGTGTGGGCCAGAAAGAAGAAGGGCCTTGGTTTGTTGGAAGAGGTAGAGAGTAACAAAACAAACAAAGAGAGTATGCTCCTGGAAGGGTGGTGTTGTATGCAGTACGGCTTATTCAGGCTCTCCAACCCCCACACGTTTTACCTTTAAAATGGGATTTTTGAGGTGAAAAAAGTATGGTTGTGGAGCTACAGAGACGAGGATAATGAAAATGTAGTTTATTTTTTGATTGGAGTATTTTCCACCCCGCAATGGCAGAGGAGGTGGGTTTTTCGCAGCTATATGTTTGTTTGTTTTTCTTCGCGTCGCACAGCGCCAGATAGCAGAGAAAACAGCCCGAGCCCTGGGCAGACCTAAATACCAAGAAGGGTGATTTTGGAGAAATTATTGGTACCATTGTGTAGAGGCCAACAAGAGGATTCCAAATATGTAGTTACTTTTCAATTTGGACGAGAAACCAATTTTTGGTGGCCAGATCAAGAAAAACAGCTGGTTTGAGCACTGGCTGCGAAATACAGAAATGGCTGCGAAAAGCCAAAAAGTGGCTGAACATGAGAATGTGATGAACCTGGTGGGGCAGAAACGGTGGGAAAGTTTAATTTTGTGGAGACGGAATTTGGAGTTTGGGGAGGGGCCGAGGCGGTTTGGGCGGTTTAGTGGAATGTGGAAATGAAGGGAAGGGGAGGAAGTTGGTTGGCTGGTGAAGGCTACAGTTACTGGTAGGAAGAGCAGTCAAGGTTGGTTCTTTGGTGGTTGTGATGGAAGAAGGTTAAGGGAGGTTAAGGGGGGTTTAAGCTCGGGGAAAGTGGTTTAGTCTTTTAGTGCTTTAGTACTTTATGGCTGTTTATGCAAAAGAGTGTTGTGTCTGAGTGCTGTGTCTGTCTTATGGATGTATACTATGTAACCTGATATGGTTTGCAAAAGGAAGTACTGGTTGGGCCAAGTGGACGAAGTGGGGGTGGTGAATGAAATGAAGTAGTATTTATGGAAATCATCTAATTAAAGGTACTTTGTGGGATTTGGTTGAAGGGCTGGATGGTTGTTGAAGGTGGATGGTGCTTATGGAGACTGGTTCAGAGTGAGGAAGTGTTGTTTTAAGAGGAATGGGTTACTCTGAAGACTTATATAGAGAAAGTCGAATTTTGGGCTGCTTGGATGCACTGGAATGTTTTGGGAGTTTTGGGAGTTTTGGATGGAGTAGATGGTGGTTGAGAGGGGACGTTCACTGGTATGTCTGGAGAGGCTTGAGTCAGTAGTACTAGTTGAAGCCAGAGGCAGGCATTTAAGGAAGCTTTCATGGAGAATTAATTATAAAGGTCTTTTTGAAGGTATTTTTAGGGTAATGTTTATGGATGAAGTTGTGGAAGTAGACTTTATCGGTCTACTCTACTTGGTGAATGTATACCTCTACTTAGGCAGTGAAAGCTGGTAAGCGGTAAAAGCTGGGTAAGTTCTAGTGCTGCTGATAAAAGAAAGGCCAAGGAAGATCAGGTTGGGCCAGGAAGCCCAGATTGTACCAGGACGGGCTCTTGACGGTCGCTTTAGCGTGTTTGTGGTGGATCTCGTGAAGCGGAGATCGATTATACCACAAAGACAGGGAAGGTGAGCAAGGACATTCACAGTAAGGTCTATACTGGCTTTTTTTGACTCATAGGAAGTGATTAGAAACCCATCAAGCCTTAGCCAGCCTAGAATATCTCATTACGTAGTCATTCGTCTAGTTTAGATATCACGTACCATTCTGCACATCTTCCTCTAAGACGTTCCTGAATATCCCATCAAGACCTATTCTTTTCGTCCAGCTTCATGGAAATTGGGACGGAAGATAACTAGTCCCATTGAGTTCTTATCTGCCCATTACATACTTCTTACTGTTGTCGACATGAAGCAGCATCACTGTTACCTCTATTACAAATACGAAGACCAACAACAGCCAAATTTGCACCCCCCGAAACGGCACATTCAGACGATTTCAGCCAAATACATAACCCAAGCAAACATATAATATCCTCATTGGTCAGTGGACCCTGTCTTGTCTTTCCATAGTGAGGTTGAATGAACTTACCAGAACCTTTACCTTACAACCCAGTTGAAACCAACCAGAGCCCCCATGATTCACATCAAGCCCAGTAACCAATCACCTTTTTTCTTTAAAGAAAGAGTAGCTGTTTCTAAACCACTTATTCTAGACCCTTAACTGCTTCCAACTCAGAGACCAACATCCACCAGGAACTCACCAACGTCTTCAGTCCTTACGTTTTCGTAAAGAACAACCCAGTATTGTCCCTTGACACTTTTTAAAAACCACAATCAATTGACTCTGAAGACAATTCAGTCAAAAAGACAGTCCTTGTAGTAATGCTAAATAATATTCTCGTCCCAGGCACCCTGCGTCCCCTTGCATCTTGCGACTATAAAAGGACCCCAATTTCCCCCTTGCCCCAATTTTTTTTTCTTCTTTTTCTTCTTTTTTAACCACAATGACTGAATCTACTTCTTCGTATGACCCACCTTTTCGTAGGCTCTATAAGAATCATCTAACAATCCTAGCGAGAATCCAGAGCAACCGCCAGTTCCAAAAAGGGTAGTCAATACCTCGCCTTTTGATGTGTTTGACGAGAGATCAAAACGTACCACTAGCCGCCCTCTGTCAGCAGAGTCATGGGATTCTACACTGGCAGACTTGCTGTTCAGCGATAGGTTTCCACGAGGCTACATAGTTCGACAAGGATTCACAAAAAAACACGCCAGGTGGTGTCACCTGGCAGCTGTCGAGATCGAAGGGTATATGGAAGAGGCCGTTGCCGCTTTGCGACAAAATGGTATGCTCGAGTACCAGGCAAACTGTGTATCAGATGGGTTACGTGGATTAAGTATTCAGATAGAGCAATTGCCAGAGTGTGCTAGAAGGGCTGAACATCTCAAGTACTCCATCTTAAACGTACCAGATCTAGCCGAACTGTTGAAAGCTAACCCCCTGAATGTCTTGGACTTGAAATGGTTTGTGAAAGACCTTGAAGCTCACGTAAATACTTGGAAACCTCTTCTCGATACAGCCAGTCTTAGAATCAACTTCATTGCGATAATCATGGCGATCATTGGCAGCACCGTTAAGCAAGTTGAGATTCCAAGCTTCGATTATAAGGTTCCACGCTATCTCATGTTTTATGTGTATTTTTCTTTGCTTTGGTGGTCTTTTAAAGACTCTTATTTTGGTTCTTTCCTTGGAGGAGTCGTCCATAGGCGTTTGTCTTCACTCAAGAAATCCTTGTCCAACACATTGGGATCCGAAGCACACTGGAATAGAATTGGCTATAAGACATCCGTATTCTGGGAATTTTGCAGGAGAAATTTCCCAGGGTTTCCCACTTGTGGTATTCTTGTCTTTGCTTGGTACATCATTTTAGTGTGCTGGGCCTTTGCCATGCTGATGTTCGTGTTGGTGAAGGGAAGGTTTACTGACCAGTCCACCGTGAATACGACTTTAGAAGGTGGATACATCTCAGTTGAAGCAAGTGAAGAAAGAGATACTTGCAGCAATTCTCCCTTGTTGACTCAGGATCCGACAGACACCGTTTTGGAAAAGGAAGACGTGCTCCAAATCTCTCCCACCGAGTCAGAAAGTGACACCAATGGCGAATAAAAGGCAGAAGGTGAGATGTATCAATGTGGTTTTACCTTCCGTAACAAATCAGGGAGCCCTTTGAGGTTGGTGCCATAGGATGGCTTATTAAATTTATTTCTTCACCATGTGTCAAAGATCTTTTGTATCTTTTGATACCTGGAACTTATATCTCTATTATAGGCTTTATGTTAGACCTTCAATAGATTTGAAATTCATTTGGTTAATTGATGAAGGTCATTAAGTGTGGGAATGGATACTCGAATATTTCCGAGTTCCCCTTGGAAGATTGATGAAAAGAAATGAACTGGAGGATTCAATTTAACGTCATGTTGCGTTTGCAGCGCAAGAATCATGCTGCTCTTTACCGTTGGTACCTGCTGGAAAGCCGCTTTGTGTGATTTATCATTACTTCAAGATCTGATTTGAAAAATTATAAACTATCTTTTAAGACCTTCTTTGCCTCAGCCTCCATTTCAGCTTCCAGTTACCGTCAGGTCACGGCCTCGGGTCCGGTTTCACCTCATCCCTGGTCAAACACAACGCATACGAAGGTGGTACATAACTACCAGTTGTACTCACCTCAAAGCTTTCATCACATATCTTGAGCGGCACAGTTACCAGGACCTTTGCTATCTCTTCTTGTTTTCCTTTGATCTCCAATGAAATACGGACGGAGACGTCTCGGCTGGAAGTATTGGAATAATAGGTTGCCAAAAGGTCCTTTGGAACTGTGCAATTATACCACTTGCAGGGAAGTTCTATGAAATCTTCGTTACCGTTTTGACAAAGATGCAAGTACTTTCTTCCACGTAATGTCTTTGTCAAGGAATCTTCTTCATTGCCACCGCTGTGATGGTAAAGCCACTCGATCCTCGATGATATTAAAGTAATGGTCTCATTAGGGTCCCAGGACTCAAACACAAGCTTCAATTTTAAGAAATGAGAAAGCTTCATTCCTCTGCTGACAACTATGGCTGGTAAAAGAGATGGCATCCACAGCTTGGAAACGGAAAGTCTTATTCTGGACGAGCTGGTGTCTTGAACCGACAGCATATGCTTGAAAATCAGCAGTACATGACCGATTTCAAACGGTAAAGTGGGCAACGCAAAGCGGCCTTTGAAACATACCACTGGCTGTGCCCAGACATATACCTTGCCTTCTTCTATTTTGTCAGCCATGCTGAACAACTTATACTTCAAATACAATTGATGTGACTTGACATCATATTTTGATTTGAAGACGCTTTTTGATTCTGTCAAACCGGTTCCGAACTCCTTCAAACTGATTGCAATAGACGCCTCATCGGTCCGCACAACGGCAGTTTGCTGCCTTTGCACAAGTAAGTGCTTATCAAAATCCAATGGAATTAAAGGCGCTTCCAAGACCTCCAAATAAAGTTTTCTTTCCAGACAGTGCCCGGCAGTAGAGTGAACTGGCTTTCTTATCATGCCTAGACCTCCCTTTGCAACATAAACGCTCATCACAGTTTCCGCAAACCGTTTCACAGTCTTATCACTAACTTCCACCTTAATTTTAATGGCATAGTTTCTTGTGAACCGCTTGCAATAATATGTGGGTTCAATATCTGGAATACAACACTCATAAAGATTATTTGGAATGCTCAAGGTAGACCGTCTACCAGTCTCCAACATCTCCCAGCATTTCTTATCCAGCAATGTGCTAATATGAAGAGTTTTTGTCGATTTTGCAAACGGCAATGTTGGCAAGAAACAAGTAAGCTCCAAGAGCTGTACCACCACACGGGAGAGAGCAAACCCAGGGTCCTTGGCGTTGTAGTCAAAAGAGATGTTGAGAATATCTGGAACCCTCAACCCAGGAAGAACCGTATGCTCTCGATATTCTTGGGTAAACCAGTGGGGCTGAATGTACTCATAGTGGAGCTTCCCAAGATCCTCCACCCATTCGGTTTTGGCAACTTCTGCTACAGTATCGAGGGTATAGGCCAACTCAAAGATTTCCCCTTTGAAGTCGTACTCTTGTCCATGGTACTGTGCCACTAGACATGCTCTTGGAGGACCATGGGCCAGCAGCAGCACCACTGCCCACTCAAGGCCAAGTTCGGTATCTTTTTCAGGTTTATCTTCGGCTTCCACCACCTCGAACCTTTCAAAGTCGTCTTCTGTGATTTCTATCTCGGCAATACTCGTTGTCTGAAACTGTACCTCGGTGATAGCCAAAACCTTATCTTTGTGGTAACACAATCTAGTGTTATAGTATGAGCGGCCTCCGTAATTACTCTGTTGCAGAAGAGCATCGGACACGGGCTTGGCCACGTTTGAGTTGCTGAAATTACTTCTCTGGAACTCTTCAAACAAGTAGAACGTTTCAAACCGAAAACTAGTCATGAAGAAGAGGGTGTTGCAGAAATGAAAGATATGAAATCACAAATGAAGAGGAAGTGGTGACGCTGGAGTTGCCTTGTTTGATTTGTACCCTTCTGGGCAAGTCTACCTACATTTCCTCTTTAGAGAAGAAAAAAGAAGAAAAACGTGGGTAACGTCATAAATATATATTCATCCTGGGTCATAAGTCATGAAAAGGATCGTGCAAAGATGTTTTAAAGCTTTACTTTTGAAAGCCTCCACGCTACGACATTTTCACGTTGACACCGTCGGTGTAACGCAACGTAGCATTGGCTTCCTTCCTGGCTGGGTATGGACTGCCGTCGCTCTCCAAAGAAGAAAACATCTGCACTAGTCTGACAAGAACATACAGAGCTTCGGTAAGTGCAAACTGCTGGCCCAAACAGATTCTAGGGCCACTTCCAAACGGCATAAACGCCCAGCCAATCTTGTTAAGGTTCGCCCAACGTTCTGGACGGAACAAATCAGCATCTTCACCGTAATGTTTCCTCAGACGCTGGACACAGTAGATCAGAATAATCACTGCTGTGCCTTTAGGAACAAGAATCGGCGCCTGGCCATCTTTTCCTCCACCACTGGGCAACGTAGTATCTCTGAGAGCCTCTCTAAGATTCAGTGACACTGGCGGGTAAACACGGAGGGTCTCGTTGATGACCCATTTAAGGTAGTTGCATTTCTTTAAGGACTCAAAAGTAATGCTTTCGAGTTCTTCCGGAGACTCGCCAGTGCCAAATTGCATAAGAACCTCTTCTCTCAACTTCTTCCATACTTCTGGGTTCCTGGAAAGCTCAGACAAGGCCGACAGAAGAAGTGAAGCTGTGGTTGAGCGGCCCGCAAGCATGATATTCAAAAGCTGGTCTCTGATCTCCACTGGGTCTCTTGTATCCTTCACCAATTCATACAAGAAAGTGTACCCTTGTCTGGAGCGAGCTTCAATCTCTTCAGGCTTCAACTGCAACGCTTTATTGACAAAGTTGTTTGTGTAGCTGTGGATGTCCTTGACGCTCTGGCGGAACTCTTTGCTGTTGGCCAACCAGTAAAAGTCAAAAAGCGACGATCTCTTGACCAAATACGACTGAACAAACGTCAAAGCCGAATTGAACTCGGCTCTGCCCTCAATGTGGCTTTCAGAAGAATCGTAGCCAATAGCCTCGTCTCTCAAGTCGTTGACACTCTCGCCAAAGAGAAAGTGTGTTCCAGCGTCCAACGTAAACCTATGGAACAACAGCTGGATATCAAAGTACCCGCTATTTGCACGAATATGCTTCGCAAGCATCTGGACATGCGGTTCAAGCATTTTAACGTGGGATACCTGTTCCCTGACAAACTGAGGTTTAAGCAAGGTTCTGGAGTGTTTCCAGTGGTGGCCCTCTGAAGCAAAGATACCGTTTCCCAAAAGAGGGCCAAACGCCTGTTTCCTCACGCCAATACTAAACTCAGTGAATTGAGTCAGAAGCATGGCTTTCATGTTTTCTGGGTTCATGGTAAGAATCAAGCCCGAGCTGTTGGGAATCGAAAGCAGAAGCGTATTAGCACCAGACATGGCAAACTTATCAAACGTTTTCTCCAAAAAGAACCCCAGTCTCGTGAGTTCACGGTGATTGAACAATTCTGGCAAAGTATGAAGAATCAGTTTATGGTTAACTATCGGTTCAGTGTTCCACTTCTTTGCCAACTGGGCTAGTCTGGCTTTCCTCACCACGACTTTTGCAACCACCAAAAGCACCAACGCCACGACGAGCCAGCTGTACCTGGCGAAGAATTCTGGAAATATCATTGTTTGGGGTTTAGGGATAATGTGTTTTGAAATTTTACAAGGCTCTTTTTAGGTGGGACTTCGGTCCTTATATACTCCGAGGCCCTTGTGATTTTGCATTCCCCACACTCGGTGGCAGTGCAGGATTCCGAAACCAGTCCAGAAGACATTTGCAGCCATAAGATGAAGCAAAGGGAAGGTTTATTGGATTTCAGGAATTAGCTAGAGATGAAGAATGGATAGTGGTTTTGTGGGTTTCTGGCGGTTGACTCACTTGACTCAGAGTCACGCATGGCGCCTGAGTCACCGCGTTTTCCACTGCTTATACTACCAGACGAAGATTCACTACTCTTTCTGTTTCGTCTACTTTCTCTTTCTATAGTTTTTCATGGTCACTGTTTATGGTGCCGTGGTCGACTCAGCCACGCGGTGTGTTCATTACCATACCGACGTGGACATTATAGCGATCAAATTCAAGTGCTGTGGACGCTATTTTCCATGCTTTCAGTGCCATAATGAAGAAAGAGGCCATGAAGTGGAGAGGTGGAACTGGAAAGACCTAGAAAACGAAGAAGTGGTTCTTTGTGGCTCGTGCAAGAAGGAATTGACGTTTTCAGAGTATAACGATGGCCAGGCCCAGTGTAAGTTCTGCCTGGCTCAGTTCAACCCCAAATGCGCTTTACACTATGACTTGTACTTTGACTTGAAGAAGGAAACACAATAGAGAGTGGAAGAGATTTGCAGAGGATGGAATTGGCTCCTTTGTTTCCCCTGGAAGCCGTACTACTAGTTTTCCAACAGACAATAGTCAGATGTCATTGTCGCCGGAGTTTTGCAAGTCCGACCGGAGTTTACTGATAAGCCTCGAGATACTCGAGGGGAGACAGCTAAGGCCTTTGGAGATTTGGAGATTTGGAGATGGATATGGCATGTTCATGTGAGAGTGGTAAAGGAGGGGAGAGGAAGCCAGGAAACGACTTGGGGCCATGGCTTCTTGGCTGTCTCGGTATATGCGCTTTCTTGGCTGGATGGAGAGAACGAGGTTTAGGTGATGGCGGGGGTTGAGCAATTGGAGGAATGTGAAGAAAGAAGGGAAGTGGGAGTTAGGAGGTAAATGGTGGTTGGTGGTTGTGGTAGAAGGAGAGGGTGGTTTGTAGTGGAAGGTGAATTTCACAGTAGGAGGTCTGTTAGGGACTACTAAGTGAGTAAGAAGTGCTTTATGAGGTCTACTGGGGGACTGGTAAAGTTCACTGGAGGACTATTGGAAGATGTCTGGATCTGTATTGGAGGATTAATGGGGAACTACTGAAGGTACACTGGATGTGGAAGATATGACTAAGGCTTGGCTGGAATTGGCTGGAATTGCTGCAATTGTCTTATGATTGTTTGAAGATATTTTTTGAAGTGGCTGGATGTCAAATTGAAGACTCTTAAGTAATTGTTTTGAGGTTTTGTTGACGCTGGTGATGGTTTAGGCGACTCTGTGGACCGTTAACTGAGGAAGATACACTTACACTTCCAAAAGTCACCAGAACCAAGAAACCAAGGAATTTTATAAATCAGTCAAGTTCAAGCACGGTCTAGATTGTTTCCTTCTCTGGATCTCCCTTTGGCAAAGGTCCTTGTATGACGATATGAAAAAGGTGGTAGGAGACTTCCAGCGAGATCTTCCATAAGAAATGGCCATATAGGCTATTCTACCGTTTGGCACCTTCAAGCGCTGACGAATACACCATTATGTCATTTAAACCAAGACACAGTGACAACCTTTCTTTTCTTGGCTAACCACACCTCCATTGACCTCCAGTGACCTCCACCAGTCCACACTCACCTCAGTAATCACTTTCCCACCAACAAAACCACAAACAAAGCATACATTGACGACGCCAGCCGGTTAAAATTTGCCTTCACACACTGAAAACCAAAAAGACTACCTGGAATCACCAAAACTGGCCTTCTACAGCCATCCACAGCTTCTTCTACGTCTACTGGTAATCTACCACCACCAGCCACTTCCAGCCACTCCCAACAACTACAACCACAGCCATTGCCATCCCATCATATGTCACTCCCTCCACTTCCCTCCACTTCCTCCATCACCCTCTCATCGCCTTCCTCTTCGCTTGCGTCCTCAGCCAACGGCCTCAGCCTCATTTGCAGCCATTCCATCCCAAGGCCTCACCTGGCGCAGCCATCTTCTTCCATTTCCATCACCACTAACAGAATATCCGGCACTTGCTGTGCCCAACGTGGCCCGTCCAAGAAAACTGGCAAAAAGCAGCCCAAACTGAATTACCATAATAAACTGGCACCAAGCATAGCCGACTGGCGCCAAAGGCTGTTTTTCGCAGCCATTCGAGGGAAGACACTGGGAAGATGAGGATAGTAAAAGAGGGAGAAAGGAGGGATGTTGAAAAAAACAGAAGATTTAGGGAAATCCTACTTTTCTCTTTAACCTGAAATATGTTACTTTTCTTTCCAAAAAATTCCAGAAATCCAGGTTTTTCTGGACACTTCCCTTGGTCTGTACTCCCCCACTGAGGGGGCCTCACCGCAGCAGTCCATCACTTTTAGTCTCTCCAGCCTCGAAAACCTCGAAAACCTCCACCACTTCCCCCCAAAACAGGCCAAATTCCGTTGATTTTCCGTCGGCAAAAACTATATAAACAGGCCAATTCCCAACTTTTTTTCCATCATTTTTTACCCTCCATCCATACATTTACCATCCCCTTTAGCTCCCTCCATCTTTGGCTCCTCGTCCCCCACGTCACGAAATAGGCAGTGCGGATTTCGCAACCAAAATACACACCAAGTGCTACTTTTAGGTCACTTTCCAGTGTCTACATCCATCCACAAACCACCTTTTCTTGTCGTTTTGTCTTTTTGTGTTTCTGATTATTCACGTGTGAATCTCCATTTCCATATCCTTTGTTGGTCTTTGTTTATCCTGGTTTGTAACAAAACTCCCTGGGCAAACCTTATCTGAGCACCAGTGCATCTTTAAACAACCACTTATCGAGTCCCAAAAGGTCACCTCGTCTACTACACTGCTAATTGCTGTTTCCTTCATCACATCATGTCCAAAACATCCGTTATCGTGTCCAACCTTGCCAAGCTGGACTTTGTTAAGGAAGGCTTGTCGCTTGCTCTTAGCGACCAGATCAAGTTGGCGGTGTTGAACCTCCATAACGACCAGTTTCCGGACCTTTTGCCGCTTATTACTCACTGGCTGAACCTTCCGTTTCTTAGCAGGATTGTGATTATCTTGCAAAACGAGGAGGCGGCGTCGTTTGTGTATGATTTCTTGCAAAATGCTGTTTCTGGGTCAGGGAAGCTTGTTTTGCCCAGCACGGCAAAGCTTCTGCTTCAGGAGAACCTCTTGCTGACTTCGAAACTGACAGATAACTTACACGAGGCGAAAGAGCTCGACGTGACCCATTCTTTGGAGAGATTCCGTTCTACTCACGCTTCTGGCGATTACAAGGAACCCGAGCCCCAGAAACCAGCCAATCCTGACGCTCCTCCAAACTACGAAGCATTAGACCTTCGTAAACTAGGCATTGAGCAAGGCCTGGACGTGGCTCCTCCTACTCCTCCTTTGGAGAGATCCAGGTCTGTCACGAAAACGCTATTCAAGCCTTCCTTGAAGCTCAACACTACAGGTAAAGCCCCCAACGACGCTCCAGCTTCTCCTACAATCACGCTTGACGAGATTTAATTACACAAAAGGATGCTGTTGGTGGCTTTGTTTTGGGAGGATGGATTATGTCATTTTCACGTGACTTCAGGTCCCACTTGGAAATCTCCAAAATCATTGCGCCCCATTCTTTTCAACCATACACTTATCATGGCTGTGAAAGGATTAGGCGAAATCGACCAGAAATACGACGGCTCCGGCTTGAGAGTCGGCATTCTCCATGCTCGTTGGAACTCCAAGATCATCACCGCTCTTGTTGACGGTGCAGTGGCCAGACTCAAGTCTTTCGGCGTCAAGGAAGAGAATATCGTTATTGAGAGCGTTCCAGGCTCTTTTGAGTTGCCTTACGGTTCCAGACTCTTTGTTGAGAAGCAGCAGAAGTTGAACAAGCCATTGGACGCTGTGATCCCAATTGGTGTCTTGATCAAGGGCTCCACCATGCACTTTGAGTACATCTGTGACTCTGTCACGCACCAGTTGATGAAGCTCAACTTTGAATTGGGACTTCCTGTGATTTTTGGTGTCTTGACTTGTCTTTCTGACGAGCAGGCCGAGGCCAGAGCAGGTCTTATCGAGGGTAAGATGCATAACCATGGAGAGGACTGGGGCTCTGCTGCCGTGGAGATGGCCTTGAAGTTCAGAGTCTAGGCTTTGATGGATATAAAGAAAACGAAAAATACACATAGATACATTATCCATTGATGTAGGAGGTTGCGGAGGTGGGTGGGGGCAGTGGTGGATGAGATTAGTAAGCGATTGGGGAGCAAGACCTGGCGATTGACTGCTGATGAGGGTGGATTGGATAATGCTGGTCCCTTGTCGTCAATTGACGTTGTTTATGTCCAAGTTTAATTGTTTTGATCCACTATCATCTAAGAAATAAGGCTCTGTAGACTAATGGCCATACGAGCAGCCAAGTAATGAAATTGACATCAATTGAGCCTGCTTTTCAACTTTTCAGAAGAAGCAGTAACAGTATAAATCAACATTTATTGAGCATTGACTCCATTCATTGGTTTTAAAAGGCCCTATAGGATATCCATATACCACACTCCAGTCATATAAAGCCCCAGTATATCCCAATAAAAGTCCAATATATATACCTACTTCGCTTCCAAGTAAATAAATAAAGCACCCAAAACATACCCTGATCACTTAGAACCACCTCTTCACTCAATTCCACATACTTTGCTTACTCCTCTCTTCTTCACCTTCCACCCACCCCCACTGCCCCAAAAACGCCCCAAAAATGCCCCAAAAATTCCCAAAAAAATTACCCTACCATACTTGACCACCATAAATCCAAACCCCCACATTTCCAACTCCCCTTGACTTCCATCCCCTGAAACCAGCCAAAGCAGCTTTCCTCCCTCACTTTTCCAATTCCACCACCAACCACTCCAAATCCACGATCCAACTCTCTCACGCCACTTAAAACCCAAAACTGCATAAACCGTAAAAAAAGAAAGCCCTTCCGTTTAAAACGAAACCCTTCAGAAAAATCCAGCATTTTCTTTACAAATTCCACATCCCCATCCTCGTTGGACCTTCCCTTACCAGCCACTTCCTTTTTTTTTTCGCAGCCGTTTCGCTCCAGCACCGAAAATGACCAAAGAATGAAGTCCACGAAAATCACAAAAATCAAGGAAAACCGGGGGTTCAAAAACCCAAAAATTAAAGTAACCAGGTAGATCCCCCACGGGATCCCCCAATCGACCCCCAATATTCCCCCAATTTGCCCCCACCGTCCCCCAGTCTCCCCCAAACTCCACCTCCACCAACCCTCTGCCCTCACGTGACGCCACAACGCTGTTGGAAGACATGCACATATGCAGGCATGATATCTACCCAGAGACCTAGAGTTCCCTTCTAGTCTATAAGTTGCTAGCAACCCAAGAAAATTCCCAAGGTTGCTGGGTTGCTGGGTTGCTACTGAATGACTCCAGATTGCTACCAGTTGTACTATATAAGGATGTCGACTTTCCTCCATCCTTCTAGCTTAACTAGTTATCTCAATACACTATGAACCACTCAACTACTCAGTCCGTTATACAGACCTCCTTATCTGCAGTCCGTGCACCATACACCGAACATCTTTATAAAGATGGTGGTAACCTTGAGCACCAACAAGAATTTGTGTATCCTTTCAAACTTAGCGCTAAGGATGACTACTTGTACTGGCTCTTCCAGGTCACTCTCGAGATTCAATCTGTATTCTCCCTGGACACTGCTCAGTATGTGGCAAAGTACCTCCAAGGTGGAGAGAATGATGCCAAAGAAGCGTTACGTGATTTGAACAGGGATCAGTCCAAGAGGATCATTGACAATTCCAACAGAATTGCAGAATCCATTATGAAGAACTGCAAGGATATCTTCTTGGGCAACGCGTACGCAGCTGCTTCTAGCAAGTTGGAGTCTCTTAGAATTCGCCATCAGAATGAGTTCAAGTTCAACGCCGGCGAATTTGTGGATTACCTTACTAGATGGGGTAAAAGAATTTTGGAACTGGTTAACTCTGGCAATGGTACCAAGAGGCAGCACTTGTGGATGTTAACCTCGAACGGGTTCACTAACAAGGAACACTACTTTATGGCAAGTTTCGTTCACCATGGAGGCAATCACAAGCCAACCATCAAGGACTACTTTGAGGAGCAAGGTATCAAGGATATCAACCTTGCTGACCGTTACAATGATTCTGTCACCACTAATCAATTGTACTTGAAGAATGAGAATCTTCCATGGAACGGTCCCACCATGGCTCCGAAACCCACCACTATGTTTTATGTGGGTAAAGGTGGGATGTGCTCCTATTGCAACAAACCCAATCATGAAGAAAAGGATTGTTGGTACAAGTTCCCAGAACAGAGACCGCCAGTGAAGAATCCTCAAGGAAACAAGCGGAAGAGGAACCACAATGGCAATCGTGGTCCTAGGAACAACAGGAACAAACGGAGAAAACCCAAGACAAACAACAGCGCACCATTTCCAAGTCACATTGGATGCGTGTTTGATGTCTCTGTTCCTGGACATTCCCCTAGAATGACAAACCAATTCGGAAGTTCCCCTTTTCTTTGGGACACCGGAAGTGAAGTTCACATTGTCAAAGACTGGGACTTGCTCTATGATTTTGTCAAAAGCCCTCAGGTTTTTGCAGGTATTGGAGGCATGAAGTTGGTCTCAGAGGGCTATGGCAAAATTAAGGGAACTGATGCGAATGGAAATGCTATCTTATTGGACAAGGTTTATTATTTGAAGAAATCCAAGGCCAATATCATCTCTGGAAAGAGGCCATTTGGAATTGAGAACTTGACCTTTAGACAGCAGGATTCCACTTTGAGAGATGGCAATAACAATATAATTAACCGGACTGACGCTCCCGGATATGTAATTGTCGACCTCAAATGTGAAACGTTCAAGAAGCCTAGGGTATACTTAACTGAAAATGAGAAACAGCGCGCCTACCAAGATGCGCATACCCTGGTCAATAAGGTTGATTGGAACACTAAAGCAACCTTTTCTCAGAAGGATCTTGAAACACACATTCGCACAGGCCATCCAAACCATCAGCAGTATGCTCAACTTAGGAAAGAGAATCCGTGGCTACCACTAATTGCGAGTGACATTAGAACCCACTGTCAGGCATGTCAACTTGGTACTATGACAAACAAACGCAAAGAACATGAGAGTGAGACAGTTGTTACAAGACCATTGCAGGTAATACATGCCGACGTGTGTGGACCGATTCAACCTTTCGGATATGATTATTCGCAGTACTTTCTAGTTGTCGTTGACAAGTACACTCGGACCTACTATGTCACTCCCATGCGGATGAAGGGGGACACCAAATTGGCCCTCTACAACACTCTTTCCCAGTTGAGACATGATTTCCCAGATGGTAAATTTGATGAGTTAAGAATTGATAATGGGCTCGAATTTCAAGGACCTATGGGCAGACAAGGTCACATTGAGTCACTCTTACAACTTGGTATTACTCCCAAATACACCTCGCCTTACAATTCTCATCAAAATGGAACTGCTGAACGCGCTATTAGAGCCTTACTGGCCAAAGCGCGAGTGTTACTCATTCAGAGCGGGCTTCCGTTGACCTATTGGCCAGAAGCATTTAAAATGGCAGCCCATGTGTTAAACAATCACCCGAAAAGCCAGAATTCGTGGTCAATTCCTTACACCTTCAAAGGTCTGAACCCCAAAAGTCAGCACATCTGGAATACTCCACCTTTCGGGTGTCTTGGTAATGTGATGATTCCCAACATGGAACGAGGAAACAAAGTGACACCAACAGCTGTCCCTTGTGTATTTGTGGGCCCCGCCTCTCTGCGGAAAGCCTATCGCTGTTTGATCTTGAAAAATAACAGGCCCACAAACCATGTCATCGAAACACACCAAGCGTCGTTCTTGTGCAACAAAATGCCGTTAGTTGACAATCGGATCGATGAAGCAAACGATCCCAGTGTTAATCATTTATTGAGTAGGAGTCACCCATATCACTTCGTTAGTGAAGAGTACGAAGACGCTGACTCCCAATTTAGTCCTGTTCCAGTTGACAAAATGGACATTTCGACTCCCGCGCAACTGTCTAATGAGACGTCATTAGACCTCGAGCAAGCATCCACTAAAACCGATCAGATTTTGACCTCCTCACCCCGGAAAGTTGAGGAGGATGTTTCTCTGTCGGCCGGTATCTCCTCTTCCTTTGACAGGGATGGAATGGATACTGAAGAGGTAGAAACGCAAGAAGCGACCCTGAGTGAACCAAGTGGAGCCTCTACAGAACCTAGGCTAGGTTCGGGAGAGCAACAGCCATTGAGGACAGACCCGAAGAATGAACGTCAACACAATTCTCGGAAGTCGTCCCGGCTTGCCGAAAAGCGCCGTGCTAAGTCTGATATGTGCCAGAACACGGGTAAGACGAAGAAGACAAAAGTGAAATACGCCGTGACGAAGGTGAAATATGCGAAAGGAAACCAATCGGCCAAACTGGCGAAAGGGGGAAATAGGAGAGTCAACCATCTCAGGAGAATCGGCCAAGTCAACAATGCCGTCCTCGACAACAGTGTACATCAGCCCTTTGACAACACGTTTGATAGTCGAGTACTTTACACGGTTGATGACTCCCTCGCCAATTTGCCCTTCATGAACGATACGCATGCTGTCAACTACGTTAACCCTAATAAGAGGAACAAAGAAGAAGAAAAGAATACAGTTCACTACATTCCAGAAACGTACAAGGAAGCTATCTCGTGTGACGACCAAGCTAAGTGGAAAGAAGCAATCAAAAGTGAGTTGGAGTCCTTAAAATCGAATGACACCTTTACAGAGACAGACCTACCATATGGCCGCAGACCAATTGAGTACAAATGGATCTTTAACATTAAACATGATGGCACCTATAAGGCAAGACTTGTGGCCAAAGGTTTCTCCCAAATTAAGGACAAGGATTACAAAGAGACATTCTCCCCAGTTGTGAAGTACGATACAGTCAAAATCAGTTTAGCTCTAGCAACCAAACTACAGATGAAAGTTCACCAAGTTGATGTCAAAACTGCCTTCCTCAATGGCCGGTTAAAGCTGGACTTGTATCTTACTATCCCCGAGGGACTCCAAACTCAATCAAATCGCATGAAGGTACTTAAGCTAAATGGCGCACTCTATGGACTAAAGCAAGCTCCCTTGATCTGGAACCTAGAGATCAACAAGAAGTTGATCCTGATAGGCTTTACTCCTAATAGAAAGGAACCCTGTCTTTACTACAAAAATGTGAGTGGAATAATGGTGATCGTGGTCCTCTATGTTGACGACATGTTGATAATGTGCAAAGATGAAAGTGTCATCAAAGCTGTCAAAGCTGAATTAAAGCGAAGTTATGATATCAAGGATCTTGGGAAAGCTAGCAGGTTTCTCGGTATGAACATATGTCAAACAAATTCTGGCTACTCCGTATCACTCAAAGAATACATCGACGAAAAGATAACAACCTACCTTGACAATGATAAACCATGCTACAATCCTTGCGCAACTGATTGGAGTGAAAAGTTGCTTCCGCTTGATGATGATGAACTATTCGAGGACCCCGGTTTGTACAGAGAAATAATTGGCAAACTTCTCTTTGCGAGTACAACAGTGAGATATGATATTGCTTTCATTACAGGTGTTTTAGCTCGGTACTGCAATAAGCCAGCCTTGAAACACTTTGAGTATTGTAACCGCGTATTACGGTACTTGAAAAGCACTTCTGAATTCTCATTGAATTACACTTCTAAGGATAAGAGTTCGAGGAACTTTATCAAAGTGGCTGGTTATAGCGATGCTGATTGGGGGAACTGCAAAGAAACTAGCAAGTCAGTCTCAGGACTTATCTTCACCATGCTAGGTGCCCCAATCCTCTGGAAATCGAAGAAACAAGGACCTGTTGCTTTGTCCTCAACAGAAGCTGAAGCCTATGCTCTATGTGAAACAACACGGAACGCTGTCTGGCTCAAAGACTTCCTTATCTCATTAGGACTTTGGACAGAAAAGAGATGGATCCCTATCTACGTTGACAATCAAGCTTGTTTGAACATTGCCCTGCAAGAAAACTTTACTTCAGAAAGAACCAAACACATTCGCATCAGACTCAGTTACATCCAAGACGAATGCAAGAATGGCAATGTGAATCTTATTAAGATTCCTACAGAAAACAATCTATCAGACATCTTGACAAAGGGACTCACCACAGACACGTTCAATCATTTGAAGAGCTTAGGCTGAACTCAGGTCTCAGGCTAAGAGCGGGTGTTGGAAGACATGCACATATGCAGGCATGATATCTACCCAGAGACCTAGAGTTCCCTTCTAGTCTATAAGTTGCTAGCAACCCAAGAAAATTCCCAAGGTTGCTGGGTTGCTGGGTTGCTACTGAATGACTCCAGATTGCTACCAGTTGTACTATATAAGGATGTCGACTTTCCTCCATCCTTCTAGCTTAACTAGTTATCTCAATACACTATGAACCACTCAACTACTCAGTCCGTTATACAGACCTCCTTATCTGCAGTCCGTGCACCATACACCGAACAAACGCCCATTTATCGTCCATCATCGTCCAAATCCACCTTCTCTCCTCCAACCCACCATGAGTTGTACGTACTTCTAAACCCCCCCCTCCTCCCTCCCCTTACTAACATCAGTCCGTCTTCTTGACTTGGCCAAGTTTTTCACGCCCTTGGTTCCGGAAATCGAGTTTCCTGACGAATCCGTCAGTCTCGATGAAAAAGTCATTTACACCATTGGAGCTGGCATCATCTTTACCTTGACCCAATTGCCTACATATTCGCTTGTGAAAGATGCTTCTCAGCAGATGATTGACCCATTTGCCACGTTGAGGCCGCTTTTCGCTATGGAGCAGGGCACTTTGTTGGAATTGGGCCTTTTACCGGTGATTCTTGCTGGGTTCGTTTGGCAGTTGGCTGCTGGCGCCAAGTTGCTTAAGGTGAACTTTAACTATGCTTACGATAGGGAGTTGTTCCAGACGGCGCAGAAGGTGACGGCGGTTTTCTTTGCTGCTGTGTTTTCGCTTGCGTTGCTCTTCCTGGGCTACTTTGATAATGTGCTTAAGGGTGGAGAGAAGACTGCTTCTCCATATGGAGCGTATGTGTTGATTTTCTTGCAGAACGTTGGCGCTTCGTTGTTTATTACCTTGATGGCTGAGGTTATCGATAAGGGCTACGGCTTTGGCTCGGGCGTTTTGTGCTTCATTGCCTTGCATGCTGCTGCTGGACTCGTGAGAGACGTGGCTGGCCTTGAACAGGTCGCTGCTGCTCCTGGCGAGGCTCCTCAGACTTATGGTGTGCTTACTTCGTTGGCCAAGACCCTTGTAACCTTGGATTTTGGCTCTATTAAGGACTCCTTGGTTGGTTTGTTCTTCCGTCCAAACTTCCCAACCATTGGCTCGGTGCTTTTGGTTTTGGCCGCTGCTCTTTTGACCATTTACTTGCAAAACTTCCGTTTGGAGATCCCAATCAGATCCAGCAAGGCCAGAGGCACTTCTAACGTCTACCCACTTCGTTTGTTCTACACTGGTGCTTTGCCTGTGTTGTTTGCCTTCTCTGTGCTTGGTGCTGTTCAGGTTGTGCTTTACTTTGTTGCTGTGTTCTTGGCCCCAGTGAACCCATTTGTGAGTTCTCTTATCGGCTCTTACTCTGAGTCCGGTAGAGTTGTTGACGGTGTTGCTTTCTACTTGACTGCTCCATCTTCAATTATCGAGTCTGCCCTTTCTCCAATCAGAGCTGTTGTCTACTCCGTCTCTGTTTTGGTTTTGGCTATTTCTTTCGCCAGAGTGTGGGCCTTTACTTCCGGTTCTGCTCCAAAAGACATTGCCAGACAGTTCAAGGACCAGAGCATTGTTATTGCCGGCAAGAGAGACGCCTCTGTTGCCAAAGAGTTGACCAAGACCGTCAACAGCGCCGCCACTGCCGGTGCCGCCATCTTGAGTGGTGTCGCTCTTGCAGGCGAATTGCTTGGATCTTCCGGCAAAACCGTTGCAGTTGTTGTGGGCATTTGCTCTGCATTTGCCATTTTGGAGGACTTCATGATGGAGTTCCAGCAGGGTGGAGGCTCCAACTCCCAGCTTGTCAATGCCATTGCTTCTTACCAGTAAGCATCCGGCTCTGAACGATGTACTATCCGATAGATATTGAGCCCACGAGTAATTAATAAAACAGTTGAACACGAGGTGGCCACAGCCAGCGTAGAACGACCAATTGAGCTATCTAAAGCATTCAAAGTAAGGAACAGGCCACGAGGAAACTACCTGAACCCTACAAAACGCCCAATTCCCTTTTGTTCCACTTCTGTCCACTTCTTTCCAGATCTGACTTCTTCCTTATACTCACTTCTATAACTGCATTACTACCATCCACAAGTCCACCAAAAAGCACCCAAAACACTCCAAAAAAGCCCAAAACCCTCCAATTCCAATCCTCCACCCCCAAGTACCCCCAAAAACCACTCTCAACCTCTCCTCCACCTCCCCCATCCGTATATCCCATTTTGCAGCCATTCCTGACTCTGCGCATTCTCCAGATTCCATTTTTCACTTTTCTCCATCTACACTTCTTCCAACTACAACCCCAACTACAACCTCCAGAGTTCCCCCATGAGAGTAGTCATCCAGAAAGTCACCAGAGCGTCCGTGACCGTCGAAAACTCAGTCGTCTCCGCCATCAACAAAGGACTCATGGTGCTTGTGGGAATCTCCACCAAAGACACTTCAGACGATGTGGACAGAATGGTCAAGAAACTCGCCAACCTTCGGCTTTTTGAAGATATGGCTGCTGCTCCAGAAGGCATGGGATGCTGGGCAGGTAAGCCCTGGGCCAAGAGCTTGGCTCATGATAAAGAGCTTCTGGTGCTTTCTGTATCTCAGTTTACGCTTTATGGTACAGTGAAGAAGGGGACTAAGCCTGACTTCCATAGAGCTGCTAAGGGCCAGGTGGCAGTGGATTTGTATACGGAGTTTTTGGAGAAGCTCAGGAAAGAGCTTGGCGATGAGGAGAGGGTGAAGGATGGCCAGTTTGGTGCTATGATGGACGTTGAGTTGGTGAATGAGGGGCCAGTGACGATTGTGTGGGATACGAGTGATATTGGGTTTTAGCGACCAAGCTGTAGCGACTAAGCTGTAGCGAAGCTACAGGTTGGGAGCTACAGTTTGGGAGCTACAGCTGGAGATACTTGTCTTGAGCTACAGTTTGGAAGTTACAGTTTGAAGGCTACAGCTAGAGATACATGTCAGCTAGAGATACATGTCTTCAGATACAGTTTGGGAGCTACAGCTGGAGAGATATGTCTTGAGCTAGATTCTTGTCTTGAGCTAGAGATACAGTTTGGGAAGCTTCAGATACAGTTTGGAAGCTACAGATAGAAGTTTATGTCTTCAGTTAGAGACACATGTCTTCAGCTGCAGTCTGGAGGCTACAGCTACAGTTTGGAAGTTACAGTTTAGAGACTACAGATAGAGATACATGTCTTCAGCTAGATTCATATCTTGAGCTACAGTTGGGAAGCTTCAGATACAGTTTGGAAGCTACAGATAGAAGTTTATGTCTTCAGTTAGAGACACATGTCTTCAGCTGCAGTCTGGAGGCTACAGCTACAGTTTGGAAGTTACAGTTTAGAGACTACAGATAGAGATACATGTCTTCAGCTAGATTCATGTCTTGAGCTACAGTCTGGAAGCTTGAGCTACAGGTTGGGAGCTACAGCTAGAGATATACATCTTCAGCTAGATTTCTGTCTTGAGCTAGATTTTCAGCTAGGTTCATGTCTTTAGACACCGTTTGGAGGCTACAGCTAGAGATACTATCTTCAGATACATTTATATCTTCAGATACATTCATGTCTTCATCCAGACTTATGTCTTCAGATACATCTATGTCTTGAGCTTCATTTATGTCTTGAGCTACATTTATGTGTTAAACTAGAGATGTGTCTTAAGGAAGGGATATGTCTTGAGCTACATTTCTTTAGATACATGTCTTCAGATACATGTCTTCAGATACAGTTTGGGAGCTACAGCTGGAGTTACGTCTTGAGCTACAGTTTGGAAGTTACAGCTAGATATTTATGTCAGCTAGATTCATGTCTTCAGCTAGATTCATGTCTTGAGCTAGATTCATGACTTCAGCTAGAGAAATGACTTCAGCTAGAGATACGTCTTGAGCTAGATTCATGTCTTCAGATACATGTCTTGAGCTACTGAAATATGTATTCAGCTAGAGATACATGTCTTAAGTTAGAGATTTGTCTTCAGCTAGAGATATGACTTGAGTTTCCTTTCTTCAGCTACATCCTACGCAACTGTAGCTTCGCTTCACTTGCTTCGCTACATGTCTTCAGCTTCAATCTACGCAACTGTAGCTGGCGCTACACTTGCTTCGTTCATTAAATATATTACAATAGACTAAACGGTACTTGGCGTACACTCAAACGGCAGGCCGTACAATCCCGATTGGTACGACAAGATAATGCTCTGAATAGTAGCATAAAGACCAGGGCCAAGAATATAAAGACCAATAACCACCAAAGCAATGTTGGCAATGAACTCAAGCTTGACCCACCACACTGACGTCTTAAAAAGCTCAAGGAAACTCACATCTGGGTTGTTGTGTCTCTTAAGGCGGAAGTAGGCGACGCCCCAGAAGACGAAACCGAACCAGCAGTCGAACAACGACGACATGAGAGAAAGCAAGTCGGAAAAGAAGGGAATGACTTCGGCAATAATGAATGCAATGACCCAAATAACCGCATTGAGTCCAATCCACACGGACCAGCCAAGCACAGTATGGTCTTCTCTGTGCTTATCGCCTTCTTTAAAGATCATAAGGAACAACCATTGTGACGTCACGTTGGAGTATAACGAGCCCAAGAAGAGAATCGTGGGCAACGCAAACGAGTAAGCAATCTTCTTATAATTACCCACAAGCGAACCAAACGCTGGAGCTGTCATGTACTTGTTACCAACGTAAACGTACACAATCAGGCCAGCCAAGGCGAAGGTGATCAACTCACAAACAGTCACCACCCACAAAGCTTTCTTAAAGTCCTTTGGCTGCTTCATCTGGGAAATAAACGAAGGGTACGTGATCTGGCCAACAAACGTATACAAAATGTTCAACATGGCCGACATTCCCTGGACGTAGGTGGTTCCTTTCGCTGGCCAGAGGTTCCATTCCACTGGCGAACCGTCGTAGCCGGCTGGATAGTCCTGAACACCAGCAAACGCCATAGAAAGCACCACAGAAACGAACATAGTAATAGCAGAAACGTAGGCAACGCCAGACATGGACGAAAAGGTTCTAGGAAGCGAGAATAGAAAGCATATCACAGCACTCACCACGGCAAACACGATCTGGCACACGTAGATGGACCCGCCTTCGTAGTTATCTGAAATCGTACTAAAGTACTTTGCACCCACCAAAACGTGAAGCGCCGAAATCAAGGTGTTATTCAAAATAAACGCCACCGCCGTAGCATACCATACAACCTTCGAATTCCAAAAAATATGCTGTCCCACGTCACACACCGACGTAACGCCAGGGTACGTAATGCAATAGTCTGTGATGATGCAACCCGTATAAAGACAAGTAAGCGAAATGCCAGCAGTAAGAATCAACCCTGGCACCAACCCCAACACCGAATACGACCATGGAAACGACATGATGGCCAAACAAATGTACTCTGAAAAAAGCAACCCAGCCGTCTTCTGCCACAGGCAGTTCTGGTAGTTGATCACAGGAGAAACCTCATCTGAGAGCTTCTCCCACTCGTCGTCTGTCTTTTTCTCGATCAGCGACATAAAAAGGGATATTTGGGAGGGAAAGGAGGAAGAAGAGGATCTTGCTTTCTTATATGATCAATGCACGGTTCACAAAAAGGAAGGTGCAGAGAAGCATCGAGGCTGAAGCCGGCGCCAGGGCGTCAAGTAGAGAAAAAAGGATGATTACGAACTGTGGAGTCTTTTGTTGGGATTTTAATTGGGGTGTTTTTATTGGTTCTGGGGTCAGTTGGTGGTGGTTGGTGGAGGTTGGTGGATTCTGGGGTTGCTGAAAAATTACGTCATTTGCAGCCATTCCTTCTGGTAGTCTACGTCTTCTACTCTGGGTTGTCGTTTTTCGTGTACTCTTTCTGTCACTGACTTTGGATCTGTTTCTGTCACTTGGATCCGTCTGTCACTTTGGAATCGTTTCTTGGCTTCAGCCTCTGATGGTTGCTGGGCGGATTGATGAGCAACGCATGGTTCCTTAAACGGCTCCACAAAGACAGAAAAAGAGAAAAAGCAAGAAATTAAAAGAAAACGGCGATCGTTCCACCCAACGGTCCATCAAAAAATAGGCAAAACCAAGCACAAGGGGAAATAATGCATCCTTCCCAGAATGCAATTCATCAATGCAAGATATCCTCAAGTGTGGCTGCGATTACGTCTTTCCAGTTGCCATTCTTTCTTTTTCTGCAACCGCCTCTGCCGTTGGCATTTTAAGCTTCCTTGCAGTCCGTCATTGTCGGTTGTGGAGAGTTGGAGGTGAAATGTTAAGAAGAGTTGGGGTTGAAAGAATTGGATGGTGGAGAGTTGGGGTTGGTGGACGGGGGGACTCTCGGGGAGACTCTCATGTGAAGAAGTCAAAGACCAGGCCAAAGACCAGGACCGAAGGGACTGGGCTGAAGGGAGAAAGCAGATTGGATGTCAGTAAAAGTAAGTCCCAAAAAATGTAAAACAATGTAGAAATAGAAATAGAGAAGAAGGCATGAGGTCGAAAGTTTAAAGGTTATTAAGGTTGGTGTGACTTGGTGAAGTGGGATGAGTGATGGCTGGACTGAGAATGGGTGCAAAATAGTGTGGGGGAGGGAAAGTGAAGGGAAGGGAGCTCAAGGGAGGGAACTAATGAAGGGAAAAGACATAACCGTGGATTTATGGAACCAAGGGACAACGGAAGACAAGGAGAAACTCAGAAGTGTTTTTTAAAGTTTCAACCGTTTGGATGTACTCAAAGGTGGGTCTTGTGAGAGACCCAGAGCTCTTCTCGTTACTATGTACTGTAGATTCTACTCAAGCACCAACAGTGAATTAGGTGGATTGGACAAAGTGGATGAATTGGATGAATTGGAAGGATGTAATTTTGATGGCTAGAAGTTGAAAGTTGGTGGAGAGTTGGCTGGTTCGGTGATGAGGTGAGATGAGATGAGGTGGGGTGGATTTGGAGAGGTAGCTATACGAATGGACTCTATTTCTGATACTCTCTATTTCTGATACTCGTACTATTTGACTGTTACTGCTTTTCTTCTTTTTCTTCTTCTCTGGTTGTTTGCGCTTTCTTGCTTCTTACCTTCTTACCTTCTTGCTTCTTGCTTCTTACCTTCTTTGCTGGAGAGATGAGCCTGGTTAAACGACGTACGAGCAGACACCGATTACCTTCTACTGGTATGGAACGCTAAAAGACTTTAAACTAAGGAATCTAAGAAGATCAAGATGGCAATACCTGGAGTAGTTAGGGTTCAGATCTACAAGGAATCTGGGAAGGATGGCTGTGGATTGATGAGAACTGGTGCTTATGTATGGACATGATAAGGTTCATTTAACTTCACCACTTAACGTCAAATGACCACTTTTTGACCCAACCATCCATTTTAAAGTACCCTAAAACTTCCCTAGAAAACCTCTACTTGCTTTCTTTGTCCCCTTCTGGCCTCTTCATCTGGTCTGTAATGGCTGCAAATGGCCTTCCCCACGCCCCACGCCAAGACCAAACAAACTGCTATTTTCGTACCTTTCCTTAAACTTCATTCCGGTCCTTCTCTTCTGGACCAGTTCCCGCTGGGGCTCCTGCTGGGGCTCGATCGACGAGATTGACGGTTGGGTTAGGAGAGACAGAAAGTGTGGGGGAAGCCGAGGTTCTTTGGCGTGGGGGAGGCTTTGGAGACTGGAGGTGGGCGGAGCGAAAGTTGTGGAAGAAAAGGTGAGGTGTATTTGGGGTTTTAGAGGTGGGAAGGTGACGATTTGATGGGTTTCGAGGGGGGTTTGGGGCAGTTTGGTGGAGAAAATTGAACCTTTTGGACATCTCTGGTCAGAATGGCTGCGAAAAGAGGTGGATTTGGAAAGTACCGTGAAATGGTCAGTTTTGCTTGGATTTTGTTCGGAATTTCGGGCCTTAGTGGGTCCCGAGGTGCCTGGGTAGGTTTTCCCGGACCTTTTACTTATTATTTCAAGTGTTTACCGTGTTTTACTCGGAGTTCCAGCTGGATCTTTATGGTGATGCCCCATGACGTCATGGATACATACTAGTATATTTGGGTTCCCAGGAACCATCCAAAAAACGTCAGTAGAAGCAGCACCAGTCAAGCCAGTTCATTGACTTGAATGTCTGGATAGAAGAGGTCCCTCTGGTATCATTTTTCCGAACTTTCCGGGCAGTTTCCCGACCTAACCACGGATTGGGTCCTGGAATGGCTGCGAAATCCAGAGAAAGCTTAAAATAGTTGGATATGGTCTGGGAATGTGTTATTTGGAAGATTGTGATAGGCTGGTGGTGGGATCATGGCGTTGGTTGCTTGTTTTGGGTTTTGGCTGGAGGAGTCAGGAAATGGAGGAGGAGGGTAGACGGAGTCAGGCAAGCGATGGAGACAGTAGATATGAACCCAAGGCATGGTATTTCAGGAGGAGCCTCAAAGGCAACTATAGGAAAGCCTAAAATTTCATATACTTAGAGATCTTACTGGCTGGGAGGAAAAGGTGCCAACTGGACGACCAATATGGGAAGTACTACCACTTCTAGTCTTTCCTCGCTTTCTTCACTTTCCAACGTCAAACATTACTTGTAGTTTAAATGATTCTCTAAAGCTTCAAATGACCGTCTTACCCTTCCCTTTTCGTTTTCTTCCACGTAAATCACCACCCTAAACAACCCTCTTCATATACTTCCTAAATATCCACCCACGATAACCAACAGTGCATCTTTAAACCCCCCTCTCCCATCATTCCCTCTTCCTCCAGTACCTTTCTCCCGTCAACCCACGTCCCAAGCCATCCCCCTCCTTTCCCACCATCAATCCAATCCCCTACTTCCTCCAGTACATCACTTCTCGTCACTTCTCCAACCACCTCACCTCTTCACTCTACAACCACCATCCCCAACGCTTCTCCCCCAGTCACACATTTCATGCACCTCTCCTACCAACCATCATCGTTCTCTTCGTAGCACAGATCAAATCCAGCGTTCTGTGTCGAATAAGCATGGGTAAATAGCCGAGGCACAGCGGTAGTCCGATGGGGCCGGCCGTACCGTTTCAAAATAGACTTTCACGAACCCCAGCCGATTTCTTGATCATGCACGGGGAAAGGGAGCTGACGAAGGTCTACTTTTTTTAATTCAAGGGTATTCATTGGACGTTTGGGGTACTCTAGATAAGGGTAGGACGGTGGTATCGCATGCCAGTGGAAGGTAAGCTAAGTGCACCAAAAGAGCCCCAAGAGCCCCCAAACTTTGACAAACCCTTCCAAGCTTCCCCAAGTACTAAAACAAACATTTAAATCTCCTTATTCCTGGCATCTTTCCTCCCATTCACTAATTTCCCACCCAGGTCACGTGACCGTACCGCCAAGAGTCCAAGCAATCCAACCACTTCCTAACATATGTAGGAAACCACTCCAGTTCTGATCCTACTTAACCTCTTCTCCTTCCTCCATCCACCGTTCCAGCATCTACGTCCATGTACATCCCCGAACGCCGTCTAGCCAAAAGAGCCCCCGCCGAGTCCATCGTGGGAGTCGTCATTCTATGTATCATTCTCATCATAGTGGCTATTGCTTTCGTCACCAGAAGACATGTTCACCTGTTCTTCAAAAGGAAGAACTCCCGTCCGTTTAACCAGGAACAGCAGCCGCCAAGGCCTCCCCAGCGTGTGGCCACTTACCAGCCACGCCAGGTTTCCCAGACCCAGTTTCAGACTCAGAGCCAGACCCTAGACGGTTTGCAGCCAGTGAGTACTCCTCCGCCCAAGTACGAACCTCCACCGCCTCCGTACCCTGCTCACCTCAGGGATGAGCTGTGAGACGGGGTTTAGAGAGAGAGAGGGAGAGGGAGAGTTGTGAGGTTAAGCTTTGGAGTTTGAAGAATCTGGGACTCAGATCAGAAGTTGTGTATCTATAAAGTGGAGGTTGAGTTTGAGTTTGGTGGTGAAGCTGGAGGTTTAGTTTCAGTTGGCACTGAAGAGGTACTAAAGAGGTACTGAAGAGGTACTGAAGATTGAGTATGTTGGGTGGAAAGTGAAGTGTACGGTATGGTTCAGTGCTGGTGCTGCTTGGTTCTGGCACGGTACCTATGCTATGATTGCTGATCCAAAAAGAAGTGCTCAGGAGTTGAAGGTTTCAGAATTCATGGAAATGGTTCAGACTTTGATTTCTTGTCGTTTTCACTTGGATTTGGGCAACTTCCTACTTCCAGTTTGCTACTATTCGTTATCTGAGCAGTCTATAATATCCCAGATGACTTGCAACTGCCTTCCCACGACGTCTAGCCGAACCACATCGACAGTTTGCCCCAGCTAAGCCTTCCAGATTGCTCAATCTGCTGCCTTTGCTTCCTGTTGGCCCTCAGCTACCATAGATCATTCAGGTGCCTCTACAACAACTGAACCTTCCAGCTGATTCAACAACTCAAACACTCCACCACCTCCAATTCACTCCACACCGCTCCACATCAATTCCCACCCCACCAGAGAGCCCCACCTGCCTCGTACACCTCCAAACCACCGTTTCAACCACTTTTTGCACCCATTTCCCGAACTGCAACGCTGCCCCTTACAAAATACCTTTACCTTACGTTTATGACCATTTTACACCGATTTACGACCCATTTCCGTTCTAAAAGTCCCTTTTCACGCCACCTTTAATGCAATTTCACGATTTCAACGATAACCTTGATGCCTTTGTTGAATCTATCCATAATCACCATGGCAATACAGCGCATTCTCACCTTGTGCCATCGTCATCACCGCCCTGGAACCGGTTCCAGTCATTTTCTAGCATTAATATATGATTTAAAGATATAAAAAGTATTTAGAAGTCCTCGTAGACCCGGATCTTGGAGGTTATTGGTTTTCAAAGATATCACGTGCTCAGTCACGTGACCGCCATCGCTATAAAACCTCCTAATCCACCTTTTCACCCAACGTAATGACTCCTAAACCGACCAGATTCCACCCCAATATCATCATCACAGGCACTCCTGGATGTGGCAAAACCAGCCTCTCCAAGAAACTCGCCGAAAGTCTCCCAGAAGCAAACTACACCCACTACAACATCAGTGAACTCGCCAAAGACAGAGATTGCATTGAAAGCTACGACAAAGAACGTGATACCGGCGTTGTAGACGAAGATAAGCTTCTAGATGGGTTGGAAGATGATCTCAGAAAAGGAGGAGCCATTGTGGACTGGCACTGTTGCGATATTTTCCCCAAACGCTTGATTGACCTTGTGGTTGTACTCAGAACAGACAACTCCTTGTTATATGATAGATTGAAGGCTAGGAAGTACAGCGATAAGAAGATCGATGAGAATATTGACTGTGAGATCATGGAGGTGATTTTGAACGATGCCAATGAGGCGTACAATAAGGAGATTGTGATTTCTTTGGAGTCGAACAGTGAAGAGGATGTGAAGGAGAACCAGGGCAGGATTGAGGCCTGGGTGGAGATGTGGAGGAAGGATCATGACGAGGGAGTGACCAATGAGGTGGGGAGTACTACGCCGACGAAGAGGTCAGTGACGAAGGAACTGGCCTCGAGGAGGGTAGTGAAGAGGAGACCAGTGACGAAGAGGCCAGTGACGAAGGAACTGGTCTCGAGGAGGGAGAAGACGATGAAGAGGACAGTGAAGAGGACAGTGACGAAGGAGCTGGCCTCGAGGAACAAGGAGACGACGCGAAGGAAGAGCCTGTGGCTAAGAAGAGAAAGACAGACGCTTAAGTCTCCACATAGAATGTACCATACAGAGCAGACACTCCACCTGCTAACAGTAAACCTGTGCCGGCTGCTCCATGCAGCGGCCATGTATTGAAAAATGATATCCCAGGAGATCTAATATACACAAGGCGCCGAGGCGGCGCTGAATTAACAAAGAATGACAAGTACGTTTTGGCAAGGCAGCTCAAAAGATGGTATGGGCGAGCTTGCTGAGCACCAACAAGGCGGCAATGGCAAAGAGGGCAATGACAAAGTAGTAGCCTCTGGTAGCAAAGAAGTACGACCACTTCTTCTTGATGCGGGTCAAGTTGTGGTGCTCCAACTCAATCACGCACTTGGCGTTCTGCTGGAAAATGTACTTGGACTCCTCGATAATGTCAAGCTTCTGCTCCTCAGTCAAGGCGTTTCTCGTGGCCAACTCGTAGTCTCTCTTGTAAAGAAGCCTGAACGCGTTCTCGTCGTCCACGTCAAACTGGAAGAAATTCGTGCCGAGCCTGACGATATCGTCATGCTTTAACCCGTCCTTCTGTGGGAAAAGCCCCGTGGCCCTGGAAATAGACAGTCTCATCACACGGCCTCCAGCGAAAAGCGCCAAGTACATAACGTGCAAGTACGCAAACAAAAGGTACGGCTTCTCCAGCGTCACCTCCTTGATGTGCTCCACAAACTCAATCTGTGCTGGCATGATCGGGTTCATGAACTTCTCCTTCCTGTCGTTATAGTAAAACAACAAGTCCTGCTGAGCAGGCTCACTTCTGGCAATCACTGGCTTCCACACCTTCTCCAACAACTCGCTCCACTCGTCCTTCTGCTCCAACTGGGCGTAAAGCTGTCTTTCCACGGTGGCAAACACGTGGTAGAAACTCTGCAAGCCTTGTCTGTATATCTTGTAGTCTCTTAAAGCCAAGGCGAACTTCAAGGTGACGAGCTTGTCGATTTTGTTGTGGAGGGACCTTGTTTCGAGGTTGATTCTGTTGGCGAGGGCGCCGACGTCGGTTTTGTGGGGGATGGTTTCTTCTTCGGTCAATTTAGACATGATGGAAAAGTGTGGTTGCAAAAAAAAAAAAGGTGCGTTTTTCATGGTTTATATAGTGGTGCCGATATGTCCGGGGGAACGCGCTTTCGGTGATATCGGGGGGGAGTGGAGAGGCTGGGAAACGGTTCAGCCGCACGCCACAGCGAAGGTTTGGGAGGATGAAAAGCGGCAGAAATGGAGATACCGGGTGGGTGGATGAAAAGAAGTGGTTGAATTTTTTTAGGGGCTTCTGGGGTTTGGGAAATTTGGATGTTTGGGAAGAAGTTTGGATTGTCCTGCATATAGCCCAACCACCTCTATCTTCTCCAGTTCATCACCGATGTCCGCAAAAGCACAAACACCAGGACACCGAAACGTCCAATGGTCTGGGACAGTCAAGATTTAGGGTTTTAACTATGTGGGGTGTTGTTGGGAGTGTATATAAGGAGTTTCAAGGGTCGTGCGGTGGCACATATCTTAGAAAAGTTAAAAGTTGGTCCCCCAGAGGTGTCGGTTCTTCTCGCAGGGTCCTTTTGCAGCCAAAGTGGTGGGTTCAAAGTGGGTTGGGCTAGGTTTATGGGAATTGGTAAATGTAGGGTTTATGGGTTTCAGGGTGGATTCTGGTTGCTTGGGTGGTCTTTTTTTGGGGGGTTTGGGGGGTTTTAAGGGACATGTGGTTGGATAGACTGGCTGCGAAAAAGGTCCGTACTAAGGGAACACATGGAATTGAAGAAGGGAATCGAAATGTCTATTTTTTATGCATTATTGGAAGACCAGTTTTTGGTGTTAGTAAGCACAATCTCTGTTGTATAGAGAGAATTGGTACTAGGCAACAAACAGAGATGCTAGTTCACCTTGGAGATATCGGATAGTCTCCCAACATCTCTCTTCTCTCGTAAATGCATAGTCTCTGGTCGCTGGTTTCAGAATTTTACCTTTTCAGGGCAATCAGGAAGTCACACATACACTGGAAACCTTCTGAGATGACCGTTTGGTTTCCTGGAGCCACCTTTTGTAGACGTAGACCACGTTTCAACGAAAGATAGCGTGACCGTGACATATTCAACTTGACAACCTTAACATTTCACGTTTCCATTTTACCAATTGGGATTGCTTCCTTGTGAATTTTCTACACCTGACACTTTGTCACCTTACTTTTAGAAATCAGACAAATCTATTATAAGGGACCACTCGTCTCTCTTCAGACTCACAATCCAAGAAGTTGCCATTAATACACAACAGATTCCTCAACAAAATTTCGGTCTATTCAGGGCTCTACCTAAATTCTTAAACCTTCCAGTAAGCCTTTTCCAAGCTCTCTGGAAAAGTGGAAGCCATCCTTATATCTGGCTGCAAATGTATAGATTCGAAGCCCCATAAGGCCCAAACATACCTCAGAATGTGTCTAGTTTGAAAAGCAGGTCTAGGTGAGCTTTAAGCAACGTGAGCACCATTTGAACTACTGGAGAGTGGTATGTCATGTAATTGGCTTTTGAAGGCCTATGAGGCTTTATGTCTAGTTTGGTGCCAAGTTCAATGGAAGTTCGGTAACCAGACTGACAGAGTGACATACACTTGTAATCTCATATCCTGGGCATGGTGGAATGGACTTTTTGGCGATCACTAGTCATTTAACGATTCCAGTACTTTTGCAACTGATATACCTAGTACAATGTGAGGCTGGTCCAAAGACGCAGGGTAGCATGGTTATATGCAACGCGTACAGCTGGACCAAATGGAGGGAGACTTTTTTGACAGGGCGGGGCAACCCCCGGTTTAGCTTGCCCATACCCCTGGTTTTGCCTTCATTAGACATTTCTTTTTCATTTCTTATCTATAAATTTTCCCAATTGGTTTTGGTTTTTCCGGGATTACTGGCAGAAAGTGTGCTAGGTGGATACCTCACGGAAGATATAACCATGCAGATAGAAGCCGCAAGCCGTTCCTCTTCGGCAAAACTCCGTAAGACCCTCTTTTTCCAAGATATACATAGAAACAAAACAACTATCTAGCGCTTCTCTTCAACTGGTAACTTCTGGCGCTACCAGACTCACGAGAATCTGAAAGCTGGCTCTCCTACACATCTAGATATGTTTAAGACGCTTCACTTTGCTCTGTAGCAACTTAGATAGCTCCTCTGATAGCATTAGACGCCTGAGTGCCAAAAATAAAGACCTACCAAGGACAAATCATTATACAAGTACCACTCTAAATTTAAATATCCACTTTGTAGAAGTGCAAGGAAGTCCGTTTGTCCTCTTGCCGCTACTACTGAGCCCACCCACGTACTTAAGCTTCATTCCTCTAAGTTCTTCAAAGTCAGCCCTAGCCAACAAAGCCAGTTGTGTCCATTACTACCAATGTTACAGTAAAGGCTTTATTGGTAGCCTTCGGTTCATCTAATGTTTTATTCTCATCAGCATCATTCCCTTTGCCCAGCTTTCGGTGGTCACCACTTCCCCATTTGCAGCCAATTCCCACAACTCCAAGGAGACACCCAAGGAGCCCCCAAGGAGCCTACCAGTATCACCAGAAGCACCAGAAGTCCAACTGAATATACCTAAATAGTAATCTTCAGCTACCTCGAGTACCAGAAAAAGCCGTTCAATGTCTAGTTGATGCACTTCCACACCCCAACCACCACATCACCAGACGCCAAACCACGACTCCCACACTTACCATACTTGAGCTTCCAACCCTCCACCTAAACCACCCCTTAACCAAACCACTTCTTTCCATCCTTTACCTCCACACTACCATCACTTCATCCCTCTATTGTCTTTCCAACCCACACCCCTCCACCACACTTTCCGTCCACCTACTGTATTCGGTAGGACATCCAACGAGACATCCACACTTTCAGGCCCAGCCAACCCAACTACCAATCAGCCACCACTACCAACCCCCAACCCAACAGCTCTACCCCCGTAACCCCTCTCCCAACTACAACTACCTCCCTCTCTGCCCCCTACTTTCTCACGTGAATGGCTGCAAAAGATGGATGCATATATAAACCAGGGGAGATCCAGTAGCAACCACTTCTTTTCCACCACTTTTCTTCTACCATGTCTACAACCACCTCCAGAGAGGTCACACGGTACCTGAAGAGAAAACTCAACAACGGCCAGGAAATCCCCGTGGCTGGCTTTGGCGTTTATGCCATCTCCAAGCGCAACACATTCGACTTAGTCTACGAAGCGTTGGTTCAGGGGTACCGCCATATTGATAATGCTGTTTTGTATGGCAATGAAAAGGAGGCGGCCCAGGCGGTGGAGCAGTTTGTGAACGATAGCAACGGGAAGGTCAAAAGAAGTGATATTTGGTATACCACTAAGATCTACGATGGAGACCACGGTTACGAGAGAACCAGGGCTGGCGTCGAGGCAATTGCTGGCAGAGTGAAGGAACACATTGGGTATGTGGATTTGGTGTTGGTACATTCGCCGTTGTCCAATAGGGAGAAGAGATTGGGGACGTGGAAGGCGTTACAGGAGTACCAGGGGGATCCAGGTAATGGGACGCTCCAGATCAACTCTATTGGGGTTTCAAACTATGGAATTAGACACCTTGAGGAGTTGTTTTCCTGGGAGGGCTATAAGGTAAAGCCTGTGTTGAACCAGCTTGAGTTGCACCCTTGGTTGCCCCATATCGAGTTGAGGAAGTACTTGGAAAAGCATGATATCGAAGCTGAAGCGTACTCGCCATTGACCCAGGGGTACAATTTGGACGATCCAGAGCTTCTTGCGTTGGAGAAGAAGTATAAGGTTTCGAAGATTGAGATTTTGTTGAAATGGTCGTACCTTCAGGGGTTTATTGTTTTGGCGAAGACTGGGAAGAAGGAGAGGGTGAAACAGAATCTTGAGGTTTTGCCGGAAACGGGGGTGGTGCAGTTGGATGAAGGGATTGTTCGGGCTTTGGATAAGCCGGGTTCGAAGGAGAGTTTTGTGTGGGGGGTGGATCCGGCGCTGTAGACGTCCCGAGACCTTTCAGGCCGCTAGGCCTGGAAGGTTGAGGGGCGTCTAGAGGGTTTCCTTAGCCTTACAGGCCCCTTTCAGGCCACCAGGCCTGGAAGGTCGTCTGGAAGGCGTCTGAAGGCGACGAAGGGGCAATTGAAAGCCTGACAGGCCCCTTTCAGGCTGCCAGGCCTGGAAGGTCGTCTGGAAGGCGTCTGGAGGCGACGAGAGGGTTTCAGGAAGCCTGACAGGCCCCTTACAGGCCACAAGGGCTGGAAGGTCGTCTGACAGGGTTGAAGAGCGTCTAGAGGGTTATTGGCGGCCTGCAAGGGGCCTGCCAGGGTTGAAGAGCGTCTGGAGAGCTCCTAGAAGACTGAAAGGCGTTTTTATGGTTCCTAGAAGCCTGTAAGGTCGTTTGGGGTTGGCAGGGCGCCTTTAGCGTTACTTGAGGGTTCATGGAAGGACTTTGATAGACCACTAGTCCTGGAAGGTCCTCTGGAAGGCACTTGAGAACCCTGAGACGCCTGAGAAGCCTCCTATGTCTTCCTTATGGCCCCTGAATGGTTCCTGAAATCCCCGAAATCCCTGAAACGTTCTTTTAGATCGCTGGGAGAATGGGAAGACGTTTGGAGAGTTCCTGGCGAACTCTTAGAAGACCTGTAACGCTTGAGTTTACTTATATGACAATAATGAATGATTTATGTTACGTTGGAATGTAGAGTGGCTGGAGATAAATGGATACATGGAAAATAAGGGGACCAATGGACCTTTGGTCTTCAGAAAGTGAATCTCGTGCACTAGTTGATTGTATAAGAAGCGTTCCATAACTGGATTATCTGCTTGTTGCTTCACTGCCTTGGTAATCTACATTTGTAGCTCTCAGTGGTTGTTCTTGCCTACTCCAAATTCCAATAATAAGCTAATTGAAAGGATTAAACGAATGCTGTTTAAAACAACGAATCTGGAGCTTTTGGGCCAGCGAAGAAGCCTCTGGGAAATAACCTTAGCCAGTCTGCTTCATACATTACCAGACCTCTAAAGTAATATATTCTAAGCCAACTAAGTACCATACAAATGAAACTATTTGCATTTTTTTTGACACTTACTTATTGTATAGAGCCTAATTTGGCGTATCTACAACTGGCAAGTGGTGCCCAATGGACCACTGGATACTCATTTGAGTAGTACTGATAAATGAAGCACCATTCCAGTAAAGACGGCGTTCTACCAACTCAATTCAACCTTTACCAAATATTCCATTCCTCTAAAACCAACACTAAAGTTATTTAAGCAGCAAAAGAAGGAGTACAATCTGTTCCACTACCCTTCCCCATATGCCTCAAAAGTACCATTACTGTCCACCAAAAAGCACAATTTAAACCCCCAAACTCCCAAAGACACCCTAAACCAACCCCTACAAAGCTCCTAATTCAACTTAAATCACTCCCCTTCACCCCCCACCCTCTCATCTGTCCATTCCACCAACCAGTCTCTTCCTTCCTCTCTGTACTCCATGAACACCACCAACCCTCCACCGCCTCCACCGCCTCGTCCACCCAAACCTCCCAAACCTCCCGTTCTCTTCCAACCACCTTATTTAACCCATCCCAACTCCCCTTTTTTTCCTCCCCATCTCCAGTCCCTTCCTTTCTCTCCCACTGCCTCTTCCCATTGGCTGCGAAAAGCTGGAAACCACCTACCCCCAGTTATTCCACACCCAAACTGACAACCCGGCAAATCCAACGCCACCAGCCAACTCTCCACCCCCAATTGACCCCGACCAACGCATTTTCCATCAAAATTGCTCCCCCAATCTTCCCCCACGACCTTCCCCCACGACCTTCCCCCACTACGACCCACTACGCCCTACTACGACCCACCACAACTCCACCAATACCCATCCAAACGTCCCCAAACCAGCACCAATCGATTCCTTGATCCCTCCCCATTCCAAACCACCCCATAATTCCCACCCTCCGCCTCCCCTTTCCCCCAAATACCCTCCCTCCCCATCTCATCACGTGATATCAACAATAAACCTCACTTCCATATTCCAACCTCCATACTCCACCTTTTCCCTAAACCTCCTCCAACCTCCTCCCCATGACCACCGTGGGCCAATTGAAACACGACTTGGACATCCTTTCGGCCGAGTGCCGCCGCAAACACTCCGACGTCCGTGCCGCCATCGAAACCGCCCTAAACGAAGCCAAACGTGTTCCTCATGACACTCTCGTTAAAGACAACGAACAACTCCAACACACGCTCTGTGTTCCGTTCATGATGGCTGTCAACGCTGGCCTGAAGCTTAATATACTGTCGCTTTCCGTTTTGCCGAGACTTATAGCTGCCAGGACGCTTCCAGAGACGTTTGCCAAGGACCTTCTCCAGTCGTTCTATAAGAGCGATGTGAACCTGCTGCCGCTTGAAGCGCAGTTGAAAATCCTCCAAACAGTGCCTGGGTTGATGCAAAACTACGAAATCCACGGCCAGAGCTTTTTGTTGCTTGTGGCGGTCTTGTGTCTGCTTATGAACTCTGGAAGCTCTGCTCTTTCAAATACGGCGTCTGCGACGATGCAGCAGGTGTTTTCGTCGTTGTACGATAAACTCGGGAAGCACGAGAAGACGGGGGAGATGGAGACGGTGGAGCTTGCGGCAGCGGGACTGGAGAAACCGGAAATTTTCCATTTGGATCCTTTGGAGTTGGAGTGCTACAGGGTGTTTTCTGACCTTAGCGCTATGGTATCGCAGGATGAAATTGGGTACTTTGACCCTGACATTCAGATCCGCCGTGTGGCGGTGCTTGAAATTATTGAAAATGTGCTTTCGCTTAATAAGAACACGTTTAGGGAGCACCTGGAACTTATAGCCTTGTGCCGGGTGAAAACGTTCCCTGCGTTGCTCAGGTTGGTCAATTCGACGTCGCATAGCTTTCCTACGGTCGTTAGGGCGCTTAGGATTATCCATTTGCTTATAGCGACCCAGTCGGACCTTCTAGGCGTGGAAACGGAGATTGTGCTTTCTTCGACGAACCATCTACTACTTGACGCCGATGAGGGCTCGTCGAGATCGCTGTCGGTGACTAATGTCTCTGGAGAAGTCCAGCCGTCCACGACAATGCCGTTCTGGGTGAAAATTTTGGTGTTGGAGATGTATAAAACGCTTTTCCACAACTTTGACGTTATCAGAGTCATCTACGAAACTCACGATAAGGACGAGAAGAAGAAGAACGTGATGCGTGAGGTTTTCGTGGTTCTTAACCATTATTTGGAGTCCAGCTTGCCCCAGTTCTTTATTGACGAAACTGACCAGGTGCCTAGTGCAGAAAAGAGCTCTCAAAACCGTCTTAGCAAGCAATCGGCTGCTTTGAAAGTATCTCTTCTTGATCATTTAGATAAAACAGACGCTCCAGCTTCGGTTCCACCGCTTTATTCTGCCCATTTGGTGTTCAGAACGCTTATAAACGTTGCAGATGGAGTTTCAGAGTTCGTTTCACGCCTTTCTGCCAACTCCAACACCACTGATCTTGAAGCTGACGTTGATTTCATTACCAGCTTCAACGAGGCCATCTTCCCTGAAATGTTCAAACTCCTCAAAAAGTACCTTCTTTGCAATACCGATAACGAGTACTTCCACAGCGTGGTAAGAGCTATCCAGAGGTATACGCACGCTGTTGGTCTACTAGGATTGACTCTGTTGAGAGACGAGCTTCTTTTGTTACTTTCTGATTGCGTAATCAAGGGACCAGCTCCTGAAGAACCAAGAAAACAGGGCAACTCCAACTTGCTTTCTCTTGGAGAGTCCATTGTGGACACTATAAGCTCTACAATTCAAGCTCCAGGTTCGCCCCAGAACTCCCAGACCACCCAATTTGAAGGAAGTCCATCGAAAACCAGTGTTTCTGACGATAGTTTAGTTTCAATTGGTTCAAGAGTATTCACTTCTCGCCAGATTATCTGCTACAGAGCCTTGACCAACTTGGCGATCTCTCTTGGTCTTACTTTACAAGGATCGTGGAAAATACTCTGGATTACGTTCCAATGGGTAGACTACTTCCTTGGTGGACCTGACGAAAACAGTGGTTATGCTAATAACAAGGACCTCAAGAAGATCCCAGAACCGCAAATCAGCTCTCAGGATGCTAACATCATCCGTAACTCCAGGGGGAAGTTCTTGGAAAGCATCAGCAGTTACCAGCCCCAGTCGTTCGAAGAGTTGGTGAAGGTTTTAACGCAGTTGTATAGTGATGATAAGAAGGATACCAAAAAAGTCCAGCCTTGTCCGTTCAACAAGAGTTTCTTTATCAGGCAAGTGGTTTTGATCGTCACGACCAGTCCATCCCTTTTGCTTGAGAATAAGCCCGTTTGGGACCATTTGATTGGGTACTTTTCGGATTTGGCTACCGACAGAGCCATTCCTCACCATAGAAGGAACTTCTATGTCACTTGCATGAACGATATTGTGGTTAGTGTTACCAAAAAGGGTTTCCATGATTCTAAGGAAACAGACGATTTGGCTGCGATGTCGTTGAATGCGTTTATCACTTTCATTGATAAGCTCTTTGGACTTCCTCAATCTGAAGAGTTGCTTGTTTCCAATTGCGAGACTGAAATGCATCTTACTGTGCTTACCACCGTCAGAAGCCTTATTGACGAGTTTGACGACCGTTTCCAGAACTGCTGGGGCCTTGTGTTCACGATTCTTAGATCTGTGTTCCACAAACATGCTGGAATCGAAGGTCAGGATAAGAAACTTGACGAAAAGACTCGTCTTCTGATTTCCACCTCGTTTGATACGTTGAAGTTGATTTTGGATGAGTTCTTGACGACCCTTCCTGAGGAGCATTTGAGGACGCTTATTGATACACTCGTCAATTTCTGTTCCCAGGAATACGATCTTAACATTTCCTTCTCAGCAGTCAGCTACTTCTGGTCCATCAGTGATACAGTTCGTTCTAATTTGGACGGTGCTTCTTCTTCAAGCGACAGGTCCTTGGAAGAGGCTAATTCGATTCAGAAGCTTGAAAATGCTTTAGAACAGTGTTCTACGGGAACTACCGCGTTCAACCAAGGCTTGAACGTTTACCTTCTTGCAAGATTATCTGATTTATCTTCCGATTCAAGAACCCAGGTCAGAGAAGGTGCAATCCAGACGCTTTTCCAGATTTTGGACACTCACGGAAGGTACTTACCTTCGTGGAAAATGATTTATGATATCGTATTGCCTGGCGTTATTGACGTTTCCAGGTGGAACGATAAGGCTGGAACTCAGAATAGTGACATTCTTAGCACTTTTAACCTCATTTTATCCGGAGTGGTTGCTGTTCTTACCAAGTACATGCTTGACTTTGAAGACCAGACATCTTTGGGTATAAAACTCAAGTTCTGGACGAAAATCTTAGACTATTTCAACAGTCTTCTTGTTTTAAACTGGAAGGATCTCAACCTTAAGATTTTCCAGTCCTTCCAGGACCTCATTATGCCATTGCCAAAGGTAAAGAACATCCCCAACGAAGTTGTCACATCAGTCTTTGAATTCTGGGTCAACATTCCTGTGGAGTACGACTTTGTCAATCCAGACTACCAAGATTCGCTTGCCGTGTTCAACAAGTCGTTCCTTTCTGTGTATCCAATTGCCAAATCCAGGCTTAGCTTAACCGATTTAAGCAAAGTTTTAAGCCTTTTGAACCAGTGTGCAAGGTACCCCGTGCTTAAACCCAGTCTGAACGACTCCGAAAAGCTCACAGATATCCAGAAAGCTGTAATTGAGAACCTCAAGTTGCTCAGCAAGGACGAACACAAGGATGAGTTCAACTCTGTGATTATCCAGCATCTCTGCATTATTCTTTGCTACCCATACCAAACCAGAACGCGTATTGAACGAAAACTCAAGAGCAAGTTCGAAGGAAGACTCAAAATTCCAACTTTTACTGCCATCAGCGAAGCGTCGCTTGAACTAATGACAGACAAAATCCGTGAATTGGGCAATTTGAATGTGCTTTTGCCAGAACAAGGCTTTGAAAAGCTTGTTTCGTCGTTGATCGAAGCCGTCAGCTACAAAGCCCAAGGACGTCTGGGCAACGAGAAACCGCAATGGGTGAAATGCAACGAACTTATTAATTACCTTGCGGAAAGGCTCCTTAAAGAGAACTTAAACGATATCAAAGGCAGAGACGAGGTCTGGCATCTTTTGGTCGACGCTCTCACAGTCTGTTTCGAAGACGTCAAGCCCGAAGAAGAACAAGAAACGTTCAGGCAGTTCGATACCCTTGGCAAAACCGTTCTTCCTGTTTTGTTCCTGGGCAGTTTCAAGCAAGACGCCGCTTTACAGCAAACCATTGGTCGTATCTACAGCCAGTCGTACCTCTACGAAATGAACAGCGTTGAAAAAGAGCTCTGTGAAGGCAACCTTGACCATACAATCTCGTCGTTGGCCAACTTCTCCTTCAACGACTGTTTTGGCACCACTGCGTCGCTTGTTCCATACAAAAACAGAGATATCAGGCTTCGTTGTCTCGTGGATCTCTTTAACTTTGCCCTGAGCAACGATAGAAGCCTGCTTGTGGCGTACAAGTACGCGTTGGCTCGTGCTTCGTTTACGTTACGTCGTGTTATTGCAGAACAGCGTCTTTTGAATAAAAGACCCATGGCGAAGATTCTAGAGGAAGAGTTGGAGGTTGTTCTTGACGGTTTGAGGAAAGTGCAGCTTGCCAGGAAGGAGAGATTGAGCAGTATTAGTAAACTTCTTTCGAAGATAGTTCCTTATGCTCTGGGCATTGACGGAATGGCCTATAGAGTGGAGAGGATTCTTTTGAGGACACATTCAGCGTGAGGACGGTGTCACGTGATGTCCTACTAGCTTAAACAGCCATACTATATTTCTTCTTTTGTTATGTTGCCGTTTGTTGTTCTTGTGGTTCGGGGCTGATGGTTGCAAAAAGTCCAGATGTCAAGGCGTCTGTGTCCTGCATACAAGCATGCAGAGAGGTAAACATTCACAGCCCAGCACAGGTACGTCCAAACGAGGCCCAAAAAACTGGAAAAAAAATTGTCAGCTTCAGTATGGCAATTCAAGGAGGGTCTGGATTCGGCAGGATTCTCGGAAACACGTCGTTTCCCCCTTTTCCAATTCGTCCCCTTTGGGAAAACGTTAAATTGCCTCAGGCGAGGAGCGCGCGAAATTTATCAAATCGGGAAAGGCGGCTTATTTTTAGGAAATTGCAGCACCTCATTTTCAAAGGAAAACATCAAAAAGAAAAAAAAAGAACAACCACACCAACCCAGTTTTTACATATTTAAATAGACCGCCAGCGCCAGTGAAAAATACCTGGAAAAGCGCTGAAAAAGTGAAAAATCAAGAAACCTTGTTAGTTGGAATCACGTGGGATTCTTTTCCAGTACTTTTTTCCCCTAGGAATCCACGTTTCAGAAGAGAAGGACAGAAACACCCCTAGAAGTGCCGAAAAAAGCCGGATTTCGACCAAAACAACCTCGTTTTCGTGCTCCCACGGCCCTCTTCCACCCCCACACCGAAAACCAGCCGTTTTCAACTGCATTGGGTGCTTTAATCGACCTTTTTCATCCCAGTCGTCGTTTCCCACCCAAACATGAAGAAAAGCTCGTCTTCCCATAACTATACCGAGTTCGACCCCGAGCTGGGCGATCTCCAGAAGAAGAGGTCGCTTGTCAGAAGAGACCGCCAAAGAATGGACGAAAATAACCCCAGATACCACTACACACAAGTTGCCAACGAACAACAGGACCATCTTCGTATCCAGCCGTCGCTGACGGGCTTGGATCCCACGGCTAGTCATGAAAGAAGCGGCAGGCAGAGTTTCCAGCTGATGCCACAGCATATGGAGGAAGAAGAAGGCATTCCACTTATGGATATGGATGCTGGCTCGCCTAAAGCTGGACGGGAGATTATTGGCTTGAACGACGAGGTTCTGCCGCAAAAGAAGCTGAAACCACGGAACCAGCCTGCCCAGCGTGCAGCGGCGGTGCCGAAATCGAACGATCTTTCGTTCTGGAAGGTTTACTGTTACATTATTACTTTCTGGGCTCCAGGACCGCTTCTCAAGCTTTTTGGGCTTAAAACTAAGGATAGGCAGTACGCCTGGAGAGAGAAGATGGGCCTTATTTCTTGCATTTTGTACATTGGTGCATTTGTGGCGTATATCACTTTTGGGTTCACCAGAACGGTTTGTTCTACTACCACTATTAAAACGAGAAACAACGAGGTCAACACGGGTTATTTGATCATCAACGGCCGTGCGTACGACTTGACTTCGTCCCAGCACCCGAAAGCCGCTGGAATTCCTGGCGGTTCCAATATCTTGTACCCTCCAATCAACGCTGGCGGTATGGATGCGTCTTTCTTGTTCCAGAACGTCAACGGCAACTGTAAGGGCCTTATAAAGCCTCGTGACAACTGCTCCATTCCGTACGACGGCGACGAGTTGGCCTGGTACATGCCGTGTCGTTTGTTTGCCCAGGATGGCTCTACTTCGCCAAATACCACTAAGGTTTATTACGATGGCTGGGCTTGCCACACTTCTGCTGACGCCAGAGACGCCTACTATAGTATGAGCGTCAATGGCGATGTTTATTTTACGTGGGACGATATTCGTAACAGTACCAGAAACTTGGTTGTCTTTTCAGGTGACGTTTTGGACTTGGACTTGATTGAGTGGATTTCAAGGGACGACGTGACGTACCCGCTGCTTTTCGATAGTTTGCAAACGGATCCGCTCTTCAAAGGCCACGATATATCCATGGTTTTGTCCAACGGTGATGAACGTCAGGCTGCACGTTGTTTGAGTGAAATCATTAAAGTTGGTGTGATTGACTCCGAAACTGTTGGTTGTATCTGTTCCAAGATTGTCTTGTACGTTTCGCTTGTGTTTATTTTGTCTGTTGTGATTGTCAAGTTCCTTATGGCGTGTTACTTCCGTTGGTGGATTTCTGTCAGACAAGGTGCTTACGATTACGATAACAGGTCGACCTACGAACGTGAGAAGGAAATTGAAGATTGGGTCGATAACCCTTCTGCTGCTGCTCCAATCGCTACCGTTCCTGCTAAAGGCAGAGCCGACTACAGAACGCAAAAGACCAACAGACAAAGTGTGTTTATCAAGAACTCCCACGCCCAAAAGTTGATTCCTGCTTCTGATATCGGTAAATACTACGAGGACGGCGACAAGAAGCTTTCCAAGACGTTCAAGTACACCACCATGAGCACACAGGCCGCTTTGCTTGGTCGTAACAAGAAACAAATCACCAGAGACCAACACAGCCGTTCTATGGTGTTTTCTCACTCCAGAGCCTCTTCCATTGACTTGCTTTCCCGCCCTGCTTCCATGCTTGATCCTTTCCAGGTCCAGAACGACCCTGTGAACGGTTTGAGCCCGGAACTTATCCATCCAGATGTCGTTCCCCAGCCTCCAGTTGAGTACCAGCCTTATGGGTACCCATTGGCCCATCTTCTTGCTTTGGTTACTTGTTATTCTGAAGACGAGGAAGGTTTGCGTACCACTTTGGACTCTGTAGCTACTACCGACTATCCAAACTCACATAAGTTGATTTTGATGGTTTGTGACGGTATTATCAAGGGTTCTGACTCGGACGTGAGTACTCCAGATATCGCCTTAAGCTTGATGACAGACTTTGCCATTCCTCCAGAAGACGTACAAGCACATTCGTACGTTGCAGTTGCCCAAGGCTCCAAGCGTCATAACATGGCTAAGGTTTACGCTGGTTTCTACAAGTACAGCGACGAAACGGTGCCTCCAGAGAAGCAGCAGCGAGTGCCAGTTATCACCATTGTCAAGTGTGGCACCCCAGAAGAAGCCGGAACCGCCAAACCAGGTAACAGAGGTAAACGTGATTCCCAGATCATCATGATGTCTTTCTTGCAGAAGGTGATGTTCGACGAGAGAATGACTCAGTTGGAGTACGTTTTGCTTGAATCGATCTGGAGAGTTACAGGTCTTATGGCTGAGTTCTACGAGATGACGTTGATGGTGGATGCCGATACAAAAGTGTACCCAGACTGTTTGACACACATGTGTGCAGAAATGATCAGAGATCCAGCCATCATGGGATTGTGTGGAGAGACGAAAATCGCCAACAAGAGAGACAGTTGGGTCACGGCGATCCAGGTTTTCGAGTACTACATTTCACACCACCAGGCGAAGGCGTTTGAGTCTGTTTTTGGAGGTGTTACTTGTTTGCCTGGATGTTTCTCGATGTACAGAATCAAGTCTCCAAAGGGCGACAACGGGTACTGGGTGCCTATTTTGGCCAATCCTGATATCGTGGAAAGGTACTCTGACAATGTGACAGACACTTTGCACAAGAAGAACTTGTTGTTATTGGGAGAAGATCGTTTCCTTTCCAGTTTGATGTTGAAGACGTTCCCGAAAAGACACCAGATTTTCGTGCCTCGAGCCGCTTGTAAAACGGTTGTTCCTGATAAGTTCACTGTTTTGTTGTCCCAGCGTCGTCGTTGGATCAACTCCACCGTGCACAATTTGTTTGAATTGGTGTTGGTGAACGACTTGTGTGGTACTTTCTGTTTTTCAATGCAGTTTGTCATTTTCATTGAGTTGATCGGTACGTTGGTGTTGCCGTGTGCCATTGCCATTACGCTTTATGTGATTATCTTTGCCATTGTGTCTACGCCCACGCCCGTGATGTCGTTGATTCTTTTGGCGGTGATTTTCGGATTACCTGGTTTGTTGATTGTCATTACCGTTTCCTCGTGGAGTTACGTTGTCTACTTTTTTATCTACCTTATCGCGTTGCCCATTTGGAACTTTGTGTTCCCAACGTACGCCTACTGGAAGTTTGACGATTTCAGTTGGGGTAACACCCGAACCGTTGCTGGAGAAGCCGCTGGCGCTGGAAAGAGCGGCCACGCCGGCGACGGTATCTTTGACTCGTCCAGCATTGTCATGAAGAGATGGAGAGAGTGGGAAGGCGCCAGGCGTGATGCCTTGGCTGCTCCTCCTATAGCATGGGACCCAAGTCCAGAGAAGGACATGGAGTACTCTGAAGGGTCGCTGGGCTCGCCATAAACCGCAGCCCAGGCTTTTAGACCGTATACTATTGCATTCTATTTATAAAGGTGGTGTAGGAGACTGTTTCTTGTTTCTGGTTTCTTGTTTACTGTTTCTTGTTTCTGGTAACCTTAATTGGGTTCTTCAGAAAGAATCAGTTGAAGCCATAAGTAGTATTTTCAGGAAAACCATGATTCTACAAATCCTTATTGACTCCAAAAGTCCTTAAAATACATTAACTCATTATAAATACAAACTGTTCTGGAACCTTAAAGTAGACTTTAACTGGATTAAGGGTTCAAGCTTTATTTGTACTTCTGGTTTCTCCAGAAGCTCCAGTCCTTTCAATACATCTTCAAAACCTTAATAAACTTCATTTCCAACTCTAATAAGCTTTTAAAATTCATTGCTGCTTTTGTCCATGGATCTTCTCCAAAGCCAAAGCTCATTTCCAGAAAAAGTCTTTTTGTTAGTGACCATTTGTAATTCCTCTTAAATCGCTCAGCAGCGTCTTTGGAGTCTAAATCTGTCCATCCCAGGCTTTTGGCTTCCACTGTTCATGGAATATATTCCATTCAAGGCTTGCTGAAGTACCAGTGGTCTCTGGATAAGAACCACATTTACTGTTTCTCTCAATGAACAGCCCAGCCACCAAAAGCTTCATTTCCTGCTTCTCCTTGATTTTCTTCACTGCTCCTTCTTCTTTGCCTTAACTAACAGCCCTTACTGGAAACCAACGTTCACTGGAATAGGCACTCAAAAGATACTGCTCTCTCTGGCACCAACAGATGACCCAAATGGAACTACTCAAAATCACGAAGTTCTGGAAATCCATGTAGCTGTAATGACTGGTTGACTATGGATGGACCACTGTACTGTAGAATCAGTGTACTGGTAGAACCACTGTACTGGTGGAACCACACCACTGTACCTCCCTAGTAGTAATACAGGGAGCCCCAATCAGTTCCCGTTCCGTCGTCTGACCTTTAAAGTGAATTAGAAACATACCATTCCAGGTAAGAGCAGTATAAGTTGTAACCACTGAGTAACCACTGAGTAACCACTGTACTGACGTAACCACCAGTAGATACTCCACTGGATCTCCCTAGTATAAATACAAGGAGTCCTTATATTTCCGTTCCACAGCAATTCATACTGACCTTGAACGTAGACTTGGAAAAAGTCCAGTAACCAGTGCACTTGTTATCTTGATGGTCCATCCACAGAACCAGCAATGCCACTCCACCGATGACCATCTTGTAATACCAGGAATCATTATAGATCTGGTTCCAAAACATTTCTCAGATTGACCTCTGAAGTGAAATAGAAACATAAGTCCCAGGAAGTAGTGGTTCTTGTTATCCTGAGTAACCATTCAGTAGTACCAGTAGACAAACCAATACCAGTCCTCTGTACCTCCATAGTATCAATACATGAAACCACTATAGATATCAACCTTTCAAGCCTCAATGATCATTTTATCTGGAGTTCCCGTTTGACTGTACTGGACAGGCTTAGTGAAAGGCGCCGTGACAACTGATAAGCTAAGTAACTGTTAACAGCGAACCGCAAGCAAGTAGATAGCGTCATGGAATGGACAGTTTTATAGCGTTGTTGGCAATGCAAATGGCTCAAAAGAAGCTTCCAATCTAAAGCAGTGGCTCTTTCTATACTGTTGTTCCATCCATAGTACCAGTGGTACCAGCAGTACCAGTACCTCTGTAGTATAAACTAAGAAACCAGCATAATCTCCCTTTGCTACCAATTCAGATGCTGACTAGAATGGCTTACTACCACAACATTCAAGTCAAGATCAGTATAAGTTGTCATACTGGTGAACCAGCAATGCCAGTCCGTCTATGACTATCTTGTATTGATACAAGAAATCACCATAGATCCCGTTGCATAGGATTTCAGGCACTTACTAAAGTGACTTAGTAGCAAATTGTTCCAGTAAGCAAAGTATACTTGTATACTTGTTATCCTGAGTACCATCCAGTTGAAGCTGTAGAACAGCCACTACCACTCCACTTCACCTCTGTAGTGTAAAAAAACACCATAGACCGTTCCATGGCATTCCTAAACTGACGACAGAAAACCCAGTCATTTCCGTCAAAATCAGTAGAAGCTGTAACCACTAAGTACCATCCACAGAACCAGTAGTACAGCGCTACCCCTCTAGTAAAAAGAACAGGGAGTCTCATAATTTCAGTTCCTTAGCGTTTCTGACGCTGATAAAAGTGACTTAGAAGAAAGCTGGTCCTAATTAGTGCTTCTTTTTATGCTGTTGTTCCATCCATAGAGTACCAGTAGAACCAGTAGTACCAGGTACCAGTAGAACAACCAGTACCAGTAGTACCCTGTAGGGTAATCAAAAGAAATCACAGTAAACCCTTTCCATGGGATTTCTGTTCCAGAAACAAACCATTCCGACAAAGTCAAAGTCAAAGTCAGTATACTTCTTATACCTGGTGTATCTGCCCTCTGTACCCCCGCCAGACCTTTCGTCAGACACCACATTGGATTCGACCTCGACTGAGAACCTGACACTCAAACGAAGCCAAATGGTGACCTTTTAACCGACCGTAACATATAAAACACTTCTGAGGACGAAATCACCGTTGGCGTCGTTCCTGTCTTGTTGTATGCTCCAACCCAGCCTTCCCTCCACCTCCAGTTCCCTCCACCAACCATCCACCCATTCCTTCCAGCCATTCCATCCCAGACCTCTTCAACTCACCTCCCACCTTCCACTTCAATACTTCACGGCCTCCCTCGGGTCCAGCGTCCTTGTGGTTCTTGTCGACGTAGACACTCCAGACGACGCACTGGAAAGCAAGCTTGGTGATTTCGATAGTCCTGAAATTCCCAAACTTCCTGAACCCCCAGAACTGCCAAAAGCTGGCGTTTTCAGTCTATTCGCTGCCTCAGCCGGCACTTTCAGTGCCGTCTTCGCCAGCTCCACCAAAGTCGTTTCTGACCCTCTTCTTCCCAGATGATGTTCCTTGAACTTCCTCAATCTCCACGTAATGGGCGGTTTGTTGAGCAGCGGCGTGAACGCCGACCCTTTTTCTTCCAACGCAATGAGCATACTAAAATAAATTGTGGAATTATGATTTTCTGGGAATTTTTGGGGAATCTGGTATTTATATCAGGCAATTTGTTGCAAAATAGGCGCCTGAAGCGCCGCACGGTAGAATGCACCGCATAATGAGGCGCCTAAGCGAGGAGGGGCAGGAAGAGGTGGACGTAGGTTGGTCAGTTTTAATGGTAGAAAGGTGGGATTTGGATGGCTGGGGAGAGGAGGAGGAGGCGGTGGTGGTGGTCAAATTTGGGGGGAAACGGACCACTTTTCGTGGAAATACATCGACCTTTTCATGTGAATAGGTGCATTTAGACGAGCACGCAGAAAGTGACGACTGGCCATGAACGAAAAAGGGGTGGAAAGTGTAAGTGTATTATGGGACAATAAAGTGCCCTGGAAGAGCTTATGTGGCCTTCTTTTGCCTTCTTTCTACCTGTTTTCTGTGTTTTCCAGGACATCTCTTCCTCTCGGGATGGCTGCGAAATGGACATTCCAGGGAAGTGGCTTACCGCCAGCAACCGGCGTTTTCTGTAAAGCAAAGGTATTCCAATGGCTTCCCAGGGCATCCTGGGCCTCTCGTGGAACTTTCCGTAAAAGTAGCTTCCGACAGCAGCCGCCTACGTCATTTCCATATGATAGTTTAGCCTCTGCTGATCCTCCTGAATGAAAAATGCCCTGAAAAGAGTATACTCTGATTTTGTGGCACAAAACGTGCTAAGAAAAGAATGGGGATTGCAGGAGGGCGGTATCGAACCATAGTTGGAGAGAAACCAATGTTTCTAGGATCCAAAGCAAGTATAGAGCCTGGAAAGCAGGGAGGAAGGAAGAACATGGCTTGGACGAACCAGGCTGATACTGCCGTGGTCCCCGGTCGATCGTCCACGTCGATGCATCTCCCAAGACGAGTTTTTGTTCAATTAGGCTACCTTTTTGGCTTTTTCAGTAGGCTTTTTCTGGTCTCTATAGTGTATCTATATATGCTCTTACAGGTCCAGTCAAAGGGAACCAAATCCACCCAACCACAGCCAAATCCACCCAAATCAACCCTTTTCCTTTCTGAAGGCTTTGCTGGCGTTTGCCGCTTGCCTGATCGAGCTTCGCTCGCAGACTCGTCTGTTTAAGCGCCTTGCGGTGGAAGTCGAGAAGCAGAAAAGAAGGTATTCCAGAAACGCCACTTTTGGGAAGAAATTGAAGAAAAAGCATAAAATGAATAAACTGGTCGTTCTTTCCCTTTCCTGACATTCTTGGCCTTTTTCAAAGCTAAACTGTGTCTTTCACTGACTTTCATCAGCTTCTTGGCTTCTGGCTGTGGACGAGCTTCCGTAGTCGCCATGCATGTCCCTTTCTGGAGCTTTTGTGTTCTTTGCTGAAGGAGAAGGAAAGGAGAAGGAGAAGGGACGGAAGTTTATCAGGAAACTTTGTCAGAGTCAGAATTCGACTTCCACTAAGAAGGTTATACTTAAGCAACACCAACCTTTATCCTCACCAACCTTTATCTTAACCAAATCTCCACTTTCCATCCTTTTATTGTCTTTTTCCTGGTTCTCCTTTGTCTAAAAGTATGCCCGGAAACCCCTATCTGTGTTTCCAGATCAGGCACCAACGCAGCCTTAAAGCTTAAATAGCTTATGCTCTGAAACAAGAAGCATAAAGAGTACAAAGTATATAGAGTACAAAGTATCCAAAACACCAAGAAAAGCACACTTTGGAAACTTGGACATCAAAAGACAGGAAGCCTTGCCTTTCTTTTCTTCTATGGAATGGCAAAGCGTTTCCAAAGGCAGCCTAAAGTAACCCCCAAGTAAGAACCACATATAATTGGCATAATATTCTCTTTTCCCCATCTACTCATTTTACTCGTTTTACTCGTTTTACTCGTTTTCCTAAACAAAGCGTTTCATCTGTTGTTCCATTGCTCTTGGAGTGCCCTTTTCATCAACTTCACTTCTCCTTCCAGAGCCCTTGAACTCTGAACCGAGAACAACCTGATACTCTCCATTCTCTACATCTTTCTTTGTAGTCAGGGAAGGTTGTGTAAAATCAAAGACCATTCCTCAAAGACCAGTCTTTACCGGTCTCAACCTTCAATAGTACATAGACTGGTGGCTTCAACAAAGAACGAATTTGTATATATATGTACTTTCTAAAAAATGGCTTTTAAACGTCTTATGGTTGATTTTAGAGAATACGCTTGGTAAGTCTAGACACCACTTCAGGTCTGAAAGGACAACTATTCCTTCTTAATAAACGAAAGACCATTCCTTAAAGTAATCCAAGCCGCTTAAACAGGTAGAGAGGCGTCTCCACAAACCACCAAGGGTGCAAATACTGCAGTATTTTAATACACCTTCAACAAGAAATGCAGTTAGAGGTTAAGAAGAACTCTTTAAAAACTTCTTTAACTGCTTTTGGAGTCGTAATTGACCCTTTTGACGTTCATAACCGCCAAATTCAATCATCGAAAAGCACCAGTTACCAATAATTGATACTTCATCATGAACCAAATACTGGTGAAAAAGAATAATCATCATCTTCTTGTCCATGCCAGAAAGCACTTGTCTTCCAAGGCCTGATCATGAACCATCTGGCTTTGTCATACCTCCACCTCCCCTACACCTCCCTTCTCTATCCTCTATTCTATAACCTAAATCTAATTCTTTGGCCTAATACCAATGCCGTTCACGTTCCTGAACATGTAAACACCACTGGCGTCTTCATCTGCAACAAACTGGCAGCTTCTAAGACACTTCCATAACGATTTCCACATAGACTCTCCCTCGTACCTGTAGTGCTCTCCCATGACCTCTTTAATCGCCTTGGTGGCTTTTCTGGCGTTGTAGAATGGAATTCTCAGGACGTAGTGGTGCAAAACGTGAGTTTCAATGATATCATGGAAGATATGCTGACCAATGAAGCCAAAGTCACGATCTATAGTAGCAGCAGCGCCTCTAGCAAACGTCCATTCCTTTTCAGAGTAATGGGGCATACTAGGGTCTGTGTGCTGCAAGAAAGTAACGAAAACCAACCAGTGGTTGACCCAGAGCCACGGGAAGAACCAGTTGATAAGCACTGGAAAGGTGCCGACCATCCTAGAAGCTGTATAGACACCAGCTATGGTCGCCAAAATGCCGATATCGCTAAGCACAATGTACCAGAACTGGTGTTTATCAAAAATAGGCGATTTTGGAGCGTAGTGGGATTTGGCAAACCACGAAACTCCGGGAATGCTTTGACCAGTAGCGTTAGTAGCCAAGTAAAACTGCAAACCGCCAAGCTGCTGGAAAATAAGCACCGCCAAAGTGTAAATCGGCAGTTCCTCAACGATTTCGCCAACTCTGCTGGCCCCATGGTGCTCCACGTACTCTTCCTTAGTGTACGGAACGAAAACCATATCTCTGGTCAAATGGCCAGTAGCCTTATGGTGCTTAGCATGGGAGAACTTCCAGGAAAAGTAAGGAACGCCAAGGTACGAATGGAGAACCCAGCCAATAAAGTCGTTGACGTTCTGGAAGTCAGAAAAGGCGCCATGGCCACATTCATGGGCCAAGATCCAGAGCCCAAACCCGAAAAGACCAATGAGGTATGTCTGGAGCGTCCACAAGGCACCTCTAAGTAAAGTGGACTCCAAAAGGGGAATATAAGTGTTTCCTAGTTTTCCAATCACCACCATCATGGCGATATCACGAGCCACGTAGCCCAAGGAACGAAGTAACGACCGTTCATAGCAGTCTTTGGGAATGGCCAGTAAGATGTCTTTGATGGTGTAGTCAGGGACGTGGAAGGTACGTCCAAAGGTATCTTTGGTGGACAACGAGGCCGAGGGAGCGGAGGAGGCCTTGGAGAGGGTCGTAGTGGAAGAAGACATTGGTGGTGGAAGAAGGTTTGGCGTTGGTTGGTGGTGGGTATATGATGAGGCACCTGTCTTATCCGGATACTTGAGTTTTCCAAACCGCCAGGTTTGGGAAACGAAAGGGGTACCAAAATGGAGCTGAGGATCGGGAGATTCTGAATATGTGATTGGATTTGGGGTGGCATGGCTGGTTCGTTCAATATACCACCCTAAGCGGGTGGTATATTGGCTGCAATTTCCGGATAAGACAGGTGCGGGCTCATCGCAGACGTCAAAAACGTGAATATGCGAAATCGCTCGTTTTTTTCCACTGGGCCCGAATTTGGTCCCGCCTTGCAGCCGTTCAGAAAAGAGGCAATGGAAGGGGACAAGGATGGTGATATTGCAGGGTTTTCGGGGATTTAAAGAGGAAGAAGGCAGATTTTGAGAGGTTTTTAAGAGGTCTCTTAATTTTTTTAAGTGGCTTTTCAAAATCTGCCAATTTTTTTGGTTTTGGTGGTACTTTTTTTTTTTTTTTTTGTCTCTTTTTTTTCATTTGATGGGTCTTTTTTCAGCTGCAAAACGTTGGCCATTTTTGGCCATTTTTCTTTGTTTTTTCTTTGATTTTTCGTTTCTGTGTTTTTGCTTCGCCTCTTGGCTGAAAAAAGCCACCATCTTGCAAGAATTGTTATAATTGTTAAAATTGGAGCGTCGTTATTGGTGGAAATTTCGATCTGGTTGGCGTTTTTTAGTGTGGGTTTTTCTGGCGAGGGTTGGAGATTTTTGGTGGTTGAAGGTGGTGGAAAGTTGGAGGTGGAAGGAAAAAAAAAGGCAATTTTGGTCTTTTTGGGTTTTTTGGGTTTTCTCTGTTTTCTTCGTTTTTATGCTTTTCTCTTTTCTCTTTTATCTTTTCTCTTTTCTCTTTTTATGAAATCTGTTGATTCGACTTCTTCTGGTCTGGCCTGGTCAAAGCCTTTTTGGAGCTCACTGGACGAAATTGGACTGGTTCTGCTGTAAATGGTCTTTGTAGGTGGAGTTGTAAATAATTCATTTCTAATCTCTTCAAACTAAAACTTCCACTTGTCTTTGCTTAAAATGCTTAAGAGGTATATTTCAATGGCTGTGGACCTCCTTCTGTCTCTCTGGTGACTGGAAGAGCTGGTTCTTCATATCTTCATGAGAAATGTCTTTGAAGAGTGAAGCAATACCAGGGGCATTTTTGATGACTCTTTTGATTCTCCTGGGGCTCTTTTGATGCTTTTCGTTCAGCTGGACTTTGTTGAAATGGACATTGCTTGGGCTTCACCAGTCAGTACTGGTCAGTAGATGGAGATATGTGGAATGAGCTGGTGCCGTTGGAAGGCTTAATAGAAGGCTTCTTGCTGGTTCTTTGGGTGAAAGAGATTGAGCAATATGCTACTTTACGGCTTGGTTTGGTGGAACAGAAGTTGTGTTGGCTCTGGAGACATGGTTTGGTCTAGAAGCAGAGGAACTGGAAGAACGTTTAAGTCTCTGGGCATTAGGAACTGGTGGATTTCAAAGGACCGTAAAATCCAAACTTTCCTTGCTTTCTTTATTTACAGATTTTGAATTTTCTACTAAAATCGGGTACCGTTTAGTGAATCACAGTTTCTGTGTGAAGTTGACCAAAAGCTGAGAAACTAAAAAACACCTGTAAAAATCGAATTTCAAGAAAAAGTTAAGAAAAGTAACTTTATAGGATTCCCTGGATCCTTCTCTACGTCGTGGCGGTCTTTATTTTTGGATTGGACGTTTTTTGGTGGTTTTAGCTGGACCCACTGCTTCCACCAGTAAGACGAACCTTCGAAAGCTCCTCCCCAAATGCAAGAAACTATTGCTAGGGAGGTCTCAAGTAACATAGAGGAAGATAAAAACCACTGGAGTGCTTTTCTGACACTTTTTCGTGGAAAGCTTCCCTGAAACCTTCTCACTATGGAGGACCAGGAAAACCACAAACTATCTCCAGAAACAGACGTCTGGGAAGAAAAAGAACCAATAAGTCGTAAAGAGACAGTCCATTTAACCAGAAAACCACTTTAATTTTTTAATTTTCTTCAGTTTTCGTGGAGATACATCACCACTTACACTTCTTTTGCAGCCAGTCCATTGACCATCCAAACCAGAACCACCGAACAGCCAAAAAGAAATAACCTCCTTAAGGCTATTAAAGAGACTCTAAAAAGACCCCAGAAACCTTCCATAACTATGTGCTGTCTCGTGTGCTTCATTTACGAATCGTATCATTCTGAGAGTACCAATAATGAAGTTCCCATCGAAACAGCCATTGACAACCGAAAAACCCATAAAAGCCGCTTCATCCAAACAAACCAGCCAAGTTACATTCCCTCCCTTGTCGGCACCCTCCGGTCGCCAGGTGGGCGGCGTCGGCGTTGGTTTGGCATGTGAGCAGACCAACAACCAGCATTGTTAAGATTCCCATATGATACGGGGAAGGGAAGACCCAAAAGGAAGTTCAGGAAGAAGAGGATGTTTATTGGTAGGCTGGGAATGGAAAAAGAAGTGGGTTGAGGGAAAAAAGAGGTGTTTTACATGGACAGTTGGTGGTTGAGGGGGACCTAGGGAAGTGGTTACAAAGGGAAGTTTTAGAGGATACTGGAGGGTCAAGAAGGGACTTAGGGGAGTCTTCTGAGCCTGGTTAATGACGTGGTTGTCTTTTTTTGGACTTTTCAAGGATATGTGGCTGTTTGGGTGGAGGTGGTTGGATGGTACTGGTGAACTAGAAATGGACAGCTACTTTGTACAGATTTCATTGGATTGGGCAAAAAAGGCACTGGGGGATTAGAGGAAATGGTAATTTAGGGAATTGAAGGTTTTTGGAGGATTTGGGTTGGGTTTGCTGGAAATGGGTGGACGTTTATGGATGTTCAGTGGATGGTAATTGGAGAGTCAAAAGAGGCAACCCAAAGTGACCAAAACGGCTTAAAAAAGGAACAAAAAGGCTTCAATAGCATTTATTGATGCCTTTTTCATATATTTCAATTGTTTCTGGAGCCATTCCAGTTCATTTGACCACCTCTTACTGTTCCCTTCCAAAGCACCACTAAACCAGACATAGGTCCATGAAAACTCCACCAAAAATGCCCAAAAAACCACCAAAACTCGTCAAAACAAACAACAGGCCCTCCTCTTTCCCCCAATTGACCCCAGCTTCTCTCACTACCTCTCAACCTCCTTCTCTCCCAACCTTCCTCAACCAAGCATGAACATCCAAAAACCTCCACCAAATCCCACCAAAACCACTCCAAAACCACCACAAAAGCTTTCCCCACCCTAAAAACGGCATTGTCAAAACACCTCCACCTTCCTTTTTCTTCCTTCCTCTTCCCATTCGCCAAATCCACCTTCTTTCCAAGAAAACCACTAAATACACTTCTACATCCATTAACTCCACCAAAAACAGACCAAATCACGAACTTTTTGGATCGAATCGGCACGTATAAACGAGCTGAAAAAGGTAAAGTATCTAAACCGTGCAGAAAACGCAATCCCGAAAGGTTACGTATGGTTAGTTGATGTTGCTGCGAGTGATGTTACATCATGGAGGGAGGAACGAAGACGAAGAAAAGAAGCAGTAGAAATTTAAAAAAAGAGCTTTCTAAGCAAACTCCAGCCGTAGAGCTCACTGGCGGTGTTGTTTTCATCAAAATCGGACGTCTTTTGGTCGTTTTACCTTCCACTTTATCCCAAATCTAATTCATCACCAACACCTCCACAAACTGCAATACCCAAATCGCCACAAGACCACACCGACAACGCAGAAGAGCCCTGACCACCAAAAGCGGAAAACGGATGGTTCTACGATTTGTCTTGTCGCCGGTTTTGAGCCTTTTTCAGCCTTTCCATCTGTAGACTGCCTAATCTGGATAAGTCCCAAGCGACCAGCGCCAGAAGGTCACCAACAACCCCTAAACAACCGTGGATGGACTGAAGACATAGGAGAAGCGACTGGGAAGGAGTTGTATTTTTTTTGAACGTTTTTGGACAACTTTGGAAGGTTTTCCATGGAAATGCGTGAATCACATATATATCGCCAAAAGACATATCTAACTCACACAAAAGCACAAAAATACCAGGGTCCTTTGGTTCTAAATGTTCATTTCCTTCCCCCAAACAACCCCAAACAACCCTTCGGGTCGTTTGAGGTCGTTTGGAGGCTTACGACCGTTTCCAAGCCCTCTTCTAGACACCTCCACCAAACCAACCAAACCAGAAAGCGGGGCCACGGCACAAACCTCTCTCTACATCAGGACAAGTCTCTGGAAGGTTACGAGAAAATACACAAAAGAAAACAGCCGCCGCCTGAACCAATTTAGCCCATTGCACATGAAGACTCTAGACAAGGAAAGATGTAGATCACCACAACCCTTCCTGATGTCACACGAGAACGAAAATGGCCGCAAAAGGAAGGAGAAACAAAGAAGACGTGAATGAATGGGTTTTGGACGGATTTAGGTCGGGACAATAGGCAAAGAGATGGGACTGTAAGAGGGTTAGAGAGGATATAGAGAGAGGGAGCGTAAAAGGACGAGTAGGAATGGTGGGAAGCTGAAATTTGGAGTAGGGAAACTTCAAACGACAGGTAACAACAAGAAACAACCAAATCTGGTAAAACACGAGAAGGAGGGAATTTCACTGGGGTGTTTTACCGTGGAAGGATGTCTCTTTGGAGGAACAATGGGAAGCGAGATCTGGCGAGCTAAGCGATCTTCCGTGGACGGATATTCTGGGAAAGGAAGGAGGGAGACGACCCGAAGGGTCGAATCAGAATGGTATTTTTGGAGTTTCCAGTTTCATGAGTATACGAGGAGATGGGACGAGGGGGTGAAATGCCTGGCTCTGTAAGTATCTGGACAGTGGGGCGTCCAAATCAAATGGGAGTTGGACTACAGGGAAGAGCGTGCCTTGGAGCCCCTTGTACCGAAATATCTTCCTTCTTCGTCTACGGCTGAAGAAGACATTTCCTTAATGAGGAAAGGTTGCAAAAAAAAATGGTGAGCGCCACGGCGACGCACGGCCTGCATATAAGGCGCACGTCGCATGCCAAAATTCCCATTGTCCATCCACCCACCTGCACTCCGACGCACCTCATTTTTGCCTATTCGGGAAATGTTGCAAAAACTGCCCTCCTCCAACCCAGAAAAACCGCCCAATACCCTCTTTTGCCCACTTCTGAAACACATCCACATCCTGCAAACACAAAATACAAGCCCGCCGCCGTGCAGATCCACCTCCCTCCCCACCTTTCCCAGGTATATAAAGCCCTCCAGATTCCCACCAGTCTTTCCTCTCCATCATCCTCTTTACCTTCGTTATGAAATACTCCACCCCAACCCTCTTGGCCATTCTCGCTTCCGCCTCGTTCGTCTCCGCCGCCCCCACCGCCGTGGAGGCCGACTTCTCCCACCAGTTGGTGAAAAAAGACGACGTTGCTGACGCTCTTTCCATCTTGGACGAGATTGCCTCTCTTAACCACAAGAGATCGTTGGCTGAAGACGAAGGCGAGCTCAACGAGCTCTCCAAACGTGCCGACAACTTGCTTGGCGACTTGCTTTCGGCTCTTTCCAGTTCTGGCATTATTGGCAATGTGTGGCACATTTTGACTACCGATGAGCAGTTGAAGGGTGTTTTGGGCGATTTGATCAGATCGGCTGTCAGAGGCGCCATTGCACAAGGTCCAGCTTTGATTAAGGCTGTGTGGCAGTCTGGGTTGCTCCAGCAGGTGTTCAGCGATATCTGGAACAGTCCAGAGTTGAGATCTGCTCTTTTCAATGCTGCCAAGGCCATTTTCTCTTCTGGTCTTAACCTTTTGAGAGCTTTCTTGGCCAACAGGAACTCTGGTAACCAGAAGAGGGAAGCCGAAGCTGCTGCTGTTGAAGAATTCAATTTCAACCCAGATGTCTACTACGACAAGAGAGATCTCTTGGACGTTGCTAAAACTGTGGTTACTGCTATCAAGAACACTGGAATTGTCCAGAACCTCGTCAAGAAGGCTCTTGCCGACCCCCAGGCTTCCATCAGCTTCTTGACCAGTGCTCTTAAGAACGGTGTGGTTGTCGCTAGAGACGTCTACAACTGGTCTAAGGACAATGGTGTGTTGCAGGCTGGTATTGACTTTATCAAGAAGAATGGACCTACTTTTGCCAAGGACATTGCCAACTTTTTGGGTGGAAAGATTACCAATGGTGAAGCCAAGGTTGCTGATATTGACAATGCCGATGGAGGTTCTTCTGGCACTTCTACGGCTTCGACCAAGCAGAAGAGAGAGGCTGTGGCTGAGGCTGCTGTGCCTACCACGCTTGTTCAGAAGAGACTTTATTAGTCTGGCCGGTCTCTAGCTGGGTTAGAGAGTTTGCATACCCGTTCTTCGACGTTTTTTTTTCGGTAATATGAGTAGTTAATAAAGGACCCTGACGAAGGAAGGGTTCTGATAGCAGATGGTGTAGTTGAGAAAGAGCACTGACGAAGGAAGTGCTCTGACAATGTAGATGAAGTAGTTAAGGCAAAGAACCCTGACGAAGGAAGGGTTCTGACAGTGCAGAAGAAGTAGTTAATGCAAGAACCTTGGAAGGGTTCTGATAATGCCGTTGAAGTAGTATTGATTTTAAACCAAGGATGGACACTGTAAAGCCTGAAGGAAGGGTCTTGATGGTTCTGGAAGTGCCAAGTAGTAGTTGAAGAAAGAACCCTGGAAGGGTTCTGACTATGCCAATTAGTAGTTAAGGCAAAGACCACTGACGAAGAAAGTGGTCTGTCAATGCCGTTGAAGTAGTATTGGTATTAATCATGGTAGTGCTACTTGGAAACCTGACTAAGTAAGGGTTCTGATAATTCCATGGAGTAATTGGAGCAAAAACCCTTTTAATGCTCTGAAAATGCTATTGAAGAGTTGAAGAAAGAACCCTGGAAGGGTTCTGTTAATGCCGTTGAAGTAGTTAAAGAACACTGGAAGTGTTCTGATAACGCTACCTACTTAATGGAATTAAGTCATATCAAAGCTGACGAAGAAAGGGTTTTGGTAATGCCAATGAAGTAGTAATGGTTCTACTTTAATGATGGACTGTAAGGCTTGATGAAGGAAGTGGTCTGGTAATGCCATTGAAGTAATAAGAAGCTGATGAAGGAAGGGTTCTGACAGTGCCGTGGTACTACTTATGTTTTCTTCATTGAAGTAGTTGAAGAAACTCTGACAATGTCATAGAATTTGTATTGGTATTAATCTAGCATTGTCACAAAGAAGCCTGAAGGAAGGGCTCTGTCAATATGAATTATGACACGAACACTGAAAGTGTTCTGCTGATGTAATTGAGTACTAGACAAAGAACACTGATGGTTGCCTGAAAATGCACTGGTATTATTTAAGGCAAGAACACTGAAAGTGTTGAGTTGATGCCACTGAAGTGTTGTAGTAGTACTGATTCAAGCAGGTACTATGAAATGACAGAAACTAATTCAAGCAAACTCACTGAAAGTGTTCTTATAGTCCATTAAGTAGTTATACAAAATTATTGAAGTTGCTCTGATAATGCAATGGAGTTGATTTTATCAAGAACACTAAGGAGTTTTGTTGGTACCATGAATTATTTTCTTGACAGTGACAAAGGAAGTGTTCTGACAGTGCTCTGATATTAGTACCTAATTAAACGATAGTTCTAGCAATACAATGATATTAATCTTTCAGTGTTCTGATGACGCCATTGAAGTGGAAATTATATTTAATTGGCATTGACATCAAAGTGTTTTAATGAGCCCTCCATGGAGTAACTTTCAAGAGGGCAGATAAAGCTACTGTCTTGAAAAACACAGTAAAGATCATCTCTAATTGAGAGGATTTAATGCCATTGAGGTTTTGGCCAAGTTACACAAAACCCCACGATTTTCTGGTGATACCGTTGCAGCAATTACACAAACTGTAACACACTCACATTGCATTATCTCTCCAATTACACAAACTGTACCAAGGGTCCGACAATTACATTAAAGTGGCGGTGAAATGACAGGGTAATGACCTTAAAGGAACTGACCAGCTGGAGTATTTAGGTTAAGTGAGTACTGGCCAAGGAAGAGAGTGTGATGATATCTTACACACTGAAGAGAGAGAAACCGAGTAAATGCCAGTTGACGAAGTTTCTTTTAGTTTCTTACTTTTTTAGGTTCCTAGAATTTTGAACAATCTCTAAGGTTCTTCTGGGTTTCTTTCTTCCTTAGTTCACTTGTTTCTGTTGTTGCTCCTAGAAACCAATTTGGCTCTTGAACTGCCTTTTGAATTTGATAGTTCTCTTTCACTGCTCCTCCAGAACCCCAAATTGAACTCTCCCAAAATCATCATTTCCTTTATCTTTAGCTGCCAATCACCAAGAGTGGTCCTCTTACAATCGCCTACAATCCAGCAACCATTCTCCTTTGCTTCCCTTTCCTTCTCTCATCTCTCCAGCCTCTCTGAGCCACCTCCAGCCCCAGCCAAGTCTTCCTTAAGACATTCTTGGGGATTTCTCCAGGAAAGAATCCAGATCTGCCAATTGACGTTCATTTACAGATATAGACTTTGAAAGTCTAGAAGCTCCCGTTCTGCCATTTTTTTTTGCAGCCACTCACTTTCCAAAAATAACAAAAACCTGAGGTGATGGGAAAAATTGTGGCTTAACTTTCTTCGAAGGGGGGCTTTCCGTTCTCGTCGTTCAAGCACACAAAATGTGTTTGCTGGCTGTGCTTTTTTTTACGAATCCGGATACGAGATTGTTATGGTGACGTTTGCAGATCCCAATCTGGATAAAGGCGTTCGAACTGCCACAAAACGTGCCCCTTAGGGTTCAGAAGGAAAGGGAGACGGTGGATTTCGATGGTGGGAAACTACTGTGGTGTGAATTATTGCCTGTTTAGGCAATGTAGGTTGTTGCATGACGCACATGCACAAGGGTGCATAACAAAGGTTCTCCTTTTGGCGAATCTTCTATCGAATGCGGAGAAGGAGTCATTGTGTGCGACATTAAAGGCACGTGACATAAGTCACGTGGAGACATTCCATCATTCCTCATTAATGTCCTAACTTAATTCCCCCCGCGACATACATTGCCGCTCCTTCCCCGACCTCCGCCAGATGCCTTGTCCGGACACTCTTTACAGATATTATTATGCCAGTTTAAATGCCGAAACGCAAGTTAAGGGCGAAGGGTCATGTGTAAGTATACACGTGATGTAAACACTAGAAAAGGAGAGCGACATTGTCTTACGGCAATTACACGTGTTTACCCGAATTGGGAAAAGTCACGTGGACGCGTGTCTCTTTTTTATTTTTTTACACTTTTTTATTTTTAGAGAAATCCGAGCCCTCGTATGTTGCCCGATTTGCATGATTTTGGAAGAATCAGAGTCAAAAATAATTGGCACGAGGTGGTCGTGTGGGGATCATAAAGAGGGAAATGAATTTGTTGAATTGGTTGATTTCTAAAGATTTATAGATTTCTAAAGATTTATAGATTTCTAAGATTTCTTTAGTTAGGTGAATTCAGCCGGTTTGGGAGACTTCAAAAATGGGTGTAAATTGGGGAATTTCGAAGCGTTGAAAACCTCGAGAAGGCATAACCCCAGGAAGAATAACCAGAAACTTAAAGAACTCTTCTCCAAAAGTATCAAAGTTTCATCAACATCTCTTTTTCTTTAATGTTTCCTTTTTACAGCTTAAAACTTTCAAATCAACAAAAACTGCTTTTTTCAGGGATTCCCCAAAAGACACTAAACAACCAGAAGTCCTTGGAAAAGAAAGATCTCAAGATAGCTCTTATCGTTCTATCTCAATTAGTTCAAAAGATCACAGCATTCCAAAGGAACAGAAGTTGTCTAAATAAAGATGTCTTAATGAAGATCTCTTCATTTTCTTAAGATATCTTCATTTCTTAAGATATCTTCATTTCTTAAGATATCTTCATTTCTTAAGATATCTTCATTTCTTAAGATGTCTTCATTTCTTAAGATGGATTTTGGATGGATAAGGTCCACCGTAAGTCTCCATGAAACCGAGACATGTTGAGTGAAACCTAACTTTGTTCAAAAGTACCGTAAAATCCACTCTCTCTTTCAACCAATGGATAACCATCGAGCCACCGAAAGAACCCAGAAAAACTATTGCTTTTTTTTGGATTTCTGCGTTTGGGCACCTTTTGATTTCAACTGCTCTTGCTATTTCGTAGTCGTCACTGTTTCTTCACCTCCAGTGACTTTACACCCAGAAATCGAATAAAGCCAGCCTTATTTTCCACAGAAGCAAAACCGAGCAATTCCTTTGCCCTCTCAATACGTAAAGAGCTTCATTATTCTGGACCTAATTTCTTGCCATGTCAAGAAATTAATTGGTGTTCCAGACACCCATGAGATCCATCTTGCTGTGTTTTCTAGCGTGAGAACTTGAAGGAACAATGGAGAAGACTTAACTTCAGCAGAGGATGTCTTAGACTCAACGAGTCCAGAAAATGTCTGAGGGCGTCTTTCTTGACTCCCAACTTGATCCCTTTAAATAGGCGAAAACAGGAAGTAGTCAATTTTCATCATTTAGGCATTCTTTGGAATCAGTGACCTTCTGCCTTCTTTTTAAGAAGCCCCAAAAGCTGTTTTATTTGTTCAATTGCACGAACAACGCCAGAAGAGCAATAGCCACCTCCAGGCGTTTCAGAATTCCTTCTCAGACCTTCCAGGGTTCTCATCCACTTCCTTTTGAATAAAGAAAGGGTTTATTAAGCCTCTCAAGGCCTTCCAGAGCTTCCAAGATTTTCAAGACTTCCAAGGCCTTCCAAGGCCTTCCAAGTTCTTAAAGTTCTTCAAGTTCTTCAAATTCTTAAAGTTCTTCAAACTCTTCCAGGCCCAGCCTCTCAGGCCTCTCAAGGCTTCTAAGATTTAGGATTTCCAGGTTTTTTAAGTTTTCCAGTATTTCAAGCTTTTTATTCCTTTTCATCCTTTCCAGTCTTTCAAAACTTTCCACGATATCCAGAAATTCATATCATTACCTCCTTTCCAGCCTCTGGAGTTCCTCCAGTTCTCGAAAGGCTGGAACCTCCAGGCCTCTCAAGTTCCTCCAGTTCTCTCAAGACTTTCCGTCATTTCCAGGCCCTACAGTCTTTCAAGGCCTTCCAGGCCTCTCAAGACTCTCAAGTTTGTCAAGTTCTTCCAGGCCCAGCCTTTCAAGGCCTTCCAGGCCTCTCAAGGCTTCTAAGTCCCGCCTCTCGACTCCTTTCGGGCCCTCCAGGCCCTCCAGGACTCTCGAGGCGGCCCAAAACGCCCTCCAGCTCCTCTTCTTCTCCTTGCACAACTCATTCGTCTCTTTCCACCTTCCAGGATGCCCCAAAACAGTCACCACACAACAAAACGCCTCTGCCAAAAGACAAAAACACCGGAAAACCGCCTGCTTCGTCCCGCCAAACACCCCATCCATCTGGAGCCACACAAAATGCACCACAGCACCGGCAACAAACCCTAAAACGTGCACTCCCCAGACTCCAATGTGATTCTCGTCATATAGCCTGATAAGTGGAGTATCTGGGATCGTAAAGTATACCAAAAGCACCATTCCAAGGCTGTAGGTGCCGTAAACAAAAAGAGCAGAGTTTGGAGGCACCAAAACAAAAAAAACCATGCTGAAACTGACCAGGATAGCCAAAACAGCCCATCCAAAGCGTTTCCTCTGTTTTGGCTCCACCCCATTGAAATGGTAAAAGAAAAGCACCAACAACGAAAACGGCGCCATGAAGCGGAATTTCCCAAGCACAATGGCCAAGTTTAGAACACTGGCAGACCGGTTTTTCATATATACCAGAAGTAGAAAAAGACGTATAAAAGCAGCACCAAACGCCACCAAAACCATCGTTTTGTGGCCAATAACCGTCCCCAAAAGCGCCGAGAAGCCGAGAAACCAGATATACACCAGTTCCACAAGGGTGGAGCCCGGCAGAACTTCTCTTTCGATTTTAAGGACGGTTTCGACGCTTGGCGAGAAAATGATGAATCCGGACAAAAGGAACGTTGCGATCATGGCTTTGTTTTTGAACGGCTGGTCCCACGAGCGGAGGTCGCGGATGGGGTTGGTTAGTGGAGGCTCCATGGTTGAGTTGGGGGAGGAAATTGGAGTTTTGGTTGCTGGTTATAGATAAGCTATATACAGGAAAATCAACAATTTAGGGATTATGTGCAGGTCCACAGTGGAATATTTTGGATTTACGGTACTCCAGGGGCCCTGGCGTGGTCTGGGATTGGCCGTGGAGATGAAAGAAGTGAATTCAAGGGGCTTCCGGGGGTTTAAATATAGGGGAAACCGAGATTGGTGCTTCTTTTGGTCCAGGTCACGTGACCATGACGTCATATCAAGACCAAGAACGAAAAGCACTTCTTTCTGGCCTGGCATAGTTGGAGGTGAATGGGAAGGGAGTGTTGGCGTGGGATCTAGAATAGGATGGCTCGAAGGAAGCGGTTTGGAGGGATTTGGATGGAGGGAGGGAAAAAGACCCGTGCACCAGCTTACCCCAGGCCACTGAACCCTCCAACAAATCCACCATTTCTTAAGGGATGTGTAATGTTGGGGGTAGCGTTGGGTAGCAGGAGGCGCGGGGAGTTCTGTGGTGTTTTCAGAATTTTGGTGGCGGCTTTATGTCCCGAGATATAGTAGAATACGTTTCTCACATAGTTAACACCAACCCCAACCTGGAAAAGTCAATAAAGAGAGGTAGACAAACCTTGGAGGGCTATGTTAAATTTTTGTAGAAGATATTTGAATTCAAAGGTTTAAATGTCGTTGTTTTTGATGATAAAAAAAACTTACCATGGTCAAGTTTCGTAGTTTCTCGAATAGTAGAATACATGAATGGATAATAGGATTATGATTTACTTCCTTCACGTCGATTTATAACAAAGAGATCTCTCTTTTTATTTTCACGCCTTCGAAGCTTCGAGACTGAAAGCCAAAACCAATCATACATCTTAATTTGAACTTCTCAAGTGGAATCCTTTCAATTTTTGGCTTTTTCAATTTCCCCAAAATACCCTTCAGAACTTCCACTTCTTCTTCACCTAAAACTTCCTCATTCCTCGTAAGCTTCAAACTAAACTCTCTCCATTCCACTTCACTTGAAACTTCCTCGTTCCTCGGAAGTTTCAACTGAAAGCAGAACCGATTGTATTTCTTCCTCATAGCTCCAAGTCTATCCTTTCATTTCTAGCTTTTTATTCCACTGAACATACACGATAAAGGTTTCCGGACCAATGTCCAAGAAAGATATCAGCACCATCTGATAACTGTTCCCATTTAAATAACACCTAGTTGCATCAGACACCAACAAGAAGCTGCAGACACCTCTATCTTGGTTGAGGAGCATCTAATGGACCTAAGCCTGCTTCCTACTTTTCAACGTTCTTCTTTCAACTCTTTAAACAATAAACACATGAGGGTACATGTTAATATATCCTACGAAATCTTTACCTCATAGAAACGTCAATAACACCTTAGACTGTAAACCCAAGTGTTTCAAGTGTCTGGTCCATGGAATGGTGAAGTAGAGGCAAGGCTTTGGCCAAGAGGTCACAATAAACAACCTAACACTGTCCAAATGGGAAGTGGAGCTAATAATGCCACTGGTCGAAGAAAACTGAAATTTACAAAAGGTCAAGCTTTGAAGTTGTCTTCAAGATCTTCTTCTGGATTTTAAACTCTTCTCAATCTTTTGGCTTTCAATTGAAACCAAATATGATTAAAAGAAGATTAACAGAAGATTAAGCAGAACTTTCAGCAACTGATTGAAAACAGCAGAAAAAAAAGAGTAAACCCTTGGATTTTTTTTGTGCTTTTTTTCTAGAGATAAAAAGAGCTCTCACTTAATTCTGGTCTTCGTTCGTTGGACAAAGTTAAATAAAATTTGATGAAACCTGAAGAGGGCACTTTTGAAGAGGGTATGAGTTTGCTTCCCAAAATAAATTGACGGCTTGGGGACTTTAAAAAACGTTGAAACATAAAATAGAGATCTATTATTGGTGAATTTGTTTTCTTTGGAGCTTCTGAGACCTTCAATGGACTGCCTTTGCTTATGCTTCTTCAGAACATGAAAACCCCAAGAATCTCCAATTAAAGTTGCCAAAAAAAGCGTAAAACGACCACTTTTGACTATCATATATAGCTAAATAAGTCTGGAAACCCTTTAGAACCTTCACCAACCTCTCTCCATCCAAATCAATACGCCTTTTCTTCTTCTGGCTGCTTCCAATTTGCACCCAACCGTTTTCCCACCCTTTTCGTCCACGGAACGTTCGGAAGCCACCAGATGTTCAAAGACCCACCAATCCACCACTTTCCACCTTTATTTCATAAAATCCCTTAAAAACCCACCCAAAACGGGTACTTCCTTCTGGAGTACCAAAAGCCACACTTGAACCCCCACAAAACCGCCAAAACGGCGCCTTTTTCGCCCAAAAAGCACCACCACCAAGCCACCGCCCCAAACATCCCCTCAACCTTCTACATACTCTTTTTATTCACTCTTTCCCTTGTTTCATCGAAAAACATCAAATTTGCAACCGTGCTTATATGCTTTGCTTATATGCAGTACATTAACATCAGTAACACCCACCCATCTCCCGAACCACCCATTTTCTCCCGAAAGCAACTCATTTACCGTAATATTCCACCGTAAACACCCCCATTTCATGCCCTCCCGGCCTCTTCCCGGCTGCCGCCGTGAAAAGGCCTGGGAGGGCTATTTTTCACACCCGTACACCACGAATTTTTCACTCATCAGATCCACCAATTCCAACTTCCACCGCCATGTTCCTCCACAGCTTGCCACGAACCGCCCGTGTGGCGCTCAAACGCAGCGTGGGAATAGCCAGAACCTTAAACAGTGTACTGGCCCTTTCCCGGCCGTTTTCGACCACTTTTTCACCCCAAAACGAGCTAAAGACGATTCCCAAAACATACGAAGAAGAAAAGCTCGTAATCGACGAAATCAACAAGAAACTCCCTGAAAAAGATCTCGCCAGCTCCGCCCGCCTCAGAAATATCGGGATCTCGGCGCACATCGACTCAGGCAAGACAACCTTCACGGAAAGAGTGCTTTTCTACACCGGCCGTATTAAGGCCATCCACGAAGTCAGAGGAAGGGACGCTGTGGGCGCCAAAATGGACCACATGGACTTGGAACGTGAGAAAGGTATCACCATTCAATCTGCAGCCACTTACTGTTCCTGGGACAAGGACGACAAGGCGTACCACTTCAATTTGATCGATACGCCTGGCCATATTGACTTTACCATTGAGGTGGAGCGTGCCTTGCGTGTTTTGGACGGTGCTGTGCTTGTGGTTTGCGCTGTGAGTGGCGTCCAGTCACAGACGGTGACCGTGGATAGACAAATGAGACGGTACAATGTTCCCAGAGTGACATTTATCAATAAAATGGACAGAATGGGTGCTAATCCGTGGAGAGCGATTGAACAAATCAATGCTAAATTGAAGACGCCTGCTGCGGCGATCCAGGTGCCTATTGGCGCTGAAGAGAACTTAAAAGGTGCTGTGAACATTATCGACAGAGTTGCACTCTACTACGAGGGTTCCCAAGGTGAACTTGTACGCACAGCCGAAGTTCCAGAAGACTTGCAAGAGCTCGTGGAAGAAAAGCGTGCTGTTTTGATTGAAACGTTGGCCGACGTGGACGAGGAAATCGCCGATCTTTACTTGGAAGGCGAGGAACCGTCCGTAGACCAAATTAAGCAAGCTATAAGAAGAGCTACGATTGCCAGAAAATTCACCCCAGTGCTTATGGGCTCTGCGTTGGCTAACAAGGGCGTGCAGAGCGTTTTGGACGCTGTGGTGGACTATTTACCACAGCCAAACGAGGTCTTGAATACTGGTTTGGAGCTTATTGAGAAGGAAGAGAAACCCATCAACTTGGTGCCTTCTTCGGCTGAAGATTTCGTTGGTTTGGCGTTTAAACTTGAAGAGGGAAGGTACGGCCAGCTCACCTACATCCGTGTGTACCAGGGAAAGCTCAAAAAAGGCGGTTTCATCAACCACCTCAAGTCTGGAAAGAAGGTCAAGGTTTCACGTTTGGTCAGAATGCACTCCAACGATATGGAGGACGTGGACGAGGTTGGCGCTGGCGAAATCTGTGCTACTTTCGGTGTGGATTGTGCTTCTGGCGATACGTTTATTAGTCAGAACTCAGATCGTCATATCACCATGAGTTCTATGTTTGTGCCAGAAGCTGTTATATCTCTTTCGTTGACGCCTAAAGGGAAAGAAACCACGCAGTTCTCCAAGGCCATCAACAGGTTCCAAAAGGAGGATCCTACGTTTAGGGTCCATTTTGATTCAGACTCTAAAGAAACGATTATTTCTGGAATGGGCGAGCTCCACCTTGAAATCTACGTGGAAAGAATGAGAAGAGAATATGGCGTTGACTGTATCACTGGAAAGCCCCAGGTCACTTACAGAGAAACCATTACAGCCCCCATGAACTACGACTACACCCACAAAAAGCAGTCTGGAGGTGCTGGCCAGTACGGACGTATTATGGGCGAAATGAAGCCTTTGGGCGAGAAGAACGAGTTGACTCACCACGTTGTGGGTGGAAAAATCTCCGAAAAGTACCTTGCTGCTTGTGTTAAGGCCTTTGACGACTGTTTAGAGAAGGGTCCTTTGATTGGACACAGAGTGATGGGCGTGGGAATGCACATCAACGATGGACAGATCCATATTGTGGATTCTTCTGAGTTGGCGTTCCGTTTGGCTACGTATGGAGCGTTTAAGCAGACCTTCCTTCAGTGTAAACCAGTGATTATGGAGCCTATCATGTCTGTGGAGATCACAGCGCCTCTTGAAGCACAAGGAGCAGTTGCTGGGCTTGTGAATAAATTGGGAGGACTTATTATCGATACGGGAAATACGTCAGATGAAGTTACCATGACTGCTGAGTGTTCTTTGCATCTGATGTTTGGTTTTTCGTCGTCGTTGAGAGCTATGACTCAGGGTAAGGGAGAGTTTACGATGGAGTTTTTGAAGTATGCTCAGACGTCGGCTCATTTGCAGAAGGAGTTGATTGCGCAGGCGGAGAAGGAGAGGCAGAAGAAGAAGTAAGCCAGAACTTCCGAGAGAATTGAAGTTCCGAGGAACGAGGAACTTCAATGATCGAGGAGGTTCTGGCGTGAGGGTTTGGCTGGAGAGTTCTGAGGAACGAAGAACTCTCAAGTGAAGTGGAATGGAGAGGGTTTGAATGAAACTGACGAGGAACGAGGAAGTTTCAAGTGAAGTGGAATGGAGAGATTGAATGAAACTGACGAGGAACGAAGAACTCTCAAGTGAAGTGGAGTGGAGAAGGTTTAGTTTGAAACTGACGAGGAACGAGGAAGTTTCAAGTGAAGAGATTGAATATGGAAATTCTGAGGAACGAGGAAGTTTCAAGAAGTTTGGAGAGTGGAAGTTTGGATAGTGGAAACTTGAAGATTGAAAATTGAAGATTGAAAATTGAAACTTTAAGATTGAAGTTTGAACATTGAAAATTGAATATTGATCATTGGAGATTGAAGATTGGAAGAACTTTCAAGTGAACTTTCAAGTGAATTGGAAGGTGGAAACTGAATATGGATGTTTTAAATTGAATGTTCTGAGGAACAAGTGAAGATGGAATTACTAAGGAAACGAGGAACTTTCAATCTTGGAGTTTCAGTAATTTCAATTTTGGAAGCTTGGAAATTGGAAGATTGAACGACTAAGAGAGTTCCATGGAATCGATTGTTTGTGGTTCTGGTAATTGAACTTTGAGATTCCAAGACATTGAGAGTATGAAAGATTGGAACTTCTAATGAATTCAACTTTTGAAGAATTGAGAGGTTGGAACTTCCAAAGAAAACCAGAGGTTCCAAAGACTTGGGAAGTTTTGAAGCAAAAAAATCAGACCTTTCACCATCTCAATTTTGGTTTCGCTATCTCGAGAAGTTCAACATTGGAAGCTTTTGGAATTCGTGAATTTCTTCAATTTTGGTATTTTCTGAATTCTTGGACTTCGAAACTCATCAATTCTTGATATCTGTGAGCTTTGCAACTTTTTCTTGAAGTCTCATTATCTGAAGCTTTGAAACTTTCATGATTCTTGAGTTCCCAAAACTTTCCATCTTTGAGAATCAGAAACTTCTGAGTCCCCCCAGTTCTGTGATCTTGATGTTTCCACAAATCTCCAACTTTGAACCCCTCAAGCTTCGATTTCTTCAAATCCAGATTCCTCAATATTGGAACTTCCGAAACTCCTATATTCTTTGATTTCCCAGATCTCGAACTCCCCAGACTTCCTCCATTTTCAAATCTTGAAATCTCCAAAATCCTCCTTCCATTTCCTTCCTTCCTCCTTCTCCTTCCTTCATTCTTTTCCTTCATTCCCCCGGCCTTTGCCAGGCCTTAGATCGTGTAAATAGAAACATCGAATTACTTATGAAAGTCGTAGGCAGTTGGAAGTTGAATAAGAAGAAAGGTCAATTTAAACTATGGATTTCTTGAAAACACATAAATAACTGAAGAAGCTGAACAAGAAGTGAAGCAGTTTCGATGGCAAAGTGCCAAAAAAAGCTGTAGACAAAGTAATTACTTGTATAGATAGTGTACTTCTTACTATAGATAAGGTACTTAGTAGTATAACTCAAGTACTTACTACTATTGATAAAGTACTTACTTAGCATAGATCAACTACTTCGTACTATAAGTACTTTAAACGTTGAGTTACCAGTACACTAATACATGAAGTACTTACCAAAGACAGAAATATTACTAGTGTTGAGAAAGCACTAACTAGTACACATGTACTAACTACTAGAGATGTATACTTACTATAGATAAACCAGTATAGACAAAGTGCTTAGTGGTATAGAAGTACCAACTTACTACTGTGAATGTTGTACTTACTTAGTATGGATAAAGTCCACAGAGATAGAGTATTCACTACTTACTTACTACGATAACTAACTGTGTACTTACTAGTATAGATATAGTACTTGGTAGTATCAGTGTGTACTTACTAGAGACAGACAAAGTACTTATTAGTAGAATAGACAAGGTACTTGGTAGTATAGATAAAGTACTGGGTAGTATACTACTGTGGATGTATTTACTAGTATGTGTCTACTTAGTATAGGTATACTACTTACTACTATAGGCAAAGTAGTATAGATATACATACTTACTTCTTAGTATAGATAAAGCACTCACTTACTACTAGAGATGTGTACTTACTGGTATACATGAATACGTTCTACTGTAGATGTTAACTTGGTGGTATAAAGGAATTTCTTTTTTGTGTAAAGAAAGTACTTAGTAGGATAGATAAGCATTTAATTCTTAGTATAGATAAAGTACTTACTTACTACCATAGATGAAGTATTTGGTAGTAAAAGAAAGTACTTGGTAATATAGATAAAATAGTTACTTCTTAGTATAGATAAAGCACTTACTAATATAGATATAGCACTTACTACTGTAGATCAAGTACTTCTCAGTATAGATAAAGTACCTCTTACTATAAACGATTTACTACTGTGGATATAGTACTTACTTCCTAGTAAAAGTAAAATGTTCACTAGTAGAGAGGTAGACGTACTACCGTAGATTAACTACTTACCAGTATAGACGTGTGCTTACTACTACATCTTTATGCTTACTATAGATAAAGCACTTAGTAAAGTACTTCGTACCATTAACGTTTACTTACCAGATGTGTACTACCCTAGATAGAGTACTTACTATAGATAAAGTACTTACTGCTGTTAATGACTGTAGGTATGTACTTGGTAGGGTGAATGTGTACTTACTGGTATATATGTATATACATAAAACGCTTACTAGATATGGTACATTTTCTAGGAAGTCAAGTGCCTTCATTCATTCTTCATTATAAAGGCTGTTCAGGCGGACGATTCTTGTGTTAAAGGAGACAGACATTGGTTCTTTGTTCATGGCTTTTTCAGTATATGAGACTTTATAGGTATACTTCTTTCTACCCAGAACATCCCACTTCCATCCATACCACTTGAAGTTTGAGTCTTGGAAGTGGCTGTGTTCCCAGAAACATAACTGAAGTTCCAATAAAGATATTTCTTAGCTATTGGGTTGTTCTTGGTTCCTGGTTCCTTGAGACCACTTCGTTCCATGAGATGTCTCTTGATCAGTTTATAAAATAGAAAACACTGAAGCATTTCTTTGAGGTTCTTTATTGGTTTCTGGAGTTTTCCTTTTTCTTACGTTCTTTTATAGTGTAATTAGTAGTAGCTACATCATCTTGGTAGCTCTATAAGCTTTTTGTAGAAAATACATAGTCTTATGTAACATCTCATTCTGGGCTTTATCCTGGCCAAAAAAGGTATCATTAACGTCGAAAATCCATTTAATTTAAATAATCCAGCTGACTTCACCTTTGGAGTTGTTTTCTTTAAAAATTAAGAGACTTCCTTGAGACGCTTCTTAGTCCTAAGAGACGTCACTTACTTCCATGAGATACCTCTCAGTTCTCTCTAAACCGCCACCAAAGACAAAACCCACTTGAATAATTCCATGAATCTTTGACCCTTCTGGTTCTTCTCTTCAAAAATAAACAGACTTTCTGTTTATGCTTATCGGTTCCTTGAGACCCCTCTCAGTCCTCAAAGAGGCCTCTTACTTCTCCCAAAACCACCAATAAAAACACCTTCAAATCCTCAAATCCAAGAAATTAACCTCTAAAAAACCACCTCCTTTGCTTCTTTTCTTCATCTCGTCCCTCTATCACCTCCTCTGGTTGGCTGCAAATGAGCACTACCAACGACGAAAAGCTCCATGAACAACCAGAAAAACTAAATAAACAAACCTTCCAAAGGTCCCAAAACCCTCCAGAAACCACCAGAAACCCCTTAAAACCAAATTCCACCACTTTTGATGTTCCTGGCACTGAAAACTCAATCCACCCTAAAACCTCCATACTTAAGCACCACAAGAGGAAGAAACCACCCTCCAAAACCACCAAATCCACAAAAGAACACCCCCAACTTCTTCAAACGACGAAGGCACTCAAAGAAAAAAACACAAACAGCATTTCTCTTCATTGGTACCTCCCTGGTTGAATTTTTCACCACCTTAAACAACTCAACCATCTTCCCTACAAACACCCTCTCTCTCTACAACTTCCACAAACGAAATCTACACTTGGGAACGCCCCAGCCGTGGCCCGAACCGACCTCGAGATCACAAATCACCAGTTCGTGCTCGAAAGACATGAGTCTGAAGACACTGAACATGGAGATGAGTCTGGATCTCTGGGTCTGAACTTCTGGCCTGAGGCCCTTCGCCCCTTCTCTGATTAACCGTGTATTACATATGTTTAAGCCTTGGCAGCAATCTTAGAGACAGCCAATCTCTTCTGCTTTCTCAACACCATAACCTGGAATCTCTCAAAGTCAGACAAGTTGGCTCTTCTCTGTCTGGTAGCCAATCTCTTGGCCCAAGAGGTGGCGGCCCACTTACCGTCGATGTCGGCAGCGGCCCACTTCTTGTGAACAGTGGCGGTTCTGGAGCCTCTTGGCAACTTTTCCAACACAAGCGGAGTCAACACAACCTTGTTCAATGGGATGGCTTGTCTGTTGATAGCTGGACCGTCAATCAACACCTGCTGGTTAGTATAAGTGATTATGGATATGGAGGGAGGGCCAGTCAAAATGTGCAAATCTGAAGCTACAGAGCCAAAAAGGGTACCGTTGTGTCCGCCTCGACGAGCCGAATCCAGTGGTACCCTTGGTTTCCCCGTAGCTGCCCTGGTTCCCGAAAAAATTGCCCTTCTTTACATACTCTCTTCTGGTCGATGATCTCAACAATGGTGGCCAATTTGGAGTTGTCAATCAAGACAATACGGCCGTATTCGACGTATCTCCAGTTGGCGGTTTTCACGGTGGTCGACATGATTATGTGGGTTCTTTGGAAAAAAAAGTTTTGGAGAACTTAAGAAATCTTTTCTTTGAGGCTAAAATTTTTTTTTTTTTTTTTTCGAGAAACTCACTGTGTGGAATACTGGAAATGTACTGCAGATAAGCACTTTTTTTCGCAAATTTCTTGATGTTCTTTCTCACTATGACTTTTTTTTTTCACGCTGAGAAGAGGCAGAATCCTGCATACAGCCAGTTTCCCCATAGTTAAGTCATCGCCAAAATTGGTAGTTTCTGATCACGTGAGCGTTAGGGCTGGAGCCCTGGACAGGGATTCCCGGCAATAGCCAATTCAAGAGGGATTTGAACACCACCAGTGTAGCCACTGGTGGTCAAAGGTCGTATCCTACTGATTATTTACATCTCTTGATTGCCGCCTGGTCAAATGACTGGGGGTGGTTTGTAGTTACACCCGTGCACCACACAACCACTATATAAGCCCTACCAAATCCACCAAATCCACCAACAACGATAAAATTCCACCTTGGAATATGTCAACCTCCAGGTTCGCTGGAGGTTTGTCCAGAAACGGTATGTTTTGGTCACATGATGATATAATTTGCGTTTGAGTGGGGCAGGCACCGAAACACGCCTAGTTTCATTATGGGTCTGTCTCGATATGCAAACATCCTTTTATTCTGACTCGTCCAAAGAAGGTTATTAACAGAAAGGACTGAAGATGTGTTGATTTTAGGGAATTGAGGGATTTGGGTGAAAAAAGGGGGGAATTTGAAGGTTGGGGAGGTGGAAAGTCGGGGGTTGGCTTATCTGGGGTAACCAGAGATGGATGTAAACGAATTGGATGTAATTTGGGTGGGAATTGAAGGAAATGCTTGTTCTTTATTGACTTTTTTGTCTTCATTACGTTTCCAAGGTTTTGGATTGTGGGGAGGTTTTTGTGGAAGTTACGTTACTGCTGGTGGAAGTCAGTACTGGTTCTTTGCTCTGGGTGGTTTTCCACTGTTTTCTTTCGTTTTTTGATGTTTTGGTATTTCTAAGTGGTCTCTTCTTTGAGACGTTTCTCTCTTTCGTTTCTGTCGTTTCTGGAATCTCTGTACGCTGAATGTGGAGTATTAAGTGAATGGTGATCCATTGGTCAGTTTACCAAAGTACTTGGGATACTTTTTCCACTTTGTGTCTCTAAAAAGCCTTTATTATGATACTGGAGGCCTTCTTGAAGCTTCCTCTTTGACTTCCTTAACTGGTGGTTTCGTTTACTCTACCCAGTGGATCCCATATTATCTCTAATTCACTGGTACCAGTAGTATTGGTAATCCCAGTATAAAAACGCCCAGACTACGTTTTCGTGGATTTGTTGAACATCTCTGGAACCCAGTTTCTGTTGTTTTACGTTTTAGGCTCTTTGACTCTGGGGATGGTACTTTCTGGTGCATTTAGTATACTACTGATAACCAGAAGGAGGCAGAAACCAGTAAAAATGCTTCATAAATCCTCTAAATGAATTAAACAGAGGTGGTTTTCAAGAAATTAAAGCATTTTTTAACTTCTTGTTATATTCTGAACCTGAACACCAGTCTACTTAAATTGGACCTCCAGAAGGGTATAAAGGAACCATTTATCTGTAAAAACCAGCACTCAAAACTGAGAAGTACCTATGAAATCCCAATTTCAAGACTCAGAAAACCACAATGAGCTTCAGTGGTCCAAAAATTTAGTTCCCTAGTTACATCTACTTGGGTTATCTGTTATACACTTTCAGTCAGTTAGACATAATACCAGTAGTAGTACTTTCAGTAATGGTACTTCTAAATGGTACTTCTAAAGGTCAGTTCAGGCAAAGAAGGGACTGGAAATAATTCTCTGTACTTTCTGTATATATTTAGGTTCCACTTACATGCTCTGATTAACGTCTGGTTGTACTATACCTCTCTGGAAGTACATATATAGAAGTTATTGGAACCAACGCCAACCCATATATGTTTTGAACAGAACTGAACAATCAATACTGGTAATCTGAAATAACTGAAAAAGACTTATTTGGTTCATTTTCAGTGTCTTTTGGGAGATTACTGGTACTTCTATAAGTGATGGTCTGAGTAACCAACAAACACCAATAACCACCAGCCCAGAACAAAAGCAGGACCAATGAAACGCTCCAGTAGCTTTAATGAGCTTTAAGATTTACCTTAAACTTGTTTTAGCACCTTCATAAAACCAGAATCCAGAAGTAGCAGGTAGTGGTATATAACGTTTATTTGGATAAGAATAGGTACCCTGTTGATGGATATCCACTAATAAAAAATCAACAAAAACAAGTCGTTTACAAATGAAGTGCATAATAACCTTAATTGAATGAAATCTGAAACCCAGTTCATTGAATGACTTTGCCTTTTGTGCTCCTTCAGTACACTGGTTCATGGATATCCACCAGCACCAATGAACCTCCCAAAACCAGCCCATAAAAACTCAAAAAGTCTTCAAATATTCTCTAAAATCCATAATTAATCTATTTAATGAAAAATATCTCTACAGATATTTCCCAGGGCCTCTACTTATACCTTCCATGCCTTCCACTCCCAGACGACAAAACCCACAGCCAGAAACAGACACAACGACACCCAACAAATTCCAAAACCACCACTGTAAACTAGAAATTTCAAGGAATCGATTCATACCAATAACACCCCATTTCCACAAACTTCCATACTTTTAACTGTACCTCCACTTCCATCCACCCTTGAACACTGAACCCCAACGTAAGTCCACCAAAAACCATCCAAACCCAGCCATTTCTTCCAGTCTCCTTCTTTTCATCTTAAACAACCAAAAACAACCAACCTTCGTCTTCCCCCGTCCAAATCCACCGCTTTTCCTTCCATCTTCCGGCGAGCGCCACAGTTTATTCCACCTCCACCAATCAAAACCCATGCAAACGAAACCACAAAAAAAGTAACATAACCAGGAAAGCCGCCTCTTTTCAATGAACCCGGTTTCGTTTATTAAACCTTTCTGGTTAATCCATCTCTCCACTAAGCCACTTTTCATGTTTCGCAGCCATTTCTTCACTTCCAGAACCCCCAGCTATTCCACCCAATACTGACGAAAATCACCCAAAACCAACACTCCCAGACAACTTAACTACCCTGGAAACCCCTGGACGGTTTAAATCCCGAAATTTCACTCTCCTTCCGTGATTTTTCACGATTTTTAGTTTTTCCAGGGCTCCAAACCACAGATCTCCAAAGTATCTCCACCACCAGACATAAAAAGCCCAACCCAAAGCACCCATAGTACTAAACCTTCTGGTCTCTACCCCCGGAAACCCTCTTCTTTCACTCAACGTCGGCCTTCGCCTCCGTAGAAAGGTTTTGAGCTGTAGATCACGTGACCCCAACCATATCACCAACCGCCTTCAACTTTTTCCAAACCCATGCCCAAAAGTCTACTCTCCCGTCTAGCCATGAGTACCGCTTCAGCAGCCAGAAAAATCACCCAGCCCCCCTGGTACAAGCCGTCCCCACCTCCAGGCGAAAAACCAGCCCTCAAGCTTTACAACTCGCTCACCAGGAACAAGGAACACTTTGTGCCCTTGAACCACAACCAAATCACCTGGTACTGCTGCGGTCCCACCGTCTACAACCATGCCCACATGGGCCATGCACGTAACTACGTGTGTAGCGACATTTGCCGTCGAATTTTGCAGGATTACTTTGGCTACAATGTGGAGTTTGTTCAGAATGTGACTGATATCGATGATAAGATCATTGTGGCTGCTCGTCACGAGTACTTGTTTGAGGAAGAGATGGAGAAGAAGTATGGAAGCGTGGAGCCGGAGCTTCTAGAAGAATCTAAAGGGTACTTGAAGGAGTACGTGGCGAAGAACTTGCCGAGGTATGAAGGAGAGTTGACTGGATTGGTGGCATGGATAGACTCTTTGGACCTCCAGGCGCTTGCGGTGGACGAACCGAAATTGCCAATGTATGCTAAGGCAGCTAGAGATGCCCACGTGGCTGTTTTCAAGCCGGAAACGGACGTGGCGGCGTTTTTGGCGGCGGTTAAAGACGTTTCGGTGCCTAGTTTGGATAAAAAGCATGGTTCTACTGTAACTGACCCTGAAATCTTTAAAAAATTGCCTGCGTTTTGGGAAAACAAGTTTAACCAGGATATGGATAAGCTCAATGTGCTCCAGCCCACGGTGACGACCCGTGTTTCAGAGTATGTTCCAGATATCATTGCATTTGTGGAAAAAATCATTTCCAATGGGTTTGCGTATGCTACAAAAGATGGATCTGTATATTTCGATACTGTCCGGTTCGAAAACGACCCAAACCACGAGTACGCCAAATTGCAGCCCTGGAATAAAGGTTCCTTGGACCTTATCAACGATGGAGAAGGTCTGTTGTCTCTAGAAGGCACATCCAAGAAACTGCCGGCTGATTTCGCTCTTTGGAAAGCGTCCAAGCCTGGCGAGCCTGCGTGGGACTCGAAATGGGGCCCAGGAAGACCAGGCTGGCACATTGAGTGTTCTGTGATGGCGTCAGACATTTTGGGTGAAGTTATCGATATCCACTCTGGAGGTGTCGATTTGTGTTTCCCCCACCACGATAACGAGTTGGCCCAATCAGAAGCTTGCTTTAACAATAAGCAGTGGATCAACTACTTCATGCATAACGGCCACTTGCACATCCAGGGCCAGAAAATGTCCAAATCGTTAAAGAACTTTATTACCATTGAAGAGGCGTTACAGACATACACTTCTAGACAGCTTAGACTTGTTTTTGCGTTTGGAAACTGGGACAAACCGATTGATTTTAAGGATTCGTTGATTAACGAAGTCAAGGCGTACGAGCTGACGTTGCTGAAGTTTTTTACTACCGTGCGTGCTTTGAACACTGACTATAAGCATGCTGTTTCTTCAGCTCAGTATGTTTCCAAACGTTTAACTGACGTTGAAACCAAGCTTTTGGCAGATTTGGCCCTGGCTCAAAACGAGGCTCACGCTGCTTTCTGTGATAACCTCTCCACGCCAGTGGTTTTGCGTGTGATTCTGGAATTGGTATCGAAAACCAACACTTATATCCAATCTACAGTTACTGGCGAGAACGAGTTACGCATAGAACCAGTTCTTGCAATCACCAAGTGGATAGTGAAGGTTCTTGATATTCTTGGGTTCCCTGCAAGACCAGATAAGCTCGGATGGCTTGATTCTGCTGAAGGAGAAGCTGGCGTTGGCGGATCCACTGAAGAAATCGCCATGCCGTTCGTCAAGGCCTTGTCTCTGTTCAGAGATACAGTTAGAGAGTTGGCGAAATCGAAGGCTGAGTCTGGCGCTCTTTTGAGTGCTTCTGATGCCTTGAGAAGCGACTTAATCAGCTTGGGCATTTCTCTTGACGATAGACCAAATGGAGGTGCTTTGGTGAAGTTCCTTAACGAACAGGAAAGAGAGGAGTTTGTCAAGCAGCAGGACCTCAAGAAGGAGCAGGCGCTTCAGAAAGAACGCAAGAAGCAGGAGCAAGCAGCTGCCAACGCCAAGAAGGAACAGGAAAGACTTGAAAAGGCCAAAATCGCTCCTAAGGACCTTTTCCAGGATAAATCTTTGTATTCTGAATGGGACGACTTGGGGCTTCCTACAAAGACGGCTGCCGGTGAAGAAGTGACCAAGAGCATGCGCAAGAAGTTGGCCAAGCAGCAGCAACAGCAGGAGAAGCTCCACCAGGAGTATTTGAGGAAATAGAGAAATGGTTGCAAATTGGGGGAGGAGTTTCTGGAATGTGTCCTGCACACAAGACATCACCACTTTATCTCAAAAAGCTCCACCTCAACAACTCCAACCACTTCTTTTCTCCTTCTTCCTCAATGTTCAGTTTGGTGTCACGTGGCCAGGCTGTGGCCAATCAAACGCTCACGGCTTCGTCAATTGCCGCCGCTCTTGTGGTTGTTCTTTCGCTTCTCCAGCTTTTCTTCAAAGACCAAGCCTGGAGCATCAACACGACCCTGATTGCCAACGTCAAGGCCACAGCGCTGTTGAAAAATTCATTCGCTTATGGCGCCGTCGGTGGCAAACCTAAAGAGAACTCAAAAATCCAGTTCGATTTGGATGCAGACTTGACGCCACTTTTCAACTGGAACACGAAACAAGTGTTTGTGTATTTGACCGCCGAGTATGAAGGAAAGACGGCGTCTGCTTCGAATAAGGTGACTTATTGGGATAAGATCATCACGAGTCGTGAGGAGGCCGAGGTGCACTTGAAGAACCAGAGAGCCAAGTATTCAGTGTGGGACGTGGAACGTTCGTTTAGAGGAAGAAACGCCACGCTTCGGTTGGAGTGGAATATCCAGCCGTGGGTGGGGCCGTTGCTTTACGGCAGCACGACGACCGAGCTGACGTTTGTGTTTCCCGATGTGAAGAAGCCGAAGAAGGCTGCTGCCTAGGTGGATACAATGTGGATTCTGAACGACAATAGCATTTACATCTATATACATAATTAAGGATGCGTCCGTTGCAGTAAAAAAAAAAAAGAAAAAGAAAAAGTCATCATTTTGTCGTGATACGTGGATTGGAAAGATTTCGTCCACAAAATGCAATGGAGGCTGCAACGCCTCCTCTATCAATGCGATAAGAGCTTCATCGACTGTCTTAAAGCTCCTAGGGTTCTGAATCTCCTGTTTTTTCGCCCTTCGTTGGTGGAAAACGCTGGCGGCGGCCGAATCTCGTCTATTTCTCGTCTGAGGCCCTGAAGCCTTGTTCTGGCCTGGCCATAATAAAGAAGGTACTCCACGGTATCTGGGAAATCGTCATAAAGCTTGAATGCCTTGGTTCGGTCGTCCAGACTGTACTTTCCAATATAAGCATAAATTTTGGCAGACATCCGGTGGTCCATGACGTTTTTCGACGGAATGCTTCGTCCAGGCAAGAAGAATTTATGTGGATCTTTCACCAAAGCGTGTACTTTCCATGTGAACGACGTCATAACGCCGTATTCGTCTAGAGCACACTGTAAAGCCTCAGCAAGGTTTCCCACGTGCTTGAACTCTTCTTTAAGCTCGTCAATGCTTCTGACATTATAGTACTTGTTGAAAAGAACGTAATTGTCCATGATTCGTTGCGTGGGCATGCTCCTGGTGAGAAAAAGAATGTACAATTTATAAATAAACTGTTGTTTCTTCTCGATGTTGACTTCCACCCAGCTTCCAGCGACAAGGAACCGTTCACAAATATCGAGAATGGTTCGTACTTTGGATTCAGTGGGCTCTTCTTTCATGATATGTTCGATAATTGGCCGGAAAATGGGTCCAGCAAGGTGAACATTATATGTGAGTGCAGTTTGGGCCAATCTCTGATATTCTTCCGACGGAGCCTGGAGCTCTCGGTAAACTGGAAGCAACACTTCATACACTTGTCTGTAATCGAGCTGGAGAAGCTTGGGAAGCACTGGTTCCAAGAAAGACTCTTCCTGGCCTTTTCTGTAATGGGCAGCAACATCGTTAAGTTCGTCAAGAGCTTTTAATGCTAACCGTCTGGCGGTTTCGTTATCGCCAATCAACCTATAAAGAATGCCCATTTCTTTGAAAATAGCAAGCCTGAACCGAAGAGGAATACAGTTCCCAAGACGATCTTTCATCTGGTTAAGGAAATGCACCACAAGGTCCATTTTGGCATCGTCGTTCTTATTCGTGGTCGCTCTAACGTACGTTGTCACCACTCTAAGAAGGTTTTCAGCATGGTAGTACATGTCTCCAGCAGAAGCTCTCAAGGGTTTGATGTGTTCAAACAAAGATAACCCATAGAGCTCGAAAACCGATTCCAACAACTTATATGAATTGACGTAGTTGGCTGAGTTGCTTCTGTCGATCTCCACCAACGCTTTGATCAAATACACATACGTTTTTGATGTCAAGACGATCCTGTTGCCAGCCATTTCTCTGTATAGCTCCAAAACAGCACTGGCGCCTTTGTATGATCTGGCATTGCAATGGTACTTCAAAAACGGAATATAGTGCTCTTCAGAGACGCCTTCTAAGGTTATGGCTTGGTCGAGGTACGCTCTAGCGGTTCCTCTTCTGTTTATGGCCAATTCGAACTTGATGGCTTCCAAAAGCAACTTGGAACGGCCGTTTAGTGAAAATTTCCCCAGATCAACGCCTTTTATGATCGTCATGGCTTTGGCTGCAATGTAAGGCCTGATTTCACCATCGGTGGTTGCATTATACCAGCTTCGTAAGTTTTTAAGCTGCGCTTTGGCAATAACTGAGCTGGTGAACGGAACTGCCGACTCCAAATGTGCTTCAAACGTGAGTTTATCGGCTTTTTCGTACTCGCCAAACCTCGAAAGTGCATTAATTGTCTTTTCATACACTTCTTCAGTCTTCATGGAAAACCGCTCAGCAATCTCCCATAACTGTTCGAGCTCACGAACTCCATAATTGGCTCCCACGGTTTTTATCACGTCACAGAGAAACTTCGTGTCGATCAACGGCACCGTGCATGTTTTCTGTCTGTCTATGACTTCCTGTAGAGCTTTCATGAGCCGGGGAAGCGTACTGGCATGGAAATGGAGTTCAAATATAAGAGCATGTACACGAGCAACGCTTCCTTGAACGACGGCGCCGTTTTCGTAGTTTTGGAGGAACTCTTCAAATTTTTCTTCGGCGCCAGCGTAATCGTTGATGGCTAATCTGCTTTTGATGATGGCAGCGTGGATTTCACAAGTAGGCTTCAATTTTCTTCTGAGAAGCTGCTCATAAAGCTCGTCCACTTCTTTAACCACTTTAATCGACGCCAAAGCGTTCATAACAATGGAATAGTGCTGAACATAAGGAAGTTCGCCACGACCGTACATATCTTCAAACTGTTTTTGGAGATGTTGCCAGTCTTTTGTCTTTTCACTGATTTTCAAAAATATATCGATCTGCTGGTCGCTGTGAAGGTGTGGGTACTTTGGATAAAGCTCAAGACACTCCTGGTAGTCGTTTTTACGGAGTAGCGCCCACATGGCCGTCAGAAGATCGTGCAGTGTGAGAAACTCGTTTACCTTGGGTTTGGGCACCACCAACGATTCTGCCTTGTATTTCCAGTACTCGAGCGCCACCTGGGGTCGTTTCTGAGCGATTGCCGTCATTAGTGACGTTAGAAGATTGGAAAACACAGCTTTATCGCCGTTTTCTGTCCCCAGAAGAAGACGTCCTAGCAGTTGGATATGTGCAGCAACCGACGTCTTTTCGCCAGGAAAACTCAAAAGCGCAAGTGCCTGGCGGTAAACAGCATGTTCTGGTTTAATCAAAAGCAAGTTCCCGTCGCCCACGTCGTTGGCAAACCCAAAAAACGCAGAAACCACTTTGGGCATATCATATTTCAGCGAATAAAGAAGCGCTTTCCGAAGAAACGTCGCCAACATCCTCCGTTTCGCTTCCAAATCGTGGTCACCCCTGAGAAACGCCCGGATGCTCGAACTGTCAAACTGAAGCTCTCCCTTTCCCAGAACCTGGAACCGAAGCGTCTGCGCTACCGTATCTGCCCACTCCTTCCCAGGCACATGGCCCATGCACTCGACGTATTTCACGTAATCCAAATTGTTCACACAAAGATTCACAACCTTATCTTTAGACCTAAGCAAGATCCTCTGCAAAGCAGGGCCTCCTCGGTGTTCTCGAAACACTGTAAGCCAGAACTTCACCACAAACCCGTACGCTTCCTTGGAAAGCTCGCCCGACGCCAATTCGATCGCCTGGTTGAAAAACCCACTAATAGCCGTCAAATCTTCCTCAGATAGCTTCCCTGCTTCTCGTAGATAACTGATATATCTCTCCTGGAGCTCAATGTCCAGAATGACCCGTTCAGGCTGTGTCAATTTCGGAGAAACCTTCTCCCTGGTACTGTGGGATGCAAAACGTTTGAAGGAGCCGTTTTTCAGGCTTGTTGTGGTGGCAAATAGGAGATGTTGTTTTCGTAGACTCGGTAGTTTCGAGTATCGCCTGAGGGCGAGCCCTAGCGGCGAGAGGGGCGGCGTTCGCCGGAATATGAGCAGCATGCTGGAGGTGGAGAATACCACGTGGGGTGAAATTGGGGGGAGGAAGGGGTGGATCCAGGGAGTAGTTGGTTGTATGGAAAGGTGAAAATGTTAAATGGAAGGTTAAGCAGAGGTGTGGGTGGTATATGCAGGAAAGTTGGAAAAAGTGGGTTGACCTAGTGGTTTAACGACAACAGAAGGGAGGAGGGTGAGGTAGGGACGTGGGATGGTAGTGTTGTGGTGGGAGGGGACGTGGGATAGTGGGAAGGGGTGGCGTTGGTGGTACCGGTTGGTGGTTTGTAGCCCTGGCTACAAACGTACAATTCAACCAACGTCAACGTCAACGTCACCGTCACCGTCACCAACCTTTATCAATCAGAGTTCAATCATAGAGTTCAATTCGTAGGAACAGCAGAAAACTTCCCAGGCTCCGCCCGGCTTCGCCAGGCGTCGCAGTTAGCCAATGTCAGAGTCATTAAATCAGTTTTGTGTTTTTGTAGTCAGCGAGGCAGAAACCCCTAGTACAGTGTGAATATTAGACATCATCATCCAGGCTAGCTCTGTTCCCACAGCGTACACATCGGTGGATGTGTGAAAAAGTGACAAAAAGTCAGAGATTTCGAGTTCCTTCTACAGGTTAGTATAACCTTTTGCAAATCAAAACAATCAAGTCAGAAAAAAAGACCTATCATCAACTTCCACTGACCAACGCTTCAAAAAAATTTGTACACAGAAACGTGACTCCTCTCCAATTGTACAAGAAAGGGGCCAGTGGAGCGGTTTATGTCCGCCCGGTCACAAGTTTCGTCATGAAAAATCAGCAAGTATCAACATACACTTGGAGTTAGTAAACGAACGTCGTTTCTTTATTTGTTTGGGGAGCTCATACAAGGCTGAAACTTAACGATAATGCGGTTGTCAACCCGGAACATTCAGTTGGAACAATTGGTAAAATGCAAATAATCTTCGCAGGCCCCTGAAAAAAATGAACATACTGTTTCAAATTCGTCACTTTTCACAGATCCAGCGATATGTGCAAAGCAAAGAAGGAGGTGTTTTCCTTGGGGTGAAAAAAGCAGTAGGGAATTTCTCTGCTTTATATATTCTCGCGATGGTCTGGTTCGCGCACGCCCTTAGGGCTTCCAGTGGGGGAAGCAAGGAAGGCATTTGATTCGGCAACAATAACGTTTTGGGGGAATATAAATGGTGGGAACGTGTTCTTCGAGGCATTGGGACCCTCCAGGTACCTTTAAAACCCTCAAACCACCATTTTTCGTCAACTTCACTGACAACCCAAAATGGCTGCAAAATGGCTGCAAACAACAATAACTCAATCACCAACGACGACAAACCAACCCTCCACCTTCAATTGCACGTTCTCGGCGCCTCGCGCCCACCTCTTCAACCTCTCTTCCTATCTTCCAACATCCATCCTTCTTCCTCCTCCCGCGACTGTGTTTGTGGCCAGCACCAACTACTCTTCTTCAAACAACAACCTCCAACCATGGACAGCCGGCGAGTCGTATCGCCGCTTTTCCCGTCTTCGGGGAACCTCCAGAGTCTGCGTTTGGAGTTGAACGACCACAGAATCGATTGTTCCCAGACCTCTGTCATGTCTCCAGTACCTCCACCACCGTCATTCATCAGGAGCCGTCCACCAAGCCCAGAACCGTTCAATTTCAGGTTCATCAACACCGAAGACCCGGACGACTACGATATCCTTCAACGGATCGGCCTGGGCGGCTATGGCCATGTCCATAAAGCTCAAAACGTCATCACTGGACGAGTGTGTGCGGTGAAAATCGTCAAATTGCAACCCAAAAAGCTTCTGAAACAGTTTAAAGAGCCTGATCTTCAGTTCCGTATGTCCCATAAGAACGTGGCGCTTCTTTTGGGCGTTTATTGCACGGAAATGCATTTAAACATGGTTCTTCAATACTATAGTGGAGGAACCTTAACTGAGCGAATCAAGCTGGCTCCACAACAACGCGTTAAACAGGCCGAGGCGGCAAGTTATATCAGCCAGATAGCGCTGGGCCTAGACCATATTCATCGTTTGGGCGTGATCCATAGAGATATCAAGGAAGGAAACATCTTCTTGCTGAGTAACGGTATTGTCAAGATTGGAGACTTTGGCATTGCCGTAGAACGAGATCCGCTGGGTTTAAACACTGGCTATGGCGGCACACGCGGCTGGATGTCGCCAGAAATGGTCAAATCGCTTCCTTATACGATAAGTACGGATATTTGGTCGCTTGGAGTGGTTTGTTACCGATTGCTCACGGGCAAAAGGCCGTTTCTTGCTCACGACGGGTCAACCTATAGCGAGAAGATCGTTGCTGGAGCGTACCCGAGCTCCATGTACTTGGAAGGGATCGCTGGCGATCTCATAAGGCGGTTTCTCAATGTGGATCCAACGCAAAGGATAGATTTGCACGAAGTGGACGAAATCCCATGGATCCAGTACCATATTTGCATTGCCGGAAGACGGAAACGGCCCAGACGCGTGCTTCGCCGTAGGTATATCAACTAATATAGGCACATTCTTCATCAGTTAATACCGAAAAACGAGATTTTCACCAAAATGGTGAATCCCAAATGCACCAAACAAAGCGCAAAGATCACCACCCGGTGGTTCTTCGTTCCTTGTTCGACATTACCCTCGGCAAGGTCCAAAGAGTTTTTGAGAATCACCGGTTTCACCTTTAAGATAATACTAAGCCCAGTAACTGCACCACTAAGCAACACCGAAACCCACTCAAAAACGTTCAAAAGCACCTTATGCTTCTTACTGCTCACAAACACCACAAGCACAAAATTAATCACCGTAAGCGGCACCCAGAGCACGTTGGCGTACCCGTAAATCGACACTAGTCTCGTCAACGAGAGTCTATCGGCGAATTTCAACCACCACGACGTAAACCCATATAATGCAAGCGGCACAAGCGCAATGTAGCCATAAAAAAGCGACATCGACACGGTCAACCGGTCAAACTCATACTCATACTTGCCTCCATTCTCATCTCCCAAATACAACCAATGAGATACAAGATTGGCGCCCGTGGACGAAACAAAAACAAGGAAAATGAGTGTTGCCGTCACCCAGATAGCACCGTACAACTCGGTTGTCTCCTGATTGCCATTTTCATCATTCTGGCTCGCCAAAACTGATGTTTTCTGAAACGGATCTAGTGCAAGCTTGATCTTGCCGAAAAACTCCTCTGTGTTGATATCAAAGTACCTGCTGTAAAACCCGACCTGAAACATGCTCGAAGCAGCTTCTGGCACCTGTGGTTTGACCACCTGGGGCTGAATTGGAGCCTGTTGGGCTTCAGTATACGAGGGAGCGAAGTCTGGGGGTTAGAAAAGCGCTGAAAACGGCGTTGGAACCGGAATTTTCGGGAGATACGTACTGTCTTGCTCGATGAGGTCGGGGATGTCGTCCTGGGGGACCAGGGAGTACTTGGGGGCATTTTGGGGGAGGAGGTTGGGGAAAAGTATGGAGTTGTTAGAGGTGGGTTGGTGAGGAGTGTATGTAGGCGGTGGGTTGATAGGGTGTGCAGGTAAGGGAAGAGTATATGGCCAGTTATTGGGGGCCAGAGGGGTGTCTAAGAGGAATTGAGTGGTTGATACAATTCTTATGGGCTCTAGAAAGCTACTCTATGCTTTATATTTTGGTTTGGAGGTTCGGATGGTGTATTGTGGGGTGGTGAAATTTGGCACGTGACCTTGATCACGTGCAAGACCATTTTCCAAAAACCACCTTCAAACTCCCCCTACCACCACCCTTTCCTTCTATCCTTCCTACTACCAGCTTCTCCCTCCCTTATCAAACAAAAACCAATCTTAAAACAACTAAAAACACTCCTTTCCTGCCCCCTTCTGCCTACTCAGTAGACCCAGAATTGGCATCCAAGAATCCACGCCTCCCCGACGTTTTCTTACTCCCAAAAAGCCCCACAGGCCTCTCTTCACTTCCAAAAAGACCCCTAATACCTTCATTTCCCGTTTCCTGCTCAAACGAACGACGTTGGTGGAACTTTGGCGATGAGTGCTTATGTGCAGTATTTTGCAGCCGTTGGTCAAACCCAGACTCGGTTTCCGTCCATAACCCATCCAAATGTGATCCCAACTGCAGTTTAACGCTTTGAGTCGTTTTAGCCGTCTTGAGAATCACCGTAGCCAAACTTTCATCGGAAACGGGTGACTCCTCGGCCTGTTCTGACCCAAAACTCGTTCCAGCAGTCACCAACGGCAACTCAGTGGCAGGTCCAACGTCAGGCGAAACACGTCTCTTTTTGAAAGATAAATGGGCCCTTGGGAGCAGTTCGGTCAGCAGTTTTGGGAATTGGAAACCTCGTTTTTGGCAGAACAATGGAGGTAAATCTGACTCTGGAGAACTGACTGAAGAAGGAAGCTTCTGAAGGGCAGTTTCCAGTTTAAGGGCTTCATCTTCCTCTGATTCTGGAGCTTTTTTTGTTCCTTTGTATCTGGAAGAAACAAAAAAACCACCGTGCCCAAGAAACAAGTTATGGCCAAAACCAAAAAAGCCCATTCTTGAAGAAGTCTGAGTACCAACGGCACGCTTATTTTGGTAATTCCATAAAGCAACCACGAAAAAGACGAAACCAAGTAAATCCCCTTGATTTGGGCTTCGTCTGGTAACGTTTCAATAGTATAAAGAAACGTTACCGACGAAAGAAGCACGGAATCAATAAGAAACGCAAAGTAACACACTCCTATAATCCAAGAACCAACTTTGGAAGGCAAAGCAACGTTAAGGAGCTCTCCCTTGATGTTTTCCTCTCCGAAAAGCATGAAAAGCGTGAACATGGCAATGAAACAGCCACCCAAATTGACCAATCCATAGACCAAGCAATCTTTCCGGCGAATGAACTGAACAACCGGTGAATAAACAATGGCTCCAATTAACATAGCCAAATTGCCAGCCAAAACGTACGTTTCTGACGTTTCTGGAGCTACTTGCCATTCAGGAAGAAGCATAGGAAGACAAAAGTGCAATCCATAAATACCCGTAATGTAAAGCACCAACTGGACAGCCAACGACCTGCAAAGCAGTTTTCCGTGGTCTTTAAACAACTCTTTATACGTACACAGCCTGCCGTCTTGAAGAAACACTCGTGGTTCCAAAACGTACCGAGTTTCATTGGCCTTTTCGAGAAACCCTCTATACTGAAGCCAAGGAGGGTATTCCGGAACGAAAAATGCCCCAACCAGCACCAAAACAGCCCAGGATGCCTGAATAATAAGCACCAGCCGTCCTAGCCACTCCTCAGTACAAATCCTTCCCAAAAGCCCATATACTACAGGCCCCAAGACGCATCCAGCCACAGAACCAGTATACGCCGCCAGCAACACGAAACCTCGGTACTCTGCCATCTGAACGGTGTATACTAAGCCGGCGGCAGTCAAAGCACCTCCTGCGACCCCAACAACTCCTCTTGTGGCCATAAGAAAGTAGATGTTATGGGTGAATATCTGGAGTATAGCACCTCCAGCCCAAACCAACGAAGCAAGCTGGATAAGAATGACTGAGCCTACTAGTTCGGCCATTTTTGGAAGAAGTAAAGAAGCCGCTTTGGTTAGTATAAAAAAAATAGAATTGAAGGTTGGTGGGTCATACTGGTGGCGCCAAGTGGAACACAGGTCCAGAGAAACACATATTGCCATGGAAGAGCTTCAGGAAGAGCGTTAAAGGAGGCAAGGAAGGTTTGCAGTTCGAAACCAAAGAGGGCGGCGAGGAACGCTGCAAAGAGACACATTTGCCATGGTTTGGTGAGTTTTGGCATGTTTCTGGGGAAGAAGTAGTGGTATGGATTGGGTGGATTTTGCAGCCATTTGTACCGCGAGGTGGAGGAGAAGGAAGTGGTGGAAGAGGAGATGGAGGTGGATCAAGGAGAATTGATTTGGGTTAATTGAGAGGGGGAGAAGGGAATGGAGGGAGTTTGGGGACTGGCTGAGTAAGTAAGGATGGAATGGGTGTGTCCTTTGGTTGAGTAAGTGAGAAGAGCCTTAGCTGGTTGATCTGCCAGCACATGCATTATATGTTGATATATTGTATTTTCTCTGGTTTTTTGAACCTTCTTTTATTGAATGGAGGCTTGTTTTATGTAATTTGGAGTGGTGATGGCTTTTTGACTGGGGGTTTCTCTTCAGTGTACTGGTTATCTCATACCACCAGCCATTTCCAGGGAAGTTCCTGATGGGGCAATGAAGGCTGGTTCTAACCTTTTCTATTTACTCTTTAAAGCTTGAAATGTCATTCTTTTTTGTTTAGAGGCAGCTGCTAGCTCAATTGGTGTCCTCTTTCTGTCTCTGGTGAAGAAAGTGAGTAAGTCCACGTAAAACACGAAATGCAAAGTAGAATCTCAATTAATGCCTTCAATTACCTTAATTAACAGCCAAAGTATCTATAGAGTTAATTTTTTCTTCATTTCCATCACTCTCTGTGGACTTGTCTGACATGGTCCATATAAGACAGTAATATGGGAACACCCCAGTCAATTGATACGTCCACTGACTCTGGAACCTCCCAAGTCTTCAAATACCCTTTCTAACGCCTTCCTCTTGCCATTTCACTGAACCTCTTCTTCCTAAGACCATTTCTTGTCCAAAACACTCCAGTACTTGTCCTCCTTCACTATATAGCAACACCCTTCCAGTAAGTCCATCCTGAACCAGTACTCTTCATTCCAAACCATTCTCTCACCACCAAAAACACTCTATTTTGGCATATCCACCCCTTCACAGTCCCCCTTGATCATTCCACTCCACCTTTCCATACCTTCCTCCAACTTACCATATATAAACCACCAGAACCCACCAAGTCCACCAAACCCACCATTTTTTTCAACCCTTCAACCCCTCCAGTCCAACCCTCCACCCTCTTTAACCCCAGATAAACTACCTCCCCTTCCCTTTCACCCTTCATTCCCCCAATTCACTGCCCTCCCCCAACTCCATATAAATGGTTGCAAAATCCACGTTAACCCACCGCCAATCCACCCAAAACTGCCCAAAAAAGACCCAAAAAACACCCAAACGATCCTCTTCCGCTCCTGAATTTCCCTGTAGCTTCCATTTTCAATTTCCATCGCTTCATCTCTTTTCCCCCCCACATTCCTTCTTAACTATGGGCAGCCTCCACCATCGCGCATTTTCCAATACTTAACCTTTCCTACCACTTCACCAGTTTCCCTTAAACCCCACGTACCTTCCCCACCCCACGTGTTCCAAGCCGGCCAGCAACTGGACTATATAAAGACGGCTTTTCCTTTGCTGATTTTGTTGGAACTGGTTTTTCAAAAACGCTTCTGGCAGAGTTTTAAGGAAGGTTTCTGTAAACCACGTCTGGAGACAGACGAGAAAGAAACAACCAGAGGAAGAGATTCTGATTGGTTTTGCATTTCCAGGGGCCTAAGAAGACGAGGAAGTTTACCAAAAATTAACTTTCGTACTCCAATTGAGTGAAGAAGAGGAAATACGTGAGACTTCAATCCAGCCCAGATCAGTATCCATATCCATATCCATATCTATTCCAGATCCAGTGATAATTCATACCAAGTGGCCATTCCAGAGTAATATCTATCCCATTTGGTACTCAGGTTTTGAAGAATATAGCTACTTTCTTGAAAAACTGTTGAAGTAACGTTATCCACTGAGGTATCCATATCCATATCTATATCCATATCTACTAAGATATCCATATTCGTTCAGCATTGAACACTGGACTCACTTCATATACTTGATTTTAGTTTCCATATTCGATTCTATCAAGTATACTGCTCAAGTACTGTCCAGTTACCTCAAATCCATATCATATCCATTGCCATTGATTCACTAAGATATCTATATCCCTTGAGTAACAAAGACACTGGAAACACACCTTCTACTTGACCTGAAGCTCCATATTTAAGCTCATTAAGTGGACTGTTACCTACATATCCATTGATATCCATATCATATCCACTAAGATATCCATATCATATCCATAGACACTGAAGGACATCTTTTACTGAACACTCCATCCTCCACATTCCACCACCTTTGCTGTCTGTTCAACTACATATCCAGAAACCCTAAAGGTCCATATCTACATCCACTGACAGTTCCATATCCATATCCATATCCATATAGATACCGATAAGACATTGACCCACCCATTCCACTGAAACAGAACAAAAGGGGAATTCCAGTATACTTTAAGATATCTCCATCCACTGGATATCCACTTATATCCATATCCATATCCATCCCACATTGAACCAACTCCTTCAATTCCCCTGCCATGGACTGTGACGTAGAACCTTCGGTGGACCCGCTTGCGTGGCTCGTGGAAGACCCGCCGCCAAAGTCAGAAACTGTGTTTACCAAACAAACGCTTCTAAATTCACCGATAATCCTCAAGTTCTACCCAAACTTCAAAGTCGATACTCACAAACCATGGACAGGCCTACCGTCTCGAAGCATCAACGACGAGCGTGAACAGCTGCTACATCCACCCGAAGCAGATTCGTACTTTGGCGATGATATGAGTGAAGATGATGATGATGGACTTTTATGGAAAACTGAAGAGAAACTGGAAAGTCCTGAAGTAACCAGGGTTACTAAGTTTTCGTTGGTTGATGTTATCGTCAAATTGGGATCTCTTAACGTAAATGGCATTGAATTTCCGTTTCCAGCTGCTCTACGAGACGTTGCTCTTATTCCTGGTTCTGAAGATTCCGACGATTCCTTACTTGTTTCCCTAAAACTGGGCTACCTACTCCTAGTTCGTCTTTACTACATGCCCAAGAACTACCTGGACTCGAGCTTTTCCCATAAAAACGCTTTTGACGAAAAACACTATGTCTTTAAACCCTTCATTGTTCAGTGGTGGGAAACCAGCATGAACACAGAGTTTCTTCTTGATATGGACACTTCAGGTGCTATTTTATGTGCCCAGGATTCAGGCCTAGCGGTTGTTTCGGCCCTGGCTTCGAATGTATTCAGAATCTACATGTGCAACCATACAGAGCTCGGCGTGGAGCTTCTGCCCCATTACAATGTGCCTCTAGAAGGCACCATTTTGCATGTCTGTTTTGTCAATTCGTCTGCCCAGGCCACAGAAGAGAACCTTCTACAGCTTCTTACGCTTTCTTATAGTCCTCTGAACCGACTAGAGCTCAATTTGTTCCAGTGGTACGTTTCAGAGTCGTTTTCCGAAGGTTCCAGAAGACTGACGCTTCCACTTACGCCTTTGTTTAGTCTCCCGATATTTGTGGTTCCTTTAGCAAGAAACTCCAGTTTTTTGTTCATTTGTCCTACTGAACTTATTATTGTCACTATGCATAACATTATTCTGGCTGACTACTGTTTTAGCAGGTTTATCTACACTGGCTCGTTTCCTACATCGTTTGCATTCCCAGAAACGCAGCCTGACGATACTTCCATAGACGAAGTGTACTTGGCTTCAGATTCTGGCGTCATATACTCAGTTCTTGTTTCTGAAAACAACGCCAGTCTTACTTATAAACCCATTTTGCGTGTGGCCGATGCAATCACCACCTTTACGTTGAAAACAACCTCAAACGGCCACATTCTTCAATATTCTAACGACGCTGGTGGAGCTAGACAATTGCATATTCCAGAACTTCTTCCTGAGACTGATTCCGATAAGATTCCGTACTCAGAGGCTCTGCAGCTTCAAGACTACAAAAACTGGGCTCCTTTGGTTGACATTTGCATTATAGACGCTTACAAAACACGAACACAGGTACCTTATGCTTCCCAGGAGCTCTGGGCTGTTTCTGGCGCTGGAAAACGCAGCAAACTTGCCAATTTGAGTGTGGCCTACCCTTTGCGAAAAGACTGTAAGTCTTACGATGCTCTCAGAAAGACAGAACGGTTGTTTCACCTTAAACTACTTGATTCTAGACAGCTCGTGTTTGCATCTTTACCGTTTGAAACAAGGCTTCTAGAGCTCGAACATGAAGAGTACAGTGACGGATCTGGTCTGAGCGAGACGCCGGAAGACCAGTTTACTGCCATTGAGTCCCCTGCTATCGTTACAGAAGAACCCACTTTGTTCGTGGACATGATGACAACTTCAGATGGAATGCCGCTTTTGCTTCAAATTACGTCTTCCTTTGTGGCATTCACCGATTTGGAGCAGTGCAATAAATCTGCCTTAAACGGGAAATCCATTCTTCATGTTTCTTCTGCTGCTGGCTTTTTATTCATGGTTGTTGAACAAGCCAAGGCTTTATCTCTAGAAGTCGTCGAAGTGTCCACTCCAAACTTCAACGACGACTTTGAACCGCTGGCATGCATGGAAACAGTCTTCTCTTTGCCTTTACACTTCGATATCAGTGCAATTCAAGCTGTGGAAATCGAAAACGGGACAGGTTTGCTCTTTTTGGGCACTTACGAAGAAACCACCGTCATCTGGCCTTTCACTACCGACGGAGGGTTCCTCCAAGACAAACAAATCACCATCAACCTCGGCGAACAAGCTACTTACAAAGATAAGTTCCCCAGAGACTTGCTCATTCCCAGTGCTTTCCTCTGGAGAAGCAACAAGAACGAGTTGATGGTGGGAACGTTCACTGGGTACTGTTTACGATTTGAAATCAGCAATAACGGCACCACCACGCTAATTCAAGATCTTCGCCTTGGTACGACGCCAATTACGTTTACTCAGCTTGACCAGAACGTTGTTCTCGTGGCGCTTCGAAACCTCTGGCTCTTTGACTTTGAAGAGTCCAGTTTCCCTACGAAAGCAGCGTTTGACGAGAAAATCAGCCATTCGATTACCCTGGTAGCTCATATGGGCCTGGAAGAGCCCAGTCGCCATAAGCTTGCGTTGGTAAGAGACGACGGGGTCACCACAGCCTCACTTTTCTGCCATAAAGGGCCTTTAGTAAGGCAAATCACTATTGGCGAAGCTGCCAAGAAGCTCATTTACCTTGAAAACATCAACGTTTTCGTTCTTTTGTGTAAATCCAAGGATCCACAGAGCAGGCTTCGTTTTAGCGATCGAAAGACCGTCAGAATGCTTCCCAGCGTTGAGCTCGATACGAAACTGGGCGAACAACGAGATACGGCTATTTTTGACGCTACAGAGGTCCCAGTTTGTGCTTTTCTCTGGCACGTTGAACGAAACGACCGAATCTCGAAAAAACTCATTGTGGGTTGTTCCAACGGCAGCAAAGGGTCGGTGAAAATCCTCGATTACTGCAAATTCCCCATTGGAACGAGTTCCTCGTCGGTTGGCATCAAAATCACCGAATTATACTCCATTCCTCGAGACGAGCCTGTTACTTGCATTGAGCAAATCGGTCTGACCATCTTTTTCGCTTCTGGAGAAAGCATTTTCACCACATCCTACCTTCTTTCAGACCGAAAACTACGTCCTGTCAACACCATCAAGACGCTCAACAGCGGCATTGCCTCCATGACTTCAGAAAACGCCGCTGGCGAACGCAGACTCATTGTGAGTACGAAAATGGACTCTGTTTTCGAGTTTGAGTACGTTCCAGGCGATTCTTCCGAAAACGAAGAACTCCAGCTCGTCAAAAACGATAAACTGTCCAGGTCGCTAGCCAACCACGTCAAAATCGACGAATCTATCTTTGTTGCCGATAAGCTTCATTCGACCATCCATGAATTAACTGGTTCTGGCGAAAGCCAAAGAAGAGGCATCTATAAAACCCAGCTGATTCCCAGACTCTTCAGAACACTGGCAAAAGGCCCCTGGGTCGACGAAAACGAACATTTCCATATGGTAAGCGTTGGCGTTGCTGGAGAAGTTATTGCTTTTGATAGACTTGAAGTTGGAAGTGAAGAGTTGGTGCAAATCCGTGAAAAGCTTGTTGAAGAAGGAAAGATCCCGCTGGGGGCCAGTATTGACGATTTATACGAACGACTTGAACGTCCGTTCAATACGAAACTCACTGGGAAAGCGTTCCAGGCGATATATAAGCCTTTCTTTGGGAACGGCATCACCAAGGGCCTTATAGACTACGACGTGGACGACTTGAAGAGACTGAGCTCGTCGAGCATTGCTCTTTGAGGGAGGAGGGAATAGATATATCTCGTAAAATTCGTAATGCTATGTATGGTATCACTCTTTGGGGGTCTCTTTGGGAGATGTCTCTTTGGGTTCAGCTTCTTTCTCTTCAGGACTTGGAGAATCCCCCGGAACATCCACCTCGCCAACGGTCAGAAGCTGCCGACGACGTTGTCTTTGTTGTCTGAACGCAGAGGCGCTGCTGACTTTATCGCTGCCTTCAGCTTTCCTTAACTCTTGAAGTAAGTTTCTGGCACGAGATCCAACGTCAGCGTCACCAGCTGCTTCTGGTTGATTTTCAGCTTCTTCAACACTGGATAAATCGGTAACGCTGGATCCAGCACGGCTGGGTGAGCTTTCTCTGGAATCTTCTTCGCCAGTAGCACCGCCCAGTTTCTTTAAATTCTCCATCAAGTGCTTTTTCATGAGGGCACGCTTGCGAGCTGAAGAAGGCTCGCCTCGTTGAGGACCAGCGGCCTTGAGCTTCTCAAGAAGCGAGTCCATGACATTATCGTCTTCGTCTTCCGATCCACTTTCCTTCTTGGCCTTGTTCTGCTTGGTGGTGTTCTCCAAAAGCTTCTTTCTCTGCTCGTAGACTCTCAATTCTTCTTCACGCTTCAAGTTCTCACGCTGGGCCTTCTTGAATTCAGATAAGAAACTGGTGAACTTGCTGAAGAACGAGTTTCTCACAAAACTGTCGTTTGGATCTTCGCCAAAGTATCTCATCAACGTTTCAAACTCCTTGAGCGTGTAGTTGGCTTGGTCTTGCAACAAATCAGCCTTCTTCTTGGCTCTAGGCAACGTTGGCGTCACAACCTTGAGAACACGGTCCTTGGGGTGGAAATTGGACATATCACTCAAGTTACCAATATCAATGGAACTCTGTACGTTCTTGATAGCCTGACCGTACTCTTTACAGTCGTTGGAGATGTTTTCAATGGAGAACTTGGCAACGGGAACACAAAGCGCAAGATCTTCCATGAACGTCAAAAGCTCAGGGTAAAGCGTTCTCACTGTCTTTTCAACGTAATGCAAGAAAGACATACTGTTCTTTTCGTCCTTGACGAAACTCAAACGCTGCAAGGAACTCAACTTGAACCCCTTGGCCTGCTTTGAGGTATCGTTCATGTAGTTACCCACAGCCAAAATGATATCGAAAACGCTTCTCAATTCCTTCGATTGCTTGATCTTATCGACAGCCTCGTCAAGAGCTCTAAGTTTCGTCACCAAATCGTCGTAATCCTTCTCGTAGTTGGCAATAGTCTTTAAAGATCTAACTCTCGACTTCCAGTAGTGCTGCAAGTTGTAGATCAACTCGAGGTAAATTCTGTCTGGTCTCTGCAACTCGCTAGGATCCTTTTCAGGTTTGGAGATCTCTTCAGTCTTGTAATCCGTCAGGTAAGGCTCGAGATTACGAGCCAAACTGTTGGAAACCTCGGTGATCTCTTCCTTACCAAGGAACTCCAAAATGGCTGGGTTCGTCAACACTTCCTTGTCACATCTCAAGATCTTGTCAATCACCTCTTCGTCAGATAAATTATTGAAAGAATGCAAATTAATGCCGAACTGCTGGGCAACGTCACGAGCCAAGAACGTAACCTTGTCCACGTCTTCCTTCTTCTTGGTAGCCAACTTCTTGATCTCTTTAGCAGCAAAATGGCCTCAATTTCGTCCAAAACACCTTTATCCATCAATTCAGTTGCAATGGTCTGCAGCTGCGACTCGTTCCAGAAAGAGTTGCTGTTGTTTTCGCCATTATCGAATTTCTCCCAGTGCAACTGCTTCAACTTCTTCTTAGGTCTAGGGTACATTTCAAATGGATGAGGCGTCTGTGGAACCGGCGAAGGCGATGCAGTAGATCTTGCGGATCCAGAAGGTAATGGAGGCGCTGGAGGAGGTGGAGCTGGAGCTGCTCCAAATGGACCACCAAGTGGAGGAGGTGGTGGAGGAGGCGGTGGGGGTGCTCCACCGTTTAAGCTTGGAGGCAAAGGTGGAGGCGGTGGTGGTGGAGCTCCTCCAAGTGCTGGTGGAAGTGGAGGTGGAGGTGGAGGTGGAGCACCAGTGAGCTTTGGAGGTTCAACGGCAGTTTCTTCAACTTTATCAACTGAATCTTCAAAGTTCTCGTCGTCAGAAGATGCATTGGATGGGATAGCTTCAGCCTCTTTCACCTTGGAGCTCAATTCGTTCAAGAACTTAGGATCAAGCGTGTTGATGGTGGACTTCCTGTTAGACTTGTAATCCTTTGCAGGAGAGTTTGATCCTTTAACAGCTCTGTCGGAACCATCAACCACAACCTTGCCTTGGGCGTACTTGGCCTCGATCTTTGAAAGCATATCTGACGAGGGGCTTGCAGAAGAGCCCTTGGAAGGCAGTTTGTCGTCTTTGATAGCAGCAAGCTGCGAACGAAGGTCGGTGTTGAGTTTCTTCACCAGCTCGAGCTCTTCTTGAATCTTGGATTTGACGCTTGCATCCATCATACCCAAAAGAGCAGCTTCATTCTCGTCAATGTCGAAATCAATGTTGAAATCCATGAAATTGGTCTCAAGTTCTCTCAAACGCTCCATGGCGAGGTACTTTTGTTTCGAGAACAACGACTTGTTGTTGAACTTCATGATATCGTTAGACTCGCTCTGCAAAGACGCAAGCTTCTTTCTGAGCTTCTCCAACTTCTCCAAATCGTCTTCACGAACAGAACGCTTAGGACCTTCGGGCACTGGAGGAAGTTCTTCAGGTTCAGGAGTTTCAGGCTCGGGTTCAGGTTCAGCCACCTCTTGCACAGGTTCTGGCTCTTCCTTGGGCAAAGAGTAAGTCTCAAAGTCAGTCATTTCCAATTCTCTAGCAAGGTTCTCAATATCCGCCATTTGGTCTCTCAAAGCACGCAAACGAGAGCTTGGTTCCACCAGGGTCCCAAGCTGTTTATTGTCGAGCCTGAACTCGTTCTTCTTTCTGTGGATCTGTTTTTGTAACTTCTTGATAAGCTTCTCGTTGCTAGTTTGCACCAGCACGGTCGTCTTGCCCTTATCTTTCTTGGAATCGATCTGAGCACTGTTGAGCATGATGAGAAGTTCACGCATCTCCACCTCTTGTTCTTGCTTTTCACGTAAATGCTTGCGTTTCAAGTCCTCAAGCTCATCCTGGAGCTCTTCGTTCATGCGGCGAGTTCTGCGAAGCACAATCTCTTGCTCCTTGATTTCATTAGTCATGTTGGTGATCAATCCTTCAGAGCCAATAGAAAGCTGCCTGGAAATCTCATCTCTTTCGGCAGTTGCTTCCTCGGCGATCTTCTTATACAACTTCACCTCGTTGATCGCCTTACGGTACATGTCATCAGTACTCAAGCCAGCGTACAAACGGTTAATGGCAATACCAACTGCAGATTCGTCGTTCGAAGTATGAGCACCTGTAACGTTCTGGATAAGCCCATCAAGAAGACGCAAGCTTCTGGTAACTTCTTCTGAGTCGTCCCTTTTTTCCGTCTGATTAAGGTAGATATGTTGCATGGCACTTAAGAAATGGCCCTGAGCTTCACTATTTTGAACATTAGTCCAAAGCGATCTAACCAAATCGACTGGGTTATTAAAGTCGAGGTCTTCGTCGATCTGCTGCTTTGTTTTGAGCTCCATTTCATCAGCTTCAGCCATTTCTCTATACTTTTGCACCTGCTTAACCAAACTATCATACCCAAGATCCTGGAACTTACCCAAAAGCTGTTCTATGCCTGCAGCGGTGAATTGGGTTCTAAGATGGATACGAACACGGAAATCTAAACCGTACTCCACAATGGTATTCACAAGAAGCATAGTGCCCAAGCAGTACTCCATGAGCTGGTTTTCAACATGCGAAGGGCCGCCAACACTGGATCCATTGACGGCAAACTGGTACTTGAGCTCTTCACTAGCGCCCACCAAAGAGTTCTTATATTTTCCTCTACCATCGATAGTCTTATCGACGAGTCTAAGCCAAAGTTCGAACCGGTGGTTGGATTCTTCTGGAGGAGGTTTTCTTTGCAACGTCTTTTTCATGGAAGCATTGGATGCGGGAACGAATTCGTAATACGGCTTCTGTTGCAAGCCGTCAAGCGAACGAAGCACTTTATGGTATTTGTTATGGTCGCCGCCCACACGGCAGTAGTAGACGATCATGAAAGTCAAGGATTCAGCAGCAATACGCCTGGTGGCTATACGCGGAGACAAGAGAGAGCCAGTGATGGCATTAATGTATAGCAGGTCATCCGTCTTAGCCCTTTCGGCGCCCAATTTCTGGTTCATCATGCATTTAAGACATTTAAGGGTATTAAACTCCTTGTTGAAAATGTCATCTTGAATATCGTCAATGTCCTGGCTTCCCATCTGGTCATGGACCTTTATAAGGTACAGGGAAAGCGCCACGTCGCCTTGGAAGTCGTAGATAAACTCACGGACCCAGTCAATGGGCTCAGTACGTAAAGAGACCCAGAGATTCTCCAATTCGTCAGAAGAGATGGTCTTTGCAATGAGTTTCCGCGTGTAGTATTCCGGCGACGCCTTCAGTTTCAGCGCCTGCTTGCTGTGTTCGTGAAGAGCATCCTGTTGCACGAGCATCCATTTCTTATCGACCGAGTAATTAAGCATCTCCTGGCGGGCCAGCTGCGGGAGCGAACGGAAGTCTCTCTTTTCCATCAAATCACGAAACATGCGTTCGATTTCAATTGGGTTCTGGGGCTTTCGAAGCGGTTCGGGCTGTGGAACATCCTCGGTGGTGGTGGTGGTACTTAAAGAAGGCCTGGAAAATAGCGACAGACCGGTGGCTTTCCTAGAAAGAGCAAATGACGGGGCCCGCAGCTGAGGCTGATGATGCTGAGGAGTTGATGCTTGTTGTGGTTGTTGGGATTGTTGATTTTGATGCAGTTTCGAGTCCTGGCCTCGGGCCAGGCGTTCAGTGACGTGATCGTACGGATTAGAGGACGTATTAAATGAGTATATGGAGCCCAGCCTGGAATGGGACAGACTGGTGACTTGCGGGCCGGGAACGATGGAAGACGACTTGCCGGAGCCGCCCAGACCGACGCTGACCATCAGATTATGCCTTTTCGACGGATAAAACGCAGAGGACGAGCCGAGGCTGTTTCCAGAAACCACCAGTGCGTTATCCAGCTCGTCCACGTGCGTATCTCCCGTCTGATGGTTCTTTCCTCGGCGAATCGAGAAAATCAGCCCCAGCAGCATCCGTTGAGACAGCAGTGGTTGTTGTGGCAGCGTCGCCTGGTTCCGGCTGGGTCTAGGCGCCGAAAGTGGAGCGTAGTAGGCCAGGCTGGCCTTTTCCATGTCTTCATTGTGGGACGCCGCGTGGTACGGGTCTATTCGTTTCCGAGACGACATCTGGGAAAATAGCTTGAAGATCGAGGAATGGAGGAGGTTTGGAGGAGGAGGTTGGACTTGGTTGGTGTGATTTCTGACGCGGTGAGGTTTTGGTAAAAAAAAGATCTGTCAAAACACGATGGTGCACGGGTGTTTTAGGTTGTCCTTGAAGTCCAAGAGGCAACAGTAGCAGCAGCAACCAGCAGGGAAACGCAGGTAAAGGCTTTTTTTTGGTGATTTTGTTAACTGAATGCTGGGGGATCCATTTTCCCGAACTTTCCGTTGTTTCAGATCATGTTTCAGCGGTGTTTCATTTGGGTGCAAAAAAAAAGCACCCACTGTCGTGGCTGGCTGGGCCTTTTTTTAACCACCTGTTTCTCGCCTTAATGGGGCGCGGCCAGCATCCACAAAAATGGCTGCAAACATGAAACACAATAAGCCATTGTGGGACGAGGAAGGGAATTGAAGGTGTAGGGGTCTCCAAAAGTGCCAGTATGGCACTTTTGGTTTTAAGGAAATTGGAAAAATCGGATTTTGTTGGACGGGGTTGGTCTTTGTTGGTGGTTGCTGTGATGTGGCTGGTGAAGGTGAACAGCTGGAGGGATTCATGGAAACTCCGAGAGTTCATTGTCTGACGAAGTTTCTGACGAAGTTGACGAAGTTTCTGCTGGGGTTTGACCAGCCAAGCCACAACGGTGGAGGTGGAGGATCCCAAGTGTCCAGTAAAAGTAGACAAGTAGATTCGGCTTTCCTGGGGTGGAACAGGCTTAGCCATATAGTTAGGCTCAGGATAGATTATGTCACAAATTAGTTCGCCAGAGGCGCCACCGCCTGAGGAGCTCTTCCACAAGTATACCAGTTCCTTATTGGAGTTCACTTAACTGGAACACACCAATTGACTGTAAGACACCAATAAACTGTAAGACACCAATTGACTGTGACACATCAATAGACTGTAAGACACCGATTAAGCGTAAAACACCAATTAATGGTAAAACGCCAATCGGCTGAAAAAAACACCAATCGACTGTAAAGCTCAAATCAACTGTAAAGCTCAAACCAACTGCAAAGCTCAAACTGCAAAGCTCAAATAATCTGTAAAACACCAATTGACCACCAGCCAACTATCAATCCGTGGAAAACCAATCTCTCATTAAGCGTCAATTCCCCATTGATCTCCAATCTCTCATTAATCACCAGTATCTCATTAATCACCAGTATCTCATCAAAAACCAGTATTAAACATATTATCCCAATGTTTCATCAATAATCACTCAATTCTCTTTCTTTTAAAGCCACTTCCTTCCCCTCCGTCAACACCTCATCACCTTCCCTCTCCCTCCTTCTCTGCCTCTCCATCTTCCTCTAATTCCCCTTGGGCTGGGCCTCCTCCTCCTTCTTCTTTTCATCCTCGCCAAAACTCTCCTTCAACATCTCCATCGTCAGCGTCAAGTCCTTATCTATCTTCTTCTTAAACTCCTTCGACTTGCTCTTTCTTCTCTGTAGCGGCGCTGCGTCTGTCTCTGCATCGGCAAAATCACCTTCGTCGGAGTCAGCCTCCGTTTTACCTTCTTCTTTCTCGGGAGCGTCTTCCTTCTCGGGAGCGTCTTCCTCCTTCTCTGGGGCTTCCAGCTTCCCTTCTGTCTCTGTACTGGTCTTTCCTGTGGCCCCTCGACTGCCGTTGGCGCTGCCTGGACGTTCTATTGGCTCTAACTTTTCAGAAGCAAAAGCGGCGTTTTCGTGAACCATCCTTTGGAAGATCTCAATGTGAGCTTCATCAGCAGTAACCGTTTCTGAGTCTTCTTCAGTATCCCAGAACCCTACTTTGCTCCAGAACACCTTTGCACGTATCGTGAGCAACAAGAAGTAAAGCTTAATAAGAATGGCCTCGTCGTTGCTGTCCACATGTCTTTGCACGTTATGGTGAGAGCGGTCTTCAAACTTCTTAAACTGAAACTGTGAAACAAACGCAAGATCGTCAAATGAACTATTCTGATGAAGCTTGTATACGTTAGCATGAACCTGTCTAAGCTTAGCAAAGAACTCACAAATGGCCCGAAGTTTCACCAAACAAAAGTTACAAAGCGCGTACGTGCCAATCACTTCATGTACTTCTCCTCCAATCACTGTAGTGGACGAATCAGACATCACCGACGTTTCAGACGCTGGGCCGTACAATTTCAACATGTACAAACGGGCATGTTCGAGTCTATCGCCCTTGGTTTCGCCACAAAACGCACATGGCTCTTTCATGGCCACAGGCTTCTCGTCGCCTGTTTTCACGCCTCTATAGTTCAATTTAAACGTCTCGTTGACGCCGCTCACAGGCTCGATAATGGCTTTTCCCTCCGCAAGCAACGTCCAGAACGTCTTGCCCTTGGAAAACCTATTCAAGAAGTTATTGGAAACAGACGGAATGGTGCCAAGAGCAGGCTCGATCTCCTCGTGCCAGATTTTCCTGAAATACTTCAACGTCTTCAACGTGGTCAAGTCAAACGTGAATTCCGGCTTGATCAACTGGTACACGAACGCCTTAAAGTCTTGCTGGTAGTGGTTCAAGTCGAACCGGATAGCCCTGACTCTAGGAGCATGGATCAACTGTGCCATAAGGTACGTATAATCGTCCACGTCGTCCGCCAGCTTCTGAGCCTCAAACCCGTGCTCCAATTGCGGCGTTCCATGCTTCGAGCTCCGCTGCTGGTCCTCCATCTTCATGAAAAGTCCCTTCAAGTCCTGTAACTGGGCCTGGAGACTATCAATAATGGTATTCTTCTCGTCAATCTCCTCGTAAAGCTTTCTGTTCTTCACCTTAAAGTTATACGTCTCTCTAGAAGCGTTCAGCACCATCTCGTTAGCCTCGTTAAACAAAGACGCCGTCAAGTCTTCCACTTCTCCCTCTAGTTGCTTATTCTTCTCTTCAGCAACCCGTTTTTCCTCCTCCACCGCAGCGTGTTTCTCCTGCAACGCCGCAAGCGCCTTTTCAGCGTCCGTGCTCTTCTTTGCCACAGGTTTGAGCTCCCCAACCTGGTGTTTCAACGTACTGTTTTCCTTTCTGAGCTGTAGAAGCGACTCCTCGAGTTCCAGCGACTTGGCGACCTCGGTGACCAATTTTGTCGAGAGGTGGGCGACCTTTTCGGCCAAACGGTCTATATCTGCCTCTGCCATGGTGGGAATCTGTGGGGGAACGTTGGCGGGCTGGGGGTTTAGGTTCGTTTAGGGTTTGGTGGTGGTGAAAAGTGAACAGGGTAGGGGTACTGCAGGAAAGCCAATCCTGGGGAACCCCAGGGGACATGGTATAGGGGGACGACAGCTTGTTTAGGGAAAAGAAGAAGTGGTATGGAGTCAGTGGGTGCTAAGGGCTGGGCTGGCTGAGTTTGGTGGGCTTTGGAGCTTTGGGCGTGGAGTTAGCGGAGGGTTGGTGAGTGTGGGTAGAGGAAGTGGAGGTGGATGGGACAAAAGGGAGGAAGAGTATCTATGTAAATGGAAAGAGTTTGGATGGGTTTATTGGGTGGGAAGGAGGAGGTATGGGAATTTTGGGGTGGTTTGGAGCTGTGGTGGTGGAAATAGCTGGGGTATGTCTGTGCGATAGGAAGAGGTAGAGAAGGGTCTGGAGAGGGGGAGACTTGGGGTCTTGATGAACTATATTGGCACTCAATGGGTTTAAAGTGGCTTTTTTATTCCTGGATTTCTGTCTGGGGGTCCCTTTTTGAGTGTACCCTTCTACTACTTATTGGCCTTCCTTTGGGTGCAAAAAAAGACATACCACCATCAATCCATACGAACAACCATAAAAACAGTCCAAATCAAATTTTCCCAGATTAAGCAAAAAATTAGGTTTCCAATGGTACCATTTTCACCAGCCCTCCATCCCCTAGTTCCCAGTTTTACCACACTCTGCTCCCCCACTACTTCCCCTACACCTCCTCCACACTTCCTTCCATTCATTCAAACCTATATCCTCTTCAATCACTCCCTTCTGTTCCTCCTCATCTTCTCCTGCAACTCCCAATGCCTAATACCAGCAGCAATAAGCTCCATCACGATACTCACTGCCATCAGATAAGGCAACCCGCCGCTGGACACTTCCAAAACTCCCGCCGAAGCTTTCTTGCAACCGAAAAGTGTAAGCAATATCATCAAAACCTGCAAAGTAATCGGGAACAATACGGGAAGAAAAAGTAACCCGTATTCATCAGATGCATGGTGCACAATCAACACCAAGAAAAGCATCAAAAAGGGTGCAATTGGTATGGCAAACCACGGCCTTGACCAGCTTTTATAGCTCTCAATCACGTCAATAGAGTCTCCAGGAAACTGTTTTGAATTTTGCAAGTAAGCATTCTCCTTATACGTCCTAATGGACCAATCAGCTCTATCTACAAGCCATTCAATGGCCTTTGCCCAGGACTCTGCAACATAGTGGGCCTTAGTAGGTCCATATTCTGAACCTTCAAGCATGCCTCTACCCATATTATACATAATCAGATGGCGTGGGTTCCATTTTGATATCCATTCCCGTTTGGAAGGCTTGCCTTTGGTAGATACATAAAGTCCAAGTGTATGGACATGGTAGTGGGTTTCTCCTAGGGGAAACTCGGGCCCTACAAGTTTAGAAACCTCTTTTCCTTCGTTAGGAGCCGCCCTTTCCAACAGCTTGGTTAAAGAACGGGCATAGTCGCTCCAGTCGTAGCCTTGTTTGACACTGTACTTGGTGGTAGAGCTCCAAGTGGAAGGGAAGAACATGAGGCAGTGGAGGAGGAGTGTAAGAAGCAAGAGAAGCTTGGGAATGGTGTGGATAATATAGCGGGAGTGCTTTTTCCATACTTGTTGGGCTCTGGGAGGTGAATGTGGAGGCGGTGAAGCCTTTGGAGCTTTGGGAGCTCTGGGAGGCTTTATAGGGATTTGGTGCTCTGACATGGTTGGGGTGGAAGAAGAGGAAGGGGAAGGGGAAGAGGAAGAGGAAGAAGAGGATTAAATATGGACAGAGGGAGGGCAAGAAGGCTGTTAAAGCTTCCTTATTGGTTCTGGAAAGCGCAAAGGGGGTTTATTAAATGGGGATTCGACACTTCGCTATTCTTTCCTTATGAGTTTTAAGACATGGCTTGGTCTGGTTGGGAAAAGTGTACTTCTGGCTGTTCTTGGATTGGAGGGTATGTCTATAGAGCATTCAGGCTGTACTAATGGGTTTAAATGAGAATTAGAGGAGTTGGTAAGCAAAAAGAGCCATCAGTGAAGTCTGTTTTTGGACCTTCCAGGAATGGAAAGTCCAGTAGGTGAGTATTCTTTATTGGTATAATGGCATTTGCAGGTAGGCGTTTAATCCAAGGAGGCTTTTCTGGGTATCTTCCGTATTCAGTGGTTCTCCCTTGAATTTATGGCTTGTTCTGGATAAGAATTGATTATCTGCTATTAAATAAAAGCTTATGGTGGAGACCAAGTGGAATATTGGAACACCACCAGGAGAAGCCAAAGGCCATTGTACATTCAGTGATACAATTACCAATTCCAATGTATTAGAGAAGAAAGTTTTACATATGGAACGTTCAAAAAGACCATTTTATATTCTCTTCCTATGCTTCTTTGCTTCTTTGTCTCTTTGCTTCCTTTATTAACTCAATATAACACCCTTTAGTAGTCAAGAGAAGTAGTAGTAACGCTTTCAAACCTCTAAGTAACAATCAAAACTCAATAAATTCCAATTAATTGACCAATTCACATAAATTTAACCAGAAATCACCAACTTCCATCAACCCATTACCACCCACTGACCCTCCCACGTCTTCCTATACACCATTAAACGCCCAGCAATCCACCAAATCCACCCAAAAATTACCTTACCACCACCTGAACCTTCCAGTAACCCCTAACACTCTTCTTCCCAAAAATAAACCACCTTTTCCCTGAACCTCCAGTGTCCCACACTTTACCACTTTGGCTGCGAAACAGCTGGTCTACCACATTCACGAGAACCCACCGCCAAACCACCAAAAAACGTCCAAAAAAGGCCCAAAAACCACCAAAACAACCGCCTTTCCAGCCTCTCCATTCCACCCCAATTTCACCAAATTCCCATCAATCCCCCTCCTTATTCACACCTTCCCTCGTTTTCTGGTGTCCCCCAAACTGCCCCCACCGCCCCTCACGGTTTCCAGAAAATGGCTGCGAAAAGCATACCCATACAAAAACCATAAACCTTCAACCATCCACCAAAAATCCAGTTTCCCTGCTTTCCCCTCCCCGCCTCCTTCCCCACCTCCAACTATAAATACCGACCCATTTCCCACTTTTTTACCTTCGAAAAAGCCTCTTTTTGGTGGTCCTTTTTTTGTTTGCTTCTTCCTCACCGCACCGTCTCCTCTTATCTCCCCGCGCTTTCTTATCACTACCACTTGACAGAAGAGAAGAAGAAGGGAAGAAGAAGAACAAACGAGGAAGAAAACCAAAAAAAGACCTCCTTTTGATACTCTCCTAATACAGCTGAGTCGACTTACTGGTTCTTGAAACCTCCAGCCCTGACTACTCCTTCTTTGGACGCTGGTGCTTGAACCTGCCTTATCTACCCCAGATCCATATGGTCCAGTGAACTCGACTGGACGGTTCTTTCTGCCTGAAAAATAGCCAGAAACAGAATCTCCATAGGATAAGGAGCGGCTCTGATTCATTTTTGGTGCCGTTGCCTCGACCCTGGCACTTTCAGCATACCCCCTCTGGTATACCACTTACACAGGGGAACCTCTGCCAATTGGCCTATAAACCCTCCAAATCGACTTGCTTCTACCCCAGATGACCTCCTTCTTGCTTGATGTGCCCGTGGGGTACGCAAAGAACCCAGTGGAACCTCGCCACGAACCGTTCAGAAGCTCTCTCAACAGTCCATGCCTCGAACCACCGTCATACCTGATCTTGGACGGTCTTCCGCATGAAATACGGTCTTTGGTGGCTGTATACCTTAACCAGCACGATGCCCTTAACTTGGCTTTGACTTGCAAAGAGTTGGCGGCGTCTTGTCTACCCAGACTCTACCATACGGTGATTGTGGATGCTAACTATACAGAGTTCAGCAAGGAGTACGACTTGTCTTCGACGTATATCAAGCTGCTGTATAGCTTTAAAAAGCTTATTCAGCGGTACCAGCACCAGTACCCGATCCATGTGCTTCTGGTGGTGAGTCTTCCTGATTCCATGAACATCTACGATATCGATATAAATGAGCAGCTTCTACGGTTCTTTCTGAAACTTAGGTGTTTGCGGTCGTTGTCGTGGCTTCTGGATAACTTTAAGTTGGAGTACCTTAAACGGTTGCCGTGCCAGGCGCTGATGGAACAACTTAATTTGAATATCAAGTTTTCCAACTACTTGGGCGAATTGACTTCAAATTGTCCGCTCTTCAACTTCATCAACCTTAGTCATTTCCATATCCGCCCGTTTTATAACCAGAACAGGCTTATTAAAATCATCGACAGCTTGCTTGTGTGTGATAATGCAGCTGCTGTTGAACGGAACCTCAACAGTCTAAGACTTTCCAGGTTCGATAAAGATACCAACGCTGTTTTGCCGTCTCCACGAGAACTCGACGGTGTTTTATGGGAAACAGCAGCCAGAGAAGGTCTCTACGTGCCGCATCCTCGAGAATACGAACTAGGTACTCTCCAGGCTGTATTCAGAAGAAGCAAATTGCAGCATGTCAAGCTCACACTCACAGAACTATGTTTAAACGATTTTCTTGTTTGTGAACGAGACGCAAAGCTTTTGGCCAATGCCACTGACCTTACACGGTTACAGAGGCTCGAACTAAGAAACGTTTCTGAATATGGCCAGTCTACCATTGAAGAAACCCTGCCTGGGTTCCTCGGAACGCTAGCGCCGCTTCTAAATGGCCTCATGTACTTGAATCTCGACTACAGAGAAACCAGGCGTGATTCTGTGCCTCTAGTGCTTGGCAGCTGTCCAAACCTAGTTGAACTAGATTTGGTGATTCGAATGAACGAAATCAAGTCCCAGCATGTGGACCCAGACCTGCTTTACCAGGACTACTCCACCAAGCTTCTGGAGCAAACGAAACTTACTAAGCTTCTGCTTGAATTACGAGAAGAGACGTCTTTCTGTGACGTTGCATTAGCCACACCTACTACGCTTATCCACGGCATCCAGAAATTGCGCCAGCTTCTAGCGCTACGCTTAAACCCTAGTGATACTAGTCGTGGCATGGAAGAGTTCCTAGCGCTTCTTGGAAGGTTACAGAAACTTGAAATATTGGATGTTTTTGGGACCAGAGCAGGTGGTGCTCCACACATGGCGCTAGGAGCCGTGCATCCGAACGTCTACGATGAATGGTTCAAGGTCCAGCATGTGGCGTTTTTGTACGGCGAAACACAGAAGCTGTTACGGTATGTGAGGATTAATAAGTGTATTTTTGAGTACACTGGGAGTGTGGAGCCAAGAGACGAGATAGACCGGTGGTTTGAGGGAAGGGTCAGGGTGGGGGACTAACCTTACGGCCGCAGGTCGTAAGGTCGTTCTTAAGGCCGTCAAAACAACATGAGACGATGAAGACAGCCATTATCGTATGTTAGACGGTGTGGAGAAGTATGGAGAAGTGGAGCAACGAGCAGAACCAATACTGGTATGGCCAGAAGTCTTCAGGTGTGGATTCGGATGGACGGCTAGATCTAGAGAAGTGCGTTGGACTAAAAAAGACAGGGCATCTTCTTAGCGGTAATGGCACTGTGGATCGCTTCACATTTAGCACGAGTTGCTTGGAGGCATCCATTTGACGAGGAAGACCAGGGCAGGTTCAGGCCTTCTGGACCTGGTTTTCAGATCTTCTTCAATTCTACGTCTTCTGGGTCTCGCCCCAGTAACCAGGCCACCGTAAATTGTCTTTCTTTAGGTCTGGCTCCAAACCAGGAATCGTCAGTTTGAGGCAATTTAACCGTTGGCTGGCTGCGAAAAATGGAAAATGCAGAAAAAAGTGAAAAATTAGCCAAAATGCCCTTTACCCCTCCTGCCCCGCCTCCAGCCGCAGGCAGCCAATGAAGGGAATCAAGCCAATGAAGAGAATAAGGAATCAAGAGTTTTAGGGAATTGGGCGTTCTACGGTTTCGTCTCACTTCTTGTCTACACTTACGGTCTCCACCTTCGGTGAAGACCTGCTCAATTTTCATATCTATTAGTCTATTACCATCCAGGGCAGGCCGGGCCCGAGTCGTTACTTATTAATGTTTCGTTTCCAGAACTCCAGGCTCTAATTGCTGCGCTTAAAGGCAATGCCAAAGAAGTCGCCAAAGAAGGTGCCCTCGTAACGAGGCTCAAACTTGGTGGTGCTGTTTCTGATATCGTTCATGATCTTGGCCTCCTTTTGCTCGGCGGTCAACTTGTGTTGCGTTGGGAAAGCTTGAACTTGGGACATTGTGAATTTGAATTATACTGAAGAAGTGAAAAGCTTGGGGAAATCGGCGCCTTTTATAGTGCAGAGGGTTTTTCCAGACATCCTTTTCGCCGTGTTGCGGCAGAAAGTCCGAGGCGCGCTAAGAGGAAAATAACGAGAAAAAGAAACGAGGGAATAAGAAATTCACTCACGATCGGGTGCTTGTGTGCAGGATAATTTGCCATTTGGGTCGCCCAGTCTGCGGTCATACTTAGTGACTCACTCGGACCAATGGGCCAACCATGGGAACAACTGAAGGAGGTCTGGAAAGTGGAAGCTGACAGTAGGATTGGATTCTCCGGACCAAGGCGATTCCATTGGTACCAATAAGGCCGGGAAAAAAAGACCATCCAGTGAAAGGGTCAGTTGATCCGAGCTCGCACCGACTTGGCTGCAAATGCAAAAGGCAATCCAAAGCCATTCTCGGGCCCGAAGAAAGAAGTCCAGAGGTTGCTTTACTGAGACATTGGCTATACTTGTCAGTCGTTCCATAATTAGACTTTCCTGGATGACCTCGAATCTTGGTCCCTTGGGTGTCTTTGGGCATTTGGCTGTGGCTTGGAATAAGCAGGCTGAGTTGGCTGGACCAAAGAAGGTTTACATGTTTTTTGGGGAAGGTCTAGCCCAAAAAGGAATCCAAGAGGGTGCCAGAAAGGAGCCAAGATGTTGCCCTGGCTTGGTTATTATTAGGCTGGGTTTGTGCTTGTGGCTGTTAATTTCATCTAAGACTCACACGAGGCCAGCCGCAGCTTGACATGATTGCCGGATGGAAGGATCCCTCCAACGAGGCCCAAAGGCCGAGTTGGACCAGACCCTGAGGAAGAGGCAGAAGAAGAGGAACAACAAACCAAAACCCGTTTCTTGTTCTTTAGTCTACTTCGTTTGACCACTGAAACTGTTTTTTCGGTTTTAGCAATCTCCATTTTGCCAGAGGAGATTTCCAATTTGCTGTTGTTTTACTTTGGGCCTTCTCTATGAGTGGCTGCAAAAAATACCAAAGAATACCAAAAGATCACAAAGAGAAATAGAAACACTGTTTATGGCTGGCCCAGGCGGCGCTTCTGCCCCTTCTGTCCCCTCTGGACTCTTATCTCTACAAGGGCTGGTTTGTGGATGCCGCTATCCTCTCCTCACGTGGAACCCGGTTCTAAACGATAACGTTGACACAAAGCTGGTTTGTGGAAGAACGGGAGTGGAGGGTTCGGAAAAACCAGGGACTTCAGATAAGGCTGGGAACGGCTGGGGGACGCTCGGATGGGCGGATGCGGGTAATTTGTTAGCGACACGTGACGTTTATCACGTGACCACTTAGCGGCGATGCCGCTAACAAACGCTTCCCCTCCGCCAACCCGGTCCCCCCATACATAGCGGCCCGGTTCCTGACTTTTTGCAACCACAAACCTCAAACCTACTCCTCAAAGTGCCGCTAACCCAAATCGCCCCCTCCAGCACCACCCAGACGGGTCTGGGATCCCGAAACGGCAGATCTCAATGACCACTTAGCGCTGGTGACTACTCTGTAGATCTTCTTCAAATGGCAGTGGTTTATCAAAAACTTACTTTCCAGTGGTATCACCAAAAAAAGGAAAAGAAGGTACTTTGCAAATCCACGGTGTCCACGATGCCAGCAGGAACCTGGATGTTTAAGGTTTGACGGTTATGTAGCGTGAGCAATAACCACCTCAGGTCAAGTATCACCAAATGAAGCTACTGAAAAGACGTCCAAGAACAACCAAAAGAAAAGTAAACGTAAATAAACGTAGAACCACTTCCAAAATAAGCATGGCATGTTCCAGCGGCTCTTCCCTCCCTAGCCTAAAGCTTGTGTCCCACGGCTGAAGCTTAAAGGTAAAGCTTATCGAATAAGGTTTATGGATACGCAAAGCCAGATCAACGGTTTCCTCCAAGTGCAAAGCTCATGACCACGCAGGTGGTGATAAGAAGGAGGAGGAGGGTTTGGTCAGTTAGTGGAAACAGACATCATGGACAGCTCATTGATAGACAGACCTAAGAGGTATACACTTAGTGAAATGGCCTAAACAGAATACTGGGAGGAACTCGCTTAGGAGCTTATTTTTCTGGGTGGTTGTGGGCCCACTTAAATTACCTTTGTCGATTTCTGGGCCTTTATTGACGTCTTTCCCTGAAGTTGATGATCCAGTGGGATCTGAGTCATCCCCTTTCGTTCTATAACTGTTAAGGTTCAGAGCAGTCAGAGCAGTCAAGGTGGTCTCTTCCATGTCCCGTGTTAAGTTCGATCCACGGCACGTCGAGCAATGCTGATTGATATTCTACAAGGTCTGGTGCCGGCGATCTGGACTGTTTCCCGAGCCAAACCACCATTCAAGGCAGACAAGTACCCTCGTATCAGCAGTTGGACTCCCACTTTCCGAATTTTCTTTTCCTGGCCTTTCTCGGAGATAGACAACCCTTTAACTAGTACTCCTGCTGGAGATAACATTCTACGTAGGTGTGCTTAAAAGAACAAGGCGGTCGTTTGCCTGGAACAACAAAGGTTACAAAAGCTGAAAAAGCTACAAAGGCAGGCAACAGGAAATAGGCAATAGAACAACGTGCATTTTTGGAGCCTTTTCGTTCCATGGGCTGAGATCTCGTGCTGGTTTTGGACATTCAACATTCAACATTCAACATTCAACATTCAACTCAGCCCAGGACACAAAGAAGACCAAAGGTTCGATGCTTGAAACATGAAGATTCTTCTATAATGTGCCTGGGACAATAAAGAATGAAAAGAAGGGTCCTACAATGAGAAGGAAGGTCTTTGGCTTCTGGATTGTCTTCCTGCCGTGAGGCTTTGGAGCAAGATCGATCGATCTGAACAATCATGGGGAATTAGCAATAAAACGATCGATGCTATTTTTTTTTTTTTTTTTTGCTATGTCTATATGGTACATCTTCACATGCTTAGATGTTTTTCGTCAATTTTTTTTCGTCCCTGCAATGCAAGGCGCATGTGGTGCAGCGTGCATTGCCGAAACAATGCAAAACAGTGCAGGCGGCGTTTGCCAGCCCTAAGAACCGGGATTTGAACACACCGCCTCGATTGCCGGATACTAGTGACCTTCTAAAAAATAAACGCACTGGGCCTGAGCGGCTGCAGATTTGCAACCACCATCTCTATACGGATCTTGTTCTCTTTGGTTGTCTGTTTGGTTGTTCTGGTTGGTTGATCAGGCACTGGGATCGTCTGGAATGGCTGGAGGATCGCCAGACGTCAAAAAAAAAAAAAAAATCACTTTTGTGGGACACCTAATATGGAACCTCGTAGCTGCAAAGAAGGCAACACAAGGTTTTCTGGAATGAACCGCAAGGGGCTTCCAATTACCTTCCAGGGCCTCCAAGGGCTTGAAGATCGATCCAAACGCCAATTGTCGATTGTCTGGCGTTGCCTCTCCTCTGGAATGAACCGTATCCTGAACATACTATGGCACTAACCAGAGTCAATTAGGGTTCCACATTTGGCCTCCACGTAAATCGTAGTGGGTCGTTTCCAACAAGGTTTGGAGCTGCTGGAGCGGCTCTTGGGCTCTGGGAGCCTGTGGGAACCTTTGGGGGTTCCAGCAGTGCCGAGGATTTCCACCACGTAGAAAGGCGTAAGCCAGTGTATACCTGTAATTTAAGGAACCACGCTTCGACTGGAGCCCTGGCCGTGCAATGGCAAGCGTCTTTTGGGATTTGGAGGTGCTTTGGAGGTGATTTGGAGGCACTTTGGAAGTGCTTTGGAAGGTTATTTGGAGGTTTGGGTTCGGCATTGCTGGGGCTCGGGTCCCCTTTTTGCTCTACGCCAGGGTACCTCAACCAGACGGTTTGGAGACGACGGAAAAAACGTCAAAAAGTGGCCAGGGAGTTCAGGGACGGTTTGTGCTTGTTTTCTTTAGTGGCTGGTATTTTTTTTTGTGGTGTTTTAGGTGATGTGGGTGCTGGTAGGTTCGTGGAATGACGTTTGCGTGGCATACCCCTGGTTTCAATCGTGGTTCCTGGGACAGAAAGGGAAGGAGATTTAACCAGGAGGTGGCAGAGGGCCAGGAAAGACCCCTGGAATTAGTTTTGACAGTCTATGGGTTAGTATCGGGCCAGGGAAAATTTTTAAAGAACGGTCCATTTTTGTGGGTTTACCTGGGGCCAGTTTCTGGGACCAAAAAAGGATCTAGGAACACATAAGAAGCACTAGAACCACCTAAAGACCTCCCTGACGACCAGGAAAATTCCCAGAACCCTCTGGACCTCCATTTCTCTTCCTATCCCCAAAAGAACGCTGGTGCTTGTTTTTCTGGAAATAGGGGGTCGCCATTATATCCAAGAACGCTTCACCAGCACCAAAACCACCCAAACACATCCAAAACCGTTCAAAACCGTTCAAATAAAATTCCAGAGTCTTCCCAGTCACCTCCTAGTCGCTTCCCAATCACCCTCCATCCACTTCACTCCCCCAATAACTCGTACTACCATAAATCACACTTTCCTACAACAACGCTACGACAAGAAAATCCGTCCACAGAGAACAATCGCCCACCACGCTTCCCTCTTCGGTCATCAATAGTCTAACCCCAGCAAGCCACCAAAACCATTCTCTAGCCAGATTTCTCCATGAAACGCTAACCTTAGAAGTTATGCCAGCCCTAGAGAAACCTACAACTCTACACGACACTAAACAAGCTAGACATTCTAGACCCCAAAAGCAAACTTTTCTGTTTACGTGGCAGCCTCAAAGCAACCCCAGGGAGCCCCATGGGGCTTCAGCGACCCTTTCTGGCCCTTTCTGCCTTTCTGGCCTTGTTCTCGGTGACACAATATCGTGGGGGCCCCACAAGACAGAAACCCTCTAAACCAGAACGTAGCTGCATCCAGAAGGACGTCGACGCTTGCGTGGTGCATTTATTAGGGGCTCGAGGGGCCAAACAAGGAAAGCTTCGTTGTTTATTGAAGTAAGCAGGGACCGGCTGGGGCCAACAAAAGAAGAAAAGCCTTGGAAGGTGGTACAACAAAGAAAATCCCTGAAACCAGTATTCGTCGTTTCCAATTAATTAATTAAAAATGCAACCCAAACTCACTGCCCTGGCTTCCGTCCTTTTGCTTGGCTGGAGCTTCACGTAAATGAAACCGTAGTAAGCAACAGGGTTCCATTGTTTGCTTGTCACGACAAGCCATGGCACGGCATTTGCGCCCATCGGTGGAGATTCCGGGGAGAAGCACCACGACAGCCCGGAAAGAAACACAAGCTCCATTGTCCACTGGTAGTATGCCCAGGTAATACTTGCTTCCTGCGCCACGAGGGTCTGCTACTAAGCTTAGTCTAAGTATCTGCAACCCTTAGTGCCATTGTGACCCAAGGGTCATTGTAGGCTGTATCTGGGGGCCCTGGGGATTGTTGTTTGTGGTAAATGGAACGCATTATGGGGTGTGTGGCTTTGATCTGCTGAATAGGTAACCCATGGCTTATTTCCCACCGTTGTATGTTGTTCCCTGGGACCGATCTGCCTCGATTAAGGCGTCCTCTAGCCATGGCTGGTCATTGTCTTCTCCAGGCTTTGTCTTCCAGGGTCTGGCTTGTGCATGTGAGTAGTCAATCACCAACGGCTGATAGAGGCCATGCTCCAGGCACAATCTGGGCTTGTTTGGATGATCGTGCGTGACAGCACTGAATAGGAGCCCAAGGACACACAGGGGCCTTTGCTTGAGGGTTTTGTTCTGGAGGAGATTGTGTTTTCCATTCTCAAACGGCCTTGTGGGACAATGAACGCCATTTAAGCTTATTGTATTGCGTTCAACCACCACAGCAGAACTTCTGGAGGCGGCGTCGTCGGGGGGGAGTACCCGAGAAGAGGCTGTTTAGGTTTTTTAAACTGGAAAGGTGGAAGTTGGCTTTGGGGCTTGAGGATTCCAGTGTTTTCCACAAAGAGGGTCTGGACAATGGAAGGGTCGGATTTGGGCCAAGCGAGGGAACTCAGCACCGTAAATGTAGAGAAAGAGAAGAAATGTGGGCCAGGAGGGATTCGTTAGAGGGTTTTCGTAGGTTCTGGAGCCACTGGAGCCGCTGGAGCTACTGAACCAAGGACGCAAAATGGCCTAACACAGCTGGAAACCCGAAATAAAAGAAAAACAGAAGATGGAGGCGTCCGGCGGCACCACGTAGAGCCAGGCCAACTGTCTTTGGCGCTGGCGTTGGCGTTGGCGTTGGCAAAAAAAAAAAAAAAAAAAAATAAATCAAAAACCTATACCAGGCGTTTCCACCATGTGCTAACCCCGAATACACAAAACCCAGTAGATTCGTCTAAAACTTAATTGCTCCCGTCTAAACAGAGCCAGTTTCAGATACGGCACCCTCATGTCTGTTCCCGTCAAAGCGGTCCCACAGATAAACACAAACCCTACCAACGCACATCGGCTACTTTAAACACACACATGTTCCTGAAGCTCACGCCGTGGGAGGTTATGGAAACCCGCTGTGTGTGGGCCAAGTGGCCTGAGAAGCAATCGAAGCAGCACAATCTATCCCATATCCTTGGCCTGGCGTGGGACGAATTGTCCCTGGAACAGGAAGTTGAACAGAGTGCATTAGTGTTTCCACAGCGAAGCACAGCCGGCAAAACCACGTCGTGGAGGCGCTATGGCTGCAAGCAGAAACACCAGAACGGAGAGATGGTGGTTGAACTTGGAGGGAGAGGCAGAGGCATAGCGTTTAAGGGTAGGAGGAAGGGAGCCAAATAGAGCAAAATTGGCCAAAGAGGCCCAAACAGAGCAAAACGACTTTGATAGGTCCTTTTCGTCATTATCCCATGAACGTGGCAACCCGCTGGCAACCCGCTGACGACGTGCTGGCGTTTTGCGCCCGTGTGCCTCGATTAGCAAGATTGATCTTCCAGCGACATTCCAGACACCGCTGGAAGGCATGTTTAGCCCTGATATGGAACATCCAAGCGACGTGGGAGTTTACCCGAGGAGCAGGTGCCAAGTATCTCGCCTCGGTATGGCTCTTGCGTTGCGTTTTAGTGCCAGCTAGCCGTGGAACGGTCCCTGGAGTTCCTGGGACGAGGATGGGTTCTGGATGGATTCAGAATTTGCTGAAAACAGCCATGGAGGCTTCTTCAGAGGTGACAATGGCAGACGAGGAATGCTCTAAAAGAAGAGGAAACTGGACGTAAATGGGATTTACCGTTGACTACAAGTGAAGCCTCTGAAGGTGAACCACTGAAGCTGGAGCCACTGAAGAACCAAGAACAAACAAAGAAATGAAGACAACGACACCAAGGAATGGACAGAATTAGCCACAATAGCAGCCACAGCCAGACGACAAAGACTTCTTCTTCTTCTTCTTCTTTGGAGCTACTGCTTCTTATGGACGATCGACGACTCCCCGCCAGTGGCAGCCAGCGGCGCCAGAAATGAAGAAAAACAGGGTTTATGGCGATCAGCACAAAGCAGCTGCACGGCTGGTTCAAAGCAACGGCTACTACGGCGGCTGATCGATAAACCTAAAATGCTTAGACCACGCCAGGCAGTTGGACTGGAGAGTGAGAGAATGTCGATCAGAAATGCCCAGAAGCAGCCAAGGGAAGAAGCCAAGGTACGTTGTTTTTAGAGCAGCCAGGGCGTCCCTTCTTGGTTAAGTTCCTTTTTGGTTAAGTTCCTTCTTGGTTTGTTCCTTCTTGGTTAAGTTCCTCCTCCTCCTCGTCTTCCACGGTTGACGGTGCTCACACTACGACGATCTGAAGATCCTTGTCCCGTGGCGAAGTGTGATTAACAAGCTCGTGCAGCTCTTGGTGGGTGGAGAGCAACTAGAAAAGACGAAACGAGGAAGAGGGTTTTGCGTGGTTGTTTATTGGATGGTGGGTGGCTGCAAAGAGGTAAATCGGGATCACTAAAAGACGAGAAGACGAGACGAAGAGAGGAGAGGAGCGTATGGTTCCAGATCTGACGGGAGGGCCAGGAAAAGCCCCTGGGAATATTCTGGATGGATTTCTTGATGCTAGATCGGGTTCTTTGTTGCAGCTGGGGCATTTGCTGGGGCTGGAAATGGGTATTTATCGGTGGGAAGCTTAAAAGAGGCTTTGGAGAATGGCAAGTGGTCCGAGGGCCACGCAGTTTGATTAGAATGGAAGACGGAAAGGCTCTGGAGATGTTTGGAGACGTTTGGACGATTGGAGACGTTCAGGTTTGGAACTTCTGGTTGTTCTTATAAACTTGACTGGCTCCTGGAAACACTGACCTCCATAAATAGACATAATTAAACCCAAATTTCTCCCATTTACTTCACATAAAATCCACTAAAACACACCTACAAACCCAAAACGTCCGGAGTAGACCGGGTATCCTTTCCTGTTTCTCTAGCACCGTTGGTCGCTTACGATCAACACTTACCTAACCAAATGCACTAAACCACGGCAAAAAAAAAAAAAAAAAAAACCCCAATAGCCTTACCAGAGTCAACTCTACCGTCCACTTTTACTCCATTTTTTTACCTCCCTGGTTACCTCCCTGGTTACCTCCCCAAATCCCATAACGTAACCCTACAGTCAATGCAACGTAAGACAACATAAAGTACCACCACCAGCAGTAGCAAAACCTGCTCAGTTCCACCGCCAACGTATATACTCGTTTCTGCATCGCCGTCTGCTCCATATGCTGTTCTTGGGCTTGGCTGGGATCAGTGCTCGAGTCGTACTAGTCGCTGTACATGCTGCTTCTGCTTCTGCTTCTGCTGCTGCTGCTCCATGTGAAGCGACAACAATGTCCATTCGTCTGTAGTACCATGCTACGCTTTCCTGGCCTTATTTTCGGAATGGCGGGGGAGCCCCAGTTCCATTCCGTGATGAAGAACCTTTCCTTTCTAAATCACCAACCAACCAAACTTCCCTCCACTTCGCCTGTAGCAACTCGCTTATCTCCCGACCTACAGAGGCCTTAAACCCATGCCGAAAACGCAAGCAGCACGTTTTTGTGGCATCTTCGCCAGTCAGGGTCACCGCCTGCGTTGCCAGTAGACGTATCGCCAGGCCCAAAGAAGCAGGGCAATCAAAGACACTTGGTGAGCCACACGCTTGGCGTGGAGGTGCAAGAGGATGGTCTATTTTTTGCCCTCTGTCTTAGGGGACCGTGTTAGTCAGCGGAATGTGCTCAAAACGTATACTTGGTGGAAGATGGTTAGTAGGAAACAAAGAGCAGCCAAGACAGCTATGAGCCCGGAAAGCCTGGAAACAAAGACCCAGTAAGAAATCGTCCACGCAAAAGGAAACCCTGGCAAGTACCTGAATAAGGATCGATCTACGATTTTCTTTACGGAACCCAGAATCTGCTGTGAAAAGGCGGGAGCCGCAAAAAGGGTGGTTTAGAAGCGGTGCATTAAGAAACACCTCAAAGTGGCCAAAAACTCACGCCAGAAATACATGAAAACGGGAATCTTCTGAAAAGAAAGGGCAACGGGCTAAACCGCCTATTTTTTTTATTTTTTTTTATTTTAGTATCTCCCACTTTGTGTCATTGGCGGCTGCTGGGCTCGGAACAGATCACAAAGTCGTTAGAGCGAACGTTTCACCAACCTTCTTATATGTACAGCGGTTGTTTCGATATGCTTGAGGCAGCGTCATACTGAAGTCGTAAACGACAGAGGCGTTTGAGTGTTTTTTTTTTGTTTTCTTTTCGTTTTTTAGTGTTTCTGAATGGTCGATAAGACTTTGCGTTGCTAGCGCTGTGCTAAACCTGTAAAGCGTCTGTTTCTGGAACACTTTCGAAGATGGACACAAAACAAAGGCTTGGGATAGACCTCATTTAGGTTGCATTTGACGTTGCCCGGCCTGGGAATGAGCGTTTGTGGCTGACAGGTTGGTTTCTGGAAGGCTGTTGATGGAAAGAGGAAAACTGGAGATTTCCATCTCCACGAACCGAGGATCTGGCAACCTAAGGCGTCTGGCAAATTAGAGCATCTACATTTGCGTGGGTGCCCTATCTCTGCGGCTCAGGGTTGTTTGATTGGAGGGTTTTCCATCCAAACTAACGGTCAGGGCTTTTGATGCACTGTTCTCTTTTGCAGAACCTTCTATTTGTGTCACTTTTCTGCCACGGGCAACACAACCAGCTTCGTCTAGCGTGTCGTGAGCAAAGCCTTGGGGTCGTAGAGGCTTGAGCTTCTGCTGGAGGTAGCCGATGTGGAAGCACTAGAAGTAAGTGTAGAAGTTCCACGAACACAGCCCCCAGGAACCCCTAATTCGTGGAATCGGGGACGTTTCGGGTCTGGCAAGGCTGGTGGAATGACGGTTTTGTGTTACTAACCCAGTTGATGCCGTGGAAGCGGACGGTGCATCGAAACACAGGTGCCGTGGAGGCTCAGGGTGTGAAATATCGATTTTGTGGTTCTCCAGAAGGCCTTGACGTGGAAAGAAGAAGCAGGAGCAAATGCATATGGAAAGCCCAAGAGCGAACGGCAGCAGCTGCTTCGTGGACCCCGTTTGGTCGTTTCGGGGACCGTCAGGGCCCCGTTCTTTGAATTTTATTGGATATGGGCTCAACACCTGGTTTGTGTGGCTTGGAAGGGTTTCTTTTTCACAGGGGCCTTCCATTTAAAAATAAGCTAATTCAAATTAGCCACTCGTGCTCTCTTCATTGGATCTGTTAGTTTAGGAGACGCTCCACCGATTTAAGTTTGAACCCAGTAGATCTATAAGTGTGCGTTACCAGGCGATCATCGATGCCTGGCAGAGGCATGTGCTGTGAAGAGAAGATGACATAACGGAGAGATTCATAACCGACGTGGGCTGGCAGTTAAGGTTTGGCTCCTAATCTGTTGGATAAGAGGTTGGTCGAAAAAGGCGACTAGCTCTTTCGATGAAGGGCCAATTTTCTGTAGATAGATTCCCAGCGTGGCTTTAAACATGGGGATACCAGGGCCATTCCGTAGCCAAAGCTGAATAACCTTTGGCGGTCTAATGTGAACGCCCGTACGAGGGTTTTTAGACTCACCATTGTGGTGCCAATCTTTAGGAGTTGCAAGCCTCGAAAACGAAATAATAAAAGTGCAAAGTAGTTTAATTTTCGTGTTCTGGGGTGACTTTTACGGGAGGAGGTTCTTGGTTGTGGTTTGGATGGATTTGGAGTGGAATTGTTGGATCCGTGGGTGGTTTTTTGGGATGGAGTGTTTCCGCCGTGAAGGTATATAAAAGGCTTGGAATGTCTGGAAATGGGTGAAATAAATTTATGGGAATTTTGCCGTGGTTATGAATTCAGGGATGGGTGAAGAATGTTTGGTGTTTGAACGGTATGGACGGTGATGGGTGGGAGGGTCCAGGAGGAAGGGGCCAGGAAGAAGGGTCCAGACGAGGAAGAGCTATACGAGTTTGATGGAGGGTTTGGGAAGGCAAGAAGGAGGTTCAGAAGTGAAGAGAAGCAGAAGCAGAGCACAGAAATGGGATCTAAGATACTGGATTAAAGGGAGTCTACCCAAGCAAGAGGACCATCCAGAGACGGTACTACCAACGCCATAATACAACCAACGACGGTACCTTCCTTCCACTGAAGTCATTTGCCACTTTAAGTCCCAAACCTTCTTCCTTTGACTGCCTTTGACTGCCCTTGAGTTTCCCCGGCTTCTTCCAGGATTGGCCTGGTGCTGATAGGTGTTGATCTCATGAAGATCACCAAAGTGTCTATCCCAAGTGAAAGTGAAAGAGGTACGATCCCGAGGTAAAGGAAGGGCAACAACTGATTAGGAGGAAGATGCAGAGGATACAGAGGAAGAGGGTTGGGCATTGGGATAGAAGGTTGGTCTGAGGAACCAGAGCTACCAGCCAGTCTAAGTGCATGGGAAGTACTTCTTCAAGGCAACAGAAGGCCATGAAAGAAAGCCCTGGTACTAGGCGGCACCTGGAGGCCTAGGAAGCCTTTTCTTCCATTATGTCTTGTTTCTGACTTCTACGATCCTGGTCTGGCCTGGTCTTCCAGGTCCCAAATGGCTGCAAACAGGAAACCCAGCAAACCACAAGGCCCCATCTCCAGCCACCAATTCCAAACCCGCCCTTATCCATCTCTTTCTTACAATGTCCAGCAGCCCCTTTTCCCAGCCATACCACCAAAAGGGAAACCCCAGAATCCAAATAATACGGTCACACAGAAGAACAGAGCAAGCAATACAGCCAATAGAACCAGTAGAGCTACCTTCCACCCCAAAACACCATGAAATAATATTCCCACCCCAATGCACCAGTAGATCGATCGACGGTCTGTTCAGGCGTTCAGTCTCCAGTGATCAGGTTGTTCTGTTCAGGCAGTTCAGGCAGTCCAGGCAGTTTGTTCAGTCCAGCCCATCTAAAGCCACTGCTAAAGAAGACAATCAGAAGGAAAGAGGTAACAAAAGAAGAAGCAGAAAAAAAGGAAAGAAGGAAATTAGCAGAAAACAAAGGAATAGAAATAAAAGAGCTGTTTTCGTTGCTTCCCCTTTGTTTCTTCATTGCTTCCTCTTCCTCTTCCTCTTCCTCTTCCTCTTCCTCTTCCTCTTTCTCTTCCTCTTCCTCTTCTGGCAATTGGATAAGCCACTGAAAAGAACCAACCACCTTCCACCTTCCACCTTCCACCGTCCAACCAGAAACTACAAATCAACCAAAAACCACCTTTCACAAGAAACAACTTTCGTCTTCTTCCCTGCAAATCACCTCCACTTCGTCTTCTCCACTTCCCTTCCTTCCTCTTCCACTTCCTCTCCCTCCTCAACCGATCTTGATCTTCAACGCTTCATGACAAATATTATAACTTTCACGTTTCCTGGATTGCCGTTCTCTGCACATGAACTTTACTAACTGCCATTAGTCAACCTTAATACTAAATATTATCTATACTATATAAGATTGTGATTATTATTGTAGATATTATTCTGCTTGTGCTTGGGCTGCTGCGAGTTTGACACAGCCTGCGTCACGCCGTTTTGGGTGGTTTTTCGGTTCGAGAAAGGGGGAAAGAAGCGGTGGACGAGGAGGCTGGTTTAGACTCAGCCTGGTTGCCATTGGGAAGGTGGGAATAGGGTCTTGTTATATCCTTGGGTTTATCTCCATATGTGTCGTAACTGTACCTCTATTGAGTGACGTGCTGCGAGTGATGAAACAAACAATAGACTTATTTTTTTTTCTGTACTTTAAGATATGGCAACCGCAACACAGGCTAGGGTGTGTGCACACCGTGCATACAGAAGGAGTGCACACTGACGGCCCTGCCGCCCACCCTTGCGGGCCCTTACGGGCCCTGGCCGCTTGCAGATCGTGTATGCAGGCCATTCTCGGTTTTAAAATAGCCCGTACTGCATACAGTGACAGACCCGCATTAAAAAAGACCATTTCTTGGTGGTGGTGAAAAAAAAAATACAGCATTAAACCAACTTAAACAACTAAAAAAGAAACTAAACAATGGGGGGACCGAAATGCCGCCTGCCCTGCGCTCGAGCCGATCGGGGCTCGTGCGCGGCATGACGGAATATCAATGAATAAAAAAAAAAATGGCCCATTCATAAAAGGATAAACCGCCTCGGGATCGTCCCGTGTTAACTATGACGATCTACCGGGAGATCGTCTGAATTTAGTCGCGACTGCACATAAGTAAAGCCAACTGGGAGGCTTAGACCCTTTTTGCCTGGTACTTTTGACCCTGCTGGCCGTGCATGCTTCTTTCGCATGCCGCGGCGGTTAGGAGCCCTGGTCACGTGACCCTATTTTGGGGGATGCAGCTTTTTGCAATGCAGCAGGTGCATTGGGGGGAGGGGGGGAGCCTGGGTTGCCGCACCGCGCATTGCATAGTGCAAAAGCAAGACTTGTCACTGCACACAGCGTCGGAGACCGTACATATGCAGCACATTTACCACGCAAACCGCGGTACAATGCAGCCGCAAGGCCCTGCCACGCGCCGGCTATTGTCTTCCACGCAGCTACACTATATTTGAAATTAATATTTAACTATTGTTGCAGATTGCGGTATTAACATTCTTTTCTAGAATATCGCTTCCCGCCTAAAAAGCCTCCCCCCAAGGGCCCTTCCTCCTTCCAAATCCATTCCCTCAATCTTATATATATAAACACCTTTCCTTCCATTCTGGAAAATCTTGGTACCTCCTTTTTTTTTTTTTTTTTACTTCCTTTCCTTCCCTTCTTTTCCTCCTTTCCCCATTTTGCATTCGGCACTTCCCAGCCAAACCTCCATTGGAATTTTCCAACTATACACTTTAACTTCCTTCATCAACTTCCTTCAAATCCACCTGGAAAGTGGAAAGTCCCAAGTTTTCATCGTTGTCCAGAGAGTTGACCTCCACTGCCAATTGACAAGTTATACAGAAGGACCCTTGAAGAAATACAAGCAGTTGCAGGCAGACCCCAACGTCAATTGTCCAAGAACCCCAAGCTTTTCAAGAAGATTGAAAGTTTGAAAGATTGAAAGTTTCAAAACTACTTTAGTTTCTAGAGATTTGTCTTCGATTGACTCAAGACACCTAAGTGACTAAGACTACTGAGAGAGTACTAAGTGACTAAGAGAGTACTAAGTGATTAAGACCACTAAGAGACTAAGTGACTAAGAGACTAAGTCTAAGATAATAAGAAAAGTCTGAGAGAACCATTCTGGTGTTACTGAGTTATACTGTTATTATAAGTGAACACTAAGGTTGTTGTATTGTGTTATCCACGGAATCGTCTGAGTGCATTACTAAGAGTACTGGAAGACGTCTAGAAACCAGGAATACAATACTAATTGCACGAAAAGCACCACCTGGTATTATTGGAAGTCGTTTGGAGACTACAAAGACTACCACGGATATTTAGAATACCTGGTGTTACGAAAAACTGGTGTATTCTCCTGTTTCCAGTGCATTACTAAGACAAAGGAGACCTACCTAGGAAGTTAAGAGGACCTCCTAAGTGCCTGTTAAGCATACACTCGGTGCCCACCAAGTATCCTACTTCACCTGACTCCAGAAAACTGGTCTACCTGGAATATCCCTTCCTTGCTACTGCCACTGGTACTCATTGACTGCCCCCAGAGCACTTGTTGTTTCCTCCATTTTCCAATCCAATCCACGTCACTCCCCCACTGTCACTCGTCCTGCTCCAGTTGGACTTTCCCTGCTAAAACACCCCTAGTGACCCTAGTGACCTAGCCAAGTGACCTTCTGCGTGGCCCAGAAACAACTAGCACGTTTAAACCCTTGCTACAATTTCCCTAGCACCTTTTTCCACAGTCCATTCACAGTCACGTACTACGTGGAGTTGCCCCTCTCTGGTTTCCTCACCGTCGTTGCACTTGCTGTGTTTGTGTTCGCCTAGTGTTTCCACCTACCACGTTAAGCCTCCAATCCATTTCTAGCCTCCCAGGTATCTTGCAGTTGCCCTAAAGCACCCAGAAAAAAAGTTCCATTTAAACACAGCTAGCTTCCCGCTTTTGCTATTCCATTCACACAACTTTTTACTTGTTTTAATTTACCATGGCTTCTATCATGGCTCCATCTCCAAGTCCAAAGGCCCTGATACCTCTGCTCCTAAATGACCAGAACCAGCGTCAACAACAGCAACAACAACACCATCACCAGTACCCTCACCAACTGCTGCTGCCGCCGGTGCTCCCGCTACCCTCGCTTCACAAGGATCACCAGCCTCATACCCTTCCACACTTGCACCACGACCGTCTACCGGGCCCACAAACCCTCCAACCCATGCATCCAGCCTACCACTACGTTCTCCCTCACCAGGTGCCTAGAGCTTCGCTGATATCGGGGCCTACGCTGGAGTTTTCGCCTATTCAGACAGCGCCTTCTCAGGAGTTTGCCTACATTCAGCTTTCGCCAGCTCTTCATGACCAACACAGACCTTCGATGAACCCTTACATGGTTCCAGGGCCTGTAGCGGCTGTACCCATGCTGGCGCCCGTGGCTCACTACCCAATGTACCACCCTGTTGGTGCCGTGGCTCAGCAGACTCCACATCAAGCCCAGCATCACCACCAACCGCAGCATCACCACCATCACCAACCTCAGCATCTCCAGCACCCACACCAGCTGCTGGTGCAACAACTCCAGCATCCACAAAAACACAGGCGGTTCCGCAGGCGGTACTACCAAATTGTCCGCAAGTACAAGTGTACTTATCCCGGGTGCACCAAGCGGTATGGTTCGTTAAACCACTTGAACACCCATATTGTTACGAAGAAGCACGGCTCGCGTAAGTCTAAAGCCGATTTCAAGGATCTCGACTTGGAAGACGAAAAGGATAAGACGCCGTCGACGCCGTCGCCTGAAAGACAACACCAGCAGCAGCAGGAGCAGCAGGAGCAGCAGGAAGAGCAACCCCAAGAGCACAGGGCTTCCACATCCATTCTGCCCCCCACGCCGCCGGTATCCGCCTCGACAGTGCCAGAAAAGACCACCCCAGACTCGTCGTCGTCGTACCAGAAACCTCTGCAGCCAGAGACGTCGTTGCCTACTCCACAAGCTACCAAAGCTACGTTGCCTAGAATATCCGATATTCTCGATGCTCCAGTGAAACTCCCACTGCTTCCATCAGTTGTTGGATTCCAGCCCTAGACCAGGCGTGCCCACCCCCCTGGATTAACCGAGGCTAGCAAATTTCAATGGTTACGGATAATTTGAACACTGTTTGCAGCGGTTCCAAAGCATGATGGGCTAAGTAACTTGTGGTTTGATGCAAACGTACGGCGTTAACCTTTGGATAAACACTTCCACAAGGCCATACGGCTCCGGACATGAAACGAGCGGCGTGGGCCCGGAGATTAGGAAGAGGAAGATTTTCATGAAAAAAAAAACGGTGGGTTGTTGAACAATGCTATCTTCGTACAAAGGCGGAATATTTGTGCCATTGTGAGAAGAAGAAGTTACGGAGAGGATTGTTTATTTTGGTTGAGGCCTCGGATCATTTAATCGATTTTTATTTTTTAATGCACGCCAGGTTAAGTTAGAGAAATGTGGAACTTTTCGTAGTTTTTTTAGTTTGTTTTTTTGGTTATTTCTGGTGATTGTGGTTATTTAAACCGGCGGACCGGTTTGGGCGAGGGCAATCAAGTATTTGCTAATAGCCGAAACGCAGGAACTTGGCACGTGACACAAAGCACGTGTAGATATTTTAACCTTTTTAGCGAAACGAGACAAGCTCCAGTTTTTTTTGTCAAAAAAATGCACCCGTACACCTCGATCACGTGACTAGTCACGTGACTAAACACCACATGACAAAATCAACATGAACAGTAATTCCCTTTCCTGCAGACAAGGACTTATATAAAGTCATTACTAAAGGTGGTGAAAATATATTCTGAGCAGAGATGAAGAAAAGTAGTATATAGATATAATATCAGGAATTGCAAAAGACCCAGATTATATACCCCGACAATAGAGGGGTAACTCATGAATGAGACTATGCCACTTCAGGGGTTAATTAAGGTTTGAGGATATATTTCCCTGTCAAGGGAGTGCATATAATGGAGATATCCAACACCCCTTCTTAGACGAAAACCTCAATCTATAGTATCAGTTCTTCTTGAGTATTCCTTAGTCTTTTAAAATCAGTTTGCTTCAAGCCTTTAGTCATGAGGTCAGCAAAATTGTTCTTTGTATGAACTTTCAATACCTTCACATTTGCCTTCTTAACTTCATCATTAATAAAACTAAGACGAATCTTAAAATGCTTAGTACGATCAGAAGTAAAATGCTCTTGGTCACAAACATCCTTACAACCCTGGTTGTCCACATATGTGATAATCCACCGCTGTAGATTCCAAAGACGTAATTCAGTAAGTAGAAACTTTAACCAGTTAGCACTTCTAACACATTCACATAATGCATAATATTCCGCCTCTAATGAAGAAAGAGCAACTGAAGTTTGCTTCTTAGACTTCCAAATAACAGGAGATTCCTCAATGAAAAATATGTTACCTGACACAGACTTAAATGTCTCTTTGCAGTTAGCCCAGTCTGCATCGCTATAACTTTTGATATCAACGTAACGTTTTGGCTTGCTGACTTTTCTGTAACGAATTGCAAAATCTGACGTTCCTTTGAGATACCGTAATATTCGCATGCATGCCTTATAATGCTTCATGGCTGGCTTACTTGAGTATCTCGCTAACGCAATTGTTATGAAGGAAATATCATACCTCACAGTCGTACAGGCAAATAGTAATTTCCCGATTATCTCTCGAAACTTAGTGGGATTGGGATAAAGTTCATCAGTCACTAAAGGACATAACAAGTCTGACCACTCTGAATAATAAGGTGTTTCACACGGTTGAGAAGACTGATCCAAATGCAAACTAATAAGCTTAGAAATGTAATCCTCCAAGGATAATGTAATCACTGAATCAGACTGACTAACATTCATTCCCAAGAACTTCTTCGCTGGACCAAGGTCCTTAATCTCATATGCCATAGACAAACCTTGCTTAACCTTTTCAATAAGTTTAATATCAGAACTCATTATCAACATATCATCCACATAAAGAGCCACTAAGAGCAAAACACCACTCTCATACAAATAATAAAGACAGGGTTCCCGGACACAAGGAACAAGTCCAATAGACCTTAATGTCTTGGACACTTCCAAATTCCAGACCAAGGGAGCTTGCTTAAGTCCATATAATGCGCGTTTAAGCCTTAAGACTTTGCCCTTATTCTGACTTGTCTGTAGACCTTCGGGTACAGTGAGATAAAGATCAAGACCTAGGGGACCATTGAGGAATGCCGTTTTAACATCAATCTGATGGACAGTCATACCAAGATTAGCTGCCAAAGCAATAGACAATTTAATAGTATCATACTTAGCAACTGGTGAATAAGTTTCTTGATAATCCTTACCTGGCACTTGTGAGAAGCCTTTCGCGACCAACCTAGCTTTATATCTACCACCGTCTTTAATGGTAAATATCCACTTATACTCAATCGGCTTACGACCTGAAGGTAAAGTCGTTTCCTCAAATGTTTCTTTCTCTCTCAATGAATCAAGTTCAGAATCTATAGCAGTTTTCCACTTATCAGCTTCATCGCATGAGATAGCTTCCTTATAGGTTTCTGGTTCAAAGCGAACTTTAGTAAACATAATTCTTGTAACATTGTTCCTCTCAAAAGCTTCAACAAACAGAGTGAGTGATTTGGAAACGTAATCATCTCCAGGAGTGACTGACAAGATCATAATATCTCCCCCTCTCAAAGAATGAACTCTGTTGTCTCTTTTGCCTGATAACTGACGATAGTTAAGTTTATGCTTCCCAGCAAGACGACTCAGCATACGAGGACTATGTTGACTTTCATCCTCAGTAGCCCGTCGGTTAATATTATCCTGTTCAGGAACTGCTCTAGGCAGCTCAACAGTCCCACTTCGTTCGCTTTGCGGGTGCAGTGCACCGTTATTCAAAACCGAATGTGACAATTCATTTTCCAGCCTGTCTCCGGAATCCTTATCACTCATGTTGGAAACATCCTCCTCACTTGTCTTATTTAAGGAGGTAAAACCACCATGCGGTTCAGTGGACTTTTCTTGCTGATTAGACACAACACTTTCATCAGTTTGGTCAACTGGAACATAATCTGGACTTAGCATTGAATCATCCTCTTCCTCAGGATCTCCGCAGAAATGGTTCGGATGACTCTCACTCATAATATGACTCTTCATAGAATCATGATCAACAGTCCAATGGACACCCAAGAATGGAAACTTCTTCAGTATAAATTTAACCTGATGAGTTTCAACAATTTGCTCAGTAAGTTTATCATTATCAAGGACTATAACTCTCGTGGCTTTGCGATTTAAAGCAGGGCCTAGCGAAATACACTTACCCCCACGAGGATCAACCTTCTTACCAGCATTCACCTTGTACTTTTTAAAGTAACCTAAACAACCGAAAGGAGATGCTTCCCATAGTTCAAAACGTTCATATTTTCTTGGGGATAAATATGACATAGGAATAATCCAATGATTCTGGGATTTCGGGCTGTTATTCAAGGTGAAAACAGCAGTCTTAAACGCTTCAGGCCAGAATGTTAACGGTAAACCACTCTGAAGTAAAAGAACTCTAGCTTTCGTCAGAATAGCACGAATGGCTCGTTCAGCGAGACCATTTTGATGTGAACTATAAGGTGTGGTAAATTTCAAGGAGATGTTAAAATGATCGAAAATATCTTTGTGTCCTCTCGAATACATTTTAGAACGAAACTCTCCACCGTTGTCAACACGAACTTGCCTGAATTTCTCACCGGGGAATTCATCAACTAACCTCTTAAGTATAGCATAAAAATTGCCAAGTGTGTCTTCCTTACGAGTCATGGGCGAGCAATAATACATCCTCGTAAACTTATCGACAACCACTAAACAAAACTTCAGACCATCAAAACCAGCTGGTGATATAGGACCACAAATGTCCGCATGCAAGTACTCCAAAGGATGGGTAGCAATGGTTTCTGATTCACGATCTTTACGAAAGTTGACCATGGTACCCTGTTGACATGCATCACAGTGTTCTCTGATGTCCTTATCAATATTAGGAAGAAAAGAAAATTTCTTCTGAAGTTCGAGATATTGTTGATATGTAGGATGTCCAGCACGAATGTGATGTTCCATATCCTTTTCTGCATAAGTTGCTTTTGTCTCCCACCTCACGGACCTTAATGCATACACATTGACTAGATTAATTTTCATGTCATCATGCGCTGCCTTGATCTCCGAGTGAGAAAGCGTCACTCCGGGATTGTCATGAACCTTGCAATCCAAATCGATCATATAATGACCAGGACTGCGACCCTCACCAATTTTGACTCCATCACTATCGAACAAATCCAGTCTATATTTCGAAACCGATAATCCGAAATCATGATAAGCCGAAATAACATTAGCAGAGGCATCAGGTATGTAATAGACGTTCGCCATCGTGATTACTTTACCAGAAATAGTTCTCCCAGTAACCCGGCCATAACCAGGGGCTAAATAATGGTGTGTGCCATAGTCACCAAAGAACTTCGGACATTTAACATAACCACTCAAAAGGGTCAAATCACTCACAAAATGTATCGGACTTCCCGAATCCCAAATGAAACACATTTTCAGACCACTAGATTTAGACAGATGAGGACTAACTAGAAATGACTTAGCAGTTTCTTCTCCCTTAGGCTTTTCTTGTTGGCTCTTGTCCTTCTTTGCTTTAGCTCGCTTCTTATTTTTAATTTCTGTCCAATGAGCCTTCTTCTTTCTCTTATTCGCTTCAGTTCGCAACTCAGGATGCTTTAAGAAACAACGGTCTTCAGTATGACCTTGCTTACTACAGTGCGTGCATGTTCTCACAAGATTTACCAGCAGGTTAACAGTGGAAGGAATAAAGCTCGTAGCCGAATTCAAATCCTTTTTCAAAGCCGTAACTTTCTCCCTCTTGCTAGGATTTTGACCTTCATATGCAAGCACCAATTCATTAGTAGGGCAGGCAGATTCTCCACACAGTTTGAAAAGCTTTTCTCTGAAATCATAGTTATCCACATTCATGGACCGAAAGAGACTCTTTATGATTAACTCATCATCATTATCTGGATTACCCAAGGCCAAAAGGTAAAAGAGTTCTTTCCCAGAGAAGGAGTGTGCAACGCACATACGGTACACATCCATAAAATCAAGCTCATTATACGCTCCGAACAGCACTAAAACTTGTGCAACCTCATGAATTAAATCCTTAAATTGCCTTGGTGTATACTTCGTCATTGTCTCATGCAAATTACACAAAGTGTCAAGACTTTGACTCGATACTTTAATACCCAGCAATATTGATTGATCAATGCCAAACATTTTCACACGTTGAGCAATATGCTCAGCATAACCATTCACGGGTCTCCGTTCTGGAGGTTGGAGATCTGAAATACTTCCCCTAGCATCCTCTTTCTTATGAAAGTAAGTATTAATATATGTTGCGGTAGGATCACCATAAACCTCTCTTATCTGCTGAATAAAGATTTGATACCAGTAAACATATTGTGTATGGTCTTTCAAAATAAATGGGAGTTTAAAGATAACCTCATATGGGCTCGTTGTCCCATCTTTATAAAGATGAACAGTAATTCCCTTTCCTGCAGACAAGGACTTATATAAAGTCATTACTAAAGGTGGTGAAAATATATTCTGAGCAGAGATGAAGAAAAGTAGTATATAGATATAATATCAGGAATTGCAAAAGACCCAGATTATATACCCCGACAATAGAGGGGTAACTCATGAATGAGACTATGCCACTTCAGGGGTTAATTAAGGTTTGAGGATATATTTCCCTGTCAAGGGAGTGCATATAATGGAGATATCCAACACAACACTCCTTCCTAACTACTACTCCAACTCGAAATGGCCCAAGAACCCGACTCCCTGGCCCTAGAATCGCCCGTTCCAGAGTCGCCTCCGGCTCCTATACAGGAGGTCTCGTCAGACGCCACGCCAGAGATTCTGCCCCAGTCCACAGCCGAAGATCAGCCCAAGAAGCCAAAAAGGCTAACTCTCCAAGAACGCTTAGCTCTAGCGGCCAAAAAGAAGAAAAAAGCAGCCTCAGAAGCTCAATCTGTGCCTGACAGTCCGAAGCCCGTTGAAGAAACACCCGCCGTGGAAGAACCAACGCCTGAACATGACGAAACAGCTGAATTGAAGAAACAACTCGAAAAACTACAACTACACAGCCAACAACTTCTAGATGAAAACAAGCTGTTGAAGGCAGCAGCGGTCCAGAAGACGCCCTCGCTGGATCTAAGCAAAAAATTGGCCGAAAAGGACACGTTGATCCAGCAATTGATGGACGAAGGCCAGGCGCTTTCGGCTAAGGAGATCAAGCTCCATGAAAAAGTACGTGCCATGGCGGCCACCAACGCCAAACTAGAGAATTCGTTGAAAGAGTATGCTACGAAGAACGAAGATGCGCTTTTGAAGCTCGAGGAGGTCGAGAGTATCATGAAAACACATAAACTCAAGTCTGTAGACCAGCTTCTCGAGCTTTTGGAGGTGAACAGCCAGAAACTCAATGAGGCGAAGCTGGCGCTTGAGGACGAGAAATCAAAGAACTGGGAGGGCAAGTATAGAGAGCTGCAGAAACAGTATGAGCTGGAACTCGAGGAGAAGCGCCATGCGCAGAAAGAGCTTAATGATTTGAATATCAAGCTTCAGATGGAAGGAAACCAGCTGCATTTGGACTTAAAGCTGCGTGAAGATACAATTGCGCTGCTTAAGCAAGAAATCAGCTCGTTGAAGGATGAGAGCAGTACGGAAATCACGCGTCTTGAGTCGAAGATCGAGGGTCTCCGGCTGGAAAACGAGAGTTTCTTGAAGATGCTGATGTTGAACAATGAAGCAGACGCTAGTACTGCTACGGAGGCCGAATCTAAGCACATTGCGTACTCTGAGTTTGCCAAATTGTCTGAAGCACATAAGAATTTGCAGCAGCAGTACGTTCTGTCTCAGGAAAACTGGAAACTTATTGAATCGCAGTTGCTCAGCAAGTCTGAGGCGCTTTTGGAGCTGCTGAACTCGCTCAAGAAGAGCAAAGTCAAGGCCCAGACTGAAATGAGAAGATTAAACGGACAGATATCGCAGTTGAAGGAGGAACTTGAACAGGTTCAACAGAAGGTGAAGGATCTTGAGAATGCCAATAACGACCTCAAATTCCAGCTTTCTGTCAAGGAAGACGATTACAAGGAGTTAGAAACGAAGAAAGAGGACCTCACATCGATTTTCAATTCAGATAGACACAACTGGGAGCTTCAGGAAGAGAAACTCAAGAGCACCATCGAAAAGCTCGAAGAGCAAGTCCAGGAGCTTCGAGAGTCCAGTCTTGTGGGAGGCCCCAACGTCGATTCGTTTGCACACCTGCAATCCAGAAAACTCAGAGATTCAGGTCTCCATATCAACATTGAGCCAATGAGAGGCTCTTCTGGCAACCTGGTTCCCCTCTACAACCAAACGCTAGACAGCGAAGTTGGCGCTACCCCAGCTGGCTTTGGAAACTCCTTTGAAGCGCCAAACCTTTCCCATAATAACCTCCTGGCACTTTCATTTACAGATGACCTTGACTCCTTCGAAGCCACCGAAACCGGACCAATCCCCGAAGACGCCCTGGTATACTGGAGAAACTCTGCTGACCGTTCAGGGATCCCAGCGTCGCAAGGCGGCAAGAACATTCAACTACTCAGCAAAATGAGTGCCAACATAAGAAGACTAGAGTTGGAGATCACAGCGCTCAAAGAAGAAAACGAGAAGCTCAGCGAAGACAAAGACGAAGCACAACAAGAGATTGTTGCAAAACAAGACCTCAACATAAAATTGGAAAATCTAGAGCACGAGATCTCACGGTTGCAAAAAGAGATTGACCAGAAGCTGCAGCGAGAAACGACGCTTTTGGAAGTCATTGGAGAAAAGTCAGAACGAGTTGAGGAGCTCAATGCTGACGTGGCCGATTTGAAAGACCTTTGCCGCCAACAGGTCCAACAAATGATCGAAATGGCCGAAAATAAGTAGACCCAGACGATCTGGTGGAGGTGGAGGAAGTAAACCCGTGCACCATCCAAGGTGGTGAGACGAAGGTGTATTTCATTTCATGACATCTCAGCCCAGAGTGACACCCGTGCACCAGGGGCAATTTGTATGGACAACCTTCCCCACCAAGAGTGTTTGCCATTTGCCAATAAGCCTTTATCTCACTAATTGCCACCCCATATCTGATTCTTTTCCCATGGTAAGTGAGCGGGCCAATCCAGAGAAACTGCAACGCCTAGCAGCGCCTGTCCCATTAAGGCAGTTGGGAGCGGAGGTTAGAGATACCGCCGGCGATGGAACAGGAACTCCGAGCCGTGGCGGTGGTGTTTTGACTCCAAACACGGAATTGAGCATCCAGAAACGCAGAAGACCTTCTTACGGGACCATTGAGACCGATAGAGAGGCTCATTACAATTTGGACTATCCTACTGAGGATGCTGAGCTTCTCAAGCACCAGTTGGACCCCAAGCACCGTTTCTACGCCAGATCCAGACCTCGTTCACTCAACTTGCCTGGATTGCTTCCTTACAAACCAGAAAACCCAAAAGATCGGGCCAAATTCCTCAGTCATATAGTTGCACATCTATATATTGCAGTAAAGAGCTTAGACATCCAGGGCTCTGTTTCCATCACTGCCAAAGACTTGGCTTCGTTGAGAAACGTGGCTGGGCTTTCTGACATTGACTTGGCTCTTGAAACGAATCTATTTGAAATAAACAACGATCCAGCACGGACCGCTGAAGAGGAAGAAACGAATAACTACTTTTCCCAGGAGGACTTGGACGTTGCCAATGAAGACGACGACGAGTACGAAGACGATTCTGAACTCGAGGACGACGATGATATCAAGGAAAGCGTTGACGATTTTGATTCGGGTGAAACGTCTCAGCACAAGAAACTGCCTAAATCAGCTGCTGTCGTTTCTACGAAAATATGGACCCACGAGCTTCTTGTATGGCTCAAAATGAAATACGACATGCCATTGTCGCTCCGAATGGCTCTTGCTAGAGTCTACTACGCCATCTGTTGCTGCAGAGGCCAGCATTTGAATCTTCGCATCTATATCAAAATCTTTGAGCTTCTTACTAAGGATGTGGAGCTCTTGCAAGACGCTGGGTTTACTCTTCCTTGGGAACCAGTGTACCAGGAACTCGTGAACCATTTCCCTGGCGTGGACGCTACTTTTGAGCCTCTCGAGAAGAAAGATATGAACTATATGCTAAAAGTGGCTGAACGTGCATCGAGCTTCTACCCTGCCGAGGCCTTGCCTAAGATTTTCCAGCATTTGGGTAGTCGATTCTCTATTCCCAATGCTTCGTTGGTGTTATCCAACATGTGCATGCTTCCATTGACCTTCCAGAAAGACCCCAAGAGCGATAACGATATCAGAAGATACCTTTCTCCGTTATTTTTCATGTGGTCAAAGCTTAGTCGTTCCAGCGGCGTTGACTCTCATCTTACATCCCGTTTGGGTACCATTGCCATGTCTTTCTTGACAAAGCTAGCCAAGGACTCATCTTTCTCCTCGAGCCATGGGCCTTTTGGCGTGTTTTCTGAAGAGCAGTTCTTGCACTTGATAAACACCCTTATAAACAGTTTGAGCATCAACGTTGAGAAGTACGGTTCCCTTAAAACGCGATTCTTCCATGGCTATTCCAGCTCCATTGTGTTCTCTATTAACGGTGACAGCAGTTTGGAGCAAGGCGGTATTATGGATCATATTGAGACGCTTCTCAACGCCATTGAAAGTTATGTCCATCCTTCCAATAGTGGCGAATGGTCAAGACCGATTTCGAAGTTCATATTGAGCTTGGTCTACCAATTCCAAAAGAGATTCAACTTGGAGAGACAACCAACGGGTTCCCTTTACACATTAGATCCAAAACATAAACTCTCAGATAAAGTTGTGGCTAGATTCGTTCAGGATCTTTTGCCTATAGTCAAAACTGGTATGCAATCCAAGAAAGCAAGTGCCGTGGATGATTACTTGGTATGCATAAATCTACTTGCATCCATGGATGCTGAACCGGTTCTTTCTGGTACACTTATCGATTTATACGAGTCTCTTGAAGGCGTGATTTCCACTCACAGAGTCGTGACAGCTCTTCGTTGTCTTGACGAATTGGTGCGTTACTTCGCCAGTACGCCAATCTACAGAGTGCATTTGACTCGGTTGTTCACTTTGGCTTTGCCTGGTATCGACTCTAACGACTTGACGAAAACTATGTATACCCTTGAGGCCTTTGCCGGCATGGCCAGTTTTGTGCCTATTCATGACCTTACCGACGGTGATGGAGACTCGGGCTTGGCAATTCAGTTTACATCCTCCCAGATGGAGTATTTGCAGTCCAAGCTTTACAACAAGGAAGCAGAGGCGCCGTTTGACATTACGCCAGAACTTGAAGAGGAAGCTCTTAAATCCTCTTCTACAGCATTCAAGTTACTCATGAAGACATTCCTAGAAAGGGTGTTCTTGCTTCTTAGAAACATTCCTGATCCTTCTAAGAGTAACGGCATGGAGAAAGACCTTTGTGACTGTCTTCCGAAGTTCCTTTTCATCATGATAGAATCAATGTCGGACGACGTTTTTAAGTGCTTCCGTGATGAAGTTTTCAACTTTGTATTTGACAACAGTATTCACACAATTGCAGATGTGGTTGGAGAGATTTGTGGAGGAGTCATCAAGAGAGATCCAAAATTCTTCAAGCAGATTGCACCTATTTTGATAGACCGTGTTATGGAAGAGGTCTCTGAGAATGGTGCCGGAAAGATGAGAACTGGTATTGATGTCGAGCCACTTGATCAGGCTCTTTTCTGGAACTTGATTATTCTTAACGAGTGTATTGGTAACGCTGGCGAGTTTGTGGTGGCCATGGGTCCTAAACTTAACAAGCTCTCATACTTTTTGATGGAAAATGTGAAGGGTTCAGTTGTCTTTGCCAGCACCTACATGCTCAATCAGATGCTCCAGGCTGTAACGAAGATGAGAATCAGTGAGTCAAGACTTATCAATCCCAGCTACATAAACAAAAATGGCGTGGACGCTAAATGTTGGGGTGGTTTCCAGTTTGATGAGTACCGTTTCTCCCAGGAGAACCTCACATTTGACTGGTTTATTCCAGATGAGAAATGTGTCAGGTTTGCTGTTGATACTTTTAAGGCCCACATTTCTAAAGCTCTTCAGAATACCCTGAAGGTTTTGAAAGAAATCATCAAAAACAAGGATGCAACGTCACAGATTGCTCTTGAGCTCTCGGACGAACTTCGTGTCAATTTGCTTTACTTGGGTTACGGAGTCAGTGGTTCGTCTTACCTTTTTGACCCCTCCTTTGACGAAGATATTCCTAAGTTGAACGATCACAAGTATGAGTCTTTGCAACATAGACTTCTCCTTCTTAAACAACTTCGTGACTTGAAAGGATGCAAGTTCAGCACGAAAGACGAGGCCAGAATCGAGAACGTTCAAGAAAACTTGCAGAAGATCGTTGATGACATCGAGGGTAAAGATATCATTGATTTCACCGACGAGCTCGAGAAGACATTTGATATTGACATGTCTGACTTTATCAACACTCAAAAAGGAGGCTCCAGCGACAGTGTTGATGAGAAAGAGCCCGTCTTCAGAAGACCTGTTGATGTGGGATCTTTGAGCCAATCCGAATCTCCTGTTAATGAATCAGCAAGAGCGACCCCAATGTTAGGAGGTGTCGATGTTACTTCTTTGAACCCTGCAATTACCTTCCGTGAACGCAAGATTTACACGAGTAGGTACTATTTTGGTGATGACATTGAACAACGTAGGGCCAACGAAATGTACTTCGAGGTCCACAGAACGAGACATTTGGTTGGTAAGAGTTTGCACATCATTTTTAAGTTTATGACCACCCATCTTTACGACAATATTCGGATTTTCAAGCATTTGCTTTATGTGTTAGACATCTGGTTTGCAGATGTGGGCCGTGAAAGGAACTTGGACTACAGCCACTCAAGAATTTCCTTCAGGTACTTGAGTGAAATTCAAGAGCTCAATAGAATCCGAAAGCCTTTCACAAGACTTACTTTCGGCAGCAGAATCGAATCTTACCACCAGATGCGTGTTGCTTTGCATGCCACTTCGAGAAATATGTCAGATCTTGATCGCATTCTTATTGAAGATTTGACCAGAGCTTCATGTTCTACTTACCTGGCTATTTCTGAACGCGCCCAGGCTACTTTGCTTGATGCAATGAAGCGAGTCAACAATTCGTACAATGTGATTATCAAGACAACCTTCAAAATCCTTTCTAAGGCCTTGGATGAAGACAATCACAAGAAGATCGAGAGTGGTTTGACCATCTTTGAAGTTAAACGTATCAGATCCAAGATGCTGGGAGACTTCAACTATCTTGGGAAATTCATTGATCTCTTACATCGTGCGATGCGAGTCGACCGTGTGGAAGTTAGCGAATTAGCTCAAAAATTATACCAAAGTCTTTGCGGTACAATCACGTTGCCTAGCAGAGTATGCTTGATTGATAATAAGATGGTGGACAGCATTAGACCACCTGACGAATTTATCGATTTAGAGATCAAGGCAGTTACACTTGCTAAAGAAAAGAAGAGAGAAGTGTACGCTGATAAATTGGAGAAGATTGAAGATGCTTTAGTGGTCAACGAGAAGCAAAATAACCACTGGAAGTTGAGCTCTCTTAACTTACTGTGCTTGATAGATCTTGGAGCAGACTTTGGGTCACCTACTAGAAATGATGTGTTCCAGTTGTTGACTAAGGCGTCTTCCAGTGACCACCCTCTCATCTCGCGTTTAGCCTTGAAGGGTATCAGCAAGCTTTTCAACAAGTTGTTCTTACTCAGTGCATACAACTACAACTTGCAAGATGCCTACGATTTGAACTACGTCATGAGTGACTTCAAGGTTGTTGATACGACCCCAAGAGATGGAGTATCCTACTCTGAGACTTGGAAGAAGGAAATTGCCAATGACAAGTCTCCCGAGTATTACATTGATCAAAAGGCGAACTGCGGTTGGCTCTTCTGGGATGATTCCATGATAGCAGTGAAGCCAGAACCGTTGATCGACCTCAATTTGAAGGAAGCTGATGCTCAAGTCCTCACTGGATTTGCATCATGTGTGACAGCAGACTGGTTCCGCAATATTGTGAATTTGTGGGTTACGGATAATGAAGCCAATGCTGCTTTCCAAGGAACAGATGTCTTTGCAACCGCAGGTTTGGTGGCGTTGATCGCTAGCGGTACAATCGAGGGTCTTCTGTTTGACGAGTTGTTGGAGATCATCAAGTCCATCTACGTTCCAGATGACAAGAGTTCGCATATTGTTATTTGTGAATTGATTTCAGGAATCCTCATTGCCTCGAGAAGCTCGACTCCAGAAATCGCCAAGAAGAGAGATGAGTTTTTGGTTCCATTCTTATCCAACATCTTTGAAAAGGATTTGACGTCTGAAACGAAGAATATCTGGACAATCTTCTCCTGGTGGGTTCCAGCTCACATTGACTGCAAGAGGTTCCCTGCCATCGTTGACGTTTTGGTTGATTTCAAACTTACGAACGACTCGGACTCGGTTTTGCTGAAGGCTACCAGACTTGGATACATCCGCTCTGTTGTGGTGTCCATGACTTGGGGTTTCCCTAACCCAGACGAAATTCTTGAAATGTGTTTCAATAACCTTAGCAACAAGTACCAAGCAATTAGAGAACAGATTGGGTCCTTGATTGCAGTCACTTCCTTTTCGTTCTACGGCGAATCGATGAAAGACAGCAAGACCTTCGTTGAAGCATGCAATAACGAGCTGCACATGTACAAGAAGAGTATGGACCATCTTCTATTCAACAAACTCCCATCGTTGTTTGATCAAGTGGAAGTTTGGAGAAACGAAGTAAAAGACTTGTCTGCTCATGAGATCTTAAATTCCGACTATATCTGTGCTGCCACCACGATCCTAAGCTGGTTGAAGCAAGCTCTTAACACGAGTATCGCTATCCAGTACCAGGATTTCGTGAGCAAGTATATTGCTCCATTCCTTTTGCATTTAACAGCCATGAAAGATGTATGTCAGCTTGGAAACATTGAGCCTATCTCGACATTCAAGAAGGTTTCCCAGATTCCTTTCGAGCCCCATTGCTTGGAAGAGGTCGTAACCATGTTAGAAGGGTACAGCAAGGACGGCTTGAACCATGTTCAGTACTTCATCCTTGGTGAGTTCACCGAAACAGTGTACTTCAAGAACTTGTTCTACTTGACCAAGTCTCAAAGACAGCGTATCTTTGAATTGACTGTCACCTTGATGTACCATAAGAACGTTGAGATTCGTGAGGCTGCCTCCTCGACCTTCTCTGGTTTGGTTCATACCTCTCCTCCAGCTGTCGTTGATGAAATAGTGTCACACTACAAGAAGCGTTTTGCTGCTGATTTGGATAAGGTCAGAAAGCAGCACAGAAAGACAGGTTTCAAGAACGTCTCGAATGCAGAAACCATAACCATGCACGGTGCTGCGCTTGGTTTGGGTGCTTTGGTTCATGCCTTCTCCTTCCAGTCACCACCACCTCCATGGATTCCAGAGCTTTTGACTCTTTTGTCTAACAAAGCGTCAGGTGTCGTGGGAGTCGTTGGAAGAACCGCCAAAGATGCTCTCGGCAAATTTAAGAAAACTCGACAGGATACATGGCATGTCGACAGCAAGGTGTTCTCAGAAACACAAATGCAAGACTTGGAGGGAGTTCTTTGGAAGAGCTACTTCATTTGATCACATTTTTCACCGCATAACCCACTGTTGGCCATGCCGTCATACATTATAATACATAAAAGCCTCATTTAACCGTGTGTAAGACGTCAACGAAAATCTGCTTCTCTGAGTCAGAAAGACCATCAAAGATCATGCTATGCAACTGAGGATGCTGGGACTGAAGCGAAGAAGTAAACTCCTTCAATGCATCAAATGGATTCACAGAGTCCAATGGCGTAGTTGCCAATGGATCCTCATAGACAGGCTCGTCTTCCTCGGTAAACCCAGATTGAGTCAACTTGTTGTTTTCTTGTTGCAAGAAATTAAGGTACTCTTCTGTGCTTGCGTCGTTGGCACCGCCAGTCTCATCTTCATCATCCAAGTCCTCAAACTCATCAGCATGGTCTCCAAAACCAGGGTTATACAACTCCTCGTCAAGGTAAGACTTTTCGCTGAAGTTGACTCTCTTTGTCTCAAACGACTTGATTGCAGCTGGCAAAGCCTTGTACAAGATAGCCAAGTTGGATCCAATGTGAGGAGCAAGATTAGGCGTGTTCAGAACGGCCTCGCTGTTGCTGGACAAACTGATCAACCCTAGGATGGAAACCTTGATGTCGTAGACACGCTTCAATAGAGGGATGAGAGCGAACCAGAGCTCCATGAAGATATTGAGGTAGTTGCTCTGTTGTAAAGCTGCCAAGGTGGAAGATGATTCGTAGATCAAACAGGACACAATGAAATCGACCTTACCCACGGTCATGGCGTTATTTTTGATATGCTTGGGGTCTTCCTTCTCCTTGACAATGACTGGGAAGATGGTTTCAAACAACTGAGGAAGGTATCCAATGGCATTGCGCTGCAAAGAAAGCACAAAGGTTTGTGCCAAATCAAGGGCAAGCACAATATCATTGTAACTCATATCCTCTTCGCCCAGGATGATAATGGAAATGATGCTAAGCAACCTGGAGGCGATTTCTGGGTTCTCGGCAATATCCTGAGGACCAAATACCATGTAGTTTCTCAAACACTGGAACAATTCTTCGGTGTACATGAGAGCAATGCCTTCGTCAAAGGATTTGGCCAAGTGAGCGAAATGGCTCCACATGAGCGGGCTGACGGAGCGAAGGAGGAAAATGGAGTTTTCAATCAACTCACCAATCTCAGCAAGGAAGTCATCCAAGTTGTTCGAGAGCACGTACTCAATCACTGGAGAGAACGTCTCCTCAAGACGAATGCAGATTTCCTTCGAGTTTTCAAAAGATAGGAGAACAGTGATCATTGTGTTCAAAAGACCAATGGCTGCCATGATCTTATCGGATGAATCCATGTAGTCGCCGTCAAAGTCGTCCACATCAACGTTGGCAGCGTCATTCACCTCTACAGCCAATCTCATAAACTGGTTGACCAAATTTTGCATCAATTCCACGCCGAAAGGCTGGAGCTGCTCGGAGAAGTTCTCAACACATTCTTGCATAACCATAGAAACGGCATCGTTATCGATCTCCTTGGTGAGCTCGAGCAACTTCGACATGGTGGGCAAAATTAACTGGGAAAGCACATCCCTGAACTTTGGAATATGCATGTATGCTTGGATAGAAAGGGCTGCCTCTAACATCACTGCAAGGTTCACATCGCCAGCATCCGAACTGAATGGCTTAAGGATACCATGGAACAAAGCCAGCAACATTTGAGCATCTTGGAACTGCAAATCAGCAAACTTGGAAAACACATCGAGTGTTCTGGCCTGAAGGAACTCATGCTGAGACGCAATGTTAGGTAACACTAAAGTCTTCAAGAAGTCCTCCATTTGCGTATGGTAAGGCAGTTTAGGGTTGGTCAAGTAATGCGAAACTCCACCTATAAGTCTCATGGCGCCCTCCTTCTTCTTGGCAACCTCTACAGACTCCTGTTGCTCTTGCAAAGACGAAAGCTCGGTGTAGACAAACTGCAACACCGGCTCCAAAGTCAGCTTCTTACGCTTGCTCACCAAAGTAGCCAACAAGCCCAAAGCAGCAATATCTGGAGCCACCTCGTCAAATGCATCAAGCTTCGAGTTGATATAATCATTGGGGTCTTCTTCAAACAACTCCAAAGTCTCGTCGCTAGGACACAATAAGGGGTATATGAGGTGGGAGACAATAGTCTGGAAGTATGGCTTGACCAAGCCCCAGGACTCTTTCTGGGTGACACTATGACTCAAGAATTCTAGCAAGTGGTACAAGGCAGTGCCTGGAAGCCAGCGGGAGCCAGAACACCACTGCTCGACCAAAGTCAAGTAGATGGACATGAGGTGAGGCACAAACTCAGCAATAAATATAGCACGAAAGCCGTCGTATTTCATTTTCAGCGACAAGTCTCTGGAGCCGTAACGGCGGAAGAGCCTTTCCATATTGGCGATGGACCATTTGTAACATTTGGAGATCTCTAGCTGGTTTCTTTCCCTTTCATTGAGATTAGGGTTCTTGACGTACTCGGGCGTGGCCATTTTAATGACATCACAGTGGAATTGACCCCACGACGCAAGCGTTTCCTGGGTTTGAAGCACTTTAGGAAGGTCATAGTAAGTAACAAACTTATATGTCTTCAAGATGAGCTTCAAAATCTCAGCGTACTCCTCCGTAAGTTCCAGCGCCAAAAGAGCGTTACCCACATCCAACAAGTGAGGAAACGCCTCGGCAATCATAGGATCCAAGTCCCGCTCCCTCTCCTTATTGCTGATCCAGCGGTAGTACCGAGTGATCTCAGAGAAGCACAACACTCCCACATACAACGACACAGGCGAATCGTGTCTCTGCAAAGCCGCCGCCGTCTGTGGAAGCAAGTCGGGCCAGCGGGCGGGAAACTCGAAACTCACCAAAACACGCAAAACTGGCACCAATTGTTGTCTCAGCTGGTGGTCAATATTGTGCATGGTAGGAATGATTCTATCCTTGATCACAGGCTTCTCGCCCTCGTCAATGCCATTATTCGGATGGTTCCAGTACCGAACCACCTGGTTCTTAAAGTATACCGCCGCCGCCTGGCGTAACCCAGCGTCCTGGGCAGACCCAATGATATCCAAGCATGCGCCCAAGAAACCCGGGGTTCTGGAGATGTACTTGAGGTTTTCCTCGGCTTTTTGCCTGACGTCCTGCGACGCCTTCAACGTGTCGGCAAAGAGCGACTCGAGCTTGTTCAGGTCCATTGGTACAAGTCGTTCTTGGTGGTCCAGAAACCTCGAGATGGGCTGATCGGGAAGGTAGACAGATATCGAGTGTGAAAAAAGACGCTAGATGGTGTAACCTGTATGAAGGAAGCAGATGGACGGTGGTGTTGGACAAAAGGGAGGGAAGGAAATGGGAGGGATGAAGTTTGGCTGTGGTTTTTGGCGTAAGGGGGCCCTGACGTTACTGGTGGTGTTTTTTTTTTTTTTTTTTTCTCTTGGGGTTGGTGGTTGTTTATGGGGTTCCTCTGGAAGTGCTATTTGGCTGCGAATCCAGGTAAGAAGAAGCAGAAGAGACAAACCAGGGGAGAATGTGGGAAAGTTGGGAAATTAGGAAAGTGGTTTAAAAATCGGGGCTCGTCGAAGTGAAAGAAAAACAGCTTTTTGGGTGTTCAGGGTGCCTGAAAGTGCTGATTTATGGGGGTATACTGGCCAGGGCTGTGAAGAAGAGCCTACCAGAAGGTGTGTTTCTTTTTCGCTTTTCTTTTGATCCAGCAGGGAGATTTGAGCTTGGGCAGGGGAGGAAGTGTTTGGACTTCAGGTCAGGAGAACTCAGCTTTTAGGACTTCACGGCTTCAAGGCCTTTAAGTGCTGGACAGGTACCTGGGCCAAAAACTGGCTTCCTCGGTTGCACCCGAATGGCTGCGAAAAGCTACTACTTCTAGTTATATGGACACAAGGGGCGAGGCTTAGGGAACACCAAGGGCTTCTAGCATGACCCATGGGACAAATAGGCTTTTGGTAATTTGAACGGTATTGTTAGGAAGTCTGGGGGAAGCGGGGTGGTGGAATCATCTGGGCTTTGGTGAGGCAAAGTGAGGTGCTGACGATGGAGGAGTAGACTACAAAAGATGATTGGGAATGGTCAAAAATGGTGGTTTGTCTATTGTTCAGTCGGCTCGAAGAGCCGCTAACCTAAAGATAAGGTTTGGTGGATCTACAGGACATACGCCAGGGGATATATCCCTGGAGGGTACTTAAGGCTCCTTGATTCGAGGAGCAACCACGAAGCATTGTCTTATGAACTGAAGGTCAGGTAGTAAGCCTCTTATCGTGTTTATTAGTAAATTATAGGCGGCTGTATCTCTTGCTCTAGGCCATTCTCTTGAACGAAAGCACGTCGCTGACTCCCTTCTTTCCCTTTCCTAGGGCCATGGTAAGTAGCAAGTCTTTCTCCCCAGAACAGTCCTTGGTGTTCCATACTTGAACCACAGATTCATAGCACAGGCCTCCGTTGACGAAGAACCAGAGGTTGCTTACTTTCGGTAGGTTCAGGCACTTATCTGGGAAGGACAAGAACGTCTGGATCGGGTTATCTAGACTACCTTCACGTTTGGGATCACTGAAGAAGTTGGATACCACTGGAGCGTACCCAGCACAGTCCCTTCTTCCTCTTTGAAGCGATATCTGGATCTCCTTGATCTTCAACAACGGATTGTGCCATATACTGGACGGAACCTGGATCTTGGGACCGCCAGACTTGGTCTCTTCCCATTCTTTAATATACTCCTCGGCACTCCCGGAAAACAACAGAACCAGCTGTCTGTACTTCTTCGTCATGCAATCAAGAAACTGCTTTCTGCAATCAGCTCCCGACCTGCCGTCTTCAGCAGTGTACTTGCCATCTTTAAGCACCAAGTTGAGCACCACCAAATCTTCAAACAGAGCGTTTGGAATCCACTGTGTTTTAAGCTTAAGCGTATCTGAACAACTTTCTAAAGCTTTATCAAAAATATCCCTATTGAATCCCGACGAAACATCATCCACTTGCAAAACATTACCCACAACGCTGCCAACCACAAGAAGCAATGTTGCTATGCCATAGAAACCTCTCATACTATCACCTTGCAAACAACCCTGGATTCCTGGAGGACTTGGCAGGAGGTATATATAATGAGAAACTTCCAACTACAGAAAAACCTAACATGGACCCATTTTTGTGATACAAGGTCTTCCACAATACCTGCACGACGTGGTACATTGTTCCTAATGGTTTCTGGTTATCAGATATGGTTTTCTGGCTTGGCAGACGTCGTAGAGGAGCCTGAAAAATGGAGAAACCGGTAGTGGTTTTACTGGACCTTTTTATGTTCGTTTTTATGGTTGGGTTGGTGTAAGTGTGGCTGATGATGTTAGAGAATGTTCCTCTTTGAGGCTCGGACACTTACAATGGCATTGTTGGGTGGTTTTGGGGGCAGAGTTACGTGGATTGGTATGGATTAAGGGAGAGAATGGACGGTTGGGGTTTAAGGGGTTTTGGGGTTGTTTGGAGGGTAGGAGTGGTGGTTGGGTGATACGGTGGGTACTTGTCTTAAGAAGAAGTGTCCGAGCACCGGTGTTTCTTGTAATGGAGATGGAAGAGGGTCAGTTAAGAGTGGTATTAGACAATGAACTGGTTGGTTTGGGTTTCCTATATTGGGATTTCTGGGTGGTTATCTTGGGCAGTATCAGTATAGGTGCCTCAGTGTCACCGTTACTTCCAGAATGGTAATACCGAGAAATGGACCTACAAAGCGTGTCAATTTGACTACCTAAGGCTCCTACTCAGTCAGGTGCCCTAAAGTTGCTTCATTACACTCATGCTTGTACCATCAGGTCTCCAGTTGACTTCCACTTTGTCCATATATCTTTCTTACATTCACATCCAGAGTGATCATTCTATTGAGCGAATGGCCCGTCCAGACTATCCAAACCAGGCCATCCAAACCAGGCCATGCCTCTATCGTTAATATCCTATCTAGCCAGTCACCATCTACCATCGATTCAACTGTGACGGGAAGATAACCGAGACTTCCGCTGTGGGCATTTACGCATCCCTTCAGCGTCTGCTACTCCAACAGAACCGGCCCCTTCCACCTTTCCCATCGTCTCCAGACAGCCTCCAACTCACTTCCCCATTCTAGTGTCTAATTTGTATCGTATCTCTTCACCGTCTCATCCAGGCCCCCTTGCCTGACATCCAACCAACCCTGGCAGCGCTTCCTGCCAGTCCTCCATGATCCAGCATTGCATTGATTCCCCATCTAGATGACCCAGCCACTCCAAAAAACTTGTTGCTGTCGCTTCACAGCTTGATCACAACTGCTCTTCACAACTGGTCTTCACAACTGTTCGTCACAATTGCTCACAACTGCTCAACTGCTCTTCACAACTGCTCAACTGCTCTTCACAACTGCTCGCTAACGCTCACAGTTGTTCATTCACAGTTGTTCAGTTGCTCAGTAATTCCCCTGCTCCTTGGCAGCCTCTGTATGCTCATCAATGTCAATGGCATCCCACGGGTACGCAATCCACACATCATCCACGTCCGTACCAGCAATGTACCTGCCCTTCTCGTTAAACTCTTCCGGAAGCTGAGCCCTCTTCTCTTTCCTCTTGTTGTGCAAAACAAAAACCGAAAACTTCGTCAGACCCTGCTTGCCCAACTTCTCTTCAAGCTCCTTGACATCCTGCTGAAGCTCAGTCACCGCATAATGAAGCGTAGTTCTCGTATCATCCACCTCATCCACAATAATCACATTCTTCCCCACAAGCAGATCCATATGCTGGCCCAAATTGCCAAAATCCAACCACTGTGTTCTTACAACCTCCTTTCCAATCTTCTCCTCGTCCCCCATTTGCTCATACAACGAGAGCCCAATGGCCTGGATGGGTATGTTCTTCTTACCCTCTTCCTTCAAGAAGGACCTAAGGATTCTGGCAGGAATGAAGCCACCGCCTCCAATGGCAATGATAAGGTCGATGGAACGACCCGAAGCCTTGATTTCGTCTGCCGCTTTCTGGCAAAGCTTGTGCACGATATTGTATGAAATGAAGAGTTTGGACATGGTAGTTGCTTAGTGCGCAGAGATGAGATGAGTAATTAAGGTGGAGGTGGAGTGGTGGATGGGAGAGGTCAGGTGGGGAAACCCCTGGGGATGTGGAGCCAAGGGAGGTAAGTTTAGGGGGCTTTTGTTTTGTGAATGTGTTTTGGTTTGTGTTTGGGGGTTTTTGGGGACTTAGCTGGGCATGGAGGGCTTACTGGTGGTTAGTATGGGAGGAACCAGAGGGTACTGAAAGAGGTTGGGGCTTTTACGTTTTCGGGAAAGTAGTCGTCTTATATGCTTCTTTGGTGGTTTAGTAGTGAATTTAAGGTCTATTTTGTTCCCAGACGGCTTGTTTGGGCTTTCTGGCGGTGGCTGCAAAATGGATATCTGGGATGGGGCTGGGCAGTCGGTGGCTGCGAAAAGCATATAACAAAGAGATCACCTCCCCAAGCCATGATCTGGATTTTGGAAGGGTATATGTTAATTAAGCTTTGGGTGTCGTCAAGGGACCACGCTGATCTCGGTTAAGTGGATTTGGTACTCAAAGGGTTCAGTTGTATGTCCTCTCTTGTTGGTATAACTCAGTATATACCGAGGGCCACTATCCATGTAGCATCTTCTATATCTTTACCTCATACCTCTCCTACACATCACTCGTGCCGCTATTTCATTAGTCTATTTTTTTATGCCTCCTCGTCAAAGCTCAAGAAGTCGTCGTCGGAAATCTCCTCCTCACCTGGAAAGCTCTCATCGACATTATCAACACTATCGAAATCGTCGTTCTCTCCGTTGGCATACACGATCAGCTCCTCAACGTTAGCAGACTGGTCAGCCAAAGTGTTCTCGTCTTCATCATCATACTCATCTTCACTGTCAAGCTCAGCTTGCTGCTCTTCAGCTTCAGCAACCTGACTTCTGAACTCAGCATGCGACTTGAGCAACTGCAAACGACCCTGAAGCGCCAACAATCTCGACATCATCGTCATACCGTCTTCAAAGCTTCTCTGAAGCTTCTTCAAGTTGTCCCGTAGCAGGTCTTGCTTCAGTATATAACCTCCATGGGTAAGAAGAATCCACTTGAGCCAGATAGAAAGCAGGCTCTTGCTCAGTGGGTCTGCAGCCACTTTCAGACTGACAATGCTGAACAAATGCTTAACAAGCAATTCTCTGTCGTCGCTCTGTGAAAAGAGTCTGAATGTCTCTTTGATGTTCTCTTCATCGTCGTTGCTAGCACAAAGACGAAGCACCTTGGTCTTCAGCACCTTTTTGGCAGTAATGAGCCCAGAAAGCTTGCTGTAAAGCTCCAGAGGCGGGAGATTATCAATCTCAACTGGCTTGGTGCTATCTAGCGCTACGTCAGGCGTAGACTCCTTCTTTGTCTTCTTCTTTTTAGAAGGCTTGGTCTGGATTTCCATATGGTCCTTGAGTTCAGCAATGGCCTCGAACTCAGGCTGGTTTCTATCGTACAAGACGGCAACGTAGGCCGATTTTTGGGCGAAAAAGTTCTCCACGGCTCCCTGCAATGTGGTAGTAAGGTCAGTACCTGTGAAGATTTCAGTAGAAGTGGCAGAAATGGCAGCGACTTGGGATTCGCTGATTTTATTGAGTTTGCTGATTTCTCCAGCACATTCAAGGCCGGCAATATGCTCATGGGACTTCACGTCGTACACGCTCAACGTATTAGAGCCCTCCAAGGCCACATATAAGTATGAGCCAGCCTGCTGGATGGCAGAGACAGTGCCGTCGACCTGGATCTTTCCTGTAAACAGCTTTTTAGCTGGATCGACAAACTGCACGGTCAGCGACCCAACAGCAACCGTATCCTTAGAGCCAGCAAGGTGCTGGATGCATGTGTATGAAGTCTTTGGGACTTTGATGAATGTGGATATGCTCTGTGAAGAGATGCTGTATTCTATAAGGCCATTCGGGATATGGGCCCAGAAAGAGCTGCTGTTTCTCGATCCAGCGACCAAGAACACCTGTTTAAGCTCTGTGATGCGATGCACTGGCGTATCTGAGTAAGGTGAAAGCACCAACACCTCAGCGTTATCCAACACCACCGCCAAAAGCCCCTCTGGACCATTGGCAGCCGTGTTCACCGCAGACCCGTTAGCCTCTGCTGCCCTCTTCTTACCCTTTTTCTTTGGCTGCTGCACCACATCGTTGAACCAAGCTACACTGGTAATGGTAGCCAGGGCATCGAGATCGAATCTCTGGACCAAGTCGTCCGATACCTGGCCGTTTTCGCCCGGAAAAACACGAATCTGGACCTCATTGCGGGCCTTTTTCAGAATCACACTCGCCACGAACGAGCCGCTGGCGTCGGCGGTGCTGAAGGCAGTCATGGTGGGAAATGGTTAGGGTTGAAAAAAAGTAAGTAGGTGCTCTTCGCGATGCCCCCATTACCCACAGGCAGGTGCGTAGTGATGGCCTGGGGAGGGAAGGGAAGGGGCTAAGGGGGATGATATGAATTTTTTAAAGGTGGAATGTTGGTGCTGAAGGGCGTTTTAGTTAGAATCCCGATTTTTGCGGTTCTTGGAGTGAAACTGGCGTGGAAATTGGACACTTATTGGTGTTTCTCAGTGTATATGGAATGGCTGCGAAAGATGGGTAGCAGGGCCAGTGGGAGGAAGGGAAGGGGGTAGAGGGAGGGGGTTTGGAGGTTTATGCTAATGGATGTTTCTGGGTGGTTTGTAAAAAGTGTGTATTTTTTGGTTTTGGAAGAAGGGGGAAGTGCAGAGTTGGTGGTTGGTGGTCTCTTAGTATATAGTGTAGAGAGCCAGTAGCTATGGATATGAAGAGACATATATATATATATATATATATAGATCGTGGATTTCTGGTCATTTTCATCATTTGTGATTTTGAAAACCCTTGAGTCTAAATGAGCGTATCGATATCTTACTTCTGTGATAGCCATATATATCCATATAGGTATGGTTCTTCATTAAATACACCATGACAGGCCAATGGTCGTAAACAAACCACCCAAAGGAACCATCCCATATCTAATATTTTTCCTTCGTAACTTCTTCGAATTTCCATATTGGAAACTCCACGGCCACCGCCGCTTTACAGCCGACAACGTCTTACACTTTCCTTATCCACTTTCTTTATAAACCCCAAGTTATCCCATTTCTACAACCACAGAAATGCCGCCACACGCCAGACAAGCCCTAGGATACTACAACCCCAATTATACAATTCCCTACCAGCAGCGGCCCCAAAGAACCAAGTGGCCCAAGAAGCCATGGGACATTATCCTTGTCCTAACGCTATTCGTGCTTCTACTGGCTTGCTTAGTTCTCCTGTTCTTACAGCTTTGTTACATTGTTGAAAGCTCCAGATTCAAATACAGCGTTCAAAGCCCATATGACTGGACAGACTACTTGAGGTCTCTCTTGGACCTGTTTGAGAAGGCAGCTCCAGGCTCCACCTCTGGCATGGCAAGCTTTATTCCAGAAAAGTGGATGCTAGAACAAACAGACTTTTACCTTCATCTGCTTGGGTTTTGTAGAAAAAGTAAGGGTGAATCCCCGAATTGCCTGAAGCGGTATCACGGTGACACTTTCCAGAACGATATCGTTTATGGTTTGGCATTCCTTATTGCTAGAAGCAGGGTACATGATAAATGGGAACTGGAAATTGTTGCAACAGAATGGACCAACCGTCTAACAGGAGCCGCCTCTTTGGCTAAAGCTGCTATTGAAGGTAAGGCCCCAAGAAGAATAGACAAAGCGGCAATTGCTATTATTGAGAACTACTGGGATCTGTCTTCTAGACCTGTATTTGTGTCTGTGCTTTTATGTTTACCGTTTCCGTTATATTTTACACTGGTGATAGGCGCTTTTGCCGTGGGAACCCGGGCTCTAATAGTTTTTGGCCTCTTGGCGGCATGTTTTCAGCTACTGTTGGTGATAGAGTTGCTTTGTCGCCATAACAGCACTGTGGGAGTTCTTGATAAAAGTAAAGGAGGAGCACTTACTATGGCCATCGTGGCATGGGTGTTGGAGACGCTCTTAGCTGCGTTTGCTGTGGTAACGCTGAGGAGAGAACCTAAGGAGAGAAGCTAAGGAGAGGGCCGGGTCCGATGATTTAAATTGAAGAAAACGATCAGAATGGCAAATTGTAGCTTCTAGTTAGTTTGATCTTGGGAATACTTTATTTGGGGAATTGGGAATAGACGTTTATGGATAAGACCATATGAGAAGAGGCGACAAAGGCAGTTATACTGCAAATATTCTCTTTGTTTCAACTGCTTCTGTTCTTTACTTCTTCTCTTGGAAATTGCAATTTCTATCACCTCTCCTTTCGAGATTAACTCTACCATATACCTCAACACATGAACTACAGATGAAACCTTGTAAGCTTTACATACTTCAATGGGTGGAGCAGATTATTCATGAAGCCACTATTCAGTCACTACAAATCACAATAATTATTACTCTTACTGAAACCAGACATGGAAACTATAAACCGAAAGGACATTAAATCTCTCTTCAGTAATTTCTTACACTTTCCCTGCTTCTTCCTGCCCTTCAATAAAAAACCTGAGTTTGCCAAACCATACTTTCCAACCCCAGAGCCATGTCTTCCAATATCCAGCCACCACCAAAGTACACCAAAGATGCACCTAAGATCCTTCAATTTGAGTTCCACGATACACCTCCACAAGAATCCCCAGACTCCAAAACCTTCAGCCTGAAAGACTTTTTCCTAAAAGTTGCTAAGTTTTGCCAAAACGGCTGGAACTCAGTTTGTATACTTTCATTCTTACTCATGATAACTTGCTTAGGCCTTAATATCTTGTTATTTGTCCCCCATAAAACGACTGCCATTGTTACGTACAGCGTCCCAGAGCCATATAACTGGGGCGACTATTTAAAGTCTCTTTTGGATCTGTTTGAAAGGGTTGCTCCAAATTCAACAGCAGGTATATCCAGTTTAAATGAAACAAAGTGGACAATGGGTGAAACCGACTACTTCTTCCACTTCGAAGACTTCTGCCGGAAACCGAAAAATAAACCAAGAACTTGTTTTCCAATTATTGAACTGATGAGCAACCAGGCCATGATTGTAGGTGATATAGCTCGACTTCTCGCTGAAAGCACAGCAGAAGGAGACACCAAATCACCCTATGTGGACTTATGGATAGAAGGAATAAAATCAGCAGAAGAATTGTCCAAAGCAGCTATTTCCAACCTCAAGTCCTCCAATACCTCCCTCACGGATGGTTTGGTTGGGAAGGCCATTGATATCATTGAAAGCCACGGAAATCAGAAGAAGAGGCCTATCCTTGTACTTTTAACAAATCTTCTGATGATATTTTTGTGTGTAACGCTTGTTCTGCTACCTTTCTGGTGGGAACCCATCTCTTTTTTTACGGGTATCAGTGGCTTGATGTTCCCATGTATGTTCTTGGCGGCTGTGGCTGGCCATAAGGGCAGCAGTACTGTGGGAATTCTCCAGATAAAGGGATGCAAAAGCCTTTTAGCTGTGTTTCTGGTTATGTTAGTTTTTGAGATTATTGGTTTATTTCTTTCATTCATTTATCTGATGTATATGGACGATCGGAAAGAACAGGGTATGAGTAGTGCTTGATATAGATGAATAAACAAGTCTGAGGGGTTTACTTTTGGCTGAAACAGTAATTTATATCTAGGGACCTAAACAGAATTTAATTGAATGTTTCTAGACTTGAAAAGAGGTAAAGTTGTTCAAGCACAGATGGTAGTTTGGATATATTCAAGTCACTTGCTTACCTTATAGTATTAGTGCAATGTGAATGTATTATGGAACCTTTTTCATTCATTGCTACCAATGGAAGCAATTGGCGGATTTTTCTTTCGTATCTTTTTTCTTTTCACCTTTTGTACCTTCCTTACACTGCTTATATTCCAGTATATGTCGTGAGACTCTAAGAGGTACAAGATGGCCCATATAAGCGGCACAAACCGACAATAGCATGGGCCTTAATTATTGAAAACACAAAGTTAAGGACTTTCCAAGTAAGAGTATAACTACCTTTTTGGTTCAAACTTCGTAGATATGTCTGTCCAGTCACTTGCTACTTTAGGTGACTGAGAACCGGCAGTATATAGAAAACACCATAGCCACCACTTTTGAAGCCAAGAAATCCCTCTATATTGGTCACAATTGCTTAGTTACTTAAACCATACTATAGTTTCCTTAAAAAAGACCATTTGGAAAGAAAGTACACTCTACGTTGCTTGACAGTATGTGATTTGCAGCCATTTCGGAAGGTTACCAGTCCTTAAACCAGTTTTCATAGTACGCCGGTGAAACTTGTACACATTAAAGAATACCACCTTCTGAACACATTGCTTTCCTTAAATTCCCAAAACGACCCACTTCGACTGGTTTACTGTCGCTTTGTGTTCATTACAATATGGAGCTCTGTGAGTGGGTCAGACGTCACACCCGTGCACCAGACCCTTTCCCACGTTCCAGCCGTATCTCTTTCCACCCTCTGCCCTAGCCAGCGTTTCCTTCTGGTCCCCAATGCTTTTTTAACCTAAATCAGTTTACATGACTGCCGGATCAATCTAAAAGGTTAAATGAGTCTCCTAGTAAGGAAAGTCAAAATGCGCTCACGTGACTTTTTCAAGGTCATCTCTCCAACCTAGTCACCGCCAGTCCCCAAAAGGGGCCTAAAACGACAACCTCAGTGTTTCTATCCACCCTAGAGCACCCCCTTACGCTTACCAGCACCTGGGAGACCCCTAACAAGCAATTTCCCTATTTCTCACGTGACGTCATCTTCAGGGCATCCCCAGCTAATTCCCACGCCACGCCTCCCACTGGCCCCAAACCTCCTTCCCCAAACCTCCCCATACCATGTCATCTCTCCCCAGTCCCCAAACACCTACCCTCCATTGCTGGACCCTTTCGCTAGGCTTCGAAAAGGTTCGTGCCTGCATACACTGCCCCACCGTCGATGAGACGCTTTTTTTCGCAAACCTCCATACTAATCCTAACCTTTTTCTTCTTCCAAGCAAAGTACCCTTTTTTACTTCTTCCTCTTCCAGAAACTAAAAAAGTCTACACCATGTCTGCTGTTTCCGCCTCGAAAGCTAAGAGAGAAGCCAAGCGTGCCGAGAAAGAAGCCGCCAAGGCCGCCGCAGGAAAGTCCACCAAAAAGACTAAGAAGCAGGCCCAGAAGGATGCCGAAGAGAAGGACGTGGACGATGCCGATGCCCAGATCGCCAAATTGAAGTTGCAGACTGACGAGCACGGATTGTCTGACCGTGTGACCACCGGTGTTTTGGACTCCTTGGAGACGTCCAGAGATATCAAGATCTCTTCGCTTTCGCTTTTGTTCCACGGTAAGGTGCTTATCCAGGACTCCACTTTGGAATTGAACTACGGCAGAAGATACGGTCTTTTGGGTGAAAACGGATGTGGTAAGTCGACGCTTTTGAAGTCGCTTGCTGCCAGAGAGTACCCAGTGCCAGAGCACATTGACGTTTACCTTTTGAACGAGCCAGCTGAGCCATCTGACCACTCTGCGTTGAACTACGTTGTCAGAGAGGCCGAGGCTGAACTTAAGAGAATGGAGGACCTCGTGGAGGATATCATTGTCAAGGACGGTCCTGAAAACCCAGCGCTTGAAGGTTTGTACGAGAAGATTGACTCCATGGACCCATCGACTTTTGAATCCAGAGCCGCTGTCATCTTGACCGGTTTGGGTTTCACCCCTATCACCATCAACAAGAAGACCAGAGACATGTCTGGTGGATGGAAGATGCGTGTGGCTCTTGCCAAGGCACTTTTCGTCAAGCCTACTCTTTTGCTTCTTGACGACCCTACTGCCCATTTGGACTTGGCTGCCTGTGTGTGGTTGGAAGAATACTTGAAGAGATGGGAGTCGACCTTGATCTTGGTTTCCCACTCCCAGGATTTCTTGAACGGTGTGTGTACCAACATGATTGACATGAGAATGAAGGTGCTTACCCAGTACGGTGGTAACTACGACTCTTACGTCAAGACCAGACAAGAATTGGAGACCAACCAGATGAAGCAGTACCACAAGCAGCAGGAAGAAATCCAGCACATCAAGAAGTTTATTGCTTCCGCTGGTACCTATGCCAACTTGGTCAGACAGGCCAAGTCTAGACAGAAGATCTTGGACAAGATGGAAGCCGACGGTTTGATCCAGCCTGTTGTTCCAGACAAGGTTTTCACCTTCCGTTTCCCAGACGTGGAGAAGTTGCCTCCTCCAGTGTTGGCTTTCGACAACATGTCCTTCTCCTACTCTGGTAAGGACGAAGACAACTTGTACGAAGGTTTGGACATTGGTATCGATATGGACTCGCGTGTGGCTCTTGTGGGTCCTAACGGTGTGGGTAAGTCCACGTTGTTGAACTTGTTCCAGGGCAAGTTGGTGCCTCAGAAGGGTAGAGTCATTCAGCATACACACATCAAGTTGGGTGTCTACTCCCAGCACTCCCAGGACCAGTTGGACTTGACCAAGACTCCATTGGAGTTTGTGAGAGACAGATTCTCCAACATCTCCCAGGACTTCCAGTACTGGAGACAACAGTTGGGTCGTTTCGGTTTGACCGGTGAAGGCCAGACCTCCCAGATGGCTACCTTGTCTGAGGGCCAGAGATCCAGAGTTGTTTTCGCTCTCTTAGCCATTGAGTCTCCTAACTTGATCTTGTTGGATGAGCCCACTAACGGTTTGGACTTGTCCACCATCGACTCCTTGGCTGATGCTATCAACTCTTTCAACGGTGGTGTTGTTGTTGTGTCGCACGACTTTAGATTGTTGGATAAGGTTGCCAAGGACATTTTCGTCATTGAGAACAAGACTGCCACCAGATGGGAGGGTTCGATCTTGGACTACAAGAAGATGTTGGCCCAGGAAGTGGTGCTCTAATGAAACGGTTTGTATTTAATGGTATGCGGGTCAAACACGAAACATCACCGCTAGACGGTTTGTCATATATTCCTTTTGTAGTAAACAGATTGGATTTAAACAGTTGATTGTAGTTTCTAAAAAGAAGGTGGTGGGTGCAAAAAAATGGACGAGTCCGGATTCGAACCGGAGACCTTTCGCATGCTAAGCGAACGCGCTACCAACTACGCCACACGCCCTGGGAAGAAGTGGTCCCTAGCAGGATCGAACTGCTGATCTTGGCGTTATTAGCACCACGCCTTAACCAACTGGGCCAAGGGACCGACTTGTTAGGATTATGGAAGCAGGTTAAATAAGTTAATTAAGCAAATAGGACCAAAAATGACATTTTTTAGATATTAAAACATTTACTTAGTTATTAAGCATTTAATATTCACATAACGAAGTTTCAGAACGTCAAACCAAATATTGAGGGAGTTAAAGTAAAATAAGTGTTTAGAGGCGTCCTACCACAATGAATTATACATTTCTATTTAATTCTCTTGATTTTAATGCCCCTGGCAAGTTTTATAGCTCATATATTCAATATTGTGGTGTAGATGTGGATCTTAAGCTTTCTCGGAATAGTGTGCTCAAAGAGCTATAGCACATAAAAAGAGGTGAAAACGAGTTTATGGAAGAAAATTAGAATACTTATGCAGTTATTGAAAATGGCTGGTTTTTATTGAATCTGCTTTCTCTTTTATTTCATCCAGGAACGTGTGTTTTCACCTCACTAGCTCACTAGAAGTAATATGTGAATACTGGCATCCAACATGTGGTTCCAAAAGCATATATAATGCTTCTGATTGACTTCTTGGAAAGAGAAAATAGTGATATTTATGTCAGGAAACAGAAGACTTATCTACCAAAAAAAAAAAAAAAAAAGAAGCGATTCATCCAAATGTACGAAAGTAGGCTATATGCTACATAAATCTGGTGAAACAGAGGATAGAAGTCTTTTGGGATAAACACCAGGGAAAAATACTGGAACATGGCAAGAGCGTTTGACTAAATTTTTAGCGAAATTCAGGATTCTGTCCAGATATGTTTTATCTTGCAGCCATAGTCAAAGCAGTTGTGTCCAAGCATAGATGAGTCGGAAGCTAGAAGCTACTCTCAGACAAAAGCCTATCTATTATTCCTTCTTCTCCTGTAATACCGGTAAACTGGTAGAAAGTAAGCAACGAATCAACCGTGGTCTTCAGCAAGCTCTTTAGTATAGCAGAATAGTTATATCAGCCAAACACAGCCATGAAGACGAAACATATCCTTCCAACCATAAATGCCTTTATAAGTACATTAATCGCCAACCACAGCATTTAAACTCTACGGCACCGGTACTGCTTGAGGGGAGCATGTTTGGTGTGGCGATGTCGCCGACATATCCGGATACAGCAATTATTTTCGGCTAACCCAATATGTTGTTAGCGTCGGTGTTTTTGTCTACGAAGCACCACTCGGTTCGTTACTTGTAGGTATCTTCTCTGGACTATCATTTGGGAATTCTTCAGCAACAACACTATAAAAACTCTAGCACTCTTTAAATCCCACCAGAAGCTTTATTGTATACCACAGGCAGGTGGACACTATTTCCCTTAGTATCAGTCCCCAATACAACTTTCACCACCACCACTAAACTTAATCACACTCTCTAATAACACAAACACTTCAAACCCATGGTAACCTTTCGTCCACGGCTTTGTCGCTTACCTTGTCAGGGAAATGAGACATTTTAGCCCTATCACGATGCACTGCCGCCAATATCAGTTTTAATCCCGGACACTCCACCAGCACATAACCCGAGGAACCCGCCAACCATAAAAACTCCCTGGAATAAACATCCCCTGCTTTTTGTAAAGTGTGCTTTGTGGCTTGTCTAAATTACCACTGCTTTTGAGTAACTGTCTAGTCCATGCTACTCGCCGCGTCGCCCTGTCAAGCTGCACTGTTACCTATTTGTCTCGACAAAGGTATAGTGGCGTTTTTCCATTTGCCATTTGAAAAAGGTATAAAGCGGTAGAGGTGGAGGTGGGGTGGTGAAAGTGTTGGAGGGAGGTTTTGGTAGCCAATGACGGGAGCGTCTGTACTGGCTTCGGTGAAGCTGGAGGCATAGACTACTGTTTATGGAATAACCTGTCAACTTTTAAACCCTGCTTTGCTATCTGGGAGCCACATGGGCCTGGAACTCCACCAATAAATGGATATTTATATCTTGCACTTATGCCACATTGAGAGTACCAGTAAAGATCACAAAGTAGACAGGGCATCTTCCAGGGCCAGACAGGGCAACCTTCCACTCCATTCAATGATTGAAAGTAATCCACACTTTCCTTCCAGCCCCTTCATCTCCTCTTATCCATAACAACCACCGTATACTGTTTTTTTTTTAAATTATCCTTAACAACCATAGAGAACCAACCTCTCCTCCAGCATACTCCCACCATCCATGTCTCTCGTAATTCCCAGGCCCAAAGCCTTCCCCAAGCAAAACCCGGCATCAACATGCAAAAATGCCTATTTCTTCGTCCTCGGGTTGTGAACCGCTGGGGGATGCAGAAGTACCTATACCGACAAAGTATAAGTGGGTTGCGGCGACCTCTTCTTTCGAAAGAAGAACGGAAATGCTCATTACGTTTCTTCTGCTTTTCGTCTACTTGGTTCTGGCCGCCGATGTGTTTACAGAACGGTTCCTACTAGATTGCATGGGAGAAAAGGCTGGTTCCTATTTCTTTGATGTCTTGCCTGATAGCTCGTTGAATGTGTACCCCAGAGAAGTACGACCATTTGAAAAAGATGGAGCAGATGCTTTATTGTACCTTTGCTGGGAATCTATCCATAATAACAAGATTGGGGTGAGTATAGGCGGGCATCCAGACTTTGAGTTGGAGTCAACTTCACCTTCAGACTTGGACTCTGAAGGGTACGATTCGAGAAGCTGGGACTTGTTGATGTTTCCCACGGATACTCCACAGAGCACTGCTGGGGGCCGTAGGGCTTCTGAAGGGAGAGGTGTTTTGGAAAGAGCATTCTGGGCACTTCTGGGGTTCCTAGATTGGAAGTGACGAGTATTGGATGGTGCCAGAGGAGGAGGAGTTTTCACTGGTGCTTTGTTGTCAACTAGGGACATGGGGTTTCCAGGAAGCTCTTCTTTGTTGGCGATATAATAGGCATTGGAATATGGTTGGAAAGATGCCAATACCATGCTAGCCTTCTAGTTCCATAAAAGTCCTGACATAAGGCTTCCTTCCATAATAAGCAGCTATGACTCCTTTCCATGCTATTCCAGTTGTCATCGTATGCTCTTTCAACCACGCCTGTTGTATAGATTTATAGCACCATAGAAATAGTCCTCAGTGACGGCTGAGTCAACACCAATCCATCCTTACGACCAATATCCCTTTTTCTCCCTACACTTCCAAAAAAAGCATATCTAATCGCCCAGCGGGCTCTATTTAGTTTTCTCTAGACTGTGGGGGCCACGGAAAATGGACTCCTCGTAGTTATCAGGATCAATGTCTTTATAATCCGGAAGATGGCGTGGGAGGTTTTCAGGCAGCAATTCTGAGTACTCCTTCCTGATAAGCTTGATCAATGCATCGTAAAACACCTCGTACGCCTTGGCAGTGTAATGAATACCGTCGTGCAAGAACTCACTCAAATCAGGCTTGCCCAGCAAAAGCTCCTCGGAAGACCAGCCTCCGCTTTTCTGAAACAAGTACCACAAATCAAGGAATGGCAATTTGTGTGCCAACGCTACCTCCCGTGCAGCGTCAGCGTACTCTCTGGTAGCCTTGGAGCTGGAAAACGCCTGTGAAAGTGGTCTACCCTTCTTTTCGAAGCTGTCAAACGCCAATGGCTGGTCGTGCAAGCCAGGACCGACAATTATAATCTTAATATCCTTCTTTTCAGCCAATTGCACCATAGCTTCCAAGTTCAGCTTATACTCGTCAATAGGCACACCTTGGAACGTAGTAGCAGCATCGTTCGTCCCAAGAAAGATATACAAAAGCTTGATATCGCCAGGACCACTCAGCTCGGTCTCCAAAACCTCCTTGAAAATAGGAAGCGCCCATCTGGTGTTATAACCAGAAAAGCCCCGTTTGACAATGTCTAGCTTCCTGGTATAGTCGTCTTGCAACTTGGCAGCTAGCGAGAAGCCCTGCTGGGTATGAGAATACTCTGTGATGGAGTCGCCAAAAAGGAGGAATTTGTCGAATCTGAGTACCATTGGGGGCGGTCAACCGGGAAAAAACGTGTGGCTGTGAGTTATGTGTATTATATGTGTAGATGTGGAGCCAAATAGGGAGGAGCGAAAAATACTGCCTGGAAGTGACAATAGTGGGTTTTGGGGGAGGAACGCAAAACAGCAACAAACAGTGGTGGGGAGAGGGGGAGGATGGTTTGGGATAAGTAGGGACAGGGATGATAGGATTGGGGTCTTTTTTTTATTTTTTGGATGTTTTTGGGGTTTTGGTGGTGGGTCTTATGGAGGGAGTCTGGGCTAATATGGCGGAATGGGTGCAAATAGCCAATAATGATAACCCATATGGTTTAGGGTGAGTGGATTTGTTTATGCCGGTGCACCGAGGGTGGAAGGAAGGTGGGTGAGGTTTTGGGTGGAAATTGGTGACGAGGGGGTTTGGGGAGGGTTAGGTAAGTGATGGATGGTAGGGTTGGGCTTGGTTTTGGTGTTTGTAGATGTCAGGCTATTTCCACGGGGATTGCCCTGTTTTTGGGTGATCTGGTTGATGGTAAGGTTGTTTGCTGGCAATTGCTGCAAATTGCTGGAAATTGCTGGAAATTGCTGGCAAGTAGGGTATTTATGACTCTCTGAAGGTCTCTGGTGAGCTGACAAGCAGAGCATGCCACCAGAAGATACAATTAAACGATGTATGTCTAGAGAGATACACTGGAACCACTTGTTTACCAAGAAAACACCAACAAATTCCGGAATATCTTGATGAAAGAAATCGGACGCTTTCGTAGCGTGTAGTAGGTGATTTCCTTTAGACGTAAATTAGCACTTAGAGGCAAGGTAGCTTCCTTGAGTTAACCAACCGTGTCACGAATGAAAACATCACACCCAGACAATCCACTAAACAGTAATTGACACTGGATCACTGCAAAAGGAATTGAATGAGCTGCCATAGTCTCAAGCGTACCCTGAAGACGCGTGGTAGCACCTTAATTGTTTAAACCGCCTTGATAAACATATTGCAGTGGCAACTTCCAGAACCATAACTCTTATCATCTCCACCCATTCAACCAAAAATCACGTCTTCTTTATCACGTCTTCTTTATCGCGTCTTCTTCTTCAATACCACCCATCATTACTTCCCCTTGCGGGACTGTTCAAGTAGCTGGTCTAGTTCAGCTTCAATATCAAGAACCTCACCTTCAGGCTCCACGTCATCCCCACCCTGTTTCTTCTTCTTCGCCTCTTCCTTAGCGTACTTCTTCTTCAGCTTCTTGGCCCTATTCTGCTTCACCCCAGCCTTCCTCTTAGCCACAGCTGCCAACCGACAGTTCTCTGGATCCTCCATCTCTTCAAGCTTCATGGCCAAGATCTCCCTGGCCCTCTTCCTATTCTTCTCCTGCGACCTCGAGTACTGACAAGTGACAACTTTGCCTGTGGGTAGATGGGTCAACTGGACCTTGGAGTTGGTCTTGTTGATCTTCTGACCGCCTGGTCCTCTTCCGCCCTTGATGAACTCTTCATTGAGTTCGTCCTCTTTTATAAGCCACATGGGCCTAGGCGGCATTTTATACTTATTAGGAGCTCCATGAACGATGCTGGTGGTGAATGCTCTTAGTGTCAGTAGTCGAAACATGTAGTTTATAGTGCGCAGAGCAGAGGTGAAGAGATGAGGTGGGGTGGAGAAAGGTGGGGCACCAGGCGATGAGGTGGAGGGACCCCAGGGGTTGGGAAACGGTTAAAGGGGGTGGATTTTGGGGGTTTGATGTTTGTAGTGGGTTTTCTTAGGTGTGTAAGAGTCTGTGGAGGTTGGTGTGTGGAAGTGGTGGTGGGACTGATGGTGAGGCTGATAAGGTAGTGAGTGAACGGTACTAAGATACACAAAGAGGGGGGGTGTGGTTGCAGGGGAAGTAAGTTTATGGTGGAACTGGTTACTTTTGGGTGCTGGGAATCTGGTTTCTGGTTTGGAGGATGACAGGTTTGGACAGTTGGTGTTGGTGGGTTAGTACTAGTATATGGATATTTCACTAGGCCACCTCAAGTACACTAACCAAGAACAGCATTGGATTTGGTGGTGGTCCGATAAACTCTGGTATCTACTCAAATCTCCTACAACCATAAGGTATAGTTAGGCCTTCTGGAATTGAGCATGTAGTTCAGGCCTAGCATGGCACATCCATCAAAGTGGGTATTTTGCAGCCATATGAATACCCCCTTTGCAAATCAGAACACTCGTTTCCTATCACCTATCATCAATTATAGAGCCCTAGCTACCTTAGTAACCCCTTTTTGCTCCCTTTTCACAGATTATTGCATTACAGTATCACCACTTCTTCTACATCCATACAGTGAGCACCACCCCATAATACCCTCCACCAATCCACCTCCACAGCTTCCAACCCCCCAATACAACCATCCAATGTCACCTTTCCACCCCTACTCCACCAATCCACCAATCCACCAAACAACCCACACACAAGGAACCACCCCATGACTCATCCATTCCTCCACATCTCCATCTCACCTACACATACCAGTCAGACCAGTCAGACAACCTACCTCAATTACCAAACCCACAAACCCAAAAGACCACCAGCAAACCGTTCAATCCCTATAACTAAGGGCCCCCAGTACCTCCCCCGGCCTCCACAGCAACTTACATCCAAACATTGCCTTTGCGTCACTTCACCACGCCATATCCACCGCCCCAGACCCTGGCTGCGAAAACCCGCTAAGGACAATACCAAAGGAGACAATAACACATACATTCAGCACACAAGTCGACGTCTAGTAATATGTATTTCCATTTCACTGAGAATGAAATTTCCACTATGTAAATCCTCTAAGCAGCTCCTCCACTTTCGCCTTCCCAGGACGTGGCTTCTCTGGGCCTTATCCTTACCAGATCTGGTAATTCAGCAGATACCAGTGGGTCGTGGGCCCCAAGCAATTCCAGGCAACCCAGCCAGACCAAAACTAAAAACCCGCTAAACCAACCAAAAACAAACAATCCAAAGAAAAGTGACTTTTCTTTTTTCCGTTTTCCATCTTTTTCACTCCCACCGTTGGATTCTGTGGGGTTGCCTGTTCTTCCTCGGCGGCTTCTCGACAGTTGCTGCCAAGCCGCTTAGCCACATGCTCGAGACGTTCATTTCGAGACGTTCATGAAATGAACGTCGAGGAATGAAAGCTGGTTTTGGTGGTTTACTTTACATTTACTGTTTTCGTCTTTTCGTCTTTTCTCTGTTTCTCTTCCTTTCCTCTGCTTCTTCTCTCCCTCTTCCCCCTCCTCTTCCTTCTCCCAGCCAATTTGCACCCACTGGTCTGAGACATGTCTCACCAGACCAAATAACCAATTCCTAAAAACATCTACTATGAAAAAGTTATTTTTCTATTTTTTTTTTCACCTAATTTTAGCCCTCCGTGTTTTTTTCCTCTATCATTGCTGTTTGTCTGCCTGCTAAACTCTATCTATATAGTCACCTGTCGTTCCTTCGCACAGGCTTTCCAACTACCTACTACTTGTTCTTCTTCCAAAATGGCCAAGCAATACACAATTGTCATCAAATTGGGTACCTCGTCGCTTGTGGACGAGGTGACCAGAGAACCTCGGATCGCCAATCTTTCCAACATCGTCGAAACCGTGGTCAAGCTAAGAAGAGCAGGCCACCGGATCGTCGTGGTGCTGAGTGGTGCCATTGCCTTTGGCATGAAGAGAGTGAACACCCAGGAGAGACCCAAGCAGTTGGCTGCGTTCCAGGCTTTGGCGTCTGTGGGCCAGGGCAGGCTTATTGGGCTTTTTGACGACTTGTTCAGACAGTTGAACCAGCCTATAGCCCAGATCTTGCTTACCCGAAATGACATCATCGACTTTGCCCAGTACAGAAACGCTACGAATACGCTTAATGAGCTTTTGGCCATGGACGTGATTCCAATTGTCAACGAGAACGATACTTTGAGTGTGGCTGAGATCAAGTTTGGCGATAACGATACGCTTTCTGCCATTACTGCTGGTATGATTCACGCCGACTATCTTTTCTTGATGACTGACGTGGAGTGCTTGTATAGCGACAATCCAAGGTCGAATCCAGACGCGGAGCCCATCGTTGTGGTGGACAAGATTGACGATATCGCCGTTTCCACTGAGGAAGAAACTGGCGGCAGCAAGGTCGGCACTGGCGGCATGACCACCAAGCTTATTGCCGCTGAATTGGCTACCAACGTCGGAGTCACCACCATCATCACCTTGTCTACGCAACCCCATTGTATTTTGGACATTGTGCTGAATATCCAGGACACCGACGAGAGCTGGACTCCGGCGCAGCAGGCCAAATTTGTCGAGCAGGAAATCGACAATGGCAACATTCCCTTGCACACGCGGTTCTTGGGTCTTCCTCGTGATCAGCAGATCCGGTCCGATAGACGTTTCTGGCTCTTGCACGGTCTCAAGACCAAGGGTACCATCTATATCGACCGTGGCTGCTTCCAGGCGCTTACCAGAAAGGACAGAGCTGGTTTGTTACCTGTGGGTGTGGTCAGCGTCGAGGGCAACTTCAATGTCCACGACTGTGTCTCCATTGAGGTCTTGCCTACCAGGGAAAGTGATACCAGCGAGGGTGTCGAAGTGGGCCACTGCAGAGTGAACTACTCGAGTGCTGAAATCGAATTGATCAAGGGCCAGCAGTCTGCTGATATTGAAGGCATTTTGGGCTTTGCTGACTCGGAGTACATTGCCCACAGAGACAACTTGGCTTTCCCACCTTCGCTCCCTACACCAGCAACTGAGTTGCAGGCGTTGAGCTTGGATGAAAGTGACGGTGAAAAGGAGAAGAAGGCTGAACCTGCTTCTCAGCCAGCTGCCTAAGCAGCCTTGGCCAAAGGACCTTTACATTAGATATGACAGTATAGTTATCTCGAGCTCCTACACACCATGTAAGAGGAGGCGTTCGTCGAGAGATGGGGAACTCATCCTTTCAGAATGTGCCCCGGGATCTTCAATTCATATCCTCTATCTTTTTTTGAATCTTACTACACCATTTAGACTGCTACCTCTAGTGGTTGCAAAATACAGTGCACATACACCAACAACACCAACAACACCAACAACACCAACAACACCAAGCAAACCCAAAGAACACCAATAAACACCCCCAATTCAAACCCACATATACCCTCCTCCTTTACCTTCTTCCTTCCTCTCCCTTCTTGACCTCCACTATCTCTTCGTACCCCAGACTACCTCGCACCCTTACACCTATACTAAAGCACCTACGTACTTCTCCAGATCCCAAATCACCATCTCCAAAACCCCCCATGGCTGCTTCTGAAAAGGCCCTACGACCGCTTCCGGGTAACCTTCGCCTTGCACAACTCCCAGTGGAACTACCGTTGAAAAATGACGAGTCCATCTCGACCGTGGCTTCCTACAAGTCAAGTATCTACATTGGCACATCAAAGGGCCAGATCCTCCACCTTCATTGCTTCGAGGATGCCCTGGATTACATGCTCATCTTGCAATTGCAAGTGACAGAGAAAGATGTGAGTGTGACGAAAATCATGCCTTTGCCGGATGTCGAGTTGTGTCTTGTGGTGTGCAACAGAACACTATATGTGTATACGCTTCCTGAGCTTCTGCCATGTCATGTTGGTAAGATCAGGGATGTGAACGATATACTGGAATTGAGCCAGGTGAAGAACCCAAAGACGAAAAATATCCACGATAAGGTCATTGTGTTTACGTCGACCAAGCTACGGGTGGTGCAGTTTATACCGCCAGAGACAGTCAAGCTACTACGAGATATTCCGTATACGGGTGCACTTATGGGTGTGTCATCTGCGGCGGGAACGCTGGCTAATTATAGTAATATCTGTTTGGTGGCTAATGGAGAGAACTACGATGTGGTGGACTTGCAACAGACCAGACGAATCTCTTTGTTTGAGCATAATCCCGAGAAGACACCTCAGATCAGGCCTAATATCTTGCCTTTTGATGCTGAGGGCAAGGAAGAGTACTTGCTTTCGGTGAGAACGAATGAATCGATGTCCATGGCGATGTTTATCAACTCGTTTGGTGACGTTACTAGAGGAACACTTACTTGGATTGATTTGGGGTACCCGACCAACGGCATGGCCGTGGTGTGGCCGTACCTTCTAGGTCTTTTTCACTTTCAAGATACTCTCAGTTTGACATTCAGCTCGCTAGAAACTCTTGAGGTCGTTGAATCTTTCAAGATGGCTGAGGTATTTGAAGATCGTGCATTAGGCGAAATCAAGAATTTGAAAATCCAACGCTTGGCTGAACCGATCTACTATTCGCATCTGGAATTGCTGTCCTGGCTCCAAAAAGTGGATATCGATGCTGCTGGTCAGCGGTACGTCTCGTTGCAGCCTGCCAATGTGGTGCTTCATAACGAGACCTCACTCTTTTACATGTACCAGGAAAGCTCCACATCGATGAAGCTTCAAAACCTTCTTGAGGGGTTGAAAGATAAAGAAACTGACTGGGAAAGTCAGCTTGAGGCGCTTAAAGATGAGGCTGGTGTTCTTCGACTTCTACATATCATCCTTCTACTTGTCACTTCCAAGTTCGATCTCTTCAATGAGGCTTCCAAGGTCGACTTTGACCCCAGAATATTTATCTATCTCATTGAAGATCTCGATAAGGAGGTTTATGAAGGTTTATTGTTGGAGAAGGCTGTCTGGACTGTCCTTGATCACTTTCGAGTCTTGGAAGTTCCAGGCGACTTCAAGGACGCTTTCATCAAATCTACGTTTGAGAACAGTACTGTTGATTCGAAGCTCTTTGGCGCCTTAAGGGTTTTAATTTATCGCAATTTGACAGATCTTAAACTGACGTTCGACATGATCGATTCTGAGGCTGAGATTTGGGTTTCTGGCCATGCTTCCAACTCGACAATTCTTCAGGGCTTTGATGACAAGGGCTGGCACCTTGTCAAGATTCACCTACAGCTTTTACAGCAAGAAAAAGAAAAGGACCCCTCTGTGGTAGACAGTACCGCCAACGAAATCACAAACATTGCATTCAAATTGCTCGATAAACGGGTAGAAGAGGAAGGGGTCTCTATTTCAGACGAAGGCATTGCGACGAAGGATAACGTCTCTCTTGACTTAGTCGACATTATCTTAACCCAACTCAAGGAGAAGTTCGAAGACAGCGAATTATACAACAAGAAGCTTCTTGAATTGCTCAAGTTGCATCCTCAGAGGGGGCTTACGTTCCTTGAGTCTAACAAAAATGGAAAACACAAGGCCACTCACAGGCATATTCTTGAAGAATACTCCAAGCTTCATGATCTCGACGCTGGATTTTCCTCATTGAAGTTGGAGTTCATCGAGCAGTCATTATTTGAGCACATTAAAGAAAAGAAGGAGATTGACCTTAAGCTGGTGAGAGAACTTGTTGATGAGCAGCTTGAGTTCCTTCAGCTGCAAAATGAGCTGTTTGAAGAAGAGTACGTGAACTTGGAAATTCTATTTGCATCCTTCAAACTCGAAAACGATCTTGCCGAGGGCCATTCGGCCCGAATCAATTGGATTGACTACTTGGGTATCCATGGCCCCAGAAGTGAGTGTAAAACGTTGGTTTCTATTTACACAACGCTTTACGAGTTGTTTATTTGTTTATGTCTTCACCAGGAAGAGCTTCCGCTGCTTTCGTTTGGAACCAACCAAGCTATGGTCTACCTCAATTCATTATTCCATGAGACTGACAGAGCAAAGCTCTTAGATGAATGCATCAATAATGCTGACCACACCACCGCATACTGGCTAGCTATTCATGAGCAGCCTCCATTTCCTAGGGAGCTTTCATACGTGAAATCCTTAGCACACAGCTTAAAGACTAACTATAAAACACGCCCTGAGGACGACATCAAATCTAGCATGAAGCAGATTCTCGATACATATTTGCAGTTTGAGAAGAAGCTATCTAGACATGAGGGAATGAAGCGTTTAGTGACGGTATTTGGCAAATACTTTAGTCCACCCGAGCTTCTCAAGCTCATGCCCTCAGACTTACCCATTGCATTTCTATACGAATACTTAACGGATATATTGGTGGATGAGGAAGCCAACAGGATAGACTCAGACATGGTAAAGACGTTTGCACGTCTAGATCTGAGACTTACAGGAAAAGTTTACGCCAACTTTCATGCTACTTATAAAAGTTATCTAGAAGAAGATGCGGAGTCAGGAGAGTCCTGAGATATAGATTCGCCTCTTCAAAGTAATCCAAAGAGTACCAAAAGGTAGTCAATGACCATGCCGAACCAGAAGATGTAGCCAGTACGAATGTTACCAGTAAACATGGCCCAGCAGCTCTTAGGGTCATCCAAGTCGACATTCTTGAGCTGTCTAAAGAGTCTTTGGAAACCCCATGCAGCGGAAAGGTAGAAGAATGGACCCATGGAGTTCATGGCACCAGCAGTCAAGAAAGTGGCCACTTGCAAAGCACCCATCAGGTACATGATTGGCTTACTCTTGTCGCCCCAAGCCAAAGCGGTAGACTTGATACCAGCCTTGATGTCGTAAACCTTGTCCTGGTGAGCGTAGACGGTGTCGTAGATCATACACCAGAGGAACTTGGAGATGAACAATGGACCTGCCACCCAAAGATTAAGTGGAGCGCCGATGGCAGGGAAACCAAGCAAACAGCCCCATGCAAAAGTAATGGAAAGCATTGCTTGTGGGTAGTATGTGTACCTCTTGAAAAGAGGGTATGCAGCAACGAAAGGAAGGGAAAGTGCACCCAAGTAGAAGCATTCAAATGGGAGAGACAACAAAACAGCCAAGCCAGCGAAGCACTGAACTGCTAACCAGGCAACAGCCTGAGGTACAGAGACTCTCCCACTTGCAATTGGTCTTTCCATAGTACGAGCGACCTGGTTATCCAAGTCTCTGTCCCAGATATCATTAATGGTGCAACCAGCACCTCTCATGACCAAAGCACCAATAGTGAACAAGCCAATGGTAGTCAAAGTGCTGAGGATTGGAGCAGCTATAGTATAGGCACCCATAGTAATGGCCCAGTAACATGGAGCTAACAAAAGAAGGGTTCCAACGGGTTTCTCCAAACGCATGAGCTCAGCATATGGGATACATTTTTCAGGAAGTTTACCTACCCAGCCAAGGTTAGCCAATCTGGCGAGTCTGGCAGCCTCCAATTCTTCAGGCTTGAACACTTTCTTTGTGACATCCTTTCTTTCCTTGCCGTGGTCGGGATCTTCTGGCGACTGCTTAACACCGTTCGATGGGTCGGTTAAAATCGGCTGTTCTTTAAACGTCTGTCTAAAGAAAGGCGTGGTCTGGAAAGTCCGTCTGGCAAGAGCCACTCGGCTCGACGGAAGGACAGACCGTTTGAGAGCCAACGATATTGGCGAGACCGTAAGTCTGAACATGCTTGAGGAAGAACTAGGTCTATGGTGATAGGTGAAAAACTCGGTTCGCGAATACCAGTAAGACTAGGATGTTGCAGTGGTAGATGACATGCGGTGGGTCAGGAAATGGAAAAGGCCAAAGGAGAGTGGTTTCGGGATCTTCAGGAGTGAATAATTTGTCTGGGGTGTTTCAATTGCTGAGTCTTGTTCTGGGTATGAGGCAGCTGAAGCCACTGTGCGGTGCTCGGAACCGGTATACCCCAGCCGTGCAACAGTCTTAAAGTCATGGAAACAGTACCTCATTAATGATGAGATTCTTCTCTAGAAAACACCCAGCTCTGGTGTCTATCGGCATTGCTATGCCTTGACATGTGGAGCGCCAATGTCACTTCCTCGTCTGGCAGCATCCCTCATTATACCAAGTAAATCACATCGTCTTCCCTCAGCCTCCTCTCTAGCTCAACTCACTAAAAGCTTCATACTCTCCACTAGTACTACCCTGCTCTCTCTGCGCCTGGTGCCTATTCACCAACGTACGTAGGTCCTCCAACGCCTGTTCAGTCCCCACGCCCTCCACAGTCTGTGCTATAAACGTCTGTCGACACATCGGGCACAAACCTCGAGACGAATCTTGCTCTAGCCACTGGTGTATGCAATGGAGGTGGAAGTTATGTGTACATCCTTTGCCTAGCACCAAAGGACAGTCGTCGCCTGGAAACTTACAGTTAGGGCATGTTCCGTCAAAAGGAACACGGCAGATTCCACATAGTTCGTCGCCGCCTTCACTGTGAGCAGCTTTCCAGTGCCACGTCGCCACGCCGTGCCAATTTCGTATGTGTACTTTCATGGTGGTGTGGAAGTGGTGGGTGAGGTTGATGTGATGTGGTTATGGAATGGTTCTGGATGTTCTGGATATTCTGGATAATTTGGGTGGGTTCTCGTCGGGTGGGTTGAACAGCTGTTACTTTGAAGTATTTGGGTTGGGTAAAAATTGGGGGCTTTTCACTGTTTATGGCCGTTGTGGTGGAGGTTATTAGAGATGGGTTTGTTGATCTGGGGTCTGTTGATGTCGCGTATGTTCCTGGTTTTTAAGTATGAGAGGCAGATGGGTGCAAATTGGGAATTCTGTGATGGTTACTGAAAAATCAGGTTTTGGTGGAAGTTGGGAAAGGAGAGTAGTTTTGGGGTATTTTGTGGGTGAATTTTCCCGGAGTCGAGGATTCTGGGCGATTTGGTGGAAATTGGGTGAAAAACTGGTGGTTTCTCTCTTTGCCTTGAATGCACCTATAAATGCCTCAAAGAATACTCAGTTACCATTGGGAAGAAAGAATTGAAAAAAGACCAGAAAACATGAAAAAGAATTAAAAGCGTTTTTAAAGCGAACAGGTACTCATACAATCGTGTTTTCTAGTGTTCTAATTACATGGGTGAACTCTATATAAGGACATCTTAGCTCTATCTCTTCTTGTAGACGAGACCTTTGAAGATATCGAAGGAGTTTCCATCGGGCTGGAGCTCCATCTTTTCGTGTGTGTTGCTGTCTTCTGCAACCAAAAGGCCATAGTCGCTTGTGATGCCACGGATAATGCAATCCTTGACGTTACCGTTACCTTCAGCATCCAACCTTACGTGTTGGTTCAGATGGAACCATCTCTTGTAGTAAAGCGATAAGAATGGTTGCAAGCCAGACCTCTGGAACACATTGTAAAATTGCTCCATGTTGAATACAAGCTTGGCAAGAAGCGTTTCATGCTCAAAAGGTGGGAGCTCAGGCAACCCTTTGGCGGCTCTTAATTCGTTAAGTTTGGCAAGGACACGGTTAAGGGAAGTCGTTGGAGCTTCGTTGGAAACATTAACACCTCCGCCCCAAACAAGGTGAAACTGGCCGTTCAAAAATTGGGAGTTGATAAGCGAACCCGAGATCTTTGCCCACTTCTCGTCATCGCCTTCCACAGTATTACTCACATCGTCTTTATCAGATATGTTCTTGTAGAACTCAGGCTTCAATGCATACATATCGTTAGGCCATTTAAGCTTCAACGGTAAGTCTTCATAGCCGGAGCCTTGGCCCTGGACAAGTGACCCGTAGCCCAAGATCGACTCTATAAGTGCAAGTGCACACAAGTATTGTAAGGTGACAATGATGGAACTGTTGGACTCTCCTTTAGGAAGCTTGAATAAGATAGAGGTTGCCATCACGCCCTTGGGATTGATCCAGACGTTGCCGCCACGTCCTCTTCCGGCGATTTGTGTAGTAGCAGTGAATGTAAGACCATGAGGGAGGTGTTCCAACCAGTTAGGATTCTTATCAAGAAGGGTATTAGTAGAAGTAACCACTTCACCATATGCAAGAAGAGAACCAATCAGTCCAATCAGTTCATTATTTGCTTCGTGTAGACGCTTCAACTGGGCAAAGTACTTTTCCATATTGAAGTATGGCGTTTCAGTATGACTGGGGAAAGCATCTGAAGTAAAGAACTTGATATGCTTTGGAGCTGAAAGAACCTGGTCAAAAGACTGTTCGCCGTCCATTTCCGAGTCTTCAGTAATATCTGAATCCTTTTCATCGTGAAGCACAAAAGTGTCGTTTATATCTTCAAACGTTCTTGGAGCCACAAAGTCCAAATTCTCCTGGAGCGTGCTAAGCAATCCCCTGGCATTACTTGGGTCAAGCAGCGAAGAAAGATAAATCGGCGTCAACCGTGGAATAGACCCTTCAACGTCATCATTAACCTTAAGACCCATTTTCAGAAGACACGCTCTCAAGAAGCGCTTTCTCTCGTAGTCGTTACTTTCAATCTGGGCTCTCACCAGCGCAAAATGCTGATCTGAAGCGTCACCCTTCATAAGCGCCGGCGAGAACTCTGGATGCGTTCCAAAAAGCACAGCACAGCCCTTGCCGACCTTACAGTACACCCCAGCAGCCAAATCCTCATCTTGAAGGTCAGTCTGAGGAGCAGCGTACCGAGCCAAAACCTCCACATTGCGCTGCTTCGAAGCATCCACAAACAACCCACCGCCGTTATAATAAACATCAACATTACCAGGACTCAGCGGCAACGCATCCGTATTCACAGCCATAGTAACAGCCTTACTGCCAGCATGAGACTCATAATCAAACCCCTTATAAACGCAACCCCTAGCAATTCCCGGAAAAAAAGCCAACTCTCTAGGCCCACTTACCTCCATTATCGGGTCCCCTTCCTCGAATTCACACCGTTTGGCACCATAGTACCCTCCAGCACAGAGCCCCAAGTACCTACCACCCTTCCTCACAAACTGGGTGATCTTCAGGTTCCCGTCGCCATTCAATGCATCGCAATACGGCAAATCAGCTCCACCTGGAATCACCAACACCAGCGTTTTATACTGCCAAGGGTCCCCAAGCAACGACTGCTCAGACACCGTCACCACAGCATAATTAGGAGAAAGATGGAGCCTCAAGGACTCCACGGTATGTTTCACCAGTTCAGGCGTGGTGCCGCGTCCCAGGTATACCAACACGTTCATGGTGAGAAATCTGTGGAAAAGTTGTCTGGAGAAAGTGGGAAAACGGCGGGTATTTATACTTCGAAACAGTTTCTCGTTGGGGTGTGAAGATGATTCAAGAGGAGGTGGAAAAAAAAGCCCATCTGCGAGTCATTTGAGTCAAGTGCGAGTCACCTAAAAAGTGTCTGTAATACACTTGAATCATCAGAAGGACATGGAGGATCCACAAACTATAGTGCTAGATCCAACCGGTGGGTTTGTGGTCAAGACGAGGGTGGTTGAGGGTAACGATTCACATGCTTTTTCAACCAAGGTGTTTATCAATGTGTGTCATGACTTACAGGTTCCTAAACCACCAGGGGAGTTTGTTCCAGAAGAGGTGTTTCCGTTGATTGTGAAAAACGAATGGGAGATTCCGCTTATTGTGTCGCCAGAAAGACGGGATAAGGATAAGAAGGGCGTGCCTTCGATCGTCTACGACTGTTGTATCAATACAGAGTGCTTTCTGTGGGTACAGGTGAACAACGACCTAAGGCTTATATTGATTGAATGGTGCATTGAGTCTGTGGAGCTCATGTATGGCATTGTACTTGATAGGACGTATAGCGTGCCGAAGATGCTTAGCAAGGGGGAGCTACTGAGAACGGAGGTTTCTGAAGAGGAGCTTAAGGGCGGAATCCAGAAGAAATTGCAAGAAATCAAGCAGAACGAGGTTCTTGGGCTTCTAGAGGAGTTGGAACCGGAACAGAAGGAGGAGGGCGAATTGCCGGATTTGATGAATATAGAGGGAAAGAAGAGCAGGCCGTTGATTGAAGAGATAGGGCTGATTTCGTTGGACCCGAAGGAGGAAGTCAAGAGGAAACAGGAGGAGAAACCGGCACCAAAGAAAATCGAGGTGGTTGATTCAAAGCCAAGCATGGAGGTGAGCGTTCTGACGAAAACACTCGAAAACGGTGAGTTTCTACTCTCGTTCCATTCACCCCAGCTTTCGCTGGCTGTGGAAACAGAGTTAGCCAATGGAAACTTTTCCCTTATTAATAAAAACCCAGAAGTTAAGCTTGGTAAGGATGATAGACTAGAGATTCCCCTTCCAAAGGGCTTTTCTCCATATAAGGTCTTCTTCAGCACCAAGGACTCTACTTTATACGCTTTCACCAGGAAGTGAGACATCAAAACTCAGCATATTTGTATATAGCATTGAATTAGCATACATTTCATTCTCCATCAAACGCCTGCGTTGATGAAGCTGAAGAACAAACTATTACTATCCTTCAACAAGCTCTGCGGACTACCAAACTCTCTGACCTCTCCATTCTCCAAAGCCAAGATCTTGTCTGAATCCAAGACAGTGTCTGTTCTATGGGCAATAATTAGAACCGTCTTTCCCTTGGTCTTTGTAGCTAGAACTTCTTGAATAAGCTTATCTGTTTCAGAGTCAACTGAGGCAGTTGCTTCATCTAGAACAAGAATCCTGGAATCCTTCAAAAGTGCTCTAGCTAGGCAAAGTAGCTGCTTCTGGCCACCAGAGAAGTTAGTCCCATTATCGTTTACTCTGCTTTGCAAGCCATTTTCAAACAGCTGTATCATATCAATGAGCTTTGCATCTTCTAAGGCTTTCCATATTCTATGAGTAGGGTATTCATTGAAAGGATCAATGTTCTGTCTGATTGTGCCCAGAAACAAACATGGATCTTGAGGAATGATACTGATGCTTTTTCTTAACTCATCAAGGTTTAGTTCCTGGATATCTTTATCGCCAATAAGTATTCTTCCCTCTATAGGGTTCATCATTCTGAAGAGAGCTAGTACTAGGGAACTCTTTCCAGCACCTGTCCTTCCAACAACACCTATCTTTTCACCAGCCTTAATAGAAACGTTTATATTTTTTAGAACAGGTTCTGACTCTTTGTACCCTGCTGAGTAGTTCTCGAAGCGTATGTCACCAGAAGTTGGTAAGCCTTTCTTATCATCCTTAGGCCCCTCTTCAGGAACAAGAGTAGCGTACTCCAAACACCTCTCCACTGCAACTGAGTCCGTAGTCAACCTTGTGAGTCCTCCAAGTATAGCTCTAAACGAACCAGACACTGTAAACGCATAACTCATTACCATTCCCACTGTTCCTCCAGTTACTTCTGCCCTGTTAACCACAAAATATAAAGAACAAAAGAATAAAATGCTGGAAGTGAAGAACAGTAGTCTTATGGAAAGCCACTGCTGCAAACATAAAGTCAAGAGTTGGGTTCTTGATTGAAAATCGTTATCAGCGTATTGAACCTTCTCAAACCAGGTTTCCTGACCGTAAGCTCTGATAGTGCTTGCTCCATCCAATGAAGCTTGAACTAAGGAAAAGAACGGTGCCAGAGCACCAGAACTTAAACGTTTAAACTCCCTTTGTGCTGATATGTAAACAGCTTGGTAGTACCAGAAAGCTAGGACTGTGGTGAACAAAAGGGGAATGGTAACTGGACTGTTATAGGTGATCACCATGACAGTTACAACACTGGAAAGAAAGTCTCGACATACGTTAAAGACCACTGATGGAAGCAGAGTTTCACAGACCTCAAGATCCTCACCGTACCTTGATATGATTCTACCCACTGGAGTAGTATCGAAAAAGGCCATAGACGAACCAACCAAACCAAAAGTCATTTTTCTGAACATATACTGTCCAGCGTCGATTGCTAGTTTTGATATCACAAGCCAGCTGCCTAGGAAACTAACAAGCTCTGTAGCAATACCAAATAAAGCATATCTAGCAGAATACTCAAGACTTGGATTGTCAGACCAGAGCTTGAGCCAGTTCCTGGTACTGGCCAGCAGCATGCTTGACAAGATGGAAAGGGCAATGGAAAGTATGAGAAGTGGCACTGAACAGGATTTGATATAATCAAGGTAGGTACTACTCAGAACTGTTCCTTTCTGTGACCTCTCAACTACCCTTCCAGACAATCTTTCAAGATGTTCTTTGAATGGATCGTAGTCAAACTGGGCTGGAGCAATCACAGAAGTGCTTGCTTTCTGAAGGAGACTATTAGGTTCCTTGGAAGCATTTCCAGACAGTAACCATCCAATACCTGGCCATCTCGATCCACCAGCATGGGCAGTCATCTTCCCTTCCTCTAAAGAGTACACTTTCTTTGCCATACCTAGAATTGAAGTGTTGCTTGTAGCTAGGACCACAGTCTTACCATTTAGAAGTCCCTGGGGAGAAAAGAGCTGTTCAATGAGCTTTCTAGCCACATGGTTATCCACAGCACTTAGAACATCGTCAAGAATTAGTATATCTGCCCCAGAGTATACAGCTCTTGCAAGTGCTACTCTGGCTCTTTGACCGCCAGAAAGAGATGTTCCTTTTTCTCCCACAACCGTGTGTTCTCTATTAGGAAGCCTTTCAATGTCTTCCTGGAGCTGGCAAGCGGAAAGAACTGTTTCAAATGATTCCCTTTGGTAGGCTTGTCCAAATAAAATGTTATCTCTAATTGATCCGTTCACTATCCATGGAGTTTGACTCACATAAGCCACCAGACCGTTTCTGGTAAATTTTTCATTATTGTTGGACAGTTCTAGCTCACCAAGAATGGCCAAGAGTAGAGCTGACTTGCCTGATCCAACTTTGCCAGTGATACAAGCAAGCTCTCCCTTCTTTATATCTAAACTGATATCCTTAAGCGCTATAGTTTCCTCCTTCTGCTTGCCCCAACTGAAAGACATATTGCTTATCTTGATGGCACTATTGGAGTCGTCAGTAACAAAACCACCTTTAATTTCTGGTGCATTCATAAAAGCAGTGATTTCTTTAATTGACAGTCTAGCGTTCCGGAAAGTAGATAAAAGCTGCGGCAGACTGGTTAACTGACTCTGTAGCATCAGAAGTAGCGTTAGCGTTGGGAATATAATATCTGTAGTTGTTTGCCTGGTTGAAAGGCTTCCTTGTAAAGAAAAGGTCACAAATGAAACAACAAATGGAAGGACCAGCCACGAAAGGTTTGAAAGTCGATTCCATGTTTTGAGTCCTCTTTTAGCAGGAATCTCTTCATCTTCTCTTATAAAGAAGAGCTTCCTTATAAATACACTCTCCCAAGCATATAGCTTGATGGCTTTCATGGATGAGAAAAGCTCGTTCACAGCCTGATCTCTTTTAATCTTCAGGGTCCGTAGCTGTTCTAGTTTGGAAGCAGATAGCTCGAAAATGTATGAATTTAAAGTAATGAATACCAGTATGGTAAGTAGACTGCCCAATATTGCCAGTCCTAAGATATTCCATAATGAAACTAAGCATACTAGAAGTTGGGCTGGGATGAGAACTAAACTTGAAAGATTATCAGCAGCAGAACTTACCCTTCTTACATCTGAAGTAAGGAGTGTAAGCATTCTTCCATAGGAGTACTGTTCCTTGGATTGTGGTGATAAGCGTAGGAGTTTCTTATACATCATGGCCTTCAATGAGGATTCTATGGCGATGTTGAGCTCCTTGGATTTATACGCCTCCAATGCTTCCAAGTATGTTGAAACCATTGAATTGAGGTATATTGCAAGGGAAATAGCTATTCCAGAAGATACAGAATAGTCAGTATGGTCAATGAACCGTATTAGTCTTGAAAGAAGGTATGGCTTCACGAAATCCAGCAATTGCTTGAGGAAGCGAGCTAAGAACGATAAATAAGCGTTTGAGTTAAAGGATCTGACAAGAGCAACTGTAAGCAAGTTTGGGTTGATAGAGCTGGAATTACCCACATGTCCTTGTAAAGCTTTAAAGACACTTTCTGTCTTCATCCTGAAAGGGTCTTCCGAGAAGTCTCCATACCTAATTTGTCCATTATTATAGGCATTATAGATGGCAGAATTAAGCCAGGAGAGTGAAACGCTTGAGTAAGCTCTTCTAAGGCTTTTTATTGTAAGGTAGCTGTACTGGCTTAAAGTGTCTAGCGTGATTCTTTGTTTGAGCAAATGGGCCAGTGAAAGAGTGTTTTTAACCCAACTCAGAATATAATTTAGTGCAATTATAAAAGCATTGAAAGCATTAACCGTCGTTAGTAGGGCCACAGAATTGACAAAGTCTGTAAAAAGAGCTAAACCTTCTAAGACACCATGAAAGGTATCCAAAAAAGAACTGGACAGCGCATTGTTAGCATAAAAAGAAGGGCAATTCAGGGACGAAAACAAATAGTAAGGACGGTCAACTAACCTTCTGTACGATCCCTTCGAAGCTTTCGTTCTGTGGACACCCTTATCTAGGAACACCGCCAATCCTGTCAATGTCACCAAACAAAGCAGGACACTCGCTAAGGACTGACCAGTAACATCCAAATTAACATTCATAGGACAAAGATATGAAAATTTGTTTATACTTCATCATACGTGCCAATGGAAGTATATATATCATGAGATGCTTCCCCACTGTACCGCGTCTATATATCCACCGAAAAGCCATACAAATAGTAGAAGGAAGCTTAGTATGGGGAAGCAAGAAGACTTAAATTCTAAAAGAGCTGTGGAAACCGCTGAGTAGCGGTTCCTTCCGTGGCTTTCGTGAGATCTAGGGACCTACTGGCCTGAGCCAATATTGGTTACCATCCATGCCCAATTGCAAGTCAATAAGTCCAGAACCGCCTCAAAACTCTCCTTTGTCTACTTTACCCGGGACCAAAGAAAATAATCAAAACCCTTGGGTAAAACCGGTCCTTGGCTACCCCTGGGGCAAAAATCTCGCACAATTCACGCTAGGCATTAAAGGTGTGGAAAGTTCACTAATAGAAGCTGGATTTTCGGGATTTGCTCGAGGAAATGAGTCAAATTGGATGTTTAGTGTTTTTACGAATATTCACTTTATTTCAGCTACCGTTATTATCCCCTTCCACTCTTCCCCAAACTCCAACGGTCACCAAGGTTTATGCGCTTTGCGTGAGACCTATGCAACCCAGAAGCCACACAAGTATGCAACACCGCCGTTTCTGCCTCTTTTGGTGGAAAGGGAGCTGTTCGGGACGTACTTTGGGGTAAGCAGGGTATTGCTTCTTAAGGCTATTTGACTTCATATCGTGCACTTTCTGTCCTGGTGGTGCCAGTTGGTAACGTAGCTGGGAAGGTACGAGTACTGCCAGAGGGTAAGTTTTGGAAGTTTTTCAAGTGATTAGTGGTATGTATTACTTTTTACAAAAAGGTAACATGTCTATCGAATTGATGCCAATTGAGGTATTCCATTACTCTACTACATACTATGCTGAGCCATGCCAAGCTTAGGGAAGCCCCCAAAGTGGTACTTGATACGATAATTTAGGAAACATATCTTTGTTCTAATTCACAAGAATGGTAGAAAGCTAGGATAATTTTCATAAGCTGAGAACACTGACTGATGAATGGTACAGCTTTATGGCACTCGCTAAAGTCTCTACAAGTGATGTATCCCAAGGACCATGGCATATGTAACAGGTTCAACTACTTTTATTTTGAAAAAAGAGTAGCTCGAAAACAGCCCTCTGTAGATGCTTCTACACTTTACTTTACCCAACTTTTTAGGTCACCATAGTAAAGAACAGATAATCATTCACTCCATCACCATTAGCCTCTTGCACTCCATACCAAAGCCACGATGTTTCCAGTACATCAAGATTCTAAAAGAGAAATCCACAAGCGGCAATTAACAGAATCCAAAATTCGACTCAAACTCACGTCTACTTCACTTTTTCCTATTCCCCAGACTTGTCCAACCCACCCATCCAACTTCTCCAACGGAATTGCCCATTTGCAGCCATTCCGTTGAGCTACATCACCAACACTCCACCCCCCTCCCCCCTCTTATCAAACGCAAGATCTACTCTTCAAACACACTTTATTCCGTTGCATATATTCCGTCAACCTTCTTTTTCCCCTTCCTCTAGTTTCATTGTCAGGTTCCATCGTGAATAACCTGCCAAAACCGGTATGCGCTAAGATAGCGCACTGATAAGAGTGAAAAATTATATATACCCTACAACCCATCGGTGCTGCAAATCAACTAATTTCCATGGATCTGGCGCTTCTAGAGGTCCATCCTCCTTCTTATGGAGCGCTTCCCACGACGGAAAAGTCGTTAAGGCTGGAATCTGGCTTTATCGCTAGATCTCTGGGTCCTTTGATTGTCACGTTTGTGCTTCAGTTCTTGCTAGAAACAACCACCATTTTCGTTTCTGGAAGGTTGGGACCGGACGAGTTGGCTATAGTGTCGCTTGCGTTGTGTTCGCTTAATATCACGGCGTTGGCGTTTTACCAGGGCATGAGTACTTCGTTGGATACGTTCTGCTCACAGGCGTTTGGAGCAGGCAAACCACTAATGGTGGGTGTATACTTCCAGAGATGCTCGTTGATGATGCTTTTGGTGACGGTGTTTCCGTTGATGCCTGTTTTCTGGTACTCAGGTCTGATTTTGAAGTTGCTTGTGCCGTCAGAAACTCTTGCAATGGAGTGTCAGACGTTCTTGAGGATCATGATGTTCGGTACGCCTGGTCTTTTGTTCTTTGAAACGGGGAAACGGTTCTTCCAGGCTCAGCACTTGTTTAATGCGGGCACTTACGCTTTGGCTGTGGCTGTTCCTATCCATTTCGTGCTCAACTGGTTCCTTGTGTTGCACCCAAATACTGGTTTAGGGCTTATGGGAGCTCCTATTGCATTGTCATTATCGTTCTGGATATCCTCTCTCGCTATGCTTGTTTATGCTTTCTTTTCCAACGGCAAGCAGTGTTGGGGCGGTTTTGATATCCAGAAAGCTTCCACCAACTGGGGCCCTATGCTTAAATTGGCCTTGCCTGGTGTGGTTATGGTCGAGGCAGAGTACTTGGCGTTTGAGGTGATGACTATCTTGGCAGCGTCTTTTGGTACTACATCTTTGGCAGCACAATCTATAGGCTCCAATGTGGGTGCTATGGTGTTCCAGATCCCCTTTGCGGTGTCGGTGGCTGTTACCACTCGTATAGGGCACTTTATTGGGATCCCAGATACCAAGGCTGCTGTTTACATTACAAGGATCTCCTTGGGTCTAGCAGCTTGTATGGGATTGTTCAACTTTATTGTGCTTTTCATGGGCAGAACAGCTCTCTCCAGGCTATACTCAGACGATGCAAATGTCATTACTGCCGCTAGCAAAGTCTTGATGTTGGCAGCCACCAACCAGTTCTGCGATTGCATTAATATTGTATCTGCTGGAATCCTTAGAGCTCAAGGAAGACAAAAAGTCGGCTCTTACCTTAATCTTGTATCATACTACATAATAGCCCTTCCTTTGGGTTATGTTCTTGCATTTGTTTTTGACTTAGAGGTCTACGGTCTCTGGATGGGTCTTATATGTGGTGTTTTCGTACTTGCTTGTGGCGAAATCTGGTGTATACTTCGGAGCAACTGGGACCAGATTGTTGTGACTTGCAATAGCAACCACGACTCGTAGTCGAGAACTTTACCTTTGCATTAAACACCGGCTTTGACCAAACTGTGGAATAGACTGTGGGGGTTGTTCAACAAGGCTTCTGGAGTATCAAACTCAACCACTCGTCCATCTTCCAAAGCCAAAATCTTGTCATACTTTAATACGGTGCTGGTTCTATGGGCAATAGTTATCACCGTCTTGTTCCTCGTCTTTTCCCTGAGAACCTCTTGAATGAGTTCATCAGTTTGTGAGTCCACAGAAGCTGTTGCTTCATCCATAAAAAGAAAACTGGAGCTCTTGAGGAGTGCTCTCGCCAAACATAGAAGCTGTTTCTGTCCACCAGAAAGGTTAGAGCCATCTGTACCCACCTTGCTTTCCAAACCACTATCAAGAGCTTCCACTGCTGTTTTCATCTTTGCATCTTCCAAAGCTTGCCAGATCTGATCATCCAGATGTTCACCAAAAGGGTCAAGGTTTTCCCTAATCGAGCCCTGGAATAGAAATGAATCTTGGGGAATAATACCCAAATGGCTTCTAAGATCGTGTAGTTTCAAGCTCTGCGTATTTACACCGCCAATGGTTATTGAACCACCGATAGGCTTTATCATACGGAAGAGTGCAAGCAATAAGGAACTCTTTCCGGCTCCTGTTCGTCCAACAACACCCACCTTCTCTCCAGCTTTAATAGAAAGGCTTACTTCTTTGAGAACTGGCTCAGAATCATTTTCGTAAGTAGCTGAATAGTTCTCGAAAACGATCGATCCGTTGGAGGACCAATCTGATGAAGTGCTAGTTAAGGTAGTACTCAGTTCCTCAGTTACAATCTTGGAATACTCCAAGCACCTTTCAACAGCAATAAAGTCTGTGTCAATGCCAGTAGAAGAACTCACAAGCGACTTTAGTGTCATGGTTATACTGAAAGCATACCCCATTGCAAAACCAACAGTTCCACCAGTTACTCCATTTACACCACTCATCAAGACGAAGTATACGGAAATAAGTAGCACAATCACAGCTACCAAAGCCTGAAGCCTTGCAATAAGCCATCTTCCAGCTGCATACGATAAGTAGTCTGCCTGAAGCTCGAAGTTCATATTGGCATGCAATATCTTGGTAAACCGGTCTTCTTGTTTGTATGCTCTTATGGAATCAAGCCCAAGAGCTGTTTCTTGGTAGTGGGAGAGAATTGGAGCTGAGGAAGCCGAAGTGAACCTGCCAAACTCTCTCAGACTGGCAAGGTACCTTGCTTGAGCATACTTATAAGGAATAACAGCCACTGCTAGAACAGGGAAAAGAGCTGGCGAGCTGTATACCAACACTATAGCTGTAACTGCCGCTTCCAGAGAGTTGGTAATAAACCGTAGTATCTTAACAGGAAGAACACCTTCGATTTTATCGATATCTATGGTATACCTGGCTGTGATTCTGCCCAAAGGCGTTTTATCGAAAAACACCATAGGTGAGTTAACCAAACCAGAGGTCATGTTCTCGAATAAACTCTTTCCGCTGCCCAAACCAATTTTTGTTTTGATAAACCAGCCTCTGGCAAATTTAACCAATTCACCAGAAGAGCCGATTAAAGCGTAGCCAAGAACGTAGTAGAGCACTGCCTTGTTCTCTCCCAGTGGTGCTTTATGAGACCATAAGTCTAGCCAGAGTTTCGTTCCAACCGAGAACAACTCTGTCAAAATGGATAAAACAGCTAGAAATACGACAAATGGTACAGAACATGCTTTTGCATACCCAATGTAGACTTCTCTCAGGATACCACCTTTTGATGTCTTTTCGACAGGTAGTTCTGACCGTTTGGTAAGTTGGGTCTTTAGAGGATCAAGCGTAAACTCAGCAAGTTTGCTATCAAATACGAAGCTTCTGAAATTAGAACCAGTATCTGTTGGTGGAATATCACTGTGGGTACTGAAGTATGCCTTGAGTTTCTGTAAACGACCTGGAGCCTCAACCACATCCTTATAACTTGCCTTTTCAACCAAACGGCCATCTTCAATTAAATAAACCCGATCTGAATGAGCCAAAACTGTCGAGTTGTTTGTAGCTAGTAACACTGTTCTGCCAGCCAAAATGCCCTTTTTGCTGAACACTTCCCTGACAAGACTACTACCCACATGGTTATCCACAGCGCTTAAAACATCATCAATAATAAGGACTTCAGCTCCTGAGTATACTGCTCGTGCTAAAGCAATCCGTGCTTTTTGGCCTCCAGAAAGAGAGAGGCCTTTTTCACCAACCAATGTAAGGTCTTTCTGGGTAAGCTTTTCTATATCGACGCTGAGCTGACAAGCTATAACCACCTTATTGAAAGCCTCTGTATTATACTCATGTCCAAAAAGTATGTTCTCTCGGAGTGTTGTGTTGGTGATCCAAGGCGTCTGACTGACATAGGCCACCAGTCCATTTACTGTTATTGGTCCTTTGCCAGCTGACACATAGAGGTCACCAAGAATAGCAGATAGAAGAGCCGACTTGCCTGCCCCGACTGTTCCCACAAGCGATATAAATTCTCCCTTTTTCACTTCTAAATGGATATCGTGGAGAGCTTGTTTTGTCTTTTCCTGGTTGTCTGGGGCTGTCCAGGAAAATGATAGACCAGGGACCTTTACTGCAATGTCAGGCTGGGAAGGATCCTCCAGAACAATATCAGCAATCTCTTCAGCTTGAAGAAACTCAGAAACCTTTCCTAGTGCTAGTCTGGCATTCTGGGTGAATGTGATATGCTGTGGAATATTCAATATCAAGCTTGGCAACATCTGGAGTAGATGAATGGCAGTAAACATGATATCAGAAGTCAATGCCTTTTTGGAAACAAGACTATACCATGCTAGAATGACAAACGACGCTAAGAACGTCAGAAATGGTGAAATAAAGTTCATAATAGAATTCCATGTTCTGATCCCAGTTACAGCAGGTATCTCTTGGTCGTTTCTGATTTTGAAGAGCTTTTTCACCATAAAATCCTCCCATGCATAAAGTTTTATAAGCTTCATCGAAGAGAATAAGTCAATGACGGCCTGACCTCGTTTATCCTTCACAGCCCTACTCTTCTTCATGTAGACTGTGATACAGCTGATAACATAAGTATTCAAAGGAATGGAAATGGTCAAAATGATAAGTCCTCCAACAGTAGACCATCCCACAAGCCCACGTAAGAGAAGTAGGCAGCTGAGAAGCCGAAATGGGGTTGCAAGGATAGAATTGAGGTTAGACGAAGCTTTCCTTATGGCAGCCATGTCTGAATACACAAGGTTATGGATTTTCCCCTGGGGATACTTTTCCCTGGCCAGTCTAGAAAGCTTTAGGGTCTTTCTATAGATGACTGACCGTAATGACGTGCAAACGGCATTAGAGAACCTAGTTGACGCAGAACTTGACCAAGTGGTAAACTCGGTCATTGCAAGAATGGAAATAAAGAGCTCCAAGGCAATAATAAGACCAGGCTTCGTGTCTGGCTCGGCTCCAACATACCTCCTGTCAATGAATCTAATGAGGTTTTTGAGAAGGTAAGGCTTGACAAACTCTGAAGCACGAAAAAGAAAGTGAAAAGCAACAGCCCGGGCTGCCAAAGGGTAGAAAGCCTTTGCAAGGGCAGTAACCAAAGCTTTTTTGAAAAGTCTGGCTTTGCACCTAGCTGCTTTTGAAACTCGGTATCGTAATTTGCTTTCTGGGAAATGGCGTCCTCAGGCAAGTCTTCAAGCCTGACAAAACCGTTCTTGTAGATACTTTCAATTGCCGGATTGAGCCATGAAAACGATATATTGGAGTAGACAGACGAAGCGGTCTCGAAGGCGGAAGTGAAGGATCTATGTCGACTCAAGAGGACTATCTCGAGCACTCCTAGAGTGATTTGACCCAGCAGTAGTAGAATCTTTGGCAAAATAGGAATTGGATACTTCAAGGTCTCAATGGCCTCAAAAGACCAATAAAAACCAAGCAACACATGGGACTTTCTAGTTATGGAGCTTTCAACCAACTGGTGTGGAAAGATTGCAGCCAGGCTAACAAAGACCGGTATAAGTTTAGCCTGACGTTCAGTAGAGCCCAAGTGTCCTAGATATGCCGTTATCAATCCAAACAACACAACTCTAAAAACATAAATTGGATTGCCTTTTTGTATACCATTAGTATGAAGGGTATTCCTGTAAACCACTAGAAAGCCTAGCGTAAGGGCAGCTGTGAGGTATCTTAACGGATTTTCCAACGATTTACCAAACAAGCTGTATTTAGTGGCCTCATAAGACATGAATTGAGAGGAAATAAAAGGGTAGTTTGTCTTTTGGATGGATATCTTGGGATTGTTATCTTCAGAGCCGTGCGGCTCTTTTGACGTCTTTTTAAGCGAATAAAACTGCAGATCGGTCTGCTTATCGCCAGGTGACGTGCTTTGACAGGAAGTGTTAAGAATTTGGATTTGGATGGTTAATTTTTTGGCTCTTTTTCTCTTAGTAGGTTAATTGGGATGTATAGGAACGACTTTTCACTTCAAAAGCCAATGTTGGAAGAGTCAGTTGGTGTATCTTCAGTGAGTACTTAGCAGTGGGGACTCACAGAGAAGTACAACCTACAACCAGGGATCCAAACCTCAGAAGGGCCAACCGACCTTGGAAGTTCACCCATTTCTTAGAGCTATCTACTTTGAAGAAACAATATTGCAGTTGCAAGAACCTTTAGGGTAGTACTTATTCCAAAAGCTACCTTGAGCTTGGCAGCGTCTTTTGACAGGATGTCTTTTTGCTATAGTTTTTCGTTAACTGTGTCAAACTCCCAAAGAGCTGACCCCTATTTAATTAACGTGTGGCTTCAGGGGAAGGAATATCCACGGACCACAGCTTTTTTCTTTGACGTCAATGTTTGTCCATTATGCATAATCGCATCGGTATCTGTGATATTTGAAGCATATCTTTTGCACCCATTGTGTTTCGGTACTTCTGTAGTGATATCTGCCGAAGTATCAATTCCTTCATATTTTGGTAGTATGAACTTTTTCTGCTTGTTTTTCTTATCTATAGTTCATTATACTTGCAATCCTTATCTACTGTGGTGCGTTAGGGAGCACCTGTCAAGAAGTTACACAAAACCGGCAACTCGATTCCATTTGAAATTTCATGTTTTAGCCTCCAAGCTCTAGATTCGTCTGAAGGAACCAAATCATGAAAAAGTCAGATCAACCCAGGTTCAGTAGTATAGCTCAAGCCACAGTAGCCAGTTACGCTTATGCGTTTCCATGCAAAAGCCACAGCGATCGTAAACTGATAACAACCAGGGAGTTTCCGGTATGGCGTCGGAATTGAGCTATTTCTTCCCGTGGCCCCTGAATGTGTCTTGCAAATGTAGCAAACAAAGGGTAGTGGAAATGGTATAAAAGGAGGCAGTAGGACACCTTCAGAAAAGCATACCTCCAATGAAGATCAACAGAGTATTATCCCTTACAGTATTTGCACTTTACGCTAGTGCCCTTGTCACCAAACAAGTTCCTGGCAATGGCAACAGGCTTGCCAGAAGAGAAGATGATGCAGGGTACGATGGAGATGTTGAGGATAATGGTGTAGAGCTTGAGCGTGTCGCTGCTGGTGGAGTTTCGAAGAAGAGAATTCCAAGTGGCTACGAAGGTGACAATGAAGATAACGATGAGCTTTTGGCTGCAGCATAGAGTTACTAGATATAAGAGTAATACATCAAGCGTTTGAAGAATTGTAGAAATCTACTATATAGTGGAAACAACTTTTACATTGGAATGCTGTACCTTCTATCATTCACGTCTTGGCCTCGATCAAACGGTAGAACAAGCTGCTGGGATCCTTCAACAAGATACCTGGAGCATCAAACTCCACCACTTTTCCATCCTCCAAAGCCAAGATCTTATCTGAGTCTAAAACCGTATCTGTTCTATGGGCAATGGTAATGACAGTCTTGTTGCTTGCCTTCTTCTTGATTACTTCTTGGACAAGCTGGTCAGTCTTAGAGTCAACTGAAGCCGTAGCTTCATCTAAGATAAGTACCTTAGAATCCTTTAAAAGAGCTCTGGCCAAACAAAGTAGCTGCTTCTGTCCACCTGAGAAGTTAGAACCACCTTCGCTGACCTTGCTTGACAAACCATCTTCAAGACCCTCCACTGTTTCCTTAAGGTTTGAATCTTCCAAAACCTCCCAAATTCTTTCATCCAGGTACTCTTTAAGAGGATCAAGATTCTCCCTTACTGTTCCCAGAAAGAGGTAGGAGTCTTGTGGAATGATACTCAAACTGCGTCTGAGGTCTAAGAGCCTCCGTGTTCCAATATCGATTTTGTCGATGGCGATATCACCTTCGATTATTTTTAACATCCTGAAAAGTGCAAGTATCAAAGAGCTTTTTCCAGCTCCTGTTCTTCCCACCACGCCTATCTTCTCGCCTGGTTTGAACGAAAGAGAGATGTTTTGAAGCACAGGCTCAGAAACCAGGTCATAAGTGGCCGAGTAGTTGTTGAAGGTTACTTCTCCATTGGAAAGCCAATCTTTGCTGGGTTCAACCCCATTAATTGCCTCTTCTTCAGGTTCCAAGTTGACATACTCCAAACACCTTTCCACTGGAACGAGTTCTCCATCTAACGATCCAAACGCTCCAGTGATTCCTCTCAATGAGTCAATGATACCAACAGCGTAGCTCAAAGCAAAACCCGCCGTACCCCCAGAAACAAGCCCAGGTCCACTGCTAAACACAAAGTATAAAGAGGTGAATAGGGCAATGGTGGAGGTCAAGAATTGGAGTCTGATCAAAAGCCATCGTGCAACAAAAAAGCCAAAAGTGGCCACTCTTATTTCAAAATCGTTATCAGCATAGATGATTTTAGTAAACCGTTCTGTTTGTCCGTATGCTCTGATGGTTTCAGCTCCTTCTAAGCTTTCCTGGAGAAGCGAGATAAGTGGAGACCCTGTTACACCACTAAGACGTCTATACTCTCTGTTTGCAACAAGATATATAGACTGGTAATGCCAGAGGATCAACGAAAGAATGAGCAAAACAGGTACCACAGCAGGCGAAGCATACACGAGTGCTGCTATTGAAAGCGTTGCAGCAGACAAGTTGGTAAGTAAAGTGAATATACTCTTTGGAAGAACAGTTTCAATCCTAGCGATATCAGTGGAGTACTTGGAAAGAATACGACCTCTGGGCGTTTTATCGAAAAACCTAATTGAAGTTCCCACAAGTCCCTTTGTCATATTCACAAAGATATTCTTTGCAGCATCGAACCCTACCACAACAAGAAGAAGCCAGCTTCTGAGGCCAAGAATCAACTCGAACGAGAAACCGAGTAAAGCGTAGCCAGTAATATAATGCCAGGTTTTATCCTGCTCTTGGCTGTCATCCTCTGCCCATTTCTTAAGCCACAAGTCTGTACCAATACGAAGACCACTGGTTACCACTGAAAGTATCACTACCAACGATACTGGCACAACAGAACAAGCTTTCAAGTAGCCGATATAAACACTTTTCAGGACTCTTCCTTTGGACGTTTGTTCAGTGATTTTGCCTTTGTAAGTCAGGAAATGCCGTTCAAGAGGGTTGTAGTCAAATACGGCAGTAGGCACTTTGGAAATTGGCTTTAGGGTGGGTATAACCTTTCCTTCGACTTCAGGTTCATCGGTAGCTAAAAGCTCTTGAAGTTTGGATCCCTGGTTCGCTTTACCTTCCTTGTAGCTGGCCTGCTCAACGATCTGTCCATCCTCTAGGTAACTTATACTGCTGGAATGGCTCAACACCTGGACATTGTTGGTTGCAAAGATAATAGTCTTCCCTGAAAGCACTCCACCTGCTACAAACACTTCCTGAATAAGTTTCTTACCCACATGGTTATCAACAGCGCTTAGTACATCGTCAATGATATAGATATCAGCACCTGAGTAAAGTGCCCTAGCAAGTGAAACCCTGGCTTTTTGGCCCCCAGATAAGGATACGCCCTTTTCACCTACCAAAGTGTAATCCTTCTCTGGAAACTTATCTATATCACTCTTAAGCTGAGAAGCTTCAAGAATGGTATTGTAGGTATCTTCCTGGAACTCGTTGCCAAAGAGAATATTGTCTCTAAGGGTACCATTTAATATCCAAGGTGTTTGACTGACATAAGCTACCAGGCCATTGACCACTACCAGATCAGCAGTGCTTTGTGTTTCAAGTTCACCTAGGATAGCCCCAAGAAGAGCACTTTTGCCTGACCCTACTCTGCCCACCAAAGTCACAAACTCGCCTTTCTTGACTGAAAAGTTGATATTGCTTAAAGCAGTGCTTTTGGCTTCCTCCAGTTTTGACCACACAAAAGAACCTTTGACTTCCACAGCGTTGTCTGAGTCATTAGATGTAACTCTCCCTTCAAGCTCAGAAGTAGCCAAAAAGCTAGCTACCTTCTCAAGCGATATGTTTGCTCCCAGTACAACCGACAGCAATTGTGGAATTTTTGTAACAGGCACAGCAAGTATCTTGAGCAAGGCAAGGGTTGGAAAGATGATTTCTGCAGTCAACTGCTTCTTGCTGAACCAAGTGTAGACGGTAAGAGTGGTAAAAGAAACCAAAAACGGTTGCAACAGCCAAAAGAAGTTGGCAAGTCTGTTGTAACTGAGACGAGACCGGTTAGCAGGAATTTCTTCGTTCTCCTTCAAATCTATGACCTTCTTCATCAACACATTCTCCCAGGTGTATAACTTAAGAAGCTTCATAGACGAGTAAAGGTCAGCAATGGCCTCGCCCAGTCTGTCTCTCAGTTCTCGGTATATCTTCATACGCCTTGTAATTATTTTAAGTACATAGGCATTTAAAGGAATAAAAAGACCCAAAATGACAAAGTTACCTAACAGGGCACTTCCCACAAGACTCCATAAAGAGAACAAGCAAAGTAGAAGCTGGGCAGGAGAAGTGACGAGCTCTCCGGCCCTACGAGCAGCAACGGCTATTTTGTCGGCGTCTCCACTAATAAGCTGTATGATTTTACCTGTCAGGTATGTTTCTCTGGACTGGCGGGATAAGCGTTGGGACTTTTTGTAGATTATGGACTCTAGGGCAGCACAGACTCTGGAATGGAGGTCAGTGATCTCGAAGGCCTCGAAAAAGGCAACTTCGGTTGCAATTAATGTATCAATATAGATAGCAAATGCTATGCCAATACCATATTTCAAACTAGGTTCTTGACTTTGGTACCGCTGGTCAATGAAGTAGATGAGCTTCTTTAGCAAGTATGGCCTTGAGAGCTCTAGCAAGTACCGAGTCACTTGAAAAGCGTATGATTTTATTAAGCTTGGGTAAAAAGATACCCATAAAGCTTTAAGTAGGAGGTTTCTGTCCACTGGACCTTTCAAGTTCTTCTCGAATATAAGAGCAGCTGCTTCTGAATCGAAGGTGTACTCTTCTTCAGGTAGATCTTCTCTTTGGAATGTTCCGTGCTTGTATGCGCTTTTAAGGGCCTTGCTCAAGACTGAGAGGGTAGCTCTATCAAAGAACGACTTTAAGCCTCGACGACTTGTTTCCTGGGAAACTGGAGGATCTCTTGATATAGATATAAGGACCACCAAGACCAGTTGAGCAATAAAGTTGACTTTCGCATCCAATGGCCTTCTTTCGACGTTGCCAATCAACGACTCAACCACCCAGGCAGTAGAAAGCAAGAACTTTGCAATTGGTGAAGTATACTTTCCAAGAGGAACAGCTACCAATGCCACTGCTGCCAATTGAGGGATCAATTCCACCCTCGTCTCTGCCACAGCTCTGTATCCATAAAATACAACACCTAAAGCAACCAAAATCAGTTTCTGAATGCCCTGGGGTCCCCTAATCTTCAGACTTTCAAAGCCAAACGGGTTCTTATCCTTGAAGATACCAGTCAAGCCAGCAAAGGCCACAGCGAGCCGTAAAAGGTGCCAAAAAAGCCTTTCGTTGCCGAGAGAAGTGAACTCAGCCAGCATGACTTTCGGTTTATTTGCTTAAAACTGACAGTTCCTGGATCATACTGACAGATATACTTGACAGATAACATAACAATAAAGGTATGTGCGGCTGCGTAAGAAGGTGCATTGACGAAAGCAGCCACAACGCGGTTCCTTATCTGCTAATTGGTCCAAATTGTATTTGTGAGATAATGTGGGATTAAAGTGGTTATAAGAGATGATAGTGGTAATTTAGCTATATAGATTTTGGCTTGGTGGGGCCAATTAGTCTACTGATAGAGGTTATAAGCTTAATGTACAGAAGACCAAGACGCCCATTACTTCTTATCTTCCGACCCTACTTGGCAACTAAAACTCGACCTTTATCTTCCAGAAGACCAGAAACACCACTTTTGGTTGTGGCAGTTGATTGAACCAATCCCCTACATCTTTCCAGCACTATTATAGGTGGAGCCACAGTAAGGTATGATTGCCGCCTATGTCTACTAAGCCGTCACAAGCCGTCACAAGCCGTCACAAGCCGTTCCTGCCAAGGTAAACCCACACGTCACAATACCTTAGGGTCTTTTGGCCCATGTAAATGCCACGGCTTAAGTGTGGCTTCCAGTGCACCTTACTATAAGCAATGCGTAACCCACAGCGTCCTGGTTGGTTCTCGGCAGTTTTGAACCACTTTTGTTGATTGTGGCTGCCTGATGTGGCTTTTATCTTCATACTTCTAGTACTGTGGAAACTATAACTTATCCCCTGAGTTTCGGCACCGCTCGAAACCGATTTAAGCTAGGCTGCAGCATCCCTCTCTTCCACAGTTAAAGGTCTCTTGGGTATAAAGCCGGGAACCAGACCACCCAAACTGCCCCAGCTCATCCATTCAAATCCCAATGAAGTTCAACACCGTCTTAGCTATCTTATCTCTTGCTGTGTTTGCCAGCGCCGTTCCAGTCCACAAGGCTCCAGTTCCTGGTGACCCATACGACGGTGATGTTGAAGATAACGACGTTTTGGCGTTGAAGCAGAAGACCACCGAGTAAAGCGCCAGGGAGTGTTTTATAATGGAAATAGCTCAATTGATCAGTATACCTTTAGTGAGTGTAGACTTGTAGAGTGTGTACCATGGCGACTACCCATTGGCTGTGCTTTGTAGGGGGGATTTAAGCCTTTTCTACGCTTTGAAGCACTTATACTGGAATCCATATTAACAGATCTGTTTCTCTTTATCTAGTTCAGTTCATAGCTTGTCTCGACTAATGCGTAGTGACATAGGGTGAAGTGAAGGGACTAAGTGAGTACATAAGCGAACAAGTCAGTTGACATCAAAATTGGTAAATGCTAATGATAGGCACCAAAATCAAAGAGCTTAGTGAATTCTTTAAAAAAGATCATCTCCTCTTGTAGACTGGTAAGTACCTCTTCTCGTCATCCAGTGAGGCAGATATGGTACACACTCACACTCTCTTGAACCTGAAATTCACAACTGACCATCCAATACCTTAAAACTAGCTGAATATTTCAATAAACTCATCTAAAAAATTCCACTGACATTTCTTAGGCTTCTTTTTGGTATACTTTCCAGCTATGGTCCTGCGCTACCTCACCAAGTCCACCCATTTGTCCAAAATGACCACACAAACGTCCAAAAGCACACAATCCAGCAAACCCACCCATATCCCCACATAACCAAACTCCCTACCTTCACCTCCCCATATCATAGCCTGGGGAGGGAAATGGCTGCAAAATGGACCCCATAGTGGGCCTCTCTTGTATACAGTCCCGGCCATCTTTTTAGCGATGAGGAAGACCTACTTCCAGAAACCAAAGAACCTCCAGCCACAAACATGCCCCGGAAGAGATTCGATAAGAAAAACGCCCAGACGTTTTCGGTCGTCCACAGGTCCCACGAGGATGCTCTTTATTTCGACAACGACGCCTCCAAGCACGTGCTTATCCCTGCTGCCCAAAGAGCCCAGGCTGCTTCAGGAACACTCAGCCAGTTGAAGGCCAGAAAGGCTGGAAAGCAGACCTATAGCACTCAGGAGCTTGAGAGCACGCTAGGGAAAGAGGCCATGAATGCCATGAGAGCCAACGAAGGTTTGGCGGCTCAGTATGGTATCTTCTTTGATGACTCCAACTACGATTACATGCAACATCTTAGGCCTATTGGAGGTGGAGGCGGCGATAGTGTGTTCATTGAGGCGAAGAAACCCAAGGAGGAATCCAAAAAGTCGATTGAATCGCTTATCAAGGATGTGCTTCCTTCGGAACAGACGAGAAAGGTGGCTTTCGACGATGAGGAGAACATTCCTGCTGAACTTCTAGGTTTCAACCCTGAAATGGACCCTAGACTTCGAGAAGTCATGGAGGCGCTTGAAGATGAAGCCTACGTAGCTGAAGCTGGCGAAGGTGAAGTGGAAGATGCTGATTTCCTTGACTTGTTGCAGTCTGGAGAGGTAGACGACGAAGAAGACTTCTACGATGACTACGAGGGCGACGACTGGGATTTGGACAACTACCAAGACGAATTTGACGATGAAGCTTACGACCTGGAGCATCTTGAAGAGCTCGATATTCCGTATAATGAAGGTGAGGCGCCAGAAGAGGTTATTGAGGCTGCGGTTCCAGCCGTCAGCAACGCCTGGGAAAGAGATTTCATGAAGTTTAAGAAGGAGACAAAGAATGCTGTTAATGAGTGGGATTCGGATAATGAGTTTGAAGATGAAGAGGAAGACGATGTGGTTGGTGAACTTCCCCTGATAAATACAGCTGCTACAGGTAAGAAGAAGCTGAAGAACAAGTTGAGAAAGAAGATGGGCGCCATGACAGATACGTCGTCGTTTTCGATGTCCTCTTCGGCGCTTTTCAGAACCGAAGGTTTGACGCTTCTTGACGACAGATACGAACAGTTGAACAAGAAGTTTGAAGAAGAAGATCCATACATGAAAGAACAAGAAGATTTCGACATGAGCAAAGAGAGACCTGACTTTGAAGACATGCTTGACGATTTCTTGGACAACTACGAGTTGGACCGTGGTGGAAGAAAACTCGTCAAGAAGGACCGGGAGCACGAGTCCATCAAGGCTGCTGCCGATGCAGCTTCCAAGAGTAAGCTCGCGGCAAGAAGAAAGAAGGAGAAAGACAGCAACGGCTCCGCTTTGGATAAGCTTGGAGGCAGTTTTGGGAAAATGAAGATATAGACAATGGCATAAACGTACACGGAAGGAGATGTAGGGAGCAATGGGTGAAGAGGGTGAAAGGGGTCCAGAAAATGCGGAAGCTACAAGAGGAGGAAGGAAGAAAGGAAATAAGGCTTGTTTCAAGGTTTTACTGGGAATGTAGGCCGTAAGGCACTAAACTAGTACTGGTACCGTTCATGACAGGACGAAAGACAGGGCCAAAGTGGATATATTTAGGCCCACTAAGTATATTAGAGGCTAATTTAGTTCCCCAGTGCTTCGCCAGCTTGAAGAAATACAGCCACAATCAGCTACAGCTGCTAACTGGTTACCATACAAAGACATGATAGCCTTACATCTATGGAAGTAAGGTGGCCTTGAAACACTCCAGTAACACATAATACCGTAAAAAAAAAGCAGTCCCTCAAACCTCCAATCATTTTGGATATTCCTAAATCCATGCCCTGTAAGTAACCCATAGCTCTTCTCTATACTATGTACTATAGACTCTACCCAATTACCACCAACCAACCACCCAATCACTAACCAACCATCCAACCACCCATTCCAATTTTTTTTATCCCAAACCATTCCATTCAAATCACTCCCTTCTTTCGATTTCTCCCACCATTTACCATCCCTTCCCCCCAAACCTTCCCTCCCTTCTTCCTCTTCCATCCACCTCCAGCAAGCCAATCACGTCCACCAGACAGTCCAGAAACACAAAATACCAGCCTCCTTCGTCAACCACCAAAATCACCAAAACCCAAACCACAAACCCCAAAAACAGCCCCCACCAAAATCTTCCAACCACCATACCTCCCTCGTCCAAACCTTCCACCTCTGCCCAGCACAAGTGCCCTGTTCTGCAACCACCATGCCATTCTGAGACATACAGTAAGTGCATCAAGCTTTTCGCAGCCAATTGGTCCCGTCCAGGGCCGCCTTTGTTTGAGCAATAATGTCAGGTAAAAAGCTGATTTTTCTTTGAATACGCCTTACTGGCAACACCTAAGTGTCTTTTTCACTTTCCCTTCCTTTTCCAAACTGCCTTCTCTCTGCCTTGGAGGACCCTTGGTGCGTTTTGCAGCCACACCAATAGACCCACCGCCATCTCCACAACCAACATAGTCGTAAAACCCAAAACCACCCAGAATTCACATATCCACCCAAACTTCCTTCAAAACACCTTCCCACACCTCCTACCCCCTGGAGACCTCCCTTCGGGGTTCCATAGATGGGGTCGTGCGCGGGCCAAGAATCCTCCCTCGCTTATGCCCTTTTCCAAACCCCCCAAAATATAATAAACACCTTATCCTCCAAACCAACCTTCCCAGAGTCTCCTGTTTTGGGTGCTTACTAAATCCCCCAAAACCATATTTCCTCGCCCTGCAAGCCGTGTGACCCCACACTGTTTCCAAAAATATCACGCCGGCTTCTTCGTGTCTACGCCCGCTACCTAGTCTGGTGCCTTCTAGCCTTATTCCTAGTAAGCTACTTGTGGAACCGCCCAGCTGCCAAAACGAAAACCATGTCTGTGCTGTCTGTGTCGCGTGTGTACACGGACGCGTTGGCCACCAAGCCCCAGGCGTTCTGGGACTACGAGAGTACCAACGTTAAATGGAACTCCCAGGAGAAGTATGAGGTGGTGAAACGCCTTGGAAGAGGCAAGTACTCCGAGGTGTTTCTCGGTGTTGACATCACCTCGGGCGATAAGCTTGTGATCAAGGTGTTGAAACCTGTGAAGAGAAAGAAGATCAAGCGAGAGATCCTGATCCTCAAGAACTTGGTGGGCGGGCCCAACATCATCAACTTCTTGGATATGGTGAGGGAGCCCCAGCTGAAGACCCCTGCGCTTGTGTTTGAGTATGTGGACAACACCGACTTCCGTACTTTGTACCCAACATTCACTGATTACGACAATCGCTACTATATGTTTGAGCTTTTGCGTGCGTTGGACTACTGCCACTCCATGGGCATAATACATAGGGATGTGAAGCCCCAGAACGTCATGATCGACCATGGCGCCAAGGAATTGCGTCTTATTGATTGGGGTTTGGCTGAATACTACCATCCAGGTACCGAGTATAATGTTAGAGTGGCTTCCAGGTACTTCAAGGGCCCCGAGTTGCTCGTCGACTTCAGGTTGTACGACTATTCCCTCGACATGTGGTCCTACGGATGCATGCTTGCATCTATGGTGTTCAAGAAGGACCCATTTTTCCACGGTAAGTCCAACACCGACCAGTTGGTCCAGATTGTTCGTGTCCTCGGCTCAGACGACCTCCACAGTTACCTCCAGAAGTACAACTTGACGCTCAGCGAAGAGTATGAAGATTTGGGCTACTACAACCGTCGTCCATGGAAGCGTTTCATCAACGAGAACAACCAGCACTTGGTAAGCGAGGAGTTCCTAGATTTCATCGATAAGCTCTTGCGTTACGACCACCAGGAGCGTCTCACGGCAAAGGAGGCCATGGACCACCCATGGTTCGATCCTGTTCGTCACTAAGTGTGAAAAGAGCCAGCTCTGCCTTGAGCTAGTCCTGAATCTCTCGGCCTGACTGTCCCTGCTACTACTCAGATTCTGCATTGTCCAATGCCTTTGTGCGTCAATGTCACACGAGCATAAGACTTCTGCCAACGTCCCAATTGCAGAATCCAAACTACCTCCTTGCTATCCCCCGGCTACGGCCATGAAACGGCACCGACCCCTCGGGCCCTATCTAGAATGTTTACTTAATAGAATTGTAGAAGCACTAGAAGCTTCGGCGCGGCTAGTACAGGTGCAGTCGGGACCATATATAAGGTAGGACCAAATCCACCATCACCAAACTTCCAAGTTCCAACTTTCCACTATTCAACCACCAATCATGTCCAAAGTCTTCTTCGATTTAACCGCCAACGGCGCTCCAAAAGGTAGAGTCGTTTTCCAGCTTTTCGACGATGTCGTTCCCAAAACAGCCGAAAATTTCAGAGCCTTGGCCACTGGCGAAAAAGGTGTTTCCCAGCTGGGCCATAAACTCACCTACAAAGGCTCTGGCTTCCACCGTGTCATCAAAAACTTCATGTGTCAAGGTGGTGACTTCACCAATGGCGACGGTACGGGTGGAGAGTCCATCTACGGCGAGAAGTTCGAGGACGAGAACTTCCAGTTGCAGCACGACAGGCCATTCCTTCTTTCCATGGCCAACGCTGGTCCAGGCACCAACGGGTCTCAATTCTTCATCACCACCACTCCTACGCCACACTTGAACGGTAAGCACGTTGTGTTTGGTGAGGTTATTCAGGGTAAGTCTATAGTGAGACAGTTGGAGAGATGTGAGAAGGGCGAGAACGATAAGCCTAAGGAGGACTGGGTCATTGCTGACAGTGGCGAGCTTCCTAAGGATTATGTTCCTGAAAAGCAGGTGGTTGCTGACGACGGCACTGGCGATGTGTATGAGGCTGTGTTGGCTGACGACGATAAGGTCGATGTGAACAAGCCAGAGACTGTGTTTGAGGCAGTGAAGTTTTTGAAGGATTTGGGTACTAAGTTGCTTAAGGAGGGCCGTGTCGATAAGGCTTACGCTAAGTATATCAAGGGCACAGAGTACCTCTCTGACTTCTTCCCTGAGGATATGAGCCAGGAGCAGATCGACGAGAAGAACAGCTTGAACGTGTCGTTGTTCCTTAATGCATCTTTGGCTGCTATCAAGGACAGGAAGGGTAAAGACGCCGTCAAGGCTGCTGAGCAGGCATTGCAGTTTGAGGGTATCACCGATGCACTTCTGGCCAAGGCCTGGTACAGAAAGGGCCAGGGCTACCTTTTGGCGAAGGATGAAGATAACGCCCAGGATGCATTCAACGCTGCGCTCCACTTGTCTCCCGGCGATGCTGCCATTTTGAAGGGTTTGGAAGACGTGAAGGAATTGGCTCGTGTGAGAAAGGAGAAGCAGAAGAAGGCTATGTCGAAGTTCTTTGCCTAAAAGAACCCCCAAGCCACGTGTAGAAGCCGGCTTCCATGGTGCCGATCGAAGCCTACGGAACATCCCACGAAAACGTCATTATATCCTAAGGCGATAACGCTGTTGAGCCCCTTTTCGGGTGCCCCCTCAGCTGCAACTGCCATTGGCCTTCTATAGATTCACCGAAAGCGGTCATGCACTGGAAATAAACTAAAAAGTTAAAAAGACAAAGAGTCTAGGGCTGGGAAACTCTAAATCTCCATTCGGTATCGGTATCTCGGCGGTATCACCAAATCGGGCCACATCCCCGGCCAGTGCTTCCTTGCAAGCTATCAACTACTTAAACACGTTTTTTGTGCCCTTTACCATTCTCACCATCCAGAAAACTAATCTATCGTTAGAATCATGGTTTTAGCTATTGTCACCGGTGCAGCCAAAGGTATTGGGCGTTCTGCAGCTCTCCAATTGAGCCAGGACGGTTTCGAAGTCGCTGTAATCGACCTTCCAGATAAAGAAAAAGAGGCCCAAAGCGTTGTGGCCGAGATCAAGAAGGCTGGCGGCAACGCTGCTTTCTATACTGCTGATGTGAGCAAGAAAGCTCAGTTCGAGAAGGCTGTTCAAACTGCCATTGCCCAGTTTGGCACTTTGGACGTTCTCGTCAATAACGCCGGTATCAGTATCATGGCGCCTATTGAACTTATCACTGAGGAAGACTTCCTGAACATGTTCAACGTGAACATTATGAGTGTGGTTTATGGTATGCAGATTGCCATTGCTGAGTTCAAGAAGACCAAACATAAGGGTAAGATCATCAATGCTGCTTCTTCGTTATCTCACCAGGGCATGCCTACTGTTGGCGCTTATGCTCTGTCCAAGGCTTGTATCAAGAGCTTGACTCAAACTGCCGCTAAGGAATTTGCCGATTTGGGAATTATGGTCAACTGCTACTGCCCAGGACCTATCAGAACCGACTTGTTCGAAGGTATTGTGGATAGGAGTGTTGAGTTGGGCATTGCTACTGCCCAGGAGGTGGAAGACGTCCAGAGAAACGGTATGCTTTTGAAGAAGTTCGGTACTACCGAGGAAATTGCCGATATCATCTCTTTCTTGGCCAGTCCAAGAAGAAAGTGGATCACTGGCCAGAGCTACACTGCCGACGGTGGATTGAACTTCACTTAAGCGGATAACCATCCACGCTTATCGTAGAATGCGTATATGTTAAGTATGATGACGTTTTGATGAAACACTTGTATTTCGGTTCGAGCCAATAAACGGTGCCTATGGCTTTCCATTGCCGTTTGACGTTTTTGGACCTGCAAAGCCCCTGAACACTTTCTGTGGTCCTATTGTGACGAAACCTGACATGGTGGATGTATGTAAGTTTGGTGATAATGCATCTGGACCCTTGGAGGCCGCTTTGTTTTCGGGATTTTTCCACCGCTGGGCTTTCGGAACGCCCAAACGACGTTTCCGATCCCTTTTTACAGATTTTCTGACTTTCTATACCACTTTACATGATCATCCCACTTTTTGACTTTTAGCAATATACTGGTAAATGGGTGCGAAATATGTAAAACAGTATACTTTACGGAACAACTACAAACCGAGAAAACGTCAAAACGCCTTTAAAAATCAGAAACACGTAGAAAAGTCCCGAAAGTTGTTCCGTTGGGGTTCTTCACGTCTCCCAAGCCTTCCTTACGAAGGTCTGGCGTCTACAGCGTCCGAGAGGCTTAAAAAGGCTTTCTGCAAAAAAGCACTTGTAACCCCACCAGAAAAACAAACAAAGCTACTCAGAGGTATTGGAAGTCTCTGTTTTTCAAAATTTATATGGTCCACGTAGCCCTTGGTCCACGTAGCCCCTGGCACCCCCCTGGTCCAGCAACTCACTTCTACAGGTAAGACACTTGCTTAAGTGGACTCCTCAGCACTTTTTTTACCCACAAAGCAACTCGAACCAGCTATTGCACCTCGAACCAGCTATTGTGCTGCTTGTCAAGGCAGCGTCACTTATTCTCCGAAACACGTCTCTCGTCGACCAACAATCCCCCAAACCCCCAAAGCCATTCTTACAGTGAAGCCTCACGCCTCAGGCTCCATTCCCCATGGGCCAACAAAGGGTCTCCACCCGGACAAAAACCTGAAACATGGCGGTGAAAGTTCCGAAACAGCCGACTTCTTGGCAAGGTTATTTGGAAAAACGCTCGGTTACAACTGGCCGTTATGAGGTCACCGACGCAATGTAACCTATTTCTTCAAGTCAGGTTACAGAGAGACAACCTGAAACTTTCCGTGATTCCCACCGAACTACGCAAACAAAATGTCTCACTTGCAAACTTGCATCACACCGGCTGACGGCAAATGACGCCAGAGGTCTCCACTATTGTCCCTTTAAGGTTTTTATGTGCATCCATGTTCGGGACTCCGTGGGGTCTTATGTAGTACAGTGCACCTGAGACACATTAAGAACCCGAGACAAGAAAAAAACCGGCAGCCAGAAGCACTGAACCGTAGCAAGGAGATCACAAGGAGATCGCAAGGAACTGCGGAGTCGATTTTATTTAGGAGAAGCTACACTTGGAAAGGTGGTGTGACTGGCGGCACTACCTAGACAGCAAGCAGACGGTGCTTCCAACCACAAAAGACCTTAAATTTTTGTGAAAAGGCAACTGTAGGCATCCCGTCCCGATAGGACTTCCCGCATGGCGAAGGCTGAGGGGATGGCCATGCTATTTGCAATGACAAAACTGTAATTTTGTACCCTAGTGTGTCCGGATAAACCATGGCGTATTTTTTCCGCAGGGTCATTTTTGGGCGCCTCGAGCATGTAGTTGCGCGCCCCGCCCTGGGTGCGGTGCATTAGCCTTTCAGGAAAAACCCTGCCCCGGAACAACCCCAAACTGTTGAAAGTGGCCACTACCGGGTGAGACAAAACAAATAATGACCCTCTCATGCCTCGAGGTGGAACAGACCATGCTTGGAACACAAAGGGTTCTCTGTGTGTAGTGGAACATGGAAAAGCGTGCTGCCTAGAACACCTGGTTCTTTTCATTGCTATCTGGTTTGTGATGTAAGCGTGCGGCGGCTTGCGGTTACCGACACCTCTATGTACCGTCCCACAGCGTTATTGGGGCGAAGAAAGACTTGTAGGTGACAGCACCAAGAAACGTTGACAGGTAATCCAAGTAAAAAAAAAGTAGTTTTTCAGGGGACGAAGACGATAAGAGGTGGCGGGGTGCTTGGATGGTGGTGGGGTCGTTGCACGGCTTCAAAAAATACCCCGGTACCTTGTTTCACTATGGGTACATAGCAAGTCTATAGACAGCAACTACAGTTGCGGCGATGCATTATCGATGGGTAATTGTTTCGCTTTCTTTTTTTTTTTTTTTTTTTTTTTCCTTTTGCCTGATTACCATTCCTGTTTATTTTTGACCATTTCTTTTGCATGTCGCTTATTTTCCGTTACTACCAAGTATAAATACTCCATCGCTTGCGCTCCCAGTCCAAAACTCGTGTTATCACTCCCCGAGACTTCTTTTTGCAATCTTGCATTTTATCCAAAACATCTCTTTACCTTCATTAACAAACATCAACAATGGAGAGAGAAATATCCCGTATCAGGACTCACATATCGCGGATTGAGACAAACCGTGCTATGGAGCAACAGGTCCAGTTCGAAAACCACGAAAGCTCGTCTGGCGACAATACCGTTCGTCCTTCGAGTTTGAACGGTTTCGAGAAACCCGGCCAGGAAATGGTCGAGGACACTGGTCCTGTTTCGCTTCCTCAAAGAAGGAAAAAGGTCAAGCTTCCTGGTCTTGTGCTTGAAGACGGTAGACGTCAACTCAGACCCAAGGACTGTTACGACAAGTTGGGTTACAAGTTCCCCTGGTATAGAAAATGGACCATTTTGACGGTTATCTTTGCCGTGCAGATGTCCATGAACTTCAACACATCGGTTTACCCATCGCAAATCACCCAAATCGCCGAAGAGTTTGGTGTCTCAGAACCCAAAGCTAAAGTGTCTCAGATGATGTTTATGATCATGTACGCTTTTGGCTGTGAGTTGTGGGCTCCATGGTCTGAAGAATACGGAAGATGGCCCATCATGCAATCTTCCTTGTTCCTCGTGAACATCTGGCAGATTTTGGGTGGTTTGGCTCCTAACTTTGCATCCATCATTGTGGCCAGATCCTTGGGTGGTCTTTCTTCTGCCGGTGGTTCTGTCACTTTAGGTATGACTGCTGACATGTGGGAGCCTAATGACCAGGGCTTTGCCGTGGCTTATGTGGTGCTTTCTTCTGTGGGTGGTTCCTCCATTGGTCCTATCTTTGGTGGTATCATGGCAGACAACTTGAGCTGGCACTGGAACTTCTGGATCCAGTTGATCTTTGGTGGTGTGGTTCAGATTGCTCATTTCTTCCTTGTTACTGAAACCAGAACGCCAATCTTGATTGACAGAGAGGCCAAGAGAAGAAGAAAGACTGGCGAAGACGACAATATCTGGGGCCCAGGTGAAATCAACGGTAAGCTGTTGACCATCAAGGAGGTGCTCACTATCTGGAGACGTCCATTCGAGATGTTCCTTAGAGAACCTATCGTGTTGTTCCTTTCCTTGCTTTCTGGTTTCTCTGATGCCTTGATTTTCGTCTGTATGGAGTCTTTCCCTCTTGTGTACGAGCAATGGGGCTTTGGCAACACCGCTGCTGGTCTTGCGTTCATTCCTGTCATCATTGGTTACATCATTGCATACGGTATCCATCTTCCAGATGTCTGGCGTCAAAAGTTCTTGATCTACAACGAAGGTGAGGACTCCAGATACGCTGAAAGACGACTCCTTGTCCTTCTTTTCATTGCACCATTGGAGCCTATCGGATTGTTCGGATTCGCCTGGACAAGTATGGGCCCCGGCCACAACCCATGGATAGCGCCCATGATCTTTAGTGCATGCATCGCCATCGCCAATTACAGTATTTATATGTCGACAATCGACTACATGGTGGCTGCTTATGGACCATATTCTGCTTCTGCAACTGGTGGTAACGGTTTTGCTCGTGACTTCCTTGCCGGTGTGGCTATCATGTACGCCACGCCGATGTACCAGAACATTGGAGGAGAGTTGCACTTGCAGTGGGCCTCCACCATTCTTGGATGCATTGCCATTTTGGTGGCCATCCCAATCTATGTGTTTTACTGGAAGGGTCCTGCCATCAGAGCCCGCTCCAAGTTTGCTCAAACCTTGGCTGCCGACAGAAAGGCCAGTAAGCAACACACTGCCACAGAGTGGGAGACCGAGAAGGAAGTCTAAGCAGCAACAGACGCTAATTATTAATAAATCCGATTCGTCCTTTCAGGACCTCGAGAAGGAGGTAAAGCATAGGGTGGAAAATTTTAGAGCTACGTATAGGAATAGAGACAAAGGTATTTTTAATTTTTGTGTGTTAAAGGGGGACCGTGGTTTGAAGCTCTTTTCTGGTCTGGCTTTGTGGCTCGGACATATAACTGATCCATGTAATTTTTAAGGTATTGTTCCAATTAAGCCCGTGGGCATACCAGCAATTTCATAAACGGGGCCACTTCCAACTAAGCTTTAAGGGTATCCGGGAATGTTACTTGGGTTGCTGAAGGTCACTTATGGAGCTTCCCCCACAACCAAATCACCTACCAGCATTAGCGGGAAGCTTATCTGTAGAACAATGATTTGAGGCGGTTTCAGACGGTTAGAAGCCTGCTAGGAACTCGCCTCCAGGGTCCGCCCACTCCACGTACCCCGGACCTGTCAAAAAAAGACCTTGGGGCGGTTTTGGATCACTTGTCAAGATTACAAAGCCCCCTAGTTGCTATATTCTGTACTTCTGCCAATCATCGCCCGTGAGGGTCTTCAAATCAGAGGCATATTACAATCCGCCCTATAGTGGTAGCCCCTGTTGATGCTCAGCTACTTAAATGACAAATATGTATGCGAGCCACCGCCTATTCATCGTACTGTCGAGCCTGAAAAAAATGAAAAATTTAACAACAGCAACTTTCAGGTGAAGAGTGGCGGCGGGACGTAGCTCCGTCTGGGACCGCCTTGGGTAGAATGTGCTGACCAAGGTGGATGTAGATGTATGTTGGGTTGTTCTTACAGACGTTGAGCAAATACGAATAAGGTTTGGAAAAAAAAAGTTTTCTTTTCCAATTCCTTTGGCTACGTTGCGAAAGGCAGAGCCTGCTATCTGGTCTAGGAACGGGAGGGTTGGGAGAAACACATGAAACAGCAGCCAAGATGGTGGAAAGCTTATTTGATGCTTGCTTTGGATGCATCCCGACAAGCAGTTCCACGGAACGAAAGCATTTACAATACAGCGGGTAAGCAGAGCAGATTCCCCGAAATAATAATTAGCTGCCATCGCCATCCGCCCGCATTGTCATCGAAGCTTCCATTGGGTCAACGAAGGACCCTAGGCTTGTATCGAGGAAAACGAAGTCACTACGTTGAAGAAACAAGCAGCTATACATGGCAATATACGAGAGCTCACAACCGATGAAAAAATAAATGAAAAAAATATCAGGCTGTTCACAAGTAATGCACCATTACGTCTGCGTTTCATGAGCTTCGTAGGCTTCGTGGCAGCAACAACGGTTCTGAAACACATCCAGGCCTCCAAGGATAAGGTTGATCCGGTGCATCATCGTTAGAAAGCTTATTTCACCCCCTATAGTTAGCTGGCCAATGCGGGAGACAATCTACCCTGGCAACGTATTCATGCGAGCCAGAGATACATTATGCATCGGTACTTATATTGTTCATTTAAGCGAAAAATATACTGGCGAACAGAGGCCTGGTGGGGGCCGCCCAAACCCCGAAAGTACCCCAGAAACAGTGGTAGTTAAGAAGTAAAACAACAAAACCCACTTTTCTAAGCCCCAAACCCCGTAAATACCACCATGGACCCTATATTGCTCCAGTTGCCGACGAATGGACCCTCCGCATACAAAAAAGTGAAAAATTTTAACCCCCACCACAGCTCCATGTTCATCCATGCACAGCGGTTGGTTACACGGGGAGCAACGACCTCCCTTTCGATCTGAGACGCTCCAAGCCACACACACACACAGACCGTCGAGTGCACGAGCTAGAACAGGAAGGAGGGTTTCTCCAGAGAGACAGAAATCGGTTCTTTCCCACGGCAAAGGCCGAGGAGAAGCTGCAGCAAACGTAGCCAAGGACAACAGCCTCACGAGCAACGGTTACGGGATGGGGGATGAGGGATGAGGCACGAGGGCGATGAGTAATGCCTAGCGGGAGGTGGGAAAAGGGAGGAAAAATGGAAGAAAAAGCATGAACAAGTGGTTACTGAATAGGATCTCTAACGCTTCCCATTTGCTATCTTGGCCAACAATGGGTCTAAAATAGAGTTTTGGTGCATCGCAGGCAACAATGGAAGCTAAAGGTTAATTCATTTAGCCCCGGGAAATGTGTTTCAGACGTAGAAGTTTACTTTCAGTGGGAGTGATAATTCCGAGAGTTGTTGTTACTGGTAGCTCCACCCCCCTTTTCCCAGTTTGTGTCTGCTTGGTAAAGTTTCGCTTCGGCAATGTTCCATGCTTGCAGACATGGTTCCAGAATGTGGGCAAGTACGGTGTCGCCTCAATGCCCTATTTGACATACAGTTCTCTGCACGGGAGAACTGCGTAAGCCTGCTTTCCTGAGTTGCCCTTTTTTTGTGTATCGGGCAGCGTTGACCAAGTCGATTCGCTCGATTTGGTGATGGTGTATCAAAAGCCGAATTTGCACATGAAAGTGGAATGGCAGCCGAACCAGTTACCCGTGTCCGTCTTTGTATCACCACTCTGTTATGTTTTTCCGATTGGTGATTGTGTAATTCATCTTTTGTCCATGCGGCTCATTGGTAGTAGCTACATCCTCGGTTCCGAACCCAACCAAAGCGATGACAAGACTCTTGCTGCAAATAAAACCCATCGTTGCCATTCTTGGCCCGTATCTTAAACCCGATTGATCCTCCACCCCCTAGTGCCTTTCGGGTGCCATGGCACCGTGTGGATCCGTATACGCCGCCCCGGCTCGCCCTGATGCACACACTGTGGTTTTGCAACCATGGCTGTATGTTTACGGTAGGCGACGATGCATGCAAGTTTGAGAGAAGACGGTCATTTGCGGGACAAGTGCATTGCCTGTAATGGTTGCTTGGGGAGTAGGAGGAGTTGTTGATGTATAAACAAACAATGGCCTGAGCAAGGCCAAAGGGCTGTTCTAGACGAGTTCCTGAACACTGGGAAAGTCTAAACCGACCCAATTGGGCCCAAATTAGAAACTAAGCACAATTGACGAGGAGTGAACAATATGGAGATATTACCCCCCTGTGCATATACATCTGCAAGCGATTTCGCCTATTTGTTCGCTGCAGAATTCCAGCTTGCACCTTGCGCCTCCAGCAAAGTTGCATTTTAAGGTTCTCGTCTAACAATACAAGGAGTACAAAAGATAAAAAGAAAGAAAACAAAAAATAAATAAAAATAAAAGTACCCGAAAGTATCACAAAGCGGGCCGCTAGGCGACGTGGTTGCCCAAATGCAATCGGCAGCTCAACGGGCATGCATTGCCCTGGACTTGAAACACTCACCTTGGAAGAAGACGATATAAACCTCGCCATCCCCTCCAATTGTAGACATTCTAACCCAATTAACCCTCGCTAGAATTCCTGGAATGCATCCACTCGCTCTTGTGGTGTGTCTTTCCACCTACGTTTCTGTAGCTCTTGCAGCTGCTCGCTCTGGTATCTTTACCGGCATTGACTCTATCACCGGCCCCTCTGACCGGCGTCCTACCACTCCTAGTTGGCAGGCTACTGTGTCATGGCAGATTACAAGAGGAATGAACTTGAAGGCTGGTGACACTTTCACTTTGCACATGCCTAATGTGTTTAAGTTCACCAGTACTGGAAACACTTTAGCTTTGACCGGTTCCGGAACAACTTTTGCAAACTGTGTTTTGTTTTCTGGTGACAACGTTGTGGGCTTTTCGGAAGTCCAATGTACTGCTACTAAGGCTGTCGAGAATGTTCAGTCTTCTGACGGTAAGATTTCTTTCCCCTTCACTTTCAATGCTGGTTTGTCTTCTGACCCTGTCAACTTGGAGGCTGCTAAAGCATGGCAAGAAGGCACTAACACTGTCACTTGGACCGATGGTGACAAGCAATTGAAGACTACTGTGAACTTTGCTGGTGGTATTAACACTGTCATTGGTTCTGCTGACAATGGTGTCTACAGTTTGAAGAAGCTGATTAACACCAACACTAACCAGCACTACTTCATGGGTCCTCTGTGTGCTTCCAACAACATGTACGGTACTTTGAGTATCACCAACCCATCTTCTGGTGTTCCATTGGACTGTTCTACTCTTGCTGGCTCTATCACTAACCAGGTCAATGCTTGGTACTTCCCAGAGACTGCCCAAAAGGCTGGTGTTTCTATCGATAGCTGTTCTGCTACTGGTGCTACTGTTTCTTTCTCCAACGTTCCTGCTGGCTTCAGACCATACGTTGACGTTGTTGCTGCTATCCCTGCTACTTCTACCTTCAGATCGGCGAACACCTACTCTTTCGACTTGGTTTGTGGTGGTAGACGTCTTACTGGCTCCCGTTCGAACAATTGGGTGATGTATAACGATGGAGACACTGGTTCTGCCGGTACTTTCAAGCCAATTGTTGTTACCACCGTGACAGACGACCAGATCACTACCACTGCAGTTGGTACGGTCACTGGCGCTTCCACCAACACTATCGTTGTCACTGTGCCTATTTCCCAGTCTACTGTCACTGTCACCGGCACTAACTCGGTTCCTACTACCCACACTTCTACTTCCAGTGGTACCAGAATTATTTCTATTGATGTTCCAACGCCAACTACTACCATCACTTCTACTTGGACTGGTACCACCACTGGCGCCACCACTATTCCTGCTACTAGCGGTGGAACCGGTACTGTGATTATTGAAGTTCCAACTCCAACTACCACTATCACCAGAACCTGGACCGGTACTACCACTCAGACTGAAACCATTCCTGCCACTTCTGGAGGAACTGGTACCGTTGTTATCGATGTTCCTACTCCAGTGACCACTGTGACTAGAACATGGACTGGAAGCGTACCTACTACTCTGACTGGCCCTGTTACCTCTGGCGGTACCCAGACTGTGGTTGTTGATATTCCTACTCCTACTACTACAGTCTACTCGACCTGGACTGGAACTGAAACCACTACTCGTACTGTCACTGCTCCACCAGGCGGTACTAACACTGTTGTTGTTGAAGTGCCAACCCCAGTTACTGTTATCACTTCTACTTGGACTGGAACCGAGACTTCTGTGATCACTGAACCTTTCGAGTCTGGAACCCAGACCATCGTTGTCAATGTGCCTACTCCTACTACTACCATCACCAGAACCTGGACTGGCAGTGAATCTACTACTGAGACCATCCCAGCTACCTCTGGCGGTACCGGTACTGTCATCATCGATGTTCCTACTCCTTACACTACTATCACCAGAACCTGGACTGGAACTACCACCCAAACGGAAACCGAACCAGCTCCTTCTGGAGGTACCGGTACTGTGGTCATTGACGTTCCAACTCCAGTCACCACTGTCACTAGAACATGGACTGGCTCTGAGACCACCACAGAAACCATCCCAGCCGAGTCTGGTGGAACCGAGACCGTCATTATTGATGTTCCTACTCCTACCACCACCATTACTTCCACTTACACTGGCGATATCACTGTGACCAACACCATTCCTGCTACTTCTGGCGGAACCGGTACCGTTGTGATTGAGGTTCCTACTCCTACTACTACCATTTACACTACCTGGACTGGTACCGAGACTGTCACTTCTACTATCCCAGCTACTACTGGTGGTACTGGCACTGTGATCATTGAAGTTCCTACTCCTGTTGTTACAATCACCAGAACGTGGACTGGTACTACTTCTCAGACTGAAACCATTCCAGCTGAGACCGGTGGAACTGGTACTGTCATTATTGATGTTCCTACTCCAGTGACTACTATTACTAGAACATGGACTGGTACTGAGACCACCACTGAAACGATTCCAGCTGAATCTGGCGGTACTGAGACTGTGATCATCGACATTCCTACTCCTTATACCACCATTACCAGAACCTGGACTGGTACTACTACTCAGACCGAGACTGAGCCTGCTCCTTCTGGAGGCACTGGAACTGTGGTTATCGATGTCCCAACGCCTGTCACTACTATTACCAGAACCTGGACGGGTACGGAAACCACTACTGAGACTATCCCAGCCGAGTCTGGTGGCACTGAGACGGTTATCATTGACATCCCTACGCCTTACACTACCATCACCAGAACATGGACTGGTTCTGAGTCTACTACCGAGACTATCCCAGCACCTTCGGGCGGTACTGGCACCGTGGTGATTGACGTTCCTACTCCTGTTACTACCATCACTAGAACATGGACTGGCAGTGAAACCACTACTGAGACTATCCCTGCTGAGTCTGGTGGAACCGAGACTGTCGTCATTGATATTCCTACGCCAACCACCACTGTCTTCACTACTTGGACTGGTACTGAGACTTCTACTCGTACTGTGACTGCTCCTCCAGGTGGAACCAACACTGTCATTGTCGAGGTTCCTACTCCTGTCACTGTGATCACTTCTACTTGGACTGGCACTGAGACCTCTATCGTTACTGAGCCATTTGAGTCTGGTACTCAGACTATCGTCATCAACGTGCCTACTCCTACCACCACTGTGACTTCTACTTGGACTGGTACTACTACTCAGACCCAAACTGACCCAGCTGGTTCTGACGGTACTGTGACTGTTGTGATTGATGTTCCTACTCCTTACACTACGCTTACCAGAACTTGGACTGGAACTGAGACAACCACCGAAACCGTTCCAGCTCCTTCTGGCGGCACCGGTACCGTTATCATCGATGTTCCTACTCCAGTGACAACTGTCACCAGAACTTGGACTGGAACCACTACTTCTACTGAGACCATTCCAGCCGAGTCTGGTGGAACAGAGACCGTGATTATTGACATCCCTACTCCTTATACTACCATCACTAGAACCTGGACTGGCTCTGAGTCTACTACTGAGACTGTTCCTGCTCCTTCTGGTGGTACTGGTACTGTTATTATCGATGTTCCATTCACTGCTACTACTATCACTTCTACTTGGACTGGTACTACCACCAGAACCGTCAGCCAGCCACCTTCTGGTTCTGACACTGTGGGTACGGTTATTATCGAGGTTCCAGAGACTTCTACTGAGTATACCACTTTGACTTCTACTTGGACCGGTACTACTACTAGAACTGTTACTGAACCTCCAGCTGGATCCGATATCACTGGCACTGTCGTTATTGAGGTTCCTGAAACGTCTTCTGAGTTTACTACTTTGACTTCCACCTGGACTGGTACTACTACGAGAACTGTGACCAACCCACCTTCTGGTTCTGATGTTACTGGAACTGTGGTTATTGAAGTGCCTGAAACCTCCACCGACTACACCACCTTGACTTCTACCTGGACTGGCGTTACTACCAGAACCGTGACCAACCCTCCAGCTGGATCTGATATCACCGGTACAGTTGTCATTGAAGTTCCAGAGACTTCTAGTGAATTCACTACTTTGACCTCCACTTGGACTGGTGTTACTACTAGAACTGTCACTAACCCTCCATCGGGCTCTGACGTTACTGGTACCGTCGTCATTGAAGTCCCAGAAACCTCTACTGACTACACTACCATTACGTCTACTTGGACAGGCACCACCACCAGAACTGTCACTAACCCACCTGCTGGTTCTGACACTGTGGGCACTGTTGTGATTGAGGTTCCTTCTTCTTACGTTCCTGTCATTCCTCCAACCCAGTCTTGGAACTGGAACTCGTCTTATGTTCCTCCTCCAGTGTCCCTGGATGATTCAGGTTCTACTACTGTTGATGCTTCTACTACTGAGAGTTCTGGTGTTCCAATCAACACTGACGACAGCCTGGTTCCAGGCTCTAGCTTTGCTTCAGAGACTTCTGACTCGAACACTGTTCCTCCACCAGGTCCATCTGAGCCAGTTCAGTCCGACCCTGCTGCTTCTACTGACGTTCCTCCAGGCCCAGGTCCAGAACCTTCTGGTCCAGCTGAATCTACTGACGTTCCACCTGGTCCAGGTCCAGAACCTTCTGGTCCTCAACCTTCTGGTTCTCAACCTTCTGGCCCAGCTGAATCCACTGATGTTCCACCTGGTCCTGGTCCACAACCTTCCGGTCCTGCTGAGTCTACTGATGTTCCTCCAGGCCCAGGTCCACAGCCTTCTGGTCCACAGCCTTCTGGTCCTGAACCTTCTGGTCCGGCTGTAACTGGCTCTGTTCCTGGCCCTGATGCTTCTGAACCTGCTCAGTCCCAGCCTGTTGATACTAACACTGTTCCTTCTGGCCCTGAACCTTCTGGTACAGCTCCAGGTCCAGCTCCAGGTCCAGCTCCAGGCCCAGAGCCATCTGGCCCAACTGACGGTTCTACTGCTACTTCGCTTCCTCCAGCGCCTGTTCCTGAACCTGTTCCTACTGGATCTCCAAGCGTTACTGGTCCTACTGATTCGGTGCCTTCTGGAACCCAGCCTGGCCCTGCTCCTTCTGGTCCTGCTCCTGGTCCAAATGGTCCAAATGGTCCTAACGGTCCAAACGATCCTAATGCTCCAAATGGTCCTAATGATCCAAATGGTCCTAATGGTCCAAACGGTCCTAATGATCCAAACGCTCCAAATGGTCCAAATGGCCCTAACGATCCTAATGGCCCTAACGGCCCAGTTCCTGGTCCTAATGGCCCTAACGGTCCTAACGACGGCCAAGACGGTACTACTTCTTACCCTACTACTGTGGCTGGTCCAAGTACTGCTATTGCTGAGTCCAGCTCGGTGGTTTCTGAAGGCCCATCCGCCCTGGTTGTCTGCTACAAGGGTAACTGTGTTACTGTTACTGCCAGTGACCTGAACACTGTTCCTCCAGGATCTGCTTCCACCTCCAACGTCAATGTCCAAACCCAACCAGGTCCATCCACCGGTATTCCATCTGTGTCCGTGTCTTCATACACTGGCCAGGCTTCCGGACTTAAAATGTCTGGTTTTGTTGCAGTGCTTGTCCCATTGTTCCACATGATGTTCTAGGTGAGCTAAGACTTTCAATTGGATCCTAATATTTCTTCCTTCTTTCGCTCAACTTGGCGTACAGCGCCATGCTGTATTATTCGGTTACCTTTTTATTTGGCATTTTAACTTTAGCATTAAGGCAATGTTCCAGGCCTTGAACCGTCTGGCTTGCTTATTCGGTTTGTATACCCATTTTCTGTAATAGATTTTTATATCACTAAAAACGACTTGTAGAGCTCGGACTTCCATATGTTGTTGTACTTTCGTGAGCCACACATCAACAGTATATGTAATGCAACTACATGTACCACGAATTCCATGACCTTGGCAGCAACGGTACTATTTTTACTTTAGTTCGAATATGTAATGCACCAAAAAGATTTTTCCGACGCAAACTGCTTATACGAGGTTTGACAGCAACGGTTCTTCTGTATACTTGAGCAATGTCCTCAAGACTTCCAAACCCACTTTCCAGGGGCTCTAAACTGTAAACCTAGATAAATCAGCTCATACCGAGACGAAGCACGATTAAGTTTCGCTTACATTATGCCAACAAAAAAAAAAAAAAAAAAAAAAGAACTCCGTAATGGTGCATGCATCAGCCAAGACGAAAACTTTTTTTTTCCGACCGTTATTCCTCGCATGCATCAAATGACACAAAACTCCTTTTGTGGAACTAAAATTGCCAACGGCGAAAAGAAAGACATTTATATCGAGGAACACATCAACCTGAGACTCGAAAGTGCTGGGCCGGGTATATACACCTTTTTTGTAGCAGCATCTAGACGGGACCCTGAATACTGTGCAGAAGAAGACTGTGGCTGCAAATTAGGTTATTTGTTGAGCAGTGTGGCAGGCTAAATGACATGGGTGGATCAGGAGCCCGTCTGAAGAGATCGGCGGCGTACGACGTCATTAGGGGTGCTTTTGGGAGCAACCTTTGGGGGTGGAGGAGTGAAAAGAGACGGTGGTTGCTGGAGCATGATGGGAATAGATGTTGCCCTATGGTTATGGTTTTTTGGGAAAGTGAAAGGTCGGTACGGGCGGTAAAAGGTGGTAGTCAGCCGAGATGGACCAAGAAGTCCCTACCATAGGTCTTCCGAATAGACTGCTCCAAATTAGATGATTTCTCTTTAATGAAGAAAAATAAGCATCTACTTCGGGCCCTTATCTCGTCCAAATCCTCGTATCCCTGATAAGCGAGTGGCTATTGTGAAAAACTGTGGATCCCCAATCAACAATAAACTACCCATTATCAGTTCATATGCGCCCAATTGAACCACAGTCCAAATGCTTTGTCTCTTCTTTTAATGAGAAGGACCACCACTAATTTAACCGAGACACGGTCCCTGAACCCCTGGAAATTTCCACCTTATATAAGGACCATCCATCCTTTGAACAAGCCATAAACCACCATGGTCCAGGAAAAACAGGTCGATATCTCAGTTTCCACAGCTGACGTGGAGAGCCAGAATGAGGCAGTGTTTGGCTCAACCAGAGGAAGAATCACCCATTTGAGAACGGATGGTGATGAAGCTTTGGCGTATATCCAGTCTCATGCTAGTGATATCCCAGAATTGGACGAAAAGACAGACAGAAAGTTGTTAAGGAAGATCGACTTGTACATCCTACCACTTGTCTGTCTTTTGTATGCGGTTCAATACATGGATAAGTTATCTAACTCTTATGCTGCCATTATGGGCCTAAGACAGGATTTGAACATGAAGGGAGACATGTACTCGTGGACAGGTTCAGCCTTTTACCTTGGCTATTTAGTCTTCGAGCTCCCCTTTGCCTACACTTTACAACGGTTCCCCGTGGTCTCGATCGTGTCTTTGTATATTGTCATTTGGGGCATTCTCTTGTGCTTACACGCTACGGCTAATTATCCAGGCTTTATTGCCTTGAGAACGCTTCTTGGAGCCTTTGAGTCTTCGGTAACTCCTGCCTTTGTCATTGTCACCGCCCAATGGTACAAAAAAGAAGAGGTGTTCTTGAGAACGGCCATGTGGTTCTCCTTCAACGGCTTAGGGTTGATCCTTGGCGCAGGCGCCATCTCTTATAATCTCCATGACAACATAGACAGCTACGGAATCGAGGCTTGGAAGCTAATCTTCATTATAACTGGCGTTATTACCATTGTCTTGGGAATAGCGATTTATTTACACATTCCCAACAAACCAACGGAGGCTTGGTTCCTCGACGAGACCGAGAAGAGGCTTGTGGTTGAGCGAATTAGAGCTAACCAACAGGGCTTTGGCAGTAAGCATTTCAAGAAATATCAGCTCATGGAGGCTCTTACAGACGCCAAAATATGGCTTTTCTTTTTTGTTATATTGTCCGCCAACATTCCCAACGGAGGCCTTACCAACTTCGGATCAATTTTGCTTAATGAATCCTTTGGATACAGCGTTGGGCAGTCCCTCAAGATGCAAATGATTCCAGGGGCTGTTGAAGTTGTAGGCTGTATTGGCTTCGCCTACTTGTACCGCTTTTATCCAAACAGAATGTTTTGGGCGTTCTCGACGAACTGCTTCGCCATTCTAGGGCTTTGTTTATTGGCGTTTGCCGAGGATAAACACGCTCAGTTTGCGGGTTATTGTTTGGTGAACTTGGTGCCCCTTGTGATGATTTGTGGGTTGTCTTCTTTTGCTTCCAATGTCACCGGCCATACTAAGAAGGTCATAGGCAACGCTATCTTCTTGATTGGATACTGTGTGGGTAACTTGATAGGCCCACAGACATTCAATGAAAGCCAGGCGCCTTCTTATAGTGGAGCAAAGGTTACTATGGTTGTGTGTAGCTGTGTTTCCCAAGGGTTCTTGCTTCTGATTTGGGTACTCATGTACCGAGAGAACAAGAGAAGAGATGCCCATGCTTCAGAGTATGAAGAGGACGAGAAGTTTGAAAACCACGAGTTTGCTGATTTAACCGACAAGGAGAACCCGTTCTTTAGGTATACTATTTAGGCAATTACACTACACATGGACGTAAAATCAAGCATAGAATTGGTATTAAGCGAATGAAAGGCTAACCTCGAAATAAAAATTAAACCCAAAAACAATTAACTCATCGTAGTATAGCGAGTGAATTATACAATGTCTTCTCAGACACGAAATTAAAGTACTGCGAGGATTGCAAGGGAAAGGAGCCACTTAGGACCGAACAGTGGGACACCAGCACCGGCTTCGTAGGTAGAAACAGCCTGTGGAGCCTCAGTACCAGCAGGAGCACCAGTGGAAACAGTGTTCAAAGTCGAGCCAGCGACTGGGACACCAGCAACGGTCTCACCTGGACCCTCGTTTGTCTCGCCGGCAACGGTCTCACCTGGACCTTCGTTTGGACCACCAGCGACAGTACCAGCTGGGCCTTGGTTAGTCTCACCAGCAACAGTCTCAGCAGGACCCTTTGGCTTACCAGTCTCGGCTGGTGCCTCAGGCTTGGCAGTACCAGCTGGAGCCTCTGGCTTACCTGGCTTACCGGTCTCAGCAGGAGCACCAGGCTTGGTGTGTTCACCTTCCGTTGGAGCTTCGCCAGTTGGCTTACCCTCTGGTGGGCAGATAGAAGTGTAGACAGTGACAGTACCTTCCTTAACAGTCTCGTAGATCACAGCACTGACAGTGGTGTCCTTTCCACCCTTGTCCTTAGTAACGTAGGTGGTGGTTTCAGGGCAGACTTCAGTGACAGTGGTGTGCTTACCTTCAGAGTCAGTGGTCTCGCAAACAACAACAGTCTTGGTGGCGACGTTACCGTTAGAGTCGGTGGTCTCAATAGTAGAAGTAGTAGCTGGTGGGAACAAAGAAGTGGTGGTGGTCAAGTGGCCCTCAGAGTCGGTAGTTACAATGATAACACCGGAGTCTGTCTGGGTCTTGCCATGGTCATCAGTGGTTGGCCAAGTAGAAGTGTATGTTGTGAATGGTGGGCGGTCGGTGGTTGGTTCCTCGTCGGTACTCTCAGCTGGTGGCTTGTTGTCGTCGGTAGAGGTCTCTGGAGCTGGAGAAGACTCAGCTGGGGAGGACTCAGCAGGAGATGACTCGGCTGGAGAAGACTCAGCAGGAGAAGATTCAGCTGGAGAAGATTCAGCAGGAGAAGATTCAGCAGGAGAAGACTCGGCAGGAGAAGACTCGGCTGGCGAAGACTCGGCTGGCGTGGAGCTTTCTGGAGCTGGGGAGGATTCTGGAGCAGAAGAAGACTCTGGGGCAGAAGACTCTGGGGCAGAAGAGCTCTCGTCAGTAGTAGAAGACTCAGGAGCAGAAGAGCTTGGGGCTTCAGACGACAGCGATGGTGGCTCCAGGCTCAGAGCCAGACTCAGCAGGGACTGCTCAGTTGGTGGAGTAGGGAAGTCCTGACACAAGCAGATGTCTGGAACATCACCACTGTAGGCACCGCTGTAAGTGATGGTAGTACCAGTGTTACCTGGGCCGTTGGTAGAGAAGCCAGAGCTCTGGTAACCAGGACCAATGTTGAAAGCAATCTTGAACACACCAAGGAAGAAAGAAAGCTCCAAGACACCGTTGGAGTAGGAGTAATTGGTGAAACCAGTGTTGACACTGATCTCGTTATTGTTACCGAAACCAACAACAGTGTAAGTCTTGGTACCCAAAAGACTTGGCTCCAAGCCAAGAACAGACAAAGCAGAAGAGTCGGTAGAAAGGTAGATGGTCTGTTCCTCGTCAACGTTCCATGGGGAGATCTCGAGTTGGAGGTGACCGTCAGCCATGACGTTAATACAACCGTCACCATCGATGGTAGTGGTCTGAACCCAGTTCAAACGCTCAATACAGATAGTACCGGTGTTTTCAACAGTACCAATAGCCTGGGAGATGGTGATTGGAGAGGCTCTGCCTGTCTCCTGGCGAAGGTAGATCTTTCCAGAGTTAGACCAGTCCAAGGCAGATCCAAGGATGATAGGAGGAACCAAAGAAAAGACTGGGATACCCATCCAGATGTTACCCGAGTTGGAGAAGGTTCCAACGGAGTCCAAGTTGAAGTTGGTCACCACACTAGCCTTCAAAGCGTTGAAAGCAATGTCACCAGTGTTCAAGATAGAACCAGAAGCGACGGTAACCGAAGCAGCCAAACCATTGGTGGAAGTAACAAACCACTGACCCTTGTTGTCCAAGTTACCACCAAGAACAGTAAGAGCGTTGTTGACGATGGAGTAGTAGACACCTTCGTTGATGTTAAGCTCACCAATCTCCAAGTTGACTGGCGAGGTCACCACGGTATCCTCAGTGATTGTCAAGGCCAAAGCCGAGGTGAGGTAGTAAGCTGCAGCGAGCAATACTTGTGCGTTAAAGATTCCCATTATGGATGATGGTTTGAAAAGGCCTTTTCTGGAGGGAAACATCCACCCTTTAAGTACCCAGGGAAACCCTACGAAAAGTGCTCAAACGGGACCCATTCTAGATTATCCAGTTGCCCAGAATGGACCCACATGGCGCCCCCCCACATAAACAGTCGCCCCATTCATTCCCATCAAACAAAAAAGAGGCTTTATCCAGGGTTAGTTAGAATGAAAGAGAAGTAGTAATACCCATGAAAAAGGCTGCAAAATATGCACCTTCTGCATACTGCCATGCACGGCTGATCGGGTCTCTTGTTCTCTGCTTTGGCGTGGTTTACCCAGCATTCAAGTCCCATTTGGCCACACTTTGTCTGGCGCATTATCCAAGCTGTTTCCTAACTTCATTTGCACCAACGAAAGCGGAACCGAGACTCGTGTTTACGCTTCGCTCGCTTTCTTGTAGCACTAGCGGTTGCGCCTATTCCTGCCGCGTATACGCCAAAGTACTAGCCCGCATAGTTACGAGCGGTTAGTTACGCCAAATATGTACATGTCCACGAACCACAAGAATGTGCTAAAAAAGATGCTGGAAAAGAATGCGGCTTGGGCAGGCCCAGAAACGGAGAAAACGCCAACATCCCACGCCTTGTAGCCCTCCAAACCTTAATTTGCCCAGGGGGATGTTCCCATCGATCATCTCACTAAAAGCTGGAGTACCTCCATGGCAAATCCATATACGGCAGCGAAAGTCTCGATCGGCCATCACGGCGTCTTCACGTATTATCATGACTTCCCCATTGGGGCAGAAAGCCCTCCGCTTTAGGAAGAAGCAGTAGTCGAAGTGACACAAAGTGTCTGCGAACAACCAGTGGCTAATCTCATGTAACCGTTTAGCACCTGAACAATTGTGGGGTTGTGTGTGGTGACTGTAGAGATTTGTTCGTCATTCGACGAACGAAGGACTGGCGACAATGAGTGAGACCTGGGGGAGCGCTTCCAACTACAATACAGAGAGTGAGCAGATCTACAGCCCAACAATTGGGAAACCTGAGTATCAGCCAGAACATCGACTGACTCTTTTTTTTTTTCCTATAATGCTGGTAAAGCCTTCTATTTACGTCTGGCGACGGTTGCCGCGGTCCGCTGGTAGCCAAGTGCTCCAGTATGTGGCTTAGGCGCATTTTGCCCAATCTGTTCATTCAGCTTTATGGTGTTTTTGGCTCATTGTACACGGTTTGCGGTCCCAGCTCGTATTCGGCGAAAAGCGCTTTAGAGAGCATTAGTTTGGCGTCTTTACGGTGGTTCTTTGGGTGTGGGTTTAGAACAGACTTTCGCTTGGACTGCTGGTTTGAGGCCTTTGCACTGGATCGAGTTATCACAAGATACGATGCACAACTTGACGTCTAGATCTTTTGACGAGAAAGCTTATCCAGGGTCTGAGGCTCTATTTTTTGGAGCCTAGGAGGCTGGGGGCTGATTATCACGAGATGTCTGGTTTCGGCAAACTCCCCTCTTGTGCGAGTCAAATGGGTACTTTGTTGAAGTCTGGCAACTACTGTAGAAGTAGGATCTACAATGTCTTTTCATTGTGGCTCTCGTGGTGTTTGTTTCGATTGCATGTCAATACGACAGACTAACTATGGGAACACGGATTGCTGGATTTGGGCCACGACCACGTTTGGTACCGATGGGGTAATTGAGCCGATCCATTCACCGAAAGAATGTGACATTCTGGAGGGGTTGGGAAGGTCGCCAAGGGGCAACTTGGGGGCTGCTAGGGTTTCGAAGACTCGCCTGTTTTTAGCGTACCCGCCTTAGACACGCTTTTTTTTTTTTTTTTTCACTTTAACGAACAACGGCGGTTGTTGCACTGGTCGACCAAGACTATAGTCCAGTGTTTAGTAAACACCCCATTCTGGATACTTTTAGTCTGTGGAAATCTCTGGCTGCCCGGTTTTTCATTTGCTACTCACCAACTCCCAGGGTTACATTCCTTTTGGGCTAACACAGCGGAAAGAATTACCGTCAGTGCCAGTACCAGGAGCCCAGACCTCTTTCAGGCAATTATTGCCATATTACTCCATACGGACGCCATCACTGGAGCACCAATGGCCGGTATTTTGCTCGCTACGAGGCTTATATGCCCAGTAAGCCTCGTTAAGTATCACCATCCATCAACTGGACCGCACATACTCTGGAGAAGATCTTCAGGGTGCATCCTCTGTTATTCTTTTGCCTGTCCGTAATCGGTCCACCAGCAAAAGATCAGAACTACAACTGCTTTTGGGAGATCTTCTTTGGTCATCAGCAGAACCACTTTATCCCGTTTCTGGATTTGATGATACTTGCTGGTGCCCCGCTGGCTCAACCAAAAATAGGTACCATCGAGATAATCCTGGTGATCCTCCTGACTCGGTTAAGCTAGGGGTCATTCTCAGGGACCAGGACCCTGAGGAAAAGATTCAGAGGAAGGTTACTTTGGTGGTGAAGTTACTATCTTGCGAATTCCCATGGCTTCTGTGCTTAGCTCAACAAATGGTTATGAATCCATGATATTTGTCAACAATAGTGAAAAACCATCTTGCTTCCTTCAAATACCCTATCTCGGAGTCGAAGAGTCGCTTGCTATAATTAGCAGGAACATCTCTCGAGTTCAGCTTGATAGAATGATATTCCATTCTCCAGGACTGTCAGGGTCCCTTGATAAGCATGCAAGCTGAGTTTGACAATACGGGGCCCAACAACTTCCTTACCCGACTATGCCTTTGGCGGGGAACATGCTTCGAGAGAACGATTACGGTTTCTTATCCTTGACCGTAGCGTCGTATCGATGGCATACGTGAAAACTTGAATACGGTCAAACACAATGCTTCGTGGAAGTCAGCGAATTCCAAGAGATACCAGCTTCTTCATTTTGAAAGGTTGGAACCAACTTGGGTAAATGATTTGCAGGGTCACACCTATCCTTGGAGGACAGAGATCTGATTGTTCTTTCCTAGGGAGATCTATTCTAGAATAGAAGCTTATCTGGAGATTTTCCACCCAGCTAAAGGGATTGAGTTGCTTCTTGCAAGCCAGAATGTCAGATCAAGTAGGGAGTCTACCTGTGGCTCAGCGTCTTCCAGCCATCTCGCTAGAATCAAAAGCCATGCCTCTTCACCTACAATGACGATCAAAAACGAGTGAATTCCTTGGCTTATTTACGTTTTACTACGTTGGTGAAGTGCTGGCCTCGGTGGTGCCCGAATATTCAGAAACAAGTTTACGGATTTCCAAAGTCGTTCAAAGCGTAAACTGGCTGGTCCAGGCTGAAGGTTTACCAAAGTCCATGTATTTTGTAACCTTACACAAAACTAAAGTTGCCCACGTACTGGCCGATCGCCCGGGAAAGAGATGTAAAGCGCCACATTTGTAGTCTTATGTCCGTCTTGATAATACCTTCTAGTATTGTGGAAGTGTGGTTGATCGATGATTAATGGAGCTCGTGAGCCAGCGCTGGCTGTACCATCCCATATAACATTGATATATGTAACCCTTCTCCTTTTTGGAAGCCACAGATATCAGTGAATATTGGAAGATTTTCTAGGAGGATTCCTTATTCGGAGTTGTTTTTAAGTTATGTAGTGATTCTGTAAGAGCGCCATGAGAAACTTCGATGTCAAAAAGCCAACTTCATTGAAGGGTTATCAAAGTTCATGTCAATGCATACCCCCTTTGCTATTTACTATAATTTCACCTTCTTTTGCATTTACTTGATGCCGCTAAGTGTTTTTGTGCTGTCCGTCTCCATGAATCTGGTTGAGATTCGCAAGATCCACATTGGAGTAGAAAGACAGCCAAAATAGCAAGCAAAGCGGGGAAAAAATGGGTCACAGTATTTGTGATACTTAGAGATACATTATGTTGCAATTTGAAGCATTTCCAACGAGAATTGGATTTTTAAGCGGTACTTTGTTTTTACGGTTTATGCTTACTATCTAGAATCGCGTAGTAAATACACAAGTGAGCACCAGTTTTTCGAGTTTTGCCAAAGATTGTAAAAAAGAAAACACAAAAATAAAAAAAGGATGAATAAACGAAAATAGTTAGATTTCAAAAAAATTCCCTAATTTTCAGGGAGCAAGGATGACGGGTGGTGTCGAATAAAAGTTGTGGATCAAGTTGAGCCAGATACTAACCACAAAAGCAAGACAGAAAAAAAAAAGTACACAAAAGGTAAGGAACCTCGGTACAGCGACCTCACAGACCTTCGAATGACGAATATCACCGTTGGAAAGCAAGGATCACCAGTATTTCCATTTTAAGTGTTGCGTCCTAGTTTGGTGTCTTCACACGTCAAGCAACATTTATTAGTGAATCCCTGTTTGATGTGAAGTTTTATGACACAAGCAACACCACCCCTCTTCCAGAAGTGGCAGCCAACGATTCATTGGTCAAGGCAAGAATCTTGAAGTTATTCAGGAGTTGCGTCATAATCAGACACCTAGACGTATCAATTTATGAACTTGAGAGGACAAAAGTGGCTTCGTTTTAAGCAAAGCAAAGTCTTGGCTTGGTCAAGTGACGAAACTATCGAGCGTAAGCGCATTTATGGTCATAGTACTAACACCAGTAGTCACAAAGATCCTACTATATATTCAGTCTGAGACTCCGGCTACTCTTGCATCACCGAGGACAAATTAAATGACAGAAATCTGAAGTACAAAGTCGAGAGTCCCCGGGGCGAAAACGTGGGTGCTACAAAGAGAAGTGTGGAGTCTGACTTGAAGAACCTCGGTTGTAAGCTTTAGAACGAGGCTGGGTGTATTCATGGGCCAACAGGCAGAGATATCATGAGAGCCCAACCCGTTGCTGGAAGTGGTCCAATCAGACACTATCAGCCGCTGTAAGCACTTTTCTTGCTTAGATACTCCATCTAACTCTCCAATGAAGTCCAGGTAGGTTTGGCAATCTTATCACCGCAATCGCCGAAATCGCCGAGAGCACCGAGAGAACATCTAGTCTACCACACTAGCAATCGGCTAAAAAGCCGTCCAGCGGAACCGAAGGTAGCTTGTCTTACATCGCAGGCAGACCCTTTTTACCTGCTTATCTATAAAGGGCCGGTAGCGGCGTTCTTTGTGCAGAAAAGAGGTAGCAAGGGTAAAAGTTCTTCTGGGCGTTTTCCCAGACGATTTTTTAGTGGGGTGAAAAGTGAATGACTTACTTTTTTCTTGTCTCGTAATTTTGTGGTTCGTCTTTTGAAGAAACCTCCGTTTACTCGAAGGAGAATTTGATGCTTGCCCTTCCCTCCTTATCTCAGTGCTTGGCAGACCATGTGCCCCAGATAACAGAACACAGAAACACATTATCGGGTCTTTGCGAAACCTAGCAACTGGTGTTGTTCAGAAAACGTGGTGTCAGTTTTGTTGGTAAGGAAAACTGATTTGAATCATTAGATGTCTATAAAATTTCAATCTAGTATTGTTTCATGCAACTTGCAGCCATATCACCACCAAGCTTTATAGGCGTCCAGGAACGTTCGCCTCAACGACCCCACAAAATAAACGAAACGCCCGATTCGATCATCAATTCGCTGCTCCACACGCGGTTTCCTAATTCGTCACTTGTGGGTCGGTTTTGTGCTTCAATTCTTATCAAAAGGTTGACGCACAAAAGCAGTTGTATCTTCTGTAACTCTAATTTCGACCAGAACCTTGGAATCATGATATATAAGACCAGAGGGTCTGGGTCGTGAATTCTTTATTCACAAATTCACTATGGGTCAAGACGATAAGAAGCTGGGTGCTTCTGTGTCCATCGCTGATGTCGATGTCGAGAACGGAATCACTTCCTATATTTCCCCTACCACTGGTAAAGCTCTCCACTTGGCAGAGACCAAAGATGAAGCTTTAGATTATATTATGTCCCAAGATGAAGAAAGACCCATACTTGATGAAGAGACTGACAGGAAACTCTTGTTTAAGATCGACTGCTGCGTCTTACCTGTCGTTTGTCTTTTATATGCGGTCCAGTTCATGGATAAGTCGTCCAACGCAATGGCTGCTGTTATGGGCTTGAGAGAAGATTTGAATATGGAGGGTAACATGTATTCGTGGACTGGTTCTGCGTTCTACCTTGGTTACTTGGCTTTCGAGCTTCCTTGTTCCTATACGTTGCAAAAATTCCCAGTTATCACTACAGTCTCGATCTTCATTGTCCTTTGGGGTATAGTTTTGTGTCTTCATGCTGTTCCAAATTACGAAGGATTTATCGCTTTGAGGACTCTTCTTGGTGCCTTAGAGTCTTCTGTTACTCCAGCGTTTGTCATTGTCACCTCCCAATGGTACAAGAAGGAAGAGGCTTTCTTCAGAACAGCTTTATGGTTCTCTTTCAACGGTGTGGGCGTAATGCTCGGCTCTAGTGCCGTTGCCTTGTCTCTCTACAATAACATGGATGGCTACGCAATTGAAGCCTGGAGGTTGATCTTCATTATAACAGGTGCCATCACCATCTTCATGGGCTTCGTTGTTTTCTTCCATCTTCCTAACAAGCCAACCGAGGCATGGTTTTTAACTGATCATGAGAAGAGGCTCGTTGTTGAGAGAATTAGAAGCAACCAACAGGGTTTTGGTAACAAAACTTTCAAGAAATACCAACTCATTGAGGCCATTACCGATATCAAGACTTGGCTTTACTTCTTCATTGGAGTTGCCACCACCATTCCAAATGGTGGTCTTACAAATTTCAGTTCAATCTTGCTTCACGAATCTTTCGGATATGGTGTCCCAGAGACTCTCAAAATCCAAACTGTGTGTGGTGCTATAGAGCTTGTGGGGTGCTCTCTTTTCGGGTATGCTTATAAGTTCTATCCAAAGAGACTCTTTTGGGCCAACGCAGCCAACATTGTGGTTCTTGTGGGTCTCTGCTTGGTGGCATTTGCTCCTGATAAGCATGCCCAGTTAGGCGGATACTGCCTTTTTTACGTGTGTCCTGTTGTGATGATTTGTGGTTTGTCTTCCTCTGCTTCGAATGTGGCTGGCCACACGAAGAAAGTAACGGTGAATGCCCTCTTTTTGATCGGTTACTGTACTGGTAACTTGGTCGGTCCCCAGACCTTCAGAGCTGAACAAGCTCCTGACTATGTGGGAGCTAAGGTTGCAATGGTCATCTGTACCGCCTTCACCTCTGTCTTCATGGCTATGGTTTGGATAGTGATGGCGAGAGAGAACAGAATCAGAGACGCAAAGGGAGACAACCATGAACAGTTTGATAAAATAGAAGATCTTGAATTTGCCGACTTGACAGACAAAGAAAACCCCTTGTTTAGATATACTATCTAGGGTACCGTCGGCTACAGTTTATATTAATTCGGTTCAGTGCTTGACTGTGATATTTGTAGTGCTCAAGGAGAAGAAGTTTAATTCATGTAAGTAGTGCAGCTACTATGAATGCCTCGTTACAGGTCCAGGCGTTCTGGTCGTTCTGGTCTACAGTTACCATATTGAGACAACTAGTTGGACGATCGATATTACACAAAAGTGAAACGCAAATTACCCAGCATACTTAATGAAGGGTTCTATGTAAGATGCATTGGTGCTTTTTTTTCTTCAATACAAGCAAGTATTAGCGCTGAAAGTGCTGCTGCTTATCTCACCTCGACGATAATGTATCGAAGGAAATATTCGTGGTAATTACCTAAGCTCGAAGGTTTGAGAAGTTCTATACTTCTTGATCCTCGTATGGTTTGATGAGACGCACCTTCCTATCTATTCACTTGCAACTCCAATAAAAATAAGAAAACTTCATTTACTAAGCGCCTAGGCAACAGACGCAAGTTAAGTTAAACGTTCATTGCCTCTGGAAGGTCAAGACGTTCGACGCTGAAACATGGTCACACGACTGCCTTGAACTATGAAACACAAGGTTGGCTGGTGAACAAGGCATAGGAAAACTAGAACTACTCAATAAAAGAAAAATCTCCATTAAACTTTATATCTCTGACGCGTGAAGTGAGTTTGTACAATTACCCACCTGGGGCTGAGCTTTCTTTCCTTGAGGACTCAGCTCCATTATCGCTTAAGCGAGGAAGTCCCCTCATCGGCTCACCTGCCAATGACGCAATTCTGGTATATGAGAATGTTCTCCTGCTTTTATTTTCTTCGCGCGGTAATGCAAGTCGATAAGCTCTTGAATGAATGCGAGTAAAGAACTGACAAAATAGGTTGCCCTTGACTAGAAGGAGCTTTTAATATGAACTCGCTTCGAAAACAGAATCAATCAAAATCCTTGGCATCACTCTTTTAGCTACCCCTACGAATCTTTGCCAAATCTTTAAGCTCGGCAATATCTAGCCACCATAACAGACGCCGGACAGTATCACAGTTCTCTTCAGCCAGAATTTCCTCGAGAATTGCATTACCTGGCCGAATCGAGTTCGTACCCTTGAAGTTTTTAAGCAAGCAGCCAGATGCAATGCTGTACCTTTCATCACTCTCGCTTTCCACATGAATGACGAAAGTTATTGCATTGCTCTGTTCAAAATGAGTTGAGATTGTTGTGTTGGAGGTTATTGCGCAGAGTGAGGCAGCCTCCTGCGCTGCAGCTAAATTTTCATTTTGTATTTCCATATTGTATACTTGTTCGACCAAAGCACTCCGCTCCTCGGTGCTCCCAGTTAAAATGATGGGTTCACAGTTCGAAAAGTTCCCCTCAAAATGCAGATCTAAACTATCACTGTCTGACTCCGAGTGCTCGTCGCTGGCGCAAACCAGAGTGCCAAGATAGAAAAAGGCCAACAAGCCATAGATAAGGATCAACATGTAGAAATATTGAGGTTTGAAACGAGGGAACTGCTCAACTATATATTCTGCAGTACTTAACGACTTGAGTCATGGAGTTGGCCTTTGTGTCATCTCCAGCTCAAGAAAAAAGCTGACTTCTTTAGAATTTAGGCATTGCAATCTGCATCTTCTTCCTAATGAGGCCAATCATGTTTCTCAAATGACTCAGGTTCATTGCATAGAACCTCAATTTGAGCACTATTATTCTGACACAAAATCGAAAGGATGTCCGGGTCACGGAAATGAAATTTATAAGATCAGGCTATATCTAAGTCTTGGCTTTTCCTCTATCTATCGATGGTGGAATCTCAATAAGATATTTTCATTATGTTATTTAAGCGTTAATTACTTGTTTTTCCAACCAGGTTAAAAGAATGATGTTTTGGTTTGCAAGAATTGTACAATAATGGAGAGAAACATTCTTCACAGACATCAGTTGCGTCAAATTTAAAAGTATAGAAGAAATATATTCAGAGGGCGAACCAGGCAGCTGTGGCTGTAAATGAATATGGACTTCACCATATCGAGTTCTACAGATTTTTAAGTTAAGGAGATATATATTTATCTAAACGATAGTACACATAAAAGGAACAGCACCACGTCCAGCGTGCTTGTTCAAGTTGTTGTCCTTTGGAGTGTTGTTCTTGTTCTGAGTAGTTTGAGCGGCCATTTTTGTTTGATGTTGAATAAAGTCAGGAAATGGGAGCCCTTATATATTCATTTCTTGAATCAAATTTTCTTTGTTTTTTACTAGGTGGTCTCATTAGTTTTCCATTTGGGGACTATCAATTGGTCCATGATGTTTGATCGTCTTGCCTATTTGGGCATTGCAATGGTTTCAAAAGTTGATCCTAAATGAAAAAGGAGATACGGCAAGCATTGCGGGCCACCTAATTTTAAAGTGGTTATTGGAGCTGAGAGACTCGTATTACGACCCGTCATCGTGTTCCTGGAGCGGGGCGTTGTGTGGGTTGAGCAAATCTGACGATGTAGTGGAAATGGCTAATTTTGGATCGAAAAACAATAGAAAAAGTACACTCGTGTTACTTTCTACTCTATTTACTTGATTAGCTTGAGGTAAAGCTTCATATGGCCAATCTAGGTGGTATTTTTTTTTGATTAGTTTCAACTTACACTGTAGCACGAGAAATGAGGAAATGAAAAATATACTTTACGCCCACCATGAATAAGTGTCGACCTAACTATCAAGAATAAAGTTCTACATCATTTTAAATTTCATCTTCCCATAGACTTTTTGCAAGGTAATTTGTGATGGGAATATAACTGTTGATTAAAGTTGTCAATGTATAGCTAAGAATAAGGCGCTGGTAAATAGACGCAGTCAAGCAAAATATCTTAGGGTCCTCAACAAACCTTTTCACTTATTAGATTCTCCAGAGAATGTTTGAAATGTTTAGCTTCATCATGTCCAAGTATCGAATAAACCCGGTAAGGGAAAGGTATTGAACTAACAATGTTCCTCTTTTGGGCTTTGCTTGGCCAAAAAAAGGTGTTCTTTCAACTCTGGGCAAAGTGGTTTGACCATTTTAAATCCTCAAATAGAGTTCCCATTGGGTAAACTAGATACATACATTAAACAATAATACGGGATTAATACCTCGCACCATTTCGATGTTGTTATGTGACCTCAATTGTTGAACATTTTACAGGCATTTGATAAATCCCAAAATGTCTTCATGGAGCCATTTCCAGCTTAAATTCTTGTGTTCTTCTGCTTAATTGTAAACTAAGCATTGCTAGTCGATATGAAGAATTGTTAATACTAGCCATAAGCGACAAAAGGTTGTCGACAGCACAACAGACAATCATTTGCAATAGTGAAAAAGACATGGCTTGGCAGCTATTAGATGCTTGAAAACGTCATCTTAGAAGAGGCTTAAGGGTCAGAAAGGGCTCAATTACCTCTGTTTTCAGGTACGTTCTCATCAGAAGACAACTTTTCAAGTATGCGACGCGTCTTCGATTTTGGCAAAAACTCAAAAATGCCTCCTAGGGTCCACACAGGTAGTATTTTGAGGAAAAAAACTTTTATTTCTTGGGTAGAAGTAAGAATAGCTTAAAAGATTATTCTTTTTTCATTTTTCATCCTGTTTTTGATTTTTAACAGTGTGTTTATATTAGTTGATTTTGTTACTATATGAGAAAAACGCGATTAAATTAGAGACATACCCCAGGTTTCCAGATGATCCAAATTGAAGCCGTACCATAATAATTTAAAATTATGCAAAAAAATAATAAAAAGTAACTGCTATATGGTTTAAAACTATATAACCTCTCTAAAGCCTGAAGTTTTGGTGGAAGGTATACAAACTACTATCTTTATGATGGCGGATCCTACTCCAGTGGCATTTCGGGGGACCATTAGGGTTCACACGACTTTGTCAAACGAGGAAGATCTGAGTAATAGATGGTTTTTCTCTTTCAGATATATACATGTATAGAGCTTTCCATTTAATTGAATTCAACAAAAAAAAAAAAAAAAAAATAAACAGGAATCGCTCCATCACAATGAACTCTCAACAGTACACTTATTTAACTTCGGATCTAACTAAATCCAAAGCGTACACGCGAGTGTTGGATATTTTCTTCTTCAGAAAGTAACAAGCAAATCTTTCACATTCCGACTTCATCGAAGTTTCCACAGTTTCAGGTAAGCACATTTAATTCTCATTAAAACTCCCAAGTGTTTAGTCCACGTGGCTGTTGGAGCGATTTCAAACTACTTCCGAGAGCTTAAATGCTAATGCAATTACGAGTTATCAATAGGTCTCTGCAAACTTCGATACTATTCTATCTTCAGCATTTGCTCTTGACAAACGTGGTCACCTATGACGTACGCAGACAGCGTACAGCTTTTAATTTTTCGCACATTATCGATCGACGCCTAAAAGCAAGAGAGGTATTATTCTGAAGTGTTTGCACCAAAAGTAGTTTCTCTTGCCTCTAAATGGCTCTCTGCCGTCGTGGTTTTCGAGCTATTCGAGGGATCTAACGTCATCTAAGCGGCGCATTCCATTTTTTAGTCCATAGCAATTTACGCATAAGGCGCATGAGGCATTTTGACACACGCATAGTGACTTCTATGTTGAAGGAGGTGCACGACGGGTAAAGATAGACACCTGTAGAGAGATTTAGGCTATTTTGGGGTAAACGCTCGATAATAATCTCTTCGCGCTACCATATCGGTGTTGCCGCAATAACGTCAAGCCAATCGGAATATTAGCTGCACGTTGGAGTAATTTTATTCCTCAGGGTATATATAGAGAGCTGAGGAGCACCGCAATTCCAAAATCAAGATTATTCAAAGAAAATTAGCTAATTAATTATTGAAGAAAATGTATTTGCCTATGATTAATGTTTTACCCTTGGTGAGCCTTATTGTTGGAGCAACAGCGCAACAGCCGGAGCCCATTAACGTCGATGGAAACATCGGCCAGCACTTAGGTCTTGGAAACATCGAGGCGGCAGACGTTTCGAGTCTTTGGTCTGGTCTTGATGATGAGGCGAGGAAGGCTTTGGAAGCTGTTGATATCTATCCAGGTAAAAGTCCCAATGAGTTGGTGGAAGATGTTCTCCTTCTTGCTTACGGTGGTAACCATCACGATATTGATTTCGCTGACAAAAGCAGTACAATAGCTGAAATCTTCAGTGCTTTGGGTGGTATATATGCTGAATTTGCCAGTGACATTTTGGAATTAAATGAGACGTTGAAGTGAGCACAGGATGGAATGGACACGATAACCTCGTCCACGTCTGCGACTGGCACCTCGCGCAGTGAGCCGTCCTCGAAGTTGACAATGAATTTGATGATTTCTAAGTCGTCGTGGTGTTTACCCATGGTGGTGCTGAGGATGGGAAAAATACCATCATAGCTAAGAATATGATCCTCTGAGGCATCAATTGGTGCTGCCAGCACTACTCCTATCATCATAAGAGGTACAGCCAATAACAATTTCATGTTCACCATTTCTCAGCTTAATTCTCCGGTACAATTCTTCTTGAGTGACAATACTAACGAATATAGTTATGTGACACAGTCAGCGAAATAATGTAATTAGGCTTGCAGTATCCCATTTTTTTACCTCAAGGATAGCCCCTATTTACCACCTGAAGGCCTTGACATACACTGCCGTTATCAAAGTGGCATCCCAATGTGGAATCAGCGCCGCACACTTGACAGGGCAACGCATGCACCCTTGATAAAGTTTGATTACGTCGCGGGGCTTCAACACGGGTACACCATTGAGTTGTTTTTCAGGTAGGTGGGAAACCAATTCCTTATCGTAATCAATAAAAGATAATCCAAATGCTAGAAAGTAAAACGGGCATTGGATTTGTATCTCATGCGCGCCTTAGCTACGCCCCTTACAACTTTCGAGAGGTGGCTCCATACGGCACGACTGATAAGGGGTGCGTGTTAGATGAAGGGTGCACGACTGTAGGTAAGAAAGACTATGTAACGGACATAGCTGGGTTTATAGTAAAGAGTGGTTCGTAGTGTATTGAGATAACTAGTTAAGGAAAGAAGGATGGGAGATGCCATCCTTATATAGTGAAGACATTGGATGGCAAGCAAGTAAGAGGGTCATCATCATAGCAACTATAGGAATCTGGGCAACAGGATATCATCATGCCTGCATATAGAGCATGTATTCCAACACCCGTTCTTAGCCTGTGGCCTAAGATTCATTTGAGTTCGGGTAGATATGGCCTGTATCAGTGGAGCGTCCTTATCAAAAGTAGTCTGTAAATGTTCGTATAGTTGTTGTTAAGGATTTGGGACATTCGAAGGACCACTTAAATGATTGTCCATGACACTGAATTTTGAGCCCAAAGCTTCGTGAAGGGCGTAACTGTCTGATGATGAATGACAGTTCTGATTCCTTTGATTCTTCGACGATTATTTAAGTCACATATTGATCGTTCGTTCGAAAATTGACTTCTTTCCTCTTGGAACCGTCTGTCCTCTTGGGACCGGTTGTCCTCTTACTTTCGCTTTTCCACTGGGATAGAGTTTGTTACTCTATATCCCACAGGCACATCAACGAGAACCTAGACATGTTTGTGAGTGTTGCAACCGTATGGTCGGGACGCTCATGGTGCTCAAGACATTACATCTGGGTAGAGACACCTCATGACAAACTGGTTGTTATCTCTCGTTGTAGTACCACAGCAGAGTATTTATTTTATCTTCTCTGCTTTGTCCAAGGTTGTCGCGGATTTATTGTAGCTCGGCGGTAGGGTGAATTCCCTTTATCTTTGTTGCGCAAGAGATGTAGCTAGGTTAACAAGTATCTGGCTTCTTCAGATAGTTCTTTGATGAAATCTTCCGTAGGACCCGTCCTTCTATATTTGCAATTGTCCCAGGTAACCTGCTGTTTTCTTCCTGACTTCTTGTCTCGCAACTTGCTCATGTTCCGTCATAGCCGCCTTTAACAAATAATCTCTGAGTACATTTCTATGTTGTGTCTTCAACGCGACTGGCCTTGTTCACTAGTAATCCACTCTTTAAGACAGGTCTCCTTCTTATGGGAGTAAAGCCTATTTGATCAGCCCAAGGTTGCATGCGTAGTCCATTTAGTGTGTCATTAGGGGAAGTCTCTGTTCAAGGTTTCGTGGTTTAGTTCCTTTGGGATTAGTGAAATCAGGTCCAGCTAACTTTATCAGTTCAAAGTTCGACATCGTTTTGTTTAAGCATCCATGTTAGTTGTTAAGGACCAACGTTTAATTTAGCTGTTTCGAACTGTATTGCTGGCTGTTGAGTTCCTTGGTTGAGAACCTGATTGACTGTTGTGCCTGCTCTCACTATCCCCTTTTTCTTTCTATGGCGAGTGTGCTTGTCCTGCTATCCGTTAGGTTTCATGCTCGAAGTATAACTGGGGGAACTTTGGTGACTCCCTAACTCTCCAGTTCAACCTATTAGATATTGCGGATGTGTTTGAAGTCTTTTGGTGAACTTAAACCCGTTCTTAACATGCTTTCCTTTCCTATGATCATCACTTCAAGTGTGCAATCCTTCTTTGGTTCTGATTAGTAGTGATATTCTTGTTATGTTGTTTTGGTTCCTCTTATTAGGGTTGACTTAAATAGCTGCATGGAAATCAATGGTAAATTGGCGACCTTCGGGGAGGTATCTCCCTCATATAGATCTGAAAGTGAGAACAACACATGAATTCCCCCTTTCGCCAATTTGGCACCATGCGCTTTGAATAGTAGTCTTCTTGTCTAAAACCGTTCTGAACTCACCGACGATGCATACGCTGTCCTGCTAGCCGGGACAGTACTCGGAGCTGTGTTGACTTCGTCTCTCGAGCCTGCCCTCTAGGCTTGTACTCTCCTAAACCGGCCAAGATTCATGGAGGTCCCCACTCTCACTACTTCAATGTCTTTTTGCATTGTGACTTCCCTGGTATCCATTCCACCCTGTCAGAGGAAGATTTAATACCAGCCGCCAGAGAAACATCCTCCTTAACTTTCCGGGGTAAGGAGGTCAAAAAAATTCTGGACGAAGTCAGTGGGATGGCTTGCTTAGGACTCTAAGAACGTCTTCCTAGAATTGTGCGTAGGCGTTGGTGATTCTGTCAACTGGAACTGGACTGTAAAGAGTCAAAATGTTGACTCCACTTGACGCAGTTTCTGCGTTCGCTGTTTCGCTGTTAGTAGCATTCTAACACATCTCCAAGATGTGGTTAGTGGTGGAACCTGGTATAATGTGCTTTGCTTAGCTTCATATACTTATTACTGACGGGCTTTAAGTGTCAATAATAATCCACCTATTATCTAAAGGGACGATCGACGGAGAGACCTGTTCTCCTTTGGTCATATTTTGCTTTCAAATCTTTCGCAAGTCAATTATTAAGATAACGAATAAATGGCTTACCTTTTAACGATAGTGGGTCTCTATTGTAGACTCTCTTCTATCGAGCGAGAATGATTGAGGAGTACCTGACCTGGTAGCCATATAGTCCAGCGGCGCTTATTAGAGTACGCTCTTTCTGGATAGGAAACACGAGCTTAAGCGGATTTTCTTTCTTCGCTTTTCTTATGATGTTGGCGAGTTAGAGCGAGGGTTGGTTTGTCAATAATGAGACATAATGGAGCGCCAATTATGGTCTGAGGTACCAAAGTAAGGTCACCTTACCATACATTCCTGGTTTCTAATGAGAATAACGAAGTGCCAGTCATTATCTACCTGTATCGTGGTACATTTGCCGGTCAATGATAATGTAATTTCTTTACCCTTGTCGCTTTAACCTTCAGTGAGCTCGTGTCTCATGGATGTCGAAAATGCAGCGATCCCCCTTTGGCATCAAGTGGGGTTTCTGTCCAAGCTGCTTGTGGAAACCTCAACTTCTAGCTCACATTTCAATGATGTTATTTCAATGATGTTCTTGCTCCAGAACTGGATGGCGCTTCAGAGCTGTTTAGTCTCGTTGCTTGGCATAAGTATACTCTTGTTCATTCATACGAGACGATGCGTCGATATATGATCAAATATTCCGGCCCTAAGTTTAGCCATGAACCCAGTTGGGGTTGTGAGGTGAAAAAACAGCTTCACACTCATGACGCTTCGAAATGCCAGTATTGTGGTAGAATTGCAACGGTGACTCAGTAACATAGCTCTGTTCATTGATTGTTGAGTTTCCTGAGGAGAATGTAGCATCTGTGGCCCAATTAACGATTTGATGATCTCATTCTTGGACGCGTTGGGCCATGTGCGTTCCTCGTATCCCAGCAAGTGTATCTTGCTTCTCCAAGTCTTTCTAATAACAGTGTCCATGTTAGTGAGCTTTACTGGCGATAGTCGTCCAGAACAATGCACAGGTTACACAGGTAAAAGTTAATAAGCATGGCACTTTGAGTTGCATAAGACTGGGAGTATTATCTCTTAGGCTGGAAGAAATGCGGAAAGACGGGGAAATTGGAGATTTGTCATCTTGGAAATGATACCAGTCTTGTAGTACAGCGTAGATGGTATGGACCTCGAGTCTGCATTATTATTGTAGACTATTCGGAAATCGGCCAACTGCTTTGTAATTAAGATAGATGTAAAGCAGATTTCTTAGGATGTATTTAAACTCTTGGTACCCTTTGGCCTTGGACTTTCCCGGTAAATGTCATAGTAGTCCTTGTATGTGGAAGTGCTAGACACCGATAAAGACATTGGAAACATCTATACTCTACCTTCTGTAATGATGGCTGGAGTAGTTGCATTGACTCAGTAATAACCAATCGATGTGTAGGCTGAGTTTGTGCAAATGTGTAGAAAAATGAGTTTTGCTTCTTTAATTTTCTATCACAATTAGATTGTTCGTCAAATTTGTGTCCATGTCCTCGACTTCTTAGAAGGGCGTTGCTTTGTCAACGTCTCTCCTTCTTGACCTTTAGGTTTAGGGTTAATGATGCATAGTCGATGATGCATAGTCGAAGGACTCCAACCGCTGAATGGTATAGGGCTCTTCCACCTGCAATGCAGAGATGACAGTTATAAAAGTTCTCGCCTCACAAGAGCTCCCGGGAAGTGAAAGATTCCTTACACAAAGACTGTTGTTCTATTGTGTTTTCCAAGATAGATGCCTTCCCTATTATCAGGGAACTTATCCCGTTTGCTCTTGTGTTTGTGGGTACCACTGAGTTATTGTGGTTCCTCTCTGTCTAATCTCTGTTATGTATGCATGGAGTTTGCCTTGAGCCTTACGTCTAGCGTGCTTTGTTTGAGACTTCCTGACTTTAAAAAAAGATTTGTAGTCTCGTAGATTCATATGTTGTTCTTGATGTCAGGGCCCATTGTTGTTTATTCCCAGCTAAGCACGCTAGTCTGTTTGGAACGTATTATTTAGTTGTTCTGCTGTAGTCATAAGTTTCCAGTCCGTCACTGATGAACACCTGAATTTCGTAAGCCTGAACTCTTCTCTGTAGTAGACAAACCGTATAGTCAATAGTCAATAGCTTATGTTTGATATGTTGTTCAGTGTTCAAGTTCTCAGCCACTGTTTGCTGAGGGTCCAACTGTTGGTCAACGAGCATGTTAGTAGACCATTGCTTTCCCAATCTATTCTTATCCGAGTATGGTCAATTGGGTTCATTAGTTATGATAGTCTTGATCTTCTTCGTTCTTCGGTAGAATGGTTCAATAGTCTGAGGACTCTTGCTTCCTTACGACGATTGTACACAGAAGACGTCATGGTAGTCTGAAGACCCTTCAAAGTTGATCAACTCTTGATGGCGCCGAAGCTAACTACCATCTTTATAAAGATGTTAGATGAAGGGTGCACGACTGTAGGTAAGAAAGACTATGTAACGGACATAGCTGGGTTTATAGTAAAGAGTGGTTCGTAGTGTATTGAGATAACTAGTTAAGGAAAGAAGGATGGGAGATGCCATCCTTATATAGTGAAGACATTGGATGGCAAGCAAGTAAGAGGGTCATCATCATAGCAACTATAGGAATCTGGGCAACAGGATATCATCATGCCTGCATATAGAGCATGTATTCCAACAGTGCGACATGGTACTGCTCAGTGATTCTCATAAATCTTTGAACAAGATATAGCTTTGTCATCAAAGAGTCGAAATAGTCATGCCCGAATAAGATTAAAGGTCATTTGAGCTAGCAGAATAGTTGTAAGTGTGGTTTATCTCCCGCGTTTGTAGCCATGTGCTTTTCCAAAAGCGCAAAAAAGTCGGCTCAAAGTGTGGCCGCATTGCCTTCAGATATGCGGCTTCGATAAGTTCTGTTTAGGCTTTGCCCCCTAAGTCTGTATAGAGCTGTCGCCACAAGTTGGTATATATATTGACAGATTTCCCAGATTTTATTGATCATCTATACTATTATACAAACATGGCTTTCTTGATTGGATACCTTAACAACGACAAATATTCTGGATTTAGATTCGGATCCGGGGAAATCAACCACGTCCTTGGTGTTTCTATTACGGATGATAAAGACTTAGAAAAGGGCAAAGTTGAGGAGCCATCCGAAAAAACGCTCTCTGATGGAACTGTTTCTGTTGAATCAATTTAGATTCGGACACCCGCAATTTTGATATTACGAGTGTACCAAGAGGGTGATGTGAAAGATCTCACCCCAAGATTTTGATTTTTATGGCAATGGACACATCTGCTTGTTGTTGATGAACTGAGTTGAAGGTGTACTCGTTGTGGACTCGATAACAATTCATCAGATACATGCATTGATATTTCCGTGGGCCGAGTGAATTATTGATGAATATAAGAAAAAAAAAACAACTTGTAGTAGGAGAGGGTAAAGGTAATTGGAAGCGATGATATATAGTCTTATCTAAGTTTGCTTCCTACAGAAGCTCTTTCTTCTATTCAATTATTATTGTCCTGACAGTTTTGTCGTATGTTTTCTTTCTCTAGTGTTTTCCCACCACCAAGCGCAGCCAGGGTTCAGCACAGCCCATTTCACGACTTCCAGTTCTTGCGGCCTATGCAATGTAGTCACTGAAGCACCGCTGAGACCCCTCTAAACTTTAATGAAAGGAGCTCAAGGGTAAATTAAATGATATCGTGCGAATCACTCAACTTTTTACGGATCGGGAGCCACATTATCGCAGGGCCCACATCCGATACCAGAAAAAAGGACGAACAGAGGTTTGTCTCCCAGCGTCCTGAGAATCTTATCAAACTCTTCATAGGTTTCGAGAGAGGTAACGACCATCTTTACTTGTTAGTGAGTAAGCGAGACACAATGTGTCACTTAAAATGTGCGTGTGGTTCGCTTATGTAGACGTTATCGGAGCCGCACGGTTGACGGCACTCCGACAACCCAATGTGCCGATCATTTTGCGCTTTGCCATACGTCAGAAATGGTTTACTCCTTAGAGAATGACCAGATTCGGCAGGAACTACAAATCCGAGGCTCTTAAACTTACAGCATCTAGCATCTGGGTTTTTAGGTGTCTGGGTTTTCTTAGGTGTCTGGGTTTTCTTAGGTGTCTGGGTTTTCTTAGGTGTCTGGGTTTTCTTAGGTGTCTGGGTTTTCTTAGGTGTCTGGGTTTTCTTAGGTGTCTGGGTTTTCTTAGGTGTCTGGGTTTTCTTAGGTGTCTGGGTTTTCTTAGGTGTCTGGGTTTTCTTAGGTGTCTGGGTTTTCTTAGGTGTCTGGGTTTTCTTAGGTGTCTGGGTTTTCTTAGGTGTCTGGGTTTTCTTAGGTGTCTGGGTTTTCTTAGGTGTCTGGGTTTTCTTAGGTGTCTGGGTTTTCTTAGGTGTCTGGGTTTTCTTAGGTGTCTGGGTTTTCTTAGGTGTCTGGGTTTTCTTAGGTGTCTGGGTTTTCTTAGGTGTCTGGGTTTTCTTAGGTGTCTGGGTTTTCTTAGGTGTCTGGGTTTTCTTAGGTGTCTGGGTTTTCTTAGGTGTCTGGGTTTTCTTAGGTGTCTGGGTTTTCTTAGGTGTCTGGGTTTTCTTAGGTGTCTGGGTTTTCTTAGGTGTCTGGGTTTTCTTAGGTGTCTGGGTTTTCTTAGGTGTCTGGGTTTTCTTAGGTGTCTGGGTTTTCTTAGGTGTCTGGGTTTTCTTAGGTGTCTGGGTTTTCTTAGGTGTCTGGGTTCTTAGG